ACATCGACAACACCTGGTATCCTGCAGGCAACCTACGCAATGCGCCGTACAAGGTGCAGGAATTCCATGAGAAATACCCGAGCAAACCGGGTCCTCCAGCGAGATTACAGCATTGGATAAACTGCGCCCTGCAGGACGAGTACCCAGATGAGCACCAGGATGATGGCAAAGTCGCTCAACGGGACTGAGCGAATCTTGGAGGGGGGAAATGTGACACTGCAGGTGGGTTCTGCCAGGCCTGTCCAGGCGGTGAGTCGAATCAGGTCATGTGACAGGAGGAGGAGAGACGAGGGACTTGTTTTGTTGCGCGCCTCTTTCGTTTTCTTTCTTTTCTTTCTCTCTTCTTCCTTTCCTTAGACTAGTTATCTTGTCGAATTGGACTCTTTTGCAAGAATAGCCTACTGTCACACCATCCGAGGCGTCTGTCTCGACCCGGGTCTGCGCTGCTGGGTCATAATGAGCCAGGATAGGTGCGTTCGTGAGCATTTCTTTCAGCGTGGAAAAGGCCCTTCCGTGTTCGGCGGTCCATTGCCATGGGGACGTCTTCTTTGTTAGGTGAAACAGCGGTTTCGCGATCCGACCATAGTTCCCGATGAAACGCCGGTAAAAGTTGCAGAAACCTAAGAATGACTGTACCCCCTTTACCGTTGATGGAGGCTTCCAGCCGTGAATAACCTGGACCTTGTCTGGGTCCACTGCGATTCCGTCGGCGCCCACGATGAATCCTAAGAACTTCGTCCTCTGTGTGTGGAACTCACACTTACCGAGGCTCGCCTGCAGCCCGGCACTCTTCAGTCTTTGAAGGACGTCTGTCACATGCCGAACATGGTCCTCATATGTTTCACTGTAAATCAGAATGTCGTCGACAAAGGCCGTGGCATAGACGTCGAGGGCATCCCCAAGAACGGAGTTCATGAACCTCTGAAAAGTCGCCGGTCCGTTCGTGAGGCCGAAAGGCATCACTCGATACTTATACGACCCATACCTAGAACGGAAGGTAGTAAGATCCTCGGAATCCGGGTCCATCCTGATTCGGTGGAATCCTTGTCGAATGTCAACCTTCGTGAAGTATCGAGCCTTTCGTACACGCTGCATTAGCTCATCGATCAGCGGTAATGGATAGACATCCCTTTTCGTGACCTGATTTAGTTTACGGAAATCCACACAGAAACGTAATCCACCTCCTGGTTTCTTAGCGAGGAGGATTGGGGAGGCAAACGGAGCGCTGCTAGGCACGATGAACCCTTTCTCTAAGTTCTCTGTGATATATGTCTTTGCGGCCTCGAGTTGCTCCACGGACATCTTGTACAGCGGGCAATATCCCGGTGTGGCCTGGTCCACTAACTCGATCTTGTGGTCAGTCCCAGGTCGGTACGGCGGTAGTGTATCCGATTCCTTCTTCGAGAAGACATCCGCGAACTGGTGATACTCCTTCGGGATCGTTTCTCGGATTGTCCGCAGCTCCGTCTCTTTTTCGGAGAGTTCATCGATGGCATGCTGGATCTCGCAGAGGGAGGTAATAAAGGTCTCCGTACCGGGTTTACGGGCACATCTTTCGAAACCGACCCGTCCGATCGCTGCAATTTCGAAGTTTTGGAGAACTTTCTCTGGCTGTACCTTCCGATAGGGAGTCGGCGTTACACTCTGATTCGACAGCGCCCGGTGCATTTTCTTCAGGGTATCCTCTCCATGGGAATGGTTATATGACCGTGGGATCCGTTTCTGGGGTTTAGATTCCTTTTCCGAGAGGAGACCCTTCTCAAACTTCCGGTCACGTCGTTCGCAGTCTCTCTGGTGCTCTAGATCCTCCTCCACGCATGGCCTTCTGAGGATTTGCATGGGAATTGGCCGTGTCAATTGGCACGCCACCTCTTCCTTTATGGCTTGAATCTTCTGCTCTGTGGTCCGCGGAGCTGGCCATAGTAGTCGAGAGTTCCGACTGTCCAGCAGCACGTCCTGTTCTGCTAGCCATAGCCTGCCGATGATCATGTTGTGGTGGCCGATGTCAGCTATCATCATAGTTGCCAATGGCTGGCGATGGTTATCCACGATCAGGGGTACTCTGGCGACATGGGTGATAGGCGCCGACTGTCGCCCATCGTACGCTCTGATCGAATGTGCACCCATATCCTGCACTCTCGCAGTGCGTAGACCGTACCTGCCTAACTTCTCCACCACCCGGGTGTGAATCATAATGTACATATCTGCTCCAGAATCTACTAACGCGTTGACTTGAAAAAATAACGAATTGATTGGAATTTGTGCCTTGGTCAGGAAGCTCTTAGATGAGAGCAGCTTCGTGATGTCAATTCCGCTAGTAGATTGCCGTGAGACGCCTAGGCGGGAGACTTGCCCTAGGCGTACTCTTTTCCCTGCTCGTCATCCGATCCTTCGAGTTCCACAATGCGGGGATCCGGGGTCACCACTGTTTCCTTGGGTTTAGTGGAGGCTGTCGCAACAGCCGCGGGGGTAGTAGTAGTCTTCTTTGGGCACTGGAGGCTGATGTGTCCGGGTTCTTTGCAATAGAAACACTTTCCTTCACTGACCAGTTTGTTCCGTTCCGCATCAGTCATTCTAGCCGGCGTAAATCCCTCTCGTTTGACTCGAGCGGTGGTCGGCTGGCTGGTGCCCGATGTGTTAGGGGCGGTGTGTGCGGTCGTGGTTCTTGCGCTTCCTCCTACTGTGCCACCCCGGTGATTCCTGCGGTCGGTGGATCGATGCTGTTGGAGCATGATCTCGTGGGAGATGCTCTGGCACTGTTCAGTGAAATTGTCGAACGTGACATGGGACTGGTTAACGGCCAGCATCATCTGGGTTTGAAGTAAGTTCGGCAGTTTCAAGTAGAGGTCGCGTTTCAAGTTCTCTCGGACCACGCATGCTTCCTCAGCGAGCTGGAGGAACTCAGCTAAGAAATCCGTGAAACCATCACGGGGCTTCATCGTTAGCTGATGGTAGGCGGAGTATGCTTCCGCCTTCCGATTCGGGTTAGCGAACACACTTCGCAGGTGACTAAGGATATCTTCCGCATCCTCGTATGGCCTGGTGGAGGCTTCATCCATGCGGGGGGCAATATGGAGCTGGGCTTTGCCCTCGCAGCGACTCTGTACATAGAGCTTACGATGTACTGGTTCAGGATAATGGTCCGCATTTGCGAGTAGCTTCTGGCGGATCGTTGTGGCCCAAGCTTCGTATCGGACTTCCTTCCCATCGCTAAACATTGGTGCGTCAGGCATACGAGCAGATTTCCTCGGGACCGCAGCTTCCATACTCGGTGTGCTCCGGTTCTGTAGATCGAAAAACTTCATAGCCATCTCGTTCTGTTTCGCCACGGCTGCTTTCTCTGCTACTAGAGCGGCTTCGAGGGTGGTTTGAGCTCTGTTCTGCTGCTCGATTGCTCCCTGGTATTGGACTAGGGCCTCATCGTTGTCGTTCTGGAGCTCGATATTCCGTGCCTCGAGTTCGTGAAACTTCTGTTCGAGGGCTTGGTACAGCGTCGAGAGCTTAGGATACCGATCTTTCTCTTCGGTGTTTTCGAGTCGCCTCGCGACCGACGACGAGTCGAGTCGGAAGGAGATCAGGCGAGATGCGTGTCTCGGTGTGGTATCGTCATTGCCAGCGGCAGTGCTGGGCGCGGGATCTGGGTTCGGAGAAGCCATCCTAGCTTCTCGGCACGGTCGGCAACCGTGGTTCGGGATCGGGATCGGGATCGGGATCGGGATCGGGATCTGGAGCGAGTCGGGATTCGGTGGGGTGGACCGGTGCCAAGATACGCGTTACAGGAACGCGCGTCTGTGCGGCCGGCGGTCCAGAAATGAAAGTAAAAGGAGACTAGTTATTATGTGACAGTAGGCTATTCTTGCAAAAGAGTCCAATTCGACAAGATAACTAGTCTAAGGAAAGGAAGAAGAGAGAAAGAAAAGAAAGAAAACGAAAGAGGCGCGCAACAAAACAAGTCCCTCGTCTCTCCTCCTCCTGTCACATGACCTGATTCGACTCACCGCCTGGACAGGCCTGGCAGAACCCACCTGCAGTGTCACATTTTCCTTCCTTCCTTCTCTCCTCATGCTTAATTGCTTCGTTTAATGCCACTACATTGGTCGATCTTCATCATTCGTAACTGACGTAACAATATGAAACACTGGATGGAGTTTTCTCATGCTCTGCGGTAGTCTCATTGCTGGTGCCGCAACATCAAAACCAAGCGACCATCATGACTCACCCGAGTGGTGTCCAGTCCATTGGCTTCATTCAATATGGGCTGGCTCGGGTTGGGTCGATGATCTGAAGAGAGCAATCTGCCCGAGGTCGTTGGATACAAAATCGCCCATCATCCAACTTACCACGGGATGTCGGCCCGAGTTATCGGTGGAATCCATGGCCCATGGGGTTTCCCTTTCTGCCACTGGTCCATTTCCTGTTCCTGTCGGTCATGTCACCGCTCGCTGTTTCAATGTCGATTTTGACGACATTGATGAGTTGGTCCAGTGTGAAACGTTATCGGCATCATCATAACATTTTATCAAAGGTCCTCTCCACGAAAGCCGGTGGTTGAGTTAAGGTATGCCCGTTATAATCGGAGGTTTCGTTACTCTCATCGATTAGGTATCATTTTTTCTTCAACGGATAACCTGGTGAAGCCTTTGTTACGGCATGTGGGCCTGACACCACCTACCGAACGTAAGTCCAGGCGTTAACCAAAAAGACCACTATGACAACTAACTAGTTGTCATGTCAGGTTTCCAATTCATACCCACAGTACAGGATCTTAACAGCCTTAGACACAAGTCTCTGTGTTGCGAGAGATCGGGTTACTCCGGGCATAGCAGTAAGCTGAGCGCGAGAGGCTGCTATTTCCCTTCTTCTTTTCCCAGAATCACCCCACTTTCTTTTTTCTCTCTTCCTCTTCAACTGTTATCACCTTCAGGCAAGGTTCAAGTGCAAGTCATCAACCTTGCTCCCTTCTCATCTCTTTTCTTCCTTGATCCATCTCCCTCATCAAAATGGATCAGATCGAAGAGCTTCGGAATAGTATTACCAGCGATGTCGATCGCCAGGTCACACCTCTTATCGACATCCTTCGCGCTCAGATCCAAAGTCTCCGAGATGACCTTCAACGGGTTCAAAGTCAAACCGAGCAGATTCAACACCGCTCATCCTCCTCATCGAAGCGACCAAAACCCTCGCTTCCCAATCCAGAAAAGTTCACTGGTGCGATGGTCAAATATGACACGTGGGATGCTGCCATCCGCGCAAAGCTCGCCATTGACGGACCAGCTATTGGAGATTCGACAGCACAATTCTATTATGTTTACATGAATCTCTCGAGCCAGGTCCAAGCAATGGTTTTGCCGCAGCTCGCAACTGCGCGTGACAACGACAGCCACAACTATCAGACCATTCTTGACCAACTTCGTCGGGTATATGACAATCCGAATAAAGTTCAAGAGGCAGAGGACCGCCTCCTTTCCGTTCGACAAGGCGCCGACGAGTCCCTCGCCGCTTATATTGCCAAGTTTGAACGTCTTCTTTACGAGGCCAGAGGCCAGCATTGGCCGGATGTCACGAAGAAACGTTTCAAACAAGAAGAGTATAGCATTTAAACTAGATTATCAAAGGTGGAAGAGAAACAGAAGGATGAAGACAAGTGAAAGATGATGGGCTGATGCAATCATGCTACGTCATCAGTATCCTAACACATCCCTGAGATCCGCCCTGTGGACTCTTCTCATCTGAGTTGTAAACCTATGTCACTAACTCGTGACACAGTGTTCCTGGTCGATCGATGCGTGCTAGCTCGTCCTTGACGTCGGATTTTGCAGCTTCAAAGTACGGAATGTACGCTCTATCAGGCATACCCAAGTATGAAATGATCTGTATGAATTCAGAATGCCGAGGCGGCAGGCCGAGTGCTAATGTCCGATTCGCCGCAGTTTGCGTTTGCCGAAGCCCGAAGATGGCCGCCCGAGGCTGGTCACGAGACCCCGGAACGGAGGAACTTCCCCTGGAGCGGACACCTGTAGATATCTTCATCCGCCTCCTGAACTCGAGATAAACACACACAATATACGAGACTTCTAGCACCCACATGACCTGCGTAAGGTTGTTACGCGTAGCCGACTGGTCACTGTGAGTTAGAATGTCCACGGGTTATACTCGCCTAGTTCCAACTGCGGATTCCAAGAGTATCTCGCAACCGTACCGTTGCTATGCAAAGCCTTACGTCGGGTTCGGGTCCTGTGAGTATCTTGCAGAACGTGCCAGAAGTGCGCGCCAAGTAAGTCAATCACTAAGTGTTACCACTAAGTGAATCCCCTACTTGTAGGTTGGGTTGTCTTGAAGGTGAACTGTGAAGTGCAAAGTACTAAAGGTAGTAACCGAGTAACAATGTGCAATTGATCGCGAAGAACTAAATACATGATAGTGAAATGAGTGTCCTTATATATCTAGTCCTCCTTGATGGCATGTGTGGTATGGCGGTAGATGGTATAATGGTAGATGACTCTTGGCACGTTCTACCCGTATACCCAGCTACCCTCCTACCACCTTGGTCACGTGCGTGGTGGCCGTTTCCTGAGTTGCGCTAACCGTCACGTCGGATAAGCGGGTATTGTTTGTGACGGTTGAATGCGCCGTTTCTGGCTCCCTTGTCTGGAGAGCCTCCTTGGAGCCTTCTGAGGCCTGCCCAAGTATACCGAAACGCACGTGATGACGCTAGTGCCTGGCGTCCGCGGAATGATTGGTTCACGGTTGCCCCTCAAATAGCTGCGGCCCCCGCGCCTCTTTGAGGTTCGTAACAAAGGTGTACCTTGTAGCAGCGTTCAGCTGTTCTGGGGGCGTCGATGTCCCCGAATGTATTTTCGAGATGTTGACGGAAATTGTGGTGGTCATTGAAGATATCGGTTCGGGCGTGGTCAGGGACAACACTTCGATTGGCTTTCCGTAATAATCGCGAATGTGTGGTTCATACCAGTCTCATAGGTTGACTCAAAAATCACCTTGCTTGCTTCGGTGGGAAGTTTGGTTTTGCTCATGTCTATGTGCATGTCCATCTGGGTGAGGCATCCACTAGGCTTCGTTCGGTTACCTTCGAAACACTCAGCCTTGGGGGGTCGTGGCTCTTGGACTGCATCAGCAGGTGCTGAAGCGATGGCCTGTGCATGAAGCTGCTCCAGGTGAATCCTTCGCACTATTGCTGTGCTGAATTTGCTGTTTGTAGTTGCCACCAAGCAACTCCAAGTTACTTTTGAGCTCCTGCGCAATGTGCTGTAGTTCCTGAATGCGGTTGTCTCTCTTGACATTGGAATCTGGGTCAGTGGATTGGCAAGGGGAGTGTTTAAAACTTATGTCCAGTGACTGTATGATCTCTCCTACTACATAATATTACTAATGTACAGATAAACTAACTAACTAGATAATCCACGCCGGTAAAAGGAGGTTTGAAACACTGGTGGCTATGGCTTGCGGTACATCACCGTACATGCATGGCGGCTATGGAGGGCAAGGTGGAAGACCAGAAAAAACTCAGGGAGGATCCTCCGGATGGATTGTTCATAGAAACAAGATGGCATAATGTAAACAGCATAAACAAGTAAACAAAATTATAAATCCATGCGAGCAGCCATCTAGTCGTCTTCCAGCTCGTAACATTCGTACTCGAAGCAACTTTAGCAAAGCGGTTGCCTTCTCATGTGCCCGAAGGTCTATGGGTATATGGACCAAAAGTGACCGGAGAGAAAACAAGATATCATTCAAAACCAGCAGGAAACACGCGAACCCCAATTTCTCATGGTGCGGGGGCCGCGGGAGAGGCATCAGGCTTCTTTTCCACTTTGGGGCCTCCTTTACCACCGCGGCGATTAGCACCACCCAACACCCACATTGCGAAACTCCCGGGGACTTCCGGTCCTCTAGCTTTAGCTTTCTTGGGCCCTAGAAAAAAATGTAAGTGCGTGATTCTAGCAGGTCTTTCGCAGGAACTTTCTTACCATCTGCTTTTTTCTTTGTGTCGGCCGGTGGATCAGGAGGTTTTGCTGGGGCTGCATCTGCCGCCGGGGGAGCATCCTCCTTTGGCTTTTCAGGAATAGGCCACATGTGCATGGTGATCGCCCAGTCAGGCTCAACCACAGTCTCCCATACCTGTGGAAGGATGATGTCGCCATTGGGACCGACAAGATCATAATGACCTTCAGCCACATGAGGTCCAATGACATCAATATGGACGAAAGCCTGCCGGATAAGTTCTTCCATTCCCTATGACCGAAAGTTAACATGAATTCGTTCATAGAGAGAGGGAGGATGTGAACGTACCTGCCATGTTGCACAGAGCTCGAATGGGAAGCTGAATTTTCTACCGATCGCGTCTTTAAACTTGATGGGCGGCTTCTTCTCTGGAGGCGGCGGCGGTGGCGGTGGTTCGGCAGCTTTGGCAGCCGCTTCTTTGGCAGCCGCTGTGGCAGCAGCGGCAGCATCGGCAGCTGCAGCGGCGGCCGCTTTTTCTGCCTCCTCTTTCGCCTTTGCGGCATCCTCTGCGGCCTTTTTCTCCGCGTCAGCTCGAGCGAGAGCTGCAGCTTCCAGCGTAATCTTCCTATCGTGCGCTATCTGTGCTTCCTGGGCTGCCTTTTCGGCCGCGGCGCGTTCAATTGCCTGCTTCTGGGCGAGCTCCTTTGCTTCGCGCTCTTGCTCTTTCGCTTCGCGCGCTAGTCGATCATCCAGAATCAATTTCTCCAGCCTCGCAATCTGCTCATCTTTGGCCGCGTCGACCGGAGGCACGGGCGGAGGCGCGGGAGCTGGAGCGGGAGCAGGAGCAGGGGAAGGTTCGGGGACAGGTGTCGAGGCCGGAGGGGATTTAGGTTCCGGTTGCGATGGAGGAGAAGGCACCGGGGGATACGCGGGGGGCCAATAATGAGGAGGCATCATGCCCGGGATTGGTGCTCCGAAATAGTTAGGTTGATCTCGATAGTAAGCAGCCGGGGCGTATGGCATCAACTCATGTGGGTATCCAGTGTAAGGCGGGTGGGAAGCGTGAGGACCCATCGCATGCGGTATGGGTGGCTGCATCGGATTATGCAGCTGGGGTGGTGGCTGGCGAGGCGCATGTCGCGAGTGTAATTGGGCCTGATCAGGGAGAAAGTGTGACCCGTGTGGTGGAAATTGGGGTGGATATGCATAAGGTGGCACCCCATAATGGTTCGGCGGTCCTGAGTTATGAGAAACTCTCATGAGCTCCGAGGTGACCGGGAGAGGATTGTGGTGGGCATATGGGGCATGGCCATGGCCTGGGACGGGAGGATAGGGAGCGTAAGTAGGACCAGATGACTGGCTGGGTGCGTATCCAGGGGCGGGTGGCACAGGAGGTTGTTGCCATTGCCTCCGATCATTCTGGCGACCAAAGGCGGGAGGATACTCGTCGCCCGAATCACTGTCGGGAGAGTCTGGTGATTGTTGTCTTCGGCCTCGAGGGGCGTACGACGGATGTTCTGGAATCATGCGTCGCGGGTTTGGGCGACGGCCCGAAGCGGATCGTGAACCGTGGGGCGGACGACTGTGGTGCGAAGTGTTTGGTCGAGAGGCTGAATCTGACGGTTTCAATTCATCCGGATATGGCAAATGCGCCCAATCATCGTAGTCCTGGTACTCATGACTTTCTAGCTCGGAAGGCGCAGAAATATGTACACCAGACGAATCTTCGTCGGAGAAAGAATCCGAACCGTGGGGGTCTGAACCAATCGAGATACTGAGCCTGCTAGATAGGAGAATATGAGGATGAGAAAATGAGGTTTAAAGAAGAAAGAGTTTAAGAAAAGGAAAGAAAAGAGCTAAACATACGACATAGAGACAATGAGTAGACTCGGGGAATATCAAGGAAAGCAATTCCTCTCTCTCTCTGTCGCATGCGCGAAGTGAGGAGGGAATCAAGAAGGTTTGACCAATAACCCGGTTGGTGGGGGTAAAGTTGTGAAGAGAAGAGAAGTCGAAATAAAAAAATGATTTGACGCGGGGGTTAGCGCATTGACTTTATTTTCGTGCTCGGGAGAGAGGGGGATTTGATCTCGATAGAGGAAAGAAGAAGAATGACACAGATACCCCTTGCTCTGGTACCAGGGATACAAAAAGTATATTCACATATGACTACGGAGTACGTAGTAAAGAGTACAGTTTTAGCAATTAGGGGTACCATGTATATCGAAAGAAAACAAGTAGGAAAGAACCTCAAAAAGAAGGAGAAGCTCTTATTTAGTGTTCAACTATGACTCTTTCTTGGGCCCGTTGGGCAGTTGTTTTTGGTTTTTTTTTCTTTCATTATCTTTTGTGTGTAAACTGGCTTTTTCTTGTCGGTTCTTGACACATCTGCTGCCCAAATGCCCAATATCAACTTTCTAAACCATTAGCTCTGAGCATATGGAACACTCTAGAATCTCATTCTTCATTGTATTACTGCACGGGGTATTCTCAATCGCAAATCAGGGGACTAATTTGAGCCTCAAAAGAAAAGTATTTCACTTGAAGCGATTCAGCAACTCTTTGGCCGCAATCAGCTCGCTTCGACTGGATGCCCAATGCTGGTCATCGACTGACCGTGACTCAACAATATCGCCCAACCTTTGTAGCGCAAAGGCCTTCAAACGTTCTAGGGTCTTCTTGGAAGGAGTTTGACCTGATACGCCTGCATAATCATTGTCAAGCACCCGAGTCGATGCCTAGGATACCTGGATTAGTATGGAAAAGAATGGTCAATAGTTCTTGACTTACCAGAATCAACCCGTAGAATCCTCGCAAATAGTCATCACAAAGCTCAATACTGCGACTAAAGTGCTGCACCGATCTCCCAAGAAGCCGGGATGTGTCCCCCTCCGAGGCACAGATGTATAACAATTCACCGAGACGCGAATGTATCTTTAGTGTGCAGGAAAGATTAGTGTTTATCCCCATAAGATCAGGACAAGGTTCATTGTGCGTACATTCCATGAGTTAGGAGCAATGAGTAAAGCCTCCTCAAGGCTAAAGATGGCCTGGGAACCCAGCCCCTGTGATTGATACAAGTCCGCTAGTTCACACCAGGCTTCAGCATCGGTAGGAATGGCATCGAGAAGTTGAATAAGGGCCGAAATTGCATCCGACGGCCGGTCAAGTGAGCGCAGCAACGCTATCCGGCGCTTGAGAATGGGCTGTGTCATAGGGTCAGTCTTGCCGTGCCTTCTAGGACCTGTAACTAATACTGACCACATTCACGGGGCTCTGTGACAGGGTATTATCGTATTCCTGCAGGCATTTCTCTAGTGCAGAGTGATCCTTGGCAGTTGCCTCCTCGTACAGCCCTCGAAGTCCCATGATCCTTTCATTAGAAGGCCCAAACCGGAGGCTGAGGCGATTTAGGCAGTTTTGTGCTGACTGGTCATCCCCTGTCCGAAGACATGCCAACATAAGCTGCTCTACTCGTACGTAGTAGTCTGCAGTCTTTGTGGAATTGGATGAGGTAGCCCCAGACCCAGATTCTTGACCAAGAATGGCTGGTGCTTGCTGAGCAAGATGAAGCGCAGAGATCAGATCAGATCCGTTGATCTCCCGAACATCGACGGGACCAGCCATGATAGACTGTCAATGAGAATAGTAGCGCCTAGAAGGAGCGATTATTTGAGGGTATATTGATAGCAGTGGTGTCCAATCAGCATATAGGGAAGGTGGTTGAGAGGACAGAATAGTACACCGGAGCTTTGGAACTAGCCACAGTCCCGTGATCCTTATCGGGCGGGCCGAACTTCCAACTCTCCACCCCGCGGAGCTCGGATTGCTTGCAATCGTGTCACTCAAATCTCTTGAATTACTGCGTATGGCTGATTTGCCAGTTCTTTTTACCATCATGAACCTCTACCAGTCTCACTAGGCTACTTTAGTACTATTTTCCCCTTCATCTATACGCGCTCGTGACGACAGATAGCCGACACAATGTGGGCACCCCATGTTTCTGCCCCGGAACGACCAACACTAACTGCCAATAGGTTCGAAAAATCTCTTTATGACCTTATCAAAGGCCTCCGGCTTCATAAGGGAGGCGAAAATGAGTACATCCAAAGTTGCTTGCGTGAATGCAAGGCCGAAATCAAAACGCAAGACATGGGTACTATCAAATGCTCCCCCGACATTGGCTTGTTACTGATCCTCCCCAATCAGACAAAAAGGCCACAGCTCTCCTAAAGCTCATTTATCTTGAAATGTTTGGATACGATATGTCCTGGGCATCTTTTCACGTTCTCGAAGTCATGTCCTCGGCCAAATACCTTCAGAAACGAGTCGGGTATCTTGGAGCGGTCCAGAGCTTTCGACCAGATACCGAAGTCCTGATGCTAGCGACCAACCTACTGAAAAAGGTATGTGACCTACATATCCCTAAATGCATCTTCTATGGGTTTCAAGCCGTTAATGACTGTGTAGGACATTGTAACCTCCAGCATTCCGAATATGTCCCTTCCGTTAATTACCTTGCCGCACATCATTACACCTGCTCTGGCAATGTCCTTGCTACCTGATATACTGTCCCGGCTTTCACATTCGAGCCCTGTGGTGCGCAAAAAAACGATAGTCTGCCTTTATAGGCTCGCTTTGGTGTACCCCGAAGCTCTCAAGTTAGCATGGCCCAAGATCAAAGACCATCTCATGGACGACCAAGAAGATGTCAGTGTTACTACTGCGGCTATCAACGTCGTTTGTGAGCTTGGTTGGCGACGACCTCATGACTTTCTTCCTCTGGCACCCCGGTTCTTCGAGCTCCTTGTTGATAGCGGCAACAATTGGATGGCCATCAAAATCATCAAACTTGTGAGTCAGTCGCGAATCAGTTTTCTGAAGTTTTGCTGACTGTCATAGTTTGCAACATTAACCCCTATAGAGCCAAGGCTGACACGCAAACTCCTGCGTCCATTGACGAATATCATCCAAACCACCTCTGCAATGTCCTTGCTTTATGAATGTATTAATGGGATCATTCAAGGAGGAATTCTGGATGGGGAAGATAATCTTCAGGAAAGGGACGAAGTTGCCACTCTTTGCGTTGGAAAATTGCGGGGAATGATAGTCTTGGATAGTGATCCGAACCGTGAGTTTCCCTCTCGCTGCGTCTGAGACTGCGTCTCTAAACATCCCCAGTCAAGTATGTTGCGCTTCTTGCGTTGAACCGCATTGTCGCTACACACCCGTCATTGGTTTCCATGCAGCAAGACGTTATTATGGATTGCCTGGATGATGCGGATGTTTCGATTCGATTGCAGGCTTTAGAGCTTGCCGTTGGAATGGTCAGCAGCGATTCCCTACAGCCTGTGGTGAATCGTTTGATAGATCAATTGCGGCAAGCCTCGGTGCCTGCAGCAGAATTGATCGATACATCTAAAGCCTCTGAGAATCCCGAGGCCCTGAGTATATGGCCCGATGACTACAAGACCGAAGTTGTCCACAAGATCTTGGATCTCTGTTCCCAAAAGAACTATTCTGAGATCTTGGACTTTGACTGGTATGTTGCCGTGTTAGTGCAGCTAGTCGGACTTCTGCCGCCATCCGAGTACAAAGAAGATAGCGGCCATTACAAGGAACAAGAGGCTATGCCCCACTTGAGGATGAACGCTGCGCTCCGAATAGGTACAGAGATTCGGAATGTTGCTGTAAGGGTAAAAGGGGTCCGCTTGGAGGCCACAAGAGCCGCCGAATCACTCGTGCTTATCGACAACCGATCTCATCTCTTTCCTCCCGGTTCAACAGTCGGCGATGGGGTTCTGGGCCCAGTTGCCTGGGTTGTTGGTGAATATGCAGAATATTTGCTATCGCCTGACCGGACACTACTCTCACTGATCGACATGTCGAATGCATCGTTCCCCTCGAGAACGCTATCCCTCTTTTTGCAAGCCATACCGAAGGTTTTTGTTCGGGTTAGCCAGACCAACGATCCAGGGGATTCCTGGAAGAGCGAGATGTCACTTTTGCTTGCTCGTGTCGTTGAGTTCCTCGAAGCTCTGGCGGCACATCCTGATTTAGATGTTCAGGAGCGCGCCATTGAGTTTCTAGAAGCTCTCCGTCTAGCAGCCGAGGCATTGGACTCCAAAACGCCAGAGATCCCGTTTCTTCTTGCGTCTGTCATACCAAACTTATTTGCGGGCCTCGAGCTAAACCCAGTTGCAAGCAATGCCCAGAGGAAGGTTGTATTGCCAGATAGCCTTCGCTTAGACGAGGCATTCAGGCGTGATCTCCCAGCTCTTTTCTACGACCTGGATAGCTCCTCATCACACGAATCAGAGTCTTGGCAGGTTTCAGACTTCTATCATGTCCCTGGGCTCTCCTCTTCAAACAAACAGGCTCGTGAAATGCTACCGGCTGATGTACAGCCCTACATGTCGTACCAGAACGCTACCGGTGCTCTGGTGGACTCTTCCACTGGAATTCAAAGAAGAATGCTCGAGCGCAAGGAACGCTTCAAAGACGATCCTTTCTATATCGCTTCTTCCGGGGCGTCATCTTGCACGTCTACGCCTATACATGATGCTCTCCGCACAGCCAATGGCGAGGACTTGGATATCGACTCTATTCCCATCGTTGATCTGAAGCTGGGAGACGAAAATCCTAGGAATGTCGACAGTGATCGTCAGAGAACTCATCGACTACCTCGCAGCAAATTGGTAGTTGCTGGCGATGAGACCTTTGAGACCCTAGACTATTTGCCTGATACCTCTATGCCCAAGGGTGCTGATGATGACCGCCCAATCACTAAGCGCTCTTTGCTTCAAGTCGACTCGAGCAGCCTAGGAACCTCGCCCCTGGCAAAAGCCCCATACCCCCATGTTATCCCAGATGAAGGGGAGATGGAGATGGCTCAAGCGATGCAACAAATTGAAGAGGCACGGTTGCAAATGCAACGAGCATCGGAGCGAATTCAACTAGAAGGCATTCCGGCAGAAGGAACCCTAGTCAAAAGGAAGAAGAAAAAGTCTAAAAAGCATATTGATGCGGCCGCCCAAGGAGTCAGCCCAGTGGATAATGACGACACAGAGCCTACCGAGGGGAAGAAGAAGAGAAAGAAGAAGACCAAGGAACCAGTATAGCCATCAGATGAGACTTGAATATCATCTGAGACACTTGCCGAAGCAAGTAATATCCCAGTGTGTCGTATTTGAGATCGTCAGTGATAGAGGTACAATTGAGTGAAAGATACATATTTCAGTGAAGAAGAAAGAAGTTCCGTGACACGCGAACCATCTGAGTTATGATTCTCATTCGGCTGAGTACCCTTGCTCCATCCTGTTCCCCGGTTAATTGACCAACATGAATGGAAATCAGGCAGAGTATGAGGGGGAATCATGCAGAACTCGACATATAGCAGGTGATTGTAGGCTAGGGTATTGCTGTAGTAGGGAAATCATCACTTAGGACCCATTTCATCCCATGAGTCTGGTGACCCATGAGGACACAGTGGACCAGAGCTCAGGGACAATCCGTAGGAGTTCTAGGAGAAGACCACCGCAAACAACAAAGGCGAGGAGTACTGTGGGGAACGTCAGTATTTGCTTTCGCGAACAGTAGCTCATAAACATACCAACCCAGCTCGTTGAAAGGGGCGACTTCGTGGTCTTCTTCGGTTTGACCGTGATAGGCGCCTTTCCTCTTTTCGCGGCCTCGGTCTTCGCGAATCGGTCGTTTGCTCGACGTTGCTGTGGGGTTTGTGCCTAACATGTGTTAACCTTCATCCATTACAGCCTTCAGCCCTTGTACTTGCCATGGTGAGATGTGAAGGTGATAGATAAGGGGGAGACAGATGGATGGGAGGGAATGTTTCAAGAAATGTGCCGGCAAAAAAAAGGCCACGTTGTTTATTGACGAAACAATGACTAGTTGTGCATGGACATTTGAGTGGACAAAAGGAACCCCCTGGACTCATATACCTACTGAATCGGTGTGCAAACTGCCTATGCATTAGGAATCTTGAAAGCGCAAATTTACTTATTCTTCTATGTCTCCATGTCATCCATTCTTAACCCTCATTTGGACTGGATGTAGTATAGACGCTATGGAGAGGAGAGCTTATTACGATTTTTGGAATTATTTCAGACCGGGGCATAGTGTACTGTGTACTTGAGCTCCCACAAGCCACCTCTGAATGATCCCTTGATATACTATGTATGACATCCTATGTTTGAGGCTGGATTGATATAGAGTCAGTAGTTTGAAAGGCGGCGTCAGCGGTCGGAGAATAAGGCGGTCAACATGTGAATCCATTTTTATGACATCAGCGTGCTTAGTCAATTTTATCTCGGGCCCCGGACTCCGGATCCACCCTGTAGAGCAGAGTGGACCCTCACATTACACAGTACTACAGACTTGATAGGATCATAGGAACCCCAGAGGATATCACAACCTTAAAAAAAAGGTATAGAAACGAATGAGACGGGTTTATGTCGAGGTCATTTCATGGAATAAAGTAGCGGCCAGATGCTGTGATATAGCTACTCTGAAGGGTATCCAGTATCCAACCATCCGGGTTTCAAGACAGAGATTAAATTGGGATATGAACCAATGAGGCGTTATTATTGAAGAAGTGGCTTCCAATCAATATGCTCTCTGGCCGAGTCGCTGAGGAGATCTGTAGAGTCCACGCCAGCAGCCACGCCACTCCCTGGACTACCCTGTCTTGACATGTGTTGACCACTGGGGGTTATGGTCCCACCATTCGTTTGGGAACTTAGCGCTAGCGGCTTACGAGGCACAGCCGGTGGTACTCTCCCAAGGTCGACTGCCTGTGATGGCTCGGATGCCGTTGGTGATTCAAAAGCCCCATTCCGCGGGGGTAGCATGGGCTTCCCCACGACCGGAACAGGATCTGCTTTCTTATCCTCCGCCGAACTCGGGCTTGCTACCCAGTCGGTGTCTGCGAGGAATGGATTGGACTTGCGCTGGGTATTTGCAATGAGCCCTTCCTTTGGCGGTTGAACCGTTGCTTTCACCGATGCGCCTGTCATGCGTTAGCGAGCTCGCCATGCCAAGGGCTAAACACTTACCATTGTCCAACCACCATCGGCTTCTATCGGAGCTGGCCGGTGGTAGACCAGGTGCAATCGAGAACTGCGGAGGAATCTCGTCGTCATCCAGATCCAACAGAGATGTAGAGTCTGCAAGGGAAGTTTGGCCATGGCCCTGCTTTTCCGCGTATATTGACCGTCTAAGCGCCTCTTTTAGTGCGTGATCGACAATGTCGATAATACAATCAAATGTAGCCCAGACTGGACGGTGATCAGATACTCTCAACTCTGCAGTCTGATAGTTTGTCTGGCGCAAATTGGCCCCTCTCCATAGGACTCGGTCGCACCATGCAGGGATTCGCGCTTTCTCGCTGCCATGTGTCAGACATCTCCAGATTGAATATATCATAAGAGACTTACGATGTGTCATAATTGTCTCTTCCGACGTCGTATTTGTAAGTGGGTGGAAAGTTGATCGGCCCTTCTGAATAGAACTGGAATACTCTGCCTGCTACCATTTGTAGATTCAACTGTGACTGTTAGGCCAGTCTCAGTACCAGAAAGGAATCCGACTCACTTGGTCATTGTCATATAGTCTTTGATAGTCCTGCTGCAGGATAAGCTCTCTTGCGCTCGAGTTGCTTAGTCCGATACGGTAGTTGAAATCCCCCAGCCAGATCACTGCATCATGGTCAGCGATTGACCGGTTCTTCTGAAACCGCAGCCCTCGATCAATGATCTCGTAATCTCTGTTTCTTTCGTCATAATTCGCAAACCCGGCTGCAAGATGGGCGGTAACGAAGCAGACACTCGTATTGGAAAAGTCGAAGCGAATAGCACAGCCGCCCTTATTGCCAGCAATGCCAGACAAGCCCGTCTGTATACCTCAGTCAGAGCGACCCTAACCATGGGGACTTTGAGATATCTTACCTTCTTGACGCTGCCTTCGACATTCTTGATATATTTCAACGCGTCAACTTTCACGTAAAGCAAAATAGCAGCGCCGACTAGCTGGCCACTTCTCAGGTGCACATATCCCCCAGTCCCTCTCATTCTCGAATGTGCGTTCAAACAATCGTAAACTGCCCTTTCCCAGACTTTGCGGGTACTGGGATCGGTGGACATGATTTGCTGAGGACTCAGGGCGACAATTTCCTGAAATCCTACGACGAAAATCGCGGGATCTTCATAGGACTCATCTGACTTTGGGAACAGCCACGGTGTGAGATCTGTGCCTGGGCCCTCATTACGTCCATTCACATTGAAGGTACCGACCCAAAATCGGACTTGTTCGCGCGACGAGTATTCCAGAGCGCGGCGGTTCAGCTCCTCCCCGACCAGATCATTGATCGGGTCATAAAGATACACAGGCACTTGATTTGCTAGTCTACCCAAGAGCAGATCAATCGTCCTTTGTCGAGCCTTGTCCGTGAAATTGTTGACGTAAAGCCTAGTGGCACTCTTTCGGGCATCTGCAAGCGCTCCTGCAAGTGACATCTTTCCGTGTCGTGTAAAAGAGGATTTGAGAGCTCCTGTCCCGGCATAAATTTTTGAGAGAGCATCGCCATTGTCGGCCCAGATGGTCGAGTGCCGAACCTGCAAGTCTGAGCTGAGCCTGCCACCTTGCTGTGATAGGAATGACTCAAACGCCATCGAACTAATAATGGTCTGGACGAGGTTTGTTCTGTCAAGGCAATCCAGACAATTGGTGCGAAAGACACCCTCTTGCTGCAAAATGACGGAAGAGCCGTTCACCGCGTCGTCTCTGTCATCGAGGCTGCTTTTAGGACGACTCGAATCTTCGGACAAAAAGTAAGAAAATCCGTCCAACGAATTGATAAGCTCGTGTTTAATCTGAGAGCTCGCTTCATATCCCGAAGGGCCTCGCGTCTCAGCGAGGAAATCATATTCAGTCATTCTCAACAGGCTACGGCGCGGTGAAGTTCCTGTACCCTCTTTTTGTCTAGTCGAGCTTCTGCTGATATGCTGACGAAACTTGGCCGACAACTCAGCTTCCCCGGGCTTCAGTTCGGTCAGCAGATTGACGACATGTACGGCGCCATATTCAAGCTCCAGCGATTCAAAGTGTTGATTGAATGCGTGCTGTGTTGCCTCGCTCGATCGCGTGACCTCGATCTTTTGTTGTCCCGGAATGAGACCTGGGGCCTGTTCCCAGAAAATGGGCACTGAGCCTCGGACCTGAACATACGAGAACACAATTCCCGGTGCAACCCACAATATAGTCTCGGTTTCCACGAAATTGGCGACGTGCCCATCGTCATCGATACCTCTGGAGTTGAATCTCGTGCCAGCACGCCGAGACGATTGTCGAGATATTACCGTCAACATGGAGGGTAGATTTGTTCGCACGTGAGGGAGAATTGGGACAGTGGCTGGAATTTTGAGCGTACTGGCAAAACCTCGAATCACACAGGTTAACATCTGAGACGCATCTAGTTTGGCTCTGTCGGCTGGCGGTAAGTGGCTTCGGAAGAGGAGAAGCGGGCTTATCATGTAAGAATTCCAAAGCATGTCTTCGTCAAGGCTGTCGATGTCGAATGCGGCAGATTTGTCGGCCCTTGAGCATGGTTAGGGCATAAACACGAGGCAGCGAATTGACAAGAGCAAGGTACTGTTAACTTACCGGTCCTGCAAGCGATCTGTGAGATTGAAATCGAGACTGTAGTAGAAACTTCCATCTCCAAGCAGCTTCTTCAGAGCCAGAAAAGGGTGGTCGGTTACCACGTCCTTCCCATCCGTGCCAAGTCGCTCCTCGGCGGCGAATTGAGAACCGCCCTCATAGTCAAGGCCGTACTCATATTCTGAGCTATTGAGACAATCTGAATTTGTGAGTGACGATTCGACCACAGAGATGCATAGGAAACATACAGAAGCCTACATTGTCAATCTTGGACACGGTTTCTCCAGGCTTCACAGTGGCAGCTTGCGAGGAGCTTGTGACGACGCAGACAAATACATCTTCGTTGAGAGTAACAAGGCCAAGGGTGCCGTGTCCATATCCCAATGGCCTGTAGTCTTCCAGATCCACAGACTCCGAGTCTGTGAACTCAAGTTGACAGCGGCGGCTCCCCTTCGCAGCGGTATCGGTTGATGTGTGATGAAACACTAGAGCTTGGTCCGAGGAGACCAGCGCAATCGTACGCTGGGGCTGATCTCGACAGAGAACGCGAATATTCGGCATGATGCGCGAGAGATATCAATGTGCGGGAAGAAGCAGTGGCATAGCTTACTGCCACATCAATACTTTTTATCCTACTTCGGTGATTTATATACCGCAGGAGAGAACCCTTCTGCCCCAAGAGTCTGAAAATACCATGGAAAAATTACCCTCGAGCCCCCAATATCTGCAATGGAAATTCCTCCAAGTTCAAAAAGAAGAATATTATTGGGCTGAGATTGTTGGTCGTCGAGTCTGCGACGTCGGTTACCTCAGTCCCCTCAACTACCTAGTCCCCTGCGAAAGGCGGTGCATGGCCAAATACACCGCCTGCTGCTTCCAGCCATAATGACTCAGCATTTCCAGGGACTTTGATCGGGAAGCAATCTGATTAGGTTTAGCGCACCAAAAATACGGCAGAATATTTGGATCATGTGATAAGGTCTGAGGGCCTTATCGATTGCTTACTCATCTTGATCCTACCCGCGGGAACTGATCGACTTTTTTTTTGGACTTTTTTTTTGGACTTTTTTTTTGAGATCTTTCTGACATTCAACTCCAATATAGATCTCTTGATCCAAGATTTATTAATTATGGGCTTGGCAGGGCCACGCAGGTATGCAATTTGTCAGACTTTTCTTGAACTGTCCCCTAATCCCTGACTAGGAGCACCAAAATCGGCAATGATCCCAACAATACCAACTGGACCCGGTCCACAACTGGGTTCGGGCATCGGATCATGAGCTCTCAAGGCTGGACCCCCGGAAGTCTCCTGGGTGCAAAAGATGCCGCGCACGCCAACATGTTAACCGCCGCCAGTGCTTCTCACATCAAAGTCACACTCAAGGACGACACTCTTGGGTTGGGTGCTCGCATTGGGCGAGAGATGGAACCGACTGGGCTCGATGCCTTCAAAGGGTTACTTGGGCGACTCAACGGCAAAAGCGAAGTGGAATTAAAGAAGGACGAACAAAAGCGCGACAATGTCCGATTAGCTCGGTATGCTGCTCTAAAATTCCCGGAAGTCAGGTTCGTCAGTGGTGGACTTCTGGCGCAGGAAAAAGAGTCCGAAATCCCCGAACCAGCCCCCAGGGATACGGTTCCCGAGAAATCCAAATCGGACAAGGAAAAGCGTACAAAAACCACTGAGGATGCCGAGACCTCAAGCGAATCGGATGTCCCAGCCCGCAAATCCAAATCCAAGTCGAAATCCAAGTCCAAGTCCAAAAAGTCGCGTTCCCGAGACGATACGGATGGGAATGACTCGAGCTCGGAATCGAAGAAGAAAAAGAAGTCCAAGAAGAGAAAGGCCGATTCTTCAGACAAGACACCTGAACCAGGAGTGAAGGCAGCAGCAACAATATCCAGGGAGCGGCGGCCTATGGGACGAAATGTCACTCGGTCACGCCATATTGCCCAGAAGAAAAGAGCTATCATGGACGACAAGTCTCTCAACGAGGTAAGCTGTGCGGTGACTACTTCTTGTATTTACCTGCTAACATGGTTCCAGATCTTCATGATCAAAGCATAGAGTTTCGCAAACCTGCATCTGAAGCGCATTGGACATAAAATGTTGGAGTTATTCGGTGTTTTGCAACTTTCATGATTTCCCCCTATTCAATAAACCAATCAAATCCCACATTGAACATGGTAGATACTGCGTACTATCGTTTCGCAGTTGGTACACTGTGTATATTGTATAATTAATAAACCTAATCTATGTATAGGTACCAAGTACCTTACACATGGTTGTGATCATATCAAGAACAGGGCTCCAGCCAGGGCTAGATTACTAAGCTAGGGCGTTCGTCCGACCTCGGGATGCTGGTGCCTTCGCGCAAGGTATCCACAATCAACGTCATATCTTCACCTCATTGACGATTTATCGTATGCCCCTAATAGTCAATTGTTCGCCATTACGGGAACGCAAATACCCCGACTGACATCCTGAGACCCAACAGGTTGCGCCGAATACTCCATAAGCAGCTTTTCTAGGTGGCCCGCAGCTCCGACTATCTCTGGCAACTTTCAAGGGCCGAGCATTTCTCGCCCTGTACAGCAACTGGGCTGAGCCAGGGAGCCGTACAGAATTGTGCTTGACTGCAGAGCGAGCGTCCTACTACAACAATGAATGGTGAGGCCCGCTCAACTGGTCGTTCCTCGGGACCTAGCTCTCAGCCGAGTCGTGGAAGGAAACGGCAAGTCATATACCCAACATAGCTTCTAGTCGCCCGTAACTGACAGGAACTAGAGTCCACTGGGCGCCATTGAATATTGGCCTTCAACGACGTCTCCAAACGTTTGTGGTACTATGTCACACTCTGACCATCGCGATCTTTCTGACCAGTTTCTTCTTCACCTGTGCCATTCCGTTATTCTGGCCCCTTCTGGTTCCATATCTTGTCTACATCTCTCTTTTTTCCACCGCAGCTACGTCGGGGGACCTGAAGGGCCGTAGCCCATTCCTGCGCTCGCTGCCTATCTGGAAAGTGTACGCCTCTTACTTTCCTGCTCGTCTTCACCGCGAGGAGTCGCTTCCACCGACGAAGAAATACATCTTTGGCTATCACCCACATGGGATCATCTCCCATGGTGCATTTGCCGCGTTTGGGACAGAGGCCTTGGGCTTCTCCAAGCTCTTTCCGGGAATCACCAACACCCTCTTAACACTCGACGCGAACTTCCGCATTCCTTTCTATCGAGAATACGCACTTGCTATGGGACTCGCCAGTGTTTCTCGGGAATCCTGTGAGAACATTCTCACGAAAGGGGGTGCAGATAACGAGGGCATGGGACGCGCAATAACGATCGTTGTCGGGGGTGCTCGTGAATCCCTCAATGCCCGGCCTAATTCTGTGCGGCTGGTGTTGAAAAGACGCAAAGGGTTTGTCAAGCTCGCTATTCGAACCGGGGCCGATCTGGTGCCTGTCCTAGCATTTGGTGAAAATGACCTATACGATCAAGTAGACTCGAATCAGCACCCGATCATCCATAAGATCCAGATGCTTGTGAAGCGGACTTTAGGATTCACTATACCGCTGTTTCATGCACGCGGAGTTTTCAACTACGATGTTGGACTGATGCCATACCGCAATCCTCTGAATATTGTGGTCGGACGACCAATTCCGGTCATGCAGCAACCGAACCGCGACAAGATAAATGATCAGTACATCGATGAACTGCATTCTCGATATGTGGAGGAGCTGATACGCCTCTGGGATCAGTGGAAAGACGTTTATGCCAAGGACAGGGAAGGCGAGTTGGAGATCATCTCTTGATCAGGCATACTCTTTGTACAAAATTTCCCCACAGACTCAACATGTGGAGAGTTTAGGCGCATATTGTACAGCATAGTTGATTATATGTAACTTCAGAGGAGAATGATACCTGGCAGATACTGAGATCTTCTTTTTCGGTCTCGTACTCCATGCCGCTTTTGCTCACTCAGTCACTGAACATACCCGAGGTTTAGTTAAACAGGCACATACTTGAACAATAGAATCACACACTCGATCTCGAGACGTCGTTTGAAAATTAGATACACACGCAAGAAAGAAAACCTATCAATTGGGTATCAGAGCAAATAACAAGGAAACATTTTCCGCAGAAGCACAGGAAACAAGAAATTGCATCGAAAATTTCCATCATCCCCGGAAAGATGAGCGAAGGTCTGGATCCCACGGGGGAGCGCTGGGATTTAAGGCCGGCACTTCCGCCGATGAGGACACTCGTCGGCTTTCAGTAGCGAGGCTTTTGTCCTTAGCCAGGTGCCCGCTTTCTGCACGGCTCTGGATCATTTCCTCCAGCATCCGTGAGACTTCGTCCATGTTTTTCCCTTCGTCCACCTTTTCACTTCTACCGGACAAGGGACGCCTGCCGGGACTCTCAGATTGCGCAACAGAGCCATCGGTCCCAGCCAGATTGTCTGCATCCCCAGCGGCGGAGCCACTTTTGGGTTTCAGGTCTGAGGATTGGGAGTCACCGGTCACAGTAGCCAAATCTCGATGCCGGGCTGCAGATCGGAGAGCAGCAAGCATGCGATCCTTGTCATCGAGCTGCAACCGGAGCTCATTGATCTCCATATCCTTCTCACGGACCAAAGCAGAGAGATCTGGATGTTCGGCAATCGTCGTATTCGTCGGCTTAACGCCGACTGACATCCGTGAATGACTGGATCGTCTTGCCTGGAGCAACCGGCGCTCCAGGGTGGAGATGTATCGATTTTTGTCCCCGAGGTCAGCTTGCAAGGCAGTAACCTGTCGTTGCAAACTAGCTCTGCCATCGCCGAACTCCCCGAGATCATCCTCAGAGTCGTTTCCAAATGGCCCTCCCGGATATGGCATGACCGACGGATCGTTGCTATTGACCGACATGAACGAGATGGGTCGTATCGATGAATGGCCGGCACCCAGTGTAGATTGGCTGGCGGAAGAACGTAGGGATCGCGTCCCGGAATCTGTGGTAGACATCCGAGAAAGACGCCCAAACGCAGATAGGCTGTTATGAGTGTTCACCCCAGTGGACTTGGAACTCAAGATCAGGCGGTTGAGATGCTCGATACGCTCTTTAAGCGCGGTCCGGGCCAACTGCATCTCCAATACTTGTTCTTCATGTCGGACCTGGGCTTCCTTTTCATATTGCTGTTCATCCCATTTGAGTTCCTTCTCTGCTTGGGATTTGGCCTGAGAATCCAGCTGACCGCGGAGAGCCTGGATTTCCATGCGATACCGTTCGAGCAGTACCCGGCTCCCCGAATCACCGCCACCGCTGCCGTATGCCTCCTCGGCCTTTTTGGCATGACTGACAATATTATTCTTCGCCCGAGCAGCAAATTTCATGGTGTTCAAAGTTTCACCGGTGTGCGAGTTGATCCCGCTGGTGAGTTGAATGGTGCACAGAATACTGACCAGCGAGCCACCGGACAGAGCTGGCTGTAGGAGTCTAGTCAACTTGCTATCCCGGTAAGGCAGATGCCTCCCATCGCGGTCTGTGGGATTGCCTTGTTTGTCCTTATTCTCCGAGAGTCGGGAGATAATGGTGCCCAGAGTGAGGAGACTCTTGTTGATATGGGCACCCTCTGTCCGTCGTTCCTTGTCGTCAGCGGCACGCTCGGAGCCAGCTAAATCGATCAAACTCAGGGTTGACACCCGCACACCCCCGGGGCGATCCCGGCGCGCTTATCTTGAGAGTTGCGCGAGGGCACTCGCTCTCGACTCTCCACCACGATCTGAACCACCGCGTGACTTCGAGAGCTGCGCGCATTGAATTGTGTACTACTCGTGCGTCGTGCATGGTCACCGCGGGCAATGACACGCAGGAGCTGTGTCGGGCTTTGCACAATCTCTTCCTTGAGCGGCGTTGCATATACTCCTCGTTTGCTATCCTCTCGCAGCTTGATTTCTTCCTGGGTCCCCCCAGGGCCGTTGGCAGCAGAAGCGGAAAGCAGATCGTTAATCTTCTCATTATAGATTTCCAGATAGCTGACCCGCAGCAAGAACTCCCGATGCGGGGTCTCTCTGATGAAAGAGAAGATGTCGGTGATTGCGAGCGGTATTACACCCGGAGACGTCGCTGTGCCTTGCATCGAGAACGTCTTTCCAGTCCCCGTCATACCATATGCAAAGACCGTTCCGTGATAGCCCTCCATGACACGCCGGACAAGGCGTTTAGCTGCTGAATCGTAGACCTTGGCGTTATTTTCTTGTGGACTGAAGACATTGTCTGATGGAGAGTTAGTTGGGACCATTGGTAAGGAGCCGAGTGAGATGTTTGGATCATGTCTTACCATAAAAATAATCGCCCGCTTCTTTCCCGCGGTAGGAGATGAGGCTTTTGCGGCTATCGACAGACCATTCGCCATGATTTCTGGGGGTCTCTCCCCCAGTGTTATTGTCGGGACGAACACGGACACTGACAAGCACGTTGCCCTTGATCTCTTTTGGCTTGGAGCCCGTTTTACCTGTCCCATCATCCGCATCCTCAAATGTCGTCGCACTCGTTGAGCAAGATCCTTGGGCGGAGGAACTTCTGCTGTGGGGAGGAGATGCCTCTGGATCTCGTGCATCCGTACTTGATATGAACTTGCCCTCTCCTCCCCCACTGAGCAACGACGGGGTTTTCGAGCTTCGATAGCTGCTCGTGGTTCCTGTGCTCAGACGCGAGCTTCTCTGGGGTCGCACACTGACAGTAGCACCTTGGATTCCCGATATCGAGGATGCAGTGGAGGGACGGCTGCTGGCTTTTGGTGGTTGAGGGAACGAGGCAATGCTGATGGTCCGGCGCAAAGACTTATCCGGGCTACTCGGACTGCGCCCAATGGAAGCTGACCGGGCCGCGTGCAGGTTAGAGGTTGAGTTGGAAGTTGATAGAGGTGACTTCGGCGAAGGTTTGGGGCTGGAGGGCGTTCGTAGTTTTGATGTCTGGTAAGGAGATGCAGCCCGCGGTGTGTCGGAAGATATCGTCTTTCTGGGTTTGGGGTTGGAGAGGGTTGGTAATGATCCCGGAGGGTTTGTGACTGGCCGCGAAGGCTGGGGTAAAGTCGACATCGAGGCCATGGTGATTTTTCAAGCGGTCCCTAGTACCTATGTTGTCGAATAGGCATGGATGAATTTATCAAGAAGAATTGAGCGCGACGGTCATGTAGGCCGATGGAAGAGTTGTTCGGATAGGCCTGACATTCACCACGAGATTAGCAAAATGAACCATTTGAGACAAGAGTTGGATGCTTGACTGGACCGGACAAGCTTCAGGAAACGGTCATGCCACTTGCATTCCTCAAAAGGAAGATGCAGTCTCCAATAGCGAACGCATGCAGATCCAGATACACATTGTGACTGAGGTTTCGGGTACTCACCGATACAAACAACCATGCGACGTTGAAATTGCGGCAATTCACGCGAGATTTGAAGTGGCAAAATGATATGAAAAAAGATCGATACAGCTAAGACGCGAATAAGCCCAGAGGGGAGAAAAAAAGAATGAGAGAAAGAGGCGTCAAAGTATCCGAGTTGCCCCCCGCAGAGAGAAGAGAAGAGTCGGGGCCAGGCTTAATTATTAAGAATTATTTAGTTTGTACATTTGATTGTACTGTGTACATTGTTTTAAGGTATACCTATTTATTTGTCTCCTTCTATCCTTGATCCCTAGGTGTTCAAGTGGGAGTTCCTTCTTCTATCCCGATCATGTTGTTATAGGTTTGTACTGTGTACTGTATATATGAAGTAGTCCTAACATCTTAACAATGTATAGTTGTAAGAATAAAAAGGGGGAAAACAAAAGCAAATAGAGCCCCTTCGTCCAATCAGAGGTTTCAGACCCTTGGGAGGGAAAAAGGAAGGAAAAAAGGGGGGCAAATCAGGTCAAATCAGCTCCTCCCCATGGATCAGATCGTAGCTAACCAAGGTATATACTCGGTACCTAGCTACCTAAATAGTTTGGTTACCTACGAGTAACTACCTACAAGTACTAGTACCTTACAACTCCCTTCTAATCAAGGCTTACTATCCTTTATAAGGAGTTGACACTCCGTACACACTACCACAGCCTTTGCACGCCTGGCAAATCCCGGTTCATCTCCGTACTCAAATCAAGCAAAGATTGACCATCTGCCATTCTGCCTACGGAAGAGGCTAAGGAAACCCCCAAATCGAAATTACATCTGCGCCGTTGATCCTCATTTGAGATTTGATCCACTAAGATCAGAAGAGAACGATAGATTGATGTTCACGCCATCTCTGGACTTCTCTTCTAAATAAAAGTCATAATATATGTGAGGGACAATACTCCAAGGGCATGTAAGGGAAGCAGTCTCTTCAATTGGACGCGACCTTGACAGGGACTCGTGGAAAGTCGATCCGACCGTGTCCTGACATGACTTATCAAGGAGGCAGGACAAAGAGGATTCGAGTCGATCCCGATCGAAGCCAATAATATGTGGCTGCAGATGCCAATGCAGTCTTTACCTAGCTCGAGGGTCAAGCAGAACAAGAATCCCATTATTAAGCGCCATTCTTGGCTTTCTTTCCGTGATTTCTTTGTTGGAAATTGGTTTCATTTCATTCCGAAATCCAATTGGCGGGCAGCATTTTTGAACATGCCCTCGTCCAACTCACCGCCGCGTCGAGTCAAATCATCTCCCATCTTTTGCGTGCCGCCCGATTTTCGTGGGAGATCTTGATTCTGAGTCGGTCGCGGGTCCATCGTCCACCAATTGTGCCGTAGACATTGGACAGCCGTACTACGCTTGCGTGGGTCAAGTGCACACATCGACATCAGTAGATCTGCTCCCACCGGTCCTGCGGTGGGGAACTGTCGCAGGAAGAAATCACGTCCCTGCAATGGCACCACTTGGGCCTTATCCGTGGGAATGTAGTAAGGTAACTTGCTGACTCCGGGCCAGTTGTCCTCGGTAGGGGTACCAAACGCCTCGCAAATCTTAGTGATTTGATCCAAGTCGGTGCTGCCCGCCACAAAGGGAACCCGTAGTAGGAGCTCCGCGAAAACCATCCCCATTGACCAAACGTCGACCGCGCCGGAGTATTGTCGCGCACCGTAGAGAAGCTCAGGCGGCCGGTACCACCGAGTGATGACCTGATGGGTCATGTTGAACAAAGGATCGGCAAAGGATCGCGCGAGACCGAAATCCGCCAATTTAACCTCCCCGTCCGACGCGATCAGCAGGTTGTTGGGCTTGATATCCCGGTGGAGGACAAAGTTCTCATGGCACCACCATACACCTCGGGCAAGCATTCCCATCCAAGCCTTTATATCTGCCACTCCGTAGTGGATATCACTGTCCTTGATGAGCATCTCAAGGTCTCCCCCGGGAAGAAATTCGAGAACCAAGCTGAGGTTTTGATCCTTAGAGGAGAACACATCGTGAAGGGTGATAACATTGGGATGTTTCAGCTCTTGAAGGTACTTCACTTCACGGACTGCATCCATCGCAAGTCCATCCTTGTACTCGGCATTGACTTTAATCTTCTTGATCGCAACGCGGGATGATGGATCGTCTTGGAGGTGGCCGACGTATACCACAGCATAGGTACCTTCTCCTACTTTCTTGTCTATTTTCTTGTCAGCATGCGAGTCATTAGAGCATGATAATCCAGATCACCTTTAACATATCGCTCGCGGACCTCGATATTCAGTTGTTCGGTAAGTTCGCGATCTCCATCCGGCATTGGCTTCGCCACAGCTGCGGTAGATCCAGCGACTGAGTTCTGGGCAGCTGTAGCTCTTAGCCTGATTGCTGTATTCGGGGAATGTACGGTCATGGACGGCGAACGAGAGCCAAATGGTGAGAGTGCCATATTTAAGCCGATCGAGCCAAGAGGCCAGATTCTATAATATGAGGGAGGGAAAGGAGTGTAAAATAGCCACAGGTACTGAGTGGCCACATAGATTATCAAGAGATCATTTTCATATTTCAAAGTGAAGACAAGTATTGAAACATGAAGGCCGATGTCACTCTTCCCTACTTTCCTAGGCTGGCCCGGAGTATCGTTGATCCTGGAATTTGTTGGCGCCCGAAATTTCTCGGTCAAATCAACGGCAACTTCGCGCAGCCAATTCCTCGACAACTGCTGGAACTCCGCCAATCCCCGAGTTATCACTCAACATCATCCTAGTGTATTTCACCTCTTATTCGTTTTTCCGTGGTGAAAAACGCCCGAAAGTTACGAGAAAGTTCGGGGCTTGCGGCAACCTTTCCGCAACACCCTCACCATGAGCGTCATGGCAATGCGCAATTCACCGCTGGGCAGCTTCTCTTCACGCCTGTTCAAGGCTGTCTCCATCTCCAACTCATGCATTCGATCACTCCACAAGAACGCGCCCCGGCCGGTGCCATCTCCGACCCCTTTCGTTCCCGACGTCCCGACATTCCTCACACTGATCGGCCGCGAAATGTCGAAGCAAGCAAGCAAAATCCCCTCATGGGAGGAGTTATTCACCTGGAGCTCTGATCAGCTCCGCCAAGCTGGCATTGAACCCGCCCGCCAGCGACGGTATCTGATCCGGAAGCGCGAGAAGTTCAGAAATGGGCTGTACGGGCCCGGGGGCGACCTACACACCGTGGTTGATGGTGTGGCACAATTGCGGGTTGTCGAAGTGCCTCTGAGTGCCAAGGGTCTGGGACAGCAAGGCGCACAGGCCGGTGTCCAGACTTCTTCCGCTACACTGTCACCTGGCATGGTGAAGGCCCTGGTCAACCTGGCGCCTGATGCTACTGGATATCACTACAGCAAGAAAGAAGTGATCAAGCAATTTGCACACATGAAGGTTCACCGTGGCTCTCTCCCAATGGGACCGTATCTGCAGCCTTTGAAGGGCAGCAATGGTACCGCGGCTCTTATCTCGATCCAGGAGGGCATGTGGGAGGACAAGCGGGGCCACAAGGTTGATGGCGGTGAACGCCGACGTCGGGAGGTCCAGAACCAGAAGAGGCTGGATGAGAGAAAGAAGGCGTAAATGGGAACGATGGAATACCACTTTGTGTATCTTGCATATTGTTTTTCTGAGCCCGAATGTTTGTATACAAACTGTACTATACTATTGCTATCATTGCAATCATGATCAATTTTTCTTTTCAAGACAAACTTGCAGCAGACAGGTAGCTATGCCAGAAGAGAAATAGGATTAAACTGATAGAATGTAACTTGACAAAACATTAGACAACGTAGGGTCCCAAGTGGCGAGAAGCCACGTAATTTACATAGAGCACAGTCGTTTCAAGGCGAATAAAAAAGACACCATTGTGCTAGACCGTTCAAATCCACCGAGCGTCCTTGGCTCGGATTGACACTAGGTCTTGCATCAATAGAGGACATTAAGTATAGAATCCAATTTCAAGCATTTGGATGGAATCTTTTCAAAAAATCAAACTCCGGTCATGCTTTAACTCCACGCTTCTCGTACTGAACAAAGGATGTACCCAAAGGTTTGGAGAACAGGGACTGGGAAGTGGTCAGTTCAATACAATGTTGATCGAGAGATAGTATCGCTTACCGAATAGTCTGTCTCAGGGAAGGGCGTCTCGGCGCTAGGGGTGGAGAACTTGAAATGTCTCACCAAGGCAGCCAGAATTGTGCTAAGCTGCACATAGGCGAACTGCTCACCAATACAGCGATGGCGGCCAGCACCGAAAGGCAGGTAGGGGCTGTTGGTACCCTTGGTGACGAGTCCATAGCCATAGTCAATCTGCTCCTCATCTTCGTCCTTGGGGATCTCAGCCTCATCCCAGCGGTGGGGATTCCACTTCAGAGGTTCAGGGAAATATTCCGAAGAGCGGGCGGTAACACCGGGCGAAGACAGGAGATTGTGAGTGGTGGGAATAACATAGGGAGTGCCTTCCACGACCATGGGGTTCTTGACGGCACGGATGATGGAGTGAATAGGAGCATGAATACGGAGAGTCTCTTTGATCACTTTGGAATGTAAGTCGAGCTTCTGAACGCCTTCGTGAGTAAGAGGAGGAAGATCGGAGCCGAGAACCTTGAGCTGTTCTGCGTAAAGCTCTTCCATAAGCTCAGGGCATGTGGCCAGGCGCAGAACGATCCAAGCCGCAGTAGAGGACGAAGAGTGCTGGCCGGCCATAAGCAATGCGATCATCATGTGGGCGACCTCCTCATCGGGGATCGGGGTACCGTCCTTGTAGGTGCACGACATCAGGTTCCAAACCATGTCCTCGGAGTTCTTCTTGTCACCAGATGCACGGCGCGCCTTGATAATATCCATATATGTTTCAGCCATCTTCTTCTGTGCAGCATCGCGCTTGCGATTGTGGGGGAGCGGAGCCCAAGGCAGCATAAAGTTGATAGGAGCGAAACCCTTGTCGAGATCGTGGTACATTTCAGCGAAGGTGGAATCAAACCGGTCCCGGACTTCCTGTCCTTGCAGCGAGCGGGATGCTGTGTAGATCGTGATCTCGGCAATAACCTTGGATACATTGAAAGTGCCCTTGGGATCCTGGAAAGCTGGAGAGTTCTTCACAAATTCATCGACTTCATTGGCAATCAATGGGACGTAGGACCGGAGTGCCTCGGAGGTAAGACCAAATTTCACAAACTAGATAACAGTCAGCAGGTGGCCGTCACGGTTCAGTCCACACTCCCGTACCTTCTTCTGCTCCATGAGCTTAGCGTTGGGGCAATCGTAGACGACATGACGACCGAAGACGGGGGTGGTGAGGGGGGAGTAAACCTCTTCGGCGTTCACATCGCGAAGCTTGCCATTGAGGATGAACTCATTGCCTTTGGTGCCTAGGTAGACCGTGGTCTTCTTGCCCAGGAGCACAAATGTGAAGATGTCGCCATACTGCCGGTGTTCAAGCCAAAGATTAGAAATTGCTATGTAAGCCAACCAATGAGTCTGCGACCGACATACCTTTGCGCGTGCCTCGTTGAAGAACTTGTACGGCTCCATGCCATAGCTGATAGTGCTTCCAACAAAGGGGAACCAGTGGAAAACCACAGGGGGCTCATGGGGATTCTTGAAGAGTAATTGGCGTAGCACATTGATCACCACTGATAGCGCAATGAAGGACAGGGCCCCGACGCTGAATAGAGTGTAGATTGACTGCGTCGAGCAATGCTCGCAGAAACTTGCGAGGAAACTTGAGAAGAGACCCATGTTGTCGAGAGGAAAAGGGGGGTGGAAGAGAAGAGGAAGCGCAACAGTAAAAACAGGCTCACGATGAACCTGCGACCCTGTTTGTTAGCCTCTCAAAAGAAGTACAAATAAAAAAAGCAAGATGGTTGGCGAAGGATAAACAGAGGAGGCAAAGGAGGGAAATAATTAAGTCCGTTATCATTCGGTGAGGGACCCGCCCCTGGCCTAGAAGAAATCGAAGATTTATGCCAAGCCAAGTACGAAGTACTACGAAGTACCCAATAACCAGTTAAAATAGCTGAATTACTTCATTGATTATTACAAACTCCTAATACGTTTATAATTCTCGAATCTCGGATCCCCTGAATACCAATTCTTGTACTTTTGCGCTGTATCTACTCCGAATATGGCTTATTCTTAGGGCAGATTACTAGTCAGGCTGCCAGGCACGCCGCACACCACGCCACTCCGGCTAAGGGCACTCCCGCTTCCAGTATGTACCTGGCGATCTCGAGTCTAGTATGTACTCAGTACATAGAGGTTGTCATTTTTGACCTCTTTGGCGTTGTTTATACATATTCTGCAAGGTTTCGAGACTTCACTCGTAGAGCATTTCGACGCCTGATTTTCCACCTAATTATACATGGATCATCCCCTTATCCCAAATGATCCCAGTCCAGGTACACGCAAGAGCCATTAAGAATAATAATCGACAAGCCATACACAATCATTCCACCGCTAATTGTCGTACAGCGTGGGATCACCACGCTCTCCAATGTTGATAAAATCTTGCGGGGCCCGGTGGTCACTGGGCGAAACTTCACGTTGGGACGCCTTGGCTGGCCGATTATGGATGCGCTTCCCAGCTTCATTCCGGAACACTTTGACAGGTGCCTCACTGCCTTCAGCATGTTCACTAATGTGGACGTCATTGACGCTGCTGAGCAAGGTACGCTGTCGTTGGAGCTTTCGCTTAGAGAAGTCCAAGTTACCGAGAGCCCCAGTTAGGCCATCTGTGCTATCGGTAAGACTCGGGCGATTTCCGGTCATCCAAGGATGTTCAAGACACTCATCCACCGTGATCCTTTCGTCGACATCCACAGTAAGCATCCTATCAATTAGCTCCAACGCAGAATCGTCAACCGAATCCCAATACGGAGACGGGTAGTCGAACTTGCCCATCTTGATCTGCTGAGCGAGAGTGAATGGGCTCTCGGGGGTGTTCAATTCATCCGAGAACGGTGGGAAGCCACAAAGGCAGATATAGAGAACAACACCGAGAGACCATACATCCACCGCTTTTGTGTATCTTCGGTGGCGGTTGTCTTGCAAGATCTCCGGCGCAACATCTGCAAAAATTAGTATAAGATCTTAGCGTTTAAGGTCCAACGACATGACTCACAGCATGGTGTACCACAGCTGGAAAGAAAAGTTAGCCATAACCCACATTAGTACACATATGCATTTCACCTACAGGGTGGTTGTGAAAGATTCTTCGCCAATGATTTTGGCCAGGCCGAAATCACCCAGTTTCACAGTCAGATTTTTGTCTGCAACCAGGATATTCTCTGGCTTGATATCGCGATGCACAATTCCCCGTTCGTGCTAACAACGCATTAGCTGATTCGACACTGTGTAGGTGAACCTTTGGAATCTCGTACCAGATACTTCAGTCCGTCGAATAGTTGACGGAATACACCACGAGTTTCATCCTCAGTCATTTTCTGATTTCTCACAATCCAGTTGAATAGTTCCCCCTCGGGTGCCAATTCAAGTACCAGATAAGCGCCGTTGCTCTCATCGAATGACTCCTTGAGACACAGCAGGTTTGGGTGCTGAACACCCATCAAGAGGGCGATCTCTTGTTGCAAAGCAGCATCTGATTGCGATTTTTGCGAGTCATTGAGGCGTCTTTCGAAGACCTTGACTGCATACTTGTCTCCCGTAGATCGTTCGGCACACAAATAGACAGTTGCAAAGTGGCCTTTGCCCAGTTGTTGAAGAACCCGATACTGCTGATGGAAACCATTGGTTTCACGGGTACGAGGATAGCGAAAGATGAATCGGGCGTGATTTAGAATTGAGACTTCGTCGCCATCCTCCAGTTCCCGGTGCTTATTGCGCCCAACAATGGCATCATTGACGAAAGTCCCATTGCTGGAGAGATCCTCCAGTATTGCAACCATGTCACCATTCCTCTTTTCGGCAAATATGAGGAAATGTCTGTTTGAAATTGTAGGAACCTCAAGGACACGATCTGTCGATGGTCAGAGAATGACACTCGATACCGATGACCATCACTCACCACATTCCGGATGACGGCCAATCAAGAATCCACCAGGCGATTTAGCGCACTTGGATCTTTGAACCTTTTTCCCGTCGGGTTTGGAAGTACTCTTATCATCATCACAACCACTGCGCGTTCTCAGTACCAGCGGACCATCCCCGTTCGCATCCAATGGTAACAGATAGCCCCAGACCCCTTCAGCATCCTCGTCCTTGACTTCATCTGAAAACGCTATCGGTGGGTATACAAACTGGGAAGCTTGCTGGGTATCCGTCCGTGGTGGCGAGGAGAGAGTGTGCGATAATTCGGGTAGGGATGGATCTTGTTGACGGCCCTTGCGAGGGCTGTCGGGGGGTGTTACAGTCACCCTGTTGCGAGTCTCTGTAGCAGATTGAGGAACCGTGACTGGGGTGGGTAAGTAGTCCAAATTGACTGGTGTGTCTTGGGGATGAACTTGACTCGAAATCCTTTGAGAACGCCGAGGTTTCTTTTGGTCTTGTGAATCTGCATTGGCGGTGGCCTATAGTATGTAAGTAAATGATTCGCCCTCAAAGTAGTGAAACATACCCGTCCTCGTTTGAGGGAGCTTGCCTCACGTGGCGCCATGATACAGGCTGCTATCAAGCTGGAAAGAGTCCCAGACCAATTAGCGATGTCCCACAGGGTTGACAGAGTAGCGTCTGGAATATGTGTTTCTTGATTTTGTGGAGAATTTCACGATTGAAAATGAATGTTCGAGATGAATAAGAAGAATATTTGTGAGACTAATAGCTGGGAGGGAAAGGACATAACGAGAAGCCCTGGGGAAAGCTCTCTCTCCATCTCCCCTGGCGCTTCTCCGCCTCGAACAGGTCAGGACAAACACGACTGATTAATCTCTACAGACTCCATTTCTACATTTACATTTGTTTTCTAGTTTCTTGATGTAATTTGTAAAGTGAATATAATATGATAGTTATAGGGGTCTGATCCTAATACATTCCCATAGTTATTTCACACGTAAATAAAGCGGTCCAGGTGTTCGGACCTAGGCTCGCGTCTCCGGCACGTGCTATCCCCTGACCTCATCCTCGTGTGAGTCTCCCATTCTTAACCTTAGACTCATCACAATGGACGGGTATGTGAGATATTCAACTTTCAAGAGCTATGCTAATGGACAACCAAAGTCTTTCAGGTGGAATTAGACGCCTCGCGTTCCAAAAGCTTGCTGCGTTGGCAGTCGAGGCGCCTCGCGATGGAGCGGAGCTCACTCGTCTTACAGAACAGTCTCAACCGACTCGACAGCCCAATGGAGGCCTGAATGGAATTTTGAGAGAACAAGCCCCGACCTCTCAGGTCCCAATGGTGTGTCTCTCTATCTCAACTCCTGGGTTGTGAAGGCGCGAGCTAAACGTATGAACAGGGCATTCGCGAGCTAGATGTTCTTTTAGCCCTAAGCCAGGCGGCTTCCTCGGTGAACGACCCAGACAATGCTGCACGATTGGCGTCACAACTCTCGCAATACCTGCCAGAATCCCACAGCCAGCTATTTCGGTCCTCCCCCTTTCTCCGAAGTGTTAAGCCCTCGCCTTGGGAGACTCTCACGTACAATCTGGTTCTCGCACTACTGTCATTAGGAACCAAATATCCAGAGCTCAGAAAGACAGCCCTAGAGGCTGTGCATAGCTATTTGAACAACTGCACCGAGGCTATAAATGCGGTCACGCCTTTTCAATATTCAAAATCCGAGACGGGGCGACAAGGCGTTATACATGAATCTGTCGCCGTTCTGTCAATTGCCGTTTCCCTTGTTGGGTTCATGGACGCCTCAGCCGAACACGCTTCCATCTGGGATGCGAGCGAGAAGTTACAAATAGTCGATCATTTGCGTGCAATGTTGTCTGAGCCTTTCATCATGGCAGTTGAGACGGCTTCTTCCACTCTGCGCAATGCCAACGTCGCGGAACATGCTCTCAAGGATTGGAGAAAATACACTCATCGATACGCTGCTCACGGTCGCCCGTTGGGTGCCATGCTCGTACAGGAAGGCTTTATGCGCCTTGTAAAGTCATGTGCGGCCTCTCTGATCGGGTTCCAGCACCTGACCGATGACCAACTCTTGGATGACTACATGACTGGTGTCGGTATTGCCAAAAGCTATGATGAGGCTGACGTCTCTCTGGTTGAGCGCATTACTGACATCATCAGTGAAGAAATTCACTTGCTCGAGGATGGCTCCGATTATCTGCAAGTCGGCTCACCATGGCAGCAGCGCCTTGCCTTCTCTGTTAAAGGACATGCCTTGGTTGGCTTCCTTAATTGTGTCATTCTTGGCGAAGATGCAGCCAACAACGATGTACTGCTATCCTGGCTCGAGGACACTTTGCTTGACTCCCAGCAAATGTCGAATGTAGAATTGTCAGTGATAGTTTTGAAGTGTACCGCCATCCTTGCAAGGATGTCACCGAACGGTGCATCTATTGGAAGGCGCTGTCTACTGAGATTCCTGGCCCAGGGAGGTGTGTCGACTCGTTCCACCGTTGCAGTCGCTTCTCGGTGCCTTGCCCAGATCTTGACTATCCTTTCCGAGGATGCTGTGATCACTACCCTCTATTCACTTGGCAATGCATTGAGCCCGAGCACGAACGTTGATCAAGCCAGCCAGGATCAACTCATCGGGGACCATGCTGGGCCCGGGATGAATCTTGAGGCATATTCCAAAAACGCAAGCCAGACTTCGCTTTCAGCGAACCACCAAGAGGACAATGTAGCCCACCGAAATGTTATTCATGCCATTGTGACCGTCGCGACTAATTGCAACGACGGCAAGATCAGTGCATTGGCCCAGTCTATGCTTCTCCAGAAGATTGGTAAAATCAATGTCACGGTGGATGCCTTCATTATCCAGGAAACTGCCGTGCTTGCTTTAAGCGGCGGACAAGCTGAATTCCAGCTTCTGTTGAAATTCTACGCACGCATCTATCTTGATGGTATCAACAAAGGGCTAGACACCATCTCGGATGCTGTACAATGCGCTATGACTTACCTCTCGATCAATCTGGATCAGAATCCGCCACTTTACCGACTTTACTTGGTGCATCTTTTGGAAAACATCATAAACAAGGGCGATGTACCAGATCTTGAGAATGAACGTCACAAGGAAATCGTTTTTGCTGCAGATGATATCACCCCGCTCTTGAAACCGCTGGCTCTCCTCGTGTCTTCCAAAGGTGGCACTAATGGTGCTTCCTGGTCAGCCTTGGAGTCGGACGAGACCATTCTAACCCTGTTCCGTGATGCGTGGTTCAATATCGCCATCCACGGAATTTCGCTAAGCTCCAGTGCTGCCCAACTGTATCACAAGGAACTACGCCTTCTTGCACATCATTCTCCTCCCTTGGTAGCCGAGAATCACATGGAATCTTTGGAGAGCGACGTGGAGTTGAACACAGTGCTCAGACGTGGGATGGGACCGCAGCGATTCACGGAACAAAAGAGAGCCCTGATTTCAGAGCTCCCTGGCCGAGAATCTGATGTCAAGAAACTGGACTATTCACGAGCCGTGTTTCTGAATGCTGTCGTCCTGGTCGAGAGCTTGCGTGCTTCTTCGGGGGATTCCACCAAGATTCTCAGCTATTTCCTTGACCCGGCCCTGGCCACCGCAGAAATGGTCGGATGCATGAATGCTGTTGCGGACAAGGCCGTTACATGTTATTTGACTCTGACTCTTTCTGGGGAACATGATGACTTCTCGGCTCCCTATCTATCAAAGCAGCTTGCTGGATTTTTGGTAGCGTGCTGTCATCGCATTGAAAGAGTTCAAAGCATTGCGATGCAGTGTGCGGACAAAATCATTCGCGAATGCCCTTCGGCCTTATGCGAAAAGCATTCCCTTTTTGCTTTGCTTGAAATCTTGACCGTCATGTGGTCTTCCTGTCTTCAAGGAGAACTGGACGAGTTTGAGTGGAAATCGTCTTTGGTTTCTCCCATGGGCATTGTCAAGGTTGAGCTATCCGATAACTATGCGCTGAGGAGGGCGACTCTGAATAGGTTCCATGAACGAGCCAGGGATTGGGTGACATCCGTACTGAATATTGCCCCATTGGATGTCAAAGGGTTGCTCCAGACATATCTTTCCGAATACGACGATGACGGTGGCTATGGCCACATCTCGTTAGGGCGTTCATTCGCTCTTGAAATGGGCTCCCTTATTCCACAAAGTGACCCACGGCTTGGGTCGATCGATGGCTATGGAAGCAGTCAGTTCAATATCGCATCTGATTTCATGGCACTCTACACGACACGCCAAAAGTATCGTCGTCCAGATATACCTTCTCTCGGCGCGTTGGATGGGGAGAGCTACAGAGCGTATGCTGACCGGCCTCACGTTAACCTTTTGCCTAAGTCTGCAGACTCATTGGAAGAGAGTCTCTCCCGTCTATATGGACGTAGCATCGCTGGCGATGATATTCCGGTTGTGGAAGTCAGGGACGTCCTTCGGCAGGCTGCGGGTCTCATTTGCAGCTGCAGCAAGCCGCGGCTCTCTGTAATCCACTATTTGGTTGCGTTGCCTTTCCAAATCTTCACCAAGGAGGCAATCAAACTTGGTGTATCTCTCTGGCTTGGAGTCATTCACGAGAACCCAGGCACTGAGCCACGAATCTTGTGTGAAGTCATCGAGGCTTGGGAGAGGAGCATGAAGCGTCGCAAAGGATTATTTGATCCTAGCTTCGATTATCTTGACCCGTTGCATACTAAGATCGAACTACTGCCGACTGATAAGGATCTCATGCTTCGAATGCAGCAAGAGGCTCAAGATACTCTCTCGCCACACCTGCGAGTGCTACAGTTCTTCGAAAGCCACTTCAATGCTATTCGCCTAGGGACCTTGCAGGACCGACAGCTGTTCTGTCGCTTGATTGGCAGTACAGCCATCGAACTCTCGAAGACTAAGGGCCACCCATTGGCGCGGGAAATCCACTTCCGCATTGTGCTCCTTGGGCTTAAGGTCTTGAGACATCTTAGTCCCCGAAACAGCAGCGCATCTTGGAAACTGAAAGATCAGATTCTGTCTGCTGCTCTGAGTTGGTTCAAGCACCCTCCAAGGTGGTCATTCGGAGGCAATCGTCTACAGATCAAAGCCGAAGACCGCGTTTTGAACGAGGTAACGGCGGCTTTACGAACCGTTGCAGGTATCGCTGCTCATGTGCACGGGTCGTATAAATCCTTGCAAGCCAAACAAGAGTTACTTCAAATCCTCGTGGAGAATGAGCGATCCCGTCTTCGGGTTTGGCTATTCCCTCTGGAGCCGGAGCGAAAGCACCATCTGCCTTCCATTGGAGGCAAGAATGCCGATGAAGGTCCCGTATCCTTCCTTCGTCTGGCCTGGGCGGAAAATGCAGGACTGGCTATTCAAATGGCCGCCCGATTCCCATCGCCCAAAATGCAGGCCGATGTCAGGTCGTTGATTCTGAATTTCCCCGAGAAGGTCATTGAAGAGCCGGGAGCGCTGGAGATTATGTTTGACAACTCCCTACCCAGCGACGTCGGTCCCCAGCTGAAATACATGCTGTATTGGGCCCCTGTCACTCCTACGGAGGCTATCACATACTTCATGCCGGCTTACGGCAACCATCCTTACATCTTGCAGTACGCCATGCGAGCGTTGGAGAGCTATACAATGGATGTTCGGTTCTACTTTGTGCCACAGCTGGTTCAGGCCCTTCGCTTCGATGCTCTGGGTTATGTGAACCGCTACATCCTTGAGACGGCCAGGTTGTCCCAGCTCTTTGCCCACCAAGTCATTTGGAACATGAAGGCCAATTCTTATAAGGACGAGGATTCTCAAATCGTAAGTTTGATCTGCGCGAGAGTGATTGATTACCTTGGACGGACTTTCTAACTCTTTATTTAGCCTGACCCTATCAAAGATACCCTTGACCGATTCTTGGATAATTTGATCTCGAGCTTTTCCGACGAGGAGCGTGCCTTCTACGAGAGGGAGTTTTCATTCTTCAATGAAGTCACGGGTGTCTCCGGCAAACTTCGCCCTTACATCAAGAGGAGCAAGCCCGAGAAGAAGGAAAAGATCGAGGAAGAGTTGCGCAAGATCAAGGTCGAGGTTGGGGTTTATCTTCCCAGCAACCCTGACGGCGTGGTCGTGGGCATTGACAGGAAGTCGGGCAAACCCTTGCAAAGTCATGCCAAAGCGCCGTATATGGCGACATTCCGTATCCAAAAGACAAGGCCACGATTGACCGGAAAGGGCGAGGCCAGCTCCGGCGATCACCACCAACACCAACGCCAATTGATCAACCATTCTGAGAGTGAGCAGGAGACATACGAAGTGTGGCAGTCGGCCATCTTCAAGGTCGGTGACGACTGTCGCCAGGACATGCTTGCCCTGCAGATGATCGCGGCTTTCAGAAGCATCTTCACCAGCGTTGGCCTAGACGTTTGGGTCTACCCTTACCGGGTGACTTCTACTGCGCCTGGCTGTGGTGTGATTGACGTGCTTCCTAACTCTATTTCGCGTGACATGCTTGGACGCGAGGCAGTTAACGGCCTTTATGATTACTTCGTTTCCAAATATGGCGGTGAGGACTCGATTCGATTCCAAGAGGCGCGCACCAACTTCATCAAGAGCATGGCCGCCTATTCAGTCATCTCCTACCTGCTACAATTCAAGGACCGACACAACGGAAACATCATGGTCGACGACGCTGGCCATATCATTCACATTGACTTTGGATTCTGCTTTGACATTGCACCCGGCGGCGTGCGATTCGAGCGAGCGCCGTTCAAGTTGACCTCGGAGATGGTCGCTGTCATGAGTGGAACCCATGATCCAGCACACCATCAGGGCGGCAACTCGGGCATCAACCTGCCGGGTAGCTCTCACAACCCGACCAACACGCAGCCATATCGGTGGTTTGAATCCTTGGTGGTGAAGGCATTCCTTGCATCGCGCCCATATAGTACGAAGTTGGCCCATATTGTATCCCTCATGCTTGACAGCGGTCTTCCCTGTTTCAAACCGGAGACATTGAAGAACTTCCGTGACCGGTTTGTTCTGGACAAGAGCGAGCGCGATGCGGCCGAGTACATGCGGGAACTTGTGCGGAAGTCGTACATGAGCGTATCTACCAAGGGTTATGACCAGTTCCAACTCATGACCAATGGTATTCCATACTGAGGATATCTACTGCTTTTGAATATTTTGAATATCTTATTTTGCACGCGGATTTCCTTTCTTCCCTGCTACTTTTGTATCGTTCGATCCCATCAGATAACTATCGATGTACTAGTTAACTATAACATTGTTAAGTCTGTAATCAAGCCCTAATATTCCTCCTTCGAGCGAAATTGTAAGTCCTGTAATTGCAAGGTTCTTGGGGTTCATATTTTGCCTTTTTTGCAGTCCAGTAGAAAAAAGTACGACGTCACCATATCGTCAACATCACAAGTTCACAACCTGGTCACCTCGTTCCTCGGAAAATAATTATCGCGAGTATACATATTATGGTACGAACGATATATTACTCCGTACATAGTAGCGCATGGGACACACAAGCAAGGAGTGGGATACATCTAAAGCCCGAAGCACTTCAGAGTCGGTTATGAAAGACCTCTATCCAGGGACCTCATAGGGTGGCGCTGCGACGCATACAATGCATGACGGTATAGACCCGGGAACATTCCGAAAGCGGCAACATGACGATGCAAAGATGCAAAGACATTCGACTTAGATCAGGTTTTATAACATATCAGGCAGCCTTATCAGACAGCCTTGAAAGGGAGTCTCAACCTCATTCCTCTCCCCCTCCAAGCCGGCATTTGATTTGACGGATGAAATTGCGTATCCTTCATACTACACACGTCTTCGGTCTCCCAGCCCTAGAATGAAATTCCCATTTCTCAAAAAGTCTGGCAGTGGCGGGACGAAGTCCCCGCCACTGACTGACCTGTCGGGGGAATCATCAGCGGCCGATCGCGAGAAGAGAGGCAGCTTTATGGATGAATCTCGTGTGCCGTGGGTGACATGGCGGTCCGTACTGCTGGGTGCTTTTGTCTCGATTGGTGGTATCATTTTTGGATATGATACTGGCCAGATCTCGGGCTTTTTGGAGATGCACAACTACAAACAGCGATTCGCGCAGCTCAAGCCAGATGGGACTTTTAGGTTCAACAATGTCCGGTCAGGGCTGATAGTCTCCATGGTGAGTATATAGCATTGTACATCTCGTCGGGACGGAGATAGATGTCGAGGGGAGAAGAGGATTTGAACGAGATCATTCTGACACCTTTCAGCTATCCATCGGAACATTGATAGGAGCCCTTGTCGCTGGTCCATTGACAGACCGAATTGGCCGAAAATGGTCGATCTTTTTCTGGTGCATCATTCTCCATGTTGGGTTGATCATCCAGATCTCCTCGCCCACAGGAAAGTGGTATCAGGTGATGATGGGGCGCTTCATAACCGGGTTTGGCGTGGGAGCCTGTTCGCTTCTGGTCCCCATGTACCAGGGTGAGATTTCACCGAGGCATATCCGAGGAGCTATGGTGTGGTAAGTGCCCTAACTTGAAGCCCTAACAGTTGCACTGGAAACACAGCATTAACGGCATATACCAGCTCCTATCAGTTATTCGTGACATTGGGCATCTTCGTCGCAAACTGCATCAATTTCGGCACGGAGAGCTTGGACAGTTCAGCATCCTGGCGGATCCCACTCGGAATTACATTCCTGTGGGGTCTCGTTCTTGGAATTGGCATCCTTTTCTTCCCCGAGAGTCCTCGGTATGACTTCCGCCATGGCCGTGTGGAACGGGCACGGCGCACCATGTCTAAGCTGTATGGCATACCCGAGAACCATCGGGTGATCGTGCATGAGATTGCAGAGATTCAAGAACAACTGGATGCCGAGAAAGGTTCACGCGGTGGCATCCGGGGATGGTTTGAGATGTTCAACGCGCCGCGCATGACCTATCGTATTGTACTCGGCGTGGTGCTCCAAGCTCTGCAGCAGTTGACCGGTGCCAACTACTTCTTCTACTACGTTAGCATCCTTTTACCTCCCCTGTATTATGTCTTTTCAACTAATTCGATCCAGGGCACTGTAATCTTCAATGGGGCGGGCATCAAAAACACATATGTGACACAGATGATCCTGGGCGGCGTGAACTTCGGCACGACATTCGGCGGCTTGTACGTGATTGAGCACTTCGGGCGCCGCAAGTCATTGATTGCGGGTGGAATCTGGATGTTCTGCTGCTTTATGATCTTCGCATCTGTGGGTCATTTCTCGCTAGACGTTCAGACGCCGGAGAATACACCGGCGGCCGGTACCGCCATGGTGGTCTTCGCATGTCTGTTCATCACAGGCTTCGCGATGACCTGGGGTCCGATGGTATGGGCAATTGTGGCGGAGCTATACCCATCGAGGTACCGGGCACGGGCAATGGCCATGGCGACGGCGTCAAACTGGCTCTGGAATTTCCTGATTGGATTCTTCACGCCGTTTATCACCGGAGACATTGACTTTGCGTATGGATATGTGTTCGCCGGTTGTCTGTTTATCGCAGTGCTCGTTGTCTATTTCTTTGTTCTGGAGGGCAAGGATAAGACACTGGAAGAGATGGACATGATGTATGTGATGCGTGTGCCACCATGGAAGAGTAGCAAGTGGCAGCCACCGGCGCCAGAAGACCAGCTCACCACCGATCAGCTTATGGACCGGAAGATGGCCAAGAAGTATAACGAGGAGGAGGAGACTGCAGCAAGCAGAAAAGTGGCGGAGGGTACGCCTGGGCATTCCCATGCAGAGAATCCTGAGGATGCTGCTGGGACTGGCCCCTCGCAGCGTTCTTGAACTGGAAAATGTGGTGACACGAATGAGCCGAGTGGGATGGTGTATATAGACCGAAGTGGAGGGGAGAGGAGAGTGTTGGCGGGTGATGTCGGGAGATATCTGAAAGTCCTCGGGCGTCTATAAACGCATAGCATAGAGCAGCTCAATTACAGAAGAACATGGAATGTTATCGGTTTCCAATAACCAGTCAATCTTGAAATGACCAGTGGATGTCAATTTGGTAGTCATCGATCACTAAGAAAAGAAAAAAAGTAAAAGTCATCGGCATCACCAGGATGCCAAGTGCTCGTAAACAAATAAAAACGCCGATAATCCCAGGGCTCAAGATGAAAAGTTGGCGATCCTCCAAGAATCATTTTTGATACAAATTCCCATGTTTGCTGAGAGGAAAGAGGAACGACTGCGGAAGAGACCGCGACGATGAGAAGACCGAATGAATCCAAGTATGTTCGGGCTTTTGGCATCGAATGCACACACAAAGATAAGAAAAAGGGAAGAAAGAAAGGGTCAATAGGGTCAGACTGATCAGGATATACTTCCCTTGAAAGGCTACAATGGACGTAACATTTAATCCATAAAGTCACCTCTCAAGATCTTCTCCTGGAAGAAATCTGGCTTATTCTGCTTGGGCTGGCGGGGGATTTCCCGACCCGGCTGCTCCATGGACGCGATGGAAGCCGCCCGTTGGTGGTGGCCAGGGGAGCGCGGATTCTGCGGGGAGACGGGAACGCCGATGGATGGGGCACGCTCGGCACGGGTGCGCAGGGCCTCTGACCAATTGAAGCCTTCGCCTAGGGGTCGGCGTGATGCGTTAGATCTCTCATCCTGAGGAGAGGTTGAGGTACTTGCGGAAGAGCGGGTAGTAATGATGGCCGAGCCGGCCGGAGGGGAGCGGCGCGGGCCTACGGCAGATGGAGGGGGTAGTTTCTACCATTTCCTGAACTTCCTGCACGAGCATCACGCAATGCCTGTGCACCGAAAGAGACCCGCCGCGAGAATGGTGAGTTGGGCGAGCTTCCTTGTTCATCCTCGAGGGCGTCTTCGGTGGGGAGATTGGAGCCCATTGAGCTGGAGAGACTGCCCGGGCGGAAATTGCGAGTGCCTCCAAAGGATGCTTGAGTCGGGGATCCGGATAGACCTAGCGTGGTGATTGATAGCCGACGCTGGTGGGTCTGCTGGTTCGTGGCCTGGGGGTTGGAGGGGTTGCTCGACTTCGAGAAGAGGTCGGCGATAGAACCACGACGCTGGCGGTTCTCCGAATTCGGAACCGAGATAGGAGAGGTGGGATCGTTGGACATGGTCAGATGAGTGAGGGTCTGAACTGAGAGCAAGTGGGAAATGCGGACGGACTAGCCGCCCTTCTCATACACAAGATGAGATTGAGAGAGAGAGAGAAGAAAAAGGATTCGAGGATTCAAGTGTGGTAATTTGAGCAGTTTGTAATGATTGAAGCTTGAAGATCTGAAGATTGGGAGAGAAACAAGATGAGTGTAAAAGGAGGGGAAAAAGAGAAGAGAGGGAGAAAGAGCTAAGCTCAGATTATCTGGGGAAAAGTGGCGCTAAGTGGAGAACATGATGATGTCGATGACTAAGGGATCTGCTTGTGATTTGTTGGCTGTTTTAGGAATATTTTAAGGATTTAAGCAGTTAGGGCTGGTATTTAGGGGAGATGAATAGTTTGATTTAGATGCAAATATATACATAACTATACTCACGGGCTATACTGTATACCTAGTACTAAGTACAAGCATTACTCTGATACTTCTGAATATCTTCAATCTTCCCCGCAATGAAATCCCATCATGGTGACTTCATAAGCTTACTACGTATAAGTATAGACAGGGTAACCTACATAGCACAAGATGCAAATCCATGCCATATATGTGGCCTGTTAATATCAATAGTCTTACAAAGGGTATCGTGCAGAAACATGTGAACGTGCTAAAAAGAGGGGAAAGTACCCTAATCCCTGCTCATAGCCCAGAGGGGAAGAAAGGCGAAAAGAAGAAGAAGTAGATAAAAAGAGACGTACATCGTATATTGCTCGTTTCCCATAAAATAGTTAGTGGTATATGCGTTCGTGTGTGTGCGTATGTATGTATGCGTATGCGTGTGCGTGTTCGTGTGCGTGATAAATGGTGAATTCCGGATGTTTTTCCTTGCCGTTCTTTTTCGAGTCTCTAATTGGACTAGATCCTGATCATCAGGAACTAGAGACAGAGTCTCCTCCAAAGAAAGACCAAAGATTTGTGGTGATTTTAGGTGTTGGAGGGCTGTGGCGAATGGAAGAGCTGAATCAACTTGCGGCCGATCGTCGGTTCAATCTCGGTGCCATCACGAGCAATTTTGATTTCCCGATTCGCATTCCAGGGGTTACGTAGCCCACGAGTGCGATGGAAGGGAACCCGTTCGGTGGAAATCCATTGAATGCGAAATGGGTTGCCAAATGTTTGTTCCTCTTCTGGATCCTCGGGCTCGACACTCTTCTCACTATGCGCATCCCCCTCCTCGTCTTCGGAAGATTCAACTTCCCAAAATATGGTCCCTCGTGCGGAGTCGTTGATGATTCGCCCCTGGGGCGCGGTAGAGGTTGCGGCGGTTAGGGTTATGTCGAGATCGTCGGGCCCGCCGGGGGAGGTTCGGGCCGCAAGGGCATCTCCAAGGCGAGTTCTTCGTCATCGTTGATGGGCGATATCATGCGTGCGTATCCAAAATACTCGCCCGATTTATTAGCGGAGAAGATGAGATAAACGAAGTCGGCGGTCTGTATCAAGGTCAGGCTCTGTCTCTAACTGTCGAAGGCAAAAAAAGAAAAAAAAAAACAAAAAAAACAAAAAGAAATGTACTGGTCAAACTCACTTCGTAAGCCTGATTCATTGCCGCCTCATTGTGTGGCTGCGTGGCCCAGATGCCATTTTTCTTACTGAGTTCGAGATCCTCCACCGTCAAGCTCTTGACGATGAAATACCGGTCAACCAACCGGGCTGGGGGTGGATAGTTCCCGGTCGCAGGCGCGGCCGAGCTGGACTCCGGCGTAACTGCACGTTCTTCGTCCGGGTTCGTAGGCGTTGCCGTAGGCGTAGCAAGGTTCTCCGACCGTGGCCGGGGGTTGCGATTCAACATCAAACTTGCGATACCTACAGCTCCAGAACCCGGGGTAGTGAATCCCTTTCGCAATCGGCAGACAACACGCACACCATGGAATCGAGAGTCATGGAATCTTTCCAAGGCTGCAACACAGGCGGCAGCCGATTTATAATTCACAAAAGCGCAATTACTTTTCGAAATCAGAAACACACTCTCGATCTCGTGCGTTGCGTCTTGGGAGAAGTGATCCTTGAGATCCATAACATTGGCACCGGGGGGAAGATTCCCAACCCAGAGCGCGTGGCCGGATTGTTTTGGCTTTCGCGGTGGTCCTCGTGGCGTACTTGGCGCGGTCGGGTGGGATTGTGAAGGGGAACTGTTATCTAGTGAGACGAAATAGGTTAGGAGCGTTCGTCAAAGCAAAGGGAAGAGGTCGAAGCACTCACCAGAGGGAAGCGATTGGGACTGCGGCGCTCTCATAGGGTTCGATCCATCCACAATGGTCTTGGATACATCGTATTCCAAGTTCGTTGGCCGCTTCTCGGCTTCTCTGCGTAAAGAGTTCGGTTTCGATGGTGAGTCTGTCTGTGTACGGCGAAATGCAGACCCAGCCGGAGGCACTTGAGTGGCAGGATGCATTCCCTGGCCATAGGGAGCACCATATGGCGAAGGAGGGTAGTACCCTGACCCATAGGGAGATGCTGGACTGGGACTGGTGTTTGGCAGTTGGCTTGCATATGACTGGTAGGGATTTGTATGTTGAGTTATTCCTGTTGGTTGGGGTATCGCATACGGCGGATAAGCTGCGTAAGGGACACCGTATGCCATGGTCCCGGAGTTGTGCCCATATGGAGCCATTGGCATGGGATACACCATGCCTTGCCCATGAGGTGCCGGGTATTGATGCATTGGTTGATCATATTGATGACCTGGGAGGACGTAGGTCATGTTACCCATGTTTAACGAGGTAGCAGTTCCATATCGAGCCTCTGTGAAGCCGGAAGGATGTCTGACATTTGAAGGTCGCGCGATTACAGCAGCAGATGCATCTGGAGAAGATCGGAGTCAATAACAGAGTGTAGGGGGCGGAAGGACAAATGAATTGAATGACTGACCAGGTCCAGGGCCATTCGACTCTGATGCGGCTGTCCCGTCAGATACCTTGTCTGGAGGCACATCTCCCATGAGGGGTCGTTGGATGTCGCTGGATCGAGATGACAACTTTAGACAGTCTTTCCAAGTTGAAATGGCTACTACTCATGAAGTTTTAGTGCCTGTAGAAAGTGGACAACATGTCTTGACTACCGAGGTCTTTCTTACCTCTTGCCTTTTTGAAGAAGAGTCAGCAGCCCAAGGCTGATCTACGCCCAAGAACCTCCCAGCAAGTAAGACTCACAAGAAGCAAGAAGAAAAAAACAGAAGCAAAAGGAACGTCACAGAAGGCGAGTGATGAGACCCAATGGCACCAAGATGCTTCCAATCCCACACTGTCAAAGTTAGCATAAGCCCCTTTGAGCAAAGAACGAAGCAGAAGAAGTGGGATATATCCGAAAGTCCACAAGAGTGAGGGAAATTGAAAGGGGAAAAATCAGCGCAAACACGCACTAAAACCGACTCCCCTTTCTAAAGCCATACACATAAAAAAATGAAAAAAAGGCTTTATGCCTCTCACGATACATCAAAATAGGTGGCACAAAGGATACCAAGGAAAAGAAAACAATGGGGCAAATGAAGTTTAGTGCTTCAAGATCAAGATGGTCTTGGGAGATTGACTAAGATGTATTCGGTGAAATGCCATCATGCCAGGATAAGGATAGTAATGAAAATCATATGCCGATCAACAATGCTCATTTGGTTAATAATAAGTTGACATACCTCTTGATGTGTCGTTTCAGAACTTGTGCAACTGAATCAGGTCTAGGGCTGAGAGACAGGGGCAGAGTCCGGACATGGATAGAGAGCTCTTCCGATATGGGTCCAGGGCTTATAGAGAGAGCGTCAGATAGGGGAAAATGAGTCCGAGTTGCCGAAGGTGTCAAATATAACAGTAATAGCACTCTATGCTTATACTAGGAAGAGTGCGAAGACTGACAGATCACTGAGGGAAGAGTCCACTCCGAGTGAAGAAGCACTGTGGCTGGGCGTTTTATGTCAATGGCTTCTGTAAGGTCGGGGAGTAACTATAAAACTGAAAATTACCACAAAAATAAAAATATAATTAAATTGGAAATACAAGACTGAAACTAAGAGGATATAAGAACCGGACGGGCTGAGCCGATTGGGACCTTGAATTGGAGCCAGGAACCATGGCGACTCGGGATTTGTTTTCAGCTGGCTATGTCTTCCGGCTTCTTTTTCCTTTACCCTTTTTTATCTACATCATTCTTTGATAAGCTTGCCAAATCACCTACGCTTCATAGCTCAAGGCTGTGAAGGGGCGAACTAAGACCGTTCACTTATCACTGTGGCAATTCTCTCGGGCTTGGATTCCGATAGACAATAGGCAGAAACAATAGCATCTGAGGGATGGCGTATCTTGGATTGATTTTCCATATGGGGTATCCTAAGACCTATACATATCAAATGAGAGAGACTCGGCTTGATTTCATGGAAACCCACTTTAGGGATGTCAGGCTGTGGCTGGTCTACCGCATCGATGCAGTGGCAAACAGATATGCTTGGGGGCACTTTATTTTTCTCTCTTCTCCAGTACTTATTTGACGTTGTACGTGCGTCTAGGCCGGACCAGCCAAATTAACGGCTGGTGAGAGACAACCTACTGACTCCCGGGCCCTTTGAGCCTAGACTAACGGCGCTTCGACCGTCTAGGCGTATGGCAGTAATGCATGACAGATTGATTGCCACCCAATGGGAGGATGTGCTTTAAGCGGCAAAACATCGACAGCAAGAGGAAGGAAGAAGTGGAACCAAGTCCAAATCAAAGAAGGTAACAGAAGAAAAACATTTGAAAATATCCGAAAACTACCAAGTATGGCATGAATACTGTACTGTGTACAACATTAGAAAGGGCTTAAAGAACCCAAAATAATTATAATGCTGACAGCCTATCAATACACGGATAGAATTGGAAAAAGACAGCGGGAAATCAGGGTTGGATATCTTACACTCCCACTAGGCTCGATCATCATCCCGCCAATAATATTGAGCTTTCCGGCTTCGATGAGATCTACAACGGTGTATATTTCCTTTTTTGAAACAGTCTTCGGCTACATCGGTACGAACGTCTATCTAGACCGTGGTGCTCTTATGGAAAGCCTGACTCTATCCTTGATAATTTCGCTGACAGAATGGTCCGTGAAAAGGTATATTATTGTGTATATGGTGGGACAGAGCCAATACATCTTTGTATACTACTGCGTACATGTAAATTCCATTGGGAGTCTACTGTACAGGTTGTAATTGTATATAAAACCAAATGGGGAAAAGTTTTCAATGAGTCAGTTAAAAATGACAACCTTGAAAAACCTAACCAAAAATGGACAGAAAGCGAAAAACAAAGACCTCGGGAAGTTTGAAGTTGGACCCACTCGGCGATCCATCGGCATCTCAGGCCAGCCAATCGAGATCTACCACTGCTGACTACATCCTGTGTATGCACATGTACAGCTTTCGACTGACACTTACTACATACTGCGAGGTAGAGAATTCACTACAATGAATACAATTTGTTGTTAGTATCTCAATCTCATTTTGCGACAATAACATGGCCCTACCATAAAGGACCTTACCTAGGTACACCTCCACCCGCCGCCACAGTGCGACTACTCATGGACCAATCAGGAATATCAGAGTCAGCCACTGTGACCCTCAGAACAGAGGCATTTAGGGCATTCAGCTGCGCATTTGGACGTACGAAGTAAGTGGAGATGGACACAGTAGTGGCCAATGTATGGTACGTCCATTCGTATCCAGAATAGATCGCAAAGTATATCGTCGTTTATATACCTGCCAGTGCCGACTACTCGAGTAAGTATGTCGTGACAAAAGTCGGCCATTGGCACCATATGTAGATATTCTACTGCGTACTCTGTACGTATATACATCCTATGATCCTTCACGTATGTTGTACGCAGTGTCCATTTCATTCCACTTTCGTGCTACAGTCGTGTAATGATCGGATGTGATTGGCTATCCATTGTCCGGAGTTATTCTCCGAGTCAGCTGACCCCTTTCCACCTCTTTTCTTGGCCATGTTGTTGTACACCGTACTCCGTATCTTCTCTTCGCGCTACTGTGTACGTTCTCACTCTTTGTCTAATCTATAGGTATTGACTCCTCAATGTCTCCTCACACCTTCCCTTTGACCACTAACTCATATCTAGTTATGTATGGACTTTGTTTGGGTGGATTTCTACGAGTCCAGCGTCTTCCATACCATGACGCTCAAATGGAAATCAGTTCGCTTTCCCCACGTCGGATGAACACTCGGAGATCAGTCGGCGATCAGTCCAACGTGAATGGTGTCTCGGTATCTTCGCGAACTTTCGAGTTTCGCCGAAATTCAGCGCCAAATTGAACACTTCGGGCCATCTTGGCATTATGACGTCATCTCAAGGATTCTCCCCCCCCAGCTCCGTTCTCCGTCATTCTCCATGTTCCTGAGTCAACTACTCCGTACTGTACGCAGTACTCCGTACAATCTACCCCTCCACTATCGGCGCCGATCTTTTGACTCAAAATAACTGGAGTTGGGAATCCCGCCTCCATCCAGAATGCAAGGGAAAATCAATCGCTGTAGAGATCTAAACGCCGAGCCAGAAGCTCGTCAGATCTCGATGTCCTGAAGCAAGAAACCCAGTGCAAAATGTAACGCGTTTAACGCTTATCTTGTAGGGGCTTACGCCTGCGGCGGCCTACATCATATTCGACTTGGCACTCGCGCCTCCATCCAGCCATGAAGGCCATTGTTCCTTCAAAACTCTAAACACGAACGCGCCGTGAAGCCATCCTCACATATGCAAGTGCATTTATATGGATGCTGTGGCGTGTAAAATCCATGTGGCCTGTTCTTGGCGGATGTATTCCACAGAATGGACTCAATAGCCCCTTCGTCCGAGCAGCTTTCATCAACCGATGGCTCAGTTCCTGTCTGTGGCCATCTAACAGTTATAAGATCTTACCGCAGGGACCCGCAAGGATCCGACTTCTTCTTTATGCTGTGACTCAAATCAAAGTCCAGACAAATTCCTACTGCTGCATGCGATGAATACTCCACGGCCACCATGTACGTGTCAGCAGGCATCAGGCATTCAACGGATGGATAAGAGGCAATTGACCTTTCCATGCCACAATAAGAGGCTTATCTTGATATTTGCATGTCTAAATATGGAGCTACTGCAATACTTTCTAGCAAAGTCTCTTACCCTTTCAGCTATGCCGGACGCCATAGCGTCACAACTTTGCTGTCTTACTAGCTGTTCTCGGGCCATCATGTTATACTACTCCAACTACTATATTGTAGGGGGGTACCAGGGCTGTCAGTATCGCCACTCGGGAAGCTTCATGTTTCTCTGACGTGTATCTCTGGAGGGAAACTAATATGCCATAGTTTACATTGCGTAGGTGACAGAATGTGCCATAGCCCATGACCTACGAATCGAGTTTGTTGCAATACAATTTCCATTTCTCTCCGGGTCTGAGGGCCGCTGTACAGGGACACTTTCGGGGGAAACATGAGGGTCAATCACTGAGACTTGTTCACTTATTCACAGGGCACTATTGCGAATCACGAGAAGAAAATTATTGGCACACACAGTGGAAAGGGAGCAGCCGCGACCCGTATTTGAATATGTACTAGAAGACAATACAACCACGGTGAAAAGCAATAGTCCAAAAGAAGACGCGATATACCAGTAGTATCAACAGTTCACACGAAGAAGTGAAAAGCAAACAAATTCCTCACCTGGCCTTAATGCATCCAGGGCCCTCGGCATCATAATATTTGACCACCAGAAACAGACACAGGTGGCAACGCAAAGCAAACGCAAACAGTCATTAGGGGGGATTTTCTTGCGGAATCTCATTAGGCGCTGAATATAATTACGATGATGGGTGGCGCGCTTGACGTCCGAGACAGGGATATAAACACAATGAAGGGACGGTCAACCCCTTCATCGATCGATTCCAAGCGAAGCGACCTTTCCCGCGAAGCGAGCGCCAGCACTTCCTCGTTTAGACAGCTTCTCTCTGTCTTTGTCTCTGGGCTCTGCGAAAGTTGGATTGTTCGACGACGAGGAAGGTTCCTTGCTGCGAATGGTGGGGAGTGATCCCAGGGTATCGTTTGCAGAAGATCTGCCACCTAGCGGCGGCGGCGGCACACTAAAGGCAGATGTACGTGCGGTCCGTTGGCTGAGATAGAGCTGCGCTGCAGGAGAAAGAGGGATGGAGGGGGGTTGTGGGGGAATCTCGGCGCCATTCTGAACTAGGAGTTCAGCAATGGGGAACGGAATAGCTTTGGCGCTAGACCTGGCGGAGAGACTGGTCGGTGTGGAGCCCGGGGTGGCAGGGTCGGCTGCAGCCAGGGCCAGGAAGGTTGCGTGGGTGTTGCGAGAACGATCGGTGATATTTACGTTTCCCCGCAGGGCGAGGCCGTAGAGAACGCCTTGGATATCGTTCGTTTTGATCGAAGCAAGGAGGGTTTCGTCAGGGGTCACGAAGCGAGAACGTGGTGAAGGCAGAGGCTCAACGTACAGCCCATCAACATATTTGGCAGTGATGAACTTCAGGCGTTGTTCTCGCGTAGAGCTAGCGGTCGGCTTGAGAGCTTGATCTAGGGTGGCCTCCCAAATCATGTTGCTGACGCGGTTGCCAATCTGTAGAAGAATTTCGACTATATCGTTCGAGAAGGAATGTACGTCCAAGGTAAGGGAGCGGATCTTAGAGATATGCGTGCCCAGAGAGCGATGGATACCGCTACACTCGATGCAGAGGATGATTCCAAGGTTGATGGACACCCATTCGACCTTGGACGATGACCCGCAGTCAGCACACCAGTTGTTGCCCTGGTCTGCGTCCCGCACAACCTGCAGAAGTCTTGCGGGGTTTTCCTCGAAGCTGTTGCTGTCTTGGCGGACATAGCCCGGGCGTGCGCCCACCGTTGTTCGGCGGATAACACCGGTGGTATTGCTTGAGCTGGAGGCCGAATAGGAGTGATGGCCAGACACAGACGAGCTCTTTCCTGTTAGGACAGAGCCGATATCCCGATTGGTGGATGTATCATTCCTGGACGACGAGCGAGGGGGAGCTCCTTGGCCTTCAACCGCACTCTGGAGAGCGTTATTGATAGACCTGATCCAATTTGACATGTCATCTTCCGAAGTGGCTTGATAAATGCGCTTGAATTGTGGTGTGATCACTTCGAAGCAGAACCGTCTTTCTGCGTTTCGAGCTTCACGGACGGACGCCATGCGCAGATCGATGGGATCCATGTGTAAATCCAGCTTCTGTTTCCAATTGCTGTATTCGGACAATTTCCCTTGGTCCAAAACAATCCAGAATCTGTGAAAGTCAGTAATTGATCAGTGATCCAAAGTATCATATGTTCTTACTTGTGCCACGCCTGCTTGTTTATTCCCTTGGGATCGATATGGGACCCTGGACGAGACAGTGCCCATAGAAGGCCTTCTTTCCGCTGTTGGGCACCGCTTCGATCTGGCCCCAGGGTGTTTTGTTCTTCAAGGTCTCGGATACCCTTGAAGCGGTTTTGATTCAGATTACCAGTCGCCGCGCAATTCGATGCTGGCGCAGAGGCCCCGGTGGCTGATACAACCGAGCCTGAATTTGCCTGTGGCGTAACCGATGAGCTGTTGCTAATGACGCCACGAAGTTGGGAGCCGGTGCTATCAGCGCGGCCAAGTTCAACCTCGGTAGAAGGACCACCGTTGGGGGTTCCGGGGGATATAGCAGGTAAACTGGCCACACCAGCCACAACGTCGGGCTCAAGGTACGGGTTGCTGCCATTTTCTAGAGCGCGGCGCTTTTCCTCACGCTCTGTCCGCTGGAATTGGAACTCTTTGTCGGCCTGATCGACCTCGTGGATGAGGGCATCCAACTGAGGGGTCATTCCTTCGACATTTTTGGCAGCTGCCAGGAAATTCTTGGCTTGGAAATTCGCATACTTGGTCAAATGTGAGAGGACCTCTTGTTCTTTACGACCCCCGTGAAGATCCTGCATGAACGAGGAGTAATCGAACCGCTTCAGCTCGAAGTTCCGCCGCTTGGCTTGGTATTTTGAATCGCTCTCGGCACGCTTTTTCTCTTTCAGCGAATCCTGCCGCTGGCCCAAGTACCGACTGACATAGGCGTAATAGTCGCGGCTCTCCTCGTCCCACTCTTTCCTCTTGGCTTCTGCTTGTTTGATATCGTTATGGTATAGCTTGATCAAAGGCTCAATCACAAGTTTCTGAAGTTGGATCGTGTTCAATTGCTCGTAGTTCAGAATTTGCCGGGCGATCTTCTCGAAATAATGATCCAATGCGGGCTGAATGGCATTTGCATTCGATGTAGATGCATCATTCAATGAGCTCAAGAACGCCTCCATGGCCTCATTGCAGCTTACTTGCGCCTGCTGTGCATTTTCTGCTTTCTTGAGTACTTTCTTTATTTTGGCTCGCATGGTTGCGGTCTTTGACTCCAAGGCTTTCATAGTCGCTCGGAACAACGGACCGTCTTCTACTCCACTCATCTCATCGCCTGCTCGGGAATGTGGAAGGTCGACTTTGGTAGGAGGTGGGGGAGGAGGCGCGGTCGGTGGAGGAGGGGGTGGAAGAGTAATTTCTTTTGACTCAGGCGGAGTGATGGGAACATTGAGATTGGGCGATTCCACATCGCTATAGTGAGATAGGACGGATTGAGTCGATGGCATGCGAGAGCGCGGAAGAACAGGCAATTCTAGCTTTGGTGATGAGCTCTGAGGGCTCGGTATCGGGCGATTGGAGTTGTGCACCCAGAATGAGAAATGGGCGAGGGTATTCAGGCGGTTTGTTCGTTGGTCATAATCCAAAAAACTGCAGCTGTTGCGCCACCCACCACCTTTGTCCTCTATTGCCTTCGGGGGCTTCCATGTCCACGACCAGTCGAACGAGACAGACGGGGAACCTCCGGTGGAGTAGTCTCCGATGAGCTGGACATTAGAGTTGTTTTGAAGATTGGGGTTTGCATGGAACTCTCGTGTGATCAGATTGTCGAGTTCCTTCGAGTTTGATGCGTGGGCGAACGTGAGGCCCGTGAGACTGGTATCCGCCACCTCGGGCATAGTGGTGGAGACGCCGTTGACGGAGTTCGCAGCATTGCCAGTATGTGTTTGCCGAATAATAAAAGTGAACTTGAAGACCAACTCCTCGTCGTTCGATAGCCGTAGCATGAAAGTCGGAACCGGAGCAGCGGGGGGTGTATCGGGGTCCTGTAGTGGATAAGACCGATTAGCTGGACAGCTCACATATTCATGCCGTCATGCCGTACCTGGATGAATTCAATCGGAGTATCATCGCCGACATCGCGCTTGGCTGAGAACCTCGCGGCTGGGAACGCGTTGGGGGATAGAGTCAAAAGACGACGTCTGGGGTTGCTTATCGTGACCGATGCGATCGAGACTATTCACAGATATTTCATCAGTATATCGAGGGACGACGAGCACTTCCGATCCGGTTGACCTACAGCGATTCTGATCCTTGAAAAACAAATTCCCCCCATCGTCGAGGCGGCTGGCGACATTCCCCATGACGGCGCAGACAAAGGGATCAGGTCACGGCGCGAGAAAGGGACCGAAGCGGACTGATGGCCATCGACGGTCTGCAAGCTTGCAGTCGGATGGCCAGCTTTTGTAGGGAAACAGCTTGAAGAAGAAGTAAATGATCCGTCATTCAGTGGTTGGGTTGGTTTAAGGAGCGGAGATTGAGAGCTCGAAGATGTGAAGGAGGGGGCGAGAGTCGGAGAAATTGTGGTAGGCAACTCCGACTATAGAGTTAGTCTAAAGCTTCTTTTTTGTCAACATCTTGGTAATATTCACTTCTACTGTATTTTTCATTTCTCTAATATGTTCTAGTTTGGACTGTAATATACCTGGGCGAAAAGTATGTGAGCATCTGACACGGTTGAATGACCTCGAGAGATGATCGTTACGTACGGAGTACGTTCTACACCTCAGATATAGTTGAATATAGGCGATAGTAAAGCCATAGCCCCCAACTAAATATTCATAAATCAATCCAAAAGAAATCATATTAATGGGATGAACTATACAGAATGATCAGACCCCTGGTATCAATATTTATCCGTGAACGTCATAAAACTCTCGGTTCCAGACCAAGCACAAGGAGCAAGAGCAATGATACGTAACCCCCCAAGGCCCGAGAAAGAAGATGACATAGGAAGGTCATAGAGCGAGGGCAGTGGGGGAAATATGGGTGAGCGCGTGTCAAGCCGCGAGTTGACCTGCAGGAGCCCCGTGATTGGGGTTAGGCGTGATCGATTCATTGGGCTCGGGGCGAGTGGATTCGACGGCACCAGACGACAAGGGACGCTCGCGCCCAGAAAAGTAGCGATGCTTGTGCTTATGGCCATCTGGTTTCTCATCGGCTTCTACCCATCTCATGACCTGTCCACGCAGATCGCGCATCTCGTGAACTCGTCGAGAAAGATCTCCCCGTTCCTTTGGGTAGCCACTGCGTTCGTTGAGCTCGTCTTCGTCCGAACTGGAAATCGATAGGGAAGACGTGCTGCTTTGTTGTAGGAAAGTAATGCCGTTGCTTTCGTTCTTCTTCAATTCGCGCTGCTCTTCCTTGAGCTTGCCCATCCGCTCCGCATCCCCCTGACAGTCTAACGTGGTAACGTGGAGACCCGGGAAGTTAGAAGATATGAATTCCCGTAGGAGTGGAAGTTTCTCGGGATTGGGACGGTAGGTACCACTGTCGTTATCGATGAAAAGCTCGTAGTCAGCTGGATCGGTCGAGATTAGAACACCTTCTTCAGTCTGCTGCAGATCCTTGTCTTCGTTGTGAGTTTCATCTTCCCCCACGGGGAACTTGTCGGTAGGAACCGTGCTCGATTCTGCAGTCTCGGCGCATTCGGTGTGGCCTTCAGGGGAGTTGCGCCGATGACGATTGCGCCGTCGCAGGAAGAATTCACCCGAGTATGCGATGTAGATGGACACATTACTGTGCATGGTATGCTTGCTCAGCATATCGATGCCAAATTCTTTGCCGGTCTCGGTGAAGCGGAGTTGTCCGTCCAAGGTGAGCACATAGGTGAAGATCCGGCCACCCTGCCCATAGTGTGCAAACTCCAAGAATTTCTGAGAAAACTCACGACAGGGGGTGAGGAAAGACCCATGCAAGGTAGTGCGGTCAAAGTTGTAGATGCGCTGGTGTTGGTGACGGAGCGCTTTGTGTAGAATTCGTCCTCGTAGACTTTGCGCCTGAAACATGCCCGCCACAAATGGTTTGAACTCGACATAGCGGTGATATAGCTCTGATGGAACGGGACCTGTGAGCTGCATCTGAATGGCTTGGAAGCTGTTGGGAACGTCAGTTTATCATGATACAAGCGAGATCGAGTGTCGAGGGCAACCCACTTATACCGACTGATGGCCTTGCCGCTGCCATCTGTGCTTTGAACCTGGTCTTTGATGCCAGCCAGCCGCCCGATCATAGGGGAAAAGTGCTTGAACCAATGGTTGGGCCCAGCCGTGTACATATGACCGCCTTCGGTACCGGGAGTCTTGCCGAGGCACTCGATACTGACTACCAACCAAGACTCCTTGTGATGCCCAGTGGCAAAAGCAGAGACGTTAGTAAAGACGTAGACACGCTTGCTCCCAAAGCGCTTCTTAACCTTGAAGCTCTTCTCCTTGAAGCCAGCCCAATCCTCTGATAGCGCGGGGACGTCGATGAACGCGATACCCAGCTTATCATCGTGGTCTGCGGGGTCTTCATCCATGAGATAGCACTTCAAACTAAACCCCGAAGCCGGGACGTTTGCGACAACCCATTCGCACTCCCACTTGGGGTTCATATCCTTGCGTACTGTCGGAGTGCGAAACCGTACGGCCGGGTCTTGTTTATGGCGCTTCGGCAGGTCGACCACCATCTGCGCGGCGACATAGGGATCGGAGGAGAAACAGCCAAAATCCGCGATGGGCAAGTCCTCCGCGCGATGGAAGGTTATCTTGAGGGTATAGCCTGGCGGCACATGGGGGAGTGGCGTTGCATCAAAGCCTCCCGCAGGTTTTGACTCGTCCTTCTTAGCGACTTGGTGTTGTAACTTGTCAGCCTTTTCGACGAACTTGGGACCATATTTGTCAATCGGATGAACAGGCAAAGACCGCGGCAGAGAGTTATCCATGACTATGTCTGACACCGGGGGAGGTGTAGATAATTTCTATCCCCTGATATCCAAATCCCAAGTGAGAGGAGATTAGATTATAACGATAAACAGTCTAGTGACGAGAGTAAGAATAAAATTGATTTCAGGGGAGAGAAAGGTGGGGAGGGGAGAGGCCAAGCTTTTCAGCCTTACAAATTGAAGAACGGCCATCCACAGGGCTCGAATTAAAGTCCCGTGTGTTCCGAGGGGTATTGTTTATTGGTAAGTATGGTAACCTAGTGACCTACAGTAACTAGTTAGAGGCAATAATATTGCACTAAGTTACGTACTGTAGTACGTATTTACATAGTCCCCTGGGGCCCTGGTCCTCCACTATGGAAGGATCAGTCCAGGCAACAGAGTTTGTATCGAAATGCCAAGACCGATGACCTCATTGGACTCCATCCCATGGATACCCCGGTCCTCTTCCCACGGTTCATTGGTTCTGGTGCCTGGTTGCCTGTCCTTGTGCATTTCGTACATATTGGGGGTCTCAGCCTTACGACATAATGTTGTTGTTGCATTGTTTAACGTCCGGCGGCAGCCGGGTTCTGTTACGACATAATGTATCTCGGGGCAGAGCTGATAAGAAAGTGTGGGGTAACTCTGGAACTCCCGGCCAATCTACTTTCTATACATATTTAAAGAGGCAAAACACTGCCTTAGATGATCGTTGTGTCTTAAGGCAGAGATGTTTGTGAAAAGGAAAGAAAAGAAAGAAGAAAATTCAGACCTGGGGACTTGATAGAGGTAGGACTAGGAGTCATAGTAGAATCAAAACTACTATGTAAAAATAGAGGGTTGGGTATCTTCCGCAACTATGTAGAGCTCGGATATAGTGGTATGTCGTGATGCCGTGTGTCCTGGTGGATACAGTTGGAATTTATATGATGGAATGCGCTGATTTTTTTATATTGCACTGTCTTCTTTACGTATGTTTGATACTATGATCTTCGGTACTTTTCAAGCAAACCTACAATATGTAGGGTAATATAGGGTGGTAAAAAAATAGCAAGAAGGCTGAAAGGCACATCGTACACAGGCACTAGGGACTTAAGAAGTACAAGCCGATAAAGAATAGTGGTCGTGAGGTCGTATGATCATGTGGATGGGGTAAAGAGAAGACGGAAACTCCTTGCATCTTGCGGGGGAAGCACAAAAAGAAAAAAAAAAACAATACGGTGCTATGTTCCGCGGAAGAGGAATTGCATGTCCTCCGGAGTCAGTTTTTCTAACGCGGCCGCTTGATCCCTGTTTAAGGTACCCCGAATCAGGTTGGCTTTCTTCTCCTGCAATTGAATGATTCGGGACTCAACCGAGTCCTCAATACAGAGCCGAGTGACGACGCAAGGCCGTTGCTGGCCAATTCGATGACTGCGATCGGCACTTTGCCATTCCGCGGCAGGGTTCCACCAGGGATCAACGATAAAGACCCGCGATGCTTCTGTCAGATTGAGCGCCACGCCCCCAGCCTTGAGAGAGACCAGGAAAACCTCAACCTCCGGCTTAGTCATGAAATGCTCAATCGACTTCTGACGCTGTGCTGGGGTCATCGATCCATCCAGCATGACGGTGTTGAATCCAGCATGACGCAAGCGCCACTCGACCAGCTGGAGCATGGAGGTGAATTGGGAGAAAATGATGGATTTGGGCGTGTGGCTCTTGCTTCTCTCCTGGAAGAGTTCGTAGAGGAGCAACTCAATCTTCGTCGAGGAGGTCCAATTCTCCATTGCAATGCGATTGATGATGGAGTTCTTTTTGACAGAATCCTCATATTGCTCGAGTGTAGGCTGTTCCAAATCAATGGAAAGAGCAATATGACACTGTGGACAGTCAACATGCTTGCTGTCGTCTTGGAAGGACTGGATATAATCTTTGGCGCACTGGCGACAGAACTCATGGCGGCACTGGGACCGAATGGCGTCTTCCGCGGGCTCATCACAGACACAGCACACAGCAACATTAAATCCTGCTTGAGCCTTCTTCTTCAGAATGAGATCGGGATGATTCGCGACTTGCCGCATTTGCATGATCAATCCGAATATGTTGGCATAGTTGTTCAACATGACACCCTCGCTGACATAGGTATCGAACTTCCTCGTCGTATTCGTCATAATGCTGCGTGAGAAGTCTTGTTCAATCTCGCCGAAGAATTCGTTGTGCAATGTGATGCGTTTGGGTGGTAACTCCATGGACTTTGTGTGCTGTTGCTTCATTCGCCGGAGCATGATTTGGTCCGTGATGAGACGGAGCTTCTCCAAGCCATCTTTGCGTTGTTGCACAGACTTTCCCTCAACGATTGGATTGAGAATTTCCTTGTTGAATATGGAAATATGCATGAAACCAGTGTGTTTACACTCGGTACAACGCCCGTCTTTAGTCGAGGTCCACTGCAGTTTTTCACATTCACACTGCTTGCAGAAGTAGCACGCGAATGGCTTGACTTGCAGAAAGCGTAGGAGGGAAAAAAACTCCCCAATACGGTTTTGTACAGGGGTCCCGGACAGACACCATTTGTACGTAGCCTCCAAGGCAAAGCATGCCTTGGCAACACTCGTGGTACGCGACTTGATACTATGCGCCTCATCAAGAATGAGGCGATGGTAGTGAACTGAATGGATGACACTGTCTGCCTTGACCATGGTTTCGCCGCGAGACCAGCCCTTCTCCTGCTTGCGATAGATGGACTCGAGACTGGCATAGGATATCATGATGACATCGTAATTGCGAATGTCAGCTGTGGTCAGCTTCTTGACTTTCGCATCAGAGTTGTGGTAGACCAAGACCTTCAGCTTGCCATCCGTGTAATCCTTGATCTCTGATACCCACTGCATCAATGCGACCGGTGGCACGAGAACAAGAGTCGGGTCAGGCTGGGGAAAATCGGACATAATCAACGAGACTGCTTGGATGGTCTTTCCCATGCCCATCTCATCACCCAATAAACCACCCCTATATTGAGTCTTTTCCTGTTCTATCATCCAGTTCAATCCCTCCAGCTGGAATGGCTTGAGTTTGCGAGTTATGGAGGCAGGCTGTTTAGCCGGCTTTGGTTGGATAGTCGGCTGAGATTTGAGCACATCCCACATGGTGCTGACTACGGGATGTCTGCTCTCCAGGTTCTTCCGGTCTTTTTCCACCTTATTGCGGGTCAGCGGTCTGAGGCTATAAGAAGATATATTCCAACTTACACGTCGCGCTTTCCGCTCCTCCTCATAATGTCGGTGCCAAGTTTCTTCAACATCCTCATGATCGGTAGGCCAACCCTCTAGGGGGTCCTCCAGGATATCTGAATCAGCATCCCCGGAATGGAGTGCCGATAAATCACTGCTTGAAGGAGAAGACAAAGCAGGCCTGGTGGCTTGGTCTGAGTCATACTCGGTGGATTCGAAAGGGACGTTGGAGAGCGCACGCTTTGGTGTTGTTTCGCGCGGATTCTCGTACTCCTCCATTTGTAGGGCATGGGCTAAAGCGGCATCGGAAACCTCAGGGTCGGAGTTGGTCGAGGCGGTACGTGTGGCCCCTGTTGCCGCCCTTTTTTTGCGTGTGTGAGCTAGTGGCACATCGGAGCCATCGTCATCCTCCACCGAAGCGGGTGCGGAGCGTTTTCTTCCTCTTGTGACTCCGAGCGACAATGCGCTCGACTGTAGTCGCTTGGTACGATCAGCTGCATTGACACGCGCCGTAGCTTTAGCGTTGGAGCCACTAACTCCAGCACCGACGCTAGTAGCTGGGGTACTATAGCCCGGGGACAAATTCTCCAGTGAACTTCGAGAATTGGAATTTGAGTCACTAGGTGAGTCGTTTTTTGTCGGTACGACCACCGCAAGTCTGGCCGAAGCGGAATTGCTTGGTGCCACAGAGCCTGAAAGACTGACATCGTCATCCTCCTCTGCCTCGGAATCTTGGATGACGCGAGACCGAGATCGAGAAAGGGATGACCCACCCACTCGCGGGGCAACCGATCGACTCGACCTACGGAGGGGGGATGAATTCTTCAATGACGTCTCACTGAAATGTGAATCATCCTCCGAATCAGGTATTGTGGCCCTGGATCTCAACCTATGCCTCATGATGTTGTTCAAATCGAAGTATCAGGGTAGGCGCGGGATATATAACGACGGGTTTCGAATAACAATCTGCGCTATAGCAACTGAGTCAGCCTGTCTCGAGAAAGAGATTTGCAAAAGAAAGGGGGATGTACGTACGAAGGCTTAACTGATGTGCTGCAAAAACAGGATAGTTGGAAAGAGCGAGAGAGAGTTAGGAAAGGAGAACGAGAGTGATGAAGAGAGTAGGAGAAGGAAGGTGAATTGAAAAGAGAGAGTCTACACAGTACAGTAGTGGAAAACAAGAAATGATTGATCGATTTCAGGAGAGAGAGAGAGGAGAGAGGAGAGAGAGACGAGGGAAGAGTGTGTCGGGAGAGGCAGCAGAGGCTGCAGAGCAGGTGCCTGAACCAGAAAATTTCTTCTCCGATTTCCCAGTTTCTTCCCTCTCCCTTTGATTTGTTTCTTCCCTCTCTCTCTCTGAATAATTATTGTCGATCTCCTTGAATCACAAGATCATCCATCACTTTGACCCTTTCCCCATCGTACGGAATACCCATCTTCCTCTTATCGTCCAGACCCTCAGATAAGAAATATCGCGGGCGCGTTAAGTGAAACGCGAAATTGCCACGGGTCCAGTGACTTGGGGGCCTAGACCTCGGAACTCGACACCTCCATACATTCTCGAATAATGTGAGTGACCTCTTTCATATTATATATAATATAGTTATATGCAGTTGAAGCTAAGCTAATATCTCTGAAGGGCGAGATCCAGACAGACAAGACCAACCCAGTCGCAGGGTATTCGGGGCCCGTAGGTGTTGTTTCCCTTGACCTAAGTTCACAACTGACCGCAATTACAGACACTCCGCCTTGACTGACTATCTTGCTGTATGTTGACAACCCTCTATTCAACAGGATGTTGACTAACCCTTCTAACCCAGTCGAATAACATCTCAGCGCAACAAATTCGAACTGACTGGGACCGGCGGCAAGCGGAGGCATTACGCCAGGCTACCGAGCAAGAACCATCTGTTACAGCTGAGCAATCTCAGTCTCCGCCAGTGCCAACCTCACCAGAAGATGCGGTTAAGAAGCGCAAGCGTCAGCAAGCTATCGCAAGGATCAAAAACAGCAAGGAATTCGCTAGGCGCAAGGCTCGTGGGGGTTACGATGATGACTCCGACGATGACCTTGCAATCGAGATCCACGAAGAACAGAATCGACGGAAACCGGGTCAGTTCGCGAACTGTGAGATATGTGACAAGCGTTTCACGGTGACTCCCTACAGCAAGACTGGCCCGGATGGCGGTCTGCTCTGCAATATTTGTTCCAAGAAGCAGAAGGACGATAAAAAGAAGCCGCCAGCGAAAAGGCGTGCTACAGGAATCGGCCGACGCCAGAATCAATCCAACTTGCTCGACGGGTTAACTCCTCATGGCACTCAAAGTTTACTAGAAACCTGCATCAAGGTATGTTCCTGAGAAATTTAGGACACTGTTCGGGAGGTGCTAATTAACTTGCAGAAAGTGGCTGATTATATCCATGACATCGAAGACTTCGGTGATTTGCCTCCCTCATTGCTGCTGCGTCTCGGTCAGATCTTGTCCAGAAGACGGGCTGTGACTCCACGGACCTTGGATCTGTTTTTACGGCCCCAATACACATCCATTGACTTGTTTGACTGTGCTAGTAAGTTAGGCTTTTCCATTGGATCTGGTATTTTGTTGCGACATGAAGGTTAACTGGTGTTAGAACTCGACACGAATGATTACCACAAGATACTAGCTTCCATGCCCCGTCTTACAAGGGTCAACCTTCGGTTCACCACGCCAATGAAGGATCAAGTATTCCATTACATGATGGAGCGTGATATGAACATCAAAGATCTTCATCTAGATGGTGCGAACCTGGTGACTGACGACTGTTGGCGCCAGCTTTTCACGAAACTTGGTCACCGGTTCCTGAGCCTGAAACTGTGGAACCTGGATTCAGCTTTTGATAACGAGACTGCCAAAGTGATGTGTCTTCAATGCCCCGATCTTCAACGTTTGAAATTGAAGTTTCTTCATAAACTCGACAATGATATGCTTGCAGAGATCTCCACGCTGAAATCCCTTCAACATTTATCCCTGCGTTTCATGAGAGAGACCGAGATTGAGACCGAACCCGTCCTCCAGATTGTGGCTAGCGTTGGCTCTCAGCTCAGATCGCTGTCCCTAGAAGAGTTCGAATTTGTTGATGACCGACTCCTTCAGCATCTCCACGAGCATTGTCGTCTCCTGACCAAGCTTCGTCTAACCCTCAACTCGACTTTCACCGACAAAGGCCTCGCTGCTCTCTTCACAGGTTGGTCGAACCAGGCCCTCACCTATGTGGACCTGCACTCTCTCCGGGATGTGGATATGACGAATCCCGATGGACCCGAGGAGCCTATTGGTCTTGCTTCCGATGGTTTCATTGCTCTCATGGAACATTCAGGTTCAAAGGTTCAGCACCTGAACATCGCCTCGTGCCGTCATGTTTCATACAAAGCGTTCGAGCAGGTTTTTGCGGAGAACAAATTGTACCCGAAGCTCAACTACCTTGACATATCCTTTAGCACTGTTGTCGACGACTACCTGATACAGTGTATTCTCCGATGCTGCCCGGCTCTCCAGAGACTAGTTGTGTTCGCTTGCTTCAAGATTCGCGACGTTCATATCCCCAGGGGACTTGCTCTGATCGGTACAGTGGGTGCGACCATCAAAATTGACGGGATCACTCAGACTGAGACCATTTGAATACTGGGTTTTCTCAATCATTATTGTCTATCGGTTTTGTTTTGTCAATAGCCGAGATACCTAATTCGAAGCTCGAATGGTTGTAGCATTCTAGACATTGTGACAAAGCAGAAATTCTCTACACATTATGAGGTTCGTTCGGTTCGCTCTAATCCAAGCAAGAGAATTTGATCCATTCAATTTCATATGGATTTTACATCAAACGCCATAAACATGTGCCATTGTATTCACCGACAAGATAATGCTATGCCATCCGCTTGCCAATCTCACTCTGCCAGCCTCGCGTCCTCTCGAATCCATTAGATGCGGTCTGGAAGTCGAGCATCGCCTGGTAGACCTCCTCCTGGGTGTTCAGCACAAAAGGTCCATACTGCACAACCTTCTGGTCCAGCGGCTGACCAGCCACGAGGAAAATACGGGAGTCCTTGTCTGCGTTGTCCGGGACCGAGAGTTCAACAAAGTCACCAGCCTGTTCGAATACGACGTTGGTGAATTCCTTCACAATGCGAGTGGAATCGTTCGAGCCAAAGACCGTCTCACCAGCCAAGGTGTATGCAAATGAGTTCCAGCCTTGTGGTAAGGGCTGTGAGACACGGCCGCCAGGCTTAATGGTGATATCAAGAATCCAGACTGGGGTGTATGCCAAGTCGCGAACGGAGTCAACACCATGCGACTGACCAGAAATGACCTTGATCTGGACACGGCCATCATCGATCGTGGCGAGAGGGATCTCAGCAGCCCGAAGGTCACGGTAGCGGGGCTCACAGAACTTCAGCTTCTGGGGAAGATCAACCCACAACTGCATACCGACGTTGGGGCTACCGTCCGCGTTTTCGTGCGGCATCTCGGCGTGCATGATGCCGCGGCCGGCAGTCATGAACTGCAGATCACCGGGCCCAATGGTGCCCTTGTTGCCAGCGAAATCTTCATGATCAACTCCGCCGGACAATAGATAGGTGATGGTCTCCTGGCCACGGTGTGGGTGATCTGGGAAGCCAGCGCCCTTGCCGATGGTGAAGTGGTCGAGCATGAGAAAAGGGCTGAAGTTGCGGAGCTTAGCAGTACCGATGGAGCGGCGCACGCGTGCACCTGCGCCTTCTGCTTGCTCAATAGCAAGGAATGCCTGTCGAATTGCGCGGGGGACGGCCATTTCTGTGATAGGGAAGACTGTGGGAGTCAGGGTATCGAAACCGACGTTGGGGTCTGTTTGATTGCCAAAGATTGCCAAAAGAGACTTCGGCAGGATAAGAGCTGGTTGGATATATGCGACGAAAGTGTCTTTGATAGAAGGGTTAATTGTAAGAAAGATTGCTGCGATGCAAATTAGAAAAGGCAGAAATAGTTTCATTGACGAGATGCCGGGTATTTATATGAAGCACAATAAACAATTGAAGATTGTAGAATGTTCTTATGTATTGGAAGGTCAGCGTTAGTCAATCTCTCATAAACCTTTTGTAGTCCTCGACGAGTTCCACAACCAAAGGGAACTGCTTTGCAAGACATCAGTCAGCGCGATCTCATTGGCTTGATTTTCCCAAGTTCCGACCGGGACCGAGCTCGGAAATGACTAAGGTTCTTGTCAGCAGCCGCTAATCATGGAGCTAGCCGTATATGGCTAGCGTTGATTCCTTATGAATGAGCCTATGAGGTACACAAATGCTGAGATCAGCATTTCAAATCAGCTGACCTTGAAGATTGAGTTGAGAGTTCCGTACGGAGTACACAATAGATGGGACTTGGGAGTAGAGCGGGGATGAAACGCTGTATGTCTATGACGATGATAGCACATTAGATACGTGCGAACCGACGACCGTATAGCAAAGAGAAGACAATGCTCATGATCAATTACCTTGCACTCGAGGTCGTTGTGTACTTCGTCACCTGGGACCTGGATTGGGCTTATCAGATAAGGCCACGGAGCAGCTGCCGCTCTCCACAGCCAAACCTCTGACGCGCAGCCGACTGCGTACGTTGTAGGCATCTGATTGAGACCAAGTCGTTTGTGTTCTTCTCATATTTACACTAACTCTATATCGGTGTGGTTTTTATGATTAACCCTTACTATTGCCGGATTGAAGCCTCTTGCGACAAAGGTCTTGCGCGGGGAAGCTTCAGAATACCCGACACCCAAAGCCCCAGTATTCCCTCGCCATTCTTGGTCTCCTGTGGCCTCTGATCCGAGCTGATCGCAAAGATGAGCCGGTCACCAAGATTGTCACCGTGGCTGGTGGTTGCCTGTGCTATTACCGGCGCTTGGGCGAGCAAGAAGCCGTTCAACATTAATGACGATATTCTGGCCTATCCCCAGGTAGGTAATATATGCCTTATACATGTCAATCAATAAGATACTGATTTTGAATGCTGCTCATAGTTCCAAGTGACATTCCCCGAGGAATATGTGCTTGAATCTCACGCCGAGGCATTGCTCCAGTCTCAGGCCAGCCCCAACGTCGATGACCAAAATAATCCCCAACTTTACAGGGGCAAAGGGCAAACCGATTCTGCCGAACATCTTGTGGATGGATCTCCATTTACCTATGAAGAAATGGTACTTGAGGATCGGCGACTTCTCTGCCAGATCCCCCGCGTCGCACAAGACGACCACAATACAACGAGAGACCAAGAACAAGGCAAGGTCGACGAACAAAAAGAATTAGCTCGTGCAACAGATCGTGGCCTGGAGCTCTTACGCGAGATGGAAGGAAAATGCATGTATTATTTCTCCGGCTGGTGGTCTTACTCCTTCTGTTATCAGAAGCAGATTAAGCAATTCCATGCACTCCCCGCTGGTCGCGGTGTCCCACACTATCCGCCAATTGAAGATACCGCGACTCATTCGTTCATATTGGGGAGATTCATTGATGACAGGGATGAAGACAAGCCATCTGCCGGATCAGACGTGGCAGAGCTTCATACTAAGGGTGGCTCACGCTACCTGGTTCAACACCTACGTGGCGGGACCAAGTGTGATTTGACGGGACGTGAGCGCAAAGTGGAAGTGCAGTTCCACTGCCATCCACAGTCGACAGATCACATCGGCTGGATTAAGGAGCTTACCACGTGCTCGTATCTGATGGTCATCTATACCCCTCGTCTATGTGATGATGTTGCTTTCTTGCCACCACAACAGGACGAAGTGCACAATATTGAGTGCCGTGAAATCTTATTGCCCGACGAAGTCACCGAATGGGAAGCTATCAAAGAGTGGTACATGGTTAACCACCTCGCCGATGGAGCTACAGACGCTGAGGCGGATGCCACTCACCCTGAGCTTCCGATAATTGGTGGAATTGAAGTTGGAGGGCGCAAGCTTGTCGGTATGGAAGGCAAAGTGATTGAAAGGGGACGTGTGGCATCCGCAGGCGAAGAGCGAGTGGAGGTGGTCGCGAAACGCGAGAATGGTGAGATTCGCAAAGTGTCCAAGCAGGTCCTAATAAAGTACGATCTTGACCCAGAGAAAGTCGAAGAGATGAAAAGACTACTGGAAGAACAAGCAAATGGCAAGGACTGGACGTTGGAGGTCGTGGAAAGCAACGGCGTGATCAAGTTCCAAGGCATCCTCGAGGAAGAAGACGAGGACTGGAATGTCGATTCTTCTCCAGCGAAACCTCGCGAGGGAAAAGCCTCCGAGAACTCCGCGGCCCAGAAGCCCAAGAAGCAAGGAACAGAGCCGGTTGACAAGCCCAAATCGAAGCAATCTTCGGAGAAGCCTCGAGGAAGCGAAGGGAGTGAGGAGACTTTTAAAGATGAACTATGATCCTGTATACTAGTCTTTGTACATGTTTGGATACTTGCAATTGAAGCAGCACCCACACCAGCGAAATCAATTTTCCTGTATACTGTTCTCTGCCCATCGACCTAAGCCAGGCACAGCCGCACAGGGCCCGTTAGCTTCATGCCCAAAGACGTCAGTCGCCCCAGTTGCCGAGGACCCGAGTGGGGGGGGCGCACTCAAGAATAGGGATATATGAAGATTAAGATGTAGAAGGAGTAAGTGTAGTGAAATTAGAGATCAAACCTGCAACAGTCAATTGGAGTATGAAATACTGTGTAGAGAACGAATGTCACAGTAAAACTCACGTTGAAGGTAGGCAACGTGACTCTCCGTAAACTCCTAGCGATCGCCTGGCCCACCTTCCTACCCTCTCCCTCTCCCTAATCCAACTTCACCCTCTTCCCTCTCTTCTCTTTGTTCCTCACTCCCTTGCGCCTAGACTTGCGTCTATACCTCGGCGCATTCCGTTATCTCATTACCTCTACTCAACAGCCCCCCTGCTTCGCGCACTTAGGAGCGCCAAGGCTGACCGAGCAACGGCCAGCGTCACCAATTACGGGCCCCCCACCCCCTCCAACTACACTTCAGCCTACGGGAATCAGAGCTGGCACATTTAGACGCTAATCCCCGCAGCGAGAGTTTGGTCCTAGCTAATTGGTGCTGTGGGACCACAAGCTATCTCCAGCATGGGGTTCATCGGTGTCTGTTCGGCTCTGTACGACTACCAGCCACAAGGAGAGGGTGAACTTGAGATTCATGAGGGCGACCTCCTCTATATTTTGGAAAAGAATGCGGACGATGACTGGTGGCGAGCTAAGAAGAAGGCCGAGCGGGAGGACGAGGACGAACCCGAAGGTCTAGTTCCCAACAACTATGTCGAAGAGGTGAGTCCCATTCAATGCGCAGGCTGCACAGTGTGGCCATTTGCTGATTCTAGATGAAATAGGCGAAACCAGCGCACAAAGCCACAGCCCTCTTCGATTACACGCGACAGACAGACGAGGAGGTTTCGTTCTCAGAAGATGCCGAGTTGATGGTGTACGACGTTTCGGATCCGGATTGGACTTTGGTTGGGACCGGCTCTGAATATGGATTTGCACCATCGAACTACATCGAAATAATCAAGGATGCCTCTGCTTCAGCTAGTGTTTCTTCTCCGACTTCTGCTCGAGCCGAGCCTGCTGCGCCGTCGCTTCCACAACGGCCAACGCAAGCTGCTCCAGAAGAAAGTGAAGAGTCTCCTGCTGCTTCTCCTGTCAATGTGTCTCATAACCCCGCTGCTGCTGCGATAGCCAGTATCATCCATAGACAGCATGCCCCCGCGGGTCCTACCGAGATCGAGGCGAGCAGAGATGAGCCCCCGCCACCCAGTCTTCCAGTCCGGCCATCATATGATCAAGCAGGGGAGCGAGATGAATCTCCTCCCCCTAGCCTCCCGCGTCGAACCCCTTCAGAGCAGGCATCCCCGTCTATAAATCGTTACTCGCCCGACCCGACTCCGCCACCCCGCCCCCAACAAGCGGTGCCCGCGATGGGTCGTGATGGCACACATGTTAAAGCTTCCCCACCTTACAACCGGGCGGGTGAGCTAACGCCGCGGTCACCTTCTGGCTATCATATCTACAACATCAATGAGATGGTAGAGGTGATGGGCAAGAGAAAGAAGATGCCGACGACACTGGGAATCAACATGGTAACCGGAATTATCTTCATCTCTCCCGAAGGCGACGATCGGCAGCAAGAATGGACTGCGGAGAAGCTCACTCATTACTCAATCGAAGGAAAGCACGTTTTTGTGGACCTTGTTCGACCCAGCAAGAGCATCGACTTTCATGCCGGTGCCAAAGACACCGCTCGCGAAATTGCAGCGGCACTGGGCGAAATTGCTGGTGCATACCGGGCAGAAGGTTTACGTGAGGTCCTCGAGGCAGGCGAAGGCAGCGGTCCAAAGAAGGGACAGATTCTGTATGACTTCATGGCCCAAGGCGAGGATGAAGTCACAGTAGCTGTGGGCGATGAGGTCATCATCCTCGATGATACCAAGTCCGAAGAGTGGTGGATGGTGCGGCGCCTGAAGAACAACAAGGAAGGCGTTGTCCCCAGCAGCTACGTTGAAGTTACAGGACTGATACCAAAGGCACCGCTCATGCCTGCGGAACCAGGCCTTTCTACCGTAGAAAAGAACCGTATGGAGGAGATGCGGCTGAGCAAGCTTGCATTGGGCAAGTCGCGGACAGACTCGATGGATTCATCCGATCGCCACAGCAAGCGTGACAGCAAAATCAGATCGAAGCCTGATATGAGCAAAGTGCGCAAGTGGACGGATCGGACCAAGGACTTCACAGTGGAGGCGCAGTTCATAGGTCTTCAGGATGGTAAGATCCAGCTTCACAAGGTGAACGGAATCAAGATCGCCGTCCCTGTCTCAAAGATGTCTGTTGAAGATCTGGAACATGTGGAGAGGGTTGCTGGGGTCTCGCTTGACGAGGATAAACCTCTTTCGAGCATTCGACCTCGGGTGGCCAACAACAAAGAATCCAAGGCTGGGGCTTCCGTGCAACGTCCTGAATACGATTGGTTTGACTTCTTCCTTAAGGCTGGAGTGGGGCCACATCGGTGTGAGCGATATGCGCAATCCTTTAACAAGGATGCAATGGACGAAACTGTGCTACCGGACATCACTCCTGAAATTCTTCAGACCCTGGGACTGAATCAAGGTGATACCTTGCGGGTAATGAAGGTCTTGGATGCCAAATACGGTCGTACGCCGGACAAATCCAAAGCGCGAAACGTTAGTTTCGGTGGCGAAGAAGTCATCGGTAATGGCGAGGAGGGTGGACAAGGTGGTCTCTTTTCTGGACCTGGTGGGGTATTGCGCAACAATACTCGCAGGGCAAGACCAACGCCAAGCGTTCAAGCAGGAGAAGTCGATCCGAAAGTGTTTGGACAGGGCGAGGAACCGAAATCGCCAGATAGTGCGGCGAGTCCACCACCCTCTGCAGCAGCTGAAAAGCCTGCTGCGCGCGGATTTGATGATGACGCTTGGGAGGTTAAACAGCCGAAGCAGCCTGCTAGACCATCTGCGGCCACCCCGACCCCGCCGCCCGTAGCGCCTCAGGTTTCTCAGCCTACAGGGGCAATGGCAGATCTAACGTTGCTCCAAGCACCTCTGCAGCCTACTCCCGCACAGCCTACTGGTACTGCGCAACCCACCCCGCCGATGCCAGCTCTACAGCCACAGGCAACTGCCGTGCAATCGCCGACTGTACAGCAACCTCAACAAACAGGTGCCACTCCGAGCTTATTTGCTCAAGTGGCACAGATTGGACAGCACCAGCAGACTGGGTTGCAACAGTCACAGGCTCGACAACGCCCACAACCCCCTCAAGCAGTTGGACAAAACTCACTTCTGCCTCCACCTCCGCAGCGCCCGCTATCCGCGCCGCAAAACGTCTCGCCACAGCAGAATCCGTTCGGTGCTCCCCCGTTGCAAGCTCAACTCACTGGATTGCCTCAAATGGGTCCTGCGGTAGCTCCTCCTGGTCAGAGTCTGAGCGAGCTGAACCAACCGCGTTACCAGCTTACGATGCAGCCGCAAGCAACAGGATACATGGGTCAGAACCAATATCAGACCGGCTTGATGCCGCAGCCCACGGCATTCACTCCGCAATCTCAGTTTGGTATCCAGCAGCAACAGCAGCCGCCGTTTGGTGGTCAGATGGTTCCTCAACAAACAGGTTTCCAAGGGATTGGGCCACAGCCCACAGGCTTCGGTGGATATGGGCAACTACAACAACCCATGCAGACCGGTATAAACTCTGTTCTTCCGCCCGCATTGCAACCTCAGCCCACTGGTGCGAACGGCTTCGGGAATCACTATACATCTCCGCCGCCCGTGCCGCCAATTCCCCAACAACCGACGGCCGCCCCCCTATCACCGCAGAAGACAGGCCCGGCTCCCCCCATCAGATTTGGTGTCAAACCGGATGCTCCCAAGAAGCTTCAGTCACAGCCGACTGGCCTCAGAGCCAACCTTGCGCAAGCTAGTAAGTGTTCGCTTTTCGATATCATTGCAAATCAACACAAAATTAACATTCTCAACAGCCCCCAATAATCCATTCGGCTTTTAATCTGCTCCTGCATTCGTCCGTGTTCGCATATTATATCTTGGTTTCCTGGCAATTCCCCTACCTCGCCCTGCAATTTTGTTCATTTTGTGGCTGAAATGTGCATTCTTCATTTTGCAGCTTGTCCCTTTGAGCCTCTTGGAATTGACATGTGTACATATCATGGCTCTGGTCGTTATTTGATGCAGTGCGTATCGAAGCTCACGCCACGAATCCTCTTTTCTCGTTTCATTTCTGGAAATTCGCTGCACTTAGCGAGCTATCCCATATCCCTTTCCCTGTGCTCTTTGACAGTTCTGGTCATGCCTCTCATATCTTGCATCTATCATTGTCTCTAGCCTATTCCCACATAACCCGTGTACGGTGATGCTTATTGGCTGGATGCCCTCTTTTTGCCCTTTCCCTTTTCTTTTGTCGTCTAGATGGCCCGCTTTTGATTCTGTTCTCCATTTACCGGCTCACACATAATTCATCAATCAGTCGGCATTCTCCGTCTCCCACGCACCCAGCTCTGTGAGGCAGTAAACACTACCCAGATCGGGCTCTTCACTCTTCCTAAAAGAGCGTGAACGTCCTCAGGGCGAACCATGGGCATATAATGACTCGATTGAGATTATACAAGGCTCCGATTGTGTCTTCTCTTCTCTTGTTTGTCCTTGGTACACAACAGGCGAATCACAGAGCCTATACTTCCCACCACTAGGTGGGTGGGACTCTTATGGGCATAAGAGATTTGGTCGTCGTTTCTTGCTGTATTTTCCAGTTCTAGGTTACTGCCTGAGCTGAACATACCAGTTGTCTTGCACAAAAGTATATACAGAGGCAGATCGGTACTTGTATGAATTGCAGTTGCATATATGCTGTATGGAAGTGCTACTGGGCGGGCTGGGGTACCTTAAAGCCGGGCATCAGATCAACCCCGGTTGTCCTGTTAAATGTACACCTGGGCAGTGCCCGATGAAAGAACACTCTCCATTCGCTTGTTTGGGGTATATAATTGACCACGCTTTTCCAATAGCCATGACTACAAGGGGATCCTCGCGTCATAAAGATTTGATAGTAAAACAGAAAAAGATAGAAAGAAACTCACTAGCCCGTGCCATATCAGCGCCGGCACACCGGCTACCCATTGAAGATTTCAAAATTGATCGAGGAGATTTCACAGATCCTAAACAGCCTTACTGAGTATATCTCAGGGTTCGTCTCCCCAGATACCGAAGACCGGGAGATCCTCGGCCATATAAAGCAAGCCATTACCGGAGAACATCATGTCAGAAAGTGGGGATGGGCCAGACGCCGGGGGCACGCCCGAGGGAATGGTGCCGCCCGGCGAGCAGCCCACCGGGATTCCAGAGGTGGTCAACGCAGAGATGGCAGCATCGTAGGACAGCCCTCCAGTGGCATCTGAGTCATTGCACAAGGCTTCCCAAATACCATTGTCGAAAGATTGAGGTTGAGGGGTTGGTTGGCAGGGCATGTCTGAGGATGCATTTACGCCAGGCATTATGCGAGGCGAGGTAGAAGATGACACGCGGACGGATGCAGAGGATCGGGCATTCGTTGGGCGATCAGAGGAAGGATCCTCACTACCGCCTACTTGGCCGAAGAGTTGATCGACCTGTTTGCTGCGCTGGTTCATCCATTGGCGGTTTCGGCGCGAGACGTACTCGGCTATAGCAGCACGGAGATATTTGGTGATCTGGAGAAAGCGGCATGCGTGAGGATCGTGTGGAACGAAAAGCTCCAGGAATCGTTCGGCTTTGTTGATTCCTTCTTCCAAGGGAAGGAGATTGTCATAGTCGGCGAAAAAGGCAGCACCAATAACAATGACACAATTGAAAACAGAGTTGATCAAGAAGGGCAGTCGGCGCGGAAGGGAGGTACTATCGCTGAAATCATTCACCACATCCAGACCACGCAGTGCAGAATAGACGCATGCATCGGCAAACAAGGATATGCGAGAGCTGCCATTTTGACCTTCAGAAGGAGGAGATGAACTAGCTTTTCCCTTGATATACTGGGCAACACGATAGATGAGGAACGGCCGGGTCAACAAGATGATCGACCAGTAGTAGGACCCGAAAACGTGGGCTGCAGCCAGACTGCTTTCCATAGATTTGTGTTCAGGCCGCTCAATCGGCATTTTGAGGATCGTTGGAAGTGTGCGAACCCAAGCTCGATGCTGGTTTGATATGGTCTCAGCAACATTGATTGATATGACTTGTTTCATATAGACCTCGGTCAAGATCTGTTCGAATATCCGACAAAGTGAGATGACAGCAGCGGAAAGTTGCTGATCCGGGGTCAACTGACGCTGTGCTTCTCCTGGCGCAGGAGTGTCATCACGTATGTCATGGTCGTAGTCAGAAGTTGCAGGAGGGCGGCCGAGGGAGGCACTGAGAAACAGGTCCATCATGCGGAGACTCTTCCAAACTCGTTCTCTCGCTCGGCGCTCACGCCCACAAAAGAGCGCATTTGCATCTTTGCGGTGAATTCCTACTGCATACGCAGCACGCAGAGCTACTCCAAGGTTCATAAATGCGCCATTACGCCTGCAAGCGCCGAGCATGTACATGGAGACCAGGATGTACGACTGGATGGTGTAAATGCTGGGAGTCTCCTGAAAGGCTGAAAAGGCCAATTGACGACCGCTTCCAAAATACTGTTCAGCTACAGTCTGATCAAGCTCGGCAACCTGAGCTCCAATGGCGAGGACAAGATAGAAGATGGAGCTAACGGTATCCTCATCCCCCGAGGGGTTTGCAACCCAATTGGTTAATCGTGGGTGAAATTCTTCCAGGTCAAATAGGTCTAACAACGGGCTCGTGGCAAGTACAAACTGACGAGCTAGGCGATGGGCTTCTTCGTTGCTCGGTGGTGTAGCTAGAGGCCCAGATTGGGTGCTCGGATTGCGCTGAAATGCTTCCAGCATCGAGTGCCGTGAATTGTCTTCGGTGAACTCGCATCGGCCAATGGAAGACATAACGACCCGACGCACACTTTGCAGGAATGACAGACTCGCCGAATCACCAATATACATGAACTTCCCTTGGCCATCGCGCAGAAGTCGTGCCACTTTTGGCACCGGAGCCGTTCCCTCCCTCTCGTTCTTTGATTGATGTTCCATATTCATTCGTTGATCCTCGAGAGAATCCAAAAGACCGTCCATTGCGGTTTCCCTCTGTGGAGATGCCACTATGCGCTCACTAAGCAACACCGTCGAGTCCTTGTCCTTCCCATCTAGTTTGAGTAGACGTGCCGGCCGATCCGAGAAATGGCATTCCGACTCCTTGTGCCTCTGGACACAGATTGTACAAGGTTGTTCGCCGTTACATTTCTGTTTTCGCCGCTTACAGCTGTCGCAGGCTCGCCGGCATCGAAGCCGTGATCCGGGGGTGGTAATAGCTCGAGGCATCCCGCTCGCCGCGCTTGCGTTTGGTGAATAGGTCCGGGTCAGTCGTTCGGGCTTTCAGTGATGATCATTGAGGCGTAAGATTTCTAGACCATCTTGACGAAAAGTAGTGCTTTCGATCAAGTCAAGCCATTGCTTTGATGCATATCAGATACGCTTTCAGGGTCAGAATGTCAAGGTCGACTATCCCTAGGAAGAGGTACATACGCGCCTCTGTTTAGGTGAGAGGTTTCGCCCTCGGGGCGGGGTCCCCGCCAAACTCAGATTACTAAACACAATCCAGCCCGCCGATCCCGCCACAGACCAGACAAGTATCAAGACTGTCTACGGAGTAGATAGCTTGTACAACACGCGATAGACGGGTTACTACAGGATGGAGCTGTATACAGACATTTGGCCCCGACGGATCCATTGACGGAAATACACGTGTCTTTCACCTCCCAATCAGGGCCGGAACGACACTATCTTGCCCCAGGTCGTGGCAGTGCCCCAGATGCCAGTCCGCAAGCACTCTAGCTGCACAATCTGGCTGTGATCTACGAAAAGGTTGACATCAATCCCGAACTCCCGGATATACCAATTGAAAACCTTGGGGTCGGCAGCTTCGAACATCACACGCTCGGGAGGAAGCTCCTTCATGATCTTCGACACCACATCAGTCCGCCAGGATTTGACATTCTCGGTGATACCCTCCGATTCGATCATTAATCGCTTCACACCGGCATCTAGGAACTTATGGCCCAAGTTGACCAACTTGCCAGGATCAGAGGTCCCAATTGCCTCAAGGCCAGAGGCAGGGGTGTCTCCGCCGGCTCCAAATTGAATTCCTAGTTCCGGCTTGGCTTCCAACTTGTATGAGTGGACCTTGTCGACGAGTCGGAGCCAGTCGTCGTCGGGGATTGAAAGGAAACCGGAGGACAACTCGACGACATCAAGCCTACGGATAGGACTCGTCAGACTCCAGGTTATACCCTGAACATCGCTGGGTACACCTACCCGAGATCCTTGCATTTCTTCAAATAGCGGTCAAACACTGCATTTGAATCAGGGTGTGTGAGGAGGTGCTCAGCCCATCCACCCTACCATATAGAAGTTGATTGTTAAGAGTACGCTTCCAAATGTGTTAGCTCAAGACACTCTTACCGTCGAGACATACACGCCGTGCTCGTGGGCTAGGTCAACCACTTCACGCAGTGCTTTCTCCTGAAATAGAGAAAACGAGCCTAGGTAGCGTACAACAAGGTCAATTACTGTGATACTTGGAGTCTCATTTGTACTGACCTCCCGCAAACTTCAGGCCATCCACATGATTGCCCATTCTATCCACATTGGTCAGATACCATCTCGTTAGCGGGGATTTATGTGGGACATTACGTCTCGAGGATATCTGCCAGGTATCTTTTGCCCATGACCTGGCCTGGATTAGCTTCACAACATTGTCGACACAGGGACTGTATGCGCCTACCGAGTAGTATGGGCCTCGGATCTCAGTCACTCCCTTGATCCTGGGCTTGGCAGGTCTGGGATTTGACCGGGCAAAGCCAAAGCCATTCTGTTTATCTTGTAGAAGAGTGGCCCCTTGAGATACGATCGGGGTGGTAGAGAAATATTGAGATTGAGTCGACAGAGCAACATTGGCCATCTGGGGGGTGCGACTCAACACACGCCCACCGGCGACTTTCAGTGGACTACTAACGCACAGCATAGGGTTGGATAGTTGCAAGAGAAGTGGTTTGAAGACAAAGTCACTACTGAGGTGTACACAGTATATTGCGGTTAACTATTTAACGTCATACATAGTTCATCAGAATCCAGACAATATTGACCTAGTCTCGGGGCCTCAGACTGACGACACCCGCGGTAGTCTTCTCCGATTTCTAGCCTTGATTTTAAGGCATGAGTTCTTTCGGCGTTCTCCCACTTCGGATCTATCCTTCTCTACTGTACTCCATCGAGACCAGAAAGTTTAGAGTGGAGTCCGGGTGGTTCGGGATCGGAGTTAGGCATCCGAAACTCTTATGTACATAACCTGTTTATGTGTGTTAATGCCAAGTTTCAATCCCCCTTTACCTTGGGTTCACATCGAGATCGAGCTAAATCGTAATTCAAACTGCGACTCAAGTTCTTGGACTCATTAGAAGAGCTGTTAAAACACAGGAGAAAGTAAGAAATTAAGAACGAGAGCACTCATGAGAGCATGAGAGAGCACTTATGAGACTTATGACTCGCCTGTCCCCATCGCGGGCGCCGTTGCCGAGAGCTAGTTCAGCCTTGTGGGTCTTTTGTATGGACTTTAGTTGGGTCAAATTTTGATGCCTGCACGATTCGCTGGTGTTTCAAATAGAGAAAAAAAAAATAAAATAAAAGAAAAAACAAAGAAAAAACAAAGAAAAAAGAAGTTGTCTGGTGACTGATTCCGAATTCTTCCCTGGCACCTGGCTAGGGTCAGTCTTGTGAACACAACCACTCAACCAGGGAAATTACACTTCCCCTCTCCATCTTTCCCCAAGTCTCCCATTCTTCAAGGATCGCTTTCATAACCTTACGGAAATTCTATTCATTTTCTTCCCTCTCCTCCATTGCCCTTGGATGGTACGTAGGTGTTGGTCGGTTTCATACTCATCATGGGAGCCGGGGCGATCATAGAGCCGTTGGTGGTCATCGGCCTCTTGTTTGGAGGCACTTGGATCAACCGTGCTGTTGGATCACCCTTGTCTCGCTACAGTCGGCGAAGGTCGTCCGACCTCCACCGAGCGGCTTCGTCGGATTCCTTGGAGTCGGGATATTCAACTCCATCGACGAAAGATGGGCTACTGAGCTCGAGATCGTGCTCCCCTTCACAGACCATAGAAGATGGTTGGCACAAGCGACAAGTTGGAATCTTGGGGCTGACATTCGAGGTGTCATCGCCGAATACAATCGTCTTCCAAGACCGACTGCTGAGTCGCTTGCTCCGGAAATTTCCTTTTTTGGTGGAATGTTGGTATTGGGCCTTGGTTTACTGGGTATGTCGATATACACTTTCGGTTCGTATAAGGACGAAGAATCTCACACATTATACAGACATATCAGCTTGGTCGTGCGTTTACCGCGGTCACTCTCAAAGATGATACCGTCGGTGTGGCCAGGAGACACGCCTTGAAATTAATCGAGATGGAACAAGCTATGGGCATATTTTGGGAGACGTTGATCCAGAGGTACTTTCTTCGCCATCCCCTCGTGATGACATGGATCAACCGGATATATTCCTTCATCCACATTCCTGGAACGATTGCCTTCCTTGTCTGGCTCTACTACTACACCACCGTGCGGAACCGAATCGATGAGTCCCAGCCGGGGAAACCCAAGGGTGCTGTGAGCGGATCACCTGCTGGTCCTCTTCTCTACCAAGCACGTCGGCGGACATTGGCCGTGTGCAACCTTCTCGCATTTGTGGTATTCACTCTTTGGCCATGTATGCCACCACGCTTACTGAGTGACACGACTGCGGAGGGCGAAGAGGCGGACCTAGCGCGCAGTTATGGGTTCGTGGACACCGTACATGGTGCCAATGGAGCTGGCAGCGTTTGGACAGAGAATCGCTTCTGTAATCAATATGGTAAGTGGCGCCTGCTATCTGATTTGGATGTTCCGGATGGGCTACTGACTGACGGGTTCCAGCGGCCATGCCCTCCTTGCATTTCGGTTACTCTTTAATGATCGGCCTCACGCTGATAACTATCCCTTTGCCACCGCAACATCGGGGCGTAATTCTGCGTACGCGGCTCACCCGAGGCCTGAGAGTGAGACTTCCATCATGGCGTCGCCTTGTTTGCGTTTTGCTCGGCTTCCTGTATCCGTTCACCATCCTCGTGGTGATCGTTGCCACAGCCAACCATTTCATCTTGGATGCGGTTGCGGGAGCTCTTGTATGTGCCCTGGGTTGGTGTTTTAATGGAGTGTTGCTCAACTTGCTGCCACTGGAAGACTACTTCCTCTGGCTTGTCCGAATCCACAAACCGGAACCATCACTCGACGTCCCTGAAGAGGTTGGATCCATCAGCGAGGGTATACCAGCATATGCTGGCATCTGCGCTTGAATGCCCGTCATGATTAGGCTATACGTTGGTTCGATTGTCCTGTTGGCGCATCTTTGTTTTAGAACGTGATACCCTGTATGAGATGCGTCCTCTGGTCTGGACTATATTGTACATAGACACCTAATTATCATTATCCTTGGGATTGGTATGAAACTCGTATTGATTTCCTGTTTCTAGAAATATGCAGAATCAGGCGTTCACAGCAGAGTTACCAACCCTACTAGATACATGACTCCAGGCATCGCTTCTTTGAATTGAGGTCGCTTGCTATAACTGGCAGCCTGCATTGAAGCACATTTGATTCCGACTATTGTCTATGCTCTATTGTACCAAAATCCTACAATAGGTCGAGTCTAATTGATTTATATTGAAATCAATGACTTGATCTCAATACTGTGGGTTTGAGTTGTGGCGTCATTGCCCACCGCAGAGACAACGCGTCCTGAAGTTCCCGCGCCTTTCGCGACCTTTCTTCTCCACACTCTTCTCCCTCCCCTGGAAGCTCCTCCTACACCTACCACAACTCATACAATCTACCCAATTGCCTCCTGGATTTTATCCCATTTAGTAACAGCTTGCCATCATGGCTGATGATACCCCTGTCTCCGCGCCCATTGACGGCGACCTGCCCGAGCGCACTACCGAGAATCCCACTGATTCCGAGAAGAAGTCAGATGTGACTTCGGAAGACAAGCCTACCGGTAAGCATAGATTGATTGATATTCAATCTAGTTGCGCTCCAGCTTCCCAACACTGTCACCCGGTCGGGGGCATCCCTATTTCTGTGCGACCGCTAACCCACTTGTGTTCATCCAGAGAGTGAAGTTGCGACCGACAAGAAAAGCGACAATGCCGCTGAGACTGACAAGCCTACTCCCTCTGGTGAGGCTCCTGAGGCCAAGGCCGATGAGGTAGCTGCTGGTGCTGCCCCTGCCGATGCAGAGGCTGCTGCGCCTGCGGAGGCCGACGGAACCCCTGCCTCAGCAAAGAAAGCCTCCAAGAACCGCCGCGTCTCCACCGGTGCCACACAGAAGCTCAGCCGCAAGAAGTCCCAGAGCCGCATCACTCACCTGGACGCCAAGCCAGGTCAAACTTACCTTGCGCGCCTCCGCAGCTATGCGCCCTGGCCCGCCATCATCTGCGATGAGGACATTTTACCTCCTAGTCTGCTTGAAAGCCGCCCTGTCACGGCTATGCAACCGGATGGGTCCTACAAAGGCGAGTACGCTGATGGCGGAAGACGCACTCATGAGCGTACCTTCCCCGTCATGTTCTTCGAGACCAATGAGTTGTAGGTCCCCCACCGCCCACCGATTTTACACCCAATGTGTTCCCCCTACTGATTATTCTGCTTCCAGTGCCTGGGTCCCCAACACCAACCTGACCCCACTGGATCCTGCCGAGTGCAAGGATGTCTCAGAGAAGAACAAGAGCCGACCGCTCCTGAACGCCTACAAAGTTGCATCCGAGGGCCATGACCTCCAGTACTTCAAGGATCTTCTGAATGATCACCAAGCAGCCATTGAACAGGAAGAGGCCGAGCTGGAGGCCCAGGAAGCGGAGAAGGCAGCTGCCAAGGCGGCAAAGGAGACCAAGAAAGGCAAGCGCAAGAGCAAGGGAGCTGAGACTGACGTTGAGATGGAGGATGCGGATGACTCCAAGAAGGCCAAGGCTCCTTCAAAGAAGCGCAAGAAGGAGGCCGAAACCGACGCCGAAGCGGACAAGGTAAGCTCTAACGGAGTCCTGTTGTTCACCTCGCTCATGTTATGGAATCTAGCCCGCCAAGACCCCCAAGACAAACACTAAGCTCAAGTTGACCACCCCCAAGGCACCCGCCGAGGAGCCCGGAAAGAAGACCCCGGCTACGAAGACCCGGAAGGCCCCCGCTAAGAAGGGCAAGGCTGCTCCTGCTGCCAGCGACGAAGGCGACAGTGCCGATGCCAAGGAACCCGAGAAGCCCATTGACCCGGAGGATCTGAGAAAGAAAAAGGAAAAAGAGAGTACGCATTTCCCCATTACCCATGAGAACCCCCGTGAGACCGAGCAGGATAGCTTATACCTTACAGTCCTGTTCCTCCGCCACAAGCTCCAAAAGGGATTCATCTCCCGTGACCAATCCCCCAGGGAAGATGAGATGGCCGGCATGGCCCCCTACTTCGACAAATTGGAGAAGCACTCTGATTTGGAAGTTTCGATCATCCGTTCCACCAAGATCAACAAGGTTCTGAAGTTGATCGTCAAGCTAGCCTTTATTCCTCGGGATGATGAGTTCAATTTCCGCCACCGCGCTATGAACATCCTGTCCAACTGGAAGAACATCTTGGATGCCGACACTCCTGGCTCCGCCGACAAGGAGGAGAAGCCCGCCGTCAATGGCTCCAAGGAAGAAGAAGGTGCTGACACCCCGAAGCTGGAGACTGAGGAGGAGAAGGAACCCGAGTCCAAGGCCAAGGATGATGTCGATTCTCCCATGCCGGATGCCGAAGAGACCGCTCCTGAGCCCGCGAAGGAGGATGGCGCAGACAAGGAAGAGCCGGCCGAGAAGCCCACAGAGGCCGAGGAGAAGCCTACAGAGGAGAAGCCCACAGACGAGAAGCCCGCAGAGGAGAAGCCCGCAGAGGAGAAGCCCGCAGAGGAGAAGCCCGTGGAGGTTGCCGCTTAAGCAGCCCGCGAGGTCGTATTCTGCGATGTGTATTTTCTGAACTGTGATCTCCATTTGCGCTCTTCATCCCTGTTATCTTTTTTTATCATTGTTTACAATCTACGTGGTTCCCTTGTGCTTCTGTTCCTTTTCTCTCTTTTCAAATGAAAATCGCTTTTCTAATTTCTCCTGTCTGTCTCCAACCACTGGGATACGGGGCTGGTACCAGCAAAACTTGAAGCAATTGAAAGTTATGGTCCTTTTCTGGCTTCAAATGTTGTCTGTACAGTTGACCTGTGTTTTGGCCATGGAGCGTAGGTGTTTGGGGGGATACTATTGCTGTTACACATCAACGGTCTCTCGGTTTGTTGAAATCATGATTCAAAAAGGATAGTTAGTGACTATTGAATTGGACACATTCCGAATGACTGTTCAATAGATACTCGAGATACCTCGGCTCATAAAGTCCGTGTAGTTCCGTGATCTTTATAAGATCTCCTGTAGTTGCCAGCTCTTCGCGAAATCAAAAATACCCGCACCTTCTATATGCACACAGCTATGCAGTTATATACCATGCCTCAGCCTTTACAAACACAAAAGAAAAAGCCCAAGTTACAGTGGGACGCCTTTATCGACCATATACCTCCACCATGGAGGCCCATTCTCAGACCTGATCGGCCGCAATGCCATCATCAATTGCGATGACAACCACAACGCAAATGTCATCCACTTTGCCGCCGCGGTAATAGTCACCGGGGTAGTAGCGCTGAGCCTCTTTAGCAAATGGGCCATCGCGGCGGTAATCAACACTGGCCATTTTTGCCTCGCCAGCCACAGTCGCAGCGAGAACAGACTGCAAAGTGACCTGATCCTCAGGCTTCGGCTCGGAATCAGTCGAATCTCTCTGAGGCAGCGGCGCACCCGAAGAAGTGGGAAGAGCACCGACAAGTCCACCGGGTGCAGTCAAAGCACGCAAGTTCTTCGAGACCATAACGCCAGAATCCGTAGCCGTCCAAGCCCCAGTCATGATCATGCGGCTCGTGATGAGCTTGAGGATATCCTGATTGTTGATATTATCGAAGACACCATCGGTAGCCACGATGAGCACATCACCATGCTGCATTTGCACGTTCGTAACCGACGCATCGCGGGGGAAATCCTCCAAAAACGCCCCACCAAAGACAGACGCCTGCGCTCGCATGCGTGGCGGAATCACGCTGAGCTGGTAGGGCGTGTTGAATCCATGCGTTTGCGGAACCGAGTAATGATGCACTGCCGCCCGGCGAACCAGTACAGTACCAGAATCACCCAAGTTCGCCAGTTCCACACGGCCATCTGGCAACGCGACACCGACAGATGCCGTGCTACCACCTGCGCGAATTGTAGAGTCGGCCACAACGTGATCGTACCCGGCCTGCAAAAGTTGTTTGGGACGCAAGTGCTCCGCGGGCTCATGCCATGTCTGTGCGGTCTGTGCCATATATCCACACAAGCCGTGTGAGAAGTCGGCCGGATCGACGCGGGATTCCGTCCAACCACCGACTCCGTCAGCGACGCCGAAGGCGACGGCTTCGGCGTTGTTGTCTTGGTGGTCTGAGATGCGGTTTCCGATACGGCTCACGAAGAAGGCGTCTTCGCCGCTGTCTGGGCGGTTGCGCCGCCTACTGATTGGGTTCTTGTCCTTTGAGACGCCGAGAGCGTCGACCTCGGGGTCGAAGTTGTATGCATTTTTGATGGGATGGAAGCGGCGACCTTTGCCGGAGGAGGAGGCGGCGACGCGGTATGAGATTTTGGAGGGAGAGGGTCTTTCGAAGGAAAATGTCGGTGTTGAGTGGAAGGCTCGGCGTGAGGATTGGCGAGTCAAGTTTGGACTGATACGAGTGTTTGGTCTGATTCTCACTGTTTGAAAAGAGAAACGAACATTCGCAGTCCTAGAAACTGAGGGACTGTATGTGTTGGGATTGGCGGAAACTGAGTAGACGCAATCTCGAGCGATGGCTTGTAGGCTACTGCAGGCGGAGCTGCAGGCTCGACATGAAACACTTGGCGGCATCATCTCAGGTCTGGAGCCGGAGGTATATGTCTTCCTCTTGGAGTATAAGCTCCTATTCGGAGCAAAAGGAGCAAGGTATAAGGAAAGGATCAAAAAAAATCAAGGAGCTGCATGAACCTCAAACGGATAAGAGAGTACCCGCTCTTATCGCCGACCGCCTGGCGTCATGGGTGATTTTTTTGTGATGCCTGAATTAACGGGCAGACATGGATATCCTCCTAAGTACGGAGTACTGTGTAACTGAAATAGGTTCATTAGGGCTGAACGTGACGTGATGCTGATACTTAAGAAGGCATAAAAGTAACGTATGAGATTGTTCACAGCTATTGGATGCCAGTACTTTACAATTGGACCAGGACTTGCATGCATTGTCTCTGCCTCCTCTCTGATACCGCCGGATCTCGATCGATTCTGCCAACATCAGATCTCCCACCTTTTTCACTTTCCTATAGAAGATACCCCAATTCTTTCCTTGTACCAAACAAACTTCATTACTTAGCCTCTGAGCCGGAGAAGCAAAGGCTTCTACATTGCCCAATATGATGCACCCAGCGCGACAAGCATATGTGGAGGAAACAGAGGACACGGACATGGGCATCAGCTATGCTGATCTGCGTGAGTCGCCAGACAGCTCCCATTTGAAACCTGCTAACGAAGCTCGAAATCACAGCGATGGACCAAGACTATGATATGCCTTCTACTGCAGCGGGAATCCCTACCGAGCGGGCCTCTGCCATTCTGTCGCAGTTCGAACGGAAACGGAGAGCAGCGGCGATGGTGGTTCCAACAGACGATACGAGAGTGCGCGCACGACTCAGAGAGCTCGGAGAGCCGATTACGCTGTTTGGAGAAGGGCCTGGAGATCGGCGCGATCGTTTACGTGAATTGTTGACCGATATGGCCGATAGACAAGGTGGAGGCGATGTTGAAATGGAAGAACCCGAGGAGGAGGAAGGAGAACAACAAGAGGAATTCTACACAGAGGGTGGAAACGCATTGCTCGAAGCACGGAAGGATATTGCCCGTTATTCATTGCCACGCGCAAAAGCACGTGTGGCCCGACTCAAAGAGGAGTCAACCGTCCCACTTCGAACACACGTCAAGCATCGCAAAGCTGTCAGGGAAAAACTACAAGGGTTCGATCTGTATGGGTCACAGATTGCTGGCGATCGCCCAGTCAGCATCTGCCGATTCTCGCCGGACGGGAAGACCATCGCTGCTGGAAATTGGAGCGGTGGGATCAAATTGCTCGGTGTGCCTAATCTGGAAGAAACGGCGAATCTCAAGGCGCATACGGATCGCGTCGGTGGTTTGTCGTGGTTCCCCGGCGCTACTATCCCCAGCTCCAATGTCTCACCGTCGTCTGTCAATCTAATGTCCGGCGGCGGCGAAGGAGATCTCCACCTATGGGCCCTTGACCAAGATAAGCCGCTTGCTACGTTATCTGGCCACTCTGGCCGTGTATGCCGATCTGAGTTCCACCCTTCTGGTCGATATGCAGCATCCGCCTCCTTCGACACCACGTGGCGTCTGTGGGATATCGAAACGACAACCGAGCTACTACTGCAAGAAGGCCATTCACGAGAAGTTTATACAGTAGCTTTCAACAATGATGGCTCTCTCGTGGCAAGTGGCGGGTTCGACAGCATCGGGCGTATCTGGGATCTACGCACAGGACGTACTGTGATGATCCTGGAGGGCCACATTCGTGAAATCTTCGCTATGGACTGGGGTGTTGATGGCCACCGAGTGCTATCTGGTTCTGGCGATGGATGGGTCAAATGTTGGGACTTGCGACAAGTGAGGAACACAGGCGGAATCGGTGCACACAAGAGTGTGGTATCGGATCTCCGCTGGTATAAGGGTGCAGAGGCTGCCTCGTTCTTGCCTACGACAAATGGCAGCCAGATGGACATTGATAGCGCTTCACCAGCAGCCGACAAACCAGCAGAAGGACCACAACCCAAGAAATCAGGTACATTCTTTGTGAGCAGTGGGTTCGACAAGAGTGTCAACGTTTTCAGTGCGGATGACTGGTCCCTAGTGAAGTCGCTGAGCGGCCACTCGGGCAACGTTCTGAGCACAGATATCAGTCACGATGCACAGTGGATTGCTAGCTGTGGTCATGATCGCACGGTGAAGCTTTGGGGTATTGAATGATCCAGCTATGCATTATCTCGACGACCTGACAAGCACCTCCTCATTTGGATTGCATACAATTCGAGTAAATCCGGACCGGAATCTTTGCTGTTCATGTGTCTGTTTCCGCTGAACTTGTGATACAATCATCCTCATGTCATTGGAAACCCTCGAACAATGTATGTGGCTAAGCTAAGATACAACTTGGATATTCCTCTAATATAACTTGATGTTCGATCTGAACCATACTGTCGACTCAATGATTCTCGTTATGGGTTTTGATGCCTTCATAGTTCATACTCATAGTTCATAGTCACGTGGTGCTAGGTGCGGGGATGACGTAAAGCGGTATAGGGCTTTTCACCTCTCGATAGCTTTCACTTCCTAAAAACAAACCATAACAACCACCATGGCCATGGCTTTCCGTTCACAGAGAATTATACGGCATGTCTGTCGCACAGTAACCCTCAGACCTCTCTCAGGGCCATGCCCCTCATCGAACATAAGCCAAGATGCACGCGCGGTCCGCCAATCTCGCAGCCTGCCAGCGCGAGCACTCACAACTCTCTCAACGCGTCAATCTATCATTAAGCAGTCACCCAGATTACAAACTCGCTCTGCCTCATCAAATTCCTCTCCCTCGACAGAACAAAGCGAAGTAACCTTTGCCGGTGCACCAGACATAACAAATCACTACACAATCTTTCCCAAGACGCTCTCCGCAGGCCCACCCCCAGCCTCACAGTTCAAGATCTCAACCAGCGATCTCCGCCGAGAATTCCTCCAACTCCAGGGCCTAGTTCACCCGGACAAATACCCCAACGGTGTTCAAAAGCAACAGGCAGAGGCTCTCTCGGCACGTATCAACGAAGCGTACCGAACGCTACTTGACCCGCTGCAGCGGGCTCAGTACATTCTGCGGGAGTGGCATGGAATCGACGTCACAGCGGAAGATGGAGCTTCGAAGCATGCGCTCGACCCGGAGACTCTAATGGAGGTTATGGAAGTGCAAGAGACGATCGAGGCGGTCGGGGCCTCGGCTGAGGGAGAGACACAGATCAATGCGCTCAAGAAGGAGAATGAACTACGGGTTGCTGAATGTGTGGAGAGCTTGGGTGCAGCATTCGATAAGGGTGATGTGGAGGCTGCGAGACTGGAATGCATTCGCTTGCGGTTTTGGTACAGCGTTGGGGAAGGGCTGAGAGAGTGGGAGCCTGGGAATACCGAGATTCGGTTGACACATACTGGCTAATATCTCCACCGACATCATCATTCATCGCAGAATGAGAACCTCCGGGCTGTTGGATATACCTTTGTACATCATCTGTGGATGTATGGATATTTGGGCATGTTTGGACAGATCACGAGATATCAACTACTTAATTCGAGTGCAAATATTGCCAATAAAGCCCAAAGATCAGCTATTTTCAGTATTGCTGTAGTACTAGCTAGTATCTTCATTCTTTGAGCTGACTTACATCGAGGACTCAGGACAGCGGTGAACAGCTTGACCGCCACATTGGAAGTAAAAAAATAGTACGTAGTCCTCTTGAAAACCCAATCCGAAAAATAAAAAGTGAAGCTTCAAATCCCAGCACAAGACCCGATGGAGCTTCAGGACAAATCAACCAGTGAGGCCGCAGATTGGGTTCCCTCAGGGCTGGGATTGGGCACAAACCTGCTGACGCCAACGTCGACAATTGGGGCATAGTCAGGACCCAGCTACTCCCGGACTTCTGTATGGATACTATGCGTTGTTCGTGTTTTTTCCTCGGTCATAGCGGATGGCATTGAATCGTTGGATTTGACGAGTGGACGGGGGTATTGGCAGGCAAACAAGCGATTGGAGCGCAAGCCGACAGAACATCGAGTGGGGAGTACCTGAAGCGAGTGTTCATGAGGCAAACTGGCCAGATTAGTTTCGCCCCAATGTGCATATCTCCATGGACCTGACCGGTCTAGCGTCAATTTGTTAGTGAATGGGTCTCGTCGGAATTGATCCTCCCCCATCACAGCTGCACACGTAGCAGACTAAGAGTTTCGGCGCCTTGGTAAATTGGGCAAAGATGAAATATTTAACGGGGCTATCCTGCTGGCCACAGCCCACAACGTATATACTTCAATTCTCAGGTCCCCCGAAGTAGAAGCGGATCAAAGTATCCCTCATGGAGTCTGTTCGAGATTATGCCAGGTATGTGTTGAGATCGCATTTCCATGGCCTCAATCTGTGTATGCCTTGTGAGCAGACCGCTAAATCATAATTAATACGACAGCATCATTCATTCACCATCATTCACCTTCCTGGTCGGCCCACGACACGAGAAGCTGACGATTCAGTCTGGGCTCGCCAAGCATGTCTCCAAGCCTCTCCATAATCTCATGAACGGTCCAACAAGGGAATCAAAACACCGAATTGCCGTGATAGAGGATGAGGATGTCGAAACCTTCGTCGCCTTTTGCGAGTATGCATACACCGGCGACTATAGCGTGCCTCGACCGAAGCTGGAGGACCTGGAAGAACCTAGTGTTGGTGTGGTCGAAAGTACCCCAGCCTCCGCCACTTGGAGAGCAGAATATCGATCCGGTTCAATGTCGTCGGCCGTGCCACCCCCGGCTCCCTCGCCGCCTCCGCAGCATCGCCATCGGAAACATAGCGCGGCGTACCATGAGCTTACGCACCAACGCGAGCCGCCCACATCGCAGTGCGCGGTCGAGCCTTCCCCCGTAGAGGTGATCAGGGAAGCGGAAGCCCCGACGGAAGCCCCAGCGGAAGCCTCAGAGCCCGAACCCCAGCCGGCTCAAGAGCTTGAAGCTTCAGCCGACGCACCCAATGCCGAGCCCGAGCCAGCGGTGTACGAAGACACGGAGACTACACCGGTAGCGCCGGCTGCTGAGGAGGAGCCTCCTTCCGAGGAGCAATGGGCAGACCCAAACGAACGACCTGTCTCATGGGAGGCCGAAGAGCCCAAGTCATCTAAAAAGAAGGGAAAGAAAGGAAAGAAGGGCAAGAAATCAAACCTTCAACCAGAGCTCATCGAAGAAGAAACTCCTATGCCGGCTGAGACTGTCAACCTCACGCCGCCATCAACACCACCCCCAGAGGTTGCTGCTGAACCAGAACCAGAACCAGAACGGGAACTAGACCTCGTTGCTGAAAACGATCCTCCAGCAGAGCCTACTTCAGAGCCAGAGCCCGAACAGACTCAGTACCAGGAACAGCCTGTCGATGAACCCGCGCCTGCAGTTGAAGAACCCGCGCTCGCGGAGGACCAGCCCACCTTTGTGCCAGAGGATCCTATGGAAGATTCATGGACTCAAGATAGGAACGACACGATCCAAGGGCAGCGCCAAAGACCCATGCTCGACATGTCCTTTGCGCAGCAGCAAGCCTCATCCCCCTGCGAGCCTGGTCTCAGCCTCTGGGACGAGTTCATGTCCCTGCAATACAACGATGAACACCCAGTTTCCAAGCCCTCGCCTATCGACAGGGGATCAACAGACCTCCCCTACATCACATTCCACGCGAAAGTCTACGTGTTCGCCACACGATACCTGATCCCCGCTCTCGCGCAGCTCTGCCTCCGAAAGCTGCATCGAGACCTCCTCGTCCTGTCCCTACCGAGCGACGAAACTTCCGAGTCGCAAATCTTCGACGGCTTGGCTGCATCCAAGGCCAGGATGGTGCTCAACCTGGTGCACTATGCATACACGAAAACGGCCCGGTTGGAGCCGATCACACCGACGTCCGCGACGCAGCTTCGGGAGAACGAGCTCCGCCGACTGGTCGTTCACTACGCAGCATGCAAGGTGAAGGAGCTGGCCCGATATCACTCGGCAGACGATTCAGTTGCAGCGACACCGTCTCTGCGAGCGGTGGATCTGAAGGTGGAGCGAGGCGAGAGTTCAGCGCCTAAAAACCTCCGTGCCTTGCTAGATGTGACACCGGAGCTGGCCTCTGATCTTGTCTATCGCTTAATGTGAGCATATACTGCGATGTGATTGGACCGGGGCTGGGAGATCAAGTTCTGCACAAACTTGATATGATGTGATGCCTTGCAGAGTTTGAAGATTGAACGGGAGTTTCAAGGGACCCGCTGGCGTTCTGTTGCCCAATGCTATATTTGTCATTTTCGAGGTGCATTGCATTTATCTTGCGTTTGTTCTGCACGATCTTGGCTTGCCGGCTGAGCCTGTTGTTTATTTCGTTGTGGGTTGAGAATGAGATATGATTTGATCCTCCCAAGTACATTGACGTATGTGGTAGTTGTATACAAATGTAGGCTTCTAGATTCCATTGATTGTATACCGCATCCAAGCTTGTGGATCATCAATGGAATCTTCAGCCTTGCCATATAATGGGCCGGGTTGGCGACTCCACGACACATGGGGTAGTGTGAAGTGGAGAGGCTGATTGGGTCTTGGGGACAATGGCATAAGGCATACTCGATGCACATCGTCAATCGTGATCGATAGGAGCTCCACTCTTTTTGTTCCGTCGGTAGGGCAAGTCTCCCGAGTGATAGAAGGCACAACTTAGTTATATCGTAGGCAACCAATTCAAAGTACTAAGCCCCTTGAAAGATCGACAGCATCCAAGTCAGATATATCTTGGCGAAGATGCTATATCAATAGTTGGGGAGGCTGTGATGGAAAAGATGGAAGTGGCTGTTCAGGGGAAACGGGAAACGCCAAGACTAGAACGTCACGCTCCCGCTCCACTTTGTTTGTCTTTTGTGTCTTCGCCACTTCAATGCAGCTATCCTCAACTACTACTACTCCGTACACAGTACACAGTACATCGGACAGCTACATCGCTGTACCTTCTTCCACGCAATTGTGTTACCTATTTACGTACACAGGACTTCTTCTTGAGCTCGCTATCTCTTATCTTTACAGCCCCCGAGCTAAAGCTTGGCCAGCGGACCGTCAATATATTCTGTCGATCATCTTCCTTGGCGTTCAGCATCTAGTCGCCTCGGACACGCATAGCCCTCTTTAAGGTTTTCTATGCTTTGATCGGGGAGTTTCGGCTGTGGATGCATGGAAAAGCTCTCAATCGGCCCGAACGAGTTTGAGATTCATCATCTGAGTGACTTTGGTTGATTCAAATGATGTCAAAACTAACACCAACGTTGTACATACGGATTTCCAATTGGTCTTGAAAGATCCAAGAATTCAATCAGTCCTATCCACTGCGGCGCAGGGAACGTTACGCACCAGCGATTCCTGCTATCTTCTTGGCAGAGTCCCATGCACTTGAAGATTCGTTTCATAACCCCTAGGCATCGATGTTTTGTACATGCCAATGCATCTAACCTGATGCCCGGCTATCAGTGGATCTTAGGCTTCCGGAAGTTCTTCCTTGGAGGACCAGTGGCCGCCACCCCTGATGCACATGGTGACTGACGAATCGCCCTAGCCAAGCATCCTGGACGGATCTATTCTTATGGATCTTTTAGTTCGTACAGATTATGGGTCTGCGATACCATTGATGCCGCTGGTAGGTCCATTGCAAAACTGTCGTTTTGACTTTTGAATCCCTTTTCGGCCATGTTCTACTGTATCAAGGACTTTAGGGCATGGAATTCTTGGCTGATCTTCAGGACGAGCGTTCAGCATCTGGAATTGATGCCCTGTTGATCTCGCTTTGCTGCCCATCTTGGTCTGTTCGAGGTATTTGAACATTCCTTCTCGCCCTTCCAGTCTCAATTCATCCATTACAATTCACTCCAGTCCTCCTCTTACAACTTCATTCTACATACAAGCCTTTCTTGACTTTGCAATTCCATTTGTTCATTCTATCAAACCCAATCGGTCTATAATCCCACTGGAATACATTCACTCTCATATACTATATCTTACATTCAGAGACACCCTCTATACCTCATTGCCTCTAAACATCAATCTATACACATCATGACGCCAAACCCAGTCCTACTAGGCGTCTACCCTGATCCAAGCCAAGAGCTTCAACCTCCTTCCCCTTCACGCTCTTTGCACTCTGCACACTCCTCACACTCTGACACACCCTTCATCGACACCGAGAAATACCAAAAGCCTGTCTCCTTGAACTTCCGTCAGCGCCTCCGCCATTTCACCTGGGCATGGTACACTCTCACCATGAGCGCAGGAGGACTAGCCCTACTCATAGCCAACCAGCCCAACCAATTCCAAGGCTGCTATCAAATCGGACTAGCCATCTACCTCATCAATCTTGTCCTATTCTCCCTCGTCTGCTCTCTCATGGCATCCCGCTTCATCATCCACGGCGGTTTCCTCAGCTCCCTTCGCCACGAGCGCGAAGGCCTCTTCTTCCCAACCTTCTGGCTCTCCGTCGCAACAATAATAACCGGTCTAGAAAAATACTTCGGTGACCAACCCACCAAATCATTCACCACCACCCTGGAAGTCCTCTTCTGGATCTATTGCGCCTGCACATTCTCCCTCGCCGTCCTCCAATACTCCTTCCTCTTCTCCTCCCACACCTACCGCTTACAGACAATGATGCCCTCATGGGTCCTCCCCGCCTTCCCCATCATGCTGAGCGGCACAATCGCCTCCGTCATTGCTCACAGCCAGCCCGAACGCTCCGCCATCGCCATCGTCACAGCCGGAATGACCTTCCAAGGCCTCGGCTTCTGCATCTCCTTCATGATGTACGCACACTACATCGGCCGATTGATGGAATCAGGTCTGCCATGCCGCGAACACAGACCGGGAATGTTCATCTGTGTCGGTCCGCCTGCCTTCACAGCGCTCGCCCTCGTCGGCATGGCCCAGGGTCTGCCTGACACATTCCGCGTCTTGAACAGTACCGACAGCGCAGCTGACGGCCGTATGGTGGAGATCCTGGCGCTGGCTGCTGGTGCTTTTCTGTGGGCTCTGAGCTTCTGGTTCTTCTGCATTGCTGCTATTGCTGTCATCCGGGCGCCACCCAAGGCGTTCCATCTTGGCTGGTGGGCCATGGTCTTCCCCAACACTGGCTTTACCATTGCTACTATTACCCTTGGCAATGCCTTCCATAGCCAGGCGATCCGGGGTGTTGGCTCGGCTATGTCCATCTGCATTGTCTGCATGTTCCTGTTTGTCTTTGTCTGTCATATTCGCGCTGTCATCAACCAGGAAATTATGTACCCTGGCAAGGACGAGGATGTCTCTGATTGAGGTCTTCTGATACGGATGTTTCCCTCTCCTTTCTCATGCTATATTCGATCTTTTAAGTCATCCTTTTGCACTTTGTTGACTTCTTACACAGTCTTCTCTTCTTTGGGTTTCATTGCACAATATTTCATTCACTGTTTACTGTTCTTCTTTTCGTGATCATTTCCCCACTTTCATTTTAATCAAAAGCGTTCATGCATCCTGATGTTTTTTCTCCTGTTGTTTGGACTCATATACGAAGTCTGTTGCATCTCCGGCGTTCCATCTTTTGTGGCTTTAATCTTACAACATTTGCAAGCGTCTACCTACTAGAGTTTTGAGAGATAGAAATAGAACAAGGTCCTTATTTATTGTTCAATTCTTCCATGACTGCCTAGTACTACATAACAAGCGACATCTATTGTCAGGAATGACGTGCCTAAGCACCACGATGAGGCGTTAACACTGGGGAACGAGCAGCCGATGTGACAGACCATTGGCATCATTAACCAAATGGCAGAAGCTGGCATCGTCATTACTAAATGGTAGAAATATGGCAGGCAGATGACAAGTAGAGAGGAAGTAGAGGATGAAGTACGTGGTAAGTATGTGGTGCCAAGCCATGGACTGGCAAGGACTAGATGCTGGTAAGTCAGAAGAAGGTAAAGGAAGAAGGTAAAGATGACAAAGATCAGGGAAGGTAGAGTGAATGTGATGAGTCAGAAGTGATGTAATTGACAAATGGATGATAAAGGGCAGAAACTGGAAGAATGAAGATGAAGATGGGATGATGGTAGGAATGCAATATATAAGATAGAAGTGATTGATAATTGATGAGATGGATAAAGAATGCGATGGATGAAGGAGATGGAGGAGATGGAGGAGATGGAAGAGAAGATGGAGGAGATGGGTGAGATGGTTGGGGAGATGAAGAAGAGAAGAAGGAAAAAGGGTCAGGGGGGTTTATGTACCTGTTTACATTCAACCATGGTACCCATGGGACAACGATGAATGAAGTAATCAAGTAAACATGTTGGTATCTACTAAGGAAAGCACGAGGTAAATACATCATACAGAGTCCAGAATGGCACGTGACTGCAAAACCATTGCAATGATATCACAGTCTGGCAGGATAGAGTAGATCAAGAAACCAATGTATTCCAGTACATTATTGAATCCTAAGATTGTCACCTTGCTCTAGATGCAAATTGTGTATGGGTATCATGATGACAGGAGAAAGCAAGGTGTGCCACGTCTTTTAGTGTACATGGCTCTGTCGACAGGGGATAGCGACGGATCGAGTTCATGCTCGACAGTCAAAAAGAGCCTTGATTGAGAATGTCTGCAAGAACTGCCGGGAGCGCACTGGGCAGACGGCCAGAAGCCCGCGATGCCGGCGGCATCTGATGAACTACCATGAGACCACGTGCTGGGAAGGAATGGCCCGCGGAAGGTACTTCCCGCAGAGTGGTGGTAGACTTGGGATGAAGTGCGAAAGCCGTCCACAGCAGCTTAAGCAACCTTTCTGCCGACGTTACCGATTCCACGGCCGACGATACTGACAATCACATCACCGTCGGTATTATCACCAGGCGCGTCTCTAATTCCCCAGCCGGGAACGCCAAACTTGGACATGTCGCGAGCGAGTTGGATCACACTAGGATCGGCGATCACCTCTCGGCCAACCTGCAGCCGACCAACATCCTCGGAGCCCATGGTCATGAGAGTGAACATGGTAGTGGCAGCCGCAGGAGCGACACAACCACCCTTAGAAACCGCCTCCAAAAGCTGGAATGCACACTGCCGGCCAATATCCTCGGGGGCCGTTCCACCGGACGGCGGAGAAGCGACATCGGCTGAGAATAGGCAGCCCGTGGAAGACTCCGCAACCAAAGACAGGCCAAATCCAAGGCCAATCTTCTTTTTCGCCTGAGGGTTTGTCTTATCCGGAGCTGGCACCAAAGGCGCAGGCGCGACGTCGGAGAAGATATAAGTGTCGGGGCTGAGTGGGTTCAGGATACCACGGGCGGTCTCAATCATGCGAGCGTTGTTGGAGCCAGACACACCAACAGAGTATACAACACCGCGGATGCGCTTGATGCGGCCGGCATTCATAAGATGCAGAGTCTTCGGCAGACGGACCTGGTGGCCAAAAACGAGCTGCACCTCACCACCACCTCCCCTGCCATTGGGACCGGTGTTTGATCGCCGTAAGATACGAAGTTCGATGTTGTTGAAGATACCGAATTGGTTGTACAGAGGGAGAATCGCGGTGCGAACGCTGTCGACAGACATATCTCCAGTCGGCGTAGACGAGGTAATCACACCGGGACCGGTGAAGAGAACTTTCATTGGGGCTTTAGAGAAGGGGGCCAGCAGGCAGAGTGGAATCAGGAAGTAACTGAGGCCGCGGCTACAGTTTGAAGGAATTTCATATGTGATCATGCCGCCGCTGGCTCCAGTGCCGGTCGTGCTGCCCGTGATCAAACCGGGCTTGTATACGAGGACCGTTCCAGTGTATGAGATCTCCATCTGAGAGCCATTGGTGACTGCATCGAGGAGACGGAGGAAAGAGATTTCATGAGGCGCGAGACCGGGATTCGTGGGTGACGACGAACGAATTTGCGAGATGTGAACTGTGCGGCCGGTGAGGGTGGACAAGACCAAACGATATACCAAATTGTGATGGGTTGTGAACCGAAGAGGGGGCTGAGAGGTTGCCATTTTGTGTGGTTGGTCAAGACTCTTGCGTTAAACGAAGTCCGACTGCTGGATTTCGAGATATGAAAAAAGAAAAATTGACGGGTTAAGTTTGATCCGAGCCGTACCTTAAATCCGGAGTGGAGCTGATATCTCCGATCATGCAGATCAACGTTCTGACTAGTTCTGATTTATAAACTTTTGAACCTCATGCGATCTCTTCACACTGCTTCATTCTACACAGTAAAAAGTTCAGATATTAATCATTCACAATGCTTCCCCCAGCACTCAATATTCCCAAGTGGTAAGCACAGAGGTCTATGTTCATACCTATACTCTACCCCTGACCCCTATGTGATATCATTATGCCTCGCGGGGCTCATAAGCTAGGCTATCCCAATAAGTACTCATTGATGCTGACACCTCCGCAGGCTCGAAGAGAACTCCCATTTGCTGCAACCACCAGTCAACAACTACTGCGTCTATCACCCGTCAAGACCCGAAACAGCCGGTTACACAGTCATGATAGTGGGCGGGCCCAATGCCAGAACTGACTTCCACATCAACACGACCCCAGAGTTCTTCTACCAGTACCGAGGGTCAATGTTGCTCAAAACAGTTGATACTACAACCACACCTCCGACCTTTCAAGATATCCCCATCCATGAAGGCTCAATTTTCCTACTGCCCGCGAACACACCGCACTGTCCCGTACGCTTCAAGGACACTGTTGGTGTTGTGATGGAGCAGCCACGAGCCAAGGATGCAGTCGATATTATGAGGTGGTACTGCAAGAAATGCAACGAAATCGTGTGGGAGAAGAAGTTTGTATGCGTTGACCTGGGGACGCAGGTTAAGGCTGTGGTTGAGGAATTCGCGGCCGATGAAGAAAAGCGCAAGTGTAAAGCTTGTGGGGAAATTGCTGCATCAAAGTACCAGGATGGAGAAATTATACAACCGCCGACTCATCTTGAATAGTGCACCAGGCCCGTCTGAGCAGGGAGTCTGCGAGACCGTTCGGTATGAACCTTCGGTCACGAAAAGTACGAGTGATGAATGTAATACTATGTCGGGTGAATGAAAGCAGACAGAAAATGGCCAGTACTTACAAAGGACGATCCAGTTAAGGTCATTCCTAGCATGACGAAGAATTGAATTTGGAGTTATGGCATATACACCAGCGAATGACTCTTCATTACAACCAATCTAAAGTATTTATTACAGGCACTCGGCCTCGCCGTGGTGCAAATCCTCTGCCATGATGAGAGGCACAAAACATGAACAACTCTGGGATATCTCCAGAAAGCTTCAATCCCCAACAAGAAGACATCATAATTAACCGGCATAAAATGGAACCGACCCAACAATCATGTACTAGAAGAAACCCCAAGGTAGGTGCGTGCAGCAGGACTGCGATAGTTCTGTTGTGCACTGAGCTCATGTCACTCATCTGTATACACAGAACATTATTCATCAAACGGGCAGTCAATGCTTTCATGGCCGTCGCGCTCACAGAGGGCACACCACTTAGACTCGTCGATGACTCCCGATGACTTACCGGCAATAGGAGCCATGGATGATCCAAGACCGCCGATGCCTTTAAGTCCCTCCATGACGACTTCTCGTCCAGTCCTGAGTGCGGGGGGAGTATCGCCAGTTGCTTTAGGTTGGAGAGGCTCCGTCTTCTCAATTGGAAGTTCGTCGGCGGGATCGTCGGCGTGGTCTGCAGGCTTCTTCTGTTCAGTGGACTTCTTACCGGAGCCGAACATGCTGGTGCAGTTCAAGATGTCATGGCCAGCCGTTTCGCAGATTTCACACCACATGGGATCCTCATCGGAAGAGCGTTCGGATTCATGCATGGTCTCCAGCCGCGGCTGGGAAGAGTTGGAAATACCACGGTGGTGGCGGGGCTCGGATGGAGCATCATGCCAGTCGGTTGGGACCACTGTACGGTCAGAGAGACGGTGAGGATTGTTGTTGTTTGAGTCATGGGAGATGTTGCCGGCAGAGTGCGATGGCTTGTGTTGTTTGGGTGAAAGAGTGACGGTAGAACTGCGGTTGCGACCACTGCGAGACTGCAACTGCATTTCTTGAAGCTCACGCTCGAGTTCCTCGATCCGCTCATCCTTGTGGATGGTCAACTCTTCGACCTCTAGAATTCGCGATTCTAACTGAGCAATTTGCTCCGCATTGTTATCATGGTTCGCTGAGCCGGCTGCAACGGGGTTTCCGCGGCTCAGAGAGTGGATGATAGCCTTGAGTCCTCGGATCTCATCGTCCTTCTGGTCCAAGTCACTACTACTCCGGGAGCTGTCTGCCGCAGCGTGGGCATCTTTCAGCGCGGCCGCAGAGTGGTCACGCTCCTTCTTGAGCTCCAGCTTTGTTCGCTCAACTTCACCGCGGAGGAACTCGACTTCGGCCCGAGCTTCGGCCTCTCCACGTCGGGCGTCCTCGAGGCCTTCCTCCAATTCTGACACCAGCTCTTCCAACTGCTTGAGCTGCTGCGCAACAATCTCGACATCTTCCCCGCGGTCCTGCAGTTCCTTGTTCTGTTGCATAAGCTCTTCGAGGCGCTGCTCATAAACACGCTCTGTCTCAGAAGCTGCAATTTCCAGTGTATCGAGGGTGCTTCTGAAATCTGCACGATGGCCGTCAAATTCGGCCGTCAATTGGTTGATTCGCTCATTGCGTTCGCGCAGCTGTGTACGGATCGAGTGTCCTTCTGATCCCTCCAATTCCTCCAAGGTAGCTTGGAACTCGCCCAAAGTTCTAGATTGCTCCTCAAGCTGCTTATCTCGGTCTAGAAGCTGTTTCTCTAGACTCTTGATCTGGTCTTTCAAGTCCTGGGTTTCTGATGAAAGCGGTCGGCGGGAGTCCGATGGGCGTCCATAAGACGAAGCGTCGTCATCAATGCTAAGTCGCGACGAGGGTCTGTCAGACAGCCGAGACGGCGCCTTGACAGGGCTACGCATGCCACCATTGAGTCCACCAGTCCTGGATGCCGCCGATGGTGTACGCAAACCACCAAGGCTCAGTTTTGGAGGGGGTACGCGAGGGGACTCGGGTCGGGGAAGAGAGGGGCGTCGGACTCGAGGACGCGGTGTAGCGAGAGATGCGCCGACGGATTTGCTGAAATTGACCGGTGCTCCACGTGCAGGAGTAGACGGGGCAGAAATTCCCGTAGATCGGCGTGTGACATACTTGCTGTTATTCATGGGAACAAATATGCCAGAGCCTGGAATCGAGGTTGTGAAGTACTTTCGGCCGTCCACATCGCCATTGTTCTTGCCTCGTGCTGCGTGCTCGGCGCTCAATTCAACTCCTGCAAATTTTCCAGGCTTCCCCGCTACCGATCCCAAATATTTGATCGTCCCATACATGCCACCGGGGACGTTGACCACGTCACCGACCTGTACATCGTCGACTGCCATTGTGGAGATATGTCGCGGATATGAAAGGGAACAAAGAGGACCGAGGCTGTAATTGAGGCTGTTAAATAATAGCTCCGACTAGCGATATTGGCCCCTGGAAAGGTCAGAAGTTAGGGCGTAGAGGGAGCGTCAGGAGAATGCAAGGATACTAAGTTGACAGCCCAACTCCTACCATAGCGATTGGGCGAAAAAAAAGAAAGAGAAAGAAACGAATGAAAAGACAGACTGAACTAGAACAGTACAGAGTATACAGCCAGTAACGTAGAAGGAAAAGAGTGATCGAGGAATCTCTAGAGAAGCGATATACGGGAAAGGGGGGGAGAACAACAAATACTCCACTCCACTCCCGCCAACCATTGACACTTCGACTTCCACCTCCTCCTCTGCATGTACCTTACCTCTCTGCATCTCCAAGACATACCTCGACGATCTTGTCTGTTCTGTACTAAGTCTTGCTTCTGCCACCGTTACGCTTCCGTACGCCACCGAGTCCCGTCGAACCCGACATCATCGCATACTGTCATACACCATGGCGCAATACTTCTTCGATCTCCTGTACAATTTCACGGATTGCATGTGCTGCTTTCCTAGCTCTCCACAGCTAAAGATCAACAATCGGAGTTTCAAGCTCCTACGCTTGTTGGGCGAGGTACAAACCCAATCGATAATAACTGCAAGCTGGTCTGACTGAACGCAACAGGGCGGTTTCTCCTACGTTTACTTAGTCCAGGATAAGAGCACTTCCGAATTATTTGCGCTGAAGAAAATCCGTTGTCCATTCGGCCATGAATCCGTGTCGCAAGCCTTGAAGGAAGTCGAAGCCTATAACCTATTCAGCTCCCAATCCAACATCATCCATTCAATCGACCACTGCGTGTCAACAGAATCCGGCTCGAAGTTCCGATCCGATGGCGGAGACCCAGGCTCGAAGACCGTCTATATCTTGCTCCCATACTACCAGCGCGGTAATCTCCAGGATGCGATCAACGCCAATTTGGTCAACCATACCAAGTTCCCCGAGAAGCGCTTGATGGTTCTGATACTCGGTGTTGCTGAAGCGCTTCGCTCAATGCATCAATATCGCGTGAAGAGCGGAGCAGCGTCTACGCGAAAGGCGAAGGGTGTTCGGAGAGAAGGCGAGGAGGCAGACGAGGAACGGACCATGCAGATGAAGCCGAAACGTCGCGCTAGTCAGCGGAGGGCCAATGATGAGGATGAAGAAAATGAGCCTTTAATGGATGATGAGGTCACTCAGAGTCAAGAGGGGGTTGAGGATGGAGACCTGCGCCCTTATGCGCACCGAGATGTCAAGCCTGGTGAGTCTAGATCTATTCGGCTATGAGCGCCATACTCTTTACCGGGACAAGCTAACGTTGTGGTCCAGGCAATATCATGATCGATGATAATGGCCAGTCTCCCATTCTAATGGATTTGGGTTCTCTGGCCCCCAGTCCCATCGCCATCACCTCCCGCTCACTCGCCCTGGCGGTACAAGACACCGCAGCAGAACACAGCACAATGCCCTACCGCGCGCCAGAGCTCTTCGATGTCAAGACAGGGTCAATAATAGATACCAAGGTTGACATCTGGTCGCTCGGCTGCACACTCTACGCCTGCCTCGTCGGCAAGAGCCCCTTCGAGGCGCGCAGCGAAGAGACCGGTGGTAGTCTGAGCATGTGCGTGCTCGGTGGTGACTGGCGATTCCCCGACGAGAAGTCCGGTGCTTCCAAGGGTAAAGCAAAGTCCGGCGAGAGCGAGGATGCGTCCAAGAATGATGGCCTTACAATCAGTGCTCCAGTGAAAGATATCGTTCGTAGATGTCTCACCGTTGAGCCCTCCGAGCGGCCGGATATTGAAGAACTGATCGATCTCATGAAGAGCGTTATTGACCAAATGCCTGAGGATGATGACACGGGACCTTCTCATTAAGGTGTTAGACCGGATCTGACGTGTTTCCCATCTTTTCTGCGTTTCTCTACTTTGACCGGCAGATTCCACAGGGCGTGCGATTTCTTTAGTTGTACATTATAAATACGGATTTAATCTCCTTGGTATCAAGCAATTCCATTTACCTCTTATCCTCATTCATACCCATGCTGGGCAAGGTTCCTAGGGCGTGTCTGGGCTCTAAATCACGACTCCATCATAGACAATATGACCGTCTCACGTTTGATTGTTTGCTCCAGTTCGTGCTGCCATCGGTCTTATGTAGAACATGATGTATCCTTGATAGAGACCGTAACCGGAGAGTAAACAGATACTCCAAATCCAGATGGCTCATAATGACGAAAGCCCGGCGTTGTTCAGAAGACGGGCCTCATAGGTGTTTCAACACAACCAATTCAAACCAAAAGGTATACCAGCACAATGAGCTATACCTTCACTGAGCATACACACGGGACAGACGTGGCGACGATGTTCCCAGACAGGGTGAAGGGGAAAACATGTACCACAACCGTCCCCTGACGCTGGTTTATGAAACTGACCAATCTCTCGCAGTTGTCATAGCAGGTCTCAAACGAGGCGATTTAGCAGCAACAACAGCAGACGCACTTGCGCACGGCGGTGCAGGGACTATAATATTCACCGGTCACTCCCAACCAGAACTGCAGCCGGTCATCGACCACATCACCCGGAAACATAAGGATACCAAGATGGTCTTCATAACAGCGGATTCTGGCAGCCTGACTTCATTCCGCGATGCAGCATATACTATCAAGAGCCTGGGAATATCCATTGATGGGTTCGTTGGGTTTCCGGAGGTGATGGCCGTGCCGTGGGAGCTGACCGAGGATGGACACGAGTCTCATTTCCAGCGAAACTATCTGTGTCATTTCTTATTGCTGAATATGCTGCGCAGTCTCATGCCACGTGGGTCGAGGGCTGTTCTGGTCACGACTAGCATTCGGAGTGAGGCGCCTGCCCCGACATGGGACGATATGGCATTCTCAGTAAGATTTGTCCATTCTTTTATGTGGGTGGGCAGCAAGAAGCTGATCAAGGCAGAACGGAGAGCAATACCACGCCCTTGAAGGGTACTCACAGTCTATGCTTGCGGTTATCATGTTCGTCAAGTCTTTTGCGAAGAAATATAGCGATCGATCTATCGCTGCATTCTCGGCAAATCCAGGAAGTGAGTCTCAACTCCCAACCCAGTCGGTAAAGGCGTGCCAATTCTTGACTCCCGTTCCCATTTAGATACCAAGACCAATGTCCAAACACACGTCGCATTGGACGAAATCACATCTTGGTTGCAGCGGAAAAAGGAAGGTTTGTAAGATGGATCTTGAGGTCCATGCATACAACCAGACTGACACATATCCCTGAGCATGCAGAGGGTAAGGAACTCCCGGTACTTCTACAGCAAGTGCCGCGATCTCTTGCTCAAGGTAGCGCCACCGTGGTACGCGGATTGCTTGACCCCGAGCTTGAAGGTAAGATAGGCACCCCCACGCATGTGATCAGGATCGAGGAGAATGTGCACTGATTGGGGGATACGGACATGTAGCCGACTCAGGGGCGTATCTCGATCAATGTCAGGCTCTTAGATTGCCGCATCTCGACTTTCCAGCGGGTGAACAAAGTGCGGAGATACTTTGGCAGCGAAGTCAGGAGCTAGTTTCGACCTTTCTTTCCTGAAGAAGGAATAAGACGGGATGGCCGAAGTAGGAAAGCAACCTATTGGGGGCGTCTACAATTCGGAGAGTCACCCCAGTGACCCCACTTGGATGAAGTCACATCCAATTAGATTTCTGGTGTGATAAGAAGCAATTGGAGCAGTGGGACAAACCCTGGAGCCGGGTTGTTCTCCGCATTCCTGCCGCTTTGGCCCCTTACTTTCTTCGTCATGGCTGTTCTTGATGGGGTCCTCTTGAAGTTTCGTCGTGATGGTTCAGATAAAGAACAAATTCAGCCCAGTTATACTGCCCAGATTGAAGAAAGTTATCCATCCCATGGAACCTCCTGATGAATGGCACATTTAGAGTTTGCGGGGAAATCTTGGAAGATAGCAAAGTGGAGCTTATCATCATCTGTTTGTCTTGGCCCTTGGCTCCTTTTCATCTCACCCTGTCTATCTTGGCCATAGAAGCGGAACCCTTCCGATCTGCGCAGACAATATATGACGATAACTCACGCCCTATATCTCGGTTATCTCTCCATTGTCTCTGATATCACAGCTACATCTTACTGGAGCATTCCCATCGATTCAATTCAAATATCCCTGTCCCGGCTTGAATTGACCCTCATAATTGCTTTTTCAGTCCAGACATACTACTGTCAGCCCTACTCCCATTATTGGGACGACACGCGGGGTACCTATCATATACTCAACTCCATCTCCTGACCTCCATCCAACCCCAACCTACACTGGTGTCACTGAAAATAACTACACCTGCACCATGGCGGCAGTAATAGACACCGCAGCCACCCCTGGCACAGTTACGCTGGTAGATGTGAATCATGTCCTGGCCACTCGGCATTTGGACCATGGAGATCGTGATATCGTGCTGGTTCCAACGCCCTCAAATGACCCGGACGACCCTCTTAACTGGAGTCGGAGGCGCAAGCTTCTGTCCACAGCCTGTGTGAGCATGTGAGTGCGTGCAGACAATTGACAGTAGAGCCTCTGATATGACATCAACAGGATGCTAACGATTACGCTTTCAGCTACACATTATTCACCGGAATTGCTTGCTCTGTCGTTTACTCGGTGCTTACACCGCTCCATGAAGCAACGGGCTTGCCAGTGAGCACATTGAACGAAGGAACAGGATACATGTTCTTGTTGGCTGGATGGGGGTTGCTATTTTGGCAGCCCTTCGCTATGCAGTATGGCAAGCGCCCGACGTACCTTCTGTCTTTGGCGGGCATATTGGTAAGTAGTCACATAGCTATTCGCAAGCTTGATTGGAAATCCAGGCTAATAGATACAGGGGGTGACAATGTGGGGGTAAGCAGTGTGAAGCTATCGATGGTAGGAAGTCAACTGACACCTGTTAGACCATATGCGAGCACCAACGGTCAATGGATCGCGCGAAACATCGTTTCCGGATTTTTCACTGCGCCTGTAGAAGCGCTCCCTGAGATCTCCGTTACGGATATAGTAAGTAAATACCCATGGTCAATGAGTGTGCCAATGCTGACGCTATCTCAAGTACTTCACCCACGAGCGAGGAACATACATGGGCTTGTATGCTTTCTTCCTAGCAGGAAGCAACTATTTCGCACCCGTCATCTGCGGATTCATCGCCCAGTACCAAGGCTGGCGATGGGTATTTTACTGGCCGAGTATTTTCGCTGGCTGTGCACTCATCTTTCTCTTCTTTTTCTGCGAAGAAACCAACTATGTTAGAAAACATGATGGAGAGCCTAGTGCCGAGGTATCGCAAGTCAGCTCAAACAGCGAGCGACCAGAGAAACCGCCGGTCACGACCAACGATTGCGAAGCTGTGACTGAGCATAGGGCATACAGTAAGAAGACATATGTGCAAAAATTGGCACTCTGGGGCCCGCGCCAGGAGCACAACACCATGTTCCGCCGGTTCTGGCAGTGTTTATATTTCCTTTCGTGGCCGGTTATCTTTTACGCTGGGTAAGTATAACGACTTCCTTGGTTGATGTGACCCTTTCGCTAATAAGGACAGATTCTCTTACGGGTCTTACCTGGTTCTTTTCAATATCATGAACGGAACTGCCTCCATCATTCTTGGCGGACCGCCATATAACTTCGGGTTGGTTCTATCATTCGAACAACTGGCGAAGCGAGCTAATCCATTGCAGGTCTTCCATGGTCGGTCTCAGCTACCTAGCGGCCATTTTTGGTGTAATTCTTGCGTAAGTTTTCGCAGATTTCAAGTCACACGCAACAAATACTGACCGATATAGATCCGTTTTCACCGGAAAATTCAGTGACTGGCTGACTGTCAAGCTCGCCCGCCGAAACAATGGAGTCATGGAGGCAGAGCATCGTCTATGGCCCTTCCTTGCTTGTCTAGTACTTGTGCCCGGCTCCCTCATACTATGGGGCGTCGGTGCCGCGCATGAGATCCACTGGTTTGGACTGCTGGTGGCCATGTGCTTGATTTCTTTCACCAATACCTGTGGCATCACGCTGAGTGTGAACTACTTTATTGACAGCTACCGAGAGCTGAGTGGCGTTGCCATGGCCAGTGTTATTCTGGTCCGGAACACCATGTCCTTTGCCATTGGCTATGGGTTAGTCTTCTTTCTGTCGGTTCTAAAGACAACCAACTAACCCTGACTTCTTCTAGTATCACACCCTGGGTTGATAATATGGGCTATCAGAACTGCTTTATATCCGCTGCTTTCATTGGAATGGCCTGCGCTGCGGTCTTCCTCTTCATGATCAAGTTCGGAAAGACTTTCCGTGAGCGCACTCGCGAGAAGTACTGGAAGATTGTTCAAACGAACGTGGAGAAGGGAATGGGCCATTAGCCAGGTAGATGTCTGCTATCTCGCACTTGAATTTTGCTATTGATCTATAGTAACTCGAATATAACTGAATTTCCATCCTATCACCTCACAGAGGCTTCTGTTCCTCAGCAAGATGAATCGCACCTTCATCATCATAAACAATCTCCCTGACCTTAACAGATCTCAAGTGATCGACACCCTCCGACAGCTCACAGTCATGATAGAACAAATACCACTTCCCCTGGAACTCGACAATAGAATGATGCGTCGTCCAACCAAGAACCGGATCCAAAATCCGTCCCCGGTAAGTAAACGGACCCCAAGGCGACGAACCAGTAGCATAAGCGAGGAAATGGGTATCACCAGTCGAATAAGAGAAATAATAAGTCCCCTTATACCGATGCAACCAAGGCGCCTCAAAGAACCTCCTCTCATGATCATCAGCCAGCAAAAGCTCCCCAGTCTCCGGCGCCAGAATCTTCACCTCCTTAACCGAAGTCTGCAAACTCAACATATCATCCGACAACTGCGCAACACGCGGACACAGCGCCGGCACACCCTCACCAGAAGGTTCCTGAGGCCCAGACTTCGACTCATCAAAAACAAGTCTCTTCTTCTTCCCATCCGGCCCACTCTCATCAGCATCAACCCCCTTCCCATCAACATCCTCCCCCCTCAACCCAGCACTGCAACTGACCGCCCCAGATACCGCCGACATACAGGTAAGCCTCGCCGCCGGCCTGCTCATCAACAAAGACAGCAGGATCAATGCTGTAAGAACCTTGGATATAGTTCTCCTCTGGCGTGAAGGGACCTTCAGGCTTATCGGAGACGGCTACGCCAATGCGGAAAATGCCCGAGTGGTCACGCGCCGGGAAGAAGAGGTAGAATTTCCCGTTCTTGGTTGCGGCGTCGGGCGCCCACATCTGCTTGGAGACCCAGGGGACGTCCTTGTCGCGCAGTGCAATGCCGTGGTCGGTTACGGGGCCGTCGATTTTGTCCATTGAGAGGACGTGGTAGTCGGCCATGTCGTATTGGTCGCCATTGTCGTTGAAGGCGATGTCGGTTTCGCGGTCGTGGCTGGGGTAGATGTAGAGTTTGTTGTTGAAGACGTGGGCGGAGGGGTCGGCTGTGTAGATGTGGGAGACGAGGGGTTTGGACATTTTGTCGGTGTTTCAGTGTTTGATGTTGGGTGTTGGTGTTGGGCCCCTGGGTTAGGGCTGGGAGGTCTCGGAGTGGAGTTTGAGAACTGAATTGACGTACAAGAGAAGGATTAACTGGGAATTTAGTTACGATTTATCTCCATCTACAATCTGTCTACTCCAGATTTTCATCCCTATTTTACCCCAGTTATTAGCCCCGTCGCTCTGTATTCCTCTATACCAAGCCCTCAGACCTTTAACCGGCGGCTAAACGAACTGAAACAAGCAAGCCACGGCGCAAACTCCGTCTTGGAAGGGCAATTCCTGGAGAATTAGCCAATTACTGACATTACTATGCACGAGAACTTGAGAAGCCAAGACAAAGAAAAGAAATTATTCAAACTAATCACTTGAGGTTCCATCTATGGGCCTCCTCCGCATAAGCCCTCTGCAGCGCCTGCTGCCACTCCACCTCCATCTGCCGAAGCAGCTCAGCTTCTTCTGTTGACATATTCGGTATCTCCTCACATTCAGTGTTCTCATAATCAACACTCTCATAATCAAAATCCATATCTCCAAATCCTTCAGCGATAGGCGACTCACACCCCCGCAAACCGAAAAAGCGGCCCAGCCGACGCAGTCGCGTGGGCAGATCAGTAGTTTCCTCCTCAGGCGTCCCAATCCACGGGGTAATATAAACCGGATAATGAAAGCTTGCCGGGACTGGCGGCCAGACCTGATGGAAGTGGCGAGCGAGGCCGTCGCATTGTTCCATGGTAAGTAGATTGTAGGCCAACATCGTTTGGGGGAAGTCGGGGTGTGTTCGGCCAGTCACGACGTTGACGAGCGGACGGAGCCGTGCGGAGAGATGTAATAGGAGAGGGATGAACTGAGGATGGAAGCTTGGGCGATCGTGAAAGGTGATTTTTGATTCGGGAAAGACTGGGAACTCGGCCTCTGTTGTCGTTGAGCCCCATGGGGAGGTTTCGAGGGTTAATGGACTTATGGAGTCGGTGGTTGAGATCGAGAGGTTGCGATCGGAGACATCCCATCTCGACTTTCTCGATCGTTGAGGAGAGCTGGGGCTCTTTGGGTCGGGGTGATGTCGTTTCATTTTGAGGATGTAGGTGGTTTTGATCAGAAGAAGCCTTTTAGGGCGCAAGTTGATGCTTGATAGATTAAAGTACGAGGTTTCAGAGGAAGAACTATCGAGGAAATAAAGGTGTCTTATATATTCAAAGGGTATGTGAGTATGCTATTGTCGAAAATCGTCAATGAACAATCGACAATGAGATGAAACGTCGCGAAACAGATCACTTCTTTGCGACACAAAGACATTCAGCGCCAATCAAGGCAGGCAAACGGGACATCAATTGGCCTTTGTTTCCATGAAAAGAACAATCACATCCATGTCAATAACTCTCCCTTATATACGTTTCATGTCCAAGTTTAGGCAACATTGGCCCTCAAAGCCAAAGTCAAAGAAGCTATTGTGCATCACAGCGACATATTAGCCACCCCGCGTGTCAGGTCAGCTTCTTCTGACACAGCCGGGAGGCCCACGTATTTGTTAATGAAGTTCAAAACCGTTTGGTGCCACATGAGCGAGTTCTCGGGGTTCAAAACCCAGTGGTTTTCGTCAGGGAATGTAAGGAACGCACTGTCAACACCACGCATTTGGAGTACATTAAATGCAGCCAGCCCTTCGGCAATGGTCAGACGGTAGTCCAGCTCATTGTGAATGATCAGATGAGGCGTTTGCCAGTGTTCTGTGAAGCGCGACGGATCCCACTTCGCCCAGTTCTCAGGAACCTTCCAGATCGGCCCTTTCAGGTCGTGCAGAGGGAAGTATTGCTCTTCACTAGCCAGCTGGGACGTCATGCTAAACACACCATCGTGGGTGACTAGCGCCTTGAACTTGCGTCCGAGCGGGTGGCCTTGGATCCAGTTCATCATGTAACCGCCGTACGAAGCGCCCAGCGCTACCGCCCGCGTAGTGTCGACGTAGTCTAGATGCGTTTCAATATACTCGAAGCCTTTGACCAGGTCTTCATAGGGCCGGCCGCCCCATTGTCCTTGGATTCCGTCGGTGAAGGGCTGGCCATAACCAGTGCTGCCGGTTGGGTTGGGGGTGATCACAACATAACCCTGTTCGGCGAAAACAGCAGGGTTCCAGCGCGTGCTCCACTGATCATTCCATGCACCTTGGGGTCCGCCGTGTATAAGATATGCAAGGGGATATTGCTCCCCAGGCTTGAAGTTCGAGGGTTTGACGACCCACGCGTGAATGGGATGGTCTTCGGCTCCCTTGAACCAGATCTCGTCAACCTGGGAGCTGGACAGACCAAACGCACTGCCACCCCGTCCGTTTGAAGACATCATTTGGACGTCATCTGGGTGTGCTGGATCGATGATAGTCCACAGGCTATTATCGACCAGGCTACTGCTGGACACAAACAGCTTGGAGGACTTGGCAGCCGCAGGAACAGCATCATTCACGTATCCAGAGCCAGTTAGCCTCTTGAGAGAGTCAGGCTTAACCTTCTGTGGATTATGCAATGGAAGCTGGTAGAGGACTCCACGGCCGGCCTCCTCGACATGAATGAGCAGCGACTTATCGTCGTGAGAAAAAGACACGACCGAGGGACTGAGATCCCAAAGTCCTTCACCATCATCGGATTGGAAGATCTCAATCATCTCCCCACTCCACGGGTTCGGAACATACAGAATCCGATTCTTGTCAGATTCATAGCCGTCCTTGCGCATTGCCAACAGTGCAATAGAGCTACCATCTGAGCTGAGGACAGGGGACGACATCGCACCCTGAAGACCAGTAACCTTGCAGATCTTCGCATCAGGCTCACTCATGCTAGTCCACGAAAACATGGGAGCATAGTAACACGAGCATGAAGTATGGGTGGCGGGGTTCAAGTTGGGATCTTTCGCAATAAACACAATAGCAGATGGGCTGATATCAAAATCGCCGGTGCCACCAAAGGGCGGAATAGGTGACTCGACGCCGGCCAATCCCGATACCGCGATCAAGTTTGTAAGACCTGAGACGGAGTACTTCCCAGCCCTTCTGCGGGCTGGTGACAAGGGCGCCTGTTCCAGCAAGCCATAGAAGATCGCATTCTTCTGGGGCTCAACATACGAATCCCAGTGTCGCACAAAGAGCGATGTGTATAGTTTGCCGGTGGTATGCGGCTTCTTCGCATCTTGAGGATTATACAACGATCCATCTGGATTGGCCTTTCCTGTCACGGCGAACCCAACCTTTCCTTCCTCGAGGACGACTACTTTCAGATCCGAGACGGGTCCTGGAACTGTGCCCGCGGTATATGTATTATCTGCATGGCGGGCATCGCCCACTATGAAGCTTGTGTTGCCGTTGGCCTTGGTCTTCAACCAGACCAGTTGATCGCTGTGATCCACCCACTGCGGGTTGCTGGCGCCGGGGTCATTGGTGATAAGGGTAGATCGGCCCGACTCGATATCAATCACACGGATTTCATTGGTCTTGGAATGGGACTCAAACGAGTAAGATGTCTGGGTGTAGACTGCTAGGGTGCCGGCCGCATTCGGGGCAGCTGAGGACCGCCTGGGTGCACCGAGCAGGACCCTAGAGAAACTGAAGTCAGTTCGACGCTCAATGAAAGTTTTTGTATATCAGTTCGCGATATTTGAGGTAATCCAAGGCAGCTTACTCGGGGGTGAACTTCATCGAACGAATGGCCATATCAGATCGTGATGGAGATAAGATAGGAAGCTCGGTGAGGGGGAGCTTCCAAGGGTCTAATTGAGCCTAAACAGGTGGTCGACAGGTAGTAATGAAACCAAAAGATGTGGAAAACAACCAACTAAGTGATTGAAGATAGCTGAAGAGGGAGTCAGAGCACAGAAGAGGAGTTGGAGAAGCCACCTGGGCAAGGGAGGTCGGTGCAACGTGACCATGCGGGGGGTGACCTGGATTGGGTTAAGCGTCATGTGCGACCTAGGCAACTGGTGAAATTGACTTAACCCGGAGCTACAGATACCTGGGGGTTTAGTACTGTGACACTGAAGTCTTGCACACAATTCATTATGGGGGTAGGGATAGGGATTCTCTAAGATATGGAACATGATTGGTTGCTATTTCAGGTACGAGATCGGCATCATAGCTCAAATGCTGATTCTGCGGAAGGTCTACGGAGTACTTCCAACCCACACACAATGTTAACAAGTAAAGAAAATGAAAGAAGAACCTTTTATATCTAAAGCTCATGAAAGGTGGTTATTATTACAAATTGCAACATCATGACATTCACTCCTCCTCTTCCTCACTCTCATCTTCGTCCATACCCTCAGCTGCATTCACATTGAAGGTAGGAGCCTGATCGACACCAACGTAGCTGTCGCTCATCAGGTAGAGCGTCAACTCATGTTCTCCAGGCGTAGGAACAACATATTCCAGACGCAACTCCAGTTTGCGACCAATGGTAACCCGCTTGATAGCCAGCAGGTTCTTGGTCTTCTCCTCACCAACGACCAGCCACCAGTTTTCCATTTTCTGGCTGGGATAGAACGGTGCATGGACGGTGGGGTCATGTTCCTGGTCCTCTTCGATGTCCCGCTCGATCTTGACCTTGAGATATGCAGGTTCGCCAGAAGTAACACTCTCGGGGTCCTCGACTTCAAAGTCAAGCTCAATGTTGGGGTACTTCTCATTCGTAAAGGCTGCAGCTTGGGCCAATTGCTTGTTGTCAAGGCCAAGACGCTTGACCAAAGTAGCGTAGTCCTTGTTCTCTGACGGGTCCATGGCCTCCATGAACTCGAAGATATCATTGATGCTGCGCGACGGGAGATTAGTAAATGTCTGCATGGGTGTGAGGAATGATACATACTTGTACTCGTTGGCTACCTTGATAACCTCAGGAGAGAAGTGGGGGATCTGCTTGAGCGGGCTATCGCGATCCCACATAGACTGAACAACCATTTGAGACAGTTCCATAGCGTTCATCGCATTGAGGTGACCCTCGGAAGAAAGAACATCCACACAAGCGCTGAGCAGGTTAAGGACCTTGCGAACGATGTCTTCCTGATCCTTGGCGAGATCGAGAGGGAGCTGCATGCGGGAGAAGTGGGCCTGGAGAAGGACGAAGGCCTTGAAGTGAGGAGAATCGAAAGAAACCTCTGACATCTTGACCGGCACACGATCATACACGCGGCGAAGAATGTGCTTCTCATGGCGACGCATCTGGACAGTCTCGAACTCGGTCGCCGATGTGACAATCTCCAGGATGCCCTTCAGCTTCGTCCGAGATGAGAGAGACAACAAGAAGGTCTGCATCGTAACGAATGAGATGTTGTAGTAAGCAGCAATCATGGCAGCATTCAGAGGCGAAACACTGTCGTCTTCCTCGTCAAGGTCAATGATCTTTGCCTCTGACAACTCCTTCAGTGTGTTCTCCACCAGCTCTGACAGGAACGTGCTGAGGCCCTCGTGACTAACGTCGCTGAGGCCATAGAAACTTGGGTTGGCAAGAAGGCGGCGATAGAAATAAGTGTATGTCATCCAATCAACCGCATCCTGCGTGGAGGAAATGGTCCGTGTGCTTGCTTCGGTCACAAAGGCATCGTGAAGGTACACCTGCAGGTGACTCTCGATAGGCAAGGCCTCGTTCAGGAACTTCTTGTAGTAATCACGCTTCACTGCTGGAACCATAAGAACACCACGTCCCAGCTTATCCTCGCCGGGCCGAGAAGCTTTGCCAAACATCTGCAAGATCTCGCTAATGGGGTAGTCGATGTAGCGATGCTCGCGGCCCTCAAAGAACTGAGTGTTCATAACGATAACCAGATGAGCCGTAACGTTCAGTTCCCAACACACATCTCGCGAAGCCAACAGCACCTGAATCGCACCGATGCTGAACAAATGCGTGACAATGCGCTTGTCAGTGGCATTCAGGGCTTCGTGATAGTAGCCGATACCGTGAGAAAGTGAGGTGGCAAGGGTCTGCTCGTGGATACGCTCGAGCAGTGGAGCAAGCTCGCTGGCGTCAGCGTTCAGGAATCGGTCTTCATCGTTATCAATAGCACAAGCTGAAAGAAGATCTGCGGCAGTGGCCCGGACCTGCTTGCGACTTGGAACAAAGATCAAAGCGGGCTTGTCAGGGGAGAGTTGGAGGATGGATTGGTAAGCTGGTCGAGCCATCGCGAGCATGGCAGAGGGGAAGTGAGGGATGCTGAAGGACTGAAGGTGAAGCTCAAGAGGTACAGGACGGGCATGAGGGCTGAAGTTGTAGATCGTGTGCTTGTTAGCACCAATCCATTCTCCGATATCCCGGGCATTAGAAAGAGGTACGCTAAGGCCAACAATGCGCATTTCATTCTCAGTCTGGAGAGCAATGTAGTGCATCCGAGACACGATCACTTCATACACGTATCCACCGTAGCCGCCAAGCAAGTGAAGTTCGTCAGCAATGAACAGTTGCACTGTCTGAACATTCTTGCGTCGCTGCCACTGGCGAGACAGCACATCCCACTGGGTAGGAGTAGCAAGAACAAGGTCAGCCTGTTCGAGAAGTTTCAAATCGGCTGTGGTCTCGCCTGTAAGCTTGACGATGGTTTTACCTCCACTCAGCCCGCTAAGCCGCTTCTGCCAGTCAGCGAATCGGTGGTCAACCAACTCTTGGAACGGCGCAATGTAAACTGCGCGGCCGCTTTCCTGCTTCGACCAGTGACGAAGAAGGGACAGCTCAGCGCAAACAGTCTTTCCACTTCCAGTGGGAGCACCGATGAAGATATTGTCGTCGGTGTCAAATAGTGATTTGAAAACCTGAGACTGAATCTTATTGAACTGCTGCCATTCTGGGTACAATGCTTGATAATCATCCCGCTTCAGTGCCTTTACTGGCGCACTCTGCATGTCAAGCAAAGGCGTGTGGGGAGGGAAGCGCTCGGGAAGAACCAATTTCTGGAAAGATACGGCAATCTTCGTCTCAGAATGCATCCATCGATCAGACACCAGTGAGATGAAGTAGTTCGGCGGCATTGGCTCAGTCACAGGAACAGTGAATTCAACAAGATGTTCGTTCATCTCGGACTTCGCGAACTCAGCACGAAGCAAGAATCGATCGTGGAACAAGATCTCCTCTCCATCACAGTCCTCGACTAAGATCCAGAAATCCTGGGCATTGCCGTGTATCTCGTCATCCCAGACAAAATTCGGGGAAATGGTCAACTCCACACGCAGCATGGATCTTGTAATGGGCTGCACTTGGGCTTGAACATCGAGTCGAGGGAACTTGGATACCAAATCACACACAGAACGTCCAGCCTTGGGCATACCGAGAAGCTCACCCATGCGGGGAGGATCCAGGTCGAAGTAGCTGCTCCAAGGGACGTCAATGCGTTCCGCCTTCTGCAAAACATCTCTTGGGCAGTGAGGGAATTGACGAAGGGGAGACATGGTGGGCCACATACGCTTCTCGGCCATTTTGCAAAGATCGAGCGCAGTCTTGGCCACGGAGGCCCAGCCCTTCTTCAAGCAAATCTCGTAGATCGCGCGAATGATACGTCCGGCTGACTGGGTAACATAAACCATATCTGCCATCAGTGCAAGACCCTCAAGTTTGAGTCTAGAGATGTAAGCTTGCAAAAGCACATTGATCTTCGCATGGGGCTCATCGATGGTCTCCTTCACAGGCACGGGCACGCGACCAAGAAGCTTTCCAAGCTCAAGCTTCTCATCCTGGCGAACGGGTATGTATTTGAACTCGTCGCTCAGAGCGAAGATTCGGAATAACTCAATGGTCGTAATAGAGGGTTGGAGGTGTTGAGCGTATGTAAGCATTGAGTTATGACCAATGTAGTAGTGCGAAGAGATACGTCCGAGCTCAGTCGACTGCAGACGCCCAGTTTTTTTCTCGTACTTGACGAGACCGGCCTTCTCAAGGACCACAGCAGCGGAGTGAATAAGATCGACTCGCTTCTGCTCCAGGGCGTCATCGTCCTGGTAATCGGCGCCAACGCTGTACAGACCAGGTGACCGTAGCATGCGAACGTAAAGGTAGGAGTAGCCTAGCCAATCCACACCTTCATCACGGGTGCGAACGTTGCCAAGCACAATCTCTGCATTCAGGTTATCCACCAATTTGCTGACCATCTGCGATTCGATCGGGAGTTGCTGATTCAGAAGCGACAGATAGTATTGGATTTCAGCTTGCGATGTGATGATGATACCTTCACCGAAAGTATCATATTGCGGCCGACCAGCACGTCCCAGCATTTGCAAAACGTCTTGTGGGCTCAATTCGACCCAAGCGCCCTTCTCCGGAGAGTAAACCTGGGTCCCCTTGATGATAACGGTGTGTGCGGGAAGGTTGACACCCCAGGCCAATGTCGCTGTGCAAACAAGGACCTGGAGACTTCCATCAGCGAAAAGAGCCTGAACAGAGTCACGATCGGCAAGACTCAGACCAGCGTGGTGGATACCGAGGCCGTACGGCATGAGATCCTTCAGGTTTGCATCATCCACAGAGTCTGCTTCTTCGGAGAGAATAGCACGACTGGCAGCGTCACTGCGCAAGATCTGGCCAATGGTTTCATTTTCAAGGGCCTTGTCTCTGATGTACTTAGCCGTTTTGGCCGTTTCCTTGCGAGAGTGGACGAAGATAAGCATCTGGTTTCGGTGTTGACCGACCTGCTCCATGACCTTGGTATAGCAAATGTCGTTCATCGTCTTCAACTGCTTGATGGCCTTCTTGTCGGTGACACCAATGAATTCCTGTTTGAGAGGACAAGGACGGTAGCTGCCATCGAAATGGAATATGCCCTTGATGGGATCCGCACGCAAGAAGCTCCCCACGTCACGATAGTTTGGAAGGGTGGCACTGAGACCCACGATTCGCACCGGCTCTCCAGTCTGCTCGGTTCTGCGAATCGTTCGACTGACGATACTCTCAAGGACCGGGCCACGGTCATCGTGGAGAAGGTGAATCTCGTCAATGACTATGAGGCGGACAAGGTTGGTGTAGCTGGTCTCAGACGCCTTTCTGGTGACGACGTCGTACTTTTCAGGGGTGGTGACAATAACTTGGGTATCGGCGATTTGTTGCTTGGTGAGCTGACGATCACCTGTAAGTTCGGAGACTCGAACCCCATAAGGTTCCAGGCGCTTGCCAAGATTTCCGACTTGCTCTTGAACCAGAGCCTTCAAAGGGGAGATGTAGATGATCTTGAAATCGTCGAGCATGATCTCCCCCGTCTCAGGGTTGCGATTCTTCCCAATTTCTCGAAGTATCGTAAGCATAGCAACATTCGTCTTGCCGGAGCCCGTGGGAGCACAGACGAGCAAATTGCCGTCATCGTGGAACGCCGACGGATAACACTTCGTCTGTATACGGTTGAGTTCCTTGGAGGTTCCGAAGCCTACACGGGCCCACTCTGGCAACTCTGTGGTCGGGATATTCTTCTCTCCCGCCTCTTTCTTAGCCTTGGGCGGTGGCACATGAATTTCTTCATATCCCTTGAATGCGCGCTTGGTCGAGCCCTGAGGAAGCTTAACATTGGGATTGGTCATAAGGTGATTGCCCTGGTGGAAGATAAGGTTCTCCAAGTTAATCGTTTTCTTGGGTTGCAGAATGCCAGCTTGACCACCTTCAGGTTTCTTCTCGTCGGGGGTCGGGCCTGAAGGAACATCGACATCCATTAAGTCCAACTTGATTTTCTTGTCAGGTCGTGCTCCAGATTCCTCGGCTTCTTTGCCGCGGATTTCATCGAGGATTGCACGTTGTCCGGCTTCAACCATCTCAATCTCCACGAGATTTCGGGCATCTGCGTCCTCGGCGGCTCTCCTCCAGCGGGTGACCCAGACGGCCTTGTCGCGGTTGGTGACTAATTTAGCAACAAGTTCAGGATGGTCATAATCGAACAATTCCATGAGGTCATTTTCAACGTCACGTAATGCTCTTGGTGATCCATCCTCGTCCTTTCCACCGAGAATCTCAAGCGCCTCGTCGGTTTTCTCGTGTTGTGTGTGAGGGTCTGTGTATATGGCACCGATTTGGCGTTGTAGCCAGTAAGCATCGATCTCGCGAGCGGAGACTTTCAGCCCAGCCTTGTCTGCGGCTTTGTCGGTTCGACCAAGGCCTCCATCGATGACCATTTCGTCACCATCTTCGTCCTCGGCAGCTGGGACATTGTCGGTTTCCGCCCGGTCTTCTTCGTCCGCTTCTTCCTCCTCGCTCAGCTCATCCTCATCTCGGACTTCGTCCAATGTTCCCATGTTGTCTTCGTCTTCGTCTTCGTCAAAAACGACGGCAACACCTTGGCGTTCATCGAGTTCGCCACTTTCTTCGTCAAAACCCCCTTCCATTTCTTCTTCATCGTCCTGGGCATCGTAATCTGTGATCTTCTTGCCTAGGTTCACCAGCTCGTTGAATTCTTTGGGGTTCATTGATGTTCCCAAAAGATCATCGATTTCCTTCTTCTTATCAAAATCTTTCATGTCTTCATCTTTGAGTAATTCTAGGACAGCATCGGCGGCACTTCGAACGACTTCGTGAGGGACGTCGCCTAGTTGGCTCCCGGTGATTGTGAGGATAAGGTCGTATGTTGCGCGCGTAGCGGGTGTGCGAGGTCGGTATTTCAAGCCTTCGACGAAGGCATCGGCTGCTGAAAGGATGCCCTGGCCCCGTAGTTGTGCTGGTTGTCCGCGCTGACGCTTCTTCTGTTCACGTAAAAGCACATCTTCGCCCTCGCCAATTGCACCTCGCTCGAGCCCTGCCGGAGCTGTCTTCTTGGATTTTGGCGCGTTATCACGTTGGACTCGTCCACCCATCTCCCGGATCCCAATGCGACCCGCGAGAGACTCCGGGTCTCCTGTAGGTTCGTCATGGGTGCGACTGACGAAACGACGGTCCGCCTGGAGAACCAGGTTGGACATCGCCGAATACTTATACTGAGAGATATTTTGGTCCGCCATTTTGGTGGTTGTATGACTGAAACGAAAAGATGGAAAGAAAGAAAGAATGAGTTGCGACAAGAATCTGCCAACGGGAGGTCAAGATTCTGGCCGCGCCGAAACACGAGAAGTCGGCAATTGGTGAAATTCAGTTGGTCTCACAAACCCAGCTCATACTCCTACCGCAAGTAGCGTCACTTGTAAGGAAGAGATATTAGCCAAGGTTGTAGATGGATGGAGGTCAAGGAGCTGCTCGGGAAGATTTCGGTGGCAAAGGCGGAAGGGAGGGGAGCTTGGATGGTTCTGCCACTCCAGACATTGGGAGCGCGTCGCAACAATGCGCCCTGGGCCCATTTCCCATTTAATGCCAGTTTACAAGAGGCCCACAACTGCCTCGATACGTTCATTCTATCTTTCCTCCATACACCGGTTCATATGCCATCATGCGCGTCGATCCTCCATACACCCACGCGTGTCCACCGCCATCCCGAAAGTATACCTACGAGGCGCCAAGTCGAAAGCGACAGTGAAGTTGAAAGACCTCCCTCAAGGAGTTTTAAAACTCGAGCCATACGATGATCGGAAGGATGAGGCACCCCGCTACCCGACAGTGGTGCAGGGACACCGAAATAATATGCAAACGTTCAAGAACTGTGTGATCTTGACGCGAGTCGGCGGCTTTTACGAGGTACGATAAGGAGCAATATTCCAGGAACCCAAGCTGAAATTGTATCGTTTAGCTTTATTTTGAGCAAGCAGAAGAGCTAGCCCCATTGCTCAGCCTCAAGCTTGCATCCAAAAAGACCAACGGTGGGCCAGTTCCAATGGCTGGCTTCCCCTTCTTCCAGCTCGATCGGTTTCTGAAGATCCTCGTCCAAGATCTGAACAAGTATGTGGCTATCAGCGAAGAACTTGCTATCAGTTCCGAAGACAAAGCTCGCTCTGGGGGCCTTCTCTTTGATCGGAAGGTTGCCAGGATCGTCACGCCCGGCACTCTGATTGACGAGAAATTCATTGACCCTTCTGAGCACAATTACTTGTTGGCCATATATTTGGATATCACGGCCTTACAACTGCAATCAAAGCAGAATGTTGACAATGATACGCATCAGCATCTGTTGTCATCTGTGCCTCAGCAAGTAGGATTGTCGTGGCTTGACCTCTCAACTGGTGATTTCTTCACCCAGCTCACTACGACCCAGATGCTCCCATCGGCAATCGCGCGCATCGGAGCTCGCGAGATTCTAGTAGATCAGAATGTGCAAGATTCTATTGGACACGAGTTACAAATGCTGGTTGGACATGATCATCGTCTTGTCACTTTCTTCCAGTTTCCTAGAGATATTAAACCAGTTTCTGAATGGAACTCAATGCTCGAGTCCCCGGTGCCTGAAGATGCTCGCGGGTCATTTACACCTGAGGAAGTAGCAGCCGGGTACAGTCTGCTTGAGTACATTCGCGTGCAGCTCCAAGGATCGAATCTGAAGCTCCAGCCTCCTATTCGAAAACACCTGAATGAATCAATGAGCATTGATCGTAACAGCCTGAGTGGTCTTGAGATTCTGGAGACAGCGAGAGACGGTTTTGGGAAAGGAAGTCTTCTTCACGCCGTAAGAAGGACGTCTACGAAAAGTGGTGCACGGCTTTTGCGAGACCGATTGAGTATGACCAACCAATATTTGAATCTCTCTGTCTATAATTGCTAACTCATAACACGCAGCCTCACCGTCTACGTCTTTACAGGTCATCAATGAGCGCTTGGACCTTGTCTCGGTCTTCATAGAACATGTGGAGCTCCGTGATAGCGTCATTCAGCTTTTGAAGCGCAGCTACGATTCTCAGCGTCTGGTTCAGAAATTTGCTTTTGGAAAAGGTGACCCGGATGACCTGGTTTGTCTTTCACGTGCCATCGAGGCCTCTAAGGATGTCAGACAAGTTCTCCTAGATCATAATAGGCTTCCGGTTTCCGCTAGCACTCCTGATCTGAGCCGCAGCCTCGCCGCCATGATCTCGCGCCTTTCCCTTGACGGTCCCATTGCGTTAGCAGATCAAATTCTTGCGGCCATCGATGAAGAGGGCTTGTTACAGAAGCAACGCATCGAGGATAGTGCCGCCGCCGAGGCAGCCAGTCTGGCACAGAAGGTTGCTATAGATGAAGGCACATCTAGTGACTTTGAAGCTCTACCAAAGAAGGTCAGAGCGAAGAAGGGCGAGCGGACTGTGTCGATTGATACCGAGTCCGGTCCCCTCGATACCTGGATCATGAGGCGTGACGCGAGTGAGACGTTAAATGCACTCCACGCGGAACTGGAAAGGTTTGGTGATGAAAAGGCTTCACTGATTCAACGGCTCCGTGATGCGGTCGGATCGTCAGCCCTAAGCCTCAAATGGACACCAGGTTTGGGCCACATCTGCCACGTCAAAGGGGCCAAGATATCCCAGAAATCTCTAGAAGACTTGGGGGTCACTCGGAACGTTTCATCGACCAAATCGACTCGGTCGTTTTACCTGCCAGCCTGGACAGAGCTAGGTTCCAAAATGGACCAGGTGAAAATCAGGATCCGCCAAGAGGAGCAAACAATCTTTGAACGTCTGCGACGTGAGGTTATCTTGAACCTCGTCAAGATCCGTCGAAACGCAGCAGTCATGGATGAGTTGGATGTGGCGTGTTCGTTTGCACTTCTAGCCCAGGAACAGCAGATGGTGCGACCGATTCTCAATGACGGCACCTGCCACAAGATTGTCGGTGGCAGACATGCCACCGTCAAATTGGGCCTAGAGGAACAGGGACGATCGTTTGTGAGCAACGATTGCTTCTTGGGTGATACCGAGCGCATTTGGCTCATTACTGGCCCCAACATGGCAGGCAAAAGCACTTTCCTGCGACAGAATGCTTTGATTACCATTCTCGCGCAGGTGGGATCATTTGTACCGGCAGCTTATGCTGAGATCGGCATCGTCGACCAAATCTTCAGCCGAATCGGTGCAGCTGATGACCTCTTCCGCGACCAGTCGACTTTCATGGTAGAGATGTTGGAAACAGCTGCGATTCTCAAGCAAGCGACGCCCAAGTCATTCGTGATTATGGATGAAGTCGGCCGAGGCACAACCCCGGAGGATGGTACGGCTGTTAGCTTCGCGTGTCTGCATCACTTACATTATCATAACCAGTCTCGAGTGCTTTTTGCTACTCATTTCCATGCCCTTGCGGATATGACAGAGGACTTTGAGAAGCTGGCAAGATACTGCACGGATGTTAAGGACCTTCCTTCAGGCGCGTTCTCGTTTGTTCATCGACTGCGGAAAGGCGTCAACCGTGAGTCTCATGCTCTTAAGGTTGCCCAGCTGGCTGGGTTGCCTGGGAAAACCCTCGAACTGGCGACACGGGTGCGCCAGAAGCTTAGAGACGAGATGCCACCGTCTCGAGTCACTGATGAAGATCAATCCTAGCCTCAGGGACCCTTAAGGCAAACTGGGGTTGGTACGTACCCAACGGTACAGTGTATGATATTTATGTACAATATTTCGGCTTTTTACATGTTAGAGATACCACCAATATATGCAAAAATGTGGGGAAATGTCTCCCTCGCCTCTACTTCCAGTGCCAACCACCGGGTCCTCGGTTCCAAGTAAGCCCACAACGCTTACAATGTATGTCGTAGACATTGTACATCATCTCAGAGCTTAGCCGACCACAACCTTGGTTTTGGCTCCTCCTCCACCCGACCAAGCTGACCCTTTCGGCCAAGATCAATGACAACACCCTCCCCAAACGCAGCCTCCTGGCAATCTTCATCCCCAACCCCATTGACGAACTGCACGACGACAAAATCGACCCGTCGATTGCCCAGAACCACCATAGGCGCATGCCACGTTCCCACCCCATACGTGACAGCCTGGCCGCCACGTGCAACAAACGCGTGAACATTATTCAAATCCGGCGGGTCACGAATGGTAATCGTCTCCCCTGCATCATTCTTCGCCGTGGCAGTCTGGCCCTTCAAGGTCGGCGCAACAACAACCAAGAACAAAGGCTCATCCTCGCCATCCCCGACCTTGGAATGAGCAGAGAGATCCACAGGAATGAAAGTCTGATTTGTAAAAGGGTGGCGCTCAAGGATTCGCACGTCAAAGACCTCCTTTTCTGGCTGCTGTCGGCCTTGACTGATCGAGCGCAACTTGCGCGGGAAGCAACAGAACATGGTCATGCGTGCCTCGGAGGGCTGTCCGCTTGGACAGGCATTGTAGCGGTCGAGCAGCGGGGAGATGGGACTGTACTTCAAGGCGGAGTTCTGGTTCGCCAGGACCGGGGTCGGCTCATGTGGCGGTAGGGATGATATTTGAGGGGCGATATTTAGTCGACGTGGTAGCGGGGAGACCACTGCTGTTCCAAATTGTGCGAAGTTCTCCGGTGTAAGGGGCTTCGGGGTGAGCGTTACTGTCGGATTCGTGGTGAGGATCGGCGCCATGGTGGGGGGTTGAGGTATCAGGATATATGTGGGTGTGCGCTGGTCAATTGCTGGAAATCTCCGCCACCGTCTAGCCTGCAGATGAACAGCTCTTTAGTGGTGAGAAAAAGGAAAAGAATTGGAATTGGATGCGACTTATGAAGCTAATGCGGAGTCTTAGCGGAGATGGATGTCGGCCGCCTCCGGTGACACTTGCCCGATAAGATAGGCCGGGGCCGAGGTACTTAGTACGAAGTATACACCAGTAGCAAGTCGAACATTCAACTCCCTTTCTCTGGAAGTATCATCGGGACATATTTTTGTGCAGCTACTATTAGTTCCAGGGTTCCTGACTCCGTCGTTGTTCACAGCTTGTCGAGGAGTGGCATAGCTCTGCGTCGAAGCGCAATGAATTCGCCAGTTGATAAGATGAAAATGGTCACTGCGCAGACCAGGGCTCGAAGCCAATGTGCTTCGTGAAGACCCTGCTGAGGTTGGAGACTTTAGGCTTGTACAGCAGTACTGAGCAGTTGGGGTCAATCCATCGATACCCAACGATGAATATTGCAGGGATTAATGCAACAAAGGTGCGAGTGCACAGAAGTTGCCGAGTGGCCATTGCTTTCGCCAGTTGGTACTTGACCTCGCCAGTTGATGCTTGGTACCAAAATAATTACCTTGAATTGGCTAATGCTCCTGTGTAGGTCGGTATAAGGAACACTGATGGAGGGCACAAGCATGTACTCTGCAGTACTCGGCCCCTCAGCACAGGTAGATCTGACAGTCGACAACAATCTGGAAAGACAACGAGATCTTGGAAGTGGTTCGCACGCTAGCCACAAGGCAACCGCCGCTGATCGCAATAACCTTGGCAATCTGGTCATGTTTGCTTTTCCTATGAGTCTCTAAGGTCAACGAGATATTGTCTCTGGCTGTCGTTACCCGCACATGCCTAAAGCCAGCCAATGAGTCACTCGCTCGATCCTGCTTGCATAGCATGTGTGCATGTCGCCGGTCATACTATTGGTCTGTTGCATCCATTCCTCCGAGTCTTTGTTAAATTCAAAGAGAATGTAGTATAGACTTGGATGAAGTCCACACCGGCGTTTCATGGCTGCGACTTGTTGGCCTTCAATCATTCACACCGTCCCAATTGTACATGAAGGAAGCCAGGATATAAATCGACGACGATATCCGCCTTCCCTTCATGGCCATGATTTGTAACATCTATGGCTATTTGAAACTACTGAAAGAGACGGCAACTTGCACTTATATCTATCTTGAAACCTACACTGTCGACCCTTTCCAGGGCTTGTCTTGAGGAATACTCCACAGCAAGAACATCATCGATATCAAGCCAAAGATGAACAACTCTACAAGTCAATCCTCGCCACAACAATCCACTACCGCCACTGCGGGCTCTTCGAGTTCTGCAGTTACAAACACCCCTGCTGCTGGGAGCTCTAACAATACTCCTTCAGACCCGCAACAAAGGTGATTCAGTGACCTGTGGGCTCTTCCTGTTTAAGTTCTAAAGCACTAGCTAATCCGAGCTGGACCACTCAGTGAGTTCTCTAAGAACTTCCAATTTGATACACAAGGCATCGGTGGCTGGGTACCAAAGGATCTCAATCCAAGCAAGTTCCCCGCTACCTTGGACATTTGATGATCACGATGTCATAGACATCATTGCATGGGCCAAGGACTCTCATTATGAATTTACGATTTTATGATGCTCTTTCTTTGATTTTTTGCTTTGGAACTGTGATAGTAAGAGCATTGAGAGAGGGATTGGAACCGGGGTCTGCAGTCACTGTCGTGCATGACGTGCCAGAGACTGGCAGAGGATAACGTTTCTCGAGATCCGACGCACCTGAGAATGGAGGTCAATGGAAGAATTGCTATTTTAGCCGAAGGACTTGATATGCTCGGGAATGTAACTGCGTGTACTCGGTACATTGATGGCGCTTTCGCTTCCCCTCTTTTCTTATCTCGGACATTTCGCCTCCATGTTGATAAGTCCAATATACGAGCCATTCACGTTGCCTATATTGAGGTGGATGGTGCAAATGTGCAGGTAGATGTAACATCGAAGTGCATCGTTGATGCAGCCGTGTCAAGGGGAGGATGAACGTGGTTAAGCTTAATGGATTTTGGCAATATAATTCAGCCAAATACAGCAGGGATGCCATGGACTGCCAAGGGGCGTTAGATACATTGCCACTCGTTCGAATAGGGCTGAGAGAGAGAGAGAGAAAGTTCATGTCAAAAGCCCGTGGTTGGTCCACATGGTTTCAGTGTCCGTTGGAGTTCACATTGACGAGGAACGAGGAGCAACCGGAATGGCTTTATCTATACGATCGAATTGATCGTTGAGATTTCCTGGCGGAGTATATCTCGTTTATTGTGCGTGAATGCGTCAGAAAAAGTATGTTACTGTTGGGCATCGATATTAGCCTGCTTGAAGGGCTTTTAGAGAAACGAAACAGATTTGCAATAACCATATCCAGTTCCAGACCTACTTCCTCCAACACTGTATTACTTCGTCTGGTGGGAGGGAAAGTAAGACATAACGTTCCTTGTTGGTACGAATTTGCAGAGCAATGCACGATGGAAACTCGTGTCAGACTGATTCCGGCTGGTGTGAACATCACAAGCCCTCTAGCGAATGATTCAGCTTTTCTCCCAGCTCTCTCGCATCTTTACCCAATGGGTTCTTGGTATTTGGACATCGTTCGGCCACACAGCTATTGCGAGGGCGCAAGGACGTAGCAATGGAGCTAACAGACTTGGGACTGGCGCCATCTAAGGTGACAGTGGCCTGAGCCCAGCACTGTGCGGATACCGAGAGCGTAATGGCTAGCTTTTTGAGTCTGAATGTACGCAGTACATATCGAAGGCATTGCGCATCACATCCCGCGACCTTGCAAACAGGAATCCCATCCAATAGCCTGGAAATGTGTATTGCAATAAGCGACTGGAATTTATCCATGTATTTTTGTCTAGCTTCGTCGATCCGGTCTGTAGCCATATAGTCAGCTATCAGAATTACTACCTTGAACGCAAACAATTTCCTGAAGTTGCTAACACGCCTTTGGTATGTTTTGGAATCGGCAAAGCATCGGTCATAAGGGGACCTGTTCCTTCCTGCATGGCAATCTTTGTCACTAATTTGTGTGTATCATGGAAACCGAAGACCGAAGATATTAGAATCCATGATTTGATTTTGATCGCGGGGGAGACGGACGATGGAAACAGTGGACTACGTTTCTCGATGGCTGCTTTCCACGTCTTAGCAGCCATCACAATTGCCTCGTTGCATTGGAAAAAGTCGGTAATCACGGCGATATTGGTGAGTTGTTGTAAAGACAACTTCTTGGGAACTTGTTGAGAACGTCCATGTATAATGTTCAGCACAATGAGAAGGATATCGGGTTTGCACTCTTTCACGGGAATTTCCGTATATCCCTTTTCAGATAGTGCACTCCCTTCAGCCCAGCAGTCTCGCAGCATTGCTTTGAAATAAGGTGACGCAAGTGCGAGGTGCCTAGAGGAGACTAGGAAACGAGCGTGGTTCCCCTGCTCGGCACTCTTTTTCGAGTTAATCAAGGGAGTATCTGGGGTGTAGACAATGATGTCTCCGTTAGTAGCAACGGGGGTACATGTCTCGGATTTGGCGATGAAACCAGCCGCTGTGCGCCTGTAGCCCTCGTCTGGAGCTAGAGGAGCTTTTCTCTTTAGCCCCTGTAAAGGGGTTTTGGAATCCATCGCTTCTCTTTGGGTCCTGAGTTTAAGGATGATGATTATGGATGGAGTGGTAACTGAGTCTGGATGTGGGGTGTTGCTGAGAGTTGCAGAAGCAATAAATAACTTATCTGGGGCACGAGAGAGGTTGACATAATCTGTGACTACTCATGTGATAATAAAGCCCTAGATAAGAATGAAAGGGTCATCCAAGAGCCTCAGGATCATCTACTTCATGTAGGGTTGGTGCAAACTATGGCAAACCATGGAACAGCGAAATTACCCTACTCCCCAACGCTACTGCGTAAGTGAGTGCAATTTTGACGGGCCTCTGAGAAAACCCACTGATAGGTGTTCATACTTGTGTTGACAATGTCTTTACCGATGGAATACTGATACTCCTTTTGTATGAACTGACTCTTGCTTGTAGCTGTGGTTGCGCCTTTCCCGTCTAGAAACTTAGATCATTTCCCTCGTATGAATAGGGTTATGTGAGCGGTTGAGCAAGAGAAGCCAAGTAAGACAGGGCTATGGCTATGGATGTAGGATTCAGGACATGGTGCCTAGCTCGAACCAAGGGTTTTACAAGAGTTACTAGGAAAGATGGAAAAGAAAAGGAGCTTTGATCGTGAAATCATCAAATGTTCTAGTTTCAAAGTCTTATTTATTGTGCATCCACCCATTGAATCAGAGAATGCAATTTACTGTTGGACGTAGGCATTGCATATGTAGCTACCAACTTGAAGCGCTTTTAGAGAAACGAAAGGTATCAGCAATGTTCAGCATCCAATCGCAGGCTTTCTCAGATAGGGAGGGAGACCAATAGGTATACGGCGTAATGGCGTGTTTGCATAGGTAAATATATAAATAAACTCGGGGCAAATGCTCCATGGGAGCTTTTAAACATCACAGACCCGGTAGCAACTCGGCAAGTCTTTCTGCATGGCTTCTCACCACCTGTCCAAATGGGTACGTGAGATTTTTACACGAGGCATAGGCACTGGTATGTCCGTAACCGGCTTGTTCACCCGCGGCAAATGTCCTGTCTGAAACCATAGAGTGAACTAAGGTGGGACTCAGGCCGCCTAAGGAGACGGTGCCGGAGATCTCGTCCTTTTCGCATGTCGCGAACAGGAGTTTTTTTTTCTACTGAGAAAGGTATCTTGTTTGCTGCCAACTTGCGCAGTAAGAGACCCAGTAAATGCGCATCGCACGAAGCGCTGCAATGAACAGGAGAGGTTAACAAATCGGAAACCCGCGATCCAATTTTCTGTTGGAATCCATCCATGTAGGCTTGTCTGGCTTGGTCGATACCGTCTACACACATAATCAGTTCTCATATTATTTCAAGTGGACTTATTAGCTCTCTAACCAACCTTTGACAGTCTTTGGAATTGGTAAGCCGTTTGTCATTAAAGGACCTGTTCCTTTTTGCTGGCAATTTGTGTTACTTTTTTGAGAGTATCACGGAAGTCGAAGACCGATGCAATCATGATCCACTTGATGGTATCCTCAGTAAGATGACTCATCTCGATTTCACTTGGCTGAAGGGCTGCTTTCCAGTTGCTAGCAGCTATCTCAACTGCCTCATGACACTGGAAAAAATCAGTGGCCACCGCAATATCGGTGAGTTGTTGTAAAGACAACTTCTGGGGAACACGCCGATGACGTCCATGTATAAGGTTCAGCACAATGAGAAGGGTATCGGGTTTACACTCCTTGACAGGAATTTCCGCAGATCCCCTTTCCAATAGTGTACTACCTTCAGCCCAGCAGTCTCGCAGCATTGCTTTGAAATAAGGTGACGCAAGTGCGAGGTGCCTAGAGGAGACTAGGAAACGAGCGTAGTTTCCTGGCACGGCGCCTTTCGCCGCATCAATGAAGAGATAATCCGGGGTGTGAAGAATAATATCCCCATCAGGATCAATCTTATAGGGAGTAGGTGTATCGATCTGCGACAGCTGCGACATCACTGGGGCGTCGGCATCATCATCTAGTGTGGGGCTTGCGGTCCTTGTCCGAAGCTGTGAGAAGGGTGTCACTTTGCATATTGCGCTGAGAGTTCTCTGACGATCGCTGCTTTTTGATGATAGCCAGTCCTGAGTAGAGAATGGTTGAAAGGGGAAGTATGCAAGAGGGAAAGTAATGAAAGGCCGATTAAGAGGCAGAAGTGTCTAGTTATATGTAGGATTGCTGCAAACAAACAGACACGATTACATCACACTTCAACCACACAACCCAGGGACTCTTTTTGTGTCCTTTGAGACAACGTCATTCGATTCTACAAGACACCTGAGCTAGGAGGATAAACGTAGGTATCGGATACCAGAAGTAAATCTGTTTACAAGCAGAATGACTAGAAAGAACCACAACAAGTATTGACCACAATTCAGAAAGAACTAAAAGCCATATGCTCTCTTCGGGGATTGTTGTTTGGTTATTAACAAACCCCAGCAACGGCTGCTGACACAGGACATGCTGATAATGATAACATTTTCGAATTCGAAGGCAACAGAACCATACTTGATATGTTGGCTCGGTGTTACTCTTCGAGAAAGGCCAGCATATCTGAGGATACCAAGGTCATGGCGCCCTTTGGCGGTGCGTGCATCACCGCGGCGTATTGGATGGTGATTGGAGTCACAACAGACGCTCGAATAAACAGCGATCGTACCACCACCGGGGCGTTCCGATAGGTTGAGCTCGTCTCATAGCAGAAGCTGATGAGAGGCCAGAGAATATCAATATTCCTGGTTTATGTCTGTGGCAGACGAAGAAATCACTCTCAAAAATTAAGAATTAAGAGCGCAATATCAGATACGACTCAAGTGGTATTCTCTGATTTTGCGTCAAATCGAGCTTTTTTAGCTCGCCGCTTGATTTCTCGCTTGGACAAAGGCTTGTCCGGATCCTCGGCAACAGGCTCAGAACTGACAGAAGCCTTTCGTTTGAGATTATCAGGCCCGTTGACCTCCTTTGTAGTCTCTTTGACTTTTTGGAGCCCTTTCTGCTTCGGCGTGGGTCCTTCCGATTTGAATTTGTCTCCGCCATGGACAATGTCCACAATTCCTCGCCAACTGGTTCTTCTCAGCTTGGCTAACGCTGTCACCTTCCGCGATTCTTCACATATTGACTCTTTTCCGCGCTCTTGTGATAGGCCCCATACACAGGCAAGGTTGATCACGTCCCATGGGGCTCGTAGACCCAAAGCCCTTCTTGCTTCACTGGACACAATGATGCCTCGACCGCGTGTTGCGCGGATCAAGGACGTTGCATTCCCAATGAGATTTCTTCGGGCATCAAGTCCACTCCCTGTGATCCCTGGTCCATAGCAAATCTCGATTCGAATGCCACGTGAGATTGCCGCAGACAACATTTTGAATTTGAAGTGGTATGGGAGTCGCACCGAGAGATCCACGGAGATCACGTCGCATTCCAAATTGGTGCATGCATTGAGAAGAGACTTTTCATTTGTAGGGCGGAGGGCAATGAGGTCGTAGGCTTGACTGAGAGCGGCTAGACGCTGGTTCTGCGCGGGATCGGCCAGGGTCAAGTTTAATCGGGTCAGCAGTTGGAGGGATTTTGGCGCGTTCGTAGGAAGAGGAGGTGGAGCAAGATTCGGCGGAAGCTTTCCGTTGATCGTTTGAGACAAGGCAACGGTAGTGTAACCAACTATCAAGTCAGGTTAGCCTCTCATGTGCTTCAAACCACAGGTTCATGCCAGAGACCGGAATGAATGACTTACGTTCTGCGAGGAAATTCAGAGTGTGAGGCACCTCCGGGTCATCAGGGCTGTAAGGTACATTCAAGTCGTAAAACATGGTGGATTAAAAGGAAGGCCAGCCCTGCCTGCGAGGAATCTCTGCTTGACTTATCAGTGCTCTTGGTCACATCGAACTGTCCCAAAAAGGCAATCAGAAAATCCATCGGATTAAGTAAAGCTCCGGCAGCGGACCAGCCTTTTCCATCCCCACAAACCTCGCAGATCCCGTGACCTTGGGCGGAACGGATCTCATTCTACTGATCATATCACGATAATACCTCACTTCGTCCATCTCATTGCTCCAGGCCTCTTGTGAGCACTGCGTTTGGGCTGAAGAGTCTCCTGGCCTGTTTGCTTCCTATCTCCCACCTCAAAGCAACCTCCGGCCCGCCCCTCCGTCACACGCCGCGCCCCTCGTGACCCCGCCGCACATCTCTCAATTGTGGGCGTACTAGGAAACTGCTTGTCATCGTCAAGATGGCGCGCGTCTATGCCGATGTAAACGAGCATATGCCTCGGTCTTACTGGGACTATGACAGTGTCAACATCTCTTGGGGTGTCCTGGAAAATTATGAGATCGTTCGTAAGATAGGTAAGAAATTATCAGGGTCTATCGTTCTGCGGTATGCCGAAAGACGGTCATCGTCCGCTGTATACTTTGGATGAAAAATGAGCAAGTTAACTGACTATGTCTACTTCAGGTCGGGGAAAGTACTCCGAGGTTTTCGAAGGCATCAACGTCGTCAATTACCAGAAATGCGTTATCAAGGTTCTCAAGCCTGTCAAGAAGAAGAAGATCAAGCGTGAGATCAAGATTCTGCAAAACCTCGCGGGAGGGCCCAATGTCGTAGCTTTGCTGGACGTTGTTCGCGACAACCAGAGCAAGACTCCTAGTCTAGTTTTCGAGGCCATTAACAATACCGATTTCCGCACACTCTACCCCCGCTTTTCCGATTACGACGTTCGCTTCTATGTATTCGAGCTGCTCAAGGCACTCGACTTCTGCCACAGCAAGGGTATCATGCACCGCGATGTGAAGCCTCACAATGTCATGATTGATCATGAAAAGCGCAAGGTTAGTCGGCTTAATAATTGGTTTGGGTTGATAACATGTTTCTAACATGCGATAGCTTCGTCTGATCGATTGGGGCTTGGCCGAGTTCTACCACAAGGGCACAGAATACAACGTTCGCGTTGCTTCACGCTACTTCAAAGGTCCCGAGCTGTTGGTCGATTTCCAGGAATACGACTACTCCTTGGACATGTGGTCCCTGGGTGCCATGTTCGCCTCTATGATCTTCCGCAAGGAGCCTTTCTTCCACGGAAACAGCAATTCCGACCAGCTGGTCAAGATCGCCAAGGTCCTCGGTACCGAGGAGCTCTTCGAGTACTTGGACAAGTACGACATCGAGCTGGATCCCCAGTACGACGACATTCTCTCTCGCTTCCCCCGGAAGCCCTGGCACTCTTTCGTGAACGCGGAGAACCAGCGCTTCATCAGCGACGAGGCCATCGATTTCCTTGACAAGCTTCTGCGATACGACCATGCTGTAAGTTGTTTCCGACGGTTTTCTACATTGGACCATACTGACCTAATGGAAATAGGACCGCTTGACTGCTCAGGAAGCCATGGCACACGCATATTTCGACCCTGTGCGAGCCGACGCCGCGGCTCTTAGCCACAACAATGTGACACTTCCCTGACTTTCCTCTCGCACCAACCTCTTGATGATCATTCCTGGCTTCGATCTCTCTATTGCGACGCTTAATTTCTGCCATCAAGACGTCATTGGGCATGACGACCATTCCTACCTTTTACATTTGAAATCTGCCGATATGAACGGTACAACGATGATTGAAAACATGAAACGAGCTTAGTATTCGTACTCACCCTTCCTGTTTTTCACTGGCCCTTTGATAGAGGGCTATGGCAAACGATTAACCTCTGAATGAAGACGACTTTTATGACGAGACATCATGACATTGAATCTGCTCTGTCTCTCCGACCCTCTCGTCGCCTAGGTCGTTTGGCGTGTCAATGAGCGTGATGAACCAGCGTCTTAGATGGGGGAACTACTATTCTCTTTCATATTTTCCTATTTGTATAGCGCTGCTCGTGTGTTTTCTAGTTGATTTCTCGCCTGTTAGTTGAATTGGTGTTCTGGCCTTTCTACTGGATGCGTCATGTTTTAAGGGGGCTTCTCTCAAGGACAACCTATTGCATTCCTCGGGTTTCTTTTTTACATGAATGAAATACTGGATGAATTCAGACCTGAGGCTACACTAAGATCATAGTGCTGATTGAATCATAGATTTTATGGTGACGAGTATGTTTGTACACCATATCCATGCATGGAAACTAGGTAGAGCCAGGTCTTATCTCTCTATCTGAACAGACTGAACTCAAGTATAAACAGTCTCGCCCATAGTGACTCGGAAATATCTCAGATATCACCCTGTTGCCTCTTATGCGTATATAGATCAGCCTCAGATCACCCGTTGGCTCCGGCGTATCACGTGAGGGTTATCGCATCGCCATTCTGGCCGAAAAAGAAAAAAGGAAAAGACAAATTGCAAGAGGCAGAACACGCGAAGAATATCAAAGCAACGGAGATATCCCAATGATATCCAATGAGTGTCAACTGCACATAAACGCGCATTGAACTTGCCCGCCGACTCCACCGAACCTCCCACCAAGCCCCGCGCTCTCATTCGTTCATCCAGCGTGGGAAATTTAATTGCCCGCATTTCGCACAACCACCCCTCCTTGTATCTTCCCCATCTCCCAAGATACTTATCCGGCGATTCGTGGCGCGATCGGCGCCTTGGAGATTTACTCCTCAGTATCGTGCATTATCCAGGATGGCTCAGAACTCTGCCTCCCAAAACCCTGGTGAGTACAGTGACTCATACCAAAACGTCGCAGAAGCTCACTATGAACAGCGGGTGTGCCTACGGCTCCCGTAACCAGCGCACCCCCTCAGGCCGATGAACAGACACGCGCCCAGGTTGCCGATGCCGCCGCAAAGGATCCCCAGGGTCAGCACCAGGGCGGACAGGCCGCTCCGAAGGTGAAGACCGAGAAAGAGTGTACGTTGCCACCATGCTTCATGTCTCGGCTTTTCGTCGGAATTTATACTGGGTAGTTGCTGATTATTTGGATGCTTGACAGTGGAGAAGGAGCGCAAGAAGGCTGAGAAGAACAAGAAATTCGAAGAGAAGCAGGCGGCTAAGGCCAAGGCTGCTGCTAACAAGGCCGCAGCTCCCAAGGTCGAGAAGAAGGCGAAGGTCGAGAAGGAAAAGACCACTGATGCCTACGATCCTGTTGCCATTGAGACCGGTCGTCTCGACTGGTGGGAGGAGCGTGATCTCTTCAAGCCCGAATTTGGACCTGATGGCAAGGTCAAGCCTGAGGGATCTTTCGTCATCCCCATTCCTCCTCCCAATGTCACAGGCTCTCTCCACATGGGCCACGCCCTTACCAACGCTCTTCAGGACACTATGATTCGATGGCAGAGAATGAAGGGCAAGACTACCCTGTGGCTTCCTGGAATGGATCACGCTGGTATCTCTACCCAGAGCGTTGTCGAGAAGATGCTGTGGAAGAAGGAGCAGAAGACCCGTCACGACATTGGGCGCGAGGCCATGGTCAACTTGATCTGGGACTGGAAAGATGAGTACCACAAGAACATCAAGAACGCCCTGCGCAGAGTTGGTGGTTCGTTCGACTGGAGCCGCGAGGCGTTCACCATGGACCCCAACCTGTCAGCTGCTGTGACTGAAACATTCTGCCGTCTTCATGAGGAGGGTATTATCTACCGTGCCAATCGCCTGGTCAACTGGTGTGTGGCTTTGAACACCTCTTTGTCCAACCTCGAAGTCGAGAACAAGGAGATCGAGGGCCGCACGCTTCTCGATGTGCCGGGCTATGACAAGAAAGTCGAATTCGGTGTTCTGACTCACTTCTGCTACGAGATCGACGGTACCACTGAGCGTATCGAGATTGCCACCACTCGTCCCGAGACCATGATTGGTGACACGGGTATCGCCGTCCACCCCGACGACAAGCGCTACCAGCACCTGATTGGCAAGAACGCTCGCCATCCGTTCTTGGACCGTCTGCTTCCTATTGTCGCTGACCCAGAGGTTGAGCCTGAATTCGGTACTGGTGCTGTCAAGATCACTCCTGCCCACGACTTCAATGATTTCAACCGCGGTAAGGCCCACAACCTGGAGTTCATCTCTGTCTTGAATGACGATGGTACCTTCAACAAGCACGGTGGTCCCTTCGCTGGTATGAAGCGCTTTGATGCCCGCTACAAGGTTATCGAGCTGCTCAAGGAGAAGGGTCTGTACGTGAAGTGGGAGCATAACCCTATGAAGGTGCCCCGCTGCTCCAAGTCCAACGATGTGATTGAGCCCATCCTCAAGCCGCAGTGGTGGATGAAGATGGAGAGCTTGGCTGGACCCGCCATCGAGGCCGTTGAGAAGGGTGATATCATTATTCGCCCCGAGTCCGCGGAGAAGAACTACTTCCGCTGGATGCGTAACCTGAACGATTGGTGTCTGTCTCGTCAGCTCTGGTGGGGACACCAGGCTCCTGCCTACTTCGTCAAGATCGAGGGCGAGGATGGAGATGACAGTGATGGCAACCTCTGGGTCACCGGTCGTACCGAGGAAGATGCTCAAAAGACGGCCGAGGCGAAGTTCCCTGGCAAGAAGTTCACTCTGGTTCGGGATCCCGATGTTCTCGACACTTGGTTCTCTTCTGGCTTGTGGCCTTTCTCTACTCTGGGTTGGCCCCGCAAGACCCACGACTTCGAGAACCTGTACCCCACATCAGTTCTGGAGACTGGTTGGGATATCCTGTTCTTCTGGGTTGCCCGTATGATCATGCTGGGTATCAAGATGACTGGCCAGATTCCCTTCCGCGAGGTCTACTGCCACTCCCTGATCAGAGATTCTGATGGCCGTAAGATGTCCAAGTCTTTGGGTAACGTCATTGATCCTCTGGATGTTATGGAGGGTATTCAGCTGCAGGCTCTTCACGACAAGCTGCAGTTGGGTAACATCGCCGAGAAGGAGATCGCTGCTGCCACCAGATACCAGAAGAAGGCTTTCCCCAAGGGTATTCCCGAGTGCGGTGCCGATGCTCTCCGTTTCGCCCTCGTCTCTTACACTACTGGCGGTATGTTTAATTCCATGTTTCCTTGAACTTGACCCGCTAACGATGATGCAGGAGGTGATATTGCTTTCGATATTCAGGTCATTTACGGCTACCGTAAGTTCTGCAACAAGATCTACCAGGCCACCAAGTTCGTCCTCGGCAAGCTGGGCGACGACTTCAAGCCCCAGGCTGGTGTCAAGAAGACTGGCAATGAATCCCTCTCCGAGCGTTGGATTTTGCACAAGTTCAACGTCGCCGCTAAGGAGATGAACGAGGCTCTTGAGCAGCGTGAATTCTCCAACTCCGCCCACATCTCCTACCAGTACTGGTACTCCCAGCTGTGCGATGTGTTCCTTGAGAACTCCAAGTACCTTCTTGCCGATGAGGCCTCCGCCGAAACCAAGGAGTCCGCCAAGCAGACTCTCTACACAGCCCTTGAGGGTGCTCTGACCCTGATTCACCCCATCATGCCGTTCGTCACGGAGCACCTGTGGCAGCGTCTGCCCCGCCGCGCGGGCGATCAGACCATCTCGATCATGAAGGCCAAGTACCCCGAGTTCGTCGCGGAGTTCGACGACCCCGCCGCCTCCAAGGCCTACGAGCTCATTCTCAACACCTCCAAGGCCATCCGCTCAATCCTGGCTCAGTACGACGTCAAGACCCAGGGCGATATCATCATCCAGACCTACAACGCCACCAGCGAGAACACCATCTCCGAGGAGATGACCACCATCAAGTCTCTGGGTGGTAAGACCCTCGGCGAGCTGTCCCACCTTGGCCCGGAGAACAAGACCCCTCCTTCTGGCTGTGTTGTGGCTGCTGTCGGTTCTGATGCCGCCGTCTACCTCCGCGTCTCCAAGGAAGTCGCCCTGGAGCAGGAGGAGAAGGCCAAGGCCAGTCTCGAGAAGGCTCGTGAGACCGTTCGCAAGTCCCAGGGTATTATCAACGGCCCTGGCTGGAAGGAGAAGGTCAAGGCCGAGGTCCGCGAGCAGGAAGAGAAGCGTCTGCGTGATGCTGAGGGCGAGGCTGCCCGTCTTGAGGAGCAGATTAAGGAGTTTGAGAAGCTGCGCTTGGAGTAAAGCATACTTTTCGGATAGATTATAACAAAATATCAATTGATTCCCTTTCTTTTTCATACCTGGTCTCCGAATGATACCTCCCTACCTATTAGCTGGATATATGGATAAAAGTACCTACACGTTTTTCGCCCGGAGACGAGAGGTTCGATTTCGCTATGTCCTTGTTTTGGAAATATATAATCGGGCTAGTAGATTCCCGACATTTTGAAACATATCGCGGAAAAAATGTATCAGATATACGGGCGGGTACCTACAGGGGTAAGGGCTGGGATAGAATCAATAGGTAGGTTCCTATCCAAATTGCCAACGACGCCAAAAATGAAGTGTCTACCCTATGGTGCGAGGGGTTCAAAAGAGCAAAAAATAGTTTCCCTGGGAATCGAACCCAGAACCTTTCCGGAACACATGCGAATCGCATTTGTTAACGGAAAATCATAACCGCTAGACCAGGAAACTGTTTGATGGAAGAAACCGCAAGATATAACATCATAGGCCTATTACTACACCGAGGATGCATAACTTGTTAGGTTCAACCCAAACCATGTGATCCATGGCGACAGCGAAATCTAACCCGAAAACTCCTGGGCAGAAATCAACTACATTCCAATAGGCGGTGAAGACTCGTACCCGAGGTGATCTGGTCGGCTCACTGGCGTCTTTGACCCTATGGAACTATAGACCATGGTATATCTCCTGTCCGGAAAAGTTATAGATGGGCCCGTATCGAGGAGGTAGATTGGAGTGCCTCTATTGACTCATTGAGCCTTCGTTCGGAGATATGCATGTACAATGACTTTACGCCCAATCTTTGTGGATATAGTTCTGAAGCTGCCAATCAGACGATTCTGGAGATACATGGCACGTGACCATCGAGTACCTGGCTTATCGATAACGATGCCAAGCCATCAGCAATCCAAAACTTTTCCGCCTGTTCGATATTTTTGCCCAGAGTCATTCTGCCGATCATTCACTACAAAATGTTGAGAGAAGTGTAAGTAATAGCTGTTCATTGAGATTATCCTACTTGTCTAATCCTCTACCTACAGAAAAGCCAAGAACCCGCGCACTGCGCGTATCCTCAAAGCGCGGGAGCCGCAACTCATTGAACCCCCCAAGAAGACCCTGATTTTCCACGGCGCAAAATGCCCTCAAACGCTGGACACCGTGCTGAAGACCTTCCACGCTCTGACGAAGCCTTACAACGTTCTCTTCCACAAGAAAAACGAGAATTTGCACCCATACGAGAACTCGGAGAGTCTGGAATTTTTGGCAAACAAGAACGAGTGTGGTCTCGTAGCATTCGGAAGCCACAACAAGAAGCGCCCCAACTGCGTCACACTGGCCCGCATTTTCAACTCAGAGCTACTCGACCTCATTGAGCTGCTACTACTTCCCCCGGGACGGCGAGACCATCCCACCTTTCAACGAACTCGTTATGGATGTCGGTCTCGGCCTGCGACCTATGATGCTGTTCTCAGGCAGCTCATGGGACGACCCTACATCGACCGCGCATATCATTCTCAAGAGCACTCTGCTTGATATGTTTAAGGGCGAAGAGACCCACCAGGTCGACGTTGAGGGCCTGCAGTACGTTATGATGGTTGGTGCAGAGGAGCCCCAGGAAGGCCTGTCACCGATCGTTCACTTGCGCTGGTACCGAGTTGTCACCAAGCGCAGTGGTCACAAGCTGCCGCGCGTGGAGTTGCAGGAGGTTGGCCCCAAGTTCGACTTCAAGATTGGCCGCACACGCCAGGCTGCTCCTGAGGTGCAGAAGGAGTCCATGAAACAGGGCAAGCGTCCCAATGAGGAGGCCCGAACCAAGAAGAACGTCATTACCGATACTATGGGTGACAAGATTGGTCGCGTTCACCTCGGCAAGCAGGATCTGTCTGAGCTGCAGACCCGTAAGATGAAGGGTCTCAAGCGTCGGGCGGGCATGGAGTCTGACGACGAGGAGCCCTCCGCGGAGATGATGGAGGTGGATGAGGTTTCTTCTGACGAGGAGGAGAGCCACAAGAAGGCACGGAAAAACTAAGATCTGATTGATGTGCATTTATTTCTTTTTGCTAAGGAGTTTGGGCCGGACGGGATTTCGATTTCTGCGCCTGTATGAACAGTCTTACCGGCATATGAAAAGTTATTTTAGAACACTCTACATCTAATAGAGATAGTTCCTCCATCCATTACTGTATACCGTACATTCAGGTAGTTCCGTTAACAAAACCATGTCTCATCGTATTCGATAAGCCAACCGTTTACCGAACCCGACTTGTTAAATGAATGCATAACTATTTCCCTACCAAAACTCCATCAAATCAACCAGGGCATGTCTCCATCTATGCCTGGGCGCTTCCGTATTCCACATCCTCGCTGGCCCCGTGTACGTGGCTGTAGACCCTCCGAGACCTGCTCACGATAAGCTATTGATAATGTACAAAGCGCACCAACACACCAGGGATTACGGGCTTTTTGGGCAAATGACTCCCTGCGCAAGTAGCTCACGATACTTTTCACCCGTGATACCCCCTTCCCAAGCAAACTCCTTATTCGACCACCGTTTTTGTCTCTCCCTCTGGAGGGCGGCGCGTAAGTCGCGGTTTTCCTTTGCTAAGTTCGTGACGCCTTCTATCACGCGGTGGTGACCTTCAAATGCCTGATTCATCGCGTCATCAGACAGGCTCCGTGGACTAGATGAAGCCGTACGAACTCGAGCACTGATTGGTGAAGCCTCTTGACGTAGTTCGTTTTCGGTAGAAGGGGTTTCTGGGGTGGAATGCCGACTTGATTCGTTACCCCCGCTCCGAGGGAGTGTCAGGGTTCGAATGCGATCCTTGAGTTTTGAGAGTACCCGGTCAGGGGAGAAAGGCACCAAACCAGCGGCTGCGAAGCTGTTTTTGATGGTTTCTGGCTTAAATGTCACGTCTCGTGAGAGGGGGTATGACATGATGAAATCAACCTTGGGATACTGGGTATACTGGGTGATCCCGCGACCCAGTTTGTAATCAACCACCCGATCGTAGGAACGCTCGAGATTCGCAAAACAGCCGATACTGAGTGGCTGTAAAAGGTGACATGACATTGCAGGCATACAAATTGGAATGATATCGTTTTGTTCACAAAGCTTGTCAAATTTCGGGGTTAAATGGTTCCCGTGACCGTCGAGGATCATACCGTCCCTTCACACGCGAAGTAGTCGATGGAATAAAGAGTTTTTCAAGCCAACGAAGATTAATTTCATCGGACGTCCAACCGTTCGGACTTATTTCGACTCGCCAATCTTCGGGGACACAGGCAAGCCCAGATTTGGTAATGTCTCTGCCTTTGTGAACCACGCAGGGAGGGAGCGCCCACCCCGAAGCATTCGTACATTCGATAGCGGTCACCCACTCGCAACGTGAAAGTGAAGGTTGATCGTAGTATCCACAGTATCCACTTCTCGTAGCGACCATGGGCTCTGTTGATCCCAACGCGAAACCAATCTCGGCGAAGTTATAGATATCGTCGGGATCGATATCATTCTCGAGGCGAGTTTTTTGAACGAGTGCAAACCATTCACCGATGATTCTTAGCACATCACGCGTTGCTCGCTCGGGATTAGCGCGTCTTGAGAGTCGCTGTGAAAGTTCGGGATGCCTTTTCACGAAGTTGTAAGCCCATTTTTCCCCGACAGTTTGAACCGGTGTCGTTCCGCGCGCCGCAAGAAGCATATTCGCAATTTCTCGTATGGTAGTGAACCGGGGCGCTGCTCCGCGATCATCAAGTGAGACAATCCATTTCCGAAGAGTTTCCTCTTCAATTTCAGTCAATTTATGTTTAGCGCGTCCAGCAGCTCGTTCTGTACTGCTAGATAGCCTGCCGCATAGAGTCGAACGCGGTATATCAAAACGGCGTGCAACTTCGGATAACGTTGCGTTTTCTTCATTCTTGAAAGCCTGGATTGCTAGTGAGATTCTACTCTCATGCCCTGTCAAGTTTCTAGAGCCCTGAGAGCGAATCGGTGGCATAGTGGGTGGTTGAGTCCATTAAGTGTACGGAGTACACAGTAACTACGGTAAATAGTAATTCCATGGACGCGTTTTGGCGGTAGCTTACCGATTAGGACAAGCCACGTGATCATGACGTCGGCTGTGCTCTCACATGCCGAGGCCCTTCTCAATGCGGGAACCGATTAAAGTGCCGTCCGTCCCCTCTCCAACCGTTGACTGTCTCCGCAGAGACCTTTTACCCCGACTGTGTTTCTTTCGCATGATCACCGTCTGTCTCCTGGTCCGTTGTCACCGTCTAACATACCTATAACCACTCAAATACGGGCTCGACCTCTTACCGAGGCCCCGAGACACTATGGATTCCCTACTGGTGAGTTCCGCAACGTCTCCGAGCAAAATAAACAGCACTGACAGTCGCTTCCGCAGTCCCAACTCGATACGCTCGTTCTCAAGCCCGAGCTAGCACCGCTACTGTCGCTAGTGAAGGGCGCACGCAATGGAATTGTCTACGGCTCGAAAGTGCGCTTTCCACATGCGCTGGTGTATGTTGAACCTCGGACAGCCGGAACTCCGACCGGAAGCATAGCTGACCGATATTTGCGTCTAGGATGATATTTTTGTTCAGATCTGGAACGTATGTCGCTTCCTTCACTCTTCGCCTCTGGATTCTGTCTTGCGCAGTACGGAACTGATCGCTTCATTATCTAGGATACGGGAAAAGACCTTCCTCGTGTTAAAAGCAACGCGCCAGCATGCACGTAACCTCGCCACATTTGCTGTTATTTACAAAGCCTCGATGGTCCTTCTCCGGAATCTCCCTGGCGGTGCCGGGAAGGAGGGCCGATATGATAGTTTCTTTGCAGGCCTGCTGGGCGGGTATGCAGTTTTCGGACGACAGCGGGGTAGTATTAGCCAGCAGGTATGTGTCTCAGTCCTTCTATTGTGGGGTTCGGATCGGGCTCCGAATATGCACTTTACACTGGCTTTTTTGCAGAGCTAACATGATTCCAGATCGTCATTTATGTCTTTGCGCGCGTGATGCTTGCTCTCGCCAAACTCGCCATCCAACCTAACATGAACCCCATCTCCCACCTCATCACACGCGATACCCGCACTCAAATTACGAATAACGCGTACCCCGTATTCGCCAGTATGACCTGGGCGATGGTCATGTACATTTTCCGGTGGCACCCGGAGACTCTGGCATCAAGCTTGCGCAGTAGCATGGTGTACATGTACGTTCTACTCCTCATTGATCTGATTTGGCTCCAATCTCCGCGTTTCATGTGCTTTTGCCCGTTACTAACCTTCATTCTAACTATAGTTATGGTGACTCAGACCATTGGGATTCCCTCCGCACGCTTCTCGTACACAACAAATGAGCTTTCAGCTAGACCGGTTCTCTTAGCTTTTTTGGTGCGTTACGGCGTATAGAGCGGTTATGACTTTGATGTTCGGTTCCTTTGCAGGACTCATGGGAGATGCGCATTATTCCAGGCCCTGCTCATCAGACCTTTCACCCTGTAATATGAGACATGGGATTTTCTTTTGCATATTTATGTCTACGATGTACATATACACTTTAACAGAGTTGATATCATTGTGCTTTCGAGTTGTAGCTCGTATCACAATAGGCATGTGTGCATAAACATAGCTCGGAGTTTATTAGCAAACTTGCCACAACTTCCGAGTCTCATTCTATGATACGATAGTGGTCGTCGTGTTGTAAGAAGGTAGATTGGCTGGTTAGTGGATTATTGACTCGAAGGAGTGATCATGGAAATGCTGGACGCTGCCTGGAGCAGTGGGCTTGAGGTTACTAAACCGCGGACTGTTCCTGTAGTGACATGACTTGGTTGTGAGATATCATTTTCGATTGGATATGGGCGAATATTACAGGTATCAGCTCTCATCTGGCGGGTCTCATGTATTCCTCCTTGCCACAAGACTGCTAAACGCCAGAATAAGAACACTGTATGGGTCCACAAGGCTGGCACTGTGCTCTCGGGCGTTAGGTGGACCGTGGACCTGTCAGTGCCGATATTAACCAATTTGAGAAGTATCACTGACCGAGTTCTGACTCTTGACAGTCTCACTGTTGACACTGTTGACACTGTTCACTTCTCTACTACAGTCACCAGCCTTTATGGCCGTAAGATATTTACAAGCACAATGTCTCCGGGGGTCGTCAGAATCAGGTTGGGCACGTGTGTTGTTCCTAGAAAGATGCACGTGATTGGCGCTGCCCCGGGGATTGCCCCGGGCGGCCCGGGCCCGGCGCCCGGTCCCCTGTAATGGAGACCCACTGCACTTTGATCGTCACTCGTAAGACACTTTACTACACAGTAGAGCTATGAACAAGGTCAAGTCTACTGTGTATATGAATACCCAAAGAACAGCCAAGACTATGTATTCAGAACTAAATCAGAAGCCCAAGCTGAAGCCAGAAATATCCGGAAACTAGGCATAAATCGATTCAACCTTGAAACTGCTCCTACGCTACTAATGACCAGGGGCGCGGGAAGCTCGCGTTGGGTCGAATGTCGATGGCCCTACGTCTTGAGTCACTCTACTAGAACAGCAGAAGCTTCGTCCGGCTCACCACTAAGTCATTTACAGTGAGAGACGATCACTTGACGCATCGGAAAGGACTTTTCCATTTCTGTTGTACATGTTGAAGCACAGATACGACCACCTCCTTCAGCTCAGTCTCACCCTCTCTTCTCCATCTCTCTCACACTGTATGAAACGCATGTCTCTGCTCATGAGTTTGTGTGGTCAGCATGCTGAAGTGATGTACAGAGGAACTGAGTCATACTCACATGGTTGGGGGAAACACCCCACGACTCTGTCTGCCTTCCGCACGTTCACAAACAGAGACATTCGAGCGATTCGAGTTGTTGCGACGGTACCTACCAGCCACCTATGATGGATTCTAATGTCAGCTCACAGATATAGGAAAGATACTTACCCGCGTGGCCAACAAATTGAGCCACCACATGTCCTGCTGCCTTCCGCACGTTCACAGACAGAGACATTTGATGGATCGGAGTCGTGGCGACGCGCTCACCAGTGACCTAGGATTGATTCTCATGTCAGCGTACAGAAGCATCAGATATAGGAAAGATACTTACCCCCGTGGCCATCCAATTGAGCCCCTTCACGCTCTGTTGCCTTCCGCATGTTCACAGACAGAGACGTTCAATCGGTCCGACCCGCGGTGGCGACACCCACCAGCCACCTGTAATTCATTCCAGTCAGCTCACAGAAGCATTCGAGGCTAAGGGGAGACTTACCCCCGTCGCCACACAATCAGGCCACCACGCGTTCTGCTGCCTTCCGCACGATCACAGGCAGATACGCTCGCCTTCGGTCCTATACCTAGAGAAGAGAAAGGGTAAAAGGTAATGGGTATAAATAAAGGATAACAATAAAGGGTAAAACTAAAGGGCAAAACGAAAAAGCAAACGGCAAAAGCCTCGGAACAAGAACGAAAGGAAACGACAACAAGCATGAAATGAGATTTCTTTTTTGGGGTTTTGTGGGTTTTCTGGAAAGCAAACAGCAAAAGCCTCGGAACAAGAATAAAACAAAACAAGAACAAAAGAGAAACGAAGAATGAAGTCTTGACTTACCTTTGTGGACGGTGTGCCGACCCATCAGGACCTGGTACATGCCCCAGCAATGAAAAGGAACGCGAGTCCGGCGAGCAAGGCTGGCCCAAGTCTTGGGACGATGAATGCCAGCACAAACAACCCCCAGCAGAGGTGGCTGAACCAGGTGTGGGCCCATGGCCCAACCTGGCCGCGGGTCTGGACGACCACACGTGAATCTCCAGCCTCTGGAGGAGGATTGATTGTGCATGGCATTTCCAAGGGCTTGTGGACGGGCGTCGGGGGCGGCGTATCGACGGTTCCATCGAGTTCTGACAAGACTTCCAGGAGCGCACTCATGTCGAATGCGCCGATGTCTTCAGCCTCCGCCTTGTCGAGCGAGGTGACCTCACTCGAACAAGGTGGAGAGACATCCCTGGCTGGAATGAGTCTCACCTGCTCGAGGTCCTCATCATCCGGGAAGTGCACAGACTTCCGGACGAAGGGCTCGTCAGATGGCAGCTCCTCCAGGTCCTCATCCACGCGGATTAGACAAGACTTCAGGGGAGGGGGCGGCCGAAAGAAGAGGGGGAGGAAAAGAGACGGGGGGAGGAAGAGAGAAGTTCATCGTGAACGTGATAATAAGATTGAAAGTTGATATATAATAATCAATTGCAGTGCAAATGAAAATAGCCAGTGGCAGTGGGGAGAGGAGAAAGGAGAGAAAAAAAGCAAAGATTCAGACGAAAGGGCGGGAATAAGTATTGTTTGGGACAGTCCATGGCAACGAGCAAATAAACAGGAAGTGACAACGAACCGACGTTATACCAAGGCGGGTGCGGTGGTGGCCATGGAACCGCCATGGACAAGTGGTTACGGCAAGGTAACTACGACTTCGCCAGAGCAGGAACCACCAGATAGTTATGGATTGGAACACCTATATTAAGTAAACATAAAACTACAAGGTAGATGTGAGGGTGCCCATGTAAGCGCCATAGAGAATCGAGTAACTAGGGCAAGAAACAGAGAAATCTTCCCCTGGGCAGAAACAGCTACACGGTTAAGCAATGATGAAGCTATACAAGGTGCCAGGATGGCAATGGCACCGATGTAGTCAGGGCCAGAGAACATGGAATCACGGCCCCCCCAGGCAGGAACATCTATACATTGATTGTGTAAACATGAAGTTATACGGAGTAGGTGGGTGTGAGGGTGGCCATGGAACCGGCTCATTAGGGCAACAACAAAAGGGGAACTACGACTTCGCCAGGGCAGGAACATCTACTGTGTACATGGTTGAGTAATGATGAAGCTATAGAAGGTGTGAGGGTGGTCATGGCAACGAAGTAGTCAGGGCAAGGAAACAGGAAACTACCGACGGCGTCGGCAGATCCAGGGTAGGTACATCTAAAGGTTGATTGAGTAAGCATCAAGTTATAGAAAGTAGATGTGAGGGTGGCCATGGAAACGGAGCGATTAGGGCAACAACAAAAGGGGAACTACAGATTCTCGTTGTAGGTTTCGAGGATACAAATTACAATGACTACGCACAAGGCTGATTGAATCGATAATTTTCGAGATTTTGGAAGTATCGGAAACCTGCTGTCGCTGTGGGATTATCGGGGCAATTTGTCGGAATAGCCTTGCCAGTTGGCAGAAGGCTTGCCAGTTGGCGGAAGATTTGCCAGTTGGCTGGAGGCTTGCCAGTTGAGGGGAAGCTCGCTAAACACGCGCCTTGAACTTGGCACCTACAAGTGGATACTGAGGACTGGACAGAAGATTTTTGTTGATATTGTATCTGAAAGGTACTGTACTCACTTTTTTATATACTGTGTAGGTAGTTAACACTTACAGGTACCAACTGAAACGTGTGAGATTGTACTGTAATTGTGACTTGTATGGTAAGTGGACGTTATCCCTGAACATCGCTCGTTACTTGACCGATCATCCAATGAGAACCACTCGGGCTAACGAAATCGAATCGGCCACAGGAAGACACTTGATGTAGGTTGTTCACCCCCGCGTAGAGAGGAGAGAAACCATGGGAAATCAGCTAATGCAGCATATATATCATGTGACTGTAAACAGGTTTAAGCTTATTTAACCTTCGGTTTGCGGTTGTAATAGTTAGTGGAACCACTTCAGGAATCCATCAATAATTCTACTAGCTACGTTGTTCTACCTATTGTTCGGTGTTCCAAAGGTTGCGCGTCAATCGGCTTGAATATGTGGCCAATGGCGATAAGTAACTGGTTGTTTCCTTGAACTATGAGACCTCTCATCCTACCATCTTCAGTTAGTTACTATTTATGGCGATATTGGACACGTACATATCAATCAGAGCACTGGAATTCCAAGGTTTTTGCTGTAGGCTCAAGCTCAGATCAGATTCACCCTTCATGCATACGTCCATACGACATGGATGATTCTCATCTCTTGCAGAAAGCATACAACTACCACTTCTTGGATTGTCGTTTCTGATATCATATATAGTTAGTTCAATCTTGACACAGCATTGAAAATGATCACTACTCTTTCTAACCTGAAGGGATAGGTGAACTCTTGAGCAACAGCTGTGCCTTGACATATCCATCCTCAAGAAGTACATTCGTCTTTTTCTCGTCTTTCCCCTGAAAGTTGAATGCGCAAATAAAAACAAAAGGAAATCAAAATAAGGTTCAATGTACGCAGTATGCAGGGTAACGGAGCCTAACCATGCCAAAGTACACAGTAAATGGACCGTCGGGAAAGTGAAAGTCGGAACAGTGTCGTGGATGAGGCAGGGAACCCGAGAAGAGACCGAGAACAGAGAAACAGCTGGGCCTTCACGGATTGTATTTTGGTGGACCACTTATTCTGACGGTCTTCAAGTAATTCACAAGGAAGTTGCCGTAGACATTGGATTAGCTTGCTCGTTTGCATCTGACGCTCACGTTGCTGGAAACACCACGTTAGAGCCGCCAAAACGGGAAGACACAGGGAAGAAAGGTGTGAGACAAGTGCAGTGATTGAAGTCAGAGAAGTCGGAGATGAGAAGTTGAAGATGGGTGGAGAGAAGATGGGTGAAGAGGAAGATGGTTGAAGAGTGTCCTTGACCGTGCATTCCTCTTCATCCATCTTCCTCTCCATCCATCTTCCTCTCCATCCATCTTCTTCTCCACCCATCTTCTTCTCCACCCATCGTCAACTTCCCATCTCCAACTTCTCTCACTTCAATCACTGCACTTTCCTCACACCTTTCTTCCTTGTGTCTTCCCGTTTTGGCGGCTCTGATGTGCTATTTCCAGCAACATCTGACCAGCCAGCTATTTCCCTGTTCTCAGTCTCTCCTCGGATACCCTGCCTCATCCACAACACTGTTCCATCTTTCACTTTCCACGACTGTCACATCTCATCCAACTCGTCAACAACTTAGGTAAGTTGAAGCACCCATCCATTCATCACCACCCTGGTGTCTGGTAGCCGCACTCTCTAACTATAACGTCTCTCACAGTGCTTTGCTCCCTGTAATCACTGCAGGATGGCCGAGAAGGCCAACATGACTCCTCTTGAGATTGAGGAACAGAGGCGGAACGAAAAGGTTGACTTCATGCGATCTCGTCTGTTGGCGGGTGGTGAAATTCTCAGGAAGGCTTCACTGGATCTGCACATCCGTCGATGGTTGACCATGGCAAAACAGGATGTCGAGGTCCCGTCTCGTGTTCCTGAATATCTCTTCCGTATCCTAACCCATTTTACCACCGCTAAGAAGGCGGACGAGATAAGGAGGATCCAGACACCCGACACAGTCACTGATTCGGAAAAATGGATGGCCATGCTTCGGCCTCTCCTCGAAGACAAAGCAGATGATAGACTTCTCCGGCACTTGCAACAGTTGCCCGAGAGACTCATCAAGTGATGAGCTTTTATCACCAAGCCGAGGTAAGCACACTGTTCAACTCGATCATCAGTGAGCGACGTTGACCATACGAAACTCGGTAGAGAGCCTTGACCACCTGCCTGTGAAATCCACCGAATCAGAACAATCCGGGCGCGACATACGGGACATCATCAGATCCGGTGACTGACAGCGCATGAACGAGAAGCAAGAGGTGCCTGCTCCAACAACAACTCGAGAAGCTCATCGAGTTCATAAATTGATCAGAGCCATCTTCGGAGAGTGTCTCGGGCTCGGCGGAAGGTGATCATTGACCGGATCTGAGCTAGACGAAGAGGACGATGAGGATATAGTTCTACTTAACTGGCACCATTGCCTGGACCGTTCGAGCACCATATTGGCATGTTGCGTTGGGCACCGATTCTCAAGGCGAGCGCTTCCTGTCGGATGATGTCCTCCATCGTGCTCTCCCGAAGAGAAGTGGAGACTCATGCTCAGTGGTGAAACAATTCCATCCGGAAGGTACCCGGCGACACTAGAATCTTTCAGTGCGTGGCTGGCTGCCGAGCAGCGGAAGGCCAGTCGTCTCGGCAAGCCTTGGCCCCAAGTCCAGCCATCTACCACTGTTGAGCTCTCTGCGTCAACTCCGAAGACAGCAGGCTCTAATAAAACATCATCAGCCTTCGCTCTCGCCTTCGCTCCGGCGGTCATGCCTGCACGTCTTCTTTTGAGATAAAAGATCCCCGCGAGGTCGAGCAAACTCGTCTGCTTCAAGAGATATTCGTGGAGCTCAGAGAGACAAAGAAGCTGGTTCAAGAGGCTCAAGGTGTTCTTCAGGGAAACAGGACTCCCAGCCCATGGATGTTGCGGTGTCTTCACAGGAAGCGTCGCCCTACTCCCTGGTGCAATATCCTACTGAGGTTCAGCAACTTGGCCCGACCTCTGATGCGGATTGGCCGATGGCGCAAAACCAAATCCACCCGCTCCAGTACACCACAGTCACACCCACACCTGCCCCGGCGGAGGATTCCTGGGCTGCCTGGCAGCGTTGGAAGGGCCGGCAGGGCAATTGAGATTGTTTCTCTCAAAGCAACCAAAAAAAAAAGTTAAAAACCAAAAACCAAAAAAATCCCCATCGACGAGCTCACCTGCTTTTTTCCTTTTGGTTTTGATTTGCTTTGATTTGCAAGAAGAGGAAACTGAAAAGAAAAAAATAACCAAATGCTGGATGAGTGCTTACCTGAGGATGTGTCGAGGCACGCCGCCGCACAGCTGTCAAGAGTTCTATCACTTAGATAGAGTGTGGGTGGTGTGAATAAGATGTTGTTTGAGTGTGTAACATACTACCTTTTGTAGGCCTGGGTTCACATTTGAGTATACAGCAGTAGCCACTTCATGAAGCGATGGAGAATCACAGCACCATGGGCAGAATATGATTAATGGATGAGAAGTTGATGATAATTTGAAGGAAAGTTGAAGATGAAGAGAAGTTGAAGAGAAGGTGAAGAGAGGGTGAAGAGAAGTTATGGCCAAGGTCAATGGCTCTTATATATTGGCTGAGGCCGTCGCCGACGATGTCGCCGGCGCCGGCGATGATGTCGTCGTTGTCGTTGTCGCCGGCGCCGGGCGTGAAGCTGGTTGCCGTGGTATTGAGCAAGATCACAGAACGGGCGACCGCAACCAAGCACAACCAACGAAAATGGGCGAAACAAAGACAATTGAGTCCTAATAAGTGATTATCTATGATACATTGCTCATTGCTCAAATTCACTGCCTCCGAGCAGATTTCTGTACAATGAGCACATTTGCGAACTTCCTAGCCCTAACGGAGAGCTAGATGCGCTCTCCGAGCTTGATACGACCGAGGCAGCTTTAACAGATTCTCAAATGCGTCGTGTACCTCTTGGACAATATCGACAGGGACGAGGCAATATGCATCATGGTTGGAACCTACTCAAAGGCCAATATAGTTACTTCAACTTCAACTTACTGCGTGAGGGAACATTGAGATATTGGTGACATCCAGAATGGATTAGGGCCCACCACAACCCACGTTGACGGCCCCACTATTTCCCCTTCTTTCCGAGCTTACCATCCAATCAAATAACTAGTTTAAGTCTTAACATTAAATTGACCATGGGTTAACACTGTAGTATTGGATTGTTGCATAACTCATACAGTATGAAATAGAAGATTCTCAGTTGAGGGTATAAAAGTACAAAGCTAATAAAACATGAAGATAAAAAAACATGAGGGATATCGAGAGCAGAACAAAGACATCAATAATACATACACATTCTACTGCTGCTCGCCATCAATCTCAACGAGAACCTTCAACTCCCCATCCATCCAGTCAACAGCATCAGCAGAGAGGACTGCAATGGCCCAATCCTTCTGACTCTGCACATCCATCAGTCCATCTGGTAGCCAGACCTTGACCTTCCACCCAGCGGCGGCAGACTCGCGTGCATCAGCATTGTTGGCGTGTCCGTCCTGGAAAGCAGACAAACCAGGGATCTGGCCCGGGTACCGTCGCAAGATTGCCTGCTTAACGGAGTCTATGTTCGGACATTGACCGGCGGGCAGGTCAAATCTAGGGAGGATCCGCTTCCCGTTGTGCAGGATGTTGACGCGAAGGAGGGAGGTCTGGCCTTGGTTCTGGGAGGAAGTATTCGCGTTGTTCGCAGGGGCCGATTCAGGGAGAGGACTGAAGGGTTGGTGGAAGTGTGTATCGGGTGTTTGAGTTGGATGACCGTGTTGTGAGGCGATGTTCTCGCGGATGACCCGTGACACGTCGCGAGTAATGCTGCTTGCGCTGTTGAAAACTGTTAGTGGTTGTCCCACACATTTGCGGTTAGTGACTTACAATTCATATCTTGCTGATGAGTTGCCGCCTCCGCCGATACGCCACTGGAGACCGGAAGTTGAATCTGCGTGGAGGATCCTGTTGATATTTCCGTTCTCACAGGGTGGTGGACACTCATAATGTCCGTTGTGAACGACTTGGTAATGGCTATCGACTGCAGCGACGATACCACGCCAGTCGGGTTGCTGCAACCCCGAGAGAGACCAGAGATTATCGAGTTCGAAGTTCTCGTTGTACGTATCGTAATATCGGCCAATTTCTTCCCAGTCGGCAGTGTATCCGTCGAGGATGAGATCCGTCAGACCGAGATTCATAGGCTGAGGCGGCTCTAATGCTTGCTGCATCGGCTGTGGAGGAGGAGCGAGACTTTGTGACATATCATCGCGATGGGGTGTTTGATTTTGCATTTGCAGATGCTGGTGCTGGTGCGGAGAGAATGGACTATTCAAATTCGAGAATTCGTCCGTTTTGCGGCGGCGACGTTCTTCAGAACCACCTCCCTTACGGGTTTCAATGGCATATTGACGCTGCCTTTCGTTCGTGACCATCCGTCTCAGCAATGGAATGACCAAGGAGATGATCTTGTGCTGGTCACGCGGCCAAATGTATGTTCTCGGGCCCATACCCTCATTAACAACGTTCTCCCCGAAGAACCGTTCGCCATTTCCCTCCGCTTCGAGGAATTGACGGACACAGTTCCATAGGCGAAGCTTGACCATTTCCGTATCTCCCTTCCCACGCTGACCGACACAGTCTCGTCGCTCGGGGTGTTCATCGTCCAACATGTAATTCTTAGCAGCAGCCTGGAGATGCAAGAAATTCTCCGGCGAGATCTCAAGAGAGGAAAACATTTTGGAGATGGGCGGCCGCGTGTACTTCTTGTTGCTCGAGGGCTGGCGGAACAAGGCCGCGGCGGAATGAATACCCACCGCGCGAGCATCCGACAGGGACTGCTGCTGCTCAGGACGAATTTCTATACCCTCCCCGGTGTAGCCATGGGGGGTTTGCTGAACCGGATGCGACTGATGTTGTGAGGCGGCGAGACCCGCACCAGCCAAGGCGGGGTCAAGGTTATCGTCATTTCTCTTGCGTTTTTTCGTCGCCGTTCGTGTGAGCCCCGAGGACTGAGCGTGGCCGGTATGGCTTGGTACTCTCATGTGTCTTCCGCTGCTTAGGCTACTTGCGAAATTCGTATTGTCGAACTTCCCATCGCCGAATCCATTCTCGGAGAGATCCATGTCGGTGTATGAGTCCAGCTGGTGATGATGTCCGGCTGCACCGGCGGCCGCTGCGACGGCGGCGGCAGCGGCCCATTGCGACACGTCTTGGTCTGCGGCGGCTGTGGCTGCCTCGACTAATCCAGCAAGCTGGTTGTCGGTGGTCGCATATCCGTTGTTCGCCAATTGCGCGTTCGCGTCCAGGTGAGGGGCAGTCGCGTTCTGCTGGGGAGGGAGGTCGGAGGAGGAGGTCGACGGAAGGTGTTGGTTGTTGTTCGAAGAGCTCATGGTGTCAACCCAATGAGGCTTAGAGCTCTTGGAGATCGGGATCGATAAGCCGATAGTGTCGGAAAGTTATGAGGCGCAGGTTCGATGGGAATTGGGGAAAATGAGGAGATTTCCTTGATCGGATAGTTTGCGCCAGTAAGTGAACCACGTCCGATTTCCCGTTCTATCCTCAAAAGGTATGTCTTCCAGGTAGAGTCCTGATCCAGTTGTTGTTCGAATGCCTGGCGAATAGTTTCAGGAATTGGCAGTGAAGCTTTGGCGGAGCACCGATATCCTAGCGCGGCATACCAAGTAAGGCAAATAGCGCGTCTCCGTGAAAAAGAAGGCGACTGGAGCAAATAAATAAAAAGCTCTCTGAAGCTTTAGCTCGATTTGGCTGATAAGAGGCGCGACGGTTGAGATGATGTTTGCGCGGTTTGAAGGAAGGACAGACAGTGCAAACCTTGTCACAATCACGTGACTGTCCTTGTCATAGAGACGTACTGTCACTACTGTGTAGTGGACGTACCCGCGTTGTAAACAACTACTCCGTATTCCTCCCTGGTGTGTGGGTACGCCGGGTTCCCCTATGTAGCTCATTCCGCTCAAGGCCGCCCACCTCGCAATCTCGTCTCCCCCGTGAAGGCTCTCGGCGCCGGGTTAGGCACGTGTCGAGATTGCGAGGTGGGCGGCCTTGAGCGGAATGAGCTACATCGGGGAACCCGGCGTACCCACACACCAGGGAGGCCACGTCCTCGACCTCACCTTCACGAACATCCTGTTCGCCACGACCGAGGTTCGACCTTCACACTGGCTCGGATCACGAGACACTGGTCACGACCATCCCGGGGCGTAACAACTCTCCAAGGCAGCCGGGTTCTCACCCGGCGGCCGCCGGACGTTAAACAATGCAACAACAACAACAACTACTCCGTATTGGCTGCTACTTTGATGTATCTAGTCGAATTTTTTAGGCTGTACTGGACGTTCAAGATACAAAATGAGTCATATGTGAATGCGTCTCACTTCTGTCTATCCTGGGGCTGGGGCCAATGTGAGAAACTCGGTCAACATGGGGGAAATAGTACATGGATTCACAAGTACATTGACATCAAAAAGACCACCCAAGTAATGGCAGATATATGGTGAATAGATGGCAGAGAGATGGCAAATAGAGCGTCCGTCACATAACTTATGTGGCGACAAGAATGGAAAGAGGATGTGTCGAAGAAAGCACCTGATCCAGCCAAGGCAGCTTAAAACCCATCACCTTCTTTCCAAGGACGGCCGGCCTCCAGGGCTCGGTACTTAGGATTCCGACCACGCTCGAGAGCGCTCGAAAGCATAGAAAACGCCTCCCGTTCCTTATCCTGGAGGCGATTGATAAGGTAATCGCCCGTTTCTGTCATAGTGTGCTCCGGATTGCTGGTCTCATCAGGCTCAGCACCGAACGCGAGTGCCATTTCATCAGACACCCACAACCAATCATCAAATTCGTGCTGGAGCTTATCCCTCTGAGCTTCGGCGTCGCGATAAGCTTGCCACTCATCGGGGCCACCAAAGCAGAATCCATACCCATCACACAGGCATACATTCTCATTTGGACAGAGAACAGCTTCTCCGGTGAAGATATACTGCCATAGATACTCCCAGATGCGACCAGTGATATAATCACTTAGTTCTGTTGACAATAGCCAGTCGCGGTAGTAAACAAACCGAGCCCGCGGAATGGAGCGGATACGTTCACGGGACAGGGCGAATTGCGCGCAGCACGGCTGCGACAGGACAGACGGGATCTGCTGGTCCGGGAACAGCTCGCCCCACGCACGGGCGAGCATGATTTCCTCCTGCTTGGTTTCGTCTTCCTCGACCGCACCAGGGTGCATCCAGGCCGGACAGCCTGGGCCGAACCCACAGCGGGTATTCATATAGCCTTCACGGATGACGCGGTTTAGGTTCAAGCTACGGAGCAGCTGCGCCGCGTCTCCACCGAAGAGAACATCGTTGTGCCAGGCAAATTGATGCGAGTGCATGAAAACTGCCACGTCTGGGAGTTTATCATAGTGATCGATAATGTAAGTGAGGTAGATCATAACCTCGTGGCCCTTGTTTTTGGGTGGGTGGAGCGGCGCAGAGGGGTCATCTGCAACATAGATGGCGCGCTCCCAGTCTGGCAGCTCCTCGGCGATCCAATCGGTATCTTCCTCCTTCGTCCTCGTAACGACTAGCACTTTGGAGTATTTGTGACCCGGCGGCTTGGGGGTGCCGGGGAAGAAACGCGGCGGCGGGGCAAAAAGGTCGTCATTTGTGTGGCCACGCGTCGTGTTCCAAAGTGCGGTTGTGTTGGAGGAGGAGGGGATCAAGTCTCCTAGACCGATGACTTGGGGCACTTCATGCCATGGTCGTGAGAGGCTTCGGACTGTGAGGAGGATGATGAGGAAGAAGCAGACGCCGAAGAGGATGACCGGTCGCCGTGGGAGAAGCATGGACGGAGGGTAAGACAATCGTAGACGGGGAATTTATCTGTCGCACGAGACGCCGGTCAGCTGCAATGTACTCTGTTACACGGAGATCAGTACAGTGATGAATGTCCAATGCAGCATACACAGGAGCTTCCCACAGTACGTAGGCAGATTGGAGGCAATGGAAGGGATTGCCTTACATAGGTCAGGATATCATTGCTCCGATAATGTAAGGGGGGGAAGGAAAAGGAAAAGAATCCCGATCTACATAGATCCAAACGGACTGGAGAAGGGAGCAGGGTGAGGTGTGCCGCAGGGAAAAGTGGAGACTAGGCTGTGCCACAATGACGAAGCTTCTTTAGTCTTTGGATTTGGACAAGACGCTAACTTAAAGTCGAGCCTGCCGATATCGATGGGTATGGGACTATATAATTGACTGCCAGTGACAATTGTCAATTGGGTATGGTGAGTATCAGGCAATCTAGATACAGTCTACCCCTTCACAGAAATGTCACAGACCATATCAGGAAATAGCATGTCGATCTCTCAAGAATCTAGCCACGCGGCCTTTCAAAGCCACGGCCCACACGGTAGATGTACGATGCTATGTTGTATGTACTCTACTAACTTGAAGCCAATGCAATTCGAGACATGTACACATCCATTTTCGTTCGATTGACTAATGTGTTCATGGAGAGCAGAGATATGAGATTCAACCGTGGTATAAAAATCGTGAAAAGAAATCTGGGTATGATCTTTGCTCGCGAAGAACGCCATGCAACGCTGTGTAAAAAAAGATTCATGAAGAAGGGCTGAACATACCCTACAGAAAGTACATAAGGATTGTAAGTATGACCAGGAGAAGTCTGGCAAGAAGCCCGAGTTCAGGCTTCTTCATCGGCTGTTTCTTCGACCGTTGCGGTCCGAACTTTACCAGTGGATGATGACTCGACCTGTGTCTCAACCTGACTGGATGTCTGCTGCGCAGCTTCTCCATTGCTGCCCCAAGTAGTAGGAATAGAAGCAGTAGCTGACTCGTCGCCAAAGGAGCCTCTGGGGGTGACATCGGTCCATTCTTGAGACGGAGATGCTGCACGATGTTCTGCCGACGGGCTAGTGGGCATAGGCTCCAATATTGGTACATTCGCGAGCCCGTTCACAGGAGATGACGTAGACATAGCACTGCCTCCAGTACTTGACCCGATGGTGCCGCTCATCTGATCCGGGGTTGACACGGGGACAGTTGGACTCTGAGAAGCCGTCGTACCGCCCACGACTGGCTCCGACGAGGATGCCGCTGTGGTAGGCGTGGGCTGTACTACCTGTGCTACACTGCCCGAGCCGCTGCCCGAGCGCTGTAGAGGAAGGAGGGTCCAACCGGGAGGAAGAGTGAGCCCTTCTGGAAGACGTGGGTCCCCAGAAGCCATCATCTCAGCACGTGGGTTGGTCGCTTCGAACTGAAGGCGTGTCACGGAGGCTGAAGATACCGGGCCCGCGTTTTGAGGCGGCACTATCTCGCCGAGAGTATTATGGCTCAGAGTATTTGCTTGATTGCGCAACCGGTCTAGTTCCACTCGAAGCTGGCGCACGCGATTCAGTTGTTCTGTGGCAACGCGAAGTGTCCTGATCTCATGGGCGAGCCGTTGCTCAATCTGCAGCAACTGAGCACTGAGGTCAGTAGCAGTAGACGCCGCTGGAGCCGCAGGATGTGGGGCTGGTGTGGGGGTGGGGGCTTGAGGACCATGTCCGAACCCAAACCCAACTCCAACTTGTTGGGGCCCAGGCGCGTTTGTTCCAGGTTGCGGCGCGTTGACCCGCTGAGCCATTTGCTGAAGATTTTGGATTCGCTGAGCCTGTTGCTGAATATTCTGGAAGAGATCGTCACGCACAGCACCGAAGGCAATACGGAAGGGTCCAAACTGATAGACTCTGGCACGAGGTTGTCCATCTGCACCTTGTTGGCCAGGTTGAATAGCACCATGTTGACCACCAGGCGCATTGTTAGCACCGGCACCGGCGGCTCCTTGAGTTCGCGGGGGTGAAACAACAGGACGCCGGCAGGTCGGGCAGTTTTGTTGCCTCTCAAGCCAGCTTCGAAGACACGCAAAGTGCAGAATATGACCGCACGGAAGCTTCTTTGGGCGCAACCTATCAGGAACACGCTGTGATCTAGCAGCGCGCTGAGGTGCAGGCTCTCCAGCAGCATTAGGTGCCGCCGGCTGAGCCGGCTGGACTGGAACCATTTCCTCGCGACAGATAATACAAACATCTTCCCGGGAGACTTCATCTGCAGTGGCATCTGGATATCTCTCGTTCATGTCTCTCGTTGCGTTTCGATAACGCATGAAAACCATAATGCGACGGGCAAAGGAGCGGATAGTCACGACGACATCCCGCAAGATGTGGATAGGAAGGCCATAGAAAGTCAGTAAGATGCCAAAGAAGCTCAAGTAGATTACGAGCTTCAATAGATCGGTCAAGAGATCCAAGTAGAAGACCCAACGACCCTTTTCCTCCCAACCGGGCACGTCGATCTCCATTTCATTGATATCATTCTCGTCAGGAAGATCTTCAGGAGGGAGGCAGCTCCTGCGCGGGCATGCTCCTGAATTGCCTCCACACGCGCAGCACGAATTTCTTCCCGGCGTTCTTCCATCTTCGCTTTCACCTGCTGTCGGGTTATGGAGATCTCGGTCAACGCGATAACGTAACGTAAGAGGGTCGAAGTCGAGAGAATTGTCAAGATGGCGAACTCGAATGCAAACATCACCATCATATCTGGTCGCGCCTGGGTAATCACGGTCTGCACACAATAGTGCAGCATGAAGGAGTCGAATAGCACCGTCAGCACGAGTGACAGCGCCAAACGAATATGAAACAGACGAGGATTGGCGGGCGGCTGTTGCTCTAAGAACTCTACTCGACCTTCGCCAATCCAACCCCAGACCTTGCCGACCAGCAGCGAGATGAACATGACCAGAAACCAGCCTCCAAGTTCACCCCGGAAGATGGTCATGGCCAGACATGTCTCCGTGACAGCGAACCAAGCGCGCTCATATAGTTGCTCGGTCTCGATCGGTCGCAAATGACCGTAAAGCAGGCGCTGCAGCCAGAATAGTACGAAGCCGGTGACGAGGAGGCATAAATTCGTGAGGATCTAGATGCGGAACGATAAGTCAGAGACCGACATCCACGTGCGTTGACCAACTGGACAACTAACCATCAGATTCGCACTACTTTGAGAAAGATAAACGCATGCTGAATAGAAATTTGACCTCTGGTGAAGTGCTTTAAGAATCACACCAGTAGCCAGGGCCACCGAAGCCTGCAAATGCGATCCCAAGGTTAGCGGGTGTCCCCCCATCAGCTGTCGGAATAACTTACCCCAGCATACGCGGCTAGTCTCATGGCTATTGACTGAATCGGACAAGCCGAGGGTCATGGACCGTTGAAAGAACAAGAAAAGCCAGCGTCTCAATGTAGCATTTGGCGGAGACAGGAAGTGAATGCCGGAGAGTTGGGAAGAAGTAGCTCGATCTGGACAGCTTTCCAGAATAGCCCATCAACGCCTCTCCGCATATTATGTCAGCCATCGGCACGTGCCGCCCATACCAGACTTAAGTACGTACAGTACTCCAGTCTCCAGACTAACTCGCTAGGTGACTAGTAAACGGCGGGGTATTTTCGCTACGTAGATTATGTTATTGGCATTGCGAGCAGCGTAAGATCTTATTGTAACAGTTGTCAGTTTTGACCCAAGCCCCGTAACTGGAGGCTAAGTAATAATCGTATTCGTCACCAAGTGCACGTCGATCCTCGGTGTTTATCTGATCTCCATCATGTGACGTGACACATTGTCCGCCTTGGAAGAAGCAACCATCTGTGAAACCGCCCGGCTGAGAGCTTCCCATCAATTTTACATCAATCAAGGGAAATTCAGCACGGCTGGCTACTACTATTGTCATTGTATTCCGAGAGAAATGAATCATCTCCGGTGATGGCTTCGTCACCGGCATTGTTTACTGCCTCACGCAGCCAGACACTGACGTATCTCTTGGCGGTATGCCCCTTCTCCATCGCCTTCCTAGTCTACATCAATTCCTCCATCTCTTTCGTGGTAACAGACTTGATTGGTCTTCATGATGGGGAGGGCGACGCCGTTGGAACTCTGGGGTTCGCAGATGAACTCCTTGCGCTAGCTGCCTGCCCTCTTTGGGGTGTTCTATCTGACCGAATCGGAGTCCGCCATGTAAGTGCTCCTTTTCTTGGTGCTGACATTGAACGATATTGACAATTCATAGGTATGTACTGCAGGCTACGCTATTGTAGCACTCGCGCTAGTTCTATTTGTACAGGCCACAAATATCTACCCCCAGCTTCTGTTGGGAAGGTTGCTCTTTAGTGTCGGTGGTTCGGCGGTCTCGACTATGGTCACTGCAGTCCTGCCGACTGTCACGGGCAGAGCTTCCAATGCCCAGGCTTACCGTGTTTCCGTTTCTTCGGAGTTGACCATCACCCCGGAGCGAGCCCGGAATGCCCATTCCATAAGTGCGGGTGCTTCCAATGCATCGCCGTCCGCCCGACTCTCCGGGTTTGTTGGCTTGTGCGCTGGCTGTGGCGCACTCGTGGCACTGGTCGGTTTTCTGCCGCTTGCCGCCCGGTTTGAGAAAATGGGATTGTCGCCATCGCAGGCGATCCAACGCAGCTATTATTTGGTTGCTGCCGTATCCCTTGGTATCAGCCTTGTATGTTTCATTGGACTCCGTGATCTCCCAGGAGAAGAAGGAAAAAGTTGGAGTGCGCTATGGAAAACCTCCAGTATCTTGTCTGACGAAGAATCTGACGACGACGAACTATTTATCCACGGTTCACGAATGCCATACTGGAAGCAGTTAACGACTGCCCTTACGCTGGGGTTCCGGGACCGCAGCATTGGACTGGGATATGTCGGAGGATTCGTTGCCCGAGCTTCCTCTGTGGGAATCTCATTGTTCATTCCTCTTGCTGTCAATCACTACTACCGGGCATCAGGACTCTGTGACGAGAAACGAGAGCCGGTGCCTGGGTCGGGATTAGGAGATATCAAACAAGCATGCCCACGGGCGTACATCGTCGCATCCATACTGACCGGGGTATCGCAACTGGTGGCATTGATTGCAGCACCAGTGTTCGGGTACCTGACCGATAAATCACGACGATACAACTTCCCACTTCTTTTCGCCGCATTGGTGGGTATCATTGGCTACATCGCATTCGCCATGCTCCCTAGCCCTCTATTTGAGGGCCCCGACGGTACTCCGAGCGTATTTGTCATAATGGCTCTGCTTGGAATCAGTCAAATTGGAGCAATTGTCTGTAGTTTGGCCGTGCTGAGCAACGGCATCTTGCGGGTCAGCGTCGACGCCGAGGCATTGAGAAAGGTGTACGAGGAACGACGTGGTCGTGGGGATGAAAATGAGTCAGAGCCCGACGAGCGTCAGTCTCTTCTTGCGGGGCCCGTCAACCGAAGACTTGAGCATCTGTCACATCTGAAAGGCTCCATTGCTGGGGTGTATTCACTATACGGAGGGGCAGGCATCCTGCTGTTGACCAAAGTGGGTGGGCTGTTGTTTGATGTGCTGTCATCGGGCACACCGTTCTATATCATGGCCGGTTTTAACGGTGTGTTGCTCATCGTCGGAATTGTGTGTGGGGCCCTCAATCATTTCGGATCGTCGCTGGAAAGGAATCGGTGATCGTATTTAGACCAGTTCCAATTTAAGATTGTCAAAGTGTTGCAGGAACTTGCTGGATTGGCTGTGAAAAAAATTTCATTCTCAGCCTACGCCGCTACGGGCTAATACGGGCGAAATTTCCCAAGCTTCCAAGGAAGGCTGAGTCACTGACATTGTTCGCTTCCAACGTTGGATGAACTCATGAGTACACGTGGGTCGCAGGTGAAAGTGGATACAAATGAGATTAAACTATTTCTAATGACGAGAAAGTGGTTCTTACTAACTATGTACTCCGTACATAGTAGTTATGTGCATTAGCAGCACGAATTAATCAATTCAGCATGCAGTTCCAAGGTTGGGCTCTGCGGCAATTTCAGGTACGGACTCCATTGGGCATAAAATGAAGTGTGGACTACCCCGTTGGCGCTAGTGGTCCGGGCGCCTGGGCTGGTGAGTGGCTGACATGGGGAAATTACAGCGACAAGAGAGGAAAATGGCTACGATCATAAGCAAGTTGCATCTATGATGATCTTGAACAGCAATTCTGTAAGACCTTTGAATTGTGCTTGACATCGGAATCTAGACTCTCGAGATTCTATTCCCATTGTTGATCTCATCTCGCTAGTCCACGGCCTAATGAGGAACACCCAGTATCCTTCCCAATCAGGCGAGTGACCCAGGGGTCGGTTCGGCCCCTAGGCCCGGATCAGCCTAGTTCCACCGTATACTTTGGCTAAAGGGCCCACAAATTTGTAAGTTTTCCCCGTAAAGCGTAAAGAACAACAAAAACACTCGGACTTGAAAACGGGCAGCCCCTTTTTTTACCGCTCCTCCTCGAACCCCTGGGGCCTGGGGCCTTGTTCCTGAATATCGCCCGTGTCTGCCCTAGTCCGCTTTGACCCTGCATGGGCCAATCCCAATGTGCCAAAGCCCCATCTTGGCGCACTAATGAACAACAATATGCCAAGTCAATAATGTGATGGCCGAGCCCCGTATTCGCAGACCTAAGATCCTGGTGTCTCGCTCTCACACTTCTACTTTCTTTCACAACCTTCAGGCTCAAGCAGTCCGTCTTTCACTCTTTCGTCGTTCGACAGTCTTTCGTTAAACTCCAGTCCTTCGTTCTAAGCTATCGCTGCCACAGTACTGTGTACTATCACTTTTTGCGCTTTTCGCCCACTTGACTATACCAATTCTTCGATATAAAATACCGGTCAACCACCATTTATTTCCAATATGCGTTTCTGCACCATTGCTCTGTTGGCTGGCGCTACCGCCGCCGCTGCCGGTAACACCGCAACTCTTCTCCTGCCCGGCTTCGAGGGCCAGGATCTCCAGGCCAGCATTATCGACACCGTATGTACCAGCTCTATCTGCGCGATAAATGCGCTGTATCACCGAGACACATGAAACTAACCATCCACAGGACGGAGACGCGACTACCTACAGGGTCACCTGCGCCAAGACCGCTGCCGCCAATGACTGCGGTATTGTCGGCGACGGCCTGACAGCAATCGCAGCCCCGACCTCCGCTCAGTTGCGAAACATCAATCTCCAGGGAACGTAAGTACCAAAACCGACAACCAACAATCACCAACACGAACCAACTTCTGATCTCAACCCCAACAGCACCGGAACCCTGTCCTGCAACATTGCCAGCACCACGTACGCCTCGTGCCAGGCCTCCGCCGGCACCGTCACTCCCTCCGGCACTCTGGGCCCCGACGACCTGAACTGGATGGCCGTGACCGTCATGACCACCCCGACGTCGACCCCAACCCCAACCCAGACGCCTACCTCCACCCAGACCCCCACCATCACCTTCACCTCGACCCTGGTGACCTCCACCCCGGTCAAGTCCTCTTCGGTCCCGGCCTCTTCTCACCTCATCACCTCCACCCCGCTAGTCGCCGCCCCGACCAGCCCCGCCATCGTCTCCACCGGCGCCCCGGCTGCGTCTACCTCTGCCTTCAACGGCGCCGGCCAGCTGGTCGGCAGCTTCTGGACTATTGGAGGAGCGTTCATGGCTCTTGCTTGCGCTTTTGCCTAATCGACGAGCGATATAGCTCTGTGTGAAGGATGAGCTGTGGACTTCGGCCTTCGGCTTGTTCTGATCCCGTTAATTTCTGGGAGGTTTTCTGACGTTACTTTCTAAGGATGTACAGGTATACTCATGTATTCCTTGCATTATACGTGTCCATCTATTATTACTTAATGTTCGATACCTTTCTCCACGACAGACTACGATCTAGCGTCTTTTTTCTTCATATGCCTGTATCTTCAGTTTACTGAATATACATTTTCCCTCCGTTTTAGATTGTTTTTGTCTTCTCTGATCCAGATGCGTCTATGTAGGACTGACTTGCTCCGCGAAGCAGCGTAGGTACGGAGTACATGTAAGACCCCGGCAGTGGACGGCCCGTTTAGTGCATGATGTCTGCAACGGTCTTAGCCTGTGCTCTACATGCAAGATAAGGACGCGTCAAGCAGAAAATGTTACGCGTCAGGCAGAAGATGATCTTTTCATAGCGCGCGGATGGTCATTGGAAATAGCGTGGTTAGCGTGTAGATCTTAGGGCTCGATGCTAGTCTTGGCATATGATATGTGTAGTCTGGACTCTGGGCCTCTGGGGTATGAAATCATGATTTATCGTCTGTGATAGCCTATTTATTGAAGATCACATAGAGAATAGAGACTATTGTCGGGTCCAAAGGACTCTCGTTGTAATTCGTTAAGTCTCCAAAGAAATGTGTTTAATTCCATCCTAAAGCCGGATCCCATCGCAAACTCCAGCCAGTCCAACCGCCATGACAATCTGTAAAAGATAAATAAAAGCAGATGAGCCGATGTAGTGAATATGTCCCACCCTAAAAAAACAGAAGCTCATAGGTAGCAAGAAATAAAACCTAAACGATAGCCATGAATCTCATAATAGACGAGCAAAACGCATCCTCGAACGGTGAACTTGCCACGAACCTTGAACTCTGATCCAGTTTGATCCTCACGAGAACAAAGTCGTCAGCCGCTGAGAGCCCGAAACTCCCAACTCAGGAAACCGGTCCTTTAGAGCGACCATGAGAGCAGGTTTATCCCAAAGGAAATAGACTTCCTGATTGGGCCAATCCATGCTCTCCGGGCGTAAGGTCAAGTCGAAGTGGAAGAGGAGTTTGCAAAGAATGAGACGGATCTCACAGTTTGCTAGACTATAGAAGCGGCGTCAATATCAACAACTTATGTACACTTATGTACGCTAGAGGGGGAAACGTACTGCTTTCCAAGACAGACGCGCGGCCCGAGGCTAAATGGCTGCAAAACATCCTTCTTGTCATGCTCGAAGAGTGGGTCAGAGCCTAGCCAGCGCTCCGGTATAAAATTATCCGGTAAGGCGAAGTTCGATTCCGAATGGTAGGAGGCGTAGTGATGACATGCTACGATTGTCTGGTCCACATTAGTACACAGGCGTAACAGAGTACAATTGTATGCATACATACATCCTGTGGAACGAAATGACCGTCCACGACAGCCCCTCCCGGTGGTACAACGCGCGAAAGACTCGTCACGAAGGGGGGATAGATACGAAGCGATTCATTGATGACGGCAGTCAGGAACTTCAGCTGTTCCACAGCACGGAATGTCATATCACTATCTTGTGTGAACGCCGAGCGGATTTCGGTGGCAAGTTGAGCCATGACGTGCGGCGTGGTACAGAGGTAGTAGATGCAGCCGGAGAGTAGGGTTGCGGATGTTTCGCTACCAGCCACGATAAGACTGGTTCCGATCAGAGTTAGCAAGAGTACATCGTGTCTTCGGTGACACGCACGAGAAACATATGAGAATAAATGAGGAAAAGAGCTCTCACATGAAGCCATTAGAATGGATCTCAGCCCTAGACATGATACGCTTGCTCTCGCGGTACTGGCCCTTTTCTTCACTAAGTCCATTCTGGAGAATAGCCGACATAAAGTCCGGGCGAGTCATGTTAGCTTCCAAACGCTGATCGACCTTTTGCGCGCTCAGATCGAAATGTTCACGACCGACGCGCTCGACTTCGCGTGGAACTAGGTACTGCAGAAGCCTTTTGAGCAAGGGAAACTGATTCACAACCCCGATGAATGCAAGAGCCTTCATGGACTTGAAAATCAAACATATCCATGGGTGCAACTGGGCATCCTTTAGACAGCCAAATGACTCGCCGAACATTAGATCACCGGTGATATCAAAAGTGGTGAAGTTCATCCAACTCTTGAGATCAACGACCGAGGTTCCCTGCCGAATTCCAGACCGCAGCTTGCTAATCAAGGTATCAACATAGCCTCTGATGAGAGCTTCTTGGTCCCTCAGTGCCTTCTCCGAGAAGGCATGTGATAGCAGCCGTCTCTGTCTGGAGTGAGTTGCATTATCGACCGCACAAACTAAATGGTCGACCCCATTCGCGGGCGGCTCATAGTGACTGCGGTCCTTGGGGAAACAGCTACCAGCTCTGGCACCGTAGATATCACGAAAGGCCCGGGGAGTGTTGAATGCCAGCTCATTGGGACCGATACGCAGGATAGGCCCGTACTTCTTGTGCAGTGCCAGTATGTCCAGGTGGTTGTGGCCACGGAGGACGGAGACATTCGATGGGACGCGAGATATGGCCCATAGCTTTGGGCCGGGAAAGCGGCGCAGGGGAGAGAGGTAGAATGCGTAGATGATACTATAGATGACCCAGAGTACGAACTGTTGTTTGCAAGCTGATTAGCGCGTATTCTCCGACGCTCGTCAGAAGAGGAATAGACTAGTGAGATTGCATTGCTTGAAGCTGTTGTGTCTCCCCGGGAAATTATCTCATGAAGGACTGGCTCTGAGTGTAGGATTCTCTCCTGCATGCAAACGAGGGTTGGGAGTACAGATGATGTAACTTACCAGGCATGCTGCAGCAGCGCCCCAGAAGCGAGGTCCTGAGGTTGCCCAAGAGGTGAGATTTGAAGCGAAGGAGGTCCATAAGCTTATGCACTGCCTTGAGGCCATATTTAGGTCGGAATCATCCACCTGTCGTCTTCCCAGGTAAAGTGTTGAGGTTTGGTAGAAGGATGCTCTTCTGGCCCACCACGGACCTCAAATAGAACTCAATTAAGCAAGCCGAGACCGGGGAGAAGCCAACAAAGATCCAGAACCAAACAAAACAGAGCAAAGAGCCATGAGTTTGTCAAATGCGGTTACTGGCAGCAAGTTGAGATGAGGGACATTGTGAGGGGCGGAAGGAAGCAGTACAACCCTGGGAATTGGATATCTCATTAACGTCAAATGCATATAAAAAGATCTACACTTCCAGGCTCCGAACAGTCGGGACGATCCTAGTTAGATTGTCAATTCAACTAAACCGGCTCATACTGAGACGGCTTCCGACCGTAGACGACATGTAGATTGCAGTAGGTATGCACCGCGGGGTTTTTGAGATCTCTGCGCACTCCAGCTAGGAAAACCTGGGTATCGTTATTCGACCATCCTAGGACACGAGTGAATAGAGCCAGCGAGTAAGATTCCACCGCCATGAGAAGGGAACATTGGTTGTACCGACCAATTTCCTTTTGCACGGGATCCCTAGCCCAAACACTCGACGGAACCTAGAAAGAATATGCCAACAAGTCAGTCACAGAGACAAACGGAAAAGCAAAACCCGGAAGGTAGGTCAAACACCGGACGGAGGGAAGGTCGCACCTTGTACACCTCATCTCGAACATCTTCAAAACCAGCCTCAACCAACCGCTGCCTATGTCCTTCGGCGATATTCATAGGCCGGTGAAACGCCTCACTAGCCTGAGTCAGTCGGTCTAGAAACTCACACAAGGCTGGCGCAAGACGAATCGAATCATCGTCCGATTTGAGCATCACTTCAAACTCCTGCAATTCGATCCATCCACCGGGACGTAGATGCTCATAGCTCTGTCGCATCAGCCGCGGCCAGTCGGCAATAGCACCGCCTAGGTCGCGGGCATGGATGAAGTCAAAAGGTCGACTGGGGCTGTACAGCCATGGAGATTCGGCGTCGTCCACCACGAACCGAAGATTGGGTGGAACCCAGGATGGCTGGATGGGACTGAGATCTGTTCCTGTTACCTCGGCACTGGGGTAGCTGTCTGCAAAATCTATAGCCCAGATGCCGGTTCCGGTGCCAATATCAAGAGCGCGCTGGATGTTGGGTTCCAGTGGGGCTTTGAAGAGCCGCCCGTTTAGAACGAGGTTTCGGACATGGTGGAGGAGATCTTGTCGATCTTGCTCTGGTTCATCGTTGGGAAGAACGTACAAGCCCTCGCGGTATGAATGATAGCGTCTGCCATTCTCGTATGTGTAGTTTTTCACATCGGAGAGCAATGAAGCCGTGTAGTTGGATGTGCTATCGGACTCGTCGAATACTGAGTCGGAGTCATTGGCTGTCGATGCTGCAGAGGATGCATCTTCGTTATTATCACTGTCTGGCGACAATGAGTTCAGAGGTAGAGATTCTGGAGTTGTCAGATCAAAGGTGGTTGACTCCACAGCCGGAGCCGAGGAAGTGGACTCCATTGAAGCCGGCACAGACTCCGACTCTGATCGATTCCCCGTAAAAGGCAGAATCTCAAGTTCAAGGGCTGGCAGTATTGAAGCGGCCCTCAATTGGCTCGGTTCTTCTTCTCCGTGGTCCTTGGAGCTTTCTGGAACAGGAGCCAGCACCGGCGACCTCGGTCGACCATTTCCCTTATCCTGAACGCCGGCTCCGACTTCCGGACCCTCAAACGGGCTTGCTGGAGTTTCCAGTGAAGTGGATAGTTGGACCATTGATCCCGGATATGAAATAGCCGGTAACGATTGCCAGCCACCCAAACATTCTCTTTTCCCAGACTCCATTTCGTGAAAACTTCGCTTGGCCGGGATACAGGACGACGGAATACAAAGCGACGGTAGAGACACATGCCCAGCTTCCGGAGGAAGATCTGAGATCATTCTCTGTGCAGTCTTTGACCCGTAATCAGACGGTGTGGGCAATCCTTTCGAGGGATCCGGATTTCTTGTCAAGACCGGGTCTGGAGAGGACAGGAGATCGGTACCCAAGTCTGTTCTCGTGTTGCGTCGCCGGTCATCGCACATGGGGTAGATACAAAGGAAGCCCAACATCTTCGGAAGTGGTGTAGGTTGACTGGTCTGATGTTGTGATGAATTGCTTGTGTAGCTAGAGAGACAGCCGGGTAGGACTGAACAGACCAAAACATGTGTTTGGTAGAGGACTTGACCCAACAAGATGCTCTCTTTATAGGGTACCACAAACAGTATTTAAAGGGCAAAGGGCCGGAGTATATGACCAATTCTAATATCTACCGCAGGGATGTGCGACACTGCCGACACAGGCAATCGGGTTTTTTTAGCACATCAGGGAGAAATGCATTCCAAGGATATGAACTTGAAGGCAAGTTAAGACTTCGTCGAACTCTTACTGGATGGATCTCGAAATACGGGTTTATACAGGACTAGAGATATGACTTGATTGCTGTCGAGAGACCTTCCATGTCTGTACCTATCTCTGGCTGGATGATAGCTATGGAGTCGTGCCACAGCTGGAGGCAGTGTCATGGAGGAAGTAGAAGCAATAGACCCCTTTCTCGTCTATCACTGGACTTTCCTAAAGACTTCGTAAGACAGTATAGAGGCCCAGCGATATAAGCACTCTGATAGCTGTGCTTCTAGAAAGTGGCGGAGTTGAAAGATTTGCTCCTGCAGGAGGCCGACAAACCATAACCAATCCCGTTGGCTCCAAAATGGTCTGAATATTCTCTTTGTTTTATCAAACACTCTCTAGATACCTTCTAGGGCTCCCTAGTATAAGTAATAGCCCACCAAGCCTGGTACCAGGTAATCACGTTGCACAGCGCTCCTAGAAACCGGATTGGATCGGCGGGATTGATATCCTGTCGGGGGTCGGACAAGACGAGAATGAGATGTTTTCAGCTACCTTCTCATAGGAGGCTCGAGCGCTGTTTCAAATTCGCCAGATTATCTACGCCGGAATGCCTCACTAAGAAGTTGAGTTGATTTCTCTACACCATAGTGTCTGCACTGTCACTGTCACTATTGAGATCGCAGCCGCAGATCGGGGTATTATCTCATTGGTCATCAGTCATGCGTCCCGTTCGCCTTGAAGCTATGGGGGGCTCGGTCCGATCTTCCATCTAGCCCTGTTTTAAGCCCCGAAAAGGCCGTCCCTTCGCCGGCTCTCGATTTTCATCCTTGACCTCTAATCCAGCGTGAAGAGCAGCTGTATGGATAATACGCCAGTGGGCCTCATCGTTGAACTCGCGCAAGCTCTCCAGCGTGGTGCGCTGCAGCTCCGCCCGCACGTCGATTTGGTTTGACACCAGCAGTCCTTTCTCAAGGTCGACACGAGCGTCCAGCACACCCTCTTTGATGAGTCCGATAAGCTCTTGGATGAAAGGCGAAGAAATGTCCGTGGGCCGCGCTTCACCGCCAATGACTTCAGGGGCGAAGATCTTGGCCATGGAGTCAAGAGTTACACGGCTGAAAGGAATCATGTATTGCTGGATGGATTTCATGCGGATACGTTTGTACAAAATCGGAAGGTGACGCTGAAGATGAATGTCGAGTAGGTAGTCAGGGCGGTAGGCATCCAGGATGTCGAGGCAATGACGGAACTTGAAGTTGCAGAAGAAGGCGATGGCTCGTCGGATATGGGGCTCGAGCTCGAGGAAAGTGCGGAAAGTATGGTTATCGAGCACGTTCTTTTGCAGCTCCTCGCGATTCATGGAGGCCAGAGCGCATAGACCACCATAGACGGCGACATCGTTGGAGGTGATTATTTCATTGTAAGTGGCGCCTAGATCCGGCGGGATGGACAGGAAGGCGTTCGCTGCCTCGCGGAACGACCCTTGATGCATATGAGTCAAAGCGAGAGCGGCGGTGATTTTGGCTAGGTTCTTGGCTGCATCCTCCGGCTTTGACTGAGCATTGCGCAGCCGTTGCACATTTGACTGGACAGACATCCAGTCGCCGCGTTCAATACCGACGTTGATACTCTTGAAGAGCATGGAAGTAATGTGGCTCGGCGTGGTGCAGTAGTCTCGCATGCGAGCATACGCTTTGGACGCAGCAGTCAGATCTCCAGTTGCATAATGAAGATTGCCTATGTCCTCGTGGGCCATCTATGATTGTCAGTGTGATGGACCTCTCAGCAGAACAGAAAAGAAATCGACGCCTTACACGAATACTTTCTTTGATCAAGTTATTCTTATATCCTCGAAGCTCATCTTCTAGTCGCTCAGTCTGACTCAGTACGTATCGCTGAGTTGACTGGACCCACGCGGAGTCAAGAGAAGCTTCAGGATCACTCGGAGCGGCCTCCGCCAACGCGCGAACTGCCTTCTCGTACCTGGCAACATCTTTGCCAGATTTAGCTTCAGCTATAGCTGCCTTGAGGGCGTCGGTTGCAAGTAATGGGGAGCATGTGCCGATGAGGTAGAGACGGTCGTAACGGGTGCGTCCTGGTCATAGGTTAGCACGCAGCCAGCCTTGGACTAGCGAATCAACCCACCAATGTAATTTGAAATGTATGTATCGAGATCGAATTTGGGAGCCTCTGCAGATTAACATTAGGCAGTTAGCTTGATTCGAATTCGGCAGCGTTATTGCGGGCGTAGCCCCGCGCAAAGATCCACATACCTTCCACCTTCACAACGGGCCTTGGTCGGGGCCTAAAAGCAGGGATAGTTATATCTCGGCCTGTGGTCTCCGTATCTGCTCGAGAGGGACCAGAGGCATCTGGAAGTACCGTGTCCATCTTGCTGGGAGGTTCAGATGATGTGCTGCGGGCAAAGTGGCAGGTTGAGCTGTTCTCGAAGGACCCGGAAAAGCCACCGAAGCTGGTAATTGCTTCAAAGTCAGCCCCTATGACAGTGGCAGAAACAAGCAGTTAATGTCTCAACGCTAAGGAGGTGCTGTTAAGAATGAGCGTTGAGAGAAAGCAGTCGGCAGGTCATTGTAATGGGCGGGTGTTTATCCAGCAGAATCATACCGCTGTCCACACCGCCTATTTATCTGAATCACGAGGCCTCAGGCAGAAAGAGCTCGGATTCAGCTACACAGTAGGGAAAATTGGTAACGAAGCTGTGATTTGACAAGATCAGACCAAGTTCCTAGCTCGGATCTTAGGATCTACCCGATACAAGTCATTTGGAGCTAGAAGCAAGGATAAAGACTGAGAAATTCGAGTTTGCCGCCCAAATAGCGACAGTACGTATCTCTAAGAGGGTTTCGCTGCTTCAGATTAGAACCGCATGGGATTCCATATCAATAAGCATAAAGCAGCTCACTCAGACCCTTGACGACTCTATATAGATCCAGTTACGGTCCTTATGGAGTCCAGGCTCGGGAATTGAAGTGCCTAAGAGCGAAGGCAGATCCTCGGCCGAAGCCGCAGCCTCGGAACTTCAGTAATCATAAAATCAAGCAACTCAACGACGTAACGACTATATGAAAAGGAGTACCCCGGCATTTGATTACTAAATTTGATTCGACTGCCTTGCATAAACAGATATCTAATCAAGTGGAATTCGGCCCCGTAATCGCGAAAATCGAACTATATAACAACTTGATAGTCCAAACTGAGAGCTTCCTTAATCTCATCCGACTACTCCGACTCTAAAGCAAGGAATTACCACGAGAACCCAATTATCCAATATGTCTTCCAAGCAAGTCGCCCTCATCATCGGCGCATCCCGCGGAATCGGCCGACAGGTCGCCGTCGACCTCGCAAGAGACAACTACGCCGGTACACCCCCATACACCCCCATACACCCCGCAATATCAAAAGAAGTCCAAAGAACCAAACTAACAAAAGATCACCAGTAATGCTCGCCGCGAAAACAACCTCAGACGCATCAAAAGTGACACCATTCCCACCAGACCCTAACTCCTCTCAATCTACCGTCAACACGGTAGAGCGCGAGATCCTAGAAGCAGGCGGAAGCGCAGCTGCCGTCGCCGTCGACGTGCGCGACGCAGCTCAGATTCAGCATGCGATTGAGGAAACGGTGCGCGTGTTCGGGAAACTGGATGTGATTATCTACAATTCTGGCGCGATCTGGTGGTCGTCTGTTGAGAAGACGCCCCTTAAGCGGTTCAAGCTTATGCAGCAGATTAATCCTGAGGGGCTTTATGCGACTGTTCAGGCTGCTTTGCCCTATTTTGAGAAGGCTGGGTGGAAGGGGCGGATTGTTGTTGTTTCGCCGCCTATCTATTCGAGGTTTTTCCGGGGGAAGACTGCGTATGCTATGGGTGAGTTTTGTGCATTGGAATTTTGGAATCGGTGAAATGGTGAAGGTTGGCGACATGTGCTAATCGAGGTGTTGTGTGTAGGCAAAGTCGGAATGAGTGTCTTGGTGAAGGGTCTGGCTATGGACTTCCAGCGTGAAGGCCGGAATGAAATGGCAGTGACGAGTATCTGGCCTGCGGTGGTACGTGTCTGGGTCTTGATATTAATGTTGCTACCTGGTTTCTGTGAGGAGATTGCTGACGGTGTTTATTTTTGTCCAGGCGATTGAATCAGCGGCTACAGAGCATAACAAGGACGCCGACGACAAATCTTACAAGAAGGATCTGAGAAAGCCGGTATGTTCATTCCTATGTTAACCTTTCGTTCCAGTTGAGAATACTGACATTGCGACAGACAATCTTCTCAGATGCCATTCTAGCCATGCTTCGTGCTCCCCACAAGGTTGTAAACGGTCTCCTGGATACGGATGAAGACTTCCTCCGGGAGAAATGCGGGGTCTCTGACTTCTCCAAGTACTCCGTGATCCCCGGATCGGAGCCACGGCGTATCATGCCGGCTAAATTCCCGACGCTGGAAGTTGCAGAGCAGGACGATGAAGGGCAGCGCATGGATAGCACGAAGGTGCGGGCTGCTAAGATCTAGGCTTTCTATGGACAGAGGCTAACTGGCACTGCTCCAAACTGCCACATTCTCGGACACATGATGCTATAGGCGGTTGATGTATACAGTATGGATGCGATTCTATAACCAAAGCCACTATCGACATAAGCAATGTTCGAATCTGAAGATGGGACCATAAAGAGAAAACTCCATTAATTCATCAATGACGATAGAAAACAACGCTAAATATTAATGCAGCCGTGCAATGCAAACCCAAGGAATATTAGTTAGTCGAGAAAGAACACCGCAAACTCCATTATCCACCAAATGAACCCCAACAAAACCGTCGAACTAAACCCGCTGAAGCGAGCAGCGACCTAGATAGTAGCTCTCTACAAGAGCGCGGCAAAGCCAGCAACGAAACCACCAACCAAGACACAAAGCCCATAGACATGGCCCATATCAACAGACGTCATACGCGGTGCGGCACCGGTAGCTCCATTGATAAGAGTGTTGACGGGGGTCTCCGTTGCAGTAGGGGTAGCAGACTTGGTGGCAGTAGTGGTAACATTGACACGCTTGGGATCCTGGGCGCCGCAGGGGTTGTCTACTCGGCATGCATTCTGGCAGACGGAGTTACCGTCGCACTTGCGGACGCATTGTTCGTTGGATTCAGTGCATGTGTAGTAAGGGATTGTCTGTGAGTATTCGGAGGCGTTGGGAGTCACGCCATTGTTGCACAGACAGTAGTAGTCGAGTGTGGACTGGGAGATTGGTGTTAGATTGACTTGGATTGGGGGTTACGTCCGCGGAATTGCTAGGCATGACGTACTGGTGAGCAAGTGTTTGTGGTCGGGGAGCCGGAGGCACCCGGTAGTTGCAGACAAAGAAGAGGACAGGCGGATGTTTGGGAGTTACACCAGGCCTCTGGAGTGGAATGTGTTAGTACATTTTTGTCTTAAAGCATGGCTGTAGAGCGTTGACTGACCTCTTGTAGCAAGGGGAACTGACAACGGGTCGAACTGGCTGTTAACCAAGGTCACAGCCGAGGCGAGAATAAGCATTGTCTTGGACAGCATGTTGTCGGTCGAGCTGGAAGATTGAGAAGGAGGTTAGAAAATTGGCGGCAAAAGGTCACTGAACTTCAGCATTAGCTTTCAGTTCAGAGGTTCCAGTGTGAACCTTGTCCACGGTCTAGACCTCGAATGTCGAGATAGCTTCTAGGGTCGGTGGAATGAAGGGGGATAGGTGTAAGGGGACTTACGGAGCTCCAATCCTTGGACTCGTTCGAAAAGAAGCCAAATAAAGACGTCAGTGTGACTGATGAACAAAGAAGCCAATAGAAAGAGACTGGTGGAACAAAGTGTAGATGTGTAGGAGTGTCAGTAGGCCAAGGAAGGGAAAAAAAGTGAACAGCAAGGGAGAGACGGAGAGCTCATAAAAGGAAAAGCAATGATCACAGGACGGGATATGCCTATTATAGAATGCACTAGTTGGTTTGCATGGTGATGGTGGCATGCACTAGTGCCACCCGTCGGCTCTATTCAACTGCACTGTTTAGTCTTGACGTTTGTCTTATTGAGTGGATTCCGTGAAACGCGTTGAAGGTGGACTGTGGCTTCATCAAGGGCCCGCTATAGGGGAATTGCCCTTGGGATGTATCAATCCGGGGATGTATCGATGAGCTGGGATCGACGAGAGACGTTTAGTCCCGCTCACTGTGTAACGTGTCTGTCATTATGCAGTCCGCAGTCTCCACTGCAAAGCACAACGTTCATTGCTGTACTCATCGAGGATAAGGAAAGCCATGTCTCAGCCCGAGGCTAGAGAACTAGAGGAACGCCATTCAAACAACGCTTACCGCGTTGGGATTAGTGTGCCGCTTGGCTTGAGATATGGCAGTCTCGCAGGTTTACATCTTTGCGAAAATAGAGGGGGATCGGATTCCGAAAATACGTAGAAAGTAGCTGGACGAGATTGAAATCTCGTCATTAGTGCGATGAGACAATCATCAAGGGAATATCCAAGTTCAAAGTCCCGGGGCCGAACCCCGGGCCCGGGGATAAAAGCTCCTTATCTAATCCACCCGGAATGGAAGCCCCGTGACCACTTGTCTCACGACTCCAACTCAATTGACTCTCCCATTAGCCAGCTATCCGCAGCCGTTTTCAACGCTCCAACAGATCACTTGCCACCTCTATCGCAACCTACTCCCCAAGGGTAAGTTTGTCTCACCTTGGTTCACCCGTACAACCCCATATTGCCTAACCCCGGGCCACCCTTGCATCCACTCCAACACCCAAACCAACCAGCCAAATTCCCTCCTACCAGCTCATACTGTCCACCCCGCACAGAGGGGAAGACCCCAGACAATCCCGGCAAGGACAAACATACACCCGGAACAACAATCTAACGAAACCGTCACGCAGGACCGCAAACCCCGCATCCCTCACAGCATCTAATGGATGGAGCCAGCACCTGAGGAGGCCGGACCGGCATCTGAGCCGCACCCCTCCTCCCCACACCCAGACCTCAAACCCACCCCCGCACAGCGGCCTGAGACCGATGAAGACGATCACCCCACCACTCCAAACCCAGACAACGCGCAAAATGGGCCACCGGAAAGCTGCGCATCCTCCACAACCTCCCGCCCGGTATCCGGCGTAGTGCCGCCCTACTGGAGCCGCCATGAGCGGAAGGTCTCGCGCGCATCACAGTCGTCGTTGCGGCGCGCTGCTATTACGCTCGAGGACCACACTGCCGACCCGAACTCGGAGACGAGTCGGGGGTTGTGGGCCAGTAGTGTTTCTATTGATGATCATGTGGTTGTGCGTGGCATGACCGGGGTGGGGTCTTATGTTGTCTGGAACTGTACTATCCAGACACTTGATGTGAGTATTGATGTCCTCCGGGGGATTCGTGTCGGCGTTGGTTTCTAATGATGTTCGTTTCGGTATAGGGCGGTCCGATCGTTATCAGGATGAGGTATGTTGCTTGTTTCGCGTCGTCTGTCACTGCATGACAAACAGCTAATGCTAACGGGCTTGTTATAGATACTCCGAGTTTGATGAACTGCGTCAGCGGCTGGTTGCTTCCTTCCCGCATGCGAGGAGTGCATTGCCTGCGTTGCCGCCGAAGAGTGTTCTCTGTATGTTTGACGCTATCTTTTATGCCCCTGAAAGGAGCTAATGCCAATATCTCGACAGTCAAGTTCCGACCTAAGTTCTTGGAGTCTAGACGCGTGGGTCTGGAGTACTTCCTCAAGTCAGTATCCCTCCCAAGCCCTCTGGCTACTATGCATCATGTGGACCAGATTCTTATGTTTGTATAGCTGTGTCCTACTGAACCCGGAGTTCTCGGGCTCACCCATCGTCAAGGATTTCCTCTTCGGCCACATGTGCTAATTGCACGATGCCCTTATCACATGGCGCATACGACTTACGATGCATGGCGTTTGGATCTCGGAACCCGCATTATGTACAATTGTACATTCTCATATCTTGCATTTTGCCTTGAACTGTGCATATGTGTTAAGAAATCAAACTTATATTCAATATTAGATACAATGGATTGTCCCGTTCAATTGATTCAATTTGTTCGATTGACACCACGGCTCCCGTGGCCATATTCAGTCTTTGACCATGGCGACCACTCAATCCACACAGGACCTCGGGAGGGGATTGCTCAGTGTAGGGCCACAGATTCCAAAAAAAAGTAATAAAACCATGGGATTTCAAGACGAATTCAAGTATGACCACCGCCTCGACAACGGAGATCCCAGCAGGACCACGGATTTTGCTTTTTGACCGAACGCCTTTGATGCAACATCCAGATTTTGATATAGAAACAAGATAAATTATCTGGGTGGTTCCATGGGGGGAGTATACAAGTCCAAGGCCGAGGCTTTCACGCGTTACTCACGGAGCCGGTGGTGGCGACTTGTCAAGAGTCTCAGTCTTGGGTGTCTGCTCAATCGGATCACACCGTTTCGCACCCTTCTTCTCATCTAGTGATTCGATACCCTTAGCCGCAGCCTTCGACCTGCGAGTCAATGCCCAGCCCCGAACATCTGCCCAGAAGATTTTCCGCCAACTGATATTGGCCATATGTGTCATAGCCAGCAAATGCCGCGGACTAGGTATGCCAGGCGGGAAGACAAGGTATAGAGCCGAGTCCTGAGCAGAATCCGGGCGAAACTTATCGTGGTATGCCTTCTTTCCCCCAATCGGTAGACGATGGAACGCACGGCCATATAGGTTACAGGTGAAGCGCCCGAGCGGGGCTGGCATGCCGGAGACATCTTCCCGGACCAGGGCATTTAGAGGCTCGAACCCGAACCCGAGGTATGATACGCCGGCACGGTATAGCAGAGCCATTGCGGCGACGAGGAGAAGATCACTTATTCCTTTTGGGCTGCCTGGAGCTGCGATGCATGGGTCAACGTGGTACCCGCCTGAGCCCAGGTGTCGGAGTGCGGCGAAACCGTTGATCATTCCATCTGCGCCGCGTGTGTATATGAATGTCATGAGGGCGGGGAGGGCAAATGGATCATAGACGGTTATGAAGGCCTGCGGGCTGGTGGAGCAGTTGCGTTCGGCACGCCAGGCGTCGTAGATGGCGATGAGTTCGGATTGGAGTTGGGGGTCTGTACCATGAACGACTGGGGCGTACACACCTAGGGTGATGCCCCCTTTCCTTGGGTTTAGGAGTTGGCGGTTCTGGGTAGTGATGCGTTTACCGTTTCGCTCGAGGAGGATATCGTTAGTTTGGGGATTGAGGACACGCTCTGTGGCGAACCGGATTGTCGTCCATCCATTTGGGTGGGCGTAATCGCGCAAGAAGGACCTGCTAGCGCCCATGAATGCTATGCTCCAGCGATGCCGTCGTCGGTACGCTGCGAATTCCGATAATAATTCTGCGATTGCATCTGGGCTGCATAATGGGTCTCCACCGACGACTGCGACGCCGTTTTGAACCTTGAAGGACAATGCCCCGGTTCGGGATTTGTTCACAAAGAATCGATAGCTGTGGTCGAGGATCCCCATGTGTGCTACCCGACCATGTTGTGCGGCTAGCTGCTCAATGGCTGTCATCGTTTTGAAATCATCGAGGCTGAAAACAATCGCCTTGTCACCGCCGTATTTCTTCGTGGCCTTCGTGCGATAACATTCCGTGTTTGTATGTGAAAAATCAATGTCTATCGGCACTTGTGTGTGAGTGCCATCCAATGCTTCACCGATGCCCACACTCGTTCCAGGTGTGGAGGCGGACTCAGCTGCTGTACGGGTGCTATAACTTGCTGAGCTGGCGCAGGAAGTTACCGAAGTCGCGGCGATGTTCTTTTGCAGGTGGTCCAGCAGGGAGACACACGAGGTATTGAGAGGATCATCGTGATCATCGCGTTTCGGAGCCGCGTAGAGCTGGTTCATCAGAGCATCGCCAATCTCATTCGATAACAAGCTCTTGGTCTTTGACTCAGAAACAGCCAAATGATTTCCCTTGCGCGCTCGGCGCATCCGTTTCTCTGGAGTTGACGGTGTCACTATGATTGTCTGGTTGGAATCACCCACAGTGACGGTAATTGGGGGGATCGACTGCATTGTAGAAGATAAGAAGAGGAATGGGATGATATGAGAGCGACAAGAAATGAAGAAGAGGATCTCCTGACTGGTTTTGTGTCTCGGAAGTTAAAGACGTGACAAGTATGACACGCACCTTCCAATGTAGCGGATACATCTCGTCACCTCGATGTTAGGCAGAGGCATTTTTATAAGCTTCACGTCTGCAGGTCAACCAGAAGTACAGACACCTTGTACCCAGGGGGTATAAATAAGGTCACCAATCAGAATCATCAGAATCCAGTCTAAGGCCCATGATCTACCGGAACAAGCCTTTGTGGGTCTTGGTTTGCCCTATGGCAGCGCTGAACCATAGTAACATAATTCTATTCTTATCTCGGATTTGTATACCCCATACATGTCAGCAAGCAGATTGTTCTGACAGGACGTGAGATTTGTTTCCATGGTTGTTCTGAGTTACCTATATAGGAAGTCTCTGTGACTTCTTGCGCAGGCTCCAGCCCATTAACAGATGATATTTTTGTCCTATACGACTCGATTATTACCAACCTAAGGCAACTGGCAGGACCACAGACCTTGGACTCTCAGAGACCAAGAGGGCTATGGTCTAGACCCACCTACATACGTCCTTTATCTGAGAATGGAATATACTATATGCCTGATATGAGAGTAGAATCAACCAATACAATAAATGTTAGGTAGCTCTCACGCCATGTGAATGGAGACCATTAGCGATTGTATACCAAGAAAGCTCCACTATCCGCTGAAGTCTCGAAGAAAAAAGAAGACAGACAGCGTCTATCAAACGCCTGACGGACCTGCACTTGTGAACTCAGCGTCAAAGAAAGGTTCATCAGAGCCAACATGGGAAGCTTGGAGGTATCTACGCCCTCGCCTCATACGCGTCCCCATCGCGGCCAGGGAGCTCGACTATACTGCGTAGCCCCTTGAGCCCTGAAATTTCAAGCTCCTCCAGGAGCTCTCTATCTTGTACAAGAGGCTTCTGATCAGGTCGGCGACCCTGTCGGTCCGGCTCAAGGCACTCCCGCATTGTGTGACCTTCCTGTTAGGGGTGGTATCCAGGAATCGAATGAAGATTTTCCTTATTCATTAGAATTAGGGGTCGACAAGAATGATTTCTTATTCATAACGTTTTGAGATATTCGTCATCGCATGCGTATTCGTGGCCAGGACTAATACGAATACGAATATGTCAAAATATTACTAATAGTATTCGTCTCAACCCCTACAGAGCTGCATTTGGGTATTGCTCTTGCCTATTCTCCTTATTTTTAGGAGCAAGAAATGTACGGATAGACGATGCTTACAGATCATGATATCCGTATCGTGTTTCTATACTCCTGGTTAGCCTAACTGATATTACATTTACGCCAGTCTCTTGATGGTTAGCGTGTTTCATATATACGCTAGTATGGAAATGGTTAGAGCAGTGCAACAACGCTAGACCAGATTAGGCAATTGACATCCCGCATCGAATGACAACATGTCCATCTTCCCAGTACCTGCCTCACACGTTCCTCTTGAGTTATTTCCATTCAAGCGATAGCCTTCATTCCGATAATTCTCCTGTCAGGATCAAACACCAAGATGATCACCAATCGTCCCGCTACCTTGGTTGACATCCCACAAATCCGTGATATCAACCACTGGTACATCATGCACAGCATATCAACATTCGCGATTTCCCTACCACCAATATCCCACTATGAACATATCCTACGGGATTTGATGAGAAGGAATCTCCCATTTTTTGTCACAGTCTCAGACACACGCAAGTCGCCAGATGGGGCAGATTTGGTCCTTGGCTATGCTTACTTGTCTCCATTCCGCGGTCATTTGCTGTCCTACGCACCGACTGTCGAGCTCTCGATCTTCATGCGTCATGACCAACAGCACTTTGGCTATGGAACCATATTGCTAAGGAAAATTCTATGCTTGGTTGCAGAAGGTGTTTTGCACCACGGCGAGGAAGTGGTGGGTGATATTCAAGGCATCGGGCCGAGGAGCATCGTGAAGGACTCGGAGATCCAGAATATCATTGCAGTCATTGCCTACGATGCTGAGACGCCTACTGACGGAGACAAATTGAGAAAATGGTATGGCAAATGGGGGTTCGTTGAGAAAGGGCAACTGGAGAATGTGGGGAAGAAGTCGGATCGTTGGTAAGTCGCTCATGCTATTGTAAGATACATTGTGAAGCTGATAGACTTCAAAGGATCGATACCATATATCTCCAATGGACCAGGCCAGAACCAGTGGATACTGAGTGAACCAACGGGCATCCCTTGATTAGATGCGCAGCCCGTCGGGACGCGGAAGGAGACAGTGGATAAGTAGTGTCAAACTAAATGTTGTTTAACACGCTCGGATTATAAGATTGACACAAGGCCCGGTGTATATTTACTCATAAACTCATAGATACCCCTAGCCCTGGCTACAAACTAATGGAATAATTCAAAGAATGCCGTGTGCATGAGAGGCTATTACGGTAAGTTGTTATTAAATCCGAATTAGGCTCTAGATAGAGTAGAAGCTCATAGTGAAACTAGAGGCAAGCCGCTCCCCATGTACACAAAACCCTGGACAACGGGTGGCACCGTAAGGTACGCAGGAGCTTCTCGATGTCTGTGATTGCAACTGCAACAACGTTAATCATACTGCTGTATTGTTGCAGGGGATTGTGCACCAAAAACATGCATGTCAAATTGAGAGGTCAGTAAGAGATTGGTGACCGACCCCGAGAGAAGTGAAGTGAGAACCTACCTAAGGATCCTAGTGATGTGGCCCGAGGGCCATAGTGCTTCATTGCCGGTGATCGTAGACTAGGACCTTATGGTAAGTTCAATGGAGAGGTCAAGAAGAGCCGGGTAATCAAGAAGCGACGCGAGAAAGTCCACCTGAAGATCCTGCTGTGGTCTGACCTTATACAGCTAAGAGAGGGGAGGGAAATATTGAGTCCCTATCAGATGAACTGAGCTACTCATATAGCCTGGTTCAGGCATAGAACTAACGCATCGGCGACTGGCGGACAAGCTATCGCGGCTATAGACAGTGAAGGGAAGAGAAGAGAGAAAGGTCGATACTTGTGTATTCATCGAATTAAACCATTATGGATACCATGGCTTATGGTCCCAAAACTGAGACATAAGCTCGCCAGCCATGCAATCAGATCTAGAAAGGCATGCCACCATTGATGAAGGCCTCGACAACGGTATTGAATTGATTCCGATTCATAGCCTCGTTATCCTCATCACAATAGGCAACCAGGCGATGCGCAAGGATACAATCGCTGGGGGCCTCCTCTTGGAGCTGGGCAATCATCACCTTGGCAGCCGAGTAATAACTCAAGCCGGTCTTGAAGGTACGGCAAATGATGACTTGCTCACGCCAAGCACGGACGTAGGCTACCAGGGTGTGATAGTCGCCACGGTGCATTCCCCAGAGTTCGAGCAGATGACCAGTTCGGTGGAGGTCATAATTGGAGCTCATTGAAATGATTCCTTGAAACGTCGCATCGGCAAAGGTAAAGTTTGGCACATATCTCTGTAAGGAAAGGTAGAGCTCGGGCTCGATACTGCACAGTAGCCATTCCGACACGATAGTGGACCACTGTCGCCAATTCTTAAAGTCGGGATGAAAAATTTCTGGTTGCTTGAGGTCGGAAATGACTGGCAAAAGACCGAACTGGTCAAGGGTGGTCTGGACATTTTCTCTCCAGTGGTAGGAATCCTCGAGGTCGCTGAGACTTGCAATTTCTGGTAGGGTGATGTCCTCGAACTCCGGGAGGTTCGTGGCTTGAGTCCGCTCCATGATGTAAGGCATGGTTGGAGGCAGGAAGATTGGAGGCATGACTGGAGGCATGATTGAAGAAAAAGTTGGAAGGAAATGAGATGGGAGGATAATGTGATGGCAACTTTGGATGAAAGTTGGAAAGGAAACTCGAAAGGATGAAGACCAAATGGTATCCATTGACCGCTATGGTGACCGCCGTATTGAGTCTATAGACCACACAGGCAGTTATGGAGAATCACGTTATCGAGGTGTTTAAGCATCGCTCTTGCCCCTGGTAATCACAACGTGACTGCTCTCTTCTCCTTATACTTGTTGTACCACAGCAGAGTAAAAGGTACCCAGCAAGGCCAATCAACAAGATTCCGCCTAGAACAACGCATGTATTGTTCATTTCATCGATACTGCATCGTTATATTGGTTAGTGCCCGGCTCAGCATCGAAGCACGGAACCTGGCCGCTCGAAGTCCTCTCGTACTCAAACACGAAAGAGACACTTGCAAACCCTAACCATGCCACAGGCACAATATTCACAGCAGACTAGGGCCAACCACAGTTCGTCCTCATTTGTGCCTTGATCAACACCCTCCTGTTGCTTTCTCTCATAATATCCTGCCCGTGGAGAGAGGAAGGTAATATTAGGACCGTTCATGGTGACCCAAATCGGGATGGATCGACTAATGGAGGAGACGGTAGACAATGAACTGGCCAGTTTACCTAGCACTAGCATCTTTCTGGGACTGCCCGTATGGCAGTATTATGCACTTGTATACACGTACTAATGTGAATGAAAACAACGGCATATGCAGAAGACGTGCTGTGCCAGGACTGGACCACTGGTGGACTTACAAGCGGATGTAAGACTAAGAACTTGAAAGAGATTGACTGAATGAGAGTTCATTGTGAGCGCTGGCGCTGATCGCACTCTTAGACAGATTATGTCATCATCATGAGATATTAACATACTAAAAGCAAAACGAAAATATTCTGAAGGCTTTGATGCCATCAATCAGTTTTTATGTACTGTGTAGCATGGCTGTAGGAATGCGCTAGTCCTCATCTGGTCTAGCGCGTGGCTTAAATCATATCCCCGGGATCATGCGGTTGGTTTCCCAATTGGGGGGTCGTTCGCTCAGCATGTGGAACTCGACGAGATGATAAATATCTTGAATCTGGTCATAAATTCTTAATTTACAATATGATGCGTCACCTTCGGCATATTCTTTTATCTCATTTCTGCAGTCCCAACGAGCTCCATATGTTATCAAGCATCAACCTATGCTGCCACTTACTTAAACTTCCGGAAACTCAACCCCAGATTGATATGTTGATGTCATGACCCAAACTCTTGAATATACATAAACGTGACATCGTATCTCCAGTCTGCAGATTCGACATCTTAGCATACTAGCTACAAATCTCCAGATGAATACCTGGCGTTCGCTAGCTCGCACTGTTAAATGGGTCTGTGATATCTACGAGAGTTACGTCGAATGATGTACTTACAAAGTACAGCACCATGGCCCCATCCGCGTACAATTGCGGCGGCTGAGTCTGCAAGAGCACCACTCGCACAAACTTCTTAAGGACGTAAGTTACAACTCACATCGACTGCAAGCAGATTGTACCCATGCTTATCCGAGCAGTTCAACATTCCAGTTCCACTGGGGTTCCTGGTTGCAACCCCTGAAGAAGCTAGAGATGTTGTCTCTAAGATCAGTGAGTCTACCCCTACATCTTACGACCTCTTGGAGGATTACGACCCCGTGGAGAATTACGACCTCTTGGAGAAACTGACGTCCACCCAGACGCACCATCGATCATGAAAGCCCAAGTCCTCGCCGGCGGCCGCGGCAAAGGCAAGTTCAGCAGCGACGGAAAAGGCGGAGTCCGCCTCGTCGAGTCGTAAGGCTCCCAGCAAATTACAAAGTACAAATCTAATAGCAGCCCCAGACCAAGCGAAGCCTTCAAAAACGCCACTCAAATGCTCGGCTCCTACCTAACAACCAAGCAAACCCCACCAAACGGTCTGCTAGTAAGCAAACTCTACATCTACCAAGCAGTAGCAATTGCACACGAGTACTACATAGCAATGACCTTCGACCGCCAGCGTGCCTCGCCCGTCCTACTCATTTCCGACGAAGGCGGCATCAACATCGAATCGAACGTCGACAAGCTGCACAAACTATGGTTTGGACACTCAACGGGTATCACGCCAGAGATAGATGCATACATCCAAGCAGAACTAGGCTTCTCAGACTCCGAAATGAAAGGCATACAACGGATCCTGGAACAAATGATTAAATTATTCCACGAAAAAGACGCGACGCTACTGGAGTTGAACCCGCTTGTTCGCAGTGAAGAGGGCGAGTTCGTCTGTCTGGATGCGAAATTTGAGTTTGATAATGCCGCGCAGTGGAGACAGAAGGAGATCTTCGAGTTGGAGGAACGGTCACCGGAGGAAGAGGAGGAGCACCAGGCTTCGAAGTTGGGGCTTTCTTATGTGCGGCTTGAGGGGAATATTGGGAATATTGTTAACGGGGCTGGGCTTGCGATGGCGACGAATGATCTGATCAGTTTGTTTGGAGGGGAGTGTGCTAATTTCTTGGATGTTGGGGGTGCGGCGACGAAGGAGACTTTGTCGAAGGCTTTTGGGATTTTGAAGAGGGATGAGAGGGTTAGGGGGATTCTGATCAATATTTATGGGGGTCAGTATATTGCCGACACGCCCCCGGTTGAGTTGGTAGCTAGGCAGCTGAGCTGACTTTTGTTAGGAATCGTGCGATGTGATATGATTGCTGAGGCGATTGTTGCTGCTGCTGCTGAGATGGGAGGGTTCAAATGTCCAGTTGTTGTTCGTCTGCAGGGCACCAATAGCGAACGAGGATTGAAGCTGGTGAGTAAAACTATCAATTGATCCTTTCACCAAAGTCGGGAACGATTCTAATTGTGCTCTCATTATAGATTCGAGAATCTGGATTGGAGAACTTGATTGTGGAGCCTGAGTTTGAGAAAGCCGCTAGGATGATCGTGGAAAAGACCTCCAATTAAGGATAGTTGATGTGATAACTGCTTCTAGCTTTGCCAATTGCCATATAAAGAAGCATGGATTCAATATTGCCTGGAAATTAGTTTTGACAAGACTGTCCCAGACCCCCAGTCACGAACAAGTCTCAGAAGACGAGTCGAAGTTGGTTTGCTAACCGGAGACACACTATACCCAAATAGGCATAGTGTATACGATGTCACCCAGCCTCTCGCCAAATCCAATAGAACAGTGCCCGACCACATCCGAGTTGCCATAGCTATTATAGGGCTACCGAATCAACAGAGTAAGCACTAGCGACGCAAGTGATAGAAAACCAAGCCAAATTGGAGTCACATCGAGCCATATTGACAGCTCTCTTACAGGATCACCAGAGATCGCCCAGTGCGGCTTAGCTTCGATAAGCGGCAATCGCCCCTGAGCCCCAGCCACTCGAGTGGGCCTTTGACGGGTTCCAGATGCACTCATGACTCCTAAGAGGCTAAGTTATCGGGCAAATCACAGTCCAAGCAGCACATGGGAGGGTCCGTCTCTGACGTTAGCATTTGTCGGAAAGTTTTCTTATAAAGAAATGGCCATTTCCCGGCTGATTGTGTAAATATTTTCGCACTTACCATGAGGCAGTCGACGCCCATTTACTGGGTTGTCCAGGCTTGTCTACTATGGCTGGCAATTGTGAGGGCGTCAGCAATTGTGCCGACTAAGAATTTGATTTCGGCTCCAGCTTCAGATTCTGGCGATGACGTCTCGACACTTCGATCGCGCGACACGAAGCCGTTCCTTCTGCGGATTCTGCCGTTTGGTGCTTCCATTACCATGGGGTATAAATCTCCAGATGGAAATGGATATCGCGAATGGCTTCGACAGCAGCTGCGCTATGCTGGGTGGGAGGTTGATATGGTGGGAACCCTGCAGAGTGGCACGATGCATGACAATGTAAGTTCTTGGTATCTATACTCGTGCAGGACGAAATACTGACACTTAGTCCAGGATCATGAAGGCCGTATCGGCATGAGGATCGATCAATTATCAAAAATTGCTAAAAACATCATTCCACTACAGCCTAATCTAATCCTCCTCAAGTGAGTCCACAATTGATGTCATATGACCAATTTTCTATTCCTCTAACGCTAACAAGTGTCCCACAGCGCAGGCACAAATGACGCCCTCCAAGAGTATAAAGTCGAAACAGCTAGCGAGCGGATGGACTCTCTCCTAACACAGCTATTTGACGGCATTCCCGGCACGACCATCATTCTATCCACTCTCATCTTCAACGGAATCCACCCCCAGGAGGTCGCAGATATCAGCGGGCAATACGTAGAGCTCGCAGGCAAGCGACGAGCGCAAAATGACAGCCTCGTCCTAGCTGATATGAGCACGTTCATCAAATGGAATGAACTCGTTGACAATATCCATCCCACAGCGGAGGGATATGAGCGCATGGCGTCTGTGTGGTGGGCAGCTATCCAGGAAGCCGAGAAGGAAGGCTTGCTTAAGGCGCCCAAATCGACATCTACAAATAGTGGTACTATCAGCAAGGCCTACGAGAAGGAACTTGATGACAGCATTAGTAACCCGAGTCTGCCCGCATACACTGCCTCTCCGCAGCCCACGGTGGTTGAAAGAGAAAGTGGATCGTCTAGGTCCCGGTGGCAGCTTTGGGCTGTTAGTTTCCAGATGATCGCTAGTGAGTGTCTTTTCTTCTCTTGGTTTACCTGTTCGGCAACCTAGACTAACCGGTTCTTCTAGTGTGTGTTGCTTTCTCTGGGTTATGAATAATGACATTGACGACAAAATATTCAAATAAATATTCAAAAAAATAAGATCAAAACTTTCAATGAAACTTCGAGAGGAAGACCCATCTTCATGGAGTGCTGTGCATTCGGCAATGCATATACCTACCTTCGGGTCCTTCACTGAAGTCCAACGACCTCCGTCTAGACTCTAGGCTGCAGTCAGGCGTGGAGGGCTTAGTGGGTATTCGTACTGTAGCCAGGCATGCGAGACTCGACTTGGCCACTGGCCTGGCCCTTGGGAAGACTGGTGTGGATGGCAGAGGACTTTGATGGTGTTCTGATATTGTATTGGCTGGTGGGTCATGTATCAATGTTCTTCCATTCTCCTGAAAACCAGGAAATGGTATGTGCTCAAAGAATAATTATTCTGACAACGTCGGGAATTGAACCCACAGCCTCGAGGTTGAGGTCATATGTCAGCCGCATAAGGTTGTGTTCTGAATAGCCTCATGTTTGTTTCGAGATGGATGTACCCAAGAACATTATATCCCCATCAACCACCACCATATCGCGTGCAATTGATCTATAACTTCGCAGACAGGTAGCTAGCCATCCCCAGATTCTATGTATTAAATTTGAATATCCCAACCGCCCTATAAGGCCTCCAAGATGCCGATCTAAAACTCCCAGTGACATTCCCCGTGACCCATTTGTTCCCTTATGAGGAGGAAATTGTACTTATATTTAACCTTCCCCCCCCCCCCCCCCCCCCCCAGTGGTCTAGTGGTTAATAGGGTGTCTAGGGCTCCTTCGATGGGAAACCACGATTGCCAGGCTAATGCTAGTCCCTCTTCTTGATCCTACTCTGCTAGCCGCTGCCGGTTGGATTCGTCTGTGCCAAAGCTCTCTCGAAGCACTACACTAGGCAAACCCTCCGCGCTTTGACCCAAAGGACTTCTGTCGCAGCGGACGGCGTTACTTAGGAGAGAGGCCGTAGATTAGTACAGAGGGTGGAGGTGCAGGCGATGAAGATTGGAGAAGCCTCGTAGCCCCCCCGGGGTTTTCTGATGGTCCAGGAGCGGTCTGGAGTGCCTACCCACTGGTAGGTAATGGGGACCTTTTTTTACCCTCTTGGTATATTTTGATGCTATTCATCTTTGGTAGGTCATACCTAATTCCTTCTCGCATCTTGATGCTATTCACATATCCCCATCCTCTCAGCTCTCTCTCTTTCCATTTTGATGCTATTCACAATTTCACATAGTCCCATCCTGGTGCTCTTTATCTCCCCCTTCTCCTCCCTTGACATTGTTTGTCTCCCATCCTCTCTATCTCCTTCCATTGTGATGCTATTCATATTTGGTCATCCCTTCCTTCCTTCCCTTCCATTTTGATGCTATTCATCTTTCCCTTCCTCTCCCTCTTTCGATATTGAGGTTACCTGAACTTCCCCTTCCCTTCCCATCCCGTTGTATGAAGCGATTAACTTTTCTCCTGCCTTCCCTATCTTGATGCTCAAGTTTACCTTTACTCGCACACGAGCTAAACCATTTAACCATCCTATGATTTTCCAATGTACCCTGTTTTTAAATGGTATTTTATAACGTTTCATTACCAATTTCCCATGAATGTATGGCATGGCACTCGACGATGTGACAATCTGGTGGATTTGTATGGCAGAGATAGATGTATGCATTTGTGTCACGATCTAGGCTTAGGGTCTTTTCTCTTGTATGCAAAATGGAGATTTGAATATAGAATCTTGAATTCTTCAACTCGATAATTGTAAGAGAATTCCAAGAATGGAGAACTATGTACATTCATTCGTACACCAGGCGAGAAAGACATGCGGCGATGTTGAAGAGGATAAACACCCACATTAACCCGAAGTTGCGCCAGGCGTCCTTAGTGGGCACCATTTCCAACTTCCCCTCGCCGCCCCCCCCCGCCCCCTTGGGGATGTCCAGAGTGACGTTGAACTTGGACTCGATGCCACGGCGGGTATCGCCGCCGCGGCCGATGAGCATGCGGTGCGGGGCGGTGGGTCGTCGATGGCCGAGGTCACAGCCTCACAGGTGACTTGGTCCTGGCGTTCCTTGACGAACTCCTCGATTGCGAGCCCCCGCCAATCGTCGTTTTCCCACTCCACACGCTCCACACATGAGCTCTTCGGAAAGTCTTCAACCAACATATGGAGGATAGGATTCAGTCGGTTCATCAACCCCAGGTGGCTCCGCGATACATGAATATCCAAAATCGGGCGGATGGAGGCTGCAGAGAACGGCGAAAGTTTACCCGTGCTCCTTTGATTGCACAACTTCGGCCTCATTGATGAATCCGAAGCGGAGCCAGCTCCACAGCCATGCCACCATTCCATCATTTCCTTGGATGTGGTACACAGTCAACATCGACAGCTGCTCTTGACTCAGTCGTCTTCCGTGTTTCTCGGTCGTTTGGAGGCCCTTTAGCCGCCGTGATATCCTCCTCATCCGTATTCTCCTGCCCGTATTACCAGAATTCTCGGCACTCTCAAAACCTGCGATCATAAAGTGTGCAAATGTGGATGAGAAGAGGAGGAAGGTCCAGATGAAGAGCCACATTTGTGCGCCGCGCAGTGCGACAGCGTCAGTAGGCTCAGCATTGCGGTACAAACCTCCCCAAGCACCTTCCCATTATCATCCGCACCCGGCCGCAGCGAGTGAGCCGTCATCTTGACCTTGCCGAACTGCACCCTCTCCTTGTCGCGCTTTTCCTTCTCCTTGCGACGGTCGCGATCAATGATCATGCATCCATTTGAAGAGTTTCTCGATATAGGGCCGGATGATGAGGTAGAAGACCACGCAGCCACGCTGCCGATGACTTTTGTCCAGCGTTTGCCGCTCATCTGCGCGATGGAGGCGTAGCCATTTTTGAAGAAGCGCGTGATGATCAGTTCGAAGAATTCGTGGATTTGCACGGAAGTCTTCGGCTGCGGCGGAGGCTGCTTCGCTGAGATCTTGAGACCTGACTTGTGCGTGTGCTGAAACCCCACCCGGTATCGACTTTGACATGGGAAAATCCCACGTACACCGTCAAGACACCCACTGGCTACCAAGACCTCCTCGATAATGTTCACGGATGGGTGAAGCCTGGTATGCTCGGTGCCCTGATGGGTTCCTCTGGCGCCGGTAAAACCACCCTTCTCGATGTGCTCGCTCAGCGCAAAACCGAGGGTACCCGCAAGATCGTGAAGCTCAAGCAAGTCAATAATGACATCCACGTGGGCGAGTTTCTCTTGACGTGGGGTACCTCTTGCTGATGCCATGATTGGTAGCGTTGGCGCCGGATTGAGTGTCGAGTGTCGGGACAGACCAAACTGACTAGGAACACATTCCAGAACAGCATATGGGGAAAATTTTCAAAACGCCGTAAACCCCCTGGGAGAATGGGCAGCGAAAGCGCGTGACCATTGGCGTGGAACTGGTTGCAAAACCCAGTATCCTGATCTTCTTGGATGAGCCCACCAGTTGTCTCGATGGCCAACGCGCGTACAACACTGTCAGATTCCTTGGCCGACTGGCAGATGCTGGACAGGCTGGTCTAGTCACCGTTCACCAGCCATCTGCACACCTTTTCGCTGAGTTCGAACAGCTTCTTCTTCTGGCTAAAGGCGGCAGGACTGTGTACTTTGGTCCCATCGGAGAGAATGCCGCCGCTATCGAAGACCATTTCTCGCGCCATGGGGCGCCATGCCCGCCTGAGACCAACCCTGCTGAATGACTGATGTGGTAAATGTGGTTTCAGGCCAACTCAGTCAGGGCAGAGATTGGAGCCAGCTCTGGCTCGAGTCGCCTGAACACAATGACATGATTCAGGAGCTTGACAGCATCATTGAAGAGGCTGCTGCTAAGCCGCAAGCCGTCACTGGTGATGGTCGCGAGTTTGCTTGTACGCTTTGGGAGCAAACGGTCTTGGAGCGAGGCCGGTATTGAAAAGCCCATGCGCAGGACGAGTCTCGGTGGGTCCCGCCTGGTTTGCGAACTGTACTGGGACGCGCAGGGCATGCAGCAGCCCTTGGTGGCTATCCTCAGCCGACGATCATATATGTGCCAACCTGTCATACCAAAGGGCAAACACGTTAGCCGTCAACCAGTTCATGTCGTTCGAGTTCAGATGGGTATCGGTAACTTACTTCGAGTCCGTTCATCGTCCGACGGCTACCGTCAGATCCCCGTCGAGTAGAAGAGCCGACTTCCATCATTTGCTGCTCGCACGGAGAAGAGTCGGAGCTGCGTTCCTTGTGGATGATGGGCGAGGAGAAGATGCCCAATGATGAAAGTGTGTACGGAGTACGGGAGGAGGAGAAGAAAGAAAAGAATTGGACTGGGGATGATCCTCTATTTATGTCCATTGATCCAGACTAGGCAACACGTCCACGCGCATGAGAATCAACAAATACGGCGGGAGACTCGCCAAATATGGCGGCAGCTCTCGACCATATCCATGCCTCGTCGGGAAAGAGAAGTCTCCGGCCATAACCTCCCAGCCGCGCCGAGCAGAACGCACGCCAAATTGGGCATTAGCTCTTGACCATGTCCATATACCTCACTGGCCCACTGACAAAGAGAAGGCTCCGGTCATAACCTCCCAGCCGCGCCGAGCAGAACACACGCCAAATTGGGCATTAGCTCTTGACCATGTCCATATACCTCACTGGCTCACTGACAAAGAGAAGGCTCCGGTCATGAGACCCCAGCCGCCGCGATTCAGGTGACTCCGAATTGGGCGAGAGCCCTCTGAGGATGTGGTCCGGAGCAAGCGCCGGCGAGGTGATCCCAGCCGCGCTGGATAGGGTCATTCTGGATTAGGCAGCGCTTTTCCGAACCACTTCTGGCACAGCTATCTATGCAACTCATCAAGGGAAGACTGCTCTTGACAGGGCTCAGCCTACATAGTTTCGTGACGGACGGCAGCATTATGATATCAATGATCGGCTATGATAACTTTGTAATGGCTCGTGCAGGCAGAATAGCGCAGCCTCCGTTACAGGTATGATATCAAGAGCCAGGCAGTCTTTGTAGCATCAGGGTCCGCAACTATGAGAAGGGTTCATGATGCGGATGACGCGGATGTCGGACAAAAACATGGCAAGCTTGCAGCAAGAAATGGGAACCTGTATTGCAGGCTCTATTACAGGTACGATGTTCAGGTTCAGGCTGTCTCTGCATGTGTAGTGTCAGGGCCTACAGCTATGATACAAAGCTACAGGATGCCGATGATTGGTGGGGGGTGGAAAGTGAGAGGGAGGGAGGGCACGATAAAGCACGCGACAAATCACGAGACCAGCAAACCGCAAGAGCTACCATTGGGGCGCACTGAATATGACATCTTGGAACGACATAAGCGCCTGCTATCTTGGACATGAACGGATTGTTTAAGGCGAGTGTATTGGAGGGTTGTGTGAGACTTGTGTTGCATTGTGCTTTGAGGCTGCTTTGCGGGTCACACTTCACGACGACTTCGTATCCAGTGGCCTTCGTGTCTGAACAAGGGTCTAAGGTAGATGGAGAACTCACCAGCTTCCTTTTCTCAAACGGTTGGTCTTCTCCCATTTTCACTCGGTATCTCCCTACATGATACATGCGATTATGGAGTGTCCTGGGTTGACTGGTGAGTCGGCTAATTGATTGGGACCAACTACAAGAGCCATGGAATGGTTTCAGTCAACCATGAGTTATGACCAAGTGAAATGTGTCCCGATGAATCGTGGGGTGCACATTTCGTACTGACGTCCATCTCAAACCGAAGTAGAAGCTGAAAGACGGCTCAGCAGAGCACTCAGACCAGCCGCAGACCAGAGAGGAAAATCAGTCGTTTGATCCATGGTGAATGCATCAAAGGACATTCTATATGCTGCAGTGGCCAATGGCTTGTATAGGTAATTACTCCTTGCTTCCTCGACAACTGATATATACACAGTTCGTCCATATTAGCCGCCTGGTGGACGCTTCACTTGAAGTAAGTTATAGTCTGCATGATCCAGGATTCCCGCCGACTGGGATAGGTAGTCAAAACGAGGTCCTCGGAGTACGACAGAAATTCAAACGAAACGCAAACGACAAACAAAGCCACAAGTCACACCAATTTCCCATCCATCTGCCGCAGCCATAATTTGCGGTCAATCGCTGTTTCAACGAAGTATTCCGTTACGCCTGGGCGGCGTACTTGAATGTCTTTCCGGGCTTTGGCCGGCTCATCGTTACCAACAGGAAAACCCGTACAGTGAGCTTCCTTGTAAGTCTTAGAGGCCTGGACCTCTCTCAGCACTTAATATCGTGTGGATACAAAGGAATGCCTAGTGTCTAGGTAAGGTGGACGCGTGATGTTTTTGTTAGAGGATGTTCTGGGATTGGCGTACATGACCTCGTTAATGGCCTTGACCTTAGCAGTAGACAACTTGCGCCCAGCCAGCATCTTTCGTCTGAGTGTACCGAGCTCGCAGGTGAGCTCATTTGCTGTGATCGCAAGGTTCGAGAAAGTGCGTTTTCATGGAGCGCTGTGTGCGGTGTAGAATGGTAAATGGTAATTGGACTAATCATTTATCATTGGCGACCAGGTAGGCAGGTACCAGGTACTCAGTTAGGAAGCTCAGCTATGCATCAATCTTGAGGTTCAAGCGACTTTCCAAATCTCCACCGAAGCTCACCACATGACGTCACTCATCCACAGCTTGACTCTCAACCTTGAATCCCACCAGCTTTCTACTACTTCAATTCCTCTAAGCACTCCCTTAAATTTCCTCCAAACACTTCAATTATCTACACTCAACCTAATCCATCCACAATGTTCGAATCCTTCGCCATCCTCCGCAAACAGCGCTCCGACGAGCTAGCCAAGCTAGCCGACGAGCACATGCAACACGACCTCCAAACCTCAGACCGCGACAAGCTCAAGGCCGCAGCCTCCTCAATTTCCCTGTGGACAACAGTTGGTTCAGCCGTTGGCGTTAGTATCGGTCTGTTCGCAGCTATCCGACTGCGGAGTACGCGGAAGGCGTTTTTCTCTGCGATTCGGGCGCAGGAGAGGCCTACGAAGGTTGTTTTTCAGGACGGGCGGACTGGTATGTTTCTTACCTTCTATGATTGAGAAAGGAGGAAAGTGGTAGAAGGTTAGAATGTGGCTAATTTGAATATTGTTGTGCAGAATCCATTCCCGATCTGACGCCGTTGTTGAAACCGACTACGTTGGGCGACTTTGCGACGTATTTCTTTGCTTCGCTTGGTGGGTTGTTTTTGGGTGGGGAACTTGGTATGTCCTTCTGGTTCTGGTTCTGGATGATTTGGGTATTTGGCCATATGTGCTGACTTGTGTTCACGATAGGCTTCGCTGGTGGTGCTGCCAGTGGGACGAGGAGTATCTCGGCTGATCCGGAGAGCAAGAGGAGGATTGAGACTGCGTTCCGGAGGTTCCGTGCTGATGTATTGAGGAGACAGGCGGATGCGCTGGATAAGGGGGAGAATAGCTCTGGTTTGACCTAGATGCTCACCAGGGATTGATGAATGCGATGAACTGGAACAGACGAGAACTACATTTTCAGATGGAGCTCGCATGTGTAAAATGACAACCTTCCTATGCTTAATTCATATGCCAGTGTAATGTTATGTACAAATCTAAACTTCAAGAGCTTTCAAAAAAGCCGGGCTTTCATGACCCTCCGCAACCCTGCAAATAGGCGTGAGATACGCCTCGGACGATTCCTTACTCTCCTGCAACTTGCGAACGTAAGACTGAGCGACCTTGAGCCACATTGCCTTTTCACCAGCACTAGCCCTAGACCCCTGCCAAACCCAGAGTCTGTTCCCAGTATCAAACAGGAAAACATCATTCCCATCGAAGTCATCCCTATCAACCCTCTGCCCATCCTTGACAAGCTCAAAGGACAACTCACCCTCGGCATCACTAAGCCTGAACAGCTTGCGCGAGCGAGCCCTCTCATCAGGCCCACTCTTAGCAAACCTCCCAGGCCTAGGCGCCTCCAGCGTCGACCCGGCATGATCCTTCCCACCCAACAAATCAACAAAGATCCTCGACCTCCCCTCCAGCTGCGAAATAACCTCAACATCAACATGTTTCGCCAGTGTCAAATCATTAACAACCTGCGCCGCCTTGGCCTTCTCCATGGGACTGCACTTCCTCCCCTGCCAAACCCAAATCTTGTTCCCCTGATCCAGCACAAAGACATCATTCTCATCCAAACTCTCCCATTTCGCCTCAACCTCACAAACAATCAACGAATCAGCCCGTGAAATACCAGCATGTTTGAAAACCCTCAACAGCGTCATCACTTCCTCCTTCTCCTTCGGTTCAACATGCCTAAACCCAGACCTAACACCCCCAGATCTGACCGCATAATGTCTAAACAGCGCCAAAAACTCATCCGAAGGATGCTGCTGCGTCTCCCTATACTGGCTCGCAGCACCGTGCAAAAACTCATCTAGCTCGACGGTCTTGTAAGCCGCCGTCCCGGCTTCATCCTGTGTAGTCTTGCTGCCGAGCCAGAAGAAGATGTCGTGGCCGAGCTTGTCGGAGCCGGCTTTGTACGAGTGTAGCACGATGAAGCTGTCGCCGTCGTAGAATTGGCCGTAGTTCTCTGTAGGCCAGGGGGTTACTTGGAAGTTTTCGATGCGCCAGATGAAGAGGCCGGGTTTTTGTGAGATTTGGCCGTTGTTCCAGGCGGGTTCGGTGGTTGCGGAGGTGTATTTGATTCGGTGGTCGATGTCGCTGCCGATTAGTTCGACGTTGCTGTCTTTTATGTCGTATTCTTTTGGGTGGATTAGGCCTTCGTGGGGTGCCATTTTGGATTGATTGGATTGGATTGGATTAGATTGGGATTTGGGGGAGGTTGAGTAGAGAAGGATGGAGAGGAGAGCTCTGTGTCTGTGTCTCTGTCGATGAACAAAGAACAGCTTAACAAGGCAGATGGTGGCGGTGGGTCCGTTCAGCCCGCGGGGTATGGGAGTTTTGGAAGTAATTGGCCAATGGGGTTGGGGATCTTTCAGGTTCCTGTTTTGTACTATTTTTAGGATGAGCTTGGTTTTCTGTGGGCTGAGAGTCGAGACTGTTAGCAGATTCGTTTGTAGGGTGGCTTTAGAGAGGGAGTCTGAGAGAGACGGGGTCCAGTAAGAGGCTGGATATCAATCGGTCGATATGCCCAGGTGGCTTGTTTGTCATTATGTGGCTTCAGCAGGTCTTTGAGTTACCACGGGAGCTCCGGACTGGAGGATGAGCTGGATAACAGGCTATATACCTGGTCGTATGATAACAAAGGGTGTAGGTCGATAGGTAGGGCGGGGGGCAAGCCAACATCAAGCAAGGAAAGGACAGTCACTTTGCCTCTTAGTACTTAGTCTCATTGCTTCATCTACTGAGGTCGTACCACGTATGTTGAAATGTATGCAAGGTGGCACATTCCAATATGAGCGACCAATTGCATGGCTTCAGTCTTACATCTTACAATGTAAAGTACGAGATAAATGAATTGGTAAATCAAGAGCACTTTCTCAGCTCCGAAATGAAATTCCAAATGTCCTGGCAGGTATATGAAACACCGAGGGAATAACTATCTACTTCTCTGGGAGTACTCTAGTGACCGGCGACTGTAGTCACCGTCACCAACGCTAAGCGTCAAGATATCATGATTTTTTCTCGTTCCCCATAACCGTCGCAAACTTTTTGGGTCATTAATCGTTAAATTTACCAGCGGCCACCGCCACCACCGTTGAAGCCACCGCCGTTGAAGCCACCACCACCGGAGGGGCGGGCGTTGGCGAGGTTAACACGGATCTGGCGACCATCGAGACTGGAAGAGGGTATGTTAGCTATTTGTAATGAGTTGGGACTGAGCGATGGTTGGAAAACATACTCTTGCTCGTTGAGGCCAGCGATGGCAGCCTCGGCCTCTTCAGCGGAGGAGTAGGTGACGAAACCGAAGCCACGGGAGCGACCGGTCTCACGGTCAACCATGACGATCTGTAGGGGAAATGGTTAGTTGGTGCACAGAGAGGAAAAAAGAGGGGAGAAGAAGAGATTTTTCACGTACAGAGTCGACGATTTGGCCGAACTCGCTGAAGGCCTGACGAAGCGACTCGTCGCTGGTGTGCCATGAAAGGTTTCTAGATTGCAGTCAGTATTCAGGTTCTGTTCAAACAAAAAAGGGGGATAATCGACATACCCGACGTAGATCTTAGACATTTTGATGAAATTTTTGGGGGTGTTGGATGAAGAGACTTACAAGACGCGGGGCATCTGAGAGAGATATAGGCTGGTCGTGGCGGTGAGAGGCAAATTTCATTCGCCCCGCATTAAATGTTGAGGAGATGTTCAAGGGTCGAATCATCCATAGAGGTCAAGAACAGTAGTATGTAGTATTTAATATCATTTTGTTCGATAGCTGATAGCTCTGATTTACAGGGTATTTTCGAATCAATCCTCATCTCTTTATTCTCAATATTGGTGATTTGGCAGCCAATTCCCCCTGCCTCGCCTGTCTGTTTACAGTGGCAGAATTCCTTTAGCGATTAGCGATAGGCTGACAGGATCTGACGAGATCTCAGGGCCCCAACGAGATCTGCTTGGTTCGAAACACACAAACATCTCTTTTGAAATATTTAATATTTTGCTTCATAATCATACATAATTCATTCTCATTGATATGGTTAATACGCCTGATTTTTGGCAGTTGAGGCACGAGAGTGGAGTTTGTCAATTCCCTCCTCATCGCTGAGTCTAGACTCTGGAGCGTCTATCTCCAACACATAGCTGGCCTCTGCGGCCACAAAAACGAGGATCCTACACATCCAACCAGCCCAGGCAGCCCTGATCAGGCTGATTTACTGGGTTTGCCACTGAATTCTGTATCCAGGGTGGAAATATGAACAGCCCTGTTTTCACTCGCTACCGGCCGGGAAATGTTCGGCAATTGTAGCAGCTTTACGCCCTTAAAGTCTTCCTCAACGCTTTTTCCGTGTTTTGATCAGGTACATTTCATTGCGTTAGTCGTAATACAGTCTGTACATAAATTAAATAAACATAAACGTGGCAGCAATCAATGCGACCAATGCCATAAGGCCCTGCATACCATCCGACCTCGGAGTCAGCAGTGCACTAGCAGCACCCGTGTGGTTCGCCGATCCGTTAACAGCAGCGGTCTTTCCCGCTCCCAATGGCAGTCCCTGGTATCCGAACGTGAGGTTCTGTGCAATCGACTGGTTATAGCAATCGCCATTTGCGAGATCCAAGTTGGTCAAGTCATCGGCATTTACGAAGAACATGTACTTCGACTGTTTGATCCCCTTGAATCCAGAGGTATCGTATGGGAAATGGTCGCCCGGGTCGGTCGCCGAGGTGTTGCGGAGGAAGATGCATTGCACTTGGTCGGGGAAGTCGGTGGCTAGTTTGGGATAGTCGCGCATGACATCGCTGTTGCTAGTGTCGGCCACCAGGACGAATTTACGCTCGGGGAAGGTCTCGAAGATCTTCTGCAAGAGGAACTTGCGGATTGATAGAGTGGCGGAGACGTCGCTGAAGTTCAGAGGACGGGTGTCGAAGGAGCCACCGGGGTAGGTCTTGTAGATGAACTCCATGTAGTTCCTGGTGACCTGCTCGGGGGTTGTGGTCTAGAGCGACGATTAGTACCCGATACGAGTGTAGAAACTAGGAGACTTACCAGGTAGTGGAAATGCGTATCGGGAAGGCTGGTGGACCAGTTGCGGTATATCTCCGGCATGTTCTGCCAAGGTGTGAACTGACGCGCAAAAGAGTTGATCAACCCTTTCTCTGGTTCATAGATCTTAGTGACGCGCAGAATATCATCGATGTCAGAGATGATGGTGAGTCCGGTGGGAGGCACCAGATAGGCGGTAGAGTTTCCGATACTTGCGCCCTCGACATGAGTGTCGAGTCTTTGAATGGCCTTTGTCTCATTTCCGGGAGTAAGACCATTGCTGTCGATCGGCACAAAAGTGTCAAAGTCACCTTCGACCGTTGTGTTGTAAGGCAGAGTGATGTCTTGCGTGCCACCTGTGGTCTTCGAAGATCCACCGCCGCCTGGCTGTCCGCTGGATCCCTGACCCGCCGCAGGCTTCAGGTGGATCGTGTTTACAGCAACATCTGGCTGCTGCACAACGAAAATCCCGGCAGTCAGGTTGCGTGCCTGGGCTTGCTCGGATTTGGGAAGGTCCGAGATACTAGTATTGACCAGGAAGATATCGGCCAAATCGTTCAACTTAGAGACAGAGATGTTTGGTTGCTTATAGACGTTTCCATGGAAGCGAACATTCCAGCCTGACTTGGTCCAGTTGGCATAAGGGTCAATGTTCAACACATTGGTCGGTAATGCCTTCAAGTCGGAATCATCCAATCCGAGAGAGCTCACAACCGCGTCTCCAGTGGGGAAACCCTGGAAGAAATTGGGTACTCCAGATGCCACCCACGAAGGTAGGCCAGACCCAAGGTCCGAAAGGGCACCGCCGACATCCGATTCTACGTCACTCAAGATGTTTCGAGGGACAACGGGTGAAGGATCATGTTGGACTGGGGAAGGGGTGATGACAGGGTCGGAAGGGGCATCGTTGGTGAAAGCCGTTGGAGCGGGTGAAGCGGAGGCAACTGAAATAATTGAGATCACTGAGATAACTGAGGCCTGTAGAAGGCCGTGTCCAAGAGTGTACCTCATTGTTGCTACGCAGTAAGTGCGTATAATTCTGGGACATCCAATGGATATAAGTATTTCAAGTGACCGAAAAGGAAATAAACAGGGAACATCCACTGACGTCACTTATGGGGACAAGCTCATTTTATTTAAATTAAGCTGACAGTTGCATCCACCTCTCACTGGACAGACCTTTGATTGGCTGCGATACTGAATTCTACATTGGGAACGGAGAATATTGCGAGGTTTCACTGGTTGGAGAGGAATCAAGAGGCTTATCACCAACTCGGGTACACGGGCAAAAGCTTGAATGATGCATATCTTCCCTATCGAGGTTAGCTTTATTAAGTGAATGCTACAAAGAGTGCGCTTCCAACATTTACGAGAAGGAGTTTCCTGTGTGAGGTGTACGGGCAATGTCTTTGTCCTCTCAACACATTTGACGGAACCTGCATCTAAGAGACCCTTTGGATCTGAATACTTCGGCGAAAACGTGGCTAGCCGGTTCCTTTGTGAATATCTATATTTAAGCGGGCCACGAAGTCCAACAAAGAATACGGAGGGCTTCCAATAATGGCCTTTCAATTCGATACTCAACATTGTTTCAGCCCACCTAGTACTGCAAGTTCAGAGAATATATCGACCCTTGTCGACTCAAATAGAAAACATCCGCCATCTGCACAAGGTCCTCTGCTCAATGGAAGATCATCTTCTCCGGAATTCACTACCTCGTCCTACCTAGGACCAACCATAATCCACAATTCCCGGAAATGGCCTGGTGGGATAGCTCCCAGCCCAACTGGCTCAAGAATCTCATGCCAAGCTACGCACACGAGCTCGAAGAGGTCCGCGAAGAACTAGAGACACAGCTTGAGATTCTAACCCATCACCCAGGCAATCAGCGGAAGGTGAGCGAGAAACTCCTCAAAACTGCTGCCTCCATGACCAAGATCCAAACATTGGGACAAGATATAGCGGTGTACTTCCCTGATCATCCGTTCGTCGCTCGCAGACATCCCAAGTTCTTTCAGGTTCAGTTCCCGCGATACTGTCAGTTCTATGCAAACACTTTTATTACCCTTAGTAGGAAGCTTTTGGATGAGCCGGGGAGTGAGGAGTTTGTTGCGAATCAGGTTAAGCGTATGTTGGAGAAATTGTAGTCTGGCTCTTCAGGCTTGTTATGGTATGCATTTGCACTGTTGCACAAGTACTACTGTACGGACTACGGAGTAGAGAAAAGTGGGTCATGTACATACGCTAGCCTAGATATGTCTTAGCGGATGTCGAGGTTTCCCCGCTAGCTGAGCGAGACACACAATATACACAGCTCCAATCAACTTCATATCATTCATTTGGATTGTTTCCCTTGGCTTCTTGAGATTCCATCACATGTGCACCTCCGCTGTAGCTCCTACTTTCGCAGTCATGAGCCCGGAAGCATGTTGAAACTTGAATCAAAGAGATCAAACTTTTCCTTCTCCAACGAACACACCCCCTAATGTCAGCAAGCTGACCTTGCTGCTGAAGTGGATCTTCACCTATAAGTTGGAGGAGGAAGGCTCATCGGCGTCCTCATCAAACTTATAGGTGAAGACCCAGGTCAGCAGCAAGATCAGCTTGCTGACATCGCTGGGTCGAGCCAACCCCCTTTCTACATTTCCTTTTCAATTGGTTCCTAGGGTACTCCAGATAGCCCCCAACCAATCTGCTGCAGAAGGTCCAATTGGATAATCCTACATTAGAAGTGTATGCGCAGATGAGCAGGACGGAGAACCCAGGGACTTCCGACCGGGAACACTCCCCTCGGAGCATTGCTGAGTGACTCCTCTCAATGGCGGGTCTGGCTCGGCAACATTGGATCAGCAGGCAAGTCAGAGCGTGTACGGGATTATATGGACCCCGGGAAGAGAGAGTCACAGGTGCGCAAAGTGCCTGAGGAGCTCTTCACAGAATACCCCAAACCCAGCGACATGAAGGCTGGCGCCAGGCTACCGGCTGAACTGGATGCCCAAGAATTCACGAGATACCGCAACATGATAGCCATATTAAAAGACGAAGCGCGTCTACGTGGTGTCAACCATCGCGGCTGTCTCACGAATCACAGCCACCCTCAACGGACAGCGGCACGTAGAAACGTGTGAATGCCGCATGGTATACCTTTGGGGGTACCGGTGGTCGTCAAGAAGGCCAGTGTCTCCGTTGGTAATATACCTTTCACCTAGTCAAGAGTAGTCAATAAATTGACCTATCGGTAAGCAAGAACTGGAACGTAGACATGAGACACAGTTAGAGGCTTTGATGTGCACTCTTGCCATGGGTCATGAGCTGCGAGACCCGGGCTGGTGTCAGATAATTTTTGCCTATTCCCATCTTACACAGTAACTTTCTGGTTTATTTCCATGTTCCAAGTGGTCGTTCGCCCGAAAGTATGTGCAAGGAGGCCCGGAGTGGCTGATTTATCGACCAGCCCCGTCCAAGTATGTGACCAGAGAGAAGCTGTAGAGTTGTATTTAGGCCATTTGTAGGTAGGTCACATGTTTCTCAATACTCTGCTCAATTAGGTAGCCTCTTTCCTTGTTCTCAGTCTGGCTTCACTACACACTCCAAAACAACATGCAGAGACTCCATAGATTCAGTCCGCAATGTTGAAAGAGCACCTTCGATCCCTGCACGGCTACAGAATGTTGATATCTCAGCTACACAGTCCTGCTTATGCACCACCTTCGTATTCTCCGTCTCAGAAATGTCCAAGCTAATCAGAACTCATCTAACAGTTCTGACCAACTGATCTGCGACGCGATGTCCCATCTGGGCCCCAATAACACATACCGTTATCGAAAGAGGAATCACCTGAATGAAATGCCTCATATTACGCTTATGGTGGCTAGGGGCAGATTCCTCGTATACAAGTGTGCAGCCACCGAGTTTTCTCAGAGACCATATCTGGTTCAGACCAGCTCAAATTCATACCAGAAACCCTATTTTATAACCAGTCACCATGCATTTAGCATATACCCAGCAATATGTGCTCGCATTCACTTTAGCCTGCCTATTAGCTACTGTCGAAGCCTCCAGTGATACCTCCCACAAATATCCCAAGCCAACATTCACATTCGACCAGCTGTGGACTCTCGAGAAGAGCTTCTGGGATTCCTTCCTATACCCAGCAAATGTAGAACAAACCCAGGGCAATGCCTCGACTGTGTTTGCACCAGATGTCAGACTATCTTATTTTCTGACAGACTTCCGCTAAAAAGATATCTAACCGAAAACAGGTCCAAGGCCGCGTCGACATCACCCGCACATTCGACGGCGACGAGCTAAACCGCGAATACATCTTCGGCCTATTCGCCGACCCAGACCACGTCAGCATAGTCGGTATCCCAATCGCCTACAACATCACCCAGTTCGCCGCCAATGATAACATTGCCTCCGCGACAACGGTAGTCACCTTCAACGCAACCACGTTCGGCATCCTCATCCCCGTGACGATCGACACATGGATTGAATTCGGCTCCGACGGGAAGGTCACACAATATGACGCAACGTTCCGCTGGTTCGAGTATCTGTTGGATTACTTGATCGAAGGCGTAGCAACCAAGCTTAACGCGACGTCGTCGGACCAGGCTGTCGCCTATGTTTCGGATTTGCTGGCTAAAACGATCTGCGCTACTCATGAACAGTACTGCACGGGCTCGGATCAGCAGTATACTGACAGTGACGCTTGTTATAGCTTCTTGACTAGTTCTATTCGGTTTGGGAAATCCTATGAACTGGGTCGTAATACGTTGCTGTGTCGCGAGGTTCATGAGCATATGGTGCAGTACAGGCCCGACGTGCATTGTCCGCATATTGGTCCTAGTGGTGGTGGATATTGTGTTGATGATAGGACTTATCCTGATACTGTGTTGCAGAGGTATTTTGAGGAGTCGTGGATTCCTTTTGGGTATGGTGCAGACCAGAATATCTGGCTGGCCAACTGAAGGGATGGACTTGAGCTTGCAAGGCCTGTATCTTACGACCTTCATCCGAGGTTGCTTTGAGAAGACAACGGTATACTCCGCTGACATGATGGGTGTTGCAATACAATCTCACCAACTACTTCTAATTTAAACACGCGCCCACGGCAATGAAGTAATGATGTAACTGGGGATATGCCTACCCTGTTGGAAATAAGGGATAGCCACAGCTCGTGATCGTGGCTATACGTTTTCCTCAAATAAGTAGCACGCGTAACTCGGGCACATCTATATCGCTCTTCACAAGAAAACCTGCTTGTACTTCACGTGGACAGTATCAACGCTCGCCATGGTGCTGATGCAATGCCTATATTATGCAAACATCCGCTCAAAGTCCTGTATACTCAGAGCTAAGCCCACGAGCATGCTCAAGCTATCGTCAAGTCTCACAAGCGTTATCACCGGCATGCCTGCAGCCTATGATATAGAACGTCTTGCATGCTATGAGCCTATGTCACATTAGCAACGAGCTAATTAACGCTGTCACAACCCCTTGATCCACCCAAGCCTGCATTATCAGTCTAACGTGATTCAGCCCAGTACCTATCCACTATTCACCACTCCCACCCTCTTTAAATACCATTCCATACAATATGTTCTTTTTTACATTGAGAGTGGCGTTGGCCATAGGTAATCGTACTATGCGGTTAACCAACCTAACTCAAGCTGGTCAGATTTCGCCAACGAACTTCCATCTCCATTCAGATGTGGGCACGCTACCTACTCTACGTACGTGCCAGAAGGTTCAACGTTTTCCACCGTGGTGCAGGACTCTTCCAACAACTCATCATAGATCTGTTCTTAATGGTAGAGACACAGCGACTAGAATTCATCAAGCAACCTGACAGGCAAATAAAGCTCGGTGCCGAGAGCTACTCCTCTGTCAAAGAGTATCGACGAAATTGCTTGATGAATTCTAGACGTTGTGTCTCTACCATTTAGAACAGGTCTATGATAAATTGTTGGAAGAGTCCCGCCCCACGGTGGAAAATGTTGAAACTTTTCGCACGTACGTAGAGTAGGTAACGTGCCTACATCTGAATGGAGATGGAAGTTCGTTGGCGAATCTGACCTGCTTGAGTGAGGTTGGTTAACCGCATAGCACGATTATGGCCAACGCCACTCTCAATGTAAAAAAGAACTTATTGTAATAGTATGTAAAGAGGGTGGGAGTGGTGGATAGTGCATAGATACTGGGCTGAACCATCCGCGTGTTGCATAGTATCGATGCTATCCATCAAACCTGGGTACTGCGCCATTGTCGCAGCGGGACGCCGTTCTTGCAGGTACAGACAGATATCGCGGTATCCGGGTTCAGAGGAAGGGGAAAGGTGAATAGAGGAACGGAGGAACGGAGGAATGGAAGGAGAACATGGGGAGGCAGTCATGATGTTCCAGTACCATGAACATAGATTGCTGAATAAGAGGTAAAAACGGAGGAGCGAAGGGTGATTGGGGAAAGGTAGTGGGAGATACGGTACGAAGTATGGAGTAGTGGGAGATGGAATGGAGCAACTTGGAACTTCCTGGGAATGGGAGATACGGTAACCGCCGAATCGGACATACAGTCATGCGATATAGGTGAGGGGGAGGGTTAGGATTGGCGGAGGCACAGGGTAAAGTTAAGTACGTTGGAGGCTGATTTATGGGGTACGTTGGAGGCTGGAGGCTGGAGGACGATGATTGGAAGAGGTACAGTACACAGCTCGGAGCTTTACCTGTGATATCATAGGCCACAGCCTATCGACATAAGTCTCCGAGGGCTCCAGCCTCATCTGGCAATGATCGCGTCTACAACATTCCAATCCCTTCACAAGCCCGTCCCTAGCCGTCTTCCCCATTGTCCAAGCTCACAATCCTCCGTCATAGAGCGAGGGTGAGCTTTTGATTCCCCGTGCAAAGCCCGTCACTTTCGGTCTTTGAAAAATGTCTTTTTCTCGAAGCTTCAAGGGGCCATCATGTGTCTTGGACAAAAGTGATCTAGAAATAGTGCGTATAACACAAACGACCTCTTCAATTCCCAGATAATATTGTGCTCAACTCAGTAAATCCCCAGACGATTGCCAAATAATCATATTACCCTTGAGAGACCCTCAAAGTTCGAGATAAATGCATAAAATTCATATAAACTACATCCACTCTACACTGTATGAGCTCGTTTTGTCGCATGCCAGCCCTACAGGTGTCCACGTATGGAAATTCCTTCCGTCACCTGGCTGACCTATACCAGGGTTTTCTTGCCATCCCTTCCAGCGTCGGACCTCCTTGACAGTGATCAAACAATGTGACTAAAATAGTGCATGTAGGTTAAAATGAATACGATAGACCGGTTCTTGGTCTTCAATATCACTGTGAACTCAGAAACGTAACTAAGCATGGAAACCAGACACTCTATTCGCAGCACTTCACCACCGGGCAGTGAAGCCCAGATACGTTTATGTCCAGAGAAATTCGATGAATCCACCGAGGAGCAGAAATTACCACCAGTCGACGGCGGGTTCCAAGCATGGATGTTTTTGGCAGCTTGTGTAATGCTGGAGGCTTTGATCTGGGGTAAGTCAGCTCACGCGTCTACAACCATCGAGGTCTAACGTATGTTACAGGATTTGCATTCTCATTTGGGGTCTTTCAGAAGTACTATGCTTCTCATGAGGCCTTCGAACACACGAGTATGGTAGCCGTCATTGGAACATGTGCAACGGTTAGATACGCAACTCGTCTTCTCTTACCTATACGCTACTAACATCCTATGCAGGGAATCTCATATCTGAGCTGCCCACTGGTGATAGTCAGCATGATCCTACTACCAAAGTTTGGCCGGTGGTTCTCATCTTTCGGACTTGTCATCATGTGTCTATCGCTAGCCCTGGGCTCATTATCAACCAGCGTCACCCACCTTGTACTCTCACAAGGCGTCGGCTTTGGCATCGGCGGCTGCATAGCCTACAGTCCGTCCATTCTGTACATGGACGAATGGTTCGTGCACCGACGAGGCCTAGCATTCGGCATCACCTGGGCCGGATCTGGAGTCTCCGGACTAATCTTCCCAATCGGACTGGAGAAGCTACTAGCCGCGTACGGATTCGAGACTACACTTAGAGTTATCTCGGTCCTCATATTCGTTCTCGCGGCACCATTCCTCTACTTTCACAAACCCCGTCTACCAGTCAAAAAGACCGTCTGCTATCATCGCCTGAACTTCCGATTCTTGACAACCCGCATCTTCTGCGTCTACCAGCTCGGCAACATCTTCGAGGCGCTGGGCTTTTTCTTGCCAGGGATTTATCTGCCGACGTATGCGCGCAGCATCGGGGCTACAGACTTTCTGTCTTCGTTGACTATCACGCTTCTGAATCTGGCTTCGGTGTTTGGGAGTGTGACCATGGGCCATTTGGCAGATCGATACCATGCTATCACCTGTATTACCATCTCGACTGTCGGGAGTGCTGTTTCCGTGTTGCTTCTGTGGGGATTTTCGACGACTCTCCCGACACTATTAGTCTTCTGCATCGGGTATGGCTTGTTTGCGGGTTGCTATTCGGCTACGTGGTCGGGTATCACGCATGAGGTTCGACGTGTTGATCCCTCGGCGGATGCAACCCTTATCTTCTCGGTGATTGCTTTTGGGCGGGGGATTGGTAATGTTGTTAGCGGGCCTTTTAGCGAGGCTTTGCTTCGCGTGGATCATTCGAGTAATCCTGCTATGGGGGGTTATGGGAGTCAGTATGGGTTGATCATTTTGTGTACGGGGATCAGCGTGTTGTTGAGTGGAGTTTGTATAGTTGCGCATCACTTGAAATGTATATAGATGGAGTCTTATGTCTGACTCTTTGGTTATGACTTATGTCTGTCTCTCTGTTTAGGTCAAAAGGCGGATTCTTCTAGCTATTCTGTTATTCTTTTTGTTATACCCAGCTTTCTCTTGCAAAGGATAGGATTTCCCGGTCTACAAATTCTTGATACAATATCCATAGAGTGGAATTTGATTCCATCTCGAGGTTGGATCGGATAGAGCGGCTTGAAATGCATAAATAATATGCTTCGGGCGTATTCTTGAATAACTTCACAATATCCGCCAGCATCCGACGACGTCGGATACCTATATCGTCCCAGTACTTGTTCACCGGCACTTCCTTCAAAGACTAACACTTTATCCAGTACTCCTGATGTCAAGCGGTCATATTCAACAGATCTTCTCGTATTAGCAATGGGATAAATCTGCCATTTTATGCAACGTTTTTTTCAGTTCAAGGTTGTCATAGTCCACGACGCCATGATCCCGCCACCGTTGGATCTCCCGACGGCCCCGGGGAACTCGAACTAAAGAACAAGCTTAACCTTGGATCAAAACTTTATTTCCCCCCATCGTTCTCGTATCAAACTAAGAGAGTACGAAGTTGAGTTTAAGTGGTCGACGTCACCCTCAAAGGAGGCGAATCTAAGCCTCCTCCAAGCTCTACATTGTAGGCCGTTCATGACGCCAGTGTAGAGCAAAACACCGGTTATTGGGTCAGTTCATTCGAGAGTTTACGCAAAGAACGCCGCATGCGTATCTGGGATAGTCATTGACTGACGACGCTTGACAATTGTGCGCATCTTAACAGTGCTATAAGGTAGTCAACTAACCCCGGACATCCGAAACCTCCTAGTTCCTCCAACAATCCGAACCTCAATTTCACTCGCAAACTCTCAGCGAAGGATCTCCAAAGTCAAGCATAACCAACCATGCACTTCTCAACCCTCCTCATCCCCCTCCTAGCGGGAGCAGCAACAGCGCAAAACCCCAGCTGCTCCCCAACCTCCTCGGACACCCAAGTCCTCCAATTCGCCTCAGGTCTCTCCTCCTTCATCGGTGGCTTCTTCAACTCCACCGTAAACAGCGCCTTCCCCAACTCCAGCAACGCCACCATGCAAGCCCAGAAGCGGATCATCATGGGCGTCGAGCGCGACAACACCCTCGGCAGCCAAGCAATCGACAAAGTCGGCGCCATGGCCCCGGGCTTCACAGCCCCATCCTGCTCTTTCACCTACCCAATGCCCAACAGCACCCAGGCCTGGGCCTTCTGGGCCGCCCGCCTCGAGACAACCGTCACGGGCGCCTTCGTCGCTCTGGCCGGGTTCACTCAGTCACCTGAGGTGTCGTTCTTGATGGCTCGCTTGGCGGCTTCGCACAGCTCTCATGCGACTCTCATTGGAAGTCGCGTGAACTCGACTCTGTTTGCGCAGAACGCTACTTCGCTCGTGGCCGCTTTCCCGCCGGACCAGGTTCTGTCGACCCGTAATGAGACTGGGAGTCTGGGCATGTTCTTTGGTGGTTGCTTGACTGCTCCTCAGAGTCCTTGTGGACCTTTGGCTATTGGGCCTTTGGCTGCTACGCCTTCTTCTGGTGCTGCCAGTAGCACCCCTATGAGCAGCACTCCTATGAGTAGCACTCCTGTCGCCAGTAGCACTGCTGCTGCTATTCGGAAGCACTAAATTAGGCTTTTTGTGTGTTTGATGGGGTGGTAATTGAGGGAGTTGTTTGGGGAGGATGTTTCGAGAGTCAGAATGTTGTATAGTATACTAATCTTGGCTGGTATGTGGGGGAGGATTACTACGTTCCACTTTGATGGAGTAGGTCCGATCTGTGTAGGAGCACTGGTGTTAATGGTTTATGTTGGAGATACGTGGATTAACTATAGTTAATTTGTTGTACACTTGACTACATTAGCAATGGACTCTCTACTCTAATCAACTACTATAGTTCATGCATTGAGTTCCCCATTCAATTGATGCCTAGCGCCGCAAAGCCTATTCAAATTGTTCCGTCAGCCTCAGCCACAAGTGTTACGACTGCTCGAAGACCTCGCTATTTCAACACAAATGACAATGCATTGAATCTTTGATCCTGCAGTTAATTTCACCGTCTACTGTGAGTCCATGATGTTGGAGTCTATTCATATCATTTATGTTTGTGCAGCTTCATGTAAAGCGAGCTAAATCGGGCGTCGGAAGAACATCATCATGATCATTGACGCAGCTTCCCCAGCTTCAGGCAGCATTTGAATGTACAGTGCAGGGTCTGCGGGACATGCGTATTCTATATTTATCTCTCGAGTCCTTACTGCATAAAAAGTATTACAGACTGTACGTAGCCCTCCAGGGACCAGAGCTTAAGAGGAGAAATACGAGGTCTACTAGTTCAGACAACATACTGAGCGGATACATCTCACTTGAAGATGAGTGATGCCTATTAATGAATATGCAAATGGATACCCCTGCATAGAACCCCTCATTTACTGATCTTCGAGTCCGGGGCGAACATGGTCCATGGACTCGTGATGTGCATCTGCGAGGGGAGACACGGAGGCCGATCGGCACTGTGCAGGTGACATTCTTGGATCGACACTGGGGTTCCAAGGGGGTCTGTGGGTAGATGCATTGAAAATGGGGGATTATTGAAGTCTACTAAAGGCAAGTGGAAAGTAGGAGTCTACGGTAACTATGAGAGGGAATTCTACTCGATGTACTGTGTAGTAGCGAGGTAAGATGAAATGGCTCTCATTGATTTGTTGAAAGACCTGTATCTCACAGTATAAGTATAATAACACCAGAATCATATAACCATCAAAGTCACAAAAGAATAGAATAACATGACCGATTCCAAATTCAGTAAACCAAAAGACCCAAACTCCGAAGCCCCAACTCTATCCAGCAGATTGCGTAATAATCATCAGGGATGTCATAAGGTCGTAAGGTTGTCGAGCTCGCCGAATTTACTGACTCTTGCGGCGTTTCTTGAGTCGTAGACTGATCTTTCTGCGTAGTTCAGTGAACGGATTCACCAAAGGGCGATTGTAGAAAGGATCATCTTTGAAGTCCTCATCCGTAAATTTCTAGAAATCAGTTAGTGACGGCCCAAAAAGAAATAGGAAAGACATGTTACATACCACGCCAGGAAGACGCATGAAATTACCATAATCATTCATCATGTTCGATCCTTCTTCGTAGGTATACTCCTGACCCATGCGATCCACGGATCCAGGAGGATAAAACGCAACTCCATCCAATGGACGGCCACTATCCAGGGCATCGGCAATCTTGTGGCGGGGTGTGGCCCGGAGGGCCTCGGCATTTGACTCTCGAACAGCTTCCAGCGGACTGTACTGACTAAGGGTATTGCGTTCCGGCCGGGCCGCGTCGTACGGACCCTCGTGGTGGTAGGAGAAAGAAGTCACATCATCCAGCTGGTCGATGATATCCGGTTGCACGAGTTGAGAGTATCGTGAGTACTTCTGAGTGTTGCGGCGATGGGGAACAGAGTGATCATATCTGCGTCTCGGCTCCACCGGATAATGTTCGGGTGTGCCGGAATACCAGATAGAAGGTGCAGAGTTGACAGACTCGGAGCGAGACCGTCGTGAACAGGTTGAAACTGGAGACATGTAGCGAGCATATGGGTTGTTGGTGCCGATGCTGGACCCCATGCTTGGGTGTCGATCATAGCTACTTTGTTGGTTGAAGGGGTGGTGAGGGTGGTGGCGGGAGGCCATGGAGATGCAATCCACTGCCATGTCTGGTTTGTAGGGGGTTTGCAAGAGATGGGTATATTTGGGACAAAAGATGTCCAAGTAGGTGTCGGGTTGTTGCGGAAGATCACAGGATCTCATAGAAATAAGGTCCGAGTTTAAAATAGTTTAGAACAGGTGAGGCTGAGTGGTGACTTTAGCTTGTACAGCGGCTGAAGATGCTTAAAAAAAGATGAGTAGAAGATATGAAGAGAAGAAGAGGAAGGTAGAAGTTGGGGGTGTAGATAATTGGTAAATGTAGGGAAGCCGTGACTCAAGAGCTTATACCAAAAGAAGCAGCGGAGGTGACGTGAGTACGCAGTATCTCCCCATCTTCGCTCATTACTATGTAGTTCAGTGGTCCGACTCCAGGCTTAGTTCCACATCTTCGACATTTACCAGAAGACCCATTGGGATTAGTTGGACCCTGTAGTGATATCATTCGAACATTAGACTATACTCCGACTCCTATTCTGTCTACATACTGAAGCACTAGAACCTGATAGACCGTTGTATAGTTACCTCGTTCAAACTTTACTGAGAAATGAGAATCGCAATCTCCCATGATTCACCACGTTAATGTAAATGAACATGCAAAGCCCATGTTGCATCTACATCCGAGACTTCCTGATCGACGGCATGACGATATCCCTACTGGGGCCCCACTTTTTATCGTCTCCACTCTTGAAATCTTTTTGCCTGGTTCGATTCTTCTTCCCTCGTCATACTTGTGATGCTGTGGAAAATATTGGTTTACTCATATACCACAGTACTGCAATTCAATTGAAGATCAGAAGTGAAAGGTGAGTCAAAAAGGCTAAGTAGGAGAATCCCACGGAAATAAATCCGAGCCTCCGACACTGGATTAAGCTTATCGTAGGGGGAAATTAGCTTCCATCCAGGGCAAACTTAGTCTCGTGCCGTGGGAACTATTAGTTAGCAGGGTCACACTCCCCCGAGGTTCTAGATCCTCCCTCCTTGCTGTACTTACTATTGGCACTGGCACTTTTCACCGCTTCTTGCTCCTTGCTACTACTATTAATGTAACTTTTCTCTCTCTTATCAAGACTTATCGCTAGCTGAATCACATGTCTGTTCGACTAGTCTTTATCAAAACGTGACTTCCCGTCCGTTCTGTGGAGATTCGAACTAAGCGCCCTGTAGACACTGTAGACACTGATCAATGACCAGTCAATTGCCGAAGAACCTTAGTCATTGAATTAGGTAGTACTTTGGTGGGCATTTTAAGAAGCCTAGAATATAACAGAATACGGAGTAAAGCAAGCTATTCATTGCACCACTCGTAACGGAGCGTCCGCATGCTAGCGGAAGAGCTATACGACGCAACAGAGAAGAACACATTCAGTGGTAGAAGTCCCCTGCTCTAGCAAGAGTTATTAACCTGGTTACATTGGAAGAACCAGTCACTTGTTTCGCTTTGATGAGAGCAGTGGATAAAGGCTCGCACCGAGGACGTCATACGCAGTACCTCGAGCCTCAATGCTGGGCACCATACAATAAGCCGATTTCGAGCAGTTTTGATCTCCTCCTGAACAGAGCCCCCAATATCACCACCTCGTGTTCAGTGGTATATAAGTGCGGGTATTTCCAATCTTGACCCTGACGACATCAAATCCAACCCTTTTTTCCCGCAAAGCTCCTAAGTTGATCGCATCAATGCGTTCACGGTCTTTAGCACTAGGCTCTGAAAGACTCCAAGCAAGTGAGATATGAAAGCACTCCGAGAAATCCTCCACCAGACTTCCGTCCGGGCCACGGGGTGACGAACTAGACTGCTGTCCTTGCGCCAAGGGAGCTGCATACAGCGGTGGCTGACCAAACCGAGCAAGAACATCATTAGTCACCTTTAAGAGCCGATTAAGCTCATCATTTTTTGGTTTCTGCACGCCTAGCACGAGAAACCACCGAGTCTTCTCGTAGTTAGATGACCAATATAACCTATCTGGCTGGATATAAAATCTAGTTAACATGTCAGTGACGAACACACTAACTCTTGAAGCTCCTAGCAAGCTTGACTTACGACAAAACACCCGATTCCTTTATCGCGTTCTCCAATGCATCAGTTAACTCGAAACGCTGCTCAGTGCGCACGACCACCGACCTCGACAAGCTAATGTGCAGCGGTAACTTGACTCCGAGATCGCTAATGAGAAGACTATGCACTTGATTCTCAGATCGGTCCGAGATATCTATCCCACATTGGACGAGGGTATTGTAAAGGAGTCCTTGTCCTTCAACGCATGGATACCCTGTTCACGATTAGCTTGTATAAGTGAGACTCGTCAAGAGTGACTGCCCACTCACATTGGAGATACACATGTGTTGGCCAGTTCCCTTCTATGTGGGGGATTATTCTGACTCGGCCATCGTGAAGGTTGGGATCATCTTGTACGCTTACGCGTGTGGCTGTGGCGTAGAGGTCATGGAATGATTCTGGGAGAGGGGGGAGGGATGGTGTTGTGGGGTTGGGGTGGGTTTTCTTTGATGAAGGAGGTGATGGGTTGGATTGTGGTTCAGGGTCGGAGTCCGAATCTGAGTATTGTACCAGAGACATCTCATTAGATCGTGGAGGAATTGGAGGTTCTCTGGTGTTTCCATTGGTGGAGGGTTGGTTTTGTAGGTGTGGAGACGAGTCTAGAGCTGTAGACCAATCAAACGTCTCGGCTTCATCTACTCCGTATCTCGATTTGGTATGGTCTTGGAGAAGTTTGAGAACATGCTTCTATGACCAATTCCGCAAGGAAACATCGTTTCAGAGATGTCGTAAATACAACCAACATACCTAAGGGAGGAGAAAATATGTTCGCGTCAGAGGAAACGCAGGACCTGACTTGACCGTGTCTCACGCGCAATTCTCAGTTTCATGCCAGAGGCAATGAATCTGGGGAATTATTTAGGGAGAGATGGGACTAAGCCAGACTACAGAGAAATAACGAGTAGAGTCCATAAGGATAAATTGGAATCTGAAACTAGTAAAATACAACCCCGGTCCTTGAGATAAAAGACCAGTTATCCTTCCGCTTAAATCTCAATATCGATATCCATATCCAGAGCTGCAATGTTCTCGTCATCGGTATTGCGATAACTGATCATGAACCCGTTCTTCGGCTTCTTAGGAGTAACGCCAGAGGGAGTTCCAGTTCGCGCAGAACTGCCATTGGACTTAGGGGTATCTTTGGGGGTATCCAGGGAGGCAGCGTCGGCAGCAGCAGGTTTAGGCGTTCCGTTAAGATCGTGATGAGTCTTGGCCACAGTTCGCACACGCATGAAGGGATTCGGGGCAGCTTCACCACGTGCAACAGCCTCAGCGGCCTTCTTAGCGGCCTTTCGCTCCAAGAGCTGAGCACGGCGACCATTTTCAACGTTGAGTTTCCGGTTGCGAAGGTTGATGAGGTGGACTCGCTCGGCTTCCGACGGTGCTGCTTTGTCGGTCTCTTTCTTGTCAAGGGTTGTTCCCCAGGAGAGATTCGGATGGAGCAGTTTGTGCAACTCCTTCTCGATTTTCTCAACCTCTTCCGTATCTCCGTTCGCTTTGGCGAATTGCAGGTTTCGCTCGAGTTCGAGACGGTTGAGCACATTCTTCCTTTCATCGAAGGCGCCCTGGCGGCGGAGCTTCTCGTTCAGCTCTTCGCGCGTGAATGTGTGATTGATAAGACGGTTGATATCCATGACCTTGGACTCAACCTTGCTCCGTGTAGCCATTTTGCAATCCTCAACAGCGAGGGTCTGGACGTAACGGCGGTATTCAGCCTGGTGGGTGGTTAGTGTATTTCCGACAGTTTTGAGAAAGGAGACGAACCTCAGTGACTGGGGAGTTTGAGAAGGTGACGAAGGGGAACTCCCGGACAGCCTTTCCATGTGCCAGTTTGACATACTGGTCCGTGACGAAAGAACGACCATTCTCGCCTTCTACGGCGTACGGCTTACCCTGGGTGATTCCTAGCAAGTAGTCAGCATCTGTAAATGAGCAAGGTATCGTTATCGGTTCATACCAGTGATAAGGCCCAGACGATATTCGTTCTGGCCTGTCTCGGGGTGCGGACCGATGCTCAGACGGGCGTAGCAGCCGATCATAGTACTATCAAAGTTAGGGTAAAAGCAGACTTTGGCGAAGTTGTTGCGCCCGATCTGAGCACGTCGAATTTCCCGAAGCTCAGCAGGCGGATCGTCCTTGGGAACGGACGCAGGACGGCCAACGCGGTCATCCAATTCCAGGTCGCTCTCCGCATCGGCATCTTCATTCGACACATCCGAGCCCGGAGAGCGCGAGCGACGGCGTGACTTTGTAGGGTCCCGGCGACGTAGCTCATCTCGCTTGCCCTTCTGCTCACGCTGGCGCTTGTAGGCCTCAATAGCGCCAGAGGTTTCTCCAACTTTGCGGCCACCGAGAGTGGTCTTCTGGCGAGAACTCTTGCGCTGGGTATCATCCAAACCGGCAGAGCCGGCCTTGCGCTTCGCCTTCTTAGCGGCGCGGGCTTCCTCGCGCGAGCGAGAGGCCAGCAAGCGACGGAGAGCTAGGTCCTGGTTGTGACGATCGACTTGCTGGGCACGCTCAGACAAAGTTTCCTCACGCTGGATCTCGGGCATAGCCATAATATCCTTCTTGTCTTGGGCCGAGTAGTAAAGTTTCTCGTATGGGAAGATGGGACGATCCTCGGCTTCTTCGCCTGAGTTATCGACCTCTGACTCGGATTCAGACATTGAGACGGACTGGAGTGAGTGACGGGATCCAGTGTCGGAGCTGCGTAAATACTATGTCAATGAGGCTCTTTGTTATCAAATTGAGGGGCTATGCTTACACTTCACCCTCAGATTCGTCTTTGGCGGGCTTCCGGGATCGACGGGACGTCGATTTGGCAGTTGCTTTGCGAGCCATGCCTGCAGGTGAGGAGTCTCGGTCTTGAGAGTGTGAAGAAGGAGAACGTGCTGGTGACTTGTGGTGTTGTGAAGTTTCCTCCTCAGAGTCACCTGCCAGAGCGAGCAGCTCTGCGTCCAAATCGTCCGACATTGTGAGGGGCTGTCAATGTTTTACCCTGAATAGACCTCAATACACAATAGCCCTATATATCAATAGGTTTCCAATAACTCCAGAACAATAGGATACTTTTTTCTGGTGGTCTCTCCCTTTGTATTTTCAATGAGGTCTTTCCAAAGCCGAAAGTAGCGCACTCGTCCAAACGAGGCTCAAATGTCTGTTCTGAATGAAACAGTGCCTCCTGGGCTATAAGCACTCTGTACACAGGATAAAGGAGGTATGTGTTGGGTATTATCGTGAGGTGGGCGTCGGTGTCCGTCGCAAGTTGGCTTTTGCCGTTGGCTTCATGACGTTAAAACGCCAAGCCAATAAGAAGCGCGCGCCAGCCCGAAGGCGGTCTAGACGGCCAATTCGTGAACTTGAAGCTTCGCGCCTTCAGCTCAATCTCGTCCATTGATATCCAACACCGATTCCCAATGGCGGCTTTACCTACTCTACGCAAGTGTGCATTGTCGCACTGTCGCTCCTATCCCCGGGCAACATCCCCCATCGTCCTCGATTTCCTCGCCCCATCAACAGTGACATACCGCCAAAGTCGGCATGCCTCAACTACTGCCGGCACCTCTGGTGACTCCAGACCTCTATATGTTCTCAGCAGAAAGCAACGGGAATTCATGGACAGCGCCCTTAGAGTCAATCAAGCCGGTGAACTCGCTGCGACCCTTATCTACACTACCCAAACGCCTCAAATTGTCCGCTCCTACCCGCACCTCCGACCGTTGATGAAACACATGTACGATCAAGAAGCAGGACACCTCAAGACCTTCAATCACCTCGTCGCCAAGCACCAGGTCCGCCCCACAGCTATGTATCCGGCATGGCACGTAGCGGCCACTTTTTTGGGATGGTCAACTGCGGCATTGGGCCGCGAAGCCGCGATGGCCTGCACCGAAGCTGTGGAGACTGAAATTGGATCACACTACAACGACCAAGTGAGGGAGATTCTGTCTTGGGAGGCAGATGCCGAAAGAAGGGGGGAGCGGCTGGACGATGAACTTAAGGAAATGTTGGCCACATTCCGGAGAATTCGCGACGAGGAACTAGAACACCTCGACCACGCTGTGGCTAATGACGCGAAGGAAGCGAAGCCTTACGACCCACTGGTTGATGTCATTCGGTTTGGATGCAGGGCTGCTATCAAGATTAGTGAGAAGATCTAACATTGATACACCCTGGCGGACTGCGTAGCCGGAAAAATTTGTTGCGTTCCAGCACTTCATGTACCATATCTTGATATTATCGCCACCTCTAATGTTGTACATTTAGAGCATTCTATGTTCGATATCTCTATCACTCGCTCACCACGGGGTATCAATGATGTAACCAAGCTCTTGAAGCACCCTGGTCTCCGCCTTTGTCGTCGTCGGCGTCCTTTATTCGGAAGCCCTGGGCTTTTGCTCCAAGTAGTCCAGGAAGCCCTGTGAGAACCTCACCACCTGTTGATAAACCTCCTCGAACCCATTATCACCCCCATAGTACGGGTCCTTTACCACCTCACCACCACCGACACGGTCATGCAACTTTCCGCCCTTGCCAAAATCACCGAACAATCGCACGTCTGCAACCTTCGCGTCCGCACCGTAGGCACCGATAGCAGCATCTACATGCGACCGCGTACTCTTAGAGCTGGGTCGGGCATCGGTCTTTCTCTGCAATGTCGCAATAACCGATTCGCGCGCGTCCAGTAAATCGCGGAGATTCGCCTTGTCCATCGCGAGTACGTAGTCGAAAGTGAGGAAGTCCTCTCTAGTCACTCTGCGGGCAGCATGGTCATAGTTGACGATCTTGTGACGGCGCAGAGTAGACATGGTGCGGGAGTCAGGTGGCTCGAGGCTGTGGTAGGCGGCGGTGCCGGCGGAGTCAATCTCACCGATAGAGGGGTTTCCGGCGGCGATGTTACGGAAGACTCCTTCGGCCATTGGGGAGCGACCTAGAGGGTGTCAGAATATTGTGATAGTGGGCGCGAATCATAACTGACAGATATTTCCCAAGCAGACGAATAGAACGCTGATCGGGCGTCCATTTGAGTTGGAAGCCATGGTGGGGGTAACAGGGATCAGGAAGCAATCTTGAACTGTGATCGAGTATGCAAGGTTACCAAAGAGTATCAAGATACAAGTCCTGTGGCACTTGGGGTCAAAAATTGAGGTCGATGCAAGGCGGGGGTTATCGATAGGCCCTAAGACCCCACCAGATAGCTTTTACTCGCATTACGTCGGTGGGCTACACATGGTTATGTTGTACATACATGACTTGGAGCTAAGCAGGAACTAAGAGATATGCAGATTTTATTTGCAGCACTTCTCTACTCTAAATCGGATCAGGCAGCTGTATTCTAGAAGAAAGGAATACGTGAATGTACTTCTTCAGTGTAACCGGAAATGACCTCAGACACTAAAAAAAGAATAGTTCAGAAAATCTTCCAAGGTTCCTGAGATCACAGTGCCAATGAGGGCTACGGAGGGCTAATGAGGGCAGCCTGGGAGATACCCACTTTGGACTAGTTGACCATTCACGTGAGAGCGGAAAGAAAAGAAACGGCTGAGCCACAGCTGCCAAGCCCAGATGTGGCTGGGAGGGTCAGTTGGCCCAGTAACAAAACCAAACGAGGTGGATCTTCTGTTCTTCTTCACCCGTGGCTCGAATGTTTCAGCCTGATGCTGTTTGAATTACTGCAATATCATTGGGGCTTATCTTCCGAAGAATCTGCTTTTCTCTTTTCTAATGGACTGTACCTTTCATCGCTGTATTAAGGGCCTAATCAGCGTGTAAAGGACTAAAGATACATCCACAGGGCAGTGCGGAGCCAAGCACAGACATTTCTGATTCGTCCCCATCTCCACCCTCATCATTGCCGGGATCGTCTTCAGGTGTGGTAAACACCAAACAAGCCACCCGAACTTGATTCCACATTTTTCGAGTCTTTCTCTTTCATATCTTCGCAATTGTCTCGATACATACACAGCGTATATTTTCTTTCGTACCGAGTTTCGTTTGCGATCCGCCCTCATATCTGAAACGACGAGAGTTTGGACCCTGTTCAACGGACTAGTCATTCCCCCCGTTGACGCTTAATCGTCCGCTCGGCGCTCCTGGCGCAATTTCCATCCACCCCTGCGACGAATCTGGGGCGGGATAATCTACTGAACCCAGTACCGCGGCCTGCTCGTCCATCATGGCTTATAATCGCGTTGACGCCGGTTAGTCCTCTTCCCTTAGCCTTATTTAGCCTTATTAGAGCTTGCTTGCTGTGTGGCCTGCGCTTGTCTGTGTTTTAAGAACTGCTCAGATTCAATGCTGGTCATTGGTTCAATGGTTCCTATACAACTTGCGCATTTGAATTCAAAGCCTTCCTTGAGACACCAGGTTCTTCTTGAAACTGACAATGTCGCCGCCAGACCCATTCGGAGACGACCATGGCGCTCCTATGTTGAATCCCTCCCAAATAACCAGCTACACAAATCGCACTCCTTCCCCAGCGCCGCGCCTGGAACCTGGCTACCAGCTCTCAGACAATCCATATGGGCCTCAGGGACATCTCCCCATGCCATCTAGCGATCGCTTGGCCGAACAACCTACCGTGAGTATCGCGCGATCCAACCGAGTGCCCCGGGATCAATACTTACATCATGGCTTGGACATAGTACTCGGTCGAAAATGTTCATAACTCCTACGGCCATCATAACGCATATGACGCACACCAGCAATACCCTGGTTACGAGTATGCAGTCGACCCCGAAGCTCACCACGACGCCTACTACACCCAGCCCTACGAGCCTACGCACACCCCTCATGATGACTATGACTTGGGCCAATACCCAGAGGGAGGACACACCCCTTTCGATGCTGATCAGCCAATGCTACAAGCTGGCGACAACCCCTTTGGGCCGGACCCGTACACTGAGTTCCAGGATGAACCACGTTTGACGCCCAGTCCGGCGCCGATTCGTCGTTGGAAGACGGTCAAGGAGGTTCAGCTTTTCAACGGCAATCTCGTTCTCGACTGCCCCATTGCCCCGAGATTGCTCAGTCAAGTGCCGCACGCAGAGCCACCCGGACGTGACGAATTCACGCACATGCGGTACTCGGCCGCCACTTGCGACCCTGCTGATTTCTTCGACGAACGTTTTACCCTGCGTCAGAAGCTATTCGCAAAGCCTCGCCACACCGAACTGTTCATTGCGGTGACCATGTATAATGAAGATGATTTCCTGTTCGCGCGCACCATGTCCGGTGTGTTTAAGAACATCGATCACATGTGCTCCCGCACGAGCAGCAAAACCTGGGGTAAGGACGCTTGGAAGAAGATCGTAGTCTGTATCATCAGCGACGGTCGTGCCAAGATCAACCCCCGGACGCGCGCTGTTCTCGCAGGTCTCGGTGTATACCAGGATGGAATTGCGAAGCAGCAAGTTAACGGAAAGGATGTCACAGCGCATATCTACGAGTACACAACTCAGGTTGGACTTGAGGTAAAGGGCACTCAGGTGCACCTCAAGCCCCGATCCGGACCTCCTGTACAGCTCATCTTCTGCTTGAAGGAAAAGAACCAGAAGAAGATTAATTCTCATAGATGGTTCTTCCAAGCCTTCGGTCGTGTTTTGGATCCCAACATTTGTGTTCTTCTGGATGCGGGTACTAAGCCAGGCAGAGACTCAATCTATCATCTCTGGAAGGCCTTCGATGTCGAGCCCATGTGCGGTGGAGCATGTGGTGAGATCAAGGTCATGTTGTCCCACGGCAAGAAGTTGTTGAACCCGCTGGTGGCTGGACAAAACTTCGAGTACAAACTCAGCAATATTCTGGATAAACCGCTGGAGTCTTCGTTCGGTTTTATTACCGTCCTGCCCGGTGCATTCTCCGCCTATCGATTTGTTGCACTCCAAAACGACAAGAACGGCCAAGGACCATTGGAACGGTACTTCCTTGGCGAGAAGATGCACGGTGCCAACGCCGGTATCTTCACAGCCAACATGTACTTGGCTGAGGATCGTATTCTGTGTTTCGAGATCGTCTCGAAGCGGAAATGCAGATGGCTCCTCCAGTACGTCAAGTCATCGACTGGTGAAACTGATGTGCCGGATCGGATGGCCGAGTTCATTCTTCAGCGTCGTCGTTGGCTGAACGGCAGTTTCTTTGCTGCAGTGTATGCCATCACTCATTTCTACCAGATTTTCCGCAGTGATCATAGCTTCATGCGCAAGTTCATGCTCATGATTGAGTTCATCTATCAAACAATTGCAATGATCTTCGCGTGGTTCGGAATTGTACGGTTCCTCCTCAGATATGATTCGTGTTCTATGCTAATTCCTCGTGCAGGGTAACTTCTTCTTGGTCTTCCACATCTTGACGACATACCTAGGGTCAGAGGATCTCCTCGGTACTGCTGGTAAGGTTCTAGGTATTGTCTTCGAGTGGCTCTACCTAGCAACTCTCGTTACGTGCTTCGTGTTAGCCCTCGGCAACAGACCAGGCGGATCCAACAAGTTCTATATGACGATGGTGTATTTCTGGATTGTGATCATGATATACCTTGCATTCGCTGCGGTCTTCGTCACGGTCAGAGCCATCCAAAAAGAAGTGGGCACCAACGGCTTTACGGTGGACGATTTGTTCAAAAATCCCACCTTCTTTTCTATCATCGTCTCCCTCGGATCTACCTATGCCATGTGGTTCATCGCCTCATTTATCTTCCTGGACCCATGGCACATGTTCACCAGTGTAAGTGACGCGGACATGCATTTGTTGCCCTGAAACTCATTAACATCCTCAGTTTATTCAATACATCCTGCTCACGCCTACCTACATCAACGTTCTCAACATCTACGCCTTCTGCAACACGCACGATATCACATGGGGTACCAAGGGAGATGACAAGGCCGAGAAGCTGCCCTCCGCGCACCTAAAGCCGGGCGGTAAGGTCGACGTCAACATCCCACAAGACGACGGCGATCTGAACGCGCAGTACGAGGCCGAACTTGCAAAATTCGCCATGAAGGCCCCCAAGGAGGTGCAGATCATCTCCGAGGAAGAAAAGCAAGCCGACTATTACAAGGGATTCCGCAGTGCCGTTGTGCTTGCCTGGGTATTCTGCAACTTCGCTCTTGGCGCCGTCGTTCTGAGCGCTGCCGGTTTGGATACCTTCACCGACAAATCCAAGACCACTTCCGAAGATGAGGAGACCAAGCGTTCGATGATCTACATGAAGGTTGTGCTATGGAGTGTCGCTGCTCTGTCGATGTTCAAATTTACGGGTGCCATGTGGTACCTGGTTGTTCGTATGGTGAGTTTCCTTGCACTTCATAACGCTGATTACCTACTAACTTGTACAATCTAGTTCCGGGGCGTTTGATTCAAGTGATCTTTCAGCATGACGGTTGTGTTTCTTTGCGCCATCCAGTGCTATGTTTTCATATATCCCCTGAGTTTATCTGGGTTCCGATTCGGCTACATTACCACGGCGGGCCCGGTCTGGTACGCATGTGGAATGGGACAAATGTAATATGTGTGATGACTTCCCCGCGATATGCTATGTCCTTCGTGACATGCGGAATGACATGATATCGTGATTTACCTGCTTTTCCTCTGGTTTCTGATTTTAATCCTCGCTTGGTTCATATTGCATGTGCTTGCGTTTGCATATGCATACTATTGTTCTTGTTTTTGTTTCTTTGGGAGGCAGTTGGTTGTTTTATGTAGATATGGGGATGTGTGATTATCGTCAATTGGCGTCAAATGGCCTATGACATGATAGCTTTTGTTCTATATGATCTCAGCATCGGGCGTTCGCATTCGAGGTTGTCGGCAGGCAGATAACCTTGGAATCAATACTGTCTGTCCAAATGGATCAGTCCAGCCTATATTCCAGCTAGATTGGATCGATGTATAGACAAAATCAACATCCCCAATCCAAACCCTTGAAATCAAACACCCTGGTTCTTAGAATGCACACACAACGCAATCCCCCCAAGAACCAACCCCATCCCCAACCAAGTCTGCATCGCAATAACCTTGCGCTCAACATACCATTCCCCAAGAACCGTAAACAAAAACGCACTCGAGTTCGCAAGCGGGACGGTCAAGGAGAGTTCTGTAATAACATCAGCACACCCCAAACCTTGAAGAAACCCATAACCAATTGGAAAAGAAAAAACATACCATGCTTCCCAACAAGTAAGAAAAACCAAATACTCCCCGTCAAATTGATAACCAACGGAACCGCATACGCAGGCGTCCGAAGCAGGTTAATAACAGTCCAAAACACAGAAACAATCTTCCTCCGCACCCAAGACTTCTTCCCTTCCCCGCTCCGCCACGCAGGAATCGGCTGGTCTTCATCCATACCAGCATTCGTCCCTCCCTCATTATCATCAACCACACCGTCCGTATTCATAGTTGCGTCGCGCGTAGAACTCGTACTCCGCCTCCGGACCCCGTCTTCAGATCGATCGAGTAACTCCGCTTCCTCGGGTCCATCTGTGAAACCGGCCGGTTGTGTACGCTGTAACTGTGATGAAGATCTCCCGCGCCCACCATTGGCGGTTCCATTCTTCTCTTCTTGGCGTAAGTTGAAGTCTGCGGCGGCGCGTCGGATAAAGGGGGTTGTGAAGCCCCATGCTACGCCGACGAGGAGGAAGGAGAGGACGTAGTTGAATGTTGAGGGGGCTGGGTCTGGAGGGAGGGTGTCTGGGTCCATTTCTTTTGGTATTGGGGGGTTTGCGAGGATTGAGCTGGAGAATTGGAGTTGGGGTTGGGTTGCGGAGATGGTGATGCATGTGGTTATGGTGGTCTGTGCGTGATCAGATAAGGTTCCTGGTGCGGCGATCTTGAAGGAAGCACGTGATATATTGGGCTAACTAACGCCTTCCCGAATTCCACATCCATTGCTTGCAAAAACTCGCGTCTGAAGGCCCGAAGGGGTGCCCGGTGCAATTACATGACAGATCAAGGAGGGGTCAGGGGATAGGGAGGAGAATAGGAATGGGGAGACTTATGGTCGGACTGTAGCTCGACAGCGTCGTCATCGACGCATCGTCTAGTTCTGGGACACATTAGCGGCCTTCGTTAACGACGCGACGTTTGCCAGGAACCACTGACACAGCTGGGGCAGCGGCGGCGATGGGAGCAGTGGAGGTGGTGCCGCCTGGCACGTAGACATCGCCGTGACGACTATAACGTTCCTCCGTGTATAGTCGTCACAGCCATGTCCTACATACTAGGCAGCACTGCCTCCACTGCTCATTTCTTCGAAGTGAGACCCAATAAGGAAATTGGTGTGACTTGTGGCTTTGTTTGTTGTTTGCATTTCGTTTGAATTTCTGTCGTACGCCGAGGACCTCGTTTTGACTACCTATCCCAGTCGGCGGGAATCCTGGGACCTGGATCATGCAGAATATAACTTACTCTTACTTCAAGTGAAGCATCCACCAGGCGGCTGATACCTATGGACGAACTGTGTATATCAGTTGTCGAGGAAGCAAGGAGTAATTACCTATACAAGCCATTGGCCACTGCAGCTTATAGAATGTCCTTTGATGCATTCATCATGGATCAAACGACTGATTTTCCTCTCCGGTCTGCGGCTGGTCTGAGTGCTCTGCTGAGCCGTCTTTCAGCTTCTACTTCGGTTTGAGATGGACGTCACTACGAAATGTGCACCCCACGATTCGTCGGGACACATTTCACTTGGTCATAACTCATGGTTGACTGAAACCATTCCATGGCTCTTGTAGTTGGTCCCGATCAATTAGCCGACTCACTAGTCAACCCAGGACACTCCATGATCCCAAGTGTCATGTAGGGAGATACCGGAGTGAAAATGGGAGAAGACCAACCGTTTGAGAAAAGGAAGCTGGTGAGTTCTCCATCTACCTTAGACCCTTGTTCAGACACGAAGGCCACTGGATACGAAGTCGTCGTGAAGTGTGACCCGCAAAGCAGCCTCAAAGCACAATGCGACACAGCCCTCCAATACACTCGCCTTAAACGATCCGTTCATGCCCAAGATAGCAGGCGCTTATGTCGTTCCAAGATGTCATATTCAGTGCGCCCCAGGGTGGCTCTTGCGGTTTGCTGGTCTCGTGATTTGTCACGTGCTCTGTCGCGTGCTTTGTCGTGCCCTCCCTCCCTCTCACTTTCCACCCCCCATTATCGGCATCCTGTAGCTTTGTATCATAACTGTACGCCCTCATACTGCACATGTAGAGACAGCCTGAACCTGAACATCGTACCTGTAATAGAGTCTGCGATACACGTTCCCATTTCTTGCTGCAAGCTGATCATTGATATTATAATGCTGCCGCCCGTCACGGAACTATGTAGACTGATCCCGGTCAAGAGCAGTCTTCCCTTGATGAGTTGCATAGATAGCTGTGCCAGAAGTGGTTCGGAAAAGTGCTGCCTAATCCAGAATGACCCTATCCAGCGCGGCTGGGATCACCTCGCCGGCGCTTGCTCCGGACCACATCCTCAGAGGGCTCTCGCCCAATTCGGCGTCGCCTGAATCGCGGCGGCTGGGGTCTCATGACCGGAGCCTTCTCTTTGCCAGTGAGCCAGTGAGGTATATGGACATGGTCAAGAGCTAATGCCCAATTTGGCGTGTGTTCTGCTCGGCGCGGCTGGGAGGTTATGGCCGGAGACTTCTCTTTCCCGACGAGGCATGGATATGGTCGAGAGCTGCCGCCATATTTGGCCAGTCTCCCGCCGTATTTGTTGATACTCATGCGCGTGGACGTGTTGCCTAGTCTGGATCAATGGACATAAATAGAGGATCATCCCCAGTCCAATTCTTTTCTTTCTTCTCCTCCTCCCGTACTCCGTACACACTTTCATCATTGGGCACCTTCTCCTCGCCCATCATCCACAAGGAACGGAGCTCCGATTCTTCTCCGTGTGAGCAGCAATGCGCCTGTTCTTCTTCTGCCTGAATAGCATGAAGCCGAGCAATGAGCCATCGTGAAGTCAACGGTAAATCCGTACAAACAGCACAGGGAGGTGAATATTTTACTCGCATATGGGGCTGTGGTAGCCTCGGAGACCTGTGCATCGCGTGGCCAAGATGGACGAGCTGCGCGCTGCCAAGGAGGGCGCCCGGAGCAACTAGATTATGGAATTATTGACTCTGCTCCGTGTGAGCAGCAAATGATGGAAGTCGGCTCATCTACTCACGGGGATCTGACGGTAGCCGTCGGACGATGAACGGACTCCACCAAAGGCCGAAGTAAGTTAGCGATACCCATCTGAACTCGAACGACATGAACTGGTTGACGGCTAACGTGTTTGCCCTTTGGTATGACAGGTTGGCACATATATGATCGTCGGCTGAGGATAGCCACCAAGGGCTGCTGCATGCCCTGCGCGTCCCAGTACAGTTCACAAACCAGGCTGGACCCACCGAGACTCGTCGTGTGCATGGGCTTTTCAATACCGGCCTCGCTTCAAGACCGTTTGCTCCCAAAGGGTACAAGCCAACTCGCGACCATCACCAGTGACGGCTTGCGGCTTAGCAGCAGCCTCTTCAATGATGCTGTCAAGCTCCTGAATCATGTCATTGTGCTCAGGCGACTCGAGCCAGAGCTGGCTCCAATCTCTGCCCTGACTGAGTTGGCCTGAAACCACATCAAGCATATGTTCAGCAGGGTTGGTCTCAGGCGGGCATGGCGCCCCATGGCGCGAGAAATGGTCTTCGATAGCGGCGGCATTCTCTCTGATGGGACCAAAGTACACAGTCTTGCCGCCTTTAGCCAGAAAAACAATCTGATCGAACTCAGCGAAAAGGTGTGCAGATGGCTGGTGAACGGTGACTAGAACAGCCTGTCCAGCATCTGCCAGTCGGCGAAGGAATCTGGCAGTGTTGTACGCGCTTTGGCCATCGAGACCACTGGTGGGCTCATCCAAGAAGATCAGGATACTGGGTTTTGCAACCAGTTCCACGCCAATGGTCACGACCGCTGGAATGAGACGGGCAGCGGGCGGCCGTCGACCAGGATCGACCCGTTGATAGTACCCTCGGTTTTGCGCTGAGCGAGCAGATCGAGCAGGGCGGTTTTACCGTTCTGCGGTGTCATGCAGCCTCCATCCGCCCTACCGGGCTTCTGGATCATCATGTACCGGGTCTCACCGTTCATATCGAGGAGTACTTGGTCGCCAGTGGGTGTCTTGACGGTGTACGTGAGATTTTTCCATGTCGAAGTCGATACCGGGTGGGGTTTCAGCACACGCACAAGTCAGGTCTCAAGATCTCAGCGAAGCAGCCTCCGCCGCAGCCGAAGACTTCTTCGTGCAAATCTACGAATTCTTCGAACTGATCATCACGCGCTTCTTCAAAAATGGCTACGCCTCCATCGCGCAGATGAGCGGCAAACGCTGGACAAAAGTCATCGGCAGCGTGGCTGCGGGGTCTTCTACCTCATCATCCGGCCCTATATCGAGAAACTCTTCAAATGGATGCATGATCATTGATCGCGACCGTCGCAAGGAGAAGGAAAAGCGCGACAAGGAGAGGGCGCAGTTCGGCAAGGTCAAGATGACGGCTAACTCGCTGCGGCCGGGTGCGGATGATAATGGGAAGGTGCTAGGGGAGGTGGAGAATACGGATGATGAGTTGGAGGATGAGGAGGATATCATGGCGGCTAAAGGGCCTCCAAACGATCGAGAAACACGGAAGACGACTGAGTCAAGAGCAGCTGTCGATGTTGACTGTGCACCGCATCCAAGGAAACGATGCAATTGTGGCATGGCTGTGGAGCTGGCTTCGCTTCGGATTCATCAACGAGGCCGAAGTTGTGCAATTAAAGGAGCACGGGTAAACTTTCGCCGTTCTCTGCAGCCTCCATCCGCCCGATTTTGGATATTCATGTATCGCGGAGCCACCTGGGGTTGATGAACCGACTGAATCCTATCCTCCATATGTTGGTTGAAGACTTTCCGAAGAGCTCATGTGTGGAGCGTGTGGAGTGGGAAAACGACGATTGGCGGGGGCTCGCAATCGAGGAGTTCGTCAAGGAACGCCAGGACCAAGTCACCTGTGAGGCTGTGACCTCGGCCATCGACGACCCACCGCCCCGCACCGCATGCTCATCGGCCGCGGCGGCGATACCCGCCGTGGCATCGAGTCCAAGTTCAACGTCACTCTGGACATCCCCAAGCAGGGGGGGGGGGGGGGGGCGAGGGGAAGTTGGAAATGGTGCCCACTAAGGACGCCTGGCGCAACTTCGGGTTAATGTGGGTGTTTATCCTCTTCAACATCGCCGCATGTCTTTCTCCTGGTGTACGAATGAATGTACATAGTTCTCCATTCTTGGAATTCTCTTACAATTATCGAGTTGAAGAATTCAAGATTCTATATTCAAATCCCCATTTTGCATACAAGAGAAAAGACCCTAAGCCTAGATCGTGACACAAATGCATACATCTATCTCTGCCATACAAATCCACCAGATTGTCACATCGTCGAGTGCCATGCCATACATTCATGGGAAATTGGTAATGAAACGTTATAAAATACCATTTAAAAACAGGGTACATTGGAAAATCATAGGATGGTTAAATGGTTTAGCTCGTGTGCGAGTAAAGGTAAACTTGAGCATCAAGATAGGGAAGGCAGGAGAAAAGTTAATCGCTTCATACAACGGGATGGGAAGGGAAGGGGAAGTTCAGGTAACCTCAATATCGAAAGAGGGAGAGGAAGGGAAAGATGAATAGCATCAAAATGGAAGGAGATAGAGAGGATGGGAGACAAACAATGTCAAGGGAGGAGAAGGGGGAGATGAAGAGCACCAGGATGGGAATATGTGAATAGCATCAAAATGGGAAGAGAGAGAGGTGAGAGGATGGGGATATGTGAATAGCATCAAGATGCGAGAAGGAATTAGGTATGACCTACCAAAGATGAATAGCATCAAAATATACCAAGAGGGTAAAAAAAGGTCCCCATTACCTACCAGTGGGTAGGCACTCCAGACCGCTCCTGGACCATCAGAAAACCCCGGGGGGGCTACGAGGCTTCTCCAATCTTCATCGCCTGCACCTCCACCCTCTGTACTAATCTACGGCCTCTCTCCTAAGTAACGCCGTTCGCTGCGACAGAAGTCCTTTGGGTCAAAGCGCGGAGGGTTTGCCTAGCGTAGTGCTTCGAGAGAGCTTTGGCACAGACGAATCCAACCGGCAGCGGCTAGCAGAGTAGGATCAAGAAGAGGGACTAGCATTAGCCTGGCAATCGTGGTTTCCCATCGAAGGAGCCCTAGACACCCTATTAACCACTAGACCACTGGGGAGGGGGGGGGGGGGGGGGAAAGTTAAATATAAGTACAATTTCCTCCTCATAAGGGAACAAATGGGTCACGGGGAATGTCACTGGGAGTTTTAGATCGGCATCTTGGAGGCCTTATAGGGCGGTTGGGATATTCAAATTTAATACATAGAATCTGGGGATGGCTAGCTACCTGTCTGCGAAGTTATAGATCAATTGCACGCGATATGGTGGTGGTTGATGGGGATATAATGTTCTTGGGTACATCCATCTCGAGACAAACATGAGGCTATTCAGAACACAACCTTATGCGGCTGACATATGACCTCAACCTCGAGGCTGTGGGTTCAATTCCCGACGTTGTCAGAATAATTATTCTTTGAGCGCATACCATTTCCTGGTTTTCAGGAGAATGGAAGAACATTGATACATGACCCACCAGCCAATACAATATCAGAACACCATCAAAGTCCTCTGCCATCCACACCAGTCTTCCCAAGGGCCAGGCCAGTGGCCAAGTCGAGTCTCGCATGCCTGGCTACAGTACGAATACCCACTAAGCCCTCCACGCCTGACTGCAGCCTAGAGTCTAGACGGAGGTCGTTGGACTTCAGTGAAGGACCCGAAGGTAGGTATATGCATTGCCGAATGCACAGCACTCCATGAAGATGGGTCTTCTTCTGAAGTCCGTGATGTCGGTAAAGATGCCGAGTTGACCGGGCAGGTATCACTCGTCGTCCTTTCCTTAATATTCACAATGTCCGCATTGTCCATTGTTCCTGCCATTGTTAAACGTTATCTAACTAGTGGCCGGATAGTCGCTCTAGGTTTCGGGGGTTCGGTGGAGCTGGGCTAACGTTATGGGTGGAAGGATATAGGTGAAGGGTTTGAATTGAATGGCGTGTGATGGATACTAGAAGATGTTCATTGCCTATGGATGTTCGTATGGATACCTATTGAGGTGAGCCTGATCCTTCGCCGAGATATAATCTGTTCTGATATACCTACAATTTCTATACATAGGTTGTTGGGCTTCATGGAAGCCTTAGTTGAAGGAGGGAAAAGATAGAACTCGTTTTGCAGGTTTCCATCTGCAGAACTAAGCAAGAGAGATTGACCAAGACCTCAAGGCATAGTGATATCATACAAGCAAATTGAAGGATCTATTAGACAATATCTATGGATTCTGGTGGCGAACATATTATACACAAGACAATGGAACCTAAGGCAGGAAAGACTGTAGCCCAGCCTCAAGAAAATAACGAGACGAGGACAAGAAAATATAGACAGAGAATGACAAGTATACGCAAGAAGACAGTAACAACAATCAGTTGCCACCCTTCGCCTTCTTCCCAGGAATGAACCTCTTCACAGACTCCTTCAAGTCCGCACTATTCCACTTCTTCACACGAACAAGATAGTACATAAGCGTCGCGACAAAGATATTGAACAAAATAAACGCCCACATAATACCGAAATTGCGCCACCTATCGGAGTACGAAATACCCGCAGTCGCAAGGAACTGATCCGCAACATGCAGAGAGCAGTACTTGCAGTCACTCGTCGCATCACCATTGAGCAACTGGCCCCCAGCAGCAGTAACGTACTTCTCCAAGTATTGGAAGCAAGTCTGGCCAGATGGCGGATTGAAAACAGCCAGTTCAGCAGGGGAACATACGATCTGTCGATTGTGCACCTGTGTCCCTGCCATACCGCCAATCCAGTAGGTAAATGGCGAGACGCGGTACATGAAGATCCAGAAGCCCGGTAGGGCGGATGGAGGCTGCATGACACCGCAGAAGGTGAGGGACATGGCGAAGAGGAGGACGACGACTGCGCTGGCGGTTTGTTCGTCTGGTAGACCGGCGATGACCATGTGGGTGAATGTGCTGGCGTAGATGAAGAAGACGATGCAGAAGAGGAGGACTGTGCCTTGTGTTGTCGAGTCTGGGATGCCGACGACGGCGTAGAAGTAGCTGCCGTAGGTGAGGACGCCCATGACGATCATGTAGGGGATTTCGACGATGATGTTGGCGACTAGGAAGGCTTTCCAGGAGTAGGATTTGCTGGGGCGTTCGCGGCCTTCGTAGAGGGAGCGTTGGCTGACGAAGACGGGCATGATCTGAACAGATTAGTATGTGGGTTTTAGTTGAGAAAGTGCAGGGGGACATACCTGTTGTGCTAGTGAGGAGAAGATGGTGCAGATCATGAAGAGGGAGTAGATGATGGTTTGCATGCCCTGAAGAGATGCCTTGGCGTTGTAGAAAGAGAAACCGATGAAGAGACCGGAAGCAATTCCGAGCCCCCATTTCGCTAGAACGTAGGATGGCATGCGCCAGTACTGCTGGAAGACGCGGTATGTGACCTGGGTGAGCTGGAACCAGAAGGGCATGGCAAATTCAGAGTGACTCCGTGCGGAGTCGTCTTCGTCAGGCAATGCATCTGCTCTTTCCTTGTGGATGCGATCGATTTCTGTCTGAACTTCCGCGCATTCGTTGCTCTTTTTCCACACGTCGAACCAGTCCTCGCCCTTGCTGTTCTGGCCGGCGTTGACGATACCCAGCATGTACTCGGCGGGGTTTTCGTTATCAGCACACTTGCGCGCGCCGTTGGATTCGAAGTACTCGAGCATTGTGCTGGAGTTTTCTCCAACCGGGCCAAAGTACACGGTCTTACCGCCTCGGGCGAGGAACAGGAGTTGATCGAATTGTTGGAAGAGCATGGCGCTGGGCTGGTGGATAGTGCAGAGGACAGCTTGGCCGTGCTCGGCTAGCTGGCGCAGGAATGAACAGATAGCCCAAGAGCTTTGAGAGTCGAGACCACTTGGAGAATAGTCAGTATTTGATAACAATTAATGCCGTTTGTATGAGGTGCTTACCTGGTAGGCTCATCCAAGAAGAGTAGTAGCTTGGGTTTGGCAGCTAATTCGACACCGATGGTCAACAGCTTGCGCTGCTCAACGTTCAAACCCTCGCCCGGGACACCAACAATAGCCTCAGCGAACTCTTCCATCTTCAGCATTTTGATCACATCCTCCACATAGTCGTACTTCTCCTGAACCGAGACGGTGGCTGGCTGACGCAGCATAGCACTGAACCGCAAAGACTCCCGCACGGTAGAGGTATCGAGGTGAAGATCCTGCTGCTGGACATAACCTGTCTTTCGCTGGAAACTATCATCCAACCCACGGCCGTTGACAAACATGTCACCAGTGATGACACCCATAGATGTGCGGTGAGCCAATACATCAAGCAAGGTCGTCTTGCCAGCACCACTGACACCCATCAGGGCAGTGAGAGTTCCAGGCTTGACCCATCCAGAAACGTTATCCAAGAGACGACGGGGCTCGCCCTTAATCTCGATATCATACGACACATCGCGCCAGGTGAAGGTATCGGTCTGAGCCTGGATGGCACTCATTCCCTTCTGATCGCTGCCAGCTGCGGGCTGGGCTTTGGCCTGCTCAGTGGCTTCAACATCAGATCCAGACTTAGGACCCTGGCGGAGGCTGGCGGGTTCGTGACCGCGACGGAAGACCAGAGCTTCGGCAGTGCTGGTGGTAGATGAGTTCAGCTCGCACGCGATGAAGTAGATAAGCATGAAGCCGACCAAGAAGGCCATGAGGATACCAAAGTTACGCCAGACGTGGCTGTAGCTGTAGGAGTAGTTCAGTTGAATGTACCGGTCGCCATTGACTGTTCTAGAGCCTGCGACTGAACCTGCTGCAGAACAACTGAATGAATTCCCTGACAAGTCGGCGTAGGCGGGAACAAAGGACGAACAGGGGAACTCGCGGCCATGGAACTCGTTGGCGATCAGGATCTCAAAGGCGTAGTAAATCGGGTTGAGATAATGGATCCATTCGAACCAGGGATGCATGGATGGGACAGGGAGGACAAAACCGGTATACACAACGAGGGCCAGGATCATGACACCTGCCAGACCCATAGCCTGTGAGATGGTCTTGGTAACAGCGGCCAATGTGCGGAAGATGGCACTCATGACGAAGGTGATGACAAAGGTGATTAGGAAGTAAATGAAGAAGTTGGAGGCTTCTCGCTTCAGACCGGCAAGGAAGTAGAGAATGATGTTGAACACAACCGACAATGCAAACTTCACGGGTATATCACTTAGAACACCGGCAATAGCTTCGGTAGCAGGGTGATAGAAGGCAAAGGAAGCATGTTTTTCGACAATTGGGCGTTGCGAGTAGAGACTGTTGATTTCAGACATCGCTGTGAGGGCATTGAGGAGGACGGCGAAGAACAGAGTTGCACCTTTGGATTGGAAACCAGCAGTTGCATTTGGAGTTCCAAAGAAGACTGATCCGATGATCAAAGCCATGATAATATTAGTGAGAATCACGGAGATCGTCGAGGCAGCGTCATTCCACAGCCGTTGGTAGGCACGAATGGTGTTGAGCTTGATTTGCATGGGAACACTGATCATATATGGAGACTTAGGCCTGGTGTGCTTGGCCTGCGCCTCACGCTTCCGTTCCTGCAAAGCAGTGAGGGCCTGCGAATCCTGTCCAACGGGGTTACTTCCTTCGTAGGCAGTGATATCATCCTGCAGTTGCTTGTATTCAGGCGACTTCAGCCACGCGGCCTCGAATTCCTCCGGTGTACGAGGAACACGATTCTCCATGCCGGGCTTAGCTTTCCGCTCTTGCGGGTTTGTCACTGAGGTGAGGAAGTCTCCGGTAGTCTGTCGAGCAGGGCAGTCCCATCCTTGATTCTCAAAGTAGGCCTTTGCCCCGGCAGCAGACCCGAAGAAGACTTGGTGGCCTTCGTAAAGCACAATCACCTTGTCAAAGACATCGTAGATACTTTGACTTGCCTGGTAGGCAGCGACTGCATGGCAAGAACCAGTAATATCAGCGGACAAACGCAAAGCCTCGACGAACTTCAAAGCCGTCGCGGAGTCCAAGCCTCGGGTGGAGTTGTCCCAGGCAGCAATTGGAGCATGGGCCAAGGCCATTTCAGCAATGGAGACACGCTTTCGCTCACCACCAGAAACACCGCGGATGAAGTCATCTCCGACGCGGGTATTGTACGTATGGCTCAACCCAAAGACAGCCATGATGATTTGGGTCAAATATTTGGCGAATTCAGTGCGCGACATGTCTTGGAACCGATGGGCGGGAGTTCGTGTTGCGGCTGCAAATTCCAGGGTCTGGCCAACAGTCAAATGAGGGAAATGTCTATCAACCTTTTTGAATGAAAGTTAGTATATCTTCTTCGTCGTCCTTGGCTGTGAGAACGTACCTCTTGGTTATACACAAGTTCGCCCTTGAACTCTTTCATCATGCGAGATTGAGGGATGCCTAGCATTTGTTAGCTCAATTACTCCAAATCCATGGAGTTGCAGTCTTACCATTGTAATGAATAACACTCTCTGGGTCCAAATTCAATCCATGTAACTCTCCAGTCATAGACTTCAACAGTGTACTACAGCCAGCACCGGGCCGACCCAGCACAAGCAACAGCTCACCACTTTTCAACAACCCACTGAAATCCTTGAGAATGCGCCTTTGCGGAGAATGCGAATGGCGAATGATCTGAGGCAACCGAAGAGGAGCTGTGAGGGCCGATGTGACTGTGTTCTGAAACTGCAGCGCAGCGCCGGATCCATACACGTTCAGTTTCTTGAAGAGTACGTCCGCCGTGTGTCCAGGCCGGCCATCGCGACTGATATCGGTGATTGCGGCTTTCAGCCACTTTCGCAAATCGAATTTTCCCGACTGGGGGTCGAGCGATGGATCTTGCTGGGCGAGGACAGCTAGCTTATCTGTTGTACCGGGTGTCGATTGTCGGCGCGAGCGCTGAGTGGCTATCCTGGTAAGAGTCTCTACATCGACTTGGTCGATGAGTGCCATAGGCGAGTCATCAAGCGTCGATGTATCACCATCGCCGGTATGGGGCCGACTTGGAGCATATTCGTCCTTCACCTCAATTGAGTTGGTCTCCGATGCCATCTTGTCGAGACAGAATTGGCAATGGGCATGGAGATTAGAAAAAAAGGTATAAAAGTGATTCCTGGGGGAAATTCTTCCGAGAAAGGGGACGACCAGGTACTTTTAAAGCCTCGGCTCGATTTGTGGACTAGATTTGAATCGCCGTTTTGGGATGACATTTTCCACTGTAATGGAACGGTGGGTCCCGTCGGAGTCGGAGCAGCGAGAATTGATGCACAAGTGGAGTTGATCTCTGCAATCATTGACCAATTATTTGATTTATGGATCTCGGAGCCTGTCTCAACTCTCACCCAGCTCCGTGGGTCGTACAAGGGAAGGGCAGTTTATGCTCGCAAGATGTCGAAGTCTATTGATAGCCCTATTAGCCCATCGATCGACACCATCGGCGATGCCGCCAAAAACCCTAAATTTTAAAATTTCCGTGTCCCGAGCCCCGTACCGGGTTCCGGCTTAACGACGGAGCTTCTAGAGTGTCCAGTGTGCACATCCGCCAGATCGGGAGGTTAAGTTTGAATCGGCCGAGGCTCAATCCTCCCGGGCTCCTTGAAAGCCCAAACCCGTCTCGGGTCGGATCTCAATCATTCCGCCAAGAAGTTGGGTGGAGGACGTCATATTCTGTAATCGGTCGCGATTCTTGGCACGAAATTCTTGGCACTTCTGCCTTCCCAGGACAGGGCTGGAGCTTGCCATATGGCCCATTAAGGAATATCGTAAGATCTCTTGAATGCTTCAATAGTATGTTAGTGTTCTTCTTGTGTACGAATAGGTAGGTACCGGTGTGATCATAATGCCCAATATCATAGAGACTGCCAAGGTGCGTTATTGACCGGAGAGTTCGATTTGGCTTCCTCGTTTTTCGGCTCGGGAGCACATCGGCCCGCCGGATTTTCTTCACGGATCAAAATAAACTCCGATAGATGCATATCTCGTCTTATGCACAATGTGCATAGCTGCCAACGGTTGATCCGGGCGAATTATGCCATGGTGTGCCTAATCTACCTCTTAACATATGCTTCATTACGGAATACAAGATCTTCATCCGAGCCGACTTTTAGGCGGGTCATAGATTAGCATGTGAATATTCTTCTATCTTGCGTGCCCCTATTTTTTCTCTCCGAATGAGATATGAAAGATAGCGGCATCAATTTGACTATTGATCTCCCCTTCTTACTTCGGCTCGGGTCTACCGCTAGTACATGAATAGATAGTGGGTCCATTGGCCATCACTAGGCAATACATAGGCATGGGATCGCCGTTATGTCGGAAGTTTACAAACTGAGCTTATCTTCAGGAAAGTCGTCCCTGATAAGTTTGGATCTCAAGTGATACAACTAGGAGCGAGGCGAACTCGGACTTGATGGGAGCCACACGGCCCAATATCAGTCGAAGTGTTTCATCCTCAGGATACGGTGATCTCATATACTGTACTACTGGCGTCCACAAAGTATACTTTAGCTTTTTCCCCGCACGGCTCGATGTCACGGGGTCAAGGTTATGATCACGAGTCAAGAGGCAGATCTGGAAGTATAACAGCGGAGGGCTTGAGGCTGGCTTGGTCCCTCGAAGACTGGTCCTTCATAAACCAACATCATAGGTATTTCATACGCTCGCGCGCAGAGTAGCCGGAGGAAGATGAGATGAAACAGAAAGAAGACGCCTTCCATTCCGTTCATACCATGCTGAAAGAGAGTCCCGACCCCTACTGTAAGTTCATGGCATGGTGGATCGTTCCCGACCTTTCTATCCAATAAACTAGAACCAAGCTTCCCAGGACGATGCAGGCGACCGTTACAGGCTGTTCCATAGGATCTCTTTCACATCGAGGCTCATAAACAAGGTGGAACCAGAGAACCACAACCTGTCTGGTCTGGATCGAAACCGGATTCCACTCAACGCGACATCAGCGGCTGCGGGGCAGATCGGCGGATTCCGAGGATAATAACATTAACAACAGCCTCCCCAACAACCTACTCTATTTCCCCTCCATGACCTTGCAGTTATCATCCCCACCATGGCCATCCAGTCACTGCGCGAAATCAACGCGTACAATCTACGCACCTTCAAACGCCACTATGTCTCAGAGATCTCCGGATCGCTTGGCGATCTGGGAACATTCCTGCCAATCGCCATCGCGCTATCCTTCAACGGCACCGTCTCCCTCGCCAGCACGCTGATATTCTCGGGAATATTCAATATTTTAACCGGGGGATTCTTCGGTATCCCATTACCAGTCCAGCCAATGAAGGCCATCGCCGCCGTAGCTATTGCGCGTAGCTTCTCAAATGGCACGATCGCTGCAGCGGGCATCTTCGTCGGTGCTTGTCTACTCCTCTTCAGCTTAACGGGTATCCTGCACTGGTTCGCCAGCGCGATTCCAATTCCAGTTATAAAGGGTATCCAAGTCGGCGCAGGGTTATCCCTCATCATCGCCGCCTGTAACAGCATGCTCCATCCCCTCGGCTGGACCTACCCGTCCTGGGCGGACAACCGTATCTGGGCGATTGCTGCCTTTGTTGCGCTTCTACTCACCAATGTTTATCGTCGAGTACCGTATGCACTTGCAGTGTTAGCCCTGGGGTTGGGACTTGCCGTGATCCGCACGACAGTCGCGGGTCATATGCCCGCTTTCGAGTTATGGCAGCCCTTCACTGTGATTCCGACAAGACATGAATGGCGCATCGGCGCTGTTGATGCTGGTATTGGTCAAATTCCGCTTACTACGCTCAACTCTGTTGTGGCGGTTGTGCATCTGGCGAATGATCTGCTGCCGAACGTGCATACTCCGTCAATCACACATATCGGGCTGAGTGTGGCGGGCATGAACTTACTGGGCTGCTGGTTTGGCGCGATGCCTGTATGTCACGGCTCGGGTGGTCTAGCAGCACAGCATAGATTTGGAGCTCGTTCGGGATCAAGTGTGATCTTCCTTGGCGTGTTGAAGCTTATTATTGGATTCTTCTTTGGAGAGACCTTGATCGATTTTCTTAGGCGTTTTCCTACTGCTTTCCTCGGTGTGATGGTCATTGCGGCTGGATCGGAGCTGCTTAGCGTCGGTGAGAGCCTCAACACCACTGGTGCTCGGGATCTCACGCAAGCCGGTTCTGGCCTTCTCGCTCATACGCAGCAGCATCTTGGTCCTATTCTCACGGACGAAGAACGCTCTCGTCGCTGGACTGTCATGATGGTCACTGTGGGATTGTTAGTAGGGTTCAAGAACGATGCGATTGGCTTCATTGCCGGTATGCTTTGCCACTGGGCGTATGAGATTCCAGAGTGGTTGGAAAGAGGGCGCAGCCGCTGGTCAGAGGGACGGTTGCGTCTACAAGAGTGAACATTGATGGATATAGCCCCACCCAATACCCTTTACGTATATGCATGGACGAAATACACACCAAATATTCCCCTTTCAATTTTTGTATATAGCAATATGTGAATGTCAATACTTACCAACTTTCCAATACCAAGGTCATCCATACCTAAAGCACCACATCCGAAACATTCACATCACTCTCTCTCCTCAGCCTCGTCCCCGTATAAGGATCCTCATACTGCCGATTCTCCCTCGTCGACGAAGTAGTCCTCCTCCCCCCAGAACCCCTCTCCTGATGCCTCCTCGTCACACCCCCAACATCATACTCCGGTTGCTCCTCATAAGTCCCCGTCACGGAGTCATAGACCCTACTCCCCAGCGGTGAAGTAGCCGAATTAAACGTATTGTCCTCGCCGGTCCCATCCATGAGTTGAGCCGCCGAACCACCCATACCAGCCAAGACTTCAGATGGGGGATTTGAGACATTGTCTTCTAACTCTTCGATCCGCCGCACTCCGCCTGCAGAAGTCCCACCCGCGGGCCCCGGTAGTGCCAGCGTTTCCTGGCCAGTGTTGTCGTAGCGTCGCTCTTCAACGACTGCTGGTTGACCCAGTTCTTGTTGGGCGGTGCGCACGATTGTTGTGCCGTCCGGCTCGGTTCTAGAGGTTGTTGAATACCTGTGACCGGTTGTAACCCTGCCGTCGCTGCCGTTTGTTGTGGAACTGAAGTAGTAGGTGGAGTTCGTGAAGGAGTCGGAGTCGGACATCGTGGTAGACAGTCGCGCTCGGTGGGATGGTTTTGGCTTGTTTTCTTTAGTTTCTTGTTATAGGGATGTTTTGGTATCAAACCTTGGAGGCTTCAATGTTCGTTTGGTTGTAGATTCGATGTTTTTGCGTGAGAGGCTGTCATAGACACTGTACAGTTGTATTCGATGGATCTATTCAATCTGTCCATTTCGATATCCTTATATAGTTCATGTTCCTCTTCCTGTGGCAAGCCGGACTTGCCTCTCGCCTCCTTGCCTCCTGCGGCAACAAGCCTCTATGGCAGAGGCAAAGACCCATCGGCATCGCCGGAGGGTCTCGAGGTACCCCACAAATCTCAAACCAGGGACAACAAGCCCTTTGACCCCGCAGCCGTTGTCCATCGAAGTCCCAGGCCCCAGGGCCCAGCCAGGCACGGATAAAGCCCAGATAAGCCACCGCGACGGCGGGGTCCGACGAACGTATCAAACCCGCTTATCATCACGTTCCCCGCTTATCGTCACGTTCCCCGCTTTTCCACTCAGCCAAACCAGCCTCCAACTCTGGACATTCAACCAACAACACAACCCTCATGTCCGGACTCACGGAAACCCAACTCGCCTCCTTCAAGGAAAACGGGTACCTCGTTCTGCCCGACTACCTCAGCGCCGAGGAGGTAACCTCCCTCCTCAGCGAGACCAACAAACTCCTCAACGACTTCCCACTAGAATCCCACCCCCTCACCCAATTCACAACCGGCGATGAATCCGCTGCCCATGTAGGCGACTCCTACTTCCTCAACTCCGGCGACAAGATCCGTTTCTTCTTCGAGCCCGATGCCTTCAGCACAGAGCCGGACCCACTAACCGGGCGTCCGGCTCTACTGAAACCCAAAAACCGCGCCGTCAACAAAATCGGCCACTCGCTGCACACCCTCTCGCCGCCGTTCAAGGCTATCTCGCTGAACGAGCGCAACGCCGCTGTTGCACGCTCGCTGGGGTTCGTCGATCCCCGCGTGCTGCAGAGTATGGTTATCTGCAAGCAGCCTTCGATTGGCGGGGCTGTGCCGTCGCATCGGGATTCGGAGTTCTTGTATACTGATCCGCCGTCGGCGGTGGGGTGGTGGTATGCGTTGCAGGATGCCGGGCCGGTTAATGGGACGCTGGGTATGTACAAGGGGTCTCATACTGGGAGGAAGGGGGGACATATAACTAGGAGGTTTGTGAGGAAGGAGAGTGGGGGGACGGAGTTCGTTGAGAATACTGGGCCTGCGCTGCCGAGGGGCATGGAGGAGGAGAAGAGTGAGGAGGTTGATGATTCGGAATTAGAGATTCTGGATATCAAGGCTGGGTCGCTTGTGCTTATTCATGGGAATGTCTTGCATAAGAGCGAGAAGAACACTAGTCTGAATAGTCGGTATGCCTATACCTTCCATGTGATTGAGGGCGCAGAAGGGTGGGAGTATGATGGGCGAAATTGGTTGCAGCCGCCTGCTGGTGGGTTTTCGAAGTTGGAGGCTTGATGCCAGATAGCTAGAAGGCACAGATAGAATACGAATGAATGATGTTACGCTCAATGATGGTAAATAGTTCGACTTTTATTTCTTTATGCAAATCCTGTACAAAAGATGGCCCGCCATATACACCGAGTGTGCGAATCCCAGACACCCCGAACTCCAAGTTGCGATTCAAGACGGAACAATCAGGTTGCCTTCAACATGTCGAGCATTCCCTTTGTTTGCCATGCTTGTTGGGCCATCTCCACTTCTTCGCGGACACGGCGGTGCAGACGCTCAATCATCTTATCAACCTGTGCGGATTGGCCCAGGTTACCGGAGTAGATATCGAGGAGGTTCATGGCGACCTCGACGGTGAGGTTGACAAGGCGGGGTTCACGGATGTTCTTGTGAACCCACTGCAGGACAGGCTGGAGAGAAACCTCATCGCGATCCTTCAGGGAGGCGCGAAGGGCAGAGCGGTGGCGCAAGGCCGTGAGAAGTGTGAGCTGGGAGGTCTTGTCGCCTGAGGAGAGGACCTGGTCCAATGCAACAGAGTAGCGTGCCTTGCGGAGATCGTTCTCCCAAGGTTGTTCTCTCTTGCGCTTCTTGCGGTCTTGGCCCTCGATGACGATCTCTGCACCTTCTCCGATGAAGTCCCGTCCACGCAGACGCTTCTCCCACCCAGAACCACGCGCCTTCTTCTTCTTAGCAACCTCCCGGTCGTGTTCCTCCAACTTTCCCTCCAGCAAAGCTTGCATTTCTTTCCGGCGTTCTCGCTCCTTGATCTTCTGTTGACCAGACAAGCGGGTCTTGATGGACAGAAGACCTGACTGCATACCGACGGCGATGTGCTTATCCTCATATTCGGTCCCGGACGTGATAGCGCGCAGAGAGAGAATGGGCGAGGGGTATTTAGATCCAGAAACGGGGTTCCACCCAGTCGTCTCAAAGACCTTCATGTGTCCATCGAGCGCACCACTGAGCAATCGCTCGCCATTAGAGGCAAGCGCAAGAGACGTGACAGTCTTCTGGTGGCTCTGAATCATGTGCAATGGCCTACCAGCCACGATATCCAACACGGCAATCTTGTTGTCGGCCGCGGCCAGAACGGTAGTTCCGGAGGGCATGGGCAGAACGGTCTCGATGGGTGCACCCATCTTGAAAGTCATAGCGGCACGGTTGCCGACACGAGGATCCCATAACCGGACAGTGCGATCATACGAACCCGAAACCACCAAACCAGACGAAGCCATCGAGCCCGGCATGAATGCACCGCTACGCACGTAATCGCTGTGACCGACAAAGGTGCGCGCGCTGGATTGCGAGGGCAAATCCCACAACCGCACTGTTCGGTCGTCACTGGCCGTGAGAACAGCCGTCGGGTCGCTGGGCGAAAATTTGGACACCCAAACGGACTGCTTGTGGTCTTTCCATGTCTTGAGAATGGCGCGCGACTTAACGTCGAAAACTTGCACGGAGCCGGTGTCGTCACCAGTCACCAAAACACGGCCATCTGGACGGATGTCGGTGCCACGCACAGTATCCTCGAACCGCGTGATTGTCCGCAAGAGTTTCCGTGTGCGAATGGAATAGATCTGAACGCGAGCGCCGGTTGTCACGGTGAAGACATCGGGTGGCTGTGTAAGAGAGGGGAATGCCGCAGCAGAGGAGGGAACGGAGGGCTGAGTGATGAGGTTGACAGGTCCATTGGCCGGTGAGGGGATCAGGAGCGGGTTCTTAAAGGTGCGCCAGTATTGTTGCTCGGGCGTTAACTGCGTCGAGGGTAATGAGGCGAGCTTGACCTGCTGCAGAGGCAGGACGGGCGCCGCCATATTTGCAGTGGTGGATAGACAGTAGTCGGTCGGGGGGTATTAGTTGGGTAGGCGACCCACGATGGTCAACGGTATGGTGAAGTCGAGTCGACTAGAGTGCTATCGTGAAGTTCACGAAGACCATCTTTTTTCTGCCGATCAAAAAAGTTCGTCTCGCCCGATTGGGAATGGCGGCGGTAGCTGTTGCCGCCTGAGGCATCAAAAATGCGAATTTTCTGCCTCAGGCCGCAGGGCGAAAACCCAAAGTCACTCCGCCCGCAATAATAACATCCCCGGCTCCAGTCTGGACCACGCATCTACGGTAATACATAGCCTGGCTTTCAGCTGAGGCTATCTTGATGAAAACCGACCTGGAAAGACTTAGGCATGATATTGTACTCAGTAACCCACGATTCTGAGCTGCCGGCATGGAACTGTTATGAGTATCTATTTACCCCTGGTCTTCATCACATAGCAGTATCCCCTCCGCACGTGTTTTCTATGCCCTCCAGGCAGATCCTCGACTTGGATCCCTTTGTCGATTGGTTTCAGGCTCTATCCTCGGGAGCTCATGTTCTCAGTGGCATGGCCTTTCCCCATGGTTTAGCGGGTGGTTAACCGGCTCAAGATCTCGGAAGAGCCCTCTCTCTATGGTTCTGGTGTAAGAACTTTACTGTGTACAATGACCGATCCACCCAGACTATTATGTCAGTTGGATATTGGGGGAGTTTGAGCCTCGCTGATATCCATGCTATCAGTCAGTTGCGGGATCAAAGCAACTGACTGATAGCATGGGTATCAGCGAGACTCAAACTCCCCCAACATCTCAATGTTAGGGAACAACCAAGAGCCAAAAAGCGGCAGGCGCTGCCACAACAGGCCCAGAGCGAAAACCAAAGTACTCTGGGCCAACACAGCAAGGAGATTCACGTGCCACATATCAGCACTAGAGCTTGCTTTCGGTGAAAAGTGTGACATAGTCTGCATCCAGGAACCCTGGACTGCACGCGGGACCAAGACACAGACGCACCCGGGGTTCGACTGGTTCGCCCCAGTCGACGAGTGGGACGGCGAAGACTGGTCGAGTAAGAGACCCCGAGTCCTCACCTACGTGAGGAAAGACCCGACCACCGGGGCCCAACAACACCGACCGGTCGCGACACGGGACATGCTCTGGCTGACGGTTAACGGACGAAAGGTGCTGAACCTGTACAGGGAGCCAACAACACCTGAAGTCATCGACTACCTAACGAGCCTAGAACCCGAGAACAACTGCCTGGTGGGAGGAGATGTTCTCGGGTTCTAGGCTCGTTAGGTAGTCGATGACTTCAGGTGTTGTTGGCTCCCGCAAGGCACGACACGTTCGAACCCGGCGCCGAGAGCCTTCACGGGGGAGGTGAGATTGCGAGGTGGGCGGCCTTGAGCGGAATGAGCTACATCGGGGAACCTGGCGTACCCACACACCAGGGAGGCCACGTCCTCGACCTCACCTTCACGAACATCCCGTTCGCCACGACCGAGGTTAGGGACGACCTTCACACTGGCTCTGATCACGAGACACTGGTCACGACCATCCCGGGGCGTAACAACTCTCCCCTGGAGCAGACCAACTATCGGGTAGCGGAGAAAGACCTGCCAAAGTTCGCGAGCCTGGTGGCGGGTGTTATGATGATGCCGATAACGTTTCAAACAAGAAGAGTATAGCATTTAAACTAGATTATCAAAGGTGGAAGAGAAACAGAAGGATGAAGACAAGTGAAAGATGATGGGCTGATGCAATCATGCTACGTCATCAGTATCCTAACACATCCCTGAGATCCTCCCTGTGGACTCTTCTCATCTGAGTTGTAAACCTATGTCACTAACTCGTGACATCACCCCCCTAAAAGAAATGATCTGGTCCCTCAGATTGTGGCATCCAAGTCGCTTTCGCTATCGCTGGCCTCGGCGGCGGTTAGCATAGCTTGTATCGCTCCGATTTCCATCCGATCGGAGTTGTGACCATTCGAAGGAGTTGGTGCGCTCGAATGGTTGGTGAAGGAGTAGCCCGTGAGTTGCTGGACTATCTTGAGGAATTCTGGGTATGTTCGCGGTAGATTCAGCTGCTGAGTGAGGCGGTTACGCATTGTAGCTTGAAGGCCTTCTCGGAAGGCTGAGATCTTCGTGATATCCGGCCAATGCTGGCCTCTGGCCTCGTAAAGGAGACGTTCAAACTTGGCAATATAAGCGGCGAGGGACTCGTCGACGCCTTGTCGAACGGAAAGGAGGCGGTCCTCTGCCTCTTGAACTTTATTCGGATTGTCATATACCCGACGAAGTTGGTCAAGAATGGTCTGATAGTCGTGGCTGTCGTTGTCACGCGCAGTTGCGAGCTGCGGCAAAACCATTGCTTGGACCTGGCTCGAGAGATTCATGTAAACATGATAGAATTGTGCTGTCGAATCTCCAATAGCTGGTCCGTCAATGGCGAGCTTTGCGCGGATGGCAGCATCCCACGTGTCATATTTGACTATCGCACCATGAACTTTTCTGGATCGGGAAGCGAGGGTTTTGGTCGCTTCGATGAGGAGGATGAGCGGTGTTGAATCTGCTCGGTTTGACTTTGAACCCGTTGAAGGTCATCTCGGAGACTTTGGATCAGATCGAAGAGCTTCGGAATAGTATTACCAGCGATGTCGCTCGGAGACTTTGGATCTGAGCGCGAAGGATGTCGATAAGAGGTGTGACCTGGCGATCGACATCGCTGGTAATACTATTCCGAAGCTCTTCTATCTGATCCATTTTGATGAGATGACCTTCAACGGGTTCAAAGTCAAACCGAGCAGATTCAACACCGCTCATCCTCCTCATCGAAGCGACCAAAACTCTCGCTTCCCGATCCAGAAAAGTTCACTGGTGCGATGGTCAAATATGACACGTGGGATGCTGCCATCCGCGCAAAGCTCGCCATTGACAGCCCACAGGTCGGGGCGAGGAACGTGGGAGACCGCTTTACAACACGGGTTGCTTTCTGAGGAACGGGGCCGTGTAACTAATGATACTGTAGTTAGTTATTATCTAGTTTAGACCTAGTCTCAGCTTAGCACGTCTACATGCCCCATTGGAGGCCTAAGGCAACCGGGTTCTCACCCCGCGGCCGCCGGATGTTAAAAATCGCAGCAACAACAACAACCCAGACTATTATTAGAGCTGATGGCTATATATGGTGTAGGCTTCCACATAACTATTGCCCATGTCATAACTAGTTGACGTTAACAATAGCCAAGCCGGCGGGGATCAGTGAATCCACTGAGGCAGTGGGGCAGGCAACATCGTTATGGAAGAATGGAAGAATCTTCGGCCAAGCAGGGGATGGTGAGAGTCGAACAAGGCAGTCTCACAGTCTCACTACTGTGTAGTATTCCCAATGTACGGAGATCAGATGCAGCACGGAGAATTTGCATGCTGTGCACCGTACAATGCAGATTGTACAACGCCAGCTGGATGTCCAAGTCTGTGAGTGGTCGCCATGGCAATCCAGTGGGGGAAACGGAGATCCATGCAGCTCAACACCCTAAAGGTGGGGAGCCGCGATCGCTACCGTACAGTAGTTTATGGTAGTTTGAAGCCTCGGCGCAGCTGAAACCGGATTCAGATACAAGACTATACAAGACAAAAACATGACGATCTTGTCTGGGCCATTCGTCAATCGGCAGTTTATGCCCTGTCCCACCAAGAATGCACGAGTTCTGAGTTCGCGGTGGCTGGGGCACCGATTGAGTTACGCCGATCCACAGCATGTGGAATGTCGGACTGGGGTTGGATGGGCGGGCTTTGAATGGCATCATGCAATATAAAGCAATATCCGCAATGTACTGAGTGCGTCAATATTTCTGGGGTGGTAATAAGACGACGTATCCATCGTATTCATCGTAAAGATGATCATCGCAAAGTGATCTGAGATTTGTTTACTTTCCACCCCGATGATGCAAGGTTTCTAAGTCTTATCCTCTACCGTGGAAATCGCCCAAGTCCAGACGCCGCCGCCAGGGGTAACGACCAATCAACGTCCCCTATCTGATACACCCCAGCCACCCCCAATACGTGCAACATTCCACTTGAGCCCTTATCTTTTTCCTTTTCTCCCCTCTTTCTTCCTTCTTCCGAGACACTGGCTGATGTCTTCTGCATATATTCGGTATATCCAATAAGCAGGAACCTTGACCATGTCGAAAATATCCAAGATCAATCATGCGGCGGGCATCTTCGCCGACATCTCCGTCGATGGCCCAATTATCGGCACCTTGGTCTGTGTCATTGACCGAGCTAAGAACCTGCCCAACAGGAAAACGATGGGCAAGCAGAATCCATATGCTGCCGCACGATTAGGGAAAGAGGCAAAGAAGACACAAACAGATTTGCGAGGAGGACAGACTCCGCGATGGTGAGCATTTGAACTGGTACATGCGGAGATGAGACGATTGAAGCTAACTTGGTTAGGGATTCCGAACTCCGATTTACCGTACACGAATCCCCAGACTACTTCAAATTGAAGGTTTCGGTTTTCAACGACGATAAGAAGACTGATATGATTGGCGAAACCTGGGTTGATCTACAGAACCTGATCATTCCAGGCGGGAGCCAGAACGATCATTGGCACCCGCTTCAATGCCGTGGGAAATATGCAGGAGACATTCGAATTGAAATGACATACTATGATACCCGCCAACAAGATGAGGCCATCATTGGACGCCGACAAGAAGCCGCAGATAGGGTTCAAGGCAAAATCTCAAGTACTCCTAGCAGTGCGAACACGGGCCTGTCTGGTCCTCGACAATTGAAAGACGTCAAGCGACGGCCATTGCCCAGCGGTCCACCAGGCGCCCCGGTCCGGCCTGCACCTCTGGAACATGCTCAGTCTGCCCCTGTACTTCACCACCCTGTACCATCAAGGCCGGCCATTCCCGACCATTCACACACACTTCCCGGGCCTCCAGATGTCGTCTCCCACGCATCGAGACATCCAGAGCCAGTCTATGAGGCACCTTCTCATCCCGAACCCTCCCCTCTCCGGCCCCGTTCACGGAGTGGATATGATGGTCCTAGTGAACATCATCCACCGGAATGGGACAACTCAGCCATGGCTCCTCTTCGCCGACAGAATACCCACGAATTGCCTTACGCCTCTAATGAAGCCACTGAAACCCCATACGACCCGCGCCTACAGCAACAGCAACAACTGCGGAGTTACGCCTCTAATGAAGCCACTGATGCGCCATATGACCAGCATCTACAGCAACAGCAACAACTGCGGAGCTCCTCCAATCATGACCAACCACCTTCAAGAGATTATCGGGTAGCCAGGCAAGATCAGCATGAGAATGTCCACGATCTTGCAAATCACCATTCCTTGCAACAGGAGACATATGCTCAAGCTCAAATACAGCAACCTCGATACAACCCAGATCCCATGTCATATGGGGCCGCCCATGTGTATGAGCTCCCAGGGTCAGACTTCATGTCTTCCTCTCCAGCGCTGGTGGATGACCTGAGATATCACCAGCCCAGCATCCGCCCTCTACAAATCACCGCCCGACCCCACGATTATCATCCGGAGTATGCTGGAATGCAACCACGTGTAGAAGACGAAGACGAGGACGGACCACCGCCCCCTCCACCAGTTCATCGGTCGCATGGGGCACACCCTCAATTACCTACGCCGAGATCCTCGCATGACCCCTACGCACCAACGTACACAACCCAGTCGGCGTCTCGGTCACCGGTCCCTCAGCCTCCCTCGACTATGTACACGCCATCTTCCCATGATCGCTACCAGGAGCCTTTTGCCAAGGGCAGTTCCCCCGCTATGCCCGCCAGTCTCGTGGCAGGATACGAATCCGGTGACTCCGCTGAGAGGGCCGCTCTCGAAAGTTCTGTTCGCGGACGCAGCACGCATTGGGACGATGAGATGATGCTTACTCAAGCACCTGTGCCTGTTGCTGTCCCCGCGTCAGCACCAGTCCATCACGATACCCCCGTCTATCCTCTGCGAACTTCCCCGCGACCCATCGATCAAAGGCCCACTTCAAGCCGAGGTGGATCTGTCAGCCCTGACTCGCGGGCTGTGACCCGAAAGTCAGTCAGTCCTCGACCTACCTCATCAGATGGCCGTGGTGGCTCTTCAATCCCCTTCTCCCCAGACTCCTACAATTCTCTCAATCCGAATACCTCGCATACTCCCAGCCGGGATCCTTCCCCAGCATATGACTCGCCTCTGCAAGCCAGAGACGCCGCGGTGCGTGCTAAGGTCGAAGCAATGCGTGATGCTGAACAGCCAATTATCGGTGACGATGGCCGTGAGATCGATCCTTCTGACCACCTACCCACGGATACATGGGCTCCGGAACCAGAGAGAAAGAACCGCAAGCCTGAAGTCATAATCCGCTTCAAACACCAACCTCGACCAACATCGAGAGGCAACGACGCTCCCTCGACTCGCAGCCCAGGCCCACCGCGCGTCGGTTTCAGATCAGAGACAACCACCTATCCCTCCGATCGTCCGGTCAAATACACACCCACCCACGTGCAGGCAAGCCCAGGGTCAATGGTGCGCACCCCGCCTCGGCCAGAATACAGCCGTGAGCGCTCTGACAGCTACGCACAAAGCCGTGCATACAACACGCCCACTTCCGTTGACCGACCCCGCTCTTCGCGCAGCTCTGTTTCGCCTTCGCCGGGTTCTCGGTCTCCACTGTATGACTACAACGCGGGTCCCCCGATTCCTAATAAAGTGCCAGTCATCGGAGGAAGCTCTGGCTACCCCGTGATGTCTGGCAACCCCAATGGCGGGAATGTTCGCATGGATGCCTTGAGTCGGGAGCTGAGCACGATCGATATCGGCTCTCCGACTTGTAGCCCTGGTCGTGGGGCTGTACGCAAGTACGTACCCAGAGCTCCCGCATCAATGGGCTATGCCAGTTAGGATGGTCTGCTGTTATTTGGATATGCTCAATGACTCATGTACTGTTATGTTTCCCCGGGTTATGACTTATTGGTGTGCCTTACCTCTTTGTTTCAAATTGCATTGACCTTGATATCCGGCAAAGATGGCGTTATGGTTTTGGCTTTTGCCTTCGAGGAGAATCTCTTTGGCTGTGTACACAATTAGGAATATCCAATGATACTTTTTGATCATGTGCAAATCTGGGGTTTACTAGGTCACGGGACTTACTCTCTTCATACTTCCAACTGTACATACTACATAGGGTATATCTGCTTGTAAACCTACTTGACAAGGTCACTCACTAGTTAAGTATTTCGTGGTCCGTCTATAGTCATCATACTGATTGTATGGACTTCTAACCTACCCCCTTCCATCTAGGTGCGCTAGGTCGTGGTATATATCGAACAGGAACCTGGACCTGGTCCACTTGGCTGCATCCATCCAGGGTTGTAGGTAGGTTTGAAGATGGAAGTAAACCTAGGTTATGCACCTAATGGACAGCCAGGCTGGTACCTACCTATCTTGCAGGCTCTACTCCGTAGTAAGGATAGGTATATTCCAGTGAGGTTCGAGTAACTGTCATAGGACCTTGACTTTCACGTGTCTCTTCCCGAGACTCCAGATGGACGTGACCCCAAAGATGTGCCTTCATCTCGTGATAATGTAGAGAAGAGGAGCGGACCCCATATGATTATGACTTCGAGGACATCAGGCTAGAGTGTTAGCCTGTATAGAGCTTTAGTGGAACATCAAATGCATCGAGGTATGAAGCTCACATATGAAGCTCACATGATGAGTAGTGAGCTTCGTCAAGAACAGAGGCACATGTATTCAAACAGCAAGAACTGAAAGTAAGAGAAGCAGGAGCAATCGTTGTAACTCAACCTCAAGGACAAATTCGTAGGTAAGTTCCTGCAAACTTATAAAATCCCCATCCAATACTCACTTGCTCTTCTTCCTCTCTCCTATCCTCGCCCCCAGACACTCGATCTTTTCCTCATCCTCTCATCATTTGCATTGAACACAAAGATTGTCCGGTACCTTGCATGGTCTATCTCCCATCTCACTATCATCTGGCGTAGGTCTTTCGCCATCTAAAACAGCGTTTGCCTTCACCATCATCAGTTGGACAACAATATTAGACTTCCTGGCATCCATCTAGCAAGATGGAACCCAAGGAAATTGATCACAACAGCCTTCGAGGCCATGCCTCTCACGAGGATTTGGGCAGGTATGCAACACGCTTCTATTTCCCAGTTTTCATTTGCAGAGTCAGTGGCATTTGCTTCGAGCATAGCCTTGCTCTTGCTCTTGCTCTTACTCCGGCTTCTGCATCTCAAATACTGCCTTCATCTCTACCATTCTGAGTGTCATGGTCATCACATCTGCTAACTATCAGAGTACAGTTTCAGAAGATCTGCTCATTCAAACGCGCCCTCCGACAAGTGAGTGCTTGATCTATAACACTCGGTTTTCCCCATACTGCCCTCCCTGGTTTTTAAGCCAGCAGTCACCATTACCTCGAAGACTCGGATGACTGGGTTTCCCTGTTGACCTCGCGTCATCTCTCTTGTCTTCTTCTCTACTGTGATCATCCTGTCTTGCCAAAACATCGCTAACCTTGGGGACAGATCCAGCTTCCCCCTCCACTCCCAGGCAAACCATCCTGCTGCGACGTAAGTATCTGATCTATTCACTCGCCTTGCTATCCACTTTTCCTCACTTAATATTGACTCTGATGCCCGGCTTTGGCCTCGCCATTCGAGAATCATTCCATACCTTTCTCTCAATCTCTACCTCCTCACATTTGGGCAATTTTCTCACATTTGGACACTTCTCTCACTTACAATCTCTCACTTACAATCTCTCACTTACAATCTCTCACTTACAATCTCTCACTTACAATCTCTCACTTACAATCTCTCACTCACAATCTCTCACTTCATTGACTTTGACTTATATGAATGTTTGCTGACCCACCGAGTAGACCCAACCGAGCCGTCGAGGCACTCCGCCACCGCCAAAGAGGTCGTACTCCGTCGCTCCTCCTTTCCCCTCCTGAGACATCACCACTGATTACTCTGGACGATGTCCGTCAAGGCTCATCCCGTGATCTTCCTCAACTCAATAACCCAGCCCAGCCCCATGAGGACAGATTCACTGGCTCGAGTGAGCCCGGCTCTTTCTACGATCCCAGCCGTGAGGCACTGATCAGGCTGGAGTCCGACCTCAATAGATGCTACCGAGAAAGGTGGATGCAGTATTACAACGCAGGTGAGCGAGGTAGATGCCGAAGCAGGAGCCCTCGCCGCTCAGACCAGATTTCTCGTCTACCTGAAGGCCAAGAAGTGAGGATGAGCCCATGGGTCGCAGTCAATGACTTTCCGCGTGAGCCCTACGTTCCTCCCCAGCTGGCCGTACTCAGCTCGCCGCCTCATACATACGCACCAAGTGACAACGAGAATGGTCATGCTCGGCCAATGGAGCTAGAGGATGCCAGCCACCCATTCAACCAAGTCTCGCCGCTTGAAATCCACCACAGCCAAGGATTGGTACGGAAATCGGAGTCTCCAGATGCACAGGAGACACCCCAGAAGGGGAATACCAAGCCAGAAGAAGGACAGCTGTGCGAGTTCGCCGCACCCTGCCAGATGCACCCGTCACCCGACGGGATGCACTATCGAAAGGTCGTGTCCCACGTCTTCGGCCGCAACAAAGCTGTAACCAAGCTCTTCCCGCTCGGCGTCTGGGTCCATTACTGTCGCAAGCATTACCAGCGCGCCCGATACCGCGCTGACCAATGGCCCTTCACCCAGTGCGACCTCTTATCAGAGTCCCTGGATCGAATGGAGCGGTGGAACGGAGTTCTCCACTTCGAACTCATCCTCCGTCGACGCGAGCAGCTTCGCGTCGAACATGACTCTGAGGCCCGGCTTGCCGAGGACGAAGATGACCAGCGGGCCACCACAGCCAATGGGCATGTCCACCCGATGGCCAAGAAGCCCAGGACTCCTGGTGGACGCTGCCGCAAGCATCCAACCAGCATCGTCGCGCCGGTTCCAAACTGGCTTCGTCGCCACGTCGGCGATGGGAAGAGCTTTGACGAGATCCGGCGGATCATTGAATTGATCCGCCGGTACATGACCCAGCTCCGGGACCAGGAGATTGCCGACTCCAAGGAGATCGAGGAGTCGTCCAGCTACCCGACAACTCCTCGATCCGGTCTGTCATCGAACCGGAGGAAGGGTGGCCGCAAGGCCGACTTGGCTGACCGCCATCCTCTGCGGCAGCGCGCGAGCAGTGTCCGGTTCCCGGACATCGAGATCCTTCCCCACTTCAAACCGTGGGTGAAGGAAGCTGCTCTCAGACAGCGGGCCGCCACTTCATCTGGCAGTCAAGATGCCGGGACTGGGGAGCGAGCGACTCCAGCAGCTCCCAGGGGGGACCATGGGGACGACTATGGAGACGGGGGTTCCAGCAAGCCCGGCACGCGGCCGGTAGCGGCGCGCTGGATGGAGCGGACGATGCCGCGCGCCGTGCCTATGCGCACCCGGATCCCTCGAGCGCTCGACACCAACGGCCTGCGTACAACCCGTCTGCCAACGGGGTTGGTGGGATCCCTGCGGCAGGGCAGCAGTTCCAGGCCGGCATCGGCCGGGCTGGCACCAACCGGGGTCAGTCCGAGAGCCAGCGGCGTCGGAGTGAGAGGGTCTATCTAAAGGCCCTCGACCGGGTGACTGGCAATGGGGGTGGTAGGAAGAGGCCTGGCCGAGATGGGAAGTGATATGCGCAGTTTGTTGCGCATATCATTCGCTGGGAGCTTGGAAGTTTCCAAAGATTGACTTGCTCTGGGTTGGATGTTGACGAGCCCTAAAAAACCAAAAAACAAAAACACAAAAAAAGGGGACTGGTGGTGTGCATTTTTCATTGTTTGCGTTCTTCTGCTTCTGTTCCTAGATTTGCGTCCAGTTCGCTTCTTTTACAGATTGAAATGGGAGTCTTAAGCACAAATTGAATCTTTGACGATTTAACGAAGTCGGGACCTCAATGCCTAGTCGTAATCACTAAACATGATGTAGGTAGTCACTGTACTTGTACTGTAGCCTACCGTCGCTGCCTATGAGAATACCTAGTTGTATACTATGGAGTATACACTATACTCTGGGAAGTGGGTAGTGGCAGTAGGTAGACCGTAGAGCCTTAGAGGTAGTACACAGTAGTACTCCGTAGTACTCCCGACTCGGGACGGCGGGAGTCCCGAGTCCCGAGTCCCCACAATTCCCTACTCCCCCAACGATCTAGTACTGTGTAGTTACAGTACTCTGTGAGCTGTCTCATAGACTCATCTTTAGGTTATCTATCCAAATCAATACTGCCGGGGTCCTATGAGCGTTCCCTATAGAGCTCTGGTATTGTCAAGGCAGACCTTCAGAGTTCAGCTTGAATTGGAAGGGGTCTACACGCTAGTTAGGGTTTTACGGCAGTCCTCAACCAATGCCGTCGACAGATGCAGATGAGGCCGACAATAAGTGGGTGGGTCCGGCCGCATTCCGAGGAAAGATTTCTGACTTTTAGGCTAATATGATTGGTTAACTTAAATTTCAGGCTTCTTGGCAATACCCACACCTGTCAGTTTCCGCATCCCCCACCAATGAGAGCGCTCCCACATGTGGATGCCGCATGTATTGCCTCGACAGCACGTCTAAAGTGTCGCGACGACACGTCGAAAATGCCTCGCGTACACAGCAGCACGTGAAATTGCGACACGATGTCCACTTTCCCCCCATAAAAAGTCTCCTTTTCCCTTCACCAAGGCTTACCACTCACCCCCTATCCGGTCCAACATTCTTCATCTCCAATTGACATCATGCCCCGCCCTCAGGTCGATCTAGATCTCTACAAAGAGGAGATCATAGCTCTTTACACCACCGGATCTACCCCTCAGGAGGTCTGTGACATTCTTTACGAGGAGCATTCGCTCAACGTCTCAAGAGCAACCTTGCAAAGACGACTGTCATCATGGGAGGTCTGGAAGAACGCGCCTCCGAATACAATCAACGATCAATACTTGCATGAACGAGTCATTCAACTGGTCAGGCCGGACACAGTGATCGTTCACTTCAAGAAGTCCTCCGAGAGCTTGAGGACATCCACATTTCCCTCACTTCAATCGGAAGGATCCGAAAGCTTCTCCACATGGAACGGCGATTTGACACCGCGGGCCATGCTCTTACACAACAACGCCGGAAAAGAAGGCAGCAGTTGGTTGTGTCATCTCAACAGGAGGGGGAGCTGCCTGTGATTCTCGACTTTTGGATCGGACCCAGAGGCAAGAAGCTAGAAAAGATCATCACAGTTCGGCATCACTTGCAGCCTCGTATGATCCTTGGGTTCGATGATTTCATTCTGCATGATTTATTTCCTGCCATTCCAGAGACACTGTATCGATATGAACCCCGGGAGAAGGATATCCTTATTCTCGCCGCTGAAGTCGAAAAGAGCAAGACCCCAGTCGCCTACAGTGCGTGTTTGGACTACCGTCAGGATAGCGAAGATCTCTATATTGCGCTTTCTCGTCACAATCGCCCGGGAAGGAAAGACATTCATATGTCTGTTGTTATTTGGCGTGATCCCCCAACTCAGGTCATCAAAAAGGAGCCAGCTTTTATCAGGGGTGGGCCAGCTTCTATCAGGAATGAGCCAGCTCCTATCAGGAAAGAGCCAGCTTTCATAAAGCAGGAGCCGGTCTTTATCAAGCAGGAGCCGGTCTTTATCAAGCAGGAGCCTTGAAGCTGCCATGCAGCTTGGTTTGATTTCGGGAAATCTTCCGTCTGACTTGGGTTACTATAGGTGGCGGAGCACATCGGGGAAGTCAGAAGGCAAAAGGGCTTGGGGAGTCTTCGCGAGAGCGGGATATCCGTCCCCGCTACTGCTGCTGAGCGCTCTCAGGAGCAGGCTGTGCCCAATTCCGCAGCTGTGGCGTGGTCGAAGGAGCAAAGAAAGAAGGACCGAAGAAAACGGTTAGCTCAGCCTTCAGGGACGTCGCCTCTAGCGCGTCGTAGACGCTCAAGAGTCCATTATGAAAACTAGGTAGAATCATTGACTAAATCGATAACGCCGTCCCTGAAGGATGAGCTGAATAGCCTGGTTTTCTTCGCTCCTTCCTTTTCAGCTCCCAGGACTGCTCGACAGCTGCGGGATGAGGCAAAGCCTGCTCCTGAGAGTGCTCAACATTGAGCTCAGTCCAACTACCTAGGGCTCAATCTACAGCACACCTCGAAAAAGATGAAAGACCTACGTCAGTGAAAGTCTAAGTTGAATATTTTCATATAAAAGTATCAAAAAAGAAGATACCACACATGCTCCATACAATGTAGAATGTAGAGTGCAAGAAGAAAAACAGTACACGCTGGCTGGACCCCCAAAATGCAAGAAACACAAAAGCCCCTATGCAACCACCCGAAGAATATAAACAAAGAATATTAAAGTAAGATCAATATCCGCGATCGTTTTGGTATGCACATGATCCAAGTCACAGTATAAAGCAACCCGTAGACCAATTCTAGCTGGCCACAGCCAGCTGGGCGACGAGATCAGACGCAACATCGAGGAACGGGTAGGGGCTGGTAACCTCCTTCTCCTTGTTCTTGAAACGCTTGCTGATGGGATGCCATTCGGTGTCGCCCTCGGCGCGGATGACGTTCTGGTAGCCATCACACTTGAAGTCGACCATGTAGTTGTGTTCTTCGAGTTGGTAGAGCTGGATGTCGAGGAAGACCCAGACGCCGTAGGTGATATGCGAGAGGGCGCTGGGTCCGGTGGCGGAGGAGCCGCCGCTGGCGAGACCGCTGTCGGATGCAGAGGACTGCTGCTCCCGGCTCCTGTCTTCTGTCGGGGCAGATATACCCGAGATGTTGAACCGGCGGCGCAGTTCTTCGAGGTCGCTGCGGCTGTTGTACACACTGGTGGATGCTCCGGGGGCTTTTATGCCTTCTTTCAATAGGCGTGCGCGGATGAACCAGGGGTCTTTGGGGATATAATAGTCGGAAGGAAGGTCGGGATATTTGCTCTGCAAGGGTTTGGGTTTATCGGGGGAGGGGGTTGCATCTGGGCCGATATTGGTGCCTGTAGTGTGTCAGAGGGATGTTTACGGATGGGTTAGTGGCTGCAACATACCGGATTCAACGGGTTGGATATCCCATGATCCACCCTGGGCGGCAATTGCGCGGTACAGATATAACATAGCCTCATATGGCTGATTGCGGGATCGAATACCAAACTGCCACTTGCGGCTACGCTTGGGTTGTTTCTCGAGGGGTTGACCGGTCGGGGGTTCGAATCGCAGCTTGTCCAAGTCGACCACGCTGCGTGCGTGGGGCTTCAAGGCACGGGCCGTGGCTGCTTGTTCTTCGGGAGACATATTCCGGTAAGTAGATCCATGTCCCTCTGATTCGAGATGGGCGGCCTCTTGACGGCGCTGCTCAAGGATTTCATTGCGAGCTCTCTTATCCCGGTCACGCTGTTCCATAAGTTGATCATGAACATAAGGCAAACTCGTGGGAAGGATCCGGACGTGGCTGAGTCGAGGCTCTGCCTCAATGTCTGCGTGAGGGTCCTCCGATGTCCTCCGGCGCGATAGACTCAGGCCCCGGCTCCTATCCACAGAGGAAGTAGGTTGTGTTGCATGACGAGGGGCTGCGGTCCTCTCTGCAGATGAAGGTGCACCTCCTTTGTGGACAGTTTGGGCCAAATGATTATCTTCTGTGGGGGCTGTTTACCGTTAGCTGAGGTACAGGACGAATAAGTCACCGAAGGCTCACAATTGGTTTGCATGATCTCGTTCTCCACAACGATAGAGAAGGCATCCTTGATCGCGCTAGGTTCCGGGTGTCTCAACGCTTCTTCAATATCCTCCCGGCCATATCCCATGCTTCGTTCGAGCTTGGAAACCGCAATTCGATGAATCTTGTTCTGAACCGGCGGCGGCTTTGCCATATCCAACTTTCCAGAATCGACCTTGCTCAGATCCACGCCCGGTGCGATGAACTCCTCTCGAGGCGGCTCGAGGTATGGGGGAAGGTTCTTAGTGAACCATGGATCCATTCTGATCTCTGGGATTGTGATGCGGTGAACGGGATGGACTTGAAGCATTGCCCGGATCAAACGAGCAGCCCCAGATGAGATGTATCCGGGAATGTGGAAAGTGCCTGCTGCGATCTTCTTGAAAAGCGCAGGAATGTAGTCATCGTCGAAAGGCAACCGCCCAACCAACAACACGTACAAGATCACACCGCAACTCCACACATCCACCTCGGGGCCGGCATAGAGCTTTCCAGAGATAACTTCCGGTGCAGCATAGTTCGGACTACCGCAACTAGTCTTGAGGAAATTGCCATCCGTCATAATATTGCTCAATCCAAAATCGGCGATCTTCACGTTCTTCTGGTTGTCGATAAGCAAGTTCTCGGGTTTCAAGTCACGATGCACGATTTTGTGTCGATGGCAGTACTCCACTGCACATATTATTTGTTGGAAGAATTTGCGAGCTTCGTCGTCACCACACCTTCCTTTCCTCACGAGATAATCAAATAACTCTCGCTCGGCGTATTCCAGCACCATCACAATATCGGTCTTGGTCGCAATCACCGTGTACCTAAATAATGTCGTCGGTCAATTAAACACTCTTATGTCAATTTGGCATAGAACCGTACAGTTTGATGATGTGAGGATGCCGCAGCAATTGCAGGTACTGAATTTCGCGCTCCACACGGCCGACCATATCTCGGGATAGTAGCTTGCGTCGCGAGATGATCTTCAGAGCAACCTGACGTCCACTTGGCTGATGAATTGCAAGCTTGACCTTGCCGAAGGACCCCTCACCCAAAACCTTCAGAGTCTGGTATTGATCGAGGCGTTGCATATCTCGCATTGTCGATGGCGACTGCAATGGATCCTCGGCCTTGCCGGTCGGCCTCGGCGGGGGCATTGCCATGGCGGAGGGGTTCGATGTCGGAGCCCTAGAACGTTCACGCGGACGGTCACGGTCTGAAGGGAGGGGAACAGCGAGGTCTTCCTCATCGAAAGCGGCGGCCATGGTCGGGGAAAAATGACAACGTGACGTGATTGATTTTCTAGACGGTTCAGCGGTCCGATGGGGCTGCTGACTGTGCAAACCGTAGGAGATTCTATTTTTCCTCAAAACATTGCCAGGTCCAATCAGTTGATCAGTCTCGACCCTCCCCACAACAGAACCGAGGGTGGAGCTGGACAGCTGTTCAACGGGTGGGGGGGGGCGTATGGAGGGGTAAATGGACTTGTCAGGGGTAGAAGAAATGAAGTAGGTCAAAGAGATTTAGGTAGCACAGGTTATCTGATGGGTGGATGAGGTTTGAGAGAGGTCAAGGATACTCTGAACGTTGAACGAGTTGATCTGGGAGAGTTCTGGACCTTACCTAAGCTGTTGACCTCACGATCTGACTTTTCTCGGGTGGGCCGGCGATAGCATTCACCTTAGATATGGCTATCTATGGGCTATCGGATACTCTACGATCTGATACAAATGATGGATAACTAACTATAACTAGTACCTTGATATTATGCAGAGTTATACCTTAGACCTACTAGCCAAGCTCGGTCAATCTGGCTGGCAGTGGCCAGTGGAGTGGCTGCATAGTATCACTTCCTACACAACCCTAACCGACTCTGATCCAAGTCCAAATTAGTCTGTGTAGTCGACTGGCTAGAGCTAGAGAGCAAAATAAAGCTCTTTTCCTGATTAAATACCCTGCCGAGGCTCCGAAGATTGTGTATATCACAGTGGGTCAGCGTCTTAGCGAGACCATGGAAAGACTGTGACTTGAAGCCAATTGCTTGGGTTTGCTCAATTTACTTTACTAAAAAGCTTGAGACAGCTTTGAATGTACTTTGCTCTCCTTGAAGCATACTCTAAGTACATAGTCTGCCGGTAAAAGTCGACTGTGTTGGCCCAGTCGGCCTTAGTGACTACTGCGTACAGCAGAATAGCACAGTCTCACAACTCACAAGGTCCCGTTAGAAATTTCGATTCGAAATACACAGTAGCTAGTAGTTCCATAGATCAAGGAATATGAATATTCGAACAGCAGATCGTATGGGATATAATGCAACATACATCATGCCCAGGGCATCATATAAAATTGTTATTTTAAGAGGCCAAGACGAAGTGGAATCTTGTCTTCGTAAAAGAGACTTTGGCAGTACAAGCTATAACATGGTAGATACTATACTAACAGAAGTACCTCATGGGTATCTTCGTTGACTCATACTGCGGCTTAGAATGATCAAGCGGGGTGTCGGGGTCTAGAAAAGGCTTAGCGTAAAGTCGGGGTGCCCGAAGAGGAATGGCGGCTGATGAGACTGAGCGCATACATAGAACAAACGGCTGCCTCAGGTCTTGGACCTTTCTTCACCTTCTCTCTAGAAGCCATCGCCATATACCCAAGCCCCAAAGCCCCTCTCAGGCTCTTCTCTTCTTTACGACCTCCCCCACTATCTCAGTGTCCTACTGCCTCAGGACCCCAAAAAACAGTGCCCTTGGCCTGAACAAACTGGCTGTCTCTTTGACCGTCATTTCTCACTTCATTTCTCATTCCCAATAGATACCCCAAGTGATACCCCATCGTTCTATTTATTTTTTAGCCATGGCTTTCTTTGCGGATCAATGCTTCCCGCAGATGGACGCATCAAATTCCAATGAGTGGGTTGACTTTGAGCAATTCCTCGACCTTCCTTCCAACTACGACGACCAATCCACTGCCACCACTGTGTCACCTCAGGACCTGACTCTGTCCTACGACTTTGATGGATCTTTCAACTCATCGCCCGAGCTCATGGAATCCTCATTCGATATGACCAACTTTGATCTCTCACAAGAGTTCATGGGTATGGATGCAGGGTGCATGCAGGACTCCGCTGCTCCCTTGTTCGATGATGCTTCGTTCCTTGAATATACTCCATACGACAGCAGCAATGCATTCCGGAGCTTGGTCGAGGCGCAAGCCGCCGCCGACTCGCGCGTCGCCTCCCTCAAGGAGAAGCGACGCGAGGCATCGATTGCGCTGCATCTGCAACGTCTCTGCGATGCCACTGCTCGGGACTTGGACATGTCGTCGGAATCCAACACCACCTTTTCTTCCCCGAACTGGTCTGAATACATCAGTGGGAGCATATCTCCTCACCCTAGCCCACATAATACATCTACCAGATCTTCCTCCGAGGCTCCTCCTCCAGGGGGTATGGAGATGGTTCTCGACTTGAACATGAACGCTGCGACCAATGTGCCAAAGAAACAAAAGGCCAGATCGCAGGAACAGAGAGAGAACTACATCAAGGCTCGCAAGTATGGTGCTTGTGAGAAGCACAAGAAGCAGCACAAGCGCGTAAGTGTCCTTCAACCTGAACGTTTGAGTACGCTAACGCTCAATCAGTGCAATTGCCTGGAGAAGGCCGCTGCCCGTGTTGCGGCCAGCGGTGTCCCGCTGAATGCCGCCATCCAAGAGAGATCGAGGCAACTCACAGTACAAAAGCCAATTCTTCCAGAAGTGCGCTCCTCAGGCACACCCGGCCACGACCCATCATTCAACTTTCCTCAAGCGCTTCCAACTGTCAAGGCGATCAGGGAGCCGACAGGCAGATCCGGACACGACCCAGCGATGGGAGCCCCTTCTATGGGACTACCTGTTGGGATTCCAACCGCCAAGGCCATTGTCAAGACCAACACCCAACAGAGCACATCGAGTGGCGGCATCGTTCTTCTATCGGACGACAGCACCGCGAAGAGGGCGCCCGCACACAACAGCGCTCAATCCGGCAAAAAGTCCTCATCCGCCGGACACGACAGAGGACTCTCGACAAGGAACAACACAGGATGTGGAGAACTCCACAACCCATACAGTTCCACTGCACACCAACCAGCTGGCAGCTCGAGCGTGCGCTGGCGTTTCTCTACGTCGCCGTCGGCCAGTGTTGTGTCTCCGAACGGGACCGACACCAGACCAACGTGTTCGACGAACCATGCGCCCCTGGAAGTTCTCCGACCCAGGCCAAGCAGCACCGCAGGCAGCGCCGGGGTGCCAGGCACAACTGCCTCCAACGTTGGAATGCGCAGCCCTGGGCTTCAAGTCTCGGGACAAAACCACAAGAGAGTTTCGGACGGACTCGCCAAGCAGCTCGCTGTACTTTCTGGCCTACGGCTGGTTCCGAAGGATCTTTTGGACTCGCCAACCCGGCGCGGATCGCCAGATCTCTACGCGGTTGTCAAGTCACCGCGACTCCTTGTCAGGTCGGCCGCTACGTGCGTTGGCCACCTGCTTTACAATGCTGCATCGGCGCTTGCTGGCGCCTGGCAGTCATCATTGGCTTTGGTCTCTGGGCCTGAGGATTTACTCTTCAACATGCTGTCCTCGTCCGGTCGGAAACTCATGTTGGCGAAAAAGCGGCTGCATCTAGTTGGACTGCGGACTGCTTTCTTCGGATGATGCTATCCTTGTCTGAGCTTTATTGCAAGCGACGTGCCCTCGTTCTCGGGACTGGATGGACCAGCTTCTGCTACGGTGCTGAGCTCAGTATAAGCGATACTTGTACGTACAGGAAATAGATGGTTTCATTCTATAGTAATGGTCTCTGTCACAATAAAGGAAGACCCAATTTCGTTTTAAGCACTGCCATCATGCCTCGTACACCTTTAGGATAGATTTGCAAGGACGTTAAATTCTTATTCCTGTCGGCAGCGACGTTGCTAGTGCACCGGACTCTCAGTTACCGTTCAAACCGAATGATGCATAAAGCAGTCGAAAATCCCGTTCCATGAGTCCTGGTAGCCTTTGCAGTCAATGGTCGTCTTAGTTGTATACTGATGTTGCGTGTCCCCACCACCTGGGCACCTCAGCCCTATATCCCCCAAATGCCACGCCAACCCCTTCCCCCACTTAAGGTATCGCTATCCCAACCACCACGATCTCCCTAAGCTACCGCATACGTTAGCTATCATGACTATCGCGCCCCAATTTCGTATCACTGCAGTGCCAGGTTATTTCCTCCAAGATGACCCGACCACTGATCCCGACACCTTCGACTACGTAAGGAACCGCCAAAAATCCCGATCAAAACCCCAACCCCCGAGGCCATATGATGCATATCTAACAAATGCCAGGTCAAATCAGACTTCGGCCTCATCCAACAGCAATACTCCCAAGACGGTCAAGACCTCCCTAATGCCCAAACCGGCAGCCAATGGCAGCGTTTCGCCGCACACATCCAGCGCCTCAACGCCGCCAACAAGGACCAAAAGCTGAAAGTACTCTTCCTCGGCCGTCACGGCGAGGGTGTGCATAATGTCGCGGAACGGAAATACGGTACTAAATTATGGGATGTAAGTAACTGACCTCGTTTTCTACTTTTCCCCTTTTCCCCGCTTCTCTCCCTTCCCAAGCAAGGCCCAGATGCAAAGCAGACATTGATAAAATCCAGGATTACTGGTCCCTCCAAGATGGAGACGAAGACGGTAACTGGGTCGACGCCCGTCTAACGGAAACAGGCAGAGGCCAGGCGGCTATTGCAAATGCAGCTTGGAAACAGCAGATAGATGCCGGCATCCCATTGCCGGAGAGGTATTATGTTAGTCCGTTGAATCGGTGTCTTGAGACGGCGCAGATTACGTTCAATGGAATTCAGGGGCCTTTTCAGCCTGTCATCAAAGAGGTTTGTTGTGATTCCATGTTTTCAATCCTTGAATCTTAATTCTTAATGGACGATAGTCTAATTTGATTGCAATAGCTTCTCCGTGAGACGATGGGACAGCATACATGTGACAGGCGCTCACTGGCATCGGAAATCGCAGAGCAGTTCCCCGAGTATCGTTTTGAAGATGGGTTCTCGGAGGAGGATTTGTTGTGGGATGCTGAGGTGCGGGAGTCGGATGAGCAGAGGAATCATCGGCTGAGGTGTTTGTTGGATGATGTTGTGAATGATGAGAGTACTTATATCTCGTTGACGGCGCATTCTGGTGCTATTACTAGTGTTTTGGAGGTTGTTGGGCATCGGCGGTTTGCGTTGGCGACAGGTGCGGTGATTCCTGTGCTTGTTTCTGTGGAGAGGAATACTCCTTCGTCGTTGTAGGTTTTGTATGGCTCGGATGTCTGGTTTGAGTACTTCGCTACATAGTCTTGTAGCTGTGTGGCTGCTGCATTGGAAATACGTAAGAGTCAGACTGAATGGTGATATCCAAAAATTGTTTCAGTATTGTACATGGGCCGCTACTCAAGGCGAGAGCGACTTCTCAATGCAATTGTCGCCTGCAATCGGCTGATGAAAAACTGTCCACGCGAAAGACCTAGATATAAATAATACAAACGCCAAAGCATCCTTTACCAACTGTAGTACTGGTTCTGCGTAGGGATCTTGCGATCTGGCAGCTGGGTCCAGAGCTGAGAAATGCGCTGCCGCTGGGCCTTGGCGTCACGATCCTCCCACTCGCGGATGCGAGTCTTCTCTTCCTTCAACAGGACAGAGATACTTGTGGTGGGGGGACGCATGCGGTTGATCTGTCCACGGGCACGGTGATCCATCTCATATCCGTAGGGACCGCGGTTAACCCAAGCCTCTTGAATGTAGATGTCGGAGGGGTTGGTGATCTTCTTGCGCTCGCCAGTCTTGAGGACGACATTGATCGGTTTCGCGGGGACGGACTTCTCAAGGCCCATGCCGGCACGGACAATGGCGACGTTCTTGGCATGTTCGAGATGTTCCAGCACGTCCTTAGCAGCCTTCTTGTTGCTGAAGCGCATCTGGAGGATAGCCTCGTCGATGTTCTTGCCGGCGATCTGGCGAGCCAGAGGACCCAGCTTCTTGAGTGAGGTCTTGAACCAGTGGGATTTCGACAGCGATTCGCGCTCGGTGCGCTTGATTTGCACCTTGGCCGGTACGCGGCCCCGTTTCCGGATCTCACGGACGGCCATCTTTCTTTCCCATCGTAGCTGGGCTTTGGGGTCGGGACCCAGTCCGGCTAGCACGCGACTCTGATCGCGATCCACTAACTTGTCAGAGGGAGCGTCTGGTTCTGCTCCTTGAGGCCCTCGTGATGGTTTGGGACCTGATGTTGGTGCGGTAAAGTCTGTTCCGAAGATGGAGGTATCTCCTAAACCACCTTCTTCCTTCTTAGGGGCCGAGGGTCGGTGGGTGACCTTCGTCTTTGTACTGTCGCCTCCGAAGAACATGTTCTTCATGGACGAGAAAAGGCCCGATTTCTTTCCGTCATCATTCGCAGCGCAGCGAATCGGGGTCGAGGTGATTGTTCGGCGAGGGACAAAGGTGACACCGGTCCGGGCGGCTAAACGTGGGAGATAAGTCAGTAAAAGCCCGGACACCATAGAGACACATTAAACATACCTGTCCGGACCAATTGCCCTGAGCGATAGATCATGGTGGCTGCTGAGTTGTTGTTGTCAAGAAGTTCTCGGGAAAAAAGGTGGAAAGTTCCCTGCGCTTGTGGTCTGTGCGGGACACCGGAGCCTGAGGCATGAGGTTGATCGATCAGAATAGCTTCAAAAGAGATGCGACTCACGACTGGCGACTTTGGAGAAGAAGAACGGAATTGCTTTAACGAGAAAGGGCACTTGGTACCTTTGATGGTCAAGGTATTCGCGCTTCATTCTCGCGACACTGTTTCTTCTTCCCAACCATCTCCACAGTATCCACTAGCCTTCATCTTTCCCTCTTTCGGTTCTTCTCTCTTTTTCGTCTCTCCTTCATCCCTCCCTTTCCCTTTTCCAGGCCATCAGCCTGTGGTTTCCATCCTTTCTGACCGCCTCAGATCTCTCCGTTAGCTTGCCCTCTCGACTCGAGATCCCTCGTTCCTTTCCAGACCTTCCTTTTGATTCCTAAGCCACCGCCAGAAGCGGCTGCGCAAGTGTAAATCTACGTCATCTGCAGGAACGGGGGTTTTTGGATACAACCTGCGGCTGCAGGAATGGACGTGTTGAGGTATCTCAAGACTGTCGTATGATCTGGATCTCTGCTTGAAAGGCACCGTCCGTAGTTTACGACATAACGGATATCCCATCGGTCTTTCCAAGTACACCTGTATCTCCAATATGGACATCAATTCGCTTCTCTCGCCGGACTCGACTTCCAAATCTGGAACTTCGACCCCGGTGCCTGGTCCTACCTCAAACAACGCACCGGCCACCTCTGCAGGTCCATCCCCCCACAAAGCTCTTCAGAGAACCCGGTCAGCTCCAAGACGGAAAGAGAAGACCTCCTCACCTCTAGCACAGCAGGTTTACGCCCCTACCGCCGAACTATCGCCAGGCCCCAGCGCAGGCAATGGGACTGCTTCGACCGAGACGTCAAGGCAAGGTTCCACCCCCGGAATGGACACTTTGGCAGATCTCGCGTCGATGCAGCACCACCAGCCACAACGTCCAACCCAAACAAGCATGCTTCGGAGCACTGAATCATATGAACACCAGCTATCCCCATCCACGATTCACCCACATGTCAACTCCATCAACCACAACACCCCTACCTCCAGGATGTCCTTCGAGATTGCCATGTCGGATGGGCGCGAGGGGCCTGCGCAGAGGACCTACGCCGGGACCTCGCTCGACCCAGGCGCCCAGGAGAAAGCGACTAAGCTCTTTCAGCAAATATCCGTCAACCCTCATACCCACGACGCGCACGTGCAGTTTATCGGACTGCTGCATGCTGGATTCGTCAATCATGTCTACCCACCGAATAACCCAGATGTCCACGGCGACCCGCGAGGCTACGATCTCCTCAACGACCTGAAAACAGCCCGTGAAGAAATGGACAAGCTTTTCGCCATGGGTGAAGATCTTTGGGCAGAATGGATCCAGGATGAGAGCATGTTGGCCCAGGATGTCGACGGGCGCATTGCTGTTCTGGAGCTCTGCCAGCGATCTGTAGAAGAGGAGTTTGGCAGCACAAAATTGTGGAATATCTACGGTGAATGGGTGCTTTATCTTTACAACTCCGCGCATGGCGTGGCCGGTTCCCTCCAGTGGACTGAAGAGGATCGCATGGTTGGGCGTGAGGTCTTCACGTGGGAGTCAGTCTTGGAGGTGTGGCAGCGGGGCGCAGATGCTACCAAATGGAGAATCAACAACAGCCACATGGTCTGGGATCGCCTCTTGGATCTCTATGCCCAGGACATTGCTCGCGCGCCTTCTCAAGACAAAATCAACAACCTGCACGGACTTTATAGCCATCGTCTGCAAACTCCCCACGCTACCTGGGATCAGACTTTCCAGAACTTTTCAGGTTTCGTTTCCACTTATTACAACAACAAGTATGAGGAAATCATGTCTGAGACCGTTGCCCGCGCTGCCGAGCCAAAGGCTCTCTACAGCGCACGTGAGGAATTCGAGCATCGTTTGGCCAAGGCGCAAGAGTCAGGCGATCGCACTCTCGAATGGTCGGTATACTCTGAGTACATCGAGTGGGAATTGACGCGCAACCGCCGGAAACGAGGGGACTATAGCTTCGACTTGGTGAATGCCATCTACCAGCGCGCCGTCCTTCACTTTCCTACGGATGTCTCGCTCTGGGAAGGCTACATCATGTTCCTGATCGGCGAATCCATCCATCGCCGCGCTTCCACCACAACACTCGCAACTCTAGACCGTGCCACACGCCATTGCCCATGGTCTGGAAATCTGTGGTCCCAGTACTTGCTAAGTTCCGAAAGGGAGAATCAGTCATTCAACAAAATCTCCAGTATCAAGCACAAGGCGACTAGCACTGGACTCCTCGATGCCGGAGGGTTGGAAGAGGTTCTAAAGGTTCACGTCACATGGTGCAGCTACCTTCGTCGACGCGCCTTTTTGTCCGACTCGACTGATGAGGATCTGGATGTCGCGGAAGTTGGCATTCGTTCAGCCATCGAAAGCGTGCAAGAACTGGGCGAAAAGAAGTATGGCCCAGCGTATCAAGGCGATCCTCTGTTCCGTCTGGAGCGGATTTACATCCGCTTCCTCAGCGAAAGCGGTAGCTGGGACAGTGCACGCGAGACCTTCAAGGGGTTGGTTGCTCGCCGTGGTGGCAGTTACGAGTTCTGGCTCACCTACTATGGATGGGAGCTAATTTGCTGGAGCAAATTTGTTCAGGGTGAGGCAACAGTCGACGCAGCACGCCGAACCCCGAACCCCAGCTATGCTACCGCCGTCCTGAAACAAGCCATCAAGCGAACAGACCTGGACTGGCCCGAAAAGATTGTTCAGACGTACGTCAGTCATTGCGAGGACTATGAGGACTCGGATGAGTTGCAGCTGGCTGTGATCGAGACGCGGAAGGTATTGCGAGCTGTCACCGCCCGGAGAGAAAGGGAAGCGCGCGAGGCAGCAGCAGCGCAACAGCAGCAGCAGCAACAGTGGGAGGCCGCCGTGAAGGCAGTCCCGTCTCCTGAAAAACGGAAACGCCAGGATGACAAGGAGGAGATGCGCGAAAACAAAAAGGTTTGCAATGAAACGGCGCCTGCGGAGGCGCCCGAGGGACCCGTGCGAGACCGAGAAAATGCGACTGTTATCGTCCAAAACCTGCCTAAAGGCACCACGGAGCATCACGTCCGGCAATTTTTCCGTCATGTAAGTATCCCCTCCCCATGATTGAAGCGACTGAGCTGACCAAAATCGAACAGATTGGCACCATCAACAGTGTCAAAATGCTCCGAAGAGAGGAGAAAAACTCCGAAGTTGCTGTTATCGAGTTCGAAAGCAAGGAAGAGGCTCTTGCCGCACTCACCCGTGACAAAAAGCCCTTCAATGATACCGAGAACATCATCGACGTGCAGGTTGGGGCCGAGACGACAATTTGGATCACCAACTACTCTCCCGCCGCGGATGAGGAATACATGCGCAAGCTCTTCGGCAAAGTAAGTGTCCGATATCCCCAACTTGAGTACGTCGCTAATCCCAGTAGTATGGCCAAGTACTCGAAGTCCGAATGCCGTCGCTAAAGTTCGACACCGCCCGACGTTTCTGCTATCTGCAGTTCGACAGCTCCAGCGCAGCACACCATGCCACAGAGCTCCATGGAATGCGACTGGAAGATGGCAAGAAGCTCAGTGTCAAGATCTCCGACCCGACAAAAAAGCAAGCCCGTAGTGGTCCCCGCCACGAAGGACGGCAAATCTATGTGTCGAATATCAGCTGGAACGCAACCGAAAAAGACCTGGAAGAGCTCTTTTCCAAATTCGGGACAGTCGAGAAAGCTTTCATCGACCGAAAGGTCGATGGCGGGAGCAAAGGGTATGGCTTCGTTACATTCACCACCCCAGAGGCCGCCAAGGAGGCAGTCTCAATGAATGAACAAGAGTACATGTCACGTCGTCTCCGTGTCGAAATCGCCTCTGCCGAGGCATCTCGCCACGGAACCCGAACCATCATCTCCCACGTTGCAGCACACCCATCAAACTACGGTGTCAACGGTCTTGAAATTCCAGTTGGCGAACACGCCCAGCGCACCCTTGCCCTGATGAACGTTCCCGACACAGTGAACCAAGCCCGTATCCGTGCCCTCGTCGAGCCATTCGGGCGTTTAGTCTCGATCAATCTCCGTCCAGATCACCAAGGTGCCATCGTTGAATTCGTCAATGTCCAAGATGCCGGAAAAGCCACAATGGCCCTCGAAGGCAAGGAAATCGCCCCCGGACGACCACTTCACATCGGCAGCGTTCGAGAGATGATGGCCGTTGAACCGGAGGTCAAGTCGACCCGGATTACCTCCGTTAAGCAGGAAGGCGTACCGAAGAAGACGACTACCCTTCAGCCTACGGGACCAATCAAACGCCCACAGCAGCCTCGTAAGGGTGGGAAAGGTGGTCTTGGAATTAAACGACAGACTGCTCCTCATCAGAACTCGTCGTCAGCTGCGAGCGGGGATAAAATGGACACGACTGCTGATGGGAGCAAACCGACTAAGAGCAATGATGATTTCCGTGCTATGCTCCAGGCAAAGCGTGAGGAATGAAGTGCAAGTGGCAATGATAGTTGATAACTCTGGCGCAATCTGGTTTTCATTTGCTGTTTTTTTCTTCTTTTGACGGCATGTCGGTTGGCGTTTTTCGTTTTCGTTTTCTTTTTCTGTTTATGTTTCTCTTGGATGTTTTCTCTACGTGTTAGATCCCCAGTGCTTATCCGGGTCGGTCTTTTGCGCCATGATTTTCTTTTCTCCATGGCACTTTGTTGTGTACATTATGACTGTATCTTGCTCCTAGTTCTAATGATGATGTCTGTTCCGAAGGGTTGTCTCTGAGACGGCCCAATGACTGAATTCTATCCTGGTGATTATATTTAACGGTGTATATATGATACAGAACGGTCTATGTTCGCCTTCCGTGTGGTAGACAACGGCAATAACTACCTACTCTTTCAGCCCGAGACCTTATGGAACTACGTAATTTGATTTTCCAAGATGAAGGTTACTCTCGTATTTAGGCCTGTTAGGTTTCGTTTCGTCTGGGTACACTGTGTACGGCACCCAGTGTTCAAATGAGCAACATCTACCTTTGCCCACGGAGGTTTTGCCATGACAGGTACGACCAACTAAGGAATAAGGATGTGCTACTAGGAGAAGTAATGCCATCAACCGGCTGTAAATTTTATATCGAAGAGTTGCAATAGTTGTGATAATCTTTGAATTTTCTGCTACAATGGCTGGGAAACTCCATCAACGAGTTGTGTATCCACCATTGGCAAAGATTGTCTGCCCAGTGATCCAGGCACCGTCTGTACAGAGGAAGCGAACAATTGGAGCGATATCCTCCGTCATGGTAAGTCGCCCGCCCATGCCGTTCGCTTTGTGGAACTCAACAGCTTCCGGAGACTCCTGAGGATAGAAAAATGCTGTATTGTACTTCATGTCAGAATGCTATTGATGTACCCCCATGTATTTTCACAAAAGAACGGAACTTACGCGTATCCATTGGTCCAGGGGCGATATTGTTCACGCTGACCCTTCTAGGCTGAAGCTCTTTGCAAACACCCCTAAAAGTCTTTTAGCCACAAATCTCAGATGCTAGAGAGGATAACGAACCGAGTGAAATGTTCCACCGGGGCTTTGCTACCGGCGTAGGAAGTGTAGTAGCCGGTGAATGCTCCGAGCAGCGCCGTGACAATACTGATGATCTTGCCACCATCGCTCACATGAGCAGCCGCTTCTTTGAGGATGAAAAATGCAGTTTTGGAATTCACCCTGAACCCAAATTAGCCCACAGCTAGGGTACGAATAACGTTTTGGGTCAAAACTCACGCGAACATTGTATCGTATTCTTCTTCTGTAATATCAACAATGGGTTTCTTCAAAACCTTTCCAACTGTATTGATCACAATATCAACCTGACCGAAGTCACGGAGAACATCTTGGAATAATTGGGTCACTGCGGTGGCAGAGGTCAAATCGCCCTGATAGAATGAAACTTTGATTGATGGATTGTTTTTCTTCAGTGCGGTTTCAAGATCGGCCTTTACTTTTTCACCGCCAGACGAATGATAGTGGAGAGCAAGATTGGCGCCCACGCTGGCCAGTTCGAGAGCACTTTGAGCTCCGAGATTCTTGATACCGCCCGTGATAAGGGCAACTTTGCCATTGAGAGCCATTGTAAAGCGAAAGTAGAGGGGGTCCAATTCAGTGGGTAATTGAGAGGAAGATGTCTGGTTTTCACGAAATTCACTTGAGAACTGGTTGCTTATATACCCCAAAAGCAATAGATCTGTGATGTCAATAGATCTGTGATGTACATACCCCCGCATTAGTATGTGGTATCCTCAATAGGAAATATGCGGGGCATACTCACAAACACATTGTTTCATTGGTTGTTAGCTGTGGGTCGGACGTGAATGTGGTATCCTATTTAGGAAGTCCCACCAAAATCTAGAGATGCATGCAGGAATATCTAGCAGCGCACATGAGATACGCCATAGGATGTGCTCCGATTGATCAGCAAAAGTGACCTAGGTCATTCTTCCCTCAAGATATTGCTAGAAATTGGCCAGGATTTGGGTCTTCCGCTTCACCCGACCTGCTGATGCCTGCGAAGTACATTGTCGACCCATGCAAGAAAGCGGCGTTACGATCTATCCAGATCACCATTCTGTGGAGCAATCCGTTGAGTCCAAGAGATGCCAGCCCCCCTCGTAAGCCAATGGCTTTTGTAAGACCCTGCATATGTATATCGTAATTTTCAAGACTGCCGAACATAGCTTCGTAACTTGCCATCTTTGCTATGGCCCCTATCAAAGCATCATTTGTAGAGTCGGGAAACTGAGCATCGAGACTGCGATTGATTGATAATACAGCCTCATAGCGAAGCCCGAGGAGGTCCACCCTCAACGAGCCAATGTCACCCTGAAGGGAGGCATAATGCGACGCCGCAAGAAGAAGAATGACGGTGAATAAAGCGGGCTCGGTTAACGCCAATGGGAACCAAGTGGTTCTCAAGAGACCATGGTTTCCAGGTAAATCAAGCTCGGGGATATCAACTGCCATGTGTATCAAGTCTTACAATATTAGCGAATTCTTTCTTGAAGCGAAAATAATTTCAAATGATGACTTACAGTGATCTACTAGCAGCTGGGTCCAAGGTTGAACTGAGACAGGATAAGACTGGAAAGGGTCGACTCTGAGTCCTCCTATTTGAGGCGAAATCGACACTCGGTCCGAGGCAAATATGCCACTGGAAGGCCTAGCTGAGTATCCGGCGTATCCCAAATTCTTCGTATCATTTGAATCACTCGGCAAGGTTCTTCTCCGTCGCTTATCTCGACTCTTTGACTGCTTCCATTGATGTCGCGTCACGTGAGAACGGACCTCGGGTTCTTTGGATAGCTGAAGGGCGTCTCTTGGGGTTTTGACGTTGACGAATATTATATCCATGTTGAATATTCCCACGAAATATAGTCATAGTCATGAGTCTTGGGCGGTACCCGCGCCTCTAGAATAACGTAGTGGAATCGGCATCGGACTTACGTATTCTCCGCTCGGCGTCACGTTCTTCAATGAGACAACCAGAGCCTCAAGAGGCATCGATATCTTTCCTTAAACCTTGCTTGCTTGTTATTTCGTGTCGGCGTAGTCTGAGCATATTCTTTAATTCTTATGAGTCTCTCAGTCTCAGTCCCCGATCCCAAATTGAAATCCAAATTGAACAGTTGAACTCCAGATTGATACTCTGTATTGATACCAGGGGGCTTTGGCGCAGCCTCAGCGGTAGCTTCATCCGCTTTTTTTAAACACCAGTCTCAGTCCGTACTATGTACAATCTATATCCTCGATTCAGCATTCAAATTGCTCTGACTGTGGCATTTGCCTATATTTGATTCTGCATCCTCATACTCGTCCTCTTCATCAGTGCTCTCCAAGCCAATTCTCGAGCCTTAATACATGGATACAGGTAGGAGTATTTCTTTCGATAAAATGCTCGAAGATGGAATGGTCAAATACAATACCTGTCAGGACCAACTACCGCAGGACATACCTTAGAGAGTATCAATGCCAACATTACGCAGATTGTCAAGCTTAAATTCTACCTCCCGCCCCTGAGCCTCAAGGTCCAGATACCCAGGTGCATTCTGCTCAATAAGGCGCACCCACAGGTCCATATAACCGAATCCCTCATAGAGAAACTTGCTGTCCATTCTCGTTGCCTCCAAGAGCTCAATAATAGGACGGTCCATGTTCAATCTATTCCCATTAGAAAATTCACGTTGGAAACTGCACATGGAAAAGAACTTACGGCTCGTTATACTGCGGCGGGCCCCCAATACACGACTCTTCCAAATCCGCGACACGCCGGCCCAAACTCTGACCAAAGGCCATTACCCGACCCATATTCCAGGCTCGACGAACAATCGAATCGCGGACACTGCCGTCAGAGCCGAACTCGACTATCGTCATTCGCCCTGTGGCAAGCTCCGACTCTTCGATCACATACCACGTGTAGTCTGACCCATCGGCGAACACTACCGTGCCACTCCGGGTCATCGAGAGAGCGTGGAAATCCGCTGAGGAAAGGTGCAGCTCAGAGAGGATATCGTTAAGCGCGATAGGTGTCGCGAGGTTGAGAAATTCTGGGATATGACTGCGTGGTGCATGGCCCGGCCCCGCCTGGTCAAAGGGATGCTGCCCGTTCCATTCATCTTGATGGATATACATCATAATCAGGAGCTTTACAAGATGAATGTAGTTCCGGGGGTGAGTCTGTGGGTCTACTGGTGGTAGACAAAGGAATCTCTTGTCAGGTCGTGGGGCTTGCTGCGAGAGCAATGAAGCCGGGTAGTCGCGAGCTGAGGTACATGCCGGGGCACGGCTATGGTAAGACTGCAAATAATAGTTAGACCTGAAGAAAGGTGAATTCAGCATTGGCTGTACGCACCTCGCGGAATTCCTGACTGGCGGTAGCCCATTTCTCAATTAGGGCTCGCCGTTGACGCAGCCCCTCTTCTGGGGTTGAGACTCGTTGGTATTCTTTCTGCAGTTATGTACCAGTTAGTATTACAAATGCTTATACGAGAGCATTCCGAGGACTCCCTACCTTTACGAATAGCAGCCATCCCTTGGCTTCTTCCGGGAGCTCATCTGAGGGTAAATCTGTCGGATGAAGGTGGATCTCGGGAATGCCCGCTGGCCAAGACGCGTCTGATGCCGACTGTCCCATTTTAAAATTCAATTTGGGTAGAAAAAAAAGTCAAAGGAGGAGACTAGAGGGGCAGATGAATGAGGAGCCTTCCAAATGAATGCGCGTCGAACTGATGAAAAAAAAGGGTTACAAGGTGAAACAAGTGGATTTAGTCTTTGCTTAGTTCAATACCAATTGTCTCGATTTCTGCTATTCTCACCTCATACAAGATTTTTGCCAGGCCTGCGCGATGTCGGTTGGAATCGGCCCAGGGGCCGAAAACTGAGGGTTCTCTTATTGTCCACAAAAGGCCAGCAATGCCATATCTGCGGATATGCATATAACAACTAACGAGGCAAAGCTGACCGAACCAGCCATCACACCGTTCCGACGTCGAACAGGGAAAGAACATGAAGGGAGTGTTCACTGCTGAGTGGACCTCCACACCCAGAACCCCCTCTAGTTATTAACAAATTAACTTCTTGGCCTTCATTAACTGGGAGAGAGCCGGTGACTTACCATGAAACCTGCATGGGGATCTTTCCTCGATTATAGTACCAGCTTGCGCGATTGTTTCTGTCTGCCATCGCTTCAAGACAATGAAGGGCTTGCGGGGTTATAACCTTCCTCTGAAGGTTCGGTCCATTCCACCCTTGGTTCACTCCACCGACGTAAACCCACCGCACGTGGTAGACGATCGGAGGTAGCCCGCCGTCGCACAGTTCGCGAAACATGCGGCGATCGTTGTAAAGAACCCCCGCACGCTAATACACCGTTCTGACGCCGAACAGGGAACGCACATGAGGAAGTAAAAGGAGGATCTCGGCACCTAGGCACCTCTCCTAATCGATGGAAAAATTAACTTCTTGGGCATCATTGACTAGGAGTGTGGTCGTTGACTTACCTAGATGGTGGGGAATGAGATTTTCCTTGAATGTCGTGCTGATGCTCGCGGTGGGTGATTAATGCTTGCTCACTCACCGCGAGCATTGACGTCGAAGAGTAAGGTTGGGTACCCGAGGAAGTTAAGAGTCATGGATTGGGTACGCCATGGGAGGCTTTTATTTACTTCGACATGATGGCAGGGCCAGGATGAGCAGGTGGAAAGTGATGAATGAGTGAGGGTAGAGGATTCGAGGAAGAAGGACGGGACATTGGGGGAGAGGTAAGAGGGATTTTTATATACTTTCACGTCACTAGGGTGCCTTCCTAAAGTGCTTGAGTTGCTACACAGTTCGTGGTTGCGCCTTCTTTGTGAAGAAGGTTTGTCCTTAGCTTCACTTTCGCATGACGTAATGCTGAACATACATAGCTCCGCATCAAAGAGGAAAGCGCAGACTTGAACGAAAGAAAATGACTCAAGATTGGACAGAGAGCCCAATAAGAAGAACGGAAGTGTCTAGAGATCGGTTTTCATAACACCGCTCGTATATCTTGCCCCTAGATTGCATACATCAGGTACACCATCGCATTGACGTCAACTGCCATGATTCTTCTGCGGGGAATTACAGTCTGGGGCCAAAGGTATCAAGGGGCCTAATATGAAGCGCCATTTATTTGGGCCAATAGATATAAAACTCTAAACAATCGTCCTTGAACGCTGATATATCGCTCATAACTATATCCGGAGGCTGTACAACAGTTCCAAGGTTTAAACTCCGCATTTGCTCACACCCGCGTGATCGTTGCTTATCTCCAGGCTTGGCCTCCAATTAGCTCATCCATCTTCTGCCTACACATATATCCCTTGCCCGCATTTCTTCTTTCCCCAGAGTCTACAGGAGTCTATTAAGGCTTCTCTACCTCTGCTCCGGCTCTATACTTGATGCGCAGGTCAGACTGCGTATCTCAGACATCGTGAACATCCTACACCATAGCGTTGCATCGAACAGCAATGGACTTCCACCTCGTCCCCCGCGGCACCGATCGCAATTACACTGGCTTCCTCACGAAGACAATAGTCTACTCCGCGACCCTGGTGATATTCCTCGCTTGTAAGCACCCGCCGATCACCAGCTAGCCAGGCTACTTTACTAACCGTGTCCGAACAGCATTCGGCTTAACATTAGCCTCAATCGTCATCCCAAAATGGGTCAGCTACCATAGCGAAAAGGTACAGCCTAAATTTTCCCGCCCTCCACAAAAGTCACCGCTAATAGCTCCATCTGCCAGCCCGCCAACCACTACTCCTACGGTCTCCACCGCCGCTGCTCCTCCCTGACGGATACCTGCGAGAGCTTCCCGCAACGCGAAGACTGCCACGGTGAAGGGCGGTATTTCTGCTCAATGTGGCGCTCGGTCGGCTTCCTCATGTCCTTCGCCGTCGTCGTGCAGGCCATAAGTATAGTCACCTACCTGGTGATCCTCAGCGGCGGGAAACGGTTGCGCGAGAATGGGTGGTGGTTCCTTAGTTTGATGGTTGGTTTGTCTGCGATTGTGCAGGCGGCAGGCATGTCGATCGTGGTAAGTGATGCCGTACAACCTATTCTTTACTATTTTTTGCGTCGGAGTGTCGGAGTGTCGGAGCTAACGAGACTCAATCGGTTACAGGCATATTTATTCGACAACGAGGACCGATTCTTCGTCGGCTGGAAACTTGACCAGTCGTGGGTCTTTTGTCTCATCAGCTGGTGTTTCAGTCTCTTCTGCGCGGGCGCGGTGATTGTCGCTGGCAAGGTCTTGCCTTCTGAGGGTGGATATGAGTTGATTCCGGAGCATGATGAGCTGGACGTCACTTGATACTGCTTTCCTGTTGCCATTGCATGGCCCATGGGTTACCTTGTACGGTACTGGTTGAATCACGCGTCGTGCGCACTGAGCGAATATGGTATGACCTCGGGGTTTAGTCAGGTTCTTATCATTTCTTCACGATTTTTCATGATTCTTATTCTGCCATTTGTGTTGTGAGATTGCTGACTTTGGTGGTTTGTTTTTCCAATTCTTGGCCTTGTGCTGAGGCGTTAGGTGTATCCATCTTTTATCATTTCGTGTATAGGAACACGACTAATAAGACGCAAAAGCTGGATGGCATGGTTATCTTCCGCCCAGTTACTACACTTCGTTATATTTTCATGGCTCATCTTCGTGACCTACCCGCAACAGGCAACTAAAACGAGAACACCGCACCACGATCTAGACAGAAACACGTCCGTCTCATTCAACCATTCCAGTATATGCACCTATTTACCAAATAATCTCCTTCCCATTCAACCCTTCAACTGCCGGAATCAACGGCTTCAACGCCTGCCCATAATCACCTCCATTCGGCGTGCGCAACAAAGTATGAATATGGAACTTCTTCGGCTCCTCGTTATTCAAGAACACCCCGGAATGATGATCAAACTCGACCAAAATAACCGGACTCTGAATCCGATAATAAAACGGATCCTCATCCCCAAACCCGCCAATCCAACAAAAGTACATCTCCCGCTCATACCTCCTCACCTCCTCAATCTTCTTCGCCCTCGCCTTACCAGGCAAATAAAGCAAAAACTGCTCGAGAATCCCATACAGAAGACCCTTCTGCACCTCATCAAACCCTTCAACACAAACCCCCTCATACGGCACCTCCCTATTATCCCTATACGCACCACACAAATGCCTCTGATCATCCTTATTCCATCGTCCAGTCGGCATATTCTCATCTTTCATCTTCTCAAAAACCCGCGCAACCCCCTGCACTCCCTTCGGAAGCGACTGCATCAACTGCAACCCCAACCTCTCTTCAACCTGCAAGATCCGCGTGCCCGCATACAGGCCAGCGTCAATCTCATTCGGTTCTGCGCCTGTAAACCACGGCGAAGCAACGATCTGGCCCTTATACAGGAATATATTCAGACACAGATGGTGTCCGTAGAAGGACCAGCCCCAGGGACGGGTCGTCGAGGGGCGCCCGAAGAGAGCGAAATTGTATGAGTATTCGTTCATGACGGCCGGGGCGTTGACGAGGTCACCTAGGAAGTGGTTGATGCGCATTGCGTTGACGGCTTTGGTGTAGCCTTCTGGCGAGAGTGTTTGTTTCAGGATGTTCATGATTGCGTCGCGGATTTGAGGGGTTACTTCGTCTAGCCGGAGGCCTTTGTTTGAGAGGAGGAATTCTGGGTTGGACCAGGTGCGCCATTCTGGTGAGTCGATGTGGTGGTTTAACGCTTGCTTTTGGGGTTCGGATAGTAGGGTGAAGAGGGAGTTCGTTGCGTCTACGATTGTCTGGATGGGGACCTCTTCGTCTTGCAGGGTGAAGAGACCTGGGCGGACGATTCCTTTTTCTTGGTTAGATTTCCCAGGTTCTTATATTGATATCGACGGGTGCGTACCGTCGGTTGTCACGCCTTTGAATGGCTCTTGCAGTAGATCTAGCCAGTGCATGTATAGCGCGTGCAGCCATGGAGGCTGGTGCCCTGTCTTGAAGTCGTGTGCGTACTCGTGTGCATCTTGCTGGCTCATTACTTGGAACCGCGGTAAGCTGAGGTCGGGCAGGTACTGGCGATAGTCGCCGGTGGTCGCCATTGTGGTGTAGAGGCAGTTGAAACTCGGGAAATGGATCTATTGGAGAAGGAAGAAGAAGTGTGCTCTTGATAAGGTATTATGGCAGGTCGAGACCCCACATTACCCCCCACGAGCTGTGGGGATGGCAAAGTCCTTATCCGGCTTTGCTGAGGGGGTTGTGGACAGTCTGATTTCGGTGGAAAGGTGTTTGACAGACTTGAATAAAATATGAAGGTCTTGGAGAATAAGAATAGTTCTTTGATTCCATTAGATCAGTACTGCGTAGATTACAACTTAGCAAATTGAATCTCCCCATATCCCCAATTCCAGCCATAATGCCTCCTGTACTCCGTAGTGAGCCTCGGAATTTCCGACAGCTTATCAGCCAGAGCCCCGCATATCCAACATGGATGCTATGGAGTACATGTCACAGGTGTTCCTGCAGGACTTCAATATCGCCATCCAGATTCCAGGGCAAAAAAGGACCCGTACGACGTCTTTTCATCTGACCAGTGACAACTTACTCCTCCGCAATTGCTCATATTGCATCCTGAACTGCGTGTCCCCGGTCACGTGGAAAGCAAGTCCGGAATTTCCGGCCTCACCTTGTCCCACTCTAAGCGCAACATCCAACCTCCGTACATCGCTGAGCCTTTATTGGGGTATGCTGCATGCATACATAATGCAGAACCTTCGGTCTCAAAATGACCGACCAGCAGTTATTGAGCCGGCCCCTAAGCGCACCAGGAGACCGCGAGCGGCTCAAGCCTGCGACAGATGCAGGTTGAAGAAGTATAAGTGCGATGAGCAATACCCATGTTTGCATTGTAAGAGTAAGTAGTCTAATTAAGGCCATATTATCCCATATCTGACAAGTCTAGGAAGCGATCTGGCTTGTGTATATCTGGGCAATTACCGCGAGCGGGAAAGCAGCCGGTCTGCAAAGTAGGTGCACTTACTGGGCACATCCAATATACTCGCTAACAGCAATACCTAGCTACATTACCGACCTCGAGAAGAAGGTCGAAGAACTTACGTCGAAGCTTCGTGAGGCAGAAGCCAGGATCTCCTCTAAAGGTCCCACCCAACCAGCTGAAACGCCATGCTCTTTTCGTACCACTTCCACACCACGGGAGATATCCAAGGTGCCCGAGCCAGAAGAATCCACAGAGAGCGTAGATGACGAAATAAACGAGTTCAACCACCACACAAACGGCATCGAGTTCCACGGCAGCACATCATCCGCCGCAATCATCGGCCACTTGAAAAAAGCCCGTGAGCTCAAGAGGAACGAACAGCGGCATCCTCACACGACTAACATATCACTCATATCCACACTCCATAACTCGAGTTTCTCACCATCCTGCACAGCTGGACCGGAACAGCTGTTGTCAATAGAACAGCAACAGCGAAACTACTACTTCGACCAAGCGCACATCTTCATGAATGGGTATTTCGAGAACCTGCACTTCATCCACCCGTTCATTGACAAAGAGAGCTTCCTCTCGCGGGCCAATGATCTTTGGTTTAATCGGTCACGCACACCTGAGCCGAGCTTTGTCGCGCTGTATCTGAGTGTTCTTTCGCTTGGGTGTTTGGTGCGCGTTTGGGATGAAGGCACTATCGCTGGATTGAGCCGGTTCGAGTGGAGTCGGAAGCTATTTGGGGAGGCGCAGGCTTATTTGAATCATCTGCGGTTCTCCAATGATCTTGAGACTGTGCAGTGTTTGTTTATGATGGTGAGTATGCATATGTTCGGAGTCATTGCTTGGAAGCTAATTGTTGCAGGCGAAAGTGTGTCAAAATGAACTTAACCCGAATCGTGAGTTGGCAAAGTCTTCCTTTAAGACTGCGGAGTTGACCAAAATAGTGGCGTATATGTATCTCGGTCTTGCGGTGCGGACTTGTCTTTCTGCTGGCTTTAATAGAGAGGTTCCGTTCCCAGGGGACACGATGCAGCGTTCTGAGTGGATTTCAAAGACGTGGTGGTAGGTTAATATCTACTACTCAAAATCAATGAGCAACTATCGCTGACTGCTCTCGCAGGGGCATCTTCTCATTAGAGATGTAAGCTTCTTACGCATTATCACTTTCAATCCATACTAATGACCCAGTGAAATGAGCTTCTCAGTAGGCCGGCCAGACACACTCGGAATGGACGAGTATCACAATCGCAGCATCCCACCCCGGGACGACTCCGAGTTCGCCATAATCCCGTGGATGATCGACTTTTCACAGATCATCCGCCGGGTCTCGATCCAGATCTACCATTCCCGCATCTCATTACAAGAAAAGCTTCAATTAGCCCTGCAAATTGAAATGGAAATGGATCGCTGGGTAGCCAGATTGCCAGAGCGAATTCGGCCAGATATCGCCGGTCACAGCCAGTCTCGAAATGCCCTGCGGGATCCGAAATGGGCACGGAGACAGCGGCTGGTATTGGGGATTCGTGGGTTGCTATCTGATTCTGGGAGTACGATGGAGACTGACAAGTGCAGGATACTACAATGTGAGGATGTTGCTGTTTCGGCCTTTTCTGAGTCACTTTCCGCGCACGCCTTCACGCGAACCGGATGAATTGGATCAGGCTATTGATAAGTGTCTTGAGTCGGCGATGAAGTCTCTCCAGATTATTCATGATATCTATTGCGTTCATACCTTCTTCCGCTGTTGGTATGTCGCCCTGTTCGGTATGTTCTGCTTGCTTTGCTGACTTATTAGGTGGTATAACACGACCTACGTGATGTTTGCTACGTCTACCCTGCTGCTCCCAATGTCCAAACTCGGTATGTGCGAGGAGACTATGCCTCTATTGCGCTCTGCGGAACTAGGGGTTAAAATATTGGAAGCAATGGATGAGTCCGTGGTAGCCCGGAAGTCGGTTGAGATCATCAAGCAGTATCTGAGGGATTTTCGAGCTTCTGAAGGCTCGCATTCACGGGGAGAGGAAGAAGCGCCCCCAGATGAGGTGGTAGAAGGCCCCGAGATACCAGTATGTTTTCTTGATCCCGTTTCTTGGATTTGACTGACAGTGTAGGAATGGACATATGGCTTTGCATTTCCAGATTATTCATTCGAGGGAATTTCTCGGCTGTTTGACGACATCGGAGGACTTCCGATGTTGGATGAATAGTGCAATCAGCTGGGAATTGTAATAACGATGATCGAATTGGACATTTGAACGACTTCAACTTTGAACCGTGACAATTCAGGGTACGCAGGGATTATTTCGTCCCGAATACGTCTGGGTTTTGAGCCACAGCTTCCTCAACTTCCTTGATGGCATTGTACCCATACAGCCACGGCTGCACCTCCGGACACGTCCTATGAGATATCAGTACTGTCTGCCACCAGGTCACGCTGGGACTCACCATCGACTCGGAAAAGCGCCCTTGATCTCCTTCCCCAGCTGAGAGAGGAAGATGTGATCGCGCTTTCTTTGCTCTTCCCCATCTGGCATATGGAAATCGTGTCTCTGCAACCGTTTAGCAAACCTCGTAAGCTGCGAAGAACCATAACAAGTCGCACCTGCTTGAATGTTTCTCGCACAATTGCCTCCCCTCTGGACTTTCTCATGCTCTCATACAGACGCAGAATCCGAGGAAGCTGTGCCTTGTCCGTCATATGTCCCAACAACATCCCCAAGACAGCGCCGTCCTCAAGCGACGAGTTGGCCCCCTGAGCCAGATACGGAAGCATAGGATGACAAGCATCACCAATGAACACCAGATTAGAGGCCTCATTGACCCAATGTTCCATCTCACCATCTAAAGAAAACGCATCAGCAAAGCTCTCACACAACCAACACTCTCCCAGAACTCACGATGCATCAGCTTCCACTTATCAACCGTCGTCACACACTCCAAGAACCGATTTAAACTAGAAATCCCAGTCAGCACCAAACCCCTTGCACAACTCACACACCAAAAATCTCTCACATCGGATCCCAACCAACAAACAACCTCCTCATCTCCTCAACATTCCCCGCCTCCCTCGCAACCCCCTCAGGCAAAGTATCCGGCACCAGCAAAACAACATTAAACATCCTCCCCCCACGCAAAGAATAAGCAACAACATGAGCCCCATCCCCAATCCAAAACCTCACCTCAGGCCTCTGCACCATCTCCCTCAACCCCGCATCCTCAATATCCCCCACATCAAGCACAATCCTATACGCCAAATCCCCAGTCGCAATCGGCTCATCCTTCCTCCCCACAAACTCCTCCCGACACCGTGACCAAAGCCCATCCGCCGCAACAATCAAATTACCCGTATACTCCCCGCCAGAGGTATGCACCACAGTATTCTCAAAATCAATGCGCTCAACCCTCTGACCGAAATGGAATACCACGCCTAACTCCTGCGCGCGCGTATATAAAGCTTTCTGGAGATCGCCGCGGTGCAGGTCTACGAAGGGGAATTGGTACTTTGAGCGGATGTTTTGGGAGAAATTTGCATCGCAGGCGAGGACTGTGCCTGAGTATCGGTGGACTGTTAGTTTTGTTGGCTCTGCGGCGGCTGTCCAGAGGGTTTGGGGGAGGTTCCAGTGGGAGAGGAGGAGGGAGGCGTTGGGGGGTTATTTGGAGGCCAGCGCCGATTTCTGTTAGGGCTTTTGCTTGTTCTAGGACTTGGATTTTGTGCCCGGATTGCGCGGCTGATATTGCGGTTGCGAGGCCGCTGAGACCCGCGCCGACTATGAGGATGTTGAGGTTCGTGGTCTGGGGTTGTTAACAGGGGGGTTTCGGGGGTTGGGGTTGTTTGGGTCTTACCATTTTTCCTAGTCTAGTTGTGTATAGTAGGGAGAGTTGAGGTGGTGATTTTGTTCTAGAAGATGGCGATTTGCTCTTCATATACTTGCACTCGGGAAATCCGAGACCACTTCGGATTTTCCTAAGAATTGACTGGGGATTGTATGATGTGGCTTGGCGTGTCAATTGTGCATATTGACAGGATAATGTCTGACAAGTCTTGGCTTTCCCTTTCCGTTTTAGTGCTCACCCCAAGCCGCTTTTTGCTCACTGAGTAAAACTGAGCACACCCCTGAGTATTATATAAGCATTGTTTTCGCTCACTGAGCATCACCTGACCCTTATGTAAGCCAGATGAACCGTCACTGAGCAATCCGATCCCACTCACTGAGCGTGATCTGAGCGCTCTGATTTGCTCACTGAGCACCCCGATCCCACTCACTGAGCGCGACCTGAGCGAAGCGGAAGAACTAAGTCAGCAGCTCTCCTCAATAAAATGCACCGCGCTAGCCTCATCCAATGCACTTTTTGCCGCTTGCTCCTAGGAGTACGACTTCAACTATAGCGACCTGAACATTTGCAAAACCATTCTAGACGTATAGGCCATGTCTACTGGATGGTCTAGCCTCCCATAATGGCATTCGCGACCCCTCATTTGCCCGATATATCTAACTACTACAAATAAAACACCTCAGAAGCCTGGTAGGTATTCCTAGGAGCTTCCAGAACCTTTGTGCCGCCACAATGTGATTGGTGAGACAGGATAGATCCTAGGAGCTCAAGTGCTGGTACCCCATTCGCGAGAACTGGTGCCGCTAATGCTGAGAGTCAAAGTATATAAAGAAACACCGATCCCTCCTCAAGGCCTCATAAAACCTGCTCATAAATTTAGCAACTTCAGTGATCCAGGTCTGTCTCTTTCCAACCCCTCAGCCAGAGTAAAAGCCTAACTATTATGCAGATAGTCTGATGCCGCAAAGAAAACCGACAACCTGATCGATACCCAATATTTCACAACCGATGAGAGTTGCAATGCCGTTTCCTGCGTATGCCCGAGCTCTGAGTTCGTTATATATGGTTGAGAGCCGAACGGGGAGATGTACGTGATGCACATTCTTCTCAATCTTGCTAGACATCGACATAGACCAATGGCAGCGAGACAACTGAACCTTTCACAAAATTGGCCTAAACTGATACTTATTTAGATGAAATTCATACGTCACAATACTACTACTTCGGAAACTGGGAAGGTCCCAAGTAGAGTACTACACCTGGAAGAGAAAGTTTGAAGATGCCAATGAGGATTACTCCGTGAGCTCATACCAATTCTTATATTCGTTACAGTACTCCAGCATCGCCTTCCAAGATCCCCGTGATGTAATTCCTGAGATACTTCCACAGATGTTTCCACACGAGCATCGGTAGGCCCTCACCTAGTGCAATGGAGCTTCTCGCTGCCCGGAGACATCCCCTGAATTTCTAGTTCTGTAATGGGCTTCTAAAGCACCACCAAATTACTATTCGTGTTTCAAACTCTAAGTTGGAAGGTTTGATTGTAAATGGAGTTAGTTTTAATCGAAGTCTTAAGATGTATATTGCAGGAACTGCGACTCATACAAAATGGTAACAAGTATATTATCCTCGAGATAGTTATTTTACGCGAATGGCCCGAGAAAAATGACCGAGCTCCCCGGTGGAAAGCGAGTGCCGGAATACTCACGTAGTCGGATACGGCAGTTTAATTGGCCCATGAGACCCAATATTTGTATTATTCACTACGCGTATAATAGAAAAAGAAGATAATCCAGGTTTCTAACCTAGGTGATTAATCTGGAAGAATGCATCTGAATTGTTCATGATGGGCCGTCTTGACTACCCACGCAAACTGTTCCCTTTGAAGTGGGCACGATCGGACACCGCAATGGCTCTGGATTGAACGAATTTACCCGGTTAGTCACGAAAGCACCGCGCCGCTTGACTCGGTCAGCGAGCGAACGGTTGGTCACGGTGAACCCCATTCCAGCTCCTCATTTACGGGACCAATTGGGCAAACATGTCGGAAATGCCAATCACGCCGAAAGTACCAACGGACTCCCCGTACGCCATTGACGCGGAGAAATTTGGGAAAACGATTGACACGCTCAAGGCGGAGAACCAGACGGAGGTGCGACTGAATGGATACATTACATGTGTCCTACGGGGATGGAGAATGATGGGGATACAAGACATTGCCCTATGGAACGACTTCCGCGACGAGTTCAATGGATGGACCCCCGAAACATTCAAAGTGCCAAACAAAACCGCACTGAAACTGCTTCGGATGCATTTGACAACCCACGGAGTATGGATCAGGACGGGTCCAGGAATCTCTTACGCGAAGGGACTGTAAGACTGCCTCCAAGAGACCACCCAGCACGAGTGGACTCAGGGAGACATCGAAGACCACTTGAAGAATCATCCAGGAAACTTCAATTAGAGGTGGAGTCGCTCACCAACTCCCCAGGCCGCACAGGTCGAAGTAAAGACCATGAGGGGAGACACTGGGGATCACCTGAACGTACCACCCAAATGGGACCGTTCACAGACTCCCGAGGTCAGGGACCCCATCAGGGAGAATACCGAGGACCACACGAAAAACAACCCAGATGACTTCAACTTCGAATGCGAACACGGAGAATACCGAGGAAACTCCCCAGAGCCACTGTGGTCGAAAATGCTCGAGAACGTGGTCAAACAGCACATCCATTGCAAGGGTGCGCTGTCTTTGCCTGATGAGCTTTCGCTCGCGGCAGCGTGATCAAGAGTGGCGAAATTGGTATTGTTCGGATCTTCACACATGGAAAGACGAACTTTGATCACACACGTGCAGATGACCCCGCAGAGGAACTACAACAGAATCCACCTTCTGATAGCACTGACTATGTGAGCCCGGAATCAGACCCCACAAGTTCAGAGTATCAGAAATCATCATCTCCAATTGAATCGTCAACTGCACCTGCCCGGCGAGTACCAACAAGGTCACAAGGCAACTGCACGCAATTAGATCTCAAAGACCGCATGGGGTCACCAGACTCATCTGGCTCTGAGTCAGATCCCGCAGCGCCAGCACAAGATCCCGCAGCAGCAGCAATACGCGCAGAATTTCGTGAGCTACGGCGGCTGTATACATTCTGCCAGTGGAAGGCCAACGAGGATGTCAGGCACATAAACATGTCAATGGTGGGAAAGGAGCACTACGAGCATACGCTGCTCTTCATGAACCTGATGACCGAACTAGCCACCAATACCAATACCAGAAGATGGGGCTACGAACGCAAGGAAGAGGAGGGCTATCTGGTGATGCTGGCATCGATCTTGCTGCTGAAATCATCTAGAGGAACCGGAAACCGCTTAAACCATCAGTTTGGGTCTCGAAACGCGTGTTCAAGCCATGTAGATAGCCACGCAGACAGCCAATTTTGCTCACCAGCACGTTCAAAGCATAAGATCTCGCGTTCTAGGAGGCGTAGCAACTTCAAAATAATTTTAAAAAATTAAGCCACTTCGGATGTATAATTGTTGGAATTTTGAAGATGGTCAGACCCGTGGTTGTTGAGATACTCGGATGGTGCCCTCAGTCTTTAGCCCTCTTAAAGGCAAGAAGTCCTCAGACGTAACATTTGAGCTCAACCCAACTGGGTTAGGTATATCATGTAAGCATGACCAGCCAATCATGTTACGTCTGAGCATGCTGAGGTAAAAGAAAGGGCCCAATGTCACTTAGTTACTCAGTCCCCAATTTGTCATTTTATTATGTATAAGCCCGCGTCCAGACAACGCTTAACCTAACTAGGCTTGGGAGAGTTCTCTCAACTAACTAGTTGCTCCATGCAATAAATTTGTGGAATTGACTTAACCAGCTCTCCACCTTGCTGACTTCCCAACCACCTTCTTGACCAGAGCAGTAGCTAGCCCTGCTTTTGTGTTTTTATTCCTCTAATTTTATCTTTCTGTGTATTCTGTCAATTTGAATCGTATTACCCAGGCAGCTTATGCACTCTGCCCGTACGGTACACCCCTCCCGTTGGCTTTTTCGATAATGAAAATGTCTCTTAGATTAGTAAGATCCCAGGAAGAGAAGTGACTGGTGCAACAAAGTCCAGTGTCATTTCGAGGGTGGTTCATTGAGTTATGCGGATTCATTCATCGAAGCCGGCGCTCCCAACGCAAGTCTGTTTAATGATTCAATACTAACGGTCCCTCAATATTTCCATTTAACAATTTATACTTCTTCCCTTCCCGGCCACATTTTTGACCAGGACATGGCTAGCCATGATTGCAACCAGTGGGTGTCCAAGTGAATTATCCGATCATCACTCAATAAGCATCCGCCAACAAGATGATTCACTGCATCTTGATCTGTTCGCAGGAACCAACATTGACAGCCTAGTGCACGAAGGTGCGAAATATCAGGCTGATACCCGTGGAGCTTTTCGAAGGGAGTGCACTCGACCTTTGAATGATAAATGCGATTTTGAGTGTAGTTGACACCCTGGACGATTGGACCCCATAATACTTGGGTATCTCGTGTTCTGACATGATTGAAACAAGCGGTTCCACAAGATGCTTGTTTTGGACTTCGGGAATACCGTTCAAACGAGGACAGTATGGTGGGACAGGATCCCAGACTTTTCCTTTAGAAATCAGATAGTCGCGAAGGGGTTCATGTTCGCCAGCATTGTCGCCAGCCACTCTTTTTATGGTCATATCAAGTTGGGTTTTAAGCCTTTGTTCAACTTGTATGAAGTTATGCAACAGCTCCGATTTGTGTTTCAATAGAAACATCCAGCAAAAGCGAGATGCATCGTCCGTCAATGTGACGTAGTAGTTGTAGCCTCCGTAGGAAGCAATACTGCATGGCCCCCAGATGTCAATATGGATTAAATCACCTGGTTTCGTGCGGATGGATTTGTTCTTCCCGAAAGGTAAAGCATGACCTTTGCCTTGTACGCATGGCGCGCAAGGCCGGGTAAGAACACTTGACTTCTTAATGTTCAAACCTTCCACATGGTCCTGGGTTTTCTTAACACGGGCCTCCCCTGCATGGCAAGCACGGCGATGAGCCAGATCCATGGAGATAGCAGCAATATCTTTTGACTGAGCAGCAGCCGTGTAAAGGTCTCTGTCTTCCGGAGACAGCATGTCGAGAGCCTGAGGAGAGCCAGATGAACGCGTGATGGAATCGACCCGCATAAAATGGCATAGTTGGGCAATGCTTCCATAGTACGTATGAAGCCAGTACTGGTTGCTTTGCACTGTGGCATAAGCTTTGGTCACACCAGTTGACAGATCCTTGATATCTGCATGATCCTTGTAAAAGGTAGTTACTGCGCCTGTGGCAGCAAGCTGTTTCATGGATATAAGACTGTGTGTAAGCTTTGGTGCATGCCACACCTTTTTTAGCACCATACCCCCCATGCGGGTACGCCCATGTGCATCATGCACTGGTGATTGATCTCTATCAAATTCTGCAAGATCAAGAACGACCTCACCATAGCCTTCAGCATAGAATACTTGTCCAGTGGCGGAATGAATGGGCATCCTGTGCGGAGTGTATTTGTTGAAAACAGTGCGGTGTGGAGTCATGTGTGCAGAGCATCCGGAGTCCAGCATCCATTTGTTAGGGTCTGGAGCATGCTCTTTATCAGAAACAATGTTTGAATCCATCGAAGCAATGCCTGTAGCTGAACACCATAGGTTTTCCATAGAAGCCGACGCTGCGACAGGTGGCTGAGGTTCAGCATTATTGGCGGATTCAGCCTTTCTCTTTGGATTCAAGAAGCAGTCTTTGGCCTTATGTTGCGTCTCTCGCTTATGAAAAGGACAGTACTGGGTTTTCTGCCTCTTGTTCACCCTGTCGTCTTTGTCATTGGACTTCTCCTTCTTCTTCTTTTTCTTTTCATCAACAGACGCAACATTAGAAGAAGCTTGCTGTTGGAGCTGAAGATCATTTCCGATTCGTCGTCCTTCAGAGGCAATGAAGTCGCCAAAGATGTTGTGAAGGTTTTTGTCGTAGGACCAGTCTTCACGAATTGAGACTGTGTTTAGCCAATGCTGGCATGCCGTATTGTTGCTGACGGCGTGAAGAAACATGTAAATTGCATAGAGAGGTGAAACGCGCTGCTTAACTGGGAAAGCTTCTTGCATTTCAGTGAGCAGGTGACGCCATTTCGTGACAAACTCCTCTGGTTTAATGCCTGGTTTGTATTTCCATGTAGCCCACTCGGTGACCTTATTGCCAACCGTGAAGAACGTCTTTGCCTCACAAAGAGAGCGTAGTTCTTCGTAGACTTGTGCGGCAGTGTTACCGCGGCGAATGTAAACTTTCATTGTGGCGTCGAGTGACAATGCGAGGTATGAAAGAACGATCGCATTCTTCTGGTCCCATGCTTGCTGGAGTTTCTTTCGCTTGGTGATGTCCGCCTTTTTTGCAGCAGGCTGCGTGATAGTAGCAGCGGAAGTAGCAGTAGGAGCGGAAGTGGGAGTGTCATCATCAATGATTTCAGTTACTGAATCATCGAAAAACTCATTGTCCGCAGCCTCTTCCATGCCTGGAAGATTTGAAGGACGTTCGTTTTGTCCAATGAGAAGGGGCCAGTATGTAAGGTCAATTCCATTGAGACCAATCTCCATACACTGCTTCCATGCTTCCCAGTTAGTCTCACCCTCAAGGGTAGGGACTAAGTCTGAGAACTTGATACTCGAGGGTCCACCTCGAGACTCCATCATGGTTGAGAGTGTTTGTTATCGATGAAGTAGATTGGGTCGTTTCGTAAAGAAGAGTCAAAAGAGACAACGAGAGTGACAGGACCGGTGATGAAGAGGTTGGACTCGATAAAACCAACGATCAGACAATGAACTCGATAAAAGCAACGATCAGACGATGGATTTGAAGGTGTGGGTTTGAAAGTTAGATGCAAGATCTGAAAGCAGGAAGAATTTGTGTGATTTAGAAAGAAACACAAGAGAGTTAAGTTGAAAGAGTCAGGTTGAAAACTCTGCTCAGCTAACAACAAACAAGATGACATGCAAATCAGTCAATAACAAACAAGATGACATGCAAAGATCTCACCAAGGATCAGACTAAGTGGTCTTATATTTGTTGATAACGATGAGATGACAATCACCCAGAAGGACCTCTGTAATACAGAGATTACCTGTCACCCCTTACAGACTTAGCAATAACTAGATCTGAAGCTATTCACAACTCCTCCGGACTGGCGGAGATGAGATGTGTTGAAGCTTCGTTGGACCAAGGCCCGAGTGAATTTTGATGTAGAGGGATGCTGGGCTGAGCACTACCCCCTGTGCGAAATGCACAATGTGCGCCAGCACAAACTTGGACGAATGTCGCAAGTAATTTTTGTTGTAGAGGGATGCTGAGCAGCACTACCCCCTGTGCGAAATGCACATTGTGCGCAAGGCACAAATCCGAGGATATTGACTGATTGTTAGATCAGACCAATATACAGAGTCCCCGGGCTCATAACCTGTTAAGATCTACAATCTAAACAAGATCATGAAGGAGTTGTACAAATGTAGATTGTACTGAGCTATGGGAGCTGTAGAAGGAAGAAAGTGCGGAGCTATGATGTGGTGGGAAAAAGGACAGCATCATGTGACAGTGGGAGAACTCAAACATCCTTCTACATAATCTAGCAAATCGTCTTGATTACATACAAAAAGAGTCAAATTGATCTATTAGACTAGCTCATTCATCAAGAACAACCATTCCCAGCCGCCGAGCAACCGCACTCATATCCACGCCACGCACAATATTCGTATTATCAGAAAGAACCTCCGAATCATTGACCTTACTACAATGATTCTTGTAGAAGTAAACTCCGTTCTCGGAGACAAATTTTGCGCGATCAAGAACGACTGTGAACGTGCCAGATTCGTACGGTAACCAGTTGTACAGATATTTTTCAGGGCCACGAGGAGTAACTCGTTTTGCAGCTGGGGGCTGATCCTCTTCTGAGAGGATATTGTGAAGGGCGCCAATAGGGAAAGGGCTTTCCTGGCTTTCTTGATTTTGCTGGGATAAACTTTCAAGAACTTCATTTTGGGCGGGGCCGATGGCCGACCAGGAATTGGACTTTGGAATGAAGAATTTGAGGGTGAGGGTTTTATTGGCCGGAAGGTGGGAGAGGACAGACGCTGTGAAGAGACGCGCTGTGCTTTCGAGGAGAGAGAAACCTGCCGTGTCGCGTATATGACTGAGAAAAGATGTGTGGACAACGTATTGAATGTCAGAAGTCTTGCCCTCAGGAGTATTGGTGACTGTAACAATGTCGGCTTCTCTAGAAACCTGGAATGCCGGACCAAGAGAAAAGCCACCAACCGAGGTTTCTTGGCCGAGCTGGTCACGAATCTGCTCTTCTGTTGGCATATCTTGGCCAGGAGGTTTGCCCTCATCAACATCCAAGGCATATCGCTGATCGGCATAAGAAGAGACGTTAAGGAACAAATCGAGGATTATCATCTGGCCGATGTCCATTTGCTCCGTAACACGCTCGATGGATAGTTCAAATGCCTCTGACCTGAGGTCTTCATTGTCCTCGGGTGAATGTTGCGCCAAGTCAGCATCAGCGCGTGTGCTAGAAAATGTGCGGTTGAAGTAAAGTAAATCCGGGCCTTCGCCGATCTCCTCAGCCTCCTCGGAGTCCTCCATATTGCCCACTCGATAACTGTGCGATCGCACCAGAACGCAAAATCCAATATTGGATAGGCGATTGGGACGATTCCATCGCGCAATCAGTGGAAGAGGATTTTCGACTCCTGACCGATGTTGCTGCTTGCGACGCGCGATTTCCATGCGATTATGCTCAATGCAGGCAAAGCCATCGGGCGGGCGGTATGAGTAAATTTCGAACAAAGGCTTCACTTCGTCATCCGAGAACGTTTGCATGAGGTATTCTCGGAGCTCTTCGTGGTCGTCGTCCAAGGGAACAAGACTGTAGACCTGAATGGGAGTTTCCAGATCGGGGTCTGTCTCGTATTCTGGCGAGACATACTGCTCGAGCACGACAGGATGACCCAAATGGTCCGTGTAGGTGCGCACTTGCTGCCAATCCATCTCAGATCTTGCAACTGGGGCTATGGTTGGTGCAAATGAGCAGCGACCTTTGATGAGGAAAACAGGTTTGAAAGAGACTACTGAAGTAAACGTGGGGAGCGACGGGCTTAAATGGAGGGGAGGTGTGTTACGTAAGCAGGGAGAAGATCGACACTTAGGGCTAATCGACCAAGTAAGTTGAGCATCCGGGCATGATGAGAGGAGGTACGTAGGTAGTATGGAGGAGAGAATGTGCAAGTGTGTACTAGTAGATTGAATGTGGTACTACTGGTAGGTGGAAATCTTAAAATACTGAGAGAGACATAAAGTCAGGTGACTGCCCAGTAGCATGCCCTACTAGTATGAACAGCAACAAAATCAATTGAGTGTTATAGTAAAAAATTGGCTAAATTTACAGCTGCAACTAGGTACTTCTCGGGTGGCCTCGTCAAATCTACTACAGGCCCAGCTTTCCTAGCTGGTTGCCTCCCCACATTCCGTACTTGCTTTCGTCATTTGATGCACTTGTCGCAGTACCAGGAAGCGGTTTACCCGCATTGGACGTTGGGAACTTGAATTTTCCCACTGCTGCGTCTCCAGTAGTCATGGTGATGTCTGCGAACTTCTTCGCGACAGCGTCTGTCTTTTTCGGGTCCGTCTTATCTTTTATGGAACTGATCTGGTCCTTAGCGGTCTTGTGCCAATCCGCCTGAATCTGCTCAATCTTAGCCAGATGGTTGTCAATCCAGTAGGCCCATAGGGTACGCAGACCCCAGTGTTTGAGGCCCCGGGGGGTATCGTCTGGCTTGAGGGCCTGTCCGTTTGGCTTGTTCTGGGAATATTGGCGGGTATATTCATGGTCGAATTCGTCCGAGATCAATTCGATGTTCTGACTGGGCTTGGCCCACTTGTCGCTAAATTCCTGCAGATAGTTCCAAACAGTAGCAGTCATCATGACCTTGTCCGCTATCTCTTTTGGCTCAACGATGTAACCGTTGCTGGGGTCGTCCTTAGGGAGGCTAGACTTCCTTCCTTCGGTAATAACCTCTTTGACTCCGTTGGGCTTTTCGTGATACATAACGAGCAGGTCAAGCGATTGGCCATTTCCGAGGAATTCAGCGGTATGTTGGACCCAGTTCATTTTGGGCCCATTATTTCTCGACCAAGTCATTCCGCCGCTAGAACCTATACAGATATCATTAGTTAATATCAACAAGACGCTACACACACTCCCCTGGCCTTCTTACCTCCAAACACCTCCGAGCACCAAGTCGAGTCAGGACGTGTCCATTTCTTAGGGAAAGGAACCTCGCCAAGACCTCCATATTTGGATTCCTTTCCTCCGCACACCCACTCAAGGAAATGCTTGACCAGATGTACCTCGAAGACGTGCTCCGTGCGGAAGTCCTTCGCGGGCAATTTGCTATTGCCGTCAATGAGGTATGCATTGTTCGCTCCCTTGACGGAGTTTTCCTTTGTTGTCTTTGCCGAGCACCTTCTGTTGTCGTTGATATCTTGTGAGCTGGATAGCATAAACTCGGGAAGATACCACTATTGTATTCTCATCAGTATCTGCGTCTTGTTGAACCGGAAGAGGGAAAAATAAACAATCAAGGCATACCTTCGCCACACCCGTCGGCCCGTCGTTCTTTGCGTTACACCGGGGATACCTCAAATATATAACTTTCTTGTTGTTATCATAGAAGCTGAGACTCATCTTTTTAGGCTCTTGTGGGTCAGAAGCGCGGTCGAAAAGGAACGAATCTGTATCGTAGCACTTTCCACTATCTGGGGATGGGTAGATAGGACAAGAACCACTATCATCGTGACGGCCGAACAGAGAAGAGACATCTCGTTTCGAGTCATCGCTGTCACTGACTTTCGTGCCGTACATTGAGCACATCACGCAAGAATTCTTTCCCCCACCCTCACCAGGGCAATTAAGGAAGTCATCGGGGATCGTGACCAGAGGGCCAAGGGTAAGTGTGTCACGCTTGGCAATGGAATGAGAAACAGGCATAGGCATGTATTCATTTCTACGCGAGGAAGAGTCTTCCACGGAAGAATTGTATGCTTCATAGCCCAGCAAAGTTCGCTTGCCCTTCTCACTAACGCAGGTTGAAGGCGTGATTTGCTTCCTGGGCACCTCTGCGAGCGTGACTCGGAGATCGTCGCCCCAACCAAATTCCTCAGGGGCGTCAAGCTGAGCGTACATCTTTGAACCAGCATCAATACCATAGCTGAATGGGCAGCTGTTGTCCCCGTTGAGTGAGTAGGAAGCTTCCGCATGTCCGATCACATATCCATCCAGGACAAGATCAACGGAACACCGGGGTATCTTCCAGCGGTCATCGAAGTCAATTCCAAAGCTGACAGTTGGCTTCAGATGCAAGGCAATCTCGCCGTTGGCAGAGACAGAGGCATCGAAATGGGGCTTGCCAATGGTCTTAGCCTCACGGTCGGGCTCATCGAGGGCTTTTTCAGGGTATTCATCGTTTTGAGGGTAGGTCTGTTGAATTTCCCAGGATGCGAGAGTAACGTCTGCTTCCAGATGTCCCGCTAGAACAATCGAGGCATCTGCAGAGGCATAGACTGCGAGGTTCGGACCGACCGTAACAACTCCAGGCACGCGGAAGGTTGCGCCGGGGAAGTCGTCGAGACCGAGCAGCTTGATATCACCGGTCGAGTACGTCAGAGAAGCAACGGCGTCAAGTTCAAACCTAGCTTCAACCTCTCCGGCGTTTCTGAAGTAAAGGTAGGATCTGCTGAGATCCATGCCCTCCATGAGGGTGGTGATAATGGTTATACCGAAAGAGGTCTCAACATCAATCGAGGCTGTGATGGATGATCGAATATTCGCCTGAGCCTGGGCTCCACCAACAGGGCATGGTCCGAACTGCTGATCGATGAGAAGGAGCTCGACTTTCTCATTGACCTTATGGTTGAGCTCCTTGGTGGCCTCGGCTTCACCAGTAGTGATCAATTGACCGAGCCAGTTGAGGATATCCTCACCGAACCAACGCTTGTGGACCTCATGGCGCTCCATACCACCATGATGATACGCATCACGCCATTCATCTTCGAGATAGCGCTTTCGGTTCTTGTGGTAGCCTGTTTCATCCCGCTTTGCGCGTTTGGCCTTTCGCTCGGAGTCACTAGCGGGCCTGTCGACAACAGAGTCCCAGTATCCAGGCTGGTTACTATAGTCAATACGCATCAAGGCATCGCCGTAATCACGAGGGACACGCTTGAAGTCGTAGTCGAAGGTCAAGTCGTAGACGGATCTGCCCTCAAGCTCACGCTTGTTCAGATGACCCGGGAGACTCTGGTTATAGGACTCCTTAAGCTCCTTTGCGACGGCATATCGACCGGGGCCACAGCGACTAGGCATTTGAAGAATGGTACCAGGAGCACCCTTTCCACGGTGAATGTGGTCACACTTGCTGTCCGCGGAGAAATCGGTACAGATCATGCGGATAGTATGCTCCTCTTCGCTATCGCTGTCGGGGCAGTCCATTAACTCCCAGGGCGAGCCATCACGCTTATCCAAGCTGACATGAACCTCATCAGGGGCGGTTATAACCACAAATCCAAAAGCAGCGTCTTCAGGCTCTTCATCAGCATCGCCTTGAGTGTCACCAGTGCCCCAGGTGTCGTCTACCGAGAGATTGAAGTCGGGGTCATCTGCATTCTCTGGGGGATTCTCAAACAGATACTCCAAAGGAACTGGCATGAACAGCGATTCACCACTTGCAGGTGTGCAGCAGAAGGCTCGTTGACGAGACCTGTTCTCTGTCAGCTTATACTGCCCTAATAGAAAAGGCTCGACATAACTCACGTTGGCATACAGTCCTCTCCTTCACCGTATGGACTCAGCGTAAGCTCAACCTCGTGACCAGTGTTGCAATGGTTGTCATCACAACTATAGACGGATCGGTCACCTCTCCCCTGTCATATTGTCAGCCACAGGCATTCTGATGGTGGGTATAAAACAAAACATACAGCCCAATAGCAGTATTTCCAGTTCTTGATCTCTTCCTTGGAGCAACAGTATTGTCGCATGTTGTCCATGTCAACATCGTCTAGAAAATCAGCCAGCGCCTGGCCAAAAAGTCCAGTGTAGTCCAACACATCGGAGACAGCTTCCAAGAATGTTCCGGCGAATGTCAAGGGCTCTTGGTCATCCGAGCATGTATCCTTCCAGCCGCAGTTGATACCGCCACCGGCAGCAACCTCGGGGATAGGGCAACAGTAGAATTGACGTCCTGCAATTGTTAATGAACATGTACTGTTGGAATGAGAATTAGAAAAACATACCATCAGAGCAGTGGCCGTTGCCTCCATCTACGGCCGAGGCCAGGGCCACTTCACCACCATGGCATTGTCCATTGCAAAGAATTCCAGACTCGCCACCACGCCAGTGGCAGGTATCTGGGTCAGGGGCAGCAGCGATAGGACAGCAGATGCGAGAGTCGCCCTTATCACCACCATCCGGACATTTGAAAGTGTCCATCTCAATGGTACCGGTAGGACAGTGTTTACCACATTCCGTAGTTCTACAGTCACCGGGATGTTGGCTTTCCCAATAGCTGGTGTCATCCTTCATGCTGTCCGTCATCACAACGTCCTCGGGGTACAGAACACCACGAAGAGCATCGAGATTGCGGGTATCCTGATCAATGGCCCAGATTAAAAGACCACCTAGGCCTCTCTCGTTGAACAGCTTGATCTTCTGTTGGAATGTTTGCTGATCATCGTAAGAGATCCATTGGTTCTCATCCCAGACGAGATATTTGATTGCGTTTTCCTTGTCGTAGACCGGCTTGATGTCATCGTCTGCAATGATTCCGACAATCTCATTGTAAGAAAGGATACCCTGAGTATCGGTGCAAGCACCCTTCTTGCCGCCATGCTTGAATTTGCAGCCGGGCTTGTGGCATTTCTTATCCTTCAGTTCGAAAGTTCGTGCATAGAAGGCGAGACCCATGTTGACTTTCTTAGCAGGAACATCGTTCCTCCAGAGAAGATCCAAAGCTTGGTCAATCTCCGTCATGTTGGTATGCCCGAGGACGTGGTTACCAATGGGGTTGCTAGAATCCCAAACACCGTGGAGATCGTAACTCATCAAGTTCATATAAGTTGAGGCTTTGACCCTGTCGTGGATCTCGAACCAGCGGAGGTACCAATAGGAGGTTGGGGCAGTGAAGGAGAGCTCGTACTCTATATCCTGGTCATCGAAAGCCTTCCGAATGTCTTGCATGAGCTTCACGTAGTTCTTTCCGTCGTCCTTGGAGTCCCAGTCTTTAGGCTGTCGATCTGGAGCACCTGGGTACTCCCAGTCAATGTCGACAGCGTCAAAGCCATAGTGGCGCATGAAGGAAAGAAGCTTGTCGATGAACTTGGAACGGTTATCCTCCTTGGAGGCTATCTCAGCAAAGACCTTTTGTGTGTCGGTCTTATTGTCGTTGAATGTCCAACCTCCGAGGGAGACACCAAGAACAACATGTGGGTTGCGCTCCTTGAGAGCAGTGAAGTCCTTGAGGGTTTTCTCTTCGACGTCGGGCATAGGACCAATGTCGTAAGAAGGAGAGCTGTGACACGATCACCCAGAAGTTCCCAATCAAGCGTGCCAACTTCCTCATCCTGAATCCCGGCCTGAACCAGAAGTAAGTTTGAACTCTTCCACACTGCCTACACCCCAAAGCCTAACTAACATGACTAGCTGCACAAACTTCATAGCTGGCAGCAGCTACTGTGTCAAGCCCGTCAAGGATATGGACAACTACCCCGGTGCTCCAGGCTACATGCCTCCTGTCTCCAAGATCCCCTGGGACAAGCTTCCCGACGCAACCTACACGCCCATTCACAACCCTGCCCCGCTCCCAATCGCTCCAAATACCGTGAAGAATTGCAATACTCTCGTCGATGGGAACAACCTCCAATACAATTATACGGGTGTCAGCAACTGCCAAGTGGCCGCTTCCTTCTGGGAAGTCTCCCAAGCAGACTTGCTCAGGTGGAACCCGTCTTTGAGTAAGCAGAAATCGAAGTCTAGCGGTTGCAGTTTCAGCAAGAAGTATAGGTATTGTATGGCCGGAACCAAGGGGAACGCATCCTCTTCGGGGGCTGTGCCTAGTACTCCAGCGCCTTCGACGCCGCTTACGACTTCAACCTCGACTTCAACTTCTTCGTCGACATCTAGCCCGGCCCCGACCAGCACATCGACCTCTCAGGTCTCCACCACCACCGATAAAGATACAAGTACGGATACCAGCAGCGAGCCCACAAGTACAACGGCAACTGCCAGTGCCAGTGCCACATCAACAAGTGGATCCGCCCCATCCCCCACCCAGACGAACAGTATTGCAGACAACTGCAACGACTATGCCAAGGCAAAGGACGGCGATAACTGCATTGACTTCGCTAAGGATCACAAAATTACCCCCAAGCAACTGTATCAGTGGAACACAGTTCTGGGTGATGATGGCAAGGAGTGTGGGACTATGTTCCAGAGAAATACATACTACTGTATCGGTGTGAAGGAGTAGGTGAAACGTTGTACTAGCATCTGATTCTGAGTAGGTATTATAACTAGTAGTAGCCAGTTGCTGCATTGTTTTCATGCAGAGTATAGGGGGTGAATATACAATTCCGAACAATGGGACGCCTGATCGTCTTTTCCAGGGAAATTCCAGTGGTAGAGATAAGCATCCACAAGCTCGTTAAGGGGCCGGTAGTTCTTCGGAGCCAAGCCATGTCAGAGCCTTGTCCGAGTCTTGAGGATCGACATTAGGGATACCGTACGAAGAGGTTCAGCACCAGGTCTCCACAAGTGTGGCTACATCCATGAAGAGTAAGATCTTCAGTTTGCCAAGACCCGCGAGAATTTTCACTAGCGGAGTGCAGAAAATATACTCTGTTGTACATGCTGCTGCACTAATTCCAAGGTTGTCTTGGCATAAATGGCCCGTGCTGTCAGACTCGTGTACTATGTAGTAGTCGGGCACTGAATCATTATCTTTCCATCCCAGATTTCATTGAAGGACTTTCGACCTCCCCTACATGAATAAAACAATGTACCGGTTACTAGTATCTAGGTAGTTTCACGAGTGTGAATGTCCGAGTCATCTTCAAGACCACCGGTGCTCTGTAGTATGGTGGGCGATCGCATATAGTTAGTATCATCCATTATTTTCTTATGGGTCATTGAGCCCGGTATATCCTGGGAAAACATAAATAGGTTGTGAGATGCCTACCTGGTAGCGGGGCAAGCGCCTTGACTGTTCAGAAGTGTAGCCCTAACCAGGTTGGGATCGGACTCGAGTTGTCTCAAGTCGCTGGCAACTAGCAAGTACCTTAGGTAATTTAGAGAGCCTCCCGTTGTCAGGGACCATGAATTTTGCTTGCGAGAGGGTAATAGGTCGATGATGGGTGGGAGAACTAGGGTGAAGGACACCTTTCGTTACGGAACGGGGCTAGCTACTATTTGTACTCTGCACTACGGCTGGCCTAGTAGCAAATTGTTAGACTATATGCTAACCATATTGTCAGGTACCTAAGTGGTCCCCGAACAATGCGCTGGATAGAAGGGGCAAGATAATTGGAGGTACCAGTGTAGATGAATCACACATACCTATCTGTCTCATTTCCTGTCCCTGTGGGCAGCTTTCCTACTTTATGTATCTACTAGCCAGAATTTCTTTGCTTCTCCATTCCATTCAACCATTCAATCTACGGAGTATATACTCCCGTCATTGTAAAAAGACTTAGTGGGCCGACAATGGACACTTACGCACATGTTCAAGTCAGTATTCATCGGAGTCATAATCTTCCTTACAAATATCCATTTGTATCAAAGTACCCGTCGGTCATGTGGATGTTCAAAATCGGGGTCCAATGCATCTCTCAGCACACCAACTCCAAGGCGGACGTTAAGGGGATGACGCTGCTCAAAGGGATTTCCTCCTTCACCGTAGATAAAATCCTCTACCTCCTTTTCAACCCATATACCGTGTCCAAGTGTAGGGCTCCCCACCGTGATTGGCACGCCGACGGTAATTTTTGGTCTTGAGCCCGCATCCCGGTCTGCCCACAGCATGCTCTCCGATACCATTCGCCGGATCTCTTCCAGCATACTATACCGGTTTTCACCGCGAGAGAGGAAGTGCAGCATACTAAGCTCAACGGAGCGGACGGATTTTGGTAGCATCTTGAGGAAAGAGACACAATCATGCTGTGGGAGAACAAAGCCGGAGAGTTCGAAATGGCGCAAATTGGACCATTGTTCCACAGGCACAATGTCCTGTAATGGGAGCAGAGGATATCCGTCGTCATAGTAGAGATCTTCATCAAATGTTGTATGCAGCCTGAACTCTTCCATGTCTTTTGCTTCGCCGACTGCCCGGCGCAAACGCCCATTAAGCAGAGATCGCCAGCATGCTTCGAGGTCTTCCTGCCGTTTACCACTGACAAGCAAGGCAATGTCCAGACGGCGGAAGCCTGGCTTCTTAAGCACGGTAGCGAAATGGTCGTACTCTTCGCAGGGCTCATCGAAGATTGTGCAGTTGATTCCCGTGGGGATAGAGTTGGAAGTCATCACCAGCTCAGAGACAGAGTTGGGTTCGTTGGCGAGGACGCGCATTGCCGTGCAGAACCCGCGGTACCGATCTCTAAGTTCTGGGTATTGATTCCATGTATATGCAGTAGCGGGTTCCTCAGTGGCTCTAGGGTACAGCCAACCACGAGGAATGGGGTAGTTAAAACCTTTCGGGAAAGCACGAATCATAGGGGTTGGGTAAAGCGGGGTGATGAGGTTGCCGTGGGCTCCAGGTGTGATGGTAACTCTCTTGAGGGCAGGAAACTGCTTAACGCCGAACGCAAACGCTTCCAAATCACTCTGACTGGCAAGAACTTCCTTCTGTTGACGCAGCAACTGCTGATAATATTGCCAGTGCTCCCTTAGCGAAGGGTGAGCGAGAACCTGTTCTCTGCGCGCGATAAGGTCGGGCCTGTCCACATCACGATCTTCCCGGCGTTTTAGAACGTAAAGGGTTTCTTCACAACCCTTTTTGAACCATTTAGGACACCTATCTCCCTCTTCATACTCATGGCGCTCAATGATTTCCTCTCTGTATTCCGGGTAGTATTCCGCAGCCCATTCTCTGTTGTTATCGGGTTCATCCTCGTCCGAGAGCAATTCATGTCCCTCATTAGTTTCATCTGTTCGTGCTGGACCTCGATGCAAGCGCGCCTCATCCCAGATAATCTCGTTGACCTGATGGCGGAACTTATCGTGTGAAGCAATGTTGCGGAAGACGTCTATGTTGAGGGGGTTGGCGGATAAGAAAACCCGATTGAGTCGAAGAGACACTATATTGTTGAATTGCTTGCATGTCAGACGCAAAGATTTTATGTCGGCATTGGGTAGATGTGACACAATGCAGCTCCAGAGCTCCAGGGGGAGCGCGGGGGCGCTGGTATCAGCCATAATGTGATGTAGAGTTGAACTTGAGACTTTCAGTAGTATCCAAAATATTTGATACCGAAGATGGTATTATTACTGTATTTTTGAAACATATAGTGAAATTACATCCTAAAATCTTGGTCGGGAAGGAAAGTAAGAAAAAGCCAAGTGAAAGATATTTGCGCCTTGTACCAGCATGAGATCTCTGTCCTCCAAAAAAGCAACAAATGTATGTACATACCGTGGTAGCATCCAGTGCAATCACAACAATAGTAACGAAGAAAGAAAGCCAGCATCAACGATGATAGATCCAAAACCCCAAACCGAATCAAAACCAATGTCAAAGACGATAGAAAAGCCACAGCCAGGTAGCCGTCGTATAATGTGCTCACATGAGCCTCAGTCGAACCGAAACTTCTTCCACTTCCCATGGGTGAATCATTCTTCTCATGATGAAATGAGTCCACTGAACAAAGCCAGCCATCCTACCCGTCCCACAGGGAACTGTATCTTCTCCGGCAAAGAATAAGCGGTATCTCGAGCCCCCCCCCCGATCTAGGTAAATCAGGGATTCCGCGTCTTATTATTATAATCAGTATCAATTCTTCCACAGCTATCCCCTAACCTCGCACTCCCCCCTGCAGCGTTTGGATCTGCAGAAGTAGATGAGGTGGAGGGCGTTGCGGAGCTGCGCGCCGCTGTAGCTGCGGCTGCGGCACTTGCTCTGACTGCGGCTGCGTCTGCGGCTGCGGCGGGGTGGCACCGTCCACAGGGGTAGATGGTGAAGCCGTGGCCTTTGCAAGTTGTGCAGATTGAGCCTCTGTGTGGTTGATTAGTATTGGTGGTTGTGGTTGTGGATTATGGGAAGGTAAGATTGTTATAGGTCAACTGGTGTGTTTTTTGGGAAGTTGTATACATACCTTGGGGCATTTCCTGCGCAGCCTTTGCATGTGAGTACTGTTCGGCCGCCGAGGCAGGATATGTGGGTTGGGTCCGGGTCGACGAAGGTGAAGCTTGAGGATGCCATCGTGATGTATAAGTTGATCTTGAAGTAGTGGTATTGAGTGAAGGTGTTGGAAGATGGATGATATGATATAGATGGGGACGAAGTGAGCTCAAATATTCCAGCTGATATAAGGAGTGTCTTTGTAGTAAATCTCGGTTCTTTCTTTTGTTTCGGAGTGTAACAGGCAAAGACACAGCTGGTGTATTGTGAATCCCGAAGAAAGAGCAGGTTGGAAACAGAGACCAAAGACAATCGTCGTGTTTGGCAGTCAGATCAAGACAGAATCTCGTACAGACCAAAGGACAACGAGTAGAAATCCTCGAGGAACGAACGGGTTTCTTATAATGATGAAATCCCGGAAGTGATTAGTAGTACAGAGGTACGAAGTTGCCGAGTCCAATGTCTCAATTGGCGATATGCACCACGCCGGAGGGTGGAATTGGCGACGGAAATCAGGATCGAGTCTACGGGATGATCAGCAGGACATAGAAACCAACATACAAGGACTTGCGATGATAGGACGGTGAGGTCCGGTACATGTGGATTATTTCATGTACCCAGTACAATCTGAGGCCCGTTAAGCAATCAGATCCTTCGGTCATCTGCGGAACAGGCTACATATTTCCAGAATCCAAGGCACCAATAGCAGGAAGGATATGAGATCAATTAGATCTGGCATTAGTAAGAAACAGAGAGGGGGTAAACGGCGTAGAAACCGTTCTGGGCTTAGGTGGATTGCAAAACCCCGCTGCTTGTGCCTGTCGAGCTAAGGTTACCCTGCGGGAATGCAGGGTTGCTGAAACAGGCGCTGGTGGGAGGGGGAAATTGGATGTTGGAGATTTCCACAAGATTGGGCCGATGTCGTTCAGCTTCGTGGAAAGGCTATTTGCTGCGGTGTTGGTTAGGAAGTGTGTTGTCATCGCACAGGTTTCGACCGAATAGGCATACCGAAGCTGACCTAAGGCTTGTTGAGGCACTTTTGTGGCGGAGAAGATGTCCCAGGGAGCATATGGCCCGCCTTGTGACACGAACCATTTCACCCTCACACGTTGATCTCACAGGAAACACGTATACCGCTCTTCTCAGGATGAGTCAGGGCTCTTGCTCGGCACGGCCACGGATGCTCTGTTTGAAATGTGGATTTCCAACCACGGACACGGATAGCTGCATCAGACCATGCGACCATGAGTTGGATCTCCGAAATGATGTATAGACACAGGCCATGTAGTTTCCGAGGATGTTCCGGGTGGATCTCTCTCTGTGTGTCTCTGTCTTACCCACTCGCGTCAGATCTTGTGGCATTGCCCTTGGGCTAAGGTGATCTTTTCATCCCAACTGAAGATGACACAGTACCATGCATGGGAGTTGGAAATTGGCAGTCAGATGGTCATTCCAGTTCGCTTAGAAGATACCCAGATCAGAAACAGCCTTTACGAATCAGTGTAAGGGCTGAAAATACACATGATATCTGCCGAGAGTGAGCGGGAGCGAAAGTAAGAAACAAACGCGCGATCGATAGCATGGGTCAACTCCATGCAATGATCGCCATGACCTGCCGAATAGTTAGCATTGATATTACTGCTTCGTAATCATAATCTCCGATAAGCACGGATTCGGGCGGATACACGGCGATGACAAGCGCTTGACATGGAGTAAAAGCAAAGAGAAAAAAGCAAAAAGAAGAAAATGATAGTGCAGCTGCGGTGTGAGGTGAGGTGAAAAGAAAGCCCAGTGAGAAGGTGTGAGCAACCAATCAACCAAAAGACGGAGAAATCCAAAACTTGACCTCGCAGCCAATGGCAATACGACCAGGCCCCGGATGCCCGAACCCCCGTGGATGTGACATGGCCTCAAGCAGGTAGCCGTGGGGGACGCGGTTGCAGGGACAGGGGTAATGCGAAAGCCCTCGATGGCCTCCTCTTTTCTTCCACTTGGACGTTCGAACCTCGACTCGCCGACTACAAGGATGCTTTGCAGCCGTTTGGCTTTGCCTCGAATCCATTGTTGGTTTGGCCTCAGGAAGCGCTTCTGCAGATTCGTCACATGCGGACTGTAACTATCCGGTACCTAGTAATGACACGCAGTATACAAACACTGCCTGAATTAAATCATATCTGACTTTTCACATGGGGTGATGCGGTCTGCCATGTCTATTATCAAAACAGTAACAATAGCCATGGAAACGGTCCTGGAACGGAAGATGCCCTCGAACACGAGCTCTGGATAAGCAATGGGTATGCACGTGGCGCTGTGGATTCGTATCTTGCTAAGTATATCAGACCCTGAGAGAGATATATCATTTTGAGAAAAATAGGAACGAATAGCCACCCAGTCACCTCAGCTGCTCTCTCATCTCCCATGTCCAAAAATGCGTGGGGCTCGTCCGACCAGTTCGCTGGTGAGTAGACCTGCAGCCTGCCAGTTCCAATCACACGCTAAAGGTTCGGGATTTCAAGCTGGACTGGAATTGAGGCTTCGCATTGGCGGCACGCTGCGGGAATCAATGACGGAGAGGTTTCCATCGATGTCTGGAAAAGGACTATCTGAGACTTCTGTTGTCTCGGGATTACAATACTCGCAAATCTTTCAGGATGATAACCGGGAGGATGTCGGGAAAAAGGCAAAAAGGGGAGGGAATCGAGGTAGCACGGGTAAAGCGTTGGAGGTCAGCTGATATGAAGTTGTAGGATACCTGCAGCCCGGTTCCCATTGTCGATGCAAGTGAGCCGAGTCGGGCGGTCGACGTTCCTTAGATGGTGGAAGAGGTTTCTGGGATATCTGGCCAACTGGTCAGTTCTTGTTTTCTTAATGAGAGTAAATCAACGCCGAGTCTAGGCTGATAGAAGCAATCTCGTAACCCACACAACAGTGTTGGATACGAGTCAACGACTGCTGCCGGTCCGTGAGTACCCAAAGCATAAAATGAACTCACATGTCCTGGACCCTCGACGCGGAATGATATCACGGTGCATATTTAAATGAGACTGCCCGAGATCGGTACCTGACAGGGTGATACTGTAGAGACGTGGTAGACCACGAGATACTTGTAGGTTTACGGAATGTCCAGGAAATAAAATATGAAAGGGGGTTGTCATTCTCCATTAACCTGCGTAGCTAGCACATGAAACAAGGTGTCGCAACGATGACACCGTATCGGAACTAGCTAATAACGGGTGCGTAATCATAGTCAATAAAAAATGGGCGGAGAAGCAAGTAAATAGAGAGCATCGAGGAAGTAGCACTAACGGCGAGAAAAAGCAAAACGAAGAAGTCTCTTGGTCCATCCTTCCACTCCATACCCAAAGCCGAAACGCCTGGGGAATCTTCAAATCATCAAATTGGAACCACGCCGAAACTCAACGCGCCGACGTTGAAGTCATAAGTTGAGGAAAAGTAACGCAAAAGAGATCGATGGGACTCATGTCACCTCACTCATTGAAAGTATTTGTTGGGCATCGCCGCCAACGCCGCTATTGTACCAACACCACCTAGCACAAGACCCACGGCTGCCGTGACTGCATGGCTTGCTAGGGTCTTCGCAGTTGAGTGACTGTGCTTGACCCGCTTAGCCGGATAATCATTAGCAGCTGTTGCAGAGACATTCTCAGCAAGTGCAGAGCCGATCGCCTCCTTGGCTTCGGAGGTAAGTTTGTCGAGATTTGGGAGGCTGCTTGGGTCTTCGGGCAGCCGTTGAGCATCTTGTGAGACGTCGGGTACAACAGACGACTCCATCTCCGTGGCAGTACGCTTCAGAGGTGATTTGCCAGAAGTCGCTTCGTCCAAGTTTCCAGAATCAAGTTGTTCCACAAAAGCATTGCTGGCAAAGGGTCCGTCATGATAAACAGTCTTATATCCACTAGGGAAAGATGACATCCCAGAGTCGGGGAAACCGTGCTGGCACGACTTCGGCAACTCAGTGGAAACACTGTATTTGGGGAACCGAGCACCTGGGTACGTCATGAATGGTTCAGGCGGCACAAAGTTGAACCCGCATTTTGTGCGGATCTTGGGGCCCTGTTGTTCAGATTCAGCTGTCTCCGGTACATGCTTGGATACTTCGACGGCATCGGTGTATTCATGACGCTCCAGGTTGAACGGTGGAAGCATGTGAACCCTCTGTAGCATCTCACATTCCTCGATGATGCCATCATCTGAGGACCGATCGGCATCACTCTTGGATCCGTCGGAGACTGCATCTTCTTCTGGATCCTCATCTTCGTAATCATCATCCTCGTCGTCCGTCGCAGGATAATCCTTGGTATAGAATCCCTCGGAGATGGCCTCATCATCCTCGTTGTTCTCCCCGTCTTTCTTCTCGGCGGCATAGCATGCCTCGTGGATGGCTCCATCATTGAAACCAACACGTGAAACCCCGTATTCTTCGGAATACTCGCTGTCCAGATCCTCGTCCGAATCGACAGATTCGTCATCAGCGAGCAAGTCCGTATCGAAACAAGGATCCCAGTAAGGAGCCACATCGCACCATGTCTCGCCAATCAGCTGAGGCTCCCAGGCTCGCACAATCCAGTACTTATGACAGTCATCAACTTCAGTCTCAGTCGCGAGTTGGTGCTTTAACTCATCGCTCAGAAGCTCCTGCGGTTTTTCAACGACCCACCACCAGTTGCTCATCTGATGATCCCACTGGTTCTCGTGAATGACCCAGAATCTGCGCTTATCGACCGACCAGTACCTCAAAAGGCTGCCTGGCATACGATGGAATGATGTGTCTGACTCCTCGGAGTCCGGTTCCCATGAGATTTCTGTCCCATGGGTAGGCCGGAACCTCGGGGCATCATCAACCCAGTACGCGTCAGTCGAGAAAGAGCAACGGCGTGCAGCATGGATGATGCGCTTCTCATGGTCGACATCGGGAATATTGTTGGATTGACCCCATGCCATGTCTGCAATGCGCATGAACATCGGTTTCATGATGGTCCAATTTGAGTACTGTAATTCTGGAACCCCCTGGTAACAGCTTTCAGGGAAACTTGGCTCTTCATACTGCACTTCAGCGGCCCATGCCTCATCACTATCAGTCGGCTTTTTGGGGGGAAAATCGACATCTGAGACTGGCTTTGTGGCTGATACTTCAACTTCGGAGACCGGGTTGGTATCGGATAGCGGACTAGGCAGACTAGGCACTACCGTTGGAATAGGCATGGGGTGGGCGCCAGTCTCGCCAGTGGGCTTGGTGGAAATATCATATTCCATGACAATTGGCTCATTCTCTGAACATTCATCCTCGCCCTTTCCATGTTCGCCATCCTTGCAGCTGAAGACAAGAGAGGTGGGAGTGATAGTCGTCTCCCAAGATCTATCCGCGGACCCATCGGAACCGTCACTGCTGGAAACGTCCGCCGACTCAACATCGCTATCATCTTCGGGGACCGAAAAGCTGTTGGTAGATGGACTTGGATCGGGCTGGATTGTAACGTCCTGGTCTGAAATGACTGCGACATTGGGTTCGGGCCACAAGATACTGCAGCGAACTTCGAGCGCCTCAAAGACTTCTGTATTGAGTTTAGTTTCTATACTTCAATACTGCACACCGATGTAGCTTACCATGACCACGATCCACGCTAACTCCAAACCGGATGATGTCCCCACTGAACAGCGGGCTATCCACATTTGGCACCAGTTTGGCATCGTTCACGAAGGTTCCATGTGTCGAACCACAGTCGCAAATAAAGACCATCTGTCCAGGAACTCAGTAAAGCAATCAAGCCAAAGAGATATTTGGACTAACCTTTTCCTCCGGCGAGTAAGTCAGAAGAGCATGGTCACGGGACATGACTCGAGATTCAAACCAAGCGTTCGCATTCTCTGGGTTGCGCTTTCGGCCTTCGCGCTTTGAGGAACGCCCGATGGCTATGGTCATATCATCCTTCGTCAAGTCGATGGTACGGGGGAGGTGGGTGTCCGTGAAGAGGGGCAGGAGGGTCACCGTCACTTTGAATCCAAGACATCAGCTATGTACAAAGCGAGTTCTGAGCTTTTCAAGTACTTACCTTCCTGGTCCGACATAGTAGGCGATGGACCGACGACGGTGCTGAGTGAGAGTTGAGAAGAAGCTTATTATCTGCAGATGCTGGTTAGGCTGGGGGCATATTGTCCGTAGTTGATGGAAGTGACTGTAGCTGCAAGGGAGAGAGTGACAGATAAAGAATGCGGGAAGCCGATGGAGGAGGGGTATGAAATCAAGATGTGGAGAGAAAGACGGCTTACCAGGATGTTTCCAGGCTGCAACACAATCACATGGACCAGTTGAGACAGCCAGGAGATGGCAAAGTGAATATAAGGAGAAAGGCAGACTTCAACCAGAATCAAGGGAGTGCCCCAGTATAGATGAGCAGGTGTGAAGTGGGCAGGAGGTATGGAAGGATAAGGGAAGGTGAAAGAGGGGTAGGATGGATGAGTCGGTTCACAGTCACGTAGGTTCACCGCTGGCAACAAAGCAGAGCAACGTGGGGGGTGAAACCCCGTCGGTAATGAGCTTAGGAGCGAGTCTACTTAATATGAAGGCATCAAAAGTAGAAAGAGAAATAACGTGAACTGAAGAAGACCAGTGTTCGGAAACTCTGGAACAAAATGAGGTATGTATGAAAAGCTATAGTTAACTACGCAGTTAGCGCTAGATAAGCAGATGACGCCGTTGGGACTTAGTTTTACGCAGTGTGCCTATAACAACCGTGGCTGTGCCGGAGTTTGCTACTAGATGAGGAGAGAACACATACGAAGTAGGGTAGAGGCCTAGTTATCTTTGAAGCTCTTTGCTGATCTCTCATGAGTCTTTCGGACTTTTCCCCGTCAAAAACAAAGTCCAGAGATGCCGATAAGGGTGGAGTCAGCTGATGTGGGGTCCCACGTCATGGTCATCCGCACACCTGGGGTAAGCCCTATGCAGTCTAGTACGAAGTATATGACCCAGGAGAAACCAATATAAGTAAAAAGTGGTGAATGAATACTCTCATTTTCTGCTATGATACACAAATTACTACATGGTACCCTAACCCCAAATGCACTTGCCAGGGCTCGGTTTGCCGTCCACCGGCCCCATCCCGAGTCTTATCTCAGATAAACCCAACAAAACAGAAAGAAAGAAAAGAAGGCGGTCGGGGAATATGTCAACCGATGGTAAATACAAGCACAGAGAATAGGGATCCCGGGGATTCACAGATGTCAAACCCCCGAAGAGAAGAAACAGGCTTAGACAGTCATTCCTCAGATCAGGGGGATAGACCGAAAGAAGCTAGAAGAAGGCGAGGAGCGGGGATGGTTCCAGTGACTCGCTTACATGGGAGGGGCACCGCCGCCCATGGCACCCATGGTGTTCAGGCGGGCAGCCAGCTGGGGGTACTTCTCCTGCACCTCCAACTGGGTGCGGGTGGCCTCAGCGTAGGAAATGGCGTTGATGATCTCAGCTTCGGTGCGAGCCAGCTCAGCAGCGCGCTCAAAGTACTTCAGGGCCTGGGAGACCTTGCCCTGCTGGAGGAGGAGCTGGGCCATGGTGCCAACGGCGATGTCGCACTCGGGGTCGATGATCAGAGCCTTCTGGCAAAGGTTCTCGGCCTCCTGAGAGTCGTGCTTCCACTGGAACAGGCAAAGAGCCTTGTTGATCAAGGGCAGAACGTTGATACCCATGGGCTTGCTTTGCTTCTCCATCTCAACCGCCTTGTCGAACTTCTCAATCGCCTCAGAGTAGTTCTGCTGGTCGAGCAGAAGCTCACCATAGTAGTTGTACACATCAGGGACGTCCTCGAAGTTCTTCACTGTGCGGCGGAACGTGGCCATCGCCGAGGCAACGGAGCCCATCTTGTATTGTGTCACACCAAGTTGGATGTGGGAGTAGATGAACGACCCATCGAGATCGATCGACTTCTGGTAGTCCTTAGCGGCCTCGGCGAGCTCCGCCAAAATGAAGTGATACTGGGCACGGTGGTAATAAATGTCGGGGTCGTCCTTGTTGTGGCTGATAGCAAGCTCGAAGTCGTCAGCCGCAGCGTCCCTGTTACCGAGCTCCAGGTGCAAGCTGGCGCGCTTGATGTAGCTCTGAACCAAAGCGGGAGACAGCTCGACACTCTTGTTCAGGTCAGCCAAAGCACCAGTGGCGTTACCACCGAGGTAGGTGAAGGTGGCTCGCATGTTGAGGGCCAATCCTTCGAATTCGCCGAGGTCACCGAGCTCAAGCGCCTTCTCGAAGGCGGCAGCGGCCTCCTCATAGCTGTCGGCGGTTTTCTTGCCCATGGCGATGAGACCCTTGCGCAGCTGACCCTTGCCGGACTCCTCGGCCAATTCAACCGACTCCTCCAATCCCTCAGGAAGGGTCTGAGGGCGGAAGCTCTGGAGGTAATTGGAGACGAAGGTGGCACTAGGCAATTTCTTGGTTCGTGCCTCCAGGATACCCTGGGTCTTCTTCTCGGCAACCTTCTTCAGCAGACGCTCGAGCGAGTTACGGCTCACGTCATTGGAGAAGGCATCGATGATGCAGCTGGCGGTGAAATCGAGGAGAGCCTCGCTGTATTTTTCGAGGTGCTCGTACGCAATGGCTCGACGGTTGAGAGCCTTGACGTATTCGCTGTCCATGGCGAGGGCAGCGCTGGTGTCCTCAACGACCTTCTCCCAGTTAGACGAGACGCTGTAACAGGCGGCACGGTTGGAGTAGAAGACGGGATCGGGCTTGCAGAGGATAGCCTTGCTGTAAAGATCGATCGCGTTGGGGTAGTCCTTGACTCCGTAGGCCTTGTTACCGGCGGCCTTGAGCTTGGCCGCATAGGCGGCGCGGGTCTAAACCATCAGCCAAAGTTATCGCACAAAGAAAGCGGGATTGAACAAACCTCTTCGGACAGCTGTCCGACAGTCTCCTCATTCACCTCGGGAAGCTCCTCGGAGGGCTCCTCTGCCTTTTTAGGAGACTCTGAATCCGTGTAAGTCATGAGACCACCATGTTTAGATGACAGCACCTACCCTTCTTCGCTGCGGCAGCCTTCTCCTCCTCAGCCTTCTTCTTTTCTTTCCGTCGCTGGTTCTTGCTCTTCTTGGGTGCGGGAGGAGTGGATTTGCTGGAGTCGTTAAGGTAGTAGACGACACCCGCACCGGTGACGACAACGGCGACACCGGCAATGGTGTAGACAACAGCCTTGTTTTCCGAGACCCAGTTGGTAATGCGATCCCAAACTGATGCTGATGATGACTCGGTCAATTTCGATGTATCGAGCACCACATTCTTGGGGGACGTAGGTAACGGCAATTCGTTCGACATTGTGTGTGACGGAGCCAACGCTACTTCTATTGACTGTGCGTAAATCTTATAAATATGATCAGAAATGAATCGGCAAATTGAGTGCGGTCAATCTGAGATGGAAGACAGTGGGAGTCACTTACAAGACCTCGACGGGAAGAGTTAGAGATAGGGAGTCGAGAATGATGAAGCTCAGAGGAAAAGTCGATGGCCGGGCGGACCAATCATACGCCTTCCGCGGGTATCGCTCAAGTTCTCCACAACACATGTCCGGACTCCGAACAGAAGTGACGGCATTGTGGCGGATTGTTTCGTGCTTCAATTGTTTACCCATGCTCTCTTCAGCATCTGAAATAGCACCCTGCAGACTCATCAGCTGCTGGCGCAACTAACTGGCGACTACAGCATCGACAGCCAAGTCATCGGCATTGGCGGATATGGCCACCAATTCCAGTCTATCGTCATCGTTCGAAATAATTTCATCCCTTCGCTTCGACCCTGGTCTTCCAGAGGCAGCCTGTCGCTATGCGTCATCTTATCCTGAACATCCCAATTCGCCGTACTACCTCCTCGGCTATCATCAAGCTCGGCTCCGAGCTGCGGCAAATCATTTCCAATGGGACGGCGCTCTAAACTGGCTGAAACAGGACTTACAAAGCTTTGAGAAGTTCATTGACGCGTCGATATCAGATCGAAGCAAGGCATGGAGACTACGAATTGTGGTGAACAGCGAAGGAGAAGCCAGAGTCGAGGCAAACCCAACACCAAGCATTGATATAATGAGTCTGTTCATTCCGCCCCTACAGACGAACCAGAGTTCGCCGATATGGCGCGTCTATATCGATACCCAACCGACGACTCCGTCCGGGTTCACAACGCACAAAACTACCGCGCGCGACGAATATAACTCTGCACGGCTGAGAGCAGGGATCCTCTCGCCGTCGGAGCCAGCAGAGGTATTGGTCGTGAATTCGGGGGGCGAAATTATGGAGGGCAGCATCACGACGCCGTACTTCTTACGAGACAATGTGTGGTTCACGCCACCACTGAGCAGCGGCGGCAATGCAGGCACAACTCGGAGATATGCGTTATCGCAAGGGTTCTGTCAGGAACAAACCATCTTCCGGGATCAGCTCGTAGATGGCGAGTTGTGTTGGTTGAGTAACGGTGTGAGGGGATTCATGCGAGGCCAAATTGTGGCCAAGTGAGGATACGTTAGGCCACCTGCCTCGGTAGGTACATCTGCGTGTCAATGATGAATCATATTGGCAATTGATAAAAGGCTACGAAATGATGTAGATCTGGAACCTCGTTACTCCGGTAAATGCCTGTCATTGGCCTATTTCTTGGCCTTCTCAACCACAACCGGGTTGGGATTCCCCTTCCACTCCAAAGGTCGGGGACGCATGTACTCAGCCATGATCTCATCCGTGACCTTTGCCCGGCGCTCCTGGAAGCCCTGGACGTACTTCTGAAGCTCAGCAATACATTTCTGCTTGATCTCGCCGGTCATCATCTTGCCGCTCTCATAGTCGGTGCGGATCTGCTCCAACTCCGCGTCATCCTCGAGGAAGAATGTCAGGTACTGGAATGGGATATCGTTCTTGGTGTTGCCACCCAGCTCGCGCTGCAACTCTGCGGTGTCCTGGCCACCAGAGAAAGCGTGCTTGTTGATCTTGTTCTTGATCTTGTTTGGCGTATCGCTCATGAAGATGGCGGAACTATCGACACTGGCGGACATCTTGGATCCAGGACCCTGGAGGGCGGGAAGGAAGATAGAGTGGATGAGAGAGGGCTTCTTGAACTTCATTTTCTCGGCGTGCTCGCGGCATTGGCGGAAGTAGGGATCCTGGTCAATGGCGCAGGGGATCAAGCAAGGAATTGAGGCAACCTTCTTGGTCTCGGTGCCGAAGATGTGAGGGAAACTGGTGGAGAAGGCCGCAGCAGACTGAGTGGCACAGAAGTGGAATTCGCCAATGTTGTTGCTGTCGTTGAAGCCGAAAGTGCCCTTGACCTGGTTAATAGTGATTCTCTTTGCCATGCGGCACATGTTCTCGTAGAAAGCACCACCGATGAACTCGAAATCACTGAAGATAAAGGTCTTCTTCATGTCAAATCCGACAGCGATGATATCCTTGGCATTTGCTTTGGTGTATCGTTTAGAGTCCTCGATCTCGATCTTTTGGGAGTGCATGAACTTCTCGTCATCTGTCATCATAATCACGAGGGGAACATCGAACACATCCTGGAGCCACCTAGTCTCGTTTAGTATCTTACAGCTGCTCAGTGGAGATTGGGATAAACATACTTGGTGAACTCGAACGGGACGGTGTGGCCAACGTGCATGCTGTTGCTACTCGGCCCACGGCCAGTGTAGAGGAAAAATGGCTCCCCCTTCTCATGCTTATCCAGAATCTTTGACAGATCGCGGTGGCTGAACACAATGCTCCGGCGCATAAAACGGTGTGGCCGGTGGCCAGTCACTTTTTCGAATCGCTCCAATAGAGCTGCATTGATGGGTGTGGCGCCGAATTCCCTCGTCAGCTTCTCGTAGTCAACAGGCAACAGCTTGCCAGACTCGTCCACTCCACCAGAGACGTCGAAGGGCGTCACAATCTGGCCGACGGCCTTGGTCTCTGGGGCTTTTTCGTCGATGCTCAGGCCGTTGAGCGCCGGAGGCTGGCTTGCTTCAGTGGCCATGGTGGTTAATTTATTTTATTCTAGTAGAAAGCTGGTCAGTTCTGGACTTCCAAGTTTAAGGAGCCGAGGGCTGTTTCTCACTTGATTTTATGGTTGGGGAAATAGTGAATTTCTTCTGTTGCCCCTCTCCAATATCGCGGGATGAGTCAGAATTTCTGCTATCAGTGTGCGTTCTAATTGGTCCAATTGATGTGTTATCAGGTGACCCGCCCTAGCCCCGCGACTGCGACTGCGACTGCGAGTGTTTCTTTGTCTTCAATGTTCAATGCCTCAACGCTCTTGGATTAATGTTGTACTTGTGGACGCGAAATATCTAGCTGCCAGGCTAGTCACGTATTAACGAATCCGATTAACAAGTGATGCCCAATAAACACTCAGTGAGTGATCACTAAGACACTAACAGTACTCAGAGACCGCCCAGAGGCATCTTTTGAGCACGTACTGCTCAGGCCATAGCCGCCATACACAAAGAAGCTTTACCCCACAATACTATTTACTATGTACATTTAAAACTGGACCCAATTGAAGTCGGGTCCTATCTACAGACTTAGTTTGGGTTGCATCGTCCACAGCCCGGGCTAACGTACTGTGTATTTGGTCAGCCAGCTGCGCATGGATGGTTGTTGAGATGATATCGCGTCTACTATGTGTTTTGCGCTGCCCAACTCGCTTACCGAATACGTTACGGACTAACTATGGAGAAACTAAGTCACAGTTCAGGGTCGCATACCGAGTAGTTAGCCCCTATTCCAACTTTCTCAGAGTCGCATCGTACCTGCAGCCACCATCCGGCCGTAGTCTGTTTGGGGCTGCCCTGGTTGGGCGCCTGTCGTGATTCCCGGTCACTTGAGCTAGCTGCGTATATACCGGTTGGCTTTTCATGTTTGCTCCCGTTTTTGCCGTCTCTTTTACCAGCTTTTTCTTTTATTCTTGCTGTTTCTTCCTTTCTCTTATAGTTCCATACCCAGAGAGCGCTCTCCGCCTTGTTCGATTTATTGATTTATTTTCGACGACATAGCACGATGAGACGAATTTTGTCCACACTGGCTTGTTGCCTCCTTCCCCTAATCGCATCCGCGGAAGGAGACACGAAATACAATGCTTCTCTCCCATTCCGACCGAGCAATATTACAGGACTAAGTAATATCTATCTTTGGGTTGGATCGTATGTTGTTTCTTATAATCTTATTCATCTATATCGTTGTTGCTGACTTTCATAGGTATTACAATGCCACGACCAAGATAGAGTTCACGCCCGAGATCGGATCGACAACAACGACTCTGTATGCAAAAATCTCCAAGGCCAAACATTCACTGCGGAATATGAGTCTTTCCTCGCTATCACTGAGAGGGGCCCTTACAATCTGGGATCAAATCCAGTCAATACCCTCTTGACCCTCTGGAACTCAGATGCAAACCTTACCTCACTCTCCGGGTTACCATGGACCTCTTCGTCCCTAGAATGGTATCTCGAGTCAGCCCCGTAAGTTAGAACGCACCCTAGATTGAAAAGTAAATCCTTTTTGACTAATTCCTTATTCCAATTCTTAAAGTTGGGTGCACTATGCGAACAATCGCTCAACTGCAAGCGATGCGGGTAGCGAATCTTCTGTCAAAGATGTCTTCAATTTGACCCTATCGCCAGACACTAAAGGACCTCCATACAAACTAACAGGGACCATCAAGGACGCAGACTTGATGCTGACTAGTTTTGACATGGATCTCAAGTCCTGCAACACTTCCACTGAGACCAGCCGGAATTACATGACGCTCGTTGATTTTGATTGGTCTAATAATGCTGGTTGGACCTGGACATATCCTACGGTTGACTTTCAGTTTGATAGCCGAACGGCCAATTTCACTTTAAATGGATATGCCGCTGGGTCTCCCTATTTGATCGATAGATCCGATCCCACAAGGCCACTAGGTCCGGATGAGGTACAGGGGAAGATCAAGGTGTCCTTCTTCGGGGTCATCGACTCTTACCACTCCGATACTTTGGTCAACAGCAGCTCAACGCCCACTTGGCTTCGAACTGTCGGTTTTGGAAACAACTCCGCGAATATAGGCTATGATAATGGCTCTCTTGGCTCACCCCGTCCATTGCACTGGGGAGCTGTTGCGGTTTGCTCTGTTGTTTCCTTGGCTTTTATGTACCTCTAATCTCCCTCTGACGAATGTATACTGTGCATATGAACATAATTAGACATTCATCAAGACGCTTTGTTCTAAATTTGTTTCTAGGTCTTCATCCCAAAACTATCTATCGCTCCGTATCTTGAAAGACACCGACTTCTGTTGAACGTGAACCTAGTATTCCAGGTCACCCCATCTTACACAGTACATGTTGGTATGATATGGAACTGGTGATTGAATTGTATATCTTGATATGAACACGATTCTATAATCATGCAAATAGACTTTATGCTTTCGCGGGTAAAGCCATGGTTCACAGCAGAGTGGAGTAGGATAGGTGAAGAAGATCACCTCTAGGTAGATACGCCCATCGACACCTGCAGCACAGTAATGTAGTCCGCAAGCCACGATGAAACTAAAGCCAGCCCATTCTGCAGCTAGCCCAATCGGGACTGCCGAGTGAATTTACCCTAATTTGCTTTTGCTTGATCGGGCGTTGATATGGCTGTGACTCTGCACAGATCACTAGGCACCGGGGCGTGTGGTACATCCGAGACAACCTAGCCGGGAGAGACTCACGTTCAAAGTAAAAAACCTACACTAATCTAAAGATACCATATACTGCGGCCTCGTAACTCAATGCGTCATGCCCTGAATAACGGGTGGCTTCCTGTACGGGTTGGAAGCTTGAACAGTACCCGAGACATGTACGCACTCCAAGCCAGCATGAGGGTGTATAGCGCACCCAAATATGTTCATGAGAGGGTTCAACCCTGAGACAGCCAGTCAGCATTGAAGGCACTCTCCCTCCACGCGTATTGATAGGTGTCGGGTGATGCGATGGATCAGGCAAAAGTGAAAGCTGGTTGGCTGAACAGAAAATCGCCAGTCCGGTCTGGGAATACAGTGACTTGAGCGAAAGAGTCGACGGATGACATGAGTTTTAAAAGTCCTCAAAACGTCACCGTGTTGAGTCAAGACGCGTGCGATTCAGAGATGACCAGCCGCATGACACACGGGTCGATCAACCGCGAACTTGGGGGGATCTTCCCTCACTGTGGACGGTTGGTCTGTTCGCACCAGATCGAGGTGGACGATCTTCTCAGATCAATGTGATATGAAGAAGTAGTCATTTTTCTTCTGAGACTGGCTGTGCCTTGGAAGAAGCTCGTTACGAGGGTCACCGGGCAGTTGCGCGTGGAAAAAGAAGTACCTTGAGATCTCGATGGTTTCACAGGTGCCTGGTTGTGTCGGAGCTTTTAAAAGGGGCCCTTTTTGTTCTTTTTTTCCTAATCTCCTTTCTTTCTCTTTAGATTTTAGAAAGCATTTCATGTCCAACTAAGAAAATTCTCTTCCTCTCCACTAGAGGAGATCTGTTGCAGGCTCCACTTTGAAACGGCACCTTCGTCATTTCCCGCTCTCATTGCTGAAGTTGGTCAAACCGCAAATTTATTGAATGTGCATACGAGCAGAGGCTAGGGGTTCCTCGGAGTCCAACGGTAAGATTGAATTCTCTTACGCAGTGTGCGTTTTTTGCTATTTTCCTTGGAATTTTGCGTCATTTATTTCTCCCCATTGTATGCAATTTGATGTTTTCCCTCCCCGCAAGTGCTTAATGCACACTAACGGGAAGAAAAAAAGGAGACCAACAAATGCAAAAACATTCTCCCTCGTCGTTTTCTTTTTCTTCTTCCTCTTCCTCTTCTTCATCTTCGTTCTATCCTTCATCTCATAATTCCTCGATCTCCCCAAGTAAGTTGCTCAATTTTTCCGTGTTCATTTCTTTGGTTGAACCGTTGAAACAATTCGGGTGTATTTTCCCCTCCTTCATCATTGGCCTACCCCTTATTATTGGTTACTATTCTCAGACCCCCCCTCTCTACCCCAATGGCATATTTCGTCGGCTATCGCGATACGCTTGCACACATTCTTCGCTAGACACGTGTGGCATTCTCATTCCCATGCTAATCAGGCTTTAGGCCTATCACCTGTCTCACATCGGCGCTCGGCATTCCAACCAAGAGATCATCTTGAAAGTCTGATCACCAAGCACGGCTACCCCACACCTGTGTCACTTTCCTCCCTGCGAGATTTGACTTCCACCTCCTCTACTTATACTCCTCCTTCGCCGCCTCGGTCCCGGCATTCGGATACTGTTCCGAGCGACGCCTTTGACTCACTTACCTTATCCTCATCCACGAGACCCATTCCCATCCCACGACGTTCAGGGTCATTATACGAGGACCTCCCAGTCACACCACTCACTGGTCGTTTTGATCACGACTCGTATTTCGAGGATTGGGAGCGCGCGTCTCAATCCGCCAAGTTCCGACGACTTCCTTCACCAATCCGGCCTACCCGTCGCGGGCGGTATCCATCTCAGCCCCCGAAGACCTCATCCTCGGCAAGAATGCGTTCTGATACCTCACCATACTACTCTCCCGTGGCTTCGCCTATCATGTCACCACGACGCTCCAACTCCCCCCAACCAAGTCGCTCTCGCGCACAGAACCCCGCAAAGGCCAAGCAGACTCAAAACTTCCATCTCGGCAGTCTGCCTCGGTTCCATCCTGCCGTGTATCAGTCAAGCAACACTTCGCACAACCCTACCGCTCAGCCTCCATCGCCTCGCCAATCCCGACAGCCCACCTACCGCACGGCAGCCGGGTCGCGCGACATGATGTGGCAATACCGCGAGCTCATCGAGAGTACCCACCAAGGTCCCTCGGCGCCTCGCTTGAACCCTCTGGTCAGCCCGGGCCCGGTCACGCCCTTGGCACTGGAGGCAGGTGACTACCTCGCTCATGGCTCGATGAACAACACATCTGAGCGGACCCCACGAGATGTCGCAAAGAACACCGGTTCTCCTGCTGAGCTGGTGGAGAAGCTCCTTGCTTACGAAGAGAAAGCTCGGCAGCTGACTCGAAAATCCGCCAAGGGCCGGTAGTGGCTTTCAGCCTCTTTCATTCCCTCTGCATTAAAAGGTCGTTTCTGTTTATTCCCCAATAGAGAAGTGGTCATTCTTCGGAGCCATTCTGTTATTCTTATTTAGTTTTACATTTGCTTTCGGTGTTCGGGAAGTTGACGGGAACAGAATGAGTTCGTCCCGTAGTGCTGTTCCAATGTGCATGGGGCGTCCTCCTTTTCTTTCTGTTTGGCGTTTATACTGCATTTTCATCCTTTCCACTCTTCTGGTCAAAAATACTCGGTCTCGATCGACTACCTTTGATCTTGCATTACGATATCATGTATCTGAATTATATACCCATCTGTTCCAGTGGAATCAATTATCAACATTCAGAATAACAATCCTGTAGCCTTCGGGGTTATACTACGGCAGCAACCACTTGGCCCTATGATCTATCGCTGAGATCAACGTCCACGAGCTTTTACCACGGTATATGTCACGGTCGTTATAGCCCTGTAAGGCAGGTTCAGAGTTTGATACAATCCGGGGTGCATCATGTATGGCGTCGGGTAGTAGTGCGCATCAGGGCGTGTTTAAGTTCAAGTACCTTTCTTTTGGACATGTCCTGTTGTCGACTTCGCAAATGCCTAGTGTTTTCCTCTTCGCCTAGGACGATACTACCCTATCTCAACAAAATACCTCTAACTTCGCAATACAGGCTATCCTCAAAGAATAAGACAAGAAAACGACAGGCGACATCGGCACTCCAAAGTGCCCTTTATCTTTCCCGATAAGGCTAGCTGAAAGCCACCTCCAACTTCTGCCTCAGGCGCCAAACCACAACTCGGAGGTTCGCCCATCCTCCCCGAAAGGAATCTGCGGGGCCCAATATTATTAAACAGCTAACTCCTACAATAACTATTTCCCCCTCAAATACTCCATTGTATATCCCTGTATATACCCCGGATACCCCAGAAAAGAAACAACATATACTCAAACCCCATCTTGGCAGCCCAGCAGCAACCCCGGATTCTCGAAATCGCTCTATCCTTATCGGCTCGGCAACCGCCACAATTTCTTGATAGCCCACTTGCGCACGCGGCACGAGCACCCTGCATCTCGAGGCGTCCATTCCGTGACGCATTGGGCTTGCATTTCGCAAGGATCGGGGGAAGTAATTGGGAGTTTCATTGAACGATGTCATCGGCGCCGGCGCCTGTCTCTGTTCCTGTTCCAGGGCCCGACATGACGGGCCAGCAAAAGGCGGAAAACGCGCTTGCGGAGTCTGGGACCTCCTCGTCAAATTATAAGGGGTTTGTAGCGGGTGTCTTCTCGGGTATTGCAAAGCTAAGTGGTATGTTTGTGTCTGATGACTGGAAGTGTGCTTTTTGGAGACCTGAACTAATGCTCTTCTTCTCCAACAGTGGGCCATCCGTACGTACAACCGTTTCCGTGCTCGACTTGGAGGACCTCATTGTTAACGAGATTGGCAGATTCGATACTGTTAAGGTTCGTCTACAGACTAGCAAAGATGCTCAGTTCCGAGGACCGCTGGATTGTACGTTGCAGACTCTGCGGAAGGAGGGAGTACGCGGGTTTTACAAGGGAGCTACGCCGCCGCTGGTCGGATGGATGGTGATGGACTCTGTGTGAGTTTTGTCTGTGTTTTTTCGACTTGCAGGGATCATACTGACTGTCTGCAGCGCGCTGGGATCCTTGAGCATATACCGCCGATTCCTACTTGAGAATTTCTACTCAAAACCGCATATCCGCCGTTACATCCCCTTCACAGGCAAACAGTCCGATCCTGCAATCCTTCCTAGTTTCGGTCATGGCATTGCAGGTATCATGGCCGGCACGACGGTCAGCTTCTTCGCAGCCCCGGTCGAACACGTGAAGGCTCGCTTGCAGGTACAATACGCGGTCGACAAGTCGAAGCGCATGTACAGCGGGCCGATTGACTGTCTCCGCAAGCTGGTGGGTGCCTACTGATGGACTACATAATCTACGGCAGCTGACACATTGTAGGTTTCCACACACGGCATCAGCGGCCTCTACCGCGGCCTCTGGGCAACGATCTTCTTCCGTTCCTTCTTCTTCTGCTGGTGGGGTTCATACGACATCCTCACCCGCTACTTCAAAAATAACACCACGATGTCTGCGCCTGTCATCAACTTCTGGGCCGGCGGTATCTCCGCCCAATGCTTCTGGGTCACAGCTTACCCGTCCGACGTCGTCAAGCAGCGTCTTATGACCGATCCGATGGGCGGTGCGTTGAATGATGGCAAGCGACAGTTCCGCGGCTGGAAGGATGCTGCGGTTGCTGTATGGCGTGAACGTGGGTGGAGAGGGTACTGGCGGGGCTTTGTACCGTGCTTCCTGAGGGCGTTCCCGGCGAATGCGATGGCTCTGGTTGCATTCGAGGGGGTAATGCGTTACTTACCCTAACTGCATCACTTTGAACATGAACGCATATATTAAACCATAGCGGATAGATATACTATTAGACGAACATACTTGTTCTTTTTTATGTTCTTTTTGTTCCTTTTGTTCCTTTTGTTCCTTTTGTTCTTTTTACCTCTAGAAGAAAGTCAATTGTGGCTTGGAATGGTGCCGGTTCAGGAATGTGATGACAGGCCGCATTCGGCGATGACGACGTTCGGGATTCTTGTTCAAGTCTCCCGTAATACGACCGGGGCACGCCGAGGCATGGCATTGTCTCAGGGAATTGTGATCGCCGATTGGACCATGTAGTGGTGGTATCGACCGTCGTTCGAGGGTCTTGATAGTGGAGTGACATAGATCTAGGTCTTGCTTTGGCTCTTTCCGGACGGAGAATAAAAGTATTCCAAAGCTCTCTTCACCTTTCTCAATTCTTGACTTCTTTTATCTTACGAGCTCCTCGCATTTCGCTCCTCCAGAGCATGGAATAAGCCATCCTCGAAGCTGTACCACCGTCTGAATCCTCGTTGCCTGAGGCATTCCCGCAATCCAACGTTAAACGGTGTCTCACGAAGAAAGCAACACGTCTCCAACCTCCTTCAAACAAAACCGGCCATGGCCGTGGCACGCTCCATGCGCCGCTCGAGCCCAATAAGTCTCCTGCTGGCCGCATTGCTAGCATTCGGCTTCATATGCTTCCTACTCTCCCCATCAGCACCCTCCACCTCCACCCTCTCCAACACCAGCACAAGCTCGCAACAACGGCAATCCAACGCGGCCGAACACCCTCTCTCCCCTCCAACCAAACCCTTCTTCAAATCCCAGCCCGTCCGCAGCGACGGCCATAAAGCCGCACCACCAGTCGTCCACTACGACCTCAACAAGCTAACCAACACCGCCAACTCCGTCGCCAACCGCGAACGAATCCTCATCCTCACCCCACTAGCCCGCTTCTACCAGTCCTACTGGGACAATCTCGAAAAACTAAACTACCCACACGAACTAATCTCCCTGGGCTTCATCGCGCCCAAAACAAGCGCCGGCAACGCGGCCGTCTCTGCCCTCGAGAAAGCCATCGCCAAGACCCAGTCCGGACCAATCGACAACCGCTTCGCCAGCATCAGCATCCTCCGCCAAGACTTCGACCCTCCGCTGAAATCGCAAGATGAAAAAGCCCGCCACGAAATGTCCGCCCAGAAAGCCCGCCGCGAGTCAATGGCGCGCGCCCGCAACAGTCTGCTCTTTACAACCCTCGGCCCGGCGACCTCGTGGGTCCTCTGGTTAGATAGCGATGTGGTTGAGACGCCTGCGTCGCTGATCCAGGATCTGACGGCGTTCGATCAGCCGGTTATCGTGCCGAATTGTTTCCAGCGGTTTTACGATGCCAAGAAGAAGAAGTGGGATGTAAGGCCCTATGACTTTAATTCTTGGGTTGATAGTCAGGTCGCCCAGAATTTGGCTGCTAATATGGGGCCGGAGGAGATTCTGCTCGAGGGCTATGCGGAGATGCCGACTTATCGGACGCTTATGGCTCACCTGCCTGATGTGAAGAATCTGGAGCCGAAGAAGATGATTGCGCTGGACGGTGTTGGGGGCACGGCGCTACTGGTTAAGGCTGATGTGCATAGGGATGGGGCTATGTTTCCTGCTTTTCCGTTTTTCCATTTGGTTGAGACGGAGGGCTTTGCGAAGATGGCCAGGAGGTTGGGGTATGAGGTTATTGGGCTTCCGGATTACTTGGTAGGTTGTTTCCTTTCTTCTTGATTGTTTGGATGGTTGCTTAGAGAGGAACTACGCTGACAATCTGATACAGGTCTACCATTATAACGAGTAATAGCCAGCCTCGTTGAGACGTACTTCTTTTAATATCTGCATGAACAGCGCTGTGCGCTTCTTGGTTTCTTTCGAAGCTCTTGCTATTCGAGAGTTTATTAACAACATCCTCGGGCATTCATTTGATGGTTCTCTACTAAAGGTTTCTATTTGGAGATCACTGGCCATCACAAGCTCGAGATTTGCGCTTGATTTCGCTGTGTATTACCAGGGAATACGACTGGGTATATTTCTTGTTCTTTTTATAGAGGAGTTGGTCATAGGGGCGTTGCTAGAGTGATATTATTGAAGCAGGATAAAACCAACCATGAATCATTTGTTCTATAGACATTGTGAACCCAGGAACATTCATTGATATCACGTCCTGTCAGGGTCTTTCAGGATCCGGTCCCCTTTCCATATGGGGGTTTGGAGTAGGAGGGAGGAGTATCGGTTGGTCCGGTGACTGACTTTTGATTCTAAGAAGTATGCATATATCGATCAAACAGTGAAGAGATCTAGGTAGTAATTCCCACTTGATCATCATACGTGTGGGGCATGGCTAATCCACAAGCAAGAACCAACCAACTGTCTTGCAGTAAGGTCCATACAGTGCTAGGCACAATTGCCGACAGCAAGGCATCAAGGCGCAATCGACTAGAACTCAATCCCAAGAAATACTATAAGCCGCGTTAGTGAGCATTCCTTCATAGGCACAGAAGGACCAAAACTTACGCAAGCATAATACCAGCACCAAGAGCAACCGCCAAAAACTGCGTGATAGTTTTCCGCACCTCAACACCCTTATCCTTACCAGTCTCCAGCAACTCAGGAATCACAGCCACGGTACCAACATACAAAAACGTACCGGCCGTGAAAGGAAGAAGCATATCACCCCACGTAAGGCTAGTCCCCATAAGCCCAACAGACGAGGCATCATCCAACATGGTTCCATTACCACCAAACTCCTGAACAGCAATGCCAATCGACGTACCCAAGAAAGCACCGATAGCAGTAACAAACTGCGCACCCATAGCCTTGCGCTTCGAGAAGCCAGACTGGATAAGCAGAGCGAAATCACCGACTTCATGTGGGATCTCATGGAAGAAAACGGCAACCGTAGTCGTGGCGCCGATGGTAGGCGACGCATAGAAAGAAGAAGATAGCGCAAGGCCGTCGGTGATATTGTGCGTGAAGTCAGCAATGAGATTGAGGTACCCGCCGAGCTTGACGCTGGGGTTAATCTCTTTCTCAGGGACGGGCTCAGTCTGCTTTGCGGACTTGCGCTTCTTCAGCTCGCCGGTGGATTTCTTAGTCTCGGAGCTGGAGGTAGTTGCGGAAATGGACTCGGTGTGTGTGTGGCTGTGCGAGTGGTCGTGGCCGCCCTCCCCGCCTGTCAAGATGCGCAGCGTCTTGTCCATTGCGACGAAGGTGAAGAAGCCGACCATGATGCCGAGGCCGAGGAGAAGGTTCTTGTTTGGCTCGACCATTACAAAGCTGACGTGGTCTGGGGAGGCTTCGCCGACGAATATCTCCGGGAGGAGGTGGAAGAGTGTGTCACCGAGGAGGCCGCCGACAGCAAAGGCGACCATCACGGAGAGTGAGGAGGGGTCGATGTTCGGTGGGCATAGTGCCAGGAGAAAGTCTGGAGTTGTTAGTAGAGATACATTGGTGAATCTAGGAGACATCACTTACTGGGTGGACCGGAGATGTACAGAGTTGCGAGCAGCGCATTCACGGCTGGGGTGCTGGGGAAGAGGACCGCGAAGATCTTCGATGTCAAGCTAGTAGTTTCTGGGCGAGTAGCACGCTTGTGTTCATTAAGTGACTCGACTAGCGGACAGCTCTGTGACAATTTAGTTTCTGTACACAATCTCATTTCGTTGTGTAGCGTACCTGCAATTGCTCCTCTATCTGGCTGACAGAGAGCTCCCCGGGGCTCACTTTGGCGGCAGCCAGGGCGGAGAACAAGAGACATCCTGCAACCAGGGCAAAGCCTGTTCTACGCGAAGGAAAGAAGCGAGAAGCCATTGCGAATGAATTGGCCGGGATATTGTGGACTGTAGAGGGACAGGTGACAAACGTGGAGCTAGCGCTGAGCTGCTTATCGCGATGGGACCTCCTTGTTTATCGCGGGACCCTGAACAAACGTGCCAAGACCATGCAAACTCGGGAAAAAAAGTTTCGATAACGCTTTTTTTTATTATCAGCGAGACAGCGACTACAGTGAACAAGACCATTTGCTCTCTACAATACCTCCACATTCACAATGGGTAAACTCTTGCAGAAGAAGAAAGAACGCTCCGGGCGCTCCAAGGCCCGCGCCAAGGACAACCGTCTCAAGAGCGGCCACAAGAAGATCAATGTTCTGGGCAATCAGATCATCGCCGACAACTGGTATGCAGCAACATCTTGCTCCCCTAAAAGAAACCAATCAACTAACAATGCCACAGGGATCGCAATCTGACCCTGACACAAAACTACCAGCGCCTCGGACTGATGCACAAGCTGAACGCACCATCCGGCGGCCGCGAACGCCTGCCCGGTAAAGAAGAGGAATTCCCCGAGAACCAAAACTCCCTGCACATCCGCGGCAGCGCCAAAGCCGACGCAGCCAAGCTGGATCTCGGCGAGACCCGAGTCGAGCGTGATCCCGAGACCGGCCATATTCTGCGTGTCATCCACGACGATGAAGACGACAAGATTGAGATTGCGGGTCGTCAGCGCTCGCGCAAGAACCCGCTCAATGATCCTTTGAACGAGCTGGCTAGTCACAGCAATCCGCTCGCTGATTCGATGATTGTGAAGCAGCTGGAGCTCCAGGCGGATATGGAGGGGAAGACTGTTAAGGCTAAGAAGCCGAGGTTCCAGAGCTCGCGTGAGGGCGAGTGGGCTCAGCGGTTGATTGAGAAGCATGGGGATAATTATGCTGCTATGGTGCGCGACCGGAAGCTGAATCCTATGCAGCAGAGTGAGGGTGATCTGCGGAGGAGACTTAACAAGTGGAAGAAGAGCCAGGAGTAATGCCTTTGTTCAGAGCATTGGGTTAGAGCGAGTTCGGCGTTTATTATTTTGTCCTCTTTTTCTTGTTTATCAAAAGTGTCTACATGTATGCATGTGTCCCGAGAAGTAAATATTATGGATGGATTGGATGGCAATTGAGCCGCTTGGAATTTGTTATCTCGTGCTCCTTCTAGCTGTTGCTACTAAGTGTCGAGTAAGTAACCACCCCCGCCGGCGGAAGGCTGATTCGTTTTACTACGCGGACCCATCGCCGGCGTCTCCATTCTCCCACCCCGTAGGACGCAGGAGCTTCTTCCCAATCCTGAGTTTTGGCTTGCTCTTTCTCCTTCTCAATTTGCTTGTTCTTGCCTTTAGCCTTTTTGGGAGAAAGAGCCTCAGGTAGGTCCCGGTATGCCATCAAATCTTCATCGGACTCATGCCGATTTACGGGCAGGTCCCAAACCCAACCACCAACTTCGCCAACAATGGCGTTGCCTTCGGCAGTTACGCCGGGGACTTCGAACCCAACACTGGTGATCATGCGCTCCACCACCCATTCACGGCAGTCCAGATCAAGCTCCCACTTCTTGCTCTTCCAAGCCCAGCCAGACGGGGCTCTAACATCCTCGAAGAATCGGCATCCACGGGGCCGGTCTCCGGCGATGCGAGCTGGCGAGAGTGGGTCGTAGGGCGCATGACTGAACAAGAAACTCTCCCAACCAGACTCGGATGTTCCCGCGGCTCGATGCTGCAATTCGAAGATCTCCACCTCCCGTTCTTCGGGATATGGGTCCAACGTGATATCTGCAAGCTTTTCCAAGGCTGACATCGCTGCAGATGGGTCTGCGGGGACAGATGCGGCGAACCCATCTTTGTCATCCATATCTATGGAATCTCCAGCCATATCTTTCATCAAATCGGATAAGAATTGCCCCACTGTTGGATGAATGGAGAGAATTGCCGCATTGCCGGCAACAAGCATGACAAGGTTCAAGGGCAAGAGATGCGCACTGACAAACAAAACCACTATGGCTATCGTGCATACGAGGAAGAAAGTCGAAGAGAGCACCTCATTCGAGAAATCCGTCAAAGGGGACAGGAGCGAAATAGCCGCATCGTGGGCGTCGGAGAAATCGGCCATGCAATTCTGCAGATCCCGCATGTTCCGCAGAAAATCCTTCGATGTCTCTGGCGCTGGCTTGATGGTCATAGCCGGCGCCAGTGCTGGTCCATCGTAAGAATAGTAAGGAGTAGTGCTGGACGTGGAGGTACTCGGCGGCGGTGGATGCCGAGTCACAAAGGCCGGTACCATGATGAACAGCAAGAGAATCACCAGAGGCAGAACCAACAGTAGATGGGGCTGCAAGCAGATGAACGAGTACACGAAAAGAAAAGAGAACGTGTGGGTTGGCTTGTTCCAACTGAACAGCTGCTCGGCGCGGCTCTGGAACAAAAATACCACTCCGATTCTATAGCCTGTTTTAGCTTTGGTTCGATATCGCAAGGTCTGGACCTGTTTCAATCCTACCTTGCATTAAAGCGGCGGAAATTATTCGCCATTACAGGCAAGCTGAAAGCCGGTTTCTTTGGAGAGGCAAAAGCCTTGTCTCCCGCTGAGTCGGTTTCATCTTGATCGTCTGGGATCACTTGTTGAAGGAGTCTGTTGTCATTAGTATAACTATTGGAGCTTCGGTGTATTCAGGGAATGAAGTAAAAGAATAACGAGTGATAGGAAAGAGTGCCAAGCTTACTTCGTAAATAGACGGTCTTGCAGCGAATGCTTGGAAATGGAGGACGATCTCGAGTGCATACTGTCTGGCGAACCAGGTCTATCGTGTTTCTGTTTCGACCTCTTGGGTTCATCCAGAGCTTCAGTAAAACCATCCATGATGCTCAAGACATGCCAGTGTTGTAAGAGTAGAAAGAGGAGAAAGAAAGAGCGGCAACTCCACGCTCAGTGCCACTCACATGCTGCCGAAAGTCTGGGGATGCCTGTGAAGTGTGGCTGACCGCTGACCTAATCCAACTGTTTGCATTAGGGGGAACCTCGATAACTAACTAGAAAGGCAAACAAAAATATTGTTCACAGACTCTTCTCTTGTCTTGTTACACGTTCTGATCATTCATTGAGTCTTGACAATAATTTTCGAATTCATCTAAAAGATCTGCCCCCCTTTGTTTATAGGGCGGACATATAATCTTCTACTTCCCCCCCCCCCCGACCCTCTTTTTCCTTAGTTACCGCCTTAGTGGACTTGACCCCCCCAGCAACCCTTCCTCGAAATTTATTGTCAAGATCCAAGCTTGGTCCTGCATTTCAACTCGCAATGGAACGATAGTTGCTGTGAAGAGTCGCGCGACGGTGCTCATATATTATTTTGTTTGAGACCTCGTACTTCTCCTTAATGCAATTGCGATATCTCTGGCACGGTCCAGTTCTCTCCTATTTGGATTTGACCACTTCACTCAAAGAGACAAAAAAAAAAAAAAGACACGAAAGGGTCCTAAACAATGCCGACCATGCCACAGTCACTGGGGAGGGGTCAAAGGTCCGAACGCGCGCAGGCATACACTCCTTCCAACGAGGATTCGGGCTCCGGAGGTAACTTGAATGCACGGGAAGGTGCAGCTCTTGATATTGACAGTACAATAGCAGAAGCTCCGGTCCGTCGACGTTTACAAAAGTCAGCCTCGACTAATTTTGCCTCAACCAATACAAATACCAATTTCGACACTTCGAATGGGATTGCCGGACCGCGCGCGGGTGGGATGAATAGGAGACGACTTTCGATTCGGGATCAACGAGTGCCTCAGGGGCCACGACCACAAGAGACCTCTCGTTGGAGGTATGTCTATGATTCCGCACAAAGACGTGACTATTGAATTTGGACTGATTGAATTGTCTAGCAAACCCGCCCCGTACCTTCACTCTGGAAATTCGTCCATTGATTCCACAATCGATTCCTCCAAACACTTCAACCTCCGATCTACGAGCGTGGGGAACCTGGCAAAGGCCGATGGCAATAATACAGAACAGACGGACTTTTTGGCGCCGATCAATTTCGACGATTTTCATAATAGCATCATGGCCGAGCCTAGTTTGAACCACTTCCCCATGCCCGGGAATGGCAGTTCGGGGGAGAACCGTGAAGCGGGTGCTGCGGTCAACCCCTGGGAATCCAACAACTACACAGCCAACGCGTCGGAACGTACACGGGGTCCTTCTGGTCGACGAAAGAGCGAAGTGCAACGTCCAAACAGTCAGGCCGCTCCAGGTCTAGCAGCGTCATCGGTGAATACCACCAATTCCCGCGCTCGTCGCCAGAGCTTAGCCCAGCCCGCTGCCGGAACTGCTTCGAGGGCCTCACGTAAATCTATCAGCTCTGGAGCATTTGCACCTACAAATGCTTCGGCCAGACGCGCCAGTTTGAGTGCCCGCAAAGTCAGCACTGATGTCGGTTCGACAAATAACCTTCTTCGTCCTGCTCTGCCAGAGTCTGATGCGAAAGTCCCATCTTCTGTTCGAAGTCTCAAGGCAAAGTCGTTCCAGCCCAGCCCGCGGGAACCCCGTGGTCCGTTTTTGACTGCCGCCGGGGTGATTGACCACACACGAAGCAATTCCACCAACGCTGTGCGGACCCCGGTCCGGAACGCTTCAGGTGCCGTGGGTACTCCTTTGTCGAACTCTAAGCGGGCTTCTGTTATGCCACCACATGCCACTGGGCTTGGAGCTCGAACGATCAGCCCTACCGATGCACGACGCGCCAAGCGAATATCAATGGCCCCTCCTCCAATGCCACACACACCTCCCACCCAAACCGAACCTCTTCCCGTTCGTCCTCTATCTTCAACACAGTCCCCGTCTCAAATCCCGAGGAAAAGCACCACACCTTCATCCAACCGAACCACGCCTGATCCGAATCGCAAGTCTTACAGCTCGGGGTTGTCTGTTTCATCAAGCACCAGCTATAATTCGGTGCGAAACTCTGGAAGCTCTCTGCAAAACCGCCTGTCTCAGAACCTTTCTTCATCCCGACTTCCGACACCAAAACCGCGCACTGAGCAAACAAGCTCCAATGGAGAAGAGGTCCCACCGGTGCCTGCGATTCCTAAAGCATACGAATCGCCAAAAGGTGAATTTGATGCACCTGTTTTCCCCGCGCCCCGGAAGTCGAGTATCCCTACGGATCTAAGTCTCTTGAAAATTCAAGATCCCGACTCTGACACGCACAACCCTGTTGACCCTACCGAAACGAAAGCACCTGAACCGCGATCACGAACTTCAACTGTCCTAGGTGGACGAAAGGGCTTGCAGCCTTTGAAATTACCCCCGCTCAATCTGCTCCCTCTGGGCACACCAATGGCGGCCAAAATTGAGGCACTCAAGGACCGAGATGAGGAGCGCCAGATTTACACACCCTCCAATCAAGTCACTTCAAAGACACCCAGTACCCCGATGACAGCATCCAAGGCGAATTTCTGGTCCCGCGATGAAGACGCCCAAGCGCCTCAAGCGCGCAGCAGCACCTCACACTTTGCTGTCAGTTCGTCAACTGCCGCATTGAGAGCTTCTAGCAGCACCAGCGCCTTTGAGGCGTTCGAAACGCCAAGCGCAACGCGCAACATCTCTCCCTACGCGTCTTACACTTTGCCCAAGAGCGGTGCCGAGCTCAACCACCTGCGTCACCAGGCCAGCGCGGATTACTCCAACCGGACGCAAAACCACAAGTTGACCGGTCCCCGGCCTCAGACACAAAGTGCCATGTTCACTCCCGCTCCGGAACGACTCAGTCAGATCTCGACGCCCTCCGAGTCTGAGAGTGTTACTGCTGGCTCCTCCCTTCGGGATCGGCTCAAGGTCGCACGCCTCCGCAGCAACTCGAGGACACAGAAGGAGGCCGACACCGATCCAGCCAAGTACGACAATATGCCGCCACCCAAACTTCCAGCTTCTGCGACATGGAGCAATTTGTCTACGATCAGCTCCACGAGCCCTAACCTCAAGTCAGCGTATCTCAATCCTCGCCGGCAGTCTTCTGTTTCTGGTGCAACCAATTCGGCGGCTCGGAAGCCGAGTGTCAGCAGCGAGAAGAGTCTGACGCTGGAACCGACTCCGTCCAATGAGTCGATTGAAAGTGATCGCTCTAGACGCTCGCAGAGCACATACATTTCCCCGGTTCACAAGATGATCAATAATGCTCGATCAAGCGTTGCTGCTGCTCCACGGTCTACTGACGGCACTGTCGATCCCGATGTGGCGATTGCAGACGAAGAGATGAAACGACTTGGCGCTAAACGCAAAGACTTTGAAAAGGCAGCACGTGTGCTAGACGACTTACGTCGCAAGGCTGGCCCCAAGGACCGTGTGAGTCCCGCCCAAGCCTTGAAGATGGCGGATTTGAACATCTTTGAACGGGGCGAAATTATCGACTATCGGGAGATCTACTTCTGCGGCACTCAGACCGCTAAGAAGCACGTTGGGGACCTCCACTCCGGTGCGGCCAACTTCGGTTATGATGATGACCGTGGGGATTATAATATTGTCATTGGTGACCACCTGGCTTACCGCTACGAGGTCGTCGATGTTCTGGGTAAAGGCAGTTTTGGCCAGGTTGTGCGATGTGTGGACCACAAGACCGGGTACCTGGTTGCGATCAAAATCATCCGGAATAAGAAGCGGTTCCATCAGCAAGCCTTGATTGAGGTCAACCTTCTGCAGAAGTTGAAGGAGTGGGATCCTCATGGCAAGCACAGCGTGGTCAACTTCACGCAAAGCTTCTACTTCCGTGGTCATTTGTGCATTTCGACTGAACTTCTTGGAATGAACCTCTACGAATTCATCAAGGCTCACGAGTTCCGAGGCTTCTCGCTGAAGCTGATTCGTGTGTTCACCAAGCAGATGTTGAGCAGTCTTGTTCTGTTGCATGCGAAGAAGGTTATTCACTGCGACTTGAAGCCGGAGAATATCCTTCTTGTCCACCCCTTGAATTCCGAAATTCGAGTCATCGATTTTGGTTCCAGTTGTTTTGAGAATGAGAAGGTATACACTTATATCCAGAGTCGCTTTTACCGTTCGCCCGAGGTCATCCTCGGAATGTCGTACGGCATGCCGATCGACATGTGGAGTTTGGGCTGCATTTTGGCGGAGCTGTTCACTGGCTACCCCATCTTCCCTGGAGAGAATGAGCAGGAACAGCTTGCGTGCATCATGGAAGTCTTTGGTCCTCCCGAAAAGCACCTGATTGAGAAGAGCTCGCGCAAGAAGCTGTTCTTTGATTCCCTTGGCAAGCCGCGTTTGACCGTTTCCTCCAAGGGACGTCGCCGTCGCCCCAGCTCGAAGGACCTCCGACAAGCTCTGAAATGTGACGACGACGCCTTCCTCGACTTTATCTCACGCTGTCTCCGCTGGGACCCGGCGCGACGACTTACGCCCCACGACGCGTTGAAGCATGAGTTCATTACCGGTGTCAAAGCTCCCCGGCGAATGTACGCCACCCAGTCGCCCTCCAAGCGAGCCGCCACAGCCGCTCGTCCTCTTCCCGATCCTCCGGGCTCCACGTTGAAGAGCGGATTTATCCGTAGTCGTGATGTCTCGGGCAATTCCCCAGTCAAGGGTACTGGCAAACGCCACTCGACCGTGAACGGTCCCCCGTCCAGCCCCGGCAAGCGCGGGTCGAACAATTCCACAGCTGCATCTGCACTTCCCCGTGTTTCAGCGCGGAGTATCAGCGGAAGACCCGACCTCGCTACTGCGGCGGCCGCGACAAGCCTGGTGAGTTAGGCCTGATTTGAACGCGGTCAGAGTGGATGCTAACGAGGCTGATAGAGGAAATGATGAATGTTTTGCTTATTGCTATGTCCCTGACACCCTGTAATACTATTCCTGTTTCCCTAATGTTCGTTGCATCGGGTGGTCCAGCATTTGGTTTGAGATGCCAATTCATGTTATACCCCCTTCCTGCATTTGCATTGCCATGATAGTCTTATACCTTTTATCTTTCATGCATTTTCCTACCCTATGTGGTTGTTGTACATTGTTATTGGCGTCGAGTTCAACTCAGTTCATGCTCATGTAGAGCGATTTACGGCTGTGATTAATGGAATAATGTTATAAGAACAGTAACTAACTTATACAGTAGCTAACTAGATAACTATGTCTACGTAAATAAGAGAATGTAGTTACGCAGTAAAATACACAGTTAAAAGCTCTACCTAAGCCCTAAGGTAACCCGCATACTCCCCGGCAATCGGGCTACTTGGCCTCTTTATCTCTATTTACTCCACTTCTCCAACCACCCTTCAATGGCACAACAATGAACTCCAAGCTCGACGACGACGCCTTTGGCGAGTCCAGTCTAGCTGGCCTAAAGACCTTCGATGCCTTCCGTACGTCACTTACATTTACCCAATCTTCCAACCCCAATACTAACCAGATGAAAGCCAAAACAAAACCCTCCTACACAACCCCAACCCGAACAGGCGGCCAATGGACCGTCCTAATCCTCCTAATCAGCAGCCTATTCAGCTACAGCGAACTCCGAACCTGGCTACGGGGCAGTGAAAACTACCACTTCACAGTCGAAAAAGGCATCTCCCACACCCTCCAACTAAACCTCGACATGGTAATCCACATGCCCTGCGACCACCTCCGAATAAACATCCAAGACGCAGCGGGCGACCGCATCCTCGCCGACGAAATGCTCTCTCACGACGACACGAACTGGTCGCTCTGGTTGGCGAAGCGCAGTTCTGCACACGAGTACCAGACGCTCGACCATGAAGACGATGAAAGACTGGCGGAGCAGGAGGCGGATGTGCATGTTGGACATGTTCTTGGTGAGACACGGGGTGGACCGCGGAAGAGGTTTGCGAAGCCGCCGAAGATGCGCTGGGGGGATAAGGTTGATGCTTGTCGCATTTGGGGCAGTTTGGAGGGGAATAAGGTCCAGGGCGATTTTCATGTTACCGCCCGTGGTCATGGGTATAGGGAGAATGCGCCGCATCTTGATCATGGAGGTTTGTCTTCCCTTTCTTTCCTTGGATTGGACCTTGGATTGGAACTTGCGTTTGATCGGGGAAATATATGAATATGAAATACGGATTGGCAAATGGGATGGCTAATGGATATGCTATATGATAGCCTTCGACTTCTCACACATGATAACTGAACTCTCCTTCGGCCCTCACTACCCATCCCTGCTCAACCCGCTAGACAGGACAATCGCCGAAACAACAGACCACTACTACAAATACCAGTACTTCCTCTCCGTCGTGCCAACACTGTACTCTCGCGGCAAGAACGCGCTCGAAACATACACGCGCTCACTGGCGTCGACGGCTGCGCGCTATACGCGCAATACGGTCTTTACGAATCAGTATGCGGTGACCAGTCAGTCTGGAGCGATTCCGGAGTCGCCGATGGTTGTCCCCGGGATTTTCTTCAAGTATAATATCGAGCCGATTATGTTGTTGGTTAGTGAGGAAAGAGCCGGGTTTTTGTCGCTGCTTATTAGGGTTATTAATACTATTTCGGGGGTGTTGGTTACTGGGGGTTGGGTTTATCAGATTGTTACTTGGGTGGGTGGGTTTTGGGGGAGGAGGAGGAGGGTTAGTGAGGGTTATTTGACGGGGAAGAGTTCTTTGGATTGATTGTTTTGATTTACTTGTATGTTGTTCGATCTACATGGACGGAGTTCTCTGCATAAGTTCTTCATTGGTAACTCGTGAGTTGGACCTGGTATATCGAAACATCCGGTAAATCCTAAGTAAGAACTGGCTACACCTCAAAGATCTCCCCCATACCAACACCAGCACCCTCAGCACCAGCCCGACTATCAACCAGATCCAGTCGCCAACCATTCCAATCCCTCAGCTTACTCTTAATATCCCGCATCCACTCAACCCTCTTCCTCCCCTCCTCCTCAGCCTGCGCACGCGCAAACGCCTCCTCATCGAACTCATCATCAAGATTCTCCTCAGACACAAGCTCCAGACTCCCCCTTGTTCCAGGCGGGTTCGACGATCCAGCCCTCGCACGACTCCCAGCCGCCCCCGTAAACGCCGCTAACCCACTAGACAGTACAGTAGAGAAAGACGAGTGCTGCGGCTGGCCCATGCTGCGGCGACGGGCGTGGTCCGGGCGACCACCGACGAGATCGACGTCGTCGAAAGCATTAGCTGCGTCGGAGCCAGGACTGGTCTCGTCAGGGTAGTGTGCCAGTTCCTGGCGCTTCTCTTGCCAGACGCCGCGACGTAGATCGAAGACTTCGCCTTCGAGCTCGCGGATGCGACGCTCGAGACGCTGGCGTTCCTCGTCTTCGAGTTCGTCGATGGCGTCGTCGTCTGCGCCGCCGGTTGTTTGGCGGGTGCGGAGACGGTCGCTTTCTTCGCGGAGACGGAGGTTCTCGTTTTCGATGCTGGCGATCTTTTTGCGCATGATGGCGAGTTCTTTTTCCGATTTCTCGCTTTCGCGGAGTCGGGTTTGGTGGCGGGTTTCGGTTTCTTTGTGTAGGTTGGCCATGGCTTGGAGTTTTTTGTCGAGGGTTTCGATCTTCTTGTCGGATTCGCTCTTTTCGGTTTTGGATTCTTCGAGTGAGCGCTGCAGGGATTTGATTAGGGTTTCGGTGGATGTTTTGTCGACGCCTTCTTTGACTGCTTTATCGGACGCTCGCGTTAACGCTGCTTTTGTGTCTGACAGTTCACGTTGGGTCTTTTCTAGCGATGCTTGGGTTTTTGAGACTTTCTCCTCGAGCGCTGCGACCTGGGCCGAGTGCGCTTCATTTGAGGATGTTTGGGAGGTGGCCTGGGCTCGTAGATTCGAGATCTCCAATTCCATTGACTCGATCGTAGCCGACTTCGACTCGAGCTGACGAACGAGATCTGCTGGCGGTGATTCTGTCGTACTCGTGTTTCGATGTGACCGGGTCTGGAGCTGTGCATTCTGTCTCTGCAGGGAAGCAATTTCCTCTTTCTATTCCGCAGATTAGCATCAACCAACGAGTATCGGAAATAACAGTGATGCATACCAACGAATCAATACTTGCAATCTTCTCCTCCGCCTTCTTCAACTGCTCCCTCAACTCCGCACTATCAACACTCGCCTCCCGCAAATCCTCAACCTGCTCCTCCGTCTTGCGCCAGCGCGTCGTCGCATCAGAAAGCTCCTTCTCCAACCGCTTATTGTCCTTCTCCAGTTCCTCAATCTTGGTCGACTGTTTCCGGAACACTTCATGAACCGAGTCCCCGTCCCCAGTTAAGGGCGGTAATGACTGCGCGGGGGACTTGACCGTAGTAGACGGAGAGGGCGACACGCTGCCCTGTGACACGGATGTCTTACGGAACGAAGACGAGCGCATCTTCGACTGAATCGATAGCGAAGGTTGTCGGCCGTGGCTGCCGCGGCCTGTGTCAGGTCGGACTGGCAGCGGCTCGGCGTCTGGACCGGGAGATGTGGGCGCTGGAGGCATCGGTTCGGTCGGAGACTCGACTTGTGCATCAGTCGGTTGCGATTGCGGTTCTTCTACTTCGTCTGGCTGGGCCGGGGCTGTGGCTTCGGGTTCAGCGGCTGGCTCATCCTGCTTATCCTCTGCGGGGGTCTCGGTCGACGATTCGGCACCTGGGATATCCTCGGCGCTTTCTGTGCGTTCTGTCTCTTTGGTGGCTTCGTCCTTGGTGTCTGTTCCAGCTGTGGAGGTCTTCTTGGCTTTCTTCTTCTTCTGGAGTTGGGCAACCTAGAAACAACGCGGGTTAGCGACCAAAACAATGCCTATCAGTCACTCCTGGGGTGCTTACCCGTTTCTTGGCTGCTGCTAGCTTCTCAGCTTTAATGCGCTCCTCATCGTCAGCCATGATGAATGTCTGATTTTGTAGGATCTTCAATAAGTGGAGGAGATGGAGTGGAAGGGAGTGGACAGCTTTCCCCAATGCACGGACCACGTGGCTGATCTATGTCCGATGTACAAAGCCACCCGTGGGCGTCGACGGATATTAGGAAGCAATAACCTACGACATTAACTACGGCTTGTTAAAGGATCCATGGGGAATTAATTCCCAAGTCTTCCCGTGTTGCAGATGCCTATGTTGGCCTTGCAGAGTGTTGGTAGTATATACATTCCTGGAGTATGAGACAAGGATAGTACTGATGATTTGACGCAGGCTGCTTTGTTTAGCGTTACTGACTCCCGACACTCCGTTTAAGCCCAAGATTATCCTTATTCCTTTGACAGATGAGATATATGACGTGCAAATGAAAGAATAACGTAAGTAATATTAGGGAGTAAGTCACAAAAGCCGAGGGCATCATATCAGTCTTCTCCATCAACACCCCAAGGACCGAAAAAGAATGCAAGTTGATTGCGCCAGTCGAAAAAAAAAGAGCCCAACACCTCCGGCTGGGTAAACATGCCCGGTCAACAGGTCAAAAGGAAGACAATCAAGAAGAGACGTAAAAAAAGCAGGAGAAAAGCACACAAGAAAGAAATATCCGCTCTTAAACCTCCATTGAGTCCGCAATTTCCTCACTCATCGCCCGCACTTCCCGGCGCATCGACGGCAGAGTTTCGTCATCATCACTGATGACATAAGTATCATACTCCGCCGCCGTAGACCGAATCGTCTTCGGAGGGCGATCCATCTCGTCTTCACTGGAACTTCTGACGAGCGATGACCTCGCGCGTTCTCCGAACCAGTACTTAGAACGCTTGCTGGAGCTGAGGTCCGGCGTGAGGTATCCATCGTCGAAGGTGCGTTTCCCAGTAGGCGTAGTCGCGAACTCATCCGGAGTATGGCTCAGGATGGGGATCGCACGCAGGAAAATGTAGCACACGCGTTTGCGTATTGGGTTGAAGAAGAAGTAGTGCAAACTCCAAATGGCGCCGTCATCGGCATCGGATGGGACCTCTTCAGGGGAGTACGAGTAGATTGAACACTCCTTGAGTGACATGTGTTCATCTATCGTCTTCCACACGCGGGGACCCCACCCAGACGATGATGTGCCAGTGTATGACCCTGAGAGCGTCGCAGGCGAGGCGGGGGACAAACTGATATTCTCGCGCGGGCGCAGGTTGAGCAGTGTTGAATCAACGGTATTCATGACGCGCTGCAGATTACGCTCGCGATGGAAGTCACTCGGTCGCAGGACATGTGAGAAATCGTAATCCGGGTGGCTTGCGTTCAAGGTCGCGATCAGATAAGCAAATGTCCTTCGACTTGAATGGTCGCTCAGGGGTCCGAACGGGCTAGAACGCGATAGATTCAGTGACTCGGCTGCATCATGCGCGTTTGGGGGCGAAAGCGAAGCCGAAAATCGAAGCACTGATTCATATTGAGCCTCGAGAGACTGTTCGATGTGATTGTAGAGTTTCCGATCGGAGCGTGCTGCCTTGGTGGTATAAATGTCACATCCGCCGACTATGTGACAGTCGGCGGTGTCGAAATTCAGAGAACTCGTCACGTCCTCGAACTCTGGAAGTGGAAGAAACTATATGGCGACGGAGGTGAGCACAATGATAGAATCCCATGTTGGAGCGGCAACCGCTTCGTTTACCTTCATCTTGTCATTCAACCGGGGTAGTGGAGACCGCGAGATAAGGCGATAAGCGCCTGATGACGTGTTATGGCTTGTGAGTTGTGAGTCGAGGCGACTCAGGCGAGACTCTCCTGAAATGCGAGAGACTTGCGCCAAAGAGGGGTGTTCCGACGGGCGATTGAGCCGGTCAACTGCGACAAAGTCGTCTTTAAGTGGACCCGCTGACGAAACCGGGGTAAAGGGGGTGATAGCCACAAGAACTACTCCAACAAATAACAAGTCTTATACCAAGTTGATACCAGCAATTGGCAGACCAAATGAAGGGAATATATGATGGGAAGGAAGCGAGAGCAGGGAGGGCGTTGCCGGATATGTCTTGCGTGATGATGGCTGAGAGGGGAATCCGGAAATAGTCACGTGAAGGGAACTGGTCCAGTGAGAACGCGCACTGACCTCACGAGCAGCAGCCCAACCATGGAAGGGCCAAGTCACAGGCCAACGTGGGCCAAATTGCGTTCAACATCCTCCGTGTCCTGTGAAAATGAAGAAAAAGTTGTATTGATTAGTATGCTCCTATGTATATTGTAACGCCCCGAAACCAAATAGAATCCTGTTTGCTTGAGTTACATGATCTTGGTGACCACGTCATCCTCAACCTGGGGAATAATTAGCCTGGCTGACACTTTGCCATGGCTGGGGAAAGGGCAAGGGGAAAGGGGAATGAAATGGGGACGAAGACATATGAACAAAGGATAGGAAAGGATAATACAATCCTCAAGAGATGATAGTAAACGATCAAACTCACCTCCATATCTTCCAAACTGTCCTGCTGGCTGATACAGCGAAGAACATTCTTCTTGCTCGTCTCCTGCATTTCCCCCGCAATCAATAACTCATCGAGAATGAAGTATGCTTTCTGGAAATTGAAAATGATGTCCAACTCGCAGACATTGCCGTAGTATTTGTCCATCTGTTCGACGTAGCGGTGCACAATCTCGAGGGTGATCAATTCATTATCGGTCGAGGCACAGCCAGCGATGAAAAAGAGGGAAGCGTATCGACGGTAGACAACTTTGGAGTCTAGAAGGAACAGAGATCTGTCAGTCCGAGGTCTAGTTGGCGAAAGGGGGTTCGTGCGGGGGAAATAGCCACCTTTGTATTCGAGGAAATTGCACATCCGCGTCCGACGGGATAGCACCAGCTGAGTTACATCCTTGATGATCTTGGCCTTCTCCTTGGGGGAGAGGGTGGTGAACCATTTGGCGAGACGCTAGGGAGATGTGGTCAGTTGGCTTCAGCCAGACGGGGTAGCTGGGTGGGTGACGAGACATACCACTTTCCCCTGCCGGGAGAGCAGAATCAAGTAGCTGGTAGCGGATTAGCCATTTGTTGCAATTGGGTCACAGTAGGGAGGTCTTACTGGACAGGCATTATGGATGGAGATGTGAAGTGAAGAAATGGGGAAAGTTGTCGGGGTGGAAGCTCTGGAGAAATCTTTTGGGTGGAGCGGAGGGGAGTTTTGCCCCGCTTAGCCCTAGCTTGACAGCACTAACGTGGAGATTGAAGATGAATAGAATATGAAAGGAGTATTGTTGTGTCAGAGAGGATATCGAGAACGAGAAGGTTTGTCCGTCGGTATTGTTCTTGCGCACGGGGCTTAGATGAGTCAACCCTCGCCTTCATGACCTCACAGAGCTGACGGGAGGGTAGCTGTAGGTAGCTACATACATTAACTTCGGAATTTGTACCTGAAGACTTACATTCGGTCTAGGTTATCAGTTGTGCGTACGCTACACTTATGTATCGGGGTCAGTGTAAATTTCCATACGGTCGGAATCCTCTCAATGGTCGATGTCTGTATCTATGTACGTGGGACTATATATAGATGCAGCCGCATGCGAGTCTGCATTTCCAAACGAACGAGTCTGCTAGGTAGGTATATGTACCTATAGGTTGTATTGGAATAGACCCATAGGTAATCTACCTACCACAAAGAATAACTACCTATCACTGGAGCCCGTAAGGTCCATAGAATGCAATTAGCCTACAACAGAGCCCTCGAACAAGGAGCCTATCAACTATAACATCCCAAGGACCGAGTATCCAACCGTCAACGCCAGACCAAAGTCCAGGCAACCAAAACATATTATTAATAAAATAGGTAAGAGCACATTATCCAAGTATCTCCCTCATGGCCGAGCAGAGATATAAAATAGGCAGAGCATTCCGCGTCGAATCATTGCAGCCATGAGACTCATGGAAGACATCAATCAGAACCCAAGCCCCAATAGAATACATAAACGCCCCCCGACCCCACCTGACAACCTCCTCTCCAACGCCATTAACCAGATTCAGAACCAGTAGTTGTCCAAAATTACCAGGTAGCACATGTAACCACGGATAAGGAGCGATAGGTTCGAAGCTCAGAGAAAGCCCCAGCCATCCTCCCTACCCTTTTATGTCTTCCCAACAAACAGGCATTTAGACCTGAGTCATGTTGGGTCCACGACGGGTACTGCCAGTGCGGCTGCGCATGTTCACATTGGCAGAACGGGACATGAGGACCGAGACAATGACAGAAGCCATGTAGCCGGCCCAACCGAACCAGAGGAACGCAGTGGAAGCCTGGGCCTCGCGGCAGCGCTTGGTCATGTTGTGGGAGCCGTTGGTAATCTCATTGTGTCGGAGGTAACTCTGCGACAAGTCAGCATTACATATCCATATGAATTGCGTGTAGAACTATGGGTATTTGCAGAATAGCTTCAGAAACATACCCGGTTGGTGCAGGAGTGGGACTCGAGCCTGGCGGCGAGGGCGATAGCCGCGCAGAAGAAGAAGATGCAGTTCAATGCATCGAGGACGATCATGATGATCGGGTGGCCGGCCCAGTCGAGGTTGAACGAGGCCGGGACGAGGTAGAACAATGTGAACATGGAGAAGACCGAGACGAAAATCGCGTAGTTCACTGTCGCTGGGTTGCCGGAGAATGCATCGGCGATCATGTTGCCGACCAGCGCCATGATGAGGAGAGACCATAGGAACTGGGGATTTAGTTAGCAAGTGGAAATATGCGCGGGTCTTTAATTGATGGTTACCTCCCAGGCTCTGAGGCCCAACTGCACACCCCTAAGAGCCATTCTGTAGCAGATGTAGGTGAGTGTATATAGATGTGTAGATGGCGAAGAGGGGGTTATCTAGGATAGATGCGCTAAGTGTCAGATAGAGCAAAGTACTAAAAGTACTGAATGCTGGGAAAAGCGAGGTTATAAATCGGAAGCTCCGGAGCTGATGATGATGCCCTAAAGACTAAAAGTCCTACGTCATGCATTCGGGATGTAGCGGCTCCCGTCGGTGTCATTGGACTGTTGAACTATGAAAGGTGCAGATGAAATCATGAACGTTGCATCTTGATCAATGATGAGTTCTTGACTGGTCGGCCTTTGAATTGAGTTGTCTGAGTTCTTGTTCTTGTGATGTTTGCAATGGGATGAGTCCTGTTGACTTTTTTGTTCTCTCTACAACATTCCAATTTTTCAGGTTCTCAAATGTCAGAATTTCTCAGAAATCTACATTCCTTGTCTATGTCTATCATTGCCTTTTGAGGATGATTCCCCTCCATTGACGGTTGATCGACAGTGTCCACATTTTGAAGACTACGGAGCAGGAACAGTGCAGTTGTGCAACGGACAACGGACAACGAGGTAGGACAATGGTTTCATAGGGAGCTGATTCGGAACACAATAAGATTGAATAGTGTAAAAGACAGAAGAGAGAGTTTTATCCTTCGACTTTAGCAAGCAGTTGAGTCATGGAAGAACTCATCTTTAGTGCATTATTCATAGTAAGAAACCAAGAAATCTAGATAGCATTATGTTCCATGTACCTGCATTGAAAAACTCACGTGCCCTACACTACAAAGTCGTATTCAAGAAGGCGGAGGCAAGGCAAGGGACATAATCTGTAGGTTCTAGGTAAGGTTGACAAAGCTGAGGTTTACTTGATGCAGGTACGACGTGCATGGCAGAGTAGCTTGAGATGGAACCCGAAAACATGGTATTGCGATGATGACAACTTGAGCTTCAGTGTGATTCGTGCTCTTGCATATATTTATCATACAACTGACTCCCTCCAGACCGTCTGAGCGGTTCGAACTTCAAAATGAGTATCTACGCTCCATGACCCATTGAAAGAAGATATAATCAATACTCCGAGACAAAATGCGGTATCAACGTCGAGTCTCGAGTCCCGAGCCCACGGCGATATAGGTGCGGTCTAAAATCCACACGAGAGTCAAAGAAAGCGCGGCGTGAATAGTGGTCGAGAAGGAAGACCATAATTTCACGCATTCAGTCAACTTCCGGGGGGTGGTGTGATGTATTTCGGATAGGAGCGGATAGGAGAGCTGCGACAGTGCAACTGACTGAAAGGAAGGGAGAGGTCGATCGCTCGAATGCCGTCTCGAGGGAGTCACCGCCCTTCTGAGCCATGTCAAGACGGAGTTTAAGAGGGCCGGCGCTCTTCTGAGCTAACAGGCTGGTTTATCAAGGAATGTCCAGAGGGGTGGTAGAGCTTGTTGAGATGGGCTGGCTTCGTTCGAGTCTGGGAGCCACCGAGCTCAGTACGGCGATCTCGGAGAGTAGTTTGGCGAACCACAAATGGGGAGCGACACGCATCGAACGCCAATGTTAATCTTCATGGGCACTTCCAATATCGAACCAATCCATCTCATGTTGCGCGGGAACCTCATGCATCAAGGCCACGGGCGCTGCGCCATAGAGGCAGCTTGTAGAATGCGATCGTATGAAAATAGGCGCCTGCCCAAGCGCGCTGTGTCTGACAATGCAATGTCGCTATGCCGTATCACGCAAGTCCAAGGCTGCGAGTCAGATGTCGAGGCATACCAGGGAGGCGGCAGCACATAACATATCAGACCACCCAGGGAGAGAGAGAAGAGAAAGACCGGAGGACGATCTCAGGACCGACCTGTACAGTCCCGATTAGTCCTGAGAGCCCTTGTTAGATCCGCTTGAAGGCGCCTGCACACAGACAAGCTCAACCGTTATATCATCTGGACTGTCCGGCGGTGCACTGTTGTAAGAAGGGGCACGACTGATGATGCCGACTGCGACTTGGGAGGCTTGTTTGCGGGCGTTCATTTGATCAAGGTACCAGACCTGCCAGGGCCAAGCGCCCGAGCCAGGCGGCATAATGGTGACGTTCTGGCCGGGGACTCGTTCTCTGGCGAAATCTAAGAGAAAGAAAGATCAGACAATGAATAGCAAATAAGAAAAGTACCATCGACATACCTTGCACTGGGATCGAAGCAACATCCAGAACGTATGGCGAACACCGAAGCGTCGGCGGCTTCATCAACATCTGGTTGAGAGTGACCTCGAGGGGTTTGGAATAATACTCGCCCGAGCGAGCAAGCTGATACATGCCATGCTTTAACGCAGTCTTGAGATCACTGGAACAATCCTCCCCCCAGATGCCATCACATCCATTGTTCGCTCCGGAAGGGGTACCTGTCAAATTGCCGACGCGGAGCCCAATCTCCGACGTGCGATTCGAGTCGACGGCTTTCATATTGATATTTCGAGTTTGATATCCCAGCCAGAACGCTGTCTTGGTCATAGGCCCATCGCCCTTTCCGGAAGGACTGGCATCGAAGCCGTAGTAGAGCGTAACGGGGTCCGGGAAGAGAGGCTTGAGATCGAATCGAACTGCGGTTTGAGCGAGCGTGTCGATGCATCCACTATTCCAGAACGAACAAAACTGAGCCGAAACAGTTTGTAACAAGAGGAAGAAAAGGCCCAGGGCGAGGGTGTTGAAAGACATTGCGAAAAGGTATAGGTGGTGTGTATTTTTGTTTTTTTTTTTCAAGAGCGACCGCGGAGGCCCTCAGAGTCAGGATGATCGAGATGACAGGAGGTGCAAGCTCATGGTCTGAGAGGGGAAGGTGAAGGATAATAAAAGGATTGAGTAATCTCTAGTGCTGATAAAAGGCTCATTGTCAACCTCACGGAAGTCAGGGAAACGGGTCCCCGCAATACCTACTAGGGGTTTCTTAGGGGACAAGAACGAGGCTAGTCTCGGTGAGAAAAGGGTGTGTGTGTCAAGACCAATCCCAGGGAATTAAGAAGAGAAATATGTCGATATGCCAATAATATGCCAATATGCCAAGGCAAAGTGGAAAGAGAAGGAGAATAGTTAGTGGTAACTGGTAAATAAAAGGGAACGTTCAACGTAGTGAGATAGGCTGAAGTGGTTGGAATCGAATTGTTGCATTCCCCATTTCTCCCATTCTACATACAGGCTCGGGTACCTGCGGGATACCTCAAAGGTACCTGATGCAGAGTAGTGGAGTACAGCAAGACACAAGTTCCCATAAGGTACCCCTTTTCTCTTTTGATTGGAATTCTTTCGCGCTAAACCAAGGGCCTCCGCACTACCAGAATGGGAAGTTATTGGCGACGATCACGATTCAGACAGGGCCAAGCAGGGTCCAGCCACTAATATGAGGTGAGGCATGCACACTGTGGGATGTTTCTCTACGGCGTCAGTAGGACTAGTTGCATACTGTGTAGTAGTCACTGAAATTCATGTTGTACATCTAAATCGATGCACTTATTCTCATATCCTCTCCCCAACTCGGCTGATCAGGGTCTGCTTTTGCCGTTGAATCAGGCAGCTCCCATGATCGGTATGACCTCATCCTCATTCCAGACGTTTCAAAGGAATTTAGGGGCTTCCGTTGGCAACAACGTATGAGAACGGGATATGCAAGACCCCGGTACCCTAGATCAGTCCGTCGGAGCAGCGAGATTGCAATCCCTACGTGTGACTGGGACCTCCGATAGGTTCACAATTCTGTGTCTTCTGATGCACACAGAGAAACAGATGGGATCACTCAACGCTGGACATTCCGGTAGTATGTACGGTGTAGTAGAGGGTTCTGCGTCATTGGGAGAGGGTCCGAGACAACCTTGGGACTCTCTTATTGGTGATTCCATTCTCGGCACTGGGTTCATGGCTTTCAAGCCAAGGGTCCTTGGCTGATTTCGCTAGCGTGCTGGACGGAGTATCGCGAGACCAAACCCACTTGATCCGGCAAAGCTCCGGTTTACCCGTTACCCGGATTGTTCTTCTGTTGGATAATGCTGTGTACTGTTGTTACTACAATTGGTGTAAGTTAGATGAGAGAGTAATAGAATCGGTGATTCTGCTATTTTCAATGCTCGATAAGACACACAGATTACCATAGTTAACAGGCAGGAATAACCACGGTAAGGACGATAACGGTCCATGGGTGGACCAAGCACAATTGGCCGATATCCAGCCATCCACTTCCACTCAATCTTACCCGTCCGGCGTCTAGGTATGAATCCATGCCTAGGAAGGTACCAAAACAGGGAAACTATCTTGGGGTTTGACCTCACCGATAAACAAAATGACGATAAAGCACAATTGTTCGCGCAATCACTCGGTCTCATAATCATCCCACCAACCTGCCGGCCGGATGATCTGATGCACGCGATTTCGGATGACCGCCAGGGCCGAACAGATCGTATCGGCTTGTCTGTGCCAATCACCCGCACGTACCAGACACCTCTCACCAGCTTCGTGAATCACCCACATGGTTTCCATTTCATACTTCTGCGGCCCTTGAACCTGCAGATCTAGGCCATATCGCAGGATATACTCCTCAGCTGTCCGCGCCTTTATGACCGCCTTGAGAAGAGGAACAACTTGTCTCATATGCTGGAGGCACCATGCAGCATTGCCGGGTGTGGCATTCTTATGCCCCCAAACTGTGTCCATCGCAAGGGCATACCCTCTAAGGCTTTCCATGGCGTGATCGGCGAAGGGTAGCTCCATGTTCCACGGAAACGATCGGACTTGGAAGCGGTGCTCGATCCATGCTTCCCACATGTTGAGCTCCTCCGGCTTCATGCGGTCTCTGGAATGCTGCCTTGCTCTTTGCTTGGCGATGACACGTGTGGGTCTATCACTGATGTGCAGTTTGTGCCTAGTAACGATCATCTCTGCGATGGTCTCCATCTTATTTGCAGCAGTCTCCATATCATCCTCGTCAGTGGGGATATCGACATAAGAGAGGCTTCCCTCATTGTCGAGGATGTGAGCCACGTTGCCACCTGCTGTTCGGGCATTTGAACTGCTGGTCTGACCGCGGGCCGCGTTGCTACGGTTTGCCGTGGTGTCCGGGTTGCTGGCCCAACTGTTGCTGGAACGACCGCCGCTGGCGAGGCGGGTCTCGTCGACGAGGTCGGCCTCAGCGTGCGAATCACTGGCCCCCAGATCTAGGCCGGCAAGGTCGGCCAAGACTTCAGCCGCCGAATCCGAGTCGTTGGTATTCATGGCGAAGGGGATCGAACGTGTTGCGAGAGATGGTTAAGAGCGAAAGCTTTCTAACGATCTTATGTCAGAAGTTGAATGCAATGCTTGATCGTCAGGCCGATATAAACACACATACCCGACGGCGCGATTCTTTTTGCGGCGTACCAGGAACACAATTGACTACACCGAGTAGTTGCGCGGTTAGTGCCGTGGTGTGACCGGGTAGGAATCAGAAACAATTATCGAGAAGCGTTGTGGTTGATTCGTTTGAGGTGAGTATTTATCATTTGGTCTCCTGTGGCCGGTGTGATACGTACATGCGGCTCGCTGTGGTAGTGGCTGTCTTACGAGCCTCGACAATCTACATTCAATCCTCGCAATACGCAATACAGTCCAATTTCCCTTTTATCCATTCTGGTCTACTCGTCGCCGCAAGCCCGAACGCCGAGGGCCATTTCAGCGCCGGCACAACATGAACATAACGCCAAAGTAACGCTATAGTAACGAGAAGTGCCGTCTGACAATACGGCAGCTCCAATTCCTATGGCATTCGTATGTCTTTGGTATGCTGGCCAAGCGCAACGCCGAAGGCTCTTTAAGACCAAAACCACGTTAAATCAACGAAATAACGGGCAAGTGACCAGCTATGCTCCCACGGCTGTCATTCTACTACTGCAAGTATGTACGTATTGAAGCGTATTGTGTGATATTGCAGGCTTCTCACCTCAAAGCTACCACCAAAGGCTATGTCAACGCCAAAGCACCAGTGCGGACGGGAAAGTAACCAGCTATTCCCACGCCGAGGGTTCTAGCCACCTATTATATCTAGACCTAAGTCGTTCTGTTATGTTCGGATTACTGGCCGTTGAACACCTAAGGCTACCTACCGTGAGCCAAACTAGAAATCACCGAGAAGTGACAGTACATTGGAATTGGGCTTCTTCCTCTCCCATCCCTTGAAACAGAGACAAGATGAATGACTTGGTTGTGAACTAGGGATCGGTACATCTCTCAATCGGACACCATGTAGGTTTCACTGTCTTCTGTGAACTCTCTGCCTAAAAGATGTAGCAAACACCCACTACGTATACGGTACGTATCCACAGAGAGATTCAAACCCAACTAGTTGAAGACCTGAAAGGAAATGAAAACGAAGGTGAGTAAGGCAGAAAGTGCAAGGCACTGTATACGTAACTAGTGGGAAGCATCAAACCTGCCGAGTAAATCATTTTCGTCTGACAAGAAATGTGCATTTTCTGCTAAGAGAATGTCCAAAGAATAAATTGACCCATATCGTACAGTAATCCTCAAAGAGCGAGGTTATGGAGCTTCGTAAAGCACATTCCATATTCTCCAAAGGCCGAATTCCCCTTGTGCAAACAGATAAATGTACAGATCAGAAAGATTGTGGGAGATGTCCATGATAACCCTACACCAGAACTCCACGCTTGAATGAGAAACGCAATGCTGGGGAAATCACCCAGAAAAGAGAGACAATAAAGTAAAAGAAAAGACCAAAAACAAAGGCAAAGTCAATCAAGACTTGTCGTTGTCAATGGGACGGTCCTTGCCCTGCAGCCAAACACGCTTCCACGGGCCGTCACGGCCAAAAGCTGCCTCTCGGTCTTGGCGCATGCCGTCCAAGACGGCCACAACACCACCACTCCGCAGACGCTCAAGCACAATGTTCATGCCTTGCTTGCTCTTTAGCACGGCCTCCTTAGTTCGACTGACACCAATGAGCTCAATGGTTCGCTGTATGCCAGCAGTTGAGAGGGAGGAGAAGAAGCCTTTGCGCGGCTCTTCCTCTTCATGTTCGCCGGTATCCTGCCTCCTCTTCGCAAGCATCTTTCCCTGACCAAGTCGAGAGCGGAAGGTGACCGTAGTTTTGACACTGGTCTGTTCGGCATTCTTATCGGCAGCCAGACCATCAAGAGCCAAGCGGCCATCCTCAGATTGAAGGCGTTTGTATAATTGTTTCTCGACGACGCTCAGGATACCCGTCCACTCCATGTTGCGCGATTCCGTCTCCATCCAGCCCTCCCTGGCATCGACAATGGTCTTTTCGAGAATGTAGCTCTGGCCGGAACTGTCAGAGCCTCCCATGCCCTTGGGTAGCAGCTTCAGGATCCCAGAGGGGATTTTGGATTTCTTGAGGTGCAATCGAATGGTGTGCAGACGCTGGGTTGCTGGGTCGACATATCGGTCGATGACATCGGTCGTAAGGACGTGCTGAGAGTAGGGATTGGGATAGCGGAGGAAGTAGGCGAGGGAGACGGCGGGGAAGGAGTAGTCATAGGTGAACTGGTTTTCGAAGAACTTCATGATGGCATTCGGTTATTCATGTAGATGGATTGAGTGAGAGCTGAACGGAGAAGAGGTCGTCTGATCCAGTACTTTTTACGGGAAGGCGAGCAGATGCCAAAGTGGGGCCTGGAGGTCCGGATTAATACTGTTCCGACGGATACCCGAAGCCGACAATCACATGTGTCTCACGTGATCTGGGGAACCTACCGGGCCGCAATAAGACAGTTACACTCTCACTCTGTATGCAATTGAAGGTTCTAGAGCCATGAAGTGGATGTGAGGAGTAGTCAGCTTGCTCACTGAGGTGAATGGTGATAGCTTTGATAGAGGGGTTGGTAGGCTGAAAGGCACAGATAACTGCCCACCGCCTTCCGTTGGTATGCCGGGTAGCAGAACATCAATTGGCGCGTTTCATGGACAATGATGAAGTCATGAAGATACCTCCCAATATGACCATTTTAACCATTAGACCTGTCAATACCGTTCGCTGGCTAGCGAGAACCCATATCCTGACGGCCTCAAGGGGTTACTATAGACAGGTAGAATCCACAAGACAATTGAAGCGATCTACCCCAAGTGTAACCAAAACCTACCCCTCACCAACATCAAACCGACAACATCACACCAACCACCCACAACAACCAACCAACACAATCAAACCCACCATGGGAATGAAAGCCCGCTGCCAATGCGGCCAGATCCAATTCACAACGCCAACAGACAAGCCCCTAAAGATCTGGATATGTCACTGCACAGAATGCCAGCACCAAAGCTCATCCGCCTTTGGAATCTCCGCCACATTCCCCTACTTCGAGCTCCCCGAGTCAGTCTCCAGCCTGGTGGGCACCTATACTCGTCGCACGATCAAGGGCCGTGACATGGAGTGTCTTTTCTGCAAGAATTGTGGCGCACGTCTACTTCATCGCTTCCGGGATAGCGTGCCGGCGCCGGGCAAGCAGCCGGATTTCTCGGCTATTACCAATGTCAAGGGCGGTTGCTTGGAAGGGTTAAGTAAAGAGATGTTGCGGGGTGCGGGTCATATTTGGTGTCAGGAGGCTATTATCGATATTCCTGAGGGTGTGGAGAAATGGGATCAGGCGCCGCCGAAGCCGAATCCGTTGGTTACCTAGGTCTTTTGTTGTGGAGATGGAGCATGGAAAGCTGTTGGGGATTGGACTGGGGATTCTGGTCTCGGTAGCCGATTGCTCAGTATCTACGCGTTCGCGCGTGATTCATGTAAAGTTGTCCAGTTGGAATTATGCTCGTCGTAGCCAGTGGTCAGTGACTCAGTGAAATGTGCAAGGTGATTGTTTTTGTTATTTACATGATGCGCGGAAGTTTCTATGATACACGATGTGAAGTATGAGTATACAATTCCCAGCAAGCCCATGACCCGAGCCCAACAGCCCGATCTGGTAGCTCATCCAACAACAGAAGTCCAGCCATTGTCGATAGCAATCATCGCGCCGTTGATCTGGCTAGCGCCCTTTCCGTACGTCATGTTCACGCAGAAGCCAGCAACCTCATTCAAATCGACAGCAGGAGCCTTGATAGCCTCGAGAACAGTCCGTAACTTGTTGCAACCATCCTCATTCATGCCGGTCTTGAATGCATCGACAATGTTGGTCTCCATAGCACCCATCATCAAGGCATTACACTTGATGCCCAAGTTGCCGTAGTACGCAGCGGTGTTCTTAGTCAATCCGACCAGACCGTGCTTGCTAGCCGTATAAGCAGCGCCTAGAAACCAAATCAGTCTCAAATTCGGCCCACACACTCACTTATCTTAAGGAAAGAAGGGGGAAAAAAGAAACATACCACTAGCCCACCCAGCCTTGCCAGCAACAGAAACGACGTTAATGATACGTCCATCGGGCTTCTCCTGCGCCAGCATATTGCGAACAGCTAATTTACTCAACAAAGCCGGTGCAGTAAGATTAATCGCCATAACACGGTCCCAGATCTCCATGTCCATATCACCGACCGGATCAAAGCGATCCATGATACCGGCATTATTGACCAGGACATCGATCTTGCCAAATTCAGCAATGAGCGTATCAAACAGGCTCTCCACTTCGCTGGTCTGCGTGATGTCGGTCTTTATGGCTTTCAAAGGGCCCTTAGGTGACAGCTCGGCCGAGGTTTCCTGCAGACGTTCCTCGTTCACATCGCAGATGACCACGTTGGCGCCGGCTTCGAGGAAGTGGGCTGCGATTGCTTTGCCGAGACCGCCGCCGCCGCCGGTGACGAGGCATGTCTTTCCTGCGAGGATTTGCTCGGGCATTTTGTGTTGGGTATAGCGAAAGATTATGGTGTATGTGTATTTGGAAACTTTGGATGGTGCTGGCGTTTTGTTAAACATAAGAGGCCGACTAAATATTCTTCCATTTTGGCGACGGATGGCTCGCTATCCGTTTTCCGTTCGCTTGATGGTCTGAGACACAGTGGACATCCACTTTCGGATGTCCATACTGTCGGTTAGGGTGCCACTTTTTCTGGGGTACGCCGAGCCGCGAAGGACATCGGACCACTGGGGCGGTCGTTGCCGGGGTCGTATTGTTCGTATCGGGGATACGGGCTCCATTTAGATCTGGATTGTGATTATGATGGGTAACTTTGGGGATGAAGAGGCTACACAGCGCTGTAATCAATCAGAATCCTGGGAATGCTACATTGACATATCAAAGAAGGTAGATAATACACGCCAACTCCAAGTAGATATAAGCGTCATTATCAAGTCTGGAATCCATGGCCGTTGAAACTCAAAGTCGGAATACGGCTCTCCGGTAACCTATCGAACGGCCCGATGGCACCGGCAAAAAGTTGATGCGTCGTCCACTCGTCCTTGTTGTCACGTGCATGGCCGGAAGCATACGGTACGCAGTATATATCACGTCTGGCTTTCCCTCTTCACTCGGCAATTCATTTGCAGGAATGGAAGGAGTGATTGGTTGAATAATCTCGATTGGAAGCTCATAACTTCATGGGAGCACGAAAGCGCTTAGACTGCGAAAAGAGACGAATTCTGGCTGCTCTCTATCTGTCTATCAAATGGACAACGACTCAACGAGTGTCGTCAAGATTGGGGCTGGTATGTGAACGAAGTACCCACTAGCATTGACGTACAGAGGACGGAAGCCGAGGATGAATATGATGGAAGATTTTCGAGTCTGGGAGGTTACAATAGAGGAAGGAATTGTGAAGGTAAATGGTTTCAAGGAAAAATGGAAGTTGTATGGAAGAGACTAGTGAAGTCAAGATAGTCTTCCATTTTTCCTTAAAACCATTTACCTTCACAATTCCCCTCTATTGTAACCTCCCAGATCGAGAAGTTTACCCTGACCTTCATCACGCATTCTCATCATAGGGATGCGGACATCAAGGGTGAATTGGAAGAACTTTAGCACAAAGGTGGCCAACATCCCGAAGCCTTTACAGGGGAACTCGCCAACCACTTCCAACGACGCAATGAGGAAGAGAGAGCCCTTGACTACCTCAAAGCTCTTCAAACCTTTGCAGCGGAGAATCTTTGACACAGCCGGGACCTCCCTCAAACTCATGCCGACATCGTTGAACTCGCCAAACATTTGGGGGACATCAACAAGATCGCGAAAAGGAGCAGAAGCGAAAGTCCTCCGAAATCAAAGACGACGAGAGATCTTGAAGGTCATTCAGAAAAAGTAAGCTCGCAACCATGGAATTTCGTCAGACCTCCACGGAAAGAGGATAATTGGGACCGAATGGCGGTTCCTATCCAGGTTCTGGGTCGATTGCATGGTCTGATGGGCCATAAGGAAGAAGGATCTTTGCTCGTTCACTTTCGAAAACGTCAGCCATATCCTTGTTTTCAGATGGGAGTTCGCTTTCTCTTTTGAAGTCGTTTCGTTTTCGTCATCCCCCGCAATCCAAAGTTGGGATAACGCCTGTACGGTCGTGTAATCCGAAGCACGATTTCGATTCGCGAGAAAGTGGAAGCCCCATTCTACTTTCAATGACAACATTCGAAAGACCTCTCCATCTACTTGGCGTCGCCAGTCAACAACTTCTGGTTCGGTACGAGTATGACGACTAGCCGATTGAATATTGTCTCCACTCACAAATTTGTGACAACAAATTGAAATCGCGCTTCGGTTAATGCGATCGTTCAAGCGTTATCCTCACTTTGGACACGAGGGGATGATGAGAATGAAAAGTCTCCAGAAAGAGAAGCGATACCCAACTTCCCTCTGAAATCAAGGATGTGGCCGACGTTTTCAAAAGAGACTGAGGAAAGAATCTTCTTCATGGCTCATCAGACCATGCACTCGACACAGAGGACAGAAGCCCCCATTCAGTCCGATTCATCATCTTTCCGTGCACGAATTGAAGGTTCTGAAAGAGTATTTGGAAGATAATCTAGCAGCCGGTCGATTCGATCATCCAAGACACACGGGCATTGAGGCATTGAGAAAACCATGGAACGAAATACGAGAAACATATACCTACTTTCCGAACATGACGAGAAAGCTACTACATCCTTTCTCATCATGTTCGGAGAGAAAAGTAGAAGTTTCTTGTATCTCGTTCCATGGCTTTCCATCTCAATGCCTAAATTCCCGTGTGCCGGGATGTCGTGATTTCGACGAATGACTTCATTTCGTAGGTAGTGTATCAGGAACATATATCAATCCATGTATGTACACCAGTCCGTTGCCATTATCCATAATCCTGTTAGGTTGACGCCCGGGTTGTCGCTCGGGTTTTCTAGGTTGGATCTCTAGGTTGAATCCATGAGACGATCCCTGCTAGGTTGTTGCTTCACGAAGTTGTCGCATGGACTCATCATCCTCGAGTTCAGTAGTCGCCGTCAGAATCGGTTTGTTGTACCTTCTTTTTAAGGTATGAGATGCACCCGTCTTCGTTCTGTTTCAGTACATTGGTTGTTTATGCATGCAAACCTACAGGCCAAATGACTCGCGAAGGCCGATAGGATTATACTTGTACCAACTGGCGAATTTATGTTAGATATCCCATTTGAGCCTAAGGTTAATAGTTAGCATGCAGCTGGAGTGAAAATATCTCGACAAGAATGACGTGTAGGATTGTACACTTTACTACTGGTGATTAATGTATACATACAATTGGAAAGAATGAAGCTGAAGCTGATCAACATGTAGAAGACCAATCAACCAAGGGAAAGAGATAACTGGACAATTGCAGTTACACTGTTGTTGTACAATGACTTCAAAATCCGTAGAGTCAGCCTCTGTTCACGTCATTTCATTTACAAATATCCAGACCACCGAAAGGCCTCACACCCATCTCCTGCATAAACTGCTAAACTGTTACACAGACCCCATAAATCGTGTAACATGCGCCACGCTCCCCCGCTCCCTTAACCTTATCGTGCTGCCCAGTGCCCCGGTTAATCGCCACAACGACACCTAACCATTTACCATTTACCGAGCTTGAATAATTTGATCACATCACCATTAAATACAGCTAATAATCCAACCCAAATGCTTATGCACAATGACGCCCCCCACCATCTGAGCTCCCAGCCTCCCATATACCAAACCAACCAAGAAACCAACCTCAGCCCAAAGCCAACTGGCGGTCTGTTCGGCCCCCACCCCCAACACCAACCCAATCGTTAGTCTGTACCCCCACAGGACGCGCTAGATCGGCGCCAGATCTCAATATCGGTGAGCTGGGGTTTGTCCAAGTGTGTACTAGTTACACAATGAAACTGGACTTGGTGTTGAATTACTTCATGGCTCCTTTCGATGACGGACATGAGTATCGTGAATTTGATTCATGGAGCTCTGATTTGCTTTTATGCCCAGGCGCGTGATAGACGAAGTTGTTGTTCTCCCCCGTGGAGTTGGAGCTAAGAAAAGTTTATGCGGTAGTACAACATGCGGTATGGCGCGTAGCCAATTGGCGTTGGTGATGGCTAAGGTAGCTCGAATTGCTCCAGAAGAGATTTCATTGTTAAAGAATGTTTATAATAAGTACTAGTCTAACTCAGGGGCCTAGACTGTATTTCATCCATGGGATGTGGGGAGTTAGACTCTACTCTTACGTGTTTAAACTTCATCTTCATCACCAAACCCCCAGAGAGGACCTCACATTAAAGACGACATCATGTTCACCTCCTTCCTATTAGGCAGTGCAGTAGCCTACAACCTAGTCATGGTGATATACCGCCTCTATTTCCACAAACTGAGCAGATACCCAGGCCCACGTCTCGCCGCCGCAACAGGGCTCTACGAGATCTACTATTCCATCTGGGGCTCTGGGATATTCGAAGATGAAATTAACGAGATGCACCGGCTATATGGTACGTCATTTCACATTTGAGCCCGGCCCGGGATCACGACAGAATTCAAAGTTCATCAAAGTAACGCTCAGCCCTATGGAGTAGGTCCAGTCGTTCGGATCAACCCAGATGAAGTACACGTACAAGAACCAATCCTGACAGCCAGCGCTGTCGACGGCTGGATCAAAGGCACCCGGGTATTACAAGCAGGGTTTTACCATCCAAGGAACATGCGCCTTTTCCAGCTCAAGATCAACACGCCCTCCATCGCCCGGGTACGCTCTTTACTCAGAGTGGAGGTCAGCCATATTCTCAACGGGCTGCTCGAGAAGCATCAAATGCATAGATTGGTTAGCTCGCAGCTGAGACCATTCGTACATGCTCCGCCGTGTGAGGAGAAGGTTCAGCCACACGGAGAGAGTGAGGTTGAGGACGGAGATGCTCCGTGTTCGAAGTCTAAGGCCTAAGCTATCGATCTGACGCTTTTCTAACTTTTCTATCAAGCCTTCTACATCATGCATTGTTGGGTGGAGTCGCGGGGATGCGTGGCTTCTATTGTGAACGCCGAAGCGGAGATCGTTTCCTTCCCGAAGGAGCGGAATAAGGCTGTCCCATGGCTCGACAGGTACACCTGCTTATACGAGAAGTCTACCAAGAGTTCTCGAACAAAAATCGAACACGCCAAGAACGGGCCAAGAACAAGCAAACCAAAGTCAGAAAAACAAAGTTCCCCGGTCCGGGCTGTTTTAGGCATTTAATCGCCCCCGGCTTCTCGACCGAGTCGGCTTTTTCTTGGTTTTGCTGAATATTCAAGTTCACTAATCAACTTCCGACAATCTCGCGCTATATTACCTCCTCTCTCAATTCCCGTCCCTCCTTTCTACCGACAAGTCTCAATTCTAGCCAAAGAGTCGGAATCCTTCACAATGGTAAGTCCACAGCGCATCGCGCATCACCCATCACCCGATCCCTGCACATCACAATCGACCCGCCGATCCCCTTCAAATAGGAAGACGAAAGAGAACTAACAAAAATTCAAAAGCCTCACGCCGACAGCTCCTACTTCACACCCGGCGCAACAAAAGCCGAAGTCTACGAACAACTCCTCCTCTCAACAGAAGGTCTCCTCTCCGGCCAACGCAACTGGGTCAGGTAAGTACCATACCTCTCCAGCGCACGCTCCACCAAAAAAAACACCGCCGATCCTAACACAAATCTTCCAGTAACCTATCCAACGTCGCCTCCCTCCTCTGGCACGCCTACGCGACCCTACCCTCCCCCCTCTTCCTCCGTAAACTGGGCGGGCTTCTACATCCGCGATGACAAATTCCCCGTCCTCGCCTCGCCCGTCTCTTCCCCGCCGCTGCCCGGAGCGCCAGGCGCTGGCGGCGTAATCATCTCGACGACGTACGCGTCTTCGGAGAATCAGTTGCTGCTTCTGGGGCCATTCCAGGGGAAACCGGCTTGTCAGGAGATTCGGTTTGGGAAGGGGGTTTGTGGGACTGCGGCGGCGAAGGGGGAGACAGTGCTGGTGGATGATGTAGAGAAGTTTCCCGGTCATATTGCTTGTGATGCGGAGAGTAAGAGTGAGATTGTTGTGCCGATTTTGGTAAATGGAGAGGTTGGTTTTCCCTTCTTTCTGACTTTCCCCCGGTCCGAGGTACAGGTTGTTTGGGGCACATTGCTGACACTGAGATTGGATTAGACTGTTGCCATTATTGACGTCGATTGCGCTGAGACTAGTGGGTTTGATGAGGAGGATAAGAAGTACCTTGAGAAGTTGGCTGGACTTTTGGCGGAGAGTTGTGATTGGTGATGAATGCTGGATGGGTTTTTAAAAGTTAAATAATGGGTATGATTTATATGGCTGCGAATAGAATTGTTTAATGTACTAGAGATAATACTACTTGATCAAACTCAATCCATTAATAGGACATCTGTAGAATGTACCGGCGATCGGCCTTAGACAGTCTAAAGCAAATCACAAGCACAGGACTTCCCACGAGGTATTTGCAGAAGAGTTCCAGCCAAAACAATTCAATGCCGATGATCAGCCTCAATAGAAGAAGACAACAAGAATCATCCGTACACATAGATTCAACAAGGTCGTAGCGAGAGTCAATGCAGATGATTCTCTGCTCCAGATACACAAATGAAGACACAATGCAAGCCAAACGCCGACCATATGACGCCGAACTCGCAAACCGAGTAGCCAGTACCCAAACACCATCCAGCCGAAAAAAGGTATAGAACACAAAGGAAAAGAAATCGCTAAGCACAAAAGAGAAGGTCACATATTGAGCAAGCTCATCTGTCGCCGCATAGGATTAGGCGAGAGAGAATCCCCGTCTTCACTGGGCCCAATACCGCTATCCGTACCACCGATCCCGGTATCAGTGTCGATATCCCACTGCTCATCTTCCTCGTTCAGCTCAGCTTCGAGATCAGCGCCGCCCCAGCTCTTCTGGATGGCGCCACGGGTGTTCCAGCGCAGAGCGCGCTGGACGCTCGTGAACCACTCGTTGTTGTTGGAAACGACCGTGGGGAAGGGGTACTGGCTGGCTTCGACGGTGACGTAGTCGCCTTGGCGGAGTTCCACGCGGCCCTTGCCGTCGAAAGAGCAGTAGGCGGTGGAGCGGGAGGAGTTGGGGACTGCGATGCGGAGGAGATGCGAGTCTGAAAGGACCATCGGGCGGAAGGAGAGGGTGTGCGGGCAGATGGGGGTGAGGAGGATGCCCGGGATGGAGGGGTGCATGAGGGAGCCGCCGGCAGATAGGGAATAGGCGGTGGAGCCTGTGGGCGTGGAGAAGATGCAGCCGTCGGCTTGAACGACGGTTAGGAGTTCATCGTCGGCGTAGAGCTCTAGATTTGATACGTAAGGGGAAGGCCCGCGGTCGATGACGAGCTCGTTTAGCACTTCGAATTGCTCGCCTTCCTCAACGGCGCCCGCTTCTGCGCCCTTGCTTCGGTCTTTCCGGTACACGGTGCAGGTGAATCGCATGCGCAGGTTGACGCGCATGCCTACCTCGCCCATGACGGCGTTGAGCTGTGCCTTGTGGTCGGCGAATTCGAAGTTGGTAAGGAAGCCGAGACTGCCTAGTGAGAAGCAGAGCACGGGTGGGACCACGCGCTGGAAGAGCCATGATGTGAAAAGAACGGTTCCATCACCGCCAAGTGTCAGCACCAAGTCGAACTTATCGGGTGATGTCCAACAGAGATCTGGTGTCCAGAAATGTAACATCTGCGCGAACATCGGGTCTTTTTGCAGCAGCCCGGGAGTGTCAAATCGTTTCGAATTCCGCAGCTTTGCATCGACGTAGACATTTACACCTAGCTTGTTCCCATATCTCGGGGTCGAAAGCAGCCACTCGGCAACTTCCCGGGTCAAGTGTACCAGACTGTTATCACGGGCCTTGGTCACGATCATGACATTTCGCACCGCCCGTTTGATAGGCCTCCGCTGTAGCTGCTTCGACACTTCGCGGACTCCAGTTGCAGTCTGCACTAATCGCGAATGTGACAGCCACTCATCGTCGGCGATCTCCTCCAACACCTTTTTGATATTGACGGCATCATCGAACCGCTGATGGAAATAACATGGTGATTGCAGTACTAGACGGGCCGTTGCCGGCGATCGGTCAAGATACCCACTCAATTGGAGATTTGACAGTGCGGTCGAGAGGTTTTGTGAGGAAGCACTGCGCCGGTGGTCGGAAGGCGGGGAAGCCTGGGTGGATTTGCTCGCGAGCTTCGTCGCCAGGGAACTCGCCGACATATTATTATTGGCAAGAAGTGACGGCCGAGATGCCAGAGCTTTCAAAAGGGTCTGTCGCGGAATACAGTCGGTCGACAATGCTTTCTTGGATCGCGACTGAGTCGACTTCCGACGAAACGGGCGCAAAGACGCGGAAGGCAGCGACCAGCCTGTAGCTTCCTCTTGAACCGGTTCAAATGATTGCACAGGCAGAGCACTGGTTCCTAGAGGGTCTCCTAGAGGGTCTCGGCGAGATTCGTTGGGGGAGGAAGGTTCTAGGTTGAAGGCATAATCGCGGAGGAGGGCCGTGGATGTTGACGGTGGGGCATTGGCGGGAGATGGAGAGGGGTGAGATGGGGTTGCTGTCGAACTCGATATATCCGACAGAGGTTCGCTGGAAGCCATCGGCTCTTGCGGCAGGTGAATAAGGCAGATAATCAACCGAGAATAATCCAAAAAGGAGTCGGATGTAACGGAGTTTGGGGGTCCGAGTCAGAGCTGTTCCGATTCCCTTTTGGGGTGGACCCAGTTGGAGAGGAAATATTGGTTCTAGCGTATTCCACGATATGTCGACAGGGATGAATGAGTATGATGAGTATGATGAGATTCAGGAGATGTGATATTCTTAGATTTTCCAGACAAGGATCAAGGATAAAGAGGAAAGAGATTGGGGGCGGGAGAAAACATCACGGACCTCTCGATCCAGAGTTCGAGTTCCCGTGAGATTACCATGATTTTATTAGTGAACTAGCGAGTCTGACAGTCTGACAGGAGTAGCCAAATACGTTCATACCTGCATGGTTCTGTGGCTCAGATAATGACGTCTACACATGTCCCTTCGGTTACGGCTAGGAATAGTTCGGTCTCGGTTATTTGATATTCTCTCTGTTTACGAGATCGATGAGATCGATCTCGGTATCCCTTCCACTAACTCCGTGGGCTATCTAACTGTCTGCTTCAGCCAGTCTGTCGTTCTGACTGTCCACTAACCCAATCAAGGTATGGCAATCAAATGTTCCATACAAAGAGCCCGCTAGGGCCCCGACCGGAGACCCAACAGCTGGGAACCCGAAAACAAGCCTTATATGCAGCAGGGCTATCGCTTGAGGCAGTGGGACGAAGCATCGCATACATGCAGTGGAAGTCAGGTGATGTGGTGTTTGCTGGGTGTGGCACTCAATCAGCTGTCTTTGTGGCACCGTCGCATCCCCGGGAGGAGGGGAGATATAGCGGATGCCCCGCGAAAATCATATGCCGAAGAGAAGGAAGGGTGCGACCGGCACAACGCACTGATAAATCCGGTGTCTCTGGCTCTCCGCAGATTTGTAGGGCTGTCCACTTCAGATAGAGTCAAGCTTGTAGGCGTAGTCGCTGTAGATCTGATCCTCCACCGCCTCCCGGATGAGACCGTGCAAGCTTGCACTGGCGGCTCCTTCGCCCATAGTGACGTCGCCGTCGGCGCTGGCTGTACCCTGGCAGACGGAGAGTGCGCGCTGGTGGACAAGCTCCCAAGTATCAAAGTCAAATCTGCCTTCGCTCTCATTAAGTAAAAGGTGCCCCTTCGAGGAGATAGCGAACACATGAAGTGACACAGAAGCCTTAGCGGCAGTCGGAGAGGGGTCCCGCACGATATCACCAGTCTTGGTTACACCGAAAAGGGCGGCGGAGAAGGTCATCGACAGAGGGACGGAGGCGGATATCATGGAAAGCAAGGCGGCATGGAGGAGAGATGGGAGAATTGTGAGGTACTAAGATAGGTCAGTGGACAGTCCAAGGTCATAAAGGGCAGGGCTTAAGAAGTGTGCGATACTCACAGAGTCACCACGGTCCATATTCTCTCCTCCGGCGATAGCCAATGTGATGATCACACCGCGACGGGGAAAGCCTTTCTCCCGACCCAGGACCACCTTCCCTAGCACCGACCGCAAGATTCCTTCCACATATCTTTCAGCCACGCCGGCGGTGGTAGTACCAGGTTTGACGAATACTTCGACGGTAGCTTCTTCGGGTTTCAATGCATCGCGGCGTGCTGGGAGCTCAACGGGACCGTTGACGGCACCCAAGATGTTGTAGCCTGTCGCTGGGCATTTGTATGCTGCCGAACCATCGGGGCGGTTTAATTGTGAGAGAATGGGTGAGACCATTCTGACGGGAATAGAAACAGAAATAGATTGACTGTGAAGCTGAAGTTTGTGTTGGAGTCGAAAGGTACAAAAGTTGTCTCCGGCTGCGATTTTTCATCGACATGCGGGCCGCTGTTTGATTGGCTGTTTGGGTTGGGCTTGTACTCGGTACTTTGTTCGTCGCCGATCAATCATATACTTCTGTGGTACTGGCTACATTGATTATTTGTTTGCTTCTGTTTATTCTTTTATCTTTACTACACCTGAGGTTGTGAACTTCCCCACGTTGTCTTCATCGGGTAGCCTACGATCTCTGACTATGATGACTCTGCTGACATCCCAAATCCATTACCGATTCCTATAGGTCCCCCCGTGAGTGGACGTGTCAGTTCCAAGATGCTGAGGGCTTGGAATATGGACCATCCAATGAGCCGAATGATTGGCAAGGCGACTATGCATTATGGTCGAATGTGCATAGAGAGATGCAGTCATGGACTCTTCGGAACCACAGAAGAAGAGGATTTCGATATCTTTTACTCCGTACACCTGGCTCTTTTACCTCTGACAAACGTTAAGCCTAGGTTGCAGCCAAAGTACGAACGGCACCAGGCCGATAGCCGGCAGCAGATCAACACAAATCCAGGAATAGCACGCCACGACTGCCTAGATGTGGCTTCTCCCCCGGACTGGACGGCATCCAATCCTGATGCAAGGATAATATGGTCCTAAGATCTGACTGGCCACGAAACCGGGATTGTTTGGCAACTCCCGTCGGCGCCCAGAAGAAGCCAAGCATTTCCGATCAGTCGCCCCAATGACAAGTTGACTTCATGGGGGGAATAGAGAGCATACCCCCTCATGGTTACCAAGATAATTGGCAACCCCCTCTTTTGGATGCAAGCGAGCATGTGCTCTCTTGGAGGTGCATTGTTTCCTCACATACAAATTCGCATTTCTAGTTGCTTCAGTCTTGCTACTTCCACTCCCCCCTCTAGTACAGACCTTCTTTTTTTTCCCACTTACTCTAAACGTTGCTATTCAGGGGATTCTAAGATCGTCTAGATTGTTCCAACCCGTTTTTTTGACTTCATCTTCTTGAATGGGCATAGATTTAACCCCCGATGTCGAGGAATCGACAGAGCCTCCTATATGTGGTTTACCCGAAAACAACCACCATGTGACTCGCTGTTTAGAAGCTAAGCCCTGCGATATCGACGAAAAGCCTATATCGCGTGCGACGGACGCCTCTGCGCCCTCTGAACCCGGGGTAGATAGAGAGCCCGACCAAGACGCTCATCTTATAGAACCATCCGAACTCGCGGATCTCCTCGAGACTGATCTCAAGTACGTCAATGGCTGCATCAAATCCCTACTAGACACTTAATTGACACTCTGATTCAGTGCTGGACTCTCAAGCATCGAAGCGGCCTCCCGCCTCCAGCGCGATGGTCCGAATACCGTGCGTGAGATGGAGGGTGTCTCCATCTGGGGGATACTGCTAAGGCAGGTGTCAAACAGCTTGACTCTAGTATGTTCAATGCTATCCATCCAATTTACCCCAACATGACATTACTGACACAGTCGAGGTCCTTCTCATTACCATGGCCCTCTCTTTCGGAATCGACGATTACATCGAAGGTGGTGTCATCACCGCAGTGATTGTCCTGAACATCGTGGTAGGGTAAGTACTTCGAACATCAAACTTCATACATTACCCGAGCTAAGCGTTACGTCCCAGCTTTGTACAAGATTACCGCGCCGAAAAGACAATCCTTTCGCTGCACCGTCTGTCTGCCCCAATATGCAAGGTTCTCCGAGATGGCCGAGTCACCTCTGTCAAAGCCGAGTCATTGGTCGTCGGGGATATCGTCCAGCTAACAGTCGGGGACATCGTCCCTGCCGACCTGCGCTTGTTCGATGGTATGAATGCCTCGATGGACGAAGCACTTCTGACAGGCGAATCACTGCCTATCCTCAAGACACCTCATGTAACGCTACTATTGCCTGATACTCCCATCGGCGATCGGACCAATATGGCCTATTCAGGCTGCAGCACAACCCAAGGTCGAGCAGAGGGGATAGTCACTGCGACAGGGATGAACACCGAAGTCGGCAAGATCGCGCAGCTACTCCAAACACAGCCCAGCCATGGCGACTCGAGCCGTCTCGTTACGGCGGCGAAAAAAGTGAAGGCATTTGTCATGAATGTGCTGGGCCTCGTCGGTACGCCGTTGCAAGTGAAATTGAGCAAATTCGCACTCCTACTTTTCGGACTGGCAATTCTGCTCGCCATTATCGTCTTCTCAGTCAACAAATGGGACGTACAAGGCGAGGTCCTCATCTACGGCATTTGTGTTGCTGTTGCAGTCATCCCGGAATCATTGATTGCCGTCCTTACTATCACCATCGCCGTGGGTACAAAAGCAATGGCCAGGGGAAATGTCATCGTCCGCAAACTCCAGTGTCTTGAAGCAGTCGGTGGTGTTACGAACATCTGTTCCGATAAGACTGGCACCTTAACCCAGGGAAAGATGATTGCTCGCTCGGCCTGGATCCCGGGCGCTGGGACTTTGACCGTGAGCCAGACGACAGATCCATTCGATCCAACCAGCGGATTGGTGCAACTGGATGAGATCGACTGGAGTTCCAATCAACCTATCGAGGATAATCCCGCGCTACATATCTTCCTACGAGCGCTGGCACTCTGCAACCTCTCGGTTATCCACCACGACAATCAAGTATGGAGTACTGTGGGTGAGCCAACGGAAATCGCTCTCCACGTTCTTGCTTTGAGATTCGATTTCGGAAAGAGTTCCGTCATGAAGAGTCGTCAACTTCAATTACACACTGAGTATCCTTTCGATTCGGCCATCAAGAAGATGACCGTCGTCTATGATAACTTGCGTGATGGGACCAAAGAGGTATACACCAAAGGTGCACCGGAGACAATCATCCCTCATCTCGACCTTGCCGAAAAGGAAAAGCAAGGCATACGAGACACTGCCGACCGGATGGCCGGCGAAGGACTCCGCGTGCTGTGCATCGCATACAAAACAGCCCCAGTCGACGCCGAGGACCAGGTATCCCCACGTAGCTCAGCCGAATCAAGCCTCCGCTTCGGTGGTCTGGTAGGACTCTACGATCCCCCGCGCGTCGAAACAGCCTCCGCCGTGCGCAAATGTCAAATGGCCGGCATCACAGTCCACATGCTTACCGGCGATCATATCAAGACAGCCACGGCAATTGCAGCAGAAGTGGGTATTCTCGACCGCGTCGCGGCCGTTGTCAAATCCAGTAGGCTGGTCATGGCTGCAGACGAATTCGACAAATTGACCGACGATGAAATCGATGCCATTGAGGAACTCCCTCTCGTCATCGCTCGCTGTAGCCCTGCGACCAAGGTGCGGATGGTGGACGCCATGCACCGTCGTCAGGCATTCTGCGTCATGACGGGCGACGGGGTGAATGACTCGCCTGCTCTGAAAAGAGCCGATGTGGGTATAGCCATGGGGAAAAATGGCAGCGATGTTGCGAAGGAGGCGGCCGATATGGTTTTGACGGATGATAATTTCTCGTCTATTGTCAAGGCTGTTGAAGAAGGTAGACGGCTTTTCGATAATATTCAAAAGGTAAAGACCCTCGTCTGAACTTCCCCTATACATCCATTCACTGACACAAATCTAGTTCCTCATGCATCTCCTCATCTCAAACATCGCCCAAGTAATCCTCCTCCTAATCGCCCTGGCCTTCAAAGACGCCGGAGGCGACTCAGTCTTCCCCTTATCCCCCCTAGAAATCCTCTGGGCCAACCTCGTCACATCCTCCTTCCTAGCCGTCGGTCTTGGCCTCGAAGAAGCCCAACCAGACATAATGTACAGACCACCCCACGATCTCCGCATCGGCGTCTTCACGTGCGAACTCATCGTCGACAAAATGATCTACGGCACCTTCATGGGCACACTCTGTCTAATCTCGTTCGTCTGCGTGATCTACGCAGCCGGATCGGGGACTTCATCACTAGGCGAAGGATGTAACTCAGGCTACAACCCAAGCTGCGAAGCTGTATTCCGCGCTCGCGCTACAACGTACGCGACACTAACCTTCCTCCTGCTTGTTACTGCTTGGGAAGTGAAGCACTTCTCTCGGTCTCTTTTTAACATGGATCCGATGCGGAGCTCTAAGGTCTCGGTCTTCTCGACGCTCTGGCGGAACAGGTTCCTGTTTTGGGCGGTTATGGCTGGATTCGTTATTGCGTTTCCGGTTATCTATATCCCTGTGATTAACCAGCTGGTCTTTAAACATCATGGTATTACTTGGGAGTGGGGTGTTGTTCTTGGGTGTACGGCTGTTTACTTGGGCTGTGTTGAGAGCTGGAAGGCTCTGAAACGGGCGTTTGGGATTGGAAGTGGGAAGAATGCTACTCTTACCCTCCAAGACGCTGAGATGCGTGCTGGCTTGGTTACTCCGTCGCCTCTTTCGTCGAGTGCGAATGGCAGTGTGGAGCTGAAGTGATTTTTGGATAGTTTTGGTTCTTATCTGGCTGATTCAACATCATGTCGGCCGTCTGTTCGGGGTCCGCAAGGCGTTCAACACGCTTTTATTCATCTATTCTAGTCATTGAGTTGTTTGTTGCCAGAATGAGTTTGATTTGAGTATTCTTGATTAACTAGCGTAGACTGCTTAGAGCTGGGACATTTCTAGGTAGGTACTGCATCAGTCAAGCATAACACGGAGCCATCAGCGTAGAGGTAAACTAAGTGTAAACGTCCACGGAAGAATTGTATATGATCGTCTTTCCTCCCGCAATGAGGCTTTGGAGGAATTCTCAATTCAGGCCCCTATGGACCCATTCCAGCGAGGTTGCAACTTTTTAGTTTTTAGATCGACCTCGATGCTTGGTTGTCTCTTCTCTTCCCTCGCCACATCATCCAGCGTCAGTGGGTGGTGTGAGGCTGCCTCACATACTTTGACATTAGTGCATAGGGCCATAACCCGCTGGATCAACGTGCGAACCTCTTCCCCAAGCCCAGCAACTACTTCGGTGTTTGAGCTGGGGCAGAGAATCGCAGCAATCTCTTGTTGCTGACTGGTAGCTTCCTGGGCTGCCCAATTATTCTTGATATAGGACTGGCCACCCCACTGGACTTTTCATAGTCTAGCTCGTCTTTCACCCAGAAAAAGCCGGAAAAGAATTCTTCTTTGCTGAAGTAACCGTAGAACGGTAGAAGTGTAGTTTATCATACCGATCTTGGCGATACTGCAAGGGATCAATCTGGCCATGCGACAGCCGCCAGGCCCAAGAGAACTTAGAGAAGACGACAACGATGGTGGGATGTACTTCCTGAGCTCTTATAATCCCCAAAGTAGACGTTGATTGACGGGTCTCCAGGGCCGTTTCAAGTGCATGGCCTATGACCTGTTGGAAACGGCCCTGGAGACCGTGCTCAGCGCCTATATGAACTTTGTCAACCTCCACAGTGTGTGGGCCGTTGTTGTAAGGCGACGTGCTTGACCGTCTTGGTCAATTCTGGGTGGTGTGGCCGTCCTCAACACTCCGTGGGAAGTTGGACCACGAGACAAGTGTCCCCACAAAAGCCAGATGCTGAATAGCATTTGAATCGGTGTGATGGGGCCCTATTTGGAGGGATGGAAGCGGAGATTCTACAATCTGCCTTGCCAGTTGGCAGGCCGATGCGGGGGGTCATCCTCGGTGCGGGGGTCGAGGCTTCACTCTGGGCAGAATTGTTTTGATCCCTTGTGCCCTGTAAACTGCCGTAGTCGGCGTTCGCAATTGCGGGGGCTTATGTAGTCATTAGCAACTGGTAATCACTAACAGATATAGGATATACTCACAAAACGCTGCCAATCTGCCAGTCACCGAGGCAGTAAGGCCTCCAACACAACAAACAGTACATACATGTAGGAAGCGTGACAATATCGTCCTGATTGCCAAAACAGCAACGCAAGGCATACCACACTTCACCTGTCTCACACTTCTGGACAAAATTAACAACAGAGTGTCACCTGCCCATTATGCATGGCGAGGTGCGCGAGAAGTCTAACCAGACCTCTCACCTTCCTGTGTCATTTCCTTACATTTAGCTACCCACAAGGAAAGATAGTTCCATGTAAACACATCTCTGATTTAAATCTATCAGACGGGCTATCTTTCTCACTAATGATACGGCTGGCAAAATGCGATGTAGGACACCGGCCTGAAAAGACTGCCATAACTAACTACCCAAAGGACTAATACTAACGGACACTGATGACCAAGACTTGTATGCTCGTCATTCAAAGTTTTTTCCGGCCATACAGTAAATCAATCCAAGTCATCCAGACCCGTATCAATATTGCTTACCTGGAGATGGGCCTGGATCTGCTCAAAAATGGAATAGATCCTTAGAAAACATGGGTATGTGGAGCAAGGTGGGGTTCTCGAGACCCACGCTGATGTCCCTGGACCCTGACAATGTTTGCGAGCAGCTCTATGCCGACCTCAGGAGAACCAGCGACTGGACAAAAAAGGAAAGCCGCAGAGAACTCTACAATGGGTTCAATGTGTCCTCCAATCACTGTCCTCCCGGCAGGATCGTTTCAGCAATCGACACATCTTCCTGCTAACGACGCGATACCCACCGGGGTCATGTGACCTATCAAGCTTAGCTTATCTCCCCACATACCTTGATAAGCTAGTGTCCTCTACATGGGTCGATCTTTCCTCCTCCTCTCGCCGTAACTCTTTCCGCAACATTTGAACCACATCTAACAGCCCACCATGTCGCACCCTCTCGAACCCAACCTTTCCCCCAAAGTCAGCCCAGAACCTTCTCTAACAATGATCACGACTTGTGCGAACAAATTTGTTGATCAGTTAGACTTTGAGTCTCACGTCCGCGACACAATCCAATGCGCATCGAATCCTCAAATGCTGGTTTTCGAAAATGTGAGCTCGTCGTGGGGGGAACAGACAGTGGACTCGATTAACCAAACAAGGGACGGATACTCAACGCGGTAAGTCAACGCATGTAAGCTCTCTCGTCGACTCCTTTAACACTGATTCACTCAGGAAAAATTACAATTCTTGCACCAAGGTTTTACGAATCAGAATTATGCCGACGGTATTACATGATTGTGTTCAAACTTGGTGGCGTGTTTCCGAGATTTCCTTGCGGGATACTGGGGATTTAACTGGTTATGAACAAACCCAAATTGAAACACTAGTGGGCACGAGTAAGTTATCCTACGCTTCTCTTAATCGACTCCTTACTAAACTCTCGTAGCCCTTGAGTTCCGATCAGGCCCCTATAGTTGTTCCCGGAAAGAACCTGATTTCTTCATTCGGACAAATAACGATCTTCTCCCATCCCTTGTGATGGAGTCTGGATGGAGCGAGTCATGGAATCACCTTATGGATGATATGGACCTCCTGCTAGTCGGTGGTGATGGGGCCATTAGTGCCGTTGTGATCCTCAAATGGCAACTTCACCCCCGGACGAGACTCGTGAGCGGCTTTGTCGACCTTTATGTTCGTGATAGAAACGGCATGCCAGTGCGTCGCCAGCGAGAAGTATGTTCAAGACCTCTGGTTTATTCAATCGACTGACTAACAGCGTTTAGGATGTTTTCCCGATCCCCCCTCAAACCCCAACTTCCCAACGACTTAACCTGACCCGCCGAGAAGTGTTCGGCCGTCATCTCTTGCCAGATCCGACGCGTAATGGGCCTCCTAATGCGATGGTGTATCTTGAGATAGACCAATTGCGGCTAGTAGCCACCCGAGCACTGCAGCGCATGAGTCTCCTTCCCGCTTAGCAGCCCTAAGGTTCTTCTCAACAACATCGTCCGTGACGAAAAAACTTGCTCTACTTCACTATTATTATTAATGACGGCTTCTTCCTGTTCATGCTCCAGGTACGTATTTTTCGTTTCTTCCTTTTCTTGCTGCCGGCGTGAATTTCATGGGTTCTTCCTGTCCGCAGGTGGTGTATGGCCGTAGACAGAACATACCCACTTTGGACTCCCTCGCTCAGTTAGCGTTATCAATCACACACTTCTCTAACACCCACGTTCCTACTATGTACCTCGTACACTTCCAAACGCGGTTTCGATACGAAAGAGTGATGGCAAGGCATCGCACGAAATTCCACGTGCGCAGGGTTGAGATTTGGGTTCCCATTAAAATATCCTTTCCAATGGGCTTCTGACCAGTCCACCAAAGAACCCTTGGAGTCAAAGTAAGCAGTGCGTCTTGCCGGATCGCATTTACGGCGGAGGATCCTGGATGGGAGGTCGACTTGACCTTCCAATGTTCTTAATTGGAACCTCTGCGGGTACTACTAAAATTCCTAAACCTATTGCAGATTCATCTCCTGCTATTTTTAACTATAAACAGCACATATCAATGGCTCGATTTGCAGTCTTTTATTTTGATGTTGTCATATGTATCCACTACCTAGGGTTGTAGTTGGCACGCGATATACTTCGGAACGGCATAACTTGTATCCGAGAACTAGGCTTGACTTTCTGTTGTCTTAGGCTTTCAATATACGGAGTTATGTTAGACAGGATACAATTGCAAAAAGCAGGAAAAAGGTAGAAGCAAAAAACATACAACAGTGAGGATTCGCTGGTGGTCACCCACCCAACTACTAACTCACCGGCGTGTGGCTTAAGTACGGCTGAGCGGACGGGAAGCCCTGTTTTCCACACCCTATGGTCGTATGTACTGGACATCGTAATGAGTATAGTCATATTGGGTGAGGCCTTGAATCATATACGTACGGAGATTAGGTATCTCCATGGAACGGAGATAGTTACCTTGTCTCCATTACTAGATTTCGCCTAAAAGATTATAGATCCGATATGATGCAGTCAAGCTAATTCCAGGAATTGACTAGGCTATGACCTTTTTGTCTAATAGGTAAATGCTTGGTGCAGTTAGTGCAGTGGGCGTAGTCTCACCGTGGTATCGCATCTGCGAGGTTAACTCAACATGGTAACGATCGTCATCGGGAGGATGCATACGTCGAGTAATAGTCGCCGTTGATAATAAACGAGCAAAAATGGCGCCCGTTGTCTCAAAGGATGGCACAAGAAACCCCTGCGAGATGTATGTTGACCGGAGAAAGATGGCTGATCGATAACCAGTTACAGATGAACCCACGGAGGCGGCAGGTGGAAAGCGAGATTCAAAGCTTATTTTAGGGAAATCTATGCCGACACTCTCTATGATTGGAAGATACGATATGAAAAACATAGGAGGATGAAGTTAAAATAAGTACGACGGCTTCGTGGTATGCTAATCATGTAATAGACAGGTAATAGTGTCTTCCAAGGCGCTCATGGAGTCTCAGAAACATTGTAGACCAACTTCTCGCCGCTGACCTTGTTTTCCTTGAGCAGCTTCAGACCCTCGATGACGCCCTTAAATCCATCCTGGCCGACCTTCAAGGGGTGAACCTTGATCTTTCCTTGAGTGAGTAGATCATCGATAACGGTGGCAGAGAAATTCTCATTGAAGGCTTTGTCTTCCGGCTTAGCGGGCCAGGGAGTATCGCCGAAGTTAAAGGCCTCACCCATTGCAGTATAGGCGATGGTAAACCGGTCGTTGACATTCTCACGGGCGATGTTGACGGACAACAGGGCGCTATATTCGCCGCCATCTGTGGAGATAGCGTTGTCGCAGAACGCAGCGCTAGACTCGAGCGAAATGCAGTCGAACACCAGCCTCAGCTTGTTATCAGTGGACTTGCGGATCGAGGCAGGGGCTTCGGCGTCATTGTAGTCGTAGACCTCGTCGGCGCCAAGACTGCGAACCAAATCGAAGTTGCGAGGGGAGCAAGTGGTCAGGACCTTGTAGCCCGATAGCTTGGCAAATTGAATGGCCAGGGTACCGGTCGCGGTTGAGCCGCCGTAGATTAGGATGGGAGTCGCATCCTTGATCGGCTTGGTGGGTGGTGCAAGCTTCAAACTCTGGTACAGACCCTGGGTGACTGTGTTGAGGCCCACGCCGAGGGTGGCGGCCTCTTGGAAGCTCATGTGCTCGGGGATCTTCCATTGCAGGTCGCCCTTGGCGACGATGTACTCGGCGAATGCGCCATCTTCGGGCTGAACGGCATTGGCACCGTGAACAAAGCCGCATACTCGGTCACCTTTCTTGAACTTCTTTTTGACATCTTTGCCGACCTCCTCGACAATGCCTGAGTAGTCGCAACCAACAAGGACACCGGGAGGGGAGAGGTAGGCGATATGCTTCCAGTCTGTGGGGTTCAAGCCCACACTGACGGTCTTGACAAGCAGATAGTCATCGCGAAGCTTGGGGAGGGGTCGATCGGTGACCAAGCCCTCGGTCTGGGGTTGGGTAATGATAATTGCTTTCATGGTAGCCATGGTTGAGTTTTAAAGTAGAGACACAGAATCGAGAAACCACGGGGAGATATGAAGTATTTAAATAGTCTCATCCTACGGAGAATCGGAGTTAAACAGCTAAACTGCCGATTACAAATGGCGATAGTTAGTTATCTCCAGGTCCATGACGCAATGACAAATGCTTGGGACGGGATCTCGGGACATTCCCCGAGATCCACTCTACGCCCTACGGCCGAGTCAAATGTGGCCCGTGTGAGAGTCGTCTGTGTACAGTTAGTATTCTGCTACTACTAGCTAAGATATCTCCATAGGACAGTACATTTGACCTTCTGAATAGGCAGGGTCACTAGGTATGGTACATCCATGGATCTTGGTCAGTAAGTATCAAGTTATAAAGATCATCACGCTTACAGAATAAAACCTAGGCATAAGCAGCAGCTTCATAAGCTGAATGAGTACGTTGTAGGTATGGAAGAGGGCCGAAGGTGGTCGAAGGCCTTTTCTTTTTCGGTCATCAACCATCAATTTCTTCCTTTTCCTTCAATATCGACGTCGCTTTGTAATTGGAGAGATTGGAAAGATACCGGTAGGTGAGAAGGCAACTGGTGAATAGGGCCAACTGGTGAATTATGTGCTTCAATTACTACAGCTGATTTCCCGGATAGACCTCCGGTATATCATATTTACTTCTGTCGGGTTCTGCAGAGATAACTCTGTCCATAGTTAGTCGGTGTAAGTGCCTCATGGTGCAAGGCGCAAGGGGTCTTGGCCCATCTGCATGGCATTGACAGGCGAAACTCAGATCTTCCGCACTTCAGAATGACAGAAAACCTCTTTCTCGTGTTTCAATGCTCCCGTGAGCTGGTCTAAGTCTTTTCACTAGCAAAAACGGAATTTTGCCTGAACTTGCGACCCTTACGAGCTTAGAGCTATTATCTCCAGCCGCATATCGCGGGGTCAGTGCTCGGCATCAAGAACCCCTCCAGACTCCAGCTCAGTCCCACCACCACACTATTCCTCCCAAACTCTCTACACGCCACCCAAGTCCCAGCCATGAAGGTGCTTTGCCTCCACGGCAAGGGAACCAGCGGCACCATATTCCGCTCCCAGATCTGTTAGCCTGCCCCGAAAACAAAAACCCCCCAAACGACAAACTAATCTCACCAGCGCAGCCACATTCCGCGCCAAACTTCCCGACGACGTACAATTTGATTTCATCAATGGGCCATTCAAAAGCGACCCAGCCGCAGGCATAGATCTCTTCTATGGCCCACCCTACTACTCCTTCTGGGAAAATGACAGCGTCGACGCCATCCGCGCCACGCACAGCTGGCTAAATGAGCACATTGCCAAGAACGGCCCTTACGACATCGCACTCATGTTTTCCCAGGGCTGCGTGCTAGGCTCCAGTATGCTCCTATTCCACCAGGAAGAAACACCCCACCTCCCGCCCCCATTCAAAGCAGCCATCTTCATCTGCGGCGGCGCTTCGTTGTCTGTTCTCGAGGAAATGGGATTCCATGTTTCTGCCGCGGCGCGCGAACGCGATATTGCGTCCAGGTCTGCTCTGGCTTTACAGGCTGGCTCGTCGGCGGTTTTGGAGCGCGGCGCGGATCGCTGGACGGGGTTGAAGTCTCTGTCTGGTGGGCTATCTGAGGACCAGTTGCGGAATGAGATCGCCAGCCCGTACCGGATTGACGTACCGACTGTGCATATTTACGGCTCGAAGGATCCGCGTTATGCAGCTGGTGTGCATTTGTCTGGTATTTGTGAACTGGAGAAACGTCGCACTTATGATCATGGCGGTGGGCATGAGATTCCTAGGACGGCGGCTGTGAGTAACTCCATTGCTGAGCTGTTTCAGTGGGCGGTTGCGCAGGTCGACACCTCAAATTGAGTAATGTGAATATTACTGTTGTGGTTGTGTGACTCTTAGATGCCTTTTGGTGTCTTTTCCAGGTCCTGTATGTATTTTGGCCATGCGCCGGAATGTTCGAATAGATGGACATAGATCGAATGACAAAATTCTCCAGTTGGCGGGCATCCATCCGCTCAGCCATTCCATGCATGCAAAACGACACTGAGAAAGTTTAGACTTCATATATTCAATTTCATTGAAAATGGTGTATATCAAGAAACTAACGCCAAACTGCAAGAAACTATATCCATCTATAAACATAGGTAAAATGGGTTATCTACCACGAAAACGCCTCTTCAAAGAGGTCAACCGTCTTCTCCCCCTGTACATTCCTAACAGCCTCCCGCACACTATCGCCCAGGCCACCAGGACCACAGACGCTAACCGCCATTGCACCAATCTGCTCCGACTTCTCTTTCTCCAGTAAGGCCTGCATACACGGCTTGCCGTGATGAACAGTAACAGGCACGTTGGGCGGGGCATGCTGCATCCAAGGCATACCCATCTGAGGGAGGTATTCCTCGACGTTATCCTTGTGTGCGGTGACATAAAGGCTTATGGAGAGGTGAAGGCGCGGGAATTGGAAATAAGAGCGCCCGTTCATATTCATCGGGCTTGTTAAAGGAACCTGGCCTAGTATGTCATCCATGAAAGTTTGGATCCAGGTAAGATGGTCTATTTCGATGTTAGTTGCATGACTCTGGGATAATAATGGGGGTGGGATGGAAAAGTACCTAGACTGCGAACAATCCATATCAGGCGAACTTTACGAGTAGCTGTTTTCTGCTCGGTGAAGTTGGAGACAACCTCGTTGAGATAAGACATTGGGTGCGTGATGCCAATGCCGCCGGCAATCAGCAATAGAGTTCCGTATGAGGCGAGAGAATGAATGCCTCCAAATGGACCCTCGGCCAAGGCCATAGCCTCGATACGTCCATCGGGGGATTCTTCCGCCTTCTGGATCAGCTTTTTCGTGAACCCGTCCTTGCCTTTGATCAGGATGGACATCGTCGTCGTCGTTTGCGAACGTCCCACGAGGGTTCGTAATGAGTCACTCGAGCTGCGCTTCTCATCCACATCCGTAGAACCTGATCCGGACGTCCATGCAACAGTGAAGGGATGTGATGTCCACAGGCCGAGACATGGCATGTAAAGGTACATGTACTGGCCAGGGCGGAAACGCCATGACCGAGCCACGGCGATGTCGACACGAGCAACGGACCCAGGCAGGACCTCGACAGTCGCGGTTGTGGGGGTTGTGCTGAGGTTTCTCCAAAGTAAGATTCCGAGCCGGCCGGCACGATCGAGACCCCATAGGATCAGGGTGCCTAGTAGCACGCGTTGTTGTAGCAGGTTCTGAAGGTGATACCAGAGGGCCACGAAAGACAACACGGCCAGCGCTATGTGCAGATGGAGGAAGAGTTCGTAGAAGGCATGTCGGGCCGGCGACAGGGATTGAATGACGATGAAGATGAATCCGAGGAAAGCCTGTGTACATTCCCGTCAGATCGTTCATTGCATTTCGAGGGGATTGCTATACATACGATAAGGCCGCATATGTAAAGTTTCTGTTGCCAAAGAGCGTACATGATGTAGTCCGTACCATCTATCTCCGATATTAGTATATGCTAATCTCTGTAACCTCGAGACGACTCACGTTGATATGCTTGATCAGCTAGCACGGCGCCCATGTGAACGACCGCATTAGCTGCGATGACACGTCCTACCCACCGATGCATGAAGTTGAAGGCATCGAATGAGATCCCTAGCATTATGACTAGTGGATTGTTTCGCCCTCCAGACAGGACCAAGCCCGGTGTATTCATGACCGCCAGGTGTCCCGCGGCGTACTTGAGCTGAAACATCTTCGTGGAGTAATCGTCCAGCCACCAATCCACTTTCACAACAACGAAGATAATGTTGAGGCTGAGATATACCAACAAGCAAAGCATCTCGAGTCGCAATGGTAGCGATCCCATATGTAGTCGCAGGAAGCGGAACTCGCGACTGTGACGATTGCCCCATAGCGGCGCATATAGGAAGTGTTTCTTCAGTGCTGCATTCAGTTTATTCGTCTGGGACAGCTGTGTCTGGTCGGCTCCTTCTAGAGCTAGTTGTGATCGTCGACGATGTCGGAGGCGAATGGTAGATTTCCAGACGAACAAGGTTGCGACTAGTCCACCGACGACGAACAGGGGCACGGCAATCGCAGGGTCCATAGGGCGTTCCCCTGGGCCATTTCCTGGGAGTTCAACACCCATTTTTCCATTCGAAGAGGCACAAAGAGGTCGAGCTGCAGATCCACTGGGTAAGGATGACTGCCAGCCAGACCGAACGTGGAGTATCCAGCGACTCCTTATGTTTATGTGCTCACGACGAAAAGAAGGGCAACAGGAATTCAAGACGTTTGACGGGATGACGCTATAAATTGCGTCGGGGGAGTGTGGGGGAAGGATTCCAAGTCCAGATCATCATTGTAGTACTGGCCTTCCAGTGTAGTCATGCAGTGGATGCCGTCATGGACCCCTGACAGGTCTGCAAGCTTATTCTTGCTGACAGGCGGACGAACGCATCGTCACGTTTCAGACCATGTGGACACAATTGTGTCTCACATGGTGGATGTAACGCTGGATTTGGCAGAGAAGGCATCGGTATAGGTGGACAGTTAGGGCTGTATTGGAGGCGCGAGGAGACGCGCGCGGTAATTGGTTAGGAATGCAGATCCCTGATGATTGTCCTGTCACAACCCCATTGGAAGATGTGGGTGATGTCAGTGCTGAATTGAATTTTGATGTTCTGGAAAGAAAAAAAAAGAGGATAACTTTGGTCTAGACGCAAGTCATTGTTGTCTCGGGTGATCCGTTTTCGGAATGTTGATGGCCGCCTCCGGAATGCTTCATTCCCCATTCGCTCATGGGGTAAAATAGAAACATCAGAAGAGACTAACTAAGGATATAGCAGTTAGTATCACTCAGCTTTCTGGCTTCAAGTTAACCAGATCACGATATCTAAAGCCTTCGATTGACAGAACTCCCCAATATCAAAACGTCATCCCTTCAACCATCTAGTTAATGTGGAGCAGGATTCGCGGCCCAAAGGGACGCAACTGCAACGCTGGAAAACAATGCTCCAGTTCGAGGCAGCAATTGTAGCGTAGCAACTGTGACGCAATGGCAGCTGGACACACAACGCCCAGAATATTGAGGCGAATGACCTCCATGATCTGGCCATTTAGCCACCGTGAATACCTCAGAAGCCCCTGTGAACAGAATACCACCAGATCACTGCCTACCATTACCAAACGACTTTGTCTAACTCTGTCTTCAAGACTCGTCAGTAGTCAGTTCCAGCAGGTCTAGTCTCTTGCATGCGCCAGCCACCAGTCCAGATCAGCAATTGCCTAAAACGGGGCGATAGTCGCAGCGCGACTGGCACTTTGCATCATTTTGACAATAAACCAAGGGGTCTGAAAGAGCCCAGATCTTGCTACAGAGAATTTGAGCATGTAAAGAACCGGAAAACTCGCGAATAGGGTCATGTGGCCTCCAATCCCTGCTGCGACATCATCGGAGATGCCGATGTCGTCGACGGCGTCTTGTACATGGCTGTTTGATATACACGTAGTCTTGTGTAGCACATAACTCTTACAATGACCGGAGTCTCGTCGGCGTGTAGTGAAGTAGCTGGTGATGCCAAGCGTTGAAAGGCAAGAACTGTTGCATGCAGCCCCGAGATCGACGGTGCATTTTGTAGAGGAACCCACTTAGAAAGTCAAAGTCCCGCTCTGGGGCTATCCACTGCAAATGCCGAAGGGCCAACTGAGCAATTGGATGAGAGATGTCCCCGGCCGATGGTTCAGACCCCGGCCGAAGGTTGAGATTTCCGCACAGACGGCAGTGAAGCGCCGACGATAGAGCCGGATCGGAATTGCCAAGTAGCCTCGCCACTTCAACTGCATGTATGGCGTGGCCTTAGTGCTTAGGCAGTGATTGGGCTCATATCATGGCGGCCTGTTAGTGCCCCTGTGCTCGGCATCACATCCTGGATTGAAGAATATAATTCTTTGCGAAAGTGATAAGAAGGCATCGACTATTGAGGCAACTCCTTGACTATTCATCAGATTAGGGTCTTCAGGTACCACAGACGATCCAAAAATAGCTCGACGGCTGTACAAAAGTCTAATTTGGGAGCCTCGGTGAAGACAGATCCTGAGCGTTGAGGCGCACTCACTGTAGTCTTTGTAGTGTGCTTTTCTAATCTTCGTTGAGAAGCGATTAAGGCATTGATATTCTCGATAGCAGGGGACCTACTTAGCGGACGCTGAGGATCGACTTTACCCGGATTGGGATTAAAATGTAGGATTTGGCTATATTGGCAATGATGACAATCTTCTATTCAATGTTAACGCCTGTGTAAATACGCTATTACCGATGCCATCCCAATCCGAGGGCTCATATACGAACAGAGTAGTCCTTCACCGTAACAATATGAAAATGCAAGCAGCCTAAAACGCCGGGGTCATTATTGGGTTGATATGCAGAACTCATGTCTGGACCACCGTTGACTATCTCAAGCAGGCACCGGCTGCGAATTGAGAGGAGTAGCAGAGGTTTCCTGTGAATCTTCCTCGAAAGAGAGGCTGCCATAGCCTGTGTCATTGCTAGCTGATCGTTCCCGACGAAGAGCTGGCCTTGAAACAGAGCATTCAACCTGATCTTGATCGGCATCGCTTTGGGACGATCGTGATTCTCCCCTGCGTCGACCACTTCGACGTTTCTTGCTCGAAGCTTTTTCAGGAGCGGTGCGCAGATAGTCTTCAACGTTGATACCTGCATTTTCGCAAATTTCCGTGCAAGACTTGACGATCACATCAACAAGAGTCGACGAAAAGCCGTAGAAAGCGGGGGTGTAGGCATTGCGGGCCCAATATATGAGCTCTGCGGATACCCGCCCGAGATTGGGGATATCGCGGGGACAGATGGACAATTTGCGGGTCAGGCGGGGCTTATCCTCAGCTTCGTCATCTGCGGAGGAGGTGGCTTCTGAAGCGGCGGTTGAGGGTGAGGATGAGTCGGATGACGCGATATAATCTATGTCCGAGGCAAGGAGGTGAAGAAGGTGATAGACAGATGAGAATCCCAGTAAGGAGAACTCGACTGGATCGATCGGAAGATGATTGAACCAGGTGATGGCCTTTTGGATCGTGAAAGACTCGGGCAGCGAACAGACGTCACCTGCGGATCGTGCAGTGACGATGGCGGCAATCATAGCACAGCGCACTGCAATGGAGATTTCGTCGCGCACGGAAACGGGCAGGGAGGAATCAAGGAAGTTGGACGACTGACTCTGACTTTCTTTTCGTTTTTCCTTTGGTAGGGCAGCAAGGACAGCTCCAACATTCTCAATGCGGTTCTGTTCAAAGAATACTGCTTTCATTACCAGCGCACGAGTATACGCGGCAGACAATCGTGGTGCGACATCAAGAGCCATACGAATTTTTTCCTTGAATGTATCACGGCTTGCCTTGGAAACAGGGCCCTTGCCACTTGCTTCAAAGTAGTTGAGAAGTGCGGTCTGTAGAAGATGACTGGACCACCAAGCCGCAAGCGCATCTTCAGGACACTGGATAGCTGGGTCCTCGTCCACAACATCCAATAGAACTTCATCGTCACCGGTACCTTCCTGAGTGGGCCGGTTCCACGTCAGGTTCACAGCACGCTGGATGATGCTATCTATCATGACATCATCGCAATCAAGTTCGACCAGGGCAGCAAGATGAGGAGGAAGTTGGTCAGGATGACCTTCAGGAAGGACATCATTGACTTCGCGGGCCACACCCCATTGGTACCTGGCCAGGGCCCGTGCAATGTCATTGGATACATGGAAGGTCCAGGAACCGGCTTCACCAACATTCCACAAGAGAATGCGGACATGCAAGGCCTTGATGATCATTCTCGTCGGAGTACAGGGAAGTGTGCCAGCAGCAAAAATTGTGAGCACAAGACGGCTCTTGCTAATCTCGGCATCGCCGCCAGTCAGCTGAGCATCGATCGCGATATCCCAGGTCTTGACTCGCCCCTTCTCATCCTCCTCAGTGATTCCGGTGGCCCAGGAGTACAATTTCCAACCCATCACACATCGCAGAACGTACTCAAAGCATCTCGATGTAACAACGTACCACTCACGGAAGAACCTGTGGCGCGGTACACCGACTCGTTGCATGCTAGTCAGCCAAGCCTGTCGGCGGAAGTCACTGGCAGTCAGATGCGCCGGCGGGCCCTCGGCGTCCTTTTTGGGTGGGCCACGCTGCGTCATCGGTTGGGCATTGAATAAATACACAAACACAATGAAGGCACTGGCAAGGATCAAAGATGCCAAGATGAGGAAATGAGAAAATGCGCGCGCCTGCCATGAGTACCAAAACTGCTTCAGATAGAAATCCCAGTGACCAAATGTGAGTGTTTGGAAACGACTGAGAAGTCCCATGGGAAGTGCAAACAGGCCTTTTGATTCTGATTCTGAGTCGTCAGATCCCAGCCCTTCCAGAACCATTAGACCAGCAAGTGCACCCAACATGTACTTGTTGGGCATCCTTGACCGTCGGGTGGATGTGCTTTCTCTCGCATCCTGCAGTTGATGGGTGGACGACGACGGGGGGTATTTAATGTAGGACTCGGCAAAAGCTCCTTCCTTCGCAGCTTCAGCTCGCATGCGCTTCCATGCATCAGGGACCGGAAGAAGACCCTCTGGTGGGCTTTGTGAGGCGGGCGGACTTTCGGTGGAGATTTCTTCCGCCTGGGAAAACACACTGGGCGATGTACCTAAGCCCGAGTCTGTAGCAGCGTAGTTACTTGGCGATGACACTGAGGCTGAAGATGTGACCGCCTGATCCGCTGCCTTATCAACTTGGCGGAGGCGAGTCTTCAACGCGGTATTCTCGTCTTCCAAACGCCTATTGCGAATTTCCAGGTGCTTTATGTATTCCGTCGCTTTCGACAAAATGGATGCTTTGTTCAGCTTGTTCGCAGCATTGGCTCCATCCGCTTCGTCATCGTCATCGTGTGAACCTCCATTTGTCTTCTTGGTCTGCCGAAGGCTGGGCACACTGTCACGGAGTTCGGCAATTTTGTCATTCAGGTTGGCGCGATATCGCTTCTCAATAACATTGTGGGCTCGCTTTTTGGCGGGCATCTTCTTGCCGGGTTGAACTGGTCCAGTCACTGTGGTGGCATCGTCTTCGCTGCCTGTCTTTCGTTTTCGGCTGGTCCCGACACTCGAGATCGGAGATACCAACCCTGATTGACGTTTCTGACTCGTGTCCCAAGACTGCCCTGGAGTGTTGTGTTGGTATGCGAGGTGGCTCCCGGCATTGGGCTCGGGCGGGAGTTCCATCAAACCGAGCGGAAGTTTAGGTGAGAAGTCTTTGTCGTTCAACTGACTTGGGGAGCTCAAGTCAGTATGCGGGGATATAGATGGAAGGTCTGAAGATGAGGTCATCTGCTTCGGGTCTCCTTCGGCAAACACTGGCTCGTCCCATCGCATCCATTGAGTCCAATCTTGGCTCATGTTGTCGTCGATTGGATATGCAGTTGATAGATCATCGCCTAGCGGCTCATCGAGACTGGATTGCCGCGGAGAGAAGAGCTGGAAATCCTTCTCCATATTTGAGCCGGAGATCGTGGCTGGTATCCCGCGGTTGGATCCTCGGCCAGTACCGGTAGCGGTCTAGGTCCGACTAATGTGAAAGCCGGTCCAGATAATTATCACTGACAGAGATATTAGTTCTATTTGAAGGAGGAAGCCACTGTACTTAAGAGGAACGGAATTGAGCTGCCTGCACAGTTACCTTCGAGGCGAAGCAGATAGCTAGGCCGATAGAGGCTAGCGGCAATTCTATGACAGCGGCAAGGAGATATATGATACTCACTGGGTCGAATGTCAAGTCTAACACTCAAACACGAATTTATGTTGCTTCGGTGGGAATGGACCTTCTGCAGTGCGAGAGAAGACTGACTTGCGAGGAGGGGAATCTTAGAGTCACAGCCACGGGCGACGGTAGGCGGAATAAAGTAAGGTACCCACCTAACGTAGACCTAGTGCAGGCAACCTTGGGATTGGGCCCAAGGGACGCGGTGGATTACTCGATCTCGTTCTTTGCGCAAGAGCGATCGTCTTACAGCGTTAAGGGGAAGGTAAGATATGCACAGCAAACGACGTAATGATGTGAAATAAAGCAGAGCGATCGGGTCAATAGCCAAGGTTTCCAATCTCCATGCATGAAGATTAGGGGAGGTTGTATAGACTGAGGTACCACAGAAAGGCAGCCACATAGGAATGGCAGGTTCGTCGTATGATCGCGGCTGGCCGCACTTCCGGCTTGCCGGTCGTTACCCCTGACGGTATCCAGTCCGTTAATTACGCTGAGTCATTATTTTAGGCTGGTGTAACATCGTACAGATGTTACAGCGCGGTAACTAAATTGCATGTATGATTGGCTCTTGCTACCCACTTTATTTTGATGATTCAGCTCGAGCATGTGATTTCGCCCTCGCATCAATTGAATTCTCTCTCGACTTCGTCGTCTTCATCTTTGAACTATGTACGATGCATTTCTAGAATGCTTTTCAAGAGTTCCCGATCACAAAATCTCATCCGAGGCACTTTGATCTTCTGGAGTCTGAACACGTGTGGTGTCTTAGCGCCCCGCAGAGACGGAACACGGAAAAAAATGGGCGCGTTATGATCTTATCTGATCGTGCCAGTCTCCACTCCCGTCTTTCCGGTACTACGTAGTACTACGTAGCCACAAGAACGGAGGCCAAATAGATGGAATCGATCATTGACCAAGCTAGCAGTCTAGGGAAACTCTAAGGTGTCGTCTTCATTAACTCAGAAATGAAGAACGCGGGCCTCGCTACAGCAATTCTACCTACAATGTTTTGAAATATATCATGTTCGGAACAGCGTCCATCGGGCATGCGTTATATTCTGGATCGGCCCTATTGCATTGATTTGACCGGGTTTCTACCTAGTGAGTGTGCCAATAGAAACTGAATAGCCACTTGGTAGGCGAATGGAAGTCATTCGAACCTTAGCAGCGAAGCCCGAGATAAACTATGCTCGGGGGCTGCTTGAGCTTCTTTGGCAACCTGGATGAGCATACAATAACATTGTGTAAACCATTCTGGTTATCGGTTTTGAGCATTGTCTTGGTATGGATATAGAAGAATATGCAGCTCGACTGTCACGACTCCCATCCATTTTCCCTAGGCGCAAGTGTCCAGGCATTGTAAAGAAGTTGTTCGATGCTTCCAACAAGGTCAACACTTCCCTGGCGCCAGATTCTATCACCAACAGTACCTCTATGCGTCAATGGTCGTAACATGTCACCGTGTCTGGGATGGTGAGGCGCTTGGGCCGTCTGTGTTTGATGATGAGTCCTTTGAACGATAAATAGTCAGCTTAGAACCTTTCTCTCACGGTGAGCTGGGGTGACAGGGCTTGAGCCTCGACTGAGGGATCTGGTCCTGCATGAAGTAGAGGCCGAAAGACTCTACCGAGGGTGATTCGTCGAGGACTTTAGTAACAGATCCAGAGAACGACACAGGGAGCCGTGATAGACGCTTGCGAGCCTCTCAAATATGAGAACAGTAGTACGCATCCTATGTGGGACCAGCTTGTAATTATGGCCATAGATTGACTAGCTGGGGCTGCCTGTGTCGCATTGACTACGACCTCAAAATCTCTCCCTGAATACTACACCTGTTGCGTCTGTTGATCTACAATGTACATGGGCAAATATGAGATAATCAAGCCGTATGACAAGTTCAACTGAGGCACAAGTAGCTGTATCTGTAGGCGAACGATCCGATACCCATGAGCCCTCTGGGACAGTGGGAAAGGACTCGTCATGTGGACAGACACCTCGCTCCTGCCATTTCAGGAAGGAGGCAAGAGAAACCACATCAAACGAACAATGAGAGCGATGTTTGCTATTGTTCTGAGTTGCTGCCTTCTGGTCCCTCCCCTTTTGGGAGACCCTGATGTCTATATAACCCCATCCATTTCACTTCGTCTTTTTCTTTCTTCTTCTTCTTCTCTCTCCCCAAGTTACCACTGATTCTACTCACGGCGCATCAGCTGTGACTTGCTTCTTTTTTCGCTTCCATCAACTTCTCCGGTCTCACCAACTTCCCATCTTTTCTATTCAAAGTATGTCCCCCCACATCAGAGCACCCTCACCGTACCCTATCTCGCCTTACCCTACCTCGCCTTACCCTACCTCGCCTTACCCTACCTCACCTTACCCTACCTCACCTTACCCTCACTTATGTCGAGATGTGATGACATCTATGACACCTTACCCTTACCCTTACCTTCCCCTCCCTTCCATTTACCCTTACTCCTTCGTTTGAGGTATATGAAGTATATACTAATGTCTTGACCTTTCCTCTCTAGAAGAAAAAAAACAAAAAAATAAAAATAAAAATGTTGTTGATCCCCTTCCTGGGGATCTTCTTGGGTATGACTCTCTGGAGTCAGTGGCGCCCCATTCCGGGGTTCACTGTTCCAGAGATGTCGTTCCGGCAGCGTCTGTCTGGTGCTGTCCAGCTGACTCTGGAATCTTGCATCGTCTGTGGCGCTGTGGACACTCTCATGTCCCAGCGTTCTCACTTCGGTAATACTCACTCTGGTGATCCTGCCGTTGTGAGTCCCGCAGACAATCATGGGTATGCAAACACCACAGATTACTTGGAAATCAGTCCCGAAGCGGATACCATGCCGTCCTGGTTTCCAACTGATTCCATGGTACCCATCCCGGGGTTGGTCTGGTATAGCGTCGGAGTGACAACTTCTGTTCCCGAAGAAGTTGTCGACATCCACACGCTTGAATCAGGACCCGGGCAAGGTCTCTTTGTTCCCCTGCTGTGTCTCGTTGTCTGGTGTTTTCTCCAAGGTCCCATGGCCTTGATTGCTAACACACGGCGACTTGTTTCCTTTGGTGTCCGGGCCTTGGCTGAGTGGACACTGGATTATCTTGAGGGCCAACCGCAAATTGCACGTGTGCAATTTGTAGCCGAGGAAGATCCAACTTTGTACCACGAGTTGGATTTTCTGATCGCCGGCGCGATGGATATCCAGGACGAAGCTCTTGCTTGGGTCTTGGCCGCGAACAGTCGTCTCGACTTCGTGTCTCACGTGTCCGTTCTCCCTCACTCTGGGGGGATCTGGGTTCACCGGATCCCTGTGGGGGGTGAGCAGGCACGGGACAGGAAGTCGACCTGCAATACCACCACGACGTACGATGGCACAGTGCTCTGTCAGCATCCCTGGAACGCCCCTGAGACGGATGCACCCGAGCATCATGATACCTCGTCTCCGGCTGAGGTTCTGAGTGTGAACGGTGCGGAAGTCGAAGGTGATGGTTCCCCCCAGAAGAGGAAGAGGAAGAACCGTCCGTCGCAAGCAAAGAGACGTCGCTTCAAGCAGAGGTTACTCGAGGCGAGCGAGAAGGAACTGGAACAGGCGCATCCCAAGCCTACTGTTCCAGCCTCTTCCGCTCAGGGTACACCTCTCGCGGTATCTTCGAGCTCGACGCCTTTATCGGCTTTGGCTCCGGTCTTCGTTCCTGCTTTTCTGGCGGAGCAGGAGCTGCAGAGTGGTTCTCCTTCTCCGGCCCCCTTGTCTATGCAAATGGGCATTGATCCTCCTGATGACTGTGGTACGGGTTCGCATGATAACGGTGCTCCTCCACAGCGGCCCTTCCGCCGTCATCGTCATCGACGGCGTAGTCTAGTTTCGTTGATGGCGTGTCGGGCCTGTATCGATGACCTGGATAAAGAGTGTGGCTGACTGGGATAATCTAGAAGGAACTCCTCTCTTCGGAGGGTTGTTTGGTCCTTCTGGGGCATCCAGCAGTCATCTCGGCTTGTCGATACAAGCTGTGTAGGTAGGAGCCGTGTCATGCGTCCTCGGAAGCTTTCTGATGGTGGTTGAGTTCGGAAATTGAGGAAGTGACAGCACTGACCAGTACGCTGCCGGCCCAAGGCGACAAAAAAAAACCCCCAAAAACCCAAAAACCAAGACAACAACTACAACAACTACAACCTCTTCAAGGCCGGAGATAAGCGACAAAGAAACAACGGCTGATTGGGACAACCTACAAGTCCCACAGCCGTCTTCGCTGAGTAGAGGCTCATGCTTCTACAAAATGCGTCGAAATCTTTATTGGGATACTGGCCATGTAAGTCAATTCAATGTTCCCTCCCCTTGAGACAACAGCACTGACGAGTCCACAGGCCGGCTCCCATCCCCCCTTCAAAAGAAAAAAAAATCCCGGAAAAGAGAAAGGAACAAGAGAATGACCTCTTTCAGGGCTGATCTGTGATCAACTTGTGTCACGTCCGATTTGTCGGCTTTTGTTTTGGCTCCAGAGCACGGCGATTCCACCTTCCAAACACCCTCTTGTGGACGACAGTGCGACACCCACTTTGCCGGTTTGGGCACACGATCACTTTGTCCAAGCAGCTTCCAGGGGACCTGGTTGGACAAATAATTCTGTTCTCTTCTCTGTCTTGTCTCCTCTGTCTCCTCTGTCTCCTCTGTCTCCTCTGTCTCCTCTGTCTCCTCTGTCTCCTCTGTCTCCTCTGTCTCCTCTGTCTCCTCTGTCTCCTCTGTCTCCTCTGTCTCCTCTGTCTCCTCTGTCTCCTCTGTCTCCTCTGTCTCCTCTGTCTCCTCTCTCTTGTCTCTCCTCTCTTCTCTGTACCCACTTCTTCGGTCGATCATCAAAGTGCCTGCCCGGGCCGCCCATTCATGCTGCTTATCGATTGGTACAATAAAAATATATTCTTCCGTCACAGTTCTTTTATTTAGCAACCTAGTAGCTGATAGCTATCATCAGCTATCATAGAAGATGAGTGGCGGTTGATGGGTACGCATCAAACCATTCATCTTACTCGTCATAGTTATATATAGTAGTCCCATTCCCAATATCAGAGACCAAAAGAATTCGTACCTAGTAGGCAAAGGCAGAGCAAATTGGCCCCGGCTTAAACCGCCGTTAAACGTGAAACAACAGACGACCCCCCTGGGGGTTGTCGAAACGAGATCGCCCCTTGCCAAGACAGATTAGGCTTGCTCCCTGCTGTGGAACGGTACTAGTATTTTCCGGAGAGAGAAATGCAAGGAATCTCCATATCAAGATAGTCCTACGCAAACTGTCAAAGTTGGGATATGCTGGGATAAGCCACCCTAGGCTATAAACAGGAACCTGGGTTTTTGATGTGGTCTAGTGGTCATTTTTTCCCATACAAACAATTCAACGGACAAGCTCACAGTCACGCACACCATTTCTTCCCAAGACACTAGATACTACTAGACTTCGACAGATTATAAGCCCGGGTTCTGCTCCATAGAACTCGGATGCCATTCTCACTTCTTCTCTCTCCGAAAACCGGAAACAACCTTCCTTCCAGATAATCTCAGTGAGATCCCGCATTGCCGCGTTTAGCTCCGCTTGCGGAAATGCATTATCTTCGACGCGTAGACTGTAGAGAATCAAATTTGACCGTGGTCGAGCTGACGGAGAAGGTGCTGATGATTCCGTTGTTAGCGCTGCAACCCTAAACGACCTTGAACGAGGGGATGCAAATCCTGCGGCAGGCTCCGTGAATGAGTAGGCTTCCCCTCCTTCCCGTCAGCACAAGCATCGCAAACTGGATGGCGGTTCGATGTCTTCCCGTATTCCCCACGTCAACACATTTGGCAGCGAGGATATTGAAGGCGATCTTGGCTACGCAGTCGCGGAGGACCTGGAAGGCAATCAACGCAAGGTGATTGTTGAACGTCTGGAAGCTGTCAAGAGCAAAAATCCCGTTTTCACCTGGTGCTAAGTTGCCACCCTTTGTTCTGCAGAATGTGATTACTAGTAGTAGTTAATCTTTTTTTCTAACTTATCTAATTCGCGGCAAATTCTGCATTGTCGTTTACGTGGGATACTTGGTGGACCCTCGTCTGGTGGACGTCGGTTTTCGGCACTCATTGGAGATTTCGGCTGTGCTATTTTTACTGGGATATTTCACACGAGTCCTATTCTGGACAATGCTCAAAGATTTGGGGGATTTTCCGAATTGTATACGGAGTATAGACATGACAAGACCTTGGCTGGCTGTTGGGTTGCCTTCGGTGGCGCATTGACTGAGCGATCTGCAACATTAGCATGTTGACGAAACTTAATTATACGATCTGCATATTGATGAAACTTAATTATACGATCTCTTCATCGTCTAGGTTTGAATCATCTACACAGTAAGTGAAATGAATGTGTAGGTTACGTTACGCATTGCGTGCGTTCCGCCACGTGGTTCTAGAACCCCCAGGGTAGTTCAACGTGGCGGAAAGGCCTGTTCAGGTTGATTGGATGTGCAAAATTCCATATGTTTTATCCGTACATTAGTGCTGCTGATTTTGGTCTTCTCTCATCCTTCAAGCGAACCGCTTTTCTGTTTAGCGTAATTCAAAAACGCCTCTAATTACCTCTGGGCTTCGCTTGAAGTTGGTCCCATTTCCGATGTTACATTTGTTATACGGGCGAAAATTCCGTGTTTTTGTTATGTTATGACTAAGTACATGATTAGTCAGGAGGACGTGCTTGTGCTGCCATTAGCCCCGCAAGTCGCACCCGTTACCCATGCCGCCGCTCCCCCAAAGTAAAGGTTATCGGGTCCACCAGCGTCAGCCCCCCAGTGGGTTAGTAGGGCCTGCACCGGGCTCCCTTCGTATAACGGGACTTGCTGTGTCTTTTGTCATAAGTGCCCCTGTCACTAGGCCCCTGTCACTAGGCAGGGGTCATCTCGGATCTGAAAGAGGGTATATCTAGCCTCGCCCCCGCCATTATCACCATTTCAGCCTGTTGGCCCTTGTCTGCGTACCGATTTGAGCAGGAGTGTTATAGATTCAGCATGGCCGAGACTGTCAGAATATGTAAGTTCCGCTGCCCTCTCGGAGACCTACCCAAGTAGGCAGCGTATGTGATACTCATTTGTGCCTGGTATAGCCGCGCGAAGCAATGACGGCTGTTGGACGTGTCGCCTCCGCAAAAAGAAATGCGATGAGAATCGGCCTGTGTGTTCAGCGTGCATTGGTCTCGAATTGGAATGTCATGGATACGGCCCGAGGCCTGAATGGATGGATAATGGCGTGCTGCAAAGCAATCAAGCCGCCAAATTCAAACGTCTCGTTAGACAGGCCAAGTCGAAAAACGGAAAGCGACTTCATTCCAATAAGTCACCATTGGTTTCAGCTATTCGCATGAAGTCCTCAAGCACCAAGACTGTATCCCCGCCAGCGGTTGTTTCGGACAACTTTTTCGATGAGCATTTCGGGGCTTTTCATCAAGACGACTTAAACTACCCAGACAGTGGAATAGGGTCTGTGGACGCATCATGGACCTTTTGGCCACCAAGCGACCTTTCTATTATGGATGATGTTTCGTTGGGACTAGAGGGCTACAGCTCTATCTATACCACCGGTCAGAATCAACATTCGGCACAGCATTTAGTATCACCCATATCTTTGGACACCCAACCTCCAGTCGATCGGAGTACCAACTCCGCGTTGAACGAATTGCAAGATATCGCACCTCAGGACCACAGGTATCATTTCGAGGAAGCAGCCCCAACTACCAATTACAACCGCGTGGCATCACCTCCGCAGACAACAAACCCGATTGGAGACACAGACGATGCATTGTTTATGTACTACCTGGACGAAGTCTTTTACATCCAATACCCTTTTTTTCACAGCCAAAAGAAACAAGGAAGAGGATGGCTCTTTGCCATCCTCCGAAGAGTCAAATCGGCATATCATGCAGCTTTAGCTCTGAGCGAACGCCAAATGCTTTCAGGCTCATCATCGCGGAACGGCGACATTGCCAGTAGCCTGATTCAACTACGCAACCCAAACAGTCACTATGACATAGCCATTCAAGAGCTGCAGACGGTGGTAAATGATCCTAACGCATCGAAAGGCCGTGGCCTTTTGCTTCATAGCATAGAGATCCTCATGTCTATACTGCAGCTTTTGTTCTTTGAGGTAGGTCAACGATGATTCAACTCGTCATAAGTATAATGCTGATATGTCAAAAATGAAAAGACCTTCAATGGTGGAAGAGAAAAATGGCAGACGCATCTGCGGACGGCATCTGGTTTTATTTCTACACTTTTACAGGCCCGAACTCCGCCTTTGACGACGCCAGACGACTCCGCTCTATGTCCCGAAGTTGATTGCGCATTCAAATTCGTTCTCGGATCTTTCATCGCATTCGACATCATCTCCTCCGCTTCCACTCGATCAAATCTAACCCTTAACATAAATCACCTACAAGTACTCGGGACTTTTAATCTTTCCCTCGAAAGCCACACCGGATGCCGGGATTCAGTAATGGCTCTTGTCCTGGAAATTTCCCTTTTGGACAAATGGAAGGAAGAGGCGAAAAGCGCCAACAAACTGAGCTACGTCGAGCTGGTAAAACGCGGTGACGGAATACTGAGCCGTCTTCGGCAAGAGCTAGCAGCCATCGAGGGAAAGTTTCATTCATGGACTGGAGGAGCAGGAGGAGGATCGTTGCTAGCCACTCCTCCACCAGCAATGTCTACTTCTAATACTCCAACATCTACGCACGCGGAAATCAGCAAAGTCTTTATACTGGCAGCTATAACATATCTCCATGTTGTCATTTCGGGTCCTTATCCAGAAGTGCCCGAGATTGCAGAAAGCGTATCGGAAACGGTCCTCGCTTTCAAGAGTTTGAAAGATCCGCGATTGTTGCGGAGTTCGGTGTGGCCATTTTGCATTTCGGGATGCATGGCGCAAGAGAAACATTATGATTTCTTCCGCGGACTTGTTTCTAGAGCTGGGATCACTCAACATGCTACTGGGGTGTGCTTCGAGGCTTTACAAATTATGGAAGAATGTTGGAAGGCTAGGGTTATTTCTTCTGAGAGTTGTGACTGGGTCACAGCCATGCAGCGACGTGGTTGCTTTGTTTTCCTGGGGTGAAACGAAGGAATTGTCGGGATATATCCTTCTTGAGATATCAACCCTTGTTTGGTGCATGTCGGCATTCTTTCGTCGGGCTGCGGCTCCGGTGATGTGACTGCCGAGGGCCAGGGTGTGGAATACAGGGGTGTTTCCCAACTACATAGATGGACGATCTACAACTATCTATGTTCATAGAGTAATCAGTTGATTTTTGCTTTTCGAGCATACATGCTGCCCACTTGACTACCTAAAGATGTAGTTACCTAGTTGGTGATCCAACCGGAATAGAATGATTAGAAACAGAAAAATGAAAAACGTAGTTGGCAGCCACTCATGCATACTATGCACGTCCTACATGTAGTAAGACAATGTTTTAAACAGTTAAGGTTTCGGGTAAAAGCCGCGAACGCCCCATAGATCGTCGTCAGCATGACTCGCATTTGGCAACTCGGCCATTTTTCCATGGATGGGCCCGTAGTGGGCTTACGAGCCGAGCCTTAAAATGATTAGTCAACCTAATGTGTACTGTCAACCAACGTTACTAGTTAACTAGTATTCTGCAGTTACCCAGCTATGTACTCCTACATACAAAGCCAATGATCAGTTCGATAACACCCTGCGCCGCATAGCTACCTGCATATCAGTCCTCGCTGCTCGTACCAGACGTACACCCACCCCCTGAGGCTCAGATCTTGTCGCAACTCTGTACATATCCAATGTACATTGGAAACCTTTTGAATCCTTCTGCATCGCCACCTGCTTGAAAAGTCAGGGCCGGGTCTTACTTGCCATGCCCTATTTCCCGTTTCCCGGGTAAAAGGGACGCCAGACGGACTCCGGCACTCTGTCTCTAACATGATTGGCCCCTGATCACTCCGTAGTAAGTATTCCTTTTCTCCGCGGATAAGCGATGCTGTCCACCACGTGTGGAGACAGTAAGCACTAGGACGGAGCTTGACCTTGACCAATAGGGTAAATGAGATTTGTCTTATATCAGAACATAATGATATTGTTGAAATATCTGATTAGCAGAGATCGCTTCGCAAAAAGTGGATGTCATCCAAATCCATGGGGTGTGTTAAGTCTAGATCCTCTCTAATTGGAAAGAGGTACTTTTGCAGCTCTTCGTGGTACTAGTAAAACTAACGGGCGTTACTGTAAGCGAGAGTCAGGTGGATCGTGCTCCACATGGCCATTGCGCATTGCGCATCAATTCGGAGATCTAGATGTGGCCTCTGGCTCACTGATCCAAAATCCCAACAGATAAGGCATGCGAATTGGGAAAATAGTTAAAGGGTTGAGTGTAACATAACCGAGTCAGCAGTTGATGCCTTGAAGAATCAGCAAAGAATAGCGTTGAATGAAATACCTATGATCAACAAAAAGTGCTGCACAAGCTGCCCGACATCGGGGTTTATACATAGATGGCATCAAATATGTATCAAACGACTGTGCTCTGGAACTATACACTAGCTCTATGGACTTTCCGAGCTCGCACCATGTAAGACCTCATCAATAAGTGCCATCGCTTGATAAAGCCTTCTCTCCTGCAACCGGGGAGCTACAACTTGAACTGATAACTTCGTGTTCAAATATACACTCCTATCATTGGTGTTTGGGTGCCCTGTTTTGGATGGATCAGTATAATCTTGCAAAACAGGATTTACCACTGCTTCCACGCCGGAAGGGAGCGGGAACCAGGTGTTTAAAACATGTAAGAGTGGCGTGCAAGACAGGATAATAGGGGAGACGAAGGAAGAGAGCTTACACAAATCCCTGTTTCTCGAATCCCAACCTCCAAGGACATCTGATTCAGGCAGTTCGTCCATTAGATCGTCATTTGAGACGTCCCTGACTGGCAGTGTTCCAGCCGGATAGTCCAATACCACAAATGCACTTGTATAACCAACACCATTCCACCTGTCAATCTCTGGCACTGGATGGGGAGCTACTGGACAGATCAACGCGTCGATCATTCTCCCCTTCTCGTCCCTCCAGATTCCCAACATTTCCTTCTCCAACGTCGATTTTCTGACATGTAATTCGCTAAGCTGCATCAAATCTGCAGGACTCTTCCTTCTCAACCTTGTGTCAAGCCAAGGAATCAAAGGTTCCCCGGTTCTCTCAAGTAAATCGAATGTATGGTTGAACCCCCCCATACCGAAAAACGAGTTGGCCAGTGAGTGGTATTTCTTGAACCCTGGAGCATTGATCTCAACAACTTCGAAACCCGCTGTGCGAAGAGCTTCTACCGTTTCATAGAGGACCTTGGCAACAGGCGGTAGTGGCGTTGTAATACCGTCAGCTCTCAGAACTCCAAACAAGGGTTTCCTTCTAATCTCCCCTTGTCCTTCCCACGATCCGAAAGCGACATTCGGATCTTTCTCCCACGGATTAGCATCCGCAATCGCTTTCAGAAACAGCTCGCAGTCTCTGACACTCGTCGTCATAAGTCCCGCACTAGCTTGCAAACCCAGTTTATCTATACCAGGCAGCTGTCCAATTTCTTGGCCCATGAAAGGAAGTCTTTGCGAACTCGGTTTGATACTGTAGAGACCATTACACATGGCAGGTATGCGTACCGAGCCTCCAATATCAGTGCCGATACCCAAAACACTGCCTCTCATGGCAACCAAGGCCCCTTCACCACCGCTACTTCCACCCGCTGTGACCCGCCTGTTCCGTGGGTTCATAACCCGCCCAAAAAGATGGTTATGGGAATCCAAGGCCATGAGAGTTTGCGAGACGTTGGTCTTGCAGTATAGTACTGCTCCCTGCTCAAGAAGTATATCCACCAACGCGGCATTCTCCTTTGCAGGATTCTCCGCGAGACTTGCCATGCCGATAGAAGAATCATACCCTTTGATGTTGTACGTATCCTTGAGAGAGATTGGTATCCCATGTAGCGGCCCTCGTGTCTTGCCAGTACGTTTATATTCAGCATCCAGAGCTTGTGCTCGCTCGATAGCCGGTAGGAAGAGGATTTCCGAGAGGCAGTTGGTGAGCTGTTGAGCGATGGCGGCGCGCTTGCAGAAAGCGGTGGTTATAGCTTCAGATGTGAGCGCCCGAGAATGGATAAGTTGAGAAAGCGAGGTTACATCGTGCGAAGAAGTTATGGAGAGTTCGTCTGGTGTCAGGACAGTGCTTTTCGGAACAAGGGGGCGGACGTCGAGTGGGAGGGGTTCGGGAAGCGGGTCAAGGAGCCAATTTTTGGGGATGAGAGATTGAAGTGTATTGAGTTTGCGACGCGCAATGGCATGGTAGATCTGGGAAGACATCGGTTCTGAACTGCATTCGCCAGTTGCTGGCTGATAACTGCCTTGTGCTGAGAGAGTGCTCTGTCGAAGAATTGTTGCATTCAAGGATGGATCATGAGAGTGGGCAACAAGGGATGGGACTAATGGAGGGGGTTGGTATAAGTGGAAGTTGACGGTAGCCGACTGCTATTAATTAGTTAGCCCGAAGCGTGACCTAACTAACTAATAAGCGTCGCCTAGTGTCGCTTCGCGCCGCAATCTACTTTTGATGGTACTTTGAATACATTTTTGCTGTCGGAATTCTTTTACACGCCTTCGATCTTTCTTCTATTTCTTCTATGCATGAAAAATGTTCGACTAGGCATTTGAGATTCGCCTGTGCTCAGCCTGAAGCTGCTAATTCCGGCTTTGCATCCTCGGTATCGGCTGCATTCTTGGTGATATTCTGCACAATAGCCTGCCCCAGACCAGCGATGGGAGCATCCTTCTGAACCCTCAGACCCTTTGTCATGCGAGCAATCATGGAATAGAACCCTAAAACAATATAGAGCTCTACCACCTCATCATCACTCATCAACGATCGAGCCCATTGGATGGTTTCCTCGGTATTGGTCCATGTTGCGATGGACTCATCCACCAAGGTGATGATACATTGCTGCCGCTCAGACCAGATTCCCATTGCGAAGAGCTCCTCCGACTTCAAGCCTTTGCGAAGCGTGTCAATCTTTTCATCGCCCATGCCGTTGACCCTCGAAACAGGCTCATTGATGCCAAACAAGTATTCGGCGCCAACAGTCCCCGTCATGCGAAGAACGACGAGTTGGTAGTCCAGGATCTGAATGGTGCGCGTATGGCCGTCCAGCAAAGCGGTCAAAAGGCTGATGATGGGCGGGAATAGACCTGGTGATCTGGCAAATAAATTGAAGACATTGCGTTTGATGGAGAAATTCTTCAAGATCTCTGCATTTCTTTCATGGGTGGCGTCTGGGTTGAACATATCGATTCCATCAATCAGAGCCTTCGCAGGCGCGGCTGTTGCTTCTGTTGCGTCGGACATGATGAGACAGTTAGGTGACGATTTTCCGTGTTATCGATGACCTTGCACAGTGAATGAGGAATGACGGTTGGTCAGGTTATCCGTGAATACTCCGTGTAGCTGAGCGAATTGCATGATGCTTAACTTGACTTATCTATGTAGTTAACTGATTCGTTATTGGAGATCATTGGATGTCCCCTGAAGCAAACATCTCCTGTAGACATGCGCGGTAAGGCTAAGCCGTTTTGAGCACCAAGTCTACACAAACTGCGCGGTAACGCTAAGCTGACTTTGGACTAGTTACGGAGACCACCCGGTTGGATGCTATGTGGGGCTATCCCGCGCAGATCGGACTCCCCCTATTGGTTCCCTCCACCTGTGGGCGGCTACGCTAAACCTGATATATCGGCCTTTCTTTGTTGAGCAGCAAATATTGTCAAATGCCATGGTCTTCACATTGGAGTCCTATAGGGGTTTTGGAAGTGCTTGGTAATCTCGTTGTCTCCTTGACTCTTCACATTTGTCATGCTTTTTTGTGTATGTCGTTGGGCAACAAAACCTTTCTCTTCATATCTTTGTGGAAGTGATTCATTCAAGCTTTAACTATAACAAAACACGCTTGTGTATAGCCTCTTCTGCCAGACAACAGGACAAGGCATTGAAACTATGGGGCCTGCAACAGATTCCGAGAAATTCCCAAATGATCACACACTTGACACCGACCCAAGCCACAGCGACGAGAGCACAACCGTTGCACCAGTCATGAACGATGCCGAAAAGCAAGCCGACCTAGAGCCCTCACATCAGCAGGAAGCGCGCGAGATCGGAGGTTGGAAATGGGTTGTCGTTGTGCTAGCCATTTACAGCTCGCAATTCCTATTCGCCCTCGACCAGACCATCGTCGCGAACGTCCAACCCGCAATTGTCGAGCAATTCAAATCTGTGGACAGGCTTTCATGGGTCAGTGTCGCCTTTCTCTTTGGCGCCGCGGGGACAAATTTGATATGGGGCAAAATCTTTTCTCAATTCAATACCAAATGGACCTACATCGCTACCATCTTCGTCTTTGAGGTTGGTTCAGCTGTCTGCGGCGCTGCTCCAAACATGAACACCTTGATCGTGGGTCGAGCCATTTGTGGCGTCTCTGGCGCCGGAATGTACGTTGGACTCATGACTCAACTAGCCGTCACCACCACCATCCAAGAACGTCCGATGTACGTCGGCGGGGCGGGCCTGGTCTGGGGTATCGGAACAGTCCTGGGTCCAATCATCGGTGGCGCATTCACGGACTCATCTGCGACCTGGCGCTGGTCATTCTACATCAATCTCTGTGTTGGTGCCCTTTGTGCCCCCGTCTACCTATTCATGTTGCCCAACAAGGACCCGCGCCGCGGAACCAGCTTTGTGAACCGTGCTCGTGAGCTTGACGGCGTCGGAACCATCCTGCTGATTGGTGCATTCTTCTCGGGAGTCATGGCTGTATCATTCGGTGGTGTCATGTACCCATGGAACTCGGGCAGGATCATTGGCCTCTTTTGCTGCTCTGGAGTGTTGTTCATCCTGTTTGGTGTGCAACAGGCCTATGCCATCTTTACCACCCCCGCACGCCGCATCATGCCCGTCGAATTCTTTAAAAGCCGCACCGTCTTGATCTTGTTCGCCGTGACTGCAGCTGGTGGAACGGCTATCTTCCTCCCCATCTACATGACGCCTCTCTATTTCCAGTTTACTCGTGGAGATGGAGCGCTTCAGTCTGGCGTTCGACTTCTACCCTTTATCATGTTAATGATCTTTGCCACCATTTCGAATGGCGCATTCCTGTCTAAGGTGGGGTACTACATGCCTTGGTACCTCGCTGGAGGCATCCTAATCGTTATTGGTGGTGCACTCATGTATACGGTGGATATAGCGACCTCCATCTCCAAAATATATGGATATACCATCCTCATCGGCATTGGAGTTGGTCTATTCGTTCAGGCATCATTCTCAGTTGGCCAGGCAGTGGTCAAACCTGAACAGATTCCTTCATCCATTGGTTTCATCTCAACTGGTCAAATCACCGGCATCACTTTAGCCCTCGCCATTGCCAATGCTGTATTCCTCAACAAAAGCGAGGATGGAATCAAGGCCATCTTACCAAATACGCCCACTGCGGAGATTCAGCAGGCTATCATTGGAATGGGGTCTGCACTTTTCGACGACATGTCAGATGAGGAACGGCAGCGGGTGTTGGAGGTCATCGTCTCTGCACTAAGCAGCACATACGCCTTGGTCATTACAGCTGGGGCGTTGGTCGTCGTGCTGAGCCTTCTGCTGAAGAGGAATAGGCTTTTTGTGACTCCTGCGGCACCTGCCTGAGTGATTCGTTGCGGAGAGAGTTTTTGGGGAGGACATAAACAAACTCCCGGTGCACTGAACAGTGAAGGCCTTGCATGGGGAAGCTAGATAGTGTAGTGGCTGTATCCATTCATCCCACATGGATAACACAAAAGAAAACTGCTAGTTATATACTGTCCAACTACAATATAATATGCGTCGTTTCTATTATCCTCTTTTAGGAAAGTAGGGCTAGGGTTGCAAAAAGGTAAATACCCCACTTATTTGCCAGGCACTAAGGCAACCGCTCGACAGCACAATGGTAAACCGGCTTACTTCGTTTTACTTAGCTCTCCCGCGGGCCGCCAGCACAGCATGGGCCTCTTTCGCAATCCAGATACTATTTTCTAGCTTTGCCGCGGCCCGCCAGGCATCGACTTCCGAGCGCCTCGCGCCGCGTCGCGCTCGCTGGCGGTTGCGCTCGCTGGTCGATGCCTCGGTGCGCCGCGGTTTCTCAATTATTGCCGAACAGCCATTGGCTGGGTATCTCAAGGCATAATGACCAATGGGCTTCCAAATGGGCCAAGTGTAGTTGGACGGGTTAGTAGCAATAGATGAGCAGAGCTTAGGTGTGTCTATAGACGCTGACAACACGTTTCAGAAACGAGCCATCAAACTGTCTTTGAGTAACAGCAATATCGTCTAATTGATCATGATTTCGTATGCTGGTAGTGGTGAAGAGCCTCCCCAGGGCAAGCTTCTCAATGTACACGTGGAGGCGTTGAATGACGTCGATATCGCAAATGAGTACTGGGAAGAGCTCTTTCACCAAGCCGGACCCCAACGGCGTTTACCATGCTTTCCCATCGAATACCAACAGCCTCGCTGCAAGTCGACACTCACTATTCCCGATGCGCTGTTTGAGGCTACTCTTTGGTTCTGCAAGAAGTACAATGTTTGTCTTCACCATGTGTTTTATGGCGTATGGGCTATCGTATCTGCGCGTCATATGGCAGATGGCCAGCGCACAACCGTTTTCGCCGTGGCTGACCGGGATCGCCCAAACCCCGGTCAAGATGAAGAGATCGGAGTGCTAGACCACGACTTTCCTCTGGTTCTCCAGCTTCCCCAGGATATGGAGGTTCTATCGTGGATTCGCCACGTTGGAACGGTTAGCACTGAAGCGTCCTCCCATGCACACATTGGTTACAAAAACATCCTTGCGAAAGCCTCGGCACACGATCCCCAGGTCAAAATTTCCATCAGCTTGCCAGGGAATGGCCAAGAAGCCGTTGACGCTGGAGATGAATTCTTTCCGCTCGTCCTCAATATCCGTATCTCAACAAGCCTCAAATTCAGTCTATGGCACAACTCGACCGTTCCCGAGAGGGACATTCGCGTGCTACTGGACCATGTCGCGTCTACACTGCAAGAGACGATGGACAGCTATCATCACTCAAACATCTCGGAGTTCCAGATCACGTCACCAACGGAGAAGCAACTACTTCAAGAATATGCAAACAACAGCGGCTTGATGCATCGCCTGATCGAACAACAAGCTAAACTAACACCGGATGCCGAGGCAGTGCAGTTTGAACAGGATCAACCACTCAAGTTTTCAAAGCTAAACGCTCTGTCAAATCAATTAGCCCGACGGATACGATCATTGGGAGCTCCCATTGTACCGGTACATATGCACACATCAGTCAACTTCATTGTCGCACTATTGGCCATCTTGAAAGCCGGTGCTGCGTACGTTATTTTGGATCCGAATGCCGGAGCAGCGCGCCGGTCCTACATCATCAAGGACGTTCAGGCGGATTTCATCTTGGTGGACGACAACACAGCAGGCGAGTTTTATAAGGAGTTCAACGTCGGTGATCTACTCGCGCAGTCAACGGGCTATGATGAAGGTGACCTCGTGACGGATCAGCGTGTTAGTGACCTTGCATACATCATCTACACATCCGGTTCTAGTGGGAACCCCAAGGCAGTACAGCTTGAGCACCAAGCCGCGTTCAATGGCCTGAAGGCTTTCCCCAGGATTGCAAATCTCCGTCAACTGCTCTTCTATAACCCTGTCTTTTCAGCGGCGCAGAGATCGATTTGGGCGACTCTGAGTGTAGGTGGCTGTCTGTGCCTGGCCTCCAAGGAGAATATCACAGTGCATTTGGCGACGACAATCAACACCATGCAAATCAACTCAATTGATATGACCTCAACAACCGCAACACTGGTCTCACCTGATGAAGTGCCCCTTCTCCAACGACTAGTGCTGGGTGGTGAGATGGTCAGTTCGACTGTGATCCAGAGATGGGCACATCGAGTGGAGCTCTTTTCGTCCTACGGCCTCAGCGAATGCACACAACTCAATTGGCGTTGCAGATTATCAAGTGATTCCAATCCTCGGAATATTGGACAACCTTCTGACACAACGACATCATACATTCTCATCCCTGGAACCGTCAAGCTCTCACCTCTACTCGTCCCTGGCGAGTTATGTCTTGGAGGCGCACAGCTTGCGAGAGGGTATTTGAATCTCCCAGAAGAAACAAATAAGCGCTTTATCGACAACCCATTTGGCCATGGCAGACTCTACCGGACAGGCGACATGGCGGTTCGTCACGCCGACGGGTCCATAGAAATGCTGGGACGGATCGATTTCCAAGTCAAAATCAATGGACAGAGAATTGATCCCGGCGAGCCGAACTCGGTGATCCAAGCGCATGAGGATGTTGAACAATCCGCAGTGGTTCCGGTTTCTGTGAAAGGGAAGATGCTTCTTGTCGGTGTCATTGTCAGTCGTACTGAGTGCGAGTGGGATCCTCTTGTCGAAAGTCTTCGCTCATTCCTCCAATCGAGAATACCTTCTTACATGGTACCGAGTTTCTGGGTCTCCATTCCTGCAATGCCACGCAATGCCAATGGCAAGATTGATATGCAAGCGGTCCGAGTTATTGTTGAGCGCCTGCGCGATTCAGGACAGTTATTGCCGCATCGTTCCAAGACCGAAACAGATGCCAGCGCACTCACTCAGGACGAGCATATAGTGAGAAAGCTCTGGGCAGAGCTTTTGTCAATGCCAGAGTCAGATATTTCCCTGGGTGACTCATTCGTTTCGTTGGGCGGCACATCGCTTGAAGCCATCCAGGTTGTGTCAAGGCTTCGATCTGAGCATTCTCTAAACTTGAAGGTCGATGAGATTATTCTTGGCACCTCGCTCTCTGCTGTTGCTCGCCTTGCCGAGAAGCTAGACGAAGGGATCAGCATGGTAGATCGATCAACTCCATTTGCACTTCTTCGTGAACCTCTTTCCTCGGCAGATCTGAACATCGAACTTTCAGAGATCGAAGACGCTTATCCAGTCACACCTTTCCAAGAAGCAGCCATCGCAAACACGGTCATGGGTGACAACAGCTACATCTATAGCCGTTCTTACAGCTTTGAAGGACATGATGTGGCTTTGGTGAAAGCGTCACTGGACTCCCTGGCAAAGTCTCATGCTCTTCTTCGGACAACCTTCGTCGCAAAAGGGGTGTCATTTCTACAGGTGGTCAAGAAGGCCGTGGAACTGCCGTGGGGAGCCTCTACATTGAATGTCAGAGATTTTATGGAACACGGAGCATCAGATCTGATGTATCCTGGCGATCTTTGGTGGAGGGCAACTGTCCTGCCGGGGAACATTCTAGTCCTCACCACTCATCATGCTCTCTTCGATTACTGGTCCAACGAATTCTTTTCGCAAGATCTCACATCTCTCTTACTTGGAACTCAACCAATTCAGCGACCTTCATATAGACGTTATGTCGAGCATTTGCAGCAATATGACGATAATGCCATGGCGGCATTTTGGAGCAATTATCTCGATGGAGCCAAGCCTAGTCCACTTGGGCCCTCTGGAAGTCCTGAGAGCGCAGTCACAGCCAACCTCAACTTCGATTTCCAAAGTATCGCTTCCAAGCTCGGCATTACACCAAGTGTGCTGTTGTATGCTGCTTGGTCGGTTGTTCTGTCTATTGCTGGCTCTACTGATGATGTCGTCTTTGGTGTCACACTGTCCGGGCGAGATGCCCCAGTTCCAGGTATCCTTGAGATGACTGGGCCTACTCTCATGATTGCTCCACTCAGAGTCAAAGTCAACAAAGCGCAATCTTTCAAAGCTCATCTGAAGAGTGTGCAAGACAATCTCTGGGGTATCGCGAAGAATGCTCAGTACGGGTTACGCCGCATACTCAAAACAACCGGACAACCAAAAGACCTCGTGGGATCCATGGTGAACTTCTTGATCAAACCCCCCGTGTCTCGGCCGGCTGGAGGATTAGCGTTGCTGTCAGAGAAGAACCTTGGTTCAGTTGAAAATGTCAAGATTGAGATCAACAAAGAAAGTATGGATTGCGTGACTTTGGTCTCTTCGCTTGATAGAGAATTCGCCCAGGCTCTTGTTGACACGGTTGCGATTGTTCTGGAATCAGCATCATCTGCGCCACTTACGGAAATCGGACATTGGAATTTGGTGCAACCAATAACCGAATCCGCAGGCGATCTGGAATCCGCAGGTGATCTTGTATCCGAGGATCCTCATTCCAAGCTCATGGAGGGCCTACAAAACCAAGCGGAGAACGTCTTGGTTGGGTCCGATGAAGGGGACCGACTTCAGACACCGAGCAGAGAGCATCTCGAATTGGCACATGCAGCATTTCAGAGGATGGCTGCATCTCATCCAGCTAAGATAGCCGTGCAAGATGCGTCAGGGAATCAGATCACATACGCTGGATTGGCTATCAAGGCCAATCAACTCGCTGGCTTATTGAGAGCTAAGGGTATCCAACTTGAGCAAATTGTTCCCATCATGTTTGAAAAGTCTATCAACACCGTCGTGGCCGAGTTTGGAATCCTAGTCGCTGGCGGTGCCTTCTTGCCTCTCGGACCAGAGAACCCCCGGGAAAGAAACTTGGGAATTCTCGATGACTTGGAAGGCAAAATTGCTATCGCAGATCGAGCCAACGCCGCTTTCTTTGCGGAGGCTGCCTTCGAAGTCATTGTGCTCGATGATCTGGAATGGGATACCATGCCAATCGAGAGACATGATGTGCCCGGCCTGACGCCCGACAGCCTCGCATATGTTATCTACACCTCTGGCAGCACTGGAAAGCCGAAGGGAACGCTTTTGACGCACGGGGGTGTCTCAGTGGCGGCCCAGGCAATCAATGAAGCAACGAAGACAGAGATTTCGCACAGGTTTTTATGGGTTCCAAACTATACCTTTGACGGTTCTCTTGACACGCTGTTCACAGCGCTCTCCAGTGGATGTACACTGTGTGTTGCTCCACAGAGCGTTATCGCATCCAACCTCACCGGATTGATCAATTCAATGCAGGTCAACCGAGCCAATATGACACCTTCGATGACCGCACTCATCAATCCGGCGGAAGTTCCGACTTTTGAGATTCTGATCACCGGAGGAGAAGCCATCACTCCGCAGGTGTTGGCCGCATGGATGCCGCGCGTGAAGATCTATAACGCATACGGACCGACTGAGGCAACCATTTCTATCACTACCACGCCTGTTCATCCAGAGATGAATCTGCGTAATGTCGGTAGACCTTTCAAGAGCGTCACTGCCCTGGTCCTTGATCCCGAGACAATGGACGCAGTGCCTAATGGCAGCGTCGGTGAGCTTTGCCTCTCGGGTCCGCAGGTGGCGAGGGGGTACTTGAAACGCCCTGACGCCACGGAGCGCGCATTTGTTGACAGGCCCGAGGGAAGGGTCTATCGCACTGGAGATCTTGCAAGGATATTACCCAATGGTGATATTGAATTGTTCGGACGCAAAGATGACCAAGTCAAGATCAACGGTTACCGAATTGAATTGGGCGAGATTGAAAGTGTTGTCATGAGAACCAGCATGTTTGATGCGTGCATTGTCATCTGCCCAACGGTTTTGAAGAAAAAACAACTTGTTGCATTTTATTCGAAATCTGTTGGAGAAACAAGGGAAGCGAGGTCGGAAACAGACCTGCTTCTGCCCCCTGGACAACTGCTTGATTTTGATCAGCTCAAGGGCCAACTCACCACTATACCGAGCTACATGATTCCCACTATTTGGCTCCCTGTGAACAAGTTCCCATTCTCAGTTGCTGGAAAAGTCGACAGGAAGCGTTTGCAAGCTCTGGTTGAAGGTATGGCTGACGATTTACTCAAACAATACCTACCCAAGGAAGTGAAATCAGTCATCACCACCGAGACGGAGCTCAAGCTACAGGCAATGTGGTCGGAGCTTTTTGGAACATCGACAGACCAGATCCACGCCAATTCCTCGTTCCATGCTTTGGGTGGAGACTCCATCTCTGCTCTGAACCTTGTCAGCATGCTCCGTCGGCAAGGGTACGAGACCAAAGTCAGCGATATCTTGTCAAACAATACATTGAGGCAACAAGCAGCATTACTGGAGGAAAGCATCGAACCAGATACTACGTTGGTTACGCAGCAGATTCAGTACGAGGCATCTGACGCAGTGTGGAAGCGACTGTCCCAGATTGGCGTTCCGAAAGACGAAATTGAAGACATTTACCCTTGCAGTCCTGGCCAGATTGAATTCTTGACTCAAGGGAAAAAACAACAGCAGTTCTGGCAACTCATGGCCGTTAGAGAGCTGCCCAATGACTTTGACTTCGATCGCTGGATACAACTCACGACCCAACTCACGCAAAACAGCCAGATCTTGCGTGCTTTGTATGTATACGCCGAAGAAGGCAACGTGCAGACGGCTCTCCAAGTTGTGCTCAAGTCTCCAACACTCAACCTACGGTACAAGTCATTCGATACCGAAGAGGAGAAGCAACAAATATTGGCAGCGGAGTGGGAAGAACTCTTTGACCCGAGTAAGCCGTTTGTCAGATACACATGTCTTGTCAACACGGGAGATGGCACCAAGCACCTTGTCATCAAGCTCGATCATGCTTCGTATGACGGAACACTTTTACACATATTTGATGACCAGTTCAAAGCCCTGAACAAAGACTTGGCGATTCCGAAGCATACACCCTTCAAGGACTTTATTGGCCATATTCTTTCGACGCCAAAAAAACCTCAGCTTGATTACTGGGTGCATCTACTCGAAGACAAAACCTTTGATTTCCCTTCCCATGTGGCCCACCCTCAGATCTCAAAAACCGAGATGGCCAAAGTCAGCACTTCTGTTGGCATTGACGATCTTGCCAGTTCCAGTGGTGTCACCGTTCCAATTGTCTTCCAGACTGCCTTTTCTCTTTTATTGGCACACATCACCGGGACCCACGATGTCATCTACGACAATCTGATCACTGGACGCAACGTACCCCTGGACAATCCCCAACTCATTGATGGGAACTGTGCAAACTTCCTACCTTTCCTCGGCCATCTAGCCGAAGACCAGCCCATCGAGTCATTACTCAAAGAGACACAAGCGGCTTTCTGGACCTCAACGGAAAATGGGCTCGTATCGCTTGGCGAAATCTACAATGCCCTAGGACGTGATCGCTCTACGTCGGCCGCCAAGTGTCTCTTTTGCTTCCAGCCCTTTGAGGCCGCGCCAACCAAGCAGGATCCTATGCGCTGGATCGTTATGAAGATGAGTAAGAATACTATGTTCTTCAATTACGCCATTCAGTTGGAGGTCGTCAGGACTGCCACAAAGGGTGAATACATGATCCGGTTTGGATATGATGGAAGGGCGTTTACGGATGAGGAGGCGAGAGTGGCCTTGGACTGGTATATTGGGTGCTTGGGTGGAATGGCGACAAGAACTTTCCTTAAGGAGTTGGGAATGTAACTGTCGGTGAGGGTGGAGCGATAGCGATACCGCTTGAGTTGATTCAACTTGGATGGAGCATGTTGTGTTTTTCATGCTGGAAGCAGTGAAGTCGAGGTCAACACTTCGCTGTCCGTCCTGTTATTCATTTTCTTCTTTTCTTCGATCATATTTATCTTCAGTTATCATATATTAGATTGGACAGTATTGGTTGCCCTTGTCTTGATGTCTTTCATCACCCGCGTAAAAGATCATACTGTCGAGGTCTAGTAGTATCTGGTGTCTTGGAAGATATGCTGTCCATGAGTTGGTCTGTGTTGAGCTATCTTGGGATGGAGATTTTCTTCCACTTGTCTCTCCGGAACATACTAGTGCCGTTCCGCAGCAGCAAGTGCGATCACATGGCCTGTCTTGGCAAGGAGCGACCACGTTTCGACAAATACTGTACGGAGTATGGCCTAATGATCTTCACCTCGCTGGAATTTACAACAGCACGACACGAAATTTATCAGAGAACAATTGATTGTATGTTGCAGCCATGATTGACCATCAGACTACCCAAGGAAAAGTATCTATTGCTTCTGGCCCACGAAAGTAAACCGTCGAACCTTCCACGCCACGCCCTTTCTTGACTCAACGATAGCCTTGCTGTGCAAAGCAAGGAGCTCTTCCTTCACATCACCAGGCAACTTGGTGATCAATTCCTGGAATAGGTTGAGATAGTTCATCTGATCAAGGACCAGGACATAATCGCCAGTCTCAAATTCCTGTTTCTGGACGTTTTGCAATCCTTGTTCGGTAAAGGTTTCTGCGAGATTGGCAGACCAACTACACACCATATTAGCAACAGCCAAACAACGCGAACGATGAATAGCGACTTACGCAGACTTGCTTTGGAATCTCGCATTGAGCCCTGCGAGTAGCTTTTCCGTGTGCTCGGTCGAGTTCGAAGGGTCGGCTTTCACTAGCTTTCGATTGCCGGCGTCGTCGTTGGGTTCCTCCCATTGGAGGTAGCCACCGGGCTCTTTACATTGCTGTCAGCCTGAGGTCATTGTATTGGGGAGTCCCATGCAACATACTAAGTAGTTTCAGAAGATTCTGAATAACAGGTCGAGGGTCTCCACCGGCTTGGTTGACCACCTGCACAAGCAGTCGCGCATGGACAACGTCATATTTCCCCACGTATTCAGATGGAATCTCTTTCAAGATATCGAGATAGCTAAGACGCACGTTCGACGGCAGGAAGCCTGGAGCTGGGTATTGCTCTTCCGAAATGTCGAATCCGTGGAACTGTGCGTTGGGAAATTGACGGGACAAGTCGTGGAGCCAAATCCTGCCGATGTGGTTAGCCTGCATGCATGTATACATACAAATGCAGGGGGATCCTTACCCAGTACCAGTGCCTATATCGGCAATGAATACGTCGGAATCGGGAAGCTTGATAGAAGGATGGAGGACATATCCCATGCTCTCTTTCCAGATGTAATGCTGGAGATTGAGGCGTGTAGACGCCAGTACATCTCTGTTCAGCCTATACGGGTCGGAAGCTCCGTTTGCGTTGATGGGACCGGTCATTTTGGAAGTTGAAAAAGTATGAGACTCTTGTAAACACTGGTTGGTAGAGAAGATGCGATCGGATACACTCAGAAATCGGAGGATGTATGTATTTTTGTTAGTGGCCTATGTCACTACATAATAGGCCCTATAACGGACTACTTGCAAGGCCCATAAGAAAAAAATATCCAATCAGTGCCCATACCGCCGAAGAATTGAAGCTATCACCAGAATGATTAGCTCTACCGCCGAAGGTGCACACTGAAACACATAGGCCTGAATTGTTCAACGTGGCCTTTCTTTGCCGCCCTACAGAACATCAACTTGTCCTTGGCACCTTTTGACGAGTCATCACTCACAGCGCAGTCTACTGGAGGTATGGCGCCGCGGCAGTGCCCTCTACTCACGCCCCCACGAGTCATCACTCACAGCGCAGAGCCTACGGGCACTAGGTATGGCGGCGCCGCGGCAGTTCCCTCTACCCACGCCCCCCACGAATTCGACAGATTAGCTTTGCCGCTAAGTTAACCTCGCGCGGCGTCCGCCGCGTCCCGCAGAGTAGGCACCAAGCCTTCGCGACTGCGGCTCTTGTGCGGCTTGCTGGCGATATGGTCTCGCAGAAGCAGAACATTTAAAAATGTCGTGCATGAAGCATGATCATGCAGTGACAACCTGTGTAACATTTGATACACTTTCAGCCTGAGTCAGCCATTAGACATGTCGATTCCGGAGACTTGCACAGTATTGGTCGTCGGGGGTGGGCCAGCTGGCTCGTATACAGCTTCCGTGCTGGCCCGCGAGGGTATTGACACTGTGTTGCTGGAGGCAGACTCCTTCCCTAGGTGAGAGAGAGAGCAAAAGAAAACCACCTTCTGCCGCTCGTTTGCACTCTAACAAACAATATAGATACCATATTGGCGAGAGTCTGCTACCATCGTCTAAATACTTCCTTGAGTACATCGATTGTTACGAAAAGTTCGAGAAACACGGATTTCTACACAAGGTATGAACTGCCATTTCCATAGCTTTTCCTAATATAGGTCACTTGAATTGACCTGTCAAACAGAATGGAGCTACCTTCAAATTCAACTCCAGGAAACCCGGATGTAAGCCTACCAGCTATCTGACTCTTCTCTCAAATGAACGCAAAGCTTACTCTGAAGCGCAGTCACCGATTTCCTTGCGGCCGGTGGGGCTGGAAATCACGCATGGAACGTGGTTCGCTCCGAAGCAGATATGATTCTCTTTGAGCATGCAGGAGAAAGCGGTGCCAAAACCTTTGACAAGACGAAGGTAACGGCAGTTGAGTTTGAGCCCCAGCATAGGGATCTCGAGGGTGGTGAAGACAAGGGCTTAGGCCGACCAGTTTCTGCCTCCTGGTCGCAAGAGGGTGCTTCAGGAACCATTCGATTCAAGTACCTCGTCGATGCATCGGGACGGGCGGGTGTAGTAAGTACCAAATACATGAAGAACCGCAAGTACAACCAAGGGCTCAAGAGCATTGCGACTTGGGGATACTGGGAGTCAGCGGCCGTTCACGGCCCTGGCAAGGGTGACCCATTCTTTGAGGCAATTGATGGTAAGTACCGCGTGATTTGGACTTCTCTAGGGAACACAGCCGACTAATCGAATATATCAGATGGAAGCGGCTGGGCCTGGTACATCCCGTTGCACGATGGCACCGTTTCGGTTGGGATTACCATGAAGCAAGACCGCGTTGCTGCCAAAAAGAAGGCCTGCGGAGCAACAGGCACATGGGACTTCTACCGACACATTCTCTTCAATGAAACCCCGGGCATTGCAAAGCTCCTTGAGAATGCACACGAGACATCACGCAACCTCAAGACCGCATCCGACTGGTCGTACAGTGCAACTGAATACGCGAGCTCCCATCTCCGTGTTGCCGGCGATGCCGGCTGCTTTATTGACCCGCTCTTCTCGTCCGGTGTCCATCTTGCCATGAACAGTGGGCTCTCGGCAGCTATTACCATCTGTGCATCGCTGAGAGGCAATTGCAGCGAGGAAAGCGCTGTGTCCTGGCACTCAAACAAGGTTGCTGAGGGTTATACCCGCTTCCTGCTAGTCGTGACCAGCTCTCTTGAGCAGATCTACGGTCGTGAGCAGAACATCTTGAACGATATCGACGAACCTGGATTCGACAACGCATTTGAACATTTCAAGCCAGGTATGTTTGCCCAATTTCCCCAGCTTAGTAATGTTCCTGGTCCCCCCTCTCTCTAACATGGTACATACGTAGTCATCCAAGGCACCGTTGAAGTCGGTGGGAGACTCACCAAGGAGGAAGTCGCCCGATCAGTTGACTTCTGCACCAAGGTTATCGCTAAGGTGGAAGAAGGTGGCTGCCTTTCCACCTTGGCCTTGGATAAGGAAGGACCTGGCAGCGAAGTGGGAGCTGCTGCTCCCGCCGGTTCTTCGCGTACTGATAACAGGGTTGATGAAGCGATCATGAAGATTGTCCGAATTCACCGTGTTCTGGATCTGAAGAATTTCACGGCCGATGTGATTAATGGGATGGCACCAAATATGGATCGTGGCCACCTTGGTCTCGTTATGGCGGCTAGCTGATGGAGATAGGCTTAGCCCTATGTGATGTCCCGTCCACGCCTCTCCTATGTTTCCTGTTTTCCTTGAAATTTGAATCCTGTCAGGCTGTCACTCTCTCTTAGAAATAGTTATCAACAGAGTTATGTTCCTGCTTCACGTCTCTAACGTGTCCTTGCCTCAGTGCCGTGGCCCCTGACTCCTGAGTCTCAGACCTTATCACATGATCCAAGAATTCAGCCGAATTATTGGCACGCTAAACCTGCCCTTTCGGATTGCTTGCTCTAAGCTAGATTACGCTAGCAGCATTTGACTTCGGGACGTCACGAGTCCTAGGCCCGCTTTGACCCTCCCGCGTGTATCTCCCGGTGGATCTCCGGGTGGATCTCCGGGGTCTGTGCGATTTGTATGTTTGTGATCCAAAAACGGCTCGGCACTTCAATTCCGCGGAATACAGTACAATCTCACAGGTAAATACAAGCCTCAAACAAAAATCTGCCTACGCCTTGTTGACCGCATTCTTGCTCATGGCACGAACCTTGTGGCCATACTTGTAAAGCGCATACGGAACAGGCGCCATGAGAGTAGCCAGAACAGCAACAATAGTCACCGACCAATGGGGACCAATGTTCTCGTACATCTGGACAGACGCAGGGCTGAGAGCACCAGCGACGACGTATCGCGCGAAAGTCATGAATCCAAGTGCCGAAGCAGCATACTGCAGGTACACGAAGATGATGTACATGTATGTCGTCGTGAAAATGCAAACAAGGGCCCAGCCGAAGACGCCGGAGGCCACGATCGGGGACCAGATACTGACGTCGGCCTGGAAGGTAATGTTAGTAAATATTATGTGAAGATGGTGCATATGAGTGCATCTGAGGAACTTACGTAGCAGGTCCAGGCCATCCAGAAGAGAGAAAGCGGCATCATGATAGATGCACCTGCCATGGCCCAGTAGAGCGATACCTCGGGCTGCAAAGCCTGACCCTCAGCCTTGGCCTGTCTTGCGGCCTTCTTGGTCATGCTGTACAGAGGAGGAATCATAGCCAGAGCAACGATGACGCCGGGAATCATGGCGACGAAGATGACGAAGGTCAAGCTAGTGCTGATACCGTACACATTGGCAAAGATGAAGGGGTAGCCGTTGAGGAAGGTGAACAGCACGAAGTAGAGAAGGACCCAGGTAGAAACTGAAGATGAGAATGATAGGCTCAGTCCAGATCATGACGAAGGGCCGGGAGACGTTGGTGAGCAGACGCGGGCCTAATGAGTTTGCTGAGGTAGACACATGGGCAGCGCGGTACCGGATATCACCAGTCAGTTCGCGGAGGTGCTTCGCTCGCCATTCCAAAAGAACAGGGCTGAAGGTCTCAGGCTGGGCGACATTGACGACGACCAGAGCGACGCCGGCAATGATCATCGAGATCCAATCGGCCCACACGTAGCCGATCTCCGGCGTGTAGGCGCCGATCACGGGGCCCAGGATCGGGCCCGAGTAGGCGGCAATGGTGACGAGGGGCAGGCCGAAGGGGATCTGTAATGGTTGCCAGATGTCGCCGACGGTTCCGCCAGCTACTGTCATTGGGGCAGCGGCGAATAGAGCACACAGGAAGCGGAAGGTGAGGGCTGCGCCATAGTTTGGTGCCAGAGCTTTTGCCATCACGAACAGAATTACGAGGATTAGTGCGGTGAAGTAGACCACATTGCGACCGAAGGTCTCGGAAAATGGACCGGCGAATAGAGAGCCAACGCCGATTCCAATGAGAAAGATACCTTTCGATGATTCTTCCAGCCATGGAGTTAACACCGAAGTGCGCATCGAAGGCGTCTTGAGTCGCACCCTCCACCGAGGAGGGGACTGTCATGGCGATGGCAACCAGACAGCAGGTCAACATGACCATCCACTTGCGAAGCAGAGACCAGTTGAGCGGGTTACTTGGATCGTTTTCCTTCCACCCAACCAAAAAGACAACCTCGCCGTTGTCTCCTAGTCGAGAAACCTCCACACCGGGTACAAGGGGAGCATCGTTGAAGGGGGCTGACTTCTCTGCTGCTGTCGCCTCCGGGTCTGATCCCAGAGACGGCGACGAGGTACTAGTGCGCACCGACTTGGCTTGACTGTTGGCCAAGTCTTCCTCTGCTTCCCGGCGCAGACGGCGGTACTGGAACCAGGACTCCATATCGATAATTTTTTCCTTCAAAGAAGCTTAAACTCAACCGTCGTGGCAATGAATTGAAACCGAAGAGACAAATAGTCGCAGATGCCAGATTTTCGTGGCACAACCTCAGGCTACATAGTATCGTTCAATGTGGGATCTGTGGACTCAATTCCCACGGCAAAAGGGGATACATATACTGAGTCCCCATGACAAAGTCATGATAACCCTGGCTGTTAAATCTCGAAGTTGGTCAGCGTGATGGGACACATCTGCGGGCCATCTCGCATTTCGGCCACATAAAAACGCTAAGGCCCAGAATGTACGTTATTGCGCCGACAACAGGAGTTCGTGATGGCTTCATTGGTCGAGGGCCCGCGGGACCACGTTTAGTGCGCATCGATGTTCCGAAGTCAAGTCCCCGCTTAAACAGAGTCAGGTTCGCTTGGAGGCGAATTCAGGTTGATTCTTATTTCTTGCTAATCTCAACTTGTGTGATTGTTAAGCTCAAATTTATGATCCGGAGGCATATGCATGTAGGAGTCGGTAGTCACCCATATCACCCACACTCACCTTAAGAACTTTTTTTCGCCATTTTTATTTTCAGGGCGCCTCAAAAATTGGCTGCGTAGAGTAATGGCCTTATGTACGGCTGAGCGGATGGGAAGCCTTGTTTTCCACACCCTATGGTCGTATGTGCTAGGAATAGCAGTAAGTAGAGTTATATTCAACCAGGACCTGAAACTTGTTGATAATGAGGAGATCTCTTTTTCGCATTTCATCTTCTGTCATAACCATGCATATAAATTCGAATGATGACACCGAAAGAGATGCGTAAAAAACATACACCACAGTGACTAAATAACCAGGGATTTACCAGAACTCCTACTGACGAGTCCGACTTCTTGCCTGACAAAAAACATCAAATGAAAATTTAGTGCTGCAAGGCTGGTTAGTGATGGGAGTGCAACACATATCCAAGGTCTCAACTTACAGCAATGTCTTCCCACTTCTCCCAGCCGCGTCCACGAACTTGTTTCAATTCTTCGTCCGTGAGCTGCTTGCCGGTGGTGAAATATCCCGACTGAATCTTGGCATCGATCTCGACCCTAGAGTCACTGGGAATCATCTCATCCGGAATAGGAATACGCTCGAGGATCTTGATACCAGAGCCCACGATGGCATCGTGCTTCATGTTGGACATTGACAGCATGCGGTCGATCTTGGTGATGCCGAGCCAGTGGAGGATATCGGGCATGAGAGCTTGGAATCGCATCTGCAGAGAAGAGAGTCAGTAGTTGCTAGCCACAGCGAGTCATTATAATACTTACATCTCGAACACCGGCAATGTTCTCCGTGCGAGTGAAGTATTTATCGGCGGTGTCGCCTCCACGCTTGCGCGCATTGTATACCAGATACTTCACCACCTCTCCGAGTGCTCTGCCTTCCTTGCGGAAGTAGATGACCACACCACTACCCCCGTTCTGTGCCTCACGGATTGCCTCGCGGATTCCGAACGCAAGGTATGGTCGACAGGTACAGATATCCGACTGGAAGACATCACTACCATTACACTCATCGTGCACACGCAGGGCCAACTTGACGTTCGGATCCGAGACACGTTCTGGTGGACCGAAGATGTACACAGTTAGACCGCCAATTGGGGGCAAGAAGGTCTTGAGGTCGGGCCGAGTGATAAGCTCCGGATAGCTTCCACCGGTGTGCTCGAACAAAGTCCGACGAAGGGTTCCCTCGTCAACGCCAAATCGGTCTGCCACACCGGGGAGATACCAGACAGGCTCTACGGCTACCTTGGTGACACGAACCTCGCCGGAGGAGTCAACAAGGATATTCCCATCCACCTCGAGGAGGCCATTCTTCACATCGTCGGCGATCTCTGCGAGCTTCATGTTAGCACGAGTGACAGCCATGGTCGGACGGATATCCCAGCCAGCCTCCAGCTCTTCTTTGAACTGGTTGACGATATCATGACCATAAGGATCCATAGAGACGATCTTGGTCTTGTCTGCCCAGGTTGGCTGCCAGGGGAAATTGAAAGTCGGCTCGGAGTTGCGGAAATCCGGTCGGAAATTCGCGTCCAGGTCGCCAGCAGCAATTGCCAACGCATTGTAGATGCTGTAACTACCGCCGTGGGCACCGATGGCATTTCGGCGCTTGACGAGGTTCCCACTTCGCGAGACAATCACTGGACCCCGGGACTTGGCATCGGGAGCGCCCCACTCTAGAGGAACGGGTTCGATGCCGCTCTGGCCTGGATATGTGGTCAACTACAATTGATATTAGCATTATGTGCAAGGCTCAGCCTAGCGTTGATCCTCCTTACGATGATGTGCTTGCTGAATTTATGAGTATGAGTGGGAGATGTGGGAGTCTCTGGTGATTGTTCGGCGGGCACCGGAAGAACGGTGGTAACGGGTTCTGTTTTCAACATGGTTACTAACGAAGAGGAGCTTCACAGTAAGAAAAGAAGAATAAATCTCGAAAAGAGAATCTATGAAGAATAAAAGAAAAGAAGAGAGAGAGGGGGAAAGGGAAGGGGGTGTACATCATCAACCATGTGACCCCCATGTAGGTTATCTCCTCCGCACGTTATCAGCTTATCTGGGTTTGTTTGGATCTCTGGGGGCGAAATGGCCTTGGCTTTGATTATAAGTTGACGTAGTATTCTTTACAAATCTATGCAGGAACTAGCGGTCACTAACAATAGTGACCTTCCCCTTGTCTGTAGTCATGGACTCAATTCTCACTCTACCGTTTACGGCGTTTACACCGTTGCTCCGCTCCAGGACGATCAGTTCCCCACCGGTTTCCACCGGAGTTCTTCGGCGTTCGATTTAACTGGTCGGAGTAGCGAACACCGATCTTCCCTGTGTTTGCCTTCCAAGAGTCTTGTCACACGGTGACACGTACAAGAGAGGGCCACAGCATCGGTGCATAAGTGCATAAAGGCTCTGTGTGTTTTCCATATGAGGTGACCGATTCCTGCTCGGTTTGACGGTTTCAATGCAGCCTGTTAACCTTTCATGCCAGTACCTCGCGTCGTCGGAATGGCAAACCGGCCTCCTGCGAGCCATGTCGCCGAGACAAAGTACGCTGTGATCATGCATTACCCGTATGCTCTCGCTGCCGAGATCGTGGCATTTCCTCGCGATGTTTCTATCATCCTGCGCCCTTGACGCGGGTCAAAGGACGCCGTATTTTTCCGTTGGCGGAGGGAGTCCCTTTTGATCGAGCCCCATCAACAAGGTGCGTTAAACGCTAAATGCCCGCCCTGTCTTGAGGTCATTCTAGACCTTTTGTGGATGGTCGAGTTCCCAATGGCCGAATTGTCGTCCTCCCCAATATACTCCCGTAGCTATGTCTTCACACATATCAGAATCTCATGATTACTGTCTGCCAGGAATGCGAATGCGAATTTGAATGAGACAGCCGATCTCAACGTGTCAAACGCAGGAGAAGAAAGCTCCTCCGAGCACACCGCATCTCGTACCGCATCTCGTACCCAGCCACTGCTAGCTGGGTATTTCGGCCCAACGAGCTTCGTATCGCCACTGACCGAAGATGTCGACTTGGGCGCAGGCGGCGGTCTGGGTCTGGATATCGTATCTACACAAAGAGTCCTACCACCGTACTGGGTCCACAAGATCTCCGAAGTTCTATTAACACTAAGCGACTTCGCCACAGCCGAGACCTTAATCCGCGAGTTTTACGCAGTCAGCCAAAGCGCGATTATCGCGGCGCCATTTGTGCTCAACAGCCTTGGCCCGGTCAAAGAGATGTGCAAAGACAGCATCTCCGACCACAATTTCGATGATTTCACATCCTCACTGACAGTGCGCATAATTCAAAACACATCTGAGATCTTCGAAGTTCCACCTACGACAAAAGGGCGGGACTTCCATACTTTGTTTACGGGACCAGCCATTCGCCTCGAGATCATTGGACTGCTATGCGCTCTCACGGGTCGGGCGAGATACCTAGGGGTCGCTGGTGACAGGTCCGATGAGGCCCGGACTACGCGGTCTGAATATGCGCGTAAAATGCTTGCAGCCAGTGATGCTGCACTGCACATCTGCAAGATTCTTACGCCGCTCAATGATCTGACAATATGGCTGGTACATGAAAATCTCCTGCTATCTGATCTAGTCAATGGCGACTCAAGTCAGTTCGCCCTATCTAACTCCTTCCATTAATGCTTTGCCTAACCCTCTGCAGGTCCCTCGTGCTGGAACAGACTAGGCGAGCTATCCACCGACATTTTCGCACTTGGTCTCCACCGCGACATCAAGACCTCGAACGATTTACCCGAATTCCTGCTAGAGTCACGTCGCAGACAATTTGCCGCAGCATACCAGCTCGACAAAAGCATCGCCACGTTTTTAGGTAGACCGCCAAGAATACCCTGGCGATACGCCGATTGTCGCCTGCCCCTAGATATCAGCGACGAGGCACTCGCCACCGCAGACACGGCGCTGAATTACTCCCCCGACGATATTGACGAAAATGGGTGGAGTATTCACGGAGTCGTCCAACGATCCTCTTGGATCCGAGTAAGGTTCATCATCAGCACATTCCGGGACGAGATCCTCGAGGTCTCTCTGCAGAGGGTGACGCCGGAGTTGAAAAATATGCTTGAGTAAGTATCTTTACTTGGTCCGCTGCATCCTATGCCCAACTACTAACACCGCACAGCGATATCTCGCGACGATGTCACATAGCATGGGAATCTCTGCCCTCCTGTCTACGCTACAGCCCTGAATGCTGGGATCGAAACCTGCCCATAGCAGTATGCCTCATGATGATCGTCTCATATCTAGCATATCTATACAACGACTTCCTCATTCAGCGCCTGATAGCCGGAAAGAACAATCCACGCGGAAATCCCGCCTTGATCTCCGTGAGCGCCAGAATCTTATCAACGGTCCTGACATTAGGCTCGCAGCGCGAACAAATGGTTGATCTCCGGCCGGATTTTACATGGACGGTATCTATACCACCCTATCACCTATCAACCCAAATTAAACGTACTCCAACACATACTAATGTCGTAATGAATCTAGGTCCTGCTTTACGGCTTCCCAAGTGCCAGTCTCCTCATCAAAGCCCTACAGCATCAAAGACGCACAGGCGAGCCGTTCCTGTATGAAGCGTCGAGGTCGGCGCTTATTCGCAATCTGAGTGTTTTTATCTCGCATCTGGAGTCAATTGTTCGCCCAGATAATGCCAATTACGCTCTATTTCAACGGGCTAGTCAGGTTTTCTCGAAAATTATCGATGAGGTCTTGGAGCCGCAGTCTGTCGTTCCGGAGTCTGATCTCGGAAACGCTGATCTCATTGACTTTGATCCGATGATTGAAGTCGATGGCCTGGATTTGTTTAATAATATGGACTTTGGGGTTGCGTTCAACCAGTGGCTATTCTGAGGACAGGGTATCTATCGATATCTATATCATGTTGTTCGAAACAGCATGTAGATCTGCCCTGACTCAGACATTGGACACGGTTAAATGCTATGGCCATCAGTCGTGGTCCTCAGGTACCTACAATAATGGCATATATGAACGCCACTATCGGACTCCGTGGAAAATAGGTATCACTTCTTCCACGGATGCCGTCGGCTGCTCTCATTCTCACTCGGTGTCACCATCTTGGGCTGCGCTCTCTGGGGATAGGGCATATCCGTGTTGTATAAGAAAGTTTTCGTGTCTAATACGAAAAGATGTGTCTGTCACACAGTTCCAGACTCGACTCTAGAATGACCAAAGAAGTGGCGTGTTGGATGTGGGAGAAGACGCATGCAAGTATGTCCAAGACAAGGTTGTGATATATGCAAGAATGATTCCGTATTCGGAACACGGGCCCGATGGCGAGCCCTCAGGGTGAAGAGAGATGGCAAAGACAACTACATGCTGATCATAGAGAGAAGGTGTCGTTTGTGATGGTGTAGATGAATAACAATAGAGTCTGAATTCTGAACGAGATTTTGAATAGAAGCCTACCACCCGTACGGATTGGCATTTGCGGCCACGATTGAACAGAAAGAGCTGCCGGGGCAGCCATGCGCACAAATAGGTATCGATTATCCTCCTCAGAACCCCATTGGCCCATAGCAAGAAAGAGAAGAGAGTTCATCACTCTTCAGGACATGAAACGTGAGAAAAGAAGTTCAATCCCGAGTATTGGGTTGAAAGCAAGAAGCCAATGTATGTACATTAACGCGTTTGGAAAAGACTTAGTTCGTCTGGACAAAATCGGCCTGGGCACGGGTGTTCTTGATGGTCTTCTTGATCATCTCCTCCACTTCGTCCCAATCGGAGGTATCGATACGATCGATAGTGCATTGGAAGTGGTCTTGGATCTTATGCAGCATCTCCCACTCAGTGCGGTTGGACACAAATGTGATAGCCACGCCAATGCGGCCAAAGCGACCGGTACGACCGATACGGTGAAGGTAGGTCTGGAAGTCGGGGGTGTTGGTGCGTTGGCCGCCAGAGTACTCCTCGGGGACGTCCTGGGGGATAGGATTAGTTTCCATCAAGAATTTGGGCAGAGAAAGAAACTCACATAGTTGACAACAAGTGAAACAGTCGAAACATCGATTCCACGAGCGAGAACGTTGGTAGTAATGAGAACCTTGGCGTCACCATTGCGGAAGGAATCAATAACCGCATCACGCTGGGATCCCTCCACACCACCAGTCAGCGATGCTACAGTGTGGCCTTCGGCAACCATGCGCTTTTCAATCTCCTGGGCAGAAGCACGGGTCTACAGAACGGATTAGCCAGACTCAAATCTCAGGCTGAAACGATACTTACCCGGACGAAGATGATGGAGGATCCGACAGTAAGCAGTCCGTAAAGCTGAACCAAGTTCTGATACTTCTCTTCTTCGCTACCGCAATCCATGTAAAGTTGCTTGATACCGTCAACAGTCAATTCCTCGTGCTGGAGGGTGATCTCATTGGCCTCGGGAGCAAACTTGACCGCATAGCGGTAGACGTGGGTCGGGAAAGTAGCCGAAAACAGGACAATCTGAACATCGCGGGGAATCATGCTGATGTAAATTGATCATTAGCTGATGTCCATTTCTCCGGGGTTCTCAATAATCACTTACGCCTTGGCCCGGATGCACTGATCTCCCAACCCTTGCTGGTCAAGCATGTTATCGGCTTCATCTAGCACAAGCACCTTCAAGCGGGTAGGGACCATGGCGCGCTTCTTGATCAAATCCTGAACAGTGCCAGGGGTGCCAACCACCACCGAGCATTCCATCTTCGAGACGCGCGCATTGGAATCGGCGGGAACAGCAGTTCCAATGATAAGCCCGTCGAGGAACTGTCCCATAACCTGAATCACGCCGACGATCTGACGGGCCAATTCACGGGTGGGGGCGAGGATGAGAGCCTGGGGCGAATTCTGCATCTCCGGGGTTGACAGATCGAGGCGACTGAGCACGTTGAGGACGAAAGCAGCGGTCTTTCCAGTACCAGACTGGGATTGACCGATCAAATTCTTCGCCGGGTTACTCATCAAAAGAGGCAGAGCGCGCTCCTGAACCTTGGACGGCTTGCGGAAGTTCATGGTCGAAAGACCCCTGCGAATGCGCTCATCTCTTTGACGCACGAGTAGGTCAGTGTCCGCGTAAGCATGTGTAGGCGTGTGGAATTGGGTATATCTTACAGGCCCAAGTCTTCGAAGCTCTTAACAGAGTACAGGGGGTTGTTGGGGTCCGCCTGCAAGTCGCTCAGCTTGACTGCGACAGAGTAGTCGGGCTCCTCAAGTTCCGCGGAGCCTTGCCCAGGACCGGAAGCTCCATCCTTAGACGTATCGGTGGCAGTGTTGTCGGAGACGTCTGTGATATATAAGAGAGAACAATTAGCTATCAGCCGGTAACGCGGAGGTGCCGGTCGAGGTCGACTGGAGGGATCAACGGTGGCGGTAGGCTCGATTCGTACCGGTAGGTTTCGACTCATCAGGCTTGGTGATGCGGTCGGCCAGAGAGCCGGAAGCGGGCGAAGCTTCAGTATTTTCGGACATGATGAATTGGTGAGAGGCTCGAAGTAAAAGAGGGTGTTGGAGAGAGAAGGGAAGATGGAGGGGCCGTCGTGGGGTATTTAAAAGTTCGGAGATGTTATGAGACTGCTTTGGCCACAATAAGAGAGTGCCAAAGATATTGACAATGGGTAAATTGTCAATCGGATAGTGGGGAGTCGAGAACAAAGAAAGCAGTCAGACTAGATTCTATTGGAAGGGCAAAATCAATATCGAAGCTCTGAATGGGAACCACAGATGACGCCGGAACTAGTACTAATTGGGGCAAAGTGAAATTTATGTATTAGTATGGTATTGACAAAGAGCTTCACATAACAATAAGCAGCAACGTGTATGTTTGGTATTGTCACAGGGACCGGGCTTCTCCCCGCCTTGGCCATTGTGATCATTCTTTCTGTTTGAATAGCCTCAATCGACCATTGAACACTGCTTGATTGAGGACAATAGCTATTCGGAGTCTCACCGAAGCACGTGGTTCATTTTCAAATAGCCCCGACGCCAGACAACCCCATCTCATTGTCCGGTTTGCATCCCCGCGCCGTCGCATGCGCGTCTGCCTTGGGACATCTATCTAGCCATGGCGGCCGCTGACGTTGCCCCTCGATTCGGGGCAGAGTTGAAGGTATAGACGCCGGATAACCCTGTCACATGCGCATAGCTAACCTCTGTCATTTATCAGGACTCTTTCAAGCCCGTCAATAATTGGGTATGACCCCGACATCGCTTCCCGGCAACCCAATCGGTCAGAACACCTCTCATGTTTGAGTGGAGCTAATGCAAACATGTCGCACAGGTCTCAAACGGTATATCGTGGGTGGACGAGATACAGCAATTCTACCGCGAGCGCAGCGCTATCGAGAAGGAATACGCATCCAAGTTAACACTGCTTTGCAAAAAGTACTATGACCGCAAGTCGAAGAAGATCAGCACCTTGAGTGTCGGCGATACACCCACCCTCACCCCCGGCTCTCTCGAAAGCGCATCACTCACGACATGGACGACGCAATTAAACGCCGTGGAATCTCATGCCGCCGAACGAGACAAGTTTGCGTCGGAGTTAATAGTGCAAGTGGCAGATCCCCTGAAACAAGCCGCTACCCAATATGAAGAGATTCGCAAATGCCATGTTGAATATCATGGGAAGCTAGAAAAGGAACGTGATGCCGTATATGGTGATCTTAAAAAGGCCAAGGGGAAATACGATGGCGCGTGCCAGGAGGTGGAGGCCCGCAGAAAGAAGATGGAGTCGGCGTTCGACCATGGAAAGACCAAGGCGCAGGCGGCATATCAACAACAAATACTGGAGATGAACAACTACAAGGCATGGCTCATTCACCAGACAACTTTCCCGTCCCGACTACTAATTTGCAGACAGAATCTGTATCTTATCAGCATCAATGTGACAAATAAGCTGAAGGAGAAGTTCTATCATGAATATGTCCCTGAAGTAATCGATGTAAGAAGAACCAGCCGCTCCCCTTCTGTCCTTGATCCCAGAATAAGTGCTCACAGTTCCAGGGCCTGCAAAACATCAACGAAACACGTGTGCAAAAAATGAACTCTATATGGACTCTCGCTGCTCAGCTGGAGAAGGCATCTCTTTCAAATAGTACACAACACATGGCCAATTTGCTGGTCGAAATTCCTCGCAATAACCCAATTCTGGATTCTCTGATGTTCCTTCAGCACAATGTGACTCAGTCGCAGGAGCCTGCGAATCTCGGGTTTGAGCCAAGCCCAGTGTGGCATGACGATGCTTCGATCGTCGTCGATGAGGCGGCCAAGGTCTTCCTGCGCAATGTTCTGGGCAAGAGCAAAACTCAGGTTCGCGAGCTACGAGTTGAGTCTGACAAGAAGAAGCGCGAGGTCGAAGGAAGCAAAAAGGTGCGAGAGAATATCCAACAAGGCAAGGATAATCGAAACGAGCTAGATGTGGTGCGATCTATTTTCTACATTCAAGAATCTTTGCACGAGGTTGATCGCAAATGGGTCACAGCCGAAATAGAGACGGCGACTATCATGGCAGTGGCTGGAGACTTGTCATTTGGAGCCCAGAACCACAACTTCCGCTCTCAAACATTCAAAATCCCAACGAATTGCGACCTTTGTGGCGAGCGAATCTGGGGCTTGTCTGCCAAGGGCTTCGATTGTCGGGATTGTGGCTACACTTGTCATAGCAAATGCCAAATGAAGGTGCCCCCGGAGTGTCCGGGCGAGCAGACCAAGGAGGAGAAGAAGAAACTCAAGGCTATGCGACAGGAACAGGCTGGCTCTCTGCCTACTGTTGATATCGACGCCGCACCTGCAGTGTCTCCTGCTGCCCCGTCCCTAACACGACAAAACACAATGACCTCTCTTAGCTCGGGATATGCGGCCAGTACAGCTCGGTCAGTATCGAACGTTGCTACTCAGCCTACACCAGAAACCCCGGCAGAGGAGGCTCCAACCCCTGTGGCAGAGACAAAGCCTGCTGCCGCAAGAAGGAATCGGGTGCTAGCGCCTCCCCCAACAGCATACATGACTGCACCGCCACCAAGCGACGTAGGCTCGAAGTCGAAAGAGCCACGCGGTAAGATGCTGTACGCATATCAGGCTACTAGTTCAGACGAGGTGACTGTGGAAGATGGTGATGACGTAGTCATCGTCGAACCAGATGGTACGTGCTCTCTTTCTCTCCAATGTACGCTCGATAGATATTGACAGTCTTCACAGACGGTTCTGGATGGATGCGTGTGCGCGCAGGAGGTAAAGAAGGCCTTGTTCCGGCAGCGTATGTCGAAGCCGCCCCAACACCATCGCCTGTGCCAGCCGCTACCCCTGGTCCTGACCGACCTGGCTCAACGTACTCCAATTCCTCGGCGTCACTGGCAGGCAGTGCCGCGACAAAGCGTGTCGGACCAGCCGTTGCGCCCAGACGAGGCGCCAAGAAGGTGCAATATGTCGAGGCATTGTACGAGTACGAAGCTCGCAGCGACATGGAGTGGAACATGGCCGAAGGCGACCGCTTCGTCTTGATCAACCGAGACAGCGGTGATGGGTGGGCCGACGTCGAACGAGGTGGCGTTACCAAGAGCGTTCCGGCAAACTACATCCAGGAGGTGTAGACTGGAACGTCCGGTTTGTACAGGTCTGTACACATTAGCTATCGGACATTTTGCACAGAGGCCGAATCTCGATTTGCGAGATATATCAAGATCTAGCTTGTTGGTTACTGTTCTTTCCTGTATAGTCGACGCCGTTAGTGCGGTTGCCATTTTGCATGAGCAAGGAGAATTAGGGATCGTCCCTGGCATTCATTCGCGATTTTGGATAGAGCATAGGACACGTTGTTTCCTAGAGTCTCCCCCCTTTTCAGAGTCGAACTGAGGATGTAGGCGGCGAAAACGATTTCAAGGCAAAATGACCCTTGATGTAGTGTTCACACTTTAAAGACTCTAGACTTTACCCCAAAGCCTCACCAATCCGGTGCGATCCAATAATGTCTCCACGCACCGTTGCCATTATCTGCATCTCTGAATTTATCAATTCCTCCCTCCACACCATTTTCACCCACTGTCCATACACCACTTTCAATCAGCTCTGTCCATCGTTCAAACAGCCTCTCCAGCCTCTGCGATCGACGTTCGCCTCCAAACGGATGAAACCAGCCATGTTGAAAGAGTTCCGTGAATGAGCCCGATTCCACTAATCTCCCATCACTCATCCTGGCCCCTTCATTGTCTCGGGAATCGGGTCGCAGTGCAAATGGAAGAAGGAGGCGAAAACCTGCCTCCTCCGTATCATGATAATTTCGAAGTAGAGGCTCACTGTAGAGTCCAGTAGGTATAGGATCGCCTTCGTTCAGGGTTACATTCTCACTTTCTTGGGAGAACAAATGCTTCATTTCCAAGTTGAGATTCACGGTCCGGTCGGGGGCAAGAAATAGTAGGACTGCTGGAACACAGTCCTCTTCGTAGGGAAGTATGGTAAATCTCTGCAGCCTCGCAAACTCCTCCTTATCATGTGGGACCTGTAGGCCAGGCGCGATAAACTTGAAACGCGGGGTCTTAACACTGGTCAAGAATTTGCGAATAAAGCAGTCCTTCGGCACGGAAGCCGCATCAAGGTCTGAGTCGGTAAAGAGCGGTGCAGAGATAGGAAAAAGTGAATCAGAAGACATCCGAGACTCGACTGTAGCTGAGTAGTGCTCCATAGCAGCCACGGTGCTATCAATTTGGGCATTGCAATAGGGAAGCCACGACCATAGGCCAATCTGCGACCTTGAGGTCGAATTGCACTCAGGCAGCCCAGGATCAACCTTGCCCAGACGAATCATATAGATCCAGTGAGTGAGAATAGTCTCCAGGGGGAACCACATCTCTTCGTGCTCATCGACAGGCTCCACACTTTCCGAATTCTCCAAAGTCATCGGGAACGAGGCCCGATTAAGCTGCTGATCGTAAACAACGCCGAGACAATGCGAGCCCAGTTCTGGAACAGTATCGTAAATCACCACAAATCGCTCTTTCCCTTCATCCTCGAGCTCGTTTTCTTCACAGGGGAATGATTCATCGCAGAGTCTCATCTCAAGACCGTTAACCCAGTAGAAGAATGACGGCTCAGGATCATAGATTGAATCCAGGAAAGAGCTCAGGGGCGAATCCAGACGGGCACGTATAGCGTCTATGTCTGCGGCTGGTTGTCTGAAAAACCACCGTTCTCTGCCTAGCGCATCCAGGTCAGGTGTGTCTCTTCCATGGCGGGCCATCCAGCCATATGCGACCAGGTAATTGTGTAATCTGGCGCAACGCTCATAGTCGAGAGTGTCATCATCACGCGCTGGATTCTCGTCTGAAACCAGAGCGTCCTCAATATCGAGGATTCGTTCTGGAGTGATGCTCATGGCGATGTAGACCTGAACGTTCCAAGTTCCAAGATTGAACTAATCAGCACTGGGCAGCAAGATGGCACCCAGCGCTATACCCTATTGGACCATCACATGATTTTTTGATGTAGGTAAAGGTAGACAATGCCTGGGCAAGTGTGGTAGGTCCTGATTACAATGAAAGATATACCTATAAACATAGGTCGTAGATGACCATGGATCCATTCCATCCATCAGCACCGAAGCCCCCACGACATGTCCGACCTACCTGGTACATAGGTCCTGGTTGCTCCCGCCAAGATGGATGGAACCTTAGGTTCTTTCAGGCTTCCAAGCCAGGAAGCTTCCAACTTCGGGTGATAACCTCCAACCTCGTGCCTTTCAAGGTTCTAACATCAGGTCCATAGAATCGGTTGCAATCCACCTCACAGCCTGGTACTGTCTGCTTCTGCTTTGAGTTTCTACCGCTATGATTCCAAGGCCACACCTGGGCAGGTCGTACTATCCCGTCTTTGTTTTGATATCATGGTCTAATCCATGACACTGCACTCTATGTCCATACCTCAGATGCAGGTATCCATGCAAATACTCCGACACGGAGATGAGCGCTAATGCAGCAGTTCAATAACAGTCCAGGTAATCGTCGTCAAGACTTCACCCCCCACCTTCTCCATCACCCTCCGACTCGCCTTATTATAGCCAGCGACATCAGCATGCGCCCAAGCCCCAACACGCTCCCGAGCCTCCACATCCTCAACCCCAATACTCCCAGCCCCAAAGATCCCATCATCCCTCATCCCCCTCCGCATAACAGCCTTAGACAACGAAATCGCCAACCCGCGCCCCCGATGCTCCGGCTCAACATGCAAAGTCGACAACGTCCCATCCACACCTAAGAACCCCCACGCAACAGGGTCATCACTACCATCACAATAAACCGCCATCCCCGGCAAGACAGACAGCTGCTCCCTCGGTCGGGGAATATGCGTGCGACTCTGCACGAGATCCAGATGCTCACTCAGAACACCCTCTTTTCCCTCCCGATTCTGGAAGCTGTATCCACCTGGAAGTGACATGTCATTCTCCGGATGATCTGCAGAAATTCCAGATTCTTCCTCGGGCTCGAAAGTGGATCTGCGGAAAAAGTACTTGTAGTATGGTATCTCATCGAATCGATGAACCCGGATATTATCCAGCGGGTTGGAGGCGTCGTACGCCTGAGATCGCTGCAAAAGCGAAAAAAGACCTGTATGAAGACCGCCGATGAGGAAAGCCTGTGGGTCCGGCGCGGGAATCAGGGGGACGCCGGTTGTGGCGGGGGTCGAGAGGGGGGCTTGTTCAGCCAAGAAGAACAGGTAGGGCGGTAGAAGTACCGTCTTGACATACGACAGCAGAGCCAATAGTTGCGCGCGGACCAGGTCCAGGACTGGCTGGCTGGCTGACAGGCTGGCTACGGGGAATTGCGTTGTGTTTTGCAGGTGGACATTTCGATCACTGGGTTCGGGGACGATGTTATTGGATGCGGATGTCGACTCCGAGTCCACAGTTGATATATCCGGCGCGGCGGAATTAGCGTCTGCACTATCGTTGACAGTGTCGATCTTCTGGATTGACGTGTGCTCCGCTTCGAGGCTGGAGAATATGACGATCTGTGTTTCGCGGCCGCGGAAAAGATCGACCCGTGCGGCCAGCCACGGCGTCGAGGGGTCAGGGGTTACGCCGGCTGGGAAAGTTGCTAGGATTTGCGCTGTTCTGGAGGGGTGTGCAATGCCATGTTGGATGCGACGGAGGAGAGTCGCGGAATACGGTAATTGAGATATGAGAAGTGGGAGGATTGTGGCTGGTTCATGTGTATAGATGCATATCTCCGATGACATGGTGACGGTGTTGATTTTGCCGCTGATTTACCCGGGTACCTGGATTCGACGCGTTGGCTTTTTTTGGGGCGGGGGAGGGCGCATGTGAGGTCGGGAACGGGTCACAATCTTGAAGGGTGGCTAACCAATAGTCTATTTATTTCCAAGCTTATGAAGTGACAGGTTGGCCGGGCTGTGAGTCAGACAGTCAGACTGTTAGAAGGAATTGCTGCATTCCCGCTGTCTGGCTAGCTTGATCTGGTTAGTTGTGGGTTTATCCATAGGGTATGGCACAAAATGTTCACACCTGATACTCGACCACTCTATTCATCGCGATATTGAACACAACTTAACAAGGTACTTCGTAGGTTAATTTCAAGGTCGCTAAAAGTATTTGTCATGTCCCAGGTGGTCGGTGCATGTGGCGGTGCGACGCTATCGATTCTCGGGCCTGTCGATCTCTGTCAACTTTGCTTCGGCCCAATTCTGGCCCAATTTCAAGGTCTGAAGGTCAAATGCCAAATGAATTGGGGATACTGAACTCCTATCCCGACAGCTGAGCCAGGGCCCAGAGCTAATAGTACTCAATTGAAGGGGCTTGTAGATAATGCCCACAACACCGTAGAGATGGTGTAGTCGTAGACTCGTAGTCGTAGAGAATCATACAACATGCTGCGTAGAACCATGGGCCAGGTCCACTGAGAAACGTTCCACGCGTTTAACCTTTGACATGGGGGATGGCATCTCGTGATTAGTCCGGGAAATGTTTTCCTACAGGCTACGGCAGATCAAAGAAGCTTCAACCGCGGATCCCGTCAAAAGCTTTGATTAATAATCTTTAAACTCCATTTTCAGAATCACTAGATCGAGGGTCTGGCCCTCGTCACAAGACTCACAAGTCACAACCACTCCTGAGTAGCTATTTTTCCCCAAAAGAGAAACAAAAGAGATAAAAAAATTCGTGTCTCATCACTGCCGCATCCTACCAGGGACTGCGCGCACCAACCATCCAATCCTCCATCGCCAACCATTCACTCCATCGCGCCTCAGCCACTCGAATCTCATCTTCAGTAGGATCACGTAGAGGCCTCAAGAATGGAGTCTGCTCATCCGGTGAGATATCATAGGCAGCCTTTGTGGACGCCCACCCACTACTCTTAGCTGTGAACAGATAGTTGGCCCGTTCCTGCTTGTAGATACAGCCCACACCGGCCTCCCAATCGCCGCCAAAGAAGCCCTGCATCACAGCCGGGGAGTCCTGTGCCGTGACGATGAGCCGTCGGATGTAAGGTCGCAGCGAAATGAAAGACTGCGGCCCCTGTGCGCTGGACTCCAAAGGTCGCTGGCATGGTAGTCGGATATTAATGAATGCGGCAATGGACTGCACAGAAGGAGTGTGCTGGCTGAAATCGACAAAGTGCTGGACACAATTCTTATAGTGCGGGAACCAGCCTGTGGGGTCCACACGACCGAACTCGGATTCACTGAGTACGGATTGGACTTCTGGATTGTTCATGCCCTCATGCGAGCGCGTGCGCCTGTCCGAGATGCGTTCAGCGTCTCGTTCGAGAGAATCTGAAAGGAGAAGAAAATGGAACGTCTCAGATCATTGTGCTTATGAGTATAGGTACAAGGAAATCAAGTCAAACTCACTCTGAGCGGGATGTTCGCGAGAACAATGATCGCGTAAGTCCATATGCTGAGAGTTTTCCCAGCACTCTCTTCCGGAACCCTGCATGCTCAGTGACATGTTCGACATTCGACATGTGGTTGATGGTTGTTGTAGAACGAGGATAAACTTGGAGGAAGCTTGGGAGTGAATTTAGACTTGAGTTGGAATGATCTGTGAATCTGGGGGAGGCCAATGCCTTATAGCTTTGTACCTCCCCAAGATGGACGGGGAAGACCGAGCCATCAAGGGTTTATTATTTTTTTCCCAAAAATGATCATGAAAATCAATGAAGATCAAGGGACGGACTAGTTCGGCTTTCGAGAGGGTAAGGCAGGGTGGATCTGGGAAGCTATCGAGTGAGCTTGAGCCACAGCTGTGGCTCCTAACCATGGTTAGCCACTCGTTAGCCACTCATTAGCCACGGTGAGCCACGGTAAGACCGAGACAGTGGCTCGTGCGCTTATCCCCAAGTAGCAAGGAGAGTGTGGCTGTGATGCCTACAATGGAATTGTCCGCTAGTCCTGATAGAGCAAGCCCCATTGTCGATCTAGATCGCTTTAGTCTGTCAATAGTTCAATAGTGCAGGATTAGTCTCGCTTACTATCTTCTCCTAGATTAGTTTCTTTCATGATTTGGAAGGCTTTTCAGGGTTTATCTGCTAGCGGGAGATCAGAGTCCGATCAGAGATCTGTATACTACTCGGTACATTTTAGTACCCCCCAATATCGCTAGTTTCTTTGACCTGTGCGACATTGTCTGACACCTTGGGTTAAATCCGGAGGTCCACTTCTTCCCCAATTCAACGTCATTGATTCCTTCTTGCCAAAGTTAGGGGCATCCGGATGTGTTCGGTGGGTGGATCTCATATCACATCATGTTGGTGGTGAGTGGAGATCTTCGGCCACACTTGTTCCTTCCCTGCTCCTCCCTGTAGAATCTTCCACAGAGTGGGAAATCAAAAACGTGGAAATGCCATGCAAGGGGGAAAAAGTAGAACGAGATGGCCACAATACGTGGTGCCTGCAGGGATTATCCTACTACACGATATACCCATGCTGTCATGCACATAAACTGGTTATGTATTCTATCTTCTAAATGACCAAAGTAAACCTCGTATTTAGAGTCTTGCCCACATCGGGCACTCCGACAGATCGGTTAGATCGACCTTGACGCTCAGATACCCATCGCAAATCTACTCCAATGACAAGTCATCCTTGGCGCGCATGGATACCCGAGTTCCTGGATGTAGCCAGATCTGACCATCGATCCGATGGAACGCAAGCCACTAAGAACCGACTAGATGATCATCTTGACGTCTGATCTCCCCCGCTTCCAAATCACTGTGGCTCATTTCACTCCAGTCTTCTAGGCTGAGCATTCATTTAAACGCAGCTTGGCTCGCTTCCTTTAAGACCTGCATCTCAACATTTAACTGCATACTTTCCAGTATCTTCCTCGGTCTTTCCCTCGACCAAGTCCTCGTCACCTTGCATCCGATTGTCCAACTTACTGTGCGATATTCCCGAGATCCTCCAGCCACTCCACTCTCCCTTTACCATGAGTTACAAAACCAACTATGAGCTCTATGTAAGTAGAATCCTTCGCGTTCGCCACATGATGGATCTAACTTTATTCCAGTCTCGGGGCAGCATCGACAGTAGACGGTCACCTCCACCAGATGAGCTGCTCTCACCGCTGGCATCGCTCTACCCACACGTCGCCGCCCTGCAGCCCCAATACAATCCACACAGCTGTACTTTCACGGGCTACCAAGACACGAGCTACTGGGCGGCGGCGTACACGACACAGCCTCTCGAGGAGCCCTTTGTGGCTACACGGCGCATCAGTGGTAAAGTCAATCTCGCTTTTGTTCTTCGGTCGCATACTAACGTCATTCCAGATGTCCGACCATGCCGATTTGTGTCTAAACTACGTCGACTCCTCAGTCGAGACGATCTGAAATATCGTCGAGGATCTCGTGCGACTGCATGAACTGCCACTTTTTCTTGCTTTTCGCGATCAGTCGCAACGCACCACTCAACGATTTTCTATTTACCTCTACCAAGAGGCTATTTCTTCTATTTTCGATCATTCAATTTCGCCAACAAGGCTTCAGAAACCGATCAAATATCCAGGTTTCAATTTCTTTTGTCGATGGCTTTCGGGCGCAGCGTTTAAGGTTTGGGGACAAGCGACAGCGTGGAGTTATTTTGGGCATTGACTTCGGCATTTGCACTTCAATTCTTGTTTAATTTTCATTCGCACATATTCTATGTCAATCATGTACAAGACAGATCACTACATATCAATGAACAAACGAGGGCTACATAATAATCACATCTTCTTTTCTCACCTCTATGTGCATTCTCCCAAGAACACCCGTTCCTTTCCCCCGTCGATCTCGGACATCCGGAGCGTTGAAGCGGGTTCTCCGGTAGAGAGATTTCAAATCGCTCTACAGACACCGACAATTCCCCACCATACCCCCACCATCGAGGAAATGCCATAGCGAATCACGATTCACGGCAATGCATCTTACCCACTTCAACAGAGCACTTTGGCAAAGCCGCACGTTGAAAAAGGCAACAAAAATGACGACATGGTCACACGATATAATTACTTTTTCTACCACTGCCGCATGATTCAAATCCCAATCCCACGGTAGCAGTTATTTACCCCTGCAGTTCCAGGGGAAAGCAGCCCAATCCCCGCCCCCAACCAACGTTGTGTAGGATCGGATCGCCTAGCGCGCTAACTAGCCAGTTAACCCTCATGTCTTGCATAGTTAGCTCGCATTTGTAGATCATCTGGCTTCAACATCCGGCGAGCAGTGATCAATAAGCTTCAGTGCCGGCGCTGGATTATCACACCGATTGCGCTTTGAATTTGTTATAAGAGAAGCTTCAAAAGTTGGAGTGTTACTCAATGGCTCCAGCTTGAATCAGGCACGAGACGCGTTCCTGCAGCACTATGTGATACATACTTTCTGGGGGGTCACACAAACCTATATCGCACGTTACTATAGGTCGGGACTCGGGACCTGAACTCTCTTTTCCATATCTTATGCCTTGTACGATCCACTGCCACGTTAACAGCTTCATGGCATTCGGGTGTTTCAATCAAGGGCTCGATCGTCACGGTCAAGGGCCGAGCCGTGACGATCGAGCCCCATCTTCCTGCATCGGGATTTGAGATGGAGGTTGCATTGACTTTTCTATTGGTTATGTGGTGACATGATCATCAGGGTTGCGGGGGTTGTGCACTGTTGTAGATATGGTATTTGGCATCGCCTGGTTATTGCTTCTGTTCCTTGCCCAGGTGGTACTGTTGGCACTAGGGGGGACTATTGAGGTGTCTCTGTGTATGCGTCTTTTGTTTGCAAGGACATGGAAGAGGTTAGGAGGAATCCCGAAACATCCGATGGATAACCTACCGATATTGGAGGTAACTAAAGGACTTGTCGTAGTACCTACCTGAGATACTCGGCCCCGGTACCTGAATCATGCCCAGGCTATTGCCATTCCGGGCTTAGTGGGTGAATAGAACCCAGGTTCATTGCACGAGAGTTCCTGCATACCACAGCTCGTATTGAAGGTTCCATGGACCATGGATGGACATAAGATTCAGGAACGATTCTTATTGCCTGTGGCTGGATAACCTGGGAACCTTGGCATACTGTCTCGCTTATATGTCCCCTGCTATGGTAGAGCTGAACTGTGTGCATCTGATCTACGCCACATCTTCACTGGCGTATTGCAAGAGGCTCATTGGATTAACACAGTTTACCAATTCGAATGCCAGCTTGGAACGGAGACTGATACCTCAAAACCGACCCAGAGTGAGAGAAAGAGCAGTATACTCCAGCATTAACGTTGCCATGGTGCATTTCCTCAACCACATACACCAGTACGAATCGGTTACTCCCCAGTCCCCCCTAGTTCTTGATAGCTCATCCTGATCAGTGATCCCCCAATGACAAGCGAGAGTCATCGCCGATCTTTCACCGGTCCACTCTAACTAAGCAGATTTGCCGCCCCACAAGCTCTCTCCCCGCAAACACACTGCGCCACCGGACTTGGATTAGAACATATTTTCACACCTCACAAATGTCTCACAAATGTCGGCCGAGCATTCAACACCGACAGAGGAGTCCTTCGAGGCTCCCGAATCCCCAAGATACGAGTGCTCCATATGCTCCAAGCGCTACAAGCGACGCGAGCACCTATTCCGCCACACCAGTACCCATACATCACAGCGACCGTACCAATGCACCTCGTGCGACGGCGCCTTCCAGCGCGCAGACGTGCTAAAGCGCCATCTCCGCACCTGTGACGGCGGAGCTTCGAGAGCAAACACGCGTAGACGCGCCTGCGATCGCTGCGTCCGCCAGAAAAAAGCCTGCAGCTCGCATCAGCCGTGCCACAGCTGTGCGAAGCGTGGTGCACAATGCTGGTATTCCACGGAGACGGGGGGTTCATCGCGACAGACGCCGCAAAACCAAAAGCGAACACAGCAGGATCAACAAACTTCTGTCGAGACGGTCCCGAAACAAGAAGAGACGACTTGTACGCAGATGACTCCGACGCCGGCCACGACCACTGCGATGATGCCGTGGGGTCTCACCATGGAGGATTTGCAAAATTTCGGCACGAGTCCTGTAGACACCTTTTTTGACCCGGCGTCGATCCAATATCCCAGTGCCGGCTGGCCGGACTTCTCCGCGTTAGCTCCCGAGCCACCCGCGACTTTTGAGCCGCCGGTGGCTCATGACACACCGCGGAAATCGCTGCATTTTCTGGATAAATTTACTAGTCACACGGGGCTCGTGTCGAGTTTTGATTGTGGGACGCTGGAGCAGAGGGAACAGGTGGCTACCAGTCTGGATCGGCAGACATCGGCTCAGCTACAGCAGAGGATTATGGCAATGCCGACCCTAAGCATGGATATGCCGTCGCCTTTGTTGCTGGAAAGTATGAGTGATTCAAGTTCGACGAGTGATATCCCATTAGATTGGTTTAATGACCCACTTTCGTTGAAGACACATGAGATTTTGCTCTTGATTGAAGAAGTGGTTACGATCAAACCGCGCAACAGTGCCGTTACCTTGGACTGGTCATCAGCGCTGAAGGATTCGTGCCTGCAGTTCTTCTCTCCTTCGAACATAAGGAGGTTTCTGGCGTTATACTGGGCAATGTGGCATCCCAATGTCAACTTCATACATCGACCTACATTTGATTTGTTGGCAGCGAAACCCACGCTTCTAGCTGCAATGGCTTTGATTGGTGAGTAGTATTCAGTGCAAGAATTGGCCAATACTAATTGCTTTGTCAGGTGCCTGTGTTTCGCCGGATATGCCGGACAACGAGGATGCGCGAACCTGGTTCAACTGCGTGGAGGAGATGGTCTTTATTGACGATGATTTCAACAATGATTTGACATGCCAGTCCATGGGCAATATGGTGATCCAACGACGCAAGATCCAGGCTGTACAAGCTGCCTATATAGTCTGTCTTTACCAGAACTGGGAAGGTTCTGATGCGAGTAAGAGCCGCATTCGACGCTACCGCTTCGCCACTCTGGTATCTGTAAGGATACTCCCAGTCTACCTTTTGCTTTTTTGCAATTTGCTAATGTGAACAAGACGGCTCGTGATATTGGCATTACTGCAGCACAACACTTGAACTACGGCGCCCAGGGCAGACACGAATTTGAATGGAAGGAATATGCCGCCAGGGAGGAGCTGATTCGGTTAGCACGGCCATTTGCACCTAACGGAACAAGACTAACAGTCTCTAGTGTATTCACCTGGATCTTCCTACTCGACACAGCATTCGTAATCTTCAATAACCTCCCTCCACGAATGGTCATCAAAGAAATGCGAATGCACATGGCAACGCCAGAAAGCTGTTTTCAAGCAACCACAGCCGACGAATGCCACCAACAAATCCAACTCTTCCTTCCCGCACGAAGCATCTATTGGACGATCTCCTTCCGCGGCTCCTTCGAAGCAATCTGCAAAGACGAGCTCCCTGTCACAATTCGCCAACTCTTAGCCTCCCTAGGCCCCTCAAACCTCTTCGCCTTGACATCCGGTAAACCATGATCCACACCTAGCCCCTCACCCGAAACTTTCCTCTAACCATATCCCCAGCAATCCACTCCCAAATCTTCCAATTCCGCAGCGCAGTTGGCGGCTTCCAACTCCGCGCCCCAATCCGCAACGCCCTAACACACTGGCGCGACATCTGGCACACCTTCTCCTCAACCTTCCCACAGGGCATAACACCCCACACAACAATCGAAGACCCACACATCCAGCCCGAAGACCTCTGGCGCCGCATGGGCTTCTTCCGCTTTGCGCCAGAATACTGGCTCCTGGCGAACCTCATGGCTGATCGACTTGCTGCATCTCGGACAGAGACCGGACTCGGGCCGTTGGATGAGGGGCCATTGGATCCGATTCTTAATCAGTATGATCAGACCAGTATGCGCCAGATTAATGATCTGATTATGGGCTTCCAGACGTTCCAGATCTAGTCTCGGGGCGCTTTGTATAATTGATACACTATTACGAGGAATGAATATATGGCTTTTCGATTTGATTTGCTTTCTTCCCAACCTAGGTTAACGCCAGAGGTCCCGTGCTATTTTCAGAATGCAGATTGCGATCGCGGAGATGATGCTTATTTTCAGAAGGGGCCGGTATTGAGGTTTTGGGAAGCCGGGGTCACTGTCACTAGCGTTGTCAATTAGTCTCTTGACTACCCGAAGTGTACGGATGGAGTGAATTGGCTGCACACTTACGCGCCAAGGGATCCAGGAGGAAACCCAGCCTCGCGCTCTGACTCTCGTCTTAAGATTCCATCTTCTCGCCAGTCAATCGTTGATTCGCGTCCATGTTCCCGTCGTGCTTCAGCTCTCGGTGTGCCGGCTGTCGTACGGAGTACCGATTGGACATTCTGCCCGATAGCTTCGAGTCCGGGAATCTGCAACGACCGGACTCTGATAGGAACACATGTCGTCTGGAAGACGAAGAAGAAGATAGCCAGCGCGGTGTATGCCGGCCGGAAACGCATTGCGAGAATGATGATGTCAATATCGGGGACCACGAGTCCACGACTTCCAAATGCTTTTGCGCTGCGATGTCTGGGAGAATGGAGGGTTTTCAGGTTCAATAAAGGGGATAATGGATGATGCGACGAAAGATGCATTGACGTATAATATATACCGTGTTTAAGGTTGTTTATCCTTTAGGCTCTTCTTCTAACGCGATGCAGTGTGAATCGACCATAGATCTGGGCATGCGGATGATGCATCGATGATCATTGGTTGATCGGGGCCCACGTGTGTGGCTAAGGGACTTGGCGCGGAGTTAAGGCCGGGGTTGGGGATTTGCACCGTTAATCCGTTGATGCCGGAGTACTTAAGGGATAACATCGCGGACTTGTGCCGTGCATTGATTCTGAATTGAACGGGATCCTTCTATATTTCCGATACAGCTCACTGCAGTCTACGTGCGATAATTGCGTATGTGATTCATGAAGAGGCGCAGTGGCCAAGGATAAGGTACAGTAAGTAGTTGCCTGGTCGGGAGTCGCCGAGTCGGGGCTCTGCCACTCTGGTGGCCCGTTGCCTATTCCCGTTGCCTATTGAGAAGCATCCTCCTACTGTCCCTGAGATCACTCCTGCTGGATAGCAGAGTATTACTGTACACCTAATGATCTTACTAACATAAGGTAGCTACTGCCCGGATGTATATCATAAACCCCGGCCAAGACAACCTACCTAAGATCGGAGAAATTGATCGACAACCTCGGAACGAGTCTAGATTCAAGATAGAGTTACGGAGAAGGCATCAGGATTCATACCACAAATTTATGTAGGTGGCTGACAGGCCAAGCAATCTGGGTACAGTGTATGAATCACATCACCGATATAAAAACACCTTGATTGTTAATCGCATCTCCAGATGCGCCTCTCTTGGCAGATAGCAAGACTGGTCGCCAAGCCTTGGTGAGGTAGATTCATAAGCCGCATACGTACTTGGACAAGCTCGGAGAACTAATCATAGATTTGTGTTTGATGCTCGTGGGTAGGTTGCCCTCATCTTTGCGCCTCGGGTGTTGGGGTAAGAAGCATGCCCGGTATCGCTTCTCTCGGTTAGGCTGTTCATCACATCTGTGCCAGACATGTTTTAACGTGAGCCATTCTCCTTCAGAGGAACACACAGACGCAGTGACACAAGTTCACAACGCACATCTCCTGATCTGCCTCCCATTGTCCTCCCCTCCTATCCATTGTTTTCATGTATTCTTGAAAGTTGAAGTCATCTTTTTCCACTGTCTACTTCTACTTCGGTTGTTTACTTGCGTCATGATTAGAGACTACATCCATAGGCATACGTCTTCGAAAACCTTGGAATTCTTTTGGGCGGCGGCCGTAGTCATGAACGCCATAAAGGGTGGACAGAACTTCTTTTCTATACCTCATCTTCCATTCCTTCTGCTTTGATATCTTTGTCCATTCTATTGAAAATCCATACTACATTCCTAGTCTGTCCTATCACAGAGGTACATCCCACCACATCTTTCTTACCTTATATACTCACTTTGATAGGCTTTCTACACGCAGTAGGAACCAGGATCATGGGGTTCCTCCGCAAAAGGCCTGCGCCGCCAAGTCAGACTCAGACCACGGTCTTTTTCCGCGTCCGACTTGGCGATCCCTCTGTGACATACGGCCAACACGATGCCTATGTGAGATACTGCCAAAACGTCTACATCGATCGGTGTTCACTCACCAAGCTCTTTCTTGCTGAGCACGCACTACGTGAACTTACGCAGCGTGAGGAACGGCTACACCACAAGGTTATGGCCTTACAAAAGGCTGTGGCTATCGGATCTGATGTGAGGTCTGATGCAACCAATCTCGAGGACGCACAGACACAGCTTGAAACGGCACGAGCGCAATACCCTGGAAAGGCGCAAGCCCTTTTCCAAGCAGAGTACATGTTACCCTCAAGCGTACGACACGCCTATCACAGCTTAAGGCGTGATCCTGAATGGTTTATGCGCAAGGAAATGATTCAGGAGTGTTCCGATCGAGGCGGATGTTGTAGTCGGGAATGTGGGTGTTGCAGACAGAGGCATCTGTCTGAAAGGAAGACAGGTAGGGGCCATTGCACTGCAGAGTGCGGGTGCTGCATCGGCTTTCGAGGTTTCGAGCTCCCCGAGGAAGAGAAACAGGAGATGCGCAAAGGTTTCCAAGCTATGCTGGAAGATGAATCCAATGTGAACTATACTATCCATTTGGCCAATTGCTTCTTTCGCCTATTACCCTGAGCCCCCGGTGGCAGAGAACATTAAAAAGGTTCAGAAAGGATTCCACTCATGAGAAAGATTGAATATACCATAGTTACTGAGAAGCACTTGCTAAAAGAATGGATTGTTTTACTACTTTATACCTGTAGTTACTTGCCATTGGTGCGTTCTAGTTGCAAGCTGCAGACTATCTGCGCCTTTCTAACTGCAGCTGACTCAATAATCGGGTAGGCATACGTCCCGCATACGTCTACGAACCTTGATATTCTTTTTTGGCGGCGGCCGTAGTCATGAAACTCATAAAGGGAGAACAGAACTTCATTTCTATAGGTTTGCGCCTTGGGTGTTGGGGTACTTCGTAGTTTCCAAGCTTGGGGGTTCCAATGATGTACACGACTCCCGCGCGTCTCTTTAATTGACCTCATGAAAGGAACAAACAAGGGAAACAAAGAAAAAAACAGACAAACAAAGAAACAAAACTTCCAAAGAAAGAGAACCCCGTCCAGTCCATAACAACGCTGCACTCCCCACAGCAGTTGGCCTGCTTGTTCAAGTTCCCCCTCCCCCCCAGCCCCTCCACAGCCTTCAGAGCCTTGGTGATAGTAGGCAAGTCGGCCTTCTGGGCCCGGGTCTGCCTGATTAGACGCAGACCCCGTGGCCCGACAAACTCAACATCCCCGATCGGAGTGGCTTCCACATGGTGAAATGGGTAGGCGTCCTGCAGGGGCGCCTCCGAGGCGTCGCAGAGGATTGTCAAACGGGGACGCTGTCGGCCCCGCTGGGCGGCCGTACCGTTGCTGGCTAGAGAGAGGCTCTTGGTCAGTATGGGTATATCTTCCAAGACACACACTTCCCACAAGCTCTTCTCAAGTTACTCACCGTCGCGCCAGAAAAACCAGAGGCTCAGGATCTTGTTGGTCCAGCCCGCCCGCCCCGAACTCTTCTCGAACTCCTGCCTCCCCGCGAGGTACGCGGCGTTCAGCATTGCCTGCGTATCCTCCAATCTTGACCGTCGGGCACGGTGTCTACACGTATAAGTTTCTGCGTCCATACACCCAGTGCCGCCTTTGACCTCAACAGCAAAGCAAGGGAACACCAGGTGAGGCACCTTTGGAATGAGCGACGCGATGTCGCCGAGGTCGTAGAGCGCTGGTCCATAATCTTTGAGGCTCCGACGTAGACCAACAGAGACGTCCGGGAGGGGCATGTCCAAGATCGCGGAGCAGGCGACCAAGTCTCCTTCCTCAAGGTTGGCCAGCTCCCAGGGCACCATCGGATGAACTATGGGGGTAGATTCATCAGAGGGGGCACCACGACCGTTTGAATAGTTGCTTCATTTCCCGGGACGCGTAAAAATTCTTCAAACTCGTCGACAGTATCACTGTATCCCCATGGAGGCCTGTTGTGCCTTGACGTCTCTCGAGCGGGGTTTGGGGGTTTTTTTTTTGGCGGATTTGGATGAGTTACAGGCCTGAACATTACGGGACGTTTGTTTACTTATATACTTAGACGCGTGTTCAATCGGTCTTTCCGATCAAGGCTGTAACTTTGCTGGAGGTTAAAGTGAGTATGGCTTGGTTTGATCTCACTCTGGGTTCAAAGCAATAGATCCTTCGATCCCTGGTCGATTTATTTTGACAGGATTTGAATATATACAGAGCTAGTAGTTGTCGACTATTGAAAATTTCAGTTCCAATGGACGTGAATCCTCATGCAGGTTGAAAGATCAAGAACAGTACACTGGACCTGTTCTGATTATACCGTCGACTAGTGACGATGGAACCATGGACGAGTCTGAGAAATTGACGAGGTTGTAGATCCTGACCAGTCGCAATGAAGATATCTCCAGAGTTGATCTTTGCCGTTTTATGAATGTTGGCGGGTTGGTTGTTTGACAGTCGATACCTATATTTGGAGACGTCTCCAAGGCATGGTGATCTGGTTCACTTTGATCTGTGAAATGCCTGCAAGATCAAAGAAATCACGAGACCGCGTTCGATTGACTTTAATGTGAATAGTCTTTTTAGGGCCGTTGCTTCCTCTTTGAATGGTGGCTTCCTGCCAGCATGCTCCCTTCTATGCTTGGTCAAGTTTCGGACGCTAACATTCCAAGGATCGAAGGTTTTAATGGTTGGTTCAGACCCTAAATAGGCCTAGTCGCAGACTTTCTTCACAGTAGTATCTGTCTCAAGGTTCCTAAAGAGGGTTGGTAGCAAATGGCATTGTCCTTATGGGTGTGACGAATGACGTGACGGTTGTTGTGTCCTAGTCACAATGACGAGAGGTGAGTTGAAAAGTCTCTTGACGGACTCCTTTCTCGTCTTCTCTTCTTCTTTCCTCTTCATATTTGTTGTTCTAGTTTGAGTGCACTCTTTTCTTCAAAGAACTGGCATGTCGCTCTCGGTCCGAGATGTGATGGCGAAACCCCGATATGAACAACACAACAAACTCACCTCTCTGCAGTCAGTGCATGTTTGATGCCTGGTCTGTCTAGCTCGGCCAACTCCTCGGCGTCGTCGGTGGGCTGTTGGCACTGGCCCTGGTTTTGGCGACGAACCTTTGGGTATTTATGTATGTATTGTCTGATTGCTTTCTCGTGCAGTATCCACCGTTCTAACAGATATACGTGTAGACGCCGTGCCCGGCGCTCAAGATTTGAGGATCCACAGGCGATACTAAACGCCACGTACCCCGCGGAGAGGAAGGAATTCGTGAAGAGTTCGGGGCGGGCGGGCTGGACCAACAAGGTCCTGAGCCCCTGGTCACTGGTGTTTCTGGCGTGACGGTGAGTAGCTTGAGAAGAGCTTATGGGAAGTGTGTGTCTTGGAAGATATACCCATACTGACCAAGAGCGTCTCTCTAGCCAGCAATAATCCCGAAGAGCCCCCTAACCTCCCATCATTGACCATCCTCTGCGAGGGCGCAGTGGCGGAGGAGCCCCTCGGTGACGTCCCACACCGCCAGGTGTTCCGCAGCCCTGAACGGGAGCTGGTCTTCCTCGCGCCGCGTGGCCTGTGCCTGGCCCAGCGACCAAGGCACCAGCCGGACTCGGAGGTGCCAAAGTCTCCGAAGGGGGAAGAGGATGGATCGGGGTGAGAGGGCCAACTGCTGGGCGCTGCTGGGCCCCTGGGGAGACGGCTGTTTCTGTTGTGTGTTTCTTTGTTTCTTTCCTTGTGTATATACCTATACCTATAATATTCCACTGTGACTTGGCGGCTTCCCTTGTTGCGTGCCGCTCGGCGTTGTGACCGCCGAGGGCTGTTGTGTCACGTGCGGGATCCAGGGGTACTTACCCCTAGGTCATCTTAGACCTAGACATACAAGAATCTAGTTACAAGATTTTTGCCGGGCCTGCGGCCCGGGGAGATTTGAATAGGCGAAGTAACACTGTAACAGGTGAAGGGTGTACCTGTAAGTGTTGTCTATACAAAAAAGTGAACAGGACAGGTGTAGAGTACCGTAGGTCGTAGGTAAGATGGAAAGATCCATACCAACCTACAAAAATATTCTGTCCAGTTGACAGGACCTACGCACTTGAAGGTGCCAAGTTCCAATGACGTGTTTCGCGAGGTTTCCGTCAACTGGCGAGTCTCCAGCCAACTGGCAAGGCTAGGTTTTCGTACGACTTACCCCAGTAATCCCACAGCGCCAGCATGTATGTACAGCGAGGCTGCGAGCTAAATCGAGTTAATGAGAGCATCATCATCATCATGTCTCTCATCGACCACGAACTCAGGGGTAGGTAGATATTGCGGTCAATAACATTAAAAACATTAAAGCATAAATATTTGTTAACATATTTAATAGCTTTGATCAAGCTACACACCTCCAGATTGATGTGAGCCTTGAACATCCACGCCAGGTAAGGGGGATAGGATACAACGTATTCATTACCAATGTGATGGGCGGACCAACAGACGGAAGCAGCGCGCGACAGGAAGATATTGATCGAGAGGCACCAACGTGCGAATGAAGGCGGGACTATGATCATGTAGGCAATGAACACAGAGGGAGTTACGGGCAGAGAAAGAGACAGAAGCAGCGCGCGGCAGAAGCCACAGTCGAGAAGCATCGCCGTGCGAATGAAGCCGACTGTAACACCGTGTACGCGATGAACAGAATGAGCCACAGGCAGAGGCAGGTATCGAAGCAGCGCGCAGATTGTCATGTAGGCAATGAACACAGAGGGAATTACGACCAGGCGAAGACACGGAAGCAGCGCGGCAGAAATCCACTGGCGGATAAGCAGCACAGTGCGAATGAAGCTGGCACTATGAAGCCGAAGCGGACACTAACATCATGTAGTCAACGAAGACGGAGGGAGTTACAGCCGGGGGAAGAGACAACAGCGGCGCGCGGCAGGGAGGAACGGGTCGAGAAGCATCAGCGTGAGAATGAAGCCGACAGCATCATCATGTAGTCAATGAGCACGGAGGGAGTTACAGGCAGAGGAAGAGACGAAGACAGCCTGCGGCAGGAAGCGATGTGAATGAAGCTGACAGTATGACAGATGGAAGCAGCGCGCGACTTGTCATGTACGCAATGGACACAGACGGTGTCATGTTACATGTACTTGTCCGCTTAGGCGATGGCCCTCCCTAAAATGGATCCAAATACGTTGGGCTGTGGGCATAAGATTGCCTTACACTCTTCACTCGCCGGAGTCCGTAGTAAACAAAGCCCAGCCAGTGATATGCCCGGGAAATAAGAAGTGGGCCGCGTATAACCCGATAGGCTATAGCCCTAAGCCGTCTTCGGCATCTACGCACGACGAGTGTTCGGCTATTAACTGAATGATCGTGTGTCTGTCGCGTGACAAGATAGTTCCAATAGCTCCTGGGCGTTGCTTAAAGTCAGGTACGATTTCTCAATTTCAGGCGCACGTACGGATTAGAATGTGGAATCCAAAGATGGGCTCCTGGCTTGCAGCTTGGCAAGTTTAATTCGAATTCTCATCCCACCTACAGTCTAAACATTCGGCTCCGTTATTCTCTGATAGTAGCAGAGTCTGCTGTACTTAAGGATACCCACGAGATCTTTCAACACTGCCTCACCGGAATCTATCTTGGATATTCCACATGTGACGATATCCGGAAGGACGAGTGAAGAAACACAACGATCTCCACAAAAGCAATTTCCTCCAGCCTCGCAATAACATGCACTCTATCCCACATGGAACCGAGACCCGCAGCTTGGCTCCCATTCCTTTTCCCCGTTGAGTATAATGCTCCGTTCATTCTCGACGGCAGTTCGCAGGCAATTTCGGGTGTCTTCTTCCGGGCGTCGGCCAAAGCACTCCAAGCCCTAAAGAACCCGCATGAACAAGAGCTGATTTGCCTGCCGTGCCCATAAACTCAATATGCAGTCAAATAAATCGTGTTCCCCACATAGCACTAAACATGCTTACTAGATAGCGTCGAAAGTGGGCAAATATGGCGACTGCTCTCGCACAATGAGAAATGCGCTCTGGGGCTCCGCTCTCGGTTAGGACCTGGTCGGGATTGCTGGCAGACTTTGGTAGAGTCCAAACAGACAAGCAGCCGAAACTAGGGGCATGCCGTGCCCATGGATTGGGACAATGGGACTAGAGTAGCGCGCTGGATCCATGGCAATGAGAACATTCCATTCGATCCTCGCTTCCCCGTAGCCACTCTCGGCGCCTTCATTCAGTGTCCCGGTGGTAATGGCAGATCGCTCATAGGACATAGGTACACATCTGGTTGTCATAATGCAATCCGGGCATAAGGTTGCCCCCACATCGCCTCCGCTGCCCACCTCCGCCGCCCACCTCCGCGTCCGCCAATGTATACGCCCACACCGGCCTCCGCGATCGACATATATTCTGGGGTTAACCCATGGCCAGCTATATGATTCCGCATCGCAGAAGAAATTAGGTCTCTCCTAGGCGCTAGGATTTTGAAACCGTGCAATTTTCTTTCCTAGGAGGTTCGACACATACATTCGTCAGTATGTTGCCAATAACACCCATCCTTGGGGCTGTTATGGCCTTCTTGGTGCTTTCGCGCGTCTTGAGAATCGGACGGAGGCCAAAGAACTATCCTCCGGGACCCCCGACACTGCCTATCTTGGGTAATATCCATCAGGTATGGGATGACTTGCCCTATGATAAGAGATTGAAGGGAGCTTGACCTAACCCGCTGCTACTAGATGCCCGCTGAGAATGCTCACCTTCAATTCGAGAAATGGGCTCGGGAATACGGCCCAATCTACAGTCTGATGCTCGGCACAAAGTGCTTGATTGTTCTGTCTAGCGATGAAGCGGTTAAGGAACTTCTCGACAAGAGAAGTGGTATCTACTCCCACCGGCCTGAGATGTACATCGGCCAGGAGCTGTGCAGTGGTGGTCTTAGACTGTTGATGATGGGCTACGGACCAACATGGCGCGGATTCCGCAAGATGGTCCACGGTTTGCTGAATGTCACTACATCCAAAAAATACCTGCCCTACCAGATGTTGGAGAACCGACAGATGCTGTACCAGTTCCTCACTGAGCCCGAGGGCTTCTTGAAGCACATTCGTCGCTACTCCAATGCCCTCACAACCACAATGGTCTTCGGATGGCGCACACCTACCTACGAAGATCCGAAGATGATGCAACTCTTCGACGGCTTCTCTGAATTCGCAGACCTGAACCAGACCGGAATGGCTGCCCTAATTGACTTCTTCCCCGTCCTCCGCTTCCTTCCCGATTTCCTCCTCCCCGCTCAACGGAAGGCCAAGGATCTCCACAAGGCCGAAAAGGCACTCTACATGAACCACTGGCTGCGCGCCAAGGAAGAATGCGAGGCAAAGACCATCAAGCCCTGCTTCTCCGCCGGCATGTACAAGGCCCAAAAGGCCGAAGGTTTCTCCGACGACCAAGCCTCCTACATTACCGGAACTCTCCTGGAGGCCGGCTCAGATACCACCTCCAGCACTCTCTATGCCTTCGTGCAAGCCATGCTCCTCTACCCCGAGATTCAGCGCAAAGCCCAAGAAGAGATCGAGCGCGTCGTCGGCTCAGCCCGTCTCCCCGACATGGACGATCTCGCCGACCTCCAGTACGTCCGCGCCTGCATGAAAGAAACCGCCCGCTGGATGCCGACCACCATCCTCGGCGCCGTGCCTCACGCCGTGACCCAAGACGACGAGTACAAGGGCTACCTCATCCCCAAGGGCGCCGGTGTCATGAACAACGTCTGGGGTATCCACATGGACCCCGCTCGCCACCCCAGCCCCCGCACATTCAACCCTGACCGGTACAAGGATGACACTCAGAGCTTCGGCGACGCAGCGGCCAACCCGGATGCCTCGAAGCGTGATGTGTTCACGTTCGGCGCTGGCCGACGCATTTGTCCCGGTATCCACGTTGCCGAGCGCAGTCTGTTCCTGGGCATGTCGCGCATTCTGTGGGCTTTCAATATTGAGCCTACCAAGGATGCCGCGGGTAAGCCTATCTTGCCTGATGCCGATCGCTTGACTCAGGGCTTTGTGTGTATGCCTGAGGAGTTCGAGGCTAAGATCACGCCGCGGTCCAAGGAGCGCGCGGAGATGGTTACCAGGGAGTGGAGGCAAGCGGAGCAGGAGTGCTTGGATCCTGAGACCAGACAGTGGGTGCAGTTCCCTGCGGGCATGTAAAATGATGAATGAGACGATTTTTCTTAGGTATGGTGCTTGGGTTCGGTGAGGAGACTTTTGTACATTAGATAGCCGGTTGCATTTTGGTGGATTTACCAAGTGATATCAATTCAGTGAAATATTTATGATTGAAGCACTCCTGTTGTAAGATCTGAGGTCAATATGCCTGTCAGCAGCCTGTGGCTGTGTTCATAGTATAGAGTCATTTTCATCATTGCAGAGCCACAGAAGTTGTTAGCCCTGATCGCTTCCATTGAGAAGGAGAACGATAACCCACTATACCACAGGACAGGAGGTAGAAATTAGAATATCCGAGTGTCGCCCGAGTGTGGATATTAAGAGAAGTGAGTCATAGTAAAACCCCAGATAATACCTAATCGGGCTTAGCGTATGAGTGGCTGCCGATGATTCCTCAAGCAGGGGCACAACTTCAACTCCCAATCTCCCAACTACCTCTCATTATCCAAGCCATTGAATAATCTCCCAGCATCCAAAATGAGTAACCCCAAAGGCGTCGCCGAGAACATGCTCTGGGGAGGTCGATTCACCCGTAAGACCCTTATCTCCCCATGAATCCCAACAGAACCCACTGACTCACCAAAAAAAAACAACAGAGGGCCTTGACCCCCTAATGGTGCAATACAACACATCACTCCCCTACGACCGTGTCTTCTGGAAACAAGACATCGCCGGCTCAATTGCCTTCGCCCGTGCCAACACCAACTCCGGCCTCCTAACCAAGCAAGAATTCGCCGAGATCGAGCGCGGCTTCAAGCAAATCGCCCAAGAATGGGAAACCAACACCTTCGTCGCCAAAGAAAACGACGAAGACATCCACACCGCCAACGAGCGCCGTCTCGGCGAGATAATCGGCAAGGAAATCGGCGGCAAACTGCACACCGGCCGCTCGCGAAACGAGCAGATCGCCACGGACATGCGTCTCTGGCTCCGCGATGAGCTCCGTCTCATCGAGAACCACCTGACCGATCTGATTAAGGTCTCCATTGCCCGCGCGGAGAATGATATCGCTTACCTCATGCCCGGTTACACGCACTTGCAGAAGGCCCAGCCGGTTCGCTGGTCACACTGGATTCTCTCGCATGCTACTGCGTTTGCTAGTGAGCTTGAGCGTCTGCGTGAAGTTATTCGTCGTGTTAACAAGAGTCCGTTGGGTACCGGTGCGCTGGCGGGTAACTGCTTCAATATTGATCGCGAGGCTATGGCTAAGGAGCTTGGCTTCGAGGGTTTGCTGTATAACTCCATGAACGCTGTAGCGGATCGTGATTTTGCTATGGAGACTATGCAGTGGGGTAGCTCGTTTATGTTGAAGATTTCTCGCTGGGCTGAGGATCTGATCATTTACAGTAGTTTGGAGTTTGGGTTTGTCCGTTTGTCGGATGCTTATTCTACTGGATCGTCTCTTATGCCTCAGAAGAAGAACGCAGGTTAGTATCACTTCCATCTTTGTGGACTGGAACTGGCAAGAGCGAAAGAAATACTGACCCAAATCAGACAGCCTGGAGCTGCTCCGCGGCAAGGCCGGTCGTGCCTTCGGCCAAATGGCCGGCTTGATGTGCACTATCAAGGGCCTACCCACTACATACAACAAGGACCTGCAGGAGAGTGTCGAGCCCATGCTCGACCACATCAAGACTGTCAGTGACAGCATCCAGATCGCCACCGGTGTTCTCTCCACCCTCACCGTGATCCCGGAGAAGATGATTGCCGCCCTGGCGCCCGAGATGCTGGCTACCGAGATTGCCGACTACCTCGTCCGCAAGGGCGTTCCCTTCCGCGAGGGACACCACATCTCCGGTCGTGTCGTTGCTCTCGCTGAGAACACCAATGTGCCTATGGACACACTGTCTTTGCAGCAACTGCAGGAGGTGGACTCGCGCTTCGACGCTGATGTCCAGGCTTGTCTTGATTATGAGCGTGCTGTTGAGCTCAAGGATGCTATTGGCGGAACTAGCAAGCGTGCTGTTTTGGAGCAGACTGGTGTGTTGAAGAAGTTGCTATAGACTGCTTTTTTTCTCTTTGGGTACGATAATATGATAGGGAAGAAATGGTAGGATTTCGGTTAGACAAAAATGAATATATGAATTGACTTATCATCGGATGAACATGGAGAAAACTGGAGGGAATATCATACACCGTATCAACATAAAGAAGAAACAACAGAAAAGAGAAAGAGAATCGATCCCTAACTCGACGCATCACCGAAACCAATTCTCAACCACCCCTCATACTCATCCCCATCCTCCCAGACGGAGACTTAAGATCCCCCGACCCCCCTTCTTCAGCCTCATAAGCTGGCGGCACATCCCCCTCCCCCTCCACAGCAACAATCTCATCCTGCAAACTCCTCTCTACCGGCCTCCTCCGAACTCTAGACACACTCTCTTCACCAGCAGAACCACCAGAATTCTGCCCACCCATCGCAATCCCGAGCCCATCCCGCTCAGGCCTCTCAGCATACTGCATGAAACTCATAACATGCTCAGGACCACGCTCTCTACCCCCCGCCTCCCTCTCCTCCCTCACCCGCTCCCCAATTTCAAGCCCAGTAGAATACCGATCCAGATTTGCGCCCAGTACGACGCCCTCGGCCGTCACAACGCGTCCACTCTGGCTGTTTGGCTGGGTGCTATCGCTCTGGCTGCGGCTGTGGGCTGTGCTGGTACTGTTCCCTATACTCAGGGGAGGGCTTTGGCTTGTTTGGCTGTTAGGCGTTAGGGCGGGCGATTCCCAGGACCTCGGACCGGGTCGGTTCTTGATTATGTTCTGTTGTCGGCGGCGCTCCATTGGGAGGTTTATTAGCTCGCTTGGGGCGTGAGAGGCTAGTTCGGCGCGGACGCGGTAAAAGCCTGTGTCTGGGAGTTCCGGGGTGAAGCCCTGGCGCGGTGGGACGGAGGCGAAGAGCTCGTTTGTGTGTGGCGGTGTTGGGGGGATTAGGGGCTTTTTGCTAGGGGAGGAGTGGGTGCTTAGGTTTGTTGTTGAGGAGTTGCTGAGGGTTAGATCGGGGGATAGAAGGGTATTGGGTCTAGTGCTGTTCGTGAACGGGGAGAAGGAGGAGGCTAGGTTGGGCGGTTAGTTACTGTTATGTTGTCTTGGTTATGATGGACTTTTCTTACTGTTTGCTTCGCTGTCGGATGGTGATATGGGGCCTTTCATCTCTGATGCGGTTGCTCGCTCTTTTCGGGCTTTGGATGGGTACCATGCGAGGCTTGAGTATTTCCCGGTTTTCTTCTTCCGGCGGCAGCAGCAGAAGACAATGATGGCGCATATTATCAAGGCCCCGACGCCACCGACTACGCCGCCAATTATTGCGCCTAGATTTGACGATGCGGTGCTTGGGGTGTCGGATGGAGTGCTGGATGGAGATGCGATTCCATTGCTGGCGGCAAGGACGGAAGACGCCGCTGTGGCACCCGTTGTAGCTCCTGTGACAATAGATGTGTCAGAACTTGTAGGAACATCCAAAGCCTCGCTTGTGACTGGGAGTGTAGGTGTGGATGTCTCTGAGGCCGGGGTTTCCTCCAAGGGTAAGGGTGCCACCGAACCTGCTGCTATTTCGGAGCTAGTCGAGGACACTATTGGGGAAGACGCAGAGGCCGTCGTATCCGCAGAGGTAGATTCAGGCAGAGCTGCCACAGAAGTAGTCGTGGTCCTGGGAGGTACGTCGGGCACCATAGGGCCTGGCGCAGTTTTTGTTAGCACCAGATCCGTAAGCTCCGTCAAGGGACTCGAGCTATCACCATTGTCGTCGGGGTCGAAGTCTGGACAAACGCCCGATGTACACGGATCGGTTGAGCAGCATCCATGGAAGTCGCCTGCCGTGCAGACATACCACTGCTTGCCTACGGGGCAATCGTTAAGCGCCCGAGGGGAAAGGGGCTCCATCTGGAACACCGACTTGGTCGAATATCATTCACTAGCTCGGGAGACGTACAGCGCTGGTGCCGGATTGCACAGACTCGAACGACTGTGTATCTCATTCACTCCACAGACACCGAGACTTGGAGATCTGCCAGCAGAATGACAACAGAGGACGATGGAAGAGTCGGCCATGACCCTCCGCAGATATTCTTGCAAGTGGCATTCGTGCTTCGTTGGAGAGGGGTCATGACCCTGTTTCTGAAAGGGGGCCAAGTGCAGCTTTCTTTGTTTGGCGGGACTGGTCCTGGTCTGATAAGACATAGACATGCCAATAATAGAACTGTCGCCAGTGAAACTTCGGCATAGGGTCTTTGACTCGTGTCAGTACATCCATGCAGTCTTTGGTGGGACATATTTGATTTGGACTATTGCTACAAAGAAAGCAGGCATGGGCAACATCAGACTCGGCTGGCTTGATTGAATCAGAACTCGAGATGAGACTGGAAGGGGCTAGCGTGGTCTCTTTGTCGAGTTGGTCCGCTGAGGCCGCCGCTCTAGCCTCTCACGACAAAGGAAAACGGTTGAGGACAAGGTCGAGAACAATGTCGAGGACAAAGAAGTGCCACATACTGGCTCATCACAGAAGGTAGCCCTGGTGAATACTTAGTAAGATAGATGAGAAGGTAAAAATATTATGAAAAAAAATAAATCCATATGAGACAAACTGAGGGGAAAGCACTCAGTACACCAACTCTTCGCCTGTGAAGATAAAGGAAAAATATGGCTATACAGGATGATAAGTATGACAGTTAACAAAACAAAATGGTCTTTTCATAGATGGGCCTTTAAGACGCCACAAGCCCTAGTTCCACCTCGAAACCGTTCGAGGCCGGGAGAGTGGCGTCCGATCCTCCATCTGAAACAACTCCGTGGTATCCTTCGTATTCTCTCACAAGTCTCCAAGACGAGCGAGCTTAGTAGGTACGCTTGAAAGGAGGAACGGGCTTGCACTCGTTCGCATCCAAGGTGTTGGCCTCAACAGCACGGTAGCCAAGCTTGACTTCGCCGTGGGGCTTCTTCTGCCAAGAGAGAGTGTGCTTCATCCACTTCTCGTCATCACGGTCGGGGTAATCCTCGCGGGCGTGAGCGCCACGAGACTCCTTACGGGCGGCAGCGGAAGCGGCGGTTTGGGTACTGTGAGAGATGTGTTAGCAAAGCAGTCATATGTGAAGTTCATCGGGACGATACGTACGCGCAAGTGAGCAAGTTGCGGAGCTCAAGGGTCTCAACCAAGTCAGAGTTCCAGATCATGCTGCGATCCTTGGTGCCGACCTGGGCGTACAGCTGGTCAACAGCGGTGATCTTCTCAACACCCTCGTCCAAGCTCTCCTGGGTACGGAAGACGCTGACATCAGTCTGCATGGTCTTCTGCATAGCATTGCGAACCTCGAAGGTGGACTTGGGTCCCTCGGCGGTACGGGCGAAGTCAAGATCCTTAATGGACTGGGCACCAGCATCGGAAGCGAGCTCCTTGTGGGGCTTGCCGGGAGTGGCAGTGTCACGGACACGGTGAGAGACAGCGCGACCGAAAACAATCAGATCGAGGAGGGAGTTGGCACCCAGACGGTTAGCACCGTGGACAGACACACAGGCGGCCTCACCGCAAGCGTACAGACCAGGAACAATCTTCTCCTTGCCGTTCTCATCAACATCCAAAACCTCACCAGTGTACTTGGTGGGGATACCACCCATGTTGTAGTGGACAGTAGGCAGGACAGGGATGGGCTGCTTGGTGACATCGACACCGGCGAAAATGGAGGCGGTCTCGGAAATACCGGGCAGACGCTCGTGCAGGAGCTCAGCGGGCAAGTGGCTGAGCTGCAGGTAGATGTGGTCCTTCTCGGGACCGACACCACGGCCCTCACGGATCTCCAGAGTCATAGAGCGGGAGACAACGTCACGAGAGGCAAGATCCTTGGCAGTAGGAGCGTAACGCTCCATGAAACGCTCACCCTCGGAGTTGAGCAGGTAACCACCCTCACCACGGGAGCCCTCGGTGATCAAGCAACCGGCACCGTAGATACCGGTGGGGTGGAACTGAACGAACTCCAGATCCTGGTTAGGGAGACCGGCACGAGCGACCATAGCCATACCGTCACCAGTGCAAGTGTGGGCGGAAGTGCAAGAGAAGTAGGCACGTCCGTAACCACCGGTGGCAAGAACGGTGTGGTGAGCCTTGAAACGGTGCAGCGTACCATCCTCCTGGTTGTAGGCAATGATACCACGGCACTCACCATCTTCCATCAGAAGATCAAGGGCGAAGTACTCGATGAAGTAGTTGGTGTTGTGGCGGAGGGACTGTCCGTAGAGAGTGTGAAGAAGAGCGTGGCCGGTACGGTCAGCAGCGGCGGCGCAACGGTAGGCCTGACCACCCTTTCCGTATTCCTTAGACTGACCACCGAAAGCACGCTGGTAGATACGTCCATCCTCGGTACGGGAGAAGGGGCATCCGTAACCCTCAAGCTCGCGAACACTGGCGGGAGCCTCGCGGGTCATGTAGTGAATAGCGTCCTGGTCACCGAGCCAATCGGAACCCTTCACGGTGTCGTACATGTGCCATCTCCAGTCATCCTCGTGCATGCTAAAAATCCAATTAGATGCCAATTTCGCTTCCGCTCCAGGGAAGAAACTTACTTTCCAAGGGCAGCGTTGATACCACCCTGGGCAGCGACAGTGTGACTTCTCGTGGGGAAGAGCTTAGAAACACAAGCAGTCTTGAATCCAGCTTCGGCAAGACCGAAGGCAGCGCGGAGACCGGCACCACCGGCACCCACAACGACGGCATCGTACTCGTGATCCTGTGCGAATTAGACTCAAACGTGTTTATGGTAGAGAGAAGCATCGTTTGACTTACGATGATAGGGTACTTATCGGTCAAGTAACCACTGGACTCCTTAGCGCGCAAAGGCTGGTTGGCGAAGATCCGGGCTAGCGCGATAGGTATTAGCAGTGCGTTTGAGAGTTGGCAATTCGAGAATCGTACCTGCGGGCCGTGATGACGAGAAAAGACGTCTCTGGTCCCTCAAAGCGCGGGAAATCTAGTTGGATTGAACAATCAGCATGTTGCAGATGTTGCGGACGAGCCGAAAATCGTTGCACTCACCTTGGATGCCGGAGCTAGGCTCCGCAGGCTCATGGAGCTCATGATGGATCAAGAAGGAATTGGGTTTCCCTAATGAACCAAGAAGAATAACGAGACACCAAGGGTCGGTGACAGGTGCTTAGCAAAGAGGGGAGATTGTGGAATAGCGAACTCCTTCCAGGACAGTACTTTCATCTGGTCCGGGATGCGGTTGGCAGTTTGACGCTGACATAAACATTCTCACAGTTGCCGACGGGGGAGACCGGGGCCGAACAGGCCAATCAGAGGCTGCGCAATGAAAATCAACCTCGGGCAGCCGGCCGTCCGTGATTGGCCAGATGGCATGTGCCCGTGATTATTTTGCCGGCCTGTACTGGCTACCGGAAGGATACGGTAAGAGTTGCAAGAGAGGGCTGAAGAATCCCGCTAATACAAAAATCTGGGGTCTTGGACCTGAAACTCATTCAACGAGTATCTACGCATTACATATGTGATTCCGAGTCCCACAGTTCCTTGTACCAATCCATACAGTTGCCAGTTCATATATTTAGTGGAGTTGTAGAGCGAAGTGGTGCCGCATGTGTGGTCGAACAGGTGATATATGACGAGAGTGCCCTGGAGGACCTCTTAGTTATGGTGCATGGCACAGCGTAGAGGCAGAAACTTGATTGAGATTATAATGCATTGACCAGGAACGAACTCCACATAACAAATAATAGTGATCGTACATCCCATCCAGAATCCGAGTAAGTCGGGATATCTAATTGTACTGCATGTATGTTGCCGTCGAGTTGAACTTGAGGTTGCCCTTGATCACCTTCTCCACAGATGTCAAGAAGTCCTTCTCTGTGGCTACCTTGCGACGAGCGCGAATAGCGAACATACCCGCCTCAGTCGCCACACTGCGAAGTTCAGCGCCAGTAGCATTGGGGCACAATCGCGAGATGAGCTCCCAACGGATGTCTCGCTCGACCGACATACTCTTGGCGTGGATTCGGAGAATGTTGGCACGGCCCTCGACATCCGGCAGAGAGAACTCAATCTTACGATCGATACGGCCAGGACGCATCAGGGCAGGGTCAAGTGTGGACGGACGGTTAGTAGCGAACATGACCTTGATGTTGCCACGAGAGTCGAAACCATCCAATTGGGTGATCAGTTCCAACATGGTTCGCTGCACTTCATTATCACCACCAGCACCGTCATCGAAACGTGCACCACCGACGGCATCAATCTCGTCGAAGAAGATGATGCATGCTTTCTTGGTGCGTGCCATCTCGAAGAGCTCACGAACCATCCGAGCGCCCTCACCAACGTACTTCTGCACCAATTCACTACCAATGACACGGATAAATGTAGCATCCGTTCGATTGGCGACTGCACGGGCGCAAAGAGTCTTGCCGGTTCCGGGAGGTCCGTAAAGCAGAGCACCCTTGGGCGGGTCGATACCAAGGTTCACGAAACGCTCTGGTGATAGCAAGGGCATCTCGACAACTTCTCGTAGTTTCTCAATCTGTTCTTTGCATCCACCGACATCGCCGTATGTCACATCGGGCTTATCCTCAACAGTCATCATCGTCACGCTGGGGTCGATCTTCGGCGGCAAGGGCAGCATGATCTGGTACTTATTCCGGTCGACACTATACAGCTTGTCAGCGCATAGAAATGGTGCATAAGCCAATATAGAACTTACCCAACTCTCATGCCTTCCTCGATATCCGTCGGACTCACACGCTCTCCTAGGTTGACGACAAACTTGGCAATTTGCTTGACATTGATCACATATTTGCTCTTGTCCGAGTCCTTCTCATCCTGGATAATCTTTGTGCACCTGGCGACTTGTAGCGGCTGTTCCTCCGCCATGCGTTGTCGATCGGCAGCAACATCCCAGAGGTGTGGAGGTGCAAGACCGGTGTCGGATTCCTGGTAAAGGTGTGAGCTCCGTTTGTTCCAAGGGGCAGAAAAGAGCTAGACAAGATATTACCTTGACGCCGATCTTCTCATTCACGCTGTTCTGCTTGTCCTTGATATCTTTTTCGAGCTTCTTCAGCGCGTTCGCGTAAGGTGCGGCTCCGTAGGTCTTGAGTACTGCAATGTCTCTGAATTGGAACGTCAGTCACTGCCATCGAGCTTTGCGCGGATCGCATCAGAAACGCAATAAAAGCCACTCACTCATCTGTAAGAGGTACAATTTTCTTCTCTGGTTCGTCGTCATCTGCGAAGTTCTTCTTGTACTTCTCCCAGTTCTGACCCGTGGCGCTAGGCATGATGAAAGGTGTTGACAGCCCAAGGCCGAGCTAAATAAGGGTCCAACGAGAGGTCCAAGCAAACAATAAATCAACGGCTTTTGGTGAGGAACAGACTCGACGTGTTTTCCAAGCAGTTGTAAATTGAAGGAGGATAGATAAGGTGATTGAAGGACGGTGATGTAGCAGAGCTGCGGTAGTCGAGCTAGCCTCACTAATCAGGTGCCAAGCTTCATCACCGCCCCAGAACCTCGCAGAATTTCCTGTGTGTCCTCCACCACAACAACTCCGCTATCCCCTTTCACTCATTTTTAAAGGTTCATTTTGAAAATCGATATTCAAAATGGCCGCCGCAGTATCACACGGAGCCGCCGGCAACAATGCCTTCAAGGTGCGAGGCCTCGAATCGATCTGTGTGGGCCGCTGATTCTGATTGCATACAGGACAAGGAGAAGCCGATGGCCGTGCGGGCGTCCAACATTCTCGCTGCTCGGGGTATGTATATCATCTTGGTCCTAGTGGTGCTCTTGCTAACAGATTTGTAGCTGTCTCCGATGCCATTCGCACAGTACGCGTGTCCAGACCATCTGCAAACACCTAGATGAGGGGCTAACAGGAATATAGTCGTTGGGACCCAGGGGTATGGATAAGATGGTAAGTTGATTTCGATATTCATTTCCACTCTAGTAGGATGCTAATGTATCGACAGATCCAAACGGCCAAGGGAAAGACCATTATTGTACGCAGCCTACGTTTCTTCGAACCACCCGGACCCCAAACTGACCCCCGCAGACCAACGATGGAAACACCATGCTGAAGGATATGAGTGTAATGCACCCTGCTGCTCGTATGCTCGTCGATTTGAGTGCGGCGCAGGATGTTGAAGCTGGTGATGGAACGACGTCAGTAGTTGTTATTGCTGGCAGTCTGCTCGGCGCCGCCGAGAAATTGCTGTCCAAGGGCATTCACCCCACTGTTATCTCGGAGTCTTTCCAGAGAGCCGCTGGTGCTGCCGTTGAGATCCTCCACAACATGTCCCGTCCTATCAACCTTTCCGACCGCTCCACCCTCCTCCAAGCCGCCTCTACTTCACTCTCCTCCAAGATTGTGTCACAGCACTCCGGACTTCTGGGCCCAATGGCTGTCGACTCTGTCCTGAAGGTTTGCGACCCGAAGACGGCTGAGAACGTTGATTTGCGCAACATCCGTATTGTGAAGAAGGTTGGCGGCACAATTGAGGACAGCGAAATGGTTGACGGTGTAGTCCTCAACCAGCCCGTGATCAAGAGCAGCGGTGGCCCTACAAGAATCGAGAAGGCACGGATAGGACTCATTCAGTTCCAACTGAGCCCGCCTAAGCCAGATGTATGTGTTTCTGGGACCTTCGAACTCTATTCCTGTGACAACGACTGATGATCTATTAGATGGAGAACCAAATCGTGGTGAACGACTACCGCCAGATGGACAAGATCCTAAAGGAGGAGCGTCAATACATGCTCAACATGGTCAAGAAGATTCAGAAGACCAAGTGTAACGTCCTTTTGATCCAGAAGTCCATCCTCCGTGATGCCGTGAACGAACTCTCCCTGCACTTCCTCTCCCGCCTCAAGATTCTCGCCATCAAGGATATCGAGCGTGATGAGGTTGAGTTCCTGTGCAAGAGTCTCGGCTGCAAGCCCGTCGCCAACGTCGACTCTTTCACCGAGGACAAGCTCGGTACCGCCGACCTCGTTGAGGAAGTCCAGGCCTCCGGCGCCCGTTACGTCAAGATCACCGGTATCAAGGCTCCTCTTGTCGCCCACAACCAGACTGTCTCTATCGTTGCCCGCGGCGCTAACAGCCTGATTCTCGATGAGGCCGAGCGCTCTTTGCACGATGCCCTGTGTGTCATCCGCTGCCTCGTCAAGAAGCGCGCTATGATTGCAGGTGGCGGTGCTCCCGAGATCGAGGTCGCCCACACACTTGCCATGCGCGCTCGTGAGCTCACGGGCACCGAGTCTATCTGCTTCAAGGCCTTCGCTGATGCCATGGAGGTCATCCCCACCACTCTCGCGGAAAACGCCGGTCTCAACTCTATCAAGGTCGTGACTGAGCTCCGTCACCGCCACGCTCAGGGCCAGCACAACGCTGGCGTTTCCATTCGCAGCGGTGGCGTGAAGGACGATATCACGGAGGAGAATATTCTCCAGCCCTTGCTGGTCAGCACAAGCGCAATTGAATTGGCTGCGGAGACGGTGAAGATGATCATGAGAATTGATGACATTGCTCTCTCGCGGTAAACGCCCTCAGGCGGCCGCTGATGTGAGCTGTATGATGGAAAGCGAATTTGTCGCGACGAGTAATTAAAAAATATCCCGTTCCTGCATAGAATCATTTGTGGACCTGTGTACACTATTTGTGTCGTTATCTTGTAGATTGGGCTCCATTATAGGTCCGATTCATGTCGTAAGATGATTGTGAGTAGGATGCTTTCCCAATTACCTAGGGCTCGAGTTTGACATGAGAGTTTTCATGGCATGCCCGTGGCACCTCACACCATCTAATCATACTTCGTGTGCAGTCTCTTTAGCTCTAGGTTGGCCTCATGAACTACCACCTTCGTACCTTAGGTGTCTCCATCCATTGGGGCTTTTAAGAAATGTCCCGCTCGTACGATTTTTTGGAATAGAAGATCATAGGTACCTACCTTTAGGTACGACCTCCACAACCCGGCTTAGAAATATATATCGAAGTTGCCCGAGTACCTAGGTAGTGTAGTGGGGAGGTGTCCAGTGACCTCCCCCTACAGGCATGCTTCCCCTGTCCACTCCTTTGGTTTTCACGTGAGCGTTCCTAGGTTATGTTAGCAGTGTTGGGCTGAAGATATAGTCGCGAGGTAGCCTTTAGTTGACAGACACACTCCTAGGTACACATCTCATAACTATCCATATTTGACTGCTTGTGCGACAGTGCGCAAGCGCCCAACCTCTTTGCTACCTCTGGTCCGATGTCTATGCTAGGTGGTATCTGCTGAATCGACCCGTGTGCCTCAGAGCACACAGCCTTGAGCGTTCCCCTCTCCACTATGTAGAAGACCAATCAAGGCATCTGGAACAAGCCAAAATGTTCGTAATAGTATGGTCTTTGTTACTAACTAGCCAGCATGTTAGACAGCCGACTTCTTGCCAGCAGCGGAAACCAGGGATATGAATAAAATGGAGCTAAAGACATGAATAGGCGGCTCTTTGTCCACGCCAAGACGATGGCCACGGCCCGCCAAGTCTCACAACATCCCCAGGGCCCCGACATTTGGAAGGTCAACTCTCACATCATCTTGGAATTGGGCGATTATCCTTTGGATTTATATATATTGCACCAGTATCTGGTTATATCCATATACCTGCTGTCAACGGGACAGCCATTGCTGGCGCTTATCTGCCTCGAATTGCTGGCGATAAGGGATCGACGATCGGGGTCGTGAGCTCCGCCCGTGAACTCCGAACCGCCACCATGGGGGCTTTCGAAGACGAAGGGAACTCAGAGTCCGTAAGGCCAACTCCACAACGGAGGGATTCCTTCGCCTCACAATCATCCACCGACTCGGGCCTTTCGATTGCCTCGGCAGCGTTCATGGAGAAGCACAGGGGCTTGATAGCCGGGGAAGGGGACGAGGAACGATACCGGGACATGGAAGATGGAGCAGGGACTGGGTCGGAGGAGCCTCTTATCTCCGGTAAAAAGACGGGCTCGCCAAGTCGTCTGCGCCATATTGTTTGGGGACTGGTAGCGCTTTGCGTGGGTGGCTGGGCCCTTGCCTTCGTGCTGTTCCTCACGCAGTCACGACCTAATGCCGCAGTATCCTCGGCTGAGACAAGTGCGACTGTATCGAGTGTGCCCGCGCCTGTTTTGGATCTCGAGCCAGATGTGTCGACCGTTGATACGAGTTCCGCAAACCCTGTGACCACTGTTGATACGAGCTCCGCAAATCCAGTGACACTCGATCAAGTCTTGACGGGTGCCTGGAATCCGAAGACCCACGAGATATCCTGGATTGCGGGACCGAACGGCGAAGATGGTCTTTTGGTCGAGAGAGGCGAGAAGCAGGACGCCTACCTGCGGGTGGAAGACATTCGCAATAGCGAGAAAGACTCCAAGAATCAAGAGGCCAGAGTATTGATGAAGAAGAGGTACATCTGGTTTAACGATGAAGCCTTGGTTCCAGTCAAGACATGGCCAAGCCCTGATATGAAAAAGGTATTGGTCATGACTGACATTCAGTCCAACTGGAGACACTCGTTCTTTGGCAAATATTGGGTCTTCGATGTGGCGACGCAAGAGGCTGAGCCGCTAGATCCTGGGAACCTGAGCGGACGTGTACAGCTTGCGACGTGGTCGCCCACCTCTGAGGCGGTGGTTTTTGTTCGTCAGAACAATCTGTATTTGCGCAATCTCTCCTCGTCGGAAGTCACTCCCATCACCAAGGATGGTGGCAAGGACCTCTTCTATGGTGTTCCGGACTGGGTATACGAGGAAGAAGTTATTGCAGGCAACTCTGGCACTTGGTGGTCCGGTGACGGGAAGTTTGTCGCCTTCCTGCGAACCAACGAGTCAGCGGTTCCTGAATATCCTATTCAGTATTTCCTCTCGCGACCATCGGGCACAAAGCCGCTGCCTGGACTTGAGAAGTACCCGGAAGTCAGGCAGATCAAGTACCCCAAGCCCGGCAGCCCGAACCCGATCGTCAGTCTGCGCTTCTATGATGTAGAGAAAAATGAAACCTTTTCATTTGACATGCCTGAAGATTTCAGTGACGATGAAAGGATTATCATCGAAGTTGTTTGGGCGTCGAAGGGCAAGGTGTTAGTTCGAGAGACAAACCGCGAGAGCGATGTTGTGAAGATCTTCGTGATGGACACCAAGGCCAGAACTGGCAAACTGGTTCGGTCAGATGATGTCGCAGCTCTTGACGGCGGTTGGGTTGAGCCTTCACAGTCGACTCGTGTTGTCCCCGCTGACCCTGAAAATGGCCGGCCACACGACGGTTATATTGACACTGTGATTCATGAAGGGTTCGATCACCTGGCTTATTTCACGCCGTTTGACAACCCGGAGCCTGTGATGTTGACCAAGGGCGAATGGGAAGTCGTCAAGGCGCCGTCCGCTGTGGACTTGAAGAAGGGCGAGGTATACTTCGTTGGTACGAAGGAGGCCCCGACTCAGCGTCACGTATACTCAGTCAAACTGGACGGCTCTAATCTCCGAGCTCTGACGGATACCTCCAAGCCAGGTTATTACGATGTTTCATTCTCTAATGGAGGCGGCTATGGCCTACTCAGCTATAAGGGCCCGGAAGTGCCGTGGCAATCCGTGATCAGCACCCAAGACGACGAGATCAAATTTATCAACGACATCGAGAAGAACCCTAAGCTCACGAAAATGGTCAGAGATCATGCTCTTCCAGAGCAGGTGTATACCAATGTGACCATTGATGGTTACACTCTCCAGGTTGTGGAGCGCCGCCCTCCGAATTTCAACCCTGCAAAGAAATACCCCGTGCTTTTCTTCTTGTATGGCGGGCCCGGTTCGCAGACGGTCGATCGTAAGTTCACGGTTGACTTCCAAACCTATATCGCCTCGAGCCTGGGCTACATCGTCGTCACCGTGGATGGCCGCGGAACGGGATTCATTGGGAGAAAAGCTCGGTGCATCGTCCGTGGTAATATCGGTCATTACGAAGCTCGTGATCAGATCGAAACCGCCAAGATCTGGGGCAGCAAGGACTACGTGGATGAAACCCGCATGGCAATCTGGGGATGGAGTTATGGTGGTTACATGACCCTGAAGGTGCTCGAACAAGATGCAGGCGAGACCTTCCAATACGGCATGGCTGTGGCACCGGTGACTGACTGGAGGTTCTATGGTAAGCCTATTCAGATTCTTATTGTCAAGGCCGTTTTACTGATCCCTACTCGATAGATTCCATCTATACCGAACGTTATATGCACACTCCCGCACACAACCCGCAAGGGTATTTGAATGCCTCCATCAGCGATGTCACGGCATTGAGCCAGAATGTTCGATTCTTGATTATGCACGGCGTCGCTGACGACAATGTGCATCTCCAAAACACCCTTGTCTTGATCGATAAACTGGACTTGCAGAACATCGACAACTACGATATGCAGGTCTTCCCTGACTCGGATCACAGTATACAATTTCACAGCGCGCATGCGCTTGTTTATGAACGTAAGTCCATCTCGCTCTCGTCCTCCGGTTCTACGTGGCTAATCGTTAGTCAAGGTCTTTCGAGCTGGCTCATCAATGCGTTCAACGGAGAATGGCTTCGCATTGCGAGCCCCAAACCGCAAGAGTCGCATGATGCATCTTGAGATTTTGGTCACGATAAGTACCTTTGTTTGTGATGATTCTTGTTCGTATAGTCCTTTTGCTGCATATACATACTAGGCAAGAACAATGGCTGCATATTATAATGAATTGCATTTTTATGAGTAAAGGATGATCTTGAAAGACAATGCAGGCGCTGAAGAGGTATAGAACAATTTCTTGACTCGCCGAAAACAACAGCTGGTATAAGAAAGGGGAAAGCATATGAACAGAGGGCTATTGGCGCCCTTTTCTCGGCGCTTCGACACCGAATAATGCGAAATATGAACAATAATGCAGCAAAGAAAAAGTATACAAAGGCGCAGTATGTGCATGTAAAAAGGGAAGGTAGCTAATCAGGGGGCGTGGAGAAGTGAGAACTCAAGTCTCAAGCGAGCCATCAGCCACTTGGGGAAATTCCCCCAGCTCGAAGGAAGTCCTCTCTGTTCGCGAGACTCACATCCGAGTTCCGGTACGGAAGGAAGTCTTCACGATGTAAACCACGCAACTGCTCGCGACCAACAGTCGAGAGCGAACGCGCGTAAGACCCAGTCCGAGTCTGCGAGTGAGGACGAGCACCGAGCACAGACAAACGATGGTTAGAAGTCCACATAGGCGACACCCTACCCGGCGAACTATTATTCGACATGACCGAATGTCTCGGCGCAAAGACCGGCAGTCTCGCATACGACTCAGTATCCGTCGAAACGTTGCTCATACTCATAGCCGAGAAATCCGAAATCGGACGCTGATACCCGCGACCGGGGAACTGGGATGTCGAGCTGTACACCGTGGAGATACCGGACTGCGCAGACGAGCGCCATGAATGCACAACACCGCGCGGGATGGTGATAATCTCCTCATCAGGGCCTGACTCAATGGCAGCCGCGACATCCGCCGGCTCGATCGGCTCACCCGCGGCGCGACTGGCCATCATCTTGGCCGACTTGCCGATCCACAGCATCTGCTCGTGCTCGCGCAGATACCGATCACCGCTGAAAGACTTCTGCACGATCTTTCGCGTCATCATGCCGAGTTTGCGGCGATGTTCGCTCTTCTCGTACATGCGACGCGTGATGGCAGCTACCTCCGCGGCATTCGGAGAGGAAGTGAGAACCGGTGCGGGGGCTGTGTCATCGGCGTGTTTGCTCCATTCGCCGAGCATGGCTAGCATGCCGATCTGGGCTTTTGCGAGAGCGAGCGCGTCGTTGGGGGCTACGACGGCGCTGAAGCGGGAGAAGTCGTCCGGGTCGCTGAGGACGCGGAGGGAGGCGCCGACGTCGGTGCAGACGACTGGAGCGCCGGTTAGGGCGGCTTCGCCGAGGGCGAGGGGGAGACCTTCGGAGAGGGAGGAATTTAGGAAGAGCCAGGTGTTTTCGAGGACTTTCATTGGGTCGGCGGTGCCGCGGAGGGTGACTTTGCCGCGGAGACCCTTTGAGGCGATGATTTCTTGACATTCGGTTGAGTAGGTTGGGGCTTTGTCGATGGCGCCGTAAATGTCCAGGTGGTATTCGTCGAACTTCCACTGGTTGATGATGATGTCGGCGGCGAGAAGGGCGGTTTTGATGTCTTTGGCGTACCAGACGTGGGACAACATGGTTACTGTTGGACGCTCGGATTTGATTTCCTTGACTGGAGCGAACTTCTGCATGTCGGTGATGCCGTTGACGACGGGGTCGATCTTCCGGCGGAAGGTGTTTCGGTGCTCAATTGTACCTTGGCAAGTACCGATCTCGACCTCCCAGCCGGGGTTGAAGAAGTCTGCACAGGGGAGGATGATGTCTGCGTGATGAAGGGTCAGGACAGAGGTGATGCGCATTAATCCAAGAAGCGCGTTCCGGACGAAAGGAGAGAGCTTGCACAGGGCGGACGACAGACAGAGATTGGTCTCACGCCAACTGATAGCGTGGTCCCAAATCTGCAAGGTACAGTTGCGCTTGATCTTGCAAACGACGCCGTAAGAGGCACTGACACTGTGGTGGGAGGCTTGGAAAGTGGAGGGGATTTTCTCGGGAACCGGGATTGAGAAGATGAAGAGATAGCGATACCAGAGCTCCAAGGCAACGTCAAGTGAGGCCAAGGTGGGGAGCTCGGTGTCGAACCAGTCCGATGATGGGATGGTGTTTGACATCTCTTGCGTCAACCACAGCTCTCGCCAGCTGTGCTTCACCAAGTCACTGTTCCAGACTTGCGTCCAATGACGGGACTCCTGGAAGTATGTGTTCAGGTTCACCAATGCTCGTGTCGCCTGGTGGATGTCAGCCTTCGAGAGATGCACTGCACGAGCGCCTTTCACCAAAGCAGTCAAAATCGGAATGAAGTTCATCTTGATGTCGAATTCGCTCGCGGATGTAACATTGTCTACCTCAGCATCGAGCTTGTTCTGGAACAAACCGTGAGTGGGAGTGAGGAAGTCCATACCCCAAAGCGGGATGAGCTTGAGCGACTGAATATTCTGTTCGGTCTGGTGTTTGGGGACACCAAAGTCATTTGCAGACTCGCAGATCATGTGCCATTTGATGGTTCGCAGAGAGTTGATCATGTCTCGTCGACAGGCGGAGACACCACCACCCTCGTTGGGCCAAGTACCGTTATCGGCGGCCATGACATGCAGAGTCTTGCCAGTGTCGAGGCCAAAGTCCTTGGAGCGAGTGTTGACAACGGCATCGCCACCAGGGCCGAAGTTGAGCAGATCAGTGATCTTGACAGCGAGCGGCGTCCAGCTGGAGATGTTATCGTCCAGATCGGCACTGGCCATGATCGCATCAGCGCGGAGATCCATATACTTCTTCGCAGCCCCAAGGTTGCCCCAGTCACGACTGCGCCAGTAAGGTGTAAGAACTCTATCTCTGCGCAGGATGCGGTCATCCATCCAGCGAACAATGATTGCATCGAAATCAACACGATCCTTCCAGGCTGCCCACATCAGGGAGCGAGCCCGGGAAGTAGACACCACAAAGCGCTTCTTCGTCAGTCCGAGTGTACGCGTGAACAGATTTGACTGGAGGCTGTCGCAGTAGAAAAAGGGATTGTCATGCACGAAGCTGGTATACTTCGGCTTGGCAAGGACACCGAGGAAATCGTTCTCAATCATGGGCGGAGTCTGGACCTTCTGCCCGTTGATGGTGGTGAAAATGGTGGGGTGGAACTTGTGATCATACAGCCAGCGACTTTCGTAGACATCGGCGCCCTGGACAAAGCTGGCCTCGGTGACTTTGGAGTGAGGGATCCAGCGCTCGACCTTTTCGGGGTGGCGACGCGGAGGCGCACACCAAGACACTGTGCAGCTGATGTGGGACAGCACGAACTCGGCTCGTAGCAACTCATCGCCGAAACGGGGGTTCTTGCGATAGTGGTATTTGAAGCGGATCAGATTGCCGTCCTTCATGTATGAGCCGGATTCGATCAGACCTTTGCGATTGTACTGGACACTTTGGAGGTGATTCGCGCCTGACACGCAACGACGTCCGAGTGGAATGCGAGAAGAGGATTTGCTCAGTTTGAAGCCCTTCTTAGATGGGGATCGGTAGTCGTAGTGATATTCGTTGGTGACTTTGCCATCCTTGAACTCCTGCTTGACCAGAAGCAACATCTCACCCGAATAGGTGCTGACGTACTTCAGGGAGTTGACCTCCCTGGGCTCGGTTTTGTGCTCGCCGGCATAGTGGTAAATCTTGAAGCCGCCATCAATCTCGTGATGTCTGAAGGCTGTGAAGGTGCCTTCCAGACCCTTGATAAGAACACGGCTCTTCTTGATGTGGATTGTCATGCCCTTGGTCTCCTCCCAGAGCCGTTTGACATTCTGCCGACCATTGAAGAGGAAGAATGACAGAATGAAGTCTTGGACAAGCTTGGAATACACCCAGACCATATTGAACAAGAAGACGACCGGCACACGAACCACGGTGGGAAGGTCCTGAGTGACAAAATTGAACTCTCGCTGGAATTCCGGATCTGCGACTAAAGCCACAACAAAGAACTTGACGATTGTGCCCATTTTGTGGTAGATGTAAGCCGCAGGTGATCGAACTAGCGACAGCGCGAGTGGAAGCTTCCGCGGAATGTAGGAAATGTACTTCGAAGTTTCCGGCTCTTTGGGAAGAGCAGCTTCTCCAGTGCCCCAGTGAGCATAATCGAGAACGCTGATGGCAGTGGCTGCGCCAAGATTACAACGGGCAACATGAACGTCGAGGTCATCAGTATCGAACGTGCAAAGACTCTGCTGAAGCCATTGACGTTGGCTATTGGAGAGGCTGCACTGTTGACCCAAGCAACGCTTCAGTAGCACCTCACGTACTTCGCTTGGAAGCTTGTCCCAATGAATATCGGCCTCAAAGCCGAGGCAAAGCTGTCGGAGAAGTTCCTTTTTAGCCCAACGGACGACTGTGGTTGTGTTGGCCTCCTCGCGAAGCTGTCGAGCCATTGTGTGAGTGACTCCACCAGAGACGATTGATCCAGCCAATGATGCATATTCGTGAGGCACGCCCATCATCAGCTCCGTGACAGCATGAAGCAAGGTTTCAGCAATGATCTGACAATTTGCGCTGATGTCGAGACGCTCATCCAGGAGTCCTCCAACGGTGATCGCGAGCTTTAATTTTCCTTCAGTGGTGCAACTGAGAGCACGATTGCCAGGACCAAGGGAACCAGGAGAAACGAGCTCAATGACAATATCACCCTTTTCCCACGCGGAAATAGCAGTCTTGACAATGTCCTTAGAGCCAGGGAAGGCCTCTTCGATTCGAAGCTCTTCCCTGCGAGACATCATGGCACTCTTGATCTCAACTCCAGGATGAACATTGGGGTTTAGCTTGAACCGGGAATCGGAAGGAAGGAGCGAGTAGCTTTCGAAGAAAGTCTGAAGCTCCTGCTGAGACCATTCGGGATCCGACCAGGGCGTGGTGAACGCATGGAAGGTCCGGCCGAGTTCGACTGGAGAGTCCACCTTGTTTGGCATACCCATTTTAGCATTCCACAGCGCGAGAATGGCAACAGTCCAAGTGGCAGAGCCAAGTCCAATGACCTGAGAGTACAAGAAATCACGCGGTAGACAGACCGTCAGGGCGATACCGATCGGCAACCCAATGCAGATACCAATAAGTAGAGGCTTGAGCGCGTGAGGACCTGTGAAGATCTTTGTGTATTGATACCAAATCAAGCCAGTGTAGGCGAGAACGTACGAGAAGAAGACGGCCATGCCTTCGACCGAGGATTGGAAGGTCCATATGAGAGCAGTGGCAAGCGCAAGACTCCAGACGTGCCACAGTAGGAATCTGCCGAGCACTCGCCAGTATACCTTTCGGCGGAGCTGCACCTCCTTTTTCTGGGCAATGCGAATTTCTTTTGCGGTTGTAACAGATATAGGAGCCTGGCTACCAAGAGCCTCGTGGAGCTCCTGGGCCTTGGTATCAATGAGCACGGCTCCGATCAGGTAGTACGCAAGGGCAAAGCCAACAGCCATTCGATTGGCGTCGTTTACCCCCCGAGAGAGACTGGAGTTCGACCCGGCAGCGAGACCGAGATTCTTACCGCCACTCAGAAGCTGTGCCCATTTGTCGAGAAGAGCAAGCACAAAGTAGAGAACGCCGCATCCAATTTCCTTGCTCGACTGACGCCAGTGGACGAAGGCATTGTGCAGACGGAGACCTTTCTGGGAGTTACGCAGGGTGTCGAGTGCAACCTTTGTTTGGATGTTCCAGCCAGAACTGAACGGAATCGGCCTTGGAACATCTGCATGTCGACAGTACCAGTCGAGAAGGAAATTGGTGGACTCCCAGTCCCGGGCAAGCTCGACGACCATCTTGTCTTTGGATGCCCTGGAAAATATGCCGCGCTTCGTCTCAGCCAAGACGTCCTTTGAGAGGGCCTCTCTTGCCAGCTTAAGAGCAGCTGGGTCGCTCAGGTTCGCAAATACCTTCTCGTCATTGTTTCCATAGGCGGTAATGTACCACTTGCGAATCTCAGTATCATCGGTGCGTCGCATGGATTGGTACCAAGTGACCCATTTGGAAGTGACCGACCGAAGGCAGAGCAAGAGAATACCAATGAAGAGATAGATCACGGCGAGGTAGACGGCGGAGTCATTGCCAGTCCAGGCTGTGATGATTGGCCCCAAGAAAAGGATTGGAATGCACATTATGATCGGCTTCCGACCGGACAAAAACGTGGATCCGGGGTAACTGAAGCTTGCAAGCGAGGCAAAAGTCGAGAAGTAGATGGTCAGGGCGATCAGGTAGAGGTAGAAGATGATACCAGCGCGAGGGCCTCGAACGCTAGAAATGGCAACGAAACCAATCAAGCCACCGGCAACAGTGAAGGCAATACCGGCGATCAGGCGAATGAGAACGAACATATTCGCTGCAGCAAAAGCCATCGAGATGAGGTAGTAAGGGCCACCGCAAGCGATCCATGTACCGATCGCACCAGAAAGCAGGAGAGAGATCATCAGCGCCATAGTTGCACTATCCTGCTCAGCGTGGGTCATGGCAGCAGAAAGATAAAGCCCGCGACCGATCATGGTAAGCAGGACAATATCAATCAAAGCCGGAATGGCGAAGACACTCATGAAAGTGAATCGCTGGTATCCGCGCATAGCCTTGGGTTGGTCATCGGGATTGACATCAATTTGAGCTCCAGCATAAGATGTCGCAAGCTGCGGAGCACCGTTGACCCAGTTAGGCGGCTGGTGTTCTCCATAGTAGGCTCTAAACCGGTCGGACAACAGCTTTCCGAAAACACTGGGCGATACGTCGAAGTAGGCTTCGCATCGGGATCCAAGGGCAAATGACTCTGCGAAGGCGGCAGCCTGATCGGAATGATTGTTGAACAGAGGGTTTCGATCAGTGACTTCTGCGTAAATCTCCTCAAATGCACCCTTTCTGGCGGCGCAGAACAGCGCAAGTGCCATCATATCCACATACGCGTCAACGGCGCCACCCTGGAGGAGTGCACAGAGACCACTCGTGATGGCAGCGAGCTCATCTTCGCGACGATATCGCAAGACATCAGAGAGTACGCTGTCGGCTTGATGGAAGAGGTCAAGGCAAACATCGAGAGACGGGTAACTGCACCCTTGATCCAAGTACCAGTTGATGCGAGATCTGATCAGATCTTCGGCAGACGTAGACTTCTCGAGGTAACCCACGGTGTTTAAAGCTTTCAACTGGGAAAAAGAAGGGCCATTCACGAGTTGTTTGCGGATGTACATGCAAATGGCTTCAGAAATATCGCTGTGGGCATCCGTCAGGGATAGGTGTTGCAGGAGAAGGAGACGTTCCTCAGGGCTGAGAACATCGATATCTTGAATTAACCGACGAGGGAGGCCAGTATCCTTGGAAACGTCCTGAGACCACGTCGCGAAAGTTGCCTCAGCTTCAAAGCAAACATGCCTGGGGAATCCCTTAGCCGATAGATAAGTGTGAAGAATAGTTCCAGCCAGGCCTTGCGCATTCTTTGATACGAAGATCTCAATGCCTTCACCTTCCATATCGAAGACAGCCCAGAATCGGCAGTCGGAGGTTTTGCGCAAGCCGGAGTCTAGAGCAAGATTCACATGTAACAAATCGTTCGATGCCCAGTGTGCAAGCTCTTTGATGGAGCTGGCTAAGTGATCGTCATCCTCGGAGAGATCCAGTGAGTCATGGAATTGACGCAAAAGAAGTCCCATGCTCTGTATCTTGGTCGCGGGAACGGGGTGAAGAAGATTGAGGGATTTCAGACGCTGTTGAGATTGGACAATTTCAGCAAAGGCTAGCGGATTGGCGTCCGACCCAAGTGGGAAGCAACCAAGAGAGTTATAGGCCATTCCTGACATGGAGATCGAGAGCGGACTGCCTTGCGATTTGACTTGTGCAACCCATTCCGGAGGATCACGCAGTCGATAAGTCGGGCTAACAGGGGCTCTGGAGTCGTATTCCGACGAGTCAAGCAAAGCCTTGACAACAGGGAAAACTGGCTTGAGAATGTCCCAGCCGGCTTTTTTATCAGGGGTGGGCATGATATTCGAGTTGAATCGCCAGGCATCATGTGCCTTCATGATTTCAGCCTCTTTCAACCAGCCAAAGGCAGGGAGAGGCTCCAGAGTCGTGATATTCAGCTCCGCATCGTAAAGAGCGGCTTCCGAACCGATCCAGGTGATTGCACTGTAAAAGCCACACCATTGGATGGATCGGCGGACTATAGCGTTTGGCACAGTGACATTGTTGTCGGTAGTTTCCCAGGCCATCACGACAAAGTCTCTCATGCAAGATTCTGAAACGAACGCCTTGATTGTTGCCTGTAGCTCCGCCATTTGGAAGTAATCTCGCTTTTCTCCCGAAGACATGATGCTCGCATTACGAATGACCAGACCGGCGACTGCCTCACTCTGCACGGCTTTCCGATCTTTCAGAAAATGTGGTGGTTCTGTCTCGAGATAGACTGTGAGCCCGAGACTGCTGATGGCCTCCAACAGCTTTCTCCGAGCGGTAGGACGGAGGATTTCTTCCCAGTTTGCGAGAAGGATACCAGAGAATGTGGACCCATGGAAACTGCTAGTGAGAGTTTCCTCCACCTTCTCGACCATGGTCAACGCTGATGCCTTAGGGGGGAGAATCTTTGCGAAATCGATACGACCAAAAACTTGAGTGCGCTGATGTCTGGCAATAGCTTTGGCGACACCTGCCTGAAAGGGATCCACAATCAAAGCATCCCATTCTCGCAAAAGTGACTCTTGGGCGGTGGTAGGCGGGTCTTCGAAGCTACCCAAGTATACGCCGAAGCTTTTGGGCTTTTCCTTGTGCCGGTGGGTGTGGACCAAATTAAGCTTGTGGTTGGCGAGCTTGTCCAAACGAGATACAACATTTGCAGGTAACTTGTTCGAAGGTGGTCTCGACTGTAAGGTTTAGCGTTAGCCTTTAGCCCGGTGACGATGACGAAGGACTCGAGGATTATATCATACCTTGTAGTACATCACAAGTCTCCTTATCCCAGAGTATATGATTGATGTCGTGCCAATAGTTATTGTTAATAGTAACACTCCGATGAATACCTAGACAACTGGTTAGTATGTCTTTGTGTTCCATACCTACAACATGGGTGCCGAGGGTCAAATTGTAAAAAGGACCGGAGTCAACATACATACTGCCACCAGTGATCTTTCATGGCATCCCAGCCAAGCGGATGCGGCCTGACTGGAAGGTGTTCTACTTTGGCCATGATGTCGAGTTGTCGAGTCTTTGACTCGATGTCTCGTTGGCGCAATATCAGAGGGACAAGATGGGATGTAGTGCTCCCAAGTATAGAGTTAAGACTTTCTCACACACGAATGCTTATAGCGACATGCTTAAACGAGTGACTGATGTGAGAGCAAAGCCAAGGTTGCCAACGCTGAACGAGAGAAATTTGGAGAGCTTAGGGAAGCTCAGGTGTTGACAAGATGATAAGGTAAAAGAGTAGTGGGGAACGGCTTCAGTGAATATCCACTCCAAGCCGCATAAGTAGAATCGACCGGTTTGCCTCCTAGGATTTACCTTGCTACTTGTCAGGGGGGCAGTTTAGAAAAAGAAGATTTATTCTAAAATATAATTATTCTAACTTCGCCTCTTATGGACTGTTTGAGACAAAGAAGAGCCGTATAACCCGGTGGCAGTTCTAGGCGTCTAATTGAAGAGATCTAAGCAAATGGGGCAAAAATAGCACGCTAAGAGGATTTTGTTCGATGCGGGACTAAAGAACTCCACATAAACAGACGCATCAGAGGATGAGACAAGGGTGGAGTCGAGGATACGGACATTACACCGTACATGGGCACATTCCTCCTGCCATGTGTGTGACATCGCCATGCGATTGATGTCGTGGCGGATATTATGGGGGATCCCTCGATCCAACATGTTGGGCCTCGGGTACCTGACGGCTCTTTCGGATTGAATCTCATTGAACACATCAACTGAACACATCATATCCTATATCAAGATGTGTCGATTAAGTCGGGTTTCGCCTGTTAGCTCGTAAGCTAAGGGATGGCGCCGTCACTCAGCCGTTAGACACGGGGCTAGAAGTCACCATCTCATTCAGCGGTGGACAGGACTGGGAAAAGTGAGTCTTGGCTAAAACAAGAAAAGATAAGTCGGAAAATCTTAAAACAAGCCTTCCAATAAAAGAATGAAAATTGAGACTACAAAGACCAAATGAGACCGAGTGCGAGGTGGAAGAGGCAGATATCGGGATTGGAAGAAAAAAAAACAAACCGAATATTGGAGTTCCAAACGGGGAAGTGAAAAATACTGTAATTGGTGTACTACCTATGACCCGTAAATACATACAGATCCTGGTGTCACACCTCATACCCTGTACTGTGTATTTTGCTTTCAACCTAGGCAAGACATTTGTGTTTTCCCCACAAGGTCTGATCCTGGTAAGTAAGTGAGGTCTAGTGGCTTGGAATCGGACCTGGACACGATAAGAGCCCCAACTGTACGGCAGTACCCTCGGTCATCAAGGTTGTAGCGTCGGCCCCGAATATGCACAATGTGTTGTCGGAGCTTCTAGCCCTACCACCGTCTCCTCCATGTCTCGAGATCGGATCGATGGCCTACATGAAATGGAGCCGTGATGGAGGCTGGCTACGTTAGTTTGCTTTTTTTTGCCCCCTCTCATTAATTATTTTTATCACAAAGGCACAATTACTGGGAAATGGTGATGAAAATTTCGACAGCCTGCATAATTCCCCCTGACCCTGCCAAGATGCCCATCTTCATGGACCAATAGTCACCTCGAGTGACACACTTACGCAGCAAGCATGTAATCTATGTACGTGGATACGTGCCTACAGGGTGGTTCTCCCCGTACCTGAGTATGTGTATAGCGCCCTCAAATTATCTCCATTCCCAAGTCATCGGATCCCAGACCCCTCGGAAGATTAAGCGGCGTTCGCCCTACACTACCAAATCAAGACATTGCGCCACATGGACACCTGTCGAGCGGACTGCCGAGTGAGACTTCTGATCCTAGCGAGTTAATTTGGGCTTAACTCAATGGCTAAATACCCTAGACACAAAAGGCGATTGGCCTTGAAGTTTGCTTACCCCATAATCTTTGATCTTACTTAGCTATAAAGAAGACGATCCATGCACCTGGAAGTGGGCACCCACTCAAGCTAATTCCATTCGTTTTTTGGGTATACGTATCCAAATCCCTAGCTCTCAGTCGTTAGTGGTACAGACGTGCATATTGTGTGACCCTCCCTATCGAGTGCCTGGCCGAGATCAAGATGGTTGCCGTGCCAGTCTGGGCCTTGAAGGTCGGCTGCTTCTATGCCTTTATAACATGCGACACTCCCCCCGGTGTTTGGCCTCAGAGCTCGCCGACTGTCATTGCCTACCGTCCTCCGACCTCTACGCCGACCTCTACGCCTACCAGTGTTCCTACCAGTGTTCCTACTAGTGTTCCTACTAGTACTGGCGTGAGCTCGACTGCGATTCTCACTTCGACTGCATCGTCGACTTCTGTCTCGGTGTCGGGGTCTTCCTCTGCCACTCATAGCGGTAGTTCGCCTACAGCCACTGTTACTCCCACCACCACCTTTGTGACTGTTACAACGTCGAACGCAAGTCCTACCGGATCTCCTTCAAGCTCAGAGACTGTCACTCTCCCGTCCAGCACCGCTGTTCACACCGGAACTTCGACTTTCACCGGTTCTTCGTCTGCAGTCTCGTCTTCCTCTACAGTCTCGTCTTCCTCTGCAGTCTCGTCTTCCTCTGTCGTTTCGTCTTCCTCTGCAGTTTCGTCTTCCTCTGCAGTCTCGTCTTCCTCTGCAGTCTCGTCTTCCTCTGCAGTCTCGTCTTCCTCTGTCGTTTCGTCATCTCCGGTCTCGTCTCCGGTCTCATCCACACCTATTTCGTCAAGTGCTACCGCGACTACTCCCACAATGTCCGTCACGCCGTCCGCGTCTCCAACTGCTATCAGCCACGCTGTTTCAGCTGAGATCCTGGTCATTGCCAGAGATGCTGCTTCCGCAAAGGTTGCCAGCTCTGGACTTAATGGATACGGTATCCCATTCAGCACTCTGATCGTTCCCGCCACTGGTGCCGCCCTGCCCGACCTCAATGGCACTGCTGGAGGAAACTTCGGTGGTATTGTCATCTCTGGCGAAGTCAGCTATGACTATGGTGCAACGGGATACCAGAGCGCTTTGACCACTGACCAGTGGACTCAGCTCTATGCTTATCAGCTTGAGTATGGCGTTCGCATGGTGCAGTACGATGTTTACCCAGGCCCCAAATATGGTGCTAGCGCTCTTGGTGGTTGCTGTGACAATGGCGTTGACCAACTTATCTCTTTCACTGATATCAGTGATTTCCCCACATCCGGACTCAAGACTGGCGCCGGTGTCAGCACCACTGGCCTCTGGCACTATCCCGCGACTATCAGCAACACCACCTCCACCAAGCAAATTGCCGCATTCTCTCCCACCACTGGCTTCCCCGATGAGAGTGTCGCTGCTGTTATCAACGACTTTGATGGCCGTCAGCAGATGGCATTCTTCATTGGATTTGACACTGTTTGGAGTTCTACTTCCAGCTACCTGCAGCACGCATGGATTACCTGGATTACCCGCGGACTGTACGCTGGACACCGTCGTGTCCACCTGAACACCCAGATTGACGACATGTTCCTCGAGTCCGAAATTTATCACCCCGCTGGAAATAACTTCCGCATTCGCGCTTCCGACATGGCCAACATCGCCTCGTGGTCTGATGATATCAACAGCAGGATGCCCCCTGGCAGTGCCTACTTTGTTGAAGTTGGTCACAACGGTAACGGAAACATCGAAAACTCGTCCGATAGCTCAGAAGCTGGCTGGGACGCTTGCGGATCTGCCATTGAGTATGACTCACCTCCTGACACTGATCTCGAGTGGAAGAAGCCTCTCGGAACCGGCACTAACCTGTGGCCCGACACACCCAAAACCTACGACTGGACCGAGACTTGCACCGCCATGGATGAGCTCCTTGCGTGGTGGACTACCGAAAGCAACCTCAACAAGTTCGGCCACATCTCCCACACCTACACTCACCTGGAGCAGAACAACGCCACCTACAGCGATGTGCTCAAGGAGATTAGCTTCAACCAGGCCTGGCTCAAGGCTGTCGGTATCGACAAGGCTACCAAGTTCACCTCCAACGGTATCATTCCTCCTGCCATTACTGGTCTTCACAACGGTGACGCCCTTCGCGCCTGGTGGGAGAATGGCATTACCAACTGCGTTGGTGACAACACTCGCCCTGCCTTGCTGAACCCCGTCAATGACATGTGGCCCATCTTTACCACCTTCGATAACGACGGATTCGATGGTATGCAGATCAACCCTCGCTGGGCCACTCGCATTTACTACAACTGTGACACCCCCGAATGTACCACCCAGGAATGGATCGACACCTCAGCTGGTGTCGGTACCTTCCAGGATCTTCTGGAAACCGAGAAGGCCGACACCATGCGCCATCTCTTCGGTCTCTACCACGATGGATACATGTTCCACCAGGCCAATCTTCGGAACGTTGATGTCGAGCCCATCACCATCAACGGCGTGGCGAAGAAGTACTCTATCATGCAGGCTTGGGTTGAGACCCAGGTGCAGGAGTTTGTCCGTCTGGCTGAATGGCCCATCATCACTCTCACTCACCAGGAGGTAAGATAATGTCATGAGAAACCCCTGATATCCTGTTTCCAGTACTAATCGCTTTTAGATGTCCGCCGGTTTCCTCGCCCGTTACAACCGTGACAAGTGTGGTTACTCTCTGAAATACGTCACCGAGAACAAGAAGATTACCGGTGTCACCGTGTCTGCCACCGGCAACACTTGCTCTGAGGCTATCCCTGTGACTTTCCCCGTTGCTCCCACCAGCACCCAGGGCTTCACCACTGAGAAGTTGGGCGTCGACCCCCTGACCGTCTGGGTCAACCTTTCCGGGTCCCCTGTTACATTCACTCTTTCCACTCCCATTTCCTTGTAAGAGTCTTCTAACATGATTCCTTTCTAATTTTGGAAGTGCATATAACTTCCGCCTCTTGTTGATCACCATTTCTTTGTTCTCTCTTGTGGATATCTTTCCGGATGACAATAATATGGTCTATATATTGAAGCTAAATTTGTGATGAAAAAATGCATGCGTTTCTGTTAATACCAATAATGACGGGAAAGGGTTCCATAGGTATGCTCTTAATGACTGATTGCGCCAACATTATGTTGAAGGATCTCTATACCTACAATAACTTTGTCACCATGCCTTGAACACGCTTTGCAGTAGTCAACATCACCGCTACCTTCAGGGCTGAATACAACATAACCTCCTTCCTAAAACAGAAAACCTTGGAGCCTCAACAATGTACTCTGACACGTCATCCAGGAGTCAGACCTGAGCGGAACATTCATCGTAGCCCCGCGCTGCAGGTCCAAAGGCACACGCCATAAGCAAAGAAATACGAGCCATTATCCGCTAGGTATGCCCGACTCAACACCAAAAGGGGAACCCTTCCAGTGCCCCATGGACCTTCGAACCGAACCCGAGACAAATCAATCTTGGCCCAAAAGGCAACCCTATCCGATCTATTCTGACCCAAACCCAAGAGAAGCCTCAGCCAAAAACTGCGTCGCAATGTCTCACTCTATCCTACTTAGTTCACCGCATCATCAGCCATTTTTCCGCTGAACCGGATCTTGTCAGATTGATAAGATGCCAAGCACGAAAAACTCAACATGTCTCGGAAGTCAGAGGCCAGTCAGTAGATAGACCGCAAGTGCAAGTCACAATATCTGCTTTGATATGTGAGCTACAGGGGTAGTAGTAGTAGTAGTAGTAGTAATATTTAACGCCCAGTGGGTCGCAGGTGGTGAGCTACAGGGGTGATGATGCGGGGTACATTGAAAACGCTACTGTGTAGTCTACAATATACTGCGTAGCTATCCAATGGAAGTAGGAAGGTATCTGCCTGGAGCCTCAACGCCAGCCCAACGCCTCACTTTCAGAGCGGGCTCGGGAAGCACTTTCAACCTCCAAGGCACTACCCTATCAGTGCCCGCAATGGAAGAGGCTTAGCTCAATTTGGCATTACGCCTGCGGGACGGCACCATTTCGGGCTTTCCGTCGATGTAGAAGGGTGTGCTGGGTAGGAAAGCCACCCGGTCTCGGGGGGTACTGGGCCGAGTGGGATTTTTGCAATTTGTGTCGTGTACGACGAGTCAAGCTTAGCCTCGAGATTTGCTTTGGAATCAGCCGCTTCAAAAACCAATTGAATTTATCGTACATATTTCTTCCAGTTGAGTGGTTAGCGTGCAGGAGGTAAATATAGACTCATTTAACGAATACGACCAAGTACTGCTTAAGACGAACAAGCTTGGCGTGCAGCTTAGTCCTGACTCCTGAGTCCCGAAATTCTAGATCAGGAACGATCAAACGGGTTAGCCGTTAGTGCTGACTTGTCAAACGGAACCTTTTCGAAGGTGTTAAGCGCGGTCTTGGCGCAGGCTCGAGCTTTGTATCTACGGTGAAAAGTCCTTCATCGGCTCGTATAGAGTGGATATTTGGGATTTTCCGGTCAGTAAGCGGGTGTGGCGTCCAACAGAAGTGCGGGAAGGGGAAGAATCAGGCGATTGGGTTACCGACGAGTTAGATCCCCCCGGCCGATCGGGCTTAGCGTCTTTTGCTTTTCCCCTTTCTTTTAGCGTGTCTTCAGACTTCAATTTGGGCTTAGGGCTTAGCCAAACGTGGATAGGATGGTTTTTGACAGGTCACATGTATCTAAGGACGGCGAATGTAGCGGATACTGACTAACTACTGTATGTCTTTGAATTAAACCGGTATTTATGGTCACATATGATAGATGATTGTGACTGTAGATTGTTACTACATAGTAGAGTGACATTGGCAGATTTTAAATCCATAGGTCAAGATTGAACCCCTGGCACATAGGCGTCATTCAGACAGAATTTCAAGGCATCAGATGATGGGTATCCTTGTTCGGGGCCAGGAGGCTGACAAGTCAGGATTGGTGATCACCGCATCCGAATTGCCGGAATTGCACAGACGAATTTCTAAATCGACTGATCTTGACTTTGAGTTAGCCTGTCTTGGAAGCGGATTGAGTTAGACTTAGGGCTAGCACAAAACAGCGGTTCGGTTCTCGGGTTGTTTGCAAAAATACTCTTGGTTTTTATGATTCAGTAAATTACCAGTGTAGAATACCGCCGTATCATGACAGAGATCGGTAAATAAGACTCGAACTCAATTCTAGACGCCTAAGGCCAAGGCGCTTGCCAGCACATGCATCGTTCCTTCTGTTCATTGGCGATGTTCCAGATGGAGAGGATTCAGAGGTACTGGTTGATCTTGGGAAGTCGTAAGATGACCAATTTATAGTTAGTTTGGTTAGGGACGAAGCTCTGGATGTTTCGCTGGCAAACTCTCCATGTAGTATAGTCACATAGAAGGTTCTTCTTGGCGAACTGAGATTTTCGTCTGATTGAGTCTATTTCGGGCGAATAGGTGCATCGGCTGCAAGCTAGGAACAGCCGGCGTCGCACCCTTCGGTCTATTGGTGACCGGCAACAATGTCCATCTTGGCGATGTGAAAAACTCGACTGTCAGCCCCTGGACTCCTGTGGCTTGCCAATGCCACATTATGGATCTGTGTTTCTCTTTCATTTGTAGGGGGATTGCCTGGTTGCTCAATATTGAGAAAAATCTTCGTTCATAGTAATCATAGTAAGATGATCAAAGAACAAAGAGAGTCAAATTGATCACATGTCTCACCTTAACTTCACTTTAATTTTCCGCTTATTTCATCTTTTGTCCTACCAATGAAGTTGGCAAACTCTTGGCGTCTTCCGCCCTAGGCATCAGCATTTTTGTTCCTCTATTGTCTTCTCCTTTGTGAGTTTCACTATCTATTTGGAAGGTCTAAATTATTTTCTACCGGGGACCCCAGGTCCAGTACTTGGTGCATCCCTTAAGGTCACATTCAAGCCACGGTGATCGCTGGAACCGCAGAAGATCTCCACGCCTCAGCCCCGTTGATCTTGCAATCTGGACCCTGTCGATTTGAGCTTAAAGATGTCTATCTCCCGTTCTAGTGCCTACTGATCTTCACGTCTCCATTTTTTTTCTCTTTCCTCATCATCGCTGAATATTATAATCCACAAGGCTCTTGTTTGGTCTCATCGATATATTAACAAGATCCCCTGAGACCGTCTCCTACATTATCCCCTCCCTTACCCCTCACACCACCGGAAATGAGCGGAATGTCAAAGTCTGGCTGGTGGGCCTGGTCGACTAAGAAGAAGATCCTTGTCATCGGAACCATCGCCCTCGTTATCATTGCATTGGGCGTCGGTTTAGGCGCCGGACTGGGAATCGGCCTGAATCACGGGGACGATGACAATGATGGTGACACCGACACAAGGACTCCAGTAAACACCACCGTGAAATGGCAGCCAGCCGTTGGCACAAAGTGGCAAATCGTTCTGAAGACCGACAACCTCGACACATCAATCGAGGCACCAGTCTACGACATCGACCTCTTCGACAACGACAAAGCCACCATCGCAAACCTCCAAAAGATGGGCCGCAAAGTCATCTGCTACTTCTCCGCCGGCACATACGAGGACTGGCGCGATGATGCCGACGAATTCGACAAGGCCGACCTTGGCAAGAACCTTGACGACTGGCCCGGCGAGAAATGGCTGAACGTCAAGTCCGCCAAGGTCCGCAAGATCATGCAGGCGCGTCTTGATGTCGCTGTGGAAAAGGGCTGCGATGGAGTGGATCCTGATAACATCGACGGGTACGACAATGACAATGGACTTGGTCTTACTGAGGCTAAAGCTGTCGACTACGTGAACTGGCTGGCCGGGCAGTCTCACAGCCGTGGTCTCTCTGTTGGACTCAAGAATGGCGCGTCCATTATCCCCTCTGTTATTGAGAACATGCAGTGGTGTGTTAATGAGCAGTGCGCTCAGTATGACGAGTGTGATACGTATGCTGCCTTTGTTCATGCGGATAAGCCTGTCTTCCAGATCGAGTACCCTAAGGGTGATACGACGAATAACAACAAGGCTGTGTCGACTAAGCAGTTGAGCTCTGCTTGTACGGCGCACAAGTCGGGTAACTTCTCGACCGTCGTTAAGAATATGGACTTGGATAATTGGGTTGAGTACTGTTCCTGATTTGGTTGGGTTTGGACTGGGCTCATCATGAGATCATTGGAATTTTGCATTGCATGTATCAGTACCTAATAAGACATTTATTTCAGCGCATTATTCAAAACATTCTTCCTTCCATGGATCTCAAGCGCCGTGTATCAGTTGGATGTGTGCACTGGTAATTCGTACGAAGCGCATGACGCCTATATTTCCCAGGTCGAAAGACATGTGAAGCTAGGCATCCTCAGCCCTTGACGTCTTACACAAAAGTATCTTCCCGTCTGGGTGGAGGGTTTTATCGCACCAAAATTTTGGAAACTCACGTTCGGCTACCATAACCATGGACAGACGGTGACGAGATTCGATACCACAGTACCGCAATCACATAGAACTGGAAGCGAAAGCGCTCTGTGGCGGCTCCCTTGGGACATCGCAGACAAAGCCCAACGCGAGCCGACAATCGCCATATTCTACCCGAACAGGAGCCCATGTTCACCAACACCATCACCCCAAACTCAGCTACGCCCATCCATCAAAGCAGCCCAACACCATCTAACGTCGGCTCTCTGAACCCCCGACTCCGAGTATTGGCACCAAGGCCAGGGGCAATGCTTACCTCACGACAGAAGACCCAACGAGCCGTGCCACCCTCGGTGCAAAGCTCTCATCTTTTCTAGCGTCGTCATCTCTGCTGTGGCTGTGACCGTTGCCGCTAGTGCGGATTACGAGCCTCCTATTGTTTTTCTGTGTGTCCGATTCGTTCCTTCGTGAAGCGAGGAAGGCGTTTAGATACTGCCGAGAATAGACCATTGCTTCGCGAGGGCCTGTTTTGTTTGTGTTGACACTTACACCATGGCTATAGTGAAGGAATAATGAATTGAACAACGCGTCGTTTATCCGTTCTAGTACCGATTGCCCGGAACCTTCTGTAAACAGCCCCGCTGACAAAGTCACTTGATCTACGGAGTATACAAGACTCGTTTCCAAGGAAGCCTATTCAACGCCGAGGCTCGGAAAAATATATACGCCGGCATCCTAGCGCGTTTGAAGCATTCACGGCAGATCCATCCAAGAAATGGAACTCAACTTAAGAAATTCGCGCAAACGAGCAACCGCAACACCTCACATACGATCGTCGATCCCGCCTTTCTAGCGCACCAAACGAGCATACAAACCGCAAAGAAGATAAAAACAGGTGAGATTTTCCTATCGGACGACAGCGAAGACTTGGGAGCTATCGATTATTCAACTATTGTTTGCTTATCTTGGCGTTCTTGGCATGTACATCTGGACCAGGTCGGATCGAAGCTGTCACCTCGGTGTCATTGGTTAGTGTATCCGAATCTTCCAAGAACCTTCGGCCGGGGAAAGTGGGCTCTTCCGGTAATTTTTGGTTAGCCATGTGGTTTTTACGGGTGGGTTCCGTGGTTCGGGGACACGCTGCTTACTCCGTACAAGTGTTAAGGCTGTGTATTTTTCTGATGTTTTATTTCAATACAGCGGGCTAATTACATACACCTGCTGGTACGTGTATCAGGTACCCGTCGTAAATAAAGGAAAGTGGACTACTCAGAATGAGTTTATCCCCGCCACTCCGCCGACTCTAGATCTTGAATCACGACATGTCAGATTTATCATCATACGGGGATCGTTAACTTCTACTTCTACATGCCCTTTCGTCATTGCCCTTGCATAATGCGCCGGAGGGCTGAGAATTTGAACTCGCTTACCGGAATAGGTAGGTGTGTTGTTTTATGCATTGTAACTACATACTCAATCGATGCTTTGTAGATATAATGTAGCATTGCCGAAAATAAGCTGATCAGCCTCTGCGCTGCATGACTGACCGCAATCGACACAAGTCTCATCTCAGAATGAGATAATATACATGTCTCGCATCTTGCAGCCGAGAATACGAAGACCGGTGAAGGATTCAATGCCGACCGGAGGTTGCCGTAGCTGCGCCATCTTGTCTCCTGTTCTTTTTCTTTATCCGGCGCTTCTAAAGATGTAGCTGGCTAGCTGGCTCGAACCCCTTTCGTGTCGGCTATGTGTATACCCAGTGATCCGAGTGATGCTACTCGGATCACGTCGTCTAAAAAAGCAATAAGCCGCGAGATGAGAGGGCGCTACGATCGGCTGCCCGAGTGGCTATCCCGGGCGGATATTCCCCGTGAACCCATGGATGGCGGTGCTTATTGGTGATGGAGCTCAGCGGCTAGTAGGTAGTTTTTGCCACCTCGTTTTGGTGCTCGTCACGTTCGGCACATATTTCTACATGTAATATCGAGCTGGCAGTGCTATGACGGAAACCGTTCACCAAGGGGAGGTCCAAATTAGTGCTTACAAGGCTTAGAGACTAGGTAATGAACCTGATGGCTAAGCGAGCTGACGAGAGGTCTGGAATGTGTTGTTCTCCACAACCAAAATAGGTCGGGTGTGAATAACCTCGATTCGAGTGTCTGAGTAGGATTTTGGAAGGAATGCAGGATAAAGCGAGGGACCATGCGAACCCGATATCAGATCTGGACTCACGAGCGGAGAATCGTTCACCGCGGTATCCAGATCTAGACGTATCCACTTATGCTTGTTGGAAGTGATCACGCTGGGCTTGGTCCCGTCTAGGCGTCCTCAAGGGCTGATGTTGATGACTTGCCCCGGCAGCTCTTCCGGGATACTATCAGCGTTAGCTCTGTGTTAGGGATCACCAGCTGAACAGCTCCAACTACGACATGTAAAGTTACCAAGTAGCAAGTTGATCATAACTATGTGAAAGTGTTCGCGATACTCCTGCTCTATGAGTCTAGTTTATCGCACCTACCAAAGTCAAGCATGGACAAGATATAGATCGCACTCGTAGCGGACTACCAGGATCCACCGGGTATCCCAAGAAGGAATGAAGCACCAGACAAGAGATCAATATCGACCGCAACAGTAGCATTTCCACCGCCACCGGGGACAAGCCAAAAGCTTCAATTCAAACTGAGAGCTGTGCGTCGTGTCTTAGTGTAACAGCGTCCGACGGCGGTCGAGTCTAGTTCCTGGAAATATGACTCCGCTGGATAGAACAGGTCGAGTATGCAAGCTCCAGCCGCATTGCACCACGTTATACCTACATGCATAGGCTGTCTTTGTTCAAATGCATGATCTCAGTTGGATATCAGGCTTAGCGATGACCTATGCCTAGTGTCAACCTAATGCACTACCCGATTTCCGTTGGTCACGTCATGTCCTACTCTGCCGTTGTAGTAGGTTATGCTCAAGCTTGCTCACTAATCATACTCTATTTAACCGGGCTTGGAAAAGGAGTATTGTAGCTAGGCACCTGGCACTAGTATACTTGGCTCAGTTTCGGCTCTGTCTCAAGATGTTCCAGTTTACTATACCCCGATCTGTATCCAGGAAGCGCACCGCCAATTGAAACGGTGGCTGGAACTATTACGCTTGCCAAGCCCAGTCCAGCGCCAGACCTGCAGGGTTATTTTGGGATTTCTACTCCGTACCAAGGTTTGAGATGGCATTGTGTGTGCGTGCGCTCCATACAGAGCGCTACATTATCTGCATGTTTCAAGGATCGATCGGATGGGCGGTAACTCAGAGACATTGCGACGTAGAAGTCTGGGCTGATTCGTGACCCAATAAAGGAAGGTGTGCAGACCTTGTTAGTTACTTGGAACATGTTTATATCGCCACCTTTTGCTGCCATCGTCATGAACAGCTCACGGTGTGCCACGTCTGGTTGAGGCTCGTATCGAGCGGAGATTATACGACAAACGGCCTCGCTTCGATCCTAGACATTGAATGCCCTGATCTCAGATCTGTAGCCGATGGTAGTTTTTTTTACCTTCGCCACATGTTCCATTTGACAGGTTCGCGGTGAATGGTGGAAATGGGTGCACCTTACATAGAGGCTTACATAGTGCATGTATCGGTGTATCGAATTCTTGGCGTTCGGAAAGACGGTAAGAAAAAGAACAAGTGAAAATTACCACAATACGCATTCCCCACTCCATCTTGCCCTAAAAACGTACGATAGCTCCCAATAACGAAATCGACTGAGATTGTGTATCGATATGACAGGGGAATAGACGGAGAATTTGTCATTGCATACATTGTGCCAGATCATGAAATCATTCAATCGTAGTACAGAAGTAGATTCGAAAGATCAGTTGAATCATTAAACCAACTGACCAAAAACATGTTAACATGTCCAAAAGCACTTACTCGCTGATCCAATTTGTGCAGTGCATAACTATCACATGAAGATAAGATGACCTATTCACATATCAAGCCGCCATCAAATCGACGAATTCGGTCCATTTAGACCCGAATGAGGCATAATAGTTCGTATCCAGATGAGTGATGTACACCTCGTCGGCAACCTTGCGCACCTGCTTCACGAGACCGCGAAGCGACTTGCCCTCAACGGTTTCAGGCACAGAGTGAACGATAGCGCAAAGTTGTGTGCGATTGCTGTCAGCAATACTGGTGAACAACTTGGCGCCCTGCCGTTCTTGGAAAGTGGCGTAGGCAGCTTCGAACACGACCGTTGAATCAGCTGTTGCCAAGTACCGAGAGTCGGGAACAGCACCTGGATTATGAACGACCTGGATAGTGTTGATTAGTATTCATGGAGTTCGCCTATGTATCCCAGAAGGGGAAGCCGATGTGATGCTGTGGAATATGGAGTGTATAGGGATGGGGGATCAATAAACCCATAGTGTGGCTTCAGGGCGGGGAATAGTGAGGCGAGGGTAAACGGGGATAAAATAGGACAAATCAAAAGAACGAAAGATGTATAGAGCCCCAAGAGCCATGACGCTGGACAGGGGTGTGGTATGGTGGCTGTGGATAGTTGTAAAGTGGGATAAAAAACAGGGTCTCAGCATGAAACGGACTCACAAATCTATCAGGACCAAGACCATCGAGGTCCTTAACAAAGTCCGTCAGTCCTTTCAAATACGTGAAGGTTTGAGCATCGTATTGTTGGGGAGTTTCATCGAAGAAGATTCCTCGAACCGCCAGGTTTGGGTTGGATGAATTGGTAGGCCAGTCGGCATAGGTTTGAATATCCTGGCGGACAGCAGACACGTTTCGTTTGGCGTATGAGGTGTACACATAACCCAACAGACGCACGTTTTGGTAAGCAGTGAGCCTGGGGATTTCGCGGGTGTAATTGGCATCTGGGAGGGCGAGAGGCCCAGGACCGTTTCCTGGATTGATTACGACGGTAAAATTGACATCTGGGTGGGCAGAGATCCTGTGGTGTTCAGCAGTTGTACTTTTGCATTCATTTCTTTTTTTATTCTCCGGTCTTATTTCGATCCGTGGTGGTTTGGCGCCCGAACGGCGCGACACAACTGTGAGTGTGGCGGTCTACCGGCCGGGATAGAATGAAATATCGGGGAGGGCAGAAACTGGGATAAAAGGGGGGTGATGAGATGAAAAAGGTTAGACATACACATTTTCCAGCGGCGTCCAAGCCTCAGGAGCAGGGTACACGTAAAGTGGAACGAAGACCTTTGCTTTAGGACCCATATTGTCTTTTTTGCGAGTAGTGACCACAACGGGGGGGACAACGGCAGCAATAATGACAATGAGGACAACGATTGCTAAGATGAAACGAGAGCGCTTCGACTTAAGACATTTGCGCTTGCTCACGTGTTTTTCAGGTTCCGACATATTGTGTTACAGCGATAAGGTGAAAGGAAAGAGAATAGAAAGTGGTTTCACGAAGACTCTCTGTATACATAAGGCTATGGATTCATACAGTAGCGATCAGCTAAATATCAATGGATCAGATCGAATTGCATCAGTACAAAGTGTTAGTGTCATGGCGCCGAAGTGGATGGTGGGGGCTTAACTGCAGAAAGGGTGTTGAATGAGACCTAGAAAAAATCGTCAAAAATCCAAAGAAAATAATAATTGCATTATTCAATTAGCCAAGCTGAGCCTTTCACGTACCGGGTGGAGGCACATAGAGCCTTGGAAGTACAAAGCATCCCAAGGCCCAGCCGCATGTCTGGCCCACCAAGGGGGATCCTGCCCGATGGTGTTCCACCTAGACAGTTCGTGCCCACGCCTCCCCTAATACCCTCTTTGTTCTTTTTTTATTCCGCTTATGCTTGTGCCATATACTTTCTTTTTCCATTTTTGCCGGAGACGGTATTGAGTCCTGATTCGCCAAGCAAGGATGACATTATATATGAACTCAAAAGGTGAACCCTGAGTCAGGAAACGCAGGTACCTCGCTTGAGTTGTATAAAACCTTGGTGAACGGCCCACTGGAAGACCAGAAAGTCTCAGTCTTCGTCATATGATCGCATCGGACATTTCTTGTTTCTTGTGTCACTGGCGGTCATTATAACCGAGCTATAAATCATTGATCATTCGTCTGATGGAGGCCACATCAAGTTCCATTTCAAGGTCGGATAGCCCCCAGATGTCCGATAGGAGTAGTCCTGCCTGGTCACCTCTTTCCCTGGACACACCTGCAACAGAGGCGGGAGATCCATTCGACAACCTCCATGAGTTGTTGCGCAACATCCCGTCGGAAAGCCATGTTCTCGTCACCGGCGGCCTCGGCTTCATCGGCAGCCACACAACACTTGAGCTGCTCAAGGCAAGCTACAACGTCATTGTGATCGACAATCTCAGCAATGCATTCGAGAACGTTTTCGACCGTATCAGCCTCCTGGCCAAGAAATACCATGCGGAGAATGGCAGTAGAATGCCATCTATGCGATTGCATGCCCATGACTATCGCGACACCAAAGCTCTTGAAGCGCTCCTTGAAGAGTACCGGCTACCTTCCCGGTGGGGAACTCCCAAGTCGAAAATCGCCGGAGTCATCCACTTCGCAGCATACAAAGCCGTTGAAGAGAGCATTCGGAAGCCATTGAAGTATTACTCCAACAACGTCAGTGGTCTTGTCGACTTTGCCTCAACTCTGGGAGATTTCGGTATCAAGACCTTCATCTTTTCATCTTCCGCCACCGTATACGGAACCCTTGCGACGTCAGGCCTTCCATTGAAAGAAGAACTCTGTGTCCACAAGGAAGAGGTATACACAGATCACACAGGCTCGCAGAAAGTCATGCAACCCGGCTGCACTGGAATCACCAACCCATATGGACGCACGAAATGGATGTGTGAGACCATCTTAGCCGATTTGGCCGCATCAGATCCCGAGTGGACCATTGTCGCCCTCCGCTATTTCAACCCTGTCGGCTGCGATTCATCGGGCCTCTTGGGTGAGGACCCAAGACAAGCACCGACAAATCTACTTCCAGTCGTTGTCAAGGTGATGACCGGCCAGTATTCCGAGCTCTCGATGTTTGGGACAGATTGGGAGACCGAGGATGGCACTGCCGTTCGTGACTTCATCCACGTCAGTGATTTGGCTCGTGGGCATATTGCTGCGCTCGGTTCGGCCACCGAAGGGAAGCTGGCAGAGAATTTCCGCACATTCAATCTCGGAACAGGGAAAGGAAATTCCGTGATGGACGTGGTCAGCACTATGGAGTCAGTCATTCAAAGGCCCATTCCTCGACGGGCCGCACCCCGCCGTGAAGGTGACGTTGGAGCCTGTGTTGCGGTTGTCGAGCGATCATCGAATGAGCTCCGGTGGAAGACGGAGAAGACATTGAAGGACGCATGCCAGGACATCTGCAACTTCTTGGATGTCAGTGGTCTGTCTTCATAGCAGGCGCTTGCACTCCTCGGCCAGCTGTGATCATTTTCTTTTCGCTTGTTCTTAATACCTACCACCCGAAACATGGCCGCGCTGGAGGCTTGTGTTTCGGTATAATGATTGTTTGTATGTGCTTTCTCTTTGCATTAGCATATTCCTTGGAGTTGCGTCACTTGTGAGCATTCTCGGCCATGTCTGCTGTTTCGCTTCTGGGCGTATACCATGTATACGCATCCTTTTCAGCTAGAGTCGAATTGAGTAAAAGTTCTGCTTTGATGTCTGCATTTGTAGAGGGTACACAATGGCATTCCAGAAACCATCTGTTGAGGTTGAGGGCTGCAGAGCAATTGGGGAGACGAAAGGGACGCCTGAGGCCAAGGTGACAATCTTATAAATCGCGTGAATTGAAATCTTTGGAGCTCGGAATGACAATGAGTCAAGATTTTGCCTGCTTGAGAATTGTCGAGGGGCTTTGTTGTGGTGGCAGGTGCTACTATCGTGATTTGTGGAACACTCACGTGACGTATCTCCGTCTTGGCATCAAATATGGCCGCAGTTTTCTGCGACATCTCCATCCGCGCCGGTCTTATTGCATCCTCCACGAATTCGGGACCCATTGTCGACTCGGGTCCTCCATTTGAAATCATCATCTCATTTAATTTGATCTTTCATCTTATTTCCACACAACTCCCATAATGATCTGCAAAAGCTGCCGCACGACGGTGTTGTCTCGGCTGAACCAGCAGCCCGTGAGCCGGACAGCCTCAACATGCGCGCGCCAGCTCCCTATGCTCCGCAGCCAATTCCGCTCCTACAGCACCGATAACAACCCCTCCGTGGCCGCTCCTTCTTCCCCGCCCGCTCCCCGTCAACCTACGGTCGGCGACCTCACAACCCCGTCCGCCATCTCCTCCGCAACCCCCGGCATCTCCCAGCCTTTGAGCACCCCCGAAGGCGTGCACGCTGATGTCAACCCCAGTGCTCCCACAAAACCCACGGCTGTGCGCCCACCAAGCAGCTGTCCGGCCGGCACCAAACTGAATGGCCTCAACTACTTCAAGAACAAGCCCGATGTCTTCGCCAAGGAGGACCACGAGTACCCAGAATGGTTATGGGGCCTTTTAGGAGATGCTTCCAAGGAAGCAAAGACCAAGCAGGGTGGCGTTGACCCAAGCAGTACGTTATATCAATACTCCATTCTTAGCCAGTCGCTAACCCTTCCGCAGCCTTGAACAAGAAGCAACGAAAGCGTTACGAAAAGAAGCTGGCGGCTCGCACCGGTCCCCTCGCCGCTAAGATCCCTGCCCACCACAACGCCTTTGATATTACCCCGGCCCCCTACAACCGCGAAGAACCTTCAGCAGATGCCATGGCCGAAGCCACCTCCGGCGTCGAGCAGCGCTCGGAGATTATTCGGAGTGCTCGCGAGGCCAGACGGAAGGCCATTAAGGAATCTAACTTCCTGCGTGGTCTGTAAGTTTTTCATGTGGGTTTCAGTACAACATGGAAGCGGTTGTACTTGTTGGGCTTGACTTCGATGCGCCCGGAACCCCTCAGCATCGCACTGAATATTGGATAGACCGGGCCTCAGGGGCATCCGGGATGTATTATTACACTGATCTGTTTCTCGATTGTGCTATATATCAAATGATACTTGTGTCAGATTTACACTCACTGCAAACATCCCCAGAACAAGCCGCCACTCGTCACCGAAGTCGAGGTATACCACCTACTGAGGAATCGGCCACTCCTTCTCATCTCCCTGCCCTTCGAGCCAGGGCAAACAAGCCTCATAAAGCCTCTTCAACTCCCCATCGCCCAGAGCCATGAGCTTCTCAAACGTCCCCTTCGCAAAGCGCTGGATGAAAGCCAACATCGCAGCAATAGTAATATCCGCATACCCAGCCCTCTCCCCCTCCAAAAACAGCCCATTCTTCCCCTCCTTCCCCTTCAACATCTTAACAAACGTCATATACTCCGTCTCCAAGATCTGCCACAGCCTCTCCACCTCCTCATCCTTCGCCTTAACCTCAGAAAGCGGCTTCCCGAACCACTCCGCGCGCGTTCGATTAAAATACTCCCGTCCGCGCTCATCCAAATGAGATGGGACATTGGGTATCACCAGACCTACGAGGGCCTCCCGGCATACCGACAGCGACTTCGACACAGCGACGACGAGTGCGTAGCTCGCATCACCGGAGGGGAAGAGCGGAGGCGACGGGTACAGCTTGTCGATGTACATGGCGATCGGGTCAGAGTCCATGAGCACGCCGTCAGGAGTGCTGGATTTCAAGCCCTCGTGGGCAATTGCGGGCAGTGTGTAGGGCATGAACTTTGACTCGCCGGGTGCAACGCCGTGGGCCTTGAGGAGGGGCGCGATGTCAGGGTATGAGACCCAGCTTTGGGTGTAGGGGATTCCTTTGAAATTGAGGACCATTCTGGTCTTGAGGGTGCTCGGAGACCATGATTTTTCGTGAACTGGTGGTGCGTTAGTGGTTTGTGGTCTGTTCGTTTGAAGGGTTAGATATGGGCGGGTGAGTACCAGGTAGGGTCGAGACGATGTCGAAGAAATGGATTGGGTTGGATTCGGCCATGGTGGTTGTTTCGTTTACAGTCTGTATGCGTTTACTGTGTAGATTTGAGGCAACTGGCTGGACGTCCGAACTGTGACTCAGTCCTTATGTACTCAGTACCTACTCCTTACCTACGAAGCGGGGGAGGATCTTGATTTATCAGCTGTGGAATGTATCCATCCATCCTCCCGGTCAATCAAAGACCGACAAGCTCTGCCAGGTGGAGCCTTGGAAGTCAGCAGAAGCTTTACTGGCCGCCTTTGAGGGTTTTTGAGGCTTTTCGCATTGGTTGCAGAGCTAGTGCTAAGTGATGTAGCATCAAGGTAGACTCATACACATAGACTCTCAACATATCTCAGAGCTGCCTATAGTCTATACGCAGTCGCGTATTCACCGAGATGCGCCACGTTGTTAGTGGGGAGTCTCGTGGACGCACGGGTCACATTGGGGCCTTTTCTCCTGACATCAACGACACGAAGTGGCATAGGTATCTCTCACCTCTGCATATATTGCATATATTGAGCTTCATACTACTCCGTACAGCGTACTCGCTAGAACCCATCCTCAAATCCAGAAAGCTGACGCGCTCCCGGAGTCCCGTCCCTGAGACAAGCGGGGCAACGGCGATCATTGCCAATAAGCTTACCCCTCCACCTACCCCAACCGCTGGACGGTTGCATCACTCATACCGGAACCCAGATAGAGAACGATAACGGTTCAAAATGGAGACGGTCGAATCTCTTGTCGACCGTGCGAAACACCTCGTCCTCCACGATGCACCAAACCCACATTCTTACACCGTGGACCAATTCCACCCGACTGTGGAAAAGTATATCGAGCAGATCTACAAATCTGTTCATGCATATGCTCCGAATACAACCTATTTCCTGAATGAGATTCAACATGATGCTGCCATCGTGTCTAAGGCGGACGCTTTGGCGTCTGTGGATGCGTTCCACGCTTACATGAAAGATGCCAACTCATCGGCCATGGTTCCGGAAGAAGCACTGGATCTTTCGGCGCCTCTTTCGGACTACTTCATTTCGTCGAGCCACAATACTTATTTAACTGGGAACCAGCTGTACAGTGATGCTGCTGCTAGTGCCTATACATCTGTGAGTTAAGGTGTCGTGGGATATTACTCTTGGCGAATGCTGCGATCTCTCAGTGCTCACTCTTGGAATTTACTGATGCCTGCATAGGTGCTTCTCCGCGGCTGCAGGTCTGTGGAGATTGATGTTTGGGATGGAGAGCTGGACACTCCAAGCACGAGCGACGGCGAAACAAGCAGCGACAGCAGTGATCCAGAGGCAGAAGATGGCCAAGGTCTTAGAAGCAAGCTGAGAGGGAAGATGAGGTCGAAGAAGGATGGCAAGGAAAAGGCAGCCAAAGGACCGAAAGAAAGTGTCTCTTCCAAGCTGGAAGCAAAATTCGACGACGTGCTGCGTCGCAAATCTTCCAAATCGCCCCAGCAACAGTCGGAAGAAGTAGCGACTAGCCACTTGCCTGTTCAGCCTGAGCCCCGTGTGCTGCATGGACATACCCTCACTAAAGGCACCACGTTCCGTGAGATCTGCTATGCGATACGTGAGAGTGCCTTTGTTGCCAGTGATCTTCCGCTGGTCATCAGTCTTGAAGTTCACGCCTCTCTCGAGCAGCAGCAGACGATGGTTGATATCATGCAAGAGGCATGGAAAGGATTGTTGGTCGAGGCTCCGTCGGATGACGCGAAGCTTCCACCGCTGCTTGATCTGAGGAAGAAGATCCTTATCAAGAGCAAATGCGGCCCACTCGGTGGCCAGAATCTCGAAGACGAGCCTCTGACGCCACAGAATACCCTTCAGACAACCTCGAGCCAGCAGCAGCAGCCGCCGCCGAAGCCATCAAAGATTCTAGACGCTCTAGCTAACATGGCCGTTTATACCCGGGGGTATACTTTCAGTCATTTCGACCAACCAGGTATGTATTCATGACGGTAGACATGGCTGATCGAAGTATGCTAATAGCCCAATAGAGGCGAAGGTCCCCTCGCACATCTTCTCGCTTTCCGAGAAAGCAGCGCGGGAAGCCCACATCAACCACCCTGACGCTTTGTTCGAACACAACCGCAGATCCCTGATGCGAATCTATCCATACGCATTCCGCATCAACTCGTCCAACCTCGACCCGACATTCTACTGGCGACGCGGCGCCCAGATCGTAGCATTGAACTGGCAGAACCTCGATAAAGGCATGATGCTCAACCACGGAATGTTCGTCGGCAGCCACGGCTGGCGACTGAAGCCATCCGGCTACAGAAGCAGCACCGCCCCGACGAACGTTCTCCAGCGCCGCAGCATGACCCTCTCAATTGAGGTCTACGCGGCGCAAGATCTGTCCCTGCCAGAAGGCGACACCAGCGAGAAGGGCTTCAAGCCCTACGTTAACTGCCAGCTGCATGTTGAGGAAGCAGGAAACGAGGACATTCCGGCTCCGGACGACGCCAGCTCCGACGATGATAAAAGCAGCTACCGGCGGTGCACGAAGAGTTCTTCGGGGCGGAATCCTGACTTCAAGGGACAGAAGTTGGAGTTCCCGACCGTGACGGGAATAATTGAGGAATTGAGTTTCTTACGGTCAGTCTTTGTTCCCTGCTCTCTTGATATTCTGTCAATCCTTTACCCTGTTTTCCTCGTGCTTTCCCCTCACCCCTATCCTCGTCGCTCTTCTACAATCATCCTTGCTGCATTTCTCTCTCACAAACAGCCCCATTTTTGCACAATGCAGGGTTCTTGCCTGCATTATGATATCCGTCGCGGACATATGCACTCACCCGCATGAGCACAAACCGAAGAGTTTGGCTTTGCCTTTGCTTATTCCTGCCCTTCTCTTCTGGACACGGAGGGAATGTGTGGGCTCAAGCTTAGCAGTGACTGGAAACCCACATTTACCACCATACACCCTGTTCCCACATGCTGTTCATCTTTCAGACATGCAAGCACACCATATAAGAAAAGCCACTAACCAAAATCTGCATCAGATTCAAGATCAAAAACGATGAATTCGGTCGGGATCCCTTGGCCGCATGGGCTTGCATCCGACTTGACCGGCTGCGGGAGGGTTATCGGTTCGTTCACCTCCACGACTGCACTGGCGAGAAGACTGGCGGTCTCCTTCTGGTGAATATCAAGAAGCAGTTGGTTTAGTTCGTCGGCACGATGTCGTCACAGAAGCATTTGTTTGTCCTTCCGGGACTGTTAATACATAGCATAGTGTGACGTATGCAGAGCGACTATTTGTCTTGGGTTTGGGCAGGTAACCGGGCAGCATGTCGCACGACACCCATCACACTGCCACAACAGGCAAGAAACCAACCTTAGGTTGCAGGAAATGCATCTGCAGATATGATAAATCTACCCATGTACAACCTCTCCCAAGGTTGTATCACAATCTCATTTTCGACAGCAAACCGCACATCGGAACTGGCAACTCCGAGCTCTCGGTCTTTCCCGGAAATGTATATCATGCAGAGTCATACCGGAGTATGTCGTAGACATAAACATATTGGACCTATGTGCTTAGCATCTCCGCACTGGTACTACTAGTCTTACCGAGAAGTTGTCCAGCCGAAGGTGTCTCTGCATACTACACAAATGCAGACATAGCGAATGTACAGCCGGGCCTCGAGTTTGGTGTTGATCATGTCTGGTTTTGGTCAGGAGGCTCCGTTGGCACTGGGTAGGGCGGGAATATGTACGAAGTACGGCGTACTCCGTACATAGGCGGGTTGTTGTGCTTGTGTCACTTGTTGACGGCTTTGGCCTCGAAGCTGCATGATGCATGGCACGGATGCCACGCATGAGATTGAGAAGATGGGGTCATATATGCTGGGGTTTCCAGAAGATAGATGCAAAGGTTGCATATTGCAATTTGAGACTTGTGAGATAGTGAGCTGTTGACAATGTTGCAGTGTTTGCCTTGATACATCTGGTCAGTATCTGTGTCTTTTGTCACATTTCCTGGTCTTTGGTGAGATTATGATATAGGGAAAGAGACACGCCTGATAAACAGGGGTACCGCCTGTATAAGACTGTGATATAGGTGCCACAAGAGGATTGTCGGGGGAGACCGTGGCGGGTGGCGGTCCGACTTTGTCTTTAGCCTATATTGTTGTCAAGTATGCGGACACGCAAACATAAAGTCATGCATGCTGCGAGCCATTATCCATAGACCCCCACCATAGGTATCACACCATGTGAATTGACAGAAGATCGGTGAGAGAAACAACCTGAAACTACCCTTTAAGGTGCCCTTGAAGGGCGGACCGTGAGTGATCAACGTGCCAAGCGACATGCATCAGATTGATCAACACGGCTAAGTGGAGACCAAGAACAAAAGTTGACCGGTAATCCCCCCGATAAAGTTGAGAGGAGATGACAAGCAACCAATACGAGATATTCTCCACATCGTCACTAAGATCGTCAGGGCAATTGGTGAAGTGAAGAGCATGGGGGTGTCGGGATGTGCTTGGAGTCATCCGAGGTTGTTTACACAGTAGACAAGTATTTGTCATTCCGCATTCGGGAGGAGCCTTGACTAGATGGAGGGGTTCATGCGTCCAGTCGAACTGTGATACTTGCCTGCATAACCAACCACCATAACCTGGGTGACCGGGGTGAAGAGGCCAACAGTCCTCGTCGAGGCTCGATTTAGCCAATGATCGGGCTTGATCTCTTTTCCACGAATGCGACCCACATTCAAATACAAACAACCAATCACAATATCACAATGACCGAGATGGACCGAGCTCAGGGCGCCATCTTGATCTGTCATGGTCCCATGGAGTTCTGGGGTTGATACGTCAACTGCTAATTTTGCTGGACTTTCAGCCTTTTTACCAGTCTTCCGAATGACTCAGTCGACTTGATGCGAGCTGCCGATGCATAACAAACATCTCAATGTCTTCTTTTTGAATGCTAGGTGCATCTCAGGCCCAGGGTCCAGCGAAATAACAAACATCAACTCTCAAGGCCGGGAAGGCTTCGACAGGTACCGAGGGGATGGTTATGATTGGTTTTTAGTGGGGCCTAGTGGCGTGTAGGATGATTCTCTGTCATTTTCTGTGATCCCTATGCCGCAGAGTGCATATCAAGACAGGTCTCCATCTTGCGTTGCAACCTCAGTGGCTGGTTGAAGAACAAAGAGAGTGGAAGGAGACTCTCTTTCTAACCGAGTCGAACACTTGAACTGACTTTTGAGATTTTATTTTATTTTATTTATTTATCTCTTTCTCTTTTCATTCTGTTTCCTTCTGATTTGTCGATATCTTCTCGATCACGGGGCTACATCACACCTGATCTATTCCTCTGTGTCCTTCGGTTTCTTTCTTCCTTATACTGGACACCTTATAAGGACCCTCCATATCTCGTTCTATTCACATTGCCTGGCCTCAGACTTCATCTTAGACAAGAATATAAATCTCACTCCGCAATCAGACTCGGAACAGATATCTAATCACAACCATCCTCCTTTCTGCATCCCATCTTCGCTCAAATACCTACACATCATTATACAATGACTTCCTCAACGACTTGCGGCACACCAGCGTGCTCAGCCTCTCCTGCTGTCTCCAAGGTTTGTACTCTGAGTCCTTTGACGAAAGCATGCTGACTGGTTTTGCAGATGCCTGGTGTGCGATGCCCCAATTGCCAAGCACAGGGGAAAGAAGTCTGGGTGATCCCCGGCAAGAGCTGCCACATCTGTCACACGCCTTGTGCATGATAGACTCGAGACTTTCTTTGGAATATCTCTCATGTACGAGGGAGGTTTCTTTCGGTGTTATCTGTTGCTTTGATTGTCTCAAACCTATGAGGTGAATCACCTCGATGAATCATATGGTGCTACCATTTGGACGGGGACTTCAAGTCCTGAGTTTATTCGAAGCATATGATGTGGAAAAGCAGGTAAATCTCTTGATCCGCAGTTTACACTCAGTTGCGATAGAGTGCTACCAAGGGAAGGGCGCAATAGGGTGCTTTTGTCGGGTTCCCGTTGATGGGGTTGCTTTCTTCTCTTCTTTTGGCTCTTCTACATGACTTCAGTCTTCTTTTCTCTTATTACTTATTTCCATGTTTATAACGAGATATGACATGTTTGCTTTTCTTTCTGATATCGAGAATAAACAATGAACAGCTATAAGTATCTACGGCCAAGTCTCTTGCTATGTTCCTGAGAACCTAATCCTTTATCAGATCCACTTCTACATCCACCGGTCAAGTTCAATTGACCCTCTTCGGGTACTTTTGTCGCATAAGTAGCCCTTTATACCCTTAAGTACTCCTATAACTAACTAACTAATAGTTGCATATGACATAATCCAACCCTCTCCCATAGTTAACTAGTTACTGCGTAGTGTGCCTATGGCAACTGGCCAATGGGCATAGGCACAGTATGCAGCTGAATACCTACTCAGATTCAAAATCTCAGCCCATGTCTATGGAAGTAGTCATATTAAGATATAGTCTGAAGTAAAATTAAGCACAGAACACGACGACACGCATCTTGGCTGTAGATCATATCAAAGTCTAATATCGGCAGGGTACATCCTATTTCCACTCCATGCTTGATACCTGGTCATATACTTCCCCAGCCTTTGGGGAAGTGAAGCTATCACCTAGTTCCCACAAAATAGCCATGCGCAGGTCGAGCACATAAGCATGACAAGAGGAAGAAAGATCAAAGGTCTGAAACTTTTATTGCATTGCTGACGAATGAGCCCAGCTCATTGTTTATACTAATTTGTATCTTGTAGGTAGGCTGATAGCTCAGGTCTAGGTAGCTTGTGTCTCCAGTCCGTTTACATTGATGCATCTCTATGCGTTAAAATTCGATAGACTAGTGCAGGAATCGGAAATCGAGTCTGTAGTAGGAGTCAGTGGATGTCCTTCGTATTGGGTCAACTGGCGAATTTACCTCTTGTTTCCAAGGTCCTGGTTCTCAGCGACGTAACGGGTTCGTTCCTCGCTAGTCATTTTGTCCCAGATTGCGGCTCGTTGACTGATAGTCCCATTAGTCAAAATCGAGTCAACTGGTCAGAAGATACGGGTGCCATACCTATTTCGCTTGACGTAGTACACCTTCGCGGCGATGAACACCGCCATGCTCCACAGACACATTGCAATTAGAACTTTGTTACCGGTGCGATAAAAGGGCTTGTCGTTTTCGCGATAAATCTGAATATGACAGTTAGTCCCAGTCGGTCCGAACGCTCTTGCTAGGTAAAGGAGAAAACTCACGTTGTTGCCGATGATATTACTCGCCTGTACCATCATATTGTAGATAGCAGTTGCGACTGTCCGCGTCCTCACAGATCCTGCATTGCGAGACGTAATGGCAACGACAATGGCATGCACATAAGGCATACCAATCAACAAAACAAGCAATGACCAGCGAGCCCACTGGCTTGCCCCATCAGGCAGAAGCTCCAGCGCAATCAACAAGACGAGAGCCCAAAACTCAGCAACGACGCCAAGCAACAGTCGCTGATTGAAGCGCTCTGAAATCCACGTCCAAAGCAATAGATTTAGGATAAAGAGCACATAGGCCGGGATGGTGAGCAAATTAGTGTTGAAGGTACTGAACCCCAGCGCCTTCAGCTCTAGGCTGATATACGCCGTAGCCGGCGTGGTGGGAATCAGCCATGTCAGACCGAGCAAGTAAATAATCCACATGTCATAGTCCTTCAGGGCCTGCCAGAGCAGTTTGGGAGTCACGGCCTGGCGATTATGCATAGTTCCCTTGCTAGGATCATCGCGAAGCACGCGGTTAACCATGATCTTTTCCTCGCGCTCGTTGAACCAGCCCTCCTTCCCACGGAACCGGCCGGCAGTTTGCGTCGGCGAAGGAGGCATCCAAAATGCAGCGACGATACCGATCAATCCCGTGATCAGACCCTCCAGGGCAAATAGGTATCGCCAGCCGCCGGTGCCGTCGGATTGACGGATGTGCAGGAAGCCAAAGGCGAGGAACGCGCTGATAATTGCGGTTGATTGGTACGTTACCCAGAAGAAGCTGAGCCGGATGGGCAGCTCTTTGGAATTGTACCAGAATGACAGGAACAGGATAGTATCTGGGATGAAGCCGCCCTCAAAGAGGCCGAGGAGAGCGCGGGTCGCGAAGAACCCGCCCTTGGTCTTGAGGAAGGCCTGGCAGGCGGCGATGAGACTCCAGCTTATCATTTGCACGGGGATCCAGCGATCGGGACCGATCCATTTTGAGATTAGCTGGGAGGGCAGCTCGGCAAATAGGAATGCCAGGTAGAAGATTGTTTGGCCGGTGTTGTAGTCGTTGGTGGTCATGTGTAGATCGTCTAGCATGTTGTCTGATGTTGCTTGGACAATGTTCCCGCGGTCGAGTTGAAGCGCGAAAAAGGTCATGCAAGCAAATGTGCATACGCGCCAATCTATCTGTGGAAGAGGATTAGACGCTGTGGTCCAACTCATACGAAAGAGCTCGAAACACATACCTTTCTGACAACGGCTTTTTCCTCCGCCTCCGTCCATTCAAAATCCGGGTCCCAGCGATGGATACCCTCATATTCAGGAATAGGCTTGTAGTAACGGGGATCCTCGGTAGCATCAAAAGCACAGTCTGTCAGCTTAGCGCGTGGACTACCATACGTTGACGAAGATGAAGACGAAGACTCTGCAGATGATACTGTCGGTGCAAGCTTGCTGTCAGGGTCATGGACGGCGACAGCCGTCTTCTGGACATCTTCAGCCGTCATCTTGCAGATTCGGGAGACAAGGTTCAGAGCAGTGATGATTGAAATTGAGAGGCATTGCTGCAAACAGCTCCTATAAAGACAAGACGAGATCAACGGTTCTGTATCACGCCATATTCCGGCAGATGGACGCAGCTGCCTCGCTCTGGCCACCGCACGTGTGCAAGGGTCCGCGAGCAGGACAGGGCTCGCCACTAAGGGTATGGTCAGATTGCAGGGTACGATGCAGATTGGTAAGTTAGGGCCCAAATGGCGACCCAGGAGGGGTTCCACATGGTGTCACAATAGCTTGTTAGAGCGGTTGGCTCAAGGAGGCTTCGTCTTATCGTCGGAGAAGTCTTGTGCTGTGGATATTGATATGGATACTGCTATCGGGAGGTTTCCAGATGAAGCATGATCGCTTACAGTTTGCGATTAGTCTTTCGAAGAGGATAAAACAGTCGAAGAGCCGACGAGTTAGATCCGTTGGGTGTTGACTTGGCTGAATCACGCAAGTGTAGTCGGAGTGACGACAGAAGCTTCGAACAGGGGTGTGCATTTCGAACGCGAGATGATCTTCTCAAGGTTAGCTTTCGCTCACCTGCCTTGGAACATCAGGCTGTATGGGTAATTGTAAATATCATCTGTATGCGTATCAAAGGTACGAATAGCCTTTCGTCTGCCAACTCTATCACCTTCGTCCCAAGGTTCGGTTTCTGTGTACAATCTTACTTCATATCGATCAACTCTACTTATAGCCAACTGGGCAGCATTTAGTTCTAATATGAGGTTGCGAGTTGCTATCAAATGATAGTTTTATATGACGATGCACCAGTTGTACTTGGCTACTGACTACAACTATGCCGAGCATTAGACTACTTCGTATATTGCGGGCATGGGCTTTATATCGCCAAGCATGCTTGTTGTCTCCATCTTCAGGCACTTCTCATGTACTCAACTACACTATGTACTGTATTCTTAGAACATCTTATGCTGATGCACACCAAGCACTTCCCTTTGATAGCGGCTAAACATTTCACTCTGGTTGGACGTTGGTTCTTGGCAATCCCTCCATCTGGGCGGCCCTGGAGCGTATTCAAGGAATCACTAAACATCATTATGCAGCTACTACATGAAATTCTACGAGTCATGCAAACAGGTTTCTAAATCCGGAGTAAATTCAAAGGTAAACCGCCAATGGCAACTTCCAACAAAAGAGATTCGTTGACTGATTGCGCGCGGATAGCGAGTTATCACGCCATATAGTTAGCGCATTCGACACCACCCGCACCCTATACTTCGTATATACAAAAGACCAGAGGGATTTCTAAGCCTGCCTTCAATATGCGATCAGCGCAAATCGCGGCGATTTTGAGTGGTCGCACGCCATCCTTTCCATCACGCAATCTTACTCTAGCATAACGCACATGAACAACTGCAACATTGTATACTCCCGAAGCTCCAACGCATAGCGGACTTCGTACAACACGGCGAGGAACCCCGCAGCCACTTGTCGGCTCAATCGCAAAGATCACCGAAATCCAGCCATTGGCCAACTGTCAGCCAGCCCGCGAACCCCGCAATCATGGCGCAATTGGACTCTCGGCATGTACGCACCGAGATGTTGAGTTATATAGTGGGAACGATTCCCTTTCCGAGGTCTACGACCAGAAACAACCTAAACCTACTCCCATAGAGGTCCAGGCTTATTCTCACTTGTGCTTTTATACTTCACCAGAAACCTATAGTTGAGCACCATGGCTCCCGGCCTCACTGAGACTCCCGGCCTTCGAGGCCCGCTTGCAGCGCCTCCTCTCAAATCCGACGCTGGGTTTAACAAGGAGAATTTGATTGGATACAAGATCGAAAAGGAGCGCGAGCTTCAGGGCACAGAGACTATTGCCCCTGTGACATATCCTAACTATCTTCCCGTATGGGATAACGAGACTGAAAGGTAGCTTATCATTTCCTGCCCTAAATGCGTCTCGCCGGGTGTGAATATCATACCTAACAACTACCCAGATATCCTCCCCTCGAGCCCTTCGAGCACTATGACCACGGAAAAGACGCCGATCCCACCTTCCCAGACCTGCTCACCGAGCAAGTCGAGGTTGACGAGCTCACCCCCTTCATCGGCTCCGAGATTCACGGCGTTCAATTGAGTCAACTCTCCGACAAGGCCAAGGACCAGCTGGCCCTCTACGTCGCCAAGCGTCGAGTCGTCGGTACGTAGCCCGAGACGAAACCCCCTCCCCCATGAGATGGAGCGTATATCTAACAAAACCAACCAGTCTTCCGCGACCAAGACTTCGCATCCCGCCCCATTCAGGAAGTCGTCGACTACGCCGGCTACTTCGGTCGCCACCACATCCACCAAACCTCCGGAGCCCCCAAGGGCTTCCCAGAGATCCACCTCGTCTTCCGCGGCGCCGACGACCGCACCGGCCAGAACTTCCTCGAGCAGCGCACCAACACCATCACCTGGCACTCAGACGTCACCTTCGAGAAGCAGCCCCCGGAACGACCTTCCTGTACCTCCTCGACGGCCCAACGACCGGCGGCGACACCCTCTTCGCCGACATGGTACACGCGTACGAGCGCCTGTCGCCCGCCTTCAAGCAGCGTCTGCACGGACTGAAGGCCGTGCACTCGGGCGTCGAGCAGGTGAATGCCAGTCTGAACGGCGGCGGCATTGCCCGTCGTGACCCGATTCAATCCGAGCACCCTATTGTCCGCACGCATCCTGTGACTGGCGAGAAGGCTCTTTACGTGAACCCTCAGTGTAAGTTTTTGGGGAATCAATGTCGGGTGTGGTGATGTGAGCCGAAAAACTGACAACGACAATAGTCACCCGTTATATTGTGGGATATAAGAAGGAGGAGTCAGATTACCTCCTGAAGTTCCTGTACAGCCACATCGCCTTGTCTCAGGATACACAGGTTCGTGTCCGCTGGAGAGCTGGTACCGTCGTTGTTTGGGATGTAAGTCGCAAATCAGTACCTTGTTCGTGTCTGCTTATAAGTGATGGAACTAACCCTTGCAGAACCGAGTCGCCTGTCACTCCGCCGTTTTTGACTGGGAAGATGGTCAGCGCCGACACCTGGCTCGTCTGACGCCGCAGGCCGAGGCTCCTTTCGAGACTCCGTATGAAGCGTAACTGGGGCGCTGGAAGCCCTGAGAGCTCAGAACGACATGTGGCTACGATAATCCCAAGACCAAATTGAGACGAACAATAATATAATGAATAGGTTGATTCTCGTTGGATATCAGTAGAACCGTGGTGTACGCACATGTGAAGCTCTGGTTAATAGTGTACAAAGTATGACATCAAGCCTTGCGGCGGGTGAAACGGCTCAAAAGTCCAACTTGCCATTCATTGAAGATCCTCGCGGAGGGCGGGAGCATCTTGGTACTCCCAACCAGCGCCTGCGACATAGCTTCGAAGATCATAGATGGCAATTCCAACTCTTCCACGGACAACGGGGATGGATTGCCAATCTCCGGATGGAGCAGGTTATCCACATCGTCACATTCCTGGTAGAATACCTTCATCGCCTGCTGAGCCATGATGCTGTGACCGGTGCTGGAATTCGAGTATCGCATGTCTGGATTGAAGACCCATAGCTGTGATGTACATATTCATTAGCCGACGCTGCCGATGTCTACAGAGTCTCGAACAGTAAAACTCAAGACACAGCTGGAGTGGAAAGATACACTACTTACCAGGAGACCGCTCTTCTGGCCACAATGAACAACGAATCGCCGCGCGCTTTCTCTTTCGATTAACTCGAGTAACTGCGCTGCAACAATCGCTTCTGTTGGGTGTACCTCCCACCCAGGAGTGTCGACGTCGGATCTGGAGGCCGTGTTCAAGGATACATTGGCTTTGAGGAGGCGCCATCCATTGGCGATGGGATCTTCCATGCCGATTATGGTGTTGCACTTTGCACAATCAAGGGTTCTTTGCGCTGAGCTTTCGGTGGCTGATTTTTGTTCTTCGTCATTTCCCTAAAGCACATTATTTGTTAGCAATCCGGAACAGAAACTCAGACTATTGCGCAAATTCGAAGGCTCGTGGTCAAAAAGAGAAAAAAAAGCATTGCATTCAGTTTTACGTGATCTATATGAATATCGCTCACCCCGAAACAGGAATTGAATGTACCTCTTGTAATCACGCCCACTCCACTGTCAGAATAGTCGGCGCTGAAAAAAGAGAGGACACTTCGAATCACAAAATAGAACAAAAGAAGCCTCGCATAAGTCCAGTATCGCAGTCGCAAAGGGCGAAATCCATCTGCATGGAGAGGATAACTGCCCTCCGAATCCGTGATCCCGTTCTTATGAAGTACAATTTTCGTCCTGAATTGCAAGTACACAAAGTGCATTTTGTCCATCTTGGGCAATAGTATCGGAGGCCACCCCACCGAGAACTGGGTGGTCCCCTTCTAAGTTGCCCGGTTCTAAAACAGTAACTTGAAAAGAAGGGGAAGAAAGAGTAGAATTGCAGACGAGGAGAGAATACAGAGGGATAAACATACCTTGATTAACCCTGTGCAGTCCTTTTCAGCCAACAGAAAAGTGGCAACATCAATAAGAACTGTCCCCGAAATAGCAACAACATGGCTTTCCGCACCATACCCTTTTGTCTGTGCAGTTTTGTCTTCAAGCTGGAGGGCCGAGTCTTTCTCTTCCTTCTCATGGCCCTCATGGGGATCGGGCTTATGACAATGCCAAAAATCCATCATTTCAGCCCAGTTGCCACTTGGAAGGTCTTTCCAGACCCATCCCGGCATTGATTCCTTGGCATCGCCCGAGTCTGATATTGACGAAAGATCAAGAAAAGCGTTTTCGCATTTCCGACAGCGAATCCTAGTCGTGGATGTCATCTCCCCTGCTGTCCAGGGTACAAAATCATCGATCAATTCGTCTCGAGACGCCAGCGCCTCTTCATCTGGATCAATTTGCATGCGAAATGAATAATCATGACTGGAGATCTGGGTATCTGATTTTGGTGCTGGCCCGGAACTGGATTTCAACGCGCGCCGAGAGGCGTCGCTGACGCGTGCTGGCAGTTTCATTGTTTCTGTGATGTGCTCAAAGGGCTTTGGTAACGACACAGTCACAGCTTTTCTGGATTCCGAGAGTTGGATATCCGGTCGGACTCCGGTTAACGCTGCCGTGCCTGGAAGGGAGACATAGAGGGTTACCTGGCGAATGTTCGGTAGAAACTCCGCATGCAGGTATAAAGGGATGTCGTTTTCCTGCATTATGGAAACTGTACAAGCTCAATGTGTTCGAAGCGAGTGATGTTCGTGATGGTGATTTGTGTTGATGCTGGACGGCACGAACCACCAGGGGGAAGAAGCGAGTGGCAATATCTGTGGGTTATTTCGCAGGCATAAGTGGCTGGTATGTATTAGTCCGATCTTGTGAGAAGTAAATCATGCTTGTCACCTCAGAGGAGGGTTGCTGATGTCCAACATGTTTCACGTCAGGCGGTCCCATCCTTGCTCCAATGCAAACAGAACAAATATCCTTACGCGTTGACAACGTGCACGTCACGTGCCACTCACGCGCTCACGCGACTATCGAAAGACCCAAAGTGTGGACAAACAAATCTCGTTAAATCGTATAGTTATTATGCGAAGCTAAATGCAGGGAGATGACTTAAGTATGAATCTTCAATCTACAGTTCATATCCAACAAAATTCCCCCGCCAGCCCTTGAACTCATTGGCAAATTGCACAGCAGCCTTCAAGAAGAAGCTATCGGAATCACCCCAAGTAGAGGCCATTTCCCTCAGTGCTCGTGTCGTCTTTACAAAAGCGACATCGGATGAGAATGGCGCATTAACTGCTCTATCGGCAACCCAATCCCAGTCCTTTCCGTCCAGGTCATAGTTCCGAATTTGGTCTGTTTGAATCTCGGGTCGCAGCTGCGCAATGTAAATGCCCACTGTAACCAACCACCATTGTCGGAGAAGACCAAGCTGGAACTGAGCAGGGATGAATGGCAATGTGACACGGACGGCATGGCTGGTACCAAGAGCTGAAGCGAAGAACCAATCGTATTGCCCGGTCGCATCGGCTGCAGTTCCTATCAGCAGGGCAGCCGCAAGCTCTTGGCTTTCGCGGAACTGCTCTACTGGGTTTTCGATGCTCCATGCGTTTGAGTGCTTGAGTAATGCGGCATGGCGGCTGACGATAAGGGAACTGAGGTTGTCACTACCCGGAGTTGAGAAAAGGCCATCCAGGCTCTTATCGTTCCGAATCAGATCAATAATCTCGAAGAGAGACTTTGATCTATATGAATCTTCAGTTTGCAAGTGTTCGGCTTCTAGGGACTTGTATATGCCATTATGGCAAGTTGCTGTAAGGCCAAGTGCTTCCATTGCGACTTCGCGGCTGTTTAGTTCAAAGGCATATGCAAGATGAATCAATGGAAGCCCAACTAGTTGGTGGGTTAGCATGGGCACAAATTGATATGTCCGAGAAGCATGACCACATACGGGAAGCCATGATAGAATCGAACATGGGCTGTTCGCCTGCGAATAGGTACTCAGTCATCACTTCCTTCCAATCATAGCCTTTGTCAACCATTTCATCTTCAAAGAAGTTGACAAATGCTCGATCAAATCTGTCCTGAAATTAGCAAGGAGTCCTGAGAAAAGAAACAAGCCCGCACAAGCCGCGAACTCACTCTCGGCGTCCTAAATAGCTTTGCCAGTCAAGACTGGTAATCTCTGCAGGTGAGTCTTTCCATTTGACCAGATTAGATCCTGCCTCATCATAGATTCGGCCGAGGACATCGGCATCTGCACCTTGCAGAAAGGAGGAAATCAAGAGCTGCCGGCGTGTTAGTGTCATAATCTGCTACAGAGGGAGACTTAGTTGCGTGCTAGCACATATCACTTACGTGTGTTACTTGGTTAGGGAATATGTGACTGTCAAAGATTGAGTGTTCGGCATGGTTCAACTTCAGTAGATGCTTTAACGCCCGGGCTGATTTCTCACGAGCTGCCTCTGTGTCATGGACCTTGACTGGGGGCAAATCAATGGGTCGGGAGCGTGAAGACGAGAATAGCCCAAATGATGGCAGTGATGGCCATCGAACAGTAAACATGGTTGGGATGAGCTTGTGATGGTTTGGATAGGACTGTTGGGACGCTATCACGTGGCGGTGACGTCGAAAATATCGGGGGAGGGTCCCCTCGCAAGATTTGTCGGCACGTGATGTTAGTTAGTCATTCTTGTTTACGATTTGTCATTTTTGTTTACGTTTCCTCATTTCCTTCTCTCTCAAACCTTCACCCACCACTTCGCTCTCACCCGCGTTTTTGTTCTACGTCTTCCAAGAATGGATACCCAGCTCATCTTTTGCACTAAGTGCAATCGCAGCCGTGCCATTGATGAATTTTGAATCAACAAGCAAGGGAAGCGAAACAAAATTTGCGAGCGGCATTCGAAGAAACGTCCATTAGAGCTCAATGACTGGGTGGATTTCACGCTCATAGAACCAATCTGAAATACTGGATGGCACATACACATTTGTTTTCGATGCTCTACCGGTCGACTTTGGTTCTCTACGCGTCCAGGAGAATGCATTCGTTTGATCGAAGCTAAATGATGCAATGCGGGAGCTCACTGACATTATCCGGAACGAAAGAAAATTTCGGTTCACGCATATCACAACAAATGGCCCAGGCTCTTCATTTACGTACCGCTGTTCCCCAAGATGTGATGAGAATCAAAAAGTATCAACCTACAGTGAAGCCAGAGAAGCGACGGGATGGTCGACGCATGGAGCGATTCCCATGCGAGAGCAAGCTCTGCATGAACCCTTGTCTACAAAGTCGAACCCTCACCCTTTCGATCCGTCACAAATGGCATATGCCCTACGTGGATATCGAGGTACCACAAACGGTGCAGAAAAGGGTGAGGGTTCGACTTTGTAGACAAGGGTTCATGCAGAGCTTGCTCTCGCATGGGAATCGCTCGATGCGTCGACCATCCCGTCGCTTCTCTGGCTCCACTGTAGGCTGGTACCTTTTGACACTCTTCTCATCTTGGGAACAGCGGTACGTAAATGAAGTGGCTGCGCCATTCGTCGTGATGTGCGTGAACCGAAATTTTCCTTCTTTCCGGATAATCTCAGTGAGCTCCCGCACTGCGTCGTTTAGCTTCGATCGAACAAATGCATTCTCCTGTATGGCTTGAGAAAAAGCCTGTCCGGTAGAGCATCGAAAGCAAATGTGAATGTGCCGTTCAGTATTTCAGATTGGTTCTATGAGCAAGGCGTCGTCAGCTTCAAGTTACTCGCGTAGTCAATTTAGATTACTCACTCGCTTATTCCAATTGCAAACGACCGTAAGGAAATCCGCCCAGTGATTGAGCTCTAATGAACGTTTCTTCGAATGCCGCTCGCAAGTTTTGTTTTGCTTCCCTTGCTTGTTGATTCGAAATTCATCAATGGGACGGGGGCGACTGCACTTAGTGCAAAAGATACCCACAGGATCCATTCTTAAAGACGTAGAACAAAGCAGCGGGTGAGGGTGGTGGGAGAAGGGTTGAGAGTATGAGATGCGGTGAAAGGGGCGCGCGTAACAAGCTAGGGAGAAGGAAATGAGGAAATGTAAACAAAAATGACTAACTAGTTAGTTAGTGATTTATCTTAGATCTAATACAAATGAGAATAAATCACTATATTTAACTAACAAAAAGCCGGCAACTGGTATCAAGGTCAGGCCTGGCGGCTATCGTCGCCCGTCAAGATGTAAAACTACAAAGATGTAAAGCATTGCAAGTGGGGAGATCGAAAAGGAGACAAAGGTAAAAAAAGAACAAAGAGAAACAAGCAAATGGCCGGAGATCATAGCGTTAGCCGGCCAGCGGCCTAGCAGGAAATTACTTCCCATCGTACATCTGTTCAGGCGTGAGGGAGAATTTGCCCTTCTCGATCTCCGCGACGTCAACATGGTCGGGCTTGACATACCGCGCGGTAAGAGCAAACCGCAACTTGTTCTCCGGCACCACGGAGTGCTATATCGGTCAGCTCTGTTATTTAGCGGTGCCAAAAGGGAGGATGGCCACGAACCTCGTAGTACCTCTGAAGGTTTTCACCGTGCATCACTACCAAGTCTCCATGGTGCAACTCCAACTTGATGACTGGCGGAGCTTGCTTCCACTTCTGGGTGGCAAAGAGAGTTCGCCGAGAGTTGCTATACTCATCATGTGAGATCTCGCCAGCTTCAAACTTTTCTTTGAGCGCGCGACGCTCATTTTCCAACCGGCAGCCTTTCAGCACGGGGTCGTCCTGCAGAACATTCCCAGATACGGCTTTGCCATCGCCGGTGTTCACCCTTCGAGCAGCTCCATTGAAGTGCTTCTGCTTCATGCGGATCCACATTGTGGATTTTGCTCCAAGTGAGAGGGTTGCAATTGTAGGGCCCAGAGAGGATTCACCATCGTCATGGTACTAATGAATCTATTGTTTAGTCGAGATCAGGGGCCCAGGGCCGAGCTCACAGTGTCACTTACTCCTATCTTCATGCCCTCAAAGTACCCCAGCGTCAGCAGCTCATTGGGAGGCATGTATCTGTCTCCAGCAGAGATGACAGCTTGTTCAGTCGCCCACGAAAGACGACCGAGAGCTCGGAGGATGACCTCAGGGGCTTCGCCAAACGCCTTTGACAGCACCGCCACGACATACTTATACGGACTACCCTGTTTGATTTTAGTCAGCGGAGATGTCAGTAATTTTGATGGTCGGACGAGTTGACGTACATGGTTCACCGCGAAGTGAGCAGTAAGTGTGCCCGCGACTGTCCAAAGTAAGAATCCTGAAACTTGAAGTTGTGCACCTTTCTCACTTACCTAGACTGGACGAAAGCGGGAAGTGTTTCAAACCAAGATCTTCACGCTGAAGATCGATGAAAAGGTCGTCGGGCCCGTTTGGTCGGCTGTTAATTTCTTCGTTCGCCACAAAATGGGTGATAAAGCCGACTCCATCAAGTTTGTAAGTGAGCCTGCGATAGGGAGAAAAGCTAACATCATCAATTTCTGGGATCATGAACTTCGTATTGAAAACCATTTCTCGTTTGATTGAGGGCCGCTCGGAATCATCGAGTAGAAGCTGGCGCGAGATGGGGTTCATTGTCATGAGCCTTTCAAATGAACACACATTACCACTCGTCTCAGTGCCAGTAGAGTCATCGCTGCACTTCCAGCCTCGCCACAATGTTCGTCGAACACATTTGTGACACTCAGGGCACACAATCCCTTTCCACGCAACACGAGATGTGCTAAGGTCCGTGGCATCCTCGTTCAGTGTCGAAAGAAGATCAGGGACAAGGCTGCATTTAGGCCCACTTTTGGGGTCGGGACGACTGCGGAAGCTCAAGAAGGCAGGGTTAAAGGTTAGCCCAGGAGGACTGGGAACGTCTCCAGTCTTCCAGAACCTGTCACACTCCGGCTGAAGGCACATCCAACCATCCTCATACATACGGATGCTCTCCTTGGAGCAGCTCTCGCACTTCAGGGTTTCAGGCTTTGTGTCGAAGTCTCGGAGTTCGAGGGGCATTGGAGGAGCAGAGCCCTTTGCTGCCCACCAGCTTTTCTCCGCGAGATTCAATTTCTCAAAACGGACCTTCGCTCCATGATTCGTACCAATTCTTTCGAACCAAACATTGGTAACCCGAAACCATGACATGATGTTGTACCGATGTGGAAGGGCCCGATTGAGAATCTTGTGCTTGCTCCCTTTCGTACTGGTCAGCTACAAGCTATACCATACAATCCGCGATGAATTGACAACCTACCAATGATTAATCCAACAGGTAGCTTTGTGTTCTGCTAGCAATGATGCTTCGGGCGAGCATGCTATCAGCCTCCTGGTTCCTTTGGAGGATCAGGTTTCCCTCTGGGTCTTTGGTACAGCAACCGCCACTAATTCAGTTAATACATGCAGTCCTTAGTTGGCAAAGAATGAAGCTCACACTCGAGTGATGACGACCTCTTCGTCAATATGTGTCCGGGCACCACCGTCAGCATCAATGAGAAAGCCCCAGCAAAAGCCCTCGTGGTGATACATCGCACCCTGAGTGCAGTGGAACCAAGGAATTGCGTCGCATAACTGTTGGCGATTCTGGGAGAACATTAGGACCTAGGTGAAAGGACCCGAGATGGGAGTTTCATACCTCAGCCCACGCCGGTGGTTCACCATGCACTGGCTCCAGGACTTGGTCACTGATGGCCGCTTGAGTGTGGTCTGATGGAACTACTAGCATCAGCATGCCATACACCACGGTGAACTATCCAAGAAGCCTTTGTTACCTTTCTTTGCCTGCGTCTTGCTTTTGGTGACGCAGCCCGATTTCACCACTTGGTCAGCCACATGAGACCGACTAGCACTAGGACTTGGAGCCATATCGCACAATTACAGTGCTTGCAGTCTGGTATGCCATTTCCTGGGTTAGCGTATGTGGTCTTCAGACCTACCGCGTGATGGACTCACAGTACGAACACTCACGGTCACTCACAGTCGCCACAGAAGCAAATGGGGGGTTCAAAGGTGCTTGAAATGATTGCTGGTGATTGAATCAAGATCCAAGTCAATGAACATGAAATAGAAAGAGGAAAGAGGGGAAGATCAAAACGCGCCGTCAGAGTGATATGGCTCGTTGTTGCTGCTTCGAGGAAAGTGAAGCTTGAGAGGGAGGGAGGACGCAGAGCAGGCCTACGACAAGCATTTATACCCACCAGGGCGGTATACAAGTCACGTTAAACCTTAGATGGGATGAATCCTTGACTAAAGGAAACTACGAACCACCCATCGATGGATGGAGATGTGCTAATTTGGACAGGTTCCAAGGTTCCAACAGATCGCGCTAAGCTCCCCGTGATCTGAATGTTCCAAGCCAGGGAAGCCATCTATTGGAACCTCGGAACCTGTTCGAATATAAATGCTTGTCGTAGGCCTGCTCTGCGTCCTCCCTCCCTCTCAAGCTTCACTTTCCTGGAAGCAGCAACAACGAGTCATATCACTCTGACGGCGCGTTTTGATCTTCCTTCTTTCTATTCCACGTTCATTGACTTGGATCTTGGTTCAATCACCAGCAATCATTTCAAGCGCCATTGAACTCGCGATTTGCTGCTGTGGTGGTTGCGAGTGACCGTGAGTGTTCGTACTGTGAGTCCATCCCACCTTAGGACGGAAGACCACATACGCTAACCCAGGAAATGGAATATCAGACTGCAAGCACTGTAATTGTGCGATATGGCTCCACGTCCTAATGCCAGTCGGTCTCATGTGGCTAGCCAATTGGTGAAATCGGGCCGCGCCACCAAAAGCAAGACGCAGGCAAACAAAGGTAACAAAGGCTTCATGGATAGTTCACCGTGGTGTATGGTATGCTGATGCTAGTAGTTCCATCAGACCCTATTCAAGCGGCCATCAGTGACTAAGTCCTGGAGCCAGTGCATGGTGACTGGTGAGCCACCGGCGTGGGCTGAGGTAGGAACCTCCCATCTCGAGTGCTTTCACCTCGGTCCTAATATCCTCCCAGAATCGCCAACAGCTATGGATGCAATTCCTTGGTTCCACTGCATTCAGGGTGCGATGTTTCACCACGAGGGCTTTTGCTGGGTCTTTCTCATTGATGCTGATGGTGGTACCGGACCCATATTGACGAAGAGGTCATCATCACTCAAGTGTGGGCTTCATCCATTCCAACTAAAGACTGCATGTATTCACTCAAATAGTGGTGGTTGCTGTACCAAAGACTCAGAGGGAAACATGACCCTCCAAAAGAACTAGGAGGCTGATAGCACACTCGCCCGAAGCATCATTGCTAGCATGAACACAAAGCTACCTGTTGGGTTAATTCCATATTGGTAGGTAGGTTGTCAATTCATCACGGGTTGCATGGTATAGCTTGGAGATTGTAGCTGACCAGTATGAAACGGAGCAAGCACAAGATTCTCAATCGGGCCCTTCCACATCGGTACAACATCATGTCATGGATTCGGATTACGAAGATCTTGATAGAACGTTTTCCGCTTTCGTCCAGTCTACCTAGGTAAGTGAGAAAGGTGCACAATCTTAAGTCTCAGGATTCTTACTTTGGACTATTCTTACTTTGGACAGTCGTGGGCACACTTACTGCTCACTTTGCGGTGAACCACCTACCGTCCTAGGTTCCGAACAATCAGGAAGATGTAAACAACATTGTAAGGCGCTTGGTATGGTTAAGGAAGTACCTATTGTTTCAACATTTTATATTCCCAAGATGTTGTTCGTACATAAGGTGTTATACATGACCCATCTATATCTCTATTGCTTACGTTGTTCAATAACTGGGATCGGCTGCTCTGGCTGAACAGCAGCCTCTCCGTTGAAGAATTCCACCTCAACACGTGGACCAACGAAGTTCTTGCGTCCGTCCACAATCCACTGAATAGTGGAAATGATGAAGACAATACCAAATGCCGCAACACAGTAGTCTGTCATAGGGTTAGATTAGCCTCAAATGCTGCAATCGTGAAAGGTGGGCACAACTCACTCATGCTGGAACCAGTAGCAGGCAACACAGGGGGGAATAGGAACAGGATGGTAGTCAGAGAGATATAGGCCAGCGAGATCTGAAAAATAGGTCAGTGAAAATTGTCACGAAACTACTGTCAACAGTAATTCATACCAGATTAATGGTCCAGCCAAACCATTCTGGCAAGTTGAAAGAGCGCTCGGGTAGCATTCTTCTTCCCCGGGCACAGTTGACTGCAATTGGCATTCCATAGGAAAGGTCTAGCAGCACCACCGATGCAGAGACAATAGCGTTGAAAGCGCTTTGAAGTGTTAGCAAGGTGCGATAGGGTCAGCGGGCTATGCATGTGCTTACCTAGATGAGCCCAGGAAGATGCAACCGAAGATAGTCACAAGTGCAAGGTTAAGATACAGCGAGTTGAGGGGGACGTTCAATTTAGGGTGAACCCGAGAGAAGAAAGGAGAAGCCGGAAGACCGCCATCACTATCGTCTCATTAGTACCATGGCTTGTAGAAAACCCAAGGCGTCTCTGACATACCGTGCAAATGCATAGATCATACGACTACTTGTCGTCATGATAGCAGTCGCAGCGAACAAAACACAGACGAGCGGGAAACTTGGGAGGATGTCAGTCAAAAGCAAAATCTCTCGGAGCACAGGAAGCCTACATCAAAAGGCAGATTGCACCAGCGTTGCTCGAAGTGGCGTTCTTCAAGATCGCAAGAAGTGGCGTGGCGGCAGATTCGATGATTTTGTTGATGTCGCCCGCCACGAACAGTAGAACGACAAGGAAGATTATTCCAGTCACTGTGCCAATACCAACGCAAGCAATCATGATCTTGGGACCCTCAATTGACGGGTTGGGAATTTCTGCAATTCATTAGCCGGTACTCCACGATGAAGTTCGAGTTGCTGGGACCTACCCTCAATCATGTGGGCAACACCGTCGAAGCCAGTCACACCCAGACCACCTTGTAGAAGCTATAAAAGAGTCAGAAAGTATCCCTTTCAAGGGCCAGCAACAAACGACATACTCCAAGCAACCAAGCGACACCATCGGGCCCTAGAATAAGTCAGTCTAAGTGTCTGAGAAATATAGAAGCTGGAGTCCTGAGAACTTACATCCCGTTTCGTTGATGAAATCCGTGAAGACAAATCTGTTACATGTGAGTGGTAAATACCAAAGAGCGCGGTATTAAAGACACATACTCTGCAGAGTTATAATTGGGAGAGGCACATGATAGGACGGTGATGCAAATGACAGCAAACCCTGTCAGGGACCAGATAACTATGACTGTCAGCAGTGGGTCTCTCCAATTCAACTCGGGGCAACTCACATGCGCCCTTGGTAACATAAGGCATTATATTGTTCAAGAAAGCGTTGATCAGGAAGGCAACAATGTTGTAACCAAGATAGATCAGGAATTGGTGCCAGCGCTGGGGTGCGAATGTCTATTTCCAAAGGTCAGCGAAGAATCAGAGCATAAGTAGCAAACAACAATCACTCACTGGGTTCATTAGAGAGATTATACCCAGAATGAGTTCACTGCCCAGAAGACCTCCAGTTGCGACCAGCGCAACCCAGCCTGAGCAATTGACCCATCCTGTGATCCAGGACAAAATCGGCATCCAACTTCTCCATGAAGTCACAGCAACCCAGTGGTATTGGCCTCCAGCGGTGGGATACGCCGAAAGAAACTCAGCCAAAGAAGTGGCCATGCACAAGTTACAGATACCTGCTGTAAGAAGACCTACAGTGACATTGTCAGCTTCGTATCCCAGAACCAAACGACGAGCTGAGCGAAGGCATACCCCAGACAACACTAGCACTGCCTCCAGAGGGCAAACTGAGCGACAAACTCGCCGATAAAGCCGTCCATGACTGTGTACTGTCAATAACTGTATGAAATGTGGTATTCAGGTCGATCCCCGATCGCGTCACGTACATTCAGAATTGCAAACGCCAAACCCAGCATCGATCTGTAAGAGAGGTTTCAGCGGTTAGGATAGTCCAAGAGTCAGGGCATCAATTTCATCAATTGCGATACATACATTAATGAGAAATTTCGCTTGAGCTCAGACTTATGGCCCATCTGGGCCAGCTGGGCATCATCACTGTTCAATTCTTTGTCCATGGTGATTGCGACGTACCACACGCGGAAGATGAAGTGAAAAATCCAGGGAGGAACAGGTCTGGTATTAAGTCAATCCTTCATCGGCAGAAACCAGAAACTCGTGTGGCACTTTCCATATCGAAAACGACTCTCTCCACAACCATCATTCTTGCGGGGGAGGAGACAGTCCGTTGTACGGAGAGGTTTTAGGTAACAGGTTTGGGGTATAAGCCATCGGCGGCGATAACCCACGATCTTCTCTGATTGGTGCGGCGCACCGAGAACGGCCGATTCGGCCAGTGACAAGATCGTCACTCCAGCAGGGGTTTAACAAGGTTCTAAGGCTGACTAGCCGCGCACCGGTGATCCATGGCTTGCGGCGGCAGCCCCAGAGCTTATGTTTTTGTTGGGATATCATTGGTTGGAATTGGACCCACATCCTTGATACACGGTGGCAATTTCCATAGAAGGAACTGGGGGGAGGACGATCGTTGGAGTCACTGACGAAACATTTAACGCCTCAATATGGTGTGCCGTATTGCGCGATATGTATTGGCAGCGTAACTGGGGTCTGGGGATATATTGTGAATGGATCCCAAGATCTGGGGAGAACCCTGGGATTGACGAGTGTACCGCACTGCTGACTTTCTCCGTGTTTCAGTTAACTACTAAGCCAATATTGCTCTCCGAATCCGATAGGGAACGCGGCATATGTGGAGAAGTGGGACCGGCACAAATTTGCTATCTACACAGTACGGACTACTTACGGAGTACACAGTAGATAACTATCACGGGAGACAAATGCTCGCATGTAAAGATTTGTCTCTCTTTCACCGACGGCCACTCTACAACATACTCCAAACAACTATTTCCTATCAGTTTAGGAACACAGGTATTTTCCAAGGTCATCAGTCCACCTTATTATCAAGTAGTACTACGGAGTAAATCAACCTTCTATATAATGGCTCAAGCCTCCAACGGAATCTGACTACTCAAGACTTTCCTTAGGTAATGTACATGGATGTGAGCTCTTGGGTACCTAAAGCTACTCAGATACCCAGCTCTATGCCAGGAAGGCAGCTGATGAGGCATGAAATCGAAGCATTTTTCCTTGTGACAGAAGATACCAGTCTAGTTGAACAGAGAACATTCAATTCATAACTAACCTACTAATGGACATGACAAACGGGTGGAATCCGGTGGATTGATAGAAAGGCACGTGACTTAGCATTATGTGGGTTCATTCCATTGTACTCTACAGTAGGTACTCCTATGGAGTACTGTGTACACACTGTGTGAGAGCAGGACGCAGGTCACAACCCACTTCCTCACTTGACAAAGTTGAAATTTCATTTTCTCACTTGATACACTGTAACATTAACACTGTCCCTAAGGGGGGGCAGTAGCAACGGGCTCCGACGCCGTGCGAGGATCAGAATGCCGTAGATCAGCGACAGGCCGCCCAAACATTCGGATCGAATATGCTCGGCCATTTCGTCTTCTGACCTCATGCAGTATGCGCGCCGGTAGACCTCAAGGTATGCCTCGGGCGCAGTGAGGGAAAGGTCAATGTTCAACCAACCCTTTTCTTCATCGTTCAACGCTTTAATATGCGGATGGAGGAGCATGGAGACACAGCCGCGGCATGTGTAAGTGAGCAATTGTGTCTGCGCACGGGGGACGATTGGTGCGGAGAATATTCCGCCATTGGCGAGTGAAGGAAAGGTCCAGTGGTGTCTGTACTCGGGATTGTGCAATTGAGCCTGGGTCAAAGGCTCCAGATGAGCTCCGCGGAATCCATCGTAATCGGATTCGGGCAAGAAAGCACCCCCTGGAACAACAGCAAACTTCGGATCCTTTATACCTGCGCGGATCTCCCCTGCCGCAGTTTTGATGGCTTCACGGGAACCATACAACTCCATCGCTCTGGCGAGTGTGCGCTTGATTGGGTAAACCCAGCAGCCATACGCGCCCTCGCCGGGGGGTCAAGCAAGCTGGGGGGACTGGCCGCTCTGGGGTCATCGTCACGCCAGCCAACGGCGAAGATCGGTGGAATCTTTTCGAGCTCGTCCAATGGCAGGGCAAAGGCTGCAGTTGTCTGTATCTTGGTCAGGCACCAACAGGCCGGGTTGTTTTGCATACACGGCGAGCAACAACGAACCATCTCTGCAAGCCAGATCCAAGAGGCCCGGTCGCCGCATGAGATGCAGTAGGTACTGCGAATTGCTTCTTTCAACTCCCAGACCGCGAAACGCCGGGGGATGCGGGCGAACCAGAGAACATTCGGCAATCCGGGGGCCCATTTCTTTAAGAAGGTCATCGAGCTTCTGGCAACGACGTGATGGGCCATGTGATTAGCCAGAGAAAAGTCCATGGCACTGGGAACGTCAAGATGCTCGACTATCTCCAGCAGTATCTCGAGCGGGAAACAGTTCAAGACCCCCAAGTCGTTCTCGAATCTGGTGTCTGGATCAAGTGGCTTGCCAATCTCAACGTCGTGATCAATGGGGCTTATGTACTCTAGCTGTGCAGTCATCTGGAGAATCTTGCGAGGATCTATGCTGTGGGCTATAAATTTCGCCTTTGCGACAGTGTCCTCATCCGCGAGGAAACGCATTTTGATAGCGAGATCGGCGTCGAACACACAAGTTTTTGGGATAGGATGTGTTCGGTATGGGGTCACTCGGCAAGCGTGTTTCCTCTTGTTTTCGACGACGGCAAGAGCTAGTACTAATGGCATCAATACGTCAGTACACGTTGAATGCGCTTCGATCTGATCAGCCTCACCTCTGCGTGTATCAACGAATGCGCCGATGGATTAGGTACCGAGTACGAACGTGATTGATGTGGAATCGTTGATACAGGAATCAACGTTCGAAGACCTAGTACTGGTGAGAATCTGAATCAACTTAACATTCGATCTGATCAGGCTTACCACTGGTTATTCACGAATGCGCCGATGGTGTAGTGTAGTAAAGGTTCGTTGGGGATCGAAACACACGTGATGATATTGTTAGAGATGGAGAGAAGTTGGGAATGGGAGGGCTCTGAGGAAAACGTAAGTGGGAATAAATAACACACAGGTCTCGGCATCGTATCATACTCAGGCCTACCTACCAATCGAGGAAGCCTCAAAACCATCCTATTGTCATATGACAGCTGGCCTCACAACAATAGCATACTCCACGACCATTCCATAACGACCCCGAGCTGAGATGAGGTAGGTATCACCACGCCAGGTGCTACAATCGACGCCGCGGTAAAGCAGACGAAAAGGTCATGAGATTATCAATGTACAGATGAAGAATAGATATATCAAATCAGCATAGTAGATACAAAGGCCCGTAGGCCAACTGAACAGTGCCGGCACGCTAAAATATACGTAGTGCCAAAATCCTTACTCGACGTCGTCCTTGAGGTTCCTCAAGTGATCAGTCCGGACGACATAATCATCCTCGTCTTCAAACCCATTGGCCCCATCCGCCTGCTCATCCTCGTCGCCATCAACAGACCCACTAACAGACCCGCTAAGAGATCCATCAAGCTGTGAAGAGCCAGTGCGAGTCCCCTTGCCCTTCTTACTGGAGCTCTTTCCCTTGCCTTTACCACTGAGTGTTGATTGGCCGCTTAGGCTGCGGACAAGACTGCCTGGCCATTTGTTCAGGCCTTTAATGCGGCCTTGGATACCACCGATTGGATGGATGTCACCATTTGTGGCCGGTGACTCGCTTGGTGTGATTAGCGCCTCACTGATTGTTCCAGAGCCGCCAAGGTTGAATGCTTCCATCGCCTCGGCGATTGTCTGCGGCGCGGCAGCAGAGGGGTTTTGCTTTGACTTGTCAACTGCTTCGAAGGTCTGGCGAATGCGCTCGAAGTGTTCGAGTTCCTTGGCGCTGTGAGGGGTTAGTATGATGATTACTCTTCAAACTGGGGGCGAGGTAAAGGTGGGGGTGGAATGAAAGCATACCTAACACTAGGAACGAGCTCTCCTTGGGCAGACAAGAAGTCTTCCTCGGTGACCATCACATTCACATCCTCCTTTGTGGCGAGGTGGTCGAAGAACCAAGCAGTGCTAACAGGGCCATCGGGCAAACTCTTAATCTTCTCATCAACAGCAGTAGCCTTTCGGGTAATGGCCTTCAGCATCGCATCAGAGCAAAGCGCATACAAATCAGCACCAGTGTAAGTCAAAGGAAGCTGCTCCGCGACCCGGTCAAGTGAGACATCAGGGTGAAGAGCGAACTTCCGAGTCAAAGCCTCGAGAATGGTCGCCTGTTTCCTGTGTGTGTCTGAGACGCCCAAGTAGAGCATCTTGTCGAAACGTCCAGGACGGAGAAGTGCAGTGTCAAGCAGATCGGGACGGTTAGTCGCACCAATAACGAAGACGCCGCCGCTGTTCTCCTCTCCTCCGTTCATGCCATCCAGTTCTGCGAGTAGCTGACTGACAATACGATCCATAACACCACCACTGTCTCCCTGGTTACCACGCTTGGGGGCAACGGAGTCCAGCTCGTCGAAGAACACAACGCAAGGGCGGGCGTCACGAGCGCGCTGGAATACTCGTCGCACGTTGGCTTCGGATTCACCAATGTACATGTTGAGCAGTTCAGGGCCCTTGACAGAGAAGAAATTGAGAGAGAACTCGGTAGCAATGGCCTTGGCAAGCAGGGTCTTGCCCGTACCGGGTGGGCCATAGAACAAGATACCGCTGCGCTTTTTCATACCCTTGGCGAACAGTTCTGGACGTTCCAGAGGCAGCTGGATAGTCTCGATCAAGGCATCCTTGACATTGGTCAGTCCACCAACATCATCCCAGCCAACGTTCGGAATCTTGGGTGCGCCGATCGAATCCGCAAAGTTCTTGCGCGCAGCCTCAACGGCGGCGTCAAAGTCTGCCTTTGTGACACCGCGTGCACCGTCGCCTCCTGCAAGCAGGATGTCTCTGACAAAGACCTCCGAGCCAGAGATTTTCTTGCTGGCCTCCGCCAAGCTTTCGAGGCGAGCCGTTCTTGCGGCAGCAGCTCGTTCCACGACATCGACCAAGTCTCCTGCAACAAGCGCTGCGGTCTTCAAGGCCACGGTTCCCAATTCCACATCAGCAGACAGTTTAATACTGCGTTCTGCAACGGCATTCCGCAGAATTCCCTCACGCTCTTTCTCTTCTGGGGCGCCCATCTCGAACTCATGGGTGACCAGGCCGCGGATCCCTTCTGGGATGGTTTCAACATCGGTGGTGGTGGCGATAACCACTCTGGCATCGTTCAGGATATCCGTCATTGCAGTAACAATACGATCAGCGGTCAGAACCTCGATATGCCTGATCAGTAGCGCGGTGCAGTTTGCCCCACAGTGGAAAGCTCGCTCTGCCCGTGCCTTGAGATATGCCTCGGTCTTGACGTCGCCTCCGTTTGCGCCGCCTTCAGTCAAAATATCGTACGCGTCGATGGGGAATGTGTGGAGACCGATATCAGAGCATGCCCGAGTCGCGACAGTCGCCTTGCCGATATGCCTTTGCTGGGACCTGAGAAGAATAAAGACAGGCTTCATGCCTAGCTGAATAGCTCGGGGGCTCGTGGCGACAGACATCAAATCGCGCAGTCGCTCCTGCAGAGGGGAGATAAAGGATTGAGGTGCGTCGGCAACAATTCCATGAGGAGTCGGAGCATCTTGAATGCTCTTTGGGATGGTCTTGACGCCCAGCCAATATTCCCACCCGTTGCCCAACACACCGGGAACTCGACTCACGTCGCTTCCAGCCTGCACCATGCGTGTAGTTGCCGGGTCGAGCACAGCCACTCCACCCCACTGGTCTTCGCCTGTTTCCTCCACCTCCTCTACAGCAATCGGGGCTACCTGCCCGACACGGAACCAGGCGACGCCGATTTTACGAGCACCGGCACTACCGGCGTCGGGGGTTTGGCCTAGCCGGGTAGTAATATCTTCCTCCTGGTTGGCGCTGTCACCGCCAGCGGTTCCAGAGAACACTGCTCGGCCGAGTCCTTCGTCGACACTGATTCCAACCAAATCGCCACTTTTAAGAATGCGCCGGCGCGACTCAAAGTAGTGCTTCAGGCCTGCAAACAGAGCCGGTTGAAGGACACGGTCCATTGAAAGGGGGTGGAAACCTTGAGCAGCGTGACTTCCTTCGCTAAAGGCGGGTTCTTGGCGGCTGTGTTCTTCATGTGGTGGAGAAGACCAGCTTTTGAGGTGCCGCTGGGGGTGGCGAAGGTCATAGGAGAAATGCGCAGGTACTTCGGATTGTCGATGTTGCCAAGAAGCAACGGCGGGACATAGACGGTAGGCGTCAAGCGGGTGGGTTGACGTTGTGACATGCTCGAACGGCGTTCACCTGAGTGATTAATGGCATACCGTGGCTTGGAGGATGGAAGACCAGAAAGACCGAAGATCTTTACAGGGCGCCAATCGCCCGAGTCCTCTGGGGAGTCGGTAAAGCTTCCAAATTTGAGGGAGGCGAACATGTTCAGCTGGGGTTCTTCGCCAGCTTCAATTCTGACCCAATCACCAGAGAAGCATCCAATCTTGGCGAGAGTGCTGACATCCACAAAGACAAACGAATCAACATCTTCATCATCGCGAGGTCTGGGGTGCAGCACTTCATTCGGGACCTGCTGCAAAAGCCCTTCCACTTTGAAAGTCTTGCCCCCGCCACGGCCAGGGCGCATTGTGGCCGATGTGAAATTCGATGCCACAGATCCAGGAGTATGAATGTCATCAAATCGTCGACCGCCGGCTCTGGGAGTGGCTGAGCTCATAGAAGACATCACTCCCGACGCTGTCTGGGGCAGTTCAGGCGCACTGAGGGAAATCATGTCTTCGAGGGAGTCATCTGAGGAATCACTCATGGAACCCACTGAGCCCTCTGTTTCAGACTCCTCAGCAGCTGAGGTAGCCTCCATCTCCGTTCCACTTTCCCCGGGTTTGTCCTCGGCAGCAGAATAAAATTGTTCGTTGGAAGTATCGTCAGCTTCATCCTCGGCCACTTGCCTCAGAAGCGAGGACCTCGAAGGCAAGGTTTGCGAGGCACGGATTCCTTGGGGGCGAGCTTGCACAAGGACGATCTTTGTCGTCGACATTAGCAAGCCTTGCGAAACAGGCTCACAAAATGAGATTCGCGCCGGGGGTGGTGGCGCATGAGTGATTGGATGGGATGGGAGTGGAAGGGGCAGCACATCTCCGGTGTGCACAATGCGCTGAGCACCCAATGCCTCACGAACGGCGGCAGTAAGACGTTGTTCAGCATCGGCTGCAGCCCGTTTCGAATACTTCTTGGCTTCTGCGGTTTTCCCCGCTTTACCCCAGAGTCCATTTGGCCCCTGCGTATTCGTGAACCCACCACCAAATCTGGTTTGAACGTCATCATGGTTGCGGAGAAGATGTCGCTCGACGGTGACAAATATCGTATCGAGGTGGATTGGGGCGACATCTAAAATCCGAATCTCGACAGAACGGTGCGCCTGTAGGGAGTTGCGTGACGAATCGACTTTCCCGAGAGCCTGGAGGAAAGGCTGGAGTGAGTCTGCCGATTCAGGGAACAAAACGGTCGAGTGTGACATGGTAGCCGGAGATCTCTCTGAGGGCTGGATGCGCACTGGGAGTATTGTCCAGGTTTGGTCCTCCACGGAGGTATGAGTCGGGATATGCGGGGCAATTGCAACATAGAGCACTCCGTCGTCGGAAGTCGTAACATCTGAAAAGAAGCGCATGTTAGCATTCACTGTATACATGTGTAAATGAAGCTTTCCACTCACCTTGGAGGGCCTGTTGCTGGAACAGGTCATTCGCTAGATCCTCGGATAATATGCCGACTTTCCCACGCAGCTGGGGGTCCAGCGCTAAACGAGCAGCAATAGGTGCCTTATTGTTCAATCGCCGCTTTCCAGCTCTTCTTCTCCGTTGTCGAGGCTGCTGAGAGCTCTGCCCATACTGTTCGAAGTCCATGGTTGCGGTGTCTTGTCCGGTTGCCGTCGGCAAAGGAAGCGGAGGGGGTATAGGGGGATTGGTGAGAAACGAAATGCAATCAGCAAAACATGCAGTTAACAAGCACACATCAGAGGGTATTCTAGATAGTTCCCCGCCAAATTGATCGGATTACTGAGGGGAGAAGACGAGGTTCGCCGGATCCAGAATCCGGGGGAAATCAACACGCGGGCAGCTCGGCACCGCCCACCGTTCTGCCATATCCCGAAGCCGAGGTCCAATCGGTAGGGGAGGACGGAGTACGATGCATGATGGACATAATAGTAGTATTAAGGATAGGTAAATCGCAGCTGTAGGTACGGCAATTCTCATTCCGACATCTTCGCGATTCATCTCATAATCTCAACAGCAATATGAGCATGGGCAATTTTTGTTCCTGATCTAATTGTAACTTGTAAGCGTGCTCTGACGCGATTGGCCATGCTTGTGATTGCATGTACCTAACAGCTTCCCACGTTTTAAACCCCGGACATTATTTGAGAGTCGATCCAATAATTGCAAGGCAGTCAATGACAATTCATTGGCGCCTTGCGCTCGGTTCCTGACATATTGAGAACCTATACTTTATGCCGAGTGGGTAATTCGTAACTACCTACGTGAGATATATACCTAACAGCTAAGGTAGAGGGCATGCCGGGCTCACATGAGCCCTGCAGCCCGGGCGGCGGGAGGCACCTTCATTCCATCCTGCCACAGATCTGGAGTTCTACGTCAACCATTAGGCAGTCATATACTATCCATGGATGATGAGAAACATCGCAGCCTGAGATAGTCGAGCCAAAGAGGATGTGATGGACGAGATGAGGCAATTCCGGGGAAGCAAGAATGCTGTTGACTAATTGCTCTCTTCGGGTGGCTTGTCTCCCGGAATAAACACCCCTACCAGCCCGGGCAAGAGCGTAGGAGAGGCCAGCTACAATATAGTCGAACAGTTATGTGATACGTTAATCCCCGGTGAAGATCTTCCGCAACTGGCGTTGGAAGCACTGGCAGATATGGTCAAGCATAGTCAGGTCGAGTAGCATATCAGAAATTCAATCACTGAATTATTTGGAGGCGAAGCTCAGCACCAGACAGTATGTGGAAAATCGGTCTCTTTTCATGAACAGCTGTGGTGGGCTGTGCAGATAGTCAGATTGGGGCGCAGTCGAAACAAACGGGAACTGTCACTTGGCACAGGTACAAGTAGGGCCCTGGACAACGATGATCATAGAATCACAAGCATACTGCATGTACAGTACATAGTAGGCAGTGGTCACTGGTCACTCTTTTTGGGACTTTTTGTTTCCACGTCACTTGGGGGCCAAGCCCTGGGGCGTCGGATGCTCCATGCCAATAAGCGTGGTGAATATCCTTCATCGTATGATCCTGGCAAAATGGTGACGTATAACTGGGTGAAATAAGAAATGCTGACTACATCCAATTCCACAAATTCCCAGAAAATGAGAAAAAGATTCCTGGGTTGAGGACGTGTTCTTTTCCAGAGGGATCTCCAAAAAATGCTGTAACCTGGAGAGGTGAGGCTCTTTTTACGGGGTTCTTATCTCTCCGGGGGCCGAGTTTCCATTTTAAGAATCAGTGGGACCGGTGGAGAAACGGTATCGATACCCGCCAGGGACCACACGGGAGCCACCTACAAGGCTGGGCAATGTAATTACCGTCATTGGTTTACCATACCTGTGCTTTATGAAGCCAATCATAAGCAGTAGAATGTGCTCAGCCATCGCACGCTATCCCCAATTAGGGATTAGCGTCTTCGTCTATCAGGCAGACATCCAACACCTCATCAGTGAGCCTCCGGAGTCTTCCCTTCCTTGTTCCGCTTATTCCCCCCCGTTAGTGTTCTGTTTTATTCTTCAGTTCAAGCTTCTTACCTTTTGCTCTTTATCGCTGCCTTCCATATAAGGATTCCTTCGCAGAACAGATTTCGTATTTAGTGGGGCCCCCTGCTTGGAAACTCGATCGTGGAAATTATATCTCGGGAGCGTTAGAACCCCATCAACTCATTGACTCTGGGGAACTCACTTCATTCCTGGGGTTTTCTATCTTCGATTGCAAGCCATTCGAGTTGGTGTCAGAGGCTGTCACTGCTCTGAATTCCGTGTCAAGACATTCCGAACCCCGCATTGCATTGGGTTAGGAGTGCATGCTTACCCAGAGACTATCAGCGATCTCTATTGTGAGAGATCTCTTAAAGCTTTATAGCTATTCACGAGTGTCGCTGCCAGCCACCCTTGCTTCAGATTCAAGAGCAGTGGTGTGTGTCGTATACCGAAGAACGGAAAGTTCGCATCACGTCGACGCTTGCTCTCTTATTCGACAGTACGCCACTTTCTGAATCATCTGGACAACTATCACCGGTGAGTCATGAGATGGGCCAATCAGCCGTAGCCCCATTCATTCCTTGTCGGGATTTGTATGCTGATTGATGGTCAACGCAGTAGTACGCCCAATGAAGTCTGCCGTTCAGCCTGAGCCATCGCGGCTGCACCCGCGTCGTCGGCCCGTCTTAAACACTCCTCTTCCCACCTTATCGAGCGATTCGCTTGATTCTAAGATGTGCCTTAGGAAAGGAGAGACTTTCCATACTCCTACGTCCCCTCCATGCAGTGATCACGACCCTGTCGTGAATTTCCGCACCCTACCTCATCGCTCGCCGACTTCGTTGGAAGCCCTCGCTGCTGCCGAAGAGCGCATGACCTCTATTCTAGGCCGCCTGACTCTGGACAGTACCGAAGACCAGACCTTGCAGACCACTGGCGACGATAGCTCTTTAGAGGGTGGTCGTGGCGCAGTGCACAGCCGTTCGAATTCCATGTCGGACTCCCCACGCTGCTCGGATGAAGAGGGCCGTGGAAAGCCCATCCCTATCGATGAGAAAAAGGCTCGCCGACAACATACCCACGAGTCGGATAGCGGACTTGGAACTTCGATCAGTAGCGAAGAGGGGCTCACTGACTCCGAAAATAAAGGTGGGTGTCACATGCTCCATTCATTTGTCTTTTCATTGTTCTCTCTCAATAGAGTTCTTTGTTCTCCATTAAGCTCATGCTTGCTCCCTATTGTCTTCCCTTTGAACGCTAACAATTACTAGTCCTCAATAGCATTCATCACAAACAATCCACCACAAGATCAATCTCCGCTATTGATGGCTTACTTCCGAAACGTCAATTGGGCCCTGCCGCCTGCAAATCGATTGAGCGCCTCGTGCTTGTTCCTATTTTAAAAGAGGCTCGTTTACAGCCATTCCACCCATTGGTCCGAAGCATCCCGAAGAGAATTTTGAATAAGCAGATTGTCTGCTTGCGTGACCTTGAGAAGACTCTATTGTGGTTGGCACCTGTGAGTTGATCCATTGTCTCCTATCTGGGTTTGGAGTTCTGGTTATGCTTATTCTTATTTCTTTTAATTGAAGACCTCGTCCACTTCTCGAAAGTCTTACCTCGACTTTTGCGAATTTACTATCCAGTGCTTGCACACTTCGGCGTCTCATCTCAACGATCGTGATCAACGCCTACCGGCTGATCGACCGTACACTAACGGATACTTCCTTGATCTTGTTTCTCAGGTCCGACGATACGCAGCCATGATTCGCTCTGAACGCCAGCGAGTCCAGGAAAATCGGGATCCGAAGTCCGACAAGGGGTCTACCACGTATGTTTTATATTTGATATAAACTCTGGATTCAGCTAATGTATGAGCTCAGTGTCGAACCTGTCACCCTGGAAGGCGGCCTCTCTATCAATGGAAAGCCAGCTGAACTTGTCGTAATGCAAGGCGACAAGCAAATCTCCTTGGCCACCGGCAAGCCGCATGAGGCGGAGCCCGGTAGCACTTCTAAGCGTGCCATCATCATCGAGGATGGCGTTGATGAGGGAGTCGCACGGTCGATGGCCCGTCGCAAGAAGGATGCCCCTCCCATGAATATCAACCAGAAATGCCCCAATTGCGAGAAGGTCTTTAAGCGGCCTTGTGATCTCACGTGAGTTCGGCCCTGCTGATCAGATCCAATGCCGAAACAGGTACTAATCCATCAATAGAAAGCACGAGAAGACTCATACTCGTCCCTGGAAATGTGATCATACCGACTGCGCTTACCACACAAAGGGTTGGCCTACTGAAAAGGAACGGGATCGCCACATGAACGACAAGCATTCGGCACAGCCCATTCTCTACAAGTGTCAATTCCACCAGTGCCCGTACACCTCGAAGCGCGCCAGCAACTGCAAACAACACATGGAAAAGTCCCATGGGTGGATTTACGTTCGATCCAAGAACAACGGCCGCAGTGGGAGCAAGCGAGGCTCTTCTGTCCGAGCCACCCCTCAGACCCCCAGCGTGTCTACCCCCGCTTCGAAGGCCACCGACTTTGCCTCTCCCATTCCCGGCCCCAGTCCTTCTCCCTCAGCCCCGACCTACAACTGGCCTGATAGTACCCAGTTCAACTTTGCCGATCCTCCTGTATCTGCCAACGGTGACAATTTCCCATTGTTCGAACCAAGCCCGCCATATTTGGTGAACGATGCCAATCAGTTCCCGACTTCAGTGAATCTCACGGCTTTCCAGAGTCAGTTCAAAGCCGGTGACCCGAACGGGCTGATTCCCGTTCTTGAGATGCACCCCCAGTCCATGAATGAGGTCGTTCCATCTCCTGAATCCGTTCCCGATTTGATGGACCCCTTGTCCTTTGATGGATCCCCGATGACCGGTACTGATAGCATCAACCTCGAATGGGATTGGAGCAACCTGGAGTATCCATCCAATGAAGACTACACTGCGCTGGCCGCGCAACTCCCTCAGGCTCAATCCCACGAGGCGATCAAGGGCTATCTGAATGAATACGATTCAATGAACCTCAACCACTGTTCTTACGACCCCTCTGGCAAGCCTTTTGGTCTTTCTCCAGGTGCCCAGGGTAACGCCACCTTGTACTCGCCCCCATCTTGCAACGTTGGCGATACATTCTCTGGGCAATACGACCATGGCCGTCCGGCCCCAGCTGGAAATGACTTTACTCTTTTCCACCAGAGCAATCAGAGCAACCCTAATGCGCAAATGGGTCTCGGCGCTCACCCTATGATGCAAACCCCCAGTGATCACTCTGCTGGCTATGGCCAGCCCCAACAGCAGATGTTCCCCACTTTCGAGCAGGAGCACGTTCTGCAGGGCATGCAGTCCTGGAATGGCCAGCAACCTCAAGGAAACTACCTGCCTGAAGACCTGGATCTGGCATTCATGAAGTAAAGAGGTGAATACTCGGGGGTTCGCAAATACTCTCTTCTCAGTTGGCGTCAAGCGATTTAAACGTTCATAGCGATGGAAATTTGGTTGGATCTTATTCCTTAGCTCTTTTGATTCCAGTAACATGACATATGATGTCCTTTAATACATTTCATTTGCTCCTACCGTGTCCTACGTCATAGCTATCTATCTGGATCTGCTTCTACGTGACCTACTTCGTACATAATGGCCTTGGCCGCTTGGCGGGATTACCAGGTGATCCACGGCCTGGTCACTTCGAAATACAATCAACCAATCATACCTTAGGGAGTATTAATTCGGTGTCCATCACTTCGTTGTTCAGAGAAGAAGAGGAAAAAGCTACGATACGATGACACTGCCGAGAGATACCAAGACATAGTTAGGGCAACGAATTGGTAGGCAGCACCAATAATTAGTCTTGGCACACAAGAACTGGGGACTGTGTAAGGCTGATTGTGTCAAGATAAATTATTCAAATTTTCGCGACTCGGATGAAAATAGTATACACTAGACACTACCTATCCTAACATTAACAAAGAGGCTATGGCTTGATGGGCGCTTAAGCCGAGAGACTAAGCTCCAAAATATCGGGCGTGACGACATCATCTTTCTCTCTCCCGCCCCGAACTCTGCTCCGCTCAGCCCCCCTCAATTGTCTTCTCTTTCGCAACTTTCAATAGATACCTAGAGTCCGTGAGACTCAGTTCCCACTCAGCCTTGTTTGGTACCTAGTTGCAGCTTCAACCGGCTTAGGCAGACACATTATACGGAGACATCATACGCTTAATATTTCACTTCGCAACCACCCCAACTGACTGGTTGTGCTATTTGCTTTCCTTGGGACTCAGCTTCCCTCATACGTGCATCGGACGGTTACCCCCTTCAACATGCCGGAGTCGCAATCAGATCCCGCATTCCCCAATGGGGCCAAGGGAGATGTGGGCGCCATCCCACCGGGTCAGATCCTGACCGGCAAGCAAGAACACTGTAGGTAGAGGAGAAATTTGCTTTATAATCTTCCAGCTCCGCAGTCACTAACATGGCCATTGTCGTTTCGCAGATCTCAAGCGTGAGCTAATCGCTCGCGAAGTCCGCGCCGAAATCTCCGAGCTGAACTCCCCCACCGCATTACAGCGATTCGGCGCCCCGTTCAGATCGGAATTCGGCGAGGTCGCGCCTGTCGACTCGGAGCTTCCGATCCTTCGGTACATCTTCGTTCACCATGTTCGCAATTTCCCGTTCCTTGACCAGGCGCGCGAAAAGGAGTTCTGGCAGGATAAGCTGCAAGTGGTGGGTGTTTCGATATTTTGGATGAGATCTGTGAAGTGACAGGGACTGACTGTGGAGAAATAGTTCCTCGAATCGTTCGCCAACAAACATGTGTCTTCTTCGGAGGATAGACTGGAGGAAACGAAACGCCGGAAATTGGCTCGGAAATGCGAGAAGCTCGTGGAGCTGATGATGGTCTCGGGCGTGCCGACCGCGTCAGGATATGAGGAGCGCATTCAGTTCTCGGAGATTGAAGTTGTTGAGCGCGGTGCTCAAGATTCCGGTCTGCTCGTTAATATTCCTGAGGGCAATGCGATTCATGGTTGGGATGTGAATGTAGCCGCTGTTCGCACAACCTCTGTCAAGCGGACAGTGCGGTACCATCAACATGCAGTAAGTATCATAGATGCGGAGCGGGGACTGCTCCAGAGTAAACGTGGTTACGCTGACATTCGTCATAGGAATTCATTATTCGAGTCCGTCAGGGCGATAAAAAGGAGCTCCATGTTGGGAGGAGGTATGGAGAATTCGTCAAGCTCCACAAAAGACTGAGCACTGAGATGCCTGGAAAGCACCTGCCTCCTCTTCCACGCAAGAACAAGTCCTCCACCTCGAGCTGGTGGGGTGCTGCTGTAGATGATGACGCTTCGTCCATTTCATCCATCTCAACACAGGGAACGGCTGCCCCGGAGGATAACAGACTTTCTGTGCCAACTACACCCGGCAACCTCCGACGATCAGCCTCCCGAGGATCGATGCGGTCAACAAAGTCGCCACGTGCATCATCAGGGGATGTGTCAAGGGAGACTGTTCTATACAGGGAGGAGCAACGTGTGTCGCTCCGCGCTTTCCTGCGTACCATTTTGCAAAACAAGCGAGTTGCGGAATCCAAGGCCATGGAGGAATTTTTGACTTCTCGCCCTATCAATCTGAACGAGGAAGAGTTGATCGACGTCCGCAAACGAAAGGATATGGATGCTGTCAGAATCGAAGAACAGAAGAGATTCTATGAGATTGCTCGACAGCGAGCAGCTGAGTTGGATGTTTACATGGAGCGGTTCCGGCGAGATATTGTGGAGAGCAGTAAGTCGCGAGCTTTTCCAGAAAGTGAGGCCGTTGCTAATCACACTTGCATTTCAGACGGATTGACAAAGCTTTTTGCGGAGATTCGGGTAAAGCCCACGATTCAAGACCTCAGCCCACAATACCAGAAGTTTGCTGAGTGGCTTCGTATTGAGTATGTTACTCATCTACACCGAGTGTGTCTTGCCCTACTAACATTGAACAGGGTTGCCGCGACGATATACCATTTGTTCCTAGCCGAGGATAACTCCCCAGAACTGTTTGCACAAGCGAAGAGAATCCACGGTCTCGTTCCATATACGCTGATGAAGAATGTGATTCGCATCGCCAACCCTGCTGCGGTCATGTCTGGTGTTCTTGACCTTTTCATGGCACAGCCCTTCGGCTCGCGTTCCCTTCTGCAACGGATCTTCTCTTTGACACTAAATGAAGGCATCAAAGATTTCCAGAGATCTATTGACACTCTGGCAGCAAAGGTCGAAGATACGATTCTAACTCAGAAGCTAAAGTCCTTCGCGGAAGCGGATGAGGATATCAAGAATGATATTCGAGCAGATGCCACTAATGACGAGGTTGACATTGTTGTGGCCATTCTTCGGTCTGATCTTCTGTCTCCCGAGCTCACCCCGGAGCAGATTGGCAAGGTGTTCAACGGCTACGTTGCCTGGAACCATGCTGTGGAAAATGTAGACTTTGAGATGCAGCAAGGCGCCCAATGGTTCGCTCATATGAAGCAACTTCTGAAGCTTTACACTCGCCAGCGCGATAAGGCGATGATGCTCAGCATTGTCGAAGAGCCGGTTACACTGCAGCTCTTCCGCGATCTGTTCACGATCTTCTACGAGCCTCTAGTCCGAGTCTACAAATCCGCCAATGTATACGGCAGCATCACAGACTTTGCACATTTCGCCGATGATGCTATAGCTGTCATCCAAAGTGCGCAACGCCAGGATGCTTCCGCCGATCCAAACCAAACAGTTCAGGCCTTCATCGACCTTTGCGCTCGCCACGAGGACAACTTCTACAAGTTCATTCATGAAGTACACCAGCACGACAACGGCCTCTTCCAGTCCCTGATGGGTTGGATCGAAGAGATCCTCGATTTCCTGCGCAATGGCCCCGCCGGAGGCAAAATGGATATCAACGCTTTGTTCCAAGGAGCTGTTGGAGTGGGCCAAATTGACAAAGAACTTGCTCTTGAAGAAATAAATCTACTTATCAAGTGGCAAGAAGACCGAAAACGCTGGCACCTGAATAAGACTCGCCAGAAGATGGCTGCCGAGGGTACCTCTGGAGAGACGATCCCAGGCACTACGACTTTCAAGGGCAGTGACTTTGGTCTGGACGAGGTATGCATCATTCACTTACTTGAGTTAGAAACAGAACATGAGACTAATCGTGTTCAACAGGCTGATTTGGAGGATCTTACTATATCTGACGAAGCTTCTGATGCGTCTGACGAAGACACCGGAGATGAGGACATGGACGACCCGATTGCGGTGGAGCGCCGCCGGCGGACAAAGAAGCAAGACCAGCTTCGCCGTACTGCAGGTGAACCCGCCAAGCCGGAGGTTACAGAGATCCTCAAGCTTGCCGAACCCTTCGGCATCATGTTGCGACATGTGCTTGCCGATTAGATGGTGACAATATGCTTTTTTTTTTCGCCACGCACAGATCGTGCCTGTGATACCGCCACCGAGATGGCCTTTTCCATTTCGGTTCTACTACTTGTTTTTTTTCGATACACCGATGCATTAGTCGCTTGTTTTCAAGCGTTGGCTCATTATGGCTGTCTGGAAGATTTGGGAGGATTAGATGAATACGGCGGGCATTAACTAAGGACCGCACACTGAATAGAAGACAATTGACACACAACAGTTTATGAAGTATTGGCTATGTGTCTCTGCAGTGCCTCCACGACCTGCCCATAGCCATTCTCCAACGCCACTATTAAAGGGGACTTCCCATCTGCATCGCCCAACTGAGGATCGATCCCGTCAGCCTCGAGCAGTAGCTTCACAATACCTAGATGACCGTAAAAAGCAGCATTAAACAGCGGAGTCTGACCGTTCTCGTCACGGGCATTGGGATTAGCCCGCCAAGGCCCACTCAGCAACAGCTTCACAATCCCCTCATGGTTCCTATCCGCCGCAACTCCCAACGGCGTAGTCCCATGCATGTCGGCAATCTCCAACCCAACCCTCTCACACCCAACCAACAGCCCCACAATACTCTCAAGCCCATTCTCAGCAGCAGCAAACAAAGGCGTCTGCCTCTTCCAATGCGTCTGCAAATTAGGATTTGTAACATCCCACTCCAACAAAAACCGGACAACATCCACTCTTCCCGCCGAAGCCGCAATAGAGAATGCGCCCCGCCCATACTGCTGTCCTCCAGCATTAGGATCCAGCTTTTCTCCAAAGTACTTAACCAAATACTGCACAATCTCCACATGACCCATAATAGCCGCGTAGAAAAACACATGCTGACAATGTTCAGCACCATCATCGCCCTCAAGAATCAACCGCAAATGCCGCGCAAGCAGCAGCCCCACTTCCCCATCCGCATCACGCGCAGCCCGACCCAGCGGCGTCCACCCCTGTCTATTCGCCACGCGCGGATCCGCCCGCCCACTGCACAGAAGCAACGTCATCATATTCGGCTGGTGGTTGACGGCAATCATGAGCGCCGTGTCACCCGCCTTATCCTGTAAATTGACATCGGTGCGGTCGTCCTCGAGCAGTGTCTGCACGACAGTCGCGTGGCCTTCTTTGACAGCCCAGGACAGCGGCGGCCGGAACAGTTTCCTGTCGCGGGTATTTGGGTTTGCGTCTGGGTCGAGCAGGAGCAATTTTAGCACTTTGATGCTGTTGTGGAAGGCGGCTAGGAGGATTGGGGTGCAGCCTTTTATTCGGGGGTCGGCGTCTGTTCTTGAGTGGATGTCGAAGCCGGCGGAGAGGGCTTTTAGCGCTGTTGATGGGGTGTCGGCTTTTGAGGCGTGGAAGAGGGATTTGGGGCTTGTGGATGTTGCATCGCGCTTGTAGAGGGTTTTGTTTAGGAGGAGGTGGGTTGTTGTGGTTGTGCGCGTGAAGGCGTTGAAGTCGGAGAGTAAGGGGAGGAAGTCGGAGATTGCGATGTATAGTTCTTTAGGGAGGGTTGCGAGGGGTCCTTGGGTGTTGGTGCATGGTGTGTGCATCTGGCCTTGCTTTGGAGGGAGGAAACATCAGGGTCTAAGCATATGTGACGTGCTTGGCGACTATGAGGATTTTCCAAGCTTCCGTCCACGTGGGGTTAAGCTTCTTATAGTGATGGATTTGCGATGTGGGGGGATCGTCCGTCAGTCTCAGTTGGACCTACCGTTGTTGGACATTTATGAGGTCATTTGTGGTCGAAGTATCTGATATCACAGCCGAAGTGTCTCACTTCTGTGTCTGTCTGTCTGAGCTGGGATCTCCTCTTGTTGTGATTCGCATAGATGCCCGACTTGGATGTCTCAGATCCTACAACAAAATGCCAAGACTGCCAAAAGTCCGGGGCGATAAGATAAGGGTTTCCATGACGACGAATGTGGCTTAGTCACCAAACTGCCGTTCCATCCATTGCAGCGGGACCGCTGAGGTAACTGAGGTAGGATTGGAGGGTTCATCTTCTCGTCGTCACCACTTCTGAGTAACTATATGGGCTATAATGTTCTCCCCTCAGAGGTATCCAAGGTCTCCAGCAACAATGGCCCCGCTTCGCCAGGGTCTTTTTAAAGATGGCCTCTGGCGGTGCAACTGCCCAGATCGCCCAGTTGCAGCTCATCGTCAAACGAAGAAGGAGGGCATAAACAAAGGGAAATGGTGTATGTCAAATCTAGAGAAAATCCCGAGTATCCCATTCAGAAACTAAGAGTGAACAGTCTACAACTGCGCCAAACCGCAGGACCTCGAATCAAAATGCAAGTTCTTCCTATGGGAAGAACTCGCATTAGAACGAGAGCGAGAGGCCGTTCGCAACAACTCTCGATCTGAACCTGACCCTCTCATCTTTACTCCGACGAAGCGAACCAGCCCACGCTCGCGTAATCTTCTAATAACACCACAGACTGAGCCTCGATTCAAGGATGCACCACAACACAACTTCATATCACCACCCAAGACAGCCAAAGCCAGAATGATCTCCGAAGCGTCAGATGATTACGGTTGGGATGATGACCTGGATGAAAGCGATGAGCTTGTCACGGCACTAGCTTCCAGTCCGAGCCAAACCGAGAGCTTCATCTCACAGTCGAGCTTCATCTCACAGCCAAACTTCCATCCTGAATCACCGTCGAAAACACCCCGCACCGCAAACGTAACTTCGCCCGGCAAGCGCAAATTATCAGATGTTGCGCATGAGGATGCCTCACATGACCAGACTGCGCTCGCAACGCCTTTCTCGTCCCAGTCCTCTCGCAGCAGAATGTTCCCTCCCTCCTCGGCGGAAGTATGCTTGACGCCCACGCCTAGCAAATACAAGGATGTACTGTCTGCAGACACCAAGTTTGATGTGTCGGACCTTGCGAAGAGTTTACTTGATACCATGGAGAAGCATCATGTCGTCTTGCCGAATAAAGCGCGGGATGAGGTTGTCGCGCTGCTCAACCGGCATGACTTGAGAACGCAAGGCATTATCCGTGGGCGGGATATGACACGCTTGGCGCTGAAGAAAAAGGATGATGAGATTAAGAGGTTGCAAGATCGTGTCGCTGATTTGGAGTCTCAAAGGGAGCTGGATCATGCTCTTATTGAGGGCTTGGAACACTCTCAATGAGGTTGTTCTTTATGTGTGCAACACCTACCACTGATATGTCCCTCCCCCGTCGCTATTTTAATACTCTAATATCCCTTCCCGTTGCAAAAGTCTCCCTCTATGCCACGAACTCTTATGATGATATGATAACCTTGCAAAAATTGCTATGTGCGGTTACTACTGTGTCTGTTGATATTCCAACCCTTTGTCGAGCAGTGAGTCAGTCGAGTTACAGCTTTGCTTTCTTAGCTGATGATATAACTTCGCTCACAAATTTGACATACTACATGGTCTTGGTCATTGGATCAGGCTATCGTCTGCAGATGCCCATACAGTAGCTAGCTAATATCGCTGGGCGACTTAATAAACTGAATATTCACTATTTTGCATTCTTAGTGCTTTTTGGCCGCTTGGCATATCTAGCTGTCATAGAAATGAAAGACTCAGATCACCATCAGTACTAGGTAGGTCATGGTTGTGGAATGATTCAAATGAACCTCCCACGCAGATCGATAAAGATAGCAGATCACGTGCCCGATAAGAAATAGTTTGTGCCGCAATGCGCCTCGAGCTTCAAGACAAACCAAAAGTAATTCAATTTGATTTACTTGTCACCTTCGATGGAGTCGACAGACCCAGCTTCCGAGCAGGCTTCAACCATGTTCCGCCCCCCGGTGAACCGTCTCATGACCGTCCTCGACCGATCATTTTTCCGAACAAGTGTGCCCCTCGCAGCCGCGCGAATCTTCAAACCCAGCGATGTTTCGAACGTACGGAAGGACCTGCTGAAGAGCAGTGACCTTTTGACCTTGCCGCGTGTCCAAGGTGTGCACGAAGTCAAGGACGAAAACGGCCAAGTGCGCAAGGCTTTATTGCTGCGGGAAGGCGTGAAGCACGATGGTGGGTTCATTGGGCTCGTATCTGGGGTATTATCGATAAATGGGAGCTGATGAGGATATCCAGATGAGGAAACGTGGTCGCCAACTATCAACGAGCTCGTGAAGAAGGGAACTGTGACCATTGGGCCTTTTGAATTGGTATTGGATTACGACTATTGGCAATACCGTATGCTTGTCTACCTATGTTCCAACGGGCTGACTCTTGCGTGCTAATCTTCCAACAGACGATATTATCTCAGCAATCTTACCAGAGGAACTGCTGTCAGATGTCCCTCATGGCTTCACTCAAGTGGGGCATGTCTGTATGTCCGTCTGAGTCACTGTCCATTGAATCCAATACTGACCAGACAGTGCATCTCAATCTTCGCGAAAAATACGTGCCGTATAGTCAAATTATTGCAGACATTCTTATGGACAAGTGCCCCAATGTTCGGACTGTTATCAGGAAAACCGAAGATGTCGGCTCACAAAGCGAGTTCCGCACCTTCCCATACGAACTTCTGGCTGGCGAAAACGACTTGAACGTCGTTCAACACGAGCAGAATTGTGAATTCAGATTTGACTACGCCCGTGTCTACTGGAACAGTCGCCTGGAAACCGAGCACCGCCGCTTGGTCGACAAGTTCCAGCCCAGCGAAATGGTCTGCGATGTGATGGCCGGTGTTGGTCCTTTCGCCGTACCGGCAGGCAAAAAGAATATCTTCGTCTGGGCGAACGACCTCAACCCGCATGGATATGAGGCTATGCAAGATGCCGTCGTTCGGAACCGAGTGCGAGATTTCGTTACTCCGTTCAACCAGGATGGGCGGGACTTTATTCGTTATTCTGCGAAGGCTTTGCTAAAGGCGGAGCCTTTGACTGTCAGCGTCGGCGTCAGCAATGATAAGAAGCGCAGACTTCAGTCAAGTAAGAAGCCGCTACCTGAGCCCAAGAAGTATACCCGCCCTACCATTGTCGACCACTATGTTATGAACCTGCCTGCTATCGCCATTGAGTTCCTTGATGCCTTCCCCGGGCTCTATGCTGGCAAAGAGGAGCTCTTTACGCCTCAATCAGGGCAGAAACTGCCCATGATCCACGTTTACTGTTTCTCGGGAAATTCAGAAGACGAGGTGGATGACCACAAAGATATCTGTCAAAGGGTCTCTGAGCGTCTTGGGTACACGATCACTGTTGACGACTGCGTGGGAGGCAAGGGCGATCAAGATGTGGAACTGGCCATCTACAACGTGAGGCTAGTCAGTCCCAAGAAACAATATTTCTGTGTTAGCTTCCGTTTGCCGCGGGAGGTCGCTTTTCGGAAGGTTTAGCGGGGTTGCATAGGCTCTAGCCGCGAGGCGTTATGAACATTATCCATAGACAAAAGTGGCATATTAATACACCGCCATGTCCGCCATGAGCTTTACCGAGGACTATCATAAGCAATGAACATCTAAGACAAAGCTGCAATGCCTATCAGTTCAGTGTTTATAGTCGCAGTTTATCTGATTTTTCCTAATTAGGAGGCGGTGACTTTGCCACCGCCTCGAACTGCCGATAGGGAACTGCAGAGATCAACGTCTGCGCCAAACAAGAGATCGTGCTTTCTTTACCACAGATACAGCTACACGGCTTTGAGAAGTAGCTTTCAGCCGGCCATTTTACCAGATCTCTTTACAGCTTCGAGTCGACTAAGCTACGTACCCAAACATACAAACTCTCTTACCGCAAATCCCACAATGAGCGTCACACTTCCCCCGCCCACCCACCGCAAGCGCGCTCTGCCACAAGGCGAGCTCGAAGCTGCTTCTACCCTCAGACTAGGCGCCGACCAGCACACACACACCCTCTCGCTTTCTGAGGCAAGACTCGTCATTCACAAGGTTCTGGAGAACAAACGCCGCGGGGGCAACAAATACGAAGAGCCGGAGTAAGTGAATCACGACCCAGTCGCCGACCCTCCGATATCAAGGCCAAAGGCTTAACTGGGATATTCTTTACAGGAACTTGACCAAGACGTTGGACTACCTGGATGTATTTGCCCGTTTCAAGGATGAGGAGAACATCAAGGCCGTTGAGCGGCTGTTGAACTCACACACGGAGCTGGAGATGTTCGAGCGGTCACAGCTGGGTAGGTTTTGATCTGCACTGCCCTCTTCTATCTCTTCCAGCCAATACCTTATCTGGTCCATGGTCCTCTTGTATCTGGAAGGCGTCCATGTAAGGGGGAGTTGAATGATTTCGCTTTACTAACTTCGATTTTGCGTTGAATAGGAAGTCTGTGTTGCGACAATGCCGAGGAAGCCAAGTCCCTCATTCCGAGTCTCCAGAACAAGATCTCTGATGGAGATTTGCAAGAGCTGCTGGATGAGCTGACCAAGCTCCGCAACTTCACTGAGTAAAGACACACGCCACACGCCACACGCCGATCGCATTCCCAACGGCTGTCGGGGGCCTCATTTCTGGGAGCATGGAGTTTTGAAGGAGTTTGTTCTTATTTTCTGGTTTGCAACAGTCGTAGGCAGGCATGTCCGATGAAAATCCTCATATTTGCGACAGATTCCCAACCTTTTGGTTTAGGAAGCATGCGTTGCAGATACATATGGGGAATGAAGTGATACATAATAGAAACCTTCTGAGCCAACCATCGCAGGCTATTCCATATTACATCTTCTGGGCATCAAGTTTGCCGAGTCCGAGCCCTTTTGCCACCGGGTGTTTTAGCATGTGGCTTCGGGGAACGAATACAACACTCCGGCGCGTTCCACTCCGGGGGCTAGCATCATTAAGCTAAGTTATTCCGGCAATGTATTACCTAGTAGATTGCTTAGCGGTCAGAGATGCTACCTAGGTAGTGTTCATATACGGATGTGGCTATGCACATAACCAAGCCTACGTCGTATTTATTAATGCACGTAGGCATATAGCCCGTGATGTGCACAGTATGTTGGAGGACTCGATAGAATGCATTTAGGCTCTAGACTTTCCTCCACATTACCTTCACCCCACAATTCTGATTGCAGAGTCTCTCGGGCGCTACTGCGACTTTGTCATTCTGGTAAGCTCTCATTGGCCAGCCGAAGAACGTTATCACCAGCCTCTGATTGGCTCGGACATCCCAGTTCGTTGGATGCCGAGAGACCAGTTAGAAAGCCGACCAGTTATGCAGGCAGATAATCCCTGGGAATTTGAGGCGTCAAAGAGGGAACCTACATGAGACTCAATTCTCATTATCTAACTCTTTGCATCTATATCCCTTCTGTATGGCGGAACTCGATCGAGGGTCATATTGAGATGCTGACCTACCAGATATTCAGTACGTAATGTCATGTCGAGCTTTCGAACCAATCAGCAAGGGACAGCTTATCTTTGACAATTTCAGTGGCATAATTCCCATTTTTTGTTACGAGAGCAAAAAGGTGATCTTCTGGTACTCGGGAAGCTGATCCATCGGTTATAACCAGTTGCTAGGAGTTTATATTACCTATTAGACTCATCGTAGATCGATGTCATCATATTCGCATTTTCCTGCTCTCTCTCTCTTCTCTTCTCTTTTCATTCGCATCGAATCTTCAGGTCCTCTTAGATTTGATAGGAATGACGGAGCGAACCATTCGGCATCTCATATTGCTCCAGTCACTTGCGGGCTCATCTGCCTGATATTCCTTATTTTCGAACCTCCGGTGCCGGCTTCGAATTATCGTGAATTTGTTTCGTCGGAGATAACGAATCTCTCTCTCTCTTTTTTTTTTTTTCCTTTTTGGCTTCTTTTTTTGGAGATAAGGGTAATGTTCTCTTATCAACCCAATGATCTCATACAATGACTGACTTGGAATACACAGAATCAACAATAAACAGTGATCTAGAATAGTAACTAGATCCTCCCTAGATTGCGGAGTGACGTCTGGAGCATACTACTCCGTGAAGCCCCTATCAATCCAATCTATCTCTATTCCCATTTGCCCGATTCACCGTGCTTGGCTCCGGTCCACATGGCTACCGTTATCACTATCCAGCCTTCGGGCTATTCTCACTCCCCTGATCTTCGCCGCAAGAACGCCACGACCCCAACACTTTCTCCATCACCCATACCCATTAACACGACCCTTCCCCGCGTACGGGATGGAGCTAGTTGCGACGCTTGTCTCCGCAGAAAGAGCAGGTGCGCCATGAACGAAATGGTCAACAAGTGTTACTCGTGTGATTTCCACCGCCAAGAATGTACATTCACCCTCAAAGCCCAAGCTGAGGCTCCGTCTAAAAAGAGGAAATTGGAGGACGGACGGGAACCCACAGAGGCTGTCAAGCGGTATGAAAAAAAGAGTTCCAAATGAACTGGAGATATACTTCAGATTCAAATGTAGAGAGAGATGGAGTTCTAATCTGTTCCAGGGCCTCGACTTTGCCATCCGCACCTTCTGACGTAGTGGCCGAATCTCAATCGGCGGCATTGAACATGATTCGCCCTGGTTTCTTCAACCAGTCAACGCAACACATTGGCATGACCACTGAGCTTGAGCCGACATTGTTGGATTACCTCCCCTTGGACGAATATGATGAATGCACGATATCGAATTCTCGCGTGCGAAGATGTGCTGACGACGGCACTTTCATGCGTGTTGTCGACACCGCATCTGTTGGTGACTCGCAGGCCGCGTCACTCGATGCCATTGAGAGCATGGTTGCTCCGTACGGCTCAACGCTAATTGAGAAATTCTTTGACCATGTGCACCCCTCATTCCCGATTTTGATAGAAGAAGCATTCCGCCAATCATACCGAGAGCGCCGCAACTTGTCACCACTACTACTTGCCGCAGTTTATGTCTTGACATTGAAGTTCGTTGATGTCGGCGCCAGCTCGCAGACTGCACGGAAGCCGGATTCTGCACGACTGGAGGCTGCGGCCCTCAAGCTGTTGATGGAATCTTTACCTTCTCCCAGTGTTTCGACAATCCAAGCTGGGCTTCTCTTAACACAAAAGTCGACTTTGGCTACCGCGTCTTTGAATGGACAGCTGGTCACAGCCTGTTTCGAACTGGGCCTCCACCAGGACTGCACGAACTGGCGCATGGAGACGTGGGAGAAGGGCCTGCGGAAAAGACTTGCGTGGGCTTTGTACATGCAAGATAAATGGTCGTCATTGGTGCACGGCCGACCCTCGCAAATCTTTGCCTTCAACTGGACGGTTAAGGACCTCGTGGAGCAGGACTTCTCAGATGCCTTCGCCTCCGGTACTGACTCTTCACACGATGAAACCGCCGTCGGCCACGGCCCTCTCCTGTTCTGCCACATGGTCGCACTAACGACTATCCTCTCCGACATCCTCGATCGCTTCTACACCCTCCACGCCATTGAAGAGTTCTCCGCCGCCGGAAACCAGCGCACGCGCATGATTCTCGAAAAGGCCAAACCAGCCCAAATTCGATTGAAAGACTGGTTCTCCTCCCTCCCACCCTCTCTAAAGATGGAAACCTCAACGGGCGAACTCGTCGAGACAATCACAGACGAGCATGCCCGCAACGGCGCCCTCCACCTCGCCTACTTCGCCACCGAAATCACCCTCCACCGCTGCATCGTCCGCTCCCTCCTAGCCGAAGGCACAGACCAGTACCTAGCACACATCTGCCGCTCCGCCGCGAAAACACGTCTAATCTCTGCCATGGACTTTGTTAACCGCCTGCGCCCTGCCCATCTGCGCTCCTTCTGGCCCGCCTCCGCCCGCACAAACTTCTCTCTCATCGGCTCCTTCGGCATGCTTCTCCGCATCACCGCCCCGACCAGCGAAGAAGCAGACTTCTACCGCGTCCGTCTCTGCGAGTACCGTTGGACGCTCGGCGTCAGCCACAAAAACGCCGAGTTCATGGGCTTCGCGCTGCAAAGTCTCGATAACGCAACCATGCTACACAAGCATGTGCCCGCGAAGCCGGGCATCGCAGAACTCATGGCGTCGTCGAACAAGAATGCACCACCGCGTATGCCGAGTGCGTCGCTCGGCTCTTACGATGAGGCTATGATGGATGCTGGCGGGACGGCGGGGTCCAGCTCGGTCATCTCTGGGCTTGCGTCGCCTGCTACGTCTGTCAGTGATGGCGAGGATGAGGAGACTTCTATGGCGCCTTTGTGATCCATTTACCTGCTTTCGCATCGCATTGCCTTTCTGTTTGCATTACCCTGATACCCTTTCTCGGCCTCGGCTCGTCCCTTCAGCCACCGGCCCCACCCCCACGTTCTTCTCATGACCCACTTCTCTGCTGCAGCGTTCTCGGGCAATATTTTGTTCTTTGTTTTGGATGGATATAGACAGGATTTATGTAAATAGATTGAATGATGAATCATGATTTTGGACATTTTAAGATGTTACTACCTACTCAATGCTTAGTATACCAAAGTAGTACTAGTCAGAATCTCTGCAGAACTGGTTGTCTCTGGGTAACATTGACAACGTGATGATGATGCATGTATTGAACCTCTTCCAACGATGGAATGGATGGTTAGAATACCTCTCTAGTTGCGTTGCACATGTTTCGATAGTAAATACTGTGTACATAGTATACATCTATTGCAATAACCATCCACTATTGTACGTACCTAGTTCGCAGTACAGGGTCATGTGATCAAAATGGCAAGAGGCTTAAAATGCGGGGCCGAAATTATGTGGGCGCTAGTCCTGTTTTGGATGTCCTTCGTTATGACCTTCGAACTTTCGAAGTTGAAGTACATACACAGTAGAGAATGACGTGGAAGATGAAGATCCAAATATGCAACCTCTTACCTGTTCTTACTATGTAATTTCACAAATCCTGAGATTATATACGTGGATGATCCGATCTTACGGTCTCCGATCTTCCCCAGATTTCGGTATGAAATCTCCGCCAAGACTCGGCACGCCTCTGCCGAGCGATGATGCCAACACTTTCAGGACGTATCGCCTATTCCGGCCGATATCCTCCAAAATTAGAAGGGGCGCAGAATCTCGTTCATCTGGCTCTAATTTCCAATGTTCATATCCTCGATTATCGTCAGCATGTTCAACTAACCACTGTCCACTGTTCCAAGAGGTCTCTGAATTGTCCAACTCGCTGGTATAGCAAGTATTCAACGTGCTTGCTCTAAGGCCGAAGAAACAGCCTGCATGGCACCAGTTGAACATCTCCCGGATAACAACATCTCTTGGAAGCTTCTGCTTGGAAGTATCATCACCATCGTACCAGCGACTCTATGCGTGATTGTACGATTTGTGTCCCGCCATGTCGCCCGCGCTGGACTATGGTGGGACGACTATACCATTGCGATAGCTCTGGTAAGTGGCCTTCCAAGTGGCGACACTATTTTGCTACAAAGGAATCTAATGCGACTAGGTGCTGAACATGGCCACGGCTATTTTGAGATGGATACAGATCCCGGCGTATGATTATGGGCGTCATCCTGAGTACGTGTCTAAGGAAAAGAAGATTGGATTTGGAAAGGTAATGCATTCATGTCGTCCGATTAATTTCTCAAACTAAAACCTAACGAGACAACTAGACTTTTCTCGCTATCCAAATCCTATACTTCCTCAATGTCACCATGACAAGGGCATCAATACTGCTCCTCTACCGCCGCATTTTCGGCGTCGTCACTCGCTTTCGTCGCGCCCTCTATTTCGCCGGAATCCTTCTCATCCTCTACTTCGTCTCATGTGTAATCGTATCAATCGCAGGATGTTCACCAGTCTCCAAATTCTGGGACACAAGCCTCCCAGGCCACTGCATTAACGAAGTGGCCTTCTTCCGCTGGAACGGCGTTGCAAATGTGTTTCTCGATTTAATGGTGCTTCTCCTCCCACTGCCAATGATCTGGCGAATAAAGACAACAAGGCGACAGAAATGGCTCCTGACGGGGATATTCCTACTAGGTGGCTTGTGAGTTCCTGCGAAATCCCAAAAAGCACAATAGACTTCTAACAATTGCCTAGTGTCTGCGTCGTCTCCATTGTCCGCGTTGTCCACTTTAACGTCGCAAATTTTGGTGATCCGACTTACAGTAGTCTCAGTCCAGCAACTTGGTCCTCGGTTGAGCAATCTACCGGAATAGTCTGTGCTTGTCTTCCAACATTCCGTCCGCTTTTCCGCACTCTGTATGGCCCGTCAAGGTCGAAGGCGTCCTCTGTTAGAGGTAACGGCTCGATCTCTGACTCTCAGGATCGGGACTCTTTTCGTCGTTCTATGTCGCAGTGCGATGAAGATAGCAGTATCGTTCGCTTTTCTTCTCAACAGGGCATGCGCGGTGCATCCGCACATCGGCTAGACACGATTCAGAATGTCGGTCACAGTCCGACCTCGGGGTATCAAGATGATGAGCGTCCTGGATCGCAGAGCTCGCAGACGAATAGACCGGTTTCTGCAGCTGGGTCATTCCATAATGTAGGGGTTCTTACTTGAACGTTTTTGTATTATAGGGACAGTACCTACTCGGTCATGATACCCAGCCAGGATTTAGGTATACACGATCTTTTCTCGTTACACATCTTTGCTCCTTACCAAGTAGCTTTCAAGCCAGGTGCTCTCTGACCTTTCGAGGTCAAAAGTATCACATGCACGCTATAGACGGTCCATTAAACTATCTAAAGCTTCATTTGGGCGCGAAGATCGACACATTATGATTGCGGTCTCTGTGGCTGCTTTCTGTCGACGCAACATGAATTTGGTCCCAGTCTTGCTCGTTGACCGAATATTCACAGGGAAACCTTCAAGTTTCATCTTCTCATGGGATCCCTACTGACAAGATACCCCGAACTGACCCCACCATCATGCGAGGCTAAGCAAGTAATCTGCACGCCGGAGTCAGTGCATGCTGAAGGAGCGATCACCGAACTCCCCCAGATGAATGATTTCAGCAATACAGAACGCAACATTTGCTATTTTGTAAAAAAAACCAAAGTACACCTCAAACCAGGCACCTACATCAGAGATGCGCAGCCTCAAGTTTGCGTCTGCTCTCATCGCAGCCACCCTGCTGGGATCCGTATCGGCGAACCCGCCGAACCCGAATCTCTTTGCCTACGGCAATCAGGGCCCACTACTTGGCACAGCCCTCGGCATCACCGGCAGGAACGCAACATTCGACTACATAGTCATTGGCGGAGGCACCGCGGGCCTCACAATCGCCAGCCGTCTAGCCGAAAACCAAACAGCAAGCGTTGGAGTCATCGAGGCGGGCGGGTTCTACGAAATCGACAACGGCAATTACTCCATCGTACCGGGCTACTCGAGTTACTACACAGGCTCAGATACGGCCGACTACCAGCCGTTGATCGACTGGGGATTCAATACACAGCCTCAACCTGGATCCGAAGGCCGGGTCTTGCATTATGCTCGAGGCAAGACTCTCGGAGGCTCCTCTGCTAGGAACTATATGCTCTATCAACGGCCGACGGCTGAGAGCATGAAGCGCTGGGCTGATGAGGTTGGCGATCAGAGTTACACTTTTGAGAATATCTTGCCTTATTTCAAGAAGTCTGTGCATTATACGCCGCCCAACCAGGCGTTGTATAACAACTCGACGAACACCCAGACTGCTGATGCGTTCAGTCCATCGGGCGGGCCGCTAGAGGTATCCTTTAGCAAGGCCGTGAGTGCCTTTGGATCCTGGTGTCAGAAAGCATTCGTCGCTCTGGGCATGAAGCGACTCGATGGTTTCAACAGTGGAGAATTACTCGGCTCAGCCTATGCAACCTTCACAATCGACCCGCGTAACGCCCATCGCTCAAGTTCCGAGTCCAGCTTCCTGCAGGCTGTACTGGTAAAAGGCGTCGGGCCCACGATATACAAGAATACCCAGGCCCAGAAGATCCTCTTCGATGAGAACAAGCGCGCAGTCGGCGTTCACGTATCGACTGCAGGCACCTTTGGCACACCATCAGTCGACTTCACCCTGCACGCGCGCAAGGAAGTCATTCTATCAGCCGGCGCCTTCCAGTCCCCTCAGCTCCTGATGGTCTCAGGCATTGGACCCTGCGATCACCTACGCAGCTTCGACATCCCCTGCATCAAGGACCTCCCAGGTGTGGGCCAGAACATGCAAGACCACCCGATTTTCGGGACCGCGCACCGCGTGAACGTCCTCACAGCGTCTGCTGCAGCTAACAATGCAACTGTTGCTGCGCTGAGTGCGGATCAGTATGTCCAAAATGCCTCGGGCTCGCTGTCTATCTTCGGGCCCGGCTACTACGGCTGGGAGAAACTTCCCAGCGCGTTCCGTGCAAATCTCACTGAAGAGTCTCGTCGCACACTGGACAGCTTCCCGTCCGATTGGCCGGAGCTGGAATGGTTGTCTGTCGGTGCTTTCAATGGATACAATCTGGACAAGGCGACAGCCGACCCGCAGGATGGACACCAGTATGCGACACTTAGTGGAGCGTTGGTTGCGCCTTTGTCGCGCGGTTCTGTCCGTCTGGCTGGACCGAGTATGGAGACTCTTCCCTTGGTTGATCCGCAGTTCTTTGTAGATCCTACCGATAAGGAGCTGGCTGTTCAGGGCTTCAAGCGGCAGCGGGAGATTTGGGCCGAGTTGGCTAGGTTGGGTGTCGCGGAGCAGGAGGAGTATTTCCCGGGCTTCGATGTTTCTACGGATGCTCAGATCTGGGAGTTCATTCAGCAGAGTATGACTACTGTTTTCCATGCGTCGGTGACTTGTAAGATGGGGCGGACGAATGACTCGATGGCTGTTGTTGATAGTCATGCAAAGGTCTATGGTGTGGAGGGATTGAGGGTTGTTGATGCCAGTAGCTTCCCATTCTTGCCTCCTGGTCATCCTCAGTCTGTTGTCTATGCCCTGGCTGAGAAGATTGCAGACGAGGTATTGGGCTGATGAGCGAAAGTCAAGCTGGCCTAAGCATTCTTATAAGTGGACCTCCGCCGAGCCATGTCAATGAAGATTCTCCCAAGAAATTCAATACTATAGAATACAATGCATACAGAGAATAGCCCAAATTCCGTCTATCTGTACAAATATGCCGCATAGATATGCATCACAGCAAGACAATTACCAACAGCCCAGAAACAAGACCACGTCTTGACTTGGCACTATCTATACCTCGGCCAGGGCTCACATTTTCGCCTCAAAAAGATAGAAAGCTTCACTGAAGCCCCAAAGACAATCATGACCGGGGTTCAATAACCGAGCCATCCTGACCATCCTCAACGACCACCGCACCCTCCGCCAACAACTCCTCCGGCGTCTTAACCCGCACATCCATAACCCGCATCAGCGTATAGCGGTGCTTACTCTTAGCCTGCTTAACATGTCTCTGTCTCCTCTTCGTCTTCTCCTTAATGCGCAACGGCTCCGCATCCACACCCGTCACACGCACGCGACACTCATAGATGCGCTCGTCGACAGTCGGCGCCCCCTTCATCGTGAAATCACGGGATCCAATAGCCGAAGCGCGGTTGAAGCGCAGAATATCGCCCGCCTTCACGTTCGGCATGAGGAACGGCAGACGGATGTGATCACCTTCAGTCAAGAGGTATGGCCGCGCATGCAAATGGGCGACGATGTAGTGCGGCTTCTGGCCGACGAGGTGGGGGAGCTGCGACATGAGGGATTTGGTCACTTTGAGGGGGGAGGTGAAGGTGGGAGCGACGGGTTGTTTGGCGATGGGGACGTCGGCGCGTGCTCGGGGTGTCATGGTCATTTCGTCGAAGCCGGGTCGGCGAGCGCTTGGTTGGGAGTCTTGGGCGCGGGGGGTGGCGCTGAGGGGTGATTCGGGGTGGGTGGATGAAGATTGGGCTTCCGGTTGTTGAGAGCTCATCTTGGAGGCGGTTTGGTGCAGGCATGCTCGTTGAAGGGGAGCGGATGAGATTGTGGACGGTGCGGTCCAACGTAGCTCGGAGGTGAGGCTCCGGAGAGCGGAGCGTGAGAACATTTTGAGTGTCCGCTTGCCAATGCTCAATGTCAATCGAGAGTGGAAGTGGTTTGCGTTGGTTGTTTCTCGAGATTAAAGAACGGCGCTCCCCGTAACTAGAGAAATTCACTACTTGCGCAAATGGCCGCTTGGTCGCCCGTAGCATCACGTGAATTGTGATTTGGTTCTCGAGGTGCATTTTTGCAGCATTACTACACTAGATATGAGATCAATTACTATGACATAGAAATGGATATAATCTTAGTGGTAATCACTGATTCCTAGCAGCTAATTAATCGCTACCATCAACTTCTTATGTATTCAGACAACTTGACTTGAAGTTCAGCGATCTTACTGATAAGCATATCACGTGCCTCGCTATCTTTTGCCGCATCACAACTTTTTCGGCCTCGACTTGATCTTCAAGCCAAGAACATCACCACCCATTCCCCTCGTGTTGTTCATTAATCGTTCATCATGGTATGTTCCCAGTGAAATGAGCTACTCTCAAGATTGAATAAATCAATTTACTAACCAATTTTCCAACCTACAGCCTCAGAACGAGTTCGTCTTTCCCCGCCAGCCACGGCTCTAGCCCCAAACTGACATTTTCCCACCAGGTATATCGAGCGCTGGACGAAACAGCACGGAAAGCGTCTCGATCACGATGAGCGCGCCCGCAAGCGTCAGGCTCGTGAGGGCCACAAGGCGTCCCACGATGCCCAGAACCTGCGTGGTCTGAGAGCTAAGCTCTACCAGCAGAAGCGCCACAAGGAGAAGATCCAGATGAAGAAGCGCATCAAGGCCCAGGAGGAGAAGAACGTCAAGTCTGCTGCACCCGACGAGCCCTCCAAGACCCCTCTACCCCAGTACTTGCTGGACCGTTCGCAGGAGACCAACGCCAAGGCCCTGTCCAGTGCTATCAAGAACAAGCGTAACGAGAAGGCTGCTAAGTTTGCTGTCCCGTTGCCTAAAGTCAAGGGTATCAGTGAGGAAGAGATGTTCAAGGTTGTCAACACCGGAAAGAAGACCCACAAGAAGTCCTGGAAGCGTATGATCACCAAGCCTACTTTCGTTGGTAACGACTTCACTCGTCGTCCCGTCAAGTACGAGCGGTTCATTCGTCCTATGGGTTTGCGTTACAAGAAGTGTAATGTCACGCAGTATGTTTCACTCTTCCCTCCCCGGGCTTCATTTCGAAACGGTACTAACCTTCTTCTCCTCCAGTCCCGAGCTGGCTGTCACTGTTCAACTCCCTATTCTTTCCGTCAAGAAGAACCCCCAGAACCCTCTCTACACACAGCTGGGTGTTCTGACCAAGGGAACAATCATCGAGGTCAACGTCTCCGAGTTGGGTCTTGTTACCACTTCCGGTAAGGTTGTCTGGGGTAAATGGGCACAGGTGACCAACACTCCTGAGAACGATGGTTGTGTCAATGCGTGAGTTATTCCGATCCATCCTACCGTCCTTGGAGCCTTCAACTAATATACAATAGGGTCCTCCTTGTCTAAACCAACCACAAGCACATCCTCTACATTCCCGACAGGCATACGCCTGTCTTCGATACCTCCATGCTCAGGCAGTTCTATGTTTCCCTTTTCTGATATACTCAGTCTCTCAAGACTGTTCTATTTTTTGGGTGGTGTTAATGGCGCAAATTCAAGTCCATTGATTTCAAACGAAAAGTATTCTGCATGTTTGGCTTATGAATGGACATAGCTAGTTTCTAGATAGTCAGGCCCTTTATCAACCATGATTTTATGAAGACAGCACCGTTTTTCCAAACCAAGTTGTATCATAATGGACTAGGAGAAGCAATTCACCCCGCCGTCTACGTAGGCTCCATTGAGAGAACCCAAGGGGGACCAGCAATATAAGTGCAAAGTATCCAAGTAATGGAGGTGAAGGTAGAGACAAAGTCAGTCTGTCAATTGAACATCCTAACCGATTGGAGATGGGGCAATCCAAAACACCCGATGCTGAAGAATGCGCATGCAAGAGCAAATGAAACCGGCTAATGAAACCGTATACAAAGAGAAACACAGACGCTGCGCTGAACCGAGAAACACCAAAAAGCCCACCAGGCAAAATGACTGGCAGGGTCAGACAAACACCCCGAAGGATGATGCAAAGAAGAACCAATGCAAAAAAAAGTCACAGACGATGAAATATCCCGCAAATAACCAACTGGAGACAGCCAAAAGATAAATAACACAATCCAACACCGGTCATTAAGTCGTTCTAACCAGGAAGTAAACATGAGGAAAAGGCCCGGTAAGGCAAGTCAAGACAAAGGAAAATTAAAGTAAAAGGAGTGGTGTGTTGGTCATGGGTTTTCTTCTTCGAGTGCAGCTTTGATTTTTGCAAAGAAGCCTGCAGGCCAAGCAGCCAGCTCCTCTTCTCTCGGCACACCACGGACTTTGCAGTGATTGACGACGTTGGCCAGGATGCGTCCAAGCATATCCTGGGTGACTGGGACGGCACCCTCGAGCTGGGCATCGGGGTGCAGGAATGGATCGCGCGGGCCAAGCATCTCCTCGATAGTTGGTCGGAGGGTTTGGTCGCGTTGTAGACAGTGCTTGAGGGTCCGGACGAGGCCAGGGGGTACGGGGACGCCGCCGACGCCAAAGGCCGGGAAATCGATTTGTACACGGGGGTTGGGGATGGCCATGATGCGCTCGTAGTATTTGGCGATCTTGGCGAAAGGTGGTTGTCCGTAGACCATTTTGTACAGAATGCAACCCAGACTCCAGACATCGCTGGGTTTTCCTAATTTCATAACTTTTCCAGCACTTGAAGGCAGGCCGACGTTGGAGTCGACCAATGCCTCCGGAGACATGTAATTGGGAGTGCCGACTTGCTGTTCACGGTGAACGTTGACTGTGTGATCTTGGATGGCATTTGCAATTCCGAAGTCGATAAGCTTCAGTCGGCCTTGAACCATGAGGAAATTGGCAGGCTTGAGATCGGAGTGGACGATGTTGTGCTCGTGCACGGCTTGGACACACTCGAGCATTTCTTTCCAGTAAAATCGGGTAAAGTTGATATCAAACACAGCGTCCTCGGCATTTAGACGGAATGTGAGGATCTTTTCGAGATCAGACTCTCCAATTTCCATAAGCACACTAAGAGCATGTTTGTCATTGTTGAGCTCCCAATCAAACAAGCGGACCACACGGTCGACGTTTTCCAACTTCTTCAATAAGTCGATTTCACCCTTGTATCCAGTCAGAGTGACTGGATCGACATCCTCGAGATTGACACGCTTGAGGGCGAAGATTTTATAGTTCTCTGCCATCACTCGGTAAACTCGCGAGCTGCCGCCTCGACCAATGCAATCGAGCCGAGTGAAATGCTTGCCATTAATTGAAACTTGGGACTTCTTTTTCCGTGATTGTGATGTTGATGCGCCGGCTGTCGATGTGGCAGTCTCAAGGACTGACATTTTGGGAGGAGGAGGAGCGGCTCTGTGAGGAGTGTTGTTGCTCCGCGTGGATAGTATTTTCCGTGCCGAGCTGGTCGCAGGAGTCTCCACTGCATCTTTCTTTCCAGTATCGTAAACAACATTATATTTTTCAGGTTTATCCAACACGCTGAGCCCCTGGGGCCTTGCACGCCGGAATGTCGGCGGTGGTTCATTCTCCTGGTCACGGACTGATGGCAGAGCCGGTATTGAAGGCACTTTGAAGATAGGTTGTTCCTTGCCACTGGAGGACTTTGAAGACAGGTCTGATGGCGCAGGAGTGCTCTTCGAGCCGTATGATTTTGGCGATGATGACCTCGAAAATGGCCCCTCAACTTCTGCAGGACGAAGTGGTAATTCTGAGCGATGGGGTTCACGCGCGGGCGGGCTTGGATCAGCCCATGATACCTTGGGAGATGAAGGCTTTTCTGAATCGTGAAGTTCCTGCTCTCCCTCAATGTCCTCCCGGACACCATCTGCTGAAAGGTAATGGTGATTTTCCTCGTTGCTTTCCTCGCTCTGACGTCGTAGCACGCCCCTCCGAGCAGGGCCATTCAAGAAAGTTCCAGCAAGTCGACCAACCCGCTTGACGCGCAGGGAGCTATGCGGAGGGATTTCATCACCGCCACGGCCTCGAAGTGCAGAAGAATTGCCATATCGTGACGCAGGATCCTCGTCGTAAAGCAACTTCCGATCACTGTCTGAGCGCTCTGCGCTGCCATATCCATCGCCCGCATTACGTTCAGCCGAACGCTTCCCTGAGGGCGAGACAGAAGGAGGAGATCGTGTGTTGCTCCGCGAAGCGTTTATTCGCACACTGCGTTGGCGTGGTGCCGGAGTAATAAAGTCATTAGGGCGGTTGTAGTGGTCGGTTTCTGCGCTACGGCTGTTTGATAGCGGGGAGCCCTCGCGTGAGAATCGAGCCGATGATACCGCTCCAATGCGCACGACTCTGGGGACTGGACTACCATTTGACGAGTTGTGTGGGGACGAATTCCTGGGTGAGTGGCTTTGTTGTCTTGAAGTTGTCGCATTTCGGAGGTCGTGCGACATGGGTTGTGCCTTTTGCAGATGGGGCGAGGAACCTAAGCCATCGCCATGCAGCAATGCTTTAACAGACGCGCTGAATTTAGGTTCCGGGACCTCTTCATCGGAGCTGTCGCCAGAATAATGCTGGGGGAGAGCTCTTGTTGCTGATACGGGAGATACCCGTCTGGAACCCGATCGTGAAACCGCGGATCGGGACATCGGTCGAGGTGGTTGCCGGTACAGGTCGTTGTGTACTGGGAGGGAATTGACGGACTCCATGACCATTACCTACATTGAAGTCGTGGATCAATGTGGCCCCTCCGAATTGTCGATTGTTTGTTGATTTCCCAGGAGAAAGACCCGTCTTGAGGTTTCGTCGCGGGTGGGCGCGCTATACAGTCACGTGTTTGCGGTTGCTATGGCGACGTAAACACCATAACATACCGGAGAGGTGTGAAAGAATCGAGATCGAGCGGAGTTTGTGTGGAAGGGAAGTGGAGAGAACAAAGTATAAAATGCTAAAATGAGTTGGAGGTCGATAAATCTGTATTTTGCTATGGTTAACGTGTTTATTCATCCTTCCATGTGGGATGTACTTCGTCAGAGGATCGGATAACCGTGGAACCTCCACTTGTTCCTGGACGACTAGACTAAATTTGGCAATCGAGTGTACAACCTTAATTGAGATTAGATCCAGATGGGAACTGTATCTGACCGTCCTGACGCATGTTGTCTAATCTTCGAGGGGTGTTGTATTAACGATTGTGCTGGTAAGAATGGATACGGCCTTTAAACCCATCAGCCAACGCTTTATATATTCCAGTCAAGTTCCATGAAAATCCATGAGTTTTTCTTCAAAACTCTCACATACCTACTTCCATACGGTGATTATACGTGACATTGAAGGGCCCTTCGACACCTTCAATAGGTAGCAGAAAGCTTATTTTACAAGGCTAGGTTGGATACCATAGTTGGGAGGAAATAGAATAATGGAAAGTGCGCACTCTGAAGCAGATGTGGACTATGGCAGGACATACATGCTTTGCACACTCTATCCGCTGACAAGCCTAGGTATCCATATATCTTCAGCGGACCTGGAAACTTTACTGATACCATGAAAGTCCACTCCTATTACAAAGGAATCAGCAACATAATCTGAATGTCTGGTGCAGACATTGAGGCAAAATGAAAGACGGGCAACTTGAAGGAAAAGTTACCGAGCGTGAACTCCAGTTCTGTTGGCTTACAGACCCCTTCAAAGTCCGTACCTCGAACTCCCCCTTCTATCAGCCCATAACTGACATCAAACAGGACATGGCACCATCAGTTCCCAACACCACGGGATCAGAATCACCATCCGGTGTACCATATGGGCCGTACACCAGTTTCCCCTGGGAACCCCTCCCTGAGTACAGTGGCGAGAAATCCGTCATGTTTCGTTCGGCCGATGGGAAAGTCGTCGCAGCAGCCGCAAAGAAAACAGGGACTGCAACATTGACCTATCCGTGTGATGAGTTTTTCTTTGTCACGGACGGTTGGGTCAAACTGAACGTTCATGGCGGGGACCACTTTGTTCTGACCAAGGGGGAGTTCGTGTATTTGAAGAAGGGGACGACGGTGGATTTTACATTTAGCCCTTGTTTTTTGAACGTTGCCGTGTTTATGGACAATGAACCTGTAAGTTGTAACCCTTCTCTGAGAAGTGCCTGCAGTAGAGCGAAGAGTTGCATTCTTTATGTGACTAATTTTTGCTTATTTCTACGAAGCTTGCTGTTGATATTACCTTTTGCCATAGAATTAAATGCCCGATCAGACGCAGCACGTGTCGCAGTGGGATTATTAGTGCAATTCGTAGGAACGTAACCTTGCCAGTTGGCGGAAGACTTACCAGTTGGCGGGAGACTTGCCAGTTGGCGGGAGATCGAGTCTTGGCAAGGATCCCGCCATCTCCTTTCATCTCTTTCATCTCCTTCAAATCCATCACGCCCCATCATCGGCATCCTGTAGCTTTGTAGGTATCACAGCTGTAGGACCTGACACTGCACATGCAGAGACAGCCTGAACCAGAACATTGTACTTGTAATAGATTCTGCGATACACGTTCCCATTTCTTGCTGAAAGCTTGCCATGTGTTTGTCCGACATCCACATCATCCGCATCATGAACCCTATCTCATGGTTGCGGACCATGATGCTACAAAGACTGCCTGACTCTTGATACCATAACTGTAACGGAGGCTGCGCTATTCGAGCTGTCTGCCTGCACGAGCCATTACAAAGTTATCATAGCTGATCATTGATATTATAATGCCGCCGTCCGTCACGAAACTATGTAGGCTGAACCCGGTCAAGAACAGTCTTCCCTTGATGAGTTGCATAGGTAGCAGTGCCAATAGTGGTTCGGAAAAGCGCTGCTCAATCCAGAATGACCCAATTCAGCGCGGCTGGGATCACCTCGCCGGCGCTTGCTCCAGACCACATCTTCAGAGGGCTCCCGCCCAGTTCAGCGTCGCCTGAATCGCGGCGGCTGGGGCCTCATGACCGGAGCCTCCTCTGAGCCGATGAGGTATATGGACATGGTCATGAGCTATTGCCCAATACGGCGTGCCTTCTGCTCGGCGCGGCTGGGAGGTTATGGCCGGAGCCTTTTCTTTCCCAACGAGGCATGGATATGGTCGAGAGCTGCCGCCATATCTGGCGAGTCTCCCGCCGTATTTGTCGATTCTCATGCGCGCGGGTGTGTTGCCTAGTCTGGATCAATCGACATAAATAGAGGATCATCCCCAGTCCAATTCTTTTCTTTCTTCTCCTCCTCGCGTACACACTTTCACCATTGGGCATCTTCTGCTCGCCCATCATCCACAAGGAACGGAGCTCCAATTGTTCTCCGTGTGAGCAGCAAAGGATGGAAGTAGGGCCATCTACTCGACGGCGATCCAACGGTGGCCGTCGGACAATGAACGGACTTGACTAAACGCCGAAGTAAGTTATCGATACCCATCTGAACTGGAACGACATGAACTGCTTGACGGCTAACGTGGTTGCCCCTTGGCATGACAGGTCGGCACATCCATGACCGTCGGCTGAGGATAGTCGTCAAGGGCTGCTGTATGCCCTGCGCGTCCCCGTACAGTTCACAAGCCAGGCGGAAGCCACCGAGATCCACAAGCCAGGCGGGACCCACCGAGACTCGTCCTGTGAATGGGCTGCTTTTCAATACCGGCCTCGCTTCAAGACCGTCGCCGGATCCCATACAAGTCTCTGACCTTGCTCGCCATGAGTGAGGTGATTGAGTCTTTCTCTGAAATTTTCTCTGGAAGACGTGTGTTGATCAAGCACGACAGCTTCGGACTTTAGTATCTGCTACCCGGAGCACCAGACCAAGAACCCTTACCACGCCCAGACATGGAAATTGAGGGCTCTCTATTTCCCATCAACCTTCGAATCTTCGAATCTCCAAAAGTCAGCTCAAGTTCTTGCTGGAGCTGTCAAAGTCGATACCGGGTGGGGTTTCAGCACACGCACAAGTCAGGTCTCAAAGGGACTTCGAACGAACGAGAAACATGGAAGACTACTGAGTCAAGAGCAGCTATCGATGTTGGCTGTGCACCACATCCAAGGAAATGATGGAATTGCGTTGTGGCAAGGCTGTGGAGCTGGCTTCGTTGCGTTTCATCCATGAGGCGGAAGTTGTGCAATGAAAGGACCACGGGTAAACTTTCGCCGTTCTCTGCAGCCTCCATCTGCCCACTTCTGGATCTTCATGTACCGCGTAGCCACCTGGGGTGGATGAATCCCATGTTGGTTGAAGACTTTCCGAAGACTTCCCGAAGCAGACTGGCGAAGCTCATGTGTTGCCTCTTCCCGTTTGGCAGCTCTGACGTCTTGCTTCCAGCAACATCCGACCAACTAGCCTTTCTCGGTGCTCAGTCTCTTCTCAGGTCTCGTGGCTCATCCCCTCCAGTCACCACTCATCCCCTCCAGTCACCACTCATCCCCTCGTCAACAACTCATCCCCTCGTCAACAACTCATCCCCTCGTCAACAACTCATCCCCTCATCAACAACTCATCCCCTCGCCAACCACTCGGGTAAGTTGACACATCCATCCATTCATCACCACCCTGGTGTCTCGTAGGAGCACTCTCTAACTATGCCGTTCTTCATAGTGCGTTGTTGCCTGTAAGCCTGCATGATGGCTGAGGAAGCCGACTCGATTCGCCTTGAGAGGGAAGAACTGAAGAAGAACGAAACGGTCGACTTCCTAATGTTAACTTGTATGTTCACCGGTAGTCCAGTTGGCAAGAGATCTCAGATGACCTCGTGTATTCGTCAATGGTTGTGTTCAATCCCTAAGCAGGGGGGAGGGTTGGGACGTGACTTTTGACCCTAACGAGGGGAAGTTGGAAATGGTGGTTTGACTGAGACGGGTCGTTCTGCGCGTGGACTTGGTCTTTCCTCTCCTTTGAAGATTATTTTACAGATGCATAGGACAAATATTAATTTTTCCAAAAAAGTGCCCCATTACCTACCTGTGGGTAGGTACTCCAGACCGCTCCTGGACCATCAGAAGCCCCGGGGCGCTTCGAGGCTTCTCCAATCTTCATCGCCTGCACCTCCACCCTCTGTACTAATCTACGGCCTCCCTCCTAAGTAACGCCGTCCGCTGCGACAGAAGCCCTTTGGGTCAAAGCGCGGAGGGTTTGCCTAGCGTAGTGCTTCGAGAGAGCTTTGGCACAGACGAATCCAACCGGCAGCGGCTAGCAGCGCAGGATCACGAAGGGGGCTGGCAATCGTGATTCGTAGTTTCCCATCGAAGGAGCCCTAGTCTTGGGCCCTTGGCAGTTGCCAGTTGGCTCCTAATAGGTTCTAAGGTTACCTATGGGGCTATTGAATCCAGAACATGCACCAAGGGCCAAGGCGAAAGCACGATAGATCAATCTATGCGCCATCGCAAGTTACAATGATAGTATCCCAGGCAAGTCACCGCCTTATGGTGACCCTAATCCACCGCCTCATAGATCAGGCGCTACTATGGCATTGGAGAGCAACCACTCGCGCAATTAGCATTCCGCGGTCACCGCGGTCGACCTCACGAGCCTCATCTCACCAACTCTCACTCCCCGCTCTCGCAAACATGGCGTCCAGTGTGGATGCCAAGCTGCTGAAACGGACCAAGTTCCCACCTGAGTTCAATAAGAAAGTGGACATGACCAAGGTCAATGTCGAGGTTCTGAAGACGTGAGCTACATATCCCGCGGGCTCTTGGCATGAGACGCTTTACTGACCTGGCTTGCCTTCTTCGCTGCAGGTGGATCGCTAGTCAAATTATCAAGATCCTAGGCAACGAGGACGATGTGGTCATCGAGCTTTGCTTCGCTCACCTGGAAAATGAACGATTCGTATGTTTGACCCTCCGATATTCAACAGCTCAACTCCGGTTTGCTGACTGAACTGTTACAGCCCGATATCAAATCACTCCAGATCCAACTCACTGGATTTTTAGACAAGGATACCCCCAAGTTCTGTGAGAAGCTGTGGTCATTGTGTCTCAGTGGCCAGGAAAATCCCCAGGGCGTTCCGAAGGAGCTCTTGGAGGCCAAGAAGCTTGAGCTCATGCGAGAAAAGGTAATTGCAATCCCTACCGGAGGCAAAATATGTTCTAATGGATTGCGATATAGCTCGAGGCCGAGAAAGCAGCCGAAGCAGCTCGACGCCAGCGGGAGCTAGACCAGAACCGTGAGCGCGAACTGGACAATCTCCGACGCCGTGAACGATCAGACCATGGACGCGGAGGCAGAGCTGGTGATCGTGGGGCCCGCGGAGGCCGATCCTTTGGAGGACGAGACTACGATCGTTCTTCGCCTCCTCGCATCCGAGACCGCAGCCGAAACCGCAGCCGAGACCGCTTCCGCGAGCGTCCCTCCCGCCGTGAACATGATACATATGTGCCGCCTGGAAAGGACCGCGACCGCCGACCATCCACTATCTCCTACACCCGTTCCCCATCCCCGAAGCCATCATCTCCATCCCGCAGAACTCGCGACGAGCCACGCCACAGGCCGCGCGAACGCCGCCGCCGTTCTCCCAGTCACTCAATTTCTCCCGAGCGACGCAACCGTGGAGGATACAGAAGACGCAGTAGTCCGGACTACGGTGACCGTGTTAAAACCAGATCCATTTCCCGCACCCGTTCCCCGCGCTCACGTTCCCCCAGAGGAGACCGCCGCCGTCGAAGCTCCGTCTCGCGCAGCCGCTCTGCATCTCCGCCACGCCACTCCCACCGCCGCAGAGATGTTTCCACTTCCGTTTCTCCCAGCCGCGCTGGTTCCCCGCCGCGCTCCCGCCGCTCCCCTGGACGACGTGGTCGTGATTCTCGCCGCCTGAGCAGCCCCAGCCCGGACTACAGCCCCGTTCGTCGTGATAGCCGCCGGCGCCGCAGCCCCAGCGGTGGTCGTAGCCGTAGTCCTAAGAAGGATAATGAAGGCAAGCGCCGCGGCTCTACAGCGAGCTCCAGTCATGATGAGAAACGCCAAAAGGTCGCTGATGACAGTGAAATGAAAGATGCTGAGCAGGTTGGTCATTAGGAACCAGAAGAAAATTAACTGTGGCAGCTTAGATACTGTCTCCTTTAACACCCAAGCTATGATTTCTACTTAATGTTTATATAACAATTCCACTTGTCATTTTCCCTTCTCGTCTCAACTTGCTATGTTTGAACGAAGAACTAATGAGAGCCCAGACTCTTTAGGTGATGGAATCGAGAGAGGTGATAGCCGCCAGCCGTGAGTCTGATGGCAAGCTAAGCAACAGAGGTAGCGAGGACACCTCTTCCCAGCAGCACATGGACTTTAACCTGATGACCTCCTACGTGGCATATCAATGTAGCCAACGCCAACTCCAGGGCTGAGATGTGGACCCACTTGGCGCGGCCCGGGAGTGGTCCTTCCGTCGTAACCTTAATCTAAAAGAGAGATGCATGAGGCGGGTACTATGAAGTATGTAACTCTACCTCATCAGCCCACTGTGTGTGGCGGGCGTATCTCCTCGAGCAAACAGGTATATCAGAACATGTATACGCACTCCAGCAATTATCACTGAACATCCACCAAGTCTGCAGCGTTACTGTTCTCCCATGGAGCTATCTCCTCGACCGAACGAATGAGCGCTTCATGAGCCGCACTGCGAGGCTCAATATGGAACCTCCAAGGCTCTGGGTGACTGACGACGCCAGGCTTGAACTTCGCTTCCACATCGACTTCCTTCCCATTCTCAACGGCCTTTTTGATATCAAAGACAGCAAGCGATTGTGCCACACTCAGGTACACTGTGACATCTGCCAATGCACGCGCTGGACAGATACGACGACCAAAGCCAAAGACAAGGTTATGAGGATCGGGCTCGGGCTCGTGACCGGCGGTTGCTAAGAAGCGATCGGGGTTGAATGTCGCGGGATCGGGATAAACCATGGGATCATGTGTCATGGCCCTATGCTAGTCAGCAAAACCGCTCGGATTACAGGATTTCATTTTAAGATCGACAAGAATTACCAAATGTTTGGCAAAATCACAGAACCCTTTGGGATGAAATATGGTCCCCATATATCATCCTCACTTGATTCGTGTGCGATGCCCATAGGTGCCACCGGATGCCAACGCAGGACTTCCTTCACGACAGCATTGATGTACGACAAGCGAGGGCGGTCTGCCACTGTTGGGAGCTGGCAAGGCCCCAATACTCGATCTATCTCCTCTTGCGCTTTGCGTTGCACCTCGGGGTGTAGGGTCATTGCGAGGAAGAAGCATTCCACTGCACACACAGTCTATGAAACGGGTCAGCGGGGCTGAATATGAGCAAGGTCTGGGAATCTTACAGTGTCGGCACCCCCAGAATAAAGCGATGCAGCAGTCCATTTCGCAATCAACTCATCTTCTGACCGGGGTGCTGGATGCCCTGCTTCCTTGAATAGATTGGATAGATAGGACGGCTGATAGTGTCCTTCTTGCATTTGCCGCTTCACAAACTCATATGGTATATCGGTCATAGCGCAGATATCCTTCTTCCATGCCTGAGCAGTACGCTTGAAACCTGCTCCCGGGAACCAGGCCGGGATGTATTTCACTGTCTCTGGTCAGAAACATCAAACCCACATACAAAAGTGGATATACATACGAGCAGGGATTATATCGACTAGCCAAGTCCCAGGTGTGGCAGCCTTTGAGAAAATATCCAAAGCTACATTCGAGATATGCACCAGGAGATCGCGCTCATGCGGGTCGATCGTATAGCCGTATGCAATTTTGAGGATGACAGCACCTGCTTCCCTGGGATTCGTAAGCTCCAATGCTTCACCATTCTAGCACACGAGAACGAAACTATCCACTCACGTCTGAATATGCTCCGACAGTTTTCCCTGGTCCCCGAGAACGCGGAAGAGAAACCGATGTGTCTCTATTTCCTGTAGAGAGTTATACTGGGCGACAGCCGACTCGGAACCGATGTACGGCTGCATTGCCTTGCGGTAGGCACGTAACCGGGGTGTACTCTTTTGCATAGCCGTAATATTCTCCCACCCCACCCTATGGAAGTTCGGTGTTAGCGTGACAACTCATCAGATGTCCAGACAAAGCCCGCGAACGCACATTTCCGAGGCAAACACGAGATTTGGCCTTGAAGAGTACTTTGATGAGCGCTTCACTAGCAGTTCGTTCGCCACATTTGCATTGTTCAGGATCACGATGGTTTGCCCCATCACCGTGATGGAGCTGACCGGCCCTGCGCAGTCATGTCAGATGCGTCCTTTTCCCACGACAACATTGGGAGATTACAAACCATACGCATCTTTATGATGAAGCCAATGCTTCCAATCTTGTGTGCCTGGCGGTGGTAGATCGGATACGTTGCCAAGCACAGGCTTTGGTTTTGGTCCCGGCGGCAGGGGACCAGGACGCCTTTGGCGGGTCAGGAACAGTTTGACGACATAGAAGCTGATGGCGCTCAGTGCTAAGCTAACGAGAATAGTCGGTGACATTGAGGCAAAAGCATACACCGGGAAACGAGTGACGGAATGAGAGATGTTCGTGGAGCCTCGGTGGAGGAATAGAACACCCTTCGAGGATGCTGTATTCCAATTCTAGGGAATCGCCGTTGCTTGCATGGCCTACTCAAGACTCGAGATATGCGAATTATGCTGAACATATCTATTGGCCTGAAAATACGAGATTCCCCGCATGGAGGGGACCCTTGCCTAGAGGCTAGACGTGACACGGCATATTGTCTGTATCGGGTGATTCCGTCGCCCTGGGAGAGGGCTGAATGGACTTCTGACACACAATGCTTTAGTAATACGCACTGAGATCTGCATGACTTTGCACGAGAGACTTGGAATACGCACTGCGCCGTACGCAGTAGTGACTAGTAGTGGTGATGGGCGATAACGTCGGAGAAACTTCCCAAAGTAGCTAGCTTGCCGAGCAATTGTTGTAGCGAAGAGCACTCGACAGGCCAATGCCAATGACAATGCTACCAGAAATGATGTACTACACGCTTGAAAGATAAAGATCATAAGATCATATCGAAACATCGATTAGATGAATCGGATTATCGGAGAAAGACCGAATTCTCGCGTTTAGGCTTGGAGTGACCTCACACGGGACGTCCTCGAGGTGTCCCGCAATGTCCTGGAGGCTGGAGATGAGGCTGAACGACAGGCTCCACAGCACTCTTTCGAACCAACTGGCCAATCTGAAGAATTGATTCGGACATTTCAAGGGAGATGAACGGCTTCTCGAGGACTACAGTACCATGGCAGTCTTCCCTCCGCGAATACGAGCTGAGGCGTGGCGCGGCCGTGACGCGTCACGCGTCTAGTTGGATGCTCACCTTTCGATGACCTTTGGCAATACAAGACGATGAATGATAATTGCTTATTCTCTTCTTTGACGGCCAAGCGACTAAGCGCCAGGTGGACCCTGGGATCGCTCAAAGATCGTCAACTCAACCCGAGCGATCTCCCTTCGCACTCACCGTCTAGACCGCCTTGGCTCGACAACACGATGTATGGACTGCACAACTCAACAGTCGCAGATATCACAGAATTTGCCTGTTTCTACCTGATCCAAACTGCAGTCCCAGCTACTCTCATCGTAACGACCCGAAAAGGGTCTCCCCTGCGCCACCTATGCGTTCCATGCATGATATGGATCGCCGGTCGCTTCATCCGTCCCTATGGCTCATCTGGGAGTCCAGCGTGGTGCCAGGCCATAACACAACTTATCATCGTGACATTACAGGCAACGAATGTGCTGCTGCTGAATCCCCTGGACAATCTGGACATCTCGCGCGAAGCAAAGGACAACCAGAGCTTTGTATCTCACTTCGTCGTCGCCTTCCGTCGACTTACGCAGACCCGTGCTATTGATACGCGATGGCAGGTGAAGAATGTACCCTCTCATCCGGCGTATTATGCGAGGCGGGATATGCAGGTCCCAGTGCGCAATCGATTCCTGCTGCGGCAGTTGGCCATTGCTGCATGGCAATACCTGGTTCTTGATATTGTGCAAACGATGTCTGTGCAGAAATCTATGGAGCGTGATTTGCAGATGACCGGTTCACCTGGAATTGAATGGATGGTGCCGGTGGGACAGTGGGCAGAGCGGATAATCACGCATCTGTCTATTTGGTTTGTAGTAAATCGTCTGATCTGCGATCTCACATATCGAGTGCTGTCGATATTATTCGTTGGAATTGGATCAGACTGGCCGTCAGATTGGCCACCGGTGTTTGGGCGCATGGCTGATGTATTCACTTTGCGCAATTTCTGGGGGTAAGCCCGACTCATTTTATAGAAATTTTCACTCTGTTGACCTAATTCGCAGGACGTTCTGGCATCAGTTTATGCGCCAGCCTTTCACTTCTATCAGTGATTTTGTTGCGCGGAGAGTTCTGTGTCTTCAACGGCATTCGAAAGCGGAGCGGTATACCAATCTCTTCATCGTCTTTCTCATTTCTGCCGTCTTACATGTTGTCGTCGATGTTCTGCAGAGCGTTCCGGCGGAACGGTCCGGCTCCATGGTATTTTACCTTGCTTTTGTTCCCGGAATAATGTTTGAGGACGCCGTCCAAGGGATCTGGAAGCAAATAGCAGCCGTGCCAAAGAGCAGGCAGGTGGGAGAAGCAAGTTTACCGGCCATTGTACCGCCTTGGAAGCGAGCTGTTGGGTATATATGGGTCATGCTGTGGCTCGGGGTTACCTCGACATGGTACTTCACGCCGATGATTCAGTCGACACAACCTGATATGCAAATGGTGCCTTTCAGTGTTACGAAGTGCATTGGGCTCGATACTGTCGTAAAGATTGTCGTCGGTGGTGGAGCTGTCATTGCCTTGGTGTTCGAAGTGGAAATCTGAACCTAGCATCTAGGGCAATCTCTCCACTTGCCGACTCTATGTTTGAATCATGGAGGGCCTTGCATTATTTCCAGCTATAACATGTGCATTATGTGCTGTTCCTTCTATAGAGGACAATAAGGCCATGGGGGGCCTTTCCTTTGGCTTAGCGATTCCATGCCGCACCATCTCAAGTATACAAATCGTGAGTTTCTTTCGCGATGGCCTGGGAAGAAAACAAAGCCATCAAACTGGCCAGCTAGTGCGCACGACAAGTGCCATATCCCGGGGAGTGCTGGAACCTTCACAACCTGACAGGCAGTATCGCTGCCAAACCTCCATTATCTGATTGGACCAAAGAGTGATGGTCCTAAAGAGTGTATGAATACATCAACCCAATGAACCGCCAAGCTCAATCATTCCGAATTCCAGAACGCACTCTAATCTTCCCTTGCATAAGCCTGTACGCCCACAGAACGGCAGCCAAGTTCACAATAATGAAGCCAAAGACCAGAGCGCCGCCAAAAATAATCGCATAGTATGTCCAGGCCAAAGTCTTCGGCAAAGAGGTAACTGTAACGACAATCGCCCAAGGCAGATCCCAGAGAGAGTTGGATGCGATCGATTGGTAGAGGAACCATCGCGGTGATGTTGCAAGAAGTATTGCTGCGATCTGGGTATTGAGTCCGTAGAAAATGTACGTCCAGTCAATGTTCTGCCATATGTCAATGAGCTTTCCACCGATTATACATCTCGTTTATCTAGGTAGAACCTACCTTCCACATTGTCTGGGTGATTCGCGCCACCACCGTCGAGTCGGAGAGATAGTGTGCAAAAGACTCTATCCCACGAATCGACAGGGCGATGCACATGATAGTCTCAAAGACTAATGCAATCGATATGGACAAGATTGCTGGGCGAATCATATAAAGAATCTCCTTTTTACTCGCTGTCGGATATTCAGTATCCCTCTGAGCACGGAACAAACCCCAATTATGACCCACAAAGGCCAGTGTGGATGACTCCAATGCCTGTACTGGAACCATAATGAGCCCCCAGCGGATTGTGTTGAAGACTCCCCACGCCGTGGCATAGTCACTGCCCAGCAAGATAATCCGGTGAACGAGCCACAGATAAATCGCATTCCGCACAGCTGACTCGGCAAATGTGTAAATACTGGGCTTGACAAGAGTCACCAAAGCCGAAATACTGCTTTGCAATCTCGATGGACTGTCCGTATCCTTTTGACAGCGTCTCACAACAATAGTGAGGAAGTAAACCAGACCCGCGAGGGTCGAAACACTGTCACAGACAAGTCGAATAACAGCCTGCATGACGATAGTAGGCTTCCAACCACCCACATGAACCTTCGAGATGACCAGTAAATCAAGCACGATATTAACAACAAACTTAGCCGAACTAATAATCAGCGGCACGTCGGGATTATCCAGCGCCCTCGTCGACGCCGACAAAGCCGCCTCGACTGCAGACGTAACAGCCTGCACAGACGAAAGTCGCACATAGGTAATAGAAGCCCTTCGCACATCGACCGGCACAAACCCCGAAGCCAGCCTCTCGGAAGCAGCGAGAAAGATAACCGTCATCAATATCCCGAGAACGCTTTGAGCGAGAACCATCGTGTACGCGAGATCCAGGCGCGAGCGCATACTTCGTGTCGACTTGTCTCCGATGACCAGCCATGCTGAGCGTGGGAGACCCTCGTTGAGGACCTCGACTATGACGCCGATGTAGGTGTAGATATCTGTTGTGACGACTTGTTTGGAGTCGATGTTCGCGACCCACAGTTTGCTGAGAGTGTTGTATAGGGCTGGGAGGGCGAAGGCTCCGATGTTGAATAGAAGCGAGCCGAGATAGCTGCTGGGTGTAAGCTGAATATTCGTGGTTTGGGACTTTGGGTTTCATGCTCACGTGTCGCGATTCCATGGCTTAGGGCTCTGGGGGACTTCTGGTTCTTCTGTGACATCTTCTTCCTCCTGTCTTACCATCGTGCCTCGTACAACAGGTCGCTTATTAGTGGCTGGATCCATTTTTGAATGATGATACCTGGTATGTGCTCACTAGACGGAGATTGGGGTCTAGTTGAGGGGGTCGTCCTTAGCGTGCTAATCCTGGTCTATATTGGACCGTTGATATGCTCGGCTTGGATGACCGGATCTGGAGTATTGGTTAAAGAAGTGACTTCACGATGTTCCCAAGTTCTTAGTCAAAAGCACCTAAGGTCTTTCGAACAGAAAGAAGATAGAAAGAAGATATGGTAGACTGCTACTTGGTTGTGAAGATATAAAGGCAAACAAGACGGTCCCATTTGGGTAAATTCAGTCACATTACCAGCTCCACGCTCATGTCTTCACACGTTCACGGGCCTAGGTACTTGAAGATATTGGCCAGTTAACTAGCATATACACCAGATTTTAGGCCGCCCGACATAGCTTTCCATTTCCGCTTTAGTGCTCACCCCTAGCCGCTTTTGCTCACTGAGTGAAACTGAGCACGACCCTGAGTATTGCATAATCATTAAACTTGCTCAGGGAATCACCATTTTACTAGTTAGTAAAAACGTGTGGTGTCTGTATCAATTCCCACTTGCTCACTGAGCATCGCCTGATCATTACGTAAGCCGGATGAACCCGCTCACTGAACGTGACCTGAGCACTCCGATTTGCTCACTGAGGAGCCTGATCGCCCTCACTGAGCGTGACCTGAGTAGTGCGCGAGATTCATCACGTGGTGCTCCGAGAGCCCCGCATTGATAAGGAAATGTGTGGAACCAGCACGATCCCACGGTTTCTTTTTCCTTTGTGAACTCTGTATAAACAAATCACTCCGATGCCTACTTTATCCCTGTTTCCGCTATCGTCCGCCGAGGCCGGCTAGCAAAAGAAAGAAAAAAGCCACACACCGCGCCACAGGAACAGCACCTCGGCTGCGCCACTTGGAACCCTCCGTATAATAAACAAACTGCTCGCGCCCGATTAATTCAACCTTGACTTTCCGGCTTCCAACCAAGATACATAAGAGTGGACATTAACGCGTCCTTCTGCCACCACTCCTGGCTTTTCGATCGACTATAAACAGTGTCCCCCCTCCCGGGCGGTTCACGCAGCATCTGCATATCTGCATTCAGCTTGTCGGTGTGCGACGATGGGCGACGCCTTGCGTCCAGGTGATGATGAATTTAGTCAGGTCCTTCAGGAGAGTCTCAAGACATGGACTTCCTATTTGGCTACCGAGAACAAGCAACATCTACTCCCCCGGCAAGCCATAAACATGAGACCTCTCGTCAGCCAGACCCCGTCCTTCCTCGGCGATGGAATTGCTTCGTCTGACGAGACGATTTCGTTCGCTTGCGAGGAGAAGGAATCAGCACAAGGGAAAGGCAGTCTTGTCGTTAATGGCAGATCAACATGGAGGACTTCTGAAGGAATCTGTGACCTACAGGCAAAGGTCCTGCCTAAGCAACTTCTGTTGGCAGTTGGCAGTCGGTTAAATGTGGAACTGTCTGAAGACTCTCCTCTGTCAGACTGGCCCGGAGTTCAGGGACTCTCGGGCTATGACAAGGGAAACTATCTATCAGTTCTTTACTTTGCATGGGCCTACATAATATCTGCTCGATGGGTTGAGCTGCTTGGTCGCTCTGCTGACCACGAATGTCATATGGGCTACACTTCCGATGGGATGGAGGGCCCATTGCCGCAGTCGGACAATCAACCCATGGTTGAGATTGACATCGGCGACGATGCTTGTGAGGAGGAAGTCCTCTGGTGGCGGGCCATTCTGTGTTCTAACGATGGCTGGGATGCAACCGTCAAGTATAATGGCCAAGTCTATTTGTCACCATGGTCGATTTCGTCAAAGAAGAGGGGATTTAACTTGGCGACCAAGGGCTTTTTGGGCGCCAAGTCAGAAGCCCCATTGTCTGAGGTCGCTCTCAACTACCTTTCTCGTTTCTGTGTGCACCACCGGCTTTACGCTCAGTGCTCGGTCGCCCTTGCTGGGGTTCTCTACATTCCATTCCTGAGGGGGAGAACAGTATCACTTCCGCTTCTAAGACAAGCTTCTCGGCTGGAACTAACACAGTGTGTTGGTGGCTCACCAGTTTCCATTCCAGATCTTCTCATTGAGCTTAACGAATTGCTTCCTAAGTACATGACGTTAAGCTCCAATACGTGGGGTTTGCGTTCTCTTCTGTGCAGCACCTTTTTCAATCCAGTTATTGAGTGCAACCTTGTCAGCGCCTGGCTGAATCCGGCTTTTGCGATTATCGAATCCATCTCACCCAGAAAGAATGAATTAGCCGCATTTTTGGCCAATCGAAACCCTCTACTCGGGACCCTCTGGCTGGGTGCAATTCTCACAGATCTGGCAAAGACTGTCTTGCGCGACATACGAGCGGGAATGACGGCTTTGGATCTTCCAGCTTCGGCCTGGGCCACAACAATACAAACATTTATGACCTGTAACATGGGGACCAGCAACGGTGAATCGATACGCCGCGATGATGAATGCCGCCTATTGTTCATTACTGCCTGCGAAGGCCATGATCGACCTCCAATATGGCCTTGGAAGCCCTTTGGGGACACACAACTTTGCGACACAGACCTAACGGTCCGACAACATGCTCAATGTTTTCATTGCTTAGAATATGAATCTTGGGAATGGATATTGGCGAATGGCCATACAATCCAGGATTTCGGGAAAGATAATATCAAGACCCCTAGCCAAACAGCGCATCACCCCCCAACATCACATATGCTGCACTGAGCGATTTTAACTATGATTTCTCCTCGCAATCGCTTTCGGAAGTAGCCACCCGTGGGATATTTCAATGGTTAAGATCAACGGGGTATCCTCGCTGCGAAAAATCCTTGTACCAGCATTCATGGATTGATTTGGAAGGCACTGACGACGAAGAAGAGCCTGATGATGCGGAATCAGACGCGGAAAAGTACTGGAGTCCAAAGAAAACGCACGTTGAGAGCTGGCTTGACGGAATCGAATAGCGCTCATGAAACAAGTCAGACCGTGAGGTCGATGTATTCATGAAAGCCATCTGGGCCGCCAGCTGGATGTTCGTGACATTTGGCACAGATGGCATATACCCATGAACCGCCATGATCACCGGTTTGACAGATTTTCCACCTCTTCCGACAATTTGCTGCCTTGCATGTGTGACTGTTGTGCTCATTGTTCCAATGTCCGCATTTCGGGTTTTTGCAAGCACCGATTTGACCCGAACTTGCGGTCATTGTAATTCTTAACTCGCGAAACTAAGTGTCTGCTTCGTGTCGAATTAGATTCCAGTCTCAATATGCTATCCCGATATTTCACATACTTTTTGAGAATCGTTGAAAATTATGGATGGTGCGTTCGTGGCTTTTTGGGAAGATGTGGTTGTATCCCATCTTTCGAGGGATTTAAAAGACATTATATAGCCCTTGTTCGTGATTGTTTCTATAAACAGGAAATAAAACTCGTTGTCCTGGCGCTGTTACTTAATTGGCGCACGAATTTTCGATATCCTTGCTCCTGTTATTCTGTCATTCGTCTTACAGAAGCCATGTAACAAACAGCTAGTCGGTGTAGTGATGTTTCTTCTAGGCGCTTACTGCGCAATTTAATTGGTCATCGGGATGTTTATTAGGCACCTAGTTAGTTAGTTAGCGGCAAAAGCTAACTAATAATATGTTTTCGTGGCATGTCTTTAGGCACGTATCTGTAGGCCGCTCCACGATAGGTATATGAGTAAATCTTGTTTCACAGTTTCTCTCCAGCTGTTGTTGTGCGCTAGTCTCTTTCCAGATCAGGCTCGCCATAATGGGGGAGGTTTCCCCTTCCCGCATTACTGACGCCGTCAACTGATGGATTCCCCGGCCCCCACCAATAGGTTTGATAATAATTGGACAGTTTACCACCGATGCCCACGGCCCCTCCGAGCTATAAATCCCGCCACCGCTTTTACCCACGGAGGTTCTCAATTTTCCATCGTGCAGCAGACAAGCGTCAATATCCTGCGCCTGATTGGAGAGCTTGACAGAGGGAGAAAGGTAGAAAGGGCTCACAGTTTCAGGAGGACAGACAATAGATGATTTTCTGGATGGTCCCGGTTTCCACATATGGGCGGCTACAACTATTGGATATCAGACTATCTACGTGCTGCACAAATGGTAGATTGGGGCACTCACGAGTCAACGTCTTCCTGGCAGCTTCCAATCGGGCATTTGCCGTTGATAGGTGCTTCATTCGGCAAGTATATTATGTCGTATTCCCGCGAACACTGCTTTTGTAGGTCCTTCATGAAGAGGAGCTTCTCGTCAAATGACATAGGCTCTGTGGACGACATGATTGCCGCTAGGCGGCCGATTTCGGGCATAATAAGAGCAAGGGCACGTGTGCAAGCATTCTTTTCTGGGTCATTGGGTGATTTCTGCCCTCTTGACAAAACCGTCCAGTCTCTCCTGTCGCGAACCCATTGGGTCCGGTAGTTTGTAAGAGCTGAAAGGCGGAGGCGAATATGGGTATTCCTGTATTGTAATCTCTCGTAATTTCCCTGTCTTTGTGACCTATTGCATCTGCCAAGCCAATGTGGCTTTTTATTTCGGCAAGTTCATCGCTCTCCAGGACAGATTCTTCGATCCCAGCGGGCAGATGACTAGGCAAACCGGTTTCACGGTATTGCTCATGGCCTTGCCAGTATTCGATATGGCGATCGTCTCCCTTCTCATCAAGAACACAGTCGACAGTATTAATGGACGAGCAATGGGCAAGATAGCTCGTTGGGTAGGTTTTCCCATCTTTATGACCGTATAACTGTGAAACTAATGCTGAGCCGTATCGCCCTATGAAGAGTAAGTTTATGTCCCAAGAAGTGTAGGATATCAGAAGGGCCTTACCATCAACTTTTTTTCCAAGTGCTCGGCGGATATCATGTATTGTGGGATCTTCCCAATACCCTGCTTTCCTGAAGAGCTGGCGAAGGAAATAATAGAACCTTTCTGTCGTCAACGCCAGATCCTGAGCACCTTCCGCAGTCACGTTCCTGAATACAGGCTTTTCCTTCGCGTCATCCTTCCAGCGCAGGGGAATTTCATTCTTCCCTTCGGGGAACTGCTGTTGGGCCAAGTTTTCTATAGTGTTTATTCCGTAATTGCGCCTTGGTCGATGGCAATGACGGCAAGAAGCAGTCCCGATGCAAATTGAGGCCTGCTGTCATCACGGATGCCTATGCCAAAGCTGTCGAGCGAGTTAGTGTTTGCGAAAAGAAAAGGATGAATTGGCACATTTTAGGAACGAGGTAATTGACTTACACGGTGTACTCCGGGTTCCTATTTTTTTTGAGCCACTGTTCATTGACTCGCCACCCGATCTTCCATGGCTCGTCAGAAGAATCAGAACGAAATAAAACTAGGTCTATGTGCTGTTAGGTGTCAGTAGCCTGAAAGAACATGTGCATGGGTTGATGTACCTTATAACGAAGACCTCTCTGGTGTCGATGTTTATTTATGGGAATGAATGCCCCAACCCTTGCACCAGTGAAAAGATAAAGCTGTAGGGCGAACAAAAGGAAAATTTTCATTGTTCCGTGGATGAAGACAGGATCATCGACCGTCCAGAGTGAAGATACGGCATGGAGGTAGTCTGTCTTGGTGAAATTGAATTTGCCTTTTTCCATGTTCACGATGACTTTCTCTTTGGTCAGAGTTGCTTTGATCCACTGCGATATGGTCAGCTGCAAGCATCCAAAGCATTCGTAAAACGGACTATACTAACCCCGTAAGTCTCTACACGGTCCTCTAGAGGAACCATGTTTCCAGTAGCTGTCTCAAAGCCACCGAAAAATCTCTCGGCGCATGCCAAAGTCGTGACCGCCGTGGGTCTTCCTTCTGGGTCGAGACGCCCTTTGGTAGAATGCGCATACCACCGAATAAATTCTTTGATCAGAGTAATTTCGGGTGCCAGGCATCCCTCTTCCAGCTCATAGCCTTCAGATACTCTTCCACTTTCAATCAGAAACCTAAGAAGTCAACAAACACGGAAATTGGGAAAAGCGTTGCGAGGCCACTCACTCGATCCAGAGCTCAACGTACTGCCGGTGAAGGGCTCTGGACTCATCTGTCCGCTTATGCTTACCACATGTAGCATCATCCTCTCGGTGGGCTTCCGGTTGGAATCCAGTTTCTTTGCGTCTCACGCGGCGCCGTTCCCTTGCTAAATCGCAAGTCTGGAGCTTTATACCCATGATCCAGGGTTGGAAAGGAACGTTTATACACTGGGACGAATCATGAAGAGAATAAAAGAGGTAGTGAGCTGCAAGCCCTTGCGAAGTAATTGTGGTTGACTACCCATGGGGATTTCGCTGTATTTATAGCTCGGCTGGATGTTAAGTACGACATACAAGCCATCCCGGCCATAGCAGGGATTGGGCGAAAGGCACAAGCCATGTAATTTCACACGTCATCATCTTTCAGAGGGCATACGAGTGAATAACTTTCTGGGAGCAGGGGCTATCAACAGAAAAAGGATGGTCAATGTTAGGTGGATTTTTAGTTGCTGGCGCTAGCATCACAGAATAGATGGCTAATAAATGATCCACATGTCACGTGGTTAATTTGTTCTATCTCTGCCTTTATTTTCAGGTCGTAGAGTGGGCACTCAGGTCGTGCTCACTGAGCATACCCTGAGTGCTCACTGAGCAGACCCTGAGTGCTCACTGAGCAGACCGTGAGTGCTCACCGAGCATAACCTGAGTGCTCACTGAGCAGACCCTGAGTGCTCACCGAGCATACCTGAGTGCTCACTGAGCAGACCCTGAGTGCTCACCGAGCATAACCTGAGCATTATTTTGACATTACTAAGCATACCTTGAGTAGCACTGACTAATCACCCTGTGCTGTGAAATACTCAGTGAGCATGACCCTGAGCCCCCTCATAAAGCGGCGGCACCCCGATCGGGAAATGCGCATTCGCGGCCTAAAATCTGGTACATACAGGTACATATGTTGGTTACTACATTTGACTCTAGAAGGCTATGTTTCAGCCTTGGAATAAGGGCTCGAGCGGCCACAGGCCCACAGCAGAGCCGCACCCACACTCCCAACCTCCTTGTTACCACTTACCAGTCCCCTTTCATTTGCCGACACGACAAATATCCATCTTTTTCCTAGAGTATCATGCCAAAAACAACTCCGCAGTGTGATCATGTCTCTATCTGCTCTTCATCCTCCTCTCACTCGACTCTAGCAGGGTTCAAAAGACCAGGGCACCGTCAACGCCTCACCGCCACCAGAGCAGACAACCGAGTATTTCCAAGAGAAGACAAACTATTCCTCGAAGAAGGCACCAACACCTTTCCTGCCCCCCTGGTGTTACCAGGAGATGATCTCGCAGGGGACCCAGAGGATCCACAAACCTTCCAAGACTGGCTGAATGGCGAACACCGCAATCCAATAACACCAAAACGGAAGACCATCTACGTAGTTCAATCGCCTCAAATCAATAAGGAAGTAGACTTCATACAGACATGGACAACACCGACATGTCCAGACGCCGAACCTCATCACAAGCCCCCTAGAGCGAAAGATGTCCAAGACTACCTAAGTGCCTTCTACCACGGTCTCCCAGTGAGAACAATACCGCCATTGACGGTAGAATTTCTGCCATGGGAAGAAGCCAAACCAAATCCCGATTCCCGGAAGACAGACCTACAATACGTGGGCCTCAGAATCGACAATGAATGCATCCGGATTCGCGCACGCACTCTACCAAACGGGATATACAGGGGCCAAGTCAATCTAGACGATCTCCTCGACGCTGCTATCAGCCTTCTTCCAAAAGATGCCTATGCCCTCCTAATGCTCGTTGATTTCGACCTATACGAAGATGAGGACGACGAGTTCGTGTGCGGGCGTGCATACGGAGGTAGTCGGGTTGCAGTCGTGTCTAGTGCAAGATACAACCCAGTTCTGGATCGTATCCAGGGGGTCGAACGTCTCCATGCGTGGCCCGCGTCGCATTGCGAGAAGTACATGTCTGCTTGTTGCGCGGCTGAGCCAGCGAGCAAGAAGCAGAAAAGGATACCGGTCAATGGCCGGGGTTTGCAAAAGTCGGTGGTGCTGGATGGGCCTTTGAAGGAGGCTGTTTCGGTGTACCGCTCATTGCCCGAAGTAGGTATTTCAACTCCGTTGATGTCTGCTCTTTGGCTGGGAAGGGTTTGTCGGACTGCGAGTCATGAGCTGGGTCATTGCTTTGGTATTTCCCATTGTGTGTATTATGCATGTTCGATGCAGGGTACTGCGTCTATCTGTGAAGATGCGAGACAGCCGCCGTATCTGTGTCCGGTGGACTTGGCTAAGGTGCTCTCTGCCACTTCTACGACTGCTTCGGAGCGGTATCGGGCTCTTTTGGCTTTTTGTGAACGGTCGAGTCATGGTGATACCCATTTATTTGGACCGTTTGCTGCTTGGATCAGATGTAGACTGGATCTGGTTGGGGATTCGATTTAGTTTCCGCGATCAAGAGACTGGTAACCACGCCGAGCTCTGACAAATGGAGATATCTTTGGTGGCATTTGGATTTCGACACCCGTTTCTTCATAGATCTACTTGGTTTCGAAGGTACTGCCAACGACCGGAATGATACGATGCCAGCTCCGATCACAGGACATTTGTCTCCTCTCTAGTCACTGGAACGGTACGTTCCATGTGACCAATTCGTCCGAGGAGATAGAGGAGCTTGTATTGCATAGCTCCGATCTGAGACAAGTAAAAATAGTAACAGTTTCAGGGTAGATCACCCACGAACCTTAGATCGGACTCATCGGAGCGTTGTTACTATAAACTTCCGACTCGTTCGAACCTTGGCCATGAAACAAGCTAAGGAATATGGTTGTGCAGAATATGGAGAATCTGATACCTCGATGTGAGATCTTGATCTTTCCCGCGTTTCAGCATAATGGCGTTGTTGGAGGCCTTTTTGCTTGGTTGGTAGCGAAGGAAGGTCCGAAGGTGTGAGAACCTGAGGCTGTAGTCAGGCGAGGACTAGTCGTGTGCTGGGAGGTGTTGGTTTTCCTTCTCTTCTCTTTTCTTTTCCATTCTTCATTTCTCCAGTTGTGAAGATATCGAATTCGTTCCCGTAACAAAGGTTCATACAGCACGGTCAACTCCACATAACATACTGCAGGGGTTGCTCGGAAGCCACCAGATCACAGCCGAGGCGTTTCACTAGCACAAGTCCACAAGTGGATTTGTGATTAACAGTTCTCGGTCTCGGAAGAACCTTCTTTGTTCCAGATTATTCGATAGCTCCATATCCTGATTTTGAGATCCGCGTAAGAAAATAGTACTAGTGAAAGCTTCGGACGTTCAGGGAGCCCATTCTGTCAGACCGTAGACTCCATTCTCTGTACTCTGTCTTTGTGCACATTTGTCCCGAAGACTTTTCTCACTATTTCAATCTTGATCGGAACAATCTCCACTAATGTTTTCCGAGATAGCCGTGGCAGGTGAGTGAGCCACCGCACCAAACTTTGAAAAGCAGCCCGGCGAGCTGCAGAAAAAGACAAAATACCGCAGTCCCACTAGCATCGTGGACCTGTTTGAAATCAACCTGCAATTTCCAAGACGCAGGGGCTGGGTGGTTTTGCTAGGAAGAACGCCCTAGGCCCTAGGAATACTAGGGTATGCGCCTGCAGCGACGGTTAGGTAGCTCGTGGAGCTTGGTCGCGTGGAGTGAGACATCGAATCCACACTTGCCCGACTCCGGGCTCCATCTTCTGACTTGTACAGCTTGAGCTGGTGTTTCCATTTATATTTCCATGGATGTTTGGGATTGTCTCTGAACGGTTCGGCACGATGAAACCTCGATCACCTCAGGAACTCAAATGTGGTTAGAAGGTTCGAAGATTGAAGCCACCGGTTCCCGGGGTGGATCTTTAGGGGGGTTAGTCGGGCTTAGTCGTGTTTGAGGGCAGTTAGTTTGTGGGGCAGCCGGAAGAGCAGCTTAACCGAGCACGGTCGCGTTCAACAGCCCCCCTATCAACTTGGCTGGTTACTTGTTTGTCTAGTGACCCCTGGGCCCTGGCGATAGGAGTCTCCAGCAGGATAGACTGGCAATGTGCATAGTGTACGTACATGGCCGAGGACAAACCTCGTGGATTAGCCAGGTAGCAATTGGTCAAGTACAATAACGTTTGCATTTGATCAATTGACAGACAAAATCCAACGTTTGAACGTACTAATTTGTGATTTGTAGCGCACGCAGGGTGAATAGATCGGCGATGCCCATGCGTGAACTGCATGCATAATCTGCATAACCTCACGTTCCAAAATGGAATCGTGAGTCGTGAGGCGCATGCTAGTGCAGGCAACGTCCCTCGAGGGGTCTAGATTTCGCTATCCTTAATCCTTGTTCCTCAATCGCTAGTCGAGTCGGTCGGTCTCGCTTTCCGGGCATTAGTCTCACAACATTGTCGCATCAGCTTCTGTATTGTGTGAGTGATACCCGCATTATCGAATCACCTGTCCACTGCGGGTGAAAGGTAAATTCAATGACCCACCAAGCAGTGGCCGTAAGCCTTATGGGGAGTCCCATTGTTGTGTGCTGGAAAAGGACCTCGGGTCCCCGGGACCAAGTGAGTTCCGCCTCACAAAGAAGATCCAGGATCTTAGTTTGTGGCTGACAGGATGACCAGTCGTGGATGACAGGTAGACTGTAGGCCGTAGGGCATGAACACAACAAAATCAGACATGTCTATCGTTGCCTGATCAGGTCAGAAGCGTGATGTTCCTGAGCTAATTCCCCGGAACGGAACCCAGGCCGGTTGGCAACTGGCCAGTCGGAACATCGCAGACTCTCCCTGAGATGCAAGTTGAGGCACTGCTGGGAAGCTGTCAAGTTGACCTCGATAGTTGTTACTTGTTAAGCTAGCAAGTCAAGATTGAAGAAGAAACGATTGAGAAACATCCCACCAAAAGTGGCTTTACCGTTGGACCATGTTGGTGGGCCGCGTTGATCCCTTCCTTAACGCTTCTTCCATGAGCTCATGACTGGTGATCCACGACGATTATTTCCCCCTTAGTACTTGGCACTTCCCTTTTTTTGTCTTAATAAATCTTTTTTCTTTTGGTCTTGCTTGTTGTGCTTCCATCTTGATATCGATCCGGCGAGGGTATGGGTGAATCACCAGTCCTTCCAAATGGGTTACCTGAAACTCCCTCATAGTCATGGAGCAGTTGACCTACAGATTGGGATAGTCTGTCGAGATTAGTCTTTGCCAAACGGTACTCCGTACATCGTCCGCTACTCCGTATCCAAGAATAAACCCACAGGAGCAACAGGGGTGGCCCACAAGGAGAGAATTCCATCTTTTCACTGGCAGGCCGCAGAAGTAGACCCACCTGTGGAAGATCCAAGACCCCATTTTTGATATCCCTGAAGCCCAGAGACCTGAAGCCTAAGGGGAGGATAGCCCCAAATGTGGAAATGTGGATTGGAGACCGGGGTAGAGCCAATGTAAGTCTATTCCGATGCGTTAGGGTGACTCGCTGGCCGGACGCTTTCCGGCTCAAAGTTGATCAGGGGTATATAAACAAAGAGGGCGATCACCTCTCGCTGGATATTCATTCTGTCAACTGTCTTTTTTTCCCGTTCACCGTTTTCCTACAGTCTATCGTTAATCCTTTGGCGGCTATTGCCTGCCTGTCCGGTCTTTCGCTTCTCATCCAGAAGCATTCCATACTTCCAACAGTCTGACCAATACATTCGTTATTAATACACACACTCGAGATGCGTCCTTCTCTTGTTCTGCTCGCCGGTCTGGCGAGCTCGGCTCTTGCCTACCCGGCTGATATGACCGCTGTCGAGCCCCGTACTCTGGGTCTCCTCCGTGAAATTCTCGGCGATCTTACCGTCGATGTGTCTGCTATTCTCGGCGCTGTCCTCGGTCACAGCCACAGCCACGGCCACTCGCTTTCGCTTCTTGCTGGTCTGAGCGCTGAGGGTGCTGCCGCTCTCCAGGGTGGTGCTCTCGGCTGCAAGGCCGGTCTCATTCACTACAAGGCCAAGGCCGCTCTCAAGGCTTGGTTGCTCGTCCATGCTGACCTCGACATCTCCCTCAAGAAGACTCTGATCTCTTGGTGCGAAGGCAACGACGAGCTCGTTCTGTCCGCTGACATCCTCGCTGCTCTGTCTGTGTACGTTCCCGGATGTGCTGAGATCGCCGCCCAGGGTCAGCTTTACGTGACCGTTGACGGTATCTTCGACGCTGCCAAGCTCGAGTCTGCTCTTGTCCTGAGCATTGGTGCTCAGTCTTCTCTTGCCGCTTGGATCGAGGCCAAGACTGGTCTGGATCTTGACGTCAAGGTGGCTTTGGATGTCTGCGCCGCTGGCGGTGTTATCAGCAGTCTGTCCTCTCACATTAAGGCTGCTCTTCACGCTTGGATGATCAGTGATGAGTGTGACCTCAGCGCTGACCTCAAGGTCTCGGTTCTTGCTTGGATCAGCGGCCACGCCGGTGGTGATCTTGTGGAGATCGGTGCCCATGCTGAGACTGCTCTCTCTACCATCTCCGTCGGTGCTTCCGTCGGCGTGCACGTCGAGGAGTCCGGTCACCTCTCTGTTGGCGGACAGGCCTCTCTTGCTGCCTTCCTCGGCGCTGGGCTCTCTGTTGATCTCGATGCTGACGTCAAGCTTGCTCTCGAGTCTTGCGCTAAGGGCCAGCTCGCTGCCGCCGTGGACCTTGATCTCCGCACCAAGCTGGCCATCTGGCTTGCAGGTGAGGACTGCTCCCTGGGCGTTGAGCTCAAGGCCGTTGTTCTCCTCTGGCTGTCCCTGGGTGTTGAGGCCGATGTTTCCGTTTCTCTCGACTTGGTTGGTGGCCTCCTCGGCCACGTCACTGATCTCCTGACCGAGACTCTTCTTTCTGGCCTCAGTGTTGACCTTCGTGGTGCCCTTTCCCTTCTCGCAGGAGGTGGTAGCCTCACTGGCCTGACCTTCGATGCTCGTGCTGAGCTTGCTGCCTTCCTCGGTGGCTGCACTTCCATTGACATTGACATCAGCATCCAGATCATCATCCTCGAATGGTTCACCGGCTGCAGCATCCCCGGTGCTCCCTCCGGCCCTGGCTCCTCTACATCTACCGTCCCCAGCCTGCCCGGTACCACTGTGCCCTCCGGCCCCGGAGCGACCAGCACCCCTTGCGACACCGAGACCTCCGAGATCGTCGGTTCCACCGTCATCCCCGGCTCCGGCTCCTCAACTGCCACCGTCCCCGTCATTCCCACTCCCACCGGTGTCTCTCCCGTCCACACTCCCTCTCCCAGCGGCCCTGCTGCCACCAGCACCCCCTGCGATACCGAGACCTCTGAGATTGTCAGCTCCACTGTCATCCCCGGTGTTCCCACTGGCTCTGGCTCCACCGTCATTGTCCCCGTCGTTCCCACCACCACTCCCAGCGGCCCTGCTGCCACCAGCACCCCCTGCGATACCGAGACCTCTGAGATTGTCAGCTCCACTGTCATCCCCGGTGTTCCCACTGGCTCCGGCTCCACCGTCACTGTCCCCGTCGTTCCCACCCCCACCGGTGTCTCTCCCGTCGACACCACCGCCCCCAGCGGTCCCGCTGCCTCCAGCACCCCCTGTGACACTGAGACTTCTGAGATCATCCGTTCCACCGTGATCCCGGGTGGCCCCAACGGCTCCGGCTCCAGCACCGCTACCGCCGTTGTCCCCGCCGTTCCCACCGGCACCGGCGTTGCCCCCGTTGACACCCCCGCTCCCACCGGCCCTGCTGCCACCAGCACCCCCTGCGACACCGAGACCTCCGAGATCGTCCGCTCTACCGTGATCCCCGGTGTCCCCAACGGCTCCGGCTCTAGCACCGCCACCGCCGTTGTCCCCGTCGTTCCCACCGGTACCGGCGTTGTCCCCGTCCCCACTTCCGCTCCCACCGGTCCTGCTGCCACCAGCATCCCCTGCGACACCGAGACCTCTGATGTCATCCGCTCCACCGTGATCCCGGGCGTGCCTACTCCCTCGGGCGTCGCTCCCACCGGTGTCCCTGCTCCTTCGGGCCCGGCTACGACCAGCGCACCAACCATGCCTGCCGGTGGCTCAGACTCTGAGGATGTCACCGTGACCAAGACTGTGACTGCGACCGTTTGTGACTGCGAGTAAAGTGATTAAATTGTGTCGTCTGGGTATATATAACATGTAGTCCGATGTGATTTGCTTCGTTGATGGGCTCAGTATAGATATCTCTGTTGACTTCTGTATCTTTCTGTGTGTTGATTTTTATATAATCTTATTCTTTCTCATGACCAGATGAATTTGAGTCTTGGGTTTAATGTGGGCGGTTCGTTGTCTCGCGATTCAAGATACCCTGTTGTGAATATCTGTCGGCTCACTCGGCTGTCTCTGCTTCCTGTCTGTAGGCATTTGATATAGTAGTAATGGGACTGCCTGTGCAGATTTTGAGTGTAGTCGCTTCTCGTGCGAGGATATTGTTAGTGACCGGCAGGTGTAGTCTTGGGCTTGAGGCTCAGAACAACTTCCTATCGAGGGGGATTGGAATTTAGTCACTGGTGGCCGCTACCGTCGACTGTACACTTGTATAGTTTAGCGGCCTGCAGCTCTTCGAAGTGCGGCCTCTTGGCTTTCTGTCTTGGCTTCCCCTGGCTTGGGCTTATTGTCCTTTTTCGAGAGCACCTCAGAATGTTCATGGTTACTCGCCTCTTAATCAACCACACATCGTACTATGCAAGAAGGCCAATTGCATCTCGAGATAGGGAGTCAATCCCTCGATGTCAACAATGATCTCCCTGGGCCTTATCAGATCCCCGAAGATCATCCGCTGCTCGGGCCCGGGTCCATCGAGGCTGAACCCACACCGGTCGAGTTTCGGCGTGGGCTTGCCATTATCTTGTGCACGATCTCTGTGTTGTTCATGAACTGTGCACTCAATAATTTGGTCACGCTCAACATTCCGCTGTTGTCATTGGAGTTTGAATTGAGCCCTGGCGTTGAATTATGGTAAGACAGCTCTCAGAGCTGATGATCTGAGTTCATCTTTGACTACACGAGATAAGCTAATTCGAAATATGCCAGGCCAATGACAATGTACTATCTTGCACAAGGCTGCACATTCCTCCTGGCGGGGTCTTTAGCAGACGTCCTAGGCAGTAGAAAGATTTTCCTGGCGGGGTGCTTCCTACAGATCGTCTGTCATCTGGGCAGTGGGCTTGCTCAAACAGGAGCGCAGCTTCTTGTCCTTAGAACACTGTCCGGCGTGGCGTACCCTATGTGTTTTATCTCTGCAATGAGCATTCACAGGAATCATATTCCCACTGGAAACTTGAGCAAGCTAGCATCCTCCTGTACGAGCGGAAGTCATTACATCGGCTCTCTGATTGGCATAACCCTCAGCGGAGTACTCTCAGAAACGATCGGCTGGAGATGGGGTTTTCTTGGTGCTGCTCTCATGAGCCTATTCGCTTTCTTTCTATCAATCTGGATTATTCCCCAACAATCCGAGGAAACTAAACGCGTCACATGGACAGAAATGGCCGAAGACATCGATTGGGCGGGAACACTGCTCGCCAGCTCACTAATGGCCCTCCTCTTCTCAGCATTGGCGTACGTATATCGATCTTGAACTCGAAGCCGGAAACCCCAACTCTCGCAAACACTGACAGAACTGCCAGCGTCATCACAAACAACGTCGCATATATCGGCCGATCAGGCCTTTTCATCCCCCTCTCCCTCGGCTGGATAATCCTAGTCGCCTTCCTCTTCTGGCAAGACTGCTGGGAACGCGACAGCACACAGGGTATCCAGAATTCCCTCTGGACAAACAACCACTTCATCTCCATCTGTCTCGTTATATTCTTCATCTACGCATCCTCTCACTCAACATCCCAACTCACAGTCCTCGTCTTCCAGCGAGCACAGAGTCTCTCAGTCCTCCAATCCTCATGGCGATACCTACCGATACCGATCATAGGAGCATTGAGCAGTTTCCTCACGCCTCGTCTCCTGTATCGTGTACCAGCCAACGATATCCTCGCCACCGCAGTTCTCCTTTCCGCTCTTTCTCCGTTCTTGATGGCTATCATAGATGCGAACTCGCCGTATCTCAAATCGGCAGTATTCGCCGTCTCATTGAATCCAATCGCATCAAATGCCATCATCCCACTTGCCAGCATGATGGTCGCCAACACATTCCCGTTGGAGACACAGGGTCTTGCAATGGGAGTCCTCTGCACTGTGGCTATGATTGGTGCTTCAGTTGGGCTGGCTTTGACTGCGCTGGTTTCAAATGATATGGCTACACATCTGCAACATAGTCCTGCGGGACATAGTGCACCGGAGATATGGATAAGTGGGTATCGAAGTGCATTCTGGTTCTTGTTCTCTCTGAGCTTGGTGGCGTTGCTTGTTACTCTTAGTTGCTTGCGGAAATTGGGGTATTTGGGGCGTGGGTTGGAGATACAGCATTTATAGATATGTTCCAACTATGTTCATTTCCGTGATCTCATTATTCGGAGATCTCATACCTAATCTTGGAGGCAGGACTCACTCGTTCGTGGCACCGCAAACGAGCTTCCTAGGACACATGGATGTAACCACACCGGCGAATATTCGCACATGCGACAACACAACCTATATCACCAACCTTGGAAGTGGCCTGTAGTATGCCCAAACACTTTGGCCTAGGTTCCACATGGAGGCTCTTCCCGCTCTTCGAACTGTAACCTAAGTGTGTGGACGAGAATCCAACAATCTCACAGACCATGTCAATGATGGATCGACTAAAATGCTAGGACCAGAATAAACAACCAAAATGCATGACGCAGTCATGAACATGCGTAAAAAAGGAGAAAACAGATGCAACGCGAACGCCACTCTCATATCCATACACCTATTACCACCTATAAAAGCACAGTGAACATGATTAGACAGTCGACAACTCTCTCAAAACCCTCCCGACATCCCGACGAGCTTGATTTAACTCCTCATCAACAACTCCATCGGCATGTCGCGCCTTAACCTCGTAATGCAGCTCGACAAGCTCCTTCGCGCGACGAAGATCTGCCTTGTCCTCAGCGGAGCTCTTATCTACCAACTGGCCACCAGACTCGGCGGATTCCGGGCCTACAATGGTCTTGTGCACATTGACTAGAGCCATGGCTTCATTGTAACCCTAGACCGGCATGTCAGCACAGTCACATTGGATGGTGGGATACTGGTCCTTGTTCAAGATGGGGCGTGGACGCGGTTGCCGTGGGGAAGCTCTTATTAGAAGCAGTGGTGATCGGAGTACTTACGCAGACGCGGAGAGAATTTATATCGGAGAGAATTTCGGCGACTTGCATGTTTGTGGTTGGTAGGATGCTAGTTTGGAGTTGGGGAACATGAAGAGGTTCCGAATGGCTGCCAGATCTCAATGTCTTGGCAGAGAGGCACGAGGTACAAGGTACACCAGCTGGATTCCGTAGTTATCTTCCAACACCTGTATGACTACAAGATAGGTATTAGATAAATGTCTAGATATGTATTTTTGGGGCACTCTAAATCACGTCCCATATATACTCGTGGGAACTCATCTAAATCAGGATATACAGCCTCTAATCAGAGATCTAAGTCTCCTTAAACTCATAAGCATAAGGTCCCTCACGATCCTGCACCTCAACCTCAATACGACCCTCCTCAATCTCCTTCCCATCAACCTCAATCGAAGCCCTCATGATATCACCAGCCTTAACCTGTCCAACACCCTTAGGTGTACCAGTAAGAACAATATCACCCTTCTCGAGTGTCATCACGCGCGAGATATGCGCCAGTTGCTGGGGAATGCGGTATAGCATGAGACTCGTCGAGTCAGCCTGGCGCTCCGTCTCTCCAACGCGAAGGCGCAGGAATGCCTCGTGGGGGTTAGGGATGCGCGACTTGGCGATTTCCTCTGAGATGGGGCAGAAGGTGTCGAATCCCTTAGCGATGGACCAAGGGAGACCCTTCTTCTTTGCCTCGTCTTGAACGTTGCGGGCGGTCATATCGATGGCGAGGATGTAGCCTATTTCCCAGCGCGACATTGCTTGGTTAGCAAAATTGTTGATTCAAGCGCATGTTTTGTTGAGTTTGCGCGCCGCTGTGGTTGCACCACTGCTATACTGCCACCATTCAGATCTGGACTGCATGGTTTACTCACTGTGGATCGCGTCGAATGCGGTCTTTTCATCGTTCGGGTCAAGATCGCGCAGGGTCTTGCCGATCACCAGACCCAATTCGACTTCATAGTGCAGGCTGACGCCTTTGGGACGTAGGACGGGTCCGGACTTTGGAAGGAGGATGGATGATGTGGGCTTGAGGAAGAAGAAAGGCTGCTTGGGGGTTGCACTGTTTAGCTCGGAAATGTGATCGCTGTGTCAATTCGGGCTATTAGCAATTGTGATCGAAGGGATCATAGGTGCCGCTGCCGGAGCTGTCGAGGAAACGGGAGCGGGGAGGAGATGTGAGAGAGATGTTAGACTCACGCATAGTTACGACCGATACACATAATCTTGCGACAATTGGCACGGACGGAAGCCATGTTGATCGATATTTTAATGCTATGCGAAGAAAAGAGGAAGAAAGGTCAGAGAAGGAAGTCGTGGGGGGAGGTTAATCGTAGGGCCGGGGAATTCCCCGAAAACGCGATGCGGAGAGAATTGGGCGGATGCTGCGCCGACCGCTTCCAAGGTTCCATGGACCATCGGATGAACATCCGACCTCAATAACCCAATCAGTCGATCAAACCGTTGGGGAACATAGATACTACCTAAGGTTGTACAGGGAACATGTTGTTCAAGCTTCGATCTGAGGATGGATGACTAGCAGTCACGGTACATTGATTTGTCTGACAAGCCGGCAAGGCCCGATATAGCTGCCCTCGCAGATTGCACTTGTATGAAGAATGAAGAGTGTGACCATGTCGGGTGTTGGATGAAGAGAGTCAACATCCAGAGAACGAAGTGAGGTCTCGATTCCAAGGTTGTTGCCAGCCCTTTGCGTCCTGGGTCTATGTAGTCTTTGTTGCGATGAGTATATTATCTGCCGGACGACTATGTGGAAGGCCACGATCAACTCGGCGACCTTACCCGTAGTTGAAAACGAAAGAAACGTATTTAGATATTCAGGACAACGCCCTGAGGAACAAGTCACATTTTGGCCCAATCTATTGATTAAGTACGAGAAGAGGCAGCATCCAGCCATCCTTAACCAAGAAGAGCGAGCTAGATACAGACAAGGGAAGGAAAAAGGAGGAAAATGCATGAAAAAATACGATAAAACGGAGTAGCAAACGCAAACGTGTCTCGTCTCCGTTGTGCAAGACATAGAAAACCCTAGCAAAGGCTAACGGGAATGATCTGAAGCGCCGATTCGTCGATTCAACGACAAATCGACTCAATATGCAGAGCATAGCCCCAGTTATTCCCCAAACTCATTGTAGGCACGCAGAAAACCACTTTTGGCGCAGATTCTGCGATCGTAAACCGCATCAAGACGTCAAGAGTTAAAAGGCTTAGATCAGATCAGCCACGTTCATGGGCATCTCCTCGACCTGGGTGGAGTAGAACTGCTCGATCTCGCGGAGCATGCGGACATCGTCAGCGGTGACGAAGTTAATAGCAACACCCTTACGACCGAAACGACCACCACGACCAATGCGGTGAATGTAGTTCTCACGGTTGGCGGGGAGATCGTAGTTGATGACCAGGGAAACCTGCTGGACATCGATACCACGGGCCAGCAGATCGGTGGCGATCAGGACACGGGAAGAGCCGGAACGGAACTCCTTCATGATAACATCACGCTGGCCCTGCTCCATGTCACCGTGCATGGCGGAGACAGTGAAATCGCGGGCGGTGAGCTTGTCGGTGAGCCAGTCGACCTTTCTGCGGGTGTTGCAGAAGATAACGGCCTGGGTGATGGTAACGGTCTCGTAGAGATCGGAGAGGGTGTCCAGCTTCCAATCCTCCTTCTCAACGGCAATGTAGAACTGCTTAATACCCTCAAGGGTAAGTTCCTGCTTCTTGACAAGGATACGGACGGGGTCGCGCATGAACTTGGTGGTGACCTCAAGGACGTCCTGGGGCATAGTAGCGGAGAGCAGGGTGACCTGGGTAGACTGAGGAAGGAGCTGGAAGATGTCGTAGATCTGCTCGGTGAAACCACGCTAGAGAAACTAAAGTTAGTACTGAGCGTTGCCTGCATTATATCAATTTCCATAACTTACAGACAGCATCTCATCAGCCTCGTCGAGAATGAAGAGCTTCATAGCAGTGGTGGAGAGAACACGACGCTGGATCATGTCCTGAACACGGCCGGGGGTACCGACAACGACCTGGGGGCCGGCGCGGAGGGCGTTCATATCCTCGCGAACGTTGGTACCACCGATACAGGCGTGGCAGTCGAGGGACATGAAGTCACCGATGGCGACAACGACCTTCTGGATCTGCTGAGCCAACTCACGGGTAGGGGCGAGGATAAGAGCCTGGCAAGCCTTGACCTCGGGGTCGATCTTCTGCAAGGCAGAGATGGAGAAGGTAGCGGTCTTACCGGTACCGGACTGAGCCTGGGCGATAACATCGTTGCCTGACCTCACTGGTTAGACGCAAATTTTGAATAATGAATCAAAATGTAGTGCTACTCACCCTTGATGATGGGCATGATGGCGCGCTGCTGAATAGCAGAGGGGCGCTCGAAACCGTAGGCGTAGACACCTGACATCACACAGTTAGTTTTTTTTTTTTTTCTCATCCCCACGGACCCCGCCAGATAAGAGAAAGGTTCACATACCGCGAAGCAGCTCAGGCTTCAGGTCCATAGCATCGAAAGAGTCGGTAACCTCATCGTAGTTAGACTCGATCATTCCTGTTGGCGATGAAAATGTCATGTTAGCTTGTGTTCTTCATTTTGCCTCCAAAACCAACTTCGCCGCCACCCGACCCTGGTGTCGCGATCACATTTCTGAAGCAGCCAGAGCACAATAGCGACCCAGGACAAAGTAACGGTCAAGCTGGAGAATGAGGATATTCGGATTTCGTAACATACCCTCGGGAAGCTCCTCAAGACCTTTGTCAGCCATGATTGCGGTTTTATGAGATAGATCACAGGGCGCTGTGATCGGTGTAGTGGGGTAATTTAGCGAACTGTGTCGTTCGGGTGCGTTGGAGAGTGGTCTTCTAGTACCGATGACTCTTTATTTAAAGAGTCTGTACAGGAACTAGGAAAGAGTTGAAAATGTGGATGGATGTGAAATTTCACAAATGGGGTGGGAAGAGGAAGAGAAGAAAAGGGAAAAAAATCAAATCGGCCACACTGAGGTGCCATTTGCTACGCTTTTTTTTTCTATGGGGCACTATCTTACCGCCTGCTTAATTTGGTGCCGCCCAGCCCAAGCGAGTTTCCTCGAACAACTTCATGTCATTATATACTGACTTACTGTGTATAACTTCATTCTTTTGGTTTATCCCGGCATATCGATGGTCTAGTATCTTTGGTACTGTCAATTCGAAAAATTTGAGTTCCCATTGACTTGGTGAATTCTTTCTTACAGTTCCCTGATCAGCACCAAAAATTTCCCCCAAGCCCTAAATTTGCCGGCCTCAAATCATGCCTGACATCACCTCGTTGCCGAGTCATCCTCCACCGCCGGATATAGAGGCTGCACATGAGGCTATCCCGTCGCACCCACTAGGCGTGAAGCCAAGTGGAAATGCCCTGTTGGCAACCTGGAGTCTCCGTAACGCCATAGGAACCTTCCAACATTTACCAGACGAACTAATCCTGTTGTTGTTGGAGGGCTTGGATGGGCCAAGTCTGTTGAGGATTGGACGGACATGCAAGGCTTTCTATGCATTTACCCGGGCTGAGGAGTTGTGGAAGGCACTGTTTGTTCGGTAAGCTACAGCCCGCAGATCCTAGAGATGATATAAGTAGATCCAAGTCATGATGGGCTCTGAACCGCCGCATCTAATCATAATATAATACTGTCTCAATGAACCAAAATGATATCCATACTAAGTCTCCCTGCAGTGACCCAAGAGAAGACTTCACGTGGCGAGGAACATGGCGATCAACATATCTCAACATTCCAGCCTCCAAGGTGCCCATGGTGGACTGTTCGCAGCTTTTCTCCGATTCTTTATACCGACCTTTCAACTGCGCGCACATCTCTCTCGACCCTTATGTCTCAAATATCCCCGCCCGAAACCAGATCCCACGGCTCCCAGACCTGTCACCAGAAGAATTTCGAGCGAGCTGGACTGATCGACCTTTCATCTTGACCGAACCCGTCAAGGCGTGGCCAGCATACAAGAACTGGACCGTCGGGTCACTGCTCGCCCGATATGGGAAGACCAAGTTCCGCGCCGAAGCCGTCGATTGGGCGATGCGCACATACGGTGACTACATGGCGGACAACTCCGATGAAAGCCCGCTTTACCTTTTCGATCGCTCCTTCGTCTCCAAGATGGGACTCTCTGTCGGACCTCCAGAAACCACACCGGATGCATCGTACTGGCCCCCAGCATGCTTCGCGGAAGACTTCTTCTCCGTGCTGGGCGACGACCGCCCTGATCACCAATGGTTGATTATCGGACCTGAGCGCTCTGGCAGCAAGTTCCACAAAGACCCCAATGCGACCAGTGCCTGGAATGCCGTTCTCCGAGGCCCGAAATATTGGATCATGTTCCCGTCTGGCACGAAGCAGCCCCCGCCTCCCGGTGTCTATGTGTCAGATGATCAGAGTGAAGTGACCTCTCCCCTGAGCATTGCCGAATGGCTACTGGGCTTCCATGCGGAGGCACGCCGAACTCCGGGATGCATGGAGGGTATTTGCCGCGAGGGTGAGATCCTGCACGTCCCATCTGGTTGGTGGCATTTGGTGGTGAACCTGGAGACTTCTATCGCTATTACACAGAACTTTATCCCCCGTGGCCATCTTACCGCTGCGTTGGATTTCTTGTCCAACAAACCTGACCAAGTCTCCGGGTTCAGGAAGAACGTGGCTAACCCATGTGAGCGGTTCAAGGCGGGCATACGGGAGGCTTATCCAGAGCTTCTTGATGAAGCCTTGGAGGAACTGCAAAGGAAGAACGAAGGCAAGAAGCGCAAGTGGGAAGAGATTGTCCACGGGAAACCAGATGACACCACCGACGGCGACACCGGAGCCGGCGGGTTCAGCTTTGGCTTTGGGGATGATGGGAGTGATGTTGAGGTTCCATGAACTATTACTTCATTAAGGGGACATTGATGGGGCAGCGAAATTACATAAAACCGGAAGACCTACACATTAATGCCGTTACCCTGGGGAAGTTTGAAACTATCATAGTGGGTTTGTCCCCTCATTCGCCTCGTGATTCTCCAGTGTGCTATCGAATCTGCCAATACGTCGACGATCCAAAGTGAATCCTTCAATGGCACGCAACCGACTTGCTGGCTGGTGTACCCTCGGAGAAAGCCAGGTATCCAACGAACGCGCCCACCGCAACTGCAATCATGACCGGGCCATTATACGTCATGAAGAGGAGCCTGGACAACCAAGTCAGCAAGTCAGAATGGCCAGAGGCTTTGTCAGAGACACTCACATAATGAAGAAGCTATAGAACACCTGGATGGCATACAAGGCCGCCAAGGTAATCTTCCCCTTGCGTGCCAATGCCGCCCTGTTCTCCCTCCCTACAAGCAGTGGTGAGCCTTGGTTGTCAGTGTGATGGCTTCCATCCACCAGGCCGTTCGGAAGGATAGGATCGGCGATCTCATTGTCTGCAGAGAGCCAAGACATCAATAAGAAGCTTGCTCAGCTAGAGTATACCAGCCTCCCATCACTTCTCCAATTTGAAACCCGCGATACCCCAGCAACGTTCTGAGATGTACCATGCTTGATATGTACCGAACCATTGGAAAGAATGACTTACCCCCAGTATTAGCATAGCTGCCCACAAAGGCACCCAGTCGCTGTGTATGGGCCGCCTCGTACTTCCGAGTCACTGATCGTACTCCCTCGTAGCCTGCAGTAAGGATGACGATAGCGACGAGAGAGAAGAGGAAGGAGAAAGGGCCTGTGATGCGCCAGCTGCGAAAGATAATACACAGATTCTCGGAGGACCAGTTGAACAGCATCTACAAACCAAAGACTCAATATTAGCATGGTGAGACTTACAACTAAAGCAGAAGTAGGAGGTGGAATCTCACGTTCATATTGCATTGCCCGCCCATATCCATGTCGCCATGGTCCATACCGCCATGCCCCATATCACCATGTCCCATAGCCATATGCATCGAGTGGTCCATCTTAGGCGGAAATAGAATATGTGGCGAACAACAGCACAGGATACCCTAGTTTAGAGAAGAGTATCAGAACGACAAGAGACCAAGATGTCGGTCGGGTGGTACGAAGCAAACGACAACGACAAGCCAAGCTTGGATCAAGAGAGGGGAATGCAAACATCACAAACATCGATAAGATCTCCAAGCCCGTCACTCTAACTCTCCCAACGCGGTCATCGAACTACAAACCTCAATTCCATTTCGAACTCGCTCCCGTCCGACCCGCGCATCCATTTCACTTCGTTCTTCTTGTTGCAATACCCAATATCCATATCGGTGCCAGTCCGCACTACCGCAATGGCCGATACAGCACCTGCTCCGACAGCCGCGCCCGCGACTACCGGCGCCGCGGCGCCAGACGCAACGGCCACAGCTTCGAATGCGCCTGCAGACCAGAATGCCACGAATCGCGGATTACCATATTACGAGAAATTGCGGCGCGAGCTCAGAGATACATTGCAGAAGAAGCGGTTAATGGATAAGAGCATGGTGAGTTGCTGTATTGCGCTCTCTTGTGTCGGCGCGCGATTGGACATGGTTTCCTCTCATTTGAATTTTTTTGTTATTTCACAATGCGCCAGCTGTTACCACTTATAGTTGGCAGTATTCGGAGACATGTCCAATACACTTTATTGCCAGGACATGTGCGACTAACACAAAATTTCTCTCCAGGCCCAACTCGAAGACCAAATCTTCCGCTTCGAACAATCCTACCTCGAAGAAACAACCGCCGGAAACATCATCAGAGGTTTCGACAATTACATCAAAGGCTCAGCGAGCGGGTCGAGTCTCGGCGCCGCGGGTCTGGGTCTAGGCGGTAGCATGGCTGGGAGACGGAAAGCCCAGGTGGCGGACACAGACCGTGTTTTCTCACGGAGTTCGGCGAGTTACAGGCTGGTACGTTGGATTGAAATACTCGCATTGGGTGCTGAGTTTGGTTCTCCTGACTAACGATGTGCTGCAGGACTCGCCTGGTCCCTCGTCTGTACAAACTACGCCTTCGCATGCGGCAACGCCGACGTCCACGACTGGTGGAAACGGTATGTCGATGAAGGGTGTGGATCCGTTGTCCGGTTCTGTTGGGATGAAGGGCTCGAATGGCGCGGCGAAAAATAAGAAGAAGGCGACGGGTGGGTCGAAGAATACGAAGGGCAAGAATCAGACTGAGGATCTTTCGGATGAGGATAAACCTTCGGTTAAGCGGTTGAAGATTAGCTATGGGAGGGATTAAGGTCTCGTGGGAACTGCTTTTGCGTTGATTCTTCTGTCTTGCATTTCTTCTTCGGAGTTGGGTCGGTTCTCTTCTCGCATGACTCCTGGGAGGAGTTGTGTTACCGGCGTAGCGGAAATTGGCAATATTTTATCGGGCTTTCTTTTACCTATTATTATGGATGGAATATCATGTACATCACGAACTCACAAAGGATACAGCGTTATTGGAAACATGGAAGATCTGTTTCGTGTACTTGGATTGGCTGGAGGCGACTTAGGCAGTCCTGGAATAACCCTATCTCAGACCTATAAAGCATACGGCTCGAGCACCTCCCTACGAGGAGATAAATATAACGGGCATAAAAATATCCGGAATGGAAAGTCCGAATGCGAAACACAGTCCCCTGTGGCAATCACAGCTGCAGTCGGAAAGTAGCGACCTCGAACGCCCTCAACTCAATCCCGATCGCCGAACCACCATCCTTCCTAACAATATCCAGCGCAGGATGTTCGTCATCCTCCAGGATATTGCACTTGAACACCCTCTTGACAGGCAGGGTAGACTCAATAGTTCCCCTCGCCTTACCACCAAGCGACTCATAGACACGCAAGATAATACTCTTTCCAGGACGAGTAGGGCTCCCATCCCACGAAACATCATCATCATCCTCGCCGCGCTTAACAACATCCAGAATCAACGAGGGCGCACCCTTGATAGACAAGCATTTGAACATAGCATTGGCAGCCGATGCCTTGGGTCCAGCTTCCTCGACAATGAGTGGATTGTTGAAATTGAAGCCCGCCCGGATAGTCCGAGCATCGAGGGGACCCGCGTGAGGGAGGATTGCGTAGCGGATGCGGTGGCGACCCATGTCGGCATGGGCGTCTGGTGCTTTGGGGGCACGAAGTAGCGAAAGACGCATAAGGTTACCGCATGTTGCGAAGCCGTATTTGGAATCGTTGAGGATGGAAACTCCATACCCGTTCTCCGAGAGATCGGCCCATTTGTGGCAGCAGACTTCGAACTTGGCCATGTCCCAGCTATGGAGTATATTAGTATCGGCGCGTAGTACTCAATGGATTGGAAATGCATACCTTGTGTTATAATGAGTTGGGCGCCTGACTATGCCATACTGGGTCTCGTAGGATGCCTCGGTGTTGACAATATCAACCGGGAACTCGACCTTGAGGAACTTCATGGTCTCTCGCCATTCTACCTCACTTTCCATCTCCACATACGAAGATTCATCCGATGTCGATGCAGATAGGCTGATTGTAGTTTTAATCCAACTCTTGTCGCTGATTTTTGTCTCAGTCATGACGCTCACCCGGTGTGGGTCATCTTCCACAATGATCGTCTTTCCAGCGGGCAGCTCCTTTCGTGATTCGAGATGAAACACCTCGACGTCCCATGCTTGCCAGTAAAGAGGCTTATCGTCGAAGATGACCAGTTGGCCGGCCTTGCGGTCCTTCGCGACAATCTCCCTGTCGGCTTTCACGTCATACAAGGACGTGATTACACCATTCTGAACATCAACTCTCAGTTTGCCATTCTCCAGGCGGAAGATGTCTGACTTGATTTGCGCCACCGTAGCTGCATTGGCAACTGTGAAATCAAGACGTTTGCATTCCATTACCCCGGTTGCCCCGTGAGCCTCAACGTATCTAGCTCCAGCACTTGCGAATAGTCCCGGGCGAACTGAGACAACTTCCGATCGTGGCCACGGCATAGTATTCAGAGCGATCAGGTCTCCACTCGTGGCATTACCTGTGAGCCCCAAGGCACTGAGCGCATCCTTCCGCAGCTTGGCACCTGTCTCAAAGATCTCGGCATACAGCTTGTCCGAGTCATCGTAGCACATCTCGATAGAGCTACCTGGTAGACAGTCATGGAACTGGCAAAGGAGAGTGCCCTCCCACATCTTGTCAATTTCCTCTTTGGGATATTGGTATGAATCATCGGAAGCATTGATAGTCGCAATGGTTGCTAGAAGCTCGATTTCGCGCAGCAGGAACTCTGATTTGCGGTTGTTACGCTTGTTGTTCGCCTGGGTAGTGTACGTGCCTCGGTGCAACTCAAAGTAAAGCTCGCCGTACCATGTGGCAAACTCAGTACCGGAAGCGACCTTTGCCTCCAACCTGGCAAAGAAGTCATCTACAGATTCACCCATTTGCACGCGAGGAAGGGTGCCGACTTTATCACTCAGACCACGGCAGCGACGTAGTTTCTCAAGGTGCTCAAAGGTCGGGCCACCGCCTCCATCACCTTTTCCAAATACAAGGAGTGATGACTTGTCCGTGTCTAGCGACTTGTGTTGCGTGACACTACGCTTCACATCACCGAAATGGGCTTCAGCCGTGTAAGTCTCTGAGGGGGCCATGTGGCACATGACCTGGCTTCCATCAAGCGCAACCCACTGGAACGTAGTGTGAGGGAAATTGTTGATGTTGTTCCAACTGAGCTTCTGGGTAAAGAATCGGCTCATTCCCGCCAAGCGACATATTTGAGGGATCTGGGTAGAGTAGCCGAAGGTATCCGGCAACCAAAAGGTTGTGCTTCGCTTTCCGAAGTTTGCCTCGAAGAATCGTTGTCCATACAAAAATTGCCTAACAAGCGACTCTCCACTTGGCATGTTGGTATCGTGCTCGACCCAACTCCCACCGATGGGCTGGAAGTTGCCCTTCTTCACCCATCGCTTCACACGATCAAAAACAGACGGGTAGTACTGCTTCAGCCACTTGAATTGCTGGGCTTGCGAACAGGCAAAGCGATGCTCAGGATACCGATCCATCAAATCACACTGATTCGACCACGAGCGTGCTACCTTTCGCTTAGTCTCAGCCCAGGGCCACAGCCAGCAGGTATCAATATGACAGTGACCGATGGCATACACGATCGGCTGTGTCTCTGTGTCATAAACCTCAGCCGAATCCACCTTATCGCCGAGATACTTTCTAGCAATCTTCCGCGCTTCATGGATAGACTCATTACTTCCATTGCCGGCAATGAATGCATCGATCATAGAATTGGCCACAACATTGGCTTCGTGCGACTCCCATGAGTCACCTGGGAACTCCCGTGCAGCATCCCCGATGATCCAAAAATCATAGTAAAGTGCCCTGGCAGCTAGGTTTACAGCAGTAATCCGCGCCGTGCTAAGCGTGAAGTACTTATCGGGCTTTGGCGGCTGAATCGAATCGCCACCGGGGGCATTGCCAAACATGCCATTGCAGGCCATCTCAATGTAGAATGTGTGTTGTTTCCCATCACACCACTCTCTGGGCAGGATAAACTCGGTTCTTTCTCCGCCACCAGTCAACCCCTGCAGCGGCCGACCATCCTCCGTCCAGATCAAGCCTTCGTTATTGGCGTCCCAGTGAAATTCCAGATGCTCTCGGTTAACCATGTCTTCGGGAACCGTGAGGTGAATGCGGAACCAATGTGTGGACCAACTGGGGCCGAAAGAGGCGCCTATGTGGGTGGGCTTGAACTCATGAGAGGTCGCCTCTTCAAAGGTCGGTCGCTGCAGGTCCGGAACCGAGTAAACAGAGAGCTTGACATGGTCTTCGTCTGAGTTTGTGGCTTCCCAATACTTTGAAACGAGGTTTTGGCCTTCATATTGGCCGTGCGATGTGAACTGGTTCAGGCGATCGGTGTAGATCTTCTTGATACGTTGGCCGACCGGACGCTCAGCCAACTGGGGTAAAGCTGGGGGAGCGGGGCGAAAGGGAACTTCCCCACCCATGATGACAGCCGACTATTCTGGTCGGGAGGTAATGGTAGATAGTTACAATCGGCTATGATCAGAAACAAAGTCAACGATATTGAACGAGAAGAGGAAATCAGAAGATGGGGGGAAAGAGGAAGGAAGGAGGGAGCGTAGAGGGAGTTCAGATGCGGAGGCATGACGGAATGCGGAGACGGCGATCGACGGTCGATGCTACCCTCGACAGATCAGCTTTGTTATATTTTCCTCCATTCTACATACAACATCAAATCTTTCTATGTTACATTATGGAAAATATACATCCCTCCGAGGCTTCCAAGTTACCCAATGTACGTGGCATATCGTGTAAACTCCCCGTCTGCTTTCAGCCGCTGCCAATCTTCATCTCTCAAACAGATCGCAACGGGCATTTCCCCAGCAGGTGACCGAGGCATCAAATACCCTAAACCCTCAAAGGGAGTAAAGCAAGGCCTTCGCACGGCTTCAGGCTTTCCTAGATCCAGATTGAAATCGAGTTCATAGCAGCTGACGCTCGACCACGAACTGAGCATGAAATCCGTTGAAGCATTAACCGTGGCGGTGAAGCTAGTCTTAGACTTGTCCGCCGAGCGACTCATAACCGTAGCAAGGGCACGAGTCTTGAATGCGAGATCATTCTTCGCAGGATCAAGCTGGGACCGAAGTTGTGCGGCAACGACACCCAATGGCTCTTCTGATAGCTTCTTGATCGTATCGGAGTTGTATGTCAGAGTCTGGAGCAGTCCCGGATAGTCTTTATGAACTCCCAAGCGCTGTCTCATATCAACAGCTCGAGTGAGCATTGACTCAGAGCTCGCTTCCAGACGAGGCGCCCGGGCTCGGGCAATGGACTGCCACACAAACGCGCTGACCGCATCGTTCGTCGAGATAAATTCTGTGGAGGGCGGCAATGTATTCAAGGCAAGAGTCTTGAGAAACTCAAGCTGGGCAGCAGAAAACTCAACGTAAGCCCAAGTAGACTTCGGGGGTACCGCGCGCTCTGAACCAGCGTCATCGACTGGCTTTGGTTTCACAGTCTGGTGAGTGAGCTCAGGGCCCGGTGTATACGACTCATTTAATAGAGGAATGATCCGACTCCGGTTCATGTTTCCAACTGCGAGCTCCTCGCTTGTGAAGGGCTCATTGTGGCAAGCCTTGGACAATAGCCTAGTAATAGAATCTTGACCAGTCAGGTCCATGACATTATGCTGAGTGACGATTGTGAGGATCAGACCGCCCTCGATAAAATTTGCCTGGACACAGAAGACCAATGCCGACTCGGTCGCGATGCTTGGCGGATTGCCGGGTAGATTGAGAGTTGTGCAAGGCGCAATCATTTTCTCGTCGAGCATTGTGAACGGGTACTTGGCATGGCGCAGACTTTCCATCGTCGGCGCGGAGGGGTCATTTCGTAGGTCTTTCACCACGAGCTGGATTTTGTCGAGAGGGATGATTCTGAAGATGCCCGTGTTACCTTCCCCTGCGCCCTCATTAACAACATGGCCAGTAAGCCACGGGAAACATTTTGCCAATCGGTCGAGGCCGTTCGTCAAAGTATCGATGATGCTGTCATGGCACGAGGGCTCGGAGACGGGGTAGATTGAGGAAATTTGGGTGTACAGCTTGTAAAGGCCTGGGGTTTGGCCCAGGATATCGAGTACATCGTTGTCTGCCATTGGAAATGTTGAAACATCAACAGGTCAGTTTGGCAGCTACCTGAAGTTCCTTTTAAACTCTTCGGTTCCTCGTGGCTCGAGTGGATGCATCCGTCGTTGCCCCACCTGCCAACCACGGGTCATCGTGAGTCAGAATTGCTCACTGTAAATCATACTGAGGATCCATTGTGTCATAGGTCGCTTTAGTTCGAGCCTCCCAGGCCAGGAGCGGGTATTATCTAGGGATGACCGGCAAATGGATGCTTCATACCTGTCGTAGGTGCCCGCGGGTGTGACGTGTCTAGAGTCTGCCGGGCGGCGATATATAACAGGTTAAGCCTCTGAAGAACAACGCAATTCTCAACGATCAGGTCATGGACTGCTGCCAAACCTGAAACAACCTACAATTAACGGGCACCTAGCCCGGGCATGCCATCGAGCGTACTCTAGATCATTCAAGGACGGGATAGGCCTTAATCTAACATCGATATCTCCTATAATAACCTTCATCCAACCGTTGACGTTGATCCATCAGGTGAGAATAAGGTACATCATCTACCGCTCTCATAGTACTTCGAAGATAAACCCTTAGTTCAAAGACTAAGGGTGTCCATTCCGAACCCCGAGGTAGATATCCCGCTCGATAACGGTGTCGCGCATGGTCGAATAGCTGCCCATGAGCTCAGCATCAAGTGAATCTCTTCGAACACGATACTGGGATGCCAATCCCGATCCGGATTTCTGCCCAACCGAGTCCTTTTCCTTGGATGGCGAAGAATTTTCCTGGCTGTTATGACCGGAGACAGACTGCTCAAGGAATACAGATATTGTTCCAGCCATCATACCAGTCTGAAGATCGACCAGCACGCGCTTGAGGGTCGGGATGCATGTACAGATAATCGAGGAACTCAAGATCAGCTGCAGCCAGATTGCGGGCATGAGAGCATTCCACGGTTGATCTAGTGGTATAGAATGGAATAAGGGCCGGACGGAGCGTAGGCCGGCAATGGTGAGCGCCAGAACGCTGCTCATGGTTAGACGAGACTTTGCTTTCTAGAGAGTTGATAATTAGGAGAGTTCACCCACAGTATACGCATCGCAAAAAGTGCAGAGATTTGATGCCGCTTCCACTGTATTATCTGGACTTGATGTAGTAGGGAGACTGGCAGCCCGATTATACCCAAGTCTAATATCATATGAATGCCGCCTAATGTGATGTACAAAGCTTCTTGGTTGATGCAGCGATCTGGTCTGAAGTCCCATGGTCGTGGCTGATTGCATTGTGTGCTGAGTGCTATAAAGGCGGTCAAGCTCCATGTCCCGATTAGGCAGAGGGCAACCTTGCATGCGATGGTGATTCTCTCGAATGGTTGTAAGGATAGTACTAGAAGCACGACGGCGGCCTTGGAGCATCCCAGAACGAGGATGGCGAGGAGTTGGCTAGCGTATAGTGCCTTGGGATTTCTTAGGATACGGTCTTCAATGGGGGAGCTATCTCACTGACCTTGCTGTATATTTCGAATGAGGTATCATTTAGGGCATTTCGGTGTTTCCCGATACCATGGGAGCTTGCTATATTAATGCAGACGGACTGTGGAATGAATAGAATCTACATGGTGATTAGAGAATGGGACGGAGTGAAGAACGAGTCACTTACACAACTGAAGAGTACAATACAGTCGCTCCAGGAGATCTTCCGTAGAACGCGAATCCGAGATATTAACGTTACTGTCGTTGCAAGGACAGTGATAAAAAGTAAAATAGTGCTGACGGTAATAACCCAAGCACCATGATCATCGTCGGTAACAGGGAAGAGTGGCGGAAGAAGTAGATCTATACTGGATTGCATGGCTGTCAAAAGAAGCTCTCACCGATGCAGTTGATAGCAACCATAATTATGCCATGGATGGATCGTAGAGACATAACCTGATATATGCAGAACCCAACACTGCCCTGATAGAGTAACTCAAGTCTTCACTTGAATCTCCAATCGTAGAAACGGTACACGGACATGATGATTCTCGTCTCTTGTCCACTGATCAGTTTAGGGTTCCACGACTGTGCACTCTCCAGCCCCATCTCCAAAGTAGACAACATAAAACAACCCTAGGCAGGACAATGACAACCCAACGTTACACATCGATCTTGCATCATCCTTGTTGATTTTCGGTTATGGCCACCGGGCCAATTTTGCTTTTTCTTTTCTCCGATCTCCCGTCGTGTCTTGTTCTTATTCCATCTGTGAATTCTCATCATCAACTGCCTGCTGTGCTTTTCGTAACAATGGAACGATATGAGATGCATCCTCTGAAAAGAGGCAATGTACGCATTGGCAACGGCGACTTGGACGGAGTTGCAATTTCCTTTGAGCCTCCGATTAAAGATAGTTCGAAGGAACAAGAGGCTTCGCCCAAGGTATGAATTGCTCAATCAATGCGGACTTCTCAGCTAACAGGGAGTAAAGCGACTTTTCAACTTCACGCAGATCTTCTTCTTCTCACTCACCTATCTGTCAAGTTGGGAAACCCAGGCTTTGTATGATGATCGTCCCTTGATTGGCAATTTACACTGACGACGCAATATCCGCACAGGAACCTGAGCACAGTACTCTCGAATGGAGGCCCAGAAGCGTTAGCATGGGGCATTGTGATCGTTGTATTTGGTGCAATGGCCCAATCGGCCTCACTAGCTGAAATGGCGTCAATGCAGCCAATTGCTGGGGCCCAGTATCACTGGACAAATTACCTGGCACCGCCGAGTCAGAAGAAATTTATCACTTGGATGCAGGGTGTGTGTCTCTTCCCGAGGGATGTTCAATTCAATACTAACATCAATCCCACAGGCTGGGTGACCTGGTTCGCATGGATTTCCGTCCTGGCAGGAGTCGCCAACACCACTGCCACAATGATTCAAGGCCTGGCGAGTGCGAACTACCCAGAGTACGAGCCAGAGTCATGGCACATAACCCTGATTATCATCGGCATGCTCGTCGTAGAATCCTTGATGAATATGTACACATTTTGGCTAATTCCATGGATCGAGATGCTGGCGGGTATACTGCACATATGCCTCCTGATCGTTTTTCTGGTTGTCTTCACCACATTGGGAACCCGCCACAAGCCCGAATTCGTCTTCTCATACACGGAGAGCTCCTCGGGATGGGCAAAGTTCCCCGCATGGAATATTGGACTGCTCACTCCGGTCTGGGGTTTTGTTGGTAAGCGCCGACCCTCACCCCCAAGAAGCAACCATCTAACTAAAGATCAAAGGCTTTGATGGCGCAGTACACATGAGCGAGGAAGTAAGACGAGCAAAGCAAGCCGTGCCCCGCTCCATATTCTACACGGTTGTCACGAACGGCATTCTAGCATATGCAATGGTAATCTGCATGCTTTTCACAATGGGCTCGGTGGAGCAAGCCCAGAAAGCCCGATTCCCGATAATCGAGATCTGCCAACAAGCAACCGGGTCCGTGAAAGCCGCAACCGCCATGGTGAGCGGGTTACTCATCATCTCACTTTCGGTCAATCTGGCGAGTATCGCGTCTGTTTCACGATTGACCTGGGCGTGGGCTCGTGACGGAGCATTGCCTCGGTGGTTTGCTTATGTAGGTTCCACAAGCACCCGTGACTGTGTAACAAATATGACGCAGAGGGGCTTCGCTGACAGAAACGGCAGATTGACCGTCGACATAATGTCCCTATACGCGCTGTGTGGCTTCCTGTCCTCATTGTCATGGTTCTGGCGTGCCTGAACATTGCGGATGGAGCGGCATTTGGAGCGTTCGTGGCACTGGGATCGATTGGCCTGTTTGTGTCATATTTTATTGCCATTGGCTGTATGGTGCATAACAGACTGCAGAAGAATGCGGCGACTCTGGGGGACTGGAATATGGGTGTCTGGGGTCTTCCGGTCAATGTTTTCGCCCTGGTCTACACTGCCTGGGTGACGGTGTGGTTGGCGTTTCCGTCTGCGTTGCCGGTGACTGGAGAGAACATGAATTATGCAGCGCCTATATTTGGAGTGAGTACTCTGTTTGCCTTTGTTTATTGGCTCATCAAGGGAAAGCATCGATGGGAAGGGTTGAATAAGGAGGTTGTTCGGTTGGCTGTGGAAGGAGGGGAACTTCAATTAAAGTGATGTTTGTTCTGTTTTGCTTTTTCAAATCGAAGTACTACTCATTCGCAATTCACAGAGACTAGAGATTCATACAATCTAGCCTACTTCCCTCTGTATAATGAATCTACGAGTCCAACCCCATTCAACTCGTATCCTGAACATAAGCGACAATCGGAAATTGCATGGTTCAGTATAACGCGTAGAGGTCCCGTCAACTGGTGAAACTGCTGTCAACTGGCGAGCCTCCCGTCAACTGGTGAGCTTATCGCCAACTGGCCAGCGAGCCTTCCGCCAACTGGCAAGATTCTATACCTCCGAAAAGTCCGAATTGCCCCAATAATCCCACAGCGACATGTGCCGTGTCTGATCTGGTGTTTAATTCTATGGCTTAATGTATGAATTTTGCAAGGTTGGTTCACTCCTCAAGAGGGACACACTACTTGGTTCTCTATTCTTCTATTTGCCGAGCACCTGGATCAAAATTTGGGTTGATTGTCGGGCCTCGGAGAATGACAAGATCCAGCTGACTGGCCATATGGATCCATGCTTTCCATGGTGTTTATGGGAATTTGCTCCATTGGCTTCTTTATAAATCAAAGTACTCGCTTTACCCATATCACTCCATGTTGATGTGAGCTTGAATAGGTACTTTGATTTATAATGAACCCAATGCAGGAAATACCTATAAACACCGTGGGAAGCATGGATCGATATGGCCAATCGGCTGGCTCTTGTCATCCTCCCAGGCCCGACAATCAACCCAAATTTTTATCCAGGGGCTCGGCAAATAGAAGGATAAGCGACCAAGTAGAGGACACAATTCGTCAACGCCCAGCAGCTAAGCCGAAAGCGCAAATCAAATGGTCGAGGATGCACCTATGGCAGAACAGATGGTCCTCTCAGTTAGAGACGAAGTTGTTCCCAGACTTTCGCACCGTGTTTAATATGTCCCAATTCGAGGTGATCGCGTCCGGGGTGTCGGGGTCATGTCTCTTGCAATGCAGAGGAAGCCCATGCCCAAGTCTGCAATATGGCCTGTCAGCGGACATCACTTTAACGACTTCACTGAAGAACTCGCTTTTCTCCCTACAATGCGAGTTACCAAAGACGTAAAAGCCATACTTGGCACGCCATAGGACGCCCCGTAGTATTGAACCCGGTGCCTAAGTTGGGATCGTGAACAACGGTCTCGAACCAGTGGAAGTTCATCTCTCTGGCTCTGGTCAGGCAGTGTCTGGGTCAATAACATGACTACTATCAGATTAACTCCCTGAAGTCGATATGAACATTTGGTTCAGCTATATCTTCACTGCATAAATACGAATTTACGTGTTGGAAGCGGGCCAGACAGGTACTTGATGACCTCGGAAGTGGGCTTGCATGTTACTCTGTTCCTTCGCGAAACAGGATAGATCGAGCCGAATGTTGTGGGTCGGGTGAGTGGTGACCCCAATCTATCCTGTTTCGCGAAGGAACAGACATAGTAAGACGCAAACCCACTTACGAGGCCCTCAAGTACCTGTCTGGGCCGCTGCTCAGTGCCAACACGTGAATGCGTATTCGAGAAGTGGAGATATAACTGAAGCAAATGTCCAAATCGACTTCGGGGGGTTAGTCTGATAGCAGTCAAGGTATTCGACGCAGACAATGCCTGACCACAGAGCCAGAGAGATGGAGAGATGAATTTCCGTCGGTTCCATCGAGGCCATTGTTCAGGATCCCAACTTGGGCAAAGGCAGATATGTTGGATAGATGCAGCGAGTTTGGTTGCGTGGCGCGTGCTTCCAACCTTCTTGTAAAGGGAAGCACGAGATGGATAATGTCAAGGAAGATAAAACAAACGATAAAATGCGAGAAAGGATGGCCAAAGTGATGAACAACGATGGTTGGAAAGGTGAAGAATGAAAGGAGAAGAGGCACCAGGACAGAGAGTTAAATAGCTTTGAAAGAGATGAGACGATCGGTCACGAGCCTTTAGTCACGCGTCTTCGGTCACCGCCTTCCATAGCAATGGGGATCGAAGCTATTCCCACGTCCATTTTGGGGACAGGGCGGGATTGATTGATAGAACAGCGCGATACCGCCTCAACAGGTCGAATCCCCTCGAACTAATTACCAGGTGACGTCTTCAACCTATTCCTTATTAATGTATACAGTATATAAACACCAGAGGAATGTTGCTATAATGCTATGGCACGACTAATAACAAGAGATCATGGTATCCGAGTTCTTCTATCCAGACAGGTTTGTCGAAGTGTAACTGCCAACTGGGGAGTAGTGCCGGTGCGGGCCGTGCGGCGGTGCCGGATTAGGGTCACGTGCACCACGTGACTCAATACTTGTTTGCACGCTTTGCACCGCTCCCTGCAATAGATTGCATCTGGCCTAGCCGAATTGAATCAAGTTTGACCTCAGTCCTTCACAGATAGAACATTGCCCGGCATTTTGCACTCTGGATGAATGCAAATCTCCCGAATGGACTAGTTCACGTCGGCATGGAATTTGAGCTTCCAGTGGCGCAATTCGCCACTTGTAGGCTGTTCTTTGGACATGCATACAAATAATGGCGCTCTTCAGCCTGTTCCCATTTCACTAGATAGCGTGGTCAAGAGGCTACAACAGCCTCAAAACATATTTGTGAACGTATTTGAAGCTTTGATCGAGCTACACTCCACGTTGATGTGAGCCTCAAACATCCACGCGGGATAGGAATCGAATAGGGGACAGTGCATTGATTACCAAGTACCAACTGTCATGGTAACGTCAGTCGGGATGGACATATTCGGTCTGCCTACCTAGCGGCCGGATGACAGCTTAAGAGATGGGTTAAACCGCCGGAGACATTTATCGAGCTTCCGTAGAAGGACAGGGATCGACTCCGCTTCGTGATAAGGAGCTAGAATAATAGCTGAAACAGGGGCACGAACCGTCTCAGTGGTGTGGAGAACGTTGGTGGAGATTAGGTTGCAGACAAGCTCTAGGCTACCGCAATAGTTGAAACTCAGGGGTAGAGTCCATGTACACACCTACACATACACTACAATAGCGAAGAAGTTCAACAAAACATTTGAAGAAAAGCTCGCTGGTGTCATTCATCGTAAAGATCGTGTGAGGGTGCCAGCATCAGCCACAATCATTTTTGGCAGAGCAAGCTCATGCTATGTACAAAGAAGGCACCGCCTTAAAGAGAGAAGAGAAAGATAAAAGAGATCCAAAAGACGTATCAATCAAAGGCTCGATCTAAGCCTTGATACAGTACTGGTAACCAAGCCACAAATTCGTGCACTTCTCGTCCAAGCCGCTGTTCAAGCTACGGAGATCAGGGAAGGTAATTCCAACAGTCTTCGTCAACTTGTTGCAGAAATCACCATCCAAAACGGTGTAATATTCCCTGCACGACGGGCTAGCGTCGGGGTAGAGAGGAGCCGAGGATGAACCGGCAGTTGTTGCTGCGGTTGTCGCGGCGGGTGCAGACTTGGTTGTCCAGGACGGGGTGGGGGCGGCCTTAGCGGCCATGTTCACATCGGGCGCCCAGTTGGGGGCAGAGGATGTCTGAACTGGCGGGACGGTCTCGGTCGTATGAACTGGCTGGAGGGTCTGGGTAGAGTGAACAGGCTCGGCAGGCTCGGTGACCTGCGCAGCAGCGGTCGTGGTGGAAGAGGAGCTGGACTCATCGCTCGAGTCATCGCTCGAGTCATCCGCGGAGGCGCTGCCACCGAGGGACGCCAGCCCCTTAGTGATGCTTCCAATGGTACCTTCGAGACACTCGGTCACATCACCAGCCCAGCCGCGGAGGCGGTTGGCGATGTCGGAGGCGTAGCAGTGAGTGGCGCCACCTGCGCCGAGGTTGCCGGATGGGTCGATGGAGCCGGAGTTGTAGGTGCGGGCGGCCTTGTAGTACTTGGTCGCGTCGGAACCACTCTGGGTCGCTAAGCACTGCTTGAGACCGTCTCCCTGGGGGGTTCCTGCGGTGCCATCTTCGATCATCTGCTTGATCATAGAGGAGGGGCAAGGGGTTGTTTGGCTGCCGTCCTTGTTGCAGGAGCCCTCGCCGGCGTGGCTCTGCATGAGACCAGTGTTCTGGACACCGTTGTTGGTGGTGTGGACGCGGACGCAGCCCTTGCTTTCTTGCATGACAATTGCAAGGATGAATCGGGGATCGACGCCAGTCTGGCTGGCAACTGATTTGATGCTGGAATCGATGTCGCTTGTTTCGTCGTCAGAGTTATCACAAGATGCAGCAATGAGGATCTTGTTAAGACTCCAGCTGTACGGAAGGTTCATTAGCCCTAAATCTTGAAATTTCTCTTCTGTCCGTTTTGATTGGTTCACTCACAGAGTCTCATATTCCGCCCATTGGGCCATGGAGGGCCATCCGTCAGAGATATCACCATTACCACCCATGACAGCATAGGTAGCAGCGGCGCGACGGTGCAAAGAGCGATGGGTCGCGCCATGAGGAATGGCTTGAATGAGAGTCGCCAGGCTGCCAGCAGCCAGAATCTAGTGCAAGGTCAGCAATTGCTGGTTGAGAGTGGAGATGTGGACCAGGCCGAACTCGACCACTGGTTCATGTGAAGTATAGACATACCAATGAAGGAAAGAACATTTTGTGATAGAGGGAATGAGGGCGACGAAAGCGAAGCGACAAGAAAAAGGATAAAGAACTGTGGAAGAAGCCCTGCTTGCACGAAGAGAGAAAGAAAAGAGGAGACGGGGACTAACGTATATGTACTTCCCCGAGATAGCTGTGTGCCCTTTACCCTTCCTTTCTCGTTCGGTAAGATGATCCATCGAGGCCCGCCCGAAAGTTTAATTGAGTTCAAAGTGGCTGTAAAAGTGGTCCAGCGACGGGCTGAAGGCCCTGCGCAGTAGCGTATTATTCTGTAAGGGTTGAAACATCATACGAGAGGGGACCCAGTCGGCTGGTTAGGGAGCGATTGGTGTGTTTCAGATGTAGCGTCAACTCCCTGTGCACGAACCCCGTTGGTCCCCTGAGTCGAGCGGGCGTTCATCCCCCAGTCCGTAGGCTGATGATTGGCTTATGTGGGGGCCTGGGATCATCCATGTGGAACTCCGAGGGCAAACTTGGTGCTTTTGCTCCTCTTTTTGGCCCTTCCCGGTGGCTGCTTGATGATGGACGTTAGGCATTAGGTTCCGGTTGGCTGTGTTCCTGAAAAGTTCCCCCTGGTACCTGAACGATACTTTTGTGCGCCTGTACTACGGAGTATGGTTTTATTTCCTTGTGACGGGTATACGTGCATCCAGCAATTCCGCACCTCATAATTTCTATCATGCATTGGGGGCTGCTGTGTCTGGAGACTGTGCACGGTGAATTGGCTCAGAATTAGGCATGTGGAACCCTACGACTTTGATTCAAACGAAATCCACAACAAAGAAGCGAGGTAATATGTAGCGTTGCATCGAGAGGTCGAATATCCGACGAGGCGCTGGTGGCTGATTGTAGCCGCGTATCCCAGGCATCATTCAGGCAACGATTCTTTGTAACGTGTACCTGGTCTGCCATGTGGTCTCCTTCTAACAAAGACTGCCAGTCCTCCTTTCTTTTGACTTCTGTCGAAAATATTCAATAGCCCTATTGAGTGTCTATACATAGTCGTACTAGATTACCTGCATCTGATGCTAATCACCTTCACTTTCTACAGTCGCTTGCAATGGCCGCATTCAATACTGCAAAATACGAGTCAGACTGTGAGGCATGAACACGAATCACGATGTCATCCTAAGAGAACCTGATGTGGAGCCCATTGTCACTTGGCTTTTACGATCGGCTCACCGGTAAAAGAACCTAACTTCCGTCTATTGCACATAACGCGTACCTCCCCGGGACTAACTACAAAAGGAGTCAACCTGGAAGATCTCTTTCACTGTCAACTTGAACGAAGTCACAACTACCAGTGAGACCATCCTAACTCAGATCGTGCAAGATGTCCAGCCTTCATCTCCAATGCAGCTTCGGAGTTCCGAGGCTGATCTATGTGATAAAGGATCCACCGGAAGCATGAGACTGATCAAGGGATTGAAACTACCGCGGAAGGCTCGGGCAGGGCATAGGGCCAGCCACCAGCAATCCACGATCGCTTTGTGCTACCTGTCTAATGGCCGGATTGTAAACACATCCAGTTTGTATAAAATTACCTCGGATTAGAGCTTGTTGACATATCAAGGGTCCAGATGTGATGCCAAGTGTGCTGGCCTAAGTGTGCTGGCCAGGTAGATCTCCCAAAGACCAGCAATAATGCCTCCAATATTGGCGTATGCCCGAAATCAAGGGCGACTTGCATTCATTCAATTAGTACTTACATTTAGTATCTGGCTGCACTTTACCGACAAACATCGACAGTTAATCTCCGGTTTGTGTGCCAGCTTGTCCCCGCCTTCTTCATCTCCATGCCAAGACCTGGACACCACAGCTGGCATCCCGACACTGTTGGACAACTACATCATTGCTGTCACTCGCAAGCAATTTTAATTTCTGTCCGATCAACATTTTATTTTGATGTGCTCCAAATTATTGAAAGATCTGCCTGATAGTACGGAGGACGGAGTATGCTGGGTTCAATCAGAGTGGCTGATGCTGAGGCTGAGGCACGCTCGACCTCTGTCGTGCCAGCTGAGGCGGCCGGATCTCCAGCTAGGCTGTTGAACACGCAACTAACTACTCTGCGCTCAAACCTCCACGAGAAGGCTTTGGCAAGTTGATACACCTTCGTGTACGATGTAGCCTGGTTCTTAAAAATCGCAAACATGAGCGAGACAAATCCAGAGACCTCGGATTAATCGGAGATGGCCGAGACGAGTGATTCAAGATACCAGATGCACCAATACGAGACTTTAAGATTGGCTCAATTTATTCCAATAATTCCGGCAGGTGCCTGATATGCGGAAATGAATACGTAGAGTGATTTCCCCATGAATCCCATGTTCCTCAAAGTCCTACCCGTTGACCCAGCCGAAATCAATATGGCGCATCGGCAAAAAACCCCGCAAAGACGGCGATCAACACTCGCCACCTCAGACTTCGTCTTTCAACCAGATGATCAGCCCCGAACCTTTTTCTTAAAATTCAGCCCCTGAGAATCCCCCTGAGCATCACGATCCTGTATTTTCAGTGATTGACAGATTGTCAGGGGGATGGCCGTGTAGCTAAGTGACCGGGGGGTGAATGTTGTGCCATTCCCCAGGTTCCCCAGGGCCAGTTTGTATTGCTCTCGAATTATGCATTTGCCATCGACCTAACTTGCAGCGCTCATGTTGAAAACTCTATTGCAATCCGACACGTATGTACATGTGAGAGGAGATATCGGCATTCCGCATAAGATACACTTACTACTACTCCGTACTCCGTACACGTCTATCAAACGCTAGATCGCCAAGAAACCAAGATCTGTGCCGAGAAAACGGTTGAGTTCCTAGTGAATGTGGATCCAATCCAATGCAATAACTTCTTTGAGGCCGATAGCACTAAATATATGCATACCTGTCAGACTAGGATAACTAAAGCCTCCGTAGGCTACAAGGGGAAGTTCGATTCTTCGAACCTGCCTATCGACCCGTCGATTGTCTACCCGACGCGGGAGATAAAATGGCCGACGACGCTGGCAGAAGACGATTCAGATCCTTGACCATGCCTACAACGCGATTCACAATATTAGTGCTTTCTTCTCGTTCGTCTTGTTGCTTGGTTTCTTCGCCGCTGTCGTTGCTGGATACTTGGTCCTCCGTGGCTGGCGGCTACCAGTTTACCAGCGTCTTCCAAAGGAAGATGCATTTCTGAGTGAGCGGGCGCGTCTGGCATCGCCGCATCAAGATTGAGGCTTTTTCTGCGTTAGTCGACGACATTTAGAAGGAGGTTCTACATCGTTTGTGGGAGTTTTGTATCATTTGCGATCTTCACTGTATAGTCAATGCAGCTTGTATGCTTGTGTCTTTCATAAGTGGCGTTGCATAGCGGACTTATATCAAAATGAGCACCAGATGGAAAAATGGAAATATCGTCGATTCCGGCCCAGGACGAATAAACATAGGAACAATAGGTATAGACAAAACACAACCACCGCCCCCCTCCCCTTGCGCCGGTGCTCAGAAGACCAAGCCGACCTACGGCATTGATCGCGGATCTGTATTCATTTTAGTTAGCATTCAACCCGCCAACGACAGATCTTCAGGTTGGAATCGAGTAAGTAGGGTTTTACACGTTCTCATGGAGGTGTACGTACCTTGACTACCCAGTCCCGCTGCTAGTGGGGCCGGGATTGGTATCGGTAGGGGCCGCTGCCCGGTGCTGCCACCGGGGTCCGGGGCCGGTATTCATTCAACCGCCGCCTAAATAAATAATCCGTCAGCAGATTCCGGGCAGTTGATACTCGTACCCGTAGTAAGGATATATAGAGCAATTGACTTACCAATTGTACTCGTTTGTCGGGCAACACGTGTACTATCAACTTCAAGGCGGCCAGGGCGGCGAACAGCCACAGGACCTCGGCCTGTATTTGGGCCTGATACTCGGGGTGTTCGCCCCCTATCTTCACCAGTTCCGCGGCCTGCACAGGATCCCGGCCTGGATCCGTGCGGTCTGCTATACTCATCGCGGTAGGCTCCACGTAGTTCCTTGACAAAAGGATGGTTGGGTCCGGCTGTGGATAGGCGTCGGGGGACTTGAAAACTCTTGTTCGAAGAAGCTGCACCCGGAATAGAGACTTTGATTTCGGAGTAGAATTCGGAATCTGTTATATCGTTTTCTTGGTCCTGATCTTGGGTTGGTGAAGTTCTGCAAATGTTTCATGTGGAGAGGGTTCTTGAAAGCCTCCGTCAAGAAAATTTCACAACCATCTGCAGAAACCAATATATATCTTTGAAAGACGGTCAGAACTCATTTACTTGGAGGATATGCCTATTCGACTCACCGATGGTCTTTATGGCCTTGCTTCTCGTCGTACATAAGCCATGCCACCATCTCAGCCGTTTCTTGCCAAAAGACCTCTGGCTTTTTCGTTCGACTCCGAGCGTCTGCCTTCGCTTCTATTATAGCCAAGATTTTGGACGAGTTGGTCGCCTTCAGGAAACCGTCGGTGCGTGCAATAATGATCTTCCGGCCGAAATTGATTTCCTTGAAGGGAGCACGAACAACGAACCCCCGATATGAAGACACAGATCTGACACGGGCATGTGACAAAGACTTGCGAACACCAGCGGGCAACGCTGGGCGGCTTGCTGGATCGTGAGGGTTGTGCTTTGGTCGTCATGGGATAAGGACCCTTCTACGTAGAAACGTAGTGTACGTCGAAAGCTCTCCGGCCTGGTACTCGGGGGTTTTCCCCAGCCGTCTTGAGCAGCTCCGCTGCCCAATGGAGATCCCCGGTGGGCTGTGACCCTATTTATAATGTCAGTAAACAGACGGCAAAAAGGATACCTGGAAGGTGGTCTGGAAAAAAAAGGAGGCTTGGTTGATGCACCCAAAGGAGATCTGGAAGATGGCGCAAAGGCGGCGGCGGCAAAGGCTCATAAGGAGGTTCAAAAGAACGTGAAACTTACTGCCTGTCAACAGAAAAACCTAGAAGGGGAAGAATGCCTCTCATTCTGACTATCTCTGCTCTACTAAAACATCTGGGAAGGTCACCTGACTAGGCACCTGACTAGGCGGGTGACACTGCCCATCGGAGAGATGAGGAAGACAACCAGGAAGAAGGACATCAACGAGACTATAAGTTGGGAGCTTTGTATGCGATGTTATAAGCCAGAAGAAAAAGGAACAAAAGAGATGAGATGATCCCGTGGTGAGATGGAGACGGGAAGAGGAAAGAAGAAGAGCTGCGCAGAAGAATTCCACTTTATGTTCTTCTGCCATGCTTGCTCCTTCCCTTCGCTATCGTTTGCTCGTCATGTATACGTCACGAAAGCTGTAGATGTAGCAAGAACATGAAAAATGGCAAGAGCAACCAGCAATACTAAGTTTGATCCTATCCAGTCCCAATGGAACCATCGGTGGTAACCTATCCATCCTTTCAAAGCCAATATCATGCCTCTGAGAACAGCTGGCGAAGTCGGTGCCGATCAACATCGAGAAATACGAGTCGATGAGGCACCAGTCTACAATTGATTTAAGCCCTACCGTTTTACCGAGTACAAATATATGGCCACAAGCATTTACAGGCAACTGTGAGACAGAAAGTAGAAGATACAATAATCTTGTAACTAGCTAAAGATAAAAGCAATACTAATGATTCAACCAGCAACAGCGAAACGGATACAGGCGTAAACAGTCGGACATTGTGTCAATTAAAAGGTCTCCGGGGTCAACTGGATTGCCCGGATGACAGATCCAACATGGGATTGCTGATAGCCACCTCCTCTGGTTCGAATGTCCACCAGAGCAGCCAAAAAGGGCAGAGGGTTTACCATAAAGGGTGAATCGAGCGGCCACCGGAGCCGAAAGCGGGTGAAGAACTTCACAAATCCCTCAGAAGTAATCCCTCCTTGAGGGATATTCTCATAGTGCCCAGTCAGGAGCCCTAGGAAGTCCCGGAAATACTTGTATTCCTCGAAATTGTCAAAGTATAGACTTCCAGCAAACAACTCCAGGCAACATCTCATTCTCTGAGTCGGCATGGGGCAGCCTGAACCAATGCCAAAGAAATCCAGATTCCCAAAGGAGCGCATGGGCTTCGTGAACCGTGCAGTGTAAATGTTCAGCCTGCTGTGAGTTGATCGGCGAATGATAGGCAGGACGGCATTGGCCTCATATTGGCTGACAATGAGTAGATCATTGTTATGCACACTTGAGAGAACCCAATGTGGTGCTTTGCAGAACTCATCTTCTATATCATTCTCACGTACTTGCACAGTCCGAATAAAATCCCAGGATGCGTAGAGCCCAGGCCCTAACCCATCTGGATATTCAGTGTCACCAACAGATGTGTTGGTTAGGCCTTCGAATGCCAAAGTAAGGGCAGACCGGGACGGTTGATCTCCAGGGAACTTGCCGAACTTGGCAAAATATACGATGTCCTTGTGAAGTCGATGCTTGTGAGGAATGTAATTTGGGGGTCTGGCGACCTCCCGTTCTCGCTCCACTTCAGATGCAATCTCTCTCTCTTGCTCCTCGTGAAGATAAGCAGATCTCACAGCCTGGCCTGTAGTAGAGCGTAGAGCGTCCAATAGTACCCGGACTTCTTCAATATTCGGATCATCGGGCGCTATGTCGTCTAAGGCACTCACTCGGTCAGCATCGGAAGGTAAGTAGTGCTGTAGGAGCGTTTTTCCCTCGGGTTCTTGCATAGCGATTGCTACCTGCGTTGGGGGATTGCTCTCTTTCACGTCTTTCACGAGCAAATCCCAAAGAGCGATCTTCCGATAGTACTGGAGTCCTTGGTTGGCCCAAAGCGGCCGTAGATTGTCTAAAGCATCGCATGTCTGGAGCATGGACCACCTCAACACGTCTGCCGAAGTGAAGTCACGGTCAGATGAGATCTCCAACAGGGACCTCATATTGTGGCTCACTTCGGGGGGCACCAGGAACAGTAGTGACTGGCGCTTCGCGAGGCCACGGAGTCTATTGCAGGCTTCAATAACGTCAGTAACATGTTGATATAGAGTCCATCGATACTACTTACCTTGTACAAGCTTGTCCTTTGTTAGTCGTGGCCCTAGGGTGACCGCAGCTCGGGTCGTGGCTGGAAGCTTCAAGTCGACACCCCGCGAGTGGTGTTGGTCAAGGAATACCAAGCAAGCTCCCAATCTTTGCCGGAATGGAGATGACTGAAGAGTCTCGATAAGTCCGTCGCGATCAATCACCATGAGTTCGTCATTTTCGTTGAAAAAGATGGCTGCTTTAACCTCGTCGTCGGGTGTTATTGACAGCCATTTCTCGGCAACTGATTGGTTTCCTGCTTCCAGAATTTGGGCCCCAACATCGATCAAGACTCGCACAGGCTGCGCTGTTGATGAACGTTCACCACAAGATAGCACAAGCTTCAAGAGCTGATCGACACCAAGCTGGTGGCCCTTTTCATCCTGCGCCAGGACACACTGCCTGTTGCAATCTCGCAGCAAATAGCCGAGAACCATGGCATTTGTGTGCAGGAGATCTGGGAGATCCCGCTGGCAAATCGAAAGTGGCAGAAGAGAACGGTTATCGTTTGTCCCGCTGAAGCCAGTCGTCAATTGCAGACCTCGCTGTGCAGGAATATCCCATGCCGAAGACGAGAGCTTCCGTGGGAATTCCTTTGCTTCTCTGGAGAAGACTACCCGAGAGAGGTAAAAATCAAGTATCTCTTTCTGGTAGCGAAGAATTGGAAACAAAACCATCTTGAAGGTCATGCCATCCTCTAGATTCACGCCGGAATATGTTCGCAGGCTGGAGGGCAGATCGTGAACACATGGGGCGACCCAGTTGTGATACACCGTTGAAGGGTCATTCTCTTTGGACAATAGCAAGAAACAAGTTCTCAGCTGCTTCACTTGCAACCCCTCATAGTAGTAGCTAAGACAAGTCAGAGTTACTGCGACGTCAGGATGTCCAAATTCCGCATTCTCAGACGGGACACCCTTCGCATGATATGGCACAGCCATCAAACACCGCGATGGGTGAAGACCATACTCCACCAGCCAACGCTTATTGGCAAGTGAGAATCTGAGTAAGCCATATGCAAAGTGCCCTCGTAGAACAAGCAGCTTGGTGATAAATACACCATCCTTGAATTCGTCACGAACGGTGGCTTCATCCTCCTTGCTCAGCTCGAGGTCTTTGATGAATTTCAATGCGCTGTTTTTGACCTTTGTAGTCCATTGATTGAAAGGTAGACCAGGGATCCCGTTCTCCAAGATCGCCTGTAGGATATAACGCAATAGTCGCCCAATTGCATCGTCTTTCAAGAACCGCAGAAGCGGATAGCGATAACCTGTCTGATCCACCTCAATGCAATTCGGATCATCCTGATGCAGGCGTTTGGCTTGTGTCGATACCAGGTGAAGCAAGTCTTGTGTTGTTTCCCAACGACTGCCGAGACCGTCTATGGATTTCTGCGTACCCATGGTGTAAACAAGCTGAAATTTGGTGTCTAAAACCTCGTCGCTTTCGTCAATGATATCTCGACAGTTTAGTCGTAGCCAATGCTCGAACTTGATCAGTGAAGGGTAGATATTCGGAGTGCTTTCTGCAGCATCAAGACCAAGGAGCCTGAAAGGCAGTATGTGTTCAGGAAGGGCAATGAGAATGCCCCTATCTCGAAGACACTTGTCATATATTGAGTGCAGCTTCCTAATCGTCGAATCGTCGAGTTCGGTATTGCGGGAGACAGGTATATGGTAGATACGACGATTGATCAAGCCTCCAAGTCGCTGAGAGAGATCATTTACACTTTGGCGCAGTAAAGGTTTCAAGACAATAAGCCTGACAAGGATTCGGCCATCTGCCAGGTGTACAACCGTCATCCCCGTGATAACAGTAGTTTTACCCTCGCCCATGTTAAGCTGAAGGAGTGCATTTCCATCACAATCTGGTTGAATCATCTGACCTGCGACTTCCACTTGACGTTTCCGAATTGTAATGTTTTGTTCAAGTTCAAGAAGCAGCCAAGTTGGATGGTCCGAGGGTTCCCACCCCTCATAGCCTGGATTCTCTGCCTCCTTGAAGAACCCATCGAGGTCTCGCATATCGATACAAGAGATTAATCGCTAGCAGCGGCGCAAGGTGGAAATTGATCTTCCGAATGCTACAAGCAATAACCTCCATTGATCAGGAATCATGGTCCACTGGTCAGAGCCCAAGACGGCCAAAACAGACCAAACCGTGATGGAGGGACAGACAGTATCAAACCCTACTGTGGAGTATCCGTCTCTCAAGGCTGCAATAATCACACCCCAGAGTGCGTCCCTCTGAGTCTCGAGGCCCTGTTGATGGGAGACTATCTCACTCCGGGCTTCTTGCCAGTCGAAAGATACAGATCCTTCAGAGCCCTTCGTTTCAGCTGCGGAGTTCGAAAGAGCCTCCAAGGCCTGGATGCTACGTTCAAGCTCATTGCCATAACTTTGCTTGCATGTGTCCGAATTAGTCTTGAAGTACTCCGCCAGTGCCCGAAGCTCGGGCGTCGGCCTCGGAATCAACGACGCCCCACGATACGTAAATGAGACACACTCAGCCTCATGACCCATTAGCGGAGACTCTTGAATGAGCTCAATGATTCCGGGAGGCATGAATAGGCCGTACTCTGCATCATTGCCACAAGTGGGGGAATTGGGAATGGCTTGCGCCTTAGCATTCCCATTGCTTGAGGGGGGGACCTTGTCCTGCACTTGTCGCAAGAAGCTGAGGAATGCACCGTTCCGAACCCAGGTATCACAAAGAGATTGACATTTCTGCTGTGCCGCTTCTCTCATAGCCAATGGAACTGAGCTTTGGGGTGGAAGTCCGGGAGTTCTGGTAGGCCACTGGCCTTGTATATAGCGTCCAAAGTACCGTACAACATGGAGTCTCCGATTAGCCCACTCCTTATGTTGGTTTGGCATCGTGCCGTTGGTGCTAGGTGTGAACGGCGTATAACACTCCCAGATTGCGGTTTCAATCTCCCTGATGTTGAAGTCCTCACCCCTCGTCAGATCGAAAGAAGTCACTTGACTGCATGGCCAAGGAATCTCACGGCAACTTGCTGAGAAAGCAATCGAGAGTAATTGGAGAAGGACAGATTGATCAATGATGCCACCGAAACCGACCTTAGCCAAAACGGAGATTAAAGAATAGGTGTCACGAGATCGAGATTTCGAGCGACAGAAGTTGTAGAGGGCTACCCAGTCTCTTTCGGTCGATAAGCCCATAAGCTGAGAGCAGGAGGAGTCGCTCAAATTGGGTGAGTGGGTTGAGACATTTGTGAATTTCCTCATTGTCTCCACAATGTTAGACGAATGATCCACTGCTGAAGGCCAGTCTCTGACCAGAGCTGTCAATTCATACACACGGTTGCTGCGCGGGCTCCTGACGTCCTGATCGCGGGAGAGGTATGTTTTCTTCGTGTATAGAGACGGAGGCCCACGGACCTCAGAGCATCTCAATTGCTCGTTCCGACATCGAGCACGGTTAAGTAGATTCGTACTGCCTGCATATGCAACATGCTGTGCCCTCGGCTTGGTGCCGTGAAATGACGCGAATTGATCAGCGAACTCGAGAATTTCTAGCGACAGGGGCTGGAAATCATCATCCTGAGCGAGTTGACCTAGGACACCAGACCATGCAACTATCTGCATCACACAGAGTTTTGGAGGGTGGAATCCACGGACTGGGGTGAGGGCAGCAATGCTTTTGAGGATCCTGATGCAGTCATTGTTGAGTGGAAACGAGGACCTCAAACACCCTTGACGTAGGATACGGATAGCCTCCGCGGTGCCCGAACGGTGAGTGAAGTGATCAGGGATAGGAAAGGACGTGAGCGCATGCAGATATGCTTGATATATGGCCGCCAGGCTGTCAGAGCATCGCAGAATTTGGAGGTGAGTGTCCATAGAATAAACCATGTACTTCACACGACCCCCTTCCGGTCGATTGACTTTCAACGAAACATGGTAACCCTTTCGAGCGACGATAGGCTCGCCGTAGGGAACAATCACACATCTAGCGTTCGAAGAATCGACGAGGACAAGTTTATCCACTAACCCATACAAGCAGCCGATCCTTTGCGTGGAGTCAACGAAAGCACCAAACTCCTTGGAAACCACACGTCCGTCGCTGTTCACAAAGAACTTCAACCGCAGGCGGTTCAGTTCTGCCTCTAGAATTCCCGTGGATGTCTGCACCAGTATAATTTCCTCGGTCTTGTCAAGTACATTCAGTATACCGCCAAGTAGCGCGAAAGGTCGGCTGCGTATATCGACCAAGGTCTTCGACCCCGCCTGCATGAGCATTTGATCAGGCATTTGAGGATCAAATGACAAACGCCAATTGCTTTCGCAAGATTTCCAAGGCTGGTTCAGTGGACGAAACACGACAGCGCCAGTCTGCAGATTCAGCCAATGATAGTACTCAGTGACAAATGGTCTGGGGAAGTCCTCTTGGAACACGGCATGCGGTATGAGTTGCAGTATTTGAGAGCCCTTCCGAGTTTTGATGAAGAACTCCCCTGCTGCCATCCCGAAATGAACCTTTTCACTTGTGTGAGTGTGCCATGGTCGAATCAGTGGGGTTCAGAAAGTCTTACCTCAAAGCCTTCAATATTCTGTGACGATACAAAGGACGCCCCAGGCAGATTCGATGGGATGACCGGAAGAGATCTCTATGTATTCATCAGATTAACACAGGTGTGTACATTCGATCATAATTCAGGTAGACTTACCGATCCAAAAAGCCGTTGATAAAGGGGGTCGCTCAGATAGCTGCGAGGTAGCTTTCCTGGAGGGGATCCATCTACCAGAATCTCCCCCGTAAGATAGTTGAAATGGACATGCTGTGAAAAGCCTGTGAAAGTACTTCCAGTTCTGGTAGCTACCGAGGTGTTCGATCCTTCGCAGATACTCCAGGGCTCCGATATCTCAAGGCAGCTGATGCCACGGTGTATAGCTTCATTCAGTCCAGAAGGATGCGTCATGATCAAGTTTTTCACGCTTTCTCTTATCCGAAACGCGATCTTTTGCCAGTTCTCTACCATAGTCTTGACCGAACCGGGAAGTTTGCAAGTCTCGGAAGGTGCGTTCTCAAAGAGCAGAAGCGAGGATCGAACAAAGCAAAAGAGGTCCTGAGAGCTGCTGATAACTTGAGACATCTGAGTCCGCTCGACATCATAAGTCGTTTGACAGATTGATGCAACTCGAAGTATGATCTGCTGCTTTTTCCCAACATCCTCCCCTTGATCGGTCGAAAGAGCTTCGCTCAGGCTGTCACACCATTCCATTGCCACTTGCCGGCACTGTCTCAAAAAGTTGATAACGCTCTCAGGGGACGGCGATTGATTTGACAAAGCCAATGTACGGACCGCAAGTGTAACGACGAGCTCGAACGTCCAATACTCGTTCCAGTTTCTCTCTATAGCCTCCAGTAGGCCTTGCAAGGTTTGAAGGAGACGGTCTCCAAAACCAATATCCTCAAAGGCTCGATGGGTAACTTCGAATGGAGTACGGGTTGGAGGATGGTGTTCCAAGCTCCCAGGCTGTTTGCTGGATGAGGGAGACAACAGACTGTTCATTCAATGATAACGCTGAAGAAGCCAGCTCCCGCAAGATGTTATGCCATTGCACGTTTTCACCAGAACGAAGGCATCCGTACGCAATGAATTCATCTAAGTCAAGCAATCTATCGCAGTCTGCCTGGCTCGCGAGAACTTCGTTCTGGTGATGGGAAGGAGAATTGACGGTATATTGCAATTTGGAATATGGCCCGGGAGGTAGTTGAATAGTGCACATGGTCTTGACTGTTGGTACTTCAGTCTGACTGCTGACCCAGGCAGATTGGTTACTGTCAAGAAGCCTCAATCGAAGCGCGTTCTCTGGGCAGACTACCTCAAATGTCACAGGGAGACTGCGATGTTCCCGAGTATGACCCCAGGGTTTTCTATTCGATGCCAACTCGAGCTTCGAGTGCCGCCTGACCTTGAACTCGTTGACTCCGGTGTAGTTGAGCCATTTGAATATCACGTTGCCTGCCGGGCTCATCGGCCTTTGCGGCAGTTCATCAACCAGTGTCCAGGTCACATTACGCCAGGAAGCAAACCAAATGGGTATGTCGAGTTCAAATACAGCGCATTTTCGAGCGATATCTTCTGGAGGCAGCGGCCATTCGTAGACTTCAATGGAGAGTTGATTGGCTTTGCCAATGATGGAACACTCTTCATAACCAGTAGTCAGGGAAACCAATCGGCGCCTCCGGTTGTAGCCATAATGATGCCGATGTTCCAGTTGCGCTGCCTGGTCTTGTAGCTCTTTGTACTCCGCGTGCAAATCTTTCCATTCCAACCACTTGCGCTCCCGGAGTTGGGTTGCGTGCTTTTCAATGCTGACTTCGAGCTTTTGGTGATAGTCAGAGCGGTCAAAGTACTGAGCACCAAAGCAATTTGGTTCTGGATCACTGAAGATACTCGGGTAATTTTCAACCTTTTCTTCGTGTCGTGTGCTGAGATGGTGCTCTATATCTCTTGCTCGTCTCATTTCACTCATCTTAGGAAGTAGTAATGGTTCGAGAAACCTCTGCGGTACTTCCGGCGAGAACGCCTCCAACAGGGGACAGATTTGGACAGCAATTTTGTCCAGAACAGCCCACAGCTCCACCAGCACCAAAACCATAAGTGACGTGGCCCGTGGATCGGCCTGATACTTTAACTGCGCGAGTGTGAAATATTGCTCAATCGCATCTCCAATCTTAAGACACGCTTGTTCATATTTTGAAGTGGGCTGGGCCTCGAACCAGGACTGCAGATGTTCCTCGACCCATTCCTCAAATTCACCGAGTGCCGCTACCGAGCCGTGTTTCAGAACGGGGAACCCATCGCTCCAACTCAAGTTGATTTTATCAGTTGGGTCAAATCGCGTTCTTCGCACTTTCTCGGGCGACAAACGCATCTTAGCTTGAAGGTAGGGTCTGGAGTTGACTAGTGACATGTGCAGGTCTTCTGGTGAGGCTGATGGTGGAACAAATGGAATATCAGCCCCATCAGACGCTCCGATCTGGGTCTGAATGCACTTCAGTTTGTCAAGCAAATGGTTACTTGTGAATGTCACTTCCTCGGCAACAAATGGGAAAACGTCATGCCCCAGCTTAAAGATCCGCCGGCCAAGCCGTTGACGTATTATTGCCCAACAGTCCACAGCGTTGGTTGGATCTCTGTAGATATTGGCTCCTGCTGAAAGCCTTGCCATGAGAAATAGTATGAAATTCTTGTATTGCATCCGGTCCTCGTTTTCGGCAAAGCAACGCCGCAAGACTACCTGAAGGGCAACTCGAAGTACAAGCCAAGCTGGAGAGCGGGAGAGCGCCTCCATGGCAGTAAAGCGGAGCAGTAGTTGACTTCATCTCGTACACACTTCAGGATCTTGTCAGGATATTGATTATGTTCTCCGAGTGCGAGCAGCTCCGTCATCAACCCTTCGGTTATGAGACCTGGATGGGTGGTCTCCCGATGTTCATCCACCTTTGTGTTGGCTTTTGTGGTCTTTGGCGCCATATCACTAACCTCCTCAGATGCTAACTGAGAGACGGAGGAGGCCAGATAGGAGCAGAACAAGGGGTCATTGAGTTTGTGCCCGGATATTGCGACGCTGACTCCCGGGAAGTGGCGTATGAGTCCCCCTGAAGAGGAAAGTACCGGTGCATCTTCGCAGGATACCTCGAAAGCGTCAATGAGCAGAGAGTCTTTCTCTCTATCATAATAGGCAACCCATCCACAGTTCTGAGCTCGGATATGACATGCGAGAGCCCCTGGCTAAGTCAGTTCTACTCGTGTCGGGGGATATGTTGTGTGTGGGTAGAACTCAGTCAGGACAGAGAAGTAGCGTAGCTGGACTGCCATCTCGACCAGCCACAACAAAGTAAGATATCCAACTTACCACCAGATTTTAAGTTTGAGAGCTCTGTTTCTAGACCCTGCTGTGAGATACCCTGGTCCATGTGCATCTGGATCCAGCTATCCACTAGATTGTAAGCGAACTCCCATTGGAGCTGTGACTCAGGTGTAAGATTTCGAATGAATTCTTGTAGAACAGCCTGGATAACTGCGACCATGCGGATTTCCAGCCGGTCCAAGTGTTCCTCGGCCTCCTGTGGGAGCTTTTTTTGGAAAGAATATATGATGGAACACAAAAGAGAACAACTCTTCGTCGAGATCCATGGCGGGGTAATGAGACATCTTTAAATGCCAGCCCGGGAGTTTGATGAGTGAGTGGTGGGTTCAATGTAAAGATTTTCCGAGAAGGAAGAAGAGAAAGGGGAACAGAAATCTTAAGTAGTCTGACTATCAACTGAGTCAAATGTGATTTGATGACAATAGACTCAATAGTGATGCAAGATGGGCAGAACAACGCACGAAGGTTTAAGAAGAGAAAACATGACCATCATGCCTCTTGAAGACTCCCCATACATGGGATGATGGGATATCTTTTGCTAGTTCGCTTCAGGTAAATTGTTTGGTCACGTGATAGAGGCATAGCTATAAGGACTTGGGAAGTTGGGAGGCTTCCCAGATAACTAGTTCTTCCTCTGTTGGTATCACCAGCTAGGTCCTGTGTACACAGACCAGTGGACAGCTGTGCTTATGAAGCGGAAGTGTATTCGATAGTAGATAGATGTTAATGTATGTGTGTCTAGGTCTAGGGATAAATACCCCTGGATCGCACACGTGACACCACGGCCCTCGGGCGGCCAGGCCTGCCGCCTAGGTACCGGGGCGGGCCTCGGCGGTCACAACGCCGAGCGGCACGCAAGGATGCAGGCCGCCAAGTCACAAGGGAATATATCCCGACATCCTCCATCCACCTCAGTTATAGATGTTTCTAAGACGCTCTTGTAAGAAAATCTGTCAGACTGGGATACACTGGGATAAGGCCTCCCTAGGCCATAAACAGGAACCTTGTGCTAGATGTGGTTCAGATGTTGCGGAAAGAGTAACGGCGAGAAAGTATATTGCGGAGGAAAGAACGACTGTGGGAGATGACACCAGCTTATCAAGGTAAGTGTCACTACGTACTGTACTGTGTACTGTACTCCGTAGTAGATCGATATACGCTAATCCTAATGCGGTGAGTTACAGACTTACAGTACTGTGGAAGCGCCACATGGAAGATTGCGGGGTATGCCCTGTTTGATTGGATGTTGAGTCACACATCTGGGGCAGCGTGAAACCCGCCGCTTTGTCGCTTCCATTTCACCATCATCAATTTACCAGACATTTTAGCCATTCATCTTCGGAATAAGGATCATAGACATTCGGGCAGTGGCATGCAGCTGAATCTGATTGCTGAACCTACTTGTAGATATTTGAACCTTGAGTCAGATATATGCTGTTATGAAAAGTAGGTAGACCTACCTAGGCTCTAGCTCCTGGATATGTCACTGTCTAATGGCAGCATGTTCTTGACGGTTGGGTTATCCTTTCCCCAACCAGGTCCAAGTAGATATCAGCATCACTTGTATTGGAGGTAGTCGGATTGTCTCTCCAAGATGAGCTGCATCACCAGGGGTCAAGTCCAAAGTAGAGCAGTGTGGGGAAGCCCGGAAGCCGGGAACCCCTCGAGATCACCAGGGGGCGTCGTTGGTAGCAAATAACTACAGAAACAGAGGGACAAGAAAGCAGACGGCAGAATGCGATCCAACAGTCAACCATTCCATCAAGATCAAGATCGTTCGGCATCAAAAGCCAGCCGGCCGAGATCCCGAGATGCGGATTGGCCACGAGTCACGGCAATATGGCTGACCTGCAGTGTGACCTCCGAACCACAAGCTGCATAGCCGACAATATTATTAATGACATTCATAATCTTCTGCCCCCTCTCAGGATCTAAAATGGAGATCCAAAGCGGCTAAAGTCCAACCAGGGCGTGGTGAAATCCCCAGACCGAGCGAGCCACATTGTGGGGAGAAAGTGGGAGAAGCGGCAAAGACTTACTCCGCTACCCCCATGAGGCACAAATTTGCTCGGCAGCATCGGCCGCTGTGCCCTTAAGAGTACTGTTTTAAATAGGTTTTCATGCTGGATTTTCTTCGAATTTCTTTCATAGACAAGTGTTAGATACCTCCGAATCTGGCTTGTATAGACGAACCGGCCACCACAGACACAATTTGTTCTCTGCACATCTCCGATACCATGGCGAAAGCTCCCCAAGATCTACAAGTCGCCATTCTGGGCGCGGGAATGGGTGGTCTGACCTCTGCCCTAGCCCTAGCTCAAAAGGGATTCAAGAACATTGATGTATATGAATCTGCCAGCGACCTCGGCTTCGTAGGGGCTGGTATTCAATTAGCGCCTAACATGGCCCGCGTCCTGGATGGCCTTGGTGTTTGGAAGGGTATTGAGGCAGAGGCCGTGAATATCGAGGAGACGTCAGTGAGAGGTATGTACTGATAGACGATACTACCAAGCTGATTCCATGGACCCTAACATTTGTCTGCAGAGGGTGCAACGGACAAGGAGCATGCATATGTGGATCTGCGATACATTGAAAAGACTTATGGATATAAGCACATGGTTGGCCACCGTGCATCACTAGCCAACGGGTTATACGAAGGCTGCAAGCAGCACTCTTCGATCAAATTCCACTTCGGAATCATCGCAGAACAAGTGGACTTCGGTCCCCGTCCATCATTCACAGCTGTACCCCGTGCCGAGGGTACAACTCCGTTCAAGGTCGAATGCGATGTGCTCCTCTCTGCGGACGGTATCAAGAGCGTGACCCGTGTGGAAATGCTAAAGCGATTGGGCGTAGACGTTGGCGTTAAAGACACACAACAAGCCGCCTACCGGATCATGATCCACAAGGACCAGATCAAAGACGATCCCGAGCTTCTGGCCCTAATTAACAGCAACCGAGTCACACGCTGGATTGGCGCAAAACGCCACATCATTGCCTACGCCGTCTCCAACAACACTATCTATAACCTCTCCACCACCCAGCCCGATACCAACTTCGCAGCGGCCACAAACGCCACCTATACAACCAAGGGCTCCAAGCCAGCCATGATGGGTGTCTTCTCTGACTTCTGCCCCATGGTCCAGCGTATGCTAAACTACGTCCCCGAAGGCGAGGTCTGCGAGTGGAAGTTGCGTGTCCACGAGCCGCTTCCTACTTGGGTCCACGACTCTGTCGCCTTGGTTGGTGATGCTTGCCACCCTACTCTGCCTCACTTGGCTCAGGGTGCTGCCCAGGCTATTGAGGACGGCGCTGTTATCGGTGTCGTTCTCTCTAAGCTTCCCGATACCAGCCCTGAGTCCATTAACAAGGCTCTCCGTGTGTACGAGAAAATTCGCAAGAGCCGCGCTGAGGCTTTGGTTGAGATGGCTACCGCTGCTGGCCGTGCCCTGCACTTGGGTGAGGGTGCTGCCAAGGAGGAGCGCGACAAGCAGTTCGCCGCCCTCCGGACGGGCAAGGGACCTGTGCCTGATAAGTGGGCCGATGCCGATGTGCAGCGTGAGATCTATGGCTTTGACTGTACCAAGGTGGCGGCGGATAACTTTGATGAGTACTTCTCGCAGATGTAGGCATTATTCCATATTGCATCAGCCTTGGAGAACATGATGCTAAATGTTCTTTTGGTCCTCGCAGGGACATCACACCCCGTCTCTCAAAGCTTGCTTAACGAACGAACGTTCGCGGCGTCCAGTATATATGACAAATGCATGAAATGAATAAAATGGACATATTTGAATGCACAGCAGCACAGTGTAATCTCAGCAATCTAGCTCTCTGGTCAATCATCATCCTTGGGTGCGCACGAAGTTGTACTGTGTAGTAGTTGAGCCGCAAATGGATCTGCGTGATGGCCGATCTCGCCCCGCGCTCAGCACCGACGCGAACCTCCAACTCGCACATCCGACCAGTTTCAAGCATCGGAGCAGCGCCATGGGGTCCTTTCCGGGCTTCTGATCACCTCAGATAAATGCCTTTTCCAGCAGTACGCCAGTACAGTGGTCACTCAATATATTCAGCTAACCAATCTGCTCATAGACTCCATCACCGTTCCGCCTCTCCCGTCAAAACCCATCGACGCGCCGCAATGGCCCCCAGTTTGCCCCGACACCTCGGTTTTTGCTATCACAGAGTGCAACACAGAAGGCGGATGATGACCTCGACGTGATAGACGATGATGGACCATCTTCAACGCGTCAAGTCACGCGTGACCCGCTAGCCTCACATAGTACCACTCGCCCGCACCAGCCCGACGTCATCGAGGATTCTGACGATGTCGACATTACAAGACATACTGGGACCAGAGCGAGAAATGCCAATGAGCTACTAGATGATGCCATTGATAGCACTCCTCCGGAAGAGCCGGAGACACCGGGCATCCTGGATGCTGAGTACGACGCGCTGTTTGCGACAACCAGAGAGGGCAACAAAAGGCGTCGTGTCGATGCCAGCACGCCGTCGGCATTAACGCAACTGGATCCAATACCTTCATCGCCCCCCGACGCGGCAGATGCTCTGGCTGGCGACATCGATGTACTGGACAGTGGCACGCAAAGAACCCCAGCGCCTAAAACACACCAGTTCGCGCTACCCATCTCAACTCCAGATGTGAGAACGAGAACACCGTTCCGCGGCCGTCCTCGCTTCATGCTTTCCTCAGCGGCAAAGCCTCCTAGCAGCCAATCCGCGCCCAAATTCAAGCAAGCCACACCAGGCATATCGCCGCCCGAGAGGAGGAAACCAGTATTTGTTCTGCCTCGCTCGCCGTCTCCAAAGCCGGACGCAGAAGATATACCTGCGCCATTTTCTCCCTCCGCGCGCACTCTGCATCGTCGTGGTCGGAATCGGTCCGGTGCTAGTTATGTTCCCGGTGGAATGGCTGCTGAGGTGCGCGGCTGGGTTTTGGAAATGGGGGCGAAGCATGAACAGGTGCCCAGGCCTCTATTACCTCAAGGCCCCGAGACGAAGGTGGCCGGTGCCTCGCTGGAAAGGTTAGCGAAGTATTTCCTGGCAGCGCGTGTGGTCCAGGTCAGTCAGTCGGCTCTTAGTGGCTGTGGCTGTGTCGCGTTTCTCCGGGCCGAAGTCGTTACTGGGAACAGTGTGCAGGGGCAGGATTCTGATCCTGCTGTGAACATTATGATTATGGGGCCTTCGCGCGCTGACTCTGCCGTGACACCCCAAATACGGCGTGGGGACCTAGTTGGTATTTACAGAGGGCTTAACTGGAGCTTGGAGCTTGGCACAGACTATGGTGAACCTGTGATACCTGGGCGGATATATGGCGACGCCTCGAGGTGTGATCCTACCGAACAGGGTGGACACGGAGAGACGAAAGAGGTCTGGCTCGTAGCCATGGAATGGGATCTCGTGGAAACAGCTGATTGAATTCGCCGACCGAACGTTGGCTCTATACGTGTATAGTTTAGTGTATCATAGGTAGGAGGTGCTTCGTCTGTACGGCGAGGGTCCTGAATCTTAGGTAGCCCTTTTATCAACGACGTTCGAAATAATGTCACGGAAACAGATCACGACCAGTGAAACGCTTTGGGTATATTCTATATGCATTGGCTAGTGTTATATGCAATCGTTAGTCGGCAACAGCCTTAAGGGCATCTGCAGCCACATTGCATCCCCACCGAACTAATTTTAGTTCTTCTGAAGACACGATGTCAGTCTTCGCGACAACCTTCCGGATGAAATAGATCAAGCCCTTGGCAATGTGTGGTGTCTCCTTGACACGCAGGAAGATTTGCATCAAAGCCTCTTCGTTTTTCTCAGGCTCATCTGTCGTGACGGTCTTGGAACCCTTCTTCTTCTTCTTGGCCTTTTGGGATTGCTGAATGAGACTGATGATCAGGACTTCCACAAATGTCGTAGTCTTGGGCTGCAGATATGCAAAGTTAAGGTTCTTCAAAATGCCCAAGGTCAAGCTGCCATCTGCAATGAGAGTGCTGAACATCTTGGCCAAGTTGACCACGGACTTCATATTGACACCATTCTCTTCGTCGTCGGGGTCAAAGCTGTCATCCTCGTCCTCGTCCATATCTCCCCGTTCGCCCATCTTCTTGAAGACGTTCCAGAGCGCAAACATGAATGACATCTTGATACGTCGGCCCATATCACCACAGAGTCGGCGCGCGATCAGAGAGTAGTATGGGTTGTGAGCCTCTTCTTCCATGGCACAGTGTAGGAGGACACGGGGAATTTCGAACTCTTGTGCACGCTTGAGGCGAAGCTTCATGAGTCGAACATGGGCATCTTGGAAATCATTGGCTGACATGATAGCGACAAAGATCGAACGTCGGACGTCTGTGTTCATGCGGTGGGCCCGTGCGAGGTCTCCAAAATTAGGCTCAGTGTCGCTTTCATCATCTTCGACTTGGGTTTGCGTCTCTTGCGTGCTAGACATTTCCCGCTGTGCGGTAACAAGGGGGTCCTCTTTCCAGCTTGCGCCGACCAACCACCACTTGCCCTTTTTGGAAGAGTTGTGAATATCATCGCGCGAGATGTTGATAGGTTCTGATGCACGAATGACACGAGAGCTGTTCAAGGAACCCAAAATCTTGCGCATTTTGGTGATGTGTTCCGTGGTGATGCCTGCACCAACTGCAGCCGAGGCCTTCGAGCGGTTGTTCTTCAAATCTGTGATGAGGTCGATCATGAACTTTGTGCGAACAGAAAGTTTGTCCTCGCCGACTTTCGCGACCGCAGGCTGAATGAGCAGCACAATATCCTTGAGTGACGATGGGTCATCTAGTCGGAGTTGAGGGCCAGAATCTGTGTATGCGTTAGAGGGATTGTAAGTTAATTGGGTGTTGCACATATAACTTACTCCGAATGACTTTGAGCAAGAGTTCGGTATTCGTTTCCGTGATGTCCTTCACATAGAGACGAACGTAATCAAATATCAATGAAGAACCAATGACGTGGAAGTTGTACAGTTGCGACAAGAGTGAGACAAGATTGATAGCTTCTTTCCCTTGGAACTTCCCACGCTCGTCGCCATCGGCATCCAAGGTCTCGACAATCGTTTGGATTACCTCGGCGCCGAAGTCCATACCAAGGAGTTTGTACAAGGCCGCAATGAAACCCGCATGCAAGATGAGGAAGGTGTCTTGGAGAACTGCCCTCTCACAAATGAGGCCCATCAACAGGCTAATCAAGGTAGATGTAACGTGCTGGCGTGGGTAGTCGCGGTAAAGCTTCTCGAACTCTGCAACAATCGAGAGCATATTGGCTTCGGACAACTTGTTCAGCTGTCCTTGGGCCTGGCGCTTGAGTCGAGTAAGAGATTCACTTTCGGGGTCGGAGCGTGCCCTCAATGAAGGAGGAATGTATTTCTGAGCTGTTGGCTCGGCCTTCGTAACCGGGGCAATATAAGGGTTTTCCTTCTTTTTGGGCTCCTTAGTCTCTTCCTGATCGAAGCCATCAAAGTCACTGCCTTCAACAGCTTCGTCGTCATCACCACTACCGAAAATCTCTTCATCAAGATCAAGGTCCTCGGCGCTATGGCTATCATCGTTGTCAGGTTGTTGTGCCTGCATGCTCTTCGCCTTCTGTCTCTTGCTCCGTAACCAGTCATCGGCTTCTCGTTTCCGCTTTTTGCTCTCATCCTCTGAGATATCACCGCCGCCGCCGCCAAGGTCTCCAAGCAGATCATCCAGACCATCCTCTTCGAAGGCCTTTGGTAATTTGCCTCCTTTCTTGAGGCCAAGCTTCTTCTCTAGCGCAGCGATTTCGGCATCGTCTTGTGCTAGCTTTGATTTGACAGATGCTGGTATATGACCCCCAGATGGAACATCTTCTTCTGATTCAGCATCGAGGGCATCCTCGTCAGATTCGTCATCTTCACCCTCATCCTCATCCTCATCCTCATTGAGGTCGATTCCTGAGCCAAAAGCGGACTCAGAGTCAGACTCGGATGCCGACACATCTTCTTGCTCCACTGTGGCCTTCTTCAAGATAGATTTGGGTTTCTTTTCAGTTTCCTTCCCGGATTTCGACTGCGTGTGTTGCGCGCGAGGTTCCTCGTCGAGGTCCATATCGTCGGAGTCAGGATCGAGTTTCCCGTTGGTGTGTACATTTGCCTGGTGCTGAGGCTTTTGTTGAGGCCGCTGCAGTGGACGCTCAAACGTTTTCTTGCTGTGTGGAGCGACATGTCGAGACTTCTTCTGCGTACGCTCATTTTGGCGGCGTTCTTTGCGTGAGGCGGGCCCATTGAGGCGACGCTTCTTTTCTCCGTAGTTATCGCGGATTCCAAGCTCGGACCGGAGGTCGCGAGGCAAGGCAGTCGTATTGTGCAGAGGACGGGGCATTCTGTTCCTCGGAGATATCTTGTTCGTTCAGAAAGTTTTCAATCCTAGTCCGCGATCTCAGGCACATCTCCGGGCGGTCGGCAACTTTTTTCACTTTTCTGCCACCCCAAAGCAAAGGCGGAACAGCGCCCACATCGGAGTTTCTCCCCCACTGCGAGTTGTTCCCAGCTGTCAATTGCGTGTTGATCATCTGCTTCAGCTTTCAAGTCGCTCAATTCTCGTGCGCCTTGCACAAGTTCTTCCAAATATGGCGCCGCATTTGGAACATGACGAGGTAAATCTTGATATTTGTTCACCTGTCCGCTACCTCCCCACATGCGACACAATGACCGGAAATACAAGCTACATATCACTAACACCGCTTACCTTTAGTTCTTTCAATCCCTCACCGACCTCCTCTCTAAAACCTCCCAACAAGCTCACGGCTCGGTATATCTCACACAAAAGCCTCTCATCGATGTGCCCGGTGCCACCACCACCAACACCCAGCCGTCTATTCTCATCCGAGCCACTGACGGAAACACCAATGCGCCAAACCCTAAGTCAACAAGCAAAGATGGCAAGATCGTCAAGAACAAGTCGACGAAGATCAAGCTTTCAACCATCGTCACCCCGGGCGATCTCGAGGCCTTTTATACCCGTTATGCTGAGGTCTGCAAGGCAGGAATGACCGGATTGAAGAAGCGAGATCGCCGAGGCCGAAAGGCCAAAACCAAGGGCGGAGCTGCCAAGGCCACGAAAGCCTAGATCTGCTGCTTGGTTGATTTACCAGATGATACCATCGTCGTTGTGTACTCAGCTTGGAACTGACATGCGATGGTGTTTGATGGCCTTGTTTTTCACATGCATTAGCCGGCGTTTGATGGCGGTTCTGGCTTCTTTTTCTCGGTCTTACTTTTCAACTCTCAAGTGTAAATATCCCCCTACGCTTGCGATTTACAAGTGCTGTGTTTGTTCATACGAGTTCCATGGGGCGGGAAAGAAATGAGATTTGGCATTAAAAGCGAACGCGCAGTGGTCGTTGAGCCATCTGCTTAGATAGAGAACCGCAAGTTTGATTTTCTGTTGCTCATTCAGTTCCACCATCTTCCCATGTGATCGTAAATCCCACTTCCTCCACGATCCCTACGCTGCAGTGCTAATGAGATTATAAATCACTGTGTTCTTACCGGTCATCTCATAGGAAGAGGGTGTTAAAGCCAGAAGGTATTGTTAGGGATAGAACTCTGAAGAAACAAAATTAGATTATCATGAGATTAGGCCATTGCCTGGATAGCTTTCAGTAACGCTGCAGGCAATAGTGAAAGAACAGAAAGGTAAGATGCAATCGCATAGGCCGATCAGCCTTAACAATGCGTTGAGCGTACAGGCCGCTCCGTGAGTCCTTCCCAGGACGGCAATTGTCCCGTCACCTATATTACAAAGCATGTCATATGTCCACCCATGAGTCGTGCAGTTCAACATCAATCATAAAACCATTGAGATGGTTCGTAGGAAGGGAAAGATACAAAGAAGGGGTAGATTAAAGGGGCGTGATATGAGAAGAAAGAAAAACCAGTGCCAACAAACAAGTGGAAAGGATAGCAGGGTTAATCAGATAACTAGGCGTTTCGGCCATCTGACTAGTCGAGATCCCAAGGGTCGAGCTTTCTGCATGCCTGGGCATCCTCATACTCTGAAGAGGACTGGGGCTCAAGTGGAAAGCTGAAGTCGTCCACTGCGACTGAGGGTTTCTTGCTGTGCTGGGAACGAGAATCCGACTTTCTCGGAGTGGAAGTGATAGTCGGCTGGGAGTTTGGGTTGACAGCAACGCGCGCAGCGATATGAAGGAGAATGATGAAAAGATACGCTGGAGGGATTAATACTAAAGTGATGGCCTTAGAAATGAAGGATGAAGCATCATCCCCGGGGGGCTGGTACAATGCCGAGGCAGGAGGCATAGGAGAAACTTCGCGTTCTCTTGTGGCTTTTGCCCGGCGCCGAAATTCGGTGGTCATGTGGTTAAAGTCAGGATTTGATGTAGGAGGCTTGGCTGAAGCCTGATGATGCATCTTGACGGCCGAAGGTGCACTTATAGAAAAACTGGGTGGGGGCTCTTTACTTGTGCGAATCATCGATGGCGAAGTATCCGAAAAGGCATCCGGGGCGCGATTGGGCGAACTATTGCAACTTGGGATGTTCATGGACGGAGGGTATTGCTCCCCAGTTGTCCTTGGGATGTCATCAAACGGGGGAACATTGAGTTTCTGGTACTCAGATTCTTGGCGTGGACTCGCAGGCGTTGATTCTTTCGCGCTCCAAAGATGGAACGTATCCATTGATTCCGGCAGGTCATGGCCTCCCACAGATGTGGGATGGGTCGAAACTGAATCTGGCGACTGAGGCTCAGCAGAGTGGAATGATTCAGGACTGGACGCAAAGGAAGTATCATAGTCATCAACCTCTATTGAGAGTCCAGCAGTAGACTGAGCCATTTGGGGCGGAATTTCTTCAATGGGCTGGTCGGTCTCGACTGCAGTGGAACGTTCACCTTGTGATGCAGCTTCCTGTGGACCTTCGGCCTCCAGAACTCGTTCTACTTCCACTGCGACTTCGTCTGACCGCTGTCGTGACAGAACCTCAGGCTCGGGTGCAGACTCAGTCGCAGGCTGGTCTTCGGTCGTGAAACCAGTATCCACTGCCGCTTTAAATTCAAGCGCGGCTTTGGCTGCGTCGTCGGCTGGAAGATCAGCTTTGAGTGGGTTCGTAGTGGCCTTCGATTGGTGGTCAATCTGCGGTGCAACATCACTAGGTGCAGTGCCAGTACTCGTTACACTTTCAGGTTTTGTGTCAGGGACAGAAAGACGATCATCTTCTGTGATTGGTGTAGCCTCGAACTTCGCGAGCAGGCTGGTAAATGTCTGCGGGATCTCGGTCACTGAGCGCCGAGGAGGTCCATGATATACGGAAGGGCCTGACGTTTCGATGGGAGATGATTCACCGTCATCGGGGATAGTCTCCAGGATTGTGCTATTGGCTTTGTTCGAAGTGAAGCAACTGTCATCTGTCAAGTTACCGTCGGTGTCATCTCCAGTGCTTGGCGAATCAACCCAATCAGATCTGACTGGAGATCTGGCTGGAGATGAAGATGGCGTCTCTCGCGAAGGCTCTAGAACACCTGGTACGCCTTCTTTCCGGTCTTTCGGTCGCCATGCCTTTTTGCGCCGAGGCGCCATCGCGTCGCTAGGAAGCTCGACACTGAAAGCGCGCATGAAAGGACATGGCGTAACCTCATATCGAAGGACTGTTGGCAACGCAATCTTCAAGTCCTGTACCAAACTCTTATCGTCGTCTGTTTCGTATGGTAGTTCAATGCGGTAGTATGTAAGAGGGCGGATGCGCAGAACAAATTTTGACACTCCATCGACGCACCAACACTGCGAGTTCTTAAGGATCGCATGGACGACATTTCCACATTTCAGAAAGGCTGTGGAGCCATGGATTTTCTCCAGTCTCAAGGGTGCTGTTGCGACCGTTCGTTCAGTCGCAGAGCGCCAAGGCAGTGTTTCGATGGTGTCAACGGGGTAGTCGAAGTCGGATGGCGTAGTACTAGAGGGAATAGGGGCGAGCGCTCTTGGAGAAAAATGCACGATTTTCGCAAAAGGATGGTAAAAAATCACATGTTCCGGTGTATTCGGGACACTCGCGCGACGTTGCGCGAGTGGGTTTAACTTGGTTGGGAGGGTAATGGAACGGCGAAGGGACTGTGTCTGACCTGGCTCACTTGGAGGCTCATGCATGGTTCATGGACGCAATCAATAGTGAAGGAGAGAATGTATGGAAGATATTAAGATGACATGTTTGGTACAAAGATCATGCGAGACGCCAGGGTATCCGCTGCAAGAAACGGGGCTTATCTGCACAATGTTGCGCGGGGAGTTGCACTATTGCCTCAGGCCATGAGTCAGGTGACCATGACGCAGCTCTCAATGAGGACCAGGCTGCAGGCATCCACAGTTATTTCTGTTTCCCTTTCTATGTTTTACAACTAACTTCTGGCTCTTTTGGAATTCGCCTTTCTTGGTGTTATTGGCAGCAGAACTTGCCTGGATCTTTCCCAGTCTCGAAGACACAATGTCAAATTTCGAGCCGAACGCAGTGATCCGCGGCTTTCAGCTCACAATTGTAGGAAGTATGTCTTCCTATGTGTCTTCTTGCTTTCATCTCACTCATTCCGAGGGATCATTGGCTTGGAATACTTGGGCGGATTCCTAGCTTCACCAGAAATCTACTCAGCATCCTTCCAAGCTCAATGATAGTTCATGCCAAGACCATTGAGCAAGGAGTTATGTCTTGACTGTTTCTAGCTTGCCATAGCCACCTCTTGTCATTTGCCTTGGAATGATCCCCTGCATAATGTATGCCGTTAGTACACTTGCTAACTGAAGTTTGCAGCCGTTCGTGCATTGACGAACCCCGAACTGTTCAAGTACGAGCATTTCCGGCAAGCAGCTCTTGCGATAGCCATCGGCATCGTTATCCAATTGATCATTCAGATCCCAGTATGTTTCAACGTATCCCGCACTTGTGAATTTCTTTCTGACTTCACCCAAGATCCTGAGTGTGAGATTTTCTATCTACCTCGTGTCATGGGTGATCAACCTAGAGCAGGCGGTTTGGGATGACAAGCTTCTCAATGGCTTGGAATTCATGTCCAGGTCTGTCCTCCAGGTGCCATTCCTCCTAATGACCCTGATGCGTTATGTGACGCCCACGCTGGATGAAATGTACGCTCCCTCTGCATGACTCTCATTGGACAATTCCCGCTGACTATAGTACCAGCTTTATGGAGTCCATTCAATGGGTGGATACCACATACACCCAGAAACATAAAACCGAGGATCCTAACAAATTGCGCTCTATGTATTACCCCAATCTTGTTCAGTACTCTCCCAAAGGCGGTTCCAGCGCTTCCCGGCCGATTCCCGAAGCAATCAAGTCATTCTTCAATCGTTATGCGAAAAAAATTGGCATGATGCTTGGGATTTACCTGCTGTCAATGGTTGCTGTTGTTGGTCGATTCGTTATGCCTGCGGCCAGTTTCTACACGTTCCGAAACCACGTCGGTTCTGGTCCCGCGGCCGCTATCTTTGGTGCAGGACTGTTTCTGCCAAAGAGATACATTGTCATGTTCCTTCATACCTACTTCGCTTCGCGCAGTCTGATGCGTGAGCTTGTGAGTTATATCCCCTTCTCTCTCTTTTGATTATGCTAACTTTTCTTAGCTCGAACCATACTTCTGGCGCATCAAGTTCACCCCGGAACAAAAGCGTCGGTGGTTCCGGGATCGCGAGGGTGTTCTGTTCGGCTTCGCCTTTGCTTTCACGGTTATTCTGCGCATCCCTTATCTCGGTGTGCTGATGTATGGTGTTGCTGAGGCATCCACGGCATATCTTGTCACTAAGATTACCGACCCGCCGCCAACTCCTTCCGCGAGCGCTGACTTCGCAGAAAGCCAGGTAACCTGGAAGAACAAGCATGATTTCTTGCGCTTGTCTCTGGATAATCTTGACAAGCTCAATGTTGACGCGGATGAGCGCGATAGTGATGGCCCTAACTCGCCCGGAAAGAAGTTTACCTAAGAGTCGTCGAGTTGTATCGCCGAGATATGCAAAACATGACCGAACATGGTCAAATGAACGTCCCAGCATACAAAGGGATCATTTCAGCTTTTTGCCCTGGCCACAGAGTCTTGGTATATATCATTACATTGCAGTTTGCACCGTTCATGTATCTTATCGGAGCGCAGAAGGCATTGGCTTAGGCCCACTAGGTTGAGATATGCGTAAAGGGATGATAAGCGATTAACTATCTCCAACAATCTCCAACACTACACGATTACGCATTCGTGTAGTTATCACTAGGTACTGAGATTATGCATGCCCATAGACGGACTGCGGGGTAAGTGACGCGTTCTCGTGAGGGGTTGCAGGGTTGTCCTGGAGGCTGGAGGGGAGGACTACATCATGATTCATGAGTATAAAAGGGTCCTGGCCTACCCCAAACCGAAGTGCCATGCCCAGTCTAGCTTATATCTCCTCAGTCAGTCACAATAAACAATCGACAAACCCTTAATATTGCGCAAATATGGGTCAAAAAGGCATTCGGACAGCTCTAAAGGTCGACCTGAACAGACCTGCCAGTGAACAGGCAGGCTTGCATGTATGTTGTCGCACTCCCAGTCCCACCGATGCCGTGAAACAAACACTAATTCCTCAATAGAACAGATGGCATCCCGACGGTATGCTAAGTCTAACATCTACTTGCCTCCTTGAATGTTCACAAGCTCATATATTCCCCACAACTTCCAGTCCCGGCCTACGGAAAGATCGCCAACAATGAAGTCGTTAAAATCGAATGTGTCGACTGGACAGGCGGCCAAATCGGAAACAATGACTCCGCCGACGATATCAAGAACGTAGATCTGACCAAAATCCACTATCTATCCGGCCCTTTCGACATCGAAACCGCCGAGCCCGGCGATGTCCTAGTCGTCGAGGTCCAGGACGTACAACCATTTGAAGATCAACCATGGGGATTCACCGGAATATTCCACAAAGATAATGGCGGAGGCTTCCTAGACAAGCTGTATCCTGAAGCGTATGGTTATCATGGTATCACGACACGTATATCGTTGCTAACAGATTCCCGGCAGAGCAAAAGCAATCTGGGACTTTGAAGGGATTTTCTGCTCATCCCGACATATCCCTGGTGTTCGCTTCGCGGGACTCATTCATCCCGGAATTCTGGGCTGTGCCCCATCAGCGGAGGTTCTAGCTGAATGGAATCGTCGCGAGGGCGAGCTGATTGCCGCCAACACGGACGCTGATCAGATTGTTGCCCAACCGCCGAATCCTCAGAATACCCATGGTGGATGTGCTACCCATGACGTGCTGAGCAAGATTGCGAAAGAGGGTGCGCGGACTATTCCAGTATGTCTGAGCCTAATCAACGAAGTATTGCCTACGCCACTAACATGCAATGTCCAGGGCCGTCCCGAACACGGCGGGAACTGCGATATCAAAAACCTTTCCCGCGGATCAAAGGTATACCTACCCGTCCACGTCCCTGGAGCCAAATTCTCCGTCGGAGACCTGCATTTCTCACAAGGGGATGGCGAAATCTCATTCTGCGGAGCCATCGAGATGGCCGGTGTCATCACGCTCAAGTTTACAGTTATGAAGGATGGTATGGCGAAGCTAGGCATGAAGTCGCCAATCTTCCACGCAGGGCCGGTGGAGCCGCAATTCGGGCCCGGTCGATACTTGACATTCGAGGGGTTCTCGGTTGACGAGAATGGCAAGCAGCATTTCCTGGATGCGACTGTTGCCTATAGGCAGACTTGTCTCCGGGTTATTGAATATCTGAGACGCTATGGTTATAGTGATTATCAGATTTACCTGCTGCTTAGCTGTGCGCCGGTGCAGGGTCATATTGCGGGGATAGTGGATGTTCCGAATGCGTGCACTACGCTTTCGTTGCCGATGGATATCTTTGACTTTGATATTAGACCTGAGGCTGAGGTGGTCAAGAAGGATATGGGGACTTGTGCTTTTGTGAGCAAGTAGACTGGTGACAGGAAGCGATAGGTCTCGCATCTTGTGTGCTGTTCCCTCTAAAAACGAATCCAAGGTCACTACCTCCTAATCCATGAAAATTGGTCTCATTCAGTATATACAATATGCGTCCAGTCATTCTCATTCACATCCTGAAAATCCACAACCCTATTCGGACCCCCAAACCTGTTCTGCGTAGACCACCAGTCCCGATGAACAGCAATCTCCGGCCGCCAGCGGACAACATCCCTAACTTCCTCACATAGCTTCCCCTCCAGCGCATCAGCAATAAAACCCCCAATAGCAGGCATCTGCATAGCCCCATTTCCCGACCCACCAACAGCAACCACGAGCGACGGATACCCAGGATGCCGATCAATAAGAAAAGCCCGATCAACCGTATCCGCATCCCAGCAGATTCTCGCAAACGAAAAAGGCCTCTCCGCAAGCTGCGGCATAGTATCACGCAGAAACTCTCGAGCCCGTCTTTCCGCTTCAAGAGGAATCTGCTCTCTAGCAAACGGAACACTCCGCTTCTCACCCGGACGATCAGGATCCGACACAAAGTTACAGTATCCCGGGTGTTCATCGCAGATCTTGAGCTCATGATTTTCCTCATCCGGCTCGATAAAGAACCCCTTCGCGATATTGAACAACACAGGCAAGCCTCGATACTTCTGCGCTTCCTCAGGCGTCATCCGAATATGACTCAATGTCCACGCCGTCGGACGCAACTGCTTCTCGAAATCCAATAGAGCATCACTACCAGCCCCGGCCGCAAGAATAGTCCGGTCCGCACGATGGGACAATCCATCTGCGGTCTTGGCCCCGACAAAATCGCCGTTCTCGTATATCAGGGCAGTGACGCCCCCGGCTGGTGAGCCAGTCACGAAGCTGACACCTAGGCGTCGAGCCTCGTTATATGCGGACACCATAGCTTTTTGAGCATGGATCCACCCGGCCCCTGAACGGCTGATCCAGCCTTTCCAGTCTGGGAAGTCGCCGGTGAGAACGCCTGGTGGCATTGTGTTGCGGAAATCGTCTGCCGATTCCAAGGCCGTGTAATCGCCTGCTAACTGGTCGATCTCTTCGTGTTTGATGTGCTCTATCAGTTCGGGTGTATGTCCGCAAACTATGAAGCCGGTTTCGTGGAAATATGGCTGGAAAATTGGGTCGGTTTTCCAGCCTTGAAGGGCTGCTCTGGTGAATGTTGTAAAGGCTATACTTCCAGCGTCGGCATTTGGGGCTGGTCAATGTTAGTCGTTTTGTTGGTTTCGTTGTGTTCTGTTGGAAAGGGAAAAGCGACGTCACATTTCAGCTCCTTGTGCTCCATGATTTTGTTGATGTCGTTCCCCGCAGCAATGGATGATGGCACCTGGTGAGGATCAAGTACTTTCACATTTGTGTATCCTCGTCGGGCAAGATGGAGAGCTGCTGAACAGCCCCATGTACCGGCGCCGATTATTAGTATTGAATTGGGCTTCAAGTCGGACATTGTATGGGCTTTGGAGATTTCGAGGTCAAGTGGAGGGAGGAACTTGGAAGTCCAAACCGCGAGGGCATAGTGTCATCACAAAATCATATGATCGAAACAATCCCTGTAACAGATGTTGAAACACACTCGGAGCTCGGAGATCTGTTGAAACCGAGATTTGACATATCAGCTGCGAGATGTATCCGTGAATCCGAATTTAGTAGCTCTAATGATGTCTACCTACATCAGTACAGATGAATCTCCCCTCTGAAAACTATTTTAAGCCAATTCCGATCCCAGTTATTTGGCTAGATCTATGCCAAGCTTGCTATGCTGTACGAGACTTATCACGCCGAGAGATTACAGTATGTGCTTAAGGAAACACGAGGGAGGCAAATTGCCCGCATGATGTTATATTATACATCATATCTCATTGGTACGGGGACCGCATCGTGAATCATGATTAGAACCAAAGACCGGAGCAAACAAGCAAATCAAATGGGAGAAATCTAGAGGGCGTTGAGGAACTTCTGGGCCCGAGCCTTCTCCGCGGCCTTCTGGCTTTGGATAGCCTTCTTGACTGCGTCGATCTCCTTGTTGATATTAGCATCGTTAGGGGCTAGCGTGTGGGCTTCCTGCAGATGCTTGAGTGCGGAATCCTCGTCGTGCAGGCGCACCTCGGCATAACCCAGACGGTAGTATGCCTTGGCCTTGTCAGCATCCTTGGTGGGGATCTTGTTGGCCAATTCGATCGCAAAATCGGCCCACTTCCTGGCCATTTTGTAGTTGTTGAGCTTGATGCCGCACTGAGAGGAGTTGGAGAACAGGGTGAGCCGCATTGCCTGCACTTGCTCGCCCAGCTGTTGGGTCTTGTCCTCTTCAGTGAGCTCGGGGGCATCATTCAAATAGCGCACAGCCTTCTGGTATTTCTCAAAGCTCAGGTTATAATCCCCACTCAGGTAAGCTTTCTTGCCGTATTCCTTCAGTTCGGAAGCGATGTCAAAGCAGAGTTTCACGGTGAGCTCGCCCTGGTAGTCCTCGGGGAAGTCTTCGTACTTGTCGCCAGTCGAATCTGCGGGGCGTGTGGCCGCGTTCTCGTATGCGTCGCCGGAGAGCTGACCGCAGTCCACAATAGTAACGTCCTCCGTAGGCTTGTCGGACTGGGTAGGGAGGTTCTCGATCTTGCGAACAACGCCCTTGCCGTTGATCACCTCACCGAACACGACGTGCTTGCCATCGAGGTGGGGGGTAGGAACAGTGGTGACGAAGAACTGGCTGCCGTTCGTGCCAGGGCCGGAGTTGGCCATGGAGAGCAGGAAAGGACGGTCATGCTTGAGATCGAAGTTCTCATCGGGGAACTTTTCGCCGTAGATAGACTCGCCACCGGTACCGTTGAATGCGGTGAAGTCACCACCCTGAATCATGAACTGCTTGATCACTCGGTGGAAAATTGAGCCTAAATCGGAGCTCCGCGGTTAGTGGGCACCAACATGATGGGAGCGGGATACCACATGCCTTTGTAGGTCAGTTCCTTGCCCTGGGTGCCAATGCCCTTCTCGCCGGTACAGAGAGCTCGGAAATTGTCTGCGGTCTTGGGGACGACTGTTGCTGTTGTTAGTCGGGTTTTGGTTAAGTGAGAGAATCATGTCGTACCATCGTCGAACTGTTTGAGGGCCGAAATGTTAGTTGTGAGTTGGATCTGACGGAGGATGCATGCCACTTACAAGCTCAAATGTGACACGGCTAGGCTCGCCCTTGCCAATTCGAATGTCAAAGAAGACACGAGAGCCTAGAAGTGGTCAGTAACTCGAACAGCGCAATCTGTGCGGGCAGATCGGTGGGCCCCGCACTAAATCCTCGACTTACGCTGAGTTGCGGCCATGACTGATCGGAAGAGAAAGAAAGGTAAGAGAGGAAGAGAAAACGGTATTAGAGTTCAAGGATGAGATGTTGAAGAAGTGGGAAAGGAAGAAGAGGAGGAGAAGTAAGGCTCTTTGTGGGGAGCGCGGCTCTTGAGGTTCAGGAAGCTTCCATTGCGGCCAGCGAAGACCCCAACTATATTTCAGACGGCTAGCTAACATCACATGGGAAAGTTTGCAACAAATGGTATTGGGGTATCCACGAACAATATGTACAGCGCATTATTCTAAATCTAATTTTCTCCTTCATTGCAACAATTCAGGCGGTATTTGAAATTCAAATGATCCCTTGATATCCTGTTCGTCAGACTTTTTGTCTCCCTCCTTGGGTTCCTTGGGTTCCTTTTTGGGGAGATTGGTGTTGATCTCAATGGTGACCTAGAAGTAGACCAGTCAGTATGACTTCGATAGCGGCGAGGAAAAAGGAGCCAGGAAGGCAAATGTACCGCCGCGTCTTCGCTGCAGTAGTCTACACCCACCGGCCCGTCGTTCTTCAATTCGACATCCATCATGGCCTGGAAGACACCATTCTTGATGCGGTCGGGGGCATAGCCTTCGCCCATCTTCTTGTAGAAGAAGTCATAGATTCTGCGCGCAGTATCGGGGCTGGCTGCATCGTGGAAGTCGGGTTTGTTGCCTTTCTTCATTTTTGCATAGAGGGTGAATTGGGAGACTAGTTGAACGCTATCATCAGCTTTTGCCTTACAATTGGCGAGGAAGAGACATACCACATAGGACTTCTCCCTCAATATCCTTGACACTTTTCTTCCACTGCGATAATGTTAACGGCGGACCCTGCGCATGTCCAGCGACTGCCTTACTTGTACGTCATTGTCGTCGGGCCAGAACTTGGCCTTTAGAATCTTATTCACCAAATTCTCTGCATCTTTCTCGGTATCCTCTTTCCCAATGCCGGCAAATACAAGAAGACCTTTGCCAATGGACGAGACCAACTCGGAATCAACGGACACGGAGGCTGATTTGACTCTTTGGATGACGACTAGACGGGGTGAGCGGGCTTGAAGTCATGGCGGAGGTCGAGGATGCGAACCTTTCATGTTGGCGAACTAATGGGTCCTTCTCGATTGTTGGCATGAGAAATAGCTTGGTAGGGATGGGAATGTACCCGCCAAGTAGTATGGCGTAGGTAAGATAAGACCACCGATAGTGTTGGCACTTTCCCAAATCGGTTGGTCGAGTGAGGCTCTTTAACTTACTTTGCCAGTGCGACAGTCAGTTATCGGGGAAATAAATATTCCCGATCGCATCAGATAATCACAGAGCAACCTGACGTAGTAGAAGTCAAACTGCTTGCAACGGTGACTTTACCATCTCCCTCCGCCCTCACGTTTGCCTCCGCCCGTGACCGCCTACCCAATTAGGCGTCCACGAAGCTTTCCACTCAAGCGCGGAGAGCATTCCATGGACTTTCCGATCCTTTGGCCCTCCTTGTGTCAAACAAACACCTTTTACCCACAATTCCTCTCACCCTTATTTTCCAACCTGGACACTGGCGATCCCCCAGGCTGGAAGCGCACCACCACACCGATTCGACCGCATTAATACCGACGGCAGTGGACGGTACAATCCACAATCAACGGGTTCACAATGGCAGCCCGAAAAACGCAACAAGAAATTGACAAGACCTTCAAGAAAGTCGCTGAAGGGATTCAGACTTTCGAAGGCATCTACGAGAAGATCCGCCAAGCTACGAATCCCACGCAACGGGATAAACTCGAAGACCACCTCAAGCGCGAAATCAAGAAGCTCCAAAGGTTCCGCGATCAGATCAAATCATGGGCTGCTGGAAATGAGGTTAAGGATAAGGCTCCGTTGATGGAGCAAAGGAAGGCTATTGAAGTGGTGGGTTCTCCGATCTAGGGTCCTGGCTGGGCCAAGTGTGCCCAAGGGACAGTGAGCTAATGACCTCTCTAGTGCATGGAACAATTCAAGGCCGTTGAAAAGGAGATGAAGACGAAAGCCTACTCTAAAGAAGGCTTATCGGCAGCTTCACGACTTGACCCCAAGGAGAAGGAAAGAGTCGAATGCTCTGAATTCCTCTCGAACATGGTCGACGAGCTTCAGCTGAAGATCGAGGCCTTAGAAGCGGAGGAAGAGACACTTCATGCGCAAATGAAGAAGGGCAAGAAGGATACGAAGAAGGCAGATCGAATGGCCGACATCTCGCATGTTACGGAACGACATAAATGGCATGTGAACAAGTTGGAGTTCTTAAATCGTTCGTTACAAAACGGGAACCTCGATGTGAGTGCGGTACAAGATCTCAAGGAGAGTATCAAATACTACGTGGAGGAAGGCGGTAGCCCCGACTACTCCGGCGAGGACGAGACACTCTACGATGATCTGAACATCGGCGAGGAGGTCGAGGCACAATTCGGCATGGGCGGCGACGACCGTGTATCGTCACAAGATAACCAGTCAATCCAAGATGAAGAGCCAGAGCCCAAACCGAAGTCTAAGGCGGATGCGCCGACACCTCGAAGACCATCTACGCAGATGAAATCGCCCCTTCCTGTTCTTGCTACCCTCCATCCCGCTGCTTCCTCCAGTGCCACTACCGGCATGAAGCCCGCTCCTCTTCCCACTCGCCCCCCTGGTGAAACCCTCAAGTATGCCTCCGCCGCTGCGGCTGCCGCTGCGAGTGACAAAAGTGGCGTTGGCATTCTCCCTCTTCCCCCTCCACCCGGGTTCAGCCCGGCTCTTTCCGCGGCAATGCCGATTTCCAAGTCGTCGACTGCTTCCCCTAGTGTGGCGTCTCCCCTGCCCGTTGCCAAGTCAACGGTTTCACCTGCTGCGGCACCTACCGCAGAAGAACTTCCTGGGGCTGGGCGATCAAAGGCCGCCGCCGGTACCAGTGGTCCATCGGCGGCGCCGACCAAGGCTGAGGCACCCACGAACGGCAAGGTAGAGGCAGAAGGAGCCGAAACGGAAGAGTCGGTATATCATCTGCCCCCGGGTCTGCAGGATCTGCTCCAATCATTCGAAGTGACGAAGTCCCGCGCGTCGGCCAACCCATCACCATCTGTTCAGCGTCTTCTGGCTACCTCATTGACAACATGTCCGGAGGCTGGCGATGCCGAAAAGCCTCGTCACTACAAGCCGCAGAACCCCTATAGTACTGCGCTGTACTATCCACAGGAGCCTCTAGCAATATTCGACGACCCCCGGCTGTATGAGACTGGGCGAATCGACACGGATACTTTGTTTTACCTCTTCTACTACCGTCAAGGGTCATATCAGCAATATCTGGCCGCCAAAGCGCTACGCAATCAGAGCTGGCGCTTCCACAAACAGTACCAGACTTGGTTCCAGCGTCACGAGGAGCCCAAGAACATCACTGAGGAATTCGAACAAGGCACTTATCGCTTCTTCGACTACGAAAGCACATGGTTAGTAGAATCCGCCTGAATCGCATCAATGAGCGCATCACTTACAATTAAACAGGATGAATCGGCGCAAGGCTGATTTCAAGTTCGTTTACAAATACCTCGAGGACGAGTTATAGCTTTATCCTATGATTCACCCCCATGATTGATTAGTTCGACCTTTGTGGCCTGGCGCTATGACTCGATAGACTGGGTGTTTTGGGGCTTTGGGGAGGAACTTTGGAAATCCGTGGGGTCTCGGGGCAGTTTTATTTTTGCATTCGCGGGACTGGCAATGAGTGCAACGAATAGGGCTCGGTGATGGGAGTTTCGTGTTATTCGGATTATCAGTTTCAATACGATCATCAGTCGTGGGAATTTTATGTCTGGCAGTTCCGTCATGTGTGTGTAGTAATACGAGTTGAATAAGTAGTTTCGGCCCAGCCTGAGGAAAGTCGATTTCCATGCTTATGCGTAGTCTGCCTTGCGGGTACCTGGCTAATGCGTCTGTCCAATTTACCCCAGTGACTTCATCGCCCAACATACAGCGGGGCACGTCGATCAAGTGTACGGAGTATGTACGGAGTACATAACTGCAGATCAGCCGATTTCCTAAGTTGACGAGTGCAAGCATGAACATTCATGAATAATAAATCTCAAAAAAAAAAAAAGAAAAGAAAAAGAGACCGGGAAACCGGGGGCGGCACGGCTGCAAGTTCTCTACATCCGAGTCACAACACAGCAGCCTGACTTGCCTGACAAGTCAGAGCCGGGGCAGCAATGGTCCAGAAAAGGAAAAGAAAAACCAAATAAAAAATAAATAAATAAATAAAAAAAAAAACAGCAAAATGAAACGAGCCAGTCACGACCCCAACATGTGACGAAACCTCGCCTTTTTCAACCTACGCTAGTTATGCTATGCATGCAAAGCCCAGCCCATTTACAAAGTACCTACGTCAGAAAACGCTAAGTACAAGTACAAGTTTGCTTTTCTAGTGTCTCTCTTGGCACGCTAGAAAGTGCGGGATTTTTGTTCTGGAAGGAGTCGAGGACGGGGATTGGCGAACGCTATTTGGGGCAGATATGGACAGGGGCTGTGCGTCAGAACGATCTATCATCCCCGGATTGGAGGACAGGTAGAGTATGGAGTATGGGGAATTTGTGACACAGTGGGAGATCACGGGTTCGGGTTCTCACGATTTTGGACTCGGCACATTCGTGCCGAGTTGAGATACGTCAATGTGGGTTTGTCTTTGCGTTAGTGTCGGGGGTTGACTGACTTGACTTACTTCACTTGACTCACTTGGATTGGTCGTTCTATGTATGTTACTTGTTGGTGTGAGATATACCCTATGTTGGATACAGCATCCTCTCCCCTTCCCCCTCTCCCTCATGCATCAGTGTAATCCCTGTGACTTGTACACAAACCACCAAACTAAGACACGAGCTCTTGGCAACGCTAGAACGACGCTAGAAGGCACACAGAACAGCCAGCAACCAATCACAGGAAGATCGCCGTGAGGGGAAAAAAGAGAAAGAAAACTGGGCAGTGAAGTCTGACCGCTGCTTATCTTCCTCTCCTCACTGCGCCAATCATCACACCCCACCGGGAGCCGCTAGAAGGACCGTGGAATATTCGGCGTCTGAGGGATCCGCGAATTGCATAAATCCTTCTGCGAAGAGGCGGAGAGGCTGAGTTGATTTCGTCCAGTCTGCGTCCAGCTGCTGTTCTAGTCTCTTTCTAGAACTCTTTTAGTGTCCAGTCACAGCCCGGACTTGCATGTACTCATCCCGTGTCAACCAATACCGAGACTCTGAACTGGAACATAAAAGGAGCCCAAGGTACCTCGAGGAAAGGACTTTCTTATTTCGCTCTTTGAATGGATCTAAATATTTGGTCCCCCAAATCAATCTTGAGAGCTTTTCCCCCATAACTTAGTCCCCTTCCCAAGTCTACACAATGGTAAGTGACTTAACAGCATATGCCCATAAGTCCTACTCTAACCCTCCCTCTCTCTAAAGACGGCAATCCCAATCCCCACCCCAACCCAACGCCCATACGCAATCCCAATCGACATGCAATCGCAATCCCCCTTCAGCTACCCAGACTCCACCTACTCCTCCTCCTACTCCTCCACTTCCTCCCCAGGAACAATGGACTTCTTCTTCTACGACACCCAACCCCTCTACAACATCGACACAACCACCTACCCAATGACAGACCTCCCAGAAGTCTACTCCATCACCAGCTCCCCATACACCTACCAAACACAAACACAAGACTACCCCCCACCAACCTTCGACCAATACCCAACCCAAAGCGCACCCAGCAGCTGCGGCAGCAGCTACAGCAGCAACTTCACCTTCCCATCCGAGGACCTCTCTCTCCCCTCCTACCCACACGGACTCGGCTACGACTCCGCTCCGGACTCACCAGCCCCATCTACATCAACCTCTGCCTCGACATGCGCATCTGCCTATACATCCACATCTAGGTAAGCAGCGCTGCGCCAACGCGTCAGCACAAATGCAGTTCAAATTAGCTAACAAAGTCCGCATTGCAGAACCTCCAAACCCTTCGGCTGCGACAACTGCGGCAAGTCCTTCACCCGCTTTGCAGACCTGAAGCGCCACCAGTCTAGCGTGCATTACCCGGTTTTTCGTAATTGTCCGGTTGATCAGTGCTCGCGGAAGGGCAGTAATGGGTTTCCGAGACAGGATCATCTTGTTGAGCATTTGCGGTCGTATCATCATCTTCATGTGCCGAAGCGCGGGGGTTGTAAGCGGTCTGCGAAGGAGATTTCCTGAGTTGTGTTTACCGTTTTTTATGATGTTATGACTGTTTGATTGGATATTCTCTTCGTTTTTATTCTTTGGGATTGGGATTGATCGTGTCTGGTTTGGCACGGTCGTGTATAGAAGATGGTTGTTTCTTGAGGGTTGTTGACCTTTTACGAATCTCTGTTTGTTTCTAGAATCTAGACTTGATAGGTTATGTTGATGAATAGTGACGGTTTATGATTTATTCTTGATCTCCTTTGTTTTCGAAGTTGAACTGCTAAACCGATGTATTCCCTTCTCCTTTTCTTTGTTACAGGCTCTTACAGCAAGTGATCTACAAGGAACCCTGGTTCAATGCAGGTACCTATACGAGCCCTAAGAATATCCCTCATACAGACAAAGAAGATCGAGACTGAATTTTCTGAAGGAAAAAGAAAACGAAACGAAATGAAGACTCTGTAGAACTAATTTGTTTCTACTAACTAATTTCTCTCTTCATCGGCCCCCAATCCCCCCTTCCATTTCCCCAAAGAGGCATTTCCTCAATTCCGAACACAGACCATCTAAGACCAATGTCTAGTCCTATACCCCAATCCCTGTACTCGTATCAGTTTCAAGCAAAGATCATCGAGTCAACAACACTCGAATTATATCCATTCTACCTGCATTCATGCATACATTCAAGACAAAGCACCACCACACAGGTAACATCAATCACAGACCATACCCTATGTAGGATAGAATCAAATCCCCCCCCAAATCAACAAACTCCCTAAAACAAACCCCCTTCACCCTCCCATCCACAAAAACAACCCCCTCCTCCTCCAGCCTCGCCATCTTCTCCCTAACAAACCCCCCATCAGCACCATCAACCACCTCTCCGCCACCACCACCCCTCCTCCACTCCCCCTTATACCCCCCAACCCTCCCATCCGCCGCCAACACCCGATGACACGGCACCCCCGGCGCAAAAGGATTACTCCGCATCGCATTACCCACCGCCCGCGCACTGGATCCCAGGTACGTTGCCAGCGCCGAGTACGTCGTCCACCGGCCTGGCGGGACGGAGAGGAGCGTGCGGTACACGCGTCGACGGTAGGGGGTTAGGGTTGGGTGCATGGATATGCGTTGGAGGGATTTTTTGGTTTGGGGGTGTGAGTGTAAGGTCGGAGGGTTTGGAGGGGGGATTTGAGATTGGAGGTTGGGGTTGGGTTTGGGGTGGGATGGTGTTTGAGAGGGACATTTGGGGATTTATGCTGGTATGTTTTTTTGTTTTTTGAGAAAGTGAAAGGGAGAACTGAGGTCTTGATTTTGATTCCACTTGGCTGTTGGGAATTAGTCGGAGGAGCTGGTGCGACGCGTCTGTGGGGATTTCAGGACTCACCACGCGGTATTGATAGTACTGTACGGAGTAGTTTATGGGTTGTGGGGTTTGATTTGGGGGATAATAAGGATATGGATTAGTTGGATTATTAGGGAGAATGGAATGTAGAAGGTGTTTTAGTTTTAGTTAAGGCTGTGAAGCTTTGGATAGACGTTGCTCCCAAAGTGGCCAATCAGAGCGGTAGCTGCTCTATAGCCACCTGGAATGTCTATTGAACACTGCACAGAGAACAACAAATCATATTCATTTAGCGGTCATTTTCTAGTACATTCATGCATAAATATCAAAACATAGCAACCTATGGGTATCAACCTCCCCATCATCACCTCTAAGCGCGATCTACGTGCTCCGCAGCTACGGCACTATCACCAGCCTTAGAAGCCGCAACAGCACTAATAGAAAGAGTCTTTCCAGTCTCCGGATCCACCAGACTGCCCGTGTTTCCAAGACTCTGCACCATCCCAGGGTTCTCCGCCTTGAGACGCGCAAACTTCTTCTCCGCATCCCAAGTCCAGGGCGTGTCGGCTGCAAAGAGGAGATCCATATCCTCCAGCGTGCGCTGGTTGCTCTCCGGGTATAGAGCCCACACCATGGGAATGGCAATGACATTGCTGGCTGCGAAAACGTAAAGGGTCTTCTCGCCGATAGCATTGAACATCACTGGGCACAGGAGAGTCTAGTAGTATTTCCGTCAGTATAAATCTCTTGGGTTGTAGGGAATGGTTGGAAAGGTGTCCACTCACCAGCCATCCGTTTCCAATACTCCATCCGACGACACCGAAGGCGTTTCCTCGTGCGCGCACGGCCAGCGGGAAAATTTCGGCTGGGTATACCCTATATTTTCATAGATTAGCATTTGTTGAACCGGACTAGAAGCGCTCGTGCATACCAAGGAACGGTGAGCCACGATGCGCCGAATGCAGAGGTGAAAATAAAGATCATCGATGCTGCTGCTGCACCGTACGAGGAGGCCTTGCCCATGTCACCCGCTGCCTTGTTATCGATTGCGAGGCGGGAAAAGCCACCGGCAAGGAACATGGCAATGCCCTGGACAACTGCACCCCAGTACAGGGTCCAGCGGCGACCGATGCGATCGAGAGTAAAGACACAGACCAGTGTAGCGAACTAGAGATAAAGCAATTAGTCTTGCTGGATCTTTCTGCCGTGAATCCTGAAAACATACCATGTAGAAGATATTGTTCAAACCACTGATCCATTGACTCTTCATCGAGTCAAACCCAGCAATACCGAAGATGGTCGGTGCGTACACGGTGACACCGGCGATACCAACCCATTCCTGCATGATCTGTAGCCAAATGACCAGCTGTACGCGGCGGCCGATGTGGAGATCCCCGGATTTGTATCCAAACAGCATCGACAGATAGGAGTCTCCGTGGTTCATTGTCCGCTCCAGCTCGGCGATGCTCAGAATATCCTGGAACTCGGCTTCGGCGCGGATGAGATCCTCTCCGCTAGACCCACGCAGGCGCTGTAGAACGTACCGGGCCTCGTCCTCCCGGCCGACCTTGACGAGCCATCGGGGAGACTCTGGGAAAATCCAGACGACCGAGAAGAGAATGATCAGGAAGATGATCTGGAATGCGATGGGGAATCTCCAGCGGAAGGCTGATTCTCCATTGTCGATGAAGGATAGGCCACTGTTGCGTATGAGCATTGAACATTTACAAAGATGGAAAGAGGCACACGTACAACTCCAACCAATAAGCCAAGACAACACCAAAGATATTCAAAGTGAACTCAATGGCAATGAATTGTCCGCGAGAAGTATGTTCAGCCGTCTCGGTAGCCCAGACGGGAATGATAGCATTCAAGATACCGGTTCCAATACCGTTAATGAAACGCGCTGCAATCGTCAGTCCAAGTCTTCCGGTCCTTGTATGTTTTCTGCTTCTTACCGCAAATCATCCAGTTGTGGTTCATGGCCGAGCACTGTAGGGCCGCACCCAAGATAGCCCACATAGCACCAGCCGCGATGGTCTTGATTCTTCCCATCCGGTCTCCGAGCCAGCCACCGAACAAGGCGCCGAAAAGCGTTCCCAGGTAATACACCGACACAATACCACCCTGTAGCAGGGAATTTGTAACCACCGGGGTATGCTCGCCGTCCACCATCTTAGTGTAACCGAATCCCATGCGATCGATATAGTCCTTCGCATTGTTGACACCGGCCATCATTCCTTGGTCATAACCGAAGAACAGAATAGATAGGCCAGCGACACAGTTGATGCCAATGAGAAGCTGACGCTTCTCCAGCTTGTGGACGATATTCCACGAGGGGATCTTGTCACTCATCTTGGATGTGATCGAATAGAGGGTTCTCGGGGTCTTGTCGCATAAACGCTAACGAAATCAATTTCTACCCTGACTGTAGTCAAGTTGTAGACGCAGTCTCGAACAAGCACCGAAGGAGAGAAATAGCGAAGCCGAAAAGAAAGAAAAAAAAATCCCCGCGCCGACGTCACGGGCAAGCAGGGGTCCAAAAGCTTTTAAGCACGGAAGGCCGACTGGTTCCAAGCACGGCGAAAGTCCGAGATGCCAAGTTCAACGGCACCTTCCCCACGGGGATCGACCAAAAGACATCCGTGAACAGCATGGCGCCACAACTCCGATGCGGATATATCCCGGCGGCACATGGGGGTAACGGGCATGGGGGTCGCACAAACTCGTCAGAGAGGCTCCACCGGCACGAGAAAAGTCGGGGACGCCCGGGCTAGATTCGGGCACGGAGAGGACGCACGATCGTGGCCCGTGGGTGGCCCGTGGGTGAGAATGTAATGAGCGGTAGCCGGCTCTAGGAATCGGCAATCCGAAACGAGGCCGTTCTTTAGTTTTTGCGCGCGTTACAACTTACGGGTATGTATATCGGGATTCTGGCTGTGGATGTTCGGTTCGGGAAATTTCTGTCGGACAATTTCGATTCATATATCCCCGGAAATGGCATCAGTGGCTTTTTACAAGCTTGCTCTACCGTCTTTCAAGGTATCGTCGGGTGAGGCGCTTTTCCGTTGTGCAGGTGACTGCGTAGTTCTCAGTCTGGGGTTTGGGTATAGTCACGTGGTTGGCCGGGGTAGCCAGTAGCCTGGGGTAGGCTGGATGTGATTGGCTATTCACATAGAACCCACAGAGGAAAGAAGAAGAGGGTGGGCGGAAGAAGTCATTTTAATGTTCTCCCTGCTCGCTCCTTCCATCCTAGGTAGCTACCTAGTAGCTACAGTTCGCTCCTTCTTTTAGCTATCTACATCGTCCTCCAGCCATACGTCACAGTTGCTTGCCATGGTTGTGATACTGTGTATACAGGTTACGCTGCTGGTCCGCTGGAGGTGGAAACAGGATATATCCTCTACGCCACATCGTGCCTGCTTAATCTGTACCAACTAGGTACGTCGTAAATACCTACGTCTACAGTGTGATGATGAAGGTAAACAGAAATGAATCAATTCCTTTGCATAAAACGACAAGACTGGAGAGAAAAGAGAAGAGACATGTTATTCAGCCATAAGGTACTTCACTTATCACCAAGCCCCATACCTCAAGGTCGACTTGTACTTACTCTTCTGTGCTTCAAATAATCCCGCTTGTTCCCTCAAGATACCGTGCATTGGGTACTGTAAGTCTCAAGCTAAAAGCAAGATTTGATGATTCTAATATTTGTGCAGCTATCTTTGGGATGCGCCTGCTGCAACTGGCACCCTTTTCCATGCCAGTAAGGACGCATTGACAAGCAGACAGTATGCACCTATCTCTCATCGGACATCCCTGAACTCTGCTGCACCAACAAGGTCAAGAATTTATGTCATAGTTAGGTAGTGGTCAGAATATATTAGAGTACGAATACTGACTGGATGCTACAGAGGTATGTTGATACACAGCTATGTAGTAGCGTGGTGCATTTTATTGGAGCTGTAGCCGCAGTGGGGCCAATGTCCACGTGGGGTCAGGGGCGTGCTCAATTCTACTCGGGGATATAAAAAGCCAAGAAAAGAGGGTCCCTTGAACATGCGGGGAGGATGGAGATGTTGCACGTCCTGAACTCTACAAATGTAGGATCATCCTATTTGGACTTTCATACGCGGCTGAGTCGGGTCTCTTCGGTTGTCGCCAGTCCTCATGCAGCTTACCCCTTCCCTTCCGCACATCTTAACTAACGCTTGTCTAAAATCATACTAAGCCAAGGAAAGTTCGCCTAGAGATCGGAGCTTCGTCGACTCCGCAAAGCTAGGTCTGCCTTGGCCCTTGATAGTTTCATTAGTTTCGATGATGTCCCAAGCGCAACTTTCGAGATCCTAACCATGAGAGGTTGGTCAACTGCTTCTTCTCCGCAGTCGGGACTCAATGGCATGATTGACAGCAGTACTAAGTTGATGCCGATCTACGACCAGGCGCGAATCGCTATCATCGCCACATTGATGGGCAATCCTGAAACTAGTTGAATGAATGTGAGCAGCTCAGTTGAGGTTCAATCTCTCCATGCGAGAAAATGCACATGTGTGCACGTGCGCGCACATGAGCCATGGGGGTTTCAACAATGGAACATTTAAAACAAAACGCACAGATCACAGGTGCTTCCTGGCATCTACGAGCACATTACCTACTCACAGTCATCATATTCTGGTCCGTTGCATCAATCCTAAGGCTGAATCTGGGTTCAGATTGATCCCGGTCCCGGGATTGAAACAACTTTTGATTGGTTGACTTCCCTGAACCGGGGGTTGCCAAAACTATCGGGGATATTTCATAAATCACCTCAGTCGCCGTCCCACGATTTCGACCACATGGATAAATCCCCGACTAAGGACAGACCCAGCATGGCACAGGAGCGCAGCGCCGAGGCCGATACCAAAACACCGGAAGACCCGAGCCGCGGAGACGCGCGCCTGGAAGGATTCTCCCAGTTCACTGTAGCCCAGAAGCGGGCTATTGTCGCCGTGGGATCCCTAGCCAGCTTCTTCTCACCTCTGTCTTCGAGCATCTATCTCCCAGCTTTGCCTACTATCGCAAATTCTCTGCGCATCTCCGTCTCTCAGGTCAACTTGACTGTCACTACATACCTGGTAAGTCCGACAGAAAGCGATGATGGTACCAATCAGTCGCAAGGCTGACCGAGTCTCTCACTTCCAGATTATGCAGGGTGTTGCGCCCATGCTGATCGCAGGTTTCTCAGACACCGCAGGCCGCCGTCCCGCCTACATCATTTGCTTCACCATCTACCTCGCAGCCAACCTAGGATTAGGCCTTCAAAACAACTATGCCGCCCTTCTCGTACTTAGATGCCTACAAAGCGCCGGTAGTAGCGGAACTGTTGCACTGGCAAACGGCTTGGTTGGAGATATGATCACGTCCGCGGAAAGAGGGTCATACATCGCCTTCGCCTCACTCGGAAGCATGCTGGGACCCTCTTTGTCACCGATCATTGGCGGGCTTCTCAGCCAGTACACAAACTGGCACTGGATCTTCTGGTTTCTGCTCATCTTTGGCGGTGTCTTCTTCCTTGTTCTTGTTCTCTTCCTGCCCGAGACATGTCGCAAAGTTGTCGGAGACGGTTCCATCCCACCACCCACGTTGAATAATTCCGTGGCAGATATCATCCGACATCGCAGGCGCAGACAGCAGGGTCTTGTACCTAACCCGGACAAGGAAGCTGAAGTAAAGGAGAACTACTCTCTCAGATTCCCGTCACCCGTCCCGACCATGAAGATTGTCCTTGATATCGAAACGTCAGTGATTCTCCTCACGACCGGTCTGCTGTTTGCCGGTTTCTATGCCGTGATGACTGGTGCCTCGACGTCTTTCAATAAGATATATCATTTCAATGACATCCATGCCGCCCTGATGTATCTCCCCATCGGTGGAGGTGGGATTGTGTCAGCACTCACCACTGGCCGGATAGTCGACTGGAACTACCGCCGCCATGCGAAACATGCCGGACTTGCTATCGTCAAGAATGTGCGTCCGGATATTCGAAATTTCAACATCGAGCGCGCGAGACTCGAAGTTGCCCTCCCACTCTATTACATTAGCAATGTGGCCATGCTCGCCTACGGTTGGGTTCTGGGTCGGAAGGTCAGTCTTGCTGCTCCTATCATTCTGCTGTTTCTTATCGGATGGGCTATCACTGGTACGTCGCAGGTGCTCAATGCCTTGATGGTTGATATCTGGCCAGGGAAGTCGGCATCGGCAACTGCGGCAAACAATCTGTTCCGTTGTGAGCTCGGTGCTGCAGCCTCGGCGGCTATTAGCCCTATGGCATCTGCTATGGGCGAGGGCTGGGCGTACACCACGCTTTCTCTGATTTCCGTTACTGTCTCTCCGTGTTTGTGGATCGTTGCTCATTATGGGATCAAGTGGCGGCAGAAGAGGAATCAAAAGGAGGACGAGAAGTCAGCTCGTTCACAGGACTGACATACCGTCAATTGCATGGACTTAGGAAACCGTATTCAGTCTAGACAATATAGCTGAGTATTGGTATCTTGCCTCTTGTCGTACTTTAGCTGGCAATCAGATGAAATCGAACTGAGCTTCCATACCGATATTTCATTGTTCCTAGCACTGCACCGCGGCCGCGGCCACCGCATGTGTTATTGATCACTACCCGTCGGCACTGGGGTGAAGCTGTAGGTGGGCTTCATTGGTAGGTAGGTAGACCTCATGGATTGCGTTAGACTAGCCCCGACTCAGGAGGTACCTGCTTCTGCGGGAGTTCTTATCTCAGATCCTAGATCACCTGCGTGAAATGGAACAACCACTAACTCTAAGGTTCCAATGGCATCAATGGTGAATGGGGGAATGAATGGAGGTTACCTACCTAGTGGATGTCGATGCCCCTTCAGGACGGTATATATGGAGCAAGATGATCCCGCCTCATTGAAAGCTTAGGTAGGTTGGACCGTCGGAATTATTTCCATCTCAATATTCAGCCCAAAATTGATCCACCATACGGAGACCCGCAAAACAGCCACATAATTGATACCGGACTCTTCAATATCTGGGGTAGTCGATTGAACACACCTGCCATCCGGGCGGTGCCGCTTGTAGCCGCAGGAGGAGGCCGAGATTGCTTACCGATAATACTCCGCGGGTATGGGCAATCGCCGCTACACGGGAAAGAACGAAAGAGACCAACGGCTCGATCTGACAGCTTTGCTACAACCTGGGTAACTAAGCCCAGTAAACATCTATTCACGAAATCTGTTAGAGTACAAGTAGTACATGATCTTGCCCATGTAGAAAGCGTGCGGACAAAACGTTGTATAAATGACATTCTTTCCTTTCATCCCCTTGAAACTGCCCAAACCTGCTCAGTTTCTGCCAGCAAAATTGTCGAATAATCGGAAAGGCCTTCCGTAACTCTCTGTTCATTTGTTCAATACTCACCGCTCTATGAATATCGGCCAGTCATATGGCTATGTTCCACCCTAGGCGGTGAAGCCGCGCATTGCCGCAAAAGCTCAGTCCTTCGTTTCCCGTAATCGAATCCACTTTCTTCGCTCATTCCCAACAACTTATAATCCGTTGGCTTCGAGGATTGCATCACCATCTACACGTTTATAATTCCGTTCCTCCTCCTTTAGTTATGTTTCGCGCTGTATTGCCCCGGGCCACGCCCCGGTCTGCCCTTCGCTATGCCGGCCCGAAGGCTATTCCCTCCAACTTTGCTACTCCTATGATCTTCATCGGTCACTCAAAACGTGGTTATGCCTCTGAATCAGGTGAGTAGTTAATTGCATGGCTTTCACGGAGTCCCCGGTTAGCTTCCCTGCGCTTCCCGGCTGCGATTGCTGATCTCTGTGTCCAGGTGATCACGACTTGGTCATCATCGGTGGTGGTGTGGCTGGTTACGTTGCAGCTATCAAAGCTGGCCAGGAAGGTCTCAAGGTACGATTGTTCTCCCCCCAAACCTTTTTCGGATTTCCATTGGGTCGGTTTAGTCATCGCGATGGGCATACTAACTCGACACATTGACAGACCGCATGTATCGAGAAGCGTGGAATGCTCGGCGGCACCTGCTTGAACGTCGGCTGTATTCCCTCCAAGTCCCTCCTCAACAACTCCCATCTTTACCACCAGGTTCTTCACGATACCAAGAAGCGCGGTATCGAGGTCGGCGATGTCAAGCTCAACCTTACCCAGATGATGAAGGCCAAGGACCAGTCTGTGGAGGGCCTGACCAAGGGTGTTGAGTTCCTGCTCAAGAAGAATGGAGTCGACTACTTGAAGGGTGCCGGTTCTTTCGTTGATGCCAACACTGTTAAGGTCGCTCTCAACGACGGTGGTGAGCAGACTTTGCGCGCCAAGAACATCATCATTGCCACTGGCTCCGAAGCCTCCGGCTTCCCCGGCTTGAACATTGACGAGAAGCGCATTATCACCAGCACCGGCGCTCTGTCCCTTACTGAGGTCCCCAAGAAGATGGTTGTTATCGGCGGTGGCATCATCGGCCTTGAGATGGTACGTTATAAGTTGCAAAATGAGTGTTGAAGGTTTGAATGTGCTGACGTTTTTTTTGTTTGTCGTGATATTAGGCTTCCGTTTGGTCCCGTCTCGGTGCTGAGGTCACTGTTGTTGAGTTCCTCGGCCAGATCGGTGGCCCCGGCATGGACGCCGAGATCGCCAAGCACACTCAGAAGATCCTGGGCAAGCAGGGTATCAAGTTCAAGACTGGTACCAAGGTCACCTCCGGTGATGACAGCGGTGCTACCGTCGCTCTTAACATCGAGTCCGCCAAGGGCGGCAAGGAGGAAGTCCTGGACGCCGACGTTGTCTTGGTCGCCATTGGCCGTCGCCCGTACACCGAGGGCCTGAACCTCGAGCAGGTTGGCATCGAGAAGGACGACCGTGGCCGTCTGGTCATCGACCAGGAATACCGCACCAAGCTGCCCCACGTCCGTGTCATTGGTGACTGCACTTTCGGCCCCATGCTGGCCCACAAGGCCGAGGAGGAGGCCGTTGCCGCCATCGAATACATCAAGACCGGCTACGGCCACGTCAACTACGCCGCCATCCCCAGCGTCATGTACACCCACCCCGAGGTCGCCTGGGTTGGCCAGAGCGAGGCTGATGTCAAGGCATCTGGCGTCAAGTACCGTGTCGGTTCCTTCCCCTTCAGCGCCAACTCCCGCGCCAAGACCAACCTCGACACTGAGGGTCTCGTGAAGTTCATCGCCGATGCCGAGACCGACCGCATTCTCGGTGTCCACATCATCGGCGCCGGTGCCGGTGAGATGATCGCCGAGGCTACCCTTGCTATCGAGTACGGTGCCTCCTCCGAGGACATTGCCCGCACCTGCCACGCCCACCCCACTCTCTCCGAGGCTTTCAAGGAGGCTGCCATGGCCACCTACTCGAAGCCCATCCACTTCTAGACGTTCTCATTCGATATCCTCTCCCCATGTACTACTTTTAGCTGATCTAGACTAGCTCGGCTAGCAAAATACATCATTCATGTAATCATCTCTTTTCTTTTGGTTCTCTTGCGAAATGCACATTGTCTTCCAGTTAAATGAACGAACGCAAAATCGAAAAGGAAAGAAGCCAGCGAATTCAACATCCGAATGTAACGTCTCAAGTGTTTGGTCGAAAGAACAAACTGGAGCCGTTTCTGGCGGCCCGCTCACCGTGTCAACTAATACTCGAAAAAAGTGCCCACCCCTAATTAGTAATTGATGCCCTGCGAATATTAGATCCTTTCGCCCTCCTCTTCACTTGGGAGAGCTAATGGCCAGGGCCAGCTTGGCAAAATACCGGACGTCCTCCTTCTCAGCGATGGAATATGGACCATATCGGCGAATTTCAACAAACTCGTCTTGCCTAACAGTGCGCTTTCCTGAAGCACCCCCCTAATCTTCGCGAAGCCACGAATATAGGTTTTAATCGTACGCTTAGACTTTAGAACATTAACGCTCGCTTACGTATGGATGTAGCGTACCTGAGGACTTATTAGGAGGGCGCTTAAGGTCCGTAATATTGCGTAATATGATTAACGTTGTCTTTGCGTTGCCAGGGAACCCTTTCTCATCTAGCAGCCAAATATCATTTTTGAGGAAGAAGATTTTCTTTGTTCGATCCGAAGGGCGAGGCTTGATGCTGAACGCGAGGAGATAGCGACTGCTCATCAACTAGAACAGGCTCGATTTCTAGACCATCTCGGGGTTTGCAATTGTTGTAGCGAACGAAAAGCTTTATCTTTTCATCGCTGTCCATAAAATTGTAGATCCGCGAGGATCGGACAAGTAAGGTACCCGAGTTATCGAATTTAGCCTGTAGGAGACGACCGTGTCTTGGCCCAAAGAGCGAGATGACGAGTACTGGGAAGAGTGAGGTATCCTTGAATTCTGGCTGTTCGAGACGGCAGTAGAGGGCATTTGCAATAGGCGCTAATTCACCATGGAGTAATTCATTTTCTTTAGCCTTTGCACCAGTGAGAGTTATAAGTTTGATGTGAGGGCGACTGGTCTTCGGATCCTCAAGGTCGTCAAGCCATTGGCAAGTAGAAGAGGCTTTCCATCTCGGAAGATCCTGAGGCTTCGAATGTCCACATTTAAAACCGCGCAACATTCCCGTTGGATTCTCGAGGAAAGAGTCCTCGGCCCTAATAGCCTATGTTAGCGACTTATTAATTGGGCATAGAGCGAAACTCACTTGATATGATCCCAATGCGAAAGGTCCTCTATTGAGGATATCAATCTCCCACTCTTCCTCTCGGCCCTCGACTCGAAGACCTCAAGATAGAATAGAATTTGACCAGCTCTCTCCCACATCTGGTAATAATCTGGAACATCGTCCGTGATGTCATGAAAAGTGTCCTTGAATCCGATGATGTAGTGATGCTCGTCCTTAGAAAGTGTTTTTATGTCGATTACGAATGTTTTAAGCTCTTCCTGGGTGAGTGGCGGGAAGAGACAAGCTTCGGAATCGGTGAATTTGTGATCCTCCGGGTCGATGGATTGGACAGACACTCGGAATTGAGCGAGCTCAGTGTGCGTGTAGGCAGGCTTGGACCGAGACTGGAGCTCTTGGATGATGGATCGCGCTGCTTGCTTTTACTTGCCTCTTAGGCGAGCGCGTTCGTGCGGGTCAACCAGGGAAGAAGCCATGGCGATCAACAAGGAAGAAAGGGTGATATGAGACGTAAAAGACAGAAAGATTATTTTGTGGGTGGACCTGAGAGCTGGAGGTGAAGATGTGTGGATAAGACTGATGAAAGAGGCAGGTAACTACAACTACCTGTAACTACATAGTACAGTAGAGGTAGTGAAGGCCCACCCGGGCGGGACGCTCGCCCTCCAAAGTTACGGGTGGAAAGACGGCCGTTTCTGGCGCCAAAAGTGGTCATTTTCGGCGTCATTTTCACAGGTCCTCATATTCTATATGTAATCATCTCTTTTCTTTTGGTTCTCTTGCGAAATGCACATTGTCTTCCAGTTAAATGAACGAACGCAAAATTAAAAAGGAAAGAAAGCCAGCGAATTCAACATCCGAATGTAACGTCTCAAGTGTTTGGTCGAAAGAACAAACTGTGTATCCAAAAAAGTGAACTCCGATAGGGGGAATCGAACCCCCGGCTGCCGTGTGAGAGACGGCGATGTTAGCCACTACACCATATCGGATAGTTAGGTGACAGAGGCTAGCCTTTTGTACATTATGAAGCAAATCTCTAAAAAAGCAGCCCTAGTCCGTACGCGTTCCCGCGCGTGGACCTATCGTGAGTCGTGACACGACATGTTTGTATTTTTCTTCCATCTTTCAACCCGCTTTAGTGCTCAACTCTGGACAAAGAGTCTCATCAACCATGCCAGAAATTACACACACGACTCTCCTGGCAGCTTTGTCACTGCAAAACGCCGAAGCAGCACAATGGAACAAAGACCTCATGCGGCAATTCCAGGCTGAACTGGACAGGAACCCTAAAGCTGACCTCTTGTCAATGTTTCCTGAACTATATCGCCACGAACATCGAAAATCACAGTATCTCCAACTGTCTCATGCCGCCAAAATCAACCTCCGAACTCTGCATGACCGCCGCGAGGCTCTAAGGGCGGGATGATCCAGAGATAAATATGCTATCTGTGTTTCCGAAGAATTACCATCGCAGGATCAACATGGCAACGGGTCCAAAAGTCTTACCTTCTAACAGGATATAGGTATATCCAGGCACAAGGCCCAGAGTTCCGCACCCGTCTGGATATTGCTGAGTCGGCTCAGGTCGTCTTCATTATCCAGTACGGTGACTACATGGATTACAACATCCTCAAAGGACTCTCCAAACGACCCGGAAAATGCACTTGCCACCTCTCTCAAACAACTCCTCTTCCACTCGCCATGGAAAGCTCTGGGAGTCTCCAGTGCGTGGCATGGTAGTCCAATGCAGTGAAGATATTGTCGCCAAGGTTGTTATTGGTAATGGTGACTCCACGGAGTACACAAGTCTGCAATTTCTTGCCGAACGAGCGCCCGAGATTCCTATTCCAAAGGTAGTTATCCTCTTCTCTAGATTTTGGGCGTTGCCTCGAAGATTATAAAGCACTACTTGTTCTATCGCGAAAATCATCGAGGATCATAGCCAGCTTATTCAATGACATTGAGATCTCTCATTTACCGATAATCCTTCTCCCACGTTCTAGTCGTAGATTGACAATCCGTCTCGACGGTCTTGTATCAAACGATTCCCGACATGGCAGTAGGGGAAACAAGCTTTGATATCACATATCCTTCAGCTGGTCGAGTACGCTTGCCAGGTTCCGTCCAGTGGCGTTTGCGTTCTCCGCAAATATTGCTAGGTAGGCATTATGGATCAGTACACGTAAGACGGGAGGATTTGTGATTGGTTACCATCTGGTGTTCCATCTAGAAGTAGATGGTGCATCTTTCCGCCAATGAACAAAGTTGCAGGGCTTGTATTCAACTCTGTCTATTGCGGAATTTGGCTTGAGGCATAGAGACGGGGATAACTCGTTGATCCTAGCAATGAAAATAAACTGGTAAGGCTGGGCTGAATAGGACTCTCGCACACTGACAACATACCAAATCCAAAGTGTTGAGAATCGTGGAAAAAACGTAAGCTTATAACGATATTCAGCACTAGCTGCAGATGCTGATATAAAGGGACTGGCAGCACGGAGTGCACAGCCAACCTCTTGCTCAATCAACATGTAAGTTTCTCCCGAGTCGCCAACAATAACAGGCACCTTTCTGGTAACCAGATCTCCTCTCGCGTCATGGGCAATGAAATCTGTTGTGACACGATGAAGAAGTCGCACGCTACGAGCGCTTCTAGGGCAGGGAAAGGAAGAGAGGGGGCGAAAAGCGCTGCGAAACATATTGCATCGGATTAATTGAAGACTCAAGGAGGGACAGGCAATTCTTTCGCATTCAAGACGTAAAATGGGCTGGACATGTTGCAGAACACATAAGCATAACAAAGGTCTGTGATGGATTGACTGGGACCTCGCAGTGCTCTTATATACCCTTTGTCTCGGAGTGGAAGAATATATCAGCGGATCAGTTGCGTTCGGAGAATCCCAGTTAGGCTGATATAAGTAAGAAGCCGTTCTGTTCTTCGCTTGCTCTTGAACAAACCAGGAATCTAGTGAATTTGTATGGCGGAGATAGGCATTTGCGTCATAATCTAGGCTGAGGGTCTTTTCTCTAGTTTGATATGCGAAATGGGAATTTGAATATGGAATCGTGAATTCAACGAGAATTGTAGGACAATTGTCCAAGAATGGAGGAGTAGGGCTATGTACATTCATTCGTACAGCAAAAAGAAATGTTCAGATCGGTGAAATCTGAACATGCAGAAGTCCCAAAGCACAGTTTACTTTCATTTGAATGTTCACTTGTACTTAGATGATCTTGAACACGTTTCATCCCATGACCGTGTAGATGTTGGCTTCAACCTCAGGCATCTGGGCTTAGGGCTTAGGCTGGCGATAGCTCCTCATAGATATGACGACTTCGGGCCTGGAAGGTCTTTAGCTGCTCGCTGCAAAATGTCTTTCCTGTTTTGATCGTCATTTCCAGCTCCGCAGTCTTTTCCTGTGCCCGCAGTGACTCGACCCACGGGTCATCCTCGATCCGATAGCCGGCACAACAGCTCATGAGGGGGCGGAGCGGTCGGCTCTCCCTGCCGGATTCCTCTTCTTGAAAAGGCGGGTAACTCACACGCTCCAGATGGGGGCGATGCGTGTTCTCTAAAAGCTCGGTACGATGCACACGTGGTGTCTTACATACTGCCGTGTGAGTTACCCGCATTTCCAAGAAGAGGAATCCAGCAGGGAGAGCCCACTACTCCGCCCCCTCATGAGCTGCTGTGCCGGCTATCAGATCGAGGATGACCCGTGGGTCGAGTCACTGCGGGCACAGGAAAAGACTGCGGAACTGGAAATGACCACCAAAACAGGAAAGCCTTTTGCAGCGAGCAGCTAAAGACCTTCCAGGCCCGAAGTCGTCATATCTATGAGGAGCTATCGCCAGGTCTTGCAAGCAAGCCTGTAGGAACTTGAAGGTCGCCGCTTTAGGACGCTTCGCCTCCGTCACCCTTGGCGTCCAGCTGGTCGTCGGGACTAGACGCATTGTAGATGCTCAAGAGTGGGTAGCCATTCCGGAGACAGTTCCACAACGTGACCGTGGACCAACGGTGCTCATGAGCAATCTTCGACGCTATCGGGAAGAAGGAGTAAGTATTGAGACCTCGCAGATGGACTTAGATCCTACTTACTGTATAGATCCTTCTGCCGTTTCTCGAGGATCTCAAAGGCACTCGGCCTCTAAAGGTCATCGTCACACATGCTGATAATTTCCTCATCTGCCGGAGTAGCAGCCTGCTCAACCGCATTCCCCGATTGGGATTCGTGGACTTTCGCAAACCCAATGTAGTCGGGGCTGTCTTCGATTTGTGCGCGGGTTGAAGAGAAGTCGGGGTCGACGTATAACAGGTCCGCGATGGCGGAAGAACATGACCGTACGGCGAAGATCGGTCGAATCTTATCAAGCTCGTCCAATGTCAGGGCCAATGCCGCAGTTGTCTGTATCTTGTTGAGGCACGAACGGATAGGCCTTAATATGACCGGTAAACGTCAGTGTGGGAGGTATTGAAGTTCACTAAGTTCGAGACTCCGAGCAACTGGAGCTCTGTTCATCATTGATGATCGGAGAGGAAAGAGAGGAAAGAGAGGAAAGAGAGGAAAGAGACGAAAGAGAGGAAACGATGCCTCATCAGTCTCCGTGTCGTCTGCAGTGATCAGTATCAACTTTCGTCATGGAGATGGTCGGGGTGATGCATTTGAAGGAGATGAAGGAGATGAAGGGAACGAAAAGGGATGAAAAGGTGGGAAAGAGATGGCAGAGATGGCGGGCTTACCATGAGAGACGAGGCCTCGAGGCAGCGAGGCATCGAGGCAGCGAGGCAGCCTAGGGAAGGACGGGCTGGGTCTCCACATATCGTTGTTCTATTGTCTGTGTCTTGGGCCGAGGCGCCTCATTAACCGATTCCACACATCATCAATGAAGAAGCTCGTTTTGACAGGTATATTAGTTGATCTGGGCATGGAGGTTGATGGGGGATGGATTGAGAAAGGGGAAGATGAAGTGAGAGGGAGTGAGGGCACGACTAATCACGAGCATATGACAGCCTTAGGACGACATAAGCGCTTGCTATCTTGGACATGAATAGATCGTTTAAGGCGAGCGCATTGGAGGGTCGTGTCACATTGTGCTTTAGTTACGCTGCGTTGCGAGTCACACTTCACCACAATATTATGCGCATTAGACTTCATGGCTGGACAACCCACAGGTTCCTTTCCTCAAACGGTTGGTGTTCACCCATTTTGAATCCAGTATGTACTTACACAACACATGGGATTGTGTAGTGTCCCGGATCCATTTGACTGGTAGGTTTGCTAATCGATTGAGACCAACTACAAGAGCCATGCAATGGTTTTCGTCAACCATCAGTTATGACAAAGTGAAATGTGTACCGATGACTCCTGGGGTCCGCCTTTCTACTCACATCCATCTCAAAACCAAAGTAGAAGCTGAAAGATAGGTCAGCAGAGCACTGGGAGCAGCCGCAGCTATAATTTGCGGTCACTCGCTGCTTCAACGAAGTATTCGCATTACGCCTGCGCAGCATACTTCAGTTGCCCAGCGTTGGAAGATGAAGTACGACCACTCATGGTTCAAACATCGTGTAGAAGGTCTCTATGTCAAGAAACTTGGACCAAAGCGTGGAGGTGCTTATCTCCAAGCCGTTCAAGTGTGTCTGATGCTTCCAACTTCCTTGATCAACACAACCGATGACCGACCTTGGCCTTTGTGTTCCGCATATCTACCACTATCCAGTTATGATATGGCGTTTATGATTGTGTTGGTTTTTATGATCGTTGGGGATCGGAGTGGTTTGTGCAACTCTTCGTCTTTCCTGTCTTGATATATTTTATCATTATTAGGCATCACGAGAATGCATACATGACGAATCAAAGTTCTATTAACCTGTTGGAGCCTACCTCATATGAGAGCCCGGCCCATCACGTTTGTTGACCCGCGTTAGGAAAGCATTCCTAGTATTCTTTCCGTATGCAAGAACCCGCGGCCAACATGCGGGCTCTAGTACAAAGAGATTCTCAAAGAGTGGGAGCCTATCATGCAAACGGCAGGACCAATCGCATTTTTTTTACTCTGTGTTTTTTTCTACCCTTTGTGTGCAGTTTGATCTGCATCTCGTAAAGATATCTACAAAGGTGGCGGAGTCGAATGGGATGCAGCCCACTTAACAGCGAGGTGTAGAGTACTAGGACTTGGCGGCTCATAACTAGACCCTCAGAAGTCAAGTGGTATCAACAGGAGTCTTACCTCAGGAAGAGCAAGAGGGCTATGTAACATAGTACATTAACATTCATCAATCAACAATTCAACAAATCCTACATAAGTGCCCGGTCAGGGTCACACACGAAACAACCACTGCCACCAGCTCGGAGTCGGAGACCATTTAACGGCCAGTTTTTACTGGCATCTCCTTGCCTTCGTACCTCATCTCTCCCGGTTGGACTTCGCTCTCCGGGACCACTTTTGGCCCACCGTCACGCTCCACGAGCCTGCCTCCATGGGCGCTCTGGTAAACATTCACGTCGTACGTAAATTTCACCAGCAGATGGTACACATGGACAGTTTTTGTCTGTCCATGCCGACGCGCACGACCAATGGCCTGGGTCATCCCGGAATCGTATTCGTTCCGGGTAGAGGCAATCAAGGGCGACAAGAAGACGACGTGGTTTGCGCAGCGGAGGTTCCTGAATCAGTTAGCAATCACGTGTCGACCAACTTCCAATGACAAGAGAAACTACTTACTGCTCAGCAGCCATTGGGCTGCCAAGTTCGAAAAGCAAAGCCTTGGGCTTTTCTTTTTCCAACAGTCATTGCCAGTAAAACTCGATCTCCATTTCTGTCTTGTCGTTGGAGAGAGAAACCGGACGGAGGGCGAAGAGTGCATCCAACCAAGCCGCGCGAAGGTCCTGTCGAAGACAGATCATATTGACAGTCTACCAGTACCCGAATGCCAAAAGCAATGGTGAAGAGTTATGATCAACACCTCTGACAAGCATCCTTTGTCGGGTCGGACTTCGCTGTCGGACTTCGCTGTCGGGGACCACTTTCAGCACACCGTCACGCTCCACGAGCCTGCCTCCGTGGGCGCTCTGGTAGACATTGACGTCGTACGTGATGAAGGTGTTACTCGCTCATGGGGCTGACACAGGTTGTCTCGCCTCCCTAGAAAGGCGACACAAGGGCTTGGACTCAGCGCGCAGCAGGAAGATCGTGCGAGCACCGATGTGGTGAAGCAGAAGATGTATCGCCGCGCCAGGCCGCATTCGACTCGAGTGATCCAGGGTCACCTCGAGCGGGACCCCCGCACCTCAAGCGGAATCCCCCGAGTCCGACCAACAGCCTCATCGTCAGTTCCAGCCTGATTGAATACGTGGGGCGGGAATAGTTCGAGTGCGAAATGCGGAGTTTGCTGAATCAGAAGAGGGCTATGAGTCCGATGCAGAAGCAATAGCGGAGGGAATGCAGATAAGCCACACCACGGAGCAACCAGATGAACCACCTCCCCCGCCGATCTCTCCGCCAGCCAGTGGTTTGTCCGAATGGCAGGTGGTCAATCGTCATGATTCTAACAGAAGGTCAGACAAAGAGAGCGACCCAAGGCAACGTAGCAAGGGCCTGCGACGGTTCCGATCTGGCCAACCGGACACCCCATTGGTCGGGCTCTCTTCGGTTCATGGAAAAGGCGTGGGTGGTCTGGATATGCCAGTCTTAACTCCCAAGTGAAGAGGCGTGGAGATGGGGAAGAGTGGATTCCATGTAATTCTCCGTCTTACATTTCACGCTGAAGCTTGAAGCACGAGTGGTGGTGTTTTGCTTCTTGGGTACAACGGCACCTTCGATGGAAGATACTGCTGCATCAATATCATAGCGGGCAGGTCACTTGTCGGTGCCGCATCTCTTCGGCATCTCTGGTGGCTTCTGCACAAGATCGTTGTCAGCCAGGCCAGTGTGGGACATGGCAAGGCAGGTATGTTGGATGGAGGCCGCGAGCTTTGTTGATTGACGCGTGCTTCCAACCTTCTGGTAAAGGGAAGCACAATATGGATAATGTCAAGGAAGATAAAACAAACGATAAGATGCGAGAGAAAGGATGGCCAAAGCGATGAACAACGATAGTTGGAAAGGTCAAGAATGAAAGGAGAAGAGGCACCAGGACAGAGAATTTATAGCTTCGAAGGAGATGGGACGATCACGGGCCTTCGGTGATGCCCGTGACATCACGAGCTTTCGATCACGGGTCTCCATAGCAATGGGAAACGAGGCTATTCCCACATCCATTTTGGGGAAAGGGCGGGATTGATTGATAGAACAGCGCGATACCGCTTCAAAAGGCCGAATACCCTCGACCTAATTACCAGCTGACGTCCTATCTTCGATATATTCCGTTGACCATGTCTATAACGGTACAACCTCCGGAAGAATGTTGCTACAGCTCCGACTACTAACAAGAGATGATACACCCCAGATTTGGTCAAAGGGATAGTGTAACTGTGTAACTGCCAACTGGTGTCGGATTAGGGTCACGTGGGCATGTGACCCATTACCTGCTTGCACACTTTGCACCGCTCCCTGTGCGGCTGTGCCTACTTTCATGTTTCTTCAAGCTTCTGATAGATTGCATTGTGGCCCAGCTGAATTGAGTCAAGTTTGGCGTCAGCCCTTCACAGATAGAACATTGGCAATTTGCAGTTTGCACTCTGGAATGATTGCATTCTCCTAAATGGACTAGTTCACGCATAGAATTCCAGCTTCCAGTGGCGCAATTCGCCGCTTCTAGGCTGTTCTTTGGACATTCATACATAGACAGGCTGTTTCCCAAGGCTGATTTAGTCTCCAGAAAGTCCCGCCAAAGACACCGGCTTCGCTTGATTTAACTCCATTGCCGCATTCCTCCAGGCTCCGTTTACACATAAGCCCGCGGCAAACGTGGCAGTGTCCGAACACGAAGTGAAGACGGTCTAGCCGAGATATCAGCGGGTGCAAAAATGGACTTATTTCTTTCCTCTGCACTTTCGTATATGTACGATAGCCGTCACTGGAGGCGCCCAACGGCGCAACGCGCAGCTCAGTAACGCGCCTGACGAGTGTGATTACAGAATTGGATGTGAGAATGTACTTTGGCTATGATTCCTAAGCGCACGAGCATGATTGTAAAAATGACAGAATATCCAAAACTCCCCGACCCATGATATCATCAAAAACAGCGTACAACCCGTACTCATCAGACAAGAGAACAGTCAAAAACAACGCGGCATATGATCCTCAGTCATTATCGACCAGTGATATAATCACGGTTCTCGATCGTCACACTCTTGGTCATGTGGTTGACCTTGTAGACACCGACAAGTCGGGCAGCAAGCTCGAACTGGAGAGCATGTTAGTGTATGTCGACTTGCAAGCGAAGAGAAGGGCACTTACCATGTTGTTTCTCAGTGAGATAACAATGAACTGGGCATTCTTCGTTCGCTCCTTGATGTATGAGGCGACAATAGAGACCTAGAAAAAAGGATTAGCACAATGATCCATTACGGTTGTAAGATAGGAACTCACATTTCGGAAGTCCAGCGCGGCATCAATCTCATCCATGACGTAGAGTGGAGTAGGCTTGTAATGGTGTAGAGCGAACACCAGCGCTAAACTGGACAAAGTCTTCTCGCCACCAGAGAGGTTGCCGATGTTCTTCCAGCTCTTCTTGGGAGGCATGACCGAGAATAAGATACCTTCCGAGAAGGGGTCCAAGGAATCCACCAGCTCTAACTCTGCATTACCGCCCATGGTAATCATCTGGTACATTTCCTTAAGACGCAAGGAGATGATGCCGAATCCTTCCATGAAACCGTTCAAGCGAGAAGATCGAAGTCCGTCCAGGCGTGCCTTGGCAGCGTCTCGCGATGTCAGAGCGGTGGTCAAGTCCGCTGAGCGAGATTCATGCTCGGCAGCTCGGCGGCGATACTCCTCAATGACCGACAAATCAACAGAAGCATTTTGGACCTTCTCTTCCAGAGCAGCAATAACGGCTTTCAAGGACTCCTTGTTCATGGCCGCTAGCTCATCCTTGGTGTACATTTGAAGCTCTGTAGGCTCTTGCTCTTCTCCAATATCGCTGATGTTCTGGACGGTCAGCTTTGAAAGCTTCTCCTCCCAGTAACGACTGCGCTTTTGGTTTTCGGCCAAAGCCTTCTGGTTCTCGTCCAGCTTGTTCCGCATCTCAATCTCGGTGGCGCGTGTCTCGTTCAGCTCAGCCACCTTCGCATCAAGCTCATCCTTCAAATCCTTGAGCTCGCCTTTCTTGGTAATGAGTGCCTGAAAGTGGTCAGTTATATACCCAATGTGCTGGTACATGCCGGATGTCCTACCTCCTGTGCTTCGTCTGCCTTCTGTCTCCAATCCGAAGATTCATTGGTCTGGTTCGCGACATCTTCTTCGAGTTTCTCCAACTCTTCAGTGATTTGTGCAATCTCACTCTCCGAGCTTTCGCGGGCTTTGGAGTGCTTCTTGATAAGTTTCTCGTTCTTGGACAGCTGGCCCTCGGCATTCGAGATTTCATCGGCAAGCATGCCAATTTGCTCTTTCAAGCCATCCACTTTAGCCTTTTGTCCGCGAAGCCGAACACCACCGACTTCCATGATCTTGCTCTGTAGGTTCTGAATCTCCTCTTCAATGCCGCTCTTCTCGTCATTCAGTGTCGCAATCTCCTTTTCGGCCTTGGCGATCTGTTTCTCAAGCGCAGCAACTTGAACTTCATCGGAATCAGATGGCTTGTGCTGTGCGCTCAGCTCTTTCACACGTCGCTGAGCATCAGCCAGGCTTCGTTTGGTGCTATCAATCTCGATGAGAATCTTCTGGATCTTTGTCTCGACTCGCGGGATTTCCTCGGATCTTTCCTTCATCTGAGCCTCCACATTTCGCTGCTTGTCTTGGAAGGCTTGGAATTTCCTTTCCAGTTCCTCAAGATCTGATTCTAGCCGAGAGACCTGCTCCTTTGTGGTGTCTGCGACTTGTTTCGATGACATGCCGCCTCGGGCAACACGGGTACCACCACCACTCATTGTTCCTGAAACGTCAATCAACTGGCCATCTTCTGTCACCACTCGCCATCGGCGGGCGCCGTAGGCAATACGGTTTGCCTGCTCTAAGTCCTTGGCAACCAACGTGTTTTGCATCACGCTGTAGAAAGCTGGGGCGAACTTGGGATCCTTCGGCTTGACGAGATCGAACAGACGGGGAACACTTTCGGGTGTGTATATTGTTGACATGTCACGGCGGGGAAGACGATCAAGGAGAATGAAGTTGGCTCGTCCAAGGTTGTTCTTGCGCAAGTAGTCGATACATTGCTGGCCGACCTCCACAGTCTCGACAACCATGTTATCGAGAGCAGGGCAAGCCGTAGAGATGGCGACATCGTATTGTTGGTCAATCGTGCCGAGGTTACCAAGCCGGCCATGGAAGCCGTCGATACGGCCAGACTCCTTGAGACGCATCAAGCCAGTCAAGACATTGCCTCGGTTTTGTGTGCTTGCAAGGCTGACTCGTGCCTCTTCTGCCTTTTGACGCGCACTCGAGACATGCGCACGTACCTCGGGCTCACGACCGGCGTATTTCTTAAGGTCGTGTTTGAGCTTCTCCACTTCAGCCTCCAAAGTCTCTTTCTGTGCCTGTCGTTCTTCGAGGTCGTTCTGCTTGGTCTGGAGACTGTCTTCAATCGAAGCAACCTTGCCCTGTGCTTCCTCCAGGAGAACAGCGCCAGCATTAGCCCGCTCGCGCAAGATATCCAATTCACTCTGAGCGACTGCAACCGCAGATTGCTTTTCGTTAATTTTCTCATTCCAAGGTTCCAGTGACTTCTGCTTGGCAGCAATCTGATCAGACAGGCCTTGCGTTTTGCCCTTGAGGCCCTCGCGGATGGAGTTCAGCTCCTTCTCCTCGGCAACCATCTCCTTCTCGAATTGCGTCGTCTCGGCAGTCTTCTTCTTGATGTCGTCGGTGAATTTTTCAACCAAGCTCTGACATTCGGAGGCGGCAAGACGGCTGGTTTGCATGGCTTTCTCGAGCTTCTTCTGTTTGCCAAGCAAGAATTTCTTTTTCTCTTCGAATTTGACAGACTCCTTGTCGTACTTGGCCATCTCCTTGAGCAGGTCTTGGGTAGCTTTCTCCATCGCCTCGTACTGGCGAACGCCCTTTTTGTAGGCTTTTTCGAGTTCTTTGATGCCTGATTCATTTCCCTCGTGTTTCTCGAGTTCCATGTTAAGCAACTCCTGCATTTGGAGAATGGCCTCTTCCGTCACACGAACATTGTCGGCGCACTCATCTATGTAGATCTGATAGAGCGCCGATTGCTTCTGGGCCAGTTCGTTCTCCTCGCGGATGTAAGCCAGAGCTTTATCCTTCTTATCCACCAGGGCTGCCTTTTCCTTCTCCACATGCTGCACACGATTGTTCTTCTCCACGCATACATCGTTCAGGGTTTCGAGCTCGGTCGCCGCTTCATCAATAGGTGTCTTGTACTTTGAAGTTCCGATGATATCCTCCAAATATTCCAACAGGCCTTCGTCATGTTCGTTCGCGGCTTTCGGTTTCATCTGCGCGATCGACTCGACCTCACCCTGCAAAATCAGGAAGCGCTTGTGGTCGAGATCGATTCCGCGATCTCGAAGGAAGGTCGTCACGGCGGTGAAATTTGTCTCCTTCTTGTTCATGTAGTACTTGCTGGTGTTGTTTTTGAAGGCGCGTCGTGAAATAATTAGTTGGGAATCTGGGACCGCTTCCTGGCCACCGTCGGGCAAATCGAGGACTTGTGAGAAATGCACCTCAACTTCACAGTATGCGAGGTTGGGATATTGGGCAGAGTTGTGGATCAACGCGGAGATCTTGCCCTGTCGCATCTTGCTAGCGCGGAAGCCGAAGACGAATAGTAGAGAATCAATGACATTGGACTTGCCAGAACCATTGGGCCCAACAACCGAAGAAAAGGAGGCGTGGAAGGGACCAACGATTTGCTGGCCGGCGTAACTCTTGAAATTTGTCAGAATAAGGTTCTCAATAATCATTCGGGGCTTGGGCGCTCCAGACTCCTCAAGCTGTTGAGGAGCTTGTGTTCTGGACTTGGCCACAATATCCATAGGTCTCTCTAAGACTGTCGAATTGGGGTTGATGATGGAGATCTGGGATTTGGGCTCTTCCGATTGTTTCGATGGCGACTGATTCACGGCGGACTCGGTGATGTCAGACAAAGGTGGCAGGTTTGCGCGCTCGGCTCTCGGCTGAGGCTCTGGGGATTCGGACGGCTCTGGAGTTGGGAGTGAGCCCTGTGCTGGCTTGGGTGTGATCGAGCCACGGCTCTTGCGGGGATGCGGCATACTTTTTCTTTTCAGCGCCGCTTTACCGGAAGGAGAATCAGGATCAGGTTCCATCGAAGCGATACTGATCCCCTCTTCATTCTCATCATTCTCGTCATTTTCGCCCTGCTCATCAATCTCCATCGCGTCGGTGTCCGTTCCATCGGTATCCATCGCATCGGAATCATCCGTTGTCGCTTCCTGGATTTTACTGGCCGGGCGCACAGTAGAAGGTGTGACCGGATCCAGAGTTAACCTCTTACTAGAAGCTCTCCTTGCTTTCTTGGGGACAGGTGTGTACTCCTCCTCCACCTCATCATCGTCATCTTGCGCATCGGGTGTTGGTGTCACATTTCCGGGGTCTTCTGATTCAGAAGTGTCTTCGATGACGTAACTACGCCGAGGAGCAGAACGGCGTGAGGTTCTGCCCTTTACTGAAGCCATGGTGTGCAGCTCAAGTAGACGTCTGCATGGAGGGGCGATGAGAGTTTGACGGAGGTTTTGTCGGTTCAAAGTGGGTTGTTTACCTCGTGCCCAAACGGGTAAAGTGGCGGGTGTTCTGCCATAACAGTGCCTTCACCGCTTTGTCCTGCTGTAAATTACTGTACTGTAATTTACTCCTCCGCGGAGCTTGATAGACGTTAACTTGGGAAGCTCTCACTCAAGTCATCACTTCTTTGCTTATGCCCAACATGGCTCCATGGGAGAATTTTGACCAGGTCTTCTCATTTAATAAGAAATACTCATATGAGCCAAAGGTTTTTGACCAGATCTTAGCCAACCGGCGCTCGTTGGACCAGCTCTTCGCCGATCGACTTTTAGGTCTGCTCGGCATCCAAGGAGGTACATCTTATGACTTGAGCTCTGCATTTGAAGACTTGTACTTATTGATTGCCTTTCTACAGTGACCAAGATCTATCCACCGAAGTCGAATGCAGACCTGCGAACAGTATACAACCACATTGTTTCCTCAGAACTTGACATTCATCACAAACAGTCCTTGATCTATTACATCCTGAAGGACTGTCGTGCTGCACCGGAGGCTTCCTCCCAATTCGCGCAGCAATGCCACCTCCCCGAAAAGTATCGCTTCTTCATTGAGGGTCTCTGGCACTTGGATCGGCTCGAATTCAGGGTAGGTCCGTAACAATCTTCAAGGTGGACATCTTCTGACAGTTACATGATACAATAGCGAGCAGTGGAATTCCTTACTGAGCCCTCACTCATCCCTACCTTCCCGGATGAGATTCTCTACGCCCTGACCCTTACGAATATTCCCAAGCACGATGATAGCCTCGCAATCGCATATTATCTCACCGTTGCTCCCCCTCTTGCGAGTGCCAAGGTCCGCAAATCTTTCTTCGACACACTCGCTCGATCCAATGTGACGGAGGCATTTTACTTCACGCGCAAGTATGATGAAGCTCTGCGCCGGGACTTCTTCGAGCAGTTGGTTGAATTCGTGCACAAGACCAGCCCTAGTCAAACCCGTGGCAGACGTGCGATGGAACTGGTTGGTCTCCCGCTTGATGAGGATGAAGAAGAGTGGTTTGAGCACGTCTTACTACAAGGCAATGCCAGCACCCTGCCTGGGGCTAAGGACACCGTGATGATGCGACGCCTGGCAACTGGGCGTCTCGGGGGACTTGCTCCGGAGCTCGAATCTTTGGGCGGCAAGAAGGTTGATGGGTTGAACTGGGATGACCTTCGGGGGAGCATACGACATATCTAGATGATACCCAAAACCAGTGTGTTGACATTGGAATGTTTAATTACTTGCAACAAAGATAGCTAGGAAGCTGGACTGGAGTTAGAATGACTTTTGCGACTTTAGGAACTACTAGGTACCTTCCATCCATGCGGTTTTCAAAAAGTAAATATAAGAACGGGGGCTGAGGTTGTTCCCATGCCGACATATATCCATGCCCGTGATGCCCGCGATTGCACCCACCAACCCCGATGGAACTCTCATGGACATCCATCTTGCGGGACTATCCATTTCCTCTCAATCATTTCCCTCTCGCATTTCAACACTCTTTCAATCTCAAGAGCAAAGCAAGCTCAAAGTGAGTTAAATCCAATCGAGTTTCAAGTAAACGTGAAACCAAGTGCTGAGACTGCGACGCCGCGGTTCCGATAAGAGATACGGACCGATTCCCTAAAAAGTCCAAACGACACGAGTTCCCTCTTGACGCGCACTCCCAATCCTGTCCCAATTCGCCTCACAAATTGCTGGAGGCACTAATACTCTCCAGGGAGTACTATAATTGCTATCTAAGCCGAGCCTTAGTGTTAGCTGTCATTCAGCGCGAAGCAAGGGTCCCAAGGGGAGCGGTTGGAAGCAAACAGCTCTAAACCGGCAGATATGGTGGTATGCACTTATTACCAGCAGGGTCGGTGCAAATTTGGAGGTAAGAAACAATTGACTATTTAAAAAATGAGTCACGCTAAGAACTCTTCAGATCGCTGCAGGTTTGAGCATCCAGGCAAAGCCACGACCGGTCCTTCGGGGAATCGATTCGGGGCCTTATCCGGAGGGTTTGGAGGTAAGTCAGATGAATCGTTGGATTTGGCGTTTCTCAGTCAAAAATGCCCATTCAATGAAAATATATTCTTGCAGCTTGCTATGCTTGCGAATTTTGTTTGTTCAATATCTTTCCCTACCTTTTCCATCTTGTATCTTATCCATACAATCAATACACCCACCCTGCTCTATGCTGTCCCTAGTCCCCATTCCGCAAAGCAATCTTGACCCGCCCCGATCCATGACCAAGGCCATGATTTACAGGCCATTTGTGCCTCATGCTTCAAAAGCTGACCGCAAATCTATAACAGGCCAAAATCAGTCCCAACAAGCAACCGAGTAAGTCGAGTCCTCAGCTTTTCAAAAGAACTTATGATTGACAAAAGAGCAGTTATGGAGTGAGGCCAAGCGACATCAAGCTTGATTTGACCGCAGGTCAGGGTCGTCCAGAATGGATCTTCTCCGCGTACGCACCTAACAAAGACGTCCCGCGCCAGCTATTCGGCGGTGCGCACCGCGAGCGGAGCATGGAAGAGATGAGACTTCGACATTATGAATTGGCAGCTGCTGGAAACCTAGACCAAGCAGTTCAAGAAGCTTCAGCTTTATGGCAGGAGTGTGTGCAACAGATAGAAGTCTCACTGAATGACCTGAATGGTGCTGTCAAATACATCATTGACGGCAAGGATGAACATCCCAATCGAATCGACATCGTCGAGGGCAAAACGCAGGCTACTATCGGTCAGGCACCAGCACCATTCGGCCAGCCCTCTCCATTTGGCCAGCAAAATGCACCCAGCTCCGCTCCTGCAGCTGGAGCCTTCGGCGCTCCCTCTTCGACCTTCGGTCAGCCTTCTGGACTTGGCCAATCCGGCGGATTTGGCCAGACATCTGCCATGGGGCCGTCTCCGGCCTTTGGACAACCGTCTACATTGGGCGGATCTGCCTTCGGCCAACCTTCGACTCTCGGAGCGCAGCCTGCCTTTGGCAAGCCAGGATTCAGTCAGCAAGCTGCAACTCCGAGCCCATTCGGTCAACCTTCAGCCATGGGAGGCGCCGCCCCATTCGGTGCTCCATCTGCCCCAGCCGCTCCATCTCCCTTCTCCCAAATCTCCCAGAACCAACAACCTGCTGCTGGTGGATTTGGCCAGCCTACTGGACAACCAGCTCCATCGCCTTTTGGCCAACCTGCTGGACAGCCTGCCCCATCGCCATTTGGTCAGCAAGCCCCAAAGCCGAACCCATTCGGTGCGCCATCGGCCCCAGCGGCAGCCGCGCCATTCGGTGCGCCGTCTGCTGCATCTCCCTTCGGCCAGGTGTCTCAGAACCAGCAGCCTGCTACCGGTGGATTTGGTCAGCCTGCTGGACAACCAGCTCCATCGCCTTTCGGTCAGCCCGCTGCTCAGCCTGCAGCGCCGAGCGTGCCAAGTGTACCGGTGCAGAACGCCAACGTCGGCCCCCGTGCATTCATCAAAATCGATAATCCCCAAGACCTCAACCCTCTCCCACAGCTAGAAGGCGAGACTCGACATAACCCGTCGACCAAGCAACTTGTAATGTGGAAGGGTCGCCCCGTCAAGTATGTTGATAGCCATCCATGCTATCTCCATCCACAAGATAACAAGACCTTTGTTCGAATTCATTTCCCCAATGGACCACCGGATGCTGCCAATTTGAAGGATTCTCAAGGCAAGCCCGAAGAGTACACTCCGGAAGTTGTCGAAGCGTATCAGTTCTTCCTTCAGAATGGCTACTTCAAGGACGGCAATATACCTGCTCTAGCGCCTCAACGGGAGTGGCTCAGCTTCGATTTTTGAGACTCAGGGCCAGTCAGCATCGGCTTTCTCCCCTCATTCCTGGTTATCTTTATCCATTTTCTCGCGACTCATGGGTTGAGCCATGTGCATTGCATCATCCTCCACATCACAACAGGGCATTATATTTGGTGCGTGCTCAAAAAAGGTGCAACGGCGTTCGGGGAATGAAGGACAGATACTTGCTTCATACTTGCAGTGGGTGTAATTACAATCGCTCGAGTTACAGCTACTACAAACCAATTCACGATTTCCACGATCCAAACTACGAACTACTGCATGCTAGAGAGTACTTTTGTTTCAAGATGTTTCCATTTTTGATTTTTGATTATTCAGGTTCCAACGGGATCCCCGCAGCGCGAAACGAGTCATGCGAGTCAGGACAAGTTTCAAAGTGATGCAGTGCGCTCCAAATAGACTAGTCCACGATCCCTCCCTGATGCAAGCCCAGCCTAGCGCATTTATGCGGCAATGGTGACCTCAACCTCAACACCGGCCTCGATGTTGATGATGATCTGCTTGACAGTCTCGGTGGGGGCAAGGAGACTATTATAGTATATCAGCAATTGGATCTTGTAGACGCAGAGGCTATGATTCCACGTTGGAAGAGGCGGAGAAAAACTTACTCGATGAGACGCTTGTGGATGCGCATCTCGAACTTGTCCCAGGTCTTGGAACCCTCACCGTTGGGGGTCTTACGGGTGGAGATCTGGAGGGTCTTGGTGGGAAGACGGACGGGACCCTTGACCTGGAGGGACTTGGAGCGAGCGCGGTCGATCAGCTCCTGGCAGACCTTCTCGAGGGAGGCAACCTTGCGGGAGGTGAGGGTGATGCGGATCTTGTGGACCTTCTGTAGAGCACACAAGATGTGATTAGCAATTGTTATGCGGCGACGACATCGCATTGACCGTCCGCACACGGCGACAACGGCAGGGACAACGTACAGGGCCCTCGCCGAACTCCTTCTCGGGCTTCTGGAAAGACATCTTGAATGATATGGAACTTGAACGGGGTTAGTGAGGTTCAAGAGTAGGAAAGGAGGGAGCGCGCACAATTTAAAAGGCTAATGCCGTCAAGACCTGAACTGCTAGGCTCGGTAAAGTGATGATGGCTGTTGGTAGTAATGTGGATCGAGATTTCGATATCCAAAAAGTTCAGTGCGAAAGTCTTGGCGCTTCGGTTATCGCACGCTAAACCCCTTTAGGTGCCCTTGGATTAGTTGCTTATGTCATCACCCAAACGGGACTGAACTGGATGACCGCCTTAGCGACAGCGTTGAGATACTAATAAATCATGAGCTGACGGCAGTTTGTCCTTGCAATTGTTCTTCATTTCAATTCACTCGTTCTTCTTGCATTACCCCCAGTCACAGCCAGCCTAGCTCACCTCAATGGTGGAATTCCCACAGCTGGCTCCGGTCCCCCCCCCGCAGTGCGGAGGACAATCCCATCAGACGAGTGGGAAGCATGTTTAGATGCATGGATGGCCCTGCTGGGTATCCGATTGAATGCATCTGATCAACAGTTCAGAGACACAGCTGCCGAAGATGCATCAGTATCCCAGTTCCTTGGATCTTACTATCAATCCACGGCTGCGGGGGATTCTAGTCTACAAAGTGGACCTAAAGCTCGCCAGCTTCGGAAGCTCTGCTTCTTGACAGCCAGACGATACCTATTAGGTCTCCCTAACCCACCAGATGGGATCCTGGACTGGAGACTCCTTGGGAATATATCTTGCTGCTACCCTTCCAGCGCCGCCTTGAAGACGTTACTATCAAATGCCTGGGATCTGCACCATGATAAGATCACCTCGAGTATTGATAAGGCAAAAGCAACTGTGATCAAGAACCTTTCCTCAGCCAACTCAGCATCAAATCCAGAAGTGCTATCTGACATCCGCCGTCTGACTATCCTTGCTTCCGTGCTGCCAGCATGTGGCCAGGAGCTTATGGCGGGTTCCGACTTCCTGGATACGATATTCGAAGCTTACCAGTCAAGAGGTGCTCGAGAGGAGTTCCGCAGGATCCTAGTTGCGAACACCTACGTCGGACTAGTCTCATTACTGAAGGAACCTGTAAACATGTCTTTGTTGCTGGATCAGTTGTTCAGCCTCAAAGCCGCTGCCCGGATCGGCGCACCGAAGATGAAAAAGGAATCGACCCTACTCTCCGACCTAGTCTGTTCCTCGGACTTGCTCATCCGACTGGAACGATACACCAGTCTCCACCCCCAGACCCGGGGGCAAGACCTCATCACCAGCCTACGCGCGTATCAGGTGGAATCGCAATCACTACACCACCGGTATCAAAGACGCAAAAAAGTGGATAAAGGCAAAGAAGTGTCCGCAGACCCAATACTTCAAGGAGATCTACATGCACACAAGATGTCACTCGTCACCCAAGTACAAGACCTCTTCCCAGATCTCGGGTCAGCCTTCATCGTCCGGCTCCTGGATTTCTACAACGACAACCCCGAAACCATCATCGCCCACCTCCTCGACGATTCACTTCCACTAGAGCTCCAATCTCTAGATCGATCCGAGCAACTACCACCAACAAGCGAACCCCACCATAGCCACCTCCAACCCCAACCAACCCCACCACTAAGCCCGGAACCACTCCCGCCCCGCAAAAACATCTTCGACAAAGACGTAGACATAGCCGAGCTAAGCCGCTCCAGCACCGGAAAAGGCAAACTCCACTTCGGCCGTGTCAACGCAGACCAAACAGCCGACACCCTCCTCTCCGATAGCAAACACGCCGCCAACAAAGCCGCAATCCTCTCCGCCCTCGCAGCCTTCGACTCAGACGAAGACGAGCGCGACGATACCTACGACGCAGCAGACGTAGGCGGTACCATCGACAGCGTCGCAGCCGGCGCAGACGAAGCAGACGCAGACCAGCGCACCCGTCGCGCAGCAGACGTCGACACACTCCTCTTCCGCACCTACAAGTCCAACCCGGGTCTCTTCGCCCGCGACTCCGCGACCCGCCGCTCACAGCCGCGTGCGTCCTTGAAGCGCGAGACGGATATGACAGACGAGGCTATCGAGGGCTGGGCCGTCATGTTGACCCGTGACCCTAAGCGGCTCGCTAAACTGGAGGATCGGCTGGCTATGGATGCTGGCGGGTCTGCTGGTGGGGCTCTTAATCAGCCTGAGTTGCGTGCTACGTCTTACAGGCGGCCACAGCCGAGGGAGGATGAGGAGGATGGAGAGGATGAGGGTGAGTCTTCTGCAAGGGGCGGCAGAGGACGTGGTGGGGGTCGTGGCCGCGGTCGAGGTCGTGGTGGTCGGGGCGGTGGTCCTTCGTCTGGACAGCCGGATACGCCCGCGGCACGACAACGGAAGGAAGAGAATAAGGGGAGTCGGGCGAATCACAATCGTCGACAGCAGCACGCGAAGAAGATGGCGCGTGGCGGTGCTATGCCTGGTTAAGCATTTGAAAGGATCAGTTTGGTGTATGTTTGATGACATGCTGCAAATGACCCCTGGCCCTTTTTCCTGATTCCGCTATTTGGTCATGACCACGAATGTAATCTACCATACAGTTTCAATGGGCTCCCACGGAGGAGGCGATAGACTATAAAAAAAGAAATAGCATACATTTGATTCATAAGATGCCCCAAGGCATATAATGAGGTTATGTCTAAGGCGGTCGTGGTGACATGTTTCACCAGATGGTTCGTACTTGACCAGCAAGGAACCAAAAAAAGAACAATATCTTTATCAATGGTGGTGGTCTGAAAAGACGCCACCCTCCGCAATAGATTTGCGACACTCTTCCATGAGGCGGACTTGTTTCGCAACTTCACCAAGCCGGCTAATAACCTCCTTATTCCCATCGTAAAAAGTAAAGATAGCATACGGGATACCAGTATCACGGCAGAATTCCAAGACAAACTTCTGCGTTTGACGCAGATTGTGGCGCGGAATGCGTGGGTAGAGATGGTGGATGGCTTGGAATTGCAAGCCTCCGTGGAAGAAGTCGAGCCAGGTTGGACAGTCGACGTCCATGGTGGTGCGGAGCATCTTCTGCGGGAAGGACTCAGTAACGCCGAGGTCGGCTGTCGACATGGCAAAGTGAGACAAGGTGATTTGGACGTGAAGTGGCGAGGGTACTACATGTGAGATGAGGAGGAAGATGATGCGGCTGCTTGCATCGGGTAACGTCTTGTACATGACACCGTAGCCGAACCAGGTCCAGAAAAAGACCTGGCCAACAAGCTCAAACCAGACGTGCCACCACGCGGGGCCTTTTCTGGGGGCTTGTCTCTTCAGCAGATACTCCCAACTTAATGCATAGAGGTTGAATCGTGCGAGCATCATGATGGGGTAGTAGGAGTAATTCTGGATTTTGAGGAAGAATCGTGCCGGCGCGTCTAGGGCCATGACGCGATCGTAGTAGGTGCTCCGGAGGCTCGTGAGGAAGCGATGGGAGATGGCGAAGAACGGGATGTGTTCAATATCCGGGTCATGCTCTGGCTCATTGGTCACGATATGATGGACATTATGGCTTCGTTTCCACCATCCGAGACTCAGTCCTCCGAGATAGTCTGCAATGATCATTCCAATGACGGTATCCACATGGAAATTGTGTGTAATGCCCATATGACCAGCATCATGGGCAGTGAAAACAAGCTGATGCCAGAGACAGCCGAGGAAGAATGCTGAAGTCGCCCACCATCCCATGCGGAGGAACATATAGGACAGCCCAGCAAAGAGGGTGTATCGACAGCCTTCGATAAAGTAGCTGAAGTAATTGCAGTTGTAGAGTCCAGCGGCCTTAATGCGCTCGTTCAGTTCGCGGTATTTACGCTTGATCTCTTCCTGCCTTGCAGCATCCAACGACGGGTATTTGGCCTGATCGAAGAGAATCTCCTCCCGCGTCCTCGCATCCAGGAAGGCAGGCCTAGCCTGGGGTTGTTCCTTTGCAGAGTCGATGGTGACAGCCGGTCTGTGATACGCAGTGGATTTCGAGTCGACCGCATCGAATATTGGCGACGGGGGAATAGACCCGTTTTGACTGGATGTATAGGAACTTTCCCGTGTTGTCGAATCATCCTCGCTGGAACACGTATCGTCGGTATAGGCATGGAACGTGCCGCCCTGTATCGGAGGTCGGAAGTTGATCCAGCTCCCTTCGAATCGTCCAATCTGATACGAGAGCATGCGCTGGAGGGCTTCTTGGGAGTGTAATCTGTATATGACGGGATTCGGTTAGAACAGGCTCAGCTCCTGGGGGACGTTCCAACACATACGCATTGATCTCATCAGTCGCATCCCTGCCCACCATGTGCTTGATTGGCTTCTCTCCCCCGGGATGGTATTTAAGCCATGCGTCCACCTTGAGGACACGACCCTCGTAGATTATAATGTGTTTGCCTTCTGCAATGAGGCCTTCGATGTATCTTCGAGACAAGATGTCCTTTCGGGACGGTCGGGATGCTATGTCCATCATGTGAAGGTGCGGTGAGGTGGATTTGGTCCAATAACGACAGTTTAAAATGGCATCGCAACCAACTTGAAAGAGCAAATGAATTGAAATGCAAATGCAAATGAGAAGAAGACAAAGATGAAGTTGAAATGAGAAGGCAGAAATGAAGTGTGTAGGGGCTATGGGGCGGAGGTGGATAACAGCGGACACTGAGCGGAGACCGACCAGCCGCCTGTAGCCTGTGATTGTTGCACCTACAACATTCCGATATGGCTGTGAGTAACGAATTCCTTGGTGATCCGCATAGCTCTAAGCTAACTATTGTAGGAATCAATTTCATCCTTGACTGAGCAATGGCTCAAGTGGGATCAGGTCAATACAAATACCTATATCTTGTTTGGTGGCATGATCTCCCCCACTAACTTGAGTATAGGATCCGACCACACGCGCAGAAATAGAACATCTGCGAGACTCCAATGCCGAGGAATTGGAGAAGCGACTCAAGAATCGTAAGTTTCCTCTCCGTCTTGTGTGTCTCGCATATCTGATCTGTATCCAGGGATTGAGTTCGGAACAGCTGGCTTGCGAGGTCGCATGGCAGCGGGGTTCTCGTGCATGAACTCATTGATAGTCATCCAAGCCTCACAGGGACTGGCCAAGTTTATTCGAGACAAGCGTTCTGCTATCGCTGCGAACGGTGTCGTTATTGGACATGATGCGCGCCACAATTCTGCGAAGTTCGCCACCCTCGCGGCTAACGCTTTCATCGCGCAACGTATCCCGGTGTGGTTCTTCAACCAGGAAGGGCCGACGCCAATGGTAGCATTTGGTGTGAACTATTTTGGCGCGGCTGCAGGTATCATGGTGACCGCGAGCCACGTAAGTTCACTCTCTAACTTGGAGTATTGATGTACTGGCTGATCAGCATGTAGAACCCGCCCCAGGACAATGGTATGCTACTCATGTGTGGAATTTTTCAGATTATTTGCTGACTGGTTAACAGGCTATAAGGTGTAAGGGTCCCAGGTCCAAGTTTCAATGTGATCGAGATCTCTGACAAGTTCTACCTCCTAGCTACTCGAGCCTTGGGGCCCAGATCAATCGTCCCGAGGACGGCGAGATCGCCCAGTCGATCCAGGAGAACCTTGAGCCGTGGCCGACGGCATGGGCAGAGCTGCAACCAAGCGAATACTTGCACGCTGATGCCTACCAGAAACTGCTGCCTCACTACAGCCGCCAAGTCGCAGACTTTATGGTACGTAGCGGGATGCCTCCAAGGCATTCAGACTGACAAATTGTATTTTAGAAATCTACGGTGGCAGATTGGCAACCCCCAAGACCGTTCGTGTATACACCTCTGCATGGCGTGGGAGGGTTGGTCCTCCCAACACTGTGCCGCTCGCTTGGTATCAACGACTTTGCGATTGTTGCTGCCCAAGAGAAGCCCGACCCTGACTTTCCCACCGTCAGTTTCCCCAACCCAGAGGAGGTTGGGGCTTTGGACCTCGCCATTGAGACTGCCAATCAAGAAGGAAAGACCTTGATCATCGCGAATGACCCTGATGCGGACCGCTTCGCTGTAGCGGAGAAAGTCGAGTAAGTGTTATTCTTTGAGAATTCTGAAGGGAACATGGCTAATGCGGTTCACAGTGGTAACTGGCATACTCTGACTGGGAACCATGTTGGTGTACTCTTGGCCTCGCATATCTTGGATGGCTTCGACGCTGGCAGAGACTGGTCCCACGTTGCAGTGCTAACTACCACGGTGTCGAGTGGCATGCTTGGAAAGATGGCGGCTGCAAAGGGAATCCACTTTGTGGAGACATTGACAGGGTTCAAGTGGATGGCCAACGTTGCACGAGATCTGGAAAATAAAGGAAAGACAGTCTGGTTTGCATATGAGGAGGCTCTGGGATACATGTTCCCGTCTGTGTGCTATGACAAAGATGGCATCACGGCAGCTGCCGTTTTTCTCGCCGCGGAGGCAAAATGGAGAGCGCAGGGGTTAACTGCATATGCCAAGCTACAGCAACTCTTCCGCGAGTTCGGCCATCATGAGACTCTGAACAATTACTTCCGGTCCCCTGATCCCCAGCTCACCACAAAGCTGTTCCAAGGAATCAGAGGCAGTTCTGCTCTGGCAGATATGCAGTTTGGTCGGTTCAAAATTTTGCGATGGAGGGATCTGACAGAGGGTTATGACTCCAGCACTCCTGATAACAAGCCTGATCTGCCTGAAGATCCGACAAGCCAAATGCTTACATTGTGGCTGGAGGGTGGTGTTCGCTTCACATTCCGAGGTTCTGGGACAGAGCCAAAGGTGAAATGTAGGTCTTCGCACTCTTCCAGTTGATTCTGTTACTGACAATAAAAGTCTACATCGAGAGCTGTGGAGATTCCCGCGATGACGCTGTCAAGGCAGTCTGCGATGCATTCTTGACTATCCGTGCTGAATGGGTACAGCAGTTCACGCCTTCGATGACATACAGCAAGCAGCTTCCCACGTCGTCTGGTTATATTCTGGATGTGGAATGAAGAGGGCAGTTTCGAGGTTTCTGTATAATTCTGGGCAACTGGCTTTACCACTCCGTTCATGTCATTATTGATCCCGCAGCTACGAACTTGACAATGGCTTCAGGCTGCATCGAGCCCTCATAGACCCTTCGGAACACGTTCTTTTAGGGATACAAATTTTCATGAGATTGACCTCCTAACTATGCTTTAGGATAGTGCTTCTAGTTGTAAAATCGGGCGTAAAAGAATAATTCATTGCCTCATCAAGCGCTCGACTCGATATTTGTCGGGCGAACAATATCACTCCCATGGTAGTTGAGATAAAGGTAATCGTCGTCTCTAGACATGGAAAGAACCGTAGTTGATATTCAATAGCAGAAGTCAAAACTGGAACCGATGAACCTCCCCAAGAAGCCAATGCTGAATTTCCTGCAACGCAGCGAAATCATTGTCCGGCGAAGCCACAATGGTCTTACTATCATGCCACCCACTTGTGCGTTTAACCAGATTCAGATCGTGTCCATGCGGGCGAGCGGAGTCAAAATCAATGATGACAGGGGTGTCACCCTGAAACATAATGTTGCACGGGTTGATGTCATTGTGGACGATCCCCAGCCCGTGGAGGTGTTCCAAACCCCGTGTAATATCCTGCAGCCAAAGCTCCACCTCGTTTCGATCAGCTCCGCGTCGCTCGTAGGCAAAATCCACCTTGCTGCGTCTCGCGGGGTTCACTCGGTCCATGAGCGTTTGATCATACTTCGTGAAATAGACGCCTCGAATCGACCCATCGTCAACGACAGCGCAGCCGTGATATTCAGCGATGTTTGGATGTGGATTTTTCTTCAGGAGCTCGCAGGTCTTCACTTCTTCGACCCACATATCTCGGATCAGGGATGGGTAGTTGGGTGTGTAAGGTGAAAGGCTAGGTCTTTTCAGATACCAAGTCGATCCACCCGAGGGAGTTTGTGCTTTCGTGAACTTATCTGAGAATTCGGGGAAGACGAGGGCTCCTTTAATTTTGTTGGTACTGTAGAGGTCGCCGAACTCGATGTCTTCTTTCGATGCATATCGCTTTCGTGAGAAGGAACGGTAGATGGAGCCGGATAATTGGTAGACCACGGTTGTCTTCTGGAAGGCGTAACCATCTGCGGGGCCACCGAACTCTTCGGAGTATTCGAGAATCTCCATGGTTGTAGAAGCTGCACATCAAGTATGAAGAAGCGAGAGTATGCCAGCTCTGATAGGTAGAAGATAGTTGAAAAGAACGGAAAGGGCAATCACAGGACGAAGCGGGTATGTGCCTAGTCACATTTCAAAATGGTTGCATTGTTTGTTTGCTTGTCAGATGAGAGTCATGAGACTGAGAGAAATCGATGGGGACATGAGGGATATCCAGGTACCTTCCCTGAGATATCTCCCCGGCTTCCCGCTCATCTGCCCGTCTCTCTTCATTCACATCTCAAAATGTATTATACTAGAGAATATGATCACAAAGAAATAAGAGAAGACGCCTTCAACCAGTATCATCGAAGCTTTCGGGAAAGTGAATTTTACAGTGCAAGTCACCCGTGTCACATCCCTCGAGCCACACCCTGCTCTAGAGACGACGACCTTCGTCTGAACTACCATAACACCGATGAATATGATCCTCAGCCCATTCTCCCTGAAATGATGCCAAACGAGACAATTCATTGTTATCATTGTCCTCGCTTTCGCGGCCACGAGTCTCATTCAAAGATGTGAGACTCGGCCTATCCTTCGGTTGCATATATGTGCCGATTCCTGACACTTCGCAGAAGCAACGCCAGATCCACCCTTCCCACAGGCCAACGTCACAACTGCGGTCGTCACCAACATCAAAGCTCGTGTACGCATGCCGAACCAAGATTTCAGTCTTCCGACTCGAGCGAAGACGAACATCATCACGTTTCTGCCCATACGTTTAATCAACGGCAGACCACAAGTGAACGACACCACCACGTATCCAATAACAACCAAAATCACTACCATTCAAGGAATCCAAGCGAGCTGTATGAACGAGCTCATCGTCACCCTCCACACCCAACACCAGGTACTAGTGCTCGCACTACCTTGCACAGGCAACACACAACCGCCTGCGGCAGTAACATCAAAGCTGTGAGATTTGAAGAGGATGACAGGATACCCGGAAATACCGAGATTGAGAAGTCTAGCTGTCCTGTGCACGGCGGTGGTCATTCTTCATACCGAAGTTTCCATCAACCCGAACCTCGACTCCGAGATGGGAGAACATACAGGTGGGTTTGGGGTCCTCCTCTGCCTGAGATTGCTTCATCTCGGCGGCATGGAGGATTTTATCATGCAGAGAATATTTGAGGGTCATCATCAACCTACAACCTATGCACAGGGTGAGCTTCGTTGGGAATACACCCGTCGCTACGCTATCCCATACAGCAGCTGAGGCAATGATTATATTTCCGGAGAAGAAATTGACGGCGTCAGCCCAGGGTCTGAGGGTTATCACTTATCATACAACCAAATAGTAATACCGATATATTATATCATAAGTTAACTCAGAACTGACTACGACTGTACCACAGTATTAGCACCATCATAGTCATACTGTATGGTGAGTAGCACGTGGACGGTGAACCTTCATAATGCCAAGAATGCTTTCAGGCAACAATTTCGGTGCCTGAATCAGTCCTCATCGAAGCCGCCCCTTGAAATGCACAATTTCCCCATTGACACCACCACGCAGATCTCAGACGACAATAGACATGGAACAATGCCATTCCTTGATCTGCCATATGAAATCCTTCAGCAGATTATCTCATATCTGCTGTCCAACCGCGATGTAGCTGCTCTTTCAATCCAATGCCGCAAACTCCACGTTATGTGCGACATGCGAGCGCGCCAGAAATATGAACAAATCATTGTGTACTCCGAAGAAGGACATATTGACAATGTCTTTGAATTGCTCATGAACATTCTAAAATCTCCTATTTTGGGCCAATACGTGCGGCGTATCGAATGTTTGGTACCAGAAACCACGGATTTGGTTTACAAAGAGGTCAAATACCAACGAGACCTGAGCAACGAGGAGATGGATCTCGTGCGGAAAACAGTCAGAAAGGCCGGCTTTACAGGATCAAAAGAGGAGCAAGTCGTCAATATGCTCATGCAGAGGATTACGAAGGAGGGACGTTATCTGGATGGGTGAGTACACTGTCTGGCCTCCAATATTTGGACGGGTTTTAACCCGAGAAACAGACAGCGGAACCGTCCCGGTACATTCATCTGTCAAGCATTGACTATCATGTTGATTGTGGTATCGCCAAACCTCACGTCGATGGCCTTTCCATCTCCCATTGACGGTGACTGGCAGTTCCCGCTTGCACAGTTTCTCACCGAGGCCAACGCTAGTCCCGAGAGCAAGCCGTATCTCCGCCTTCTCCACGATGTTGATCTGGTCTACCAAAAATTGTGGTTCTGGGAGGCTGGTGAGCGGTCTTTCATGCAAATGAACTTCTTCGACTCTTTGCGTTACCTGGATAGCCTCTTGTCTATTGAATCTGTCAACGCTGACATCGTGGAGGAGGAAAGATACACCGAGCATGATTTCAGAGTTGGATACTCTAATATCAGCAGAATGGCCATTGATTGTTCGTCCCTTGAAGCTCTACCGCTTGCGGTCCTGATATCTTCGTTCAAGGTTCTCAGGGAATTCATATATTATGCTGGAGGCATCCTAAGTTGGGACACACCGTTCAATCCCAGGACATTTTTCAGAGCGATGTGCCGGCACAAAGACACCCTTGAAATCCTGGACGTTGACGTCGCATGCCAATTTAATTTACTTGACATCGGAGACGTGGATAGGAGGGAATACGCTCTGCAAGATGATGATAGCAATTATGGCCCCTATCCAGACAAGGCACGTGCCAAATTTCTTTCGCTAGTACAAAAGCAACATGGCACCCTGAAAGACTTTGTGGCCTTGAAAAGGTTGAGTTTGGGAATAGATATGCTCTTGTACTTCGCCAAGGGCATCACCTTCGACCGGTGGCTACTACCTGAGGGGTATGAGGATCTACGCTTGATAGATTGTTTGCCGGATTCGCTGGAATATTTGTGCGTGCGGGGATACCGCAAGGGCAAGAACCCAGAACACGATAAACATATGAAGGGGTTGTTGGCCCTTTTCAAGTCTGGGTCATCTTCACTGAAGGAGGTCGAGGGAATTGAAGCAACTGTTCCATTTGTCCGCAGTCCAGATGACATCGAACACGACCCCCGGGTGTGGGCCTTGAGGCCTCTGAACGATAGTGATAGTGAGAGTGAGGTTCAGAGCGGATTTGAGGGTGGGATTGTGAGCTGGGCTGAGAGTGAGGTCGAGAGTGAGGTTGAGAGTGAGGTCGAGAGTGAGATTGTGAGTGCGAGTGAGAGTGACTAGTCAATGCAAGACAGACTGGAGATCCAAAGATCTTCACGTCGGATGGTTTACGAGAGAATAGCACGAGATACCGGTGCCTGTCTTCTAAAAACAGCTCTTATCGAGACCAACTAGATCTACGGAAGGCTATCACTGGGCTCCGGATATTGCCGTCATGGCTTTCAGAGGCTTTTCTGGTATTCACTCTGCGAAGTATGAGGGGGCCATCACTGCATGAAGAGGTGTCGGTGTCGTAAAATTTTCATATTGTAGTTGCGTACTCATTTTTCTGTTTTTGTTCATTTCTTTTGTTATAGTCCATATTTTTCTATTCCGAGGGTGACTGGTCGGAAATGCGCAAAGCGAGTTTCCAACAGTCGTCCAGTGGGCTGGCGCCCACACTTTCCAGCTGTCGGCAGGCCTGGTACAAAAAACTTGCGCAATATGTATCAATAGGATCCTGGCGCCGCTCATAAACGCTAATCAACATAAAACATGTTATCAACTCAACTCCTGGACGGTAAGTCGCTGGCGCTTAGCCGGCGGCAGCCCTAGCGGTGGAACACTGGGTAAGCCACTGGGCAAACCACTTGGAAGCGCACTGGGGCTGCGGGGGTCTGCATGCGAGTGCGGTGAAGCATAGTGCGTAGAGGACGCAGGGGTGGAAGCAGCCGCTGCGTCCGGGCTCAATCCCGAAGCTGCTTGTTGGATGTGAATTTCACCAGCAGATGGTACACATGGACTGTTCTTGTCTGTCCATACCGACGCGCACGACCAATGGCCTGGGTCATCCCGGAATTGTAGTCCCTCTGGGTTGAGGCAATCAACGGCGATAGGAAGATGACGTGGTTGGCCGTTGGCACATTGCAGGTTCCTGAATCAGTTAGCAATCACGTGTCGACCAACTTCCAATGACAAGAGAAATTACTTACAACTCAGCAGCCATTGAGCTGCCAAGTTCCAGAAGCGAAGCCTTGGGCTTTTCTTTTTCCAACAGTCATTGCCAGTAAAACTCGATCTCCATTTCTGTCTTGTCGTTGGAGAGAGAAACCGGACGGAGGGCGAAGAGTGCATCCAACCAAGCCGCGCGAAGGTCCTGTCGAAGACAGATCATATTGACAGTCTACCAGTACCCGAATGCCAAAAGCAATGGTGAAGAGTTATGATCAACACCTCTGACAAGCATCCTTTGTCGGGTCGGACTTCGCTGTCGGACTTCGCTGTCGGGGACCACTTTCAGCACACCGTCACGCTCCACGAGCCTGCCTCCGTGGGCGCTCTGGTAGACATTGACGTCGTACGTGATGAAGGTGTTACTCGCTCATGGGGCTGACACAGGTTGTCTCGCCTCCCTAGAAAGGCGACACAAGGGCTTGGACTCAGCGCGCAGCAGGAAGATCGTGCGAGCACCGATGTGGTGAAGCAGAAGATGTATCGCCGCGCCAGGCCGCATTCGACTCGAGTGATCCAGGGTCACCTCGAGCGGGACCCCCGCACCTCAAGCGGAATCCCCCGAGTCCGACCAACAGCCTCATCGTCAGTTCCAGCCTGATTGAATACGTGGGGCGGGAATAGTTCGAGTGCGAAATGCGGAGTTTGCTGAATCAGAAGAGGGCTATGAGTCCGATGCAGAAGCAATAGCGGAGGGAATGCAGATAAGCCACACCACGGAGCAACCAGATGAACCACCTCCCCCGCCGATCTCTCCGCCAGCCAGTGGTTTGTCCGAATGGCAGGTGGTCAATCGTCATGATTCTAACAGAAGGTCAGACAAAGAGAGCGACCCAAGGCAACGTAGCAAGGGCCTGCGACGGTTCCGATCTGGCCAACCGGACACCCCATTGGTCGGGCTCTCTTCGGTTCATGGAAAAGGCGTGGGTGGTCTGGATATGCCAGTCTTAACTCCCAAGTGAAGAGGCGTGGAGATGGGGAAGAGTGGATTCCATGTAATTCTCCGTCTTACATTTCACGCTGAAGCTTGAAGCACGAGTGGTGGTGTTTTGCTTCTTGGGTACAACGGCACCTTCGATGGAAGATACTGCTGCATCAATATCATAGCGGGCAGGTCACTTGTCGGTGCCGCATCTCTTCGGCATCTCTGGTGGCTTCTGCACAAGATCGTTGTCAGCCAGGCCAGTGTGGGACATGGCAAGGCAGGTATGTTGGATGGAGGCCGCGAGCTTTGTTGATTGACGCGTGCTTCCAACCTTCTGGTAAAGGGAAGCACAATATGGATAATGTCAAGGAAGATAAAACAAACGATAAGATGCGAGAGAAAGGATGGCCAAAGCGATGAACAACGATGGTTGGAAAGGTCAAGAATGAAAGGAGAAGAGGCACCAGGACAGAGAGTTAAGTAGCTTTGAGAGGCGGGACGATCGGTCACGAGCCTTTAGTCACGGGCCTTTGGTCACCGCCTTTCATAGCAATGGGAAACGAGGCTATTCCCACGTGCCATTTTGGGGAAAGGGGAACAGCGCAATACCGCCTCAACAGGTCCGAAGGTCGAATACCCTCGACCTAATTACCAGGTGACGTCCTATCTTCGCTATATTCCCTTGGTCATGTCTATAACCTCCGGAAAAATGTTGCTACGGCTCCGACTACTAACAAGAGATCATAACTAGTACCCGAGTTTTTCTATCCATACAGCGTAACAGCCCAGGTTTGGTCAAAGGCATAGGGTAACTGCCGTGCGGCGCCGGCCCGTGCCGGATTAGGGTCACGTGTGCATGTGACCCAATACTCGTTTGCACACGTTGCACCGCTCCCTCCCTGTGCCTACTTTCATGTTTGTTCAGGCTTCTGATGGATTGCATCTGGCCCAGCCAAATTGAATCCGTTTTGGCTTCAGTCCTTTCCAAGCTGGTAAGGAAATTAGAGGACCCTTTCATTCATCCAGTACATTCTGAAGAAGCGCACAACTGTCATGAAACTACCTAGTAGAGGGAATTGTACCATGTCCATACTTAACCACTCTGCTAGCAAAAATGATAATAATCAGGTCGCAGCAAAAGTGTAATCATCGCCCCGCCCATGATAAAGCCGCTGAGCTTAAAAAAGACGTGCAGCACATGACACTAGCCCCAAGTTGTAACTTGTAGTTGCGTGGTGAGCAATGAGCATATGCCCAGGTGAAGCCCGTACTTTACTGTCTTTGTCATCGGTTGACACGATTCAAATGCACTGTGTAGAATCATCTTAGGATAATCAACTTGATTGCGTGTCCTGCTTCAATTATGGGAATAGTCCTGCCACGAGGAAGACACTGACAGCAACAGGTTCACTACACCTACATTGTTTGTCAGGAGGATCGGGATACCGCATTAGGCATATCCGAGATTGAAGCAGTATGACGTCACAGCCCACAGTCAGGTAAACAAACACTCGAAACGAGGCAGTTTCCTAGGGCTGGCCTCCCACCTTGTTGGACTCCAGTTCAATATCATATTCACAATGATATCCCGTCGTGCTTTGATGCCATATACGGCTGAATTTCTAGGGACTGCCCTCCTAATCGTAATCGGGGATGGAGTCGTTGCTCAATGCCTGCTGTCCGAGTACCAGTACGGCACCTGGCTGTCCATCAACCTGGCCTGGGCTTCTGCCGTATGTCTCTCTGGCTATCTGTCTGATCCCAGCCCAACCATCAATCCGGCCGTGACCATTTGCCTCGCTCTTGTACGTCCAACCGAAGGACAGTGGGGACAAATTCCAGCCAAGCTAGCAGCACAGTTCCTGGGCGGATTCACCGGGGCTGCCATTGTATACACCAACTACCGCTCGGCCATCTTAGCCTGGGATCCGGAATACACCATTCCCGGTGGCTCAATCTTGAGCCCGCTGGGCCACCACTCCGCGGGTATCTTTTCGACTTACCCCGCTTCCTTTTTTGAGTCGAACTGGGAGGCTGTGTTTTCTGAGGGGCTGGGCTCGGCGGTGCTGATGTTCGGCCTGCTGACCATCTCGAACCCGAGAAATGCCGATCGGTTTCCGGCCCCGCAGCTTGCTGTCTTTCTGTTGTTGCTTATGATCGGAGCTGCGTTAGGCTGGCAGACTGGCTACGTATGTTCACCAAGCTATCAGGCCAGACAGTTGTACTAATTGTATTAGGCTATTAACCCAGCTAGAGACTTTGGCCCGAGATTGTTCTCTGCAATCCTCTATGGCCGAGAAGTGTTCACGGCGGCCAACTACTATTTCGTTGTTCCTCTTTTCGCACCTGTCATTGGCTGTGTTATAGGCGCGGCAGCTTATGACGGGCTGTTATTTGATGGAGAAGGATCTCGCGTTACGGATGCGCTGGACAAAGTTGAAGGTCACGCGTCTCTTCACTTAGAGTGATATTTTGGCGTTGAGGGTTCAATAGGTAATAGACTTGCTGGCACTAGCACAGTTTTAGAGACAGACGTATTATGATTAAGCATAGCCCATGGGGTTCCAAGGTTAAATGAGGCCAGGCGAGCAAAAGCAACGCAAATTAGACCCCGGGGGTAGTGGGGGGGGGGGGGAGAGCGGGGACTGACTAGCAGTGTTGGAAACAAGCAACTGGCGAATTTCGGCAACAAAAATTTACTACGTTCGAATCAGATCTTCGAGTATATACGGATACTGTGTTAGAAGGGAGCTTTGTTCAAGGCTGACTGTTGTGCTGCTGTTAATGGGAATGCTAAGTGCACGAGGTCCAGTGCTGGTTCACAAGTGGTTTCTTGGAAGATAGCTAAAGACGTGTTTGTTTCTCGTAGCTAGACTGTTTTTCTCGCTCGGCGGCCTATCCACATGTGTAACATTCCTTTGAGTGCCCTGGGGATTTGTTTCGGAATATGGGAACGCTGCGCAGGTCGGCTGGTCATTGGTGGCGCGGGAACCGAGGACACCTAGTGTTGTCGCCGCCAACATAGAAGAAATATCGGTGCTACCATCCCTTGTTAGCATGGAGTGCTCTCCTAGATCACGAAGTGCCTTTTCAATAGACTCCGCTGCACCAGAAGCGTGGAAGATTCGCGCAATAATTGCGTGAACCTTGAGGAGCTCGGGACTTGGCAGGTCGTATCTTTCGTCATACGAATTGAACTCAACCGTTGCAGGCAGGAATCTTGCTAGCCAACCTAGATTTGGGGCGTAGTTTTGGAGACGGTATGTGTGCGGCTTGGAGGTTTCTTCAAACGAGAAATCGAAACACCCAAATGGTCGGTGCAGAAAACCCGACATGGTTATGGCGTTTTTGGTATCGTTGATGTTCTCGCGGGTGAAATTGAGCGACTGAATAGCAGGGAAATGCCGGATGAGATTTGCCCATATAATGTCCTTGACATGGCCCTTGTACTCCGATTTCCACGACGCCAGGGAAAATGGGATTATATGGACGCATTCGGTGTCTGCCCAGTAAGACATGTCGTGAGCACCAGGAGAATTCCTATCTACGTCCCCAGTCACAACACATCTCTGGTCATCACGGGCAAGACACTCTCTTTTGAGTCGGGATTCTCTTGCCATCGGCTCCGTTGACTCGGAATCGATGTTTTCGATGGACTCCTCCATTCCGAGGCGTGGGGAAATCGTGGGTGTCGAGCGCAGCCATCGCAATGGTGCCACCAGGCCGTTGATCAATGACTGAGCATAATCATGCAGTTGCTCGTTGGTCTGAAGTGACTGGAAATCATGAAGGAAATTGACCCTCCCATCTGCCGGATGGTGGGCGTGGAATGCTCGTAATATCTGCACAGTCTTATCGTCGCGGCCGATAGGCTGGTATGTATCGAGTTTCTCCATTGCAGCGAATCTTTTGTTAGCTGATATTGAAATTGTGAGAGAGAAAGATAAGCTTGAAGTCTGAGAGAGCTTGGCGAGATAGCTTGTGGACTAGAGCTTGTGGAGAGAGCTGGAAGAAAGAGGCTACCACACTCCACAGCCTATGTAGAAAGAGAGAATATACCCATTTGGGTTTAGCTCCCGCGCCAGAAGTGCCAGAAGTGGAGTCGGGTGGAGTGCGGTGGGCCGGTGGCGGCCTGGCCGCCTGGCACTTCTGGCGCGGAAGCTAAACCCAAATAGGCATATTCTCTCTTTCTACATGAGCTCCGATCGCCTCTTCTTCAAGCTGTCTCGTCAAGGCCATCTTTCTCTCTGACAATATCTGCTATCAAGGAATTCGCTACAACATGCAGAAAGTTTATGCATATCAACCCATCGGCTTCGGTGATAAGACAGTTGCGATATTAGGAGCATTCTACACCCACCTTCCGCCAGATGGGAGGGTGAATTTCCTCCATGATCTCCAGTCACTCGAAACGGATCAACAACTGCATGACCATGCGCAGTTGTTGATTAACGGCCTGGCGGCACCAATGCGATGGCTGCACTCGACTCCTAGTATCTCCCCGCTTCTCGGAATGGAAGAGTCCATTGACAATTCGTTTCCGAAGAAACTGGGCCGATGGCAAGGGAAGCCCGGCTCAAGCAAGAGTGCCTTGCCCATGATGGCTACAAATGTGTTGTGACTGGACTCTTCGATGAAGAATCTCTTGATGCCAGCAGCACCAGCCCCACAACATACACTGGATGCATCCACATCATCCCGTCTTCCCTTGCATCGTGGAAATCGGAATCTGAAGGTTATGCCAAGGATATTATATGGACAAACCTTATCCGGCATTTCCCTGCCATTCAGTCCCTCAATTTCACCCGCGAGAATATCAACGATACTAAAAACGCGATGACCATGTCGAATTTCCTGCACCGGCACTTTGGGCGTTTCGGTTTCTCGTTTGAAGCGACCTCAAAGCCCCACAGATACCGCATTCAGAACTACCGCTCACGACTACGTCTACCGCAAGAACTCCTCCCTCGAACTGTTGTATTTAATTCGTATGACGAAAGATACGATCTTCCAAATCCCGAGCTTCTCAAGGTTCATGCAACTGTTGCGCATATCTTTCATGCATCTGGCGCAGCGCATCATATTGAAAAGGCGCTTCGTGATCTAGGAGGACACTCCATGCTAGCAAGGGATGGTAGCACCGATATTTCTTCTATGTTAGCCGCAACAACACTAGGGGTCCTCGGTTCCCGTGTCATCAACGACCAGCAGACTCTCGCAGCGTTTCCAGATTCCAAAACAAGCCCCCAGAGAGTTCAAAAACACGCTACAAATGTGGATAGACCGCTGAGCGAAGAACAGGCTACCTACGAGTACGAGGGTCAGATTCCGTTCTCCACGATGCAAGGGAAAACGGGATAATGTGGGCGCATTCAATCCATGTCGTTCGGCTGGTGCTGCTGGAATCAAGAGAAACCACGAGGTTCATATTAGCCGTGTTATTCAACCTAACCCTAGTTGAATAGGTGCAATTTGCAGTTACATTTTGTCCTTAGCAGTGCCAGATCTCAACAAACCAAATGAATTGAAAGATGATAAGAGCTATGGCTCTGAACGCTTCAATCTACGTTGCAGCCTGCCCAATCATGGTTTGTGTCAGCATAATTCGTTTCTCGGGAAAGGATGCAACAGTTTTATGGCGTGGATAGGGTGAAAACCACTCAAAAGGCTAAGCATTCCGTCCATGAGATACGAGCACCATGTGACACAAACGATATGTACCGATATATTGACTCTGAGACCATCAATACCACCAACACTCCCATTCCTTCGAAAAGTCCTCGAATCCACGTACCCCAAGTGACTCCTGAACTTCCCACCGCCACCAGTGCTCTTCTTCCACAGAACTTGGAAGATCCAATCCACTGCTTATTCGAAACTTTGTTCGAATCCATCCTCTAGGAAAGTATCCAGCAGTCTCCCAGTCGATGATACCAACAGATCCAGTGTCGGGGATATCTTCCACAATAATATTACCAGGGCCCAGGTCGGCATGATAAAAAACAAATTCGGAGCAGTCCATACCCATCGACTGACATGCTTGTAGAAGATTCTCAGCACGATAGTTGTAGTCAGCCCCGTACTTGATGAGATACTGCTCAGGTACGTTTTTTCCATCCACGCCCCCAATCGTATCGCCTTTCCAGCACGCAAGAGTTTCGCAGATTTCCACCACGGCGTTCACGTAGTGACGTTTCCATTTCTCATCTAGAGTTGGCCACGCATTTGCGAGGGTTCGGCCTGGCACTCTGCTGAGGAAAAGGTATGAACGACCGTCATGTTCCGCTTGGTGCAGAATATTGGGTGTATCAAAGCCAGGTTGTTGTTTCTGAACAAACCCTAGTGTAGTAGCTTCCCGAGTTGTATCATCGACTCGTACTTTGACCTTACAGAAAGCACTGTTTCCTAAGGACCAGACAGCTGAGCGGTTCCCAGCGTCGTACACTAGAACAATGCTTGGATGATCTGGAGGCAGCGGCACGAAGGGGGGCGCAGGATCGGGCGCATCGGTGAGGGTGTAACTTAGGTCGTCATCCCGATCGTACCACGTTGCAGTATCAGAATGTCCGCTGGAACGATGGAGAATAAGGGTACCAATGAGCCATGTATTTTTATCAACCTGCTTGATTGACTCCCTGACAGGGTCCATTGGTTGAGGCTGCTTCCAATAAACAGCCGAGTCCTTGTCGTACAATGCGTAACTATGATTAAAGCTTCGTGTACCCCTTGGTGAATCTGATATCGAGATGTAAAAAGGGGCGCCGTGTGAGTTGGGTTGTGACAAGCTGCTGGAACCTACCCACAGCTAAATACATGTCCAGAGCGCGAACCTGCAGGGAGCACGGGGGGTAGGACGGTAGGTTAGGTTAAGTAGCAACCAAACATCTTCGCGAGCGCCGCCAAGCGGCCCAAGCCGCACTGGGGCAGCTTGAGGAACCAGACACATCAACCTCGTGTTTCTTTAAAACCTTGTCGACTTGTTATTACTTCAGGTTGATAATCAGATCACGCTTTCCACAGGCTAATCTCCGCACTACACTCCGCACGCTATGGATCCGCTCTAGAGGTGGAGAGATGAAGAATCAATTTAAGAACAGCTATAGTCGGCTAAGAATACAGGACGTAGCGCGAGGGAGCAGGGTGGGAATGGGGGACTTGTAGTCGCAATGTCATTTCATTTGGGCAACCCATTCTGGCCTTGATGTTGTATTGTACACAGGCCCTTGCCCCTGTGCTAGAGCCGCAACAGCAAGGAAGCATTGTCTGGTTGATAGAACTGGTGTAGCCAGGGGAACGCCCAGGTCCGTCGTGACATAGGAAGTATCTGCTCGAATGACTGGGGAGTGGGGAGTAATCGATGAGCCACCTACCTTCGATGAATTCCTGTCGAAGGAATCCCGTTTCACAATAGGTACTATTACTAACAAACCCATACTTGCAGTTGAGATCCTTCATTTAATTGATCGGCCGGGCAAGCAAATAGCGAAGGATGGTTTCCTCCTCATACGCCTCGCTCATCCCATGTTCGTACGCATAAGGAACCCTTGGCTCCCCAACAACCATCAGGCCAAACGCGAGAAAAAGCCGAATCTCAGCAAGATTGCGCGTCAATGTCGAGTCTCTCGCCGGACCCTCTACAATCGCATGAAGAAGGGTGTGCGCCCTCGACCTACCAGAGCTACAATTGACGAATCTGTGCCTGAGACCGACCAATCCGTCGAAACTCGTATGATCAAGGCCTGCGAGCGGCTAAACGCGAGACAAATCCTAACCTCAGCAAAATTCACTTCGCATTGAGCCGCTTCGCAGGCCTCGATCATACGAGACTCGACAGACTGGTCGGTCTCAGGGACAAATTCGTCGATTGTAGCCCTGGTAGGTCGACGGTGCACACCCTTCTTCACGCGATTGGAGAGAATCCGGCGAGAGACGCAATATTCCGCGCAACCGAGCATCCTTTCATGGCCGTACCTAGCGCTCCGTATGCCTCTCCAATCATCTGCCTTTTACAGATGTGCATATAGTCGTAAGTCGCTCGCTCGCTGGATGATGTCATGCCTTTTGTGATTTCTGGGTCCAAGCCACAGTGTAGCCATGCCTGGACTTGCATGCTCAGATTGATCCATTTGTCTGCATTGATTGAGTCATGATCTGGCTTGTCAAGCTCGTGCTCTACAGCAGAGAGAGAAGAGGGCATCGTCGACCCAACAAAGCGCCTCCTCTATTGCCAGCGCACAAGGGCAAAGCAGAAGAAGTCCACTAGACCTTTCAAGCATTCGTTGTTACGGTTGTGATAAATACGGACACTATTCCAATAATTGCCCGAAAATGGATGCGCCAGATTGTTCAGGCAGAGAATGTCGACTGTAGCGAATGCAGCGCTGCCTGCTGCTTAGCCGCCCACGATTCTCCGGAGAGTCGATGCAGATTGTCGCCTTGAAGGATTTTTGTGACCGTGGCTAGAGGCCACCAGGATGCTATCAGGCGTGTTGGCATAAGTGTTTCCAAGACACTTGAAATCCGCAAATTCTTCATCGAGTGACTGGGCCTTGAGAACTGTCCCAACGATATATCCCATCGAACGATTGAAGACACCCTGAAGACCTGTCTCATCGCCAATGAGGTGTGAGTCGGCCTCAGGTCGCCTGGTCCGTGGATGTACTTTATGACTTTGCTGTTCGGGGCCATCTCTGGCCTTAGATATGTCTCGATAAAACGGAGAAAATCGGATCAACGATGGAGCTCACGCGCATTCTCGATATCGTGGAAGGCATTGGATTTGGTGTTGTTTGGGCCGAGGGGGAACGGGGAAAGGGCTTGAGAAGCCATCTCCCTCATGCGGGCTTGCTTTACCGGCATGTGGTCTGAGTATGTGGACAGAATGGAGAGTCAGTCTGTGACGCAGCCAATTCTGAAAAGATGAACAGAGTCATACTCGACAAGATATGGAAGCTGTGGAAGAAAGGAAAAGAAAGAAGGGAAAGAGGGGAGATGAGAGAACAGAAAAAACACGACCTCTCGACCACGTGACTGTCAGAACAACAACACGTCACCAACTTCCACCCAACCATCCACGCGGCGAACCAAACTTGGTTAACAAGTGTGTCATGTGATCTCATATTACCAGCCAATCATGTTTGGTCTGAGCATGCTGAGGTAACGTTATGTCGGCTTCAATTTCATGACGACAAAATAGTAATCACTGCCTGTCGTCAACAGCTTGGTATTGTTTCAGTCGCCCAGCTTATCCAGTGGTTACCCATGACTACCCGACCGAGCGGTTCGACGACTGGGCCTCCGGGACGTCAAGTGGCATCCCGGCGCCATAAGCGGGTGCAGGTGGCTAGGGCATGCGATGAATGCCGACTCCGACGCAGGAAGTGCGACAACAGAATCCCTTGTTCAAACTGTACAACAGCAGACCGAATATGCAGCAACAGTGGAGCGCCCAAAGCATCTACGCTCACGCAAGCCTCTGAGGAGATTGAGCGGCTGAAGCAGAAAGTCCAGCAGCTAGAAGCGAAACTGGAGCAGCGGTCCCATGAGACCAATGATCTTCCCACACCAACAGGGTCTTCCCCGTCGCCACCTCTTGCCTTTTCACCGAGGAACTCTGAAATTTGTGACTCGGGAAATTTGAAAAAATACTGGGGCGGCATACAGCTTCGCCCTGCGCGATCATCCAACGATACATGGCTTGGCCCGTCATCACTACATTCTTTCATCCAGCGCCTCAGTGTATATCTGAGTCTCAATCTCCAACAGACACATTCTCCCAACAATCTGTTGCCCATCTCGGCCAGCGACAACAAATTGCTGGACAGACCAGAAGGCCCCGACATAGACCCAGTACGTAGGCTGGTCTCGACAGGGAAACTTTCTTCCGGTGTCTATTTAAGCCCGATACAAGAGGAGTATTTTATCAACTTTTTCTGGCACACATATCACACCTCATTGTTCCCAATATTGGATGAAACCCAGTTCAAGAAGCATTACCAGTCTCTATGGGTGTCTGGTGACAAAGAACGAAAACCATCCGCCCTCGTCGATGTCGTCATTGCCATGTGTATGCAACATGCTATTTCAGCTCTCCCCTCAGATGCCCAAGGATTTCTTGTAGAAGGTAATGATGCTTCAGTTGCCGGTCGATGGCACTTTTGGCGTGGGCAGACACTGCTCACATACGAGCTCGAAAGTCCCTCCCTTTCAACACTACAATGTCATGTACTCTGCGCGGTCTATCTGTGCGGCGGATCTTTCCACAATATGTTGGACAATTCAATCGGCCAAGCTGTGCGCACCGCTTACGCTTTGGGCCTCCATTTGGACCCCTCGCCGAGCATGCCTGAGCAAGACCGCGAAATGCGGAGACGCTTATGGTGGGCGGTCTATCTTATGGATAGCAAAGCCGGAATGAAGCTCGGTCGTCCTTTCGTGCTGCGTGATTCTCATGCCATGCCTTCCCTCCCAAGTGACAGCTTGGAGGCTGCAAGAATGTCGGGATCCACTTTTGCACCTATTGGCAACAATTCCACCTGGCTGAGCTATAACCTCCACCAGACTGAGCTATACATCAGAGCACGAGCTGCCTACACGAGCTTCTATGATCAAGAGCTTCACTTGCGGAATGGCCAGACGATATGGGATGATCGTCATGCCCTCGAATCTAGCGCGGACGTTCTGTTTCCACATATCCAGAAGCTGCAAGAATGGAGCAACGCTGTACCAGAATCTCTAAAGTTGAAGCGTCAAAATAACGGCATGCCTCTTTCGACGGATGGCACACGCCTGTTATTCGAGCAGTTCGCACCACTCTGGCTACAGCGGCAGCGCGTTCTCCTCGAACACTCATACCACCATCTCAGCGTCAATCTATACCGACCATTGATCTCCTTCTCTTCGAAGCCTTCGCCAGGATCTCCAGCGGAGGAGATCGCTATGCGCTGTGCTTCCCATGCTATCATGCTATCGAAGATTACGCAACAGGTTCTTGCAGAAACTTCCATTCTCGACGGGTGGCATGAGGCCTTCCACTGCCAATGGAATGCAGCTATGACATTGATTGGCTTTGTCATGGTGTACCCAGATGCACTATTAGCCACCGAAGCTAGGAATGCAATCGACCTTGCAGTCGATGTGTTTGACAACTTTGGTGCCAAGTTCTCTGTTGCGGCTAATGCGGCCAAAATTATGCGAGATCTATGTGCCAAGGTTGACTTCCTGGCAAAGCATAATCAGTCCCAGCGTGATCCTTTGAATGGCGTCCAAACTATCTCCATGGATGATTCTATGAGTATACCGCAGGGTCTCTCATTCGAGGCTTCCTCGAGCTCATACACAAATGCCCTGGCACCAGATTTGAGTTTGTTTGACATGGCGGTTGATGTGGATTTCTGGAACAATCTGGACGCGCTCTGGCCAGAAGCTGACAATTTGTTTCAATTCCAATCGGAGATCTGAGGATCCGACCTTTTACTCGGAAACATAATGACCAATCCTGCAAGAACAAATTATAAATATGAAATTTCCTTGAAATCATCCATGGCGCGGAGTTGCGGAGTCTCAAAATTGGTGACCACCTAACTGGCATTCCACCAGTCTTGAAACAGCGACTCATGACGGATTGGCGGAGTTGCGGAGTTGCGGAGTGCTGCGGGTGTCCGAGCTGCGGAGTTGCGGAGTTCATGCAGACCGGGCGACACTATACAAATCCCCCCAAGTCGACGGATATAAATACCAGACGATCTGCCAGTTCCAGAATTAACATCATTAGCATCGCTGCATCAATCCCGACAATCGAAAACAACTCAATTTTAATACCAACTCAATTTCCTTTCAAAATGTCTCCCGCTCGCAAAGCCCTCATCGCCATTACCTCGGCCAAAGCCACTCTTCACAACGAAACGACAGGCCTCTTCATCACCGAAGCCCTGCACCCCTACAACGTCCTGGTAGCTGCCGGCTTTGAAGTCGACCTCGCCTCCGAAACAGGCACCTACACCGCCGACTGCCTATCCCAAAAACCCGACTTCCTCAACGGCGACGACTTGAAAACCTGGAACGACGTCAACAGCGACTTCCGCAAGAAGCTGGATAATATGCCCAAAGCGGCCGACCTGGACCCATCGCAGTATGGCCTTTTCTATGCCTCCGCCGGCCACGCCGCTCTGATCGATTACCCGACTGCGACTTCGCTGCAGAAGGTCGCTGAGCAGGTCTGGGCCAGTGGTGGAGTTGTTGCTTCTGTTTGTCACGGTCCAGCTATCTTTGCCAATATCCTTGATCGTGAGACAGGGAAGCCTGTTATTCAAGGTCGTCGTATTACTGGGTTTACTACCGAGGCTGAGAATACTATGGGTATCATTGGTGATTTGAAGAGTTGGAATGTTGAGCTTTGTGAGGAGCTTGCTGCTCGTCTTGGTGCCAAGTGTGAGTTTCAGCTTTGCATTGGAGAATTTTTGGGGGTTTACTGACTTTTTCATTGCTAGATGAGCGCTCTGTTGGTATTTGGGATGACTTCCATGTCGTTGATGGTCGTCTTGTAACTGGCCAGAACCCTGCTAGTGCGACTTCTACTGCTAAGGCTGCTGTGGAGGTCTTTGAGAAGCTTTAGGCAAGTGATTAATATGTTTGAGAATTTCATGGAAATGTTGTTCACGCGGACGTAGTGTGCATTTAGCTCAGCTTTGGTGGAGAGGAGAAATTGAGTGTCACTAGGAGTAATCGTCATATTGCATTTTATCGTGATTTAAGCGTCATGAATTGTCGATATGAATGGATTATATTGCTTGATAAAACTCATAATGCTGTCCAAGTGGAAACACTTCTCTCACCCCGTGTATGAACCTGGTGCTTGGGTTTCTGTAGCAATTGAAAACAAAAACAACAAAACAACAGAAATTAGAGACAAAAGACTCGTTTCTTCAAATCACGATTATGTTTGGTGAGCAAGAGCGTGATCCGTCCTGATTAGAGTCAACTGCCACGGATTTTCTAGTATCTATGTCCACGTTGTCCAACATCAAGCATCGAACATAGCTGAAAACAGGAAACGCTTAGGTTGACGGTTATCGCGAATTCGATTGCCACCGAATGCAGGTTATTGGTCACAATGCCCAGGCAGCCCAGGTCTCCCGCGAACGCTACGAGGCCATGCACAGCTGAGAGTATTATACACTCACGGTGAGAGCATTGCGACAGCGACTAGAAACGAAGAAAGGTATATATAGAGGTTATTAATGCCTAGTTTATTCACCAGATGATCATCCCGGGCTCTTTGCTGTTATAGATCCTGGATATTTCCAACCCGGAGAGCATTATTTTTCACTGGAAGATGTTGATTTTATGTAGGCCTCAGGCAGCCACACTGTTAACAATATCTGGGGAGTGGAACGAGCCATATGGAGAGTCGGAGACGGCGTATATTACACTTCACCTGGTCATTGTTCACCCAAAAGATTCTCAACCATACCATCTCTTGATTCTTCAACCAACTCTCATTTTGCTTTACAGCTCCCATTTAATCGTTATGTCTACCAGTTCCCCTACGTTGGGTTTTGGTGCCGGGGAACGGGCTGCGGCCAACCTCCAAGCCCGTAGCCAAGTCATCGCCAATATCGAAAACATTTATAGGAACGTCGAACTTTACCATTCCGCGAATATACACCCTACCTCCTACGTATTTCTTGGCATCGATTGTCAACCTCTTGAGCTAGATGAGGATGGAAAACACCTTGAGACCCCAGCTTCCGATCCCTCCAGTCCGATTTTCTTTGAACCACAGGGTGCTGCATGGGTTCCCGATGTTTGTGAAACCGACCCTAAAGTCACGGCAGACCTGAGGGAAATCACTGATGGATGGGAGAACGCCAAAAATGATCCTTTAGTTCGGAGCCTTCATTCCCAGGTCTGGTTTGTCTTTTTGGGCCTGGAGCGGATGTTCTTCCAGTTCCGCCGAGAGTTCGACCAGGGACATGGTGAATCCCCCCCAAATCTTAGGGATTGTCAAAATGGGTGAAGAGGTAAGATATTAAGCCGCATTGCGACACGAAATTGGTGTATTGATGTGCATTACGCAGTAGCACTATTGTGCCATCGGTTATCGCCGATAGATTCTACCCATCTATTTGGGGATCGATGCTATGCTCGCCGGCCGCTGCCTTTGTGCCGAAGGAGTTGCTATATCCTGAAGGAAGACCCCCACACACTCTAATCCTCACCTTGATTGAACAAGAACCTAGCGAAACGCTGACCCGGGCAGAGGTGATGATCCTTGCCGCAACTATGATCACACGACTAGAAGGCGAGGATTGCTTAGAGTACAACACTATTCCAGTGAGTACAGATCTAAGATACCCTTATATGAAAGCTGATATATATTAATTATAATATAGGTTATGGCTATCACGATCTTCGGGCAAATGAAGGCCCGAGTAATCGAAGCCCATTGCACCGCGCAAGTTCTAGTCATCAAGAAGACCGACCTTCTTGACTTTTCGACTAACAAAGTCGCAAACAAGAATATGGACATTCTGCTTGGATTTATGTGTGCCGACCTCGTTGAAAATGCTAGAGAGCCCACAGTTCCCACGGAGACCCTAAAAGGTTTGTAATACCGATACAGTTGACCTGGGAAACATGCTGACCATGAATCAGAGCTCACGAAAAGCCGACAAAGTGAAGACGGCGAGGGGCGGAACCTTGCGGACGATGATCCAGAAGATGAAAATGAGCCCTCGAGTCGACCCAGAGGCTGAGGAAGGGCATTCACAGAGAGTGGGCCAATAACCAAGGACCATGTTCGGCCTTTGCTGTCCAACGGTGGGTAACTTTATCTCAAGTGCAATTCGTCTCCCGTCAGTAATTCGGTTCAAGGCAGGGTGTCACCAGGTATTGTTTGTTAACCTTCATCCTAAACTATCAGCATCCGATGCAAACAAGGCCGTCAAGGGAATCAAACATCTACTCTTTCAAAGAGTCCCAAAGGCTCGACGATCTCAAACTGCCAAATTTGTGTGAAGCAGTGTCAGCAATCCTCGGGCTATCAATGGACGATTTCAAAAGCTTGACATTTGCGTACATGCCACGACTTGTGGCTCTTGTGCCGGATAATTCCAATTTCCATGGAAGCACATATACCCATGCACCCAATTTCCCGTTAAAGCCGGGTAGGTTCTGGACTGATAGCTGGCACTCTCCATAGACGTGATGATGCCATCCCATTTGCACAGCACAGTCCCCAAGCAGGACTTTTCCGGAAATATAAAAAGATATTATGCCTAGCCAATGTACGGTCGTCCAACCTGGGTTTCCCCCGGAAAGTACACTTGGATTATGGGCTTGATTGATGATTCCTCGTGGTCCAATCGACGCTGTCTTCGTAATTCGCTGCCTTGAAAACTTGTTAGTATATCAACAATAATTGAGGAGGGACGATGTTTCTCACAGAATAGAGCTTTTCAATACGCGCAATCATTTCTCTACCATGGCCTTGTACCAAGAGCGTCGCTGGTCTTCAATTTGGGGTTATCAATAAAGATTTAGCTGCGATCGGGTCTTCATTGCAGGCTTGGCCGCTTGGGTGTAAAGATCCTTTTCGGAGACTTCTCAGAGCCTCAGACTGGGTTCTGCACCGAATCTATCAAATCGGCTCTTGGGCCTTCGGGATACCTGGTTGTTAATACGGCAGAAAATAAATTGTCTAGCGCAAGATAGGTATTGTGTCATATGTGTTAACCAGGGAGGAAATTCCTTTTGGTATAGACACTGACCTCAAGCGACATTATGGGCAGAAAAGCAGTGTGTGAGAGCATGTCTGATTATTGAAGTTCTGCAGGGCTACGTGGAGGGGTTCTGTGATGCCTAACGCCCGGAGGAACGGTGTGTGTACCCCTGGTCGCAAGGGGGCCAGGGGGCCAGGGCCCGGGCAGGACCCAGGGGTAAATGACGTTCGTTTTAGCTTTGTGTTTGTCATGTTTGCCGTGCGCTTTTGTACTACTCCGTACGATGAAGCTCGAAGATCTGATTTGCTGCCATATCTATACCAATCTGTCGGTCTACTCGGATCCCACTCTGCTAGGGCATTCTGTCGTGATGGTCAGACTGAGTTCAGTGATCTAGTATTCCGTTTGCTTACCGTGGCATCCCGTAACCCGGGTAACGGTGGGGCAATTCCCCCTATTGGGTGACCCCAAGTCGATCTCGCTTTGACCGACTCCCCTACGAATTCCCCAATCATTCGACACGCAGCGCATAGACCAGGGACAACCAGCTCTGACCAATCAGTATGTCGCAGCTCAAAAAGCAAAAACTTCTCGGGCTGCCTTACCCCTAAAGGGGTCGTCTTCCAAATGGAGTCCCTTCTTTTCTTCGTATCTCTTACGAAGCACGTCTTTGGCCCGGCCCTTTCACCATGGGAAACACCACCAGCATTGCCGCTGGACGTGACTGTCTGATATCCGCCGTTGGGGGTAATGCGGCTTATGTCGCGTTTCAGGATCAGCTTCTTTACCAAGCTACAGCGGTCGAGCCATATAACTTGAATATCCCGGTCACCCCGGCGGCAGTCACGTACCCTCAATCAGCGGACGAGATAGCTTCTGTGCTCAAATGTGCCACTGAGTTCGACTACAAGGTGCAGGCTCGCAGTGGAGGTCACAGTTTTGGCAATTATGGTATGGCTCTGATGATACTGGTGGAGCTACCTGGCATGCAATCCACTGACTCAGTACCTTCTTTAGGCATTGGAGGACAAAGCGGTGCCATCGTGATCGATATGAAGCACTTCTCGCAATTCTCCATGGACGAATCGACCCACGTCGCTACCATCGGTCCCGGAACCTCCCTCGGCGACCTCGACATCGAGCTATATAATTCAGGCAACAGAGCAATGTCACACGGTATTTGTCCGACTATTCGGACAGGTGGCCACCTGACGATAGGCGGATTGGGTCCGACAGCGCGTCAGTGGGGTCTGGCGCTTGACCATGTCGAGGAAGTCGAGGTGGTGTTGGCCAACTCGAGTATTGTGCGGGCATCGGATACTCAGAACCAGGATATTTTCTTCGCTATCAAAGGTGCTGCTGCTAGCTTCGGGATCGTCACGGAGTTCAAAGTGCGCACGGAGGAGGCACCCGGGCTCGCTGTTCAGTATTCGTTCACGTTCAACCTGGGAACTCCTCATGAGAAGGCGAAGCTCGTCAAAGATTGGCAGGCGTTCATAGCCCAGGAGAACCTCACCTGGCAGTTTTACTCCAATTTGATCATCTTCGACGGCCAGATTATCCTTGAGGGTATCTTCTTCGGCTCCAAAGAGCAGTACGACGCGCTCGAGCTTGAGAAGAAATTCCCCACAAGCGAGCCCGGTACCGTGCTAGTCCTGACGGACTGGCTGGGTATGATTGGTCATGGCCTAGAAGATACCATTCTGAGACTGGTCGGAGACTCGCCGACCTGGTTCTATGCCAAATCCCTCGGATTCACCCCGGACACGCTTGTTCCTGATTCTGCTATCGAGGAATTCTTTGATTACATCCACAAGACCAACGCCGGCACCTTGGCCTGGTTTGTCACGCTCAGTCTGGAGGGTGGAGCCATCAACGCCGTGCCTGAGGATGCCACGGCCTATGGTCACCGCGATGTGCTTTTCTGGGTCCAAGTCTTCGTAGCCAACCCGCTTGGACCGATCTCCCGGACCACATACAAATTCACCGATGGTCTTTATGATATTCTAGCTCAGGCTGTGCCAGAGAGCGCGGCACGCGCATATCTCGGTTGCCCAGATCCTAGGATGCCCGATGCCCAGCATGCATACTGGCGTAGCAATCTTCCAAGATTGGAAGAGCTGAAGGAGGAATTAGATCCCAAGGACATATTCCATAATCCGCAAGGTGTTCAGGTTGCCTCCTGATATGCCACTGGTTGGAATTTGTATATATAATGTTTAATAGTAATGGAGGAAGACCGCGTGTACATGGGACTTTCCGAAAGGAGCTTTCAGGATGCAAGTAGTACTCACCACGTATGTACAAAGACCGAAGATCAGCGGAATTTCGACAGTGGAGCGGTGAAGATAAGATATCCCAAGGTCATTGTAACCTAACAGGAACCCCTCGTTCACGTTTCACGACGAATAATAACCACACAGGCAGGAATTGTGACGTGATTGCCACTGGAACCCGCTCAGCCCATCAAACTCCCGCTGTCTCTAACGTTACCAATCATCCGCACTACACCTCCGGGCAAAATTCACCAATTTTCTCCCAAGACATGCCCGTCTCGTCACCATCGCATGTCATCCCGCCCCTCAAATTTGGGTCCCTTTATAATCATGGGCTATATTGACCACGAGAGAAGCATATCTGATCTTCTCGAGACGCCGGGGCGCCAACCAGAACAACGTCCAGAGCTCAACCGGATATCAGCACCACAAAACTAAAATCTGCCTATAGAGAACTAGCCAATATTGTCTTTTCTCTCTCTACACTATCTTTGAACTGGACTGGGTCTCTGAAACAAACCGGCAAATCGGCCTGGGAAGTGGCGTATCGGCCATTATCCATGTCTATGAATGAAATTGTGCGTCTAGGCACGCTACCTCGATCGAAAATCCCCACCGTGACGTACGACAGAGCGTCGTTGTACTTTGAAGCCCTAGCAGAGCTACATATTTCACACCTCGAACACCAAAGGAGCGATGCTATAGACTCGGCCGACGACTGCCGGCGTAAGTTTGTTGCTAGGTTCTTATTTCGGAAACTTGTCCGAGATCGGGCGCTTAGGGACAGATGGATGTCTCATGAGCATGGCCCATTTCCAGTTTGGTGCGACGACTTCCGACCACAGAATGTCATGGTCGATAAAGCTGAAAAGGTCGTTGGGGTAATGGATTGGGAGTTCAGGTATACCGCCCCAGTTGAATTTACTCATGCTCCACCCTGGTGGCTTCTTCTCGAAAAGCCGGAATATTGGACCAAAGGCCTTGACGACTGATGTGCACAGTATGAGAAACGGCTTCAGATCCTCCTTCAGGCAATGATGTCTTGCGAAGAGGACGCGTACCAGACTCGAAACGAACGACTCAAAGAAAGCCAGCGACTCTCTAGTCGGATGCGACATAGCTGGAAGAGCGGAGACTTTTGGATCATGTATGCTGCAAGGAACAATATCGCCTTTGACGCCATCTATTGGAACAAGATCGATCAGCGATTCTTCGGGTCCAGTACATCTGACGACAACATATGCGATGTATGGAAGAAAAGACTTCATCTCTTGGAACCTGAAGAAAAGGAAATCATGGTTAAATATGTGGATTTGAAGCTTCAGGAGAATGAGACAAGGCTTCTCTCTTGGGACCCAGATCAGTATATCCTAGATCATATGGCCAAGATGGGAGCTTGATCGCTCTTGTTCCAGGTGGTTACCTAAGTATGGTACAGTTCCCTCTAACTACTTAGACCGCTCAAAGCCACAACAGCAGATCAGAGACTGGATGGAATGCATTGTCTAGTGTTGGCATTGTAAAAAAGCCTCGACCAATAATTACCTACACTACTGTATACTGATGCGTGGTGAAGAAATCGGTCACCTTTCAAGAATGCCCGAATGTGAATGCATTTACTCTCTAATCGCGGCATGGATCTACCTTCATACCTAGTGTGTTTCGCTTTGGTGCTAGGTATATTAACAGCAATAGCATGGTAGCGGGCATCTGGAGATAATTCCGCCTGGGCGGTCACGGCGTGGTGGCTTTCTGATGTTCTGATGGATTCAACCTTGAAACCCCGCCGTGGAATGCACCCCAATCAAATATGGCCTTTCTCACGATCATGGAACTGGGCCTCGCCCGGGATGGACTCGGTTGAGATCACTCTGATCCACTTCCTGAGTTCCAGCCCCATCTGCACTCTCTTGCCTCCGCATGTCTTGAGCGGAGAATGCATTCATATTTCACTCCAGAGCGGGCACTGTCAAATGCCAATGTTGTATCTGTGAAGGACTGAAGCCAAAACGGATTCAATTTGGCTGGGCCAGATGCAATCCATCAGAAGCCTGAACAAACATGAAAGTAGGCACAGGGAGGCAGCGGTGCAAAGTGTGCAAACGAGTATTGGGTCACATGCACACGTGACCCTAATCCGGCACGGGCCGGCGCCGCACGGCAGTTACCCTATCCCTTTGACCAAACCTGGGCTGTTACGCTGTATGGATAGAAAAACTCGAGTACTATGATCTCTTGTTAGTAGTCGGAGCCGCAGCAACATTTTTCCGGAGGTTATAGACATGATCAAGGGAATATAGCGAAGATAGGACGTCAGCTGGTAATTAGGTCGAGGGTATTCGGGCCTTTTGAAGCGGTATCGCGCTGTTCTATCAATCAATCCCGCCCTTTCCCCAAAATGGATGTGGGAATAGCCTCGTTTCCCATTGCTATGGAGACCCGTGATCGAAAGCTCGTGATGTCACGGGCATCACCGAAGGCCCGTGATCGTCCCATCTCCTTCGAAGCTATAAATTCTCTGTCCTGGTGCCTCTTCTCCTTTCATTCTTGACCTTTCCAACTATCGTTGTTCATCGCTTTGGCCATCCTTTCTCTCGCATCTTATCGTTTGTTTTATCTTCCTTGACATTATCCATATTGTGCTTCCCTTTACCAGAAGGTTGGAAGCACGCGTCAATCAACAAAGCTCGCGGCCTCCATCCAACATACCTGCCTTGCCATGTCCCACACTGGCCTGGCTGACAACGATCTTGTGCAGAAGCCACCAGAGATGCCGAAGAGATGCGGCACCGACAAGTGACCTGCCCGCTATGATATTGATGCAGCAGTATCTTCCATCGAAGGTGCCGTTGTACCCAAGAAGCAAAACACCACCACTCGTGCTTCAAGCTTCAGCGTGAAATGTAAGACGGAGAATTACATGGAATCCACTCTTCCCCATCTCCACGCCTCTTCACTTGGGAGTTAAGACTGGCATATCCAGACCACCCACGCCTTTTCCATGAACCGAAGAGAGCCCGACCAATGGGGTGTCCGGTTGGCCAGATCGGAACCGTCGCAGGCCCTTGCTACGTTGCCTTGGGTCGCTCTCTTTGTCTGACCTTCTGTTAGAATCATGACGATTGACCACCTGCCATTCGGACAAACCACTGGCTGGCGGAGAGATCGGCGGGGGAGGTGGTTCATCTGGTTGCTCCGTGGTGTGGCTTATCTGCATTCCCTCCGCTATTGCTTCTGCATCGGACTCATAGCCCTCTTCTGATTCAGCAAACTCCGCATTTCGCACTCGAACTATTCCCGCCCCACGTATTCAATCAGGCTGGAACTGACGATGAGGCTGTTGGTCGGACTCGGGGGATTCCGCTTGAGGTGCGGGGGGTCCCGCTCGAGGTGACCCTGGATCACTCGAGTCGAATGCGGCCTGGCGCGGCGATACATCTTCTGCTTCACCACATCGGTGCTCGCACGATCTTCCTGCTGCGCGCTGAGTCCAAGCCCTTGTGTCGCCTTTCTAGGGAGGCGAGACAACCTGTGTCAGCCCCATGAGCGAGTAACACCTTCATCACGTACGACGTCAATGTCTACCAGAGCGCCCACGGAGGCAGGCTCGTGGAGCGTGACGGTGTGCTGAAAGTGGTCCCCGACAGCGAAGTCCGACAGCGAAGTCCGACCCGACAAAGGATGCTTGTCAGAGGTGTTGATCATAACTCTTCACCATTGCTTTTGGCATTCGGGTACTGGTAGACTGTCAATATGATCTGTCTTCGACAGGACCTTCGCGCGGCTTGGTTGGATGCACTCTTCGCCCTCCGTCCGGTTTCTCTCTCCAACGACAAGACAGAAATGGAGATCGAGTTTTACTGGCAATGACTGTTGGAAAAAGAAAAGCCCAAGGCTTTGCTTTTCGAACTTGGCAGCCCAATGGCTGCTGAGCAGTAAGTAGTTTCTCTTGTCATTGGAAGTTGGTCGACACGTGATTGCTAACTGATTCAGGAACCTCCGCTGCGCAAACCACGTCGTCTTCTTGTCGCCCTTGATTGCCTCTACCCGGAACGAATACGATTCCGGGATGACCCAGGCCATTGGTCGTGCGCGTCGGCATGGACAGACAAAAACTGTCCATGTGTACCATCTGCTGGTGAAATTTACGTACGACGTGAATGTTTACCAGAGCGCCCATGGAGGCAGGCTCGTGGAGCGTGACGGTGGGCCAAAAGTGGTCCCGGAGAGCGAAGTCCAACCGGGAGAGATGAGGTACGAAGGCAAGGAGATGCCAGTAAAAACTGGCCGTTAAATGGTCTCCGACTCCGAGCTGGTGGCAGTGGTTGTTTCGTGTGTGACCCTGACCGGGCACTTATGTAGGATTTGTTGAATTGTTGATTGATGAATGTTAATGTACTATGTTACATAGCCCTCTTGCTCTTCCTGAGGTAAGACTCCTGTTGATACCACTTGACTTCTGAGGGTCTAGTTATGAGCCGCCAAGTCCTAGTACTCTACACCTCGCTGTTAAGTGGGCTGCATCCCATTCGACTCCGCCACCTTTGTAGATATCTTTACGAGATGCAGATCAAACTGCACACAAAGGGTAGAAAAAAACACACAGAGTAAAAAAAATGCGATTGGTCCTGCCGTTTGCATGATAGGCTCCCACTCTTTGAGAATCTCTTTGTACTAGAGCCCGCATGTTGGCCGCGGGTTCTTGCATACGGAAAGAATACTAGGAATGCTTTCCTAACGCGGGTCAACAAACGTGATGGGCCGGGCTCTCATATGAGGTAGGCTCCAACAGGTTAATAGAACTTTGATTCGTCATGTATGCATTCTCGTGATGCCTAATAATGATAAAATATATCAAGACAGGAAAGACGAAGAGTTGCACAAACCACTCCGATCCCCAACGATCATAAAAACCAACACAATCATAAACGCCATATCATAACTGGATAGTGGTAGATATGCGGAACACAAAGGCCAAGGTCGGTCATCGGTTGTGTTGATCAAGGAAGTTGGAAGCATCAGACACACTTGAACGGCTTGGAGATAAGCACCTCCACGCTTTGGTCCAAGTTTCTTGACATAGAGACCTTCTACACGATGTTTGAACCATGAGTGGTCGTACTTCATCTTCCAACGCTGGGCAACTGAAGTATGCTGCGCAGGCGTAATGCGAATACTTCGTTGAAGCAGCGAGTGACCGCAAATTATAGCTGCGGCTGCTCCCAGTGCTCTGCTGACCTATCTTTCAGCTTCTACTTTGGTTTTGAGATGGATGTGAGTAGAAAGGCGGACCCCAGGAGTCATCGGTACACATTTCACTTTGTCATAACTGATGGTTGACGAAAACCATTGCATGGCTCTTGTAGTTGGTCTCAATCGATTAGCAAACCTACCAGTCAAATGGATCCGGGACACTACACAATCCCATGTGTTGTGTAAGTACATACTGGATTCAAAATGGGTGAACACCAACCGTTTGAGGAAAGGAACCTGTGGGTTGTCCAGCCATGAAGTCTAATGCGCATAATATTGTGGTGAAGTGTGACTCGCAACGCAGCGTAACTAAAGCACAATGTGACACGACCCTCCAATGCGCTCGCCTTAAACGATCTATTCATGTCCAAGATAGCAAGCGCTTATGTCGTCCTAAGGCTGTCATATGCTCGTGATTAGTCGTGCCCTCACTCCCTCTCACTTCATCTTCCCCTTTCTCAATCCATCCCCCATCAACCTCCATGCCCAGATCAACTAATATACCTGTCAAAACGAGCTTCTTCATTGATGATGTGTGGAATCGGTTAATGAGGCGCCTCGGCCCAAGACACAGACAATAGAACAACGATATGTGGAGACCCAGCCCGTCCTTCCCTAGGCTGCCTCGCTGCCTCGATGCCTCGCTGCCTCGAGGCCTCGTCTCTCATGGTAAGCCCGCCATCTCTGCCATCTCTTTCCCACCTTTTCATCCCTTTTCGTTCCCTTCATCTCCTTCATCTCCTTCAAATGCATCACCCCGACCATCTCCATGACGAAAGTTGATACTGATCACTGCAGACGACACGGAGACTGATGAGGCATCGTTTCCTCTCTTTCGTCTCTTTCCTCTCTTTCCTCTCTTTCCTCTCTTTCCTCTCCGATCATCAATGATGAACAGAGCTCCAGTTGCTCGGAGTCTCGAACTTAGTGAACTTCAATACCTCCCACACTGACGTTTACCGGTCATATTAAGGCCTATCCGTTCGTGCCTCAACAAGATACAGACAACTGCGGCATTGGCCCTGACATTGGACGAGCTTGATAAGATTCGACCGATCTTCGCCGTACGGTCATGTTCTTCCGCCATCGCGGACCTGTTATACGTCGACCCCGACTTCTCTTCAACCCGCGCACAAATCGAAGACAGCCCCGACTACATTGGGTTTGCGAAAGTCCACGAATCCCAATCGGGGAATGTAGTTGATCAGGCTGCTACGCCGGCATATGAGGAGATTATCAGCATGTGTGGCGATGATTTCTAGAGGTCGAAGGCTCTATACAGTAAGTAGGATCTAAGTCCATCTGTGAGGTCTCGATACTTATTCCGTCTTCCCGATAGCGTCGAAGGTTGCTCATGAGCACCGTTGGTCCACGGTCACGTTGTGGAACTGTCTCCGGAATGGCTATCCACTGTTGAGCATCTACAATGCGTCTGGTCCCGACGATCAGCTGGACGCCAAGGTGACGGAGGCGAAGCGTCCTAAAGCGGCGACCTTAAGTTCCTACAGGCTTGCTTGCAAGACCTGGCGATAGCTCCTCATAGATATGACGAGTTCGGGCCTGAAAGGTCTTTAGCTGCTCGCTGCAAAATGTCTTTCCTGTTTCGATTGTCTTTTCCAGCTCCGCAGTCTTTTCCTGTGCCCGCAATGACTCGACCCACGGGTCATCCTCGATCTGATAGCCGGCACAGGAAAAGACTGCGGAGCTGGAAAAGACCATCAAAACAGGAAAGACGTTTTGCAGCGAGCAGTTAAAGACCTTTCAGGCCCGAACTCGTCATATCTATGAGGAGCTATCGCCAGGTCTTGCAAGCAGCCATGCTTCAACCAGCTTCGGATTTCAGCTTGATCACAGGAAATAATGACTAATGAGACCCATGCGATCACGGATTGAAGGCAACTTACACGCAATATGTAAGACACCACGGGTGCATCGTACCGAGCTTTTGGAGAACACGCATCGCCCCCATCTGGAGCGTGTGAGTTACCCGCCTTTTCAAGAAGAGGAATCCGGCAGGGAGAGCCGACTACTCTGCCCCCTCATGAGCTGTTGTGCCAGCTATCAGATCGAGGATGACCCGTGGATCGGCTGCTGCTCGGGCAGATAGCTGCAGCCCAGATGCCTGAGGTTGAAGCCAACATCTACACGGTCATGGCATGAAACGTGTTCAAGATCATCTAAGTACAAGTGAACATTCAAATGAAAGTAGACTGTGCTTTGGAACTTCTGCATGTTCAGATTTCACCGATCTGAACATTCCTTTTTGCTGTACGAATGAATGTACATAGCTCTGGATTCCTTGAGACAATCATCGTTGAGTTCAATTCACGATTCCATACTCAAATCCCCATTTCGCATATCAAACTAGAGAAAAGACCCTCAGCCTAGATTATGATGCAAATGCCTATCTCCGCCATACAAATCCACTAGATTCCTGGTTTGTTCAAGAGCAGCGAAGAAGAGAACGGATTCTTACTTATATCAGTGGCTTGAACGAACCTACAGCAAGGGTCAACCTGACGAGCACATTATCCCAGCAAGGGCGCAAAAGGCTGAATATTACTCTGACAAGTTAGAAATCCGCGCTAAGCATCAGGCCACGAAGAGGAGAGCCTCAGAGCTCCAGAATTGTCCGGGCTAACCAGTCTCGAGTGCAATGGCTTGGTCTTCACTCTTGTCCCATTACCTCCGCTGCTCGCATCTATATTGCGGGGGGGATGAAGGTTACTCCAAGGTAGCTACGCCCCAGTTGCACAGCACGATGCCACGATCCACGTCAAAAGGAAGACGATGGAAATCCGCATTCATGAATAGCCCCGGAAAGGAAGATGAATCGGATGCCTCGAGACTATCCGGGCTGTTTATAAATGTGTTGACCATCTTCTCCAATGGTGGCACTATATGAGGATCTGTAGACCATTGAGTAGGGGTGAGGATTCTGCTGATCAAATTACTTTGATGAAGGTATTTCTGCATCCTGGTGAGATTGACAACTTATAAAATATGCGCGTAAAGTACATGTATCGAGAACCTCAAGTAACTGATGATGCTAGAGAAACAAGTGTACACCTGACCTCTGTATGACAAGAAGCCTGTATCGAAATATGAGGCCCTCTGCGCCGATTCATTGCTGATGCAAGCCCAACCCACCGGAAGACTAGTCGTAAAGATGCAGAAGATTCTGGCCATCATATGTATCAGCTTTAGAAGACAGACATGCCGCCCGAAGACGCCGAACCCAGCTTGGAAATCAATAGTCCATGGAGTAAGCCCCTCTTCCTGCACCACCACCACCACCACTGTGGCCACCTCTTCCGTCGTTCGCACTATCGAATCCACCACCACCTTGATCATCCAGTGACCTGTACTGGTAATAATTTTCACCTCGACCACGACCGCGACCACGGGCTCGGGCGTTGTTACCACGCCCGCGTCCGGCACCTCGACCACGACCACGATTGCCTCCTCTGCCTCGGGGAGCGTCATCATGTTGGTGACGACCCTCGCCGCCGCCGCGCGGTGCGGAAGGGTAACCGTCACGGCTCTGAGCTGGGCCTTCGAAGCTAGAATTCTGACTGGGTGGCCATACAACATTTTCGTCTTCCATTTGGTAACGTCTCTTTTGACTCCTGTTTGGAGGGGGTTCGACGCGACGGAATTCCCCGCTGTCCTCAACCCGCAAGACAACCTTTTCACCGACCACAGTGTCAAAGGTCATGGCCTTGTCTGCCGGGATGGGATGCCAGTTCTGGATTCTTCCTGCATCGATGAGACGGGCACCTTTGCGAACAGCCAATACTACAATAGGTAGTGGGTTTTCTGTGTAATAAGGTTCTGTTGAGGGGATGGGAGCCACGCGCGCGGCCCATATCTTGTTGTCCAGACATCCAGTTCCGGTGACCTGCCACTTTACTTTCTTGCCCATGCCTCCGACCTTGTCCATGACTGAGCGGGGTGCTGGGCGTGGGGTGATTAGAATACTGTTAGCCATGTACTTTAGGTCATTTGATTCAGCAAGCCCTGGAGGCAGCAGTGGAAGCAGCAGATTCTGCGTCATGATGTTCGAAACCTCTGCAGTAACCAAGTATCCCGTGTAGAAGATGACCCGCTTGAGGTACATCCGTCCACATCGGCTCTTGGTTACATTTAGAGACGGGTTGCGCAGTGCCAGGTTGTGGGCGTTGACCATACGCTGCACCTCGGCGGTCTCAGTTACGGGGTCAAGATATGTGCAACCCTCAGTTACCTGGATGACTTCAGCGAGAACGGGCAGTCGTTCGGAAGTGGGATCGTTCTGGAGAACTCTGTTCAGGCTCTCGAAGAAGTCTCGGAACCCTTTCACACTAGCAACACATTAATCTCTTTAGGGCCAAGGATAATCAAATCGCTCGTTCATGATACTTACTGCTTAGGACGGTCCTCATAAACGCGGATATCCTCAGCCTGTGCGTAAGTCAGAACAAGATCCTCAAGAAAGGCCTGTTTGAAGTTCATCGTTGTCGCAAACCGTTGACCATTCGGGCCAACTTCGGGCTTGAGGCCAATGAGGTCAAATTCAAGTTGCTGACTCGCGATCATCCGCTTGATGATTTCCGCGAAGCCGGCTTCACTTCGACCGGTCAGCAAGACAGTGAGCGCATCTTTCTGCTCCATGCTATTCCTAACCAAACGGAGCTTTGACAAAGTTAGTAGTTATAACCCCAACACGCAATATACAGTGGAAGTCGCACAATGTGTTCATTCCACCAGCCCTCCCACTTGCGAGGCTCTTCTTTTTCTATGCCTCTTCCTGTGGCCGCGAGGATATTGGGGTCGTGCCACCATCCTCCAGTGGCGAACCCATCATTTGTTTGGAGAAACCCGACAGAAGCCCCGTGCCATAGTTGTGGATTCGGTAGGGGACTTAAGAATACTAGAAGCGCTGACGTTAGTGGCCAAGCTTCGGGTCATCTCCAGACTGTAAATCCTCACAGGTATTGTCGAAATCGTAGACGTGGATTGCGCGGATATGGGAAACAGCTGGTGATGATTGAGAAGTAAGCAACACTGTCATGGAAGCGCCATAGCAACAAGCGAGATTCTACCTGGGAGTTCCTTGTTCGCGACAGACCAGCGCCGCAAAGAGGTAATGGTATGCGGCGGCCGCTGAGAGGCGTGGATCCCGCCAGTGCTGTAGGGCATGTTTAAGGCAGAAGAACCAAAGCGCGCGAGATTCTCCGAAACGACTGCTTTAGCAGAGCGCATTCTATGAGGATTGAAAGAGAAAGATGCTATTTGCACATATTCGAAGAAAGACCGAGGAAAGAATGGTGAGATGGCAAGCGCGGTGACGAAACTCCGAGAAAACGAGGCCCGGAGGTTCTGCCGCCCGCCCCGACCATCAAGACTCCGCACAGACTCGGGAACCTCCCCCCGACATGTTATCTGTATGGATGATGTCGATTTGCGACAGGAAATCCTCCAGCGCACTCTGGAAGAGGTAGCTGCCGAGGAGAAAGAGGCCTCAAATGCTTGCGTTATTTGTCTAGACACCATCACCGAACCGTGCGTGGCACAACCATGCCACCATGCGAACTTCGACTTCCTCTGCCTTGTTAGTTGGCTGGAGCAGCAGCCTAAATGCCCACTATGTGAGGAAATAATTTGCACTGCATTGAGTGCACAAAACTGACAAACAACAGGCAAAGTCGACCTGTCAGCCGTGCAATATGATCTCAGCGCTTCGCAAGGGCCAAAGCTGTACAAGATCCCGCCCCGGAGCGAAACAATAGCAACAGCTCCAGCCACAGCCACAGCTCGGACGCGACCAGGAACTCGCTATGGCCAGCGAGGAAGGCGACGTCCTCAGCAGCCGCCGCGACCGCCGCGACCGCAGCTAGATGATCCACTCCAGCGCCGGCGCAACGTCTATCGCAACCGGACCTACTCCATGCGTGTCGGATCAAATCGGCTATCACAATATCGAGAATTGACACCAGAGCTCTTCGGTCGCGACGAGGGGCTTGTTTCGCGTGCTCGGAAGTGGATCCGCCGCGAATTACGAGTCTTCTCTTTCCTGAACCCGGGGTCGGAGGAAGACGAGAGCACATCTCCTCAGGTCTCACGCCCTGGGCCTCAACGGCTGGAGAGCCGCCGGGCAAACAACGCTGAATTTTTGCTGGAATATATCATAGCCATTTTGCGCACGGTCGATCTCAAAGGCAGTGCTGGGCAGGCGGAGGAGCTGTTGAGTGATTTCCTTGGGCGAGAGCATGCTTGTCTATTCCTTCACGAATTGCAAGCATGGCTGAGGAGTCCATATAACTCATTGGAGGATTGGGATCGTAATGTCCAATACTCCAATACACCGCGGCATACATATGAGGGAGGGCACAGGGACTCTGATGGGCCGGACCGTAGACCGACTCCTGTATACAATCGCGGTAGACCACAGCGGTCCCGGGGACAATACCGGTCCAGGTCCCAAGAGGCGCTCGATCGTTCTAGACGGCTACAGCAGGCACAGCAGCGATATCGTCCTTACTAGAACAGCCAGATTAGAACGGCGCCGACAGTATACTTATGTCATTTACATGGAACTTGATGAATGTAGACACATTGACAAATAGCAATGATCAAACCATGTATAAATTGAATCGCTATGAATATCCTTGCTATGCTGAATATTAAAAGTAAAATGCAGTCGTCACTTCATCAAAGACAACCAGGGCTGTCTGGTCTTCACCTCCGCCGGAAGCGCCCTCCTCTACCACGCGAAGCACCTCCTCTGTTAATACTCAACGATCGATAATTCGCATGAGCCTCGGCTTTGATCTTCCGAGGACGGGACTTCTTTGCTTCGGAACCCTCCGGCTTCTTCAGAGGCTTGCCCAATGGCTCTTGTTCCTTCGTTTTCGCAGCAGCAGAAGAAGACACAGCTTCCTTGATTCTCTCTGAGAAGGTCTTCGGTTTGGCAACAGGCTTTGGCCCTTCTCCGAACTCAGGGTCATCATCCGAGTCCGGGTCAAACTCTGCCTCGGTATCGAGGTCAGGCTCTGACATAGTATGCTGCGAAGCGGCATCTTCCGCCCTCTCAATATCACTCGGGACATCGTCCCAGCCATCAGTGACAGCAGGTGCCTGCTGCGTCTCTGGGACTGCCACCACCTCGTCCTCATCTTCTGCCAGGTCCTCGTCCGCCAGGGGATCTGGGTTAGACTCGGGCTTCGGCTTATGGAAAACTGGCCTCATAACCACTCTTCGGGTTGTTCGTTTTTGACCCTTCTTTTTGTACTTCCGGTTTTTGTCCGCACCCTGATCTTCCTCAACTGGGTTTCTGGCGGCTTCTTCGGCCTCAGCGGCTTCCTCCATCTCGCGCATCACCTCCCAGTCGTCCTCCATACGCTCCTCTTCCATGTCTCGCAGACCTTGCACCAAATGCGATAGTCCCTTGCTTGCGAATTTCTGGACTTTGCGCGAAGCGACAGGGCTGAAGCCAGGGTCATCGGGGTTCGCGCTAGAAGCTGGATATCGACCGGGATTCGAGCGACGGAGGAAAGACGGTGTCCCAGACAACGCCGCTTGCGGGGAGATTTCTGACGTCAGGTTCGGCAAATCTATCTGTTGCGCATCTGCATCATCCTGTGCTTCCACCATGGCTGCATAGCGCATAGTTGTTGGTGTTGCGAACAAATTCGCAAGATAGAACTGTTTAGTCTCGGATGCAGGTGTTCGCGCAAGCCTCGGCGTTTCCTGCAGTGATTCTTCTTCCGGAGCCTCGGGGATTGCCTCTATAGGTCTTCGTTTGGAGGGAGTGCGGAACGCCGCTGCTAGTTTATCCGTTTGCCTCTTGACAGAAGGAGTTGCACTGCTGCCCCCGGATTCGGATATCATATCGAACAGACCCAATGTTTTTCCATCACGCTGAGGAGTAGGCCCAATTGCGGCCTTTAACGGTGAAGGTTCTGGTAGCCCTTGGCGGTGGGTACTGGGGCTAAAAAGCCTACGCAGGGTCGACGGCGAGTCATACGGATCAAGTTGTGCGGGGTGGTGTTTAATGCGATTGGTAGATGGAGTCGCAAAGAGACCTCTAGCTGATTTGCGGGGCGTTGCTTGGAGAAATTCGTTGTCTCGACCAGGGGGAGATGCATGCTTCCGCTTCTTGGTGTGACTTTGAGATGCGTCTTGTCGACTGGTCTCATGTCTGCTAAGGGACGCTTCGAGGGCTTTTAGGCGGCCGTATTCTTTGTATTTGGCAGCTAAATAACGCCTGATTAGTTACTAGGCCATAGCATCTCGGTACAATATCAGATCCAACCAACCGATTTCCGCATTTTGTTTTATATCGTTGCGTCCAGCTTTCCGGCCCCCATTGTCCAACGCGAAGGCTTTCTCCCAATTCTTCAATTCTGCGCGAAGATTTACAGCTTGGGCAGCAACTTCAGCACTGGAAGTCTGAGCAATATCGGCCATCATTGAAGTGCATTGGCTGACAGTCACAGAAGGAGAAGAGTGAAACTGCAAATGTTCACCTGCCTTTCAATAGACACGCAGCACGCGTCACGCGACGTGAACTAATTACCGTAGACTGACCTAAAAGTAGTAGGCGGTCCGATTCTGCCACACCGCAAAGCTTAACAAACAATTTCGGGACCTGTCAGGGTTGGAAGCCAGGAAGTCTCCCAAATGAACTTCAAGATCAGAATATCTGGCTAGTATATACGCCCCTGCACTAATGATGACCTGTAAAGTGTAATCAAAGAGGAGCTACCCATCTTTTCTTTGCCGGCCCATTTTTGCGATGAGTGGATCTGGTTCCCTTTTGTATTGGAATTACGCTTTGGGAAATCACGTGTGTGCACCGCGTCTTGGAGACTTGGACTGTTGGACAGTCTTAGTCTTGGTTCGAGAGTCGAGACTCGAGACCCATGACGAAATACGGGCCGAATTTAGGGTTCAGCCAATGGCCCAATAATGTCCGATGGCCGGTTGAGCCTCATCAGGTTCAACCAGTCTCGGCGCAAGCGACTTGGAAGTCCCAAGCAGTTGGTGCGGTGCTCTACCTTCCTACCCACGACCTACTGCATAAAAACAGCAAATCCCGGGGAAATGGAACAACAATGCTCCCAAGCAAGCAGCGACGAGACCCCCCATGAAGATCGTGCGAGCGACGAACTTTGCTATGTGGACAGTAGGTAAGGATGGTCTCTACGAGACTCCTGTGTCCGGTTATACTTACTTTTCCAATGGCGTGCTAATCGAATAGTTTCCTTCAATCCTGTGGGAAAGATACTTGTATGTCTATCAGTTTATGCTTACTATACGAAATTTGTGTCCGGTCGGGGGAAGTCCTGCGCAACTCCGAGAATGGGAGATAAGGCCCGAGCTAGTTAACCCAATTAGATTGTTTGATCGAGCCAAGGAAGCATAGATGCGAAGATAGATGCGCCTTGATGCACGTGATAGGTTCACATGTTATGGTCATGTGACTCCCCCCGCATAGATAAGTTTAGCGTCCCCGCTTTCTCGGTTATTCGTCGGACTCGCGGCCTCGCCACGACCTTCCCCAACTTGACTTTAGTCTCTTCTTGTGACTCAACCTCATGCAGGTTGTACCGCAATGACATCTGTACAACTATGCCCCCCAAACGTGAGCGTACGGTACAAGGATCATGCTGGCCCTGCAAGCACCGCAGGGTGAAGTGCGATCTGGGGAAGCCCTCTTGCCAGAGATGTGTCTCATCAGGGGCCAAGTGCTGTTACGACAAGCTTCTGATCAGATGGAAAAAGACACCCGCACAACAAAGCTTAAAAGTACAGAAATCACCCTACATGAACCTCAATATGCAACTCACGGACAAGACCTTGGCTGTTGGGGACCGCAGGGCTCTTGAATACTTCCAATTCACCCTTTGGCCTCTTTTCACCACTGCCGTTCATCCATGTCCACCACCTATATCACTTGCCATGGAATGTCAACCAGTAATGCTGGTTGTGTGTGAGCTAGCCGAGGCGCATCGCACGCTGCGAGATGAGGCTGGGAGCAGCACAGTTTGCACTCAGTTTGATAAACGAACGAGTTGCTTGGCCTCAGTCCGGGAGCAGCTTCGGAAAACCTCCAATCAATCGTCCTTATCTCCTCTATTGGTCGCAGTCTTCTTACTATATTTCCTGGACGGGTATATCGAATGTGGTCACCAATCTGCAGCAACAGCAAGTCACCACGTGGGCGTTCAGGCGATTGTCGAACATCTAGGGGGATTCACTGCTCTAATCGAGATGGGCAAAAAAGACATCACCATGTTACTATCAGAGTTCGCATCTACAGACTTGACAAAGGCTCTGCTGGATGACCGGTCTCCCTGCTTCCCCGCTGAAATCTGGACACGGATCGAGCACGGCACAGTCTGGTGGGATCAAGAAACATATAACGGCACAACGCTGGCATCGGTGTTCAGGATTCTGGCAGAGATGGCTGTTTATCGCCAGCGAATAAAGATCGGAGAATTCCCACTTTCAATGGAAGTGGTACAGGCCTTTGAGCGGTCTTTGCAGCCATCTTTCCTCGTTCTCAACCTCGACCACCTCAACAACCCCGCCACCTATACCGGACACGAATCAACGCTCGAGCCAAAGATGCAAGCAGATTCCTTCACGCGCGCTTTCCAACACAGTGCCCTCATCTATCTATACCGAGCAATCTGTGGTCTTCCACCGAGACACTCCCTGGTCCAACAACACGTTCAGTCATGCGCGGAGTGTATCAAAGGCATCTCACCTCGCTCGAAGGCCCACAACTGTATAATATTTCCCTTGTACGTCATGGGCGCCCACACATTCATGCAAGACCAACAGGAATTTGTCCTGGAGAGGTTCGATGCTATCTATCGATATTTGCGCTTCAATTCTGTGCTCTTGGTTCGTTCAGCGCTAGAGGATCTGTGGAGGTCGCCTCGGCATGATGGGAGTTGGTGGGATATGTTCAGTACTTTAGGCGAACATGTGCTGGTGATTTAATTCCGAGTTGTATTCATTATGATCAGCGTTATAGCGGCCATACCTATTATATCAATTTGCTTTCAACATCTTTCCTATTCTCTGTCCTTTCGGCAATATTGTCCCGGACTTGTTTTATCTCACACGTGTACCTTACCTTCGCCTTTTCGCCGTCCAGTCCACACACAGCAGAATATAAAGGTCTATGCATACAAACGAGGACTCACCTACCTGCATCAACGTGAGATCGGCAGCATATCTGTTGCCTAGCGGCGTCATTCTGACCCGGGACACACGGGGCTAGTCAGACGTGGCCAGACGCCACGGCTTACGCTAACGGAGCTCCGAGTGTCAACGCCTGTAGCGGGCCACGTCGTAGGTGGGGGCTAAATCAATCAGAATGAGCCTGCCTAGCCAGAACACAGGCGATAAAGTCTCGCTGTAGGGGCCTTCCTCATCATCATGACAATGCCTCCGAATTCTGATCAGCCCAACCACCATGTCTTCTGATCGATCTCCGTTTGATGATGAGTTCAATGAACTCGTGAAAGAGCAACTTGAAAAATGGAAAGTCCCTGGTCTGAGTATCGCCATTATCAATGGCTCCAACACTTACAGCAATGTATGTATGGTCATCAGTCCCGCTCTGGTATCGGATCCTCACAGACCCAACAGGCATATGGACAAGCGGAATTGCCAAATCGCAACAGAAATCGACCAGCACGAGCTATGACAACCGACGCATTATTCGCAACGTGTAGCACAACCAAGGCTTTTACTGGTGCCGCTACATCCATAGTAATCCAAGACAGCAAGAAGACCAGTGACCCAATTGATTGGGACACCACTTTGTCCTCCTTGATTCCAGAAGACTTCGTTCTTGAGGATGACTACACAACAAAGAATATAACCTTGGAAGATGCGCTGTCGCATCGGTCGGGCATGCCACACCACAATTGGCAATTTGCCCTGTTCCCAATGCAGGGCGTCACGCTCGCCTCTCTCGTCCGCGCCATGCGATACATGCCTCTCGTTGCTCCACTGCGCACTAAATATCATTACAGCAATAACATGTACCTCGCCGTCTCCCATGCATTGGAGACGCGCACCGGCGAAGGGCTGGGAGCCCTTATGAAGAATCGCATATGGGACCCTCTCGGGATGGCGCAGACCTACTTCTCGCCCGGCGAAGCAAGGGCAGACACAACAAGCACTGCGGAGCACGTGCAAGCGTACGACTGGATTTCTACAGCAGATGGCGGCCGGTTTGTCGAAAGACCGGAGCATGATTGGGAGGGCAACAGCGGCGCTGGCGCTATCGTTAGCAATGTCCTCGACTATGCCCGCTGGGTGCGCGAGTTCATTGAGCGGAACGGGCCATTGAAAGGACATGACAGCCTGACAGTCCCGCGGACAATTATTTTACATACTGGTGACGTTGATTTGCCCTCTCCGTACCGTGCGTATGCGCTGGGATGGGTGGTGGATAACTACCGCGGCCAGCATCTGTACAGTCACTCTGGCGGCTGGCCTGGGTATTCAAGCTGGGTTGGGTTTGTTCCCGAGAAGAAATTCGGAATTGTGGTCATGGGAAACTCGTCTTCGGCTCGGTTTGCGGTGTTCAGAGTGGTTACTTATCTTTTGGACAGGTACCTTGGTCTGACCAATGACCAGGGGTATCAGGAGAAAATAGCTGCTTCTCTCGTAAGGCAGGCTGACAGCTGGAAGAGGAGCCTGGAAACTGAGGATATCAAGGCCGTGAAGCAACGGTTGTTCTCTGCAGGTTTGCCTGATCCACCGATCCCGCATGCCTTGCATTTGTCCAGGTATACTGGGACATACGAACACCTCACGAATGTGACTGTCACTTTCAAGATTGGCGATGATGGGCTTATTGCTAATTTGTGGGATCGGGCAATCCCGTGTGATTTGTCCCTTCAACATGTGAGCGGAGAGTTCTTCGTGGGCAGCCTCCTTAGCGAGGGACACACCTTGATGCCGCCGTTCACCGTGGAATTTTACATCAACCCCGCGGGAGTCGTGTCTAAAGTCGGACTTCATTTGGAGTCTACCATGAAGCCCGAAGAGAAGCTTTGGTTTGTTCGTTCTGAATCTTGACCTAGGTTTATGTTAGGTATCGAGGTAGCCAAATGAAACCATCCTTTATACAAGCCATTTGCTTCCCCATTGATTTCGCTTTGAAAACATCACCATTAAACCGAAATCCCAAGGCTTGCAGAATGACAGGATGGTCTTCCCTTTACCAGCTGGTCAATTCACGCACCCTATCAAATCCACCCTTCAGCTGAGACTCGGGGTGCACTACCTTCCCTTGCAGAACGGTATACTTGACAATACCCTCGCAATGCTCAGGACGAACACGCGCAAGCCAAATCATCTGCTGATCCTTTTTGCGATAGACAAGAACATTAGCAGAGAACTTGTGTCCACCAACATGCGACACGTAGGAGATTCCCACGCCGCCAGGTCGCGAGTCATCCGAATCCCGATCCAGTCCCAGTGGACGGAGATGGCGCTCCAGCTCACGCTTGATCAACGGAGCCGTCATACCGCAGCGGGCATCGCGATGTCGATGGGAGCATAGTAAGATTACATAGTCGAGTTCACAGGGTCGACTGCTTATGCCAGAAGTGGTGGTCGAGGCACTGTTGCCTTTTCCCGGGCCGATGGGATGGTCGATATATCGGGCCACCACGTCTGGAACATCTGCGTACTTGACGGAGTCGACGAAGGTGAATGCCGGAAGAATCAGCACAGTTGTAGCTTCGTTGGAACTAGCTTCTGTGGGTGACTGATTCGGAGCGTTGAGACTCGATGCCGAGACCATGATGCGCTGGATACGGGGTTAGTTTAGACAGATAATGAGACAAGATTATGACTGTAGAGCCTACGCCATGCTCCGATTTCGTCTCATGGAATGCTTCCATCAGACTTCCGGCCTGTTTTTCCACCTTTCTTTCTTTCCAGTCGGACTGGCCAGTTGCCACTAGGACGTGGGAATGAAATTCCTTTACCAGACCATAGAGAGGTCTTGAGGTCTCGACTTTCACCTTGGATGGGAATTGAAGGGTGCAGTCGGCACAATCTTTCAGACAATCAGGGCCATCCTCTTTGGGATCTACCCTGGGGAAGATGTACTTGGTGTGGGCCGTGGGGCCGGTGGAGTCTGTGCGGCCGAAGGAAAGCAAAGAGCGCAGCATGGCTGCGGGTGGTTGTAGATTAGTACGATGGAAATATGAGGTTTTGAGATGTTGTGGGGGAAGACGGTGAGATTAGGCGTGATGGGGCATTTGTCAGTGAGGCTCAGGCTCCCGCTCTGATGCATTACCTATCTCCGAGACACATCTCCGAGATGCAGCTGCGAGCCTGCGACCCCGATCCGAGTGAGAAAGCTGACTGTTATCAATGCAACCTTGAAACCACCTACAAGGCAGCCTCCATGTCCGTTTCTTAACGTGGACTGGTATTTATTAGCATACCCTACTCCGTACATAAACCCCTGTTTGTGTATGTCTAAATCAGTTTAACCTTATGCTTGTTTCCAGACTGAGGCTTTGTTCGCTAGACCGTACCTAGGCCGTAGGGTATAACTTATGGACCCTGCTCTATGTTACTTTCATGGATCGTGTTTCCCCTTCCTCTCTCCTTCCGCGGCCACCTGCTTGGTAGTCAATAGCCTCCCCCGAGAGACCCTCGAAGGAACAATCTGATCTGGACCTCGAGGCAAGATCAACTCACTACCTCAGGGAAACGACAGGTAGATCCATTGGAACCAACAATTGTGTGCTGTATGACTCGTACGAGCACGTCCAGCTCATTAAGAGAGTGGTCCCTGGATGATGTACTGCGTAAGACGTCGATTGATCCGTGGCGACCTTGACTCTAGCAGCGCTAGCGCTGCCTATTTTTGATCTCGGGCCAGACCAACACGGTGATTGCCCGCGAATCCTTCAATATCGAAAGATCGCCAGGGGGTGCAGTTGCCCGTCCTGAGGGCTTGTAGTCTCTGTCGAGTCTCCAATCACGTGGATGGGCTGATTCTCTTGGCGGGAGGAGCGACAGAAAATAAGAACCACCAATGCGGAGGTGAGACTACCCTGCATAATGTGAAGTGTATCCCCATATTTCTGGTGAATTGAGTGATCAGTAGGGTTGAAACTTGAGAGCCAGAAACAGTGAAAATGAAAAATACACAAATTACCAAACTGAAATTGCGAATAAAAAATAAAATAAAAAGTAAAAAGCGCCAGGTCGGGCGCACTTTCCGCATTGGGACCAGAGCGGGACCACGTAAGTTTAAGCCGGAGCAAGAGCCCTGGAACGCTTTTCCACTCCCCCACGAGATTTCCCAAACATCTCGGGCTTAAGATCTCTCCCAAAGTATACGCCGAGCTTTGCTCCCAACATCCGCAATGGATGTTCAAGGCAATGCCCAGGCCGAGAGGGTGCGCAAGCGTCGCCGCCGCACAATGGCCTGCACCCAATGTCGCACGCGTAAATTGCGATGCGATCGCGAGTATCCCACTTGCAGCCGGTGTCAGAAGAGCAGAACTCCGAGCAAATGCACATATGAGGATGGCTTTTTATGGCAGCAGCCTACCACTGTCTCTACTACTACATTTGCATCTGACCGAAGCTCCGCTGTACCATTGCCCAGAATTGACCATACACCAGTTGGCACGCCCTCAGACTCGGGGATAGCCACGGGGTCAACTCGGACAGAGCCTTTCCAAATGAGTGAGCCTCGCCTAACAATGGCCGGGGGTCCAATGCATCATGATTATCATGGGCTTGCGGGGAATGCTCTTGCGCCGCCCTATAGAGGCCGACCACATGATAGAGAGCGAAAGGACTGTTTCTTGGAAACTGTTCTCGGTGCTCCTAAAGCGGCTGTTAACCAGGAGCCGTATGTGAACGCGGACCTTTTACAGCGACCCAAGCGCCCGGCGCCGGCGCCGGAGCAACGTTCACAAGTACCGTCGCAGGTCGACGATGAGCATTGTGACGATGAAGAGGAACCGTTGTCACCCGCGGACCAGCTTGGGATTTCTCCACGAATCATGATGAGAGGCCATGAGACAAAAACGCGCTTCAGCGGATCAGGCATCTTTGCCAATCTTGTAGCACAGGTGTGCTGCCCTTTTCATTGCCAACAGCAGTAATATACGGGCTTTTGACTGACATCGGTGTAGTTTCCGGACATTAGATCTTTTGCCGAGGAGATCAAGCACTCTACTCCCGTACTTACAAATCTTCAACCTGATCTAAGAAGGGTTAAGCGCGGGCTATTCAAGCATAAGGTGCTCAGTCAAACCATCCCTGATCCTACGACGGCCTCACTTATTAGCATGCTACCCTCGCGCGGTGTTGTTGATGAGCTGGTTGGCTTGTATTTGACATATGTGGAATCGACGCACCGGATCCTTCATGTTCCATCCTTCTTACGAGAACTTGACCAATTTTGGGCGATGCGTGGCAGCCCAGACTCCATCTCTGCTGCCTTTGCAGCTCAGGTGCTGCTTGTTCTTGCCTGTGCCTGGAACTTTGCGGACTTTGCTAGTCTGCAGTCAAAAAGCATTGGCGAGCTCAAGTGCCAGACTGCAATTGAGTGGACCATGCATGCAGGCAAGTGGATTGAGAACCTCCACACCAAGCGTCCAGAAATCACATCATTGCGACTCTCTATCCTGTTGATCTTAGCGCACAACTCGCACGGAATGAAACGCAGCCAAGCTTGGCTTTCCACGAGTAATTTGGTCAAGCAAGCCATGATGGCAGGGTACCATCGCGACCCAAGCCGGTATGCGCGCATATCCACGTTCAACAAAGAGATGCGGCGGCGGATATGGATAACCATAGTGGAATTGGATCTTCAAGTTGCCCTGGACCGCGGAATGCCGCCATCGGTACAGAGTTTTGATTATGACGCGTCTCCGGGGTCCAACATCTACGACGACGAGATCCACGAGAATTCCACTGACGTACCCGAAAACCGACCACTGGGGGAAGTTACCGACTCGTCGTTCCAGTCTGTTCTGAGTCGCTCGCTACCCCTCCGCCTACAAGCATGTTCTCTGATGCACTCTCCACAAATCACTTGTCGATATGAGGATATTCAGCGTTTAGACGGGGAGCTCAGCCGGCACCTTTCTTGGATTCCTGCTTGGGTGACCCCAGATCCCAGCAACGTCGCCAGCGAACAGAAGGTCATTCTGTGGAAATCTTTGATTGAGACCAAGATTTCCCAATCTCTATTGTCCATACACACCCCCTTTGCCATCGAAGCACGGCGAGAAGCACTCTTTGCTCCCTCCGCACGTTCTCGTATGGATTCAGCGATCAGGATATTGTCAATTCAGCGACAAGTCCGCGAGATTTCGCGACCACTATCGCTGTGTATGCTTGGGGAATGGACTCTGCATGCCTACATAACCATCTGCCAGTTGCTACACACCACAAAATCGAATACGAGTGAGTTTCCCCTCCAGTCAGGTCTTGGTCCCAGGATGCCATACTCATCAATACTTTAGCACGTGCGCCCTGCCATCCTGTCTCATCTACTTTCCTTCTCCATAATATACCCGGTATCCCCGAATCGCTCTTATCACTCGTGGAGACAGCCCTGGTCGCGCTCGAGGAACGCTCTCTCTTGTTCACCAAGGGTGCGAAGGACTATTATTTCCTCTCGACAATCGTCGCATTAGTCAAGGCCCGACTCTGGCCAGATCAGGCAATCGTGTACAAACAGCAGGTTGTCGAGCGAATTCTGTCCTTTGCACAGGTGCTTTTCTCACGGCATGCAAACTGCGATCATCTCGACGAGCGGGGGCTCGGTGATTTTAAGTCCAACCAACTGGCTATATTCAAGGCGGTTCCCGCAATGATTCCTCAGCCCATTGAATTTGATCGCAATGGGATGCTCCCGCCGCCCCAGCCCGGTGCGACAGTGAGTCGAACACTTTATCTTCTTTTCATTTATACGGTCTTGCGCTAACTCCTTTTCCTAGCAGGTTCAAGAGTTCGATCCTTTCTTGGAAATCTTCAATTGGGAAGATTTGACAAGCGTGACATTTCCCTGCTGAGCAGCGTGAATTGATCTTGCTTGGATTTCCTATATGCCGTGTACGATATCCGTGTGATCTCGGTTTTCGCACTGCCATTTCGATTGTATATAACGCCTCGTTCATGACTGAGTACATACCATGACCTCACAAAGGTATGGTACCTAGATCTAGCACCATTTAAATCGTGAATATGATAATGACGGGAATAGAACCTAGGCCGATCGTTGCGAAGAGTAGGGAGAACCGGGCTGTATCTGTGTCCAACATATTACCTTTCTCACCTACCTACCTATGAAACCGGATTCCCCGGCCCATGATATATGACCTTTTACTAGGTTGTACAACATACGTTGTGGCTTCACTCCTGGTCGGGGTCCACTATGAGGTTATGACCGGAGATATCAGAGCACAATGCAAGGGATATCAGATTTCGGACAAAAGACGAACGAATGATGTGCGCGCACAGAGCCTGGATTGCGTCCTTGCTTCCATATAGCGCCAATGCAGGCGCCGAGTGGGGTCACGGCAGTGCTACGTACTCAGAAATTATTTTTCTCTAGTTTGGGGCCGGGCTATGCGTTGTAGAGCCTTGCCTCGTCGCGTGGAATGTTGGTATCCATTGCACTAGCAGTCCTGGGTATGTGAACCAATGAGCACATATGTAGAGGTCCCGTAGAAGGTCTCATAGGATGCTCCAAAGCATAACAGAGCAGCCTCATAACATATCACTGGCTCTAGGAGGCTAAGAGCAAATAAAGATTTCAGCCCCATAAGCTTACCTTACCTTAGGCCCCCCACTGCGGGTCTAGTACCTGAGGGTACCGCTATCCCCCGCCAATAACAGCCGTGCAGCCAAGTACCTGTAGGTACCTGTCAAACCAAAATAGCAACTCCAAGCCCCCTAAAAGACTTGGCTTTATTTAGCGGCGATCATGGCACAGCCGCTCTGCCACATTAGGAGTTCGAGGGCTACAGTAACTACGTTTTCTTTGTTCTTTCTTTTTGCCCTTGCCACTTGCATATAAACCATGTGTTTCTCCCTCGCTTCAATTCTCCATGACCACCATATCTCCGCCTCTTTGACTCTTATCCTTCTCAACGCAGTATCTGCTATACCTAAGGACTGAAGTCTAAGAGTGATTCCATTCCATGTATACCACAACTTGATAAATTTCCCAGTCCCCCAGCTATCCACGCCAATAATTCCCCTTACAACCCTCATCCCGCCAAACCCCAAGCCCCGTTATACTCCCATGTACATATTCACCACAATGCACCTCCCCATCCTCCTTTCAGTGATCTCCGCAATCACAGTCCCACTAGTCTCCGCCCTTCCATCACCAGCACAGAGTGACAGACCCTCCCAAATCTACAAAACAACCAACAACTATCCCCTTCCAAACCCAGGCAACCTCCCAGTCCACGACCCAAACATACTCTACCACGACTCCAACTACTACCTCTTCAAAGGCGGAATCCACGTCCCAATCTACAAGTCCGCCAACATCACAGGTCCCTGGACAGAACTCGGCACCGTCCTGGACTCAGACAGTGTAATCCATCAAGGCAACCGCTCCCGTCCCTGGGCCCCTACAACAATTCACAAAAACGGCCTCTTCTACTGCTACTACACGCTCAGCGCGCAGGGCTCCCGCAACAGCTCAATCGGCGTCGCAACAACGCCAGTAATTGACGGCACCCCTTGGACTGACCACGGGGCAGTCATTAATACAGGCACAGGCCCCGGGTCGGATGTGTATCCGTACACGGTCACGAATGCCATTGATGCGTCTGTTGTTTTTGACGAGGATTCCGGACAGGCCTATCTCAATTATGGCAGCTTCTGGCAAGGGATCTGGCAGGTCCCGTTGGCAGATGAGATGGTTTCTGTTGAAGATGCGGGTAAGCCAGACGCGGTGCAGTTGGCTTTCATTCCGAAGGAGAAGCGTAAGCCTATTGAAGGGGCTTGGATGAGTTACAGGAGCGGGTTTTATTACCTTTGGTTTAGTCATGGGAAGTGTTGCCATTTCCAGAAGGGGTTTCCCGCGCCTGGAAAGGAGTATAGTATTCGGGTTGGGAGGTCGAAGAGTGTTCGGGGGCCGTTTGTTGATCGGAAGGGGACGTCATTGATTGACGGGGGTGGGACGGTGGTTTATGGGTCGAACCATGGGGTTGTCTATGCTCCTGGTGGGCTTGGGGTTTTGAATGGGAGTGAAGGGTTGGATGTTCTCTATTATCATTATTTGAATACCTCTGTGGGATTCAAGAATGGGGTGAGTCTCTCTGGTTGCATGCTGTTGCCAAGGTTTGGGGGTTTGGATTGGAACTAACTGTCCTCGCAGCAAGCTCAACTCGGTTGGAACTATTTGGATTATGAGGATGGCTGGCCAGTGCCTGTTGGAGGGCAGGATCCTACCACCACCAGTGCAGCCTCGACTCACGCGTTACCTGTCCGGAGCTATTCGACGATCTTTTTTGGTTAGAGTGGAACATCCCAGCCCGTCGACTCATGCCTGTCTTATGCTGACTTTGTAGGGTTATGGCTATCCATGTGGTTATAGCAGCGGTCCTGTCCTGCATCTTATTCTCGTGGTTTCTCTGCGTATTTATCATGGCGACGGTGTTATACTGGCTCCTCTGTATTTAGACTTGCATCTAGGTAGCGAGCATATACTTCGACCCATCGAGTTCATATTGGATGCATGGTCAACGGCATAACTTGCCATGAAACTGTACTTATTGCCCTGACGTCCTCGAACCCCAAATAAACTCGTTCAATCCCATCCACCATCCACACTGACAATCTGCCCAGTCGTATACGACGCAGCATCACTAAGCAAAAATACAACCGTCTGTGCAACCTCCTCCGCTGTCCCAACACGCCCAATAGCAGCCGGTGGCGCATCCATCCCTCCCTGAATATCCTTCGCCAAATCAAGCAACGGCGTCTGAATACTCCCACTAAACAAACTGTTAATATAAACCCAACCAACCCAAAACAAACCAGAAAGGAACACTCACGGCGCAACCGCATTAACCCTAATTTCCGGCCCAACTTCCTTGGCAACCGACTTCGTCAACCCAGAAACAGCATGCTTAGTCGTCGAATAAGCCGCATGCAACGCAAACCCCATTAACCCCTGAATACTCGACGCATTAACAATACTCCCCCTCCCACCAGGCGCACTCTGCGCAATCGCCCTCAGCTGCGCCCGCAAACAATACATAAGCCCCGTAACATTCACCCGCATCAACATATCCCACTCCGCATCATCCTGGTCGACGAATTTGCCCGTGCCGTGCACCTTGCCAATCGTGCCGGCCATATTGGCCGCGCCGTCCAGACGGCCGAAGTGCGAGACTGTGGCGGCAATCCAGTCGTTTACAGCTGAGACATTGCCGATGTCGAGGACCGTTGTGGTGATTGTTGAGGTTGATGCGGTGCTGGAGTCGGCTTGGATTGTTTGCAAGGCTGTTTCAAGGACTTTGGGGCTTAGGTCTGCGAGGGCGAGGTGGGCGCCTTGGGTGTGCAGTTGGCGGGCTACGGCTAGGCCTATCCCGGCGAGGCCGGTTACGGCGTAGACTTTGTTCTTGACGGAGTCCATTTTGAGGTAGTTGGATTGGAAGGGTTGGTTTCTGTGTGTGTTTGGGTGTTGAGGTATGGGGAGAGAGTGATGATGGGGATGAGCTGTCTGGAAGTTATTATGTTGCAGGTGGGATGAATACCCCAAGTCCCCAACGTACCCCGATGGTGGGGATAACGTGGGGTCGGAGGTATTCCGTGGTTGTTCTATGGGCTGCTCCGGTAGTATTCGGGTGCATTCTGTGTTACCAAATCGGTTAAATTCAGTGGCGGCCGGGATTCGTAACTATTAACTTTTATATACTCCGAAGAGGGGCTTAAACTTTCTACCAAGATCTTTCCAGGTGATGCGGTGAAGTCAAACCTATATAAACCTTGGCGGGAATCTAGGAACCTGTGAACTTAGTACTTACCTACGACGAATGGAATGAGCCTCGGAAAGTAATGCCATAAAGCATGCAACCTATGATATTGGACGGTGCTCATGGACTGCGCACATCGATGCTCTCACCTGCGGTGCGCTGCCTAGATCAGGCTCGTTCTGGTGGAAGAATCTATTATTGAGAAAATCCAGCATCGATTTCAGTGCTTCCCCTTCCTCGCGGGCCGAGTCGCGGCTCCACTGCCTCCATGGTTTTCTTCATCAGTTTGTCGTGCCATAGTTTAGCCACTAGATGGATCCTTGGTCGACACTGGACCGAACAATGTATTTGTAAAAGAAGTGGTACACCCGCCCAAGGCCAGGATATTGACCGGCTTGAGGTCCATATGGTAACAGACAGTCCTGTCTTGTCTCCATCGGCGTTCCACATGCCACGATGAATATAGGAAGTCCAACCTATTCGAAGCCCCCTGATTTAATTATGTTCATTTTCGCCGTAACGGTACCTAGTTGGGCTAACTCCATTGTGACCGTTCATGTCAGAACAGGCGTGAACGGGATAAGAGCAGTCATACTAACTAGACCCTCATATAAACCTTCCAAGAGCCCTCGGACCGAACCGCCGTGACGAAAAGAATGCGGCTGATCTTGAGGAATGAGGGCGTGACTTGATATCTCCGAGGCATTCACATATCCTACATCTACCACAGAACCCTGAACTCAAAACAGCATAGTATGCATATAGTATATCTCAAACATGATCGCAAAAATGGGTATCACAAACTAAACAACAACAAACAACACCTACTGCGTAGGTCAAACAATCATCCCAAAAACCACCAACCCAACAAGTCCAATCCCCCACAAACTCCCCCGGACCCTAACCCTATTCCCACCAGAAACCTTCTCCGTCTGACTCCCATACACAATCCCCTCCTTATTGAGACAATACATAACCCTCTTTGCCTCCTTCGACGACCCGGAATGACAGACAACAGAACATGGATCCGGATCCTCGGATACCCAGACCGAACTCCCACAGCAAGATTGCAGCACGTCCTTCATGTCCCGTTTATCATGGTCCTGGTACAGCGGGACCTGGTTGTAGAATTCTATGTTGGAGGCGAGGGCGGGGAAGGAGTTGCGTGCGGCGTAGCATTCTGGTGGTTGGGTATATTGCGTGCTGTTTGTATGGGGTGGTGGTGGTGTCATTGCATATATTTCTGGTTGAAAAGTGTATTGCGCCGAGCGCGTTTTGGTATTTGCGATGTGCGACAGGGGTTGGTGTTGGTCTGGTGATGTGCAGTCGATCTCGGATGGGAAGGTGGAGTGGTGGGTTTTTGATGTCTGATTGTGACCTGAGTTGGAATATGGTAGACTGGGGTTGATGTCTAGGAGGGAAAAAGATAATCGGAGTGTCAGACGGCGTCAATGAGGATTTTCAAGGAGATGGAAGTGGATCTTGATGGTCTTAATGTCTTAATCTCCTGAATCAGAGGGGAAGAGAAAATGCCAAGGCGCTATGAGAGTGATGACTGATGATGGCCAAAGTGGAGACGGTTCGGCTGAATAGAGACAATAGTTAGGGGGATTGTGATTGGACTACTCCGTACTTTCTCATGGGATCATTGGATCATTTAGTTCAAGTGGAAAGCTTTGATTTCTTCACCAAACTGAGACATCTCAAAAGGGGTATGTACTATGTACTGTGTAGTATAATATGCCCAACTCCTTGCGCGAATCTATGTGATCTATGTTTCTTCTTCAGTCTACACTCTATCCCTCGAATAACCCGCAACCCTTGCGGATTTAGTCTACAGTCGGGCAGTACGGGCAGCTTCATTGGCTCGACGCCACATTTTCTTCCGGCGCTCGTGGCCCGCGTTGAAATCGTTGAGCCATTTTTGTTCAAACCGAGGGAGGCGCCGCCCTGGCGCGCCTTCAGCGGGCTCACCGGCCAGAATGCGGAGTGCTTCGAAGTACTCTTCGAACTCCGGGTTGAGGACTGTGAATCCGGGGCCGTCTGTTTTCACGGCGATTCGATCAGATTCCCATTTTTCTTGCTCCGCGATGGAGGGGAGGGTTGCTCTGCCGGCGAGAACGCGCGCGGCGGCTACGGCTTGCCATTCAAAGACTTTGAAGGTTAAGCCCGCGCCAACCTGGGAATTTGTTAGTTCATTTCTCCCGTCAAAAGGAAAACGGAAAATCAGGTTCCGGTCGATAGACTTACAGCGCCTACAAACACCAGAGTTGGATCGTGTCTGTAGAAGACGTGCTGGTAAATATTCGGCACGCGGTTATTTCGCGTCGCAACCTGCGGCAAGAAAGGTAGAGTCCAGCTGAACCCAGTTCCAAGAATGATATTGTCGACATCGCTTTCTGAAGTGCCGTCTTCGAAATGCACTGTCCGCTCGCCTTGATCATTACTCGTGATGTGCGAGATAGGCGGACGACGCTGGATCTTCGGGTGCTGGAATGCAAGGTCGCCGAAGTAGGAATTGTAACGACCGCGAACAACAGCAATCACCGGACTCTGCGCGCTATCAACCAGACTAACAGCCGTATCGGCAGCTGAAACAGACGCTCCAACCGTAATAACTTTCTGCAACGTGTGTAAGCCGACCAGCCTCAACAAGATAACGCCATCCCAGGAGGGGGACTGCAAATACCTTTCCCTTGTACTTCTCTGGACCGCGATAATGCTTCGTATGCTCCACACTACCAGGATACCTCTTTGCAAACTCCTTCAAACCAGGAATAACCGGAACCCACGGAACCGCATAGTGTCCCGAAGCAACAACAACAGCGTCAAATTCCTCCGACCACCAATAATCCTCCTTCTCCCCATTAACCGTGGATTCCGTCCGTCGGAACGTAAGCACCCACTTCCGACTCTTCGGATCCTTAATCGCGCGCTCAACAGTAGTGTTATACTGGACGAGATCCTGGTACCCATTCCGCTGGAACAAATCCTCAATATACTTCCTAATAACTGAATGGTGTCGAAAAGGCGTATCCTCCCCATGCCTCTCAATCGACCACTGCGATCGAACAGTCGGGATCTCCTCTTTCGAAAATGACATCGCACCCGCATCCACGTTCGTCTCTAGCGTCGGGTACACGGCTGAATCCGTGAATCTGTCCTGCGAGACGACTGGCCGCCGGCAAGGAAGCTGCGCGGGGATTTCAAGAGGCGCATCTGCCGTTCTGGCAGCCAGCCTGTCGAAATCGGATAGTTGTGGCGGTGCGTCGTCTCTTGATACCCTGGTTATTTCGTTAGAAAGTGTGCTTCCGATGATTTTCGCGCCAATGATTATATGTGCAGATTGAAACATGTACATACCAGCATCCACCGGCTTTCTCTTGTCTTTCAAATACACGGATAACGTCGAATGTCTTTTCTTGTGCTAGGGCATCGACGGCAATGGCGCCCGCCGGACCGGCACCAATAACGGCTACGCTTTTGATCGCCATGATATGTGTGGGATTATAGTTGTTTGTCTGTTAAGCTCGTGCAGAATTGATGGATAGCTCGCCTTTTTAAACACGCAGATGTGTCTCGGCCGAGCCAGTTGGATATGAGCTGATTGCGAGTGGAATCACGAGTGAAATCGTGAGTGGAAACGGTTCTATCACGCCATCCGTGGAGTTTTCGCGCGAGTTTGGTCGCTTTGAGTTTGATCGCTTTGGTCCAGTGGGGCTCAATGGGATACCTTCAATTGCCGAGATCGCACATCCGGCATAGACGTCAGACGATATCTCATAGTAAACGTGGCGCCTGTCGGCATATGCCGCAATACCTAAAATTGACAACTTTCTAAATTTCATCGGCTTTCCATCTCGCCAGTTGATTTGATTGGTCACTGGTCTTGTGGTTGTGGCCACGTGAATTCCAGTTCTGGTTCAGGAACTGCATTTTCATTGGTTCGGGGTTTCTGCCTCAATATTCGGGCATTTCACCATCTACACAGTAGAATTGAACGCAGGTTGATATGCGAGCTCTTGAAGTGCACATATTCCATATTGTTAATGAAAGACGATGCAATGCAGTCTATACAACACAAAATAAAAAATGCGACATACCAAACCCGCTCTAAACTACCGCTCAAGTAAAAACATCAGTAGCATACCTCTCCTTCGTCCGCAATTTCTCAAAGAACTCCTCAGCAGCCCGCTCCTCATCAATATCAGCACCAGGCGGCCTCTCCCCCTTCTCCCGAAGCTCAGCATGCAAAGCCCGCCGCCTCTCAAGATATATCTCCTTACAAGCACCTCGAACTCCCGCCCCAACACCCGTACTACCACAAACATAGATATTAGCACCCTGATCAAACAGCTGTACCAGCTCTTCCCGATCCTCGAGCATAAGATCCTGCACATGCTGTCCCTTGCTCCCACCAGAAGGGCGACTATAAGCCCACCGCACTTCGACAGCGCCGAGTTTGGCCCACTCCGCCAACTCGGCAGCGTGGATATCGTCCACCCCCTGGGTGCGGCAACCGATGTACAGAACCGCCTTTGCGGGTTTGAGAGATTTGTGCTCGTGGAGCTCGTCGGAGTCAGGTGTGCTGCGACGGCCGCGAATCTTCTCCGCGCGGTCCACGACGAAGCCGCGGAAGGGCGCGAGGCCGCTACCGGCGCAGGCCATTATCATTGGTGTTTCTAGGTCCATGGGTGGTTTGAAGCCCGAGTGGGAGGGGCGAACGGTGATGTGTGCGCGCTCTCCGACTTGGAGCTCGGAGAGGTAGTTGGATGCTACACCGAGATATTGCTCCTGGTCCTCTGTGGCTTCGGCGGCGTTGGCGAGGGCGGGGGCGCTGAGGACGCTGAAGGTGATGGAGCATTCGGATGGGTTAAGTAGCGGCGAGGAAGAGATGGAATATTGGCGAACGCGCATTGGTGGGAGCATGGCGAGGAAGTCGCCGATAGGCAGCTTGATCGTTGGGTAGCGGGTAAGGAGATCCAATGGGCTGACGCGCTTCTTGACAATCTCCTCGGTGAAGCGACTGGGGCTCGAGGCGAGGTAGCGCAGTTCGGCTTGGGTTTCTGCGTCATTGATGGCGGCGTCGGCTAGGACATTGAGGTCACGCTTCGATGCTGGCTGTGACAGCTCAATGTAGGTGGATAGGAGCTCGAAGGCGGAGATCGGGGTGTCGATGGGAATAGAAGGGGAAGCAGTGGAGCCCGATGGCTTCTGGACCCGTAGCACGGCATCCCAGGGGAGATCGAACCGGCGGATTGCGCGGCGAACAACGGAACTTGGATTCACTGGTAAGACGGCAAGGTAATCGCCGCACTGGTAGGTCATATCCGATGGGAGCTTGAATTTGACGATTCGCTTGGCTGGGGCTCCGGGTGGTGTGAGAAGCTGGTTGTCGAGGACGAAGCCTTCTTCGAGTTGGAGACCCAGAGTTGATGCCCGCATACCTGAGCTGACCTCGACCTGCAATGAAGATTTCGGCTTGGCAGACAATTCAGGACCAGCGCCACCGAATTTGGCTATCACAGCCGGCCAGAACAAACTCTCACCCCAGCCATCGAAGTCGGTGAACATGTCCGAGTTTGCTGCGTCGGCAAGACCAATATCGCAGAGCTTGTTGGCGCCATTATCTTTGACCAGTTGGTCGATGACTTTAGGAACATGGTAGAATGTTGAAGACCAATCATGGTGACCACAACCAAAGGTTGCATAGTTGATGCCTTCCAAACTATTGCCCTTCAGCTCAGTGAGCCACTCAAAGAAATGGGCCGCGTTATCCGGAGGCTTGCCTTCATATGAAGCCGAGATGAACACCACCGGTCCGTCTTTGGGAATGTTCTGCATGGCTGAGTCTAAGGAGTGTGTCTGTGCAGCGTACCCATATCCAGCGGCATCATCCGCCAGTCTTCGGGCAAATGCCTCACAAGTCCCTGTGTTGCTGCCATAGAACACGTGCATTGGCTTCAGCTTCCCATCCACGGGCGCCACCTTGGGTTTTCGATCCCGGCTACCAGCACCAGTCTCTTTGGGAGGAGCATCAGAACTGCTGAGAGCGGCGCTAAGCTGCGTGGGGTCGAGACCATCTCTCAGAGTAGCCTTCATGTGGAAGTCCTTAGGCTTGATAGTAAGTGTCTGCTTGATGCGAAGATCGTAGCTAGGGTTGTCCATCTGGAAGTTGAAGTTCTGTAGCAAAACTGCGACCACAAGAAGAGCCTCCTGCCATGCGAACGGCCGTCCGATGCAACCTCGCATGCCATTTCCGAAAGGCTTCCATGCATTTTTGGGCAGTTTTTCAAAGTTTTCATCGAGCATACGCTCGGGTTTGAACTCATCGGCATCGGGACCGTAGACCTTCGGGTCGCGCTGCATCTTGCTGAGATTGACTGCAATAGTCTCGTCTTTGTTAAGGACATATTTGCCGCCCCCAAGTGTGACAGGATCCTCCTTGTTCTTGACCGGGTGCGGATGCAGGGCGATCATTGGGGCTGTTGGCTTCAGACGCAGCGTCTCACGCATCACAGCAGTGATGTACGGCAGCTTGGACATGTCATCGACGGTGATCTTGCGTTTACCAATCACGCGATCGACCTCCTCTTGGGCCTTCTTGTACGCGCTGGGGCTCTTGAGAAGATAGTAGAATAGGAATGACAACATGCCGGATGTTGTCTCGTGGCCTGTTAAGCTCCTGTCAGCTTCTGAATAATGCTTTCTTTGGGGAATTCAACTTGCCAGCAATGAGGAACGTGATCATGTTGTCCACAATCGAGTCATCTGTCATACCCTGACCAGTCTGCGGGTCTCGACCAAGAATAAGTGCATTGAGGAGATCCTTCTTATCCACGGGGTTTTGCTTCCGTGCATCAACCAGTTCCCGAGCCAGATTGCGAAGATACTCAATGTCACTCCAGTATTTATTGTTCTCCGCAGTGGGCAGGTTGTTCAACAAGGCAGGTCGAAGGGATCTTTTTCCAGACCCTGCCAACAACCCAACCATAGCCTCGACAAAGGGGTGCATCTCGTCATGATAGAAAGAATTGAATCGCGTTCCCATAGCGCAAAGAGCGATAGTATCCAGCGTCAAGCGGGTGAAATCGTCTGTGACCTGGATAGGAGCAGCGGGTCCAATTCGTGCCCATTTTAATACCAATTGTTGTGCGATATCATACATCTCTGGATGAAAAGGTTAGTCTTCGTCGTTTCTTTCCCCGGGCACACATGGTCCCAGCATTAGCAACCGACATATGAACAACTTACCATCAAACATGCCGCGAATCATCAGCGGACCGAATGCTGGAACGAGAATGCGATGCGCAATGGCCCAGTTCTCTTCGCCGGGGTAGTTTGCGGTGAAGAGACCGTCGTGCACACCGTTCCTAATCTCGTGCAGACCAGCCGAGACCATTTTGGTAAATCGCTCCTCATCGCAGACCTCGTCTACTAACTCATGGGAGTTGACGAATACTCGTGGTCTGCCGAAGGTGGTCAATCGGTAGATTGGGCCTACGTTATTACAAGGCATTAGCATACTGTTCGTGTCACATCCATGGCTATGTAGACTTGTAGAGTATCTCTGAATCCATACCATAGTTATCAGCAAGCAGCTCAAAGCTATTCACGGGTACCTCGGGCTCAATGTCATATATGTTTCCCAAGAATGGGACGCCCTTGGGCCCGGGGATAGGTTCCTGTTTGGTGGAGCTCATGGCGAGCAGAGTCCGCCTGTTGATGAGGCTGCTAACTCAAATTGTATGGTGCGTTGAGTATTGAACAGAATATGTGTGGAATCCAACGAATGATAAAGTTCACAGGTAGTCCAAAGAGGGAGAGGTTCAAGTTTTGAAGTGTGAGGAATGTGTACCGAATGCGGTTGACGTCGTGTTCGATGCAGGTCAGCGGGGTTCGCAGCGATGATCGATCGGAGATGCAAGGATGCAGGGGTTAATAACTGTAATTGCAGTTTACAGTCTGTTTACTGGACAAGATCAAAGTTGAAAGAGATGAGAGTTTTATACGGGGTTTGAGAGTACGAGGTGACCTCACCGACCATCCATCGGCGTCTCCGACTACACAGCTCCAGTTCATGCAACACAATAATGAAGTTTTTATGAACATTAATCTGTTGGGTTCCATTTTGTGCTCGGAATCCGGCCCAAGGCCCCCCAATAATGATCGTCGATCAATCGCCTCAAGGTCGTTAGTTGATTTTCACTCGCAACGGATTTCTTGTCCCGAACTCCGTTCCATGTCTTGACATAAAGGCGGCACAGTACTAGCATAATGCATTGCAGCCCACGTTATATCCACAGCTATGTCCACAGTTAAGAGAGGGATGAGCTTTCTGAGTTGGGGCTCTTCGGGATTGTACCCTCATCGGGGACGGAGTCGGGATCAAACTCGTGCCGACTCCGATTGTTGGGTCAACGTTTCCATATCTTCATCCCAATGGCCTATGTTATCTGCCCATGGACACGAGTCAAGAGTCCTCGAGGACCTGCCAAGTTGTCATGAGCTCATGACGCATGAGAATCCCGATGCCCGTTGTAAAATGGGCTGAAGTTGTGCTGAGCTGTCATCCACCGAGTGACTTCATCAAATTTTGGCAGTGCACTTGGCACATCGGAGAAATTATCGTGCGACAGATAATTATGCTGTCCCTGGGGCCTGGGCTAATCAGACACTTTACTTGGCAGGGTCAAGTGAGGGAAGATTGGAAGGAACTCCGGTTGATATGGCAAGATATGGCAAGATATTTACATGGAGATGGTGGTAAGTAGATTTCAACGCCAACGAAGGGAATTGTGGACCGAAGACCAAGGGGGATATCAACAGAACGAAGGGGCGGAAAGCGCGATCTGCATGAACAGATACAACAGGTATAACAAACGACACGAGGAAAGGGAGCTGGGACAGAGGGAAAAGGGTCATCATTCCGACTCCATCAGCGATCGAAGATGTCCAAAATCGAAACGATCGTGGTGCAATCAAGAAGGCCGGGCACAGCAGAAAACGCAAAAGAAAAACAAAACACAGAACTATTCATGATCGAGGTCTAGGGGGGCATTGTTGGTGGTTGTGCCTGAACGCGACAAGCCGCCTAGTTGGTGACTTGCTGGTAGCCGCCGTGCTGCTTCCACTCGCTCTGCCTCCAGTCGTTCTGGAAGTTGTTCATCTCGTTGCGATTGTCCATGACCTGGTCAGACTCCAAAGCCTTCTCGAGACGACCCTTGCGACGCTGGCGCAGGCAGAAGAACACGAGGCCAGCAACGCAGATGGCAGCGGCGACGGCTGCGCCGATGTAGACTCCGATGTGCGCTCCCTGGCCGAGATCGTCCCACTTCTCGGAGAGGCTCTTGGCGGGGGGTTTGTTTAGTTCGGTGAGAGCGGTGGAATTTCCGCTGTGGCGTTTGGTTAGTAACGTTCCGGGTTATCATGGTCGGGCGCACTTACTCTAACACGTCGATGCTCTGCCAGGAACCAGAGTGGTCCGAGTAGCTATACTCCTTGCCAGAGTGGAAATCCTCAACGCGAAGGTGGCCAAGGGTCATGGTGAAGGGAGCTTTATCCCAATCAACCAAACCACCAGCCCACTCAATTGTACCTTGTTTGGCACTCTTCTGACCCGCGGGCCACAAACTGAACTGAACACGACAGGGGGTTTGCGGGTATTGTGAGCCGCCAAGGGTAAGCGGATCGTCGTAGTTGAGCTGGCGAACCATCACGCCATCAATCCACCATTGGAGTTTATCCTGATCCCAATAGGTGGTGTAGTTGTGGAACTCGGTGTCTGCATTGGTGACGTCGTGGTATCCGCCGCGGTCCCAGGAGCTGTCGTTCCCCTTGCCAAAGAAGTTTGATTGCACTTGGCTTGTGTTGTATCCGACCCACTCCCAATCAATCTCGTCCAGGTCATCAGACTCCAGGACGACGCTACTGATCAGACCTGCGCCAGCAGCCATCTTAACATGGGCTTCGACGACGCCGAAGAAGATGTAGAAGTTGGACTGGAGCAGGGTGGACTGTCCCTCCTCGGATAGGGTGAAGTGGGCCCCCTCGTCACTGAACTCGTACTCGCCGGTCTTCATGTTCCAAATCTTTTCATTCAAGCTCGAGTTGAAGTTCCAAGTATGCTCGGTGCCGAGGGCAGGATCCGCAGGACATGACTTCTTCGTCGGGTCGCAGTCAGTGAAAGTTTGAGCGGTGGCATAGCTAGCCAAAGCTGCCAGAATGGCAGCGCGGGCGAAAAACATGGCGGGTTGGTAGATCTAAACAATGACTCTCCGATTCAGGGTGCTGCTGCGGTCAAATACAATGAACGGACTCGAGGTCACTCGAGATTCAATAAAGAGTGGAATGTGCGAATGCACGATAAGGAGTGTAGGGCAGTCCGCAAGCAGCAAGATCCTAAGAGAGTAGTGAGAAAGGGGACATTAAGAGGAGCCGGGGGCGAAGAAATCGACCAGGCCAATTTAGGCGCAGAGTGGACTCAGGACATGATGGGCTAGTGTTGTTTTCGGCCAAGATGATTATTTTGTGTGGCACTGTTATGACTGCGTTCAATCAGTGGCGGGCGTAAGGGGAAAGCTGCAGTAATTATGGTCCAATTCCGAAGCTAGCCAATTTCGGTTAGACGGATCCGTTTTATCTCGCTCCGCTAGCCTGCTTGGGTGATTTCTCAGGGGCCCCGTGCCTGCCGCTAAACTATACTAGGGATGGTTGGTATTTGCTGCGAAACCTTCAATTGGCGAGTGGCCCTAATTGGCCTAATTGTCACTTTCCATTGGCTGATCCCAAAAAGCCCCCGATAAGGTCACCCGAGTCAACCGGCAATTCCTCCGTACAGGGGCTCTCTACAGTGGTAATCTGTCTATGTGATTTAACAAAAGGCGAGTAGTTATAGGAACAGGCTCTTGTTAGAGAGTCCATTTGTACTGAGACTCCTATGATTTCCAGCAATTACTTGACTAAAACGCAGTGCCCAGGTGGCAGACTAGTGGCCTAGCTCAGGGCTAGGCCGCTCTCAGGAAATTTACCTCGCTGCAATGAAGATCAAGACCCAAATTGATAACAATTGCCACGGGGACAAAGACATTGACTCTAAAACGGACAAACCACTCATGTACATGCCCCTTGAATAGACCTATTTGGCAAACATGAACACTCCATCCCTACAATCAATGTTATCGAATTTCAGTTCGTCTGGTTCCTTCAATCTCTTGCTCGCGAACTGAATGAACGGAGCACCAATAACAACGCGACCGTGAAGCCAATCCTGCCCCACGGGCCCATGAGTGGAGTCCGCTGATGTCCAACCGGACCAACCCTGATTTCCTTCTTTTGCTTCTTTTACCCCTGCGGATCTCTTTCCTGTTTTGCCTGTCTGTCTGCCCCCAATGCCCCCATTAATGCACTTGATCTCGAACGAACGATCTCAGCCCAACGAGCCATTTGCAAGAACCTCTCATTCGTCGATATTAAAGTCACGGGTGCGGCGTTCTGAGGTGGTGATCACTGGGCCCGGCTTACCCGCTCACAATTCAGACCAAGACTTTGGCGATTTGATCAGTCGGGCGCCACCTGCTCGGCGGCGACACACAGCCGAGTCCAGATTTTTCATTACCCAGGCACCCGTCAGCGAGATGTCTAAGTTCCTGCATATAGTTATAGAGGATAATGTCCAGCAACTCTTGGCTTTCCTTTTCCGTTTTAGTGCTCACCCCTCGCCGCTTTTTGCTCACTGAGTAGAGTTGAGTACGCCCCTGAGCGGGTTAACTAATATCAGGATGAGTTGACTCGCAGTGATGACTTTTCTGGCATCGATATTGGCATGTCATACTCGAGAGTCTGGATCTTTAGCTTTGTAGAGAGAAGGCTCAGAAAAATAGAGTTTGGGCGGCCAGTGTCTTGAAGTGAGAATTGTATCTATAAAATATCATTAATATACTTCACATTTGACACTTACGTTGGATGAAAGAGTAGCAAATGCCTCAAGCGCATTATCTTTCATCGGATTTGTTCCCAAAGGACTTTTTGAGAGATGATTCAGATGTAGGATACCACGTTGGGATACAGCTGGGTATTCAGAGATCAAAAAATGGTTCTCTTGATCAAATGCCTGTACTTTACTCCTACTACTAGCACTTATAGTAGCACCATTTTGTGTGAGATCAGAGTTTGTAGTCCCATGTTGAACTCATTAGTAGGCAGCAATTCAGTTTCATCCGTGGCCGTACTCTGGAAGGGTTCATGGAAGAGGAAGGTCGTCCATAATGCATACAGAGACAGTGAAAACAAAGGGTAAAGGGTGAGGAATAAGGGTAAATTTTACTCGATAGTTAACGCTAGTTAGTTGGCACTACATAACTAACTAAACCTTAGCGGGCGAGGTCAGAATTCTGGTTCATGCTCCACTACAAAGCTGAGCGTGTGTCAAGAATTGAGTGGGACGGTCACGTTACATTTTTGACACTCATTCTACATGGTGCCCGCCAGCGGCACGGCGGGTTGCGGTGTTATGTTCGGGCCGCTTACGGCCACGTGGGCCGAACTGACGCCACCCAAGTCAGCACTTGATCTCATTGTGTGGGCTCTATCACCGACCGTATGCGGCCCGGGAGAGAGACACTACCCCATATTCTAGCCACAAGCTTTAACCGCAGATCGATGTCACCGCCTCCTCAGATCATGCGCGCATATATGAGTATAAGTAGCCCTGGCGGATTTTTTTGACTATCCACGAGCCTTACTGATTTTGACAATACCAACAATTAGCTTGCCCATTCCCATTTGCTCCGTCAAAATGACAAACAAAGAACCATCCATTGGAATTGAACTTGAGCATGCGGAAGATATGCAAACGATAGACCCAACGAAACCTCCACTGCGTGCATATGTGGCCGATACATCTGTTCATTCTCATAACAAAACCACCTTAGAGCGATCACTCGTTCTAAAGTCCGACTTTTCTATCATCCCTCTCGCTTCCTTGATCTATTTCGCAGCTTACCTGGTAAGCATGGCCGTTCTATAAATTCAAAATACCAATTGACCACTCTGCACAGGATCGCAACAACCTAGGCAATGCGCGTCTTATGGGTCTGCAGGAAAGTTTGCAAATGTCAAATCAGCAGTATAACAACTGTCTCATGATGTTTTGTAGGTGAAACCTTTCTATTCCACGTATGTCTACTGTTGTTCCAGGCTCCGGTCTGAATTATTAGAGGGCTTCCTCAACATGATCAAATTCTGCTTGTCTTTGTCACAAGGAGTCTGCTGACTATGTTTCACAGATATCGGATATATCATATTTATGATCCCAGCAAATGTATTCTTACGGGCCATCGGTCCGCATCGACAGCTAGGTGCTGCTGTCATTGCCTTCGGTGTGATGATCTGCTGTTTGTCTGCAGCGCAAAACTATGGCACGGTCTTGGGCATTCGTATACTCGTCGGTTGCTTCCAAGCCTTTATTCAGGGCCTCGGGGTGTATCAGTCCTTCTGGTATAAGCGGGATGAGGTAGCAACCCGTGCTGGTCAGTTTGTCACCGCGAGCGCACCTTTGTGTTTTGATCAACAGCAGTCTACTTACCAATCTTTCCAGCCGCTTATTATTCGGCCGCCACGATTTCAGGAGCCTTCAGCGGCCTCATCGCGTACGCTGTCGACAAAAATCTCAAAGGAGTTGGTGGGAGAGCAGGCTGGGAATGGCTTTTCATCATAGAGGGATCGATTGCCATTGCCGTCGGCCTTAGTACGTGGCTTCTTCTCCCTCCGTTTCCTGACCAGATTCAAGAGGACAGGCACTGGCTCTTCACTAGAGCAGATATTCAACTGGCAAAGACGAGAGCAGCTTGTACGCCCATGTCCCTGCTGAGCCTTTTCATTGCTGACATGAAATAGCGTACAATACCCTTGATGCCAAGTTTGAATTGAAGCAGATTCTTGCTGCTCTCAAAGATCCCAAAACCTATTTCTTTGCTTTTATGAACGGTAATTTATCTATCTATCATTCGTGAGGATTAACCTGAGTCCGAGCTAACTAAAATAGGCGGAGTGGCGCTTGGAATTGCATCAGTCAGTGTTTTTCTTCCAACGTTCATTCGAGCATTTGGCTACTCAAATGGTGCGTCTTAAATTTGCCTCCGATGCAAATCTCTCCAGTTCAATATTTTGATACTGATAAAACAACCAGAGAAGTCTCAATTGTTCTCCGTGATCCCATACGCCTGCGCAACTTTGTGCATGCTGGGCCTGGTGGTTTTATCTGACCGCCTGAATGTCAAGGGTATGATGCTCGTCTTTTGCATTTCTATCTCCTGTGTTGGCTATATAATTCTCCTTGTCGTGAGCTCCATACCCGCCAAGATTTTCGCCACCTGCCTCGTCGTCTCAGGGCTATATCCGTCCGTTGTTCTTGGCGCCACTTGGCTCGGCATCAATACAGGCGGATTTACCAAACGCGGGACCGTCTGGGCAATTGCTGAGATGTTCGGACAGTGCTTTTCAATCATGGGTACGCATATCTATACTGACCCGCCGAGATACATCAAGGGGCATAGCGTGCTCCTAGGCTTCTTAGCATTTAGCATCTTGAACATTGTGGCAGCTTATTTCTGGATGAGACGTTTGAATTCACAGAAAGAGAAGATAATTCGGGAATACAATGATCGCGGAGAACCTCATCCGGATACGACGAAATCCCTCGAGGAGGCTCATGACAATCATATCGCCTTCCGCTATACGCTCTAGCATATTATATCTATTGGGTTCCTTTTGCTTTCTGCTGTGGGATTTCTGAAATTAATATTCTTTGGTGGGGGAGATAAACCGAGAATCGAAATTTCAATTCCACTCATTGATGTGACTTGACTCGAATATGAATTAAGTAAATTTGTGGGCTTTTCATACAGATCCCCCGACTATACTAGCCTGTTGTATCCCATGAAGACAAGTGCAGTAGGCCCAGAGGGCACTCAGGGCTTTCTGCTTGATTAAGAGAAGAAAGCGGCGGCCAACCTGGACAAACTTGGGACAATGGCTGAGATCAAATCCCAAGGCTCAGTTACAATCATTGTCCCGCGGATATGGGACAAGTGGTGTTTTATCTTTCCATTTAGCATATTGGAAGCATCCATCAGCCGTGCTACAGGTTGGCTAATACCCAGCGAAGTGCGATATGTTCCCGTTTAATGAAATTTGCTTGAATATGTTCACATACTTGGAATTAAACACCTTCCAAATAACCTCGTCCTCCCGCCGCCATGTCGAACTCCATACACTCCTTGAGTCCGCAAACATTAAAGATGTCTTGAGGCCTTCCATTTTTTGAGGGATCAAATGCCATGTCACCAGTCTCCTTAAGCTCCTTGGCCGCCGCTGCCACCCCGTCATGCACCGCTTTGAGAGCGAAGCCGGGGAAAATCATAATTTTGAATCCCATTTCTTTGGCTTCGGCGGCAGATATTTTTGGAGTGACACCTCCATGAACCATGTTTAACAATACTGGAGTAGGTGCAAGATCAGAGCATATCTGCATTGCCTGCTCTTTTGTCTTGATGCCTTCAAGAAATGCAACATCTGCTCCCAAGGAGATAGCATGTTTCAACCTGGAGACTGAGGCATCGTAGCCTAGAGAGTCCAAGGCATCAGAACGTGCGATCAGAACAATGTCACCGGGTGTCCGCTCTCGTGCCATGACGGCGGCACGGATTCGAGAAAGGTATTCCTCTTCATCTACCAGTTCTTTGTTTTTCAAATGACCGCACCGCTTGCTCACAACCTGATCCTCGAGATGTAAAGCAGCGACACCCGCTGTCATATACTGGGCAACGGTTCGACCAACCATTAAGGGACCTTGTTTAGCATGTCAGGACAAATTACTTCATTTGGTAGAGCCAAAGCTCGAACGCATCTTTGCGAGTTATTGAGAGCGGATAGGGGCCCGGGGGAGAGGAAGTGGAACGTACCCCCAAATCCAGTGTCGGCATCAGCAATCAGTGGGGTGTTCCGATCAAGACTAGCAATCATGGCGGCATTCTCACTCATATCATTCAGCGTCGCAATGCCCAGATCCGGCATTCCGAGTCTCGACATTGCAGTCCCTGCACCAGACTTTCCAAAGCATCATGTTAATTTTAAGGTCATTCTCTCGAGAAACGGTGACAGGTTGAAGCAATTAAGTACGCTCACCATGTATAAGCAATCAAACCCAGTTTGTAGGGCAATTCTGGCCGTGAGTCCATCATAAATTCCCGGACAGAGCAGAATGCTGTCTTTCTTGGTGAGAAGACCACGGAGCTTTTGAACAGCCGTTGGAGGCCTGACGATTCTGTTCTCCAAAGCATCACTCTCCACAAGCGAGTCTTCAAGAGCAGTTCCTCTGCTTTCCATGTTTATGGATACTTTTTCGAGAGAAAGGCTCCAGATGAGAGATAAAAGATAGACAAATTCGACAGTGCGCAATTCGAATGAATAATTCTGGGGGGTATGAAGCTTTAACAGTATATTATATCATTACGCGGTCTTTTGGCCGGATCTCATTGCTCTCAACACCGACCAATCCAAATGCATTCCTTAGCGGCCGCCGACAGCGGACCGAGAAAGCCAAGCCTGAACCTACCGGGCGTATGTGCGGGGAAGCCGTTAGCCTTACAAACTTGAGCCCCGCCCCGCAAGCGCACCGGCTTTGGAAGTGAAATTTATACCTGGGTAAGAACGACCAAAACATATACTTCACATACAACCTACGTGAGAGAGGACATGAGACAAAGATTTATTATATCGTCTTATTACATATATGGCATAATATCCAATCAAGCAATCTACGCACGTAACATATGAAGGCGAGCCAGGACGGTTGATCGAAAAGATGGCTTAAGCCTATATCCCGCAGGTCCGCGCCATGTTACAGATTTCCGGAACGAAAAGTTTCTTGCTTTCTATCGGGCCTTTAACGGCCTCGGCCATTTGCCGCCGCAAACTTTGTCAATTTTATTCAATGGCCAAGTGCCAGTCATCTGCAACAATAAAAATCGTGCGTCTGCCATCCCCAAGTACATAAGCTTCGTTATCAATTCCGAGAAAAAAATCCAATACCGCCATATCATCCACCGCCTGGTATCCGAAAATGATCCCCAAATCTAGTCCAGAGAAAGACGCCGATCTGGGCATAACAAAACACCTTTGCGCATGGGTGAATCAACTTTCTTTGAATGACATCCCAGAGGACGTGCGGACCCGAGCCAAGTACTTGATACTTGATGGCTTTGGCTGTGCAATCGTGGGAGCGCATCTCCCTTGGACCGAGAAAGCCGCCGAAGCAATCTTCGAAATGGAATCTCCGGGTGATTGTGTTGTTTGGGGATACGAGAAGGTAGAAAGCCTGATCAGATACTAGTGACATTGAATAACGCTGCTAATAACAAAGTAGAAACTTGGGCCCCTACCCGCGGCATTGTTGAATAGTACAGAAGTCCAGGGTTTTGAACTGGATGATTGGCATTCGTTGGCTCCATTGCACTCGAACTCAATCCTGCTACCCGCCCTTCTGGCCGCTACTAGCCACCAGAGAGCTAAAGGCGCACCGCCGTTCAATGGTGCATCCTTGTTGCTTTCAACGATTGTTGGCTATGAGACGGGACCTCGAGTTGGCCTGTGCCTACATGGTAGTCACATGCTGACGAGGGGATGGCACTCAGGCGTCGTCTTCGGCCACGCTGCTTCCGCAGCTGCTGTCAGTAAGGTGCTTGGACTTCCTCCGCATGCTATCGAAGATGCCCTGGGTATTTCATGTACCCAAGCGTGTGGACTGATGTCTGCCCAATTCGGTAGCGACGTGAAACGCATGCAGCACGGTTTTGCTGCACGAAACGGACTATTCGCCGCTCTCCTGGCAAAGGGTGGGTATACCGGTATAAAGGAGGTTTTCGAGGAACCGTATGGTGGATTCTTAGCTGCATTCGGGCAGGGATCTGGGAAAGAGCCTCCGCACTTGGCTGATGAACTAGTCAAGGGACTGGGTCAAACATGGCAGTTAGAATCGATTCGCGTCAAACCTCACGCTTCTATGGCAGGAACACACTGCACTATTGATACGGTCGAAGTACTACAAAAGAAGCACCCGGCAAAGTTGAGCAATCTCACCAATATTACGTGCATCAAGATTGAGATGGCTGAAGCAGCTTTTAAACATGGAGGATGGAAGGCACGCCGACCCTTAACAGCGACGGGGGCACAAATGAGTTGTGCTTATGCCGCGGCAGTCCAACTCGTCGATACCCAGGTATCACCACAGGAATTCCAGCATGGTTTGATTGATCGGGATTCCATCTGGGCCTTAGTTGACAAGACGGAGTGTGTGCACTCGCCAGAACTCGGCGGGAAGTTCGAGCAGAAGGTTACGATCACTTTCGCAGATGGGGACATCATTTCCGAGACTGTGAATGCGCCCAGAGGCGTCAATCCTCCTTTATCTAATCAAGAAATCTTGGAAAAGTTCAGGAATTTCACGAAAGGCTTGATCGATGACAAAAGACGGGAGATGATTGAGAAGTTAGTTTTGGACATGGAGAACCTACAAGATATCTCTATCCTCGACGAGTTGCTGGCTAGCCCACAGTTGCATCTCGATTTAGCTTAAAATAGCTAGCCATTCAACTACTGTTGAAAAGCAAAGAACTCAATCCACCGCTGGTCTGCATATCTCCGAAACGTTCCGTGCCTTGCCATCCTAATTTATATTCATACATACACTTTCTATACTTTGACTAGTTCGAAGGCTGAGAAAATGCCTACAGGCTGCCTAAGTACCTTTTGTAGGTGGGACACACCAAACCAGTTACGTCTATGTCTTGAAACTGATGAGCTGGAGATATAGTCGCGAAGGACAGTCTGATAGCAAGGACAGCCGGTGGCCAACAAAGGCCTTGGCGAGGCTCTTAACTATGAAGTAAAAATTTAGACTTGTTAAATTCGTTATTTTCTGTTGAAGCTGCTCAAGAGGTCGGAAGGAGAGGAGAAATGGCGGAGAATTGGATAAGCAAAGAAGCGAATTCGAGGATCTTAGCACTTCCAGCTTCTATCTATTCTTTGCGGACAAATGAATTGTTTTCCTCGATCGGTTAAAGTTTTCCATTCTATATACCACAAATCCTACAACAAGGAGACACTCTTCGCGCGCTGAGCAGCAGCCTGGCCAGCGATTCGCCCGAAAACCGCGCCTTTGGTCAAGCCAGCACCCCCAGGATAGTTGTGATAAAAGAAACCACCTGTCATTTCGCCGGCGCTCCATAGACCTGGCATGGGCGACCCTTCATTGCTTAGGACTCGCCCAGTCGTATCGGTCTTGATTCCTCCATATGTGAATGTGATCCCACAAGTAACTCCGTAAGCAACAAATGGGCCATCTGTGATCGGCAAGGCCCAATTTGATTTCGGAATGTCCAGTTTATGACCAGTCGAGTTTCCATCTTTCAGGAATGGGTTGAATACGGCGGTTGGAGGAGCCGCTGCGTTGAACTGCTTTACCGTATTGACGAAGATAGTGGGATTGATGCCCAGCTTTAGTGCCAGGCCATCAAGGGTGTCGTCTTGAATCGGAGTTGCGGTTGAGTAGCGAGGTTCCAGCAGATGAAGGGTTTTTTGATCGAAGATCTGGTAAGCGGTAGCCTGCGGTTGACTCCCAATGGCCGCGCCAGTTTTCGCGTAAGTCAAACCGAAGTGGTCCTCCCCCTCATCCATGAATCTTTTTCCCTCGAGATTGACCATGATGGAGTACGGGTAGGAGTACCGCGACATTTTATCCGTGATTGAGAGATCTCCAACACGAGGCGCCCTCAGATCTTGGGGCGAGGCGTGACATCCGCCCCAGTGGCCACAGGCCTGGGCACCGGCCGCAATGGCCTTCTCCAGCATCGTTCCAGTATTATAACGGGACCCTCGCACAACGACAAGATCCCAGCCTTCTCCCAAGAACTGTCTCCGCAGCCTTGGGCTGGCTTCAAATCCGCCACAAGCGAGGATAACTTGGCCGTAGAAGTCGATGAAGAAGTCGGTCTGTCGGGTCTTGACCCCTTGCACGGTACTACCCGCAGTGATCAAGTCGTGCGCAGGGCAATCGTAGAACACTGTGATCGATGTTTTCTCCACAGCTGCCCAAAGATCATCTGTGAGGCCAACACCCTCATGCCTCGCCATCAAAGCTCCGCCTGGTGGCAGATCAATCACGCCAGTTTGAATCTTTGTGTCGAAGAATTTATTCAGTGTCAACTGCCACTGGACCCCTTGTTCTTTCATCCAAACGAGGGTCTCATATCCTTTGTCAATCACGACCTGCATCTGCTCTCGATCGGCCCGGCCATGCGACGTGTTCATCATATCCTCCGTGAATTTCTCCGCCGTGTAAGGCCCCACCGTACATCTTTTAGCCACCTCCTGTGCCGATTCGCATAAAAGGGGTCCAAGATCTTCCATACCCCCGTGGGGGCAGCGAAAGATGGCACCTGCAAATCGGCTGTTTCCTCCTCTCTCTTGGCGCGTGGCTGCTTCGAGAACAGCTACTTTGGCGCCGCTTTCATGAGCCGAGAGGGCGGCGACCAGTGCTGCATTGCCGCCACCTACCACAATGACATCGAAAGAGTGATTTTCCATGGTGCGGTGATACTTGTGAATAAGATAAGGAATTTGTGTTGCACAATGGTGATATATTGTCCCGGTCGTCAGACTTGATTCAGACTCGGACCGAGAAATATTTAAATGCTATCGAGATGCGGCCATTTGCTTTATAGTGCAATGAAAATGCCGATGGACGTTATAGATTTCTAAGGTGTCAATCGCAAGGGACAGGTCTGAAGGACCCCGTAAGCGGCCCGAAAGCGGCCCGGTCGCCGCCACCGGTTTCGCAAAGGATGTGGAACCGCACGGCTGAACGAGGTGCCTTTCCCATTTAATACAATGGGCTGTAGCTGTGAAACAGTGTGGAATTTCTGTAGGCCGGAAATAATGAACTGATGTAATGTGCAAAGTAGGGCACGGTAAGGGTTATTGAGGAATCGAGGAAGATCAAGCAAAGAGCATGTCAGCGTCGTTGGAATGGTGCTCGTAGCAGTCGACCTGCTCTAGCGCGTAGTATCAAGCAATCATTATCTCTATATATTAGGAAAAGGAATCATTCAAAAAGGTCTTGTCAAAGATGAAATGTGAAGCCTACAAATTCTTCTTGTTGATTCTGATGGTTCAAGGCGGAGGGAAGTGGCCCAGATTTCTCTCAAACTCCCATGATACAAAAGCAGGCATTCCGAGATCAAACATGCAATCCATAATATTACTCGAGTCCAGGGGATCGGCTTCATGGACCGCTTGGGGGTCACGTGTATTCCACATTCGGGCAGATGTCTCTGCTTCCGTTCCATCTATCAACTTAGCATATCCGACTTATCATTAGGTGGGCAACTAGAGGAACATACCGGAAGATGAGTTGTTACCACTGCTTTGGCCTCCAAATCTGTCTCTCCACATCCACAAAGAATCATGAAGGACACTTGCCGAAGATCTCGTCGTGAGTCTGATACTGGGATCCTCAATATTTCGATAACGCTGACTTTGGAAGCTCCAAAGCTGAGCCAGGATTTTTGACGCTCTCCCAGGGAGATCATTATCTTCCACGGAAGATTGGCGAATCAAAGACAGCGCAGAAATAAATGTGCTTTTGCCACTTTCTGTGTCCACAAAATTGGAATAACTCGAATTTATGATCTTGAGGATCACAAGAGCAGCCAAGATCGTGAGTCTGTAGAAGGCGCTTGGAGAGTAGCTCATCAGATTTGTTGCCTCATCGGCCGCTCGAATTTTGACAATCAAAGCCTGGGCAGTATTATATGCCCTCAGCAGACCTTTCCGACGAATCTCTGGGATGCATATCTCAGGAAAGTAAAACACACGAAGCTCTAAGCCAACTCCGTCGAGAAGTATTCGATTGCCAGCTGAGAGCTTGTCAGGCGATCACATGGCCATCCGATATAGTTAGAAAAATATCACTTACGGGAAAGATTCTCTTCTTCCATCTCACGAGACAAATCGCTGTACTCTTGTTCCAGTAAAGCTAGCAAAGAGGCACCTTCGCCGGCAGCTGGAAGCCCAGTTGGGGAGTGTTGGTTCCCAGACATCGTCGTACTCACGCGAGTTGCAAATCGATATATTATCACTTGATGTCTCAAGTCATCTGGCACCAAGTACGGTTTACTTTTGTCGCAGACACGGTCGATAGTCCAGTCGAAAGGAATATATGGTTGTTGGCCGGCCGCCAATGAAATGCTTATAGATAGTTCAGAATCGAAAAAGCCTTTGAGCTTCTGATTGGGTTGGGGGAGGCCTACCTTTTCGACGCAATGTAACAAAAGGACCAAGTTCTCACAGCTTCTTGAATCCCACGGGGACTTAGTTTCAATTTGGTGCGTGAAAAGTCCTGTATCGCTTCTGGACGATGCAGACCCAGCTGCGAAGCGGCGGTTTGGGCCACGTTCACCAACATGTAGGACACATCAGTCCACATAGAGGAGGTCGGAAACGGCCACATGGAGATAATAAGGATCGCTTGAATTGTATGGCAAGAGTGGGCGGAAGCTGAAGTTATACTCCAGAGGAGCTGTAATACCGGCAAAGACAGGTTGGCAAGAAGACCAGGCTCATTTTTATATCGACGAGATGCTACGCTGATAATAACCCAGAATAAAGCGGGGCAGCGTGTGTAACATTCATCAGGAGAAAGAGCTGCATCTAGAAGTTGTAAGTAGGGGTGGTAATATTCGAAGAATCTGTCTGTCGATTAGTAAAGTTATCCTTGTTGGGTTCACGCAATTTATTACATGGAAAATAATTCGTTAATCTGATTTGAACGAACAGTAATCAGACCAAGGGATCTGTTACTGCTCGCTGGAGTGAGGATATAGGGGGAAGTTGGAATGTGTGGCGGCAGTTCTCTTCTCTCATCTGCTGGTGGCGCCCACGAGATTGGTGCGATCGCTGATGCTTCCTCTGAGCGACCTATCGAAGGTACCCTGTCGCCGTACGGGTGGATAGAGGTTTGAGTAGCGAAGGGGTTAGCGTCTTCAGAAGCCTGGCATACTGAATTACTCAACCAGGCTGACCCATCTGTCACTTCCAATGAAGTAGGCTGGGCCTGCGTAGCCGGACAGACAGAGGCGCGGAGGTGCTCCAACTGCTTTTCCAATTCCTCGAATCTACTGCGGAAATTATCAGTGGGAAATGGTTGCTATTAACAAGGAAGAAAATCACACCTCCTCTTGTTAACTCTCTTAAATCGGGTGTCTACATGGCACTCCTCTCCCAGACGACGACACCTAGAACAAGCTCCTGATTTCGTGCCGTCGCATCGTATCTGTTGACAGGACACTGTCAGTGTCTGTCAACTTCGAGCTCCATTCGAGGTTTGACGAGGCTATACCTTCGCCTGCCGACATGGTTTGCAGGCAACATGTTTCTCCTTGCGCGCAACATTTGCTCTCTGGTTGGCCTGCGGTGGCGGTGCGGGATAATTTCGGGATGACGCAAGACTCTGTAATCCCGTTTCTCTTTGTTCCGTTGGAGTCCGCGGTGATTGAAGGTTCGATTCCATAGCTGGATTAAGCTCGATACTATTGTTCTGCATGCAAAGGTTGGTGAAGTGAGCGCAGCGGTCCGGCAAAAACAGTTGACGGAAATATATTAGGATCAGAAGCGCGTTTTGCATCCGCCGGGGTAATGAAAATAATAAGCCCCGGAAGCGGGGAAACACGTTGCGTTCTCGGATTGACAAATCCCGTCGCCAATCTTGTCGCCCTACGGTAGAACCAATCAAGAATAATACCGCAACGGCCCCGCGCCTCCGAGCGCGTGCCGACATAATACCAATCTGAACAGGGACGGCCCGACGGGCATGTTAGGTTTCACAAAGGGGGTTTACATAGTTTTAAGAAGTAGTTCTTGCGTGTCACCCTATATAGTCAGTGTAACGACTCTTGTCGCTGCACAGAAGTGCAATTACTATTTCCTTCACACAATCACTAACCACGTTACCAGCCATGGCTACTGCTCGGACTTCAAGGTCCAAAATTGATATCCGGATCCCGCTCGGGCAGTCTGCGGATACACCTTCGAGCTTAGTGAAGCTCTTGAGCAATCTGCGGACTACTAGAAAAGTTGAAACTTGCCTCTCCCGAAATGATTCCGGTAATTACGCCACTCTTTCCCAGCCAAGAATTCAATTTATTGATATCGTTTCGTCTGACCGTTTCTTCGCAAGCAGACTACACGATTACTTCCACTGGATTGCTGCAACAAATGCAGTCCCTGTGTGCGATCCTTTCCGACACAGGCCATACCCGTGAGGCCGACTCACTCACAGAAGTCCTGGCATTATGCCTCCTTGAGACGGATTTTGGTGGACTTGGTCTGAACCTTGAGATGGCGCTAACAGAAAAAGACGAGACTGAAATTCTCTTTCTCGTTGGGGCCTGGATGGAATCTCTCAATTCAGCAGACAGGTCTAAACTCTCCTGGCCGCAACTGTCATCTCGGCCAGAGGGTAGAAGGGGAATGACCTTGAGCGAGAAAATATTTGCCAGCCATGACATTGCACGAAGGGGGTTTGTGAAGCCTGGTGACTTAATCAGAGTTGATGTTGACTGGGTCATGGCATCTGAAGCGTCTTGGGCTGTGCGTAGACCTCTGAACCCTTTGCACGAGCCATCCATATGGACCCGGTTCGAACCTGCTAACACATAGACTAGGGTATGGAGCGGACGTATCAGAACCTTGGAAGCCCTGGAATCTTTCGAAATGATCGGTTTTGGCTTGCTGGGGACCACGTGGTGGACCCGCGAGTCAATGAGATGCCCCAGGTCAAACACCTGATTAACGCTAGTGAGAGAGCGAAGCATGTTTTTAAAATGACAGATTATCAAGGCATGAATGTGAGTATCTAGTTATAGCGGTCAAAATGACGATTGAACCTTTCGATCTAACCACATTTCTTGCGTCAGTACACAATCATGCACACCGAATTCTTCCGTGAGCGAGCCCAACCTGGCATGCTGATAATTGGCTCTGATTCCCATACTTGCTCATCCGGCGCACTTGGCTGTCTCGCCATTGGATTGGGAGCTGCCGATGTGACCATGCCTCTGGTGACCGGCGAGACTTGGTTCAAAGTTCCCGAAAGCGTGAACATCCGTCTGATCAACTCTCCGCCTAACGGAATTGGAGGGAAGGACACCATCCTTTACATTTTAAAGGAGTTAAAGCGAAACACTGTCGCAGCTGAAAAAGTTGTGGAGTTCACTGGTCCAGGAGTTCAAAGCTTATCTTGTGATGCTCGATTTGCGATCGCCAACATGACGACGGTAATCTAAGGAAAGTCCACTCTTTCTTGAAGGGCATACACTAATGAGTTGGCTTCAGGAGTTCGGTGGCATTACAGGGATTTTCGTTCCAGATCAGGTCACTTCAGACTTTGTCAACCGACGGAAGTCTCCACGCCACAAAAAGGACTTAAAATATTACCACCCTGATGAAGACGCAGTATATTCGGGAACTTACGAGATTGACTTGGCCAAGGTCGAACCCTTTGTCGCTCTTTACCCTTGCCCAGATGACGTTGTTCCAGTGAGCAAAATCGCAGGAACACAGCTGGATGGTTGCTTCATCGGTGCATGCACTACTACCGAGGAAGACCTTATTCTAGGAGCATTGATACTGGAACAAGGCCTCAAAAATGGTATGAAGCCTACCAAGTCAGGGAAGCGTAAAGTCGTGCCAGGGAGTATGCCTATTCTCAACAAACTGCGAGAGACTGGTATGCTCGAAATATATGAGGCTGCGGGATTTGAGATCGGAATACCTGGATGTAGCTACTGTGTGGGCATGTCCGCGGATCGTGCTGGGCCAGGCGAGGTTTGGCTCTCCTCCCAAAATCGAAACTTTGAGAATCGAATGGGAAAAGGTAAGTCTGTCCTTTGGATGAAATTTCACTACGTTTGAAGCTAATAAACTGCCTAGGATCATTTGGGAACCTAGCCTCAGCAATCACGGTAGCAGCATCGTCCTTTGAGATGAAAGTCTTTGATCCACGGCCACTTCTCAAGTCTATCGAGCTCGACAGGCTTGATAAGATTATTGGACATGCAAAAAAGCCTCCTCGCGTTGGGGAGAGTATGACTTATATTGAGCCTGGTGGTCCATGCGTATCTCTTACTGGTAAACATGAGATCAAACAGCAGACCAGTCAAAATGCCGAAGGCAGAGCTTCCTTAGCCAATTCGGAAAGAAATAAAGTCAGAAGAGGAAAGATCCAGCGGCTGGGAGACTTTATTGACACTGATGCTGTAAGACCCCAAAGTTGATGCTTCTCCTACGCTGAACGCTATCATGGTTCGATAAGAAAGAAGTTAACTCAAATGGCTTTTAGCTTGCCCCAGCGGAGTTCTTGGTTTCCTCCAGGACCTCCGAGGCCATAGGATCGCATTGCCTTGAATTCACTCACCCCGAGTTCCGGGCGAGAGCGAAAGAGGGATATAACATTGTGGTTGCAGGTGATGCCTTTGGCTGTGGTTCTTCAAGAGAGCAGGCAGTATCAGCCCTCATGGGCTGCGGAGTGATCTGCGTGATTGCCAAATCTTTTGCTTTTATTTACGCACGTAACCAGGCCAACTTGGGGCTCCTGGGGGTTACCATAAAAGATGATTCGTTCTACGCTGTTGCTCTGGATGGTACCGAGATCACGATAGATCTTGGATCGCGAGTCATATTTGTGGGACGAAACGAGTATCCTTTTACGCTGAGTCAAATGGAGGAAGAGCTCATTTCAAGCGGCGGAATCACAGCTGCTTTTCAACGTTTTGGGAAGAGTTTGTTTGATGTTATGTGCTCGGCAAAGCCTAGCCCGGAGCATACAGCGAACCTGGATCTTGATGGGGAGGAGGCAAGGGCACCTCAATCCTCGCTGCAATGGTGATTTGAGCAGCTTCTACTGGGTCGTTTTTATACTTGCAGTTTTTTCCGTGCTTAAATGATCGAAATAGGAATAACCTATTACGCTTTATTTGGGTGAAAATTTATTTTTCAATCAGACCCTAAAATGTAGAGATCTGGATGTTCAAAAAGACGACCTGCTCGCGCCCACTGCACCGAGTGCGAGAAAATTTTCGCTGACTTGGAGCTTATGCATGATTTGTCTTCAAACCCCTGACTCTCAAACGCCCGAGTCATTTTTCAGGAAGAAATAACAACCCCAGAAAGGAAGTAACCCGGACTCCAAGTGTTATTGCTAAATCTTACTTTTAAATCATCTGTCTTATTACAACCCGAGGAATGCGTAAATAGTCGGTGACTCTGTTGTAAACCTCATCAAAAAGACCTGTGGGGTCGGACACTGAGGGAGACTGAGTAATTGCGATGAACGCGTCTAGGTAATGATTGATATGGAATGTAGGGAGGAGGTATTGGAGTATCCAATGGAGTGCCTCGGCGAAGAGGTTGAAGAGAAACGGGGCCATTGCGAGGCCAAAGGGGAGGCAGCATTCAACATAAGTGGAATCGGTCCACTGGAAGGCAAGAAGGTGGTTATCCTCGGCAACGGGGACTATTCGGAAGGCATCCTTGATGTCCCTCTTGATGATTGTGCAACCTGGGCCAGCTTGTATGGACCTGTGACCAGGTAGTTGTCCGTCGATAACTCTCCTTTATCCTTTATGTATTGGTGGAAATTAAGGGCAAGTGGGAGGACTGCTTCCGACCACTGATAAATCTGGGCGAAGTCCAGGATCTGCCTCATAAACATGAGTAGATTGGGAACTGCTTTGGGATGTTTTCCGTTGAAGAGATATCCCACAACGGCCAGATAGGCGAGAAAGCAGGTCGTCCATATTTGAGGGTTGGGGCCCCAGTCCTTAAGCGAGGCTGCTGCCTTCTTGAAGCCTACTGTGCCTCCCAAGTCGGTCATCTTGAAGACTCTATCCTCCTGATCTAGCTCGGTGGCTGACTTCTCTTTGGAGCGTATGAGTTCAGCCGCCTTCTACTTCCCTACACATCACATTTACCACTCATCCTAGTTTAGCACTGTTACTTAAAGGTAAAATGGCTCCAAGACTCTCCCTTAAAAAGCTCGTTCTCATACGTGATATGATGCTGTGCTCCAATTTGCTGATAAAGAGGGAGGTCGGACACATGATGACGACCCATCCGGCTTATGCCCTTCATATACCAGACGAATGGGAATGACTATAACAATAGAACGATGGCTAAAGATAGAAAAATCAGATTCTATATACCTACCTCGGCAGGAAAGAAGTAGCTCTTCAAATCGTCCAAGAGCTTGGATAAGTCGATCATGTCGAATATCTGAAAAGCTATCATCGCTAGGAGGCCCACGACACGAGCCTTTCTCAGAAATTCGCCTATCCTGCTACTAGATGAGGCCAGCGCTGCTCTTGACAGTACGACCGAAGGGCGTGTGCAGCAGTCTCTCAAACGGCTTTCCCATGGCCGTACCATGATCGTGATTGCTCATCGACTCGGCACGGTCATGTCAGCGAACCGTATATTGGTTTTGGAAAAGGGCCGAGTGGCCGAGAGCGGCACTCACCAGGTTCTCCTAGGTAGGCGAGGCCACTATTGCAAACTGTGGCAGACGCAAAGCGGGATCTAAGATCTAGGTACAACGTAGCTCGAATGGCTGAAAGCACCATAATAGTACCACATCACCATGTACTTTAACCCCATCACATATCTGCATGCAGTCCACTATAACGATCGGTGGCAAAACGAGCCTTACACCGACAGCAACTCTGTAGCCTCATCCCCAACTCCCGAGTCCATAACCCGGAGTCCGTGTTCTAGAACTACAGTACATCGGCGTCCCCGTCCAAGCGGCGACCGAGGCCGGACCACAAATCACAACCGCAAAACACATCATGGCAAGCCCAGCCAAAGCGGGTGGAATAGGGAGCATGTAGTACGCGGCGGCTAACTGGGTACGGTTACCAGAAAGTTCGGCACCGTCATGACACGCGCCACGGCATCCTCGGGTCTCGCAGCCGACAGCCCTATTCAGCAACCCGATCGAGCTATTCGCACCAGCCTCGTCACACCTGGTTCCCGGCTCTAGAGTTACCCCATTTACTACTTTGGGTATCATCCTCGATGTTAATAGAGAATAGAGATCATCCTTTGAGGCTCTTTTACTTGGTAGAACTGGCCCCTTCTTGATATTCACCAACGGCGACCCTGTGGAATAATGGTAATCGTGTATCCAGCAACCGAGCAGTTGACATGGCTTGACCGCTGATGTTCATATTCAAGACTTATTAGACAAAACAAAGAGGCCATCATCCAACGATAGAGAATCCCCAAGCAACCCAAGCTATGGAGCTCCGTAACGTTCTTCCCGTGTATGCGTCCACCGCATGAGCTCTCTGGAGCCCTTAGCTCGTCCCCTCAACTTGACTAATGGCGGAAACACAAGCCCCTTTTTCAAATCTTCACGATTGAAGGTCCTAGTGTGCACCTGTCTCCCTGGACCTTTTGTGAAGCTATCCCGATATGGTGGTGGATTGGTATCCCAAATCGGTTGCAGATTCACCATCGCAGAATGTTCCTGCGTGCCCTCCTCTCCCTCTTGCTCTCCCTGCATCCCACATTTCCCATACAAGTTTGAGAAGCTGACGCTCTCTAGCTTTGGCATTGATTCACTTAGATGAGCAAAAATTGGTGGCCATGACCCAGTGGTCAAATGACACTCGTGAAGTGTGAAAAAGCGGAGATTAGGATGTTTCTGGAGAAATAACAGAATCGACTCCCCTTTCGCCAGGAATCCGGAAAATGCACATTTTTCCAGCATCGGGAACTGGGTTTCTTTGGCGATACTTTCAATAATCTTGTCGTAGCTGTCTGGGCACCCTTCTCTCAGGGCATGACGGAAAGACAAATCTAGCTCTCGAAGTGCATGTGCGGACTTGAGTAGGTATAAATTCCCGGTGTGCCCTCCGCTACTAATGCACGAGGATCGTTGGGTGATAAAATATCCCCTTTGCGTATATGCGCCTTTCCCTCGAACTTTGGCAGAGTTGACAGCCGTCTGTACCTCAGCCGACGTACTCAGCTCAAATGATTCCAGACCCTTGCTCACTATTTCTAGCTGCCTTGGGTTGAGGTCTGATGCATATTTGGTGATATCATTAGATGTAACACAGCATCTATGAGTCTGGCGATATGCGTTGAAAGTCTTCACCGAGACCCCGCTCTGCGCCAGGGCTGTGACAACCAAATAGAATACGTGTGAGGCTCTGATCCAGAGAGAATGCCACTCCCCCTGCGAAGCCGTCGCTCTCTCCGTAGGCCCCTTGAGAGCCGCACCATCTAACCGGATAGAATGCAATCCGTGAAATCCTGTAAGCACGCCTTCAAGAAGCTCAATCATCTCACTCGGCGACTCCGTGGCTCTTGCTTTTTGCTGTTGTTTCAGCCATTTCAGATTGGATTTGGCGTTCGAAAATTCCTCTGCGGTGAAGGGGGTTGTAGTAGTTTCGAACATAGCCCCATGGTTTCGCCGCACAGTGTGATTTCCAGATTTCACGTTCTTCTCCGCTTCAGAAGAATCCAGGCTTGTGGCCAGGAAAGTCAGAGAATGGATCATCTTGCTGAGGGCAGGATTGCATGCCAAGGCATAGAGAGACCGAAGATTCTGCGATGATACATCGAGAATAGGTTGTTGAATAAAGCTGAGAAACCGTGGTCCAACGCACTTTTCCGCGAATCTTCGGTCGGTTAGACGGAGAGCCTTGACTGAGTCGACATCCAAATATGTAAGGATTGTCTCGAAGGGTTCTGGGGGCAGTGTGGTCCAGGAAACGATAAGAGATGGATTTCCCTCCGAATCAGACATTTCAACGAGCGAGATGAAGCGGCATGTTGAAAAGTAAAATCCATTTTCTGTTGCGGGGTTGTTTGGGGGGGGCTTGTGTGACAAGTTTGATAGCGGCTTTGTTGCTCGCTAGAAATTGCTGTCGCAGACAAGACTAATTTTATCCCATCGATTACTGAGCAGCCTCCGGATCTTATTCAGATCTGATCTTACTCCGTTCTTAATGGATCATAGCTTGCTCCACCTATTGTGGAATTATGGGATCAAAGGAATATTCATTATTAAAGGATCATAATTTCTTATTATACTCTGGCAAGCCTCGCAAGGACCGCGTTTACCAAACCTGGCGTCCAAACTACGTAAGTACCTAGCAGCATTATTGGACCAATAGCGGATATACCCATTCACAATGGGACGCCTCAAAGCTTCTCACCCCATCCAAGCGAGCCCAGTCCAGATCCAGTGCTGATTTAGGTACTGGATGTTCCTCTTTGACAAGAAATTCTCTCGCTGTCTGCCGGGTTAGGTAGAATTTTTTGGAGTTCTGAAATAAAAACCTTTGCCTACCAAGGTTAGTACTTTACAGCATAAGCACAGCCTTCCGTGTGGTGACTGCTGGGTGCCGTGTGAAGGACTGCGTCGGTTCCGGGAAGAGCGAGGGACAAGAACGAACGGGGACAGGCAGGAACGATCATGCCAGATCGCCCCAGTTCTCCAAGATTTTGAGGTGATGCCATGAAACATTACCGTATCATTACAATGACGCATCTGTTGTCGTACGGTGATTACGATTTCGTTTGTGCCAGAATTATTGAGCGGTGAACCAAAATAGGTTAGCGTACTTCGGATTTACTATCCGGGAATGTAATCGTAAGAGTGTGGAGGTCTAACTGATTTCGAAAACTACTGTACCTAGTACCTTGTCTTCAAAACGCATTTCCTGCATGAGAATTGAGCCTCAAAGATCGATACATAATCCCACAGCTACTTTCTAAGCTTGGACTGCCGCTCTAGAGAATGCAGGACCTCCGCCTCACGAAATGAATGAACCCCTGCGATGACTATGTGATCAATCTCAAATCCCAGCTTGTAGACAATAGCACCCGATCATATCTCTGAGGCATATCTCTTCAATTGCTTCTTATTTTTTGAAGCGATATATGGGTTTGATTTGAAACCGAAGTAGTTTTTGAATTCGATCCAGTGACTCCGCTACATCCATTTCAAGGCGCCTGGCCCTGTCTCTCTGTATCTGTCCTAGCCAACTGGCATGGTCTGCCGCGTCCATGGTTTCCCAAACGTGGGCCGGGGGCCAAGGGGAGTCAAGGGGGGCAGGCGTGAAATTGTGAGGCAACCCCAATAAAACTACTCCCTATATAGGTGCATATGTACATACATGTATGCACGGGGCCTTCTACAGATTCTGTAGGCAGCGAGACACAGCCACCTCTGTTATGTGCGTTACACAGTACAACAGCTTGAACAACATTTCTCGAAAGGCGTCGGGTTTAGATCCTGACTCAAGGATAGTGTCCAAATCGAAATTTGGATCTCTGGATTTAATCTCATAGAAAACCATCAAACGCACAGTTCACGCAACCAACTCCGATATCCATTTTCGTCAAGTCGTAAAGTCTCCAACTCGTGTGTCAAGTCTCATAAATAGTTACATAACCTTGCTTCTGCCAACATGGCCCTCGCCCCATTATTCCCTCCGATATCTTAAAATAAAGTACCAAACTCCTGTACCAGTCGATTGGCGCAGTACCGACCAGAAAAGTAATCAGCCCACGCCGACCCGTAAACTCATCGCACATCATTTAGGTCATATTCCGATTCATGGGTCCGTCAAATAAGCTCTCTGCGGCCGACGCACGTCATCCCTATATCGGCGCGAACTGTAACTGACCGGCTTCTCAACATAATCCACATATGTCCCAGACGGGCGACGGCGCGATCGCCGCCCGCGAGTACTCGTGCTGCGAGCAACTGGACGCTGGTAGCTCGTATCAGGCGGCTCACCACCGCTCCATGCGCCAGGCAGTCGGAAGGCGCGCCACAGCCACAAGATGAGGAGGGTGCCAGCGATCGAGCCGATGACGATACCTGCAATGCCGCCGCCGGTAATTGTGCTTGGGCAGTTGTCGCCGCTTGCGCGAGACGCGAGGGGATTTATAGGAGCCTGGGGGAAACGGGAGTATTAGCTTTGATGCGGTTCCAGTGTATGCGATCCGTGGTTCTCTGTGCGGCCCGCGCCCGTCGCTGAATGACCCACGGAAAAGTATCAGAGTGGGACATGGCACCTACCATGGCTGCAGTAATTAAGCTATTTGGCAATGCGTTTTTGATTTGATATTGTGAGATTGGAATGTTGTACGGAACCCGGTGGCTAGTAATGGTATGCAGAACAGTGGGCCACGATGCAATGTTGACTGCAGTACCAAAATCTAGCTCAGGTATACACAATAGACCTGATGGATGAAATGAAACCACCCGGACAAACAACAGGAAAGAGAAGAGGGAAAAGACGAGAAATTATCTAGGTTCATAGCCTCGAGTCTTATAAAAACAGGCCCTTTGTTCACGATTCCCCTCGTGATTGCGCACCCCAACCTCCTCTTATCCCGCTTCTGACGTCAACCGGACGTCGGCCTTGGCAGCCTGGAAAAGCAGCGATCTTCCCTTTCACGCAGCATAAACCTGGATCATGGCCTGTGCAAACTCTTTCGCGCGCCATTATTGGCTGCCTACTTTGCATGGTCTCTCCGCTTATTGTCAGATTGTGAGAGCCGGGCGGCTAATTTGTTGGTTTAGACGGGGACAAGATACACAGTATTCCGTACAGAGTACATTGTGCATTTCTCGCGGCGAACCCACATGGTACACACGCTACCGGAATATGCATGTCACATCTTGAGGCTTGAAAAGTCTTGCAATTTCACATGTGGGAAGAATTCCAACGGCGATAAGCATGCGGTGGGGAAATGCCCAGCCCAGCCTCGGACTCAATGTCTAATTGAGTTATTGTTGGTTGTGATATCTTCAAAATGCTGCATTTCAGCCAATGGCACGGAGTACACTGTAATACTGGCGCCTTTCTTCCAACAAGTGAAAGCACGGAGCTTAATGCAGCGAAATCATCCGTTGGTGACCCCAATCCTTGTACGCACATGCGCCGGAGCGGGCGGGTCCTCATTGTCTGACTCTTTCCATATCACTCGAGTTTGTCTTAGGTGCGCCACTATTCGTCATAGTATTCTCTTCTTACCGGGCCAGGCTTTTATCCCGACTCCCGAGGTCGCCTTCCCGCACCTCAATATATGCGGGAACACGCAATACTATTTTCCAAGTTTCGGGCACCGATAACCATATTGAGATGCAGACACTGAGACAACAAGCAAATACATACAGTATAGTTATACGAGTTCCTGCCATTGGCAAGATGTCGAGCATATTTTGGAAAAACCAACAAGGTAGTGCGCCGACGTGGATGCGCGCGTCAAGCACCAACTGGGTGATTGACAACAATTCATGAATCGTGAAGATGTTGAATTCGAAGGCCCACTGGCGTACCTCTTCCAAGGTTCGAGACCGGAGATGTGCACTAAGCAGGCAAGTGAAAGCTTGTTGGTTTAGGGTTAGTTGCGGCAACCTCGGTTGTTTTTCGGGCCATCACGGCAACATCCCGTTGCTTCTATTTGCATTATTTATTCTTGTTTCCATTCCAGGTTTACTACTGTACATTCAATCGTCAAGTGATAGGTTCACAAGTTGAGTCCATAAAGCGGGTCTTCTGCTTCCCAACCCTCGAACTGCATCATCTGCAGGGCTGTGCATAGAAACCAGTGAGGCTAATGTCATGAACGTCATAAACCGAATCAAATGGGAAACCAAGGTCAAACGACCAGTCCGCAACCATGTTCCCTCCGGCCCCTGGTGCCTCCGTAGGCCCATGGTCAGGAAGCATTTCCACCGGAGCGTTTCCCTGACTGGATGAAAGGTCGTTGATAATATCCGACAGCCCGCAAAATTTCATGATAGCAGCCAAGGTGTTGCGACTCTGTTGCGCAACCGGATACCATGGTATAATTTCTTCCAGTGTCTCCATGATGGCTGCCAACCACGTTTTCTCTGGCTCTTTATCCTCGCCCGGTTTAGCACTGACTATATCCGAGATCAGGGCAACGGCAGCCGAGAGACATGCGGGGTTGATAGTCGTGAATACCTTTGACGCACCATGCTGTCGTCTATAGGTCAGGAGTAACTTTGATATTCGGATCGGATTGGCCGTGCATATCTGCTGTGAAAGATCGGTCGTCTGGCCTTCTAAACAAGGGCGCTGCGAAACTGATTTGTTGCCGCGGTTGAATATGTAGGTTGCAAAAGGACGGTTGAGAAGGATCATTGTGGCAAGAAACTGGATATGAAGGGCACAAACGCCCGGCGGGATCGGACGATCTGCGTCCAATTGTAGCTCTTGTGGGAGATTCATGAACCAAGCGAGCAACTTCCGGCTCACCTCCGAGAGTTTCTTCACCGAGGAATTTTGATATATTTTCTCCGGGGCCCCGGTAATGATGGAAAGTATATCGTTCAGCACCGATGCTAGCCCAATCCAAGCGGCCACAAGTTGATCTGTTGCACCGACGGGTTGCGCGGAGAGTTGGGACACGTTCAGATCATCCAGATGAATGGCCGTTGGCCGCCCTTGATACGAACTGTACAATCTTCGATATTGTTAGTATCCCTTGGAAAGTATAGCACAGGAGGACACTTGCTTGTCAAGAACGTAACATCCATAGAGCGTGATCCGTCGGACTCGTTGATCAACCTCGGTGAGAAGCCCAGCAGCAACCAATTTCCTGCAGTCTTCATGTAAACCAAAATCGAAGACTAAGCGATACGCTATGCCTATTGCATGGTTAGCGATTACGGCTCGCTTAGCTGTTGCAAGTGCATCAGAATAACAAACCTGGGTAGAGCCAGCACGCTCTCCAGCTGTCACCTCCTACTCCCCCCAAGTAATAACCAAACAGACACAAGCCTGGTATCGTTGCAATGGTGGGATTCTCTAGCTCGAACAGAAGTTTGGCCTTTGCCCGGCGGGTATAGATAGTCGCAAGTGTTTCCCGGTGTTGTCGATCGTCGTCGAAATTCAATGCCCTGAGAAGCAGCGAGTACAGAAGAAATCGCGAGAAGTAGTCCGATCGTTCCCCTGTCATATAACCCGACCGAAAAGCCTCCTCATCTAGGATAGGTATAGCAGCATTTTGATATTTGAAGAACAGATCAATCAGACGCATTTGAGTTTCAGGACTATCGGCCATTGCCTCCCCCTCCATGCTGTCGAGAGACTTGTCCAACGGCGAATTTGACGCGCGTTCTGTTGGTGATGATTTTGACTGAGGAAGAACAGAGACCATCCTCATGTAAGAAGAATAGCCGAAATATCGAACTTGGCCTTTGTCGTCCACCGTGAGTGGTGGGTTGTTCGTTTCCTCCACAGTGGTCTCAGGCTCATTCCTCAAAGTCCCTCGGTGTGTCGTGACATTAGAACCTGAATGCGATGGCCTTCTGGCAAATTGTGCCGGCCGCAGCCCCATTTCTTTCTCCATGATCTGGAGATTTAGAACAACTTCGGCCTCTGGTGACAATGGGCAATTGGGCTCGTCAAATGCATCCATTTCCAAAGGGGCCGCTTGCTGCAAAGGCCCAGCTGACGCACTGATTGAGGAGCGACTCATCGATTGGATTCGGTCACATAGGTTCGCTATTCTGGAGTTTGGACTGTTTGGTCTGCCCAGAGCACGGGAGGTGTTTCTATAACGGCGGTCCATGGTGACATGATCAACGGTGCTATAACCAGTGGGACCACGGCTAACAGCTGACGTTCTTCGTCTGTGATTTTTGTCGACCTTCGACATTCCGGACTATATCGAATATGATGCCATCACTCTGTTGGATATACTGCATAGAAAAGAGCAAGAGAAGAGCAATGGGGGAATTCCCGGCTGAATGGAAGTGGGGGATCATCAACCCGGATTCCCCCCGGAAGTTGTAACCCATCTAAGGGCTAAAAGCCTAAAGGACAGCCCGAGGGATTGGTTCCCCCACACTATTAAGCCAATCGGCACACAAATGAGAAGATTTGCTAAGGGAAGGATGATCTCAGAGATGTCATGGTCAATCAAGACCTGGGGTGCATCTTAGCCTTTGGTCGCTCACCGATCTTTCACCTTGAACGATGAACGCCAACCCAGGAGAACCTAACGCCTCAAGACGACGAAGAGATAAATACATCTCTCGTGCCTGGTAAGCTTCCCTTCGGGACTCGTCAGTACCTACAGCAGCGATTGACCAACTCAACAGTCGGGCATGCCAGCGCCGCAAAAGCAAGGTATGAAGTAGACTATCGCGAGAATTGGATCATTCTGATCGAGGTCGCAGTGTTCTGGCGATGATCCCTGTCTCAGCTGCCGAGGACGAGATCTGGTGTGCACCTACAGCACCGAGAGACGGCGCCCAAGGAAACCAGCTTCCAATATACAGCGACGTGCTCCGGTGACGAGCACCATACGACTGGACCAAGCCAATTCTCCTCGCCAAGAGCCGCTCGACACAGCACTACCGTAATTGGAGTCCTTTCAAAGGGAAAAGAAGATGTCTAACCCTCGGATAGGTCACCAACCTCGGATACCATTGGTCACGTGCAAGAGCTGGGATCATCACTTGGCCAGTCAGTGAATGCAAACCATCCTCCCAGACCGTCAGCACCAAGGACTAGTCTATATAGAGCTACCGGATATGACCCCAATCGCATTTCCCTGCGATCTCAAATATCAGAAGCTCGAGCTTTGTTCAAAGTTAGAGGAGAGCCAGGGGACTTTGAAGTTGCATATAATGACGGAGAAGTCTGTTCCGTCGAACTGCCTGCTTCCATGAAGATCCAAGAATCGTTGCATGCGTATTTCGAAAACACAGCTAAGCTATACCCTGCCATCCACCCTGCCGATACTGTGATGCGTATACATGAGGTCCTCGATCACTTGCAATATCCCTCCAGCGGTCTCAAAATTGACGTTAACCACACCACCGCACCGACCATCGCCTTGCTCTACTTAATTATGGCTATTTCCGAGGTACCTGGGAAGAATGACCCGTCTTCCAGTACCAAGTATTGCGGCATGTCTTATTAGAAGACCGCCCGCACTTTACTTCAAACCTTCGAACTCATGCCTCCGAATCTCGAAATCCTGAGATGCCATACCTTGTTCACCATCTACCTCCTGCACATGGATTTTCTGGATCTTGCGTTGCAATCCATTGCCGTCACTGTCCGTCTAGCAATGACCCTTCAGCTCCATCGGCGTTCTGCGCCTGCCAACAACGGGAGCGACTGCTATGACCGGAATCTGTGGTGGATGATCTATATCCTAGATCGTGATATTGCGTGCATTGCTGGGGTTCCTTACCTTATCAGAGACGAGGAAATCGAACCTCCCCGACCAGGGCGAGTTGGGCGCCTGGGAAACTTCTCTGGTGTGTCATATATGCCTCCATCAGACGACACCGGTGGGCAGAATGAACCGGAAGACCAAAGCTTCCATCGAGAGACCATGTACTTGGAAGTCATGGCCCATCTGGGACGCATTTGGGCTCACATATGGACCGGCCTATTTGACAATGATTCTGAAACTGATTGTCAATGGGAAAGGACGGAAGTCCTGGATGCACAGCTCCGTGTTTTACAACAGCGACTCCCGCCAGACCTCAGCTGGAAGCCTCCAATGGGCCTGGGGCGCAAATTTGACAAAGATGATGAGATTATAATGCAGAGGCAGCTGGTTGTCTTGATGGTGAGCTTTATCCCAACAAACAGACTTTCCGTGGGAATCGATTGGCATGTCTCTAACATCTGCAGCGTATCAACACTCTCCGCCTCTTGATTCGAAAGAGTCACACTTCGGATGCCTAGACCAGAATCCCACTCAGAGTCAGGATGTGACGATAGCAGCGCAAACAATCGAGTCCATAACGGCCTTGCATGCATCATGCGAAGTACTCGTCCCAATCGCTCACCCCATCAGCACCACCCTCGTGCAATGTATCCTCTGCCTGGTGAACATTATAGGCGACTCCACAGACTCCGATGGAGCAGATTTAGCATCTGCCTCCGTGGTGTCAGCTTATCAGACGTTATTGAATCTGTCTGACCACTGCGTTTCTGCAAGGAATGCGGTTGACACTCTCGATGAGGCTTTCTTCCGCAACAGCGATGGATCCTCGGGGTTCCAGGCATCGCGTATCACAACTGCACCTGTGCCGCATCGACGTACCGGTAGTCATCCAGAGAAGCAAAATGGTGTTCCGGCTGCGGCCAAGCAGACCACCCGTCCATCGAATCTCTTCGATTGTCTGCAACAAAGCTACAAGACATTGGATAGCCTGTCAACATATGCAATACCAAGGTGATGGGGATACCCTAGAGAGCTAGGTATACAGAACGAGAAGTCATTCTGCTCTTGATTGTCACGGGATACAATGCATATAATACCCTTCAGCGCTGACTGACAACTACCGACATGTTACCCCAACATAGATCACATATAAGCCCCGATGGTATGCGGTGCCGGAGTCAGCGTCACATTCAAACTTCCTTTATCCCAAACCACAAATGATGGCTGCTTTCTCCATTCCTTCGAATCATCAGAGAGCTCCATATCAAAATTCCAAACCATCCGAGCCAAGATCAACCGCATCTCAGCGTACGCCAGACTAGCGAAAGTCAGTAAATAAGCCATCAAAAGGGCTGTATCTCAACAGGTGAACTTACTTGCGACCAAGACAGTTGCGGGGTCCCGCGCTGAAAGCTTGCAATGCGTTTCGATCATCGGACTCGTACTCGGCATCGCCGATAAACCTCTCCGGAATGAAAGACTCGGGGTTCTTGAAGTACTTCGAAGACATGTGGGCTGCCAGAATCGGTATTCCGACGGAAGTCTAAGAAAGCATTAGTTACTCATTATCGCTGAATTGTCTCAGGGAATAACTCACTCCACCAGGGACCCATCGCCCGCAGATCCAATCGCCCTCGCCTTCGACGATTCGGGGAAACCCGTACGGAAGGGGAGGGTACATTCGCAGGGTCTCGTTTAATACAGCAAGAGTATACTTCAGCTGATTCACAGCAGACCAAGTAATCTGTTCCTCGGAACTGAACGCACCCCTAATCTCGGCCTTGAGTTTGTCAAGAACACCCGGAACGGTGAGAATATAGTACGTCACACCAGACAGCAAAGTAGCAGTAGTCTCGGAGCCAGCAATGATGAGGACATAAGAGTTGCTGACAAGTTCATCTTCAGTCATTCCCTTCTCGACCGGCTGTTTGAGGACATTGCTGAGGAAATCCGGACGACCGTTATCTCCATTAGCCACACGCGCGTTTACTTTCTCCTTCGTCATCTGACTCTGCGTAGCCTTATCCTCTAGAACTTTCTTGGGAATAATCCACTTCATGAGAGTTACCCCGAAAGGCACACGTCGCAGGACATTAGCCCAAGCAGCTGTGCGAAAATGGCTGAAAATAACCGACACCCAGAAATGGTACCGAGAGTTCTCGAGACAACCGAACGATTCTCCAAGGGCGAGGTCACCAATGATATCGAATGTGGTATAATTGTACCAGCGGGTCATGTCGACCGTTGCGCTGTCGGACTCGGCGATCCCGCGCAGACGTTTCACTAGCAAATCTACGTAGCCCTTCACAATCGCTTCTTGTCGCTGGAGACTGCCTTCCGAGAACCCGTGAGCCAGTGATCGTCGGTAGCGGGCATGAGTCTGGTCGTCAGTGCGTAGGATACTGGGAATGTGGTTCGCCCCGATGGAGAGAGGGCGTGGGTCTTTAGGGCGCTGTGGCTTGCCAGGGCGGATGGATAATATGTCCTTTGCGGCGTCCGGGTGTATGAATGTAACTTCGTTAGGAGCGATCCGGACTGCATCGCCATATTTATCATGTAGTTTCCGTGCGTCCATTGGCAGGGTGCCACCCAACACCGATCGGAAGAATGGCAATGCCGTGGCTGCATTTGCTTTGGGCCCTGGGATGGAGGCTAGAGGGTGCAAGTACAGGTTGTAAATGATCAATCCGATAGTGTAGGAAATGCCCTATCAGGAGACAGGTTAGCATCCTGAGATGGGGATGGTTCGTGATTGCTAACCAATAGCGACAGAAGTCCAACGAGTCCAAGTGCGGGATGGGCGGCGATAAATGGAGAGACCCGCCAGACCCGCCAGCCCCCTTCAATGAAGCGTAATAAAGTCATTGTGATGGGTTGTCATTGTCAAGAGTTTAGATGCGCCACACGCCGACTAAATAATAAGGCGGACCTCCAGCGCATTGGAATCTTATTCTGGGACTGCGTATTCGGTAATATCGGCATTCGGCGTTAGTAGGTTGGCGTTGACGTGTTGGCGATGTACGCGCTTATTCATGTGCGCGGACGCGGGGAATTAGTCTCCTCACTCCTGCAGGCTGCAGTAGATGCGGGCAGCGGAGGTAATGGGGCAAGACCAAGCCATTGCGAGACTGATTGTGCCAGACAATTCTGGAGCTCTGAAGCTCTCTTCGTGAATGCTTAGCGCGGATTTCTAACTTGTCAGAGTAATATTTAGCCCTTGCACCCTTGCCGTTCGTTCAAGCCACCGAATCACTGATATAATCATCGTAAAAGTGAGCCGTACCTATGGAAGTAAGCCGTTCTCTTCTTCGCTTGCTCTTGAACCAGGAATCTAGTGAATTGGTATGGAGATAGGCATTTGCGTCATAATCTAGGCTGAGGGTCTTTTCTCTAGTTTGATATGCGAAATGGGGATTTGAATATGGAATCGTGAATTCAACGAGGATTGTAGGAGAATTGTCCAAGAATGGAGGAGTAGGGCTATGTACATTCATTCGTACAGCAAAAAGGAATGTTCAGATCGGTGAAATCTAAACATGCAGAAGTTCCAAAGCACAGTTTACTTTCTTTTGAATGTTCACTGACCGAGCGCGGTCTTCCTTGATCTTGAACACGTTTCATCCCATGACCGTGTAGATGTCAATCTCGGGCATCTGGGCTGCAGCTATTTGCCCGAGCAGCAGCCGATCCACGGGTCATCCTCGATCTAATATGCGGCACAACAGCTCATGAGGGGGCGGAGTAGTCGATTCTCCCTGCCGGATTCCTCTTCTTGGAAAGGCGGGTAACTCACACGCTCCAGATGGGGGCGATGCGTTTTCTCTAAAAGCTCGGTACGATGCACACGTGGTGTCTTACATATTGGGTGTAAGTTGCCTTCAATCCGTGATCGCACAGGTGGGTCTCATTATTCCCTGTGATCAAGCTGAAATCCGAAGCTGGTTGAAGCATGAGTGGGTCCACTATCTCTCCGTTGGAGACACTCTCATTGCAGCCATGCTTCAACCAGCTTCGGATTTCAGCTTGATCACAGGGAATAATGAGACCCACCTGTGCGATCACGGATTGAAGGCAACTTACACCCAATATGTAAGACACCACGTGTGCATCGTACCGAGCTGTTAGAGAAAACGCATCGCCCCCATCTGGAGCGTGTGAGTTACCCGCCTTTCCAAGAAGAGGAATCCGGCAGGGAGAATCGACTACTCCGCCCCCTCATGAGCTGTTGTGCCGCATATCAGATCGAGGATGACCCGTGGGTCGAGTCACTGCGGGCACAGGAAAAGACTGCGGAGCTGGAAAAGACAATCAAAACAGGAAAGACATTTTGCAGCGAGCAGCTAAAGACCTTTCAGGCCCGAACTCGTCATATCTATGAGGAGCTATCGCCAGGTCTTGCAAGCAAGCCTGTAGGAACTTAAGGTCGCCGCTTTAGGACGCTTCGCCTCCGTCACCTTGGCGTCCAGCTGGTCGTCGGGACCAGACGCATTGTAGATGCTCAACAGTGGATAGCCATTCCGGAGACAGTTCCACAACGTGACCGTGGACCAACGGTGCTCATGAGCAACCTTCGACGCTATCGGGAAGACGGAATAAGTATCGAGACCTCACAGATGGACTTAGATCCTACTTACTGTATAGAGCCTTCGACCTCTAGAAATCATCGCCACACATGCTGATAATCTCCTCATATGCCGGCGTAGCAGCCTGATCAACTACATTCCCCGATTGGGATTCGTGGACTTTCGCAAACCCAATGTAGTCGGGGCTGTCTTCGATTTGTGCGCGGGCTGAAGAGAAGTCGGGGTCGACGTATAGGAGGTCTGCGATGGCGGAAGGACATGACCCTACGGCGAAGATCGGTCGAATCTTGTCAATCTCGTGCAATGTCAGGGCCAATGCTGCAGTTGTTTGTATCTTGCTGAGGCACGAACGGATAGACATTGACATGACCGGCAAACGTCAGTGTGGGGGGTATTGGAGTTCCCTATGTTCGAGGCTGCGAGCAACTGGAGCCCCTTTCCTCATTGATGATCGGAGAGGAAAGAGACGAAAGAGAGGAAACGATGCCTCATCAGTCTCCGTGTCGTCTGCAGTGATCAGTATCATCTTTCGTCATGGAGATGGTCGGGGTGATGCATTTGAAGGAGATGAAGGAGATGAAGGGAACGAAAAGGGATGAAAAGGTGGGAAAGAGATGGCAGAGATGGCGGGCTTACCATGAGAGACGAGGCCTCGAGGCATCGAGGCAGCGAGGCAGCCGAGGGAAGGACGGGCTGGGTCTTCACATATCGTTGTTCTATTGTCTGTGTCTTGGGCCGAGGCGCCTCATTAACCGATTCCACACATCATCAATGAAGAAGCTCGTTTTGACAGGTATATTAGTTGATCTGGGCATGGAGGTTGATGGGGGATGGATTGAGAAAGGGGAAGATGAAGTGAGAGGGAGTGAGGGCACGACTAATCACGAGCATATGACAGCCTTAGGACGACATAAGCGCTTGCTATCTTGGACATGAATAGATCGTTTAAGGCGAGCGCATTGGAGGGTCGTGTCACATTGTGCTTTAGTTACGCTGCGTTGCGAGTCACACTTCACCACAATATTATGCGCATTAGACTTCATGGCTGGACAACCCACAGGTTCCTTTCCTCAAACGGTTGGTGTTCACCCATTTTGAATCCAGTATGTACTTACACAACACATGGGATTGTGTAGTGTCCCGGATCCATTTGACTGGTAGGTTTGCTAATCGATTGAGACCAACTACAAGAGCCATGCAATGGTTTTCGTCAACCATCAGTTATGACAAAGTGAAATGTGTACCGATGACTCCTGGGGTCCGCCTTTCTACTCACATCCATCTCAAAACCAAAGTAGAAGCTGAAAGATAGGTCAGCAGAGCACTGGGAGCAGCCGCAGCTATAATTTGCGGTCACTCGCTGCTTCAACGAAGTATTCGCATTACGCCTGCGCAGCATACTTCAGTTGCCCAGCGTTGGAAGATGAAGTACGACCACTCATGGTTCAAACATCGTGTAGAAGGTCTCTATGTCAAGAAACTTGGACCAAAGCGTGGAGGTGCTTATCTCCAAGCCGTTCAAGTGTGTCTGATGCTTCCAACTTCCTTGATCAACACAACCGATGACCGACCTTGGCCTTTGTGTTCCGCATATCTACCACTATCCAGTTATGATATGGCGTTTATGATTGTGTTGGTTTTTATGATCGTTGGGGATCGGAGTGGTTTGTGCAACTCTTCGTCTTTCCTGTCTTGATATATTTTATCATTATTAGGCATCACGAGAATGCATACATGACGAATCAAAGTTCTATTAACCTGTTGGAGCCTACCTCATATGAGAGCCCGGCCCATCACGTTTGTTGACCCGCGTTAGGAAAGCATTCCTAGTATTCTTTCCGTATGCAAGAACCCGCGGCCAACATGCGGGCTCTAGTACAAAGAGATTCTCAAAGAGTGGGAGCCTATCATGCAAACGGCAGGACCAATCGCATTTTTTTTACTCTGTGTTTTTTTCTACCCTTTGTGTGCAGTTTGATCTGCATCTCGTAAAGATATCTACAAAGGTGGCGGAGTCGAATGGGATGCAGCCCACTTAACAGCGAGGTGTAGAGTACTAGGACTTGGCGGCTCATAACTAGACCCTCAGAAGTCAAGTGGTATCAACAGGAGTCTTACCTCAGGAAGAGCAAGAGGGCTATGTAACATAGTACATTAACATTCATCAATCAACAATTCAACAAATCCTACATAAGTGCCCGGTCAGGGTCACACACGAAACAACCACTGCCACCAGCTCGGAGTCGGAGACCATTTAACGGCCAGTTTTTACTGGCATCTCCTTGCCTTCGTACCTCATCTCTCCCGGTTGGACTTCGCTCTCCGGGACCACTTTTGGCCCACCGTCACGCTCCACGAGCCTGCCTCCATGGGCGCTCTGGTAAACATTCACGTCGTACGTAAATTTCACCAGCAGATGGTACACATGGACAGTTTTTGTCTGTCCATGCCGACGCGCACGACCAATGGCCTGGGTCATCCCGGAATCGTATTCGTTCCGGGTAGAGGCAATCAAGGGCGACAAGAAGACGACGTGGTTTGCGCAGCGGAGGTTCCTGAATCAGTTAGCAATCACGTGTCGACCAACTTCCAATGACAAGAGAAACTACTTACTGCTCAGCAGCCATTGGGCTGCCAAGTTCGAAAAGCAAAGCCTTGGGCTTTTCTTTTTCCAACAGTCATTGCCAGTAAAACTCGATCTCCATTTCTGTCTTGTCGTTGGAGAGAGAAACCGGACGGAGGGCGAAGAGTGCATCCAACCAAGCCGCGCGAAGGTCCTGTCGAAGACAGATCATATTGACAGTCTACCAGTACCCGAATGCCAAAAGCAATGGTGAAGAGTTATGATCAACACCTCTGACAAGCATCCTTTGTCGGGTCGGACTTCGCTGTCGGACTTCGCTGTCGGGGACCACTTTCAGCACACCGTCACGCTCCACGAGCCTGCCTCCGTGGGCGCTCTGGTAGACATTGACGTCGTACGTGATGAAGGTGTTACTCGCTCATGGGGCTGACACAGGTTGTCTCGCCTCCCTAGAAAGGCGACACAACGGCTTGGACTCAGCGCGCAGCAGGAAGATCGTGCGAGCACCGATGTGGTGAAGCAGAAGATGTATCGCCGCGCCAGGCCGCATTCGACTCGAGTGATCCAGGGTCACCTCGAGCGGGACCCCCGCACCTCAAGCGGAATCCCCCGAGTCCGACCAACAGCCTCATCGTCAGTTCCAGCCTGATTGAATACGTGGGGAGGGAATAGTTCGCGTGCGAAATGCGGAGTTTGCTGAATCAGAAGAGGGCTATGAGTCCGATGCAGAAGCAATAGCGGAGGGAATGCAGATAAGCCACACCACGGAGCAACCAGATGAACCACCTCCCCCGCCGATCTCTCCGCCAGCCAGTGGTTTGTCCGAATGGCAGGTGGTCAATCGTCATGATTCTAACAGAAGGTCAGACAAAGAGAGCGACCCAAGGCAACGTAGCAAGGGCCTGCGACGGTTCCGATCTGGCCAACCGGACACCCCATTGGTCGGGCTCTCTTCGGTTCATGGAAAAGGCGTGGGTGGTCTGGATATGCCAGTCTTAACTCCCAAGTGAAGAGGCGTGGAGATGGGGGAGAGTGGATTCCATGTAATTCTCTGTCTTACATTTCACGCTGAAGCTTGAAGCACGAGCGGTGGTGTTTTGCTTCTTGGGCACAACGGCACCTTCGATGGAAGATACTGCTGCATCAATATCATAGCGGGCAGGTCACTTGTCGGTGCCGCATCTCTTCGGCACCTCTGGACTCTGGTGGCTTCTGCATAAGATCGTTGTCAGCCAGGCCAGTGTGGGACATAGCAAGGCAGGTATGTTGGATGGAGGCGGCGAGGTTTGTTGATTGACGCGTGCTTCCAACCTTCTGGTAAAGGGAAGCACAATATGGATAATGTCAAGGAAGATAAAACAAACGATAAGATGCGAGAGAAAGGATGGCCAAAGCGATGAACAACGATGGTTGGAAAGGTCAAGAATGAAAGGAGAAGAGGCACCAGGACAGAGAATTTATAGCTTCGAAGAAGATGGGACGATCACGGGCCTTCGGTGAGGCCCGTGATGTCAGGAGCCTGCGATCACGGGTTTCTCATAGCAATGGAAAACGAGGCTATTCCCACATCCATTTTGGGGAAAGGGCGACGGCTGTGGGATTGATTGATAGAACAGCGCGATACCGCTTCGAATACCCTCGAACTAATTACCAGGTGGCGTCTTATCTTCGACCTATTCCCCTAATCATATTCATGTCTATAACCTCCAGAGAAATGTTGCTATGGCTCGGCTACTAAACGAGAGATCATGGTATCCGAGTATTTCTATCCATACAGCCCAGGTTTGGTCAAAGGGATAGTGACATAGTGGTGCGGCCCGTGCCGGATTAGGGTCACGTGCGAGCATGGGACCCAGACTAACCCAGTACTAATAAAGACATGATACAAGTTTCACTCTGGCAATGGGAATGTCGCATGAAGTGACTTGAATTTGTAGTTCTGCATAGACAAAAAGGCGAACACAGCGTGGGAATCAACAGAATGCCGTGTTATACATGATCAGAACAAGACGAAACGCCAGGTGCTCACTGAAAAACAAAAAACAGAAATCCAGACAAAGAGAAAAACCAACACCAGCACAAAAGATCTGTACAAAAAGCGGCTCGATAGCATTGCATTCTATGTCGGGATTTGAGGGTTAAGTCGGCAGATGTGACGAAATCCTCAGTAGATGGGACGAAACAGATGACTCTGATCGAGACGTTGAAATAGAAAGCGGCCGAGGATCGATATCCCAGAATATGTTCATGAATGAATCTCCAATTGTGCAAATCCCAAAGTTCCATTGAGGGAATCAAAAATGTCCCAAGTGTCGTGTGTTCCGTACCCATCCATTGCGTGAGTTGCGAGCCAGTATCGTGTGCTCGTAGATATTATTCATTTCCCATTTGTGTCGTCCCAGTATAAGGGTAAGGTATGTCGTAGGTGAAGAAGAAGTAGACGCGCAGGTCGTAAAAAGAAGAAAATCAAAAAAGTGCAAGCATTCTCTCTTGCCCTAATGCATGGAATGGAACCGATCATTCGTCGTCATCAGTCAACTGGCGTATCAAGCTGAGACTCAAACACATGACCAGCAGACCAATAGTGACTATGACGAGCATGACAAAGCCAAACCAGCCAAGTAACATCGCAGACGAGCCGACCCCGCTCTTTACACTTCCATTGCCCATGTCTTGGGCTATCGTACTGGCAGCGACAGATGCTGTGTGTTGCCACAGTACAGACACGAGGACGAACACCGAGGCGACAAAGATTAGGGCTAGCCCAGCTTGCGACACGGGCCGTGAGGGGAATGGCTTGACTTCACGCTCTGATCCATCGTCCAAGACCTCCTCGTGCCAGCCGGGGAATGTTGCCAGAACGATGAAACAGAAGAAGGCGAGGATCACAGCGACAATTCTGAAAGAGCGTTAGCCTTGTGCATTTCTATAGAAAATGGATATTATACTCACAAGAGGTACGGGAACACAACGGCGTCTTTGAACGTCGAGGCAACCCAAATAAGGTTCAGCGGATCTTGGTCCTGAGTGACGATCTCAGCCAGCGCCGTGGCATTCGCATTGCAGATGAAAGAGCCCCCAGAAGGCTGCACACAGATACCGAAAAATCCTACCCGGACTTCCATCTCTGCACCGCCAACGAGCATGGAGATGGGCTGAGCGACATCTGGTGAAACTTGTGCAAAGTCGCGTGTCGGCGTGTACTTTTCATAGTATAGAGAGATAAGGAAGATGTCAGGGATCTGTGGGGATGATGAAGAACAGCCAGCCAACAGGAGTGCTGCAAGTGTGTTAGCTACATTCCGATAGAAAAGGCAATGACAGCAAGACTAGAACTCACATAATAAGATAATCGCAACAGCGATGATGATCATCAATACATGGTGGTACCCGATCATTGGAATGAACCCTGCAGTAAGTTAGCGACAATGCCATTGTACGTTGTCTTCCATGATGTAGTCACTTACGGGCCCATTTTTGTGCAAAGGGAGAAGCCATTGTGTTCAACGATGACCAGCTCAGGGTCGGAACTGCTTCACTTGTTTGTTGACTCGCTCCTCGGGTCTCCGAGAAGGAGCGACTTGAACAATTGCGATCTCAGACTCGACTGTACGCACAGTGGCGGACTGGTTTCGGGCACTGCGTTGACAATTGTATCGGTCTCGAAATCGCGGGATCGGAATGTGGAGGAAGAATGCGGAGGACAGGATAAAGACTGGAGTGTCTGGAATGCGCCCACGGGTTTGAAGTATGTGGATAGTATCCAAATACTCGATTTTCTCGTGGAATCTCGCTCGCACCTAGAGTGGGTTCTTGAGGGTCAGAAGTATGACTTGACGCCTGGAGTCCAGGTGGGAAGTATATGAAAGAGAGGAATGTGTAGAAAGAGTGGAAGGGGAAACAGGGCTCGCAGCTTGGGTACAAAACTCCACGTCACGCTAATTGCCAGATTCTCTCTTTTCTCTGAAGGCTGGGAATGAGGCGAGAGTATAGGAATCTGGGGGGCTGGGCCAACCGCTGTTGTTTACTTTCCCGCTTCCCCGGTAACCAGTTTATACCGCCTTCCATGTGGGTAATTCTGCCAGGCTCGCTGGAGCTCGCTAGCCCCGATATGAACTAGCGCAGATCTAGATAAACTTCGCCCCACATCCACTTGCCACGCGGTGACGCGATTCACCCAGCCTCTTGTGTTTCTTCGTGTTTCTTGATATCAGGAAGGTCCACTGTGGGCACATTACTATGTTTCAAGCTTTATCCCAAGATGCTCAAATTTGCCAAACACTAACCAACGCTATGTCAAACAATAGTCCCAATAAAATAAAAGCCGAACGCCAAAGGGTACGCGCCAAAAGTGGAGCCAACTAAGCCGGTGGTCCAATGCTATCCTGGATTCCAAGCCCCAATGTTCCAATGTTCTTCTCCCAATGCTCCGTAATGAAAATAGAGACGCAGTCTAATTTGGTGTAAACGAAAAGCGTTTGAGGTCGAGGGTGGGGCGCCCTGTGCTAGGCTCATCCTCAAGATCCTCGTCCTCCTCGCTGTCCGGAACAATGAGATCTTCGCTGCCTTGCGCTCCTGAAAAAGAGAAACCTTTTGTGACGGGAGAACTTGCCTGAGCCTGAGGCTCGGACCCAGCACTTTCCGCATCCCGAAGCTTCGTGGGAATGTTGATACTATTAGACCGACTGAGAGCGGCCATACCGATTCGCTGGAGCGGCGTCAATCGTCGCTGGATGGCATTGCTCCGAGCAATTGCAGCTGGACTCTTGGAACTCGAGGGAGTCGCAAGCTTTTCAGAAGGCAGAATCGCAGGGACTTTCGTCATGATGGACCGAGCTGAAGTAGGGTCGGGCTTGTGCTCTGCTTGAAAGGTGAACTTGGAGAGTACACTAGAGTTCTGTCGGCCAACGTGAAAGTCGAGAGCGTCTTTGAAACCAGGAGAATCGGGTCCGTTGCCCAGAGGGGCTTGCTCGGGTTCTTCAGCATTGGCGGTGATCTGGCCCTCGTGGGCAGTATCTTTGGATGGAGTTTGCTGTTCTTTGGGCTCGCCAGATATTTCGATGTTGCTCTCATGTCGAGACCCAGCCCGCCCAGTAGGGGTACTGGGATCAGGTAAGTTCGACATTATGTCTTCTGCTGCTTCATCAGAGAAGATGCCGACCACTGAGTTACGTGATCTTTTAGACCGGAAGAGCTTCTGACCGCTCGGGCTAGCCTGCTCGGAGGTAGGAGCAAAGAACCGGCTGCGAGCCGGCGAACATGCAGGCAAGGAGTCTTCAGTCTCAGAGCAGAGTCTTTGCCTCTTTGTGGGCTGCAAGGTCGATGATCTTGCACTTTGGGCTAGGAAGGAAGAGCGTTCAACGCTTCGAATCATGGGACTCAGTCCCTGGTCAGAAAACGCCCTAAGAGGCGTGGATCTAACCGAGTTAGAGCGAAAGGGTGCTGGGTTAGCCTGCCAGGAGTTGTTTGAATTGCGCTCCAAGAGGCGCTGCTGGCTTGGAGACGGAGTCAAACTGTTAGGGTCCAGCTCAGCTAGCGGGGTTCGCTTCGGGGTGAAGAACGAATTGATGGGTCTCCTCGGTTTGAGCTCAGAAGACGAACCCAATGTCTGTCGGCGATTGATGCCAAGGGACAATCTCCCTGCGGCCAGTGGCTTGAGTATGATTGGTTCCTTGGTAGTTGGATCCAGATCGCCAAGGGAAACCCCGACTGCGATTTCCGGCTCCATATCAGCGCCAATAAATGGCAATGTGTCCAAGATAATATCCTCGTCCGGTGGTGTCAAAGTCACCAGCCTTTGGGCTTTGGGACAAAAGACACGCTGGTAGAGGAACGTCAACTCTGCCTGTCTGAAGTTGGCCAGATAGTCAGCCGGGACACGGAAATTCCCTTCGAATTGTAGCATGCGTAAGGCTTTCTCAACACTCCGGTGTTTGCGAACAATTCGGTAGGCTGTCTTCAGCCCCATCTTAGGAATATTTGCCAAATAATCACAACCGCTCAAAATGCACATGTTCCTGAAATCCAAATCGCTAAAGCCAACCAAGCTCACTTCACGGCAAGCGGTGAAATCAGCGCGGTTTATCTCAATGCATTCCCCATGTTGGTCCAATTTCGAAATCAATCGCTTTGCTCCAAAAACAAGTAAATCCGAGTCTTCGGATATGATGCCGTCAATGTCGCCTTGTTGCTCAAGATACACCAATTGTGCATCTGCCTCGTAGGGGGCCACAACATATTGCACGTTCATTTGCTTCAATTCTTCGATCAACTGACGGGCCATATATGGTGTAACGTCGACGGCCTTCTGAAACTCTTGATAAGCTTCAGGCATTCTCCCTTTCCGTTGTAATTCAAGGCCAAGTGCCTTGCTTTCCTGACGCCGCCGATATCGATCCTGTTCGGTGCCTGACTTGCTGGGCAGATTATCGCCATCGAAGACGAGGTATGGCTTGACTCCAAAGAAGAGAAGCATGCGGACTCGATTGAGGACAAAGTCAATGTGCCTGTCATGGAAAGCCAATGTCAGTCAACGATGGGTTGAGGAAGACATAGGAAAGACATACTTCCTAGTAGGATTGTCTAGGACCAGATCCACAGAACAAGCAACGGTACCGCGATGCAGCCATCCATATGCGTCGACTCCAAGTGTCTGCCCATTGAACTTCTTGAGATGACATGGCTTCTGTATGGACTTGAGAAGCCCATGAAGTCCTGTTTGGTCGTGTGAGCAAATCCATACGTCCCCCCCTAGATAGTCCTAAGCAACGTACCTTTGATGCCCATGGTGGACACCGTTCGAGGCACAGGCGGGTCCTCGTACTCAACGACTAAATCACAACATAGGTTGAAATTTACACATGCAAAAAAGCAAATGAATAAGGAGTACAATGTGAGGTCCAAGTCCAAAATCAGTTTAAGAATAGGAGGAGTAAATAACTCCTTGGAATGCTCCCATCTCGACGCGCAGACGCGCTTTCCTCGAGTGGGGAAGGCGGTGATATTGGGGTCACCGCCTAATTGTGCCGGTGTATCCAAGAAAATTATCGTCGAAATTCACGCCGGAGTGTTTGGAGTAAATTCTTGAATATTAATCTCCAACCCGCAATCATGCCTGTTACTTTGGAAAAAGTGCACAAGCAGATCTCCAAGAAGCGCGATACCCTCAATGCGCTTCATGAGAACAGTCGCGATGCCCACCGACTTCGCAAAGCTGGTGCTCGCGACGATCGATTGTCCCGCCATAACGCCACGGTGAACCGTGCAAGACAGCCCTACAGTAAGACGCTTGCCCAATTCAATCGAGGGTCACCCTACTGACTGGAATAGTGGACCGCATTCATTATATTCACGAGGCCATCCAAGAGACCACTGAGGCACTCACCATTGAAGAACTCACTGAGTTCGTCGCCAAGTATGTACCGCTAATAATCCTACCACCAAGTCCAAGACTGACCCAATCTAGGTATATCAACCGTGATACCGAGGAGATCAAGCAGCTTGAATCAGAGCGGCGCAAGGGCCGTCCCCCCAGCAAGCGCGAGGAGGCTTTGAAACAACGGGTTCAAACTGAAGATCGTGAATTCTCAACCGGACTGTGGATGCCCGATCTGACCGATCAATATGCATTGACTGCAATGAAGGTCTGGAACCGACACTGGTCAGGGCTCAGCGCCATCAAGTTCATTCGGTTCAGGAAGGATGGAGAGAAACTTTCTTCTACTTTCCCTCCCAAGAGCATGTCATGATCATGAATACTTTCTTTCTCTTCTTTCGTCAGGTGTTCAAAAAGACTGGGTTGGCGCATATTGGGTACATTGATTCTTTTCCAGATTCTGTACGGCCGAATATCTCTGAATATACCATTTCAATTCTATGAATATATCTACTGTTCTATCGCCAACCTAAATTGTAGTTTCCAACACCGTCGGCTTGTATCTCCGGGCCAACCGACCAATCCTCTAACTCTTGGTGCGCGTAGCAAGCTAGTTAGTTGCTATCTAGGCTTTAACTCAGTGTACACACTCTCTGTGCGCATCAATGACATGAAATTCCAATCACATGTGCATTTCGTCTGGTTTGAAGCTAAAATTGAGCACCGGCGCAAAGTCGGCCAAAACACAAGGCCGGCCGCCGGTCTTGGCACCCGTGACATCAACGGGGCTAGCTAATTTACTTTTTCTCGAGCTCTCATCTTCACCAAATACCACAGATTATCACATTCACAATGCTTTCTCTTCGTACCATCACCCGCTCTATCCCGCGCACTTTCTCGCGCTCCATCGCCACTTCGGCTCTGCGCCCGGCTTTCCCCAAGCCCGCTCTCCAATCATGGAAGCAGGCCACCAAGCCAGCCTACGCTGCTTTTTCCACCTCAACCATCTCTAAGGCTCCTTCATCTGATTGTAAGGCGATCCATTGACATATACGAAAGAATCCGCACAGATTCGACGTTGTCACCCCGCCGACTCCGTTCATGGCCTTGCGCTGACTTTCCATGCTTTTCTACAGTCGATGTCGAGCTTCTTGCTAAGCTCGAGGATGAGCTGAAGCACGAGGAATCGTCCGATGTGCCCGAGTTCAACGAGCAACAGGAAATCATCTCCGAGATTGTCAAGCACGGCGAATGGCAGGTAAAGGATGTTCCCGGTGAGCAGGAGGTTGTCCTGACCAAGAAGTTCGGTCCCGAGAGGTACGATTTATCCCGCCCCATTCGATTATATCCCTCCCTTCATACAGTTGCGAATGCTGATACATCTGATTGTTTAGCATCCGCGTCAGCTTCACAGTTGCCGATATTCAGAACATCAGCGAACAGGAGGACTTTGACGACGCCGCCCTGAACGACGATATGGACTTCCAGAACCAGCCGCGCGACCAGAACAACGAGTTCGAGCAACCGGAGCCCAGCTTCCCTGCTCGCGTTAACGTCATCGTTGAGAAGCCCAGCCACGGTGCTCTTCTGATCCAGACTGTCGTCCAGGACGGTGTTTTCCAGATTGAGGAGGTCTCCCACTTCGCCCAGGCTGAGCTTGCCCTGGCTCAGACCGCCGAGAAGGATTGGGCTCGCCAGAGCCTCTACGCTGGTCCTCCCTTCGAGAACCTCGACGAGGACTTGCAGGGTCTCTGGGACCGATACCTCGAGGACCGTGGTCTTAACGCCGAGTTCGCCAACATGATTCCTGACTACATCTCCGTCAAGGAGCAGAAGGAGTACCTGCGCTGGTTGGAGAGTATGTTTCCCTTTTCAATATTGTGTCTTTGTACTTGCTAACAATACCTTTCTCTTGCAGCTGTCAAGAACTTCATCGGTGCTTAAATTAATCTACCCACTTCAGCCCTTGGATCGCTCCCTCTCAATGCTGCCAGAGCTGCCTTTTGATAATCCCAATTTTGCCTGATATGGGGGTGCCTCGTGCCTCCGCATCATGGCCTGCTTGTGCAACTACTTGTGCGACCCCCTTTGTACCAATATCTCCAAATATACAACCACTTCAATTACCTTGAAACTTGATATCCAAGTTGTTTTGCATATATCGAGGCAAGTTTATAGTTCATACTTCGAGTAGTTATCTCACTCGGTTGAAGGCTATGTATTCTTGGACCATCTCAAGGTAAAAGCAAGCTGGTTGATGAGTGACTCAGTTCCATGCACAATTAGATCCCCAACTCCTACCTAAAAAGAAGAGAGACCACTGTTACCCAAAATGCGACCGGTGAAGGTGATTAACGAAGCATAAAGTCATAATCCTATGGCAGAGCTAGGCGAACACAAAGCAACCTATGAAGCAATTAAAACTCCATGGGATCCGCCTTGACGGCCGGGCCACTGTCGTCGCGTTCACGTTTGCCAGCACGCTCTTCTTTCAAGAGACTTGCAATGAAGGAGCGGAAGTATTCGATGTAAGGCTTTAGGCTGGTCTTCTCGTACTCTTGCAATTTGCGACCACCCTTCATGTCCGAGCCATTGATGGCACTGCCTTCGACATCAGGGACATCGGCCTCCGCTGTACCAGCAGGATGTTTCGCATCGTATTCATCGATCTCTGCGAGCAGGGTATGCACGGTCGGGACTGAGAGAGGATCAAAGTTCTCTGTATTTTTTGGGTCGATGGGAACACAAATGCGGCCAGTTCCGGGGTGGATAACAAATGGACTCTTCAGCAAGTGATTCATCTTTTTGCTGACTTCGGCATCAATGCGTGGGTAGGTATATTCCAACACAATATCCTGCTTCGCGTCTCGAAGAGTGGCCGGGTTGAGCGTACTGCTCTTACCAGTCTTCGCGAGTAAATCGATGTCGGCCCATTTGCTGGTGCTGGGACGCTCTGGGGCGGCGTTCCATTTCTTTTTTAGGGATTCATTTAATGTTTTGTCAGGCAGTAGAGACAAAAGGCGTTCGGCCTGCTCATCAGATTCAAATGTGTCCTGATCAATAAGCGTGGTCCGGGCAAAGTCGTGCTTGAGCAACTCAAGGCTGCGTACGATATGAGGGTGTAGTGGCCGCTTGAGGTTGACTTTCTTGCCGCTCTGTGACCCTCCACGAATGACCTCGAAATAACCGGCGATGGCTCGTCGTCGATCATCCGGCAAATTGCGCGCGCGGGGATCGCATACCCAAGCGTGAATACCACGACGACCGGAGTATACCCAGAGGATGTGCTCGAACCCGAAGTCCTCCCGTAGCGCGGTGTCGATGACTTTGATTGCCATTGTCGCGAAGGACCAACACTTGGCGCAAATATTGGCCTTGGTGCAACACGTACGGATGTCATCGTAATCAGTCAAATCGATATCGAATGCTAATTCCTTCGAGACTGGCTTCATTTGTCCTCCTCGTAGCGTTTTGCGATCGCGTGGGTTGGTGCTGTATACAGGTCCGATTTCGAATCGAGAAGGGTTCATCCTAAGTATGTCTTTTCGGAACCTATACGGATGCGTTAGCTTTGAAGTAAAGCCGATACTGCATGTTCCAATGGATCCTTACATGTCTGCAGTGGGGTATGATTGGTATCGGAGGTAGGCATCGTTTTGCAAGGTGAGCGCAAATTCTCGGTTGCCAAAGTCTTTGGTTGGCACAATTCCATGATTGAGCCATTGGAAAAGGTATCGGAAGGGGAACAGTCGCTGGTAGAAGGCGAGCATGACATCTGGGTCCACGCCCGAGGGTGTAGGGGCTGGAGGCCTAGAATTGGGTCAGCAGCATGTACCGGGATTTCACTATACGAGCGGACAACACACTCTTCTTCTTTCGCAGCAGGAGAATCCATCTTCACATCTTGGGTATCCGGGAACTCGTCGTCGTCGTCGTCGTTAAACATATCCTCGAGTTTGACATTGTTCTCAGTTGCGGTCTCGACCGCAGGAGCATCTGGCATCTCATCATCATTCTGCGCAGAGCCAGGCGAGGTGGAGTGAGGCATTGTAGGTGAGTTTGGAGTTGCAAAGAGCTGATGCGCTTGCCTCGGGGGTCTAATTGAGCCCAAACGGGAAGGCGCGACGCGTGACGCGTGAGGGACCGTGCACGCGCTTACCCTATGCCCTATGTCACGTGCCTTCCCAGAGTGGACGCGCTGTACTATGAACGAAAACGGCCGGTTGACTCGAGATTGATCCTCATTTCCGCATGGAAAATTTCATCGCCGGATGCTTGAGGTACACTCGTCTTCTCTTGCCCAAATGCCGCATGCAGCCAATATGTCTATCATCTCTTCTTGTAGTACCTCTCGGTCGCAAGAGAACCTTGGGTGACATCCAGGTTTCCCCGTTGTCCCGCAGGTACACGAGGTGATCATCAATGGTACAACACAGATCCTACATCTTCAGATTGGCTGGAAACTTCTCCCCAAACCAGACACTTACGAGGGCTCCATTATTTCCTCGCGGCATAAGCCCCATCTTTGCTCGATGCGCGCTTGCCCTAATCCGGGTGTCACGGCGAGATCTCCCCGTCATTGATCGCAGCTTATGATTTTAGATGGGTGCATCGAGTCAATCTATTCTAGGTAAGATCAATTGCGAAGTTTCCGGGGTCATCTTGCTCTGAAAATGGATCGAGCTTACCTGTACATTCTATGGAGATAGCTCCGGCAATGGAACGCTCTTACAGGCCGGATGTCATAGCTCACATTCCAGACGGCCAAGCGAGCCCCCCCTATGCTCGCTCTTTGGGCTTTCTAGCTGCTTCTGATCAAAAGATTTGCTATGTGCTCGGGCTTTTCATCGAGTTGCCCTCCAATTAAAGTAGCCTACTCCACCAATTGTGGTCCCATCGAACCCGATCGCCCAGTTCTAGTCCCTGTCCGGCGCTGGTTGTTCGGCTGTCATCACTACTGCATTACTGACGATCCACGTTCATAGTGGTCCTTTCTGGGGCATTGATTCCAAGTATAGCTATCCTGAATGAGAATTGAGGGATTTATGGAGAAATTCGGCCATGTCCAATCACATCAGCACTTGAAGTGTGTCTGCGGAGCTGTGCTTCCCACATCAGTGACAGGCACTGAGCATCGTCAAGCTCTTAGACTTCCGCATTCGGCTACTCATGTGGAGACTTTCTACACCTTTGACTCGCAATGATACTGCACATTGTCACGTTTGCATCTAAGTTCGCCAGGAGGATGTACCATTGCGCAGAGTTTTCGTCGAATGGCCATGCATCTGTGCCTTTGTCATCCATCGTTCAAGTCCCACGATGCCTGCATTCAGTCTAGCAGGGTCACATTTTGGATCAGGTCTACCTTTGCTGTCCTGGACATTACCGTGGCACACATCCGTCATGACTTGGAACCAGTCATTTCGAAAAGGGCATATAAACTCGTTCATTCCTGCCCGTCCTTCAAACTTTTCATCCTCACTCGCATCTTCACTCGTTATCTTTCCAATTCCCTAATCAGCCCTTACGATCTTTCGAAATGATCAACTCCGTCGCTCTTCTGGCCCTTGTCGCTAGCCCGGCGTTCGCCGGTGTTATGCAGGCTCGTGGTGAGGAACACGTCCGTCCCGCCGCTCAGAGCGGTGCTGTCGAGAACTGGGGTGAGACCTGGTCCAAGCCGGCCGAGCACGTCTCGACTGAGGAGCCCTGGACCCGTCCCACCGACTCCTGGACCACCCCCAGTGCGTCGTGGACCACCCCGTGCACTACCACGACCACCCCGGTCCCGGATCACACCACCACTCATGAGCACCACACCACCAGCCATGAGCACCACACCACCACCACCCCGGTGCACACTACCAGCACCAAGCCCCATCACACCACCAGCAAGCCTCACACTCCCGTGAACCCTGGTACCACCAAGACCATCACCATCGTGACCACCACCTGCCCTGGTAAGCTCCACTTCAGCATGAGACCACTTGAATCACAGTCTAACAAATCTTCCAGTCACCAAGCACACCGTCACCTCTGGTACTAGCACCTTCACTGTCCCAGAGACCCAGACTAGCACCATCACCCTGACCAAGACCACTGTCTGCACCTTCTGCGACAATGAGCAGCCCATGACCTTCCACAACGCTACCGTGGCCCCCACTGCTGGCCCTACCGCTGGCCCCACCGCCCCTGTGAACCCCACCGGTGTCATCCCCCAGTCTTCCGTCCCCGTTGTCCCCGTTGTGCCGGCTTCTTCTGTCCCCGCTGTCCCCGCCACTGAGCCTGCTGTTATCCCCGCTCAGACCCAGCCCGCTGTTCCCGCTCAGTCCCAGCCTGCTGTCCCCGCCCAGTCTCAGCCCGCTGTCCCTGCTCAGTCCCAGCCCGCTGTCCCTGCTCAGTCCCAGCCCGCTGTTCCCGCTCAATCCCAGCCCGCTGTTCCCGCTGAGTCCCAGCCCGCTGCCCAGCCTTCTTCCCCGGCTACCCCTGAGCAGCCTTCTACTCCTGAGCAGCCTTCTACTCCTGAGCAGCCCGCTACTCCTGAGCAGCCCTCTACTCCTGAGCAGCCCGGCTCCTCCTCCACCCCCAACGCATTCGTCGGCGCTGCTTCCAACATGAAGCCCGCCGCTGGCTTCCTTGCCGGTGTTGTTGGCCTCATGGTTCTCCTGTAAAGGAGTGGAGTATGCTGATGAGTCCGTTCTTCATCTGCGAGTCCGAGATAGGGCAGTTGTTCGGGTTTGAACACTGCCCGAAGACGGACAGCGGATAGATCGTGACTTATGGTGCCTCAGATCAAAAATTTGTTTAATCGTTTGGCCTTTGCTCCGCTTGGTTTCTCTTCTTCTGTTCTTGACAGGGCCGGAGGATTTGAATATCAGCGGCTGCTTGGTCACTTCGAGATTCTTGTCTTTTATCTTTGTTGGATCTTCTTATATAAATTAATAGTAATAGAGTCAGTTTTCTCTTTAATCTTCTCCTTTATCCCCCAAAGTAACATAGAAACTTCCATTGTTTTTGAACATCTCGATTGTTTCCTTGACCAATAATCTATAACTCCCATTGATCTCAGACCCTTATTCATTGACAAGCACATATCTGTACCTCGCCTTGCCATCCTCCATATCCAGAATCGCCTGATTGGCATCCTTCATAGGAATCTCCTCAATCCAAGGATGAATCCCCTTCTCAGCAACGAGGTCAAACATCTCGCGAATCTCACTCGGACTCCCAACAAGCGAGCTCTCAAGCTTCAACCTGCGCATCAAACTGCGAACAGGAGCAAACAAGCCCCCATCCTCAGGAAGACCAACCTGCACAAACGAACCACCAGTCTTCAAAAGCCCCAAATAGTCATTGAAAGGCATCTAAACACAACATATTAGCATAATCCCAAATCCCCAACCCAAACAAAACCAAATGGAACATACCTTAGTAGACGAAACGGTCGAAACAATCAAATCCAAAGACCTCGCATGAGTAGTCTCCCACCCCTTCTCCTCATCAGTAGCAATATAAAGATCCGCCCCCATCTTCAAGGAATCCTCCTTCTTCTCCAACTTCCTCGAAATCCCCACAACCCAATCCGCCCCCATAGCCTTAGCAAACAACAAACCAAAGTGCCCCAGCCCCCCAACACCAATAATACCAACCCTCTTGCCAGGTCCACACCCATTATGCTTCAACGGACTGTACAGCGTCGCACCACCACAAAGCATGGGCGCCGCCTCAGCCGACGGAATCGCATCCGGGATCTTGATAGCAAAGTGTGCTGGAACACGCTTGTACCGCGCGTACCCGCCGAATGCGCGACCACCGTTGTAGTGCACGCTGTTGTAGGTGCCGATGACTCGCTTGCTGCAGTAGTTTTCTTGGCCAGAGGCGCATTCTTCACAGTCGCCTTCGCGGCCGAGGCAGGATTCGCTTTGGGCGCCGACGCCGACGCGGTCGCCGAGTTTGATGTCGGTTACCTGGCTGCCGACGCGGACGGCTGTGCCGACGATTTCGTGGCCGACGCAGCAGGGGTAGGTTGTTGGGCGCTGTGGATTATTTTAGTTCATGGTCCACTTCTGTGATGGCTTTTTTTATATATATACATGGAAGGGGAGGGGGGAAGGGAGCTTGGACTTACCCAACCGCTACGGAGAGTGTGCAGATCAGAACCGCAGATACCGCAGTGAGAGATCTTGATGTCGATGTCTGTTTCTTCCCAGGCTTTGGGCTCGAATTCCTGCCAGACCATCTTGCCTTCGCCGGAGGAGGAGTCGAGGCCCATCCAGCCTTCGAATTTGTAGTCTGTGTAGTCTGTTCGTGTCATGGTTGCGACTGGTGTTATGGGATTGAGGGATTGGCTTGGGGTTGGAATATTTAGTTACGGGGAATGCCAAGTTTATATCTACTCAGGGTGGGCCAGGGACAGGTCCCATTTAGGCTTGGTACTAGAAAGTTCGGTTTTGTTGGTAAGCAAAAAGGCGCTTTTTCTCCGAAGGATCCATTGAGGTGTGGAGTTGGGAGAGTACGGAGTATGTCCACTCGGCTTGGCCGTTGGAGGCGTCGATCGGGGTGTGATGCTGAATTTGGGCATCTGTTTCCGAGGTTGCTGGGATTATTGAGACGCTACATACTACTTTGTATATCTGATAGGGCGGATTCTACTGTCTTGACGTATTTGGAAAATGGTGGTGATTCGAGTGTTGACAGACTGTTAGTTGGTCTATTTAGAGCTATTTTTTTCTTATCTTTTCACTTTTATGTGGGGCGGTACCTGTGGCTTGCATTTGCCGAGAGAAAGCGGAACTCTAATTGTATCGCCTCGTCGGGTACTCGGCTCGGGATACCAGCAAGGCTGGGACCTCGGGATACTGAATATCAAACATGTACGGAACACTGCGTATCTAACAGTTGGAAGATAAGACTACAATAAAATCAAGATTCGGGCAAAATATACAAGCCTTTTGGGGTCCGTTTAGGTAGAGATGCAGGACAAATTAAACACATAAAAGAAAACACCAATCTATCTTATTCGGGTCAAATCCTCGCTTGCGAAACACCACAACACAACTCTAGCCGGAAGACTACCGGCTAGACACGATTGCTATACCATCAATAGCTCTAGAAGAGAGACATGATGTCGTCGTTAGATTTCTTGCTCTGGTTGTTCTGGGAAGATCCCGCATTGCCAGAGAGATCAAGACCAGAGAATCCGTTCATGAGGTCGGCACTCCCACTGCCGCTCGATGGCTGGGCCGCACCGGAGTCTCCAAACACGCCCAATAAGTCGTCAAGGTTGTTGCTGGCTTGCGGAGGAGCACCTGCTGCAGGAGATGCTACACGCATGGGAGTGCCAGCCAGACCCTCCAGGCCGGACATACCGCCAGATGGCTCGGTTTGTGCCGAGGCAGGGGCACCGCCGTCGAAATCGATGTCCAGCAGGTTCTCGACGTTGCTTTGCGGCTGCCCAGAGGGGGGAGCACCACCGGCAGCAGCGGCAGCCGCGGCGGCCAAGGGGTTCTCGCGCGCGTTCTGGATTTGTTCCCTATAAAGCGGTTAATGATATGTCGTAGATGTAAGAATACGAATACGTACTCGATAGCAGCGCGCATGACAGCGTCGGCACCGAACCGACCATGGCCGACGAATTGCTCGGGGGGCTTGTGATAGACGGAAGAGAGAGTTGACAGTTCGGAAAGGAGTTGGTCGAGGAGCGCCGGTGGGAGTGAGTGAATGGTGGTGAGGATAGGGGGTTTTTTCCGAGAGCACGATGTTCTTCGTCGCATTTGAATCACTGGTGTTGGACAAAAGACGCCAGTAGATGTATGCTCGGTCACGGACATCGGGGTTATCATTTTCGGCTGTGGCAGCCTGAAGTACTCGCTGCACCAGACCCTGTGCTTTCTCAGGCCGCTTAAGGAAGAGCTTGACCACAGCTGTCAAAATTTGCAATTGAGTCTACGGATAGAGGTCAGCAATCATAGGAACACAAGTATGGCGAGGAAAACGAACCGAAGAGAACTCTTCGTTGAAGCCGTCAACGAAACCACCGAGAATATCACCAGCATTGCTGATCTTCTCGGCATACTCTCCAACAATCCAAATGAGGGCAGCTCTGGCATTGGGCTCGTCCAATTCATCGATGCACTGGCATAGAGTGGGGATGATACCCTCGTAGCCAGGGTATTTGCGGAAGATGTCCTTGATGACGACGATGGCTTCCTGAACGACATAGTTCACCTTGGTGTTGATGAGATCCAACAAGGTGTTTACGCACCGCTCACTGGCGCTCTCGATCTTGATGGCAACCTGACCGATCGCCTTGACCGCTCGGCGTACAAAGTCCATATCGACTTCGAGGGCATACTCCTTCAATTCAGCAAGTAGTTGATCCACATTGCGGTCGTTTGCTATGCGGACCATAATTTCAAGTTTTTGGAACTTGACATATTGCGGGTCATTGTATTTGCAGAAGAACACCCGGAGTTCCTTATTCAGAATATCAGGCTGCTTCTGCAGCAGAAGATCGATGTTCCTCAATGCAACGTATTGCACTTCGGGAGCTGACGAGACCAATGTCACTGGTTTAAAGTTAGCAAGAACACTACAACCGGAGTAGCAAGGGGAGAGAGCATACCCAATGGCGGAGCCATCTTCTTTAGGTAGGTCTTGGCCAATTCAGGATTGACATTCTTCATATGTAAGAACACGGCCTTGACAGCCGCAAGCACCACACCGGAGTTCACATGCTGGAACTGAGGCGCAACCCGTTCGCAAATGTGCTCTGACTCCTTGACATCGGAGGTTTTGTATTCGGCCAAAGTGGTAAGGATAGTGACCCGACCCCATTCCGTGCACTCGTTCAAAGCCATCAACATCTTCCGTAGAGTGTTGCTATTAATCTGCAGCGCTTGTGTCTCAGGTGCCGTATGTTGAATCTCCTGGAGCGCCGTCACGGAATTGGCAACGACCATCGGGTTGGGATCCCCAATCATCTCCTGGAGCATCTCCAAGAATCCGTTCTCGAGGGCCATGGCCGGGTTCAGGTCGAACAATTTGGCCACGCAGATAGCAGCGGTCTTCCGGACATATGGGGACTCGTCACGAAGGGTCTTGCGCAGCGGTTCCTCCATATAGTCGACCATCTTATCCACACGAATGCAGCCCATTGTCCGAATTGCCAGCGCGCGAATGAGCGGGTTGGGGTCTTCCGAGTCTTGCACGAAAGTGTTCACGGCGAGGATGCAGAGGTCAGGGTGCGATTTGGCGTAATTCCTGAGAGCGACATCCGACTGATCAGCGTACGTCGCCACGTGGTGTACCTGTAAAGCGGCACTCACATGAGATAGAGATAGACCAATTTCTTCTGCTCAAGATCGGCCGTTGCAATGTTCTTGAGGACATCCGGGAACAGGGCTGAAACATCCTTTCCTAGGGTCATGGCCATGATCGTCTTCTGAATGGATTCCTTCCTATCAAGCTGTTAGCCACACCACGTCTTCGCCTCACACCGTCTGCTCGGACTGAAGGCTTTGCCGCGGAACATACCGTTCATAAGCATATTGGGAACTGTGGCAATAGTCAGCATCGTCTGTCATACGCTACGGCAAGGTGGTCAGCGCATGGTGGAGGGGGTCGCATACACAAGTCCAGCTCGCAATTCGAACGTTTCTCCTTTCCGGGGCACCGTGAAGGCGCCGCGAATCTTGTTCATCGCCATGGCGAGTATGTATAAGCTTCAGCAACGACCGAGTCGTGCCTCCGCCTAGAGATATCGGGGATGGAGGTGGGCAAGTAGCGTCGGGCGACTGCGGGGAATTAGGAGCTTCACGGTCGCGCGACGTCCAGGTATTGGAATCCGTAGTCGATCTTTCTTAATTTGAGCACAAACGAGAAAAACTCGAACAATCCGGAGTGGGGGGATTTGTTCAGGGAAAGAATGGGGGAGAAGGAGAGAAAGGGTGTTTTAAGGACGATCAAAAGTTGTCCACAAGCGGCTTCTGGACTCTCCCGCTCTGCGATCATCACTCACTCTCCCCTTTATTTTCCCTTCCTAACCCCAGACTACCACTTGCATTAATCAATGGTGAGTTTATTTCTATTACTGCCAATATATGCCAAGACTAACCCTATTTACAGGCCAATCTTCCTAACTTGCGACGTCTCTTCGTCGAGGCTCGAACGGAGGCAGAGGAGAACGAGTACTCACGGAAGGCTGTACGTCACCTTCATCAACACACCATGATGCATGCTGACAAGAGTAGTTCTACAATCTAGTGCTCTTCATCTCTTCTGTTGCTATCTTCAGTCTAACTGCTCAACGTATGAGTGGATCCAAAGCCGGGCGATGAGAGAGGAACTGCTCTTGAGTATTCATCTCAATGGGCTGTCTCGATGCTATGAATTATGGATACAAAGTGAAACGACAGTCTAACCCACTTTCTGTTGACATAAGAATTGGACAATTTAGTCCATTCGACATGTCTTATGGTATCTATCAATCGGTCTCTTCCCCATCGCTATCTAAGAACGCAAGCGCTTGTCGTCCTCGAGCCAACCTACGCCGAGGCTTCCCGCCATCGCTGTCATCGTTCTTCTCATCATCCTTCGCACCCCATTTCTTTGCACCTTCCTGAATCATCTCGAGATCTGCCTTTAGCTCCCGTGCTTCACGGATTTGGTTGGCCTTCTCTTGAGATGGCCGGCCGGTCATTCCAGCCTCCTCCAGCATGTTCTTGAGATGCTTGATCTTGGCTTTCGGGCTGTCGTAAGGAGCCAGCTCCTTACCCCATAACTTGCGGATGCCGCACTTAATCAACCACCCTTGCAGCCGTTTGATCTCAGCCTGATCGGGTGTGATGACCTCGTCCTTCTTGGCAACCTTCTGCGTCTTGGTGGCTGCTCCCCCTGCGGTCTTCTGACGTTTGCGAGGAGCCTTGGGCTTGGGTTCTTCGTCAAGCACTTCCGACATCTCGCTTTCGGACTCCTCCTTGGTATCTCTGGTCGGTTTGGCGGCTTCTAAATCATCATCGGAAACATCAGAAGCATCTGACACATGTTCTTTGGTTTGCTTGATGGGCGCATTCTTTACTGACGCTTTCGATCGTTTGTGAACCTTTGCCAGCTCGTCACTCTCGTCTCCGGAGAGAGCATCAGAATCCTCCGGCTCGTCTTTCTTGGTTTTCTTAGCCAAGCCCTTCTTGACTGTTGGTTCTTGTGGTTTTGTAGGCGTTGCGATCCTGTCCCTTTCGTTCCCGAATGCCACTGATAACTCATCATGTTCATCTGCTACCGGCGTTTCAGTCCTTTGACGCTTCCTGGGCTTTGGCGCGCTTTCAGCCTTGGCTCGCTTCACAGGAGTGGCTTTCTTGGGCTTTTGGGGAGAAGCAGATAATCGCTTGGCCGGTGAGGATTGTGGATTCAACACTGCCTGGTCTTGTATTGCCTAACCCAACATATCAATCAGTTTCGTGCCCTCTCTAGCCATGATATACACGTAAACTTACCACCTCATCCTTGATGATTTGTTCACTGCGCGTCTTCCAGTCACCTGTAGATTTGAAATACCCCGCTGTGAGACCCAGTGATGCTTCCGCCGCAAGTCGCACGCGCTTCACGGTCAATTCATCCATATTCCCCGATTTGAAGATCCCAGCTACAGTATCGCGAAGACTTTTCTCCAGTACCTCATCAGAGGGGGTAGCAGGCACGTGGCCTTCTGCTTCAGACTCAGAATCCGACATTGCATACTTCGGCGGCATGTTGATGTCACTTGATGGCGATTGAAGATGGGATCATGGGATGGTGGTTGTAGAGTTCAATGCGCGTCTAGGGACTAGTTTCCTGGACCCCGAATGGTATGAGTAAGGGACTGAAAGAGAAGGCAAAATACAAAGAAAAAGAGCTTGTCGCAATTTGCAAAGAGAAGCGCGTTTGATTTGGGGAAGAACGCGACGAAATGGCTGACAAAGCGCGATCCAGGAAATTGATCTGCACTGTGACATTTCACCTGGAAATCATTTCATGACTTGTCTTGCTTTAAAGCTCAGCCCTAAGTTTCTTGACGCGCTCAGAGCTCATTCAGTCTAACCGTCGATCCTACCTCTTTTCTCCTTGTCTTTCTTGTCTTACTTGTCCCTCTTGCGCCAAATACACATCACCATCGTCCCATTTCCGCCTCCGCTGTTCTCCGCATTCTATTAGAAATCAGCTCCGAATCACCTCCACGACTCTCAACCCTCAATTCCCCAAACCAACCCAATATCCACAAGCGAAGCCATGCCCGGGATTCCAACGGAGTCAACTGACTCCCAATTCAAAAGCATGGGCTCCATGTTCAACCAACCGAACCCGACAAGTTCCAAGCCAGCCGGAGACGACGACTCGAAAGCCCCGCTACCCAAGGGCGTCGTCCTAGATAAAGATGGAAAGCCGTACGTACCAAACAACCCGTCTATATCCTTCAATCCGCAAAATCAAAACTAACACACCAACCCAGCTGTCGCACCTGCACCTCCGTAGCATCATGGCGAGCATTAACCAAGCAAGCCGACCTCAACAAGAACACAACCTCTTCCTCCTCCTCCTCGACCGCAAACAAAATGACAACCTCAACCCCCGCCCTCGCCGCCGCTGCAACCCCCTCACCAAGCGAACTCCCCTCCGACTGCCCGCCAGACGTCGAACAACTTGGCCGCTCAACATGGACACTACTGCACTCAATGGCAGCCACGTATCCGGAAAAAGCAAACGCAGAGCACCAGGACAATATGCGCGGGTTCCTGAAGTTCTTTTCGAAGCTTTACCCGTGCTGGGTGTGTGCGGATGACTTCCAGACGTGGATGGCGCATCCGAGTGGACAGAACCAGCCGCGGCTGGGGAGTCGGAAGGAGTTTGGGTGGTGGATGTGTGAGGCGCATAATGAGGTGAATCGGAAGCTTGGCAAGAAGGAATTTGATTGTCGGCTTTGGGAGGAGAGGTGGCGGACTGGGTGGAAGGATGGTCGGTGTGATTGAGTTATAAGCTAATGGATGTTTCTGGTGATGATTGATGTTTCTACTCTCTACTCTTCGGCTTGGATATCTCCTATTGTATATTAGAGTTGCATATTCTGGTGAATCAACTATAGAATTGTACTTTGGACACAATTGTCTATGCGGGTGTCTCTTCAAGACCGAAAGCTCTAAGTAAAGTCGGGACACGACCCTCTAGTGATACGGAGACGTTGGACAGAACATGTTCGCATACAAACTAGATCGCTAAGCAATTATAATCTTGGATACAAAAAGACATCTAGACAGGGGAGCTGTGTGCAGGAAGTTTTGTCTTTCTCCCAGCCGAAAACCAAATGAAAAGCGCCGCCAAACACAACTTCTTCTGCAGATGAAAATGTACCCGTTTTGTAACTTCAAATCAAGAAGAGGAAAAAGGGAGAAAACCGTGACGCTCCATGCTGCAACTAAAATTGACTGGGGACGAACAGGCGCAGGCCACTGGCCGGCGCACCAATCTCCGTGACCTCCGCTATCCGGTCGACACTGCCCTTGTACTGGGGGTGGTACTTGGCGCCAGTGAAGGGATCCGACACGCTAGGGGAACCGCTGTAGATGGGGGTCCAGGAGGCAGCGCAGATGTCAAACTCGGCGAAGGGATCGAAGTCAATGTCGATCTGATCTTGAGGGTTGCGTTCGCATTGGGCTTTGATCTTCTTGGCCTGGCTCAAATTGTTAGTATCACAAAGTTGTATATCCCGCGGAAGGAATCTTACCTGTTCCAAAAGCTTGGCGGAGCCTCCATTGGCCAGCATGCGGTTAGCGAAGCTCAAAGCAGAGCCGTAGTTCTTATTGGCGAAGGCGAACTTCATAGCAGCCATCAATGCCAGTTGTCGGTGAGCGACCTCGAGCTTAGGAATGGTGAAATAGGCAGAGAGCTCGAGGCTGCGCTTGAGGTTCTCGGGGGTGTCGGCAGGGAGAGTCCGGCGCTCGAGCTCGATGGACATGGCCAGGATGTATTCACGAGCGGTGGCAATAATCTTCTTTGCCTCTTCCACCTCGGCCTCAGATGAGACGGTGTTAACAAGGAGGGTGTGGAGAATGCGCTTGAAGATTGCTACGCCATCCTCCAGTCTGTTGGAACGCATGGCGGCATATCCTTCTTGGAGATCGACACTAGCAACGGTCTCTAGATCCCTAGGGATGATGGGAAGCATCTTGCGAGAGTCGGTTTCATCGACAGTTCGACGCACGTAGTTAACCAAAGGCGGCAAGCCAGCAGTCGCGGGGAGATAGGTCTTCGACGCCTTGTACACTTCGAGGAAGCGAGGCTTGAGAGGTGCGAACTGAACAGCACCAACCTGGCGGTTCAAAAGCTGCATCGCAGTATCGAAAGAGCCTGCCGCAACGTGATCCGCAGCGAGCGGAGAGTTGCGAGCCCACAAGTCAGCCTCAGAACTACCCGCGCCAGCCTCGGCGCTTTCCACGTTGACAAAGTCCACATCTTCCTCGACCTCGACATCATCGCCCATGTCCCACCCCGTAACCTCCTCCTCGTCGTCCAGGGTTTCCCGTGCAAGAGTAGCCTCTTGCACATCTTCCTCAGCGTCCAATAGATCGGCACCAGCCTCTTCATCCGCAGCACCGACCTCTCCAAGTAGAGCCTTCTCAAAGGAGGAGTGACCAGCAGCCTTGACAGGCCAGTTGGACTTGAAGGTAGGCACGATAGGGTGGGGCACCTTCAGAGGTTGCTGGAGTGTAGGCAAGGTGATTTGGTCCTCTGTCAGACCAACGGCCTCCAGAATAGACTCGGCCTCCTCGGTCATGCCATGTGACTTGGCCGTGAGATATGCAAGAGGGTCTATCAACGGTCAGTAAGAGGGAAACGATTTTCAGGGCAATTGACACATACACAAATCGACTTCCTTGAACATCTGGATCCGGTCCTCGACATCTCCGCGGTAGATGGCGTTCTGGAAGCGAGACGTGAAGTCGCCACGGTGTTCGGCAATCTTAGCCATACGAGAAAGCTTCTCCTGGTCGCCGGTAGAGAGATAGAGGAAAGACAGCTTGTCGAAGTTACGCTGTTTCTGGTAGGTCATTTCGACGGTCTGGTGGTTACCATGGGCCAATGCCTCGGTTCCGAGCCTGCTCCAGGTCTTGGGACGGTCGAGTTCGCGTGCCATTTCATTAGCAACCTCGAGATTGCCACATTCAAGGGCAAGGTCAAAGCGGGTCTGCGGGTCTTGCACGAACTGCAGAGCAATCTCGGGGTAACCCTTCTTCTGCAGATAAGAAATAATGCTCTGGCCAACCAGACTCGAGGTCTTGATAATCTGGAGCATTTCATCGTAATTGCGCTTCACAAGGGCGAGTTTGAAACGGTACTCAGTCGGGTCAATCTCCAAAATTCGGGGTTGGGCGTTGCGGTCGAGGGCATAGACGCTGCGTCCCTTGACACGCACGAGATACACGGTCTGGTCAAGGGTGCGGATAATACCGTTGTCGCCATTGAGAAGCGAGTACTTGACGTGGTTAAGGGTCGAGTAAAGCAGCACACCGGCATCATCCCAGGTAGCACTCTTGATACGAATAGTCTCGTGCAATGTGCTTACTTGATCAAGGGCCTTGGTGACAATAGTGACGTTGTGCTTGCTGAGCAAAGCACAGTACAGGCCATCGTTAGACCAGACCACATACTTCACTCCGCTGACCGCAAGCTCGGCAAGCTGTTTCTTTTGTTGGATATCGAACAGAGAAACATGTGTGGGAGTGATGAAGAGCAGGCATCCAGTACCGCCAAAGTAGATATCGGTCGTACCGGCTGGGGGCTTGATTGTCTTTGTCGTGGAGTTGCTCAAATCCTTGATATCGACCTGCTTGCTCGCGGGGTTGAACACAGCGAAGCGGTTACGGGCCACGAAAACTGCGGAAGTGGCCTGTCCACGCTTGACGTCTGTGGGCTCAACCGCACCAGTGGCATCTCTAGGCAGGTGAATCAATTCATAAGTTCCGTTGTCGGCGGGCGTGGTAACCAGAATAGCACGTTCGGCGGGGTTGTAAGACAGGGTACGGGGAGGAACCCATGGAGAACCCAGCTTGCGCAGCGAAAGCATCGGCGGCGACTCAACGTTCTTCGCAAAGTCATATGACTTGACATGCTTCTCCTTGGTGATGTAGAACAACTGGTTTTGGTATATAGCAGAGGCAGGGCGCTCTCGCTCGAGCTTGAAGACCATGACACCGGTGTCATGACCGGCGGCAAACAGGTTGATCTCCGGGTGGGCAGCGATAACCCAGAATCTATCGACATCGCGCTTAAAGGACTGAACCGATGTACGCTTGTTGAGATCCCATGCGCGGATGGTCTTATCCTCACCGACGGAAAGGATGAGGTCCTGGTGTGGGTGGAACAAAGCGGCGGAGGCATTCTGGAAATGACCGCGGCAAGTATCGACTTCCCATGCCTTGGTATCACTCATCCGCCAGAGCTTAACCAATCGGTCGTCACCAGCCGACACAAGCAAGGGCAGCGTAGGGTGGAACGACACCCAGTTAACGCCCCGGTCATGACCTTCTAGAACAAACTTAACGACTGCGTCGGTGTTTCCAAACATATCGGCTTGGTTTTGGTTGGCTCGTGCCATTTGGTCTTCGAAGGAAATCGAGGTCGGTGCCGAGTGCTTCTTCCGCAGACCGGAGATGTCCCAAATACGAACCGACTGATCCAATGAAGCTGAGGCGATGAGGTCTTCGGTGGGATGGAACTGGGCGCACATAACATAATGATTGTGACCGGTCATCGTACAGACTAGAAGCGAGCCAAGTGTTAGTCATTGTTGATACACGGGGGCAGCAATGCCTCTTACTGAGTGACCGGTTTTGCCAGTTCCAAATTCTGATGGTCTGGTCATCGGACGCAGACAGGATCCAAGGCAGCTCGGGGTGGAAGAAAACCGTTCGCACATAGTCCAAGTGGCCATTTAATGTGAACAGACACCTCCGAGTCTGGTAGTTCCAGACCTTAATCTTGTAATCATCGCCTCCCGACACAAACAGGGGCTGGGTCGGGTGGAAATCCACACCGCGAACCGGTCCATCGTGCTCTTCGAATCGGTCAATTAGCGTTCCCATGCGGTAGTCCCACAGTTGGATGGTTGAGGAGTGAAGGGATACGAGAATCCATGGCCTGTTCGGGGTCAGTTTGGGTGCCTAGAGGTATTAGGTGTCCCTCCGCGGGATTGACTGACCGTTTGGGATGGAATGCGATTCCTTTGGCTCTGGAGGATTTGGACTCAAACTGCAGAAGAGATATCATCATTAGCATCTGCAATTGAATAGTATGCTAAGGGTGGCGCATAAGATGCCATCGCGAGGGGCGTACCTTGGTGAGCATGTTTGGGGAGGACTGCATCTTGAAGATTTGGCCGGAGCCGCACTGTAAAGTAGCAAGCTCCGCACACTAGAGAGCAATAAAAGGCAGAGGCGACCACGGCATCCACCAGAATAGAAAAAAAGAAGCAGAGGTATAAACACTTGGTGCTTGTGATGGTTGTAGCAGTAAACTAAACGTGGACTCTATTGTGGAAGCGAATGACATCGGCCAATCATGCTGCCGGGCGGTGAGCGGTCAGGGGAGAGCTACGATCGGATTGTTCTTACGAGGTCTAGTCCTAAGGGAAATCAATATTCTGCTTGAATTGACATAAGAGTCAATATTGACCAGACTGTTTTCTTCCTATCGATGGATATTGGATATGAAGCTCGACTTCGTTATGTGGAGCTATTCACTGCTCCCTAACTACACCCCGCGTTAGAAGCATCTGGAAGCCCATGATGTTATGGCCGACCGACCACGGTTTTCTCATGGCTTCCATTGGTCCAATGCCCTTTTATTGAACTTCTTTGTATCTATTCATACTTAACTTGTCAATATTGTTACATTTTAGGGTTTACCCTCACACAAATATCGGTCCTCACTTCGTTATGTACCTCGCGAGTCTACCGTCTGCATCAGAGTGTTAGACCCCCGATTTTGGTCCAATGCCAAACACATAGCACAATGGAAGACCTCCAAATGGGTGGAACCAGTCCAACTTGCTCGAGTGACTCATATATGCCTTCTTATTGTTATTCAGGAGTGAACTCGTTCGGCACAACAACAGACCTGCAGACAGAGGAAAGCGAGCAGAGCATGGATGACTCCGGGCCCTCGACGCCAGTCCACTATTCCGAGTCTTTCAGGGACGACGATTGCATCCGAGTTATTAGACCCTATGCCATTGAGGAACCCGACGATGAGCCTGATTATACCATTCCGAGGTTATATACACCATGTCTCCCAGATCGGTTTGAACAATGGCAGCGCGATTTGGCGGACTACATGGACGACCTGGATTGTCAACCCGATGGACTCTATCCCTATTCCCGAAGGACCACACGAAAGGAAGGACGGAAAAGGAAAACGGCCCACATCACTGATGCCACACAGCCCTGCCACCCGCACATGAAACACAGACATACATCGGTCAAGATTCAGCCTCAGATGCGTGGCAATGGTACCAAGCGACAGAAGCTTAGCAAACAACCGCATGGAGTTTCACAGAGGATAGACTCGTTCATGGGTTACCGGGAAGCAGGTGCCCACGAAAGCTCAAGTCCCGAACTTCGATCGGCCAGTCTTAGTGGCAGCGATACTGTGCACAGCTCGTGCAGCTCTGAGGATATGGACATTGGATAAATTCTCACATTCTGATTGTCACAATATCTGCAAAATATCCCACGAATGTATGCAGTCTTGCCTGAGGTATCATTCAAGGAAGTATACTATCAGGAGGGTATACGATGACGTCATGTGTATCTCATGGTAGCTGTTCCTTCCAAAAGTGCGACTGCCTTACGCTCCTGACTTCCATCCATCAATTTGACTTTCACCATCATTCAAGGATACTCTTCCCGCCGAGAACCCATCGAACATCATGCCTGCACGAACATCATCACGCCAAGCCGCCCAAAAGGCCAAAGAAGCCATCTCAAGCTCCGCCGAGCCGACTGGCAAGACTGCCAAAGGAACAAAGCGCAAAGGCTCAACCGAGGGGGCTCCAGCACCCAAGAAGGAGAAGACAACGGACATGAAGCCAGAAGAAAAGAAGGAGGATGAGGCACCACCTACAGTGGCAGACGCACCTCAAGAGCCGAAAGCGGAGGAGGCACCCGCCAAAACAGAGAAGCCAGCTGAAGGGACACCACCGAAGGAACAGCCTCGTGAAGGCGCCCCCGAGAAGTCCAAAGAGATCGAGGCAGGTCTGCGCAAGTCTGAAGAGAGAGAGAATGTTGTATCTTCCAACATTCTCGAGAAGGGTTTTATCTACTTCTTCTTTCGCCCTCGCGTCAACATCGAAGACCCTCAGAGCATCGGCGAGGTCGCTCGAAGCTTTTTCGTTCTGCGCCCTACTCCCCTTGGAGCCGAGTTTGATGAAAACCAAGGCTCAGTTGATAAAGACGCCTCATGTCGCTTGATGATGCTTCCCAAGAAGAAGTTCCCGACTTCAGCCAAGGAACGAGATATGGGATTTGTGGAGAAAGCTGGAAAATCCATGAAAGAACTTCATGAGAACTTCATCGCTGGCACTACATACCAGACTTCCACCCGCGGTGAGCGCCACACGGAGGACGCCAAGCCTTACGCTGAAGGTGTCTACGCGATCACTTCCACCCCGCGGGCTTCACATCTCGCCTATATCCTGACTATTCCTGCCGAGCTGGGCGAGGTCCAGCAGGACTTCGGCCTGCAACAACGCGGGAGTTGGATCATTCAATCGAAAAACCCCAAGTTCCCTGGTCCGCCGATGGGACAACTGCCCAAAACCCCAGAGTACCCTGATTCGTAAGTCTATTCTGCTAGAGGAGTTCAAATAGTTCCCCCGGTTAACACGTTATGATTAGAGTCCTGGAAAAATTCGGAGATCTTCGTTGGGTACCTCTGCAGCCCGAGTTCATGAATTACCCCAATGCTCAATTTCTCATGATCGGCGAGGCGCAGAACGAACTTGGTAAAGCTGCATCCTCCGAGGGAGGCAAACAACCTCACGAGGAAGAGCCAGGCCAGGAGTTGGAGAAACTCGAAGACGAAAATGAACATCGGGTTGATGCTCTCAGTGGTATGCTGTCTTTTGGTCCCTCGGTTGGCCATGCCAAGACTAATCTTAATTATAGGTGATGACACCGTCTTCCAGGACCTGGGCTACGATGCGAAGAATTACCCGGAACTGCTCACTACTTGGAATAGCTAGGCCCTAGAACTTGGCAAGATCCAATATTCAAGGACCACTTGAAGGTACCGTGCAGGTGGTTGTTCAATTCAATGGCTAAATCAGATATCAAGCAAAATTAAAAAATTAGGCAGCGAGCCTCTGTACTCATTCCTCGGGCATTGCTGAGAATATTGTAAGGACTACAACATGTCGATGAGCGGCTGGCGCTGACTAGGTCGTTCACGCTTAGCCAGGCCATAACCCAAGACCCACAAGCTGGCAGCACACTCGCCTTCTGATTAATGCCTTCACCATGAATCAACAATCTTTCTCATTATTCTGTCGTCGACAGCAAGAGTCGCCAGATATTGCGTAGCATCAAACGCGAGGACAAACAAGTACGACGATACGATCGGCACAGAAGTATGTGGTGTTACTTCAACATTCCTATTTCTGTCATGGCTGCAGATACATACAGTAGGTTAAAGTGACGTAAAGTACAAACCCGCTTGAGTCCACCAATTCAAAGATCACGAAGTCCTTCATCGGTCATGGCAGCGGAAGGAAGACAATAGGAACTGTGAGTATTTTGAGTAAAGATAAGATATAGTCGTATAGCCGTATAAGAAGGGTCGCTATCGTGCTTTGCATCCAATAACAATATGACGACTTGACCGAAATCCAAATTGGAAACCCGAACCATCGATCGTCGGTTTCGAGAAACCTAGTCTTTGACTACTTGAATGGCATGTAAAATGTCCTCGAGAGACCATCCCGGCCCGCCAGGAACAATCTCTGCCCACACCTCCTCGGGAACAGCCTCGTTGGGGCCAAGCAGACTCCAGTTTGGACTCGGCTCCGGCTTGATCCATTTGAAATCTTCGACCTGGCTCCAACGGTCTTCATGGTCAGGACAGTCATGGTCCAATGCCTAAAGATGAATGTCAGTATAAGATTAACGACTGGAGATATCCGCATAGAAGGCACGTACATAAGCCTTTGGAATTCGACCAAATCTGATGTTGGAACAATCCTCAATAATGGGGTTGCTGGAGCAGCTCAGATAGACATCGACGTTGCTGCAGTTATGCATGCGGAACTGTCGGCATGAGACCACCATGACACTGCGCTCAACACCGGTGACATGTGCAGGGCCATTGACTTGGCCACAGATCAGCAAGCTTTCTTTGATATCCTTGATAGTCAAGCTGGCATATGGCTTTCCATTGGCAGTCGGAATTGACATGTCGACAATGCAGTGATGTAGCGAGGTGATCGACGCGGGGACGGTGGATGTCGACCCAGAGGCCGGGAGCATAATGTGCAGTCCGTAATGATCGTCGACCGACACAGAGGATATATCCGTAGCTGCGAATGTCGAGCTGGCCATACCCGAGGGGGGTTGTGTGCCAATTTCCCCAGTGGCGACACCAGGGAAGGAGGTAGGTGGGACATCATGTTGCTTATCCGGCTCGTTCAATGGAGTAGACGGCAAGTTGGGCGTATGGTTTGCAGAAGAGTCCATCGACGATGCTCCCGGGGAATGGTATCCTGGGAGGCTAAGACGTCCCTCGGCTGCCATGGCGGCTGCGTCAGACAGAGAAACGGCGGAGGCATTCTTCTTGTTCTTGAAGCTGAACTTCGATCGGGGTGCGAATGCTGCACGTGTCTCGTTCAATCGATCCTGTAGAGCTTTGATTGCCTAGGAGATGTCAGTTCTGCGGTATCAAGATCTATCTGTTGGGAACTGTGTATACCTCTGCGTATACCCTCTGATCATACGTGGGGATGTAGCTTGCTGCATCCTTGACTTCATTTGACAGTCGCACGATACCGGCAAGGCAGTGGTCTGTTGCATCTACGCGTTCTCCACCCACGAGAGATGTATCGGCAAGGTGATCCATATGCTGTTGCAGAGCTAGAATTGTGATGCTTAGCAAGAAGTTTTTCGGGGGTTTCCTTTGTATGGAGGCTATAAGAGCCTTAGAATGATGGCTGAAGACATACCGGTGATCTCCTGCTGGAAGTAACGGAAGAAGCGTTCGTTCATGGGAATATCAGCTTTTGAAACCGTCTGATTATCCGCCGACAGACGACGAGCCTGCTGTATTCCTAGCTCAGCCATGATGTGGAAATATGATTCAGTGGTAGAAGCGAGAGGGTGAACTGGGGATGGTCTCGGCCCTGGGAGATACGGATGAGGTGGAAATGTAGCAATGACGTCGATTCGCTCTTCTGATTGATCATATGTCACCCCGCACGGGTCTTGAAGCTCCCAATTGAATCCAACGCTGGTTTTGCCCCCTTAGCGAGATTCGGAAAAGATGATTGGAACTAAGATATGGGAGATGTTGCCAATGCTAAAGACTCGTAAAGAGTGATGTACGCAGTATTTCCCCGCATTCAATAACTTCCAGTGTCCTCGATCACGAAGTCGAACTTAGCAAAAGCTTGAATTCAATAACAAAGACTCAAGAGGCTGGTATTAGAGTAGACCCCACAATACCCCGTAGTTTTCTGGAGTCATTGGCATCAGACCTCAGATTGATGTGGCAATCGCTGCAGCTTCACTGTGACGTCGATCATCCCGCGTTTTGTGGGACTTCGGAATTCAGATAATCCGAGATGTTCAGGCTCCAAGGCATCAACTTTTTGGGTCGTCCACACACATGAACAGTTGCCAGTCCATGCATTTGTTTACTCCTCAACGGAGGGTTATGGGAAAGTTCCACCAGGACTTAAACTCATGTACCCAACATCTCACTCACACTGAAGGATAGCCGCCTGTATTCACTTTCGATTAGGAATAGAACGACATCGTCCTCTATGCTACACTGGAACAGTCTAGAAGATAGGTATAGAGCGTGTGATTTGGCCTTATACACCATGGTTCTAAATGGGGTGGTACACAGAAATAATTGGGCTCAAGAAACGCAACACAGGCTTTCTCGAGTTGTACAAACGCAAGCGAGATATACCTACCACCTGTGGAGTCAAGGCCCAAGCAGATCGCCGCCATGTCTTAAGTAGACACTGGGAGTGCTTTAATACGTTAGATGCGAACTAATTAACTATTGCATAGAGATAGAGCTGCAGATAACTGCAGATACAGCTGGAACACAATCGGTAGATCTCTCGAAACCCTCGGGGCCGAGAATCCCGTCAGAAAAGGGATCAGTTGGAATACCAAGCTCAATCATCACAGATTCTACTCCACCATACCTACCTAGTGGCAGTAGCTAGCACGGCATTGGATATAGTCAGCTCGTTTGATACCTATGTGTGCATTTTAAATCCGAGAGTCCGGGCAGCGGCGTTCCTCGAGCGGGCACCTGCGGGCTGAAGGTAAGATATATATCGCGTCAGATGGACAATTTCCATCTAGGTATTTAGTACCTAGGTAGGTAGGTAGCGGGTGGAGGTTGAGGTCTCCCGTCTTAAGGACCTATGTCTCTTCGCGGTCCTAGGTAGCAGCGCCCGGGTGTAAAGATCAAGTCCTATCTAATTTCGGCATATGAGGTGGCAGACATCGGTGACTATCAGATTGATGTACAACGTTGTACTGGGTTGTCCAGCTTGGTAACGGACCAACGGTTAACTGGCTCAGTGAACGGTCAATCCATTCTATCCGATACCTATGGCGTGCATTTTTTTTCGTGGGTAAGGGTGTGGATTCACTTACAATGGAGCCGTGGAGATATAAAGTGACAGAATCCCCTCGGAGCGTACCATGCTGCTATCACGAATTCACAACCAGTCAATGCCGAAAATGAGACCCTATTCTCTACTTCTCCATCTCTTGGCTCTTCTGCAGTGCTATCCCCATCTGGTCGCTGCTGTTGCCTCCGTGTATCAGCGAGTCGAGCAGTTAGAAAAGGTGCCGGATGGCTGGTCAAGAGGAGACAGACCGTTGGCATCAGAGCTTATAAAATTCCGGCTAGCAATCACCCAGAACAACGCTGCGGAATTCGAGAGAAGGGTAATAGATCTCTCGACGCCAGGCCACCCCAGCTATGGCCAACACATGACACTGGACGAAGTGAAGGAGTTCTTGCGTCCGTCCACTGCTGTCTCGGACCGAATAATCTCATGGCTGAGATCTGAAAATGTCCCAGCAAGTTCCCTCAACTACGATGGCCATTGGATCTCGTTCACAGTTCCGGTCTCTCAAGCCGAGCAAATGTTGAAGACCCAGTTTTTCTACTTTCAGCAACAGTCTCAACAAGAACCCGTCATTCGGACTCTGGGATATTCTGTGCCGAGCGCTTTACACCCTCACATCCAACTGATTCAGCCTACAACTAAATTCGGCAATCTCAATCGTCAGAGCAGGTTGCTTTTGCCACCTCAGCGAGCGAGTCCGGAACAGCTAGCCGCTCCATGCAGCAGAGTCGTCACACCAAGTTGTCTGAAAGATCTCTATGCGATTGATAACACGACTACAAGATTTGATTGGCGAAATCGACTCGGGATATCTGGTTTCCTGGAACAATATGCCCGGCATGGTGATTTCGAGGCATTCATGCTCCGTTACGCACCGGCCCACTCAGACGTCAACTTCAGTACCGTCTCGATCAACGGAGGCAAAGATGATCAGAACTCCATGTCTGACAGTGTCGAAGCAAGCTTAGATGTACAATATGCCATTTCGCTGGCGGATGATGTGTTTGCAACCTACTATACCACCGGGGGACGCGGTCCTGTAGTCCCTGAGATAAACGATCCAAACTCGACCATCTCGACAAACGAGCCATACCTTGAACAGCTTCATTTCCTCCTTAATCTTCCAGACACAGAACTTCCCGCAGTACTTTCCAACTCATATGGAGAAGATGAACAGAGTCTCCCAACGTCTTATTTGAATGCGACTTGCAGTCTCTTTGCCCAGCTCGGCGCCCGAGGTGTTTCCATAATCTTCAGCAGCGGTGACTCTGGTCCGGGAAACACCTGTGTACGAAATGACGGGACTAACCAGACCAGATTCCTCCCAGGATATCCAGCTTCTTGTCCATTCGTTACCTCCGTAGGTGGGACGGAAGGTTCCAACCCAGAGAGGGCGGTTCCCTTCTCCAGCGGTGGGTTTTCAGAGGTGTTCCCTCGTCCTGCATACCAAGAGCAGGCAGTGGAAGGCTACTTGCGTCAACTTGGAACCCGATGGCATGGGTTGTACAATGCAAGTGGAAGAGGTATCCCTGATGTATCAGCCCAAGCGTCCGACTACATGGTTCGAGACCATGGCCAGTGGTCCTTAGTTGGCGGTACAAGGTTTGTTTTCGATGCACACAGAGAGACAAATTGGCTGACGTTGTGCAGTGCTTCAGCGCCAGCGTTTGCGGGCATAGTTTCTCGACTCAATGCTGCTCGTATTGCCCAGGGTAAACCGCGAATGGGCTTCCTGAATCCATGGCTTTATAGTCAGGGGAAACCAGGGTTGACAGATATTACTGAAGGTCACTCCGAAGGATGTAGTTGGACTCCTGATGGTGTCACTTCTCGGGTGCCGAACGCGAGCTGGGATGCTACCGAAGGGTGGGACGCGGCTACAGGGCTAGGCACGCCTTTCTTCCGTACGCTTGTGAAGTTGGCATTGTCAGATGACCATGAGTAAACATACGAAGTGAAGCTAAAAATTAGCTATAATCGTTGCGATAATTGTAACATGCCGAAGTTTTGCAATATCCCAGAAACAAAACCAGAAGAGACATTCGTCAAATGGCCCAGGGTGCTGGATAGATGCCTCCGAAGGTGCAATACGAAGTCGTTGACTCGTTGTAGTCAGGGGCCAAAGAGCCAAGCCGCAACTGCCAAAATGCCAACACGTGATCTCAAACTGACCGCCCAGCACAGCTCCGTCATGAGCGCCGGAATGTCGCCAACAACCATCAACGAAAACCCGAACTTACAATCTGCTCTACCATTGGATTCTTTGCCTTCTTTGAGACTATCTCCAGGTTGGCCGATACTCGTTCAACACTGCCCTAAATCACAACCTCCGCCATGTCCGATCTACAGTCCCTTGTCTCAGAGCTCCACGGTGCTCTCGAGCGCAAACAGCTGGACGCCGCCAACGAGCTCCTCAGTCGTGCCAAGCGCGCCCTCCTCATGCAGAATGCATTGATCCCGACTCTCTCTACACCTCCCCAGCTTGTCGTCCTCGCCCGCCAAGTCCTCGAACTCGGAGCACTTGCCTCCATCCGCCAGACCGACGCACAACTATTCACACGCTACTACCAGCAACTGCAACCATTCTACGACCTTGAGAGACATGCCGGTCTACCCGGGCAGAGCTCCTCGGAAGTCGACTTCAGCAATAGCCAGCGCAGCAAGATCACAGGATTGTATCTGCTTCTTCTTTTGAGCATGGGAGACAGTGCCAACTTCCACACAGTGCTAGAGGGTTTGGTGGAAGAGGCGAGCTTGAAGGGTGGTCGTGTTGAGGATGATGCATACATCAAGTATCCTGTTGAGTTGGAGCGCAACCTGATGGAGGGAAGTTACGACAAGGTGTGGAGAGAGACCAAGTCAGAGCGTGTCCCATCGGAAGACTTTGGTTTGTTCTCGAATGTAAGATATACCCGTACTCGATTCGCAGTGGTGTCTTTTCTGTCAACCCGCATGCTAATTCGGCATCTTTATAGGTTCTCATCGGCACTATCCGCAGCGAAATTGCAGACTGCTCTGAGAAGGCATACCCTTCCCTTCCTATTTCCAACGCCAAAAACCTCATGTTCCTCGAGTCGGAAGGTGCAGTCATTGAATTTGCCAAGCAGCGTGGCTGGATCCTCCGAGACGGTCGGATATACTTCCCCGTTGAGCCGGAGGCGACTGCCAGGTCCGAGAAGGATATTCTGATGGCCAGTGGCACTCTTATTGAGAATGCGCTGGGTTATGCTCGCGAGTTGGAGACTATTGTCTAATTACACGCGCAATGGAAACGATATACTTCGGGCTTCTTCTTGTTTTCGGGTGCGGGTGTACTTGCATACCCTCTGCCCATGCATTGTGATTTATCTAGCGTGTTCATGATCCCAATCATGTTAAAGTAATTCGGCTCCAACCTTCCCAGTAGCGATGATCTGAGTCGACATAGACACAGTAGATGATGCTATCCAGGTACGCTCAGCTTCAGGGCAGATGTCCACAACGGCATGGCTTCTTATTGCCTATAATCGTACAGTCCAAACACAGAGCCTGCGATCATAGAAACTACTCGACACACACAAAAGCTCCGAAGAGCCCCCCTTCTCCTCTCGCTCCTTCCCGCCCATCCACACACCACTCGCATAATTCATACTCTCATGCTCAGTAAACTTCGCCAGAACCTCAATCCCCCATTCTGAGCCCCCATCCTGCATCTTACAAGTAACCCGCACCAGCCTCGTACCGGCATGCATACAGCTCGCCAGCACCAAAAAGCGCCACTCATCACTCTCCACCGCGTCACTCGACCCAGGAATCTTCCTCGTATCCAGCAACTGCAGTCTCCAAACACCACCATCAAGACCCTCCTCCACAAGGACCTCCCCCCTCCGCGTAGCATGGTAAACGCGCAAAGTCTCATCATAACTCCCCGTCAAAAGAAACGGAGCATCATCCACCATAGGAACCGCAAGAGGCAGGATAGCCGTGACACCAGCATGATGGTGCCGAGCCCGATCATCATATTCCAGCAGCATGGACACGACATCTTCATCATCGTCATCTATCACGGCCGTATCGAATCGGCGTGTGTGAAGCCTGGCAAAGTCGTCGCCTGTGGACATGAACGGCGTCCGGGTACCGGTAATCGGGTTTGCGGAAGTTGATAATGCCACGAACCAGACTTCGATCATATCTTTTGCTTCGTATGTGTTCCATTCTGCGATATCTTCGCGAATGGAGCCGTGCGTCCCGAAGACAGAGGTCCGGCTATCTGAGAATGTGACGGCGAAGCCGTCTGCGGACGTTCGGAACCAGTTCTCTGGTGCCCAGGCGAGGAAGAGGGCCGGTATAGACGGGTCTTCGTGGACTTGTTTCATCCATAGTTGAGAAATGCTGGGGAGTGATGTTTCCTGGGAGGTAGATACCTGGAATAGAGATACTGATCCCACGCTGCTGGCAATTGCAAATAGGTCCCTGTGTCTTGGGTGGAAGTGCAGGTCAAATACTGCGTATGGGACAGGGATGCTTTGGATTTGGGATCTGGGGGTTGGTGTTAGTGGCTCTTCCTTGTAGTGTATGCCTGTGCTAGGGCTGTTATGCAACAATATGGTGATTGGTTAGCTTACAGTGCTTTGCTGGCCGGATCTAGTTTCCATAGCTGGAGACTCCCAGTTTTGGACTGTTCGATCTCTCCATCTTCGCTCTTGGTTTCCGATAGGAGGTATGTGCCCACGATAAAATAGTCTGGGAGGTCGGGGCAGAATTCTAGGCAGCTGGGTGGTTGGTCCAGGAACACTGTCGTTGCTGACTCGGGGTGTTTCATTTTTGCCTTTTTAAGTAAGTCCGAGCCCGTTAAGATAGTTCTCGCCCTTGCAAGCCCTCGATCCTTTAGTTTCAGGTCCAGAGGGGTGGAAGTGGCCTTTGATTCGGCTTGAAAATGTCCGAAACCGCGACGGCGGATTGGTCTATCAGAAAGGGCCAAGGTCTTGGCAGCCTATTCCCACTCTTTAAATGCGGATAATGAATGAGATGACTCAGATGAGACCTTTACCCTTCGGTTTGTTACATGCAATTTGAGGCTCAAGAAAATATCACATAGAGGTGGGCGCTGGGCGGTGAGAATGCAAGTCAAGACATCTGTGCAGTTTAGAGATGCCCTTGTACCGTCGTACGTGCACATTGCCACATGGGGATTAGATATGGCCTGTTATGCAGGGAAGGTCATAGCTATCAGTGGCGTAATAGTTAGACCTAGGGCTGAATGAGTATGGTGATGGTCGGCAGCCGATAATACTACCTAACCGGCACTATGAAGATTACTCCCTGCAATCGTGCTGCGACACTACACACGGGCCTGCCCTTGTGGCCGCCGGGGGGCTCACCTGGGGGGCTCACCCGGGCCTGCGCCCGGCAAAAACAAGCGCCACCCGCGCCGCAACAACCGGGGGAGGGAATCTCGGATTGCTGTACTTTTTTATATGCCGACCCCATATAAAAGTTAAAAGGTACCTGATTAGTGGGAATTAGTAGTATCATCTAGTGGGCAGTGTCTGACACTGACACAATGGATCCTCCTGTCAAGCTGTTGCCCCCGCTTATAGGGAGGTAATTCAGCCTAATCTTGAATACTCAGTGAGTCGAGTCAGAATTATCGTCTCGTGGGAGGAGCACGATTAATGCATAACGAAGGGTTGAATGAAGACTTAAGACAAATCAATTGGATCTGCGATTCATGTAGATGCATACATATGAGCTGAGATGTAGCCTCGAAGTCGCAGCAGTCACATCTCAGTGGCTGATTCCTCGAACTATTGTTGCACTGCATTGCATATGCGGCCCCCTACTACCTACTGTACATGTATTCGGTCTCGTGACCCTCGTGAGGATCAATTTACCCTTCTCAAACGTTTACCAACTCCACACTTAGTAGCCACGCTCATTGCTAATACTACTTCAAGTCTTCCGACACATTGCCCAGTCAGGAAATCCGACGGTTGCCGACGGGCTTTACCTATCGGAGCAGACGTCAAAGAATTCTGATCCTTAGCCTTGCAGAAGGGAATATTCCGAGGCAGCTCTAGATTTAGTCCAAACTGGACAGATCGTCCACCGCCAACTAACAAACGATCTCCTCCGAGTACTCCATATCCACTGCGTATTCGCTTGTGCAGCCAGTTGCAGGAATCAGCAGGATGTGCTGCATAGGGCGTGAACTCTAAGTGCTAGCCTGTATTCTGTGCGCACTCAGACATGACTCATTTTGCCCTTGAAAGATGCGTGGGGGCCCTGGGGGGTCGCAGCTTACGCACCTGGAGTCGGGGTCCACAATTGGGGTGCATTGTGGCGTCAATCACGATGCTCGGCCCAGACGCGAGGGCGATCTGAATTGGCTTCTTTGTCAATGGACGTCCGTGAACGGCGCTAAAAGGTAGAGCTAGACGTGCCAGGGACTCATAGGGAAATGAACAATTGTTTCTCTTCCTCGAGCTACTAGCTGGATATTACACAGGAATCAGGGATTTATCCATGCTCTTGAGTCTTGACTCATCCGACCTCATCCGACCTCAATCCTACTTAATCTAACTCGTCGCCTCCACTTTGATTTCTTCTTTGATTTTTCGCAAGACTACGAAATTGAGATGGAAGGCGATACAAAGCCTTGGGGGTATAGATGGCGCTCATCGCGCCTATTGGTGGTCTCGTCCATTACTGTCGCTTTATTTGCAGGTGTGTTAGGCTGGTGTTCAGATGTCTTGAGATCTGAGTCATGTTAACGAAATTTTTAGAGACATTCCTTTATGGATTTTTGGCACCCATTTTGCCGTACATGCTTGAGGAACGATTGAAAATCGATCCATCAGAAACTCAGAATTATACCACGGCATTGCTCACCAGTCATGGATTCATTGGCCTTGTCTCTGCTCCGATTATTGCCCACATTGCCGAGAAGACGCCGAGCCAGAAGACCCCACTCTTGTTCTCGCTCGCAGGATGTTTTGTGGGGACTCTGATGCTTGCTTTCGCCAAGTCTGGTATGGATGTCCTTTCATTCTTCACTGAGGTCTGAGCTAATGGTTGTATACAGTCTGGGTCCTCTTCGTGGGTCGTATCCTGCAGTCTACGGCGGGTGCCGCCACTTGGGTAGTAGGCTTTGCCCTATTAGCCAATAATGTGGACAAGAAGAATCTCGGAAAGTCAATGGGCATGGCAATGTCATTCGTGACCGCAGGAATGGTCGGCGGACCGACAGTGAGTGGTGCATTGCTGCAGCTGTTCGGCTACTGGACAGCCTGGTCATTTCCGTTGGTCGTGCTTGTCCTGGATATCATTGCCCGCTTGGTCATGATTGAGCCCGGGCGTCGATCAAGTGCTACCCCGAGTAAATCCTCCAACGCCTCGACTCCGAACAATGAAGAAGCACCGGCGGAAACCACCGCCCTGCTCTCTGATCCATCGCTCGATGCCTGTCCTGTTGAGATCAAACAAGATCTCAAACAAAAGTACTACAAAGCCATGCTTTCAGACCCTCGCGTCTTGACTGCCTTGGCTAACGTCGTATTCACCTCCTCCCTCATGGCCGGCGTTAGCAACACCCTTCCCGTTCACCTGAGAGAGGCGTTTGGCTGGGAGAGTCTGCTCGTGAGCATGATGTTCTTCTGTCTGCAGGTCCCAAACATTGTTCTCAGTGGTCCCTCGGGATGGCTTCGTGATAAAATCGGACTGCGAGGACCTACCGTTTTCGGTTGGGCTACGATGGTCCCTCTACTCATACTTCTGGGAATGCCCGGGGACCCCAACTTCCCATGGGCGGGAGGAGATGCAGCTGGAAAGCCCATCTTCACTACCAGTCTGTTTGGTTTGGGTAGTGTCTTACCACTTGTGCGTGGCGTGGGAGCCGTGCAATTGGCCTGTGAGTGATCTATGCTACGTGATTTGTTTGAGCTCGTGCTAACCTGTCTCCCTACCGTAGATGTGGTCAAGGAATTGGAGGCTACGGACCCCGTTGTTTTTGAGTCCAACAGAAGCAACTTGAGAGCCTTTTCCATGACTGAAGTTGGATACAGCCTTGGAATGATGATCGGGCCTCTGCTGACCGGCTCGCTGTTTGAAGCTGTTGGCTTCTTCTACATGACTGTAGGACTAGGTGAGTTATACTGTCTCTACTCTTCTATCACGCCATTGACTAACCTGGTTTAGCTACCATCTGCTTCATTCAGGCCGTATTGTCGTGGTTCTGGCTGGATGTCAACCCGCCACCTCAGGCCGCCGACGAATTGGATGGCCAAGAAGATGCTTGACGTCGAAACCAGCAGAAAAGTTATACCGTGATTTCTCCTAGCTCATTAGACCCAGTCTTGAGCTCATTTGTGATAGAATATAAAATGAATGCATTATTGTCCAGTTGACTTCCAAGATATGATCCAAACTCCAGGGAGATGGATCCCGTCGGTCCTAGCACCTCGAAACAATTTGCCTATCTTTCTTTCAAGCCTTTAGAGACATGGAATCATGTATATCATATAGAATCATGTATATCCTATATCACATACCCCTATTTGGCCAAATTTGCCCCGAAATCTGGGCCGTATCCTTACATGCATTTTCCCACTCCCTCTCAATGAGTTCCTGTGTTTCAGCGCTTCGGACCTTGAATGAGGCATCGAACGGCATAGACGAGGCTGTAAACAGGATTTTGATATCCCAAGGGTCGATCTCAACTCTCTTTCCATCTTTATAGGCATAAGAGATGTCGTAAGCCCACACAAGTCGAGCCATGATAATGCTGATGCTACTCCACGCCAGATGCTGCCCTGGACAGACTCGGCGCCCAAATCCGAATGGTCTGTGTTCAAGAGACAGGTTCTGGATCCATCTCTCGGGTCTAAAATCATATGGATCCGGAAAGATCTCAGGATCGAACGAAATAGTCCAATTGTTCGGAATAACGATAGTGCCCTTGGGTATGTGGTAACCCATGTATTCGTCATTTTCAGTCGTGGCATGGGGAAGTGCAAATGGAGCTGGCGATTGCCAGCGCATGGCTTCATTAATCATTGCTCTCAGGTAAGGTAGATTGGGGATATCTTTGTTGGATGGCATCCGCCCTGGCCCAACAACTTGATCCAGCTCCCGCTGTGCTTCCTTCAAACAATGTGGGTGCAGGACAAGAGCTTTTACCAGCAGACGTAGAACTGTGAAGATGGCTTCGAATCCCGCTTGCTCCAGAGTACCGATGGCATAGGCAAGCTCTTTTGGCGAAGCTTGACTTCCAGCCTTGGACTGCAAGGCCTCTTGGATCCAGTTCCAGGAAGACGTTGACTTCGCGAACTCGAGGTGCTCCATGTGAAATTCTGTCGTTTGCTTTTCCACAGAAGCACAGTCCCACTTCCAGGGAGTGAGAAAACTGGGCAGTCGGTCGAGAGAAGGAAAGAGTGCAGCCAACTGGTAATAGGTATTACCAATTGCTTCGAAGGGCTTTGCGTTCAGCTCCATGATCCGTGCAGGTATTTTGTTGCTCGAGTTTTCCAACCTGATACCGTAGCCTAGTGTCATCAGGACACTTCCCGCATAGCGGGATAAGGTGTCTTCCCAGTTGCTCGTATGCAGAAGTTCGGAGAGCGTTTGCTTGCTCTCCATGTCCTCGAGGACGTGGTATTTACCCACGGTGCTTGAATCAAGCATAGGGCTCACGATACGATGTTGATTCTGCCATTGCTTGCCATAGGGCATGACTGCTGTGTTGAGTCCGCTGGTCATCTCAGTTGCGATGCTAAACCGGGGGCGAGAGTTGTGGATGGCACCCCTCTTGTTGAACAAATCGTGGGCTATATCAAGGGAGCCTACGCTGATGGCCAGCTGCTGACCAAAGCGAAAGCTGACTATCGGGCCATATCTCTGATGCCATTGTTGCAGAATGTCAACCGGCCGTCCATTGAGCATTTGATGGACATTTCCAATGACGGGCAGAGGTCTTGGTCCAACTGGCAGATTGAGTCGATTCTTCCTTGCGGCAATGTAGCTGTGTATCAGGCAGACAGAGATAATTGAAATGAAAAGAAACAAATAGAGATCCCGAGGTTCTGACGAAGCTAGCCACTTCGTGATTCTGTGACTTGTGCTTGACGCCCAATTCATGGTGAGAGGGATGCTAGGGTAAATGCAATCAGGTTTCAGAGAAAGTGTGGGTAGCTAATAGCTCCTCTTGTCGCAGTGGTTATTTATGAACTCCCTTCAGCCTTGGAATTGATCACAAGACATACACGACAACCATTCTGCAGGCCAGAGCACGGTGGCGTTTGTAAACGGAGCGCTTGTATGATATGTCTGACGTCTCAGAAACCTTACCTGCACCTTAGCTGACATCAAAATACATGAAGTGAGGCCCCAAGTTGATGCTGTTCGTACAACCGCTGTTGATCATAGGCCAAGTCACATCTACTTGGAACTTGGCTGACGATGTGAAGCCCAGTGTGTTCACTCTCATTGCAAGAAGACTTCTCCCCTCGGCCTATCAGCTCGGGCTGAGAGAGTGAGTGAAAGTTCTTCGTGACGCCAGAGTGCAGCTTACTGTCTATCGTGAACTTTATCGCACATGCCTTATGAGCGGTGAGGTGTTCATTCAAAGTTTAAGGCAATCAGGTGGGTCACGTAAACCCTCTCTTGTGATACTGTTCGTTTGAGATTAAACAGAGTTTGCTCTAACTCATGAGAGCAAGACCAGATGTGCCATGGCACCGACCTCGCTAAGCCACATACATGTCCTTGGCACGATTAGAATCTGCAGCATTCCAAGATCTGAACATGCACGATGGACTCCTTGCAGGATACAGATATACATACATGTTACATGTTGTCCGAGAGCCACGCAGCTGAGTTTGGGTCCTCTGATATCAAATATTATAATACGATGGTCGGCCGTGGTCTATATCGCATCAAACCACACCCTGTCCGGTAGCAATTTGATAAGTTCACTGTTCATTGAAGAAGATATGGTAAGAAAGCGTTCTCCAGTCCCTTTCTCCAAGGACATGCCTGACTAGTATCAGGAGCCCCACTTGAAAATACCACTGCACGACATGGCAACTGGTCAAAGCAGAGACTGGGCTTCCGTTGGTACTCTTGAAATGACCTCTCTACCTTCGATGGCGTTTGTCTTGTCAATAGCTGTTCTCGCAGCCTTCTGGAAGTTGACTCGCCAGTGTTCACCTAAACGTCCTGCCGCGGAAAAGATCCATCCTAGCAGTACGGTATCCAAGAGAGATTATGAGGACATTGTGAATGAGTTCCTCCAGGGGATCTCATACCAACCGCCACAATGTGTGTTCGATGTGGCATTAAGCTCTCGTGTTGAGAACCACCTTTTATCCCATGGCATTTCACCGGAATTTATAAAACAAATCGGACGATGCATCAAAACTGCAACCGAGATAACCACCTTCACATATCCATTTGTCTCGCACGAGGTCCAAGAAGCGATCGCTTTATATGCTACATATGTCATCAGCATTGACGATCTCACGACTGATATCCTACCGGATTTGCAAGGCTACGTCGCTCAATTGGTTGCTGGACGGCCCCATCATCATGAGCTTCTCCGTGGCTTTACACATTTTCTGGGTAGCCAACAGCGTCTTTTTGGACAGTTCGGAGGCGACATGATAGTCAAGGGGACATTGGAATTCATCTCCTCGGCCGTAATTGAGCAAGGCCAAGATAGATGCTTGAACTTGACCCAAGATGCAGCCGACTATCTGGTCTATTTCAGGGCAAAAACAGGTGTTGCTGAGCCATTCGCGTTCTTTTTCTTTCCAGAGGACAGCAATCCGGAGGAAGACGATCTGAGAAAATACATCGCGGCTATCCCAAGTATCATGCTGATTCTGGGCTATGTCAACGATCTCTTATCGTTCTACAAGGAGGAGTCCAAGGTTGACGACTACCCGGGGTTCGTGCAGAACCACGCTCAGGTCTATGGTCTTACCTCTCTGCAGTCACTGCGTCAACTCATGGTTGAAACGCTAGCCGAAGTCCGGAAGATCCGCAATATATTCTTCCATGATGCGGCCATGACTGATCGCATTGATAAGTTTATTTACGGGTATGTATTTTATCATCTGTGCTCGAGACGGTATAGACTGGATGAGTTAGATATTCCCGCTGCTCTTGAGTCGAGAATTCGTTATCACCAGATGGTGAAGGTGCCACAGTAGAGAACATGGGTGCAACTTGCCAGTTGGTGGGGACTTGCCAGTTGGCGGGAAGGATACTGAAGACTCAACAGAGGATTTTTGTTCATATTTTACTTACGAAGATATTGTACACATCCAGTCTCGTTTACTTTCCTTATATAGCTCCCGCTTACAGGCACACTCTTAGAGTGTTACTTGTGTGATTTATCTCTCGCCGACAGGGGCCGCAGACCCAGGGAGGTTAGGTCATGTACCAGTATGCTCAAGTCTATAAGTTATACCATCCAGAACTACGCTGTTCCGTGTTCCAACCTAGTGAATGGAGATGAGATGCCTCGTATGGCTTTCACCCACTTTGCGCGTGCTCTTTTAGGGTTTGCGCATGGCCGCCACTATGGTGTCGATAGGACCTTCTTCAATTTCAACATTTATGAATAAGCTCGTGGACCCTGAAGCTATTGAGGCCTGGGAAGCTCTCTATTGCATATCGCCCGGTGGCATCGGCTTCAGTCTTCATATGGCGGGACGGAACATGAGACCTCGCAAATGAAACACCGCAGAGTGAACAAGTTTCAGATACTGCATGCTAGACTCGGGATTCTTAGGAAGGAGCTTGGGCAGAAATTTAGTCATCGGCATCCCGGAACCTACTAGATACATGAAAGGCGCTTTGAAGGGAAAGTCTGCATGTAGGCATAGGTCTTATAAGTTTACAATAGGAGACTGTCGGTATGGCAAAGCAATTGAAATTCTTTTTCATCATCTACCTAGGCAGCAATCAGTTCCAAATGACCATCCAGAAATACCAAGTCTTTACTCTTCTTGAAATCTTCAGCCTCTTCATGATTAATTCAAGAGAATCTTCCTGCCAACTTCCAAGTCGGCGATTTCCTTCTGCAGCTGTAGACGTCTCCGCTTTGTGTTGCCACCCTCCCCGGCAATCTCCTCCAATGCTTTGTCCGAGAGACCATTGACCCACGATGACGAGAACAACTTCATGGGAGCTTCCGGGCCGGTCACGAGGAAATAATCCGCTCCCTGCATACAAACATTGTCGACAAATCGTTTCCGGGCCACTTTGTAGTACGCCTGTAGAATGTCATGAAGGTCGTGGACAGTATGCTCGACATTGCTCATGTTGTCACAGTATGAGAGATCGCTAACACGAACGACCTCTCCATGTTGTGAACAGTAGTTGCAATTGCATTTCCACTTCTTCGAGGCCAGCGCTTCTTTGAACCTTTTTTGTCGGCATTTTTGTAGGTTATCATTCAAGTAATGGTTCAAGGTCATCGGTGTCCCTCCACGTTCGATCTTCAACAGAAAGTCGACATGTAAAATAGCCTGCCTATACTTGCCGATTAATTCATCCCATAGGTGAGTGAGAACGTTGGTCGAAATCCTGATATCACCGCAGGCAGCGAGAAGTGCCTTTTTGATGAATCGGTGAACCATGGTGATCACATCACTCATGTATCCTTGCGCCAGGGTCGACCACTTCGCGGATTGTTTTTTCATCAGTGCCGACAGCAAGGTATGATTGAAGGTTCCAATTTCGAAGCCACGAGATTCACGATAGACCGTTCCCATCCAGATTGAGATACCATCTTTAGCTCTAGGGGCGTTAACAGCATCATGCAAAATTTCCTGCACTTCTTCATCTGCCTGAATTCCGCGGCTTGGAATGAAATCAACTCCGCACTGTTTCGCTGGCTCAATTTCTGCGGCGAACTCCTCGGATGAACCTGCCGACTCTTCTGACCCTTTTGATCCCTCTGGTTCTTTTGGCTCTGGTAGAGGGTCTGGTAGAGGGTCTGTCTGGGATGTATCGGTAAATGCGAATTCGTGACCCCATGTGGAAACGTGATTCGAAAACTCCTCATTTCTGCTGGAGACCATGGTTGCCAACCGAACATCCCGATCTGTATCGAAAATGTCATCCAAGCTGTAGTTCGCGACTAGCGCCAGATGTGTGATTTGTTGAAATGATGAAACGATGTCCAGAAGCGTCATGCGTTGCTGTTCCGGGGTCTGCCGCTCAGTTCCAAGCGATTGGAGAGCTTTTCGTGCGGCATTAAGCCTCTTAGTCGATTCCGAACGTACCTAGACCCGCGGATGTCATTAGCGAGTTTATAACTATCACAAAGTCTCCAATGTGGCCTACCGAAGGAAATGTGCGGCGAACGTGTGATGTGAGAACAAGTTGGAGCTGTTTTCCTAAAGCATTGATGCCAAAGTTCTCAGCTCGCACACGGTTCCACGGAGGAGTTTGATGCCACTTTTTCTCTAGAAGGTCTCGATCGACATTTCCATCCTCAAGCTCCTGTTGTCCTAGGTTCCGGACAATAATCCACCCAAGCTTGCCACTGGTATTCTGGTCCTCGATCATATCGATTATTTCTTTTCGGTTCCTTGATCGACCAGGTCGATTTTGGTCATGATTTGCAGCGTTCTTTCGCCAGTAGGATCGATTTCGCGGGCTATCTCAATAATCTCCTGCGTCGCAATGTCGACATTTGCTGGAACAACGGTCAACACGACAGAGCGTGGGTTCTTCATGTAATTGTAAACCATGTTTCTAACGAGCACTATGTCATCTTTTGTGGTGATTCCATTGATCGTGGTTTTGAATATCCCTGGGACATCAACCACACTGAGATGATCCTCCTGGGGGCCAGAGATCTCAAGCCGGAGAACACTGTTGGAAAACGTCGCCTTTCCAAAGGATCCAATAACTTGTAAATCACTGAGATTTAGAAGCTTATGGACCTAGCCAAGTCAGGGCACATTCTGAGGAAATATGGAAGAACTTCATAACCCTATCTCTCTCATCATCTGAGCAAATCCTTCTCCGCCGAGAGCCTGCAGACCAGTAGCATTCCAGTCTCTTAGTTTCTGTGCCTCGTCAGTTCCTAGATCCGGTGCTGGAATTATGGAAGCCGAGATCTCTCGGCCAACCAAGTTGACGTTTCGCCGGAAGATGATCTGGGTAGCGAAGCGAGTGCAGAGACCACTGTCACGGGGGAAGTTCAGCTTGGTTAAGCCTTCTAGGACAGAGCTCTTTCCACTTGATTGGTCGCCCACTACCACAAGCTGTGGAAGATCGACGTATTCTCCCACATTACAAGCAAATAGTTGGTCAATTTTTTCAAGCAGGCCAGGGTCTGACAAAGTGATGCTCTCCACCTCTTTGGCGATCATGATTTCTGATGATGATTCCGGAAGATGCCACAATCTAGAAGAAATCGTAGCAAAGAGTAAGAATTCACAACGGACAGGTCTGCGTGCCTGGCTGGAGTGAGGCTATGAAGGGAGTATCGGGCGGAGTCTACAGGTAGGGTTTCATCGAAGTGGAGAAAGGGAGATCGATGGATAGATAGATAAAGAAGGAAAGGACTAGTTACCTTGTTAGGAAGTAACTTATATAGTGCTAGGGAGCACCCAGATGTCACATGACAGTACATGAGCGGGATGTCGGTTGTCAGTCTGTTGTCACCCCCCACATACGTATTAATTGCACTTCCATATCAAGGAAGGCGAACGCAGGCTCCACCCACGGTGGAACCGGGAACGGGCGATAACTGAATGTGCCTTCACGGTACCTCTGCGAGTGGTTAGCAGAGTTCGAATTAGGATATGAAGATTGAAGCCCGAGGAAAACATATACCTCTGGGAAGGTCACCAGTTGGAGCTGCACAACTTCAGTCAAAATAGTCTCACCTACAACATCAAGAAGACATGTGATATCGCCTTGACAAATGGTCTGGATCTTAAACAAATACACCCGCAAGGGTCAAGACCCGAACTTCTTTCCATGTCAACCAGGGCGTGAGAGTTGGTGTGGCTCGATATCTTGCTGACCATTGTGTACTAGTATCCGACCTATGAGAGGGTTCCCGATATTCTAGAGGACGGGCTCGACCCCATCTGGCCTGAAGTTTTCGGCAGTCAGCCCTTTGATCAACGCGATGCCGATATTCTCGATGTTTTGTCGAAGAAATTCAAAGGCGGCGGGGATCAGACGACTACGAGGCTGTAGAGTGAATTACCTATAGATCCTAGAAGGGGTCCTCCCGCATGGTGCGCATGTATATATTTGATAATTATCTAAAGGGGGGGGGGGGGTAACCATATCATCGCAATTCAAACTTTCGGCATTCGGAAGATATTGGATGGAAGAAGATGACATTCCTATCTGAGGAGCTATGGGACCAAAGCCTGCGTGGAGGGGCAGTCAGTCAGCTGACGTCCCATCCCTCAACAGGTGGTTTTGGCAAGATAGAAACATGCCAAGATACAAATGAAGAAGGACCCAAAAGGCGGCTGCAGTCAAGGCACTAAGAGTGATGAGGGAAGTGGTTGCACTTTCCCTAGACCGTAGTCAGGGAGGAACGCGCCGCGGCTTCGAAAATAGTAAAATGCATCTTCCCTCGAATCTGCTCGGCTAACCGATTGATGGTATGGCCTTGGCGGAATACCCATTGAGATGCCTTTTTGCCAGACGGCAATCGCATCACGTGGTCCTCAGTGATGCGACTCTGGATGTTTTCTTTGCGGATGCGGACGATCTGTCTGTTGATGGTAGAACAGATAGGGCCCGTGACAATATCCGCTTGCCCAGGCTGCCAGAGATAGTCGAATTTCGGGTGGGGCATTTCCTCTCTTATGCTTGTCCAGATGTATTCTTTCCAGTTAGGAGAATACCACAGGTTCTCCCTGCGGAGGCTGTTGATAAACGATTTCGGAACCTGTATATGAATGATACAGGTATCCGCTGTAGGGCATCTCCTTTCTGCCCATTTGCGATATTCCTCAGCCGTGTCCTTGTCCGCAGTCCAGTAGTGAGCATTAAAATTCCAGTTGAAATCTCCGTCGGGAGGTGTTCTGAGTGTGCTTAGGTGGAGCCTCCCATCACTCTCAATGATATCACCCGGTTGCCTCAATTTAAGATGTGCCTTGCCCTTGTATAAAGAAATGTGCTCGGCGAGGATACCGGGCTCAGGCTGAACCATCACATATGCACCCGGAAATTGGAAATCTTGAGGTGTCATATTGATAGTTACTGTCGTGGGTTGCTGATGGGATGGGCCCTGTTCATGTCTGCTGGGCTCATGTCTAGACTTATTCCTCGGCCGCTTATGCTTCTTCTTATGAGCCATGCGCTGGTTTGCCTGGGCTTGGAGCAGTTGCTGTTGACGAAGCCGTTGTTGAACCCATTCTTTCACAGCCCCAGTTTCAGGCTGTTATCTGGTATACCCAATAGTATACTCAAGCACCTCGACACTCCTTCTGCCATTGTGATGTCGAAGGTTTGGATAATATGAGGCTGGAAACCACGGGTGGTAACGGACGCAGAAGACGACGACGAGGTCGATGACTTTGAGACAGACCTGGGTGCACTAAATGCAGCTGAAACCTTTTTCTTCCCACTGGTATCCGTCGATGCATTCGGGCCGGGTGGAAGATCTGACCCTGAGAAAGGTCCAATACCAAGAGTTATGAGAGAGGACATGGTGGAGGTGATTGAAGGGGATGAATATGATAGAATGTGGAAGTTAAAAGGATAATGTGAGACTGTGAGACTGGGACAGTGAATATGTCAGGAAGAAGAATAGTTTCGAAGGTTATCCATTAGATATAGAAGTAAGTGGGGTTATTCGGAAACAATACTATACTGTACGAGACTAGACCGTATTAAGCCATCACATGATTCTCAGATGTACCTGTCCCGTTTTTTAAATGGTAATCCGGCGGTTCCATTTCTTACCTAAGAGAAAAACTCTCAGGCAAATGAGGCAAGCATGGACTGCGGCCTGACCCACCTAGTACTGTCGGCCTCATCAGTATCCTGAACATGGCAACTGGGTTATGTGGTGGGTGCCAGGGTGACCACCAGCGAATCCTCACTGTTGTATGTTTTCGTCTCTTGCATTCTTTTGAATTTGGGCCGTCACAAGGCGCGACTTGCCCCTCGATTGCCTCTGCCGCCCTCTATGTTGGTAAAATAGTGAAGGCTTTAATAATGTTCGATTTGTGCGGTCTCAGCGTTTCTAGCGTTCCATATTCACCGAATCACCAACAGGGAGCCAGGGACCCTATCAGCGGCAGATGCCTAATGCCACAAGTGCCCACAACGAGACCACTTCGAGCGACTATCTACATCACATAACCCTAGGCAGGCACTCCATGCTCTATGTGGTTTCTTACTATTGGTTCAAGATATCGAAGTCTTTGATATACAAAAGGGAAACTCATAAAAGCAGGTCTATACGACTATCCAGTTCCACTACAGCCATCAGTGAACCCCCCTGCCTGCTCCACCACCTTGTTATTATCAAAGCACCGCGCGTTGACCCAGATGGGCGTCTTGAAGGTAACCTTCCACTCGTAGCCGTCATCATCAGGCTCATCAAAGTATTCAAAGTTCCAATCGCTGATACCCCCTCCGACACAATCCTTGGCCGCCCCCAGGAATGAGTCCTGGCCATAGTCCCAATTGGCCCAGCCGGCACCATAGATCGTATACGAGCTGAAGAACACCTTGTACCCGCCGTCACACTTGCCATACGGCTCTTGAATGGGACCGCCATCGTCGTCTCTCTTTCGATTATTTGAAGACCGCTTTCTTCCTCCGTCGTCGCCATCCTTAGGCCATGGCCGGTTATCCCGCTGCGGAGTAACAATGTACGTGTGATCGCCGCGTCTCCAGCTCCCCCCAAACTTCCAGTCCATCGGGTTATCTGGGTCATCGCCATCGCATCCGTTCACGATCCGCTGCATGCTCTCTACGCACGTATCGTGGTCGAACGAGTCCGTGGTGTCCTCCAACTGCATCTTGAACTCGGTCTCGTCTGGTGTTCCCTCGTCGTATTTTTTGGACCAGGACCATCCCTTCTCCTCGGGATGGTTATCCTCCACGTCGTCGCAAAAGTCCTTCAATTTCTCATTGAGGCGGGGTTCGCTTGCATACGCCCTCCGGCTATCGTCGGACCCATAGCATTCAAACTCGTCCACCATCTCGCACGAGGGCGGATCAAAGCCCAGCCACTCGGCCCGCACGTCAATGGCCGTCTGCAGCGCCCACGACGCAATTGTGTAATGGCCCAGCTCATTCGGATGGAAGTTCTTCCCAATGTCATCGGGAATCCATCCGCCCCCTGACTCCTGGAGCTCGCCGTCCTTGTCCCCAGGGCAGTTGGCAGGCGCGGGACCATCCCCAGCTAACCGGCGGTGCACCATATGCAAAGGGTTTCTCGTCCGACGGAAGCTCGCAGAGTGGGTCAGCATCTCATCACTCTCTTGCATTCGGGCCTTTATCCGTTCAGTCTCGTTCAGATCCGCGACCTTAACCATTCCATCACCCGTCGTCCCTAGGAACGGAATGGTGCTAGGCTTGAAGAACTGCAGATCTGGCACATCTTCATCTGGGTACTCGCCGGACGAGGACGGATCGCAGTACTGGCCCCGCACATACTTCGACGGCCAGGGATCCCAGTTGCTAAAGCCAATCTTGTACTTGTACTTATCGGCTTTGCGGGCATCATTGACCACCTTGCGGATGATGTCGTTGAGCTGGACGACGAGGTCGTTGAACCTTTTGCGCCGCTTGACGGTCATAGTCATCGGCGTGGGATTGTTGGGTGGTGTCCACAGGGTCCAGTCTTCGTTTTCAGCGCAGTCTTCATTTTCGGTGTTAAAGAATTGCGCATAGCCATTGAAGACTACGATGCTGGTCTCGGCCATCTTGTCATCGAGGGCGTCAAGGAGGAGCTTGAAGTTGTCCTCGATGATCTGGTCCAGATTGTCTTGGGCGATGTTGAGGACATCATTGCAGGAGTCCTCGTTGTAGGGTGAGAAAACACATTTCAGGATGAGTGAGCTCTTTACACAATCGTTAGCATCTCGGAAATTGGTCAGTACACACGGGCAAATGCAGAACCTACCAGGCATAAATCATTGCCGCCTGCTGTCATAATGACTAGATCCAGATCGCCGTCAAGATTTTTGATCTGCTGATAGATATTACCGGTGCGGTCTCCACTACACGCAGCGAACTGGAAATCGGATCCACCCAGCTCGTCCTTTAGAATCATCGGGTACGAGGTATCGTAGCGAGAGCACTGGTAATCCTCATCCCCAGCAAATGTTAGGAAGGCCTTGCCTAACGGATTGCCCGAGCCGATGCCCGCGGTGTAGCTGTCTCCGACGGCTGCCCATTTCTTGACCCAGTAAAAGTTGCCCGGGTCGCGAGGGAGCTGTCGACGGGGAGCTAGGTTGGGAGAGGTGTCATTTGGAAGGCCATACGCAGACTGGGCGTAGAAAGTCCCGGTGAGAAAGAGGGAGGATAGTAGTATTCTCGTCTTCATGACTGTGTGTTGTCAATCATGGACATTACCTGCCAGAAAGACGAGGGAATACAGAAATATAGGCAATTTTCCTGCTTCTACGCTGAATCATACCTGTTGTACTTCCTTTCCTAACTCGGCGCTTGCTAGTTAGGGCTAGTGCTTATCTGCCAACGGATCGATAAGGTTGTGACACCATCCGCCATGGCTTAGTTCAGGCGCCCCAGCTGACCCTCCCGCCGGATTTGCGGGGTTGTGCCGTCCTTCCAGGTACCCACATGAGGCTGTAACCCCGCTATCTCCGCAGTCGTAGGGTGCAACTCGGGGGCCATGCACGAAGCAGCATCCTGGCCCGGGTCGCCTGATTTATAAAGTTAAAAGGGCTTATTGGACCTTCGCTATGCGCCCGCCCCACCACCTCGGCACATGGTCATGCAGGGAAATTGCCAAGCACACCACCGCACGGGAAGTGGGGCACAACCACACGGGCCCCCAGCACGGGAGCCCCACTTCCCGTGCTACATACCCGGGCGCCGGAGTAGTACTTGACACTAGTACTAGACAAGAGGCCTGATGTCGAGTCACGATCTTGTCGCGGCTGAAATGTAACATTCGGGGTTCACCCCGGGATGGATGAGGATGAGATCTATGCCGATCCTTGGGGGGCCTGAAAGCCAGTGGGAACTTGTAACTCCGGCAATGAGGGTGCGCTCTGAGCCTAGGTAGGATATCTTGGATTCATATTGTTCCCTCGGGTCATTCAGTGATTTACTCTCATTGACCATCCGCCTTTGACCATACTACACACAATGAGGTTACTACAGTCTATCCCCCTGCTGGCCGTCTGGTCGTTCGTGAGCCTCACCAATGCAAAAATCGATCGCAACCACCAGCATGAATTTGCACTCCAAGCTGCACGAAGCCCCGCTGGACGATCACTATCGTTTGCCAAAATACAATCAAAGGCAAAGAGCGAGGACCCAGACTACACCTGCTCCAAAAACAAGAAATGTGATCTGGGCTGTTGTGGTTCTATGTAAGCTCCCCCTGTCTCCAGACGGGCTCAAACAAGAATACTTACAATTCATGGAGTGATAAAAACACAGGAAAGGGCGTCTGCGGCTTTGGCCCTGATTTCTGCGGTAAAGGATGCATATCCAACTGCGACCGCAAGAGCGAATGTGACGCCGGCTGGGGCAAGCAGTGGTCCAATCTCACAACATGCCCGCTGAATGTCTGCTGCAGCAGCGCCGGATTCTGCGGCACAACTGAGCAATACTGTGGCGGTGAACTTGTGTCTTCTCCGCAGTGCGATCCAAACCAGAAAAGCTCTAGCGGGCGCACGATCGGATACTACGAGGGTTGGAACTGGCAGCGCGACTGCGGCACCATGACCCCCCAGCAAATTCCATTGGGATACTACAGCCATATCAATTTCGCCTTTTCGCTGATTGATCCCAAAAGCTACCAGCTGGTTTCTATGGACGAGAAGACAGGGAAACTCTACGATCCGGTGCGTGTGCTCAAGGGCCGTCAGCCCGATCTACAGGTCTGGCTCGCTATTGGCGGATGGGCGATGAACGACCCAGGAAAATATCGTACGGTGTTCTCTGATCTTGCAGCATCTGAGAAGGATCAGGACGCCTTCTTCGAATCCGTGGTTTCGTTTTTGGAGAGTTATGGCTTTGATGGGGTGGATCTCGACTGGGAGTACCCCGTTGCAGATGATCGGGGCGGCGTGGAGGCAGACTTCAAGAACTTCGTTACCCTCGTTAAGCGTCTGCGTAAACGTCTCAATCAGATGGGAAAACCGATGGGGTTGTCACTGACTTTGCCTGCTTCATATTGGTATCTTCGGGGATTCGATATCGTTCACCTGGAGCCGCATATCGATTTCTTCAACATCATGACCTATGATATCCGTACGTTTCTCTCTTCATACACCTGTTCCACGTATATTTTGCCGAAAAGGTGCTAACTGAATAGACGGCGTGTGGGACGGTAACATCGAGCAACTGGGATCATACGCCCACGCACACACCAATCTCACCGAGATCGAGGACGGGCTGAAACTCCTCTGGCGCAACAACATCAATCCCGAGCGCGTCAATATGGGCCTAGGCTTCTATGGTCGCAGCTTCACCATGAAAGACCCCAACTGCATGGAAGCCGGCTGCGAGTTCAGCGAAGGTGGTAACGGGGGCAACTGTACAGGCACTCCCGGAGTCTTGTCTGCCGCTGAAATTACCAAGATCATTGACGACGGTGCGAAAGTAACGTTGGATAAGGAGGCGGCCGCCGAGATCGTCACCTGGGATAAAGACCAGTGGGTGTCGTGGGATAACAAGGAGACGCTGGCCATGAAGCTGAACTACGCCAACGAGCGGTGTTTGGGAGGCGTGATGGTGTGGGCGATTGACCTCGATGACGGCACGTTGATCGAATCACTGGTTGGTGCCGGGCAGAAAAGGAGGGAGGTTTTGCCGGAGCCGCCTTTGGTTATTCCGTGCTATGGGTCGGGGGACAGTGGCAAGGAGGAATTGTAGCTTCGAGTCAACAGGATGTGCACTGAAATTTCATTATTTGGTTTGATTTTAAAGCTGCCTCCAAGTTGTAGACCATCCATGAAAATACCATATCTTCATTATGAAGATCTGTCGAGGCTAGTCCATGGAAAGAGGAGCAAAAAGAGTGTATTCTATATACATAGGGACTAGAGAGATATATACTAGGAAGGAAGGACGAACTATCTCGGTGGGAATCTTATAGAAGGATCACATGACGCAGCAAACCCCAGAATAGGTCACCTTAGACTCACCTGGAGCCTCTGTCTAAAAACATAGAGAAACAAAGACACATGATGTATGTCTTCAAAATCTATCTTCCTTGCTCTCGGGCTGTGGCAGACTTGGCCCACCGAGGACGTTTCTGACCCCCGTAGAGGCCCCAAACAATCTGTTTTTTGGCTTCTGTAAGGTGGATTGAGAAATATTTGAATGTCTAATATGGACAAAAGTAATAGCCAGGTTACTCTCACAGAGCCGACCATTGGGACAGTATGTATTCAACAATCTACCAGTACCGAGCAACTACTAAACCACTACCAACGGAGCCAAATCACTCAAATAAACATCTACGAACAAGTCGATGAGTCTCCACTCCCGCTGCTGAGAAACGCCTTCTTGAAAAGATTGGACACCGATTTCCTGGTTTGCAGCAGCCCGGACTTCTTAACCTGGATATCGCCATACAGATGCGTTATTCCCACGATATCTCTCGGGCTGGGTACCTTATTCTTCTTGATTCGGTGACGACCTCCCTCTCGCTTCCGAAGCTCGCCACTGTCAGCCGGGGGCTGTTCGAGGATTGAGAGGCGCTCATCCCCGTCATTCTCCTGGGCCTCACCACTATCGATACCACCCGCGCCAGATGGATCTACAGAACAGTGTATCAGCAAATGGAACAACATAAGAAAAGATGGAGCCTTACAAATCATGATCGAGTCCCAGTCCACGCTGCCTGCGCCCGCGGCGGATGATGTCTCCACGTCAATACTCCCCGCCGGCATCGGCAAATACTCTGCCGCAGAGAATCTGACCACAGAGGCGAGTGCGTACGAGTTGCACAGCTCCTCTCGTGAATAGTGCCTCGGCATCTGAGTGCCGCCCGGGCTGATTAATTTGCCATCCGCAAATGCTGCGTAATCCTTGAGGTGCTCGCATTTCCAGTTGCCGTTGTTGGCGGGTCCAAACACGGTGCCGCCCTCCCCGCCTATAACGCCCGAACCCCAAAAATAGGGGTTCTGATGCTCATGGTGCAGGCCCCAAGCGTGGCCCAGTTCGTGCGCAATATTGGGAACGATGTCCAGCATCCCGATATCCTCGCGGAAGCTCAGGGTGGTCTCCGCTCCCCGTTCACCCTCTTTCGGATAGCCAGGGGTCGTGGCTAGGTGCTGTCCTAAGCTGACTAGGAGGAACTTCTTCTGATTTCCGGGGTCTCTGCAGAATTCATCTGTGCCTTCTGAGACCGTGAAATCCTCGGACAGGCCCGACTGTCTCCACAGCTTGTGGGCGTTGTGGATGGATTTCCTCATCTTCTTTTTCTTTTTGTCCTTGTCCTTGCCTTCCCCAAAGGTGTCGTCATTCAGGCAGTAGGTAATCTTGCGATCGGGCCATGGTTTCGTCCTCTCAGCCCTGCTTTCCAATGAGATGGTCGCCCACCGGCGGATTAGGCCTGGCTTATCCACGAGGGCAGGCTGCCACCCTCGGCTGCCGGCCAGGACAGGGACATTGAGCGACAGAAAAGTTAAAATGAAAAAGGTAAACGACCGCATCTCGGAATATGGCCACAGCCTAATGAGATACTCGTCAAGACAGAGGTGTATGTATTCTGATTGCGTTCTTCTTTACATATTCCTTTGGGGGGAGAGGAAAAGGCATATTTCGAGGGAGGCCTCGGCATTGGCAATTGCTGCCCCTCTCAAAATAAGCCGCACCCCGGTCGGATCCCTACTCGCGGCATTATCATTAGGCGTCCTTCAGGCGTCCAGCGCGGGAAGATTCTCCGCAGATACATGCATGCGTGGGTTCGTGTCGATCCCGGGGCTGAGGCGCCCGGGCTGAGGCACAGGTACTAACAGGGATTACAAACAAGAACTATCAAGCATCAGGAGTCGGTGACATCTCCGACGTGCTGAGTTAGGAAATGCCGCGTGTTGAGATGTAACACTCCATCGTGATACTTTCCCTTCAGCTGCATGCGACGGTTAGGGCACTGGCAGCGCTGACAGAGCCCCACTCTGTCCGGCTAGGAGGAAGGCTGCCGCATGCCATTTAGAAAACACTTGAGCAGGTCCCTTTCCCCTATTGTAGAATCAACGGTTTGACACTAAAGGAATTATCAAAATGGGTCTCCTGAGGAAGACTGTGACGCTTTTAGCAATATCGCTGAGTCTCGGGCAGGTCCTGGCTCAAGACTCGAAACCTTCTGGAGATACATTAGACGGCATTGCATGGAACTGCGATGCCTTCTACACTGTCAAGAAGGGAGCCTCGTGTGATGCGATCGAAAAGAAGTTCAAAATTACGCACAAGGACTTCATCAAGTGGAATCCCAAAGTGTCTAATGATTGTAAGGACAACTTCTGGGTCGGATACTCCTACTGTGTAGGAATAAACCCCGATCAAACCTCCACCACCACCACCACCAAATCAACATCAACAAGCACATTGACACACTCGACGCACCCAACTGGTACCACTACTACCACTGGGAGCAATACACATACGCACTCTGGCTCCCCATCTCCACCTCCAACATCCTCTCATTCGCATCCTGGCAATACGACGACCAAGCCCTATTCGACCCGCTGGCCCACCAGTTCCTATAACCTCACGGCCCCCTACACGGCGACTGCATGGCCTCCCCAACATACCCTCGGCGGACAGCCAAAGAACTGCACGACCTGGTATCAGGTGAAGCCGCGCGACACGTGCGACAGCATCGTTAAGCAATATGCCAACCGCTTGACCATGGACCAACTGTCAGGCACCTTTTGCTATATTCAATGTCTCCTGCTAACTCGTCTCCCAGGATTCAATACAATCCGACACTGAAGGACGACTGCCACCGTCTGTATGTGGGATGGTATATCTGTCTCGCTGTCAGGACCAATAACACCCTGACCCTGCCATGGTATACGCGGACCAACGCGACCATTCCCTCTGCAACCCCTTATGTCCCGCCAGTGACAACAATCGTGCCTGATTTCACAGCTCAGCCTCAAGCATCCGGGATCCCGAGCAACTGCCAGGATTTTTTCAAAGCTCAAGAGGTACCTCAACCCATGTTCTACCATCCGTAATTGTAATCTAATAAAGAACATAGGGCGATAGCTGCGGCACCGTGCTGAAGAAGTACGGATACATCACCAAAGAGCAGTTCTTCAAATGGAACCCATCTCTCAAAGGAAACTGCCAGGGCCTACAGGCTGGTTACTACTACTGCGTGGCCAGCTTCGACCCCAAGGACTTGCCGCCACCACCTACGGTTACCAAGGCCGATGCTTCCCCAACGGCCTCAGGGACCAACGAAAAATGCAAGGCCTTCTACCAGGCCACCGGTAGCGATGACTGTGCCTTAATTGCGCTCATGTTTGGTACATTCTCAGAAAAAGGTAAGATTTGAACTTCCCAAGAAGAGCTCCAACCCTTCAGCCAACTGATAAACCATGTGGTATAGACTTTATATCATGGAATCCCAGCGTAGGAGACAACTGCAAAGATATCAAAGAAGGCACGTATTACTGCGTCGGCCTCCCAGATACGCCCACCACTCGGACGAGCGCGATCGCCACAACGCCCACGACATCCGGCTCAATGCCCACACAAACCGGCGTGACTGAAAAATGCACCCAGTTCTGGTTTGTCTCGCCTTCTGACACTTGTGATTCGATTATCTCGAGTAGCGGGGCCTCAAAAGAGGGCTTTTACCAGTGGAATCCGGCCGTGGGTAAAGACTGCGCTGGGCTGAAACCGAATTATTATGTCTGTGTTAGCACGTCGAAGCGTCCTAATTCGACTGGGGGGTCGCTTACCACCCTGACTGGCTCAGATACTCCAGCTCCTACCCAGACTCCTACGCCGCCGTCTGCTACTGCATCTCCTACTTCGTCTTCCACTTCGTCTTCCGCCTAGGCGAGCTAAAGATATGAAGTTTATTGTTTTGGTTTTGTACGCAGACCCAGGTAGAAAATACTCGCGTATAAATGTTCTCGCTTCATCCTAGACTCAGTATCAGTAGAATGAATTCTCTTTCATTCCTCTTTCACTAGTACCAGTCGTAGTCTAAGGTACGATCCATTTGCTATCCATGAGTAGACACATAATTTTCTGATATCTCTTCACCCCATACATCACGGTAGAGTGCCGGCCCCATACGATCAATATCGTCCCATCCCGCGCACAACCAATATCCCAACTCTGGCTGGCCAGTGGCGTTACCAAGCCCCTTCCAAAGTCGATGCCCGAATTGTTCATCAACCTTGACAATTACCTCTCCCGGGTACAGTTTCAATCGCCGTCGCCAAATAGCCTGCCACCCCTCCAGCTGCATAGCAATTTTAACATCCCTCCCCGGTCCCATAGCACGCACCATCTTGTCAATCGGACTCAGGATTACTCTCTCCACCTCGCCCACAGGGTCTTCAAAGATCTCCGGCTTCGGTGGTGCGACATGACTCTGCAAGGAGATATATAGGTGACGAAGATTAGGAAAGGTTTCTGGGACCATGCCGCATAGTTCGTGAAGTGTTGAATCAGCCCCGGACGGCGGATCAGGGCTTGCCGTGATGGCCCTCTCCCAGAGTACACCGACCAGGTTATTTTTCTCACTGTAGTACTTTTGACGTGGCTTCTTTAGATCCCAGATCAGGACCAATGAGGAGATACTCGCCAGTCTTTGAGGATGGAGCAATTGAGACAAGTTCAGTTGGAGCTCTAGACCGGAGAGGTGGAATGTATTCCTTGTGAACAAAATTTCCATTCCATCTTGATACCTATATCGATATTAGTTGATCAATACCAATGACATCAGGAAATACTGTAAACTTACGCCATATGACAAGCAAGCAACCAGCCCATTATCCCGATATAGCAGCCCGGAGGCACGTGAGGTTCCGTATATCCACGCGAATACGACCATTTTGGCACACAGTGATCATCGAACGGGGGGCGTACATCCGGATGCGCAACAAAGGCATCGGATGACTTCCTCCAGCGATGACACTCGCAGCTGAACCACTGCCATGTGGATTGTTGGGCGTGACCAGCGCGTAATTTATTGTCTGGTTCAGCCTGGGGCTGGTACGGGGGACCATATCTTAGATCCACATGGAGGGTGCGCTGGCCAAATGCAAACACTAGGATCTCTTGCCGGATTTCCAGCGGGAGTCGTCCAAGGAGGCCGTAATTGCTGGGATAAGACTGTCTGCAGGCCTCTGTTGGTTGTCGTATAGCCGGGGTGTTGAGGAATGGGAGCGGTGGGGGTGCCTCCTCAGGTTCATCCACGGTTGCTTTTGAATGGATGAACTTCTTCGTCCATCTTTTGATTGATTTCATCGTCTTTGGTATTAGGCTTATTAGCGATTAATGTCGTTTGTATGTAACATAATTTGGACGTCAGCTGGAGTGTTTATAGGCATCGAGTGCAGCAAACATGGCGGGCGGCCTAACATCTGGTTAAGTGTGGGGTAATATGGGTCACCCGCAGTTCGTATCCGCGGCTAGCGGGTAGTATCCACACTATACTCATTTAGGAATTTATGTGGGGCGATGTGGCGCTTACTGTGTAAATATCAGCCCTTGATTCAATCCAACGAGCTTGAAGGTAGCACACATTGCGATCTTCACAATGAACGACGATGACTTCTTTCCTCGCTGTTATCATAAACCCCGGACGCCACTCTATTTTCGTCCTCGACCTGAACAATGTCGGCTATCTATGAGACTGCTCATGATATGAGATTAATACCTGTCTAGTATGTCCTTCGCCTGTCAAGGAAACCTACAATCTTCAGACAGCAAATTCTGGATAAACCAATTGCGACGGTACTTGCCAAGATGCACAGTGGGCAGGGTCACGAGCCCCTACCATTGGTGTATGACTATAATGGACTTGTTCAATACTGCAATCCCCGCAGCCTTCAGGCTTGACATATTTTTGGGGGTCTCTGTGGTTGTTTCCTAAGAGGATGATATCCAATGCATGGATCACTCTTCTTCAGGCTTTCAATAGACAGATTGTTGGCCCCGCCCAATTGAATGAAGCTCAGTCTGAGCCCAAGGTTCACACTATGCGCCAGTATAGCCTGAAGCAAACCGGACCACATAAGCTTATCTGGCTAACAACATCTCTCATCAGGCAATTCCCTTTGAAACAATGGAATAACCTAGCAAATCGTTTCGTCGTCCTGAGCCTCTGCCCTTTCTGATACATCAAACATACTGGGGAAGCTCTAAACAGAGCAAATTACACTGACCGGAGAAGATGGAAGCTAGCGGCTCTTCCCATCTCTTATTTTTTGTTTCATGATTTTTATTTCCAAAAGAGTTTTGTGTAAAATTTTTTTTTTTTTTTTTTTTTTTTTTAACTGCCTCAAAATCCGCAGGAGACCAACCCCAGGAAAAAAGGTCAAAACAAAAAGAGCCAAGCCAGGAAAAGGTCCATCCTGGGCTGGATGGCAGCCCAGATGGCATTGCCGACAATGGCAATGAGATTCGAACCAACCCTTCTCGACGCAGGCACCAGAGAATGGTGTCTGCCTCGGACCCAGCTCCAGGCTTTCGCGGCCAAGATTGCCAAACCCTTCACCATTGGGTTTGGAGCCTGTGTGGGGGAGAGTGGAGGAGGAGGCGTGGGCTCCGGCTCCGGCTGCGGGTAGTGGACCGTCTCCGTGTTCCTCAGGAGCGACGGGGGCCGGGGCAAGGACAACTTGGCCGGTGGGCCACCAGGAGCTTCGGCGGCAGCCACCATCTCGGCCCGCCACTGCAGCCATTCTCGAGACGAATGGAGGGGACCATCCTCGTAAAGTCCATTGCCAATCTCAAATTGGCAATTTCGGGCAGCAGTCCCGTAGTCTGGGACGATCCCCCGGGTACCCTCGGGGCTGTCGTGTACCCAGCTGCCGTGTGGGGAATAAAACTTGAACACATGGCCCTCGGACTCCCGGATCAGCTCCGACCCATGCAACTCAAGTACCAGCCCTGCGTCTTGGTCCTTGTCAACCAGGACCGGGTCCACTAGTTGCATGGCGCGGTTCATTATGGCGGTTACTCGATACATGTGGCTTCCTGTTGGAGCCTTTGGCGGCGCTCTGATAATCGCCAGGGAGTGGGCTGGAGGGGTGGTCACCGAGTGGTAAACTGGGTTGCCCAACCAGTTGAAGTGATGAATATCTTCATCGTACTCGTACATACGAGCGCGGCGCTTGAACTCCGCCTCGCAGTCGGCAATGGCCGCCATGCCGCCCTTGTCCTTTCCATCGGTGGTGTTTGTGCGATCATCCAGCTCCTCAGATTCATCCGCCCAAAGAGATGATTGGGACCGGAGAATGTCGCTGGGGTGCACATCATCAACCTGCTGGTCGAGTTCGTCGGACTCTTCGGCCCAATCAAAATGCTGCGGCTTCAAGAGCTCGCTGGAGAAAATTTCAAGGGGGATTTGCTCCTATATATTGCACCAGAGGTCAGTAATATCCGAAACGCGAGACTAGAGAAAGACGGAGATACTATTATTGGAGAAGGAACAGTGGCTTTAGATGCCAAAGTAGGGATGAGGTTGTGCTTCGCACAGTTTGAGTCCTGTATCAGAGTAACTATCAGCGCCTAGTCTCTTGTTAAAGTAGCAGACAGAGAATTGGAGACAGTACCATCATTGGCTGGGCTTGAGAGCTGGGATGACAACCAGCAGCAGAGTTGGAGAGGTCAGACAAGCCAAGCTGTCCACCATTGACTTTTTTCTGTAGCGCGACGTTGTTAGTGTCTGATAAAGGGAGAGACAAGTGGTAACAAGTGGTATTCAGCAGTATCCAAGCACATACCATAATGATCGAGTTGTGAGTTATGATCAGTTAAAAGATGAAGGTTTTAGTTAACTGTAGTAGATCAGAATAGGATATTGGAAAATGGTGAAGAAGAAGAGGAAAAGTAAACAAGATGCGTTGCTAAGGACGTGTCTTATGTCGAAGCTGTGAAGCAACGCTCTTGTTATTTCTGCAAGAAACTGTCGAGGAAGGAGCAGACATTTCATATTGTGTTGCTATTGACAAACATTTTACCAGGGGTATTAGACCTGAAGCATATCATATGATCCTGGTAGACAAAACCCATCTACCCAACCTAGTATATAGTCTGCTTCACAGGCCTGGACTTCGTACTTATCTACAACTATCATGTTTGATCACCAGTTACGCCTTCCATTCTCCCGTCTTCATCTCACATCTACAAGGCTCATCCATCTCAAGCATACCCACCTCACCACTACCCCTGATTAAACATCATGACCACCCCCAATGTAAACTGTGCTGACGTTGATCCTCCTATCTTGCCAGCAGGATCAGAATAGATACTAATTTGAAACCCTATGGCATAGTCTCAAGACGTCAAAGACTTCCCGCCAGGGTCTACGCCGATAATGCCGAACTCAGTTCCGACCTCCACGCACACTAAGCCAAAGACACACCTATGTGGTAATGCGACAGAAATGAAAGCCCTCGCTCTAAGGCGCGCTGTTGAGGGGGAGCTCATAGGTAGGTATACTCCCACCACCTTTCAAGACGACCGCTTCCATCGATCCAAATAGAAGCCTATACTACATATTCCAGCACAGCTTATAGCCTGAAATTCCTTGAGCAATCCCAAGGACCGCCAAACTCTTCACAGAAAATGAGCAGCACCTACCGCGGCCAGGAATATAGCGACCTGGCACTCTGACCAAAAGACAGGAAGGAGCTGCCACCCACCAGAGACGCAAGGCATCGAGACAATTGATATGACTGGCTAAGGAGCAACGTCACCACTCCCAACTCCCACGCTCAAGAGTGATTAGCTTCAATTGCGCATATCCCATTTACCTTACCCCTCGCCTTGTCGATTGTTGTCAGTCCCGTCTTCGTTTGTAAACTCTCCTAATATCAGAAATCCAGCTGATAGACTCTCTGTGACGAATAGAAGCCACTGGCTACGTAGTACCTCGGCGATCCAAATATCTTCCATGCGGCAGAACTACTGTTTTTGCACCTGTTGTATTCCGAAAAGTTTTCGATTGTCCATGCACACATATATTAAGCATACCAACCTAGGCGACTAAATCAAGCATGAAAGAGCGTGACCGTGGTTGCCCTAGCGCTAAGCGATAACTGTCTTCTTCCGCGTATTTATCTATCGCCAATACTAATACCAGCGGAACCAATCAACCAAGCGCAAACAGATCCCCACATATGCTAATCCCGGGCCGAGATCCACCCAGTGGACTCTTCTTACTGTGTACTGCGTATCCGATACGCTGTCACCTGACTAATGATGTCACTGTCCTATTGGCCTAGGTGCTGCAGCCTACGCGAGCGTGAGTCATATAAAAACGAACGATATGCCCTCCTCAAGAGTAAAACAGCAAAGTCGACATCCCATTTCACCATGTCTTTGCCATTCAGTACCCCGCCCTCCGAGGCCACAGCCTCCCTCACACCATTCAAAGCCTCCATCCCGGAGGCCAGACTCACCGAGCTCGAGACCTTGATCAAACTAGCAAGACTCGCACCACCAACGTACGAGAACTCGCAGAAAGACCGTCGCTATGGTGTCACCACTGAATGGCTAGAGACCATGCGTGAGAAATGGCTGAGTTCCTATCGCTGGTAATGACATGATATAGTTTGCATATGCTTTCATATGCATTGGTATTATGCATGATGCTGAAGCGCTCCATTAGGAAATCTTCTGAAGATCGAATCAATAGTTTCCCGCAGTTTGTAACGGAGGTTGAAGGGTTGACGATTCATTTTGTTGGGCTTTTCTCTGAGAGGAAGGACGCTGTGCCGCTTTTGTTGTTGCATGGTTGGCCTGGTAGGTTTGTCGCTAATGCTCTGGGTGGACTCTAGGTTTTGTGGAGAGGTGTGAAGACTGATCGTTGTTGCAGGGAGCTTTCTGGAGTTCTTGCCTATGCTGCAGAAGTTCAAGGATGAATATACACCGGAAACACTACCTTATCACTTGATTGTGCCGTCTTTGCCGGGATATGCGTTCTCGTCTGGACCGCCGTTAGATCGTGATTTTGGGACTGGCGATATTGCTCGTGTTGTAGACCAATTGATGAAGGGTCTTGGGTTTGGGAGTGGGTATATTGCCCAGGGTGGAGATATTGGGAGTCGGATTGCTAGGCATTTGGGAGCGGATCACGAAAGCTGCAAAGGTACGAGGTTTGAGCATATTCTTACTCAGTGCGTTAGATCTCTTTGCTGACAGCCTGCGGTATAGCTGTACACGGTGGGTACAACTCTCCCCTAGGTTGTATGATGATCAAGATGCCAATATAATTTAGTCAACGTGGTATTCATGGGAAAGCCAGACGGCATGACAGACGAACATCTCAATGCCTATGAGCTCGAAGGAATTGAGAAGATGAAGAAGTTCGTTACGACAGGTTCTGGGTATGCAACTGAGCATGGTACACGACCAAGTACAATCGGCCATGTTGTGTCAACGAGTCCGATGGCTCTCCTGGCGTGGTAAGCTAGACGGAATGAAACACGACCGACATTATAGGCATGTAAGGCTGACACCCCCAGGATTGGAGAGAAATTCCTGGAATGGGTCGACGATCCACTTCCTGCAGACGAAATATTGGAATCCGTCACTCTGTACTGGCTTACAGAAACGTTCCCACGAGCAATCTATACTTACCGACAGGTAAGTCCTCTACTCCCTCCCTTTCATGTTCTGTCTAATGAGGGTTTAACAACTATGAATAGAATTACCCCCGCCACCAATCCCAGCCAGCAACGACCCTCGGTGGTACATCCACAAGCCTTTCGGATTCTCTTCTTTCCCTGAGGAGCTTGCCCGATTGCCGCGCTCGTGGATTGAGGCTACGGGGGATCTGGTGTTCTGGGAGCAGCATGAGAAAGTACGTACTCTGGCTCTTGGTGACACTAGAGAACTGATACTGATGCTGTGTTATTATAGGGCGGCCATTTTGCGGCACTTGAGAGGCCAGAGGAATTGAAGGCGGATTTGACCGAATTTGCAGACCAGGTGTGGCCTGGTATCACTGAGAAGAGGTAAAGCTACAAACTTGAAGGGTACATAGGAGGTAAATGACATGATCAATGTTCGAGGTCGATGAGGTCAAGAAGCTTGTGAATCAACCGTTAGAAATCGATACGTTTTGCCATAGAATTAAACACGTGTCGCAGTGGGATTATTGGGGCAATTCGTAGGAAGATATAGCCTTGCCAGTTGACGGAGGGTTTGCCAGTTGGCTAGATCGAGGGTCGCCAGTTGGCGGGAAAGATACCGCCAACTGGACAGACGTTTTTTGTTGATATTCTATCTAAAAACATACTGCACATGTCCCGATCACTTTTTGTAAATTCTTAACACTTACAGCAGCATGCGTAAAGTGTTAATTGAGTAATTTATCTCTCAGTTGGGTCTTGTGTCAAGTATTTTCAGAGCTAGATATATGACCGTGTATACCTGCGCCTAAAATTGAGCATCGCTCCCTCTTTTATAGGCATAGGTAAGGACAATGAAAGTGCACGTAAACAAAGAGATTTGGAAGCTGCCAGGACTCTCAGTTCAAGTTGGCAGCTTATCTTTATGCATGGAAGTCCCAGCGGCCAGTCACCTACGCGCGATATATCAGCGAGCAAGAGGACCCGCCACCACCTAGGTACATACGGGCAGTAGGTAGGTAGCCCGCGGGCTCAAGATGGAACCTAGTTCGAACATATGTGGAGGTAATTTGCTATTAGGTGAGAAGGGACAGGACAGAAACTTGCCATCAACTTCATTCAAACTGGCGACGGGCACTCTTCTTGAATTAGGTAGTGGGCTGGTTACAGATGACCAAATCGCTAATATTAGAACGCGGCTATCAGATCGCATCCCCTTCCCTCCACTACAAGTACCTCTCCCTCACCATTTGCAACCACTTAGCCATATCAATACCAGAATATTCCCAACCAGTAATAGAAGTAAAATGGTAGCAACCAAAGCAACCAAAGAAACCGACGAGATATTCTCCGACGAATCAAGTTTCTACGGTACCAACCTACCATTCCCATCAACAAGAAACCCCCAAGCTAACATCCACACAGGCGACGAAGATGTAAAGACCAATCTCGAAAAACAAGCAACAACATACGACCCAGAGCCATACTGGGTCTCAACCCACGATGCCCTCCTCTCAACAATCCAGCAGCACCTGCGCGCCCCACCAGCTACAAGGGACTCACCCCCAGACGTCACCATGGAAGACGCAGATGCAGAACCAGCCACCATCCCCCGCAGCCAGCGCGGCAAGACGGAGCCGGTATCCCGCTTCCTCTCCCGCCTCCCGCCATCAACAACCCAGGCCTCCGCCGTAGGACACTTCATCTGGATGTACAACCCGCACGCCGCGCCAAGACGCAGCGGCGACATCCCGACCCTCCTGCGAAAAGGCAGAGAACTATTACTAGAGTATGAGGATGAAGCGACTAGCTTGCGTGAGGCGCACGATAAGTCTGGTGCGAAGACGACGGCGCCGTTGACTAGGAAGCTTAATCCGCTGAGGAAGGAGCTGGAGAAGAATATCTTGCAGCTTGGGCGGGAGACGGGTGTTACGGATGGGAAGTGGATGTTGTTTGCTAGTGCTGAGAAGGTGGATGAGGTGTGGGCGACGGTTGTTCGTGCTATGGAGAGGGGGGAGCTTGGGGGTGCGGCGAAGGTTGCTGCGGATGGTGGGGAGGGGTCGATGGAGGGGCGGTTGATTTGTGTTTATACGGAGGATTTTGGGGATACGGGGGATGTGAAGAGGGTTTTGAGGAAGTTGGTTGATCTTGGGCTTGTTGGGAAGGGGAAGGGGATTTTCTATAAGTGTGATGCGTTTACGCATCTGGAGATTAACTCGAAGAATGAGTATGGGCTGAAGGCGAGTATGTACTCGAGTCGGGATATGCTTGGTTGAAAGTGGTGGGGTGATGGATGATTTTCTTGGTTATGGTTGATGAGTATTTGAGGATTTGGTCAATGACTGATATTATGACTGCAGTGGGTATCTCTGAACAATGCGTTTTGACTATGATACTTGATAGGCCTTGGAGCTCTGGTAGCGGTAGTCTCTGCCATTTGAAGGGTAGACTGTACACCCAAGGTATTTCCAAAGGACAGACGAGCGCTGGTTTCGTTGGAGCCCGGGCTACAGGCAGGAGTCGATTGATCACGTCTTCCACAGATTCGGAACGGTTGAGATCTTCATGAATGAGCCGGCTCATCCATGGTCGCGACTTTTGACCGAATCGAAAGTCATGGGACCGTCCAACAGGAGCCAATGCGGAGGAGCTCCCTGCAAATATTACGGCCCCGAGAGGGGCTATTGCAATGCGTTCAATCATCGTGGCCAGCCTTGGTCATGACTTTCTCACAAGCCTCCCGGATCTCAGGGACCCCCTTGACCTCCCCCCAAGCGTCAAGCAAATGCTGAATCTCCTTCCAATCCTTCTCCGCATCCTCCTGCTTATCCTCCGCCAAAAGCTTCTCCAATCTCTGCGGCGCAGCAAGCACCCAACGAACAGTATCCTTCTCATTCTTCAAACTCGACTCCCGATCCCCTTGCTTCGCATCCTTCATTCGCTTGCGTTGCTCCTCGCCTTCCTTAATGAGTCCACCAGCAGTCTCAGCAACAAAAGCAATAGCCGGACCAAGCGTTTTCGTCATCGTCAACGGAGCTCCACGTTCATCCATACTGCGGCGCATTTTCCCAATCGTCTCCACAGCCCGAATCAGCTTCGAGTAATTATCGTAGACAAGCGCTTTCCGCTCGCCATCCAGAGTGCGGATATCGCCAACCAACGTGTTCTCCGCCTTAAGCACCGTAGCCAGCGATGATGTAGACAGTAAATGATCCACGTACCGCTGGGGATCGAAATCTGCACTGTCGAGCTCCGTCCCTGACGGCAGAGCGGACCGGTCGGAGATATCCCCTGCGTCTGTGCTCCGCGGCACGCTGCGGGAGCGGGATGTGTCTCGAGGCGCTGATGAATCTAAGCCGGGTGGTTTGAGATTGTAGTAGTCGCGTAGGGCGTTGCGATTCCGTCGAGGGTGAACCGAGGGGGAGAGCGCGCGTGCGGTGGATGGGGTCGATGCGGCGCTGAGACCGCCGCTGACGCCGGTGTTCACGGCATCGAGTGAGGGGCGGGAGGAGGCTGGGCCCGGGGAGTGGGCTCGTGAGGAAGCAATGGAGGGACGTGGAGACGAGAGCGTAGACATTATTATGAGTGGTGTTGTGTCGGGGATGTCGGAGGTGAAGCGAGGCCAGGTCAATTGGTTTAAGCAGTGGTCTGTGCTCGTCTTTTCGCGTCGACGCCGCCAACTTCCTTGTCCCTTTTTACCAGCGCAACAATATGAAGAAAGACAATTCAAAACATCATGGCAAGTCCTGATCAAATTGCCGCTCAGATACTGAGCACAAAGTCCCTTTCCGTCTCCCAACCATGGCTCAATGACTTCCTATCATCAACCAGCACAACACAGCGCAACGTGCCACCGTCCGCACTCGCAAAGACGGCCATATTCCGCCTCCTAGCATCTGATATCAAAGAATCGCTTTCAAAACACAGATCCTGCACATTACCAGTCGATGTCTGCCGTCCAAACGTCCAAGAGCGCCGTCTACAAGGCTCAATCCCAGTGCAAGTGCTCGACATCGAAGACATCGGGACAAGTCTATGGAGTCAGATCGAAGCTATCGAGCGTGTTGAGCGCGGCGAGGCCATCCGTGGCCGGGAAATCGTGCGCACTATAGCTGTAGGCGAGGACCCCGAGGCGTCGTCGGAGAACAATCGCGCAAGTACCGCGACGGGCACTGCGAGCGTGTCTGGGAACAGTGGGTATGGGCCGCACCGCTTGATTCTTCAGGATGCAGCGGGGACTCTGGTTGTTGGTGTGGAAATGCAACGGGTTGAGGGGATTACGTTGGAGAAACTCGCTATTGGGGCGAAGCTACTGCTTCAGAATCCGACGGTTGCGAGAGGTATGGTGCTGCTTACGCCTAGGTCTGCTACACTGCTTGGGGGTAAGATTGAGGCGTTGGATAAAGTGTGGAGAGATGGTAGGAAGGCTAGGTTGCTGGAGAAGACTGCAAGCGCTGGAGATTGATGAAGAAGACGACTGCCAGGCCTGTAGGCGGCTGGAAGTCGTTCCTCCTTAATTATGCTTGTTACGAGATACGAAGTCTTCATGTTTTGTCTGGTTATCATGAAATCATTGTATGTTAAGACCTTAATACTACTGTTCCTCAGATATCAACTGTGTCACATATCAAGTCGCTAAAAACTGATGTAGTCTAGAGTATGCTATGTTTAGTATCGCACAGTCCCCATTGTACGACGCTTCCACGGAGACATCTCATCCTCAACTGAACCCTCCGATCCAAGACCCATACCACACCTCCACTGTACGAGAGGTGCATCATCGTCCAATTCCTGCCCAGATTTGATACCGCCTTCCTGCAGCTTGCCATCAGGGATAAAATCTTTGAGTTTATCCCATCCATTGCTTTGCCAAGGGGCAACCACGATAGCTCGAAGGACGTCACCGGCCTTTCCAGTTTGCGTATAGGCCTGGCTGAGACCCTCGGCCCGGAAATTGCCATTAGGAGGTACGTTTGCCAATGCCCGATTGAGAGACATAGAAGCGAGATATGGGTGTCCGGAGGCTGCATACAGCTCCATCCATCCGGCAGGCTGTGAAGGTGAAAGCATTACGGCAGCAGTGGCGGCGCCAACGCGCCTGGCGTCCTCGGGAACGTGCGCATCTCGGCCAAGCCCCGCTGCGGAAATGGCGGCCAGAAGGTTGACAACCTTGGCGCGGTCGCGTAGTCCAGTGCTATGGCGCGCGATTATGCCGCGAAGGTCAGGCTCAACATTCGCAAGGGTGTCGCGGTCTTGATCGAGAAGGGCTATGGCAGCCCAAAGAGTGACAACTCCGACATGGCCGGGATTGTTCACTTTGCAATTCAGCAGTTGCTCACGAGCGACAGACCGATTCTCTTCGCCGCCCTTAGCCCACAGGACCTGGGCAAGGAGACAAACTACATCTGGAGACTGGTCCGCTTCTTCGAGGGCATCGCGGAACATATCAATAGCTTGGTCCATTGACTTCATCTTGTAGAATGCAAGACCCGCGGTCAAGTGCGCAGAGAGACGGAGCTTCTTGCAAGCTTCGGGGTCAACTCTCTCTGCGTCCTCTTCTCCAGAGAGGGTGAGCGCGAGTTCGGCCTTCTCTGCAGCCTCTTCATAGGACTGGCGCGCAAGGAGAATACGGGCCATGTCTGCATTTGCCTGAGCATACTTCAAAAGCGAAGCGGGCGACTCGGTCTTTTCATATTCATCTTCCATGCCTTGGCAAACGACCTCTAGGCTGGACTCGGCATCAAGTGTATCGCCCATTCTCTCTGCGAAAAGGGCGGAAAGATGCACGAATGGGAGGTCTGATGGAGCCTGGATGCACAGTTGACTAAGCGCGAAGAAGGGGTGCATGAGTTCCGACACCTCGGTGGAAGCGGACGGCTCGCCAATTCTATCAAAGCGAGACAAACCAAATTGGCGCTTAGGAATAATGTCGGAGGAGTTCGAAATGTCGAATGCGTGCTCGAATTGAGCTCTTGCATCCTCGACATCTTGAATGGCAAGTGCACCATAACCTTGGCCTACACAGGCCAGTGAGTACTCTGGGTCAATGGCCTGCGCTCGCATGAAAATCTCGTTGGCTTTGCGAGTTTCTCCTTGAAGGAGATAGAGCGCTCCGAGATTGGTCCAGACCTGCGCACTACGTTCGTTCAGATGCAAGCTCCGCACGAACGCATGCTGAGACACTTTGGGACTCATGGCGGCCGTGGCGACACCCAATGCGTTCCAGAACTCGGCATTTCCGGCCTCCAATTCTATGGCTCTCTTGAAGCAACGCATAGCTGTTTTTAAAAATTTGCGGGACTCTTTGCCCTTCGTGGTGGAATTCACCTGCACATTGCGAGATGCCAAATATTCAGCCCAACCCAAATTGTACCAAGCAATTGCCTGGGAATGCGTATCATCCTTGGAGACGTGTAGAGCACGTTTATATGCGATGATGGACAAGAAGATGTGAGATTCGGATGGCATCGACTCCTCACTGTCACTGGCCTCGAGCCAGCCATTTCCGACCCCATCAATATCAGCCATGACTTCAAGCGCCATGGGGTCAAGGTCGACTGACAGCAAAGCCCGGCAACTGTGGACAGATAGCTTTTCAGCCTTCGCCTTCATGGACGTCAAGTTCGCGCAGACATCGCCTACAGCCTTCCATAGATTGAAAATATCACTTTTGACCTGTGCCAGAGAGCTTGCTACCGCAATGGCTTCGCATACGAGCTCTGCGGCCTCGTCAAAGAGACCCATGGTAAGCAACTTGGTCGAATTCTCTGTCAGCGTTTGAAGAAGAGCGAGAGTTACACCGATGTCATCAGGTCTAGACTTCAGAATATTCTCGTAGCCGGCAATGGCATCATCAAATTGGCCAAGATCCCGCCAGACGTTTGCCATCATGTACCGCGCAAACCATGCGTGTGTTTGATCTTCCGCTGAGAGAGCTGGCACTAATGTCTCGGCATGCTCAAAGGTCTTTATGGCAGCGATGTATTTACCAGTGTGCTGGTACCCTTCGGCAAGGCCAACCCATGAGTTGTAGTCACCTGGTGAAAGTCGAAGTGCCGCTTGGAATGAAACAATGGCTTTAGTGTACTGCTGCTTATTGATTTGAACGGATCCCAATGCCGCATATGGCCAGCTGTAGCCGCGGCGCTTTGACCCAGGGGAGGGTCTGGCCAAGCCAGAATCGACGACGCGCTGCGCAACGGCTTCAACGAGGTCCCACTCCTTTGAGTTGGCGAAGTCTCTGGCAAGACGCTCAGCAGCTTCAATCTCGGATACGGACAATTCAAATGCCTTGTGGAAGCACCTGCGAGCTCTGACTTTATCTTTCTTGTAGTCTGCGTAGTAGATGCCAAGGAGACTGTATGCTGGAGCATATCTCATATTGGCCTTGATGGAAGCAAAGAGGCTAGCATAAGCGCCATTGCGGTCTTTTCGAGCAGCTCGAGACGGGTTGATCTCCCATTGGCAGTAACCAATTCGATAAAGAAGCTCGGATGCGAAATCTCTGTCATCTGGTTGAGCTTCCTTCAAGTCATGAAGCGTGGCTTCAAGACTAATTAAGCCATCTTCAAGACTGCCGCTAAGTGCTTCACACCAGGCAAGCTCTCCACGAATCTTCAGGTTAGAAGCATCGCGGTCAAGTGATCGTCTCAAAAAGTCAACGGCCTCTGCATAGTCATGATCCTCTTTCAAGATCAGGCCGATCCCCAGGAGGCAGTTGGAAGAGGTTGGTTTGCGTTCAAGGATGTCCTCGAAGATGCGCTTCGCTTCAGGGTGATGGCGGGGTGATTGATGATAAATCAGGGCATTGGCAAGTGCAATGTTCAAAGCATCAGTGGTGTTCTGGAGCGAAACCCCACTGAACCTCGCGAGTTCCGCAACGAAGGATAATCCTTTCCTAGCAATAGTGATCACGCTCGCATATTCTTCGAGCGAAAGGTAGAAGTCTGCCATGATGCGATGTGCAAGAATTGAATCCCGCGCGGACTCTAGACCCTCAGCCATCAAGATCAGACGGTCTTCAATAGCTATTTCATGATCATTAATTTCGTCATCAGACTGAGCGCCTTCCTTTGCATCAGTGTTGCGCGCTGATTCGTCTGGGGGCGGAATAGGAAACGGCGACAGTTCGCTCGACAGGAAGCCCTGGAGAACTTTGGCAAGACCGGATTCTGGGAAGAACTCGATGTATTCACGCAAGTGCCCCACGTCATAGTCGGAGAATTCCTCAACATCCTGCCACCCCAAGAAAATTTTCCATGCGGGCTCAAACGGATGTTTGATGATCACCATGTCTTGAGCGGCTTTGAAAACCGCTTCCCTCTTGGTCGCCTTGTCCGCCGCAGGGACGAAACCGAGCTCCTCATACGCACGCTGGAACAACTTCTCTTCATAATGCCGACGAATATCGTCGTCGTTGGTCCAATCAATTATTCCATGATAGAATCGATCCAAGCCGCTGTTTTTCGCAGCTTCCCGTCGGACCTCCTGTGTGACTTGGTCGATGCGCGCACCGAGACGTGTTCTTCGTTCGCCGATTTCCCGATTTATGAATTCCTTTTCGAGGCTTTCGGTAATTTCAATCAATCGCTGATACGTCTGGGACGGATGAGGCAAACGCCCTTCAAGGAAATCGTAAAGAGGTGAGCCCGGCAACTGAAGTTCCAATGCATGCTTTTGTTGGGTTTTGGTCCCAGTATCCTTCATCGTTTTCGTGTATTTGTTGATCACATCGTGGCAGCGATCCTGCTGGTCCCTAGATGTCGAGGTGGTCAGCTCTTTGCCCTCGCTAGTTCATGGATTTGAACCATGCACAGCGTACTCATCGGCGAATATTTTTCCAAGCGCAATGACGGCCTGGCGATAGCCATCATGCTCACAGCCACATTTCTCGTACAGCGAGACCAAACCCAGCCAAGCAGTCTTATCGTCGGCATTGATTTTAGTCGCAGCGGAGTACGCACTCTCTGCTTCGGCGTCGTTATTCAATCGGTCGTGTGCAACGCCAAGGAAGACGTTTCTAAATGAAAGCGTCGAGTTAGTCACCTCATGTTTCTCGCCATTCCTTAGGGATCAAACATACGCGTGGTAATTATTGGGATCATGCTGAATGATGTCCTTGGACTTTTCAATCGCACCTTGATAGTCTTTTTCCGCCAAAGCCTGTCGCACAGCCTTTAGTGCTGCTTTGGCCGCCATCCTGTTGTGGTGCAGAAGGAGCGGGTAATGAGGACGTGGAAACAAGAGAAGTAATGGTGGATCGAGCGTGGACTTATCGGGCAATCGATACGTCACTCCTTATCGTTATCGTACCTCCCCTCCAGGTCATGTGATTTTGCCCTAGCCCCCCCCCTCTCGCTGCTTACACCTGCTGCCCTTCCGTCAGACCTTGTCTTTACTTGACTCGGTAATGAGATAGAATATTCGAAAGTGCGTTCCGTTATTTGCGTATCCCTTGCACCTTTTGAACGTCTATTTTGCGAGCTTTAGTGACTGAACATACTCCGTAAAAAAGACGCCGTAAATACTCACCCTTCGCCGCCCTATACACCGCCGAATACACCGCCGAATACACCGCGCAATATTGCCAATACCGCCTTCCTAAGTCCTAACCCAACGATCCTGGAGCAAAGAACAGGTTGGTAATTGGCTCCTGTTCAGCGGGCATGATCAAACTGAGTTACAATTATTACAAAGCATTTGAAGCATCTCGTCAGCGATGATATCGTATTGCCAGGACTGGTCTCCACCTTACTAGTTTAATTACGTCTTGAATGTCCATCGGGTTTATGGCCGGCAGAATGTTCGTGAGCGGGGGAAAGATCACGTGCACAGTTCCACCTGACGTCGACACCAAAGGCCCCAGCCCAAGAGCTCGTCGCTCGGCATTCTGACTCTTGATATTCCGGGCCAGGCAGCTAAAGCAGCTCATTAGACTATTTTATCAGTCGAATTTACGCAAGGAACATCCCACAATTTGCTGAGTGCACAACGATCATCTTCCTACCTATTGACACCCTTGTATACATACTTCACTTCGATCATTCCCCACGAGGACCTGCCTTCTCCACTATCGCTCCCTTAAACCGAGGCTCGCTAGCAGCTCGTCAACCATGGCGCCTCTACGTCTAAGGATTGAAGGACAATCCTTTCGGGACCCTCATAGCCGGGAGATCACGCTAAGGGGTATCAACGTCGCGGGCGATGCGAAATACCCGAAGACACCCGATATCCCGACATACATCTCCGATAACTTCTTCGATGGAGACAATGTATCCTTTATTGGGCGACCATTCTCACTGAAAGATGCCCATATACATTTTAAACGCCTCCGGAAATGGGGTTATAACACTATCAGGTACATCTTTACCTGGGAAGCGATTGAGCATGCAGGACCTGGCATTTACGACCATGAGTGGGTGGAATTCACGATAGAAGTTCTCCGACTAGCCAAACAATATGACTTCTGGGTCTTCATGGACCCGCATCAGGATGTGGTGAGTCGAGACAATTAGAGAACCTACATGTCTGTGCTAATTCATTCAGTGGTCTAGGTTCTCAGGAGGATCTGGGGCCCCGATGTGGACGCTTTATGCGGCGGGACTAAACCCTAAGACATTCAAAATCACAGAAGCTGCCTTGGTTCAGAATACATATGACAGTCCCGCAGAGTTTCCTAAGATGATCTGGAGCACCAACTACACTAGGCTGGTCTGCCAAACCATATTTACCTTATTTTGGGCAGGGCGAGACTTTGCTCCCAAAGCAGTCATTGATGGGATGAACATTCAAGATTATCTCCAAGGTCATTTCATTCGTGCGTGTGCATACCTGGCTCGGAAAATCCACGAAGCAGGTGATCTCAACGGAGAAGTGGTTATCGGTTGGGAAAGCATGAACGAGCCTCACCGTGGTATCATTGGTGTGCAAGACATCTCCGTGATTCCGGCAGAGCAACAACTTCAACTGGGAACCTCGCCAACAGCATTTCAAGCCATGCTTACTGGGTCAGGAAAAGCCTGTGAGCAGACGACATGGGCTTTCGGAAACTTTGGTCCTTACAAAACTGGCACAAACCTCGTGGATCCCGCAGGTGAGATAGCCTGGCTGCCGGCCGATCACGATGATAGCAAGTATGGCTGGCAACGTGGTCCTGGGTGGAAACTTGGGGAGTGCATCTGGGCTCAGCATGGCGTTTGGGACCCGTCCACCGACACGCTCATACAGAAGGATTATTTCTCAAAGAATCCTCAAACTGGCGAGCCACTCGACTATGAGAAATTTACCAACTCATACTTCATGGATCATTACCGGTCCTTCAAGGACGCCATTAGAGAGTCTTTCCCTGACGCGATAATGTTCTGCCAGCCGCCTGTGATGGAAGTTCCACCAGATGTCAAGGGCACTAGTGATGATGATCCAAATATGGTCCATGCAGTTCATTACTATGATGGGTTGACTCTTTTAACAAAACATTGGTGAGCTTTGATCAATTAATCAGTCCATGTCTCTGTAGTGCTAACCGCGGCAGGAACCGACTCTACAATGTAGATGTCATTGGCGTTCTTCGGGGCAAGTACCTCACGCCGGCCTTTGCGGTCAAGATTGGCGAGTCCGCTATCCGCAATTGTTTGCGTGACCAGCTCAAATTCCTTCGCGAGGAAAGTCGAAGTTACATGGGCAATCACCCAGTAGTATTCACGGAAATTGGGATCCCCTATGACATGGACGACAAATACGCGTACAAGACGGGTGACTATGGTAGCCAGACTAGCGCTATGGACGCAAATCATTTTGCATTGGAGGGAAGCACAGCCAACGGTTTTACTCTATGGGTCTATGCCACACAGGTAGATATCCTTAATCCCTCGATTATGAATATTACTGACTTGGTGCAGAATGACCACGAATGGGGAGACCAATGGAATGGCGAGGATCTGTCTATCTATTCCCCTGACGACCTAGAACTGCCGGCAGGAAGCACCACTCGCACTAACAATCCCCATTCTCCGGCCTATTCCGAAAGCCAGAATAGTGGAGATGAGGCCGCTGTTGGACCCAGTAACCTCAAAGGTGCTTTGGTAACTCCATCGATCTCCAGCGACCGATCCCAGCAATCTGTCCAACAGAAGCAAGGTTATCGCGCCGCCGAAGCATACCTTCGCCCCAGCCCAACCTTTGTGAGCGGGAAATTGGAAACCCACGCTTTTGATCTCAAGAACTGTGTGTTTACTCTGTCATTGACGGCCAAAGGGCCTACCACCACGGCCGCCCCAACCGAAATATATCTGCCAGAGTTCCATTTCCCGGAGACCAGCATAGTTGTTGCAGTCAGCGGCGGCAAATGGGACATTAATGTCCACGAGATCCAGGGAATCAAGCTGCAGCACTTGCGATGGTGGCATGGGGAGGGGGAACAGAATATCAAGATCGAAGGGTTGAAGCGTAAGCCTGAAGAATTTTCCAATCCTGGGGGCGAAGATGTCAGCTACCTGGAACAATGCCAGCAAGGTCAATGTGTCATGATGTGAGCGAATGTCATCTGCAATTCCAATACGACTTGTTATTGCTCTTTCTATAGGTTGTCTACCTGGAATGCTTTTTTTACCTTCCAAGGTTGCTATATAATCCATGCTCATCACTCGAACTGTGCTCATTGCCTACATGATAATAGTGTCAGCAATAATGTGTGCCATAGACGCTTTGGGTACTGTGTAAGCTGCGCAGCTCTTATCATCTTAGTGTCTTAGAGCCAAGAGGAAGGCGCGGCCGCGCGTTGCAAATCCCCCCACTCCTCTGACATCTCAACCTACACCCGCCTTTCCGTTACGCCTTCTGACATCAAGCTTGGCCCCGAAAGGTTGATACCTTTTGCCATATACACCGTAATTAACCAACAGATCAGGTGCGGCACGTGTCTCAGCGGGAGTACAGGTCCAATCCGTTGGGATGTAGCCTTGCCAGTTGGCGGGAGACTTACCAGTTGGCGGAAAGCTCGCTAAACACGCCTCGGGAACTTGGCACCAACGCTAGGGTATTGGAGAGTGTACATTCGGAGAGTGTAACTACGTGCTCTTCTCACTCATATGAACTAACTGCTCTCCATGTATAGCATTTTTGCAAGAATTAGCACACGGAGGGCACTTCCTTGGCTCCGATGAAGCTGCATGCGTTCATTCGGTTTTGATACCATTACTAGCATGTCACGGATACTGACTGACAACTGGACGGAAGACTGTTGTTGATACCTCATCCAGAAAGGTACTGTAGGTACACATGTCCTGTTCACTTTTGTAGGTATACAGTTAACACTTACAGGCACACGCTTCATGGACGTGTCACCTACCTGATCTGTCCCTCGCCGGGCCGCAGGCACGGGCTGAGTCTTGTATCGCATATATTCAACATGGAAGTCCATAAGGCCAAGCTCATAATGGGCCTGCGATCTGCCTCTTGGTGCATATTTTAGGCCTTGGCACCACATGATCATTACTGCCCGGGTTATCCTCATGTTCCATACACGTGTTTTGGGTCCGCATTGGAAAGGAAGGAACAATCCACGCTCCCTCAGGTCCAAGATGGAAGAACTGCTTTCCAAATAAGGAAGGCACAACCCACGCTCTACTCCTCGTTCCATCAGGAAGGACTTGTCACTTGATTCGACTTCAGCCAAGGGTATAAATACCCCCTCCTCCTCATCTTTTCTCTTTTTTTTTCTTTTCCTTCTACACATCTCTTCATTAGCTCTCAATTATTAAATCATTGCCATCTCCTCAGGCACCAACCCCTCTTCTCATCCTCCCTCTTCTCATCCTCCCTCTCTTCATCCTCAATACCTTCACACCTTGGTTCTTATCTTCCTTTCTTCTCTCCTCTCTCTCTCTCCTCTCTCTCTCTCTCTCTTCTCCTCTCTTCTCCTCTCTTCTCCTCTCTTCTCCTCTCTTTCTCCTGTCTGTGCTTGCTACCCTCCTCCTTCGACTCAACTTTTCGTTGTCCCACACCTTCAAGTTGCTTTCACTCAACCATATTCAGTCTCACCGTGGCGGGCTTCGACTTCAGGACAATCGGGGGACTAAATATAGCAACCGCAACCACCCAACCGTCCACTCCACCTCCACCCGCCTATGTTCAGTCTCACCGTGGCGGGCCCCTTCGGCTTCAGGACAATCGGGAGACTGCATATAGCAAACGCAAACACCCAACTGTCCACTCCACCACATCCACTCACCTATGTTCAGTCTCACCGTGGCGGGCTTCGGCTTCAGGGCAATCGGGAGACTGAATATAGCAACCGCAACCACTCCACCACGTCCGCTTGACCACCTCCATTCCCCTATGTCCAGCCTTGCCGTGGCGGGCCTCTTTGGCTTCAGGGCAATCGGAAGGCTGGATAGGGAAGCCTGCTCCACTCAGTCCACTGCCTCTACTGAGGCTTTCCCAACTTCGCCTTGCCGCCTATCAACCATCAACCATTTCGACTATCTGTTCGACCTTACATCAACAGTGTCCTCCACAAGGTCTTCAGACCTTCTTAGCCTTTCCAGACACCGTCAACTGTCTCCATCTTCTCCCTGACAACCAACAACCATCTCCACCGCCCGCTATGCCTCCGCTCAAACCCTCTTGCCATATTACTCTACGGCCCCTCCAGTCTCGCCTTAACACCAATATCTTATCCTTGACCATCTGTCACTAAATGCAATCCGCCTATCCTTATATTGACCTTCCCATATTGGCTTTTACACACACCATCATATCGATTCTCTCCACATGCTGTCTCCCATGCCTCTTATCATCGTTATCTTGCCATCTTTCTTCGTCTTCAACCCACCGTCATTGACCACCGTCAACCACCCGGCCTTTCAGGCCTCAAAATATTATCTATCACCATGCACTAGCCACTACTGAAACCAACTTCCATCTATCTTTCCATCCTGGCTCCTCCATCTACCACCTTTATCCATCAGAGATTTGATATTGCACTGGACGCATTCGTTCATGGCCTTCATCATCGTCATCTACAACCATCCTCACAACCAACGAGCCTGTCCACTCGGGCCTTAAACCACTCACCCTGTTCTCTAAATGGGAATTCCCTCTTGGCCTGTTCTTCAACGGGCGTACCACCATCTCCTCATCATCGAAAACCCACTATTGACAGCCAATGTCTTATCCACCTACGAACCTTTTCGACTTAGCCTTTCTGACCACTCACTGCCGTCGTCATTGAACAACAAACCTTCTGGCATCCGCATGGACTGCGAGTAATTCGCACCGTTAAATAAGGTTCAATCTTCTTATTATCCTGGCCACCTGCGACCAACCATAAAGAAGCATCCTCCTCCTCCTCCTGAGAGCCCACTGCATTCTAGCCGCCAGCCAAGATTGGTTGTGCTGCCACCAAAGAATCTCTACATTCTGATGACCAGGCAAAACATCGATCATCCGCCTTCATGAGCCTCCATCACTTGGGCCATCATCATGACTACCCGTTCTCTACCACGCCCAGCAATGGCTCCTTGGTTTCTGTGTCCCTGCTTCATCTTGACCACCAACCGCCATTGACCATGCCACCCGTCTATCAATATGGACCTTTGACCTTTTCATCTTCGTCTTTGCGGGCTTGCTCAGCGCCACCTGGACAAACCATCTCTCAATGGTTACCCACGTGTTGATCATCATCCTGAGGACATGCCCTGTGGTCTACCTACCATCCGCCCTGACTCCGCGCATCATGGCAGCGACCCACAATTACACAGTACCACCACGCTGCAACTCTCACGGATAAATCGTGTCCTCAAATCTCAAATCGTCTTCTCGGTGCAATTTGCCACCAGATATGGTCTCACGAAGCGCCTGGTCCACCACCGTCTACACATCAATCCGTCACGGTCAAACAAGCAATGGAAGTGACCATCGAGTCACATTCTTCGGTTCTTCATGTCTATCTCAGGATCGCGGAGGATTTCCGTAATTCGTCTGCGGATGCCTTTTTCCCTTCACGTCCCTGTCTTTCTTTCGGTGTCTCTACCCTCAGGAGATCTGCCATCTGTGCTTGCATAACAAACTTTAGGTAGCTCAATGAATGCGGAATTTATTTCATTCCAATTGCTATTACAGTGCATTACAGTGCATTGGCTTTAGACTCACGCAATTCCAATTTACTAACTTCATGCAGGATATCCTGATTTCCAGTCTTGTTGCCATGTATGCGAAGGTCTACCTACACATTGTAAAGCGTGAAGACTCCTGAGGGCCACGGGCCAACTGGCGTAGCAAGAGATAAGATAACCAATGGTGAGGGGCAGGCTATGATGACACCAAAACAAAACAGACGTGACATGGAACAATTAACAAAGGGATATTATTGCAATTGTCCTTCGATCTAATCCTGTGTGATGTTGAAACGTTCACTGAGATCTTCATCAGTGAATCCTTCTCTCACTCTGTGGCAAAGTGCGAGAAAGTAGACACCAGGTCGGACCATCAACGAGTGAGCGGTGTGTGCCCTTGTTGATCTTCAGGGAAAATTCTCCAGTCTCCAATTATCTTCTCCAAGTCCCCTTCCGTGATCTTATCCTTCACCAGACCCCTGCATTGCAAAAGCACCTCACCACTTCGGAGTTAATCCCAACCACGATACCCATACCCTTCCCTCACCATCCCATCGGAAAGAGCGAGTGGCGCGTGCGGATGGCCGTTGCGGTGTCCGACTGCTAAGCCAACACAGGACAGGCTCAACGGCCATCGATTCTCACCTAATCTCCACCTGACTATGAGAGACAATCTCGTCCTCTGATACCAGTTCGATCCTCGATTTCCGATTACGAAATATCTCTGCAACGCGTTACCCAAAATGGCTGCGGAGGAGCTGTCGGAGGGCGGCATGGCTGATATCATCCGTGCCCTGCAACTCATTCACAACCCTGCATCGTCAAACGATCTACGGAAGGAAGCCTCGAATTTTGTGGAGAGCTTGAAAGAGTCTGATGCGGCCGCGCGAAATGGGTTTCTTTTGGCTTCCCGTATGGAGCATGAGCCCGTCGTCCGATACTTCGGCCTGACACTCCTCGACCATGTGCTTCGCCATTACAATTTTACAAATCCTGAAGAAGCAAAAACTCTACGCGTAATGATTTTGCAACTCGCCGAGAATATCCGCGCCGAAGACCCTGCATATTTCCGGAACAAGATCTCCCAATTGTGGGCTGAGGCCGCTAAGAAGAGCTGGGGCCTAGATTGGATGGATATGGATGACAACCTGGTACAATTTTGGGGTGCGTCGCTTGTGCACAAAGAGCTTGTACTCGCCGTTCTTGAGACACTCTCCGAGGATGTCTTCTTCCGCGAGGACACTGCCTCGTCGCTGCGCGGAGGTGAGCTCAATCGGGCGCTCATCGAGATCTTTACACCTGCAGGCATCGTCGAGCAAATTACTACTGACAAAACCCACGTCACTGTTCCACGCTGTGGATCTGAGGGTTGGCTGGTTCGAATCTGCGAATTCCTCGACACTTGCGTCCAGAACATCTCTAGCTCGGAACAGGCAAGAGATGCGGCCATAAAGGCTCTGGCGACATTGAGGTCCGCCTTGTCATGGTGTCTCTACAAAGCTACAATTGCCTCGCAGGTCGTTCCTAGCATCTTCAGAGCTTTGCCTTGCCAAGATGATCAGGTGCTTCTAGCCGCGATTGAAGCACTCCACGCGCTCTACGGAAGAAACAACATTGGAGGCGAAGAATCCCACGGCTTAATCTGCTTGATATTTGAGCCAGAATATCTTCTTCTCCTTCAAGGACTTTACGAGTGGTCGATTGTGGGCCCGGACGATGTGGATGATCCTAGATACCTCATCTCAAAAAAGCTTTCCGAGATGGTCTCGTACATTGCTGGGTGTTTGGAAGACGACAAGTTCTTACGAGATACCATGAATCGTTTGGATTTACCGGCTTTCCTGCAGTTCATGGTCAACATCATGCAACATCAAAGCTTGACGGTGTCCATACCTTGCTTACATCTGTGGTCCAAGTTGCTACAGAGCTCCAAAATCAGTAAAATGGAATTCGTGGTAGGGCAAACTCCTCAGTTTTTAAACATTTGCACCTCGAGACTTCTTCGCTGGGAGTCTCTCCCGACCGAATCCGATGACCCCACGGTCCAGTTCTTGGTCGAAGACATTGATACGGTCCCCGAGCGACATGCGTTTGTTGGGAACTACCGCCGTTACTGTTCGTCCATCATCGAAACAATTACGCTCAAGCGACCCCAGGAAGCAGTGCACGAAATCCTGGCGCGGGTGGACGCCAACCTGGACAACTTGTATGCCGGTGTTCCGCCTTTTAGCAGTGAGAATCCACAGTCCGTTGAAGCCCGAAGTTCGAAACTGACACAGTTCGCAGTGGAAACATTCAGCAAATCTTCGATTCCTCTCATGCGTGCGGATGCTCAATTTGCGGTGGTAGAGGCTGTCATCAAGGGATACAATAAGTGGGTTTCAGCTCATGGGAAAGCACCACAACGCGATGTAAGTAGTCCGAGTGGAGAGTGGATAATTGACCACTAACGTATTACATAGGAGTCCAAGCGAAACCAATTAGAGCACGCCGTTGAGAGCTGGGCGACGACCTTGATGCAAAGGACCTATGAGGTATGTCATGCTGCACCAGTCTGGGAAATACTGTTTTCTCATGTCATCACAGGACCCGGTCTTGAAACAAAGGGTTATCAAATTGGCTGTCGATATCTCGTCGAAGGCCTTGGACAACCACCCCGGCTTTGCACTCAAAGTTTTAGAACACATTCTCATGACGCGTCTCCCAGACCGATCTGAATACCCGTTGTACTCTGAGGCCGTCAAAGAACTTCATGGATTGGCAAGCTCTGAACTTCGTCGGTTAGCCATCCGCTATCCTGATTCTTTCTACGTGTGTCCTTTCCCTGTGTCTTGCTGGTTATCCTTTACTAACTATTCACCTTATAGACTTTTTATGATGTTCTGGAACCGAAGATCAAAGAAGTCACGTTGACTAACCGCGTGGACGACAAGCTGCAAATGGAGCTGACTTCTATCCTGATAATTATCATGTAACCCGCCCTCCCCTACTCGCCATATCTCAAAAACTGACCCAGACGGATACATTACAGGCAGCGTGCGAACAATGCTGATCCCTATTTGCGCCAAACTCGACTCGCAGCCTTCCTTCAACCAATCCGAGACTCATGGCAAGATGATCAGTTCTGTCAAAGCAGCTCCACTTTCGCCGGGTTTTGCACTATGCTCGGATTGGAAAATGTTGGTCCATACATGCAATCCAAAGAAGCCCAGAAACTGGCAGATTGGTCAGAAGTTCCTTTGGACAATCAAGGACAATTGATTCAAGAAGAGATGACCAGAAAGTTCCAGGTAAGAACGCAGAACCCAGTGACTTCGACAGAGCTTTCTGACCTATTTCGATTTAGCTATTACCGTTGCGCGGCACCAAGACTGTGTTAGCGGTTTCCACAGACCGAGTCAAGAAGACTATGCCAGCATACGGGATCGCCTGTGAAATGTGGCACCAGCTCATTCCTCTGATTCTTCCCACTTTACTGCAGCTTGTTAGGTAATTATGCAAACCAACGTAGCCTCGTGTGACCAAGCTGATCATCTTTTTTAGACACGCCCATGCATTTCACAACCCTGACAATTGGAATATGGTCGAAGGTATGCAACCGGTGGTGGAACGAATCTTGACAGATCGATTCTGGCAGGCTGGTATTTCTGTTGGCAGCCGTGACGAGTTCTATGCTAGAATCACATCATCCAAGTCCACACTTGAAGGGTTTGCATCATCAGTTCGAGGAAAAGTTAGGGCTGTCCGCGAGGCTTGTTACTCCATGCTGTTCAGCATGAGCCGGCTGCGCGAGCACTTCTACGGATTCGCCGAGCTTCCGGGGCCCCTATCTGAAGCATTATTTATTGACTCAGCCCATCTCTCGTCCCACCAGTTCTCGGTTCTTCTCAATATCTCACGTTGTCTGATTGACGACTGCCCCGTGCAATTCCGCAGCCAATTTCTGCCCCCCATGCTATCGACTCTGTTTACCAACATTGATCGAAAGGTCACCACTGAATGGGAAATAATCGAGCAACGCAAGAACGGAATTTCGGACGGAGATCTCACCACAGAGATGAAGTCCGAAAGTGTTCTTCGTCAATTGACTTACTCTGCTGTGATCATGGTCGCCAGTCTCTTTGATCCACAGAGAGGTGGTAATGAGTCCCCCCTTTGGATAGGATATTGGAGATACCCGACACTGACAGTATCGAAACGCCCAGATCCAGATGGGATTGCATCGGACCCTAGTGCGCCCCAGCCGACCCCAAGCCTCTCTGATTCCATCCGCCATTTCGTCCTCTCCTCGCCGGAGATCTTTGAGCCAGTCATGCTCTTTTGTACACACGCCCTTCGCATGCGTGATACCCGTAGCGGTAGCATTATCACCCGTGTTATCCGCTCGATTCTGCAAGACTTTGCCCCTACCGACAATACCCAAGATACGCCGACCATCGCGACAATTCGCGAATTCATCTGCACTGATGTTCTCAAAGCGTGCATTGCATCTGTACATGATTCGTACTTTGTGGATATGCAGAAGGACCTCGCTCAGCTCATTGCCTCCATTTGGTCCCTCTATGGCTTCATAAGCGCCACGCCCCGCGCTGTTTTCCTTGGCTTACCTGGAATCAGCGCAGAGAAAGTGGCTCAAACTGAGTCATCTCTGCACCGAACTACATCTCCAAGACAGCAGCGTGCATTAGTCTTGGAGCTCCTTGAGCCTTTGCGTGGCATCAGCATTGCCGAGCAAGGGAAGATCTTGGGTTCCCGCGAGGAACGTCGTAAGGCTCGTTCAGCGTTGCAGGAGCGCTACATGACCAATGAGATGGAGACTCAGCAGCAGAGCCACCGTGTCGACATCAATGATGGTCCAGATCTTGGTGGTGTTGCTGATCTCTTCGGATAGGCCCGTTATTACATGCTTTTTTCATGGCGAAGAGTCGGGATATGCCGATGTCTACAAGGGCCTAATGAATTTTAATATCGTGGATACCTGTGCATTTGAACACCATTCGCGGCCCCGTACCTAACCATTATTATGCCACAAGTCCTTCTTGACCTTGTATTGTTATGCGTTGCATCTCATCAACTACCCCGTCGGTCATTGCGAGCAGCGGCGTTAAGTGAGGGCATGTATAGAATTGAAAAACATATTCTGTCTTATTCCTGGAGTGTCCACCGTTCTGCAGTATGGATTCAGAACCTAATTCTCTACTTGGGTGGAAGAGGGGCCTTAAGAAACGAGCAGAAAAAAAAGACATTGCAAAAGACCGAACTAAACCTTTCACTAGGCGAGTAATATCTACAAAAGTTTTCTCGAATTGCCTTCGAGGTTGCTCATCCCTATCACCACCGCGACACTTCCAACTAGCTCTTCTCACAAGGGTCAGAGAGGCTCAGTTCAGTCCGTTTGTCATGGAGGCGATTCACCCAACGAAGCATCCCAGAACACCAGCACCATACAGCGTCAAATCGGGAGAGAGAAAAGAGTTACGCTCTGCTCAAAAGAAGTGTGACATTATCAAACTGTCTATTGGGTGAGGTTGGAGGGGGTATAGGCGAAAGTAGGGCGAACGAAGCTATGGGGAAGTGCGTTAGCATCAATGCGAGGGATAATAGCGTCGAGTACGCTTGAGCAAAACATACCGATCGGAGTTGTAGATCTTGGACTCGGTACCGAGAAGCTCCTTCTCGCGCGCCTTGTCGGCGTAGTACCGGCGGACCTGGTCGCGGTCCTCCTCGGCCTGGAGGAGAGGAGTGAGGTGCAGACGGGACCACATCTTCTCGCGTGCGAGCTCACTAAAATTCAACAGGTGTCAGCCTTTGTGTCCAGTTCTTTTCCTCCCTTCCCATTCTGAATTGGGCCCCAATTGCGGTTCTCTCGGCTCGATCGGAGGCAGGAAAGGAGCCTGTCGCTGGTAAGACGTACCGCTGCTCACGGACACCGTGGAAGTACTTGTAGAAACCGTAGGCCATAATAAGGTGCATGCCGATCATGTAGTAGCCGGGCTTGAAGCCGCGGGCGGGGAGGTTACGCTATAAAGAGTGACAAACGAGGTGGTTAGCCTTGATGCTTGTGTGCTGGGCGTGCGGGGCCATTGAGACCCCAGAAGCTGGATTCCATGGCGTACCTTGTACTGGACTTGAGCGTAGCCCCCCGTTGGGGGCATATCCTGAGGCATTGTGGCGGTAATAAGCTGGTGGAGGACTTGGAGGGATATCGAAGAGCCGCTGTGACGATTGGAGAAGTTGGGTCCGGATGGTCACGTGGTTGGATGCACAGTAATGAGGGCTTGGACGCACGTCATTGGCTGATGAGTTTCGGAGCGGGCGCTTTTTCAACTTCCCGATCTACACGGGACAGCCCACTTTTACTTTTGTTTGTCAAGTCTGCTACACAACTATGGAAGAGCAAGAGCGACCTCGGAAATTGCCCAAGCTGGACCACAACGAAGAGACCGTCCAAGAGGTGCTTGGGCCCGCCATGACTGGAGCTGTTGTTGATGGTCCCGCCGACGAACCGGAGGCTGCGATCGCCCAGATTGGGAATGAACCTCTCGATATCTCCGAATTCACGGTCCAAAAGGCTACTACGAATGAGTCCGCTCCCCAAGACGGCGCCGAGGCCGCCGCGCCCACGATGTCGAAAAATCAACTGAAGAAAATCCGCCGCGCGGAAGCTCTTCAACAGAAGCGTGCGCTCCAAAAGGCGCAGAAGAAGGATAAACTCCAAGAGAAGAAAGAGCGTCGTCGAGCTATGTTTGAGGAGGCAAAGGCAACAGGCGGCGAGGAAGCCGTCAAGAAGCTACGAGAGACATTCAAAAGCACGAAAGCCAAGCACGCCAAGTCAACACTTCTGCCTTTGACATTCGTGATGGATTGCGGCTATGACGACCTGATGTCAGATAGAGAGCGCATCTCTTTGGCAGGCCAGCTTACGCGCTCATACTCGGACAACAGCCGCGCCCCCTACATCGCGCACATGATGTTCTCGTCATTCGACAAAAAACTCAAAGAGCGTTTCGACACTGTATTGGTGACTCACAAAAACTGGAAGCGTGTCCGCCTCATGCAAGAAGACTTCGTGCATGCTAGTGAACTAGCAAAAGCACAGATGAAAGCTCGGGGTCAGCTTGTCGGGCCGTTTGCAGACCAGCCTGACGCGAAGCCTGAGGATGGAGAAATTGTCTATCTCAGCAGTGACAGCGAGAACACCTTGACTGAGCTGAAGCCTTACAGTACTTATATTGTCGGAGCATTAGTTGACAAGAACAGACACAAGGCTGTTTGCTACAATCAGGCGGTTGCGAAGGGTATCAAAACTGCTAAACTGCCTATTGGGCAATACATTCAGATGGCTCATCGCCCGGTGCTGGCCACCAACCATGTGATCGAGATCATGCTCCAATGGTTGGAGCTCCGGGACTGGGGGAAAGCGTTTATGAAGGTTATTCCGACTCGCAAAGGTGGAGCTCTGAAAGGGGAGAAGCCTGAAGCCATGCAGGCCACTGATGGGGGTGCTGATGAGGATGCTGAGGATGTGGACGAGCAACAAGCTGAAGTGGATCAGATGAAGCAGATGGAAGACATTGAGGACATGGAGGAAGGAAGTGAAGATGGAAACGAAGAGAAGGCATAACTTGTCTTATTGTGAATGAATACTTTGTACATATATCCATATCAGCGACAAAAATGTGCTCTTATCATTGACATAATACCTAAGACATCATCGCGGCTCTACATGATCTGGATTCTGGTCTTGGTTTACCCTTTGACCTGTCTTAGTTCCCTGTGCCTTGTCCAGTGACTTCTACGTTCCTTTGGGAGACTATTAGGTCAATGAACCCTTTCTATAGTTTAGGTTACTCTCGAGCTTAATATGCCCACTTACCCCAAGAAGAGGACATAAAAGCCAGCAAAAAGCCAGCGAGCGTGGAAATATAGAAGCAGATTGCCTATTCGAGCATAGCGCACACTCAGACTGATCATTACGTAACTCTTTAGCCACAGCTGGGATCACGCCACAGCAGCCACAGTCTATGACGGAGGCGATTTTCATTGTGATTATTATTGCACTTTGAGGCTTTTGCTCTTGCTATCTCGTTGTCCCTTCACATAGGCAGAAGAGGCTTCTGCTACTGCTGTGTCTACTTCTCCTGCTCGTTCCTCGACGACACTCCCGTTCCATCTTCTTGCCTCCCGTTCCTTTCAACTGCCTGTCACATTTTCGGTTGGCAGCTGCCCCTCGCAACCATGTTTATGCTCCGCAATGGTAAGTGACGCGCTTTTCATGCCCCGCCAAACCCCTCCATATCAACATATTTTTGGCCCCTATACAGATGTGAGGCAGTAGACTAATCTCTTATCTTCTTTACATTCAATAGTGAGCAAATTTTTGTTCGGTGACGCTTCGAAAGAGTCCATCATCGAAATTCCCCAGGGAGAATTGTATCTGGTCCGCCCACAGTCGCCCAAGGGCTACTCGGAGCTTATCTTCAAGGACGCTGCTGCCACCATCCGACGTACGGGTCAAGACTTCCAATATCAGCTTGTTATCCAGAGAGCCTACGAAGAGGGCGAGGAAGAACTTGTGGACGACGACGGCGAGCAAGGCGCTGGCGATAGTCTAGACAAGGACGAGAAGGTCTTTTTACTTGACCAAACGCTTCATTTTCGCTCCGAAGTTCGCGACGGAGGATGCAAGATCTTGGCTTGGGACGATCTGAGCGGTGACGCTGGTGATCTTTTCGAGTTCATTTGCGATTCTTCCGTCCCAGCTGATAAAGTAGCCACCTTTGAGCTTGCCGCATTGCAGTGCCAATACGAGCGCAAACACCGACGCAGTGCTCAGAAGGCCACTGAGGAAGAGCTCCAGGAGTTCTCCTACAACATAGAGGAGCCGCTCCCCTCGGCGAGTCCCGTTTCCTCGCCCACTATCAAGTCAGCCAGGAATTCAGTTACCGCACTGGATTCTGCCACAGCAATGGCACGAGATGTTGAATATGCTCAGTCCAAGGGACAGGTCAAAACCGCCACTTTGGAGGAGCAGCCGACTACTGCGCCGCCGTCTGCAGTCCAGCCCGAAGCCAAAGAGATCCTGAGCAAGGAGAAGGCTGAGCTGCATTTGTTCGACTTCTCTACTGGTACCTTTGTCCTGCAGGATGACGAAATTGTTGCTACTGTCTCAGAAGTAGGTACTTGGCAGTACTGGCTCCAGATCTCTGGCAAGGATAAGGAGTGGTTGGGACAAGCTGTCGTGGCCGATATCAATCCTGTCTTCAACTTTGAATATCTGTCGTTTATCTTCAACCACTACGGTGAAGATGGCTCGGCATACTCGTGGCTGTTGCGATTCAAGGACCAACCCACGGAAGAACGCTTCCAGGAGGGTCTCATGCAGGCTCTGTGGGAACAGCTCAATGAAATGAAGTGGACCAAGGTGAAGGAAAATGATCGAGAATATGTACTCGATGCCTTCCAGGATCTCGTCCTGGAAGATGCCGAGGCCAAGGCTGAGGAGGAGGAGGCCGAGGAGGAGGAAGAAGAAGACGCTGAAGAAGAGTATGATGGCGACCAGGACGATGCTCAGCGGAGTGAGCACTATGACAGTGACGAAGAGGAGGAAGATGTCATCACGCGTGATGCGGATGGCAACGTCAACTCGCAACTGGCAGTCGGCTACAAGCACGATCGATCATTTGTTGTTCGCGGATCCAAAATCGGCGTCTTCAAGCACACCCCTAACAACAACCTGGAGTTTTCCACCACCATCTCCAAGGTCCAAACCCCTAAGGGCGCTCTGTTCAGCCCTAAGAAGGTCATGCTCCACGCTGAGGATCAGAACATGATTCTCCAGAACGGCGATGATCCAAACTCGTTGTACAAGATGGACCTGGAGTACGGCAAAATCGTCGACGAATGGAAGGTCCATGACGATATTGCCGTGGAGACTTTCGCTCCCGAAAATGTAAGTGACTGCGCGGCTTGGGGATTTCTTTACTCAATGGACTGACCAATTTTGCAGAAATTCGCTCAAATGACCGCGGCGCAGCCGTTCGTCGGTATTTCCAAGAACGCTCTCTACCGCATCGATCCCCGTCTCGCTGGCAACAAGCTCGTCGATTCCGACCTGAAGCAGTACGCTAGCAAGAACGACTTCTCGGCCATGGCTACTACTGAGAAGGGCTACCTTGCTGTGGCATCCAACAAGGGTGACATCCGCATGTTCGACCGTCTGGGCATCAATGCCAAGACTCACATTCCGGCACTCGGCGAACCGATTATCGGTCTTGATGTGTCTGCAGATGGACGCTGGGTGCTGGCAACTTGCCGGACGTACCTTCTCCTCATCGATTCGCTGCAGAAGGAAGGCAAGAATGAGGGCAAGCTCGGATTTGAGAAAGCTTTCGCCAAGGACTCCAAACCGCAGCCCCGGCGTCTTGGTTTGCAGCCTGCACATGTTGCGCAATTCCAGCACGAGACGAAGCAGCCCCTCTCATTCACACCCGCCCGATTCAACACAGGTGTTGACTCTACCGAGACGAGCATCGTAACCGCCACCGGTCCCTTCATCGTTACCTGGAGCATGAAGAAGGTCGTTGCCAATCGCAAGGATCCGTACACCATCAAGCGTTACGGTGAGAATGTCATGGCTGACAACTTCCGCTTCGGTTCCGACAAGAACGTCATTGTTGCTCTGCCAAATGAGGTCAACATGGTCGCCAAGCGTACTTTCCAGAAACCTACGCGCGAGAGCATCGCTGGTCCTGCCACACCGAACCGTCCACGCCGTGGATGGGGCAGTCGTCTTGGCAGAGACAGCATCGTCAACTCGCCCTACTAGTCTCCTCATTCTGTCCCCCTATGTCCTGGTCGGCCCCTTGATTTTACCTCGATTTTGTACCATTACCCATACCCCCTGATGTTTTGTGCTTTCCCATTCCCTTCGACGTTGTGACTTTCATCGCCGAGCTTTTGCTTCTTTGATGTGCCTGGATTCCCTTTAACAGTTGGAGTTTCCTTCACATTCACTACCAGATCTTTCTGCTCATTTGACATTCCGTTCTTGCAGTGATGTTCATTTGCAGTTAAGAGACGGCACTCAGCTCAGACCGTGAGACTTCGTTTAGCCTAGGTAGCTAGATCAGATAGGTTCCGCGTGAAATATTCAACAATCAATCTTATGTGTTAAGTCTAAACACTCTTAGGGAGTTTTCCATTCAGCCACGGTAAAAGAGCAAAGGAAATTATTTCAATGATATACAGGATGAAGTAGATTGGCCATGAACCTAGCAGTGGTATCACAACCTTTCAATCGGGGAAAAGGGAGACAGCTGACGGATGGGTTGGATGTTTGGAGCGTCGAAGGGACAGGCGCAGGCATGATAGGTCGTTCTGAATCTTTGATTGCTTGCCTATTGATATGACTAGAATATCTATAATCTAGTACTTGTGGGGTACACTTGATGTCCAATCAAAATCTGTCAACGACTGCAGTTAGTTCACGATTGGTCCCTGCCTGAAGTTTACCATATAAGGGATCTACCTTCTTCTCTGCTTCTCTTCTTTCTTCCCTCATCTCTTTCTCTTTACCAGTTCTCTCTGTCTCCCTCTCTGAGACTCTTCCTGTCTAGTGTCTCTTCTTTCTTTGTTTCCTTCTAGCAGCTTTATCAAACATTATCCACTTCATCTTTATGATACATCCCCTACCTTCGAATCTCATGCCTGATTCAGACAAGCCACGCGAGGCTTCGCACCCTCCACAGGAAAATTCAGTGCCCATGCTTGACGCCATTGATCACTTGCACTCTCTTGGTGTCGGCAGGTTTGTTCACCTACCGCAGCTTGTGGTTGGCTGTGTCAACACTCCTGCCAAGTATGCCGTTATCGAGGCTATTTCGGGAATGGGCTATCCCCCGCTGAGTGAGGACGACCCTTGCTTCATCACAAAGATCATCTTACGCCGCCAGCCCACATCCAGCATATGTGTAACCGTCGAGCATGCATGGTGGAGCGACGGTGACAAGAAATCCCACGAGGCTAAAACCTTTGCGTCGCTTGTTGAAGACAACTTGGAAGAATCGGGTTCCCTCATCAAACGGGCCATCGATTCCATAGGATCGACTTGCAAGCCTGCCTCGTTCAGTGAGAAGATCCTCATAGTGGAAGCCTGTGGGCCAGAGCAGCCTGATCTGACGCTCATCGATATCCCGCACATGTCTGCTAGAGCCTCAGACAAAGATCCAGAACGAGCCTTTGCGCATCGTATCCTGGATGAATATCTTTTAAATCCGCGCAACATATTCTTGGCTGGACTTTCACCCAAGGATGACGATTCGTTGGAAAGTGTATTGAGTTTTGTCAACAGTCTTGATCAACAAAAGCAGACTGTTGCCATCTTCATGCATCTTGATACAATCGAACCAGATTCGGTAAAAGAAAAATACTGGCGGAGGGTTGTGGAAAAAGAAGCACCCACGTCCTTCATGGAATTCCACGCTTTGGGTACACAGGTGTCAGGCGATAAAAGTGATTCGCAGGTGTTGCTCGACCCCAAAAGCCCGGACGACCTACGGCGTCGAATCACGACTCTACTGTCGACACAAATCCGCAGCAGCCTCCCTGGTCTGTGTGTCGATATCGAGAGATCTATCGAAAACCTCCAGTCGAGACTGACCAAGCTGAACAATCCCCCGGAGACTGTCCAGCAGCAGAAGGAGTTGCTGTTCCATCTGAGCAGTGCCTTTGAGCGCATTACTGAACAGGCTTTGAATGGCATGTACACTGACAGCTTCTTTACCACCTCACTGAATGATGATCACTCGAACACTCGCGATCCCCGACGTCTTCGGTGCGTTATCCGCGCGTTGAACGAGGATTTTGCAGATATCATGGAGACTGCTGGTTGTCGTCGATTCATTGATGGCGTGAATACTAGGACATACCTACTCCCGCAACCCGACAATCCTTATGTGAATATTCGAGCAACGGAGCACACCACGCGCTCGGAATTCGAACGTGAGGTCTCTTTACAGTTACGCCAAGAGCGAGGGCTCGAACTTCCAGGAAATTACAGCCAGCTGCTGGTGGGCAATCTGTTCCGGGATCAAGCCAAGCCGTGGGAACTGATTGCTCGTGCCCACCTGATGGAATCATGGAGATGCACCCAAGAATTTGTGAAAGTTCTGCTGGAGCACCTTACAAATGAGCCAACGGCTGCTTGGTTGATACGTGATATCTTCAACCCGCAACTTAAGGCTTTGAAAAAGAACCTGCTGGCAAAGTTGGAAGAATTGACCGCTTACCACAAGCGAGGCCATCCATTGCCTCTTGGTCGAGACTTCCTTGTCAAAGTACGGAAAAGCAGAGATGACAATTTGCTAGCCAGACTCCAGGGGGCCCTTCCTACAAATGTGTTCCAGTCCGTCAGTATGGCAGATCTCAAGTCTGCTATTGAGAAATTGCACATATTAAGCCCCGACCCCACGGTTTCGGAAATCGTTGACATGATGCAAGTTTATTACAACGTGAGTGAGAATAGCGAAGCTGATCTAGACATCGCCAATTGCAGGCCACTGTTTGGAGATTCTAACAGAAGATAGGACGCGCTTTCGGTTTTCAGGGACAATGTTGCCATTCTCGGCATTGAGAATTGCCTTCTCAGCCCTCTGACTGGCATCTTGACAACTCGTACAATCAGCAAGATGCAGGACAGCCAAATTGAGAAGATCTTCGCTAAGGTCTCGGAGACGAATCACTACATGACCCACGGATTGAATAAGTTGTGGGTAGCAGCGCAAAGTCTGAAGAAGTTTGATACCACAAAGGAAAGCAAGGTAAGCACCGAGGATACACACCCAAGGAGGCTCCATCATGCTCACTATCGAAAGTCCGCGCCTTCTGCCAATCCCACCAACATGCCCCTAGGCTCTTTCAGTACCAATGTCAACAACCCCTTCAAGGTCGGATTCGCAAGTGCTCCATCTGGAAGCCAGAAGGGCACAGGTGAGTCGGCATTCTCACTGGCGAATACATCGAAGCTCGCCCAGCAGAACCCATTCACAAACCCAAGTCCGTTCGAGTTCAAGCCGGGCACAGCCAGCAGTAGCAGTGCCTTCGGTGGTTGGCGATCCTCGTCGAAAAAACCGCTCAAACGAGACTCCAGCGCATTGGTTACGCCTGCAGTTAATCCTCCCACTTCGTCAGTTTCCACGCTGAACTCGCCCTCGCCATGGCCCTTGCCGGATATTATCCCTCAGGACAATCTAGAGTATGTTTAAGATGCTCTTCCTTCTTCCCATATCTTCTTCGTCCCGCTTGTTGTTGTTGTCTTTGTAACTCCCAGCCCTTATGTGACACTATGATAGCTTGGGTGTATGCAGATTCTGACCGCTCCACAGGCCAATTTCTTACTTCAATGAGATAGACACCACTCCCAGAAGTTCCAACACTCCTATGACCAATCGATTTATGTCGATTACTTTCGCCGCCGCGGCTTGCCGGTACTCATTTGAGGTAAGACAGTTGCGTGCTTCGTTCTGGGCGGTCACTGACTGAGACATAGGAGTTACGAGTGGCGCATTATGAGAATGTGCGTAACTTGGGCGATGAGTTGTGAAAACTACACAGTAGTGAAAAAGGCTGGAAAGACCGACGTTAGCGACAAGACACTCAACCCTAGGAGCCATGAGCTCGAGCCTGAGCATTGAGGAAAGTCCATACAGCTGAGGAGAGTGCCCGGTGACTGGATATCATAGTGGTGAGAACACAGAATGTTTGGGATCTACAGCCTAAGAACAGGTGGAATACTCGGACCATTTCCATTCGGGATATCGTCAGATGGGTCATTCTCTAAGCTATCTACTGAGCTACAAAAAACTTCGAAAAAAAAAATGGAAAAAAATGTACGAGGTACCTATGGAATGATAGCAGTAATTGCATGTACTCCGTAATATGTTCATTGGAATGTTACCAGGCTGCTGTGTACGTATTCCTACCAGGAGTTGGGAGTACTAGACCATTAGAATCTATAAAGCACCCCAACCTATAAGGTGAATGGAAAGTCCACATCACATCCCCGTTTGGGTATTTGCAGAGCAGCTACCTAGATAGAGAACCAGTAAATACAACCCAGAAACCAATTTCCTGCATGGGATATCTGGGTATTCTGACTGCCAAAGTCCGATCCTGTCGGCCCTAAGGCCCGGCCCTACTGCGTATAACGCACACCATGATTATGAGGATTTCAAATTCCCTTCGATTATATCCCCCGGACGAAAGCAGGCCCTTTATACATCCAGTGCAAGGGGTTCGCTGACGGGCTGTGCACAAGTTCCTTCAGGAACCCACATACCACACCTCGACGCCGAGGATATCAAACTTGACACCTTCGTCAGAAAGAGGCTCATTACCGAATGTCTGGCAGGATGCACTGACACCCTTCTCGAGACTACTGTCAACCCACAATCCGTAGTGTCCATCACTATCTCGTACATTAGCACAAGCAAACATAACATCTCCAACGGGGAAAGAACCAACGTACCCGCCTCCAAGACTGAGAAATCCAGTTTCACAGAAAATCATATAATCATTAACCCCGCTATACGGGAAAGCCTTGAACCGTATGCGCTCAGGCGTACTAGCCCCACTGCGATCCGGGGTATTCAGCGAAGCAGGCGACGGGGGCGCCAGGACACCCCCACTGGCCGCGGCCAGATTCGACTTAATATTCATATTCAACTCATGCGCCGGCGAATCCGCCCTCGCAGACGCTGATTTCGCCTTCGGCTCGTTGCGCAGCGTACTCCACCTTGCAGCGGTCGTGGTATCAGCCGATGGCGGAGGCGGGAGACCGGCGCGCTCGAGCGCCTCCTCGGACTGGGGCCCGTCGCCTGGTAAAGCGATAGGGAAATTCGCCGGTGGAGGGAGGATGGAGGAGCGCCAGAGGAAACATTCGCCTGTTCCGAAGAACTGGGAGTCTGGGTGCGGCGCGTCGGTCATGTATGCGCCGAAGACGGAGGATTGCGGGGAGGAATCGCGGATGACGAGGACGTATCCGGCGCGTGGGGAGCGGTGGGAGAATTCGGCGCAGTTTTCGTAGAGGGTTGAGAGGGAGGCGCCGTCGCGGTCGAGGCTGTAGGCTAGACGCCAGGTTTCGGCTAGTTGGAGGCGGGGTGGGACTAGGAGGCGGATTTCTTCGGCGAGAGCCCGCGTGAGGAGTTGTTGTTGGAGGAGGTCTGGGGATTTGGGGATTGACAGCGTGAGGGGGGTTAGGGGTGGTGGTTGGAAGGGGGAGGCTGTTCGGCGGGGTGTGAAGACTTCGGAGGAGGAGGTTGATTGTGTTGGGCGGGACCAGGGCATGATTGAGGGCATTTCTTTGGAGAGGTCTGGGTCTGTTATGCGGCGGTAGAGTCCGGAGACGACGTGGCTGACTGGGTAGGTGAGGTAGGAGGCGGCGGATTGGTAGGTGGGTGATTTTTGGGTGGGCGTGGAGGATGTTGATGGCGAGGTGGAGGTGGTGGGGGTGTCGGAGGGAGTATTTTCTTGTGACGCGGACGACATGCGAGCAATTCAAGTCAATTGTTGAGGTTGAGGTTGTACCTGGAGCCCTGGGGAGAGGGAGGTAGAAGTATGCGGAGTTGAAGTCAGGGCGCGCCGCCGCCCTATCGCTTATCGTGTGGAGAAATGGACGTGAACCTGAAATTGGCTTTGCAAGGCTGACTTGGCTGAGACCTTCACATCACATGCTTTTATAAAGCACAGATGGGATTTAAACCGAAAATAGTTAATATGAACTTGGTGGAAACTGGAAAGTACCAAGATACACTCATCCTAGTTCGGATGAGCTATCAATGTGGTCAAAATAAGGATGAGACCAAGTAGAGCGTACCAACTATACGCATACGGGATCATACTTTTGGCTCAGGTAAAGGGAGCTTAGAGAGTCAGAGAGACTTGATTAAATGGATACTATGCTAGTGGTAAAAGCCAATGCTCATGAAAGAGATAGCAACTCCGTAACCCTTCTAAAAGACCCTTGTGGCATAAAGTATCACACCAGATGTGGCAAAGCAATGCAGATGATAATGGTATCATATTCCAATGTGTATCAAACAACTCAAAAGCAAGGCATTTAATCCTTCGAAGCACCTGGGCGGAGGTCTATCGTCTCAAACTCCATGTCACTGACTTCGACAACATGCCCTGGGCGAGAGGCCGCAGTGTATATGTTCTCCTGGGCATGCGGATGGAACAGGCCAGTTTGGTTGCAGTTGAGAACAGTCTTAAGACCCGGAGGATCAGTCAGTCGAAATACGCCCCAGTCGGGACTTTTGCTCGGTGCGCAAACAATGGCAATGCTCTCGGGAAGCATCACTTGGTAACCGCAGTGCGTGTGCAAATCACGCGAACTCATGAAACAGGTCTGCGAAGGATGCGTGTGGATCCAACCAAGAGTCATCAGGTCTTCGGAATCGCAGTAATCAAACAGGGCGGACTCATTAACAGTTTCACATGTGTCTGAGGTCGATACCTGCTCGGGAATGACGACTCTGGATATGAAGAGCGCGTTGGAGATAAGGGTCCCGCAAAGAATTCCACATGTCTCCAGGTTAGCGCGAGTGTTGGGTGCGGCCACAGATAAGAAGCGTGATCGGAGGTTCGCAGGCAGAAACACGGAGCGCAGAGGAGTGCCATTCTCTAGATAGGCCGCGGGCTGGAAGGTATAACTCGACGCATCTAGATCTGGACGGGTCGTGGTCGTGTCTGCGGGGGCTTGTACTTTCTCAGGCAGCGCTGGAGTTGGCGATATTTTTGCCGGCCGTGATGGCGCTATAGGCGTATCGGGGCCATCGACGATAGTCGCTCTGCTGGGCGTAAGGTGCTCTTTCGGAGGCAGAATCGGGGGCGCATGACGTTCGGCATTCGTGTCAAGAATAGCAATGTGGCCTGGTGACGCAGTAGGCTCCAGTGCATTTGGACGCCGCACAGTTGGGTACCTGTATGCGGATGTATCGGGGGAAAACTGGGACCCTCTGGCACGTTGGTCGTGGGATTGGTTCGTATGATCGATGTTCAACCTGATATTCTGAATACGTCGACTGAGGTCATCATCTCCCGTTTCGAGGCCTGGCTTGACGGAACGATCCCATACACCAGCTGCGCGACGACTGTCCAGGTCTTCAGGCGATGGCCCAGAAAGACCTCTGGAACCTCGGACGGTGGCCCTGCGGTTGAGCTCTGCTTGCGCTAGCTGTACAGCGAGGTCCCGGTTCTCTCCAGCTTCTAAGGGCTCTGCCACGCCAGCGAGAGCGGGATCTGGAACAGATTCTCGTGACCCAGGAACGCCTTTGGCCTGCGAGGGCTGTTTTCGAGACTCGCGCTCCCGCATCAACTGGGTATAGCGCTCATATCGCTTATTTATCCGCGGCCTTAGAGCCTCTAGTTTGCTGAGGTTTTTCTCAACCTCTTTCTCGGCTGCCACCAAGGCTTTACGGTCGTCGTCGTTCTTCTTCGTGTCGGGGTGCTGCGAAAGGTGGACCAGGACCAATTGGGCATGTCGGAAAAGAATTAGATAGGCTTGTTCATCGCGTCCTTCGCGTTCATAGATTTGGGCCTATCCGTTCATATGGTTAACATGGAGCCTGGGATAATGGCGGCCAAGATGCAGGCAGCAGGGATAACCAACCTCCCGTAGAAGCGTCGTGGCAGTCCTCAGCCAATACCGTAAGGGGACGGAAGAGTTGTACTCGTAATTCTGTGCTATGCGTGTGATGTTCTCAACACTTTGAGGAGCAGTACCTCCAGACGCGCCTCTCATCGCGTTGGAAGCCATGACTTGGATAAGGGAGGATGAGACAGCCAAGACGATGTGAATCAAGGACTAAAGATCATGACGAGATAGCAAGTTCCAAAACCTGGAAAGACCCGCGCAGATTGTGGGAACCGCATCTAGGCGATCTGAGAAGGGAAGGCGAAGGTGATGAGGGGAAGGCAGTGGGATGAGAGCGGAAACCTTAATCTCTCCGCTCTCCGCGCTGAGTCTCCGAAAAGAAAATATTGTTGTCTCTACACAACCTTCCTTCACGATACCCTGCCTTCTTTTCAATTGCTTATATTTATTTCCTACCTCATGAGTTGTTCCACATAGTCATTGGCATTTGTCACCCATGCTTACTGTGTAAGTCATGGAGGCGCTCAGAACGTCGACGCTCCGCCAACCGTTGGCGCGCTTCCCAATCACGCAACAGCTCTATGACAAGGTAGTCCACAGACATCGCGGCAGAAGTAAGGCTCGAACAAGCTACGTGAGCGAGGGCTTACTAGGTGAGTCAATAAAACTAGCTACGATACCAATTGAGTAACAAGATACTCATGCAATCTGGACTTCGCAGATGATATTGTACAACGTGTATCGCCCTTACTTGCTTCAAACACGCCACTAGACATTGTGGACTTTGGGCCTGGGTGTGGTCTTCTCTCATCCAAATTGAATGAATCGCTTCGACCTCGGCGCCATGTGCTCGTCGAACCAAATACGCATTTCTCCGACGCATTTCTGAAACCGCTGTCCCAGAGCAAGCCATGCTACAAGCTCGTTAATGAGCCCATATATGGCAGACTCGTTTGGGACGATTTCTTCGCAACCCACCTCCCCGAACAAGGTCCCCACAACCGAAGCCCCGGCAGGATTCCAAAGAATGACACGCTACTCGTACTGGCCGATCTGCCTGCCGCCAACTCCAAAGCCGATCATCTCAGACCCAGCCGATGGTGGCTCAGGGTGTTAACGAACTGTTTATATCAATCTGGGTTGCATATGTATGGATCCGTTCGAATACTTGCCACATGCCCCTTTGAGGACATCCACGGTGTGTTGCCGCGGTCTGTCTATGAACGCTCACGGGGTAGCATATTGGCAGAGGCCCTCAGTTTGCGTACCATGGAAATTGCAATCTCGGGCGATGAACCTGAACCGGCTCATCAATGGCGGGGTTGGAACGAAATCCAGGAGAACAGGAAGCAGGTCGCGGAAAGGGCCGCTGCAAATGGCATTGTCACTCCACCGGGACGAGAGCTTCCTCCTCGAGAAGCGGTACCTCAAGTTCCTGCTCGCGGGCAAAAGGAGGCGCCATACGAACCGCGACCTTTCCTTGAGATGCACAAGGCTATCTTCCAGGCCATCGAAGCAGCAGATGCAACGGGTCTTAAGTCTGGTCGTAACAAAGACCCCGAAACCAAGGAATTAATCAGAAATCGCACCCTGGCCGTATCGAGACTGGCCAGAGATAATAAAATGGCCCACGTGCGTCAAAAGATGGCCAACATGAGACTTCATATCGACGAATTGACGCGGTCATTTTCGCGCGCGGCCGCAGATCTGAAAGAGACCGTTGAGAGCCTGAAGGTGATGAGCGATGAAATTGTATCTCTCAAATCTGCTTTTCTCCAGGAGTTCGGGGACATACACTTCGTATTGACAAGGCACCATGACAAGACCGTCGATGACAGCCGCATGGTCTATTCACGCAGAGAACTCAAAGACGGCGGTCTACTACATGACGACCGACCATTCGAGCCCTTACACATCCACCCCGAGGAGCTCTATCCCCGTGGGATGGGCCGCGGAATGATATATTTCGAAGCGAATCCCAACCCGCCCGCCCTACAGAAAATACACGATCTACCCAGCGCGTCGATCCCCGACGCTCTCGAGCGATTCTATATCATGACCTCGATTGTAGGCACCCGTGGTAACATGTCAGTCGCCGAACTCCGCGAGCAAGTCTTCCCAACATGGACCACCAATGACCTCGTGCGGGCTGTTCCAAGCCTAGCGACCTTTGCGGAGAAAAGCATCAAGCCGGGTTGCGGGCCCATGCCCTTGCCGGATGGGTCGGCGTCGGACCCGGCCTGCACCTACCAGGATAATATCGACTACGACTTACGTGAAGTCCGACTGCGTGTGCTTACTGTACGCACCCTGGTGGATATTGCGCTGGAGTACGAGAAACTCCCCGACAAGCTCGACTTTATGCAGTTTAGCCGATATCTTGGCGGATCGATGACTTCGGCGCAGATTGACGAGGAGACGACTAACATCCGATCGAGATAGAGTCTTCCCGTCCCTATCTACGAACGTGCCACAGGCAGTGTACATATTTGTATATTACGCGTCCTTTTGTATATTAGAGGGGCTAGCAGGAGGATAGATAATAGAGCATTCCCAGTTAATATCCCCACGATTGAAAATGTGACTTCAATGTCCGGAGCCAATGTTGCACTCGGGGGCTTGGGTTCGGACACGGGGCCGAGGGATTGGATATCGCTTAGCCCAGAGGTGAGTCAGAGGGATTAGTGTATTGAGTCGTGTGTATGTGATAATGAAAACAAACAGTCAAACACTGGATACACAAACACAGTACACTAAGTTTGACAGCCGTTGACATGCATGTGGATTTCTGCATTAGGGAATCGGCCCTGATTCCCGGGATAGTCCGAAGTATGTGTAGTACTCATAGTAAAGTTAAAAGCTGGAGTATGCAGTAAAGCATACTTTGAGTATCTCCGGAACGGTGTAATTTCCAGGAAATGAACCGGTGGACCGCGATCAGCGCGTACCCGAGAGATTGGAAGTCTGCTAATTTCCCAACTGACACCGTCGTATCTTACTGTCACTGTCGATCGTTTCTTTTGCACTCATCTCTTCCATGTTCGTTATGTTCGAGACCGAGAGATAGTCGGCCATTTCTCTTTCCTGCTTTCTTTTTCCGTTTTTTTCTTTTTTTTCTCCCATTTTTCTCTCTTTTCTATGGTCGTTGCTTTTCATTCGCTTTGTTAACCCGTTCTAATATAACCATAGCCCCCATCATTCTTTGTATAGAAGAAATATTTTCAAACTTCAATTACTATACAAACTACGAATCACTATAACTCAAATTTCCCCAAACGGTGCCGGCTCCCGATCGCCACTCCTCCGTCATAGACCCTAACCGTGGGTGAGGCCTAATTTGCCTATCGCCAACATTGCCGGTGGCGTTAATCTGATATCAACGCCATTCACGCCGCAAATCTTTATATCCCCTCGATATAGCCCTGACTCTACTCGCAAACTTTCCATGCACACTGCGCACCGAGCAATGGCCAACACCCCACCACAATTGTCGTTGCAGACAACACAAAAGAACAGCCCTACACCATTACCCCAAGCTCCATCGAGTCTCACACCACCAGTGACTCCCATAGCCAAAGAAAGCAACCAGGAAAAAACAACTCCAAACCTATCGCAGAACAAAAAGCTCTCGCAATCACAGTTCGCATCCAAAGAAAATGTCTCCACCCTCCACTTCGCCGACGACCTCGAAATCTGCCGCACAGACGATAACCGCCCCTTCGAATTCGGCCGCGGCGTCTGGAGCATAGTATACAAAGCGCGCTACACGCCCTCAACCACCAATCTCAACCCAAGCACACCCCCAAGCTCCCCAACCACGCAACCACAACTCCTAGCCGTGAAAGCGCCGTTGCGGCGCGACGCAAACCCAGTCCTCAAAGCCGAAGCCGCAACCCTAACCCGCCTCTCGCGCCTCCCAGGCCACGAAAACCACCTCGTCCCCTTCCACGGGTATCACACCGAGCTCGGCGCACTAATCATGACCGCCGTGCCAACCTCACTAGCAACCTACATCGAAGCGCAAGCCGAACAAGCACGCATCCACCGAACAACAGCAACAATGTTCGACCCCGTCCAAGGCCCGGCTTCATTCCGCGACCTCGCGCGCAAGCTAATCACAGGCCTGAACTGGCTCCATGAAGTCGCGGGCGTCGTGCACGGCGATATCAAGCCGCATAATATCCTCCTGAGGCCGATTGAGACGGAGGGCGAAGAGCAGACGCACGCGTTCGAGTACGAGCCGCTGTTTGCTGATTTCTCGGCGACGGTGGAGATTCAGACGGATGTGGATAAGCCGCTTGATACGACGCGTGCGTCTATGTCGTCGTTTACGCCGCCTTTTACGGCCCCGGAGATGCTGGCTTCGCTGATGTGTAGTGAGATGGCGCCGACGGCCGCTTCGGATGTTTTTTCATTGGCGGCGACGTTGTTGGCGGCTGCTACGGGGGATTTGTTGTTGTATTCGAATATGAATCATCGGTTGAGGTTGGAGATGGCTAGGGCTGGGCATCAGATTGTGGATTTTGCGAGGTCTGGGGGGAGTGGTTGTCGGGTGCCGAGGAATGGGTTTGTTGAGAGGCTTGTTCAACCGGCTGTTGTTAAGGATCCGACGGAGAGGATATCCACGGCGAAGTGGGTGGAGCTTGTATCTGTTTGATCTTGATGAGATTTCTTTGCTTGTTTTTGCTTTTGCATTGTTTATATACCCTGTTCGATGGAGTTATTGGTGGATCTTGTATGATATCAAGAGATGGATGAGCATAATAGATTTAGATCTGATCTGAAATTGAGGACAACGTTCTCATTCATTCAGCGTACAGTCTCATTGTAAAGCAGACAAGTCCCAGATAAAGCAATTGCGAATATCAACCGCCAACACCCCAAACCGACCACACGGCACGTATCAAGCAACAACCTCACCACCTCCCTCAACAAACCGCTTCAAATCATCAACCCACAACTCAAAGTTCGCCTGCAGTCTAGCCCCATACATCCACCTCACAGCATAAGCAAGCCACCCAACCTGCGCCTCCCAATTCCTCACCTCCGTCCCACCCTCAACATCCTTAATCTCATGCACCCGCTCCCCCCCAAAAGCGACGCGCTCATCCCACCCGGCGCATCATTATCAACAGCCCACACAATCCGACCCCCTTCACCCGTATCCGCATTCGGCGGACGACACTCCGTCACGACGACATGTGTGTCAACCGCAGCTTGCGGTTTTGCCGAAGTTGAGGTTGGGTCCATGCGGACGTGGAAGGTGAGCCTTGTTCCATTTTGCAGGATTGGGCATAGCTCTTGGGCTGGAGTGGATTGGGTGTGACTGGCTTGCGATGGTGCGGGTGTGGGGTTTGGAGCTGTGGTCGTGGTTGTTGGTTCTGTGGGTTGGGAGCTGATGGTTACGCGCGGTACGAAGGAGTTCCAGGATGTCCAGGTGGAGGTGTTGGTTAGGGCGGCCCAGACGGTGGATGAGGGGGCGGATATGGTGGTTGAGCTGCCGATGTGGAGGGTTGCTTGGGATGGGGTTATGGTTGGGGTTGCGCGGGTTGCGTTTTTTGGATCTTCGAGGGTTGTCATGGTGGATTTGTGTGCTAAGAGTAGATAGAGGAGGGATGTGGAGAGAGGATCGATGGGGAGAGAGAGCGATGTTGTGTCAGATTGTTGAGAATGCGGAGGAGGCGGAGGATGGAGGGTTGCATCCGCGGCGATAAGTCCAGGTGAGGTAGGATCCGGCTGATAAGTGATTAGTGAGGTCGATAAGGCCTGATAAGACCGGATAAGGTGTGATAAGATCCGATAAGAGCTTCTAGAATAAAACACAAAATTTGCCTCAGTGACCTCAGACTTCCGCCTACGATTCTGCCGAATTTATGAAATTCTGCCACGCTGGCCTGATTGGGACGCTGCATCTACCCCGTGTAGATAATGCATCATCTCTTCCCCTTCTATCGAACGTGCCACAAAATGGTAGCATGTCCTGGCTCGATCCAGATGTGCTAAATTTTCCCAGAGCCTTTCTTTCGAGTGAAAATATTTTTCTTCAAACAAGCTATTTCGCTGATTTTACCGAGGGTTTTCCTCGGCTCGTTCACTCAGCGCTACCCCTTTTTGAGCTCGACGAGGGTTTTCCTCGCCACACCACTGGTTTGGCTTCCCGCATAGAGAAATGGGAAGATCGGATTATCGCAAGACTCGATAATGGCCTGGGACCGGGGAAACCGAGAATGAAACCCTCGGGGCCGAGTACGTCCAACGGTCCAACCCGACTAGTAGTTGTGCACGCAAGTTGTCGAAGATGGCCTTCCCACCGTGCTGGTATCGGACAGCGACCCGAAGCTCACACAAGGTCTCTGGAAGGCCATCTTCGAGTTGATCAACACGAAGCTCTTGTACATGACCGCTTATCACCCGCGGTCAGTCGGAGAGGACCAATCAACAGCAGAGATTGCTGTCAGACATCGTCGACGGCTTGCGTGCACAACTACTAGTCGGGTTGGACTGTTGGACGTACTCGGCCCCGAGGGTTTTATTCTCGATTACCCCGGTCCCAGGCCATTATTCAGTCTTGCGATAACCTGATCTTCCCCATGTCTCTATGCGCGAAGCCAAACCACGTCCGCACTAGGCAAGTCTACGCAGTACAGAACGTTGAGATTTTGCCACATCAGACAACAGAGATCGCTGTCAGGCACGCAGCTGCCACGCATCCAGGCGACGACTGGACTGCCATGCTCCCGGCAATCCAAGCGGCCCTTAACAGTTCAGTCAGCGCAATCATGGGACACACCCCGCACAAGTTGCTATACGGTTTCGAGCTCCGCCAGCCGTGGAGTTTACTCCGACAAGTCACTTCCCAGGACATTTCCGCCAAGGCGGATGCTGAACACTCGACGGCTTGGGCAGCAATGCGGATAAAACAACACTATGACAGTCGAATCGGCCCGCGTTGTCACCGAAATGCTCCTCGTGAGCTGTTGCCATTTTTCTTGTACTTCCGGTCCAAGTAAAATCGGCTGCTGTCGTTGACCATGTAGTTATTCAGATGCAATTCCTTGGACATTGCAGTGACCTTGACACTCCACCATTTGGGACTGATGTGTCGCGGGTCGATTTTCATAGGAGAATCCTGGACAAGTTGTTCCCTGGTCATATCGGCACATGGGGAAACAATGTCCTCTTCGATCGGTTCGTCGTTCGGAGACACCGGATCGGGGTTCTCTCGCGTTGTTGGCATTTTTGTTGTGATGCGTTGTTGACGCGTTTGACTGACTCCGCCGGACGTACAATCAAACTGTAGGTACGATAGGTCTTCCGCCGGACAGTCCTAGGTACCTGTTCTTAGCACAGTTCACAGCCACAAGACCTCCGCCGGACGATAACTTGATGCTATGGGGAAACTGTCTCTTCTGCTTAGCCAATAAGCAACACTATGACCGTCGCCACCAGCATATTCACTTCAACGTTGGCGATAAGGTCTACTTGAGGCTCGTCGAGGGATACAACATCCCCAGCAACGAGGTCCTACCCCGACGTTTGGCCCAGCGGTACGTCGGCCGCTACACAGTCCTCGAGCGAGTCGGACGTCTGGCATACAGGCTCGACCTTCCCGTTGACTCCAGGGTCCAGCCAATATATTATCTGTATCCCCATCATCCATGACCATGCGGTCTCCCCAACAATAAAATTCTGCTGCCAGCTAGCTGGGTGTTGGAGGCCCTCATAGGACAATTCCAAAATTTATGTACACAGTATATGAGGATAAACCCTAACTTGGATTTGAGGGAAGTCTGGGTTACATGCAGGGATCATGCGATTGCCGCTATGGATTATGGGATCTACAACAGTCTAGCCCTATGCCGGCACATCAACAAGCACACAGTAGATATTTGCACCATCTATTCTGGGTGATCCAGGAACAAAATTATATATGTCTGTCATTCTGATAGTTCAACCTAAGTTCCACGGCATGTAGGTAGGTACCTAGCAGCATGCAGCATACACGGGACTTGAAGATAGAATCATGAGCATGGCATCTGCTGGAATAGAAGCAAACCTCCATTCATCTTAGCATAAAATCCAATGAATGTTCATAAGAATACAAGCCCCGGCCGAGGAGCTCTTGCCGTGCTGCTTTGTTGACATTATTCCACCTCCGCTCCTTCCCCCGGGGAGGGGTTCTTTCCCAAAAGGTACACTTGCTACGGACAAAAAGTCACTGCTCCCTCTTCGCCCTCTTCTTCTTTTCCTCTTCCCATACACACTCATTAATCCACATTCTTTCATCACTACACTCATTGATTACTCTTGATTCCAACGTCCAGTCTCGTCATGCAGTATGCTTCGCAGTTTCCGTTGTTTGCCCAGAACAATCATCATTTCCCCAACCTGCTTATCAGGCCGCGTCCAAGATTCTGCATCCTGCGCCCGGGAGGATTCTGGACACCTCTGATTCCACTAGATGAGTTGCCTCACTGGTTGGAGATATGCAATTGGGCCCCGGACATCCAGTTGGGAATGTACCCTGCTTCAATGAGCTACATGCCGCGAGAAGGGGAGTACGACGTCGTCTGTCATCATTGCGCACATGGTTTGGACTCGTTGCATCAAAGCGTCTCCGAAAGAGATGCCTTTTCCGTGCCATCGACAAAGAGCTCTTCGGAACCACACGGTCCACACCCCGAGCCACAACAGGGAGCTAAAGCTCAGCGTCGGGATTCTGTTCTCGTACCTACCAAGGGCCATCCGGCTCAGATCTTGGAGCAGCCACCCTTCGGCGGGGTGCTACAAGCCCCGTTTGCCGGCATGTGTATGGTTGATATGCACTCGCAGTACTCCAATCATTCTGCAGACCCTCGTCCAGTGGGAAGACGGATGAGCATTGAGAATGCGGCTGCACCGCCGAGCTTTGGTAGGCACGTCGGCAGTCCTCCTCTTTCAATGGCCTCGTCGGGCAACGCTCGCAGAACCGACACTCCATATCCGGGCAGTCCTGGTCCGCAACATGCACATGCTGAATTTTTCGGTAAACCACAGCGGGACCGGGTCAATTCCTTGAAGAACGAAAGCACTGTATCCATGCAAAGCGGTAGTGTCGCCTCTGCTCCACCTCTTACGGCTGCTGCCATTCAACGCATGGACAGAATGCGAAGAAGAAGATATTCCCGTGGAAGCACTTTGCACGGAAGTCTTAGTATCAAAAGTGGAATAACTCCGTCTCAAGTCTCGCTTTCGCAGCTTTCCAAGGTTTCCCAGGTTTCCAAGGCCTCCAAGATCTCTAAGGCTTCAATGGCTTCAATGGCTTCCAGGAGCTCCTTCATTGTCCTCTCACGGCGTCGCCGAAGGATAATTCTGCGCCGTCAACGTGCTGAAGCAAGACACGACTTGAAGCATCCAGTCTCAACAGGCTCATCGGAAGCACCCGCGCCCAAACCGAAGCCAGAACAGTCAAACTCCGCTACCAAGAGACGTGAGCGCCGTGAGCGCATGATGCAACGCAAGAACCAAACCGATCGGGGCAAGCAACCTTATCATAACACGGGGATTCCTAATTGGAGTTCGGGTATGTCGAAGCGTTAAGTTTCGCGAGAATGGGCTATGGGATATCATCAGGACCAATCACTTCTGTATTGTTGGTGCTACCACGAGTATGCTCACTTTGACTGATTGTGGTTGATGGATGGACTTTCTTCTCTCTTTCGCAATGCTGCTGAGCCTGGCTGCTCTCTTTACTTATATACTTTCCTTCCACAGAGAATGCCTTGGGTTTCCCGCCGGTTTTCACTCTGAATTATGGACTTTGCTTGGTTCACTGAGTCTGGCGATGTCAATCTTTGCTCCGATTGTTTTCAGTGAGCTTGTGGTTTCTTTTCGAACGTCTGTCCTTCATTGCTTTCATTAGTTCAGGGAATCGTTTTTTCGACCGTCCTTTCAGATTGTTATGTTCTACGTGGAAAAAGCTTGCCTTTGCGCTCCCAGATTATCCTGTTATTCTGCACTGGCTTCTTATCGCTCGTTGAATTGTCTCTCATGAAGCACGGTGTACTTTGCTATTCACTCCTTCTATACTTGCGAAGTCACTCCACTGGAATACAACTTTTTCTAAGTCAATGCCTCGTAAAATTGCATGTAGAATTGCGATATGATGAAAAGACTGTTAATCATCCAAGGGACGAGCCGTATGGTCGATCTGATCTGCGCCAGCGAAACAAGGAAAGTTTAGCAACCCCCGCACTTAACTCCGTATAGCTGATAGCCTTCTACCTGTAACATCACATCACATCTCACAATGAAACGAGTCAAGAAGCCTCGTGGCATCCGTCATGACCGAGACTGCCACCGCTGCAAGGCCCGTGGGGTCAAATGCGACCTAAATCGTCCCCGATGCCAAGCCTGTCTCCAGGTTGGAGAGGCCTGCAACTACCCCCTACGAGTTGTATGGGTACAAGATAAGAAGCAGAAGGTCCCATCTTCCCTGGGATTGAAGACCGATTCTGCCCAGAATCAGCTTAGCAGAATATTCAAAAACACCGAACACATCAGCGACGCCGACACCAAATCAACATCCATCAATCTATACGGCTTCGTCGACCTTCTCGACACCTTCTACCAACAAATCCAATCCAGCACCCGCAGCATCCCCGAAGAAGGCATCCAACTCATCTCACGCACCCTGAGCTTTGCCCGCTCGCGTCTCGAAGATGCAAACAACGGAGAAGCCATCCAATCCCATCTCATGGCCCTGACAAATCTCAGCCAGGTCATCAAGTCTGCACACCCAATCGCCCTATTCGGCATCGCCACCTTCGCCATGTTCGAAGTCTGCAGCGGCTCCTTCGGCAATTGGCATTGCCACCTGCAGGGCGCACGCTCACTACTCGATCTCCACTGCCGATGCAAGGCCGATCTCGACGATCTCTGCAGCGAGATCGCCGGTCTCGCAGATATCCTCGCCTACCTCGTTTGGTTCGATGTAACCGGCGCCCTTACAAGCGATAGCCCCTTAATCTTCGATGACTGGCACCGCGAGACGCTATCGGATACTTTCTTCGAGTCGGTTGGGTGTCCGGCTGACACGTTCGATCTTTTCGTCTACCTTGGCAAGCATCTCAAGACCGCTGGTCCCAATATCATGGATCTTAGTGCTAGAGCGATGGATCAGATTCTACGACTTGGTGTTGCTAAGACGGATCGCAATCTCGCGGCCACCGTGTATCAAGCGGCCGCGGCTATCGTGGCGTTTGCTCGTGCTGCGGCCGTGAGCGGGGATCCCCTCACATCGTATCAATCAAATGTAATCTCGACCATGGTGGACCGTGTCTGCGATGCGATAGCGGGTATCCCTTCCACGTCGAGGTTCTACGTGCATCTGGCCACCCCTGCTTATCTCACGGGGATGCATGCATCAACAACTAGACAATGCGATATCATCCGAGGTTACTGGCGGAACTGCCAGTTATATGATTTTCCACGTTATCCGGATGCGGAGGCGCAGTGTGAGCGGAGGTGGAAAACCTGCGGGGTGAGGGGTTAGATAGCCTTCCTATTCGGGTAAGGCATAACATCATAGTCCATGGTTGAAACTCATAAATTCCACCTACTTTCCTACTTTCCCCCTTTTATACATCCCCACGAACAATCACCAAAGTACCTAACATGACTATCTCATACCTCGACCGCTGCGCTAAAAAGCGCGCTCACCAATACTCCCTCATCCCCGAGGAATGGCGCTTAGATCCCATTCCCTCCATAGAATCCGTCCCCAACGCACTAGAATACCTGCGCAAGATCCTAAGCCCCGATGAACTGGCCCTAACAGAAGAAACGGACATCGCAGTTCTCCTGCGCAAGCTCGCATCCGGAGACCTCTCATCCCTAACCCTGACTCGAGCCTTCGCCAAGCGTGCAGCTCTCGCCCATCAACTGACAACATGCTGCACCGAGATCTTCTTCGAAGATGCATTCGCCGTCGCAAAGGAGCTAGATAACCACCTTGCAAAGACTGGTACTCCCGTCGGTCCTCTCCACGGACTACCGGTCTCAATTAAAGACCTATTCTCCGTTAAGGGAGTGGATACATCAATCGGTAACTCTCCTCTGCCACACTCTCACATCATGTATACTAATGAGTGCCAGGCTGGGTCGGCTTAACAAACAACCCCTCCCCAACGAACAAATCCGTCGCCCAAACCCTCCGCCGTCTCGGCGCAGTCCTCTACGTGAAAACCAATCTCCCGCAATCGATGATGATGTCAGACTCCTACAACCACGTCTTCGGACAGTGCGTAAACCCGCATAATCGCGCCCTGATCTCCGGTGGTAGTTCTGGCGGCGAGGGATCTCTGGTCGGTGCCCGTGGTAGCGTTCTGGGTATTGGGACGGATATCGGGGGCTCGATTCGTATCCCGGCGGCGCTTTGTGGGCTTTATGGGCTTTCGCCTAGTCCTGGGAGACATCCTTATGAGAGGGGGAAGTGAGTTTCTTTCTTTCTTTTATTTGCTTTCTTTTGGGGTTGCAATTGGGAATTCGAATAAGTTGGGACATATGGGAAAAGATTACGGAATGTGCTAATAAAATCCTTTGGATAGTCCTGGACAAGATATCGTCCGCTCCGTCGCCGGACCTATGGCTTATACTCTTGCTACCGTTGAACGGTATATGGAAGCTTTGCCAGAAGCGAGGGCATGGGAAGTTGATCCGCAAGTCGTACCTATGCCGTGGCGGACGCAGTTAGCAATTCCCGGTGCGCGGAGGTTGAGGATTGGTATTGTGGTAGATGATGGTGTTGTCCGAGTTCAGCCACCGATTGCGAGGGCGATAAAGGAGGTTGTTTCTGCTTTGAAGGCAGCTGGACACGAGGGTATGAATCCATACTCTCTTGATAAAAAGTTACTATTACTAACAGAGTCCATCCAGTATTCAACTGGGACGCTTCCTCGCATGGCCACGCATACAAACTATGGGAAAAAGCCATCCTCTCCGATGGCGGCGAGGGCTGTCGCAAGAAGACAGAAATAACCGGTGAACCACTTATTGAGGGTATGCTTGTCGGCAAGCCGGATGATGAATTGACCACTAGTCAAACGCACCAGGTAGGATCTAGATTCTTTTCCCCCTATATCATATCTCCAGTATGGACCTTTGCAGGTTCATTGTGGCTAATGATAACCACAGCTCAACGCAGACAAATACAACTACGAAACCGACTACCTGAGTAAATGGACCGAGACCGGTATTGACGCATTGATCATGCCGAATACGCCGTGGGTGGGATATAAGCCATGGACTTGGGTAAAGTCTAGCGCCTATGTCGGCTACACGAGTATCTGGAACCTGTTGGGTTATGCGGCGTTGGCTATGCCGATTACCACCGTTGATAGGGAGAAGGATACTCCTGATGAGGAGTGGATGGGTCATGTTCCTAGGAATGCGAGTGATGAGTTCAATAAGGCACAGTGTGAGTTTTGTTTTGGTTTTCTGGGATGTTACAGGGCTGATTTATATGCAGATGATGTTGAGCTGGTTGAGGGGATGCCGGTTGGCATTCAGGTTGTTGGTGGTCGGTTTGGGGAGGAGAAGTGTGTTGCTGTGGCTAAGGCGATTGAATTGGCTATGGAGAGGGTTGGATCGAAGAGTCTTTGATTCCATTGATCTTATAGACTTATATCAAGTGCTCTGGCGTACATACGGTGGAATATCAACAGATTCATTCATATCATCACTATATACAATTCTATGACATCTTACACGTTATTCTCTCCCAACAGGGGCATTCATCCTCCCTTTATAATCCGGAAACTCGAAATCTCCCAAATCCCACTCAATGCTCGGCTGCGAACGCGGCGAAGTCACAACATCATTCCCGAAGTTACTCCCGGGGTGGGCAAAGTAGTCCTGAGCATTTACCCCCGGAGCCATAGGCGAAGTACACACCGAATCAGACTGCATCCTCAATTCCCGTACGACACGTATCCCGTGATCGTCATCAGGTCCATGTGGATGCCCACGGTCATGTCCGTCTTCGTTCGTATTCACCTTCGAGATACTGGCAGAATACCCCGCCTGCTCTGGGTAGAAGAGGTTGTTGTACCAAATGAACCCGTCTGGACGAGTGTTATCGGTGGAGTTTGTTGTGCGAGTTTGTTGTTTTGAGGCTGGGGAGGAGATTGGTTGGGGAAGGAAGCAGTAGGAGAGGATGCGGCTGATAAGGGGGTTTAGGGGTGGAAGGCAGACGCAGATTATGGAGACGTTTGCTTCGAGGGAGGACCAGACTGCTGCTGCGGCGTTTGTTCCTTTTCACTTATTAGTTTCCACCGTCAAGGGATGTAGGATCTGGGCTGGACTGGACTTACTGGTGAAATCGCCATGGCGGACCATTTTGCTTAATTGGTACATGCGGGTGACACTGGTAGCAACGATACTATTGAATAGTCAGCTGGGCCCATGGTTCTATGTCTGATTCCCCAGGTAAAGGCTTGAACTTACAAGATCCCAAGACTGAAAACCACCATAATACCCCATTTCTGTCGTCGAGGCAGATTCAGGTGCCATAACAACGGCATCGGCAGACCCAAAATGACTAGATCTGTCGCTACCTGGATCCCAGCATTGACGAACCAGACTGGACCTTCTGGGAGACAATGGGCGCGGCGTACATGTTCAACCGGATTCCAGAACTGGTCGATGGGGATACAGAAGAAGAAGCCGCTTAGCGTCATCCATAGTCCCGCGATGACGAGGAAGCCCATTAGGGCGTATACGACTGGGAGGAGGTGGCGGGCGTGGAAGACACGGCGGAAGAGGGCTAGGGCGGAGAGTTTGGCGAAGATTAAGGCGAGGTTGTAGAAGGGGATTGAGAGCCATAGGTACTGTTTGGGGATTAGTGATTCGTTTTCGTGTTAGGTGGTGGTGGCGGTTCGTACAAATAGTTGTTTCGATATTGTATCTGCCGCTAGATCTGATCCTGAGGTGCCGAGGCCATAATGTCGTTCTGTGGATGTGTTAGATTGAAATTGATGTATAGTGAAGCAATTGCTGAATGGATGGACAACTTGCCGACAATTACAAGGGCTGTGAAGACGCAGCTGCAGACCAATGCAGCTACTAGCATCGCATCATCGAGTCCCGGGGCCTTCACCAGGAAGAACCGAGTGTACAGCCGCAGGCCGGTTACTATAGCTGCCAGACCTGTAAAGGCTGCTGTGACGGCCAGGACGTACATTCCGGTGGAAGGTAGCCTCGAAGGTAGAAGAGGGATTCGGTCAGTCCATTGACGGAATTGCTGTGATCATGCACATTCAATGTCCGTCCTATGTGCCCATTTATGATAGGTAGGATGCTGCAGTATTGCAGATATTCTGAGGACTTGGAGAAGAAAGGGTGATTTGATAGTAAGACAAGTAAGTATGAAGAATGCTAACAAAATCACCAACAGTCGTCACAACGGGAAAACTCCCGCCCGATCCCCCGGAATCCAGAGGAAACGTTTCCCCCAGGTAGTGGTTGGTGTAACCGCTTGCCCTGTCATTGACTGGATGAGGCAAAGCGATGGCCGATTGCGTCAAAGACCTCAATCTGGACTGGCCAACGGAGTGGGGCCATGTGGGAACATTTTGAAGATTACTACATTCTGAGTGGATGCAGAAAATAAAGTTAAAAGACCTAGGCCTCTGATTGGTCCAAAGAAGTATTTGCGTTTGAGTTCTGATCTGCGCGTCCGCTCAGATCTGGAAATGGTAGCCACTGAGAGGGGAGGAAACTTTGTTGAGCATGAATTTTGCCGTAACTTTGTTGTAACTTTGTTGTGGCTTGGAATTCTTGTTTGGTTTTAATTCGGAAACAAGGTTGTGGGATGCATGTGGGGTTGCCCGTTTATGGAAATATACTAGAAGTACGGAGGTAGAAGTAGATCCGTCTCACCTCATCAGGTTCTCGTCCTCCCCTTGTATTTCCAGCGACATAACCTACTACTTGACTTCAATCCCTGGCTTCCATTCTCTCTAAAGCCCGTGTAATCGGCGTCTGCAAGTATATGGACTGTAAACGACTAAGAGGCCACCTATCCCGCCGAAGGTGTTCCTGGCCTTCGAGGTTATCATTGTCAGGATACAGACTTAGCAGCTGAGACAAGCAAAGGATCCTACCTTAGGTAACTAGATAAATTTACAAATTATGTTTCAAGCAGTTTAAGTTATGCACGTCACGTCAATTCAATTGCAAACTATACAAAAGGCCAATCAAAGCCAGGCCATAGCCATTCCGCTAGGTATTCTAGAACGGGAGTATCTCATCAAATTTTTAGCAAACGGAAAGAAAAACGAATTTACAGACGAGCCTTGAGGTTGGCCTTCAGCCTACGCTCAACGGCAGCCATGTACTCGCCAGTAGTAACCCAAGCCTCGCGGTCCTTGCGGCCACAGGCGAGAGCCAAGTCCTTGGTCATGATGCCCTCGTCGTTGACGACGTCGACACAGGCGCGCTCGAGCTCCTCGGCGAAAGCGACAACGTCGGGGGTGTCGTCGAGCTTGCCACGCTGCACAAGACCACGGGTCCAGGCGAAAATAGAGGCAATGGGGTTGGTAGAGGTCTCGCGGCCCTTCTGGTGCTCGCGGTAGTGACGGGTCACGGTGCCGTGGGCGGCCTCAGACTCGAAGGCCTCTCCGGTAGGAGTGGCCAGGGTAGAGGTCATCAGACCGAGAGAGCCGAAGCCCTGGGCGACGATGTCGGACTGGACATCACCGTCGTAGTCTGTGGATTTATTAGTCAGGGGTCATAATTTTGTTGATATATGGAGAACTTACTCTTCAGGGCCATGACGAAGCCACCCTCGGACTTGATCATCTGAGCGACCATGTCGTCAATGAGACGGTGCTCGTACCAGATGTTCTTGGCATCGAAGTCCTTCTTGTAGTCCTTCTGGAAGATCTCCTCGAAGATATCCTTGAAGCGACCATCGTACTTCTTGAGGATAGTGTTCTTGGTGCTCATGTAGAGGGGAAGACCCTTCATGAGAGCCATCTGGAAGGAGGAGTGGGCAAAGCCAGCAATGGACTCATCAGTGTTGTACTGGCACTGGGTGACACCACCACCCTGGAAGTCGTAGACCTGGACGCGCTCGGGCTCACCACCGGCAGGGGTGTAGACCAGCTCGAGCTTACCGGGGCCGGGGATAACACGGTCCTGGGCACGGTACTGGTCACCGAAAGCGTGACGGCCAATGACAATGGGCTTGGTCCAGCCAGGGACCAGGCGGGGAATACGGGGAATGACAATGGGCTCACGGAACACGGTACCGCCAAGGATGTTACGGATAGTGCCGTTGGGGGAGAGCCACACTAAGACAAAGTTAGCCTTTTTGAACCGTTGCGCCAAGAAAGGCTTTCGCCGATAAACTTACTCTTCTTCAGCTTGAACTCCTCAACACGAGCCTCATCGGGAGTGATGGTGGCACACTTGACACCGACACCATACTTCTTGATGGCCTCGGCGGCATCGATGGTGACCTGGTCATCGGTCTGGTCACGGTACTCAATACCCAAATCGTAGTACTTAAGGTCGATATCAAGGTAAGGCAGAATCAACTGTATGCAGCCAATTAGAATAAAGTTCAGAACTGGGGGCCAGTATGAAACGTGATGCATCAACTTCATGCACCACGTCGGTAATCATGCACATCTGGTCCCCTTGAAGGTGGGGTCAATTATCTTACCTTTTCCCTGATTTCTTGCCAGATAATACGGGTCATCTAGATTGGGCAAAGATAAGTCGGTTAGCACATGTCAAGGATGAGTGTTGAAGCATTGCGCAGCGTCATCATCGGAGACGATTGACACATGAAGATCATGACACGCCCCGTGTTTCCCCGCGTCTTCGACGAAAATGACATCGGCGGAGCACGAGAAAATGCAGGCTTGTGAAACAGCCCGCTTCAAACTTCAAACTATAAAAGGGAGGGTTGATCCCATACCTCATCACCATCCAACTCCACCACCGGGTTCTTGACCTTGATCTTAGTTTCGGACGCCATAGTGCGAGATTGAGAGAGGTACAACGAGGGAATCGATCCGGACCAGCGGGAAGACGAATTAACTCGGTTGGTGCGCTGAGAGAGGGAGGCAGAGGAAATAGCCCTGGAAGAGAGTGAAGAAGTAAAGGAGGAAGAAGAGAGAAGACGAGAAGAAGAAGAGAGAGGGGTGGGAGGGGTCGCAATGGACCGGCGAGCGAATGCGGAACTGGACCGGAGCGCGTTCATCGTGGGGAGTGGGGGATAACTGGATAGAGTGATTCAGGAAACGTCAGCACAATTTTCGGCGTCTCTGTTTGGTTGAACGGCCAGAAGTCGGCCTTTCGCTCGCCAAGTTACAACCGAGGGAATGAAGTTCGGCAGAAAGGAAGATGTGGAGTCGGGAAACTTGGGCTCCGTCACGGAGAAACGAACTGCAGGAAGATGCGATTGCCGGGAGTTGGGGGGTTTATGGGGAAGATTTGGGGTTGGAGGGGGATAATGGGTTGGAAAACACGGGATTGATCGGAATTCAGTGAGTTTAACGCGAGTTGGAAGGGATTATTTACCGGTTAAGAGCTATGAAAAGAATAGAAAGGAGGAAAAAGCCTTGTCCGGTGAAATGGAGGTTGATGTTTCCCCTTGAACTCCGCAAAAGAACCGCCGAAGCCGGAAGAAGTCACGAGATTTGGGGAAGTCGAAGTTGATGAAGTTGATGAAGTCGAAACAGAACGAAAATAAGTATTTCAAACTTCACGTGGGTATGGATTCTTTAAATCACCCTGATCCTCCTGACTCACCGTTGTAAATTTTTGGGCAAAGCTCCATCGACCCCGCTGAAATGAAGTCTACGTTCTATACGTGACGCCGGAGAACGGAGCTCAACTCCGGAATCTCACCGGCTCTCCTGTTTTGACCTCCCGCTGCCCAGAGCTCTAACTATGCGATTGATAACAAAACAGTTACAGAGGAATAGATTGATGATCCAAATATTATGATTGAATTTCACTCCAATTGTCCTGGATTGCGCGGTGTTGAAAAATCGCCATCTAAAAAGACCCGCTCCGATCAGACGCCAAGTAATGTGTTGAAGAATCGAAAATCTTTCGAATCACGCTATTTACAAGATCCAAAATATGTCTATGACACGCTAGAACAATCCGTCAATATCGCCAGTCTCGGTGTCAATGTCCACGTTAAGGTAGCCAGGCGCAGTGGGGAGGCCGGGAATGGTCTGAATATCGGCAGCAAGTGCATAGCTATAGATGTGTTAGCGTGACGATTCCCGCGGGAAAGAAGAACAATAAATGGAGCCATTATCGCCTAGGGCGGATAAGAGGAAAACTTACAGGTATCCAGCACCAACCGCCAACCGAACATCCCGAATCGGCACAGTGAAGCCGGTGGGGGCACCCTTCAGAGCCGGGTCGTGACTGAGCGAGTACTGAGTCTTGGCGATACAAATCGGCAGATTAGCGAACCCTTGTTTGGTGTAGGTGTCGACCTTCTTCTGAGCCAATTCACTGAACTCGACCTTTTCGGCACCGTACATGGCCTGGCCAATACGCTCAATGCGTTCCTGGATAGTACCATCCAGGCCGTAGAGAAGCTTGAAGTCCTTCTCCTTGGAGCTGGCCGCCATAACAGCCTTGGCCAAATCGATAGCGCCGGCTCCACCCTCAGCCCAGTGGTTGGCAGGAACGGCATCCTCGGCTCCTGCGGCGATCGCCTCCTCCCTGATCACAGCGATCTCGGCCTCGGTATCAGTCTCGAACTTGTTGATCGCGACGACAACCGGGATGCCGTACTGCTTGGCGTTGGCAATGTGCTTGCGAAGGTTAACGCAACCCGCGCGGAGTACATCCACATTCTCGGTGCGGTACACCTCGGGGAGAGGGGCACCAGGCTTGATCTCGGGGCCGCCTCCATGAACCTTCAGTGCACGGACAGTGGCAACGATGACGACGGTATCCGGGGACAGACCAGAGGAGCGACACTTGATGTTAAAGAAGCGCTCACCGCCCATGGTGAAGTCGAAGCCAGCCTCGGTGACCACGAAACCAGTCTTGGCCTCATGGTCCTCATCAGGCTCGGTACCGGCAAGCTTCAGGGCAAGCTTATCGGCGATGGCAGAGCTGGCGCCAATACTGATGTTGGCAAAGGGACCCGCGTGTACCATGACGGGAGTGCCCTCCAGACTCTGCATCAAGTTGGGCTTGATGGCATCCTTCATCAAAGCGGCGAGAGCACCACCAGCGCCAATGTCGTCGCAAGTCACGGGGTCTCCATTCCTAGATGTGGCAACAACCATGCGACCCAGACGCTCACGCATGTCCTCCAAGTCGTTGCTCAGGGCGAGAATGGCCATACACTCACTAGCGACGGAAATGTCGAAGCCGGTCTCGCGAGACAGACCCTTTTCGGTAGCGGCGGTGCCAACAGTAATGCCACGCAGGTGGCGGTCATTGACATCCAGCACGCGGCGCCAAGTGATAGTCTCCGGGTCGATATCAAGACGGGCGAAGCGGGTGATTTCCTCCTCTGTGAGGTCATCTGGGTTGGTCTTGTCAATGCCCAGCTTCTTCAAGCGCCGGAACATGATAGGCTTGAATTCGCGCTTGCCCTTGTTTGCGGGAACAAGACGCTTGTAAAGAGGTCCATCCTTCTGGGTGGCCTCGTGGAACATGCGTGTCTCAATAGCCGCAGCAAGAAGGTTGTTGGCAGCAGTGATGGCGTGGATGTCACCCGTAAGGTGAAGGTTGAACTCGTCCATGGGAATGACCTGACTGTAACCTCCACCAGCAGCACCGCCCTTAATGCCGAATGTAGGGCCCTGGCTGGGCTGTCGGACGTTGGCAAAAGAAATGCGGTTCAGGTGAGCACCGAGTGCCTGAGTAAGACCCAATGTAGTGGTGGACTTGCCCTCGCCGAGAGGGGTGGGGGTGATACCGCAGACCAAGATGTATCTTCCGTTACGGCGGTGGGAGAGGCGCTCGAGCACATCGAGGCTGATCTTAGCCTTGGTGTGGCCGTAGGGCTCCAACTCGTGGGGGGCGATACCAACCTCGGTTGCAACCTGGGTGATGGGCTTGGGGTATTGGGCCCGCGAGATAGCAATATCGGAAGGCACAGGGGTTTCCAGTCGGATGGGTAGAGGGGTGACATGACGGTCCTTTTGCTTCTCAAAGTAGCTCTTGGCAGAGTGCACCACGTTCTTCAGCAACATAGCGACTGTCATGGGACCGACACCACCGGGGACGGGGGTGATCTGAGAGGCCACCTGGGAAGCAGACTCGAACTCCACATCGCCGACGAGTCGCTCGCCGGATTTCCTTGTCGCATCGGGCTTGTAGTTGATACCAACATCAATGACCACCGCGCCGGGCTTCAACCAATCGCCCTTCACAAGCTCGGTCTGGCCAATGGCCGCGACAACGATATCAGCGTTCTTCACGATGCGAGCAATGTCAGGTGTCTTTGAGTGGCAGACAGTAACCGTAGCATCAGCGTTCTTCAGCAAATAGCTGACGGGGCTGCCAACGATGTCACTGCGTCCCAGAACCACTGCCTCCTTGCCTGCGGGGTTCACGCCGCTTGCCTTGAGCAGTTCCATGACCGCCAAAGGAGTGCAAGGGGTGAACAACGGGCGACCACCTCTCTTGGCCAACTCGCCAATGTTGATAGCACCGAAGCCGTCGACATCTTTCGCATCTGCAACGGTCGAGGTGATAGCATGCTCAGACATGTGACTCGGAAGGGGTAGCTGAACGAGGATACCGTGGATGGCGGGGTCATTGTTGGCTTTGTTGATCTCTTGGATGAGCTCCAACTCGGAGCTTGTTTCGGGAACGTTGATCACGGTGCAAATAATGTTGGCCTGGTCAATAACATTAGATGGTGCATATATCAAGCAATTGGAGAAGTCATACCTCCTGGGCGGCCTTCAACTTCATGCGCACATAGGTACCTAATAAGAATTAGTTCGAATGGCCTCTCCGGGATGTCTTGAGATGAACCAACTGGAATCGGAGCGATTGCCCACTGTAGAAAATCACGTCAGTAACCGCTTCTATCGTCATCTTGGAAGAAATTTTCTCACCTTGGAAGATAACCAGGTTTGGCTTAAACCTGGGGTTTGTCGCTTGGATCTGCTCAATCTCATCCTTCAACCCCTGGCGAATACTCTTCGCGATGGCAGTGCCATCAATCTTGGCGGCAGCCATTGCTGACGCGGAAAACGATCGGGACTGTGAGATAGCGGGGCCGATAGGAGAAAACCTATAGTTCACTGAAGACTCAATTGACCGCAATGAACAGAGGCCTCCGATTGCTGGAGTAGAGGTGTAGATATATGATAGAGAGCGGGACAAGGAAGGAAGATGTCGGAAACGAGAAGCGCCCGCATGCACTTGGAGATAAAAAGTGCAGCGGGGTACGGCAGCGGGGACGAATGGCATGAATTATTGCTCTTTTCGGGCGAGTCCTCGGAGAACCGGCGTTGCGAAAGAAAGCCCCAAGTTTAAGCTCCAATTTTACATGTGCTTTTCATGGAGGGTGATGGAGGTTAGAAGCAGTCTAACAGTCTTGTTTGCCCTGACACAATGCACTCGCATTCACCGATCTCTGTCTTTGTCTCTAATTAAGCTCGTGCGGAGAGTCGGGAGTTTCCCGGAGAGTATCCCGACCCTATTATTTGGCCTGAGGCATCATTGTTTTGACGGAGCCGCAGTAGTCATCACAAATTGCCTAACCTCTCTGGGAACTGAAGTAGGGCTTAGGGTACACATATTGACAGGTACTTATCACGTGCAGATACCGGAGGATGGAATATCTCAGCCTCCGTTCAAGTCTTGGCATTGAGGGCCGAGTGTGCGATGAAATTCACTAGCCAAAGAAAGTGAGGTTGACGAGGTTGACCCCCCCCCAAAAGCCACTCCGCCTTACCCCTTCTGAGCCGAGCGTCTCAGATTTTTCCCCTCCGACACTCCATCTCCAATTTCCTGCCACATCGACATTCAAGATGCGGCCTATTTTGCTTTCCGGCCATGTGCGTGGGCTTCCCTGAAATCTTGCTGGATCCACAGAGACTGACCGCAGCTATCTATAATTACAGGAGCGGTCTTTGACCCAGATTAAGTTCAACAGCGATGGCGACCTTCTCTTCTCCGTCTCGAAGGATAAGATCGTCTGCGTGTGGTGGTCCGCCAACGGCGAGCGTCTCGGTACATACAGCGGCCACCAGGGTGCTGTCTGGACAGTCGATGTCAGCCCCAACACCACTCTTCTTGCGACCGGTTCGGCAGACAACACCGTGCGTCTATGGAACGTCAAGACTGGCGAATGTGTGAAGGTGTGGGAATTCCCAACAGCCGTCAAGCGCGTGGCATTCTCCCCCGATGGAGCCCGACTTTTGGCAGTGACGGAAAAGCGCATGGGTTTCAACGGTACTATCGCGGTTCTCGATATCAACTACGGCGAAAACTTGAGCTCGCAGGCCACCGAGCCCAGCTTGACTATCGTTTGCGAGGAGAGCAAGGCAACTGTGGCGGGGTGGAGTTTCTTGTCCAAGTACATCATTGCGGGGCACGAGGATGGCAGCGTTAGCCAGTACGATCCTAAGGTATGCCTTTTCTCTTTTCTGGGATGATTAGGATGTATGGGGTACTAATATCATCCTAGTCTGGAGAGCAACTCGAGAACGTGCAGATCCACGAATTTGACGCCCAAATAACTGACATTCAATTCGCTCCTGATCGTCTGTCTTTCATCACCGCATCGAAAGACAAGTCCGCCAAGGTAAGTCCATCTTGTTCGGATCATTCTTCAAGACGTTTTCCGCTAACATCAAACAGCTCCTCTCCTCCCGCAACCTCGCCATCCTCAAAACCTACGTCTCCGATACCCCTCTTAACACTGCTAGCGTGACACCGAAGAAGGACTTCGTGATTTTGGGTGGTGGTCAAGCCGCTATGGATGTCACCACCACCTCCGCCCGCCAGGGTAAATTCGAAGCTCGCTTCTACCACAAGGTGAGCACAATTATCCTTTTCCAGGCGGATGAACTATTCAGATACTAATTACGTTACCAGATCTTCGAAGATGAGGTTGGTCGCGTTCGTGGTCACTTCGGTCCTCTTAACACCATCGATGTTCACCCCGCCGGTACAGCATACGCCTCCGGTGGTGAGGACGGATATGTCCGTATTCACCACTTCGACAAGGCATACTTCGATTTCATGTACGAGGTGGAGCGCGAGCAAATGCGGAAGTAAGGAGCGGACGTGGTGAAGAAAGATGAGATACGTCGTGTGGTATGTGTTTACGAGGCGAAAAGATTTGGGACAAATCCCCCGAGTCCCGCATACGGAATGGGATGACCTTCCGGTCCACGATTTTCTCATTTCATTGATTCCATGATCAATCGGAGTTGGTACCTTGTGTTTCTGTTTCTGTTTAATAAAAAGATGACATGGTTCATTTTTGAGCTCTTGTATCCGTCCTATGCTGTTCTTGCAGAAGAGAGCCGGTAAATAGACAAAATAAAGTTTTGCAAATCTTCAAACTGCGCTGGTGAAGGACCTTCATAGCAGAGACATGAGGATAGGATGTTCATGATTATAGCATAGGACTTGACTGTGGTAGCAAATGTGCCTACGGGTGCCCAGTGTTTCCACTCTTTGGCGTATGTGTACTTTCTCTCCTGTCAAGGAAGATGAAACCAGATATAGTGAATAGCACAGCTATCTGGACCTAGGTAAGGCATCCATGCAAATAGGTGGAAATCTAGGCCAAAGACCAGACAAACAACCCTAAGTCGGACTTAAGACACTTGGCTCGCACGTCCTCCGCATGATTTGCGAACAAGTACCCCTTCATTATCCCGATATACACTAAGGCAACTACGATGAACCAGTTATTGATCATATCAAAAGTGAGGTATCTCATTTATACATATTTTTCCGTTATGTCTTCTCTAAACTCGTTTCCCATGCAAGGCCAGCGCTAATCCAACCAGCAGAAAAGAAACCCGTAAAAAGAACCCAAAGAAAGTGACGTCTCATGAACAAAAAGAAAGGGCAGGAACATGACAGTCATAGAGCGCAAAAAAACCAGATGCAGAAAACGAAAGATTCGCCCGCCGTCTCATACTCGATGAGAACCGCAGGCTCAACCGCCGCTCGTCTATTTCTTCTTGGGGAATTTCTCTGCGCCAATGTCTGAACCACGCAGCTTAATGTTCAACACACGCTCCATAGCCCCAAGAACCTTCTGGTCGGGGGTGGCGGTTCCACGCTCGAAGTCCTGCACAATGGTCATGGTGGTGTTGCACTTGGTGGCGAGTTCCTTCTGGGTCATCTTGTAGCCCTCCTCGTTGCGGCGCCTCTTGATAGCGTCGCCGACGACGTGGCCGACGGTCTTGGGCTTAACGATGTCGTCGCTGCGGTCGACCTTGGTCAAGTGTTGGCCTTCGGGGGCGCCTGCCTTGGCACTCTGGAGAGTGTGTTAGTGTGTGTTTTCGTGGGTTTCTGGAAGCGGGCAAGATTGTGCACATACGATGTTACCAGTGGTGTACTTCTTCTCGGTGATGACGCCACCGGCACGCTGGGCAGCGTTCAGAGCGCTCTTGCCCTTGACGACGGTCTCGCGGGGGGCGGCGCCAGCTCCGCGGAACTTGCTGCCGATCTTGGTGGTGGTGTCCCAGTCAGACATTTTGGAAGGTTGGATTTGGTGGTGGGGGGAGGATGGTTGAAGTTGAGGAGGAGAGTAATTGGGAGTGGGTAAGAGGTGGCGTTGGTGTAAGTGTGAAGGGAGAAATGCAATTTCACAGTATGAATGACACAGAAGCTTCTCGAGGGAGGGGAGCCCGCACTAACCCATTTTGGGACTAGCGTATATCTGATCGGAGGTCGCTATTGTGGCTCAGTTCTCTTTGGCATCAACACAGATGACTGTTGTACTGTATATTTACAATTGAACTACTGGTTTTGCCAGATCAATATGCTCTTTGTATGTCTCTGCAGACTTTTCTTTTGGAGCGTCTCAAGGGGTTGTGTCTCCCGGTGTTCGCCATAACTACCGGCAATACCCCCACCACAATAGTTGCCACAGCCACGTATATCACAGCCATGAGTTTATTCTTTGAGCCCCACGTTATGAAAGATAGAAGAGCCATGGAGATGATCAGTGTCGAGATACGCCTTCTTCGTCTCTGTCTGAACATGCTCTATACTTAGACATGCTGTGTACATCTATAATCCGCTTCTTAGTCGGCAAGACAATGATGATACTGACCCACAATTTGATGTCATAAGGTTATGCACATCCCAATTCCCAGCCCTAATCACTGATATCATACCAAAAGACAGCGTATCTTTAGCTCCAACACAACAAGCACTTGACTTGGGAAGTTTCCTAGATGCATAAGGATCACAATGAGTCTGCTTGAGTCACCCCATGAGCCACGATGGGGCTGTATCATCGGGCACCAGAATAGGCTTAGCCTCTCAGATCGGTGTACTTTACAAACAGTCCCGGGGAGCCTACGTTGTGGCATGCCTCTGGGCTCTGATACGAAACAAATGGATAAGCCAGTGGTCAGCTTCAAGTCATGGATAATTGCGAAAGTTGTCGAGGACAAAGACTGCATACACAGCCGACTATTTCTGGGGTATATATCCAACACTCTTCACAGGTTCAATGGATAGATTGTGGCATAGATATGGCGTATGAATCAATATGATACTGTACAGGAATAGGCACGAAACTACGGGGTTTAAGTACAGGTATCGGAAGCCCAATCTGTCGTCCATGAGCCATCTAGACGGGGCGGGAATGACCATATGCATTCTCTGTAGGTATCTGATATCGGCTTGGAGAAATATTTCCGCACAGAGTATCTGGACCAGCTGATGGCCTCTCTTCAACTTCATACCTAGTAATGACTGTCTACCTGGATACGGATACTTCATTTCAAGTGCAGTTCAGGAGGTTCATTCCATATTTTCTGCGCAAGCTGGCATGGCCGCATGGCAGGACTCCCCTGAATGATGGTACATGTTCTTCATAAGCCCACTGGAGGTCATGTTGAATGATTTACAAGGTATCTCATTGGATACTTGGAACCTAGGTAGGTAGTACCTTCAATGGAATGTTGGATGATATGGAACTTTCTGTAGGTATTTGAACCTAGCCCGGTTGAGTATAGGCATATAGATGAACCTAGGTTGTGGCCCTGATATATAAAGTGGAGATGGAGGCTGGATCGGTCGTAGGTTCCCCTGATTTAATCTCTACCTATTTGATCCGATCAATTGACCATAAAGTGAGGGCATGGAATAATTGGAAAGAATCACTTTCTCTTGAAATATTGAAACAATCTGAGGGAGCAGTTAGGGCTGTACTGTGGAACTGCTATCGGGGCCCCGGGGGGCGGGATAAGATCTTGGCTCTCTTAGGCTACATCATAAACACTCGAGCAAACCACTTCTCCTGAATCTCCCTACTCTTCACTTTACTGTCATTAATTATCCTGCGATAAATCACTCTCACTTCAACCCCGTTTTATTCGCCATGGCAGCCTCCAGCGACTTCGCGTCTGCCATGACCGCCCGGTCGCTCCGCATGGTCCGAACGGTATGGCTTCCTGTTCCTGAAAACAAGCCAGGTACTAATCCGACATGTAGGAACTGGAATTCCTCGCCGATTCTTCCGTGATCAGTCGCCAACAACTCTCCTCCATCCTCTCACAGCTACCTGCCGACGCAAATGCCCCTCGAGCGGTCCAGGCATCACCATCGCCGCCTCGACAGCTGGCCCAGCCAGTGCCTGTCCAACAAGCCCCAGTGCAATCACAGCCCCCTCCAGCTCCCTACACGCCCTCATACTCTCCCCCGGCGTCGCAGATGTCCAATATGTCGGTGCACGAGAAAGCCGCGATGCACAATCAATATGCCAGCCCGCCCCCTCAGGCCCCGCCAGCTTATCCCCAAGTGCCGCCCGTCCTCGGCCTTGCGTCGGCCATGTATGCATACACACCTACCGATCCTGGTGACTTGGCCCTGCAGCCGCAGGATCGCATCCAGATTACCGAGCACATGAACGCTGATTGTATGATTGTCTTTCATCTGATATGAAAACCGAGCTAACGTGTTAAACAGGGTGGCGCGGTCGCAACGAGCGCACTGGTCAGGAAGGTATCTTCCCTCGAAGCTATGTGAATGTCTTGGACAACAAGGCTGCTGTTCCTCCGCCGCCTACAAACTATGGAAACATGCCTCTTGAGGTCAGCCAGAGTGGTCAGCCGAATCCCCAGGATCCCAAGCAGAACAAGTTCGAGGAAGGAGGCAAGAAGTTCGGAAAGAAACTTGGAAACGCCGGTGAGTTTGGTCCATTTCTGGCGCATTATTATGTGGTTTCTAACTTGATATCAGCAATCTTCGGTGCTGGTGCTACTGTCGGTTCCAACATCGTGAACAGTATCTTCTAAACTCATACCCGGGCTTTGTGTTGCTTCTTCGTACCCACAATCATTGACGGCGTTGGTGGATTGGATTCTACTTCAAACAGGAGACTGTACTCAAGCATAGCTTATTAGCAGGCTGGCAGCCGGGGACTCCAGGATTCTTATTGTTCAGATGCTGATTAGCAATTGGGATATCCTTTGGAAAGGCACCGCATACATACCTAGCTCAGGCCTGTATTCATATTTCCGGCTTCAAGATGGTCATCTTCTTGGAATCTCTGGACTCCGTATGGCAATAGTCCGGTCCCAATTGCCCAATCAGCGCCACCATCACGGCCCAAGGCAGACGATAGAATTGTCAAATAGTGATTCCCGTATTTCTCCCGCTAGCGCAAGCCAAGCGCATATCTCTCTTCCTAAACTCGTCCATCAAGCACCCGGGTTCAATAATCCCTGAAGCGCCCCCCAAAAGCCAACAAGCAAATGTCCGACAACACATGGCAAAAGCCCGCCACGTTGCACGCCACTCTCACTTTTCCGTCCCCGCATAAGAAATAATTGCTGCACGTTAGCGAAGCAATAATATACCAACTGACCCCAGACCCTCTCATGACATGAGTTACGCGCCGATATAACAAAGACGCTATAGCGCAATGCGGGCCGCAAACTAGTGCAGTGACTCATAGACCTGGTACTTTGGCCAGCACAGCGCTTAGATACAGGCACTAAGTATCTTAGCGAGTTTCGCACCGGATTCGAGCCATACTCATCCCTGGAGCTTTCTATAGATTGTCATTGCGATTGGAGCGCGTCTCGCGGGCATTGGGGCTCTGTACGTGGCCCTGAATCGAGTGGGGATCGGCGACGAAGCCCTCGGGCTCGGGGCCTCGGGCCTCTATGGACCCTGTACTCCGTAAAGGATGGAGGTTTCTTAAGAGTGAAGGGATTGGGCGGTTGTTTTGATAATATTCTCTTATAGCTGATGCATTATCATGAATACTGTGGTGTGTTATTGAGCTAGGATGCTTGCTATATTATGCTTTATATCGCTATTTGCTTGCGTTAAGGCATCTGATGATGACTGGGATGATTTCACGAATAATCTTGCTACGGACTTGGTAAGTTTCAAATATACTGTCAATCTCTGGATGGGAGGGCTGATAGAATCAAGGCCCCTTTGATCGTCTTATTCGGCGAACGACTTACAAAACAATTCCTCTCCGAGTCCATCAGTATCCTCGACAACGTCATCTTCGCCCTGTCACCGCTGGGAGTCTTGACTGCCGTAGTGTCCGTAATCAGGATCTGCGGAAGTTCTTCTCTTAGAGCATTCGTCGGACGAGCACAAGAAGGCCCCGCCGAAGCCGAGAGCGAACTCCTTCCCTGCGTCTCGGAATCCACTGCCGAACTATTTAACGATGGGGGCATTACGCGAGTCTTTGGCCGGCCCAAGATCGTGGAGATTGTTGCCTGGGAGGATGAAGATCGTAAGACTGGAGAGAAGTTGACGAAGATTGGGACCTTGAAAGATGCGCTTGATGAGAATGCTTGGTCGTGCAATGCGAAGGTCTCGCCGAGTGAATTGCCTGAGCTGGATATACCGAACTTGTCGTTAAACAAGGGGATCAAGCGGAGGGACCAGTTTTGGTTTCACTGTGCTGCAATACTCGGTGGTGTGTTGCAGACTGGTCAGTTACTTCTCGTACGAACGGGGAGATGGCGCTGACGACTTTCATAAGGCACGATTGTATACGCTGCTCTGACGGTTTTTGTGTTTCCTGATCATTTCAAGAAAGACGGCAAATCAGTCGCCTCGTACGCATTCCCGTTCTATTTTCTTGGGACAACGCTTTTGTTCATTGGAATGTTCTTCTGTGCGTTCATCATGGAGCGATCCTCGAAGGAATTCCGCCTCAAACCGGAGAAACCGAGCAAGATATACTGGCTGCAACCTGGTAACCAAGACGTCGGAGACCAAGTCTTCAATGCCTTCCTGGCTGTCAAGGAAGGGCCTCAGGCTTCAATGACTAAGAAACTTTGTTATATCAAATCAGTCAGGGATCGAAGGTTTGACAGGAAGTATGTAGAGATCTACTCTACTCTCGCTTCAACTATACTGGGATTCATCTTCCAGTTCATCGGCATGAGAGGTCTTCACGCATCTGTCATCCTAGCCCAACTAGGATCGACATTTCTCATGGCTGTTATACGTACCTGCCTGCGCACCGAGAGAATGGCGCCAGACGAAAACAAGATCAGAGACGACAGGGAGCTTATGTCTCACAAGCAACAAGAGATGGACTGTTTTGCTTTCTATCTCGAGAAAGTCGAGTCCTTTAATCTTATCCCGCTATCTGACCCTCCAACAAACATACCCTCACCAAGATTCCAGCCCCATGTTGGCTCTTCCTTAGCCAGAGATGTGATTCAGACTAGGACTCAGCTAGCGAGGCTCACCTCTAGTCCGAGACATTATTTGAGCGTCGATTGGGATAGTATGCCTATTCGCCAGATGGCGCATAACCTTGCAGACGCAATTGAGTCTGCATTGGACCTAGTATCTAGTTGGGGAGTCGATCTTGGGAAGACCTTTGAGTTTCGACTTGGATTCAAGTGCCACGGCGCCTCCTCAGGCTCTGCGACTCAATCTCCGGGGACATATTCCATCGGTATGATGCGGTGTGGTGACGCTTTGCGCTGGAAAATGGATGCCAGCGAGCTGGAAGCGATTTTAGGCTCGTGGACTTGGTCACTCTATAAGTCGGACGAGAACTGGCGAAACTCGACGATTTGTCGTCTCATTGGATTGAGTGCAGATGAGGCGAGTAAAGAGGAAACATTCCTCTACTTCCATAAATGGATCTTCCGGCAGACGGAGGCGAGGCTATTACCGTCCGAAGGATATGACGATTCATCACGCCTATTCTCTTTCGAGCCTAAAGATACATCTTACTATGGGAAGGTGCTGGGTGTCAGGACAGCGAATGAGCTCGAGACTATGGCTGCCCAGGATATTTATGTCCATTTTCTCAAGGAGGTGTTCATCCACGTGAATGTTCTGGGCGGAGATGTCGATGTTATTCCTGCCCTACAGAATTCATTCTTGGCATCAAGTACGCGGATTAACCATCTCGTAGGTTGCTTTGAGAATAGCAACCTGGGCTCCAGGGAAGATGCGTTGCTGTGCATTGTCCCCGTCCTTAGATATCGACATCTCTTGCCAGATCTTGCGGCGGATTCCCCTAAGGTCAGGGCACGGAGGGAGCAGTATATTAAGCAAGGAAATTGGGAAGGCGCCTTTGCCCTTCTCCGTTGGATATGCCAGAGGTCAGACGGCTCCCAATTTGAACGCTCGGTCCACGAATTGGGCTACCTTTGCCGCCGGGCACTTCTAAGCGCGAATAAACGTGTTCGCCAAGAAGGGTTCCAACAGACCTGCGCGCTCCTCACATCAGATATCAGGGACGAGTTCTTTGCAACACATCCCACTCTAGCACCCTCACACTGGCCCACCTCACAGGCCCGCGTCGAATGGTGGAGTTCATTCTCACGGCAGCTTGGGTGGGTTGCGTGGCATATTTCGACCAACGCTCCGGGGATGGCGTATTGTCAAAACATTTTGAGATCATTCAACGTGTCCGACGAGTTACAAGATCAGAACGATCAGCACCAAGACTCAGAAGCAATCCGAAAAGGCGTCGGGGCTTTGAAAGATTGGCTCACGCTATATAAGATCGAAGACATTACTCGTGACGGAGACGGCGAGGACGAACAAACCGGCTTCGAATGGATAATTAGGAACGACTATCACGCAATGCTGCATTTCCTGTTATTGAGATGGGTTGAGCTCAGTGACGACCTCCCCATCCTTGTACGGCTTGGATACAGCCTTGCAGCAAGGTCCAGATCTCACCGCGCACTTGAGATACTCCGGCGACAGGATGCAGACATCGATACAATAGATCCAGGCAATCGCTCCGCGTTGATCGACCTAGTCTACACTCGAGACCTCGAGGGATGCCGATTGCTCTTGCGAAACGGAGCCGAACCAAACGGCAACACGCAACGATTCCCCGTCTGTCCATTGGCCATCGCTGCCCATCAAGGCTATGATGATATTGTCAACCTGCTTCTACAGTTCGGAGCCAGCATTGAGATGCCAGACCAGGTGGGTCTCCGTGCCATCTATTGGGCAGCCCTCAATAACCATCTCGATACTGTCCGTCTGTTACTATCCCATGGCGCGGAGATTGATCCAATAGGGTCAGACAGGTCAACGCCGCTCCATGCGGCTGTCATCAATGGACACGTTGAGATGGCCGAACTGCTCCTACAGGAAGGGGCGAACGTCAATGCGCGAGGTCAAATGGGCTAGACTGCTTTGATGTTCTGTTATAACACGCGCAATCAGATCTCGATGATCAAGTTACTCATGAAACATGGCGCCCAGCTTGATTTGCGTGATGACGGTGGATTGACGGCTTTGGATCTGGCAAAGCAATTCAATAACAGAGAGGCAATATCCCTGTTTGAGGGGATGAATGGGCTTCAGGCAAGCCTTAATAGTGAAGAATTCAGAGTCCGGGCAATTGTGTCTGAGCAGTCCAACTTCTACCAGCAATTTCAGCAAAGACCGTTTCTGCACGAGTGATCTGAAGATCAGCTGGCGATCAGCCTCTCTTCATTGCCGAGATCTGGGCAAAGTCTGTTTCCTCTTGTGGTCTGTCAGATTCAACGAATGAGCCTGTCGAGGATGGTGCATAACCTCCCTATGAAGTTCACGGGTCCCCCTATTTTAGCGCCCGGTGGAGAAGATCCCATCGCGCTGAATTGTGACTCGGGAAGAAGTGGCCAAGCTGCAAGCCCCGTCACACGCCTTTGGGGAAATGTCCCGCTCTAAGAATAGTTGAGCTGGTGAGGGGAAGTTGCTTCTCTCCTTTAAAAAAGAAAAAGGCGCAATTGACTGCCAATTTATTTTGCTCTACTCGCTACAGTCATCTGCATAGCCATTGACATTGAATCGCAATTGTCTGGGCAACGACTCGAAAGTAAGCAAAAGCCGACGAATCTGACCTCCAATGCCTTCAATTCCCCTTGTAAACGGTCACTGACTCAGAAGAAGGAATCTAACGATACAATTCTCGTTCGACTTCATTTTGTACACCAACTCTCCGACAATGTCGCAAACACATTATCCCCCACCACCCATGTCAGGTCAGTCTTTACAACATCTCCCTGGAAAAGACATACTGACCCAATTGACCAGCTCCGGCCCATGTAACCTGTAATTCACTCCAATCACTTACCCATAACCACTCAGAAACTAAACAATTCTAGCATTCAACCACCAAATCCCATCAGTGGCAAATCCCAAGATCAACTACCCACCTCCCCCAAGACAACCACCACCAAACGCAGCATACACAACACCACCACCAGCAGAGAGCCCACAACCACACAGACACACGCCTTCAAGCGGAGGCTATCCGCCCCCGCCCTCCTCCACAACCCCGCAGCAAGATCCCCAGATCGCGCAACAGATCGCGCAACATAATCTAGCAGCTTTCAACCAGAATGCGGCAATCGGAATGGAGAAGATGCCCGGCGGCGCACCAGCCTACGGCGAATTCACCGGTGCGACTGCGACTAACAGCGACGACACGGGCATCTTCAATGGCGGGAGTTATCGTGTCAGTCATCGGGATACCAATTCACTGTTGACGGTTCAGCTGGCTATGGGATGTCCATTGACTGCCAGACCTGGTATGCCTTTCTCTACTTCCATTTCTACCGTTTCAAAGAAAAAACCAAAACTGAACACTACCAGGCGCAATGATCGCAATGTCCCCAACAATCACACTACGAGGCAACGTCTCCTTCTCCTTCAAGAAACTCATCATCGGCGGTAGCATGACAATGTCCCACTATACCGGACCAGGCGAGCTCCTCCTTGCGCCTTCGACACTGGGCGACATCATGGTCCTCCGCCTAACCGGTAAAGAGGAATGGAAGATCGGCCGCGATGCCTTCCTTGGTCACACAGCTGCCGTCGAGCACAAGTATCAAGCGCAGAGCTTGGCGAAGGGTGTTTTCTCCGGCGAGGGGCTGTTCATCTATAAGATTACGGGGACGGGATTACTCTGGATACAGAGTTTTGGGGCTATTATACAGAAAGATGTGAGTTGGCTGATCACAAACAAAGGGATGAAAGATGAAAGAGAAAAGAGAAAAGTATTCAGGGCTAACTGGATTGGTCTGGCTAGCTTCGCGAGGGCGAGTCTTATTTCGTCGATAATGGACATCTTGTCGCGTGGAATTGCAAGTATAAGATGGAGCGGGTTGCTTCTGGCGGTATTATTTCGGGGATTAGTTCTGGGGAGGGTTTGGCTTGTAAGTTCACGGGGCCTGGGACTGTTTATCTGCAGACGAGGAACTTGAATGCGTTTGGGGCGCAGATGAAGATGACTGCTGGTGCTGTTTAGGTGGCGAGGAAGACCGGTTGGGACTATTTCGCTATTTTATACGGTCTTTTGGCTATGCGAGCTTCGATGCGTCGGATAGGTATTGACCGAGTGAGGTTCTTTTCTTCTTCATGGCATTATCATCTCAAATGAAACGCTGCCACACTACTTACGACTCTACGCTATCTCTGTATAGGACAACATCCACTACAAGTATACAAGTAAAGAAGATGTAATGATATTTGTCCATGTCATCTGAAACTACCTTCTATTCTTGAATCGTTCCTCATCTCAAGCTTTTGATAGAAAGAAAAAAAAACCGACAGGGCCATTTCCCACCCCGTCAAAGCTTTCGTAAGTGACACGCCGTAAGTGAAGAGATTAAAAAACAAAGCCCTTCCTCCACAACCTGGCAACACAGCACCATTTAGCCGACACGCTTTCTGCGGCCGATCTGGGAACGGAAACCGGTCTTGATGGCGGCGACGGAACGACGAGAACCGCAAGAGTTGCAAGTAACGAAATAGAGACGGTTCTCTCCCTTGTTGAGCTCGGTGTCGGGGCTGCGGCAGGTCTTGCATGTGACGTACTCGACAATATAGCGACGCAGAACCGACTCGATACCCTTCTGTTGGAAACGACCCTTGATGACCAGGCGACGGGAACCGTCGACACTGCCTGACGTACCCAATTCGGCGAACAGGAATTGAGTGCAGTGTTCCTCGCTGGATGAGATAAGAAATGTTAGAATAGGGGAAACTGGAATGCGGGACGGGATAGTTACGAACCTTCGCTTCATGCGCTTGCAGATATCAGCAATGTTGGCGAAAATGGTACGACGGTTACCCTCACGCAGACACTGGGGCGGAGGGATCTTGTAGGACTTGGCTCCGCTGGACAGGAGGTCGGGGTGGTGGCTCTCGATGAGGGAGAAGAAACGGTTGACAAGGAGCGAGTAGGGGATGGCTTGTGTGGCGTCGTGGGCCCAGATACCGGTGCCGGCCTCGAGGTCGCCCTCGGGCAATTCCTCGGGCTGTTCCTCGCCAGCATCCTCAGCAATACCGGCCTCGGCGAGCTTGGCGTCGAAGTCGCTGGCGTCGGCCTTCTTGGACTTGCTGCTGCTCTTCTTCTTCCTCTTCAGCGCGGTCGGATCGAACTCGCCATCGACGGCGGGGGCCTCCTCGTCGTCACCCTCGGTCTTGGACTTCTTGGAGGACTTCTTCTTTTTGAGAGACCCTTGAACATATCGGTGACCTCGTCGACTTCCTTGTCTATACAGTCAGGCAGCGTTAGTGGGGGCTGAGGCGAAAACGACGAAACTGGGGTCGGGAGCTGCTGCGTACCGCCTGCAGGCTGCTCAGCCGGAGGAGCATCTGTGACTTGGCCGTTGGTATCCATAATGACCGATCCTTCGCTGAATGCGACAGACTTGCGCTGTTTAGTTTCGACTTCCTAAGCGGAGGAACAAAATGCGGCGTTAGCTAAGAGTGATAACAAAAAATGAAAGCAGAAGCAATCGTATGACGTGAATCTTCAAGAAAAGACTGCAGTTCTCGACCCAGGCTCAACAAGATGTGTTCTTGGTTTCACTGTGTGGAGGCCGAGGGGTCGATATTGTGCAGACTTAAAGAAAATGTGGGAGGGTCGGAAAAAAGACCAGGGTGTGACGTACGGAGTCCGCCATGACTTGAGGCTTTAGTAATGCGATTTCTTCCACAACGAGTTGTCGGATGGAATGTCGAGTTGTTGCGAAGTTGAAAAGCTGGAGTAAGAGTGAGAAACGGTAAAATTGTCGTTTGAATCTGATATCGCCAGACCTGGAGGCCTGTTATCGCCATATGATCACGTGACCTTTGAGTCACTGTACAGATCACGTGTTTGATTACGCTTGGCGGCGATCGTTGGACGGAATAGATGTTGACCAGTGAATCAACACGAGACTCAGTTGAATATCTCGCTTTGAAATCTGACACCCGCAGTAGGCAGGCCACTGCTTGATCAACATTACTCATCTCCCTTTCGATCAGATTCCATATTTCGCAGCTATCGCCACCATGTCTTCGGAATCTCCCGAGAGCTCGAATCCCTCTTTCTCGATGTCTGCGTACATGGTCCCTTCCCCACAGAACTCATACTCCGAATCCGACGACGAGCTTGCGTCTCTCCCTTCAGAATCCACGAATGACTCCGACCTCGATACCTTGTCTGAATATTCCTCCGATGCCGAGGCTGAGTGGCGGGAAAGCATTGAACAACTGGAGCTCCTCTTGAGTATGGTCCTGGTACCCTTCATTGGGAAATACTTCGGGCGACGATGCGCATATTGGAGTATGTGATCCCTGCCTGCTCTACGGCTATTCTGAGTGGCGAATAGCTTGCTAATCTGTTCGCGTTTTAGGTTGGACACGCTTCATGGAGTGGAAGTACCCTGTCGAGATAGTCATGCAGAATCCGGCCGCATTCAAGGCCGCGGGTCTCGTTGAGGCAGCTGCGACCCTATGACATCGTTTCGCTTCAATCACTCTATTAGCACTTGTTGCATGTTATTCCCATCGAGCGTGCCTCCTGCCATACGACCTCTCGCCACCGCTCATCGTCAAACCCCATCTCACACCGCCCTGACCTATTATCGTGGCGTCCGCAATATAGCTCCGCCCAAAAACCGCAGAATTGACTCAACTGAGTGGATGCTCTCAAAAGTCTTTGCACTGATTACACCTGGTGTCGAACTAAGCCCTGGAAGTGGACTCGGTGTGATTCTCCGTGACCTTTGCTTTCCAGCGATTTCCAATTATTCTTCATCCGACGGCTACATGCACGGATACGCCGACTTCATATCTTGAACAGATGCGGACTCAGTCCATTTGATGATATGTTTGATAATTTCCACGTCCAAGATAAGACTGTTTTATACCCAATCAATCCATCAAATCTCATCAGAATACACTCATGCTTATGAACAGTGAATGTAGGCTATGTAGCTAGGTGTGTCCATGAACCTGACAATACTTGCATTTGATGCTGATGTAGCTATGGCCCATTTGCTACCTATGCAGGCGATACCAGTCACAACTCAATATAGTCGGTTTTGTCGCCAAAATCCACGTATCCCCGGAAACCGACTCAGTCTCGCATTGATTTCGGGGGATGAAGGGAATGTTGGCTGGGCATATTCCCTGGCGAGCCACGGCCACTCCCCACTCAACTCATTGCTCTGATGAAAGAGCGGATAATTCGAATACTGTAAGGGTTCTTCATGTTGCTGGCAAGGCTCTGGTGGCCTTGAACCATGATTATCTTGTATGGTGTTTTCAGAGACTGTCGCCAATTCTTTCGGCTCTCCTTCCTCTGTGTCCTCGGTCACATCAAACTCATCAAGGTAGTCCGCGTTTTGAGTTGGCTGCGGACGGCTGCCGTCCAGTCCATTTTTAGCAATCGATCGCTGTAAGTTTGCAACTTTTGCCATGAGCCCGGGGCTCGTGATTTCATCATAAGCAACATCTAACGTGTGGTAAAACTCGTCGTCGTCATCGATTTGACTTATCTCATAAATGTCGATGTTAGGTACAGGTACTTGTTGGACTTCTAGCGTGGGTGCAGGGGAAGCCGAATCGTCACCTGGTCCCTCCAAAGGAGATTCGCAGTTGTCTTCATTCCAGGTTTCCGTGTAGAAATATTGTTTGTTCGATGCCTCGGCAACATTGCTTGCGACATTCAGATAACCTTTTCTGTCCGAAATTTGAAGAGCCTCATTTTCCTCCTGCGCAGCGTTGCCTTGTGGCCCGAGAACGGAATGTTGTTCCAGTCCATCGCTACTGGCAGTAGAGGCGGTTTCAACCATGGTTTTCGGGGTCGGATTGGACATCTCAGTGTGACTCTGACTAGCTTCGACCGAGTCCGGGATACCTGGGCTATCGTTTTCCTGGAGCTTCTCTGGAGTGACTTCGGCTGCAGCTGGCTGTTCAGGGGTTGGTTCGTGAGAGGCTTGTATTTCGTTCCCTGTCTCATTGGACCAGAATGGTTGTCTCTCCCACAGCAGTACCCATAACTCAGATAGACTCCAGTAACGTCTGGCCAAGACGGGCTTCGAATCTTCTGAGCATAGGGCTTGGTGACCCAGCCCGGCATGCAAGATATCCAACAGGTATTGTTCGATGCCTCTGCTTTCGTCCAGACCACCCACATCACTTTCAGACGAAGTGTATGGAACAGACGGTGATCGGCTCGATGTCTTTCTTCTTTTGGTGTGAGGTTCGGAGGCAGCATTCTGAAATCCGTGAACGTCCGTGGAAACCTCTCGGGCATTTGGCTCCTTGACTGTGAACGACGGCGAGTGCGAAGTATCCAATTTCCGTTTCATGCCACGCAAAGATGGTGATCGGCTCGATGCCTTTTTTCTTTTGGTCTGAGGTTCAGAGGCAGAATTTTGAAATTTGTTTTCCTGGAGCTTCTCTGGAGTGACTTCAGCTGCAGCTGGCTGTTCAGGGGTTGGTTCGTGAGAGGCTTGTTTTTCGTTTCCTGTCTCATTGGACCAGAATGCTTGTCTCTCCCACAGCAGTACCCATAACTCAGATAGACTCCAGTAACGTCTGGCCAAGACGGGCTTCGAATCTTCTGAGCATAGGGCTTGGTGATCCAGCCCGGCATGCAAGACATCCAACAGGTATTGTTCGATGCCTCTGCTTTCGTCCAGACCACCCACATCACTTTCAGACGAAGTGTATGGAACAGACGGTGATCGGCTCGATGTCTTTCTTCTTTTGGTCTGAGGTTCGGAGGCAGCATTCCGAAATCCGTGAACGTCCGTGGAAACCTCGCGGGCATTTGGCCCCTTGACTGTGAACGACGGCGAGTGCGAAGTATCCAATCTCCGTTTCACGCCACACAAATTGTTGCTTGAGTGTGACATAGCCAGCTTACGGTCACATAGATGATGCTCGAGCTGAGGTTCTTGACGGCATTCTCTCTCGCGTTGGCTAGCGGGGCCGTCCCTCACACTGGACACAGGATGAAGACTAGGATGATTCCCTTGTGACAGGAAGCTCATTTCAGAGAACGTGTGATCAGATCCCAGGGAGTGCCTGCGAGCCTTCATGTTCGATGCGGCATTCGCAACTGTGTCTAACGGGGTGCTGCTGCAGTTGTTTGTTGAAGACGAAATCCTACCCTTACTGAATATGCCCACGTTCGTATTGTTGCGCAGCTAGTTATGATGAGTATCAAGCAGCCAAGATTCGGAAATTATACTTACTGTCAACCTATTTCCTGTGACGTTACTGGCGTGGAAGTCATCATTCATGGTGTGTCTTCTGCGCCGGGACCTCTTGGCCTGTTTCCCGCGAGTCTGCAACTGGGCATCCGCGGTGGATGATGGGCCTTTGTACTCATAGCGATCCTCGCGAGTCTTGTGCCGCAGTCTTGGTTCGTAGCTATGACGAGGTCTCTTGTGGGTTTCACATTCCGGGACAGATGTTTCTGTTTCCTCAACACAACCAGCGCCCCGTTTTCTAGTAGTCGAGCCTCTAGAGCCATGCATAGCATCGATCTCAAGTGGAATATTATTATGCGGTATGCGCTTCACAATATCTGCGCCCGCAATTTTTCTCTGTTTCATGCCTAGTAGAGTCCTATTAGACGGGTATGAAATACTCATGAGTTATGCGACAATGGATAATATACCTGCGTGTTGACTTCGACGTTCTCGTTGCTGCTCCACAGTGGAAAGCCACTGGTAAATTGGATTATTGTCTCCCTCCATGAAGTGCATCTGAATATCTCAGGTTGTGAGCTATGAGATGAAGATGTTGAGTTGAATGGTAACTGAAGAGATTGAGATGACAGGAAATTATAGGATGAGTTGCCGGCAGGGCAAGTGTGGCTGCGTGACCAACTCAACTTCATCCCATTGTTCTTTCCTTTCATTCATCATTTCTTCGTCTTTCCTTAACTTCTACTCCATTCAGTCTATTGTGCTTTATGACGCTGTAGATGAATGATTCAATTGATTGTCTTTTGCTCAATGACTCTCAATGAATCCATTCGCTCACACTTGGCTCTACTCGACTTCTACTCTATTGTGCTTTATGATGCTGTAGATGAATGATTCACTTGAATAATTTGATTCATAATTGTCTTTTGCTCAATAACTCTCAATAAATCCATTCACTCACACTCGGCTCTACACAATCTGTTGGTGAATCGGCAACAACATGGCTATCTCTTAAGTCTGTATACATAGAACAAATAGTGCCCCGATCATGGCCATTGGCCAGTTGCTGGAGCCTCTCCAGCATACACCGCCCAAGCCATATGTAGGCCTATGGGTACTGCCTCTTAATCTTTCCCCGGATAAGCGCATATGTGGGTTCAGGGCTGTTGGGACGTACGATGGCCAGAATGGAGAGGGCTAAACCCCATGGCCGTGTGAGGTAGTCGAACTCATACCTATCTCTGGTCTCTGGGCGGTCTGGCCATACAGATTGAGATATTAGCTCAGTCTGTATGGCTAGACCGCCCATCGGCCCTGGCAGTCAATCCCCGGCCGAACGAGAAAAATAATCCACAATGCATAAACGCGCATATAGTTGCACGGGGCTGCGAGGTACGGGAAACTTGCCAGAGTCACACGGTCCATGCGTGATGATCCGTCCAAGGGGTCGTTTCTTTCGAGTAGAAGGTGGACCTATCAGGCTATCTTGGGACTCTCGCTTACCGTGCCGGTGCAGAAGTACGGACCGTCGGACCTATGCTACGGAGTAAGAATCTCAAGAGATCCAGCATGGAATCCCGGGGTTGGACTGGGCCTACAATCGCCGAGGCAGCATTTATCTTGGTCGGACATTGGCTCTTTAGCCAAGTGAGGGGCAGTACATCAGCCGCTCCTCTGCCGCCAATCCCAGCAGAGCCTCGGACACCATCTGATTGACTTCTAATGGGGAGCCCGAGCAGACCCGCAATTCAATCAGTTCAAGGTTTAGGCCCCTAAGACTAAGTAGCTTGGGGCGGGTTTATCTTTGCAGCATCTCAACCCCACTTCGGACTCCTTTTTGGGGCCAAGGCCCGACTTTACTCGCTCTGGCCAAGTACACAACACAGTAAGCAATGCGCGTTGTGGACTTGCCGTTGGAGTCCGACCAGTGGAAACGTGCCAGTGATGTGAAAGCCCTAACGCAGTGTGATTGTTACACGGGACTGCTGACTCGCCTGGCACTAAGCCCTGTCACTTTACAGCTCAAACGTTTTCTGACTTTTATCTTACCTTCTCTCCTCGAGTATCACCTTCTGTGTCTCACATAGTCTCACTACCAGTTTGAGCCCGTCTCAGAATTGCCTACCTTATAGCTTCCATCCTACACGATGTCTAAGCTTTTTGTCCAGTGTGTATTTCCTGCCCGAGGATCAGTTCGCGCTGGCAGGGGCCAGTCTAACGTTTGCCGCGATGTGATTCAGCGGCCTTTCTTGGCATACTAGCGACGAGACCTTGCGTGAAGGTTTCCAACAATTCGGCGAAATTCAAGAAGCCGTCAGTTTGCCTTCATTGAAATAACATCGATGGTCTGAGCCTCTACTGACTGAATCCACGACAGATTGTTGTCAAGGACCGTGCGACTTTGCGCAGTCGTGGTTTCGGCTTTGTCCGTTTTACTACTGATGCGGAGGCGGATGCCGCGCTGAACGCGATGAACAATCAAGAGTAAGGATCTTATCATACTGTATTCCCCCCAGTGGAGCGCCAGAGAGATCTGACAATTGTGCAGGTTCGACGGGCGAGTTATTCGTGTTGACAAGGCGTTCGACCGTCCTCAACGCCCCGAAGGTGGCTTCCAAGGCCGTGGTGGATACAATTCCCAGCCCCAGTCTGGCTACCAAGGTGGAGGTCAGGGCGGCTACGGTGGAGGTTACAACGGCAACGGGTACAACAACGGTGGATACGGGGGCGGGTACAACCGTGGTTACAACAACTACGCCCCCAGTGGTCCCGGCTATGGCGCAGGCGGCCATGGCGGATATGGTTTGTTTCCTCACCGGAGACTCTCCACTCTAATTGCTTATTAACTAATTGATTTCTATCCAGGTGGTGGTCCAAATTCCGGATACGGTGGTGGCGGAGGTGAGCTAACATTTCATCCTGGTCCTCGTGTGGTTTCCCGTTTCACTGACAGTCGTAGGCTGGCGCGGGAACAACGAGCAGGCCCCCCAAGATGGCCATCATGCTCAGTAATTGATCGTCTCGGGAATTTCGACATCTTCGACGTGCTTTTCTACTCCTCGCAAGTTCTTCTAAAAGAAGTGATGATTTATGATTGCTGGAACATGGTGAATTCAAGTCTGCACGCGGCAGCGGACAGCTTCAAAATCCTCAATGGGACTGCCTTTTTGTGTCCTCACTCGACTTGCTAGTGAGGAATCTTGGCTTCTAGTTTGAGTTGTGCTTTGATCAGTTGCAAATCTTGAGCTTTTTGGTTTTATTTTCCATGCCTGGGGTCCCTTTCGTTCCCTCTCTAACAGAATGACCGATGCATGGTTTCGTATTGGGCGTGATCGTGTCCTTATAATGCCCCTTCTTTGACTTCAGGCTCATTGTCATTTGAAGTACCAAAATGTTTGAAGTATGACCTTGAACTCCTCCAAAAGGTATGAGCTAGAATCTGTTCAAGGCTCCGTGGAGCGATCCTTCTATTCTCAGAGCGATATGCACTAGGTATGTGCAAATAGGGTAACGTCAAAACCTATCAACATGCACGGCTTAGGCACTTATTCAATGCTCGGACGACGATTTCCCCAATCGGCCTCTTCAGCCGCACCCTCCAAAGACCTCGTAACCCGCAATTCAGCCTCAACTTCCTCAGCCTCCGCGACACCCTCAGCCTCAATATCCTTAACCTTCCTCACCAAATCTCTGACATGGACATCCGCACTTCCAAGTCCAATACCCTCAAGAGCTTTCTCCAGCATAAACAAATACTCAGAATTCTTCCCACTCAACCCATGCCCATTACTAATGACCTGGGCCACATGCTGCGGCTCGCGATGAGCCGCATCACGGAGGAACTGCGGGTTACTCGGCTGGCCGATGTAAACCATGCAGATAATTGGGGATGTCGTTGATCCTTCAACCGGGACTGTCGGGTGGAATGGCGTGTAATGCGCGCTGTACCCGTCAATTTCACGCTCGTCAAGGTAGTCGTGGACTTCCTCGGCGTGAGATGCTGGGATGTGGTATGCGGCGCCCCAGACTTTGCCTGTGGATGATGTTTCGGATTCCAGGTGGGCGAGCTGCAGGGCATTCATTAGAATATCTGTACACATAGGAGGTGGGAAATAGGACTCACTGGGTCATCTAGTGTCTCCCAAAAGCTTCGCTCGATTACCGTGACTACTCGGCCTGGTTGCTCGGGTGTGCCGCGGTGGTCGGTACTGAGGGAGTAAGTTAGTGATGCGTGAAGCTGGAGTCGTTATAGCTGAATGGGCATAACTGTTACGCGTGAAATGAACATACCTAGCCTGCCAAAACCGCCGCACATAGCCCTCGATATAGCCTGGTACGCGCTGGTCTAAGATTTACAGTCAGTAACTTGATCCCTGTGCGAGAAGTTCCCATGGACAGCTTTCTTTTGAAGCTGCCAACGGCACTGCCCAGAATATCACGCACCGTAATGTGGAGGTGGCTTCCAGATCAAACTCCTATCCAGTAAAATCGTTATTCAACGTTCGATACTCAAATGACAACATCCCAAACCCACCCATATCCAAATACCCAGAGATCACCCTTGGGGAAATGACTTTTCCACGTCCGACCGTCTGGATGGACTTGATGTCCTTGTGCAATAGCAGCCATACTGAATGTTTCAATCTCAGGTGCTTCTTGGCAGATTTATTGGCTGCTCTTGGTTGATTTTCTTCGAACCCCCGCGATGGCTCCCGGATACCTGCAGGCAGCGGCAAGTTGACTCCGATAAATCAAGAGTCTTAGAATTTTCGAACTATGAATGCTTAAAACGAGATGCCATAAATTTGACTTGGAACTGTTCTGTATAGTCTTTGTTTTCAGATGTTGGAGATTTGAAATCGAAATCGATCCTACACAGTTGAGCGTGTTTGCAGTGTTTGCTTGTTTGTAGTATTCCGCCATCTTCACCATCAATGAGACATCTGTTACCTACGACGTCCTACATAGATCGTTCTTCTATTCGAATTGTGAGGACGATGAACGCTGATCGTCACATCGTGTTTCTGCCGGTATTCTGTGGGCTCATAGCTGCCACTGAAACACTCAAGGATGTCTCTTAACCCCACCAATTGGATCAGTCGTTCTTGCAGCCTTATGAAAAAGCGACGCTGTCATTCGCGGCTCACTGCTTGAGCTTTTTGGTCGAAACAGATGGGAACCCTCTGTCAGGCTCTGTGAAAAGATTTAAAGGGGACAACGAAGCCCATTCCTTTCCATATCAGCCACCGTTGCCTGACCTCGTCCTACGACGGGTTATCTTCATTGCAATGATTGCAATGATTGCAGCTTTTTGCACTGGGACATTGCGACCGGGAAGATCGGCATGCTACCCGAGTCCTGACCTTTCTGCGTATATCGGCATCTGTGAGACTATGGTTCCCCGCGCTTGCCATTGTTGCGCTTTTCGGAAACATCGACTCCAGTACCCGAGGCCTAGCTCCCTACAGGTGAAACGCTGCAGGCTCCTCCAGCAATACGTGGCCTTGGATATCTTGATCCGCTCGCTCCCTGCAATATTATCTGTGTAGTCGATCCATGCACGTGCTTTCACAATTGACCATCAACAAGCCGTTACCAAGGTTCCCTGTTGAATAGTAACATTGGAAGGTATATACTAAGCAGCATGTAACATTGTAATTTGCGTCTGTCTAACTATCTATCCACGGGGATGAACCCCTATTTATGCTTCGCCCTTCATACCTTCCTGTGCTCGAGAACAAGCCGCGTTGCGTAGCTACCATCGCACGTGAACAAAACTCAAAACTCAAAAGGCATTTGACATCTCGACAATTGCACGTGGACGTCATTCTTATCGGCCCTTATCGCTTATCCGTCGCGTCCAGCCGCGTGTTATCACTCGTGTCCAGCGAGCTCTGCTCCCATCGATCATTTTCTTCTCGAGACACACGCTAACAGTCGTCGCTTCCTTTTAGTTCCTAAGAGTTCGTGCATTTTTCGTTCTCTGGCTTCTCTCTCTTTCGAAGCTGTTTTAGCGGATTTTTTCATCATGGCGAGCCTTTTTCGACTTCTGAAGATGCAGTACACGCCACCCACTGACCCCAAGGCTGTCACTTTCGCCGGAAAGATTGTTCTTCTGACTGGCGCCACCTCAGGTCTTGGTTTTGAAGCCGCCATCAAGATCCTCAACCTTGGTGCTGAGTCCCTCATAATCGGCTCTCGTGACCTTCAACGGGGCAGGCAGACGAAACTCAAGCTTGAGAAACTTACCAACCGAGGCAACGTCGTGCATGTTTGGGAGCTTGAAATGAACAGCTTTGCCAGCGTCAAGAACTTTGCCGAACAGGTCAACAAGGAGGTGACCCGACTTGACGTTGCCATCCTCAACGCCGGTATCTGGAACAAAGATTACCACCAATCTCCCGAGGGCTGGGAGGAGGATCTCCAAGTCAACACGCTCTCCACCTCGCTGTTGGCCTTGCTCCTTCTCCCGAAGCTGAAGAAGAGCGCTTATCCCGACAACCCCTCGCATCTGAGTGTTGTGTCTAGCCAGCAGTTTGTCCAAGTGAAGCCCGAAAGCGTGCAAACCGACGGTATTCTCCTGGCGCACCTCAACGACCCCGACAACTTCGCGGGCCCCAAGCAGTATGGCGTCTCAAAGCTGCTGCTCGAACTTGTTATGAAGAAAATTGCGGTCCACATTCGCGGCGATGATGAGACCCCCAAAGTCGTCGTCAACACTGTCAGCCCTGGACTGTGCATGTCATCCCTGGGTCGTAAATACGACAGCTGGTGGGAGAAGTGCGCTAAGTGGATTCTGTACACTCTTTTTGCGCGTACCACTGAGCAGGGAAGTCGTCTGTTGGTTAGCGCGGTGCTCCAAGGCTTGGAGTCTCAGGGGCGCTGCTGGCGCAATGATGGTTACCTTGAGTAAGTTATTCTTTCCTATTTCGCAGTGTTCATACTAATGGCCTTTTAAAGTGAGTCTGCTGCCTTGACTACCGGACCAGGGGCAGATGAACTCCAAGCGAAGGTGTGGAGCGAGGTAATCACTGTACTGACGGACGAGGCCGAAGAAGTGAACCTTATCGCACGTGGCCTGTACCCGGGTCTGTAAGAGCGGACAGCCTGACGACACTGTATGGATTGTAGTCTTCGTTTACATGCGCCAGCGTATACATGTTTTATGCACCTGGCGCATACTTGCTGCAGCGGAAGCGTTGTGTTATTGATACCCCCATTTTGTTATGATTCATTTATTGTATTATTGTGATATCTTAGTCAATGGAGACCAAATTAAGGCATTCTCACCTATTTTAAGGTGTTTCTACAATAATACCTATCCTAATACTAGTGATAACTATGTGTGCCTTTACATCATAGTTCGACCTAGAAGACAAGGCACTTTCTCCAAGACATCTCCAAGACATACGAATACGAGCTCCAAGTCCCCAGCAGCGGGTCTTCCACTCCCAACGTATTTTTAGATTGGCTTGGCGCCTATATCACCAAGGCTTAAGATAGCAGTGAGGGTTTAGGAACAGGGGATGCAAGCACGAATAGGATCAGTTCCATCTAGCCGCTGTAACTTGTCGAGCTACAGAAATACTTAGCAATCATATAAGTAAGCCCGGATGTGAAACTGTACTCCGCGTAGCTACTACGCCATCAACATCCCCAACTTTACTTGGCGCGCTAAAAATCGTTGCCCCACGTCTCCGCTTTAAACTTGCGTCTCCTTTTATTCTTGACCTTCTGTTCATATTCCTCCTTTCGGTCTGTTGTAGAGTAGACCTTCGGCCTACCCCAGATCGTGGCTGTCGCATCTTCGCTCCCCGCTCCCCGCCCCCTCCAGTGTGTCACCGACGATGGCGTACAACAAATCCTACAACCCCGATGCGCTACCAGCGTAAGTGCGACTTCGATCTAAAGCAGCCTACAAATACTAACTCAGATAATTCAACAGTCACGCTGAGCCAGAACAGGTACATCACCCACCATGCGCCTCCACTTCTCCTCGATTAACACCCAATTAGGTAGCGCAGATGCTCAGCAACATACAAGTATCAGGCCAAAGCCACTCCCCAAGCCCAAGCCAAAACCTCAACAGCAAACCCCTACCTTCCCGCCCACCACCGCAACCAATTCACAACAGCTCAAGTCACAGCGGCGTCCCCGCCCGCGTGCCCGTATCCAACGCGCCCCCGCAGCACGCATACACCGCCGCACCCCGCCTCGAACCCAAACCGCAAACCCACCACTCCTACAGCGGCCGTCCCCCACCAGGGAATGCGCCTCCAGTTCAACAAAACCCCATCCAGTCTCAACCCCGTCCACACCCCCTACACCCCTCCCCACCGCCGCAAAACTACGGCTTCGGTCCCCCACCCACGCAACCGCAGCGCGCCCGACCCCCTCCCTCCTCGCGACCGCCGCAATCCCCCGTGCCGCCCCCATTGACAGCGCCCAGCAATGACCCACAACAACTCTTCCCGCTCTTCCGCGCGGCGAATGCGTCAAACACGCAGGCGCTGACGGAAGCGGAGCTGGGCAGTGCGCTCGTGAACGGCGACTACACGTCGTTCCATCCGCGGACGGTGCGGCTGATGATTCGGATGTTCGATCGGGACGAGAGCGGGACGATCAGCTTTGAGGAGTTTGTGTCGTTGTGGCGGTATCTGGCTGCGTGGCGGGAATTGTTTGATCGGTTTGATGAGGATCGCAGTGGGCGGATTAGCCAGCCGGAGTTTGAGAAGGCGCTTGTTGCGTTTGGGTATCGGCTTAGTGGGAAGTTTGTTTCGACTATGTTTGGGGTTTTCGAGGCCAAGGGGAGGAAAATGGGTGGAACGGCTAAGGAGGCTAGGCCGCAGGGGATGAGCTTTGATCTTTTCGTTCAGGCTTGTATTAGCCTCAAGAGGATGACGGATGTTTTTAAGCGGTATGATGATGATCGGGATGGGTATATTACTCTGAGCTTTGAGGAGGCTTTGACTGGTGAGTTTTTTTTTACTTTTGCTGTTTTGATTCGGAGAGTATGTTGCTAACTCGGTGTTCTCGTCTACAGAGATCCTCCTGATGCTCGACTAATGCGGCTTGCCGCATTATGATACGTATTATCATGCTAGGGCTGTCCTAAGTTATGGGTGTTTCTGCCTTTGTGCTGTTTCTGTCTACATTATACCCCTCCGATCCTCTTGCTAGTGTCATAGAACTGCCAGGGGCTAACACTAGTTATTGCATATCCATCGAGGACTCATTTGAGTCTTGGAATCAGTATCAAGACTTCGAGGTCTTCAAAGAATTCGTTATATCAGTTTGGAGAATAACTATCCGTAGCCCAAAGCTAATTACATAGTATCTCGGAATATCATAATTCCAAACAACTGAAGTACAAGTCATCGCCATAAGCTCCCCGCGGGCTGCAACTAATCAATCCCAAGGTCATCATCGTACGGGGTCCCGTAAAGATACGAAGGGTCCATCGTAAGAGTATCCAGAAGGCCTGCCGTCATAGCAGGCGGTACTATGCCCATCGCGACATCAATCGGTAGCCCCGGCGGCAAATCATCTTCATAATCAAAGTCACCACTATCACCATAATCGTCGAAGTCGTCGTAGTCTTCGTCTTCTTCGTCATCAAACCAGGGTCCCCGTGGTGGCAATCTGTATGGCATGATATTGAACCTGACTGTTGTTTCTTTGAATAGATCCTGGATATCCATGAGACATTGCACTGGGGTTTTGCCTTCCGGGATTATTTGCCCGGGAAGTTTAATCGGCGCTGTGATATCGAGTGCCGAGACATACACGTCGCGCAACTTCGGATACATGTCCTTTTTGCAGTCTGCCGCGATGTTCTGTGCCATTTCCCAAATGGAACAATTACAGTTGGAGATGTACAGCGTTTCTAGCGATGCCGGCAATCGAGGATGTGCTGGAAGATAGGCATGAGAGACGGAAAGTACCTTGAGCACGGAAAAGCCGGCGAACGACCCATACTTAACGAGGGTAGAATTGTACTCCTCGACGTCCTCGTACGGATCTCTATCAGTGGGGAACTCGACGCGGAAAACCTCGATGGTATCCTTGTGCCGAAGAGCCTCTTGGGTGACTTGCGCGGCGGTGAATTCAGGTGCGGATTGGTATAGGTTCAGGAACGGTCGTTCAAATGGAGGCACGTCGTACTTGATGTACGTGAATATTTTCGGGCCTTTGCACGCCCGCATAAATTGTCTGAGGGCTCCGATATCCAAATGGCATTCGATGAAGTGAATTTCTTGGGCCACCAACGATCCACGCGTCCAGCTAGATGGGAATGACATATCGAGCGAAACACCGTGATTAATGACCATTGATTTGAGCTTGGGAAGGGATAGAATCTGATGGTAATGTGCCATATTGAAGCCGACCTGCTCGTGGTCGGGTTGAAGGTATATAGACGTGACGTTGGACATAAATGACGGATCTCGACCGAAGAAATATGGGAACGGTTTGACGTAGTGTTGGCACGCTGACATGCGCAGGTGACGAAGATTGGGCGTTTTGCTGACCAACAAAGCTGCGAAGACGCCGATCTCCTGCCTCTCCACGGCCCGAAGCCAGGGTTTCTCCATATCGCGCAATTTGAGGTCCTTGATGATGCCTTTGTAGAACTCGAGGTGATCCTTGGAGATGGGCCTAACTGGATAATTCGGATTGACTGGTTGAGGTACGATGGTGATGTTGCGCACATGCTCTCCAAGCTCAGGATGTTCATAAATTGCCTTAGTGATACGGATGGTGTGGATGCGACCGCAAAGAGCATGATCATCGATAAAGTTGCGGAAAAGAACAGGTTGAGTAATTTCACGGAGTTTCCGCGAGACTAGGCAGACATTGTATAGATGCTCAGTCCCAGGATCATAATCCATCTCATCCTCCTGTATGCAACAGTTGTTGGGAATTAAAGACAGTATGTGCTGCACGAGCTCTATCGGGAGTTCCTGAAGGTTGCCCATGATTGTGGTACTGTCCCATGTATGTTAATATAGGCGAGGTAAAGCAATGGAAAACAATGACTCGAAAGGGATGTGGTCCTCACGCGTCGAAACACGTGAAGACCGGCAGACCGATTAGCCCCACGGTCCGTCCCCACCAAGGCGATTAGGGCTAGGTTAAAATGAGTATGGTTCTGAGACAGGAGCATATGCTAGCCTGTTTAGGGTTAGCGTATATATCTCGATATACTACATCTTGGACTTGATCAACTAGACACAGTAGAATTCTGATTCAGGGGCTTATGCTAGCCTGTTTCGGATTAGCGTCTATAACTCGATACTAGTCGATACTCGATACGGATTACGGAGTGTATTCGAATGTCTAACTATACAAAGAAGGCGGCATCGGCCATTGGGGAACTGCCGATGCCGACCTCCCGCTCCACACCGTGGTCCAGGCCCCCACCTCCGAAGGCGACACATCCAAAATAATTCGGCCTTAACTCAGCAGTTAACTCCGAATTTTAATCTGCTGTCCCCTTCAAATATTATTGCTTCACGTTATTGCTTCGCTTTATTTCTTCGCTCACTCTCGGTCAAGGTAACATAATTTTGGCGTCGCGATCGATTGGGAATTGCTTACTTTCCGTGGCGGATCGGACCTCCGTTTTCCTCTAGAAAGCTTGTCCTCGGTCGTTCCCCTCTGCAAGATCGCGTCATGACCAGTGTACCACCCCACCAAGACGCCTCGAGCGGCGATACGGCTTTCGATCAGACCCACGAGAAGCATGTCGCCGATATGCCCACATCGGAACAGCTGACTGAGGCGCCCGTAGCTGCGCAAGCTGAGAATGAGGTGGATAATGTGACGGCGAAGACAGATGGTTCGCCTTTGGATCGCGCGCCCTCGCAGGCCGCAAAAATGGGCAAGAAAAAGATTATAATCGTGATGGCGGCTTTATGTGTAAGAAGACCCCCGACGCAGTCTCCAATTCGGTGATATGTGCGTGAGAATCGGACAATCAAGTGCAGAAGCTAATCTCGCCATGTCGCATTACAGTTGGCTGTGTTTTTAGCGGCTTTGGACATGGTATGTGGCACCCTTCCCCTTGCTTGGGGCTTTACTAACATGATATCTTGCAGACAATCATTTCCACAGCCCTCCCCACCATTGCTGCGCAGTTCGGTGCCACGGGCAGCGGTTTCTCATGGATTGCCTCATCATATCTTCTGGCGAACGCCGCCTGTGTACCCCTGTGGGGCAAAATAAGCGATATATGGGGAAGAAAGCTTATCATTGTTTTCGCCAATATCCTCTTCCTGGTTGGCAGTCTGATTTGCGCTTTGGCTCATAACATGGCCACTATTATCGCAGGTCGGGCTGTTCAAGGTGTTGGTGGTGGTGGCATCCTTATATTGGCGTACATCAGTGTCTCCGATCTTTTCAGTTTGAGGTAAGATGTCTGCATAGTCCGAAAATGGGACGAGGCTGAACTTTTTATACAGGGATCGTCCGATGTACTATGGACTCTTTGGGGGAGTTTGGGCCGTCGCAGGTGCTCTGGGTCCTATCATTGGCGGAGCTTTTACTACAAGTGTAACTTGGCGCTGGTGCTTCTGGCTCAACCTCCCCATTGGAGGTGTCTCGCTTGCCGTTGTCATTCTTTTCCTTCACATAGATGCGCCAAAGACTCCCTTCTGGGATGGCCTACGCAACATTGATTGGTTAGGAACATTCCTGATCATTGGCGGAACCCTGATGTTCCTCTTTGGAATGGAGTTTGGAGGTGTCAACTATCCCTGGGCCTCGGCTACCGTGATTTGCCTGATTGTGTTCGGCGTTGTCTCTTGGACCCTAGCGATGGTCATGGAATGGAAGGTCGCTAAGTTCCCAATCATCCCTCCGCGACTGTTCAACAACTGGTACAACATTCTCATTCTACTCGTCTGCTTCTGCCACGGCTTTGTCTTCATTGCCGCTACCTACTACCTCCCACTCTACTTCCAAACCGTCCTTCAGGCAAGCCCGATTCTGAGCGGTGTGTATATGCTGCCTCTGGTCCTGTCTCTTGCAGTCGGCTCCGCGGGCACGGGCGTTGTCATGAAGAAGACTGGTCGCTTCCGCGAGTTGATCATCGGAGGTATGTTCATGATGACCCTTGGATTTGGTCTATTCATCAACCTCAAGCCCTACGCCTCATGGCCCCGTATCGTCATCTTCCAGCTGATTACTGGTTTGGGTATTGGCCCCAACTTCCAGGCCCCTCTAGTGGCCTTCCAGGCCAATATTCATCCCAGCGACATGGCTACGGCGACAGCCACTTTTGGCTTCGTCCGTCAGCTCGCCACTTCGATTTCCATTGTTCTGGGCACCGTCGTTTACCAAAATATCATGTCCCAGCAGTCGGGGCAGCTTCTCGCCTCCCTGGGCCCTCAGATCACCGCGACCCTTTCTGGTTCCTTTGCAGGTTCCTCTAAAGAACTCGTCATGAGCCTCACCCCGTCCCAGCGTGACGTCGTCCTGGAGGCCTACACTTTTTCCCTTAGCCGCATGTGGATCTTCTACACTGCTTTTGGTGGTGTCGGTCTAATCCTCGCTCTCTTCGTCCGTCGTCGCGAACTGAGCTCCGAACATACTGTCCAGAAGACCGGTCTTGCTGAGCAAGAGCGTGCCCGTCAGGAGCGTCTCGACTCTGAGCGCAAGGCCCACTCGAAGCCCGAGGTCGAGGTCTAATTTTCTAATTTTTTTACCCCTCTCTGGACACTCTACTCTCTCCTGTACGTATTGATTCGCACATATCCACCCTGAAATCAGCCCTTCTTGTATGTAATGGCTCTACAATCATTGCAGCCTCAGACATATCTCGCATCAGGGTCACCCTGGCACACAGCTGGTTTAACGGATACTTATGCCAAGCCGATAGTGAATGGCTGTACGGTAGCTTCGCAAATGGAGAATAATGAACTGTTCATTCACTTATCGGTTGTTTGAAGAAAGCGCATTAGTTCTGGGACATCATTATGCTCATCGCCTATTGCCGACGATGGGCCAAGTCGCTTATAGAAAAGGGATTCAAAGTATTCCGGATCCTAGGTAAGCCAGCGTATCGCAGTCCATTTGTCAGATGTTACAGTGGAAGTCTCTTCGGGGTTTTTCTGGGCTTCGCGCTCAGTCTCACATATTTCCAGCCACAGGAACAGAGGGATTGAAAAAGCGTTGAAGAACCAACTCAGTCAACGGAGGCATGAAGAGACGATCAAGGAATGAAAGGATGGAATAGAAGAGCTAAGGAAAAGATGAGGAGTGAGAAATGGTGAGGCGGATTGGATAGAAGGGAGGGCATGTAGCGGTAGAATAGGTAGGGAAGGAGGTGTCACCAGCATTAGTCCTTAACAAAATGTGGTACCCGGCAGTGGGGAGTCATTATGCCGGGTAGGAAGTTCAGCTCATGCAAGTCTAGAAATGCGCCCCATCTCCTGCATACGCAACCAGAGTGTTCCCCGCCCCACCCCCACGGCTTGCACCCAATTAGGGCTCTCACTCATGCCCCGTTATTCGAGCCTCTTGTCATAATTCAAAAATTCCGACCTCTTGAGTGGATGAATGCCGGAACGTCGGGGCATTATGTCGTCGTATGTCTTCAACTAGCCCCTCGGAACCTTCCCGTAACTAACCCTAACTCTAATAACTTCACCCATGGCTCCGTGGGGTCAGTGATATCAACATCTAAGAAGTATCCAGGTTTCTCTGTGATCTATGGCCATAGGTTAGAGGAGTATGATTCGCGATGGGCTTTAGATATTGTGATATACTTTGAAGTCAACATCGTCGCCTGCTTCGAATCAGATCATACATAGTCTCACTGCGTGACGAAGACACTGGGGGCGCTCACGAACGAACTAATCAGGTTTTCGCAATTTACAAAAAGGGACATGTAGAAAAAGGCTGGTTAACAAGAGCCTCTTATGCCGATCTTCTCGTATATTCCTAGTCAACCCAGCGAGTCTGCGACGCTGCGTGGTTGAAGATCTGCATCTTCTCTCCAGCTGTGACGTGGCAGCCAGAAGGAGTAAGGTTGCTGCATGGCATGAAGACCGACATTCGCGCCCGAATCCATGGGAATGGAAATAGTGCATGAAGCCTCTCAGCCACTTTAACTTAGTATTTTCGTAACGGTTGATGGCAGTGTAGGTATGGCTGGGAAGGAATTATGGGAACCCAAGTTCTTGGGTTAGGTTATACCACGCTCGTCGATCTTTCTTTGTTCAACGTGTTGCATTGCTTTGGCGCTAATAATGCTAAGCCTGTAGTTGGTACGCTGTTTGTGGGATACTCATCCCTTTGTTTAGGGGCTTGGTGAAGGATTCTGCTTGTGTTTTGTCTCCCTCCATGGATCTGGGCCACGAGAGTGGAATCCAATAGATGAGGTGGGAACATAATAGGTAAAGTGGTGGTATCGTCCATTCGTCGAGTCATGAAACAGAGAACTTGGAAACCGGGCACTAACTAGTGAATCAGTCAGTCTCTTGAGCCAAGCGGTCCGGGTCCGGGGCGAAGATCATTTTACTTCGGCCACTAGAAAAAAGCATTGGTTGGCCCCCGGTTGGAATTGAAATTGCACTTATCTTCATCCAGGACTGTTCCCCACAAGGGCAATGTGGAGTACATGATTCCTGCCCTCTAGAAATGCATGATCCATTTTCTAGAACGAATTCGGGGAGTTTGGAGAGGCATTTCGTTTTTATTACAACATATGTTCATCTTTCACTATTCCTGGTGTAAAGCCTCGCAGCCTCGCATTACGGTTTTTGCTACCTATCGTGTATATGCCGCGTATACCTCGGCCCATACCTAGGTACTACCTACTTAATCAATTTTAGTAGATATATCTACTTGAATAACTCATCAGCCCTGGATCTCCTAGGGGAATGATTACTTTTCCTACCCAGTCGTCTATCCAATATTCGCGCTACCTGCCTCGCTGTGGCTACCCAACAATTGCTCTCCACCTTCAAGTGAGGGAATACACCCATTATGGCATGGCCAATACACAACAACACAAGCATCACATCCACCGCGTACCCTTTCAAATGTTGGTGCTATGCCGACCTGGGAAATTGCCAAATTGAGCACCCCAAACCACACGAGACTCGTCTTATGTCTCCATCGCCTGACCCCTCGACCACGGCGAGGACATCGACTCTCTCCCCCTACAATCATCATTTGCAGGCACCCTCGATACCCATTCCCCCTGGGAACATGCTGTCTCCAGCCCCTTCTTCAGATTACCTAGATACAAGCCCAGTCAACAGGTCGATCCATCATCCCAGCCCAAGATCCGTCCCAGCTCAGACGACTGCCCCCGTCTTCTCACCGGCAAGCCTCTGCGACGTTGGGCCTCACAGTCCCTGGAGTGACATGGCAATCCCCATTGAAATAGAAGAGCCGGTTCAGCTCGAGGCTAGCAAAGGGCCTAGTCAGACGAAGTCGCCTTGTCGTCGTCGTCGTGGATCTAGGAAGAGGTATGTCGTTTTTCCCCTGTTTGTTATAATGTCATCATGTCCTCATCTTGATCGCCGTGTACTGATCACACTCGCTGTAGTGATGACCATAAATACGGAACCTACAAGTGCGAATGGAAGGGCTGCCAATATGACCGGATGTTCTCGCGTAAGGGAGTCTTGATGCGGCATATCGAGACTGTGCATGTCAGTCCGCGGGCGTTTGAGTGTCCCTTTTGTGATCATGCTTCGAGCCGGCGGGAGAATTTGAAGGCGCATATGCAATCGGTACACAGGGAAGGGATGTTAGGTTAGGTACGATGGTTTGGTTGGTGTTACGTCGGGTAGGGCCAGGTTCCATGGGATAGGTACCGCGCATGCCCATGTTCCATGGATGTAGATTAGGTTTGAATGTTCGGGATATAGGTACATAGTTCGGATACCTGGTGCCCGGAGTTCCAATAGATAGGTTGAGGGAATACATGGATGTTAGGATATATCTTTCTGTGACCTAGGTTGGTACGAGCAGGTAGTGTTAGGTGCGACTTTAATTCAGACGTGTCATCGTCCATTGGAATTGACACCTTGGAGTTCGCATATAATTCTAGTAAGCAAAAACTCGAGTAGGGGCTTAGGGCTGTGAAGATGGTTGATGGCATGGGGATGTGGATCCACATATTAAACTGGGGAACTAGGCCACACAGATCTGGTCTATGGATGTCCAAGATAGTAGCTGCCAGTTTCAATACTACGAATGGCCGAGCTTTACATTGTAGGTGATGTTACAATAGGAGTTATATTTTGGGTTTGCAAAAAGATTATGCCATGGTAGATTGGAGCCAAGTGCAGGGAATGCGATTCTTCTAACGCAAGACGAAAGACACACACGAAGAAGCGGATCGATTGACCGGTTGTTGAATTTGAAATGGTATGGAATTTGGTGCATAAGCGTCAGATACACAATGGGAGAAGTGACGCTGCGCGACCAGACACATCATGCTCGCCAATTTTGTAAGAACAAGGAGAAATATCGAGACGAAGCTCGTTCCCGGTGCCTTGGGGCCGACACAGCTATGAAAGTGTAATTTTTTGATTCGTAGGGCTTGTTGGCCCTGTCTTCTTCCACGAATAGAACGTTATCAACCGCCAACTCCATCACCTCAAATCAACACCGGCTCGTTCCGTCGACTTTTCCTTGCCTGACCGACCGTCTGCGCGAAGAAGGGAATCGCCCACTAAAAACAACACAGAGAAGCCGTTTAGATGTTGGAGGGGTAGAGCATAACGCGGACGGTAGCGCCGAGGGACTTGGGGGGGGAGGTTGTTGCGGAACTTGGCGCGCACAACACCGGAGTTGCCTAGAACGAGTCAGAAACACAGAATTCCGAGTCGAGGTTCCCAGTGCCATTCAAAAAATAGCCATGAGACCGGTTGTATAACGTACCGTGCGGCCGGGTGACCTTGCCCCAGATCACACGAATGTTGGAGCCGCGGACCTCACGCTTGGCCCGGTAAACGAAAGCGACCTTCTTGCCAAGGTAGAACTTGGCGGACTTGGTGTCATCAACACCCTCAATCTTGACCAAGCTGTATAACCGTATATCAGATACCATTCTCTCGAGTATTCAAATTGTGTGCGCAGGGTGTAAGTACCTGGTGTTGGGGGTGAGGGTGTGCTTTCCACGCTGGAAGCTCAGGTGGCGTCCCCTGTAGAAAGAAATTCGTATTAATTCCCCGTTCATATCGTAGATTGTATCCATTCCAGTAGCGATGGTTCGTGTCTCCCAAATCGGTCCTCCATGTCGAACTGGTATGTATTGGAATGCGACGATGAAATGTGTGGTGGCAACTTACTTGACGTAAACTAGAAGAGAGGAAAGATAGTTAGCACTTCAAGTCTTTATGTCCAATATGCTCGCACACAGGTGTGTGCTCTAGATGCGTGCGGCTTTGCGATTTCGAGACCGCCAGACCGACGATCGATAAGCAAGTCGAGGGCTTCACTCACGGCGGTGTCCTTGTTCCGAAGGCATTGTGACGGCGTTTCTCTGGGTAGCGGGCAAGGAAAGAAAGTCGAAGGAATGACCCGCAAGATCAAATGTCGTTCCCGGTTGTCGTGGTTGTCGTCGCTTCGATAGAGTCAGGCGCACAATCAATTTGCAGCCGGTGTGTTGGTTTTCGCACTAGCCCAAACGGGATCTTAGCGAGCCACCACCCACGTGACCCTCAGGGCTTAGCGAGATCCCGTGATATACACACCGCTTTAGGCCTTGCGTCAGATTTGCGATAACTAGGCAGAATTCGAGCGAAGATAAGCTAAACTCTGGACTTTTCGTTTCTCCGAACCTTGTTCACTACTCCGTACCGCCCTCCGATATCCGCGTGGCAGAACGGAGGCAGATGATCCAAGAAGCCAACGACGTTTTTGAAGACCAAGTGGCAAAGGGAAATTAGAATCCTCCTCACCAGCCCCTGGAGAGAGACTTGGTGATACCCGAGCAAAAAGCTAAAAGCTGAGAAAATCTACCGAGCATATCTGGAGAGAGCAAAGCATATTATAAGTCGTCCCAATGCTCATTTATTAGCTAGCAAATTGATATCGGAATCAACAACGTGGCAGATCTGAAATCTGCATATGAAGCAAGGACCACGCTGAAACGGCTATGATAATGCGAAGGAAAGTAAATCACACACTCGGCTGAGTAGAAAATTGCCGTGCATCCCAGCGTACCCGCCGCAAATGTCGATTGGGATCCTTGACCTCATTTCTGGCGTGCAACCACTGCCCATTATCCATGAGGATAATCGCTCCCCGCGGCAACATCTCTGGCGTCAGATCCAGGATCTGCTCTTTCGCCGCAGGGCCCAGCAGGACGCTCTTCAGCTCCGCCAAGGCCTTGGCCGCCTCCTCACATAACGGCGTGACAATATCCTCCCGAAACCGGAGTTGCGTCGCCTTGCCATTGGGATTGATCGTGAGCAGATTGCCCACGATCTCCGTCTCACCTTTCGACTTGATAAATTCTGGTGGAACAGTGATGCGATAGTTGGGTGTAAATAGCCACTCCCTGGCAAACGGGGAGAGCAGCGTCAACAGTTGATCAACATTCAGCACAGACAAGGTGCCTCCACCACACATATCTGGTTGGAGAACCTGCAGCGCGAAGAATCTCGGTGGCTCGACTTCATAGCTGCAATCTGTATGCCAGGGAAACTCTTCCGCTGTCTCCGAGCGTGCTCGATGGTTATTACTCTGGAAGGAGTCTGGAGAGGGACGAATATCCCACATCCAGCCGCGGTTGGCGGAGTGGGTGAGTGGGAGGCCATGGCCGTGGTGCTTGTGGAGGTTTAAGAGGAGGTCTTGAATGTAGCTGCTCTTGTCGTCGGGAAAGGCGAGTTGCATGTGCAAAATGCCTTCATTTTGGAGGGTACGGTTGACGGTGCCTAGGTGGGAGGATTCATAGGCGAGGGTTGGGCTGGGGACGGGAATGTAGGGTATTGAGTGGATTGAAGAGATGGATCGGGTGTCTGTCAGTTGGCAGTGAGCATAGTCCGGGAAAATGAGTATACGGGAAATTGCGACATACTGTGTCTGAACAGTTTGGAGCCTTTGGAGGCCATATGAAGAGGGCGTGATAATCGCGACATGATGGCTGCCGCTGGCTTAGGGCAAAGAAAGAAAGTCTGAGCCGAAAGTCAACTGAGACTGAATCTACATTATGAACCCAAAGACCAAAGAAAATTCAACTTTACGGTCCGTATAGGATGGTATTTTAAAAATATGAAAACATTGAAAGAGCTAAAATGATCTACCGGAAAGGGACGAACATCGTCCAAGCGCCCACTTGAAAAAATAGCTTCGCATAAAGGCAGCAATTCAGCTCGCCACGGCCCAATGGAGGACCCACTCCAGCTGAAATATCTTGGGGACATAGGGTCACTTAGCATCCCCGGAGGCCAGCCTCGGAAGACTTCTCCAAAACTCCAAACTCACCTCATTGACTGTCTATACACCATGAAGAAGCCATCCTCTGCTCTACACACCATCCTCCTCCCCTCCACAGCCGGGGAGCAGCATGTCTCACCGCAAGACAGTGATGCGGCGACCCGCCAGGCCCTCATAGACACGCTCCACTGCAACATGCTCAAATGCAGTCCTCCAGAAACCTGGGGGGCTGGCGATATCTACCAAACCTGTTCTCCGCACCCAGTCCTCATCACCCCCGCTCACAAAAGACAGCTGCAATGCCTCAGCGAGGCGTTATCGACGGCGATTGTCGATATCGTAAACCGATGGTGGACGGATGCTGAGGCGAGATTCCCTGAGCGCATGCCAATTGAGCCTTTTGAGGAGGATCTGCTACGGGTATGTCTGTCTCTAGTTGGGAAAGGCTATGCAATTTCTAATCATCTACCCGAGTAGTGGATGGAATCCCAACCGGACAGTGCTATACGTCCCTTTGAAACCTGCACGGGGTCATGCCGACCGGATATGCTGCTCGAGCCGGCAGTCGACGGGGGAATTGAGAATTATCGCATCTGCGAAATCAACGCTCGCTTCTGCATGAATGGGTTTTTGGTTACTGCGTATGGGCAGCAGGCACTGCTTGATATGGGTGTTGGGCGGAATGGACTCAAGGGTGTGACAGATCCAGAGACGGTAAGTTCCAACTGCCTTCATGAAGAGTAAAAAGCTGACGGGATAGGTGAAAAACGGACTGAATAGTCTGTACAATCCCAGTCTACCGTTGCACTTCTGTAAGGGCGAGGAACCTGGGTATGACATTCATCTCTACCGCCACTATGCAAAATCACTTGGGATCCAGGTACGGCTCATTGATCCGGCTGATTTACGTTTACTCGAGTCTCCTACGTCGCCCGGCGGGTATAAATTGTACTGCCTGGCACAGGAGAATGCTGCTGGTACAGTCACCAACGATGTCGGTGAAACCCTCGAAGAAATTCACCAGATCGGATTGGAACTACACCAGAGGGAGCTGGCGAGGATGACGCCCCAAATGCTGCAGCAACTCAGCCTGCGATGCTTCAACGACATGCGCACCATTCTTCTCGTCCACGATAAGCGATTACTCGGCATCATCATCCAAGAGCTCGACAATTTAGTCGCGCGCAACGTACTCACCCCAGAACAGGCCATCATTCTCCAAAGAGGCATCGTTCCCACCATCCTCCCGGGCTCGTCACAACTCTCTCACTTCATCGCAGAATGCCGCAAATCCTCCCTCAAAGACGCCTACATCCTCAAACCCGTCCGCAGCGGCAAAGGAGCCGGCATCCTCTTTGGCGACCAACTCGACCGGGATGATTGGTTGTCGAAACTGGAGGCCATGCGTGACCCTCATCTACAGCGGGGGAAGACGACGTATGTGATACAGCGGCGCATCGAACACAGCCTTTACGAGGTGCTCCTGCGCGAGAGCGAGGGTGTGCAGCGCTACCCACTCATTGGCACTTTCTTGATGGTACATGGCAAGCTCCTGGGCCTCGGGCTATGGAGAAGCGGCCCAGGGCGGATTTGCGCGCTCAGTTTGGGCGGTGGCTGGATCTGTTCGGTGGAGGAGTAGATTGCTTTGCATAGACCTTGCTAGCTGAATGGGACCAAACGATGCATACCCGAATACCATGCCCGACTGGGCTGATCGGCGTAGCGGGTCATGAGCTTTCCAAATAGGTAATATTCGGTTGATAGGTGTATTTAGCCTGCAGAACAAAGTGAATAACTATTACGTGATTAACGAGTTCAAAGTGCCTAGTTACATCATGCAGCTTACCAATGTAGAGCCAAAAAGCAAAGAAAATACGGTGTAACTCGTTTCCAAACGCATGCATCAAACGGATAGTACTTCACTGAGTAAGGGATCTTGAAAGTGTGATCCCAGGCTCCCAGCCCTGGGATCACAAAAGTCAACCTTGAAAAAGTCAAAATAAAGATAGACGGGAAGCCCATTAGCCGACAAGCTTCCGGATCCCAACCTTCACCGCAATAAGAATCAGCTAGGGCTTTCCTTACTGTGGAGACTGCAGCGACTTACCTTCGATAGCCTGAAGTGGCTTGATGAGGGATCTCGGTGGATCTACATCCCTTCGGCCCTACCTACAGTAGCGCCCCAAGTGGGCTGTATGAGCTAGCGCACTCCATGCGACCAATCAGCATTAGATCTCAGATCACGGCACCTGCACTTCAGCTCCCCTTTTTATGTGGAGTTGCCCTGCACTTGGGATTTCCAATCCATTCCATTAGGTAAGAGAAGGGATTCTCTCTGCACGCGGACGAAGCAATGCATACTCCGTAGTTAGGAATCAATAAATTGAGCCATTTGTCACGGCGGTCCTATTCGGGTGCTTGCATGAGGACCCTCAGGCGATGGAGGGACCCACAATTTTGCGATCTTGGTCTGATCTTGGCTTGATCTTGGGACGATCTGTGGGGAACCCGATCTTCATTGTTTGGCACCTCGGCTATCGTCTGATCGGCTAAGACCGGGAATTGGTATTTTATTCCCATGTCTCCGCAGAACATTGTCAGATCGAGAGGGTCTTCACAGTCTCACAGACCTGGAAACCTCCCACCTCCTTGGGTTAGATCTGTCATCTGAGTCGGAAAATCTGAGTGGGTTCATGGTGGGTTTGGGTTTGGCCAATCGGACCTAGAAGGCAATGGGTGAAAAATGTCACCCGTGACTCAATCCACCTAACTATTGAGCTGGAGTGCTGAATGAAGCTGATCTCTATGCAAATTACTAGCGCATTACTGTCGATGGGTCTGCACAGTGGTGTTCGATTAGTTTGAAAATGTTATTAAGGTCTAAAACTAAACACCTCTGAATGTCCGTGGCGCGAGTTTCTATATTCAAAGTCCAAAGCTCAAAATGGATGCCGATTGTTATTCTCTCTCCGATGTGCTGGCCATTGCCAGTGTTCATCCCTTCTACTCTGACGCTGTCTATCCTCCTACTCGTGAGGAATTGCCCTCTGTTCTCGCCAAGGCAAGGGAATCAAGCAATGGCGGATT